CTCTCTCTCTCTCTCTCTCTCTCTCTCTCTCTCTCTCTCTCTTGACACGTAAGTGTGTCTAGATCGATCTGGTATCGACACATCCCTCTAGAACCAGTTGAGGATTGTCATTTCATCATTTCATGTGGTGGTGTCCTTAGCCTGGTTGTATTCACCGCTTATGCTTGTGCAGCTGTCCGAAGCTTCCAACATCTAGCGATGAAGGGGAAGGAAGTACTTTGTAGAACAAGTAGGATGCGACAAATCACGTGTACTAATCGATTGATTTGTAATGTCGTGTATCTGGAAAGTAGAAAAAGTGGCATTTAATGGAAAGGCCGAAATAGAAGAGAAAGGAGCCATGGTGAAGAACTACCAAAACAATGAGATTAGAGGAAAGAACGCCATGAAATGCTTCTCGCTCAATGCCCTCTCCATTCGCGTTTGCAAACAAGACGCAAGAGAAAACTCATGACCGAAAAACTATGAGGTGGCAAGTATCAGAGTAGATAGAGTTGAAAGATGTGAGCGATGTAGTAACAACTTCAAAATGAACCAGCTCGGAAAATACAAAAGGGCCGCCCAGGGAGTAAGAGTGAAGATGGTGAGGGTTTTGGATGGAGGGATGATGTGAGTTGAGTTCGGATATAGGATGAAGAGGGTAGCAAGAATGGTGCAACGAATTAACGAAAGTACTGTCGACTCTCATGAAGATGTCAGTAGGTGAAGGATCTGGAGGGTGAGCTTCTAGCGACAGCAGCGGGATCACACTGTTGATCGTCAGTGTGAAATCAAGCTCAGTGAGTCGAGAAATGAACATACCTTGTAAGCATGTCTGAACCAGGAAGTATGACTTTTCTTGCCACCATTCAGCACGATCCATTTACGGCAAGATCCACAAAACCCTTCCCAACCTTTGTCATCAAACAAAGCTCGAGTACGAGTCGGACGTGGAAACGGTGTGCCCATGACAGTGATGCCATGACAGAAGTTCTTGTGGTCTGGTAGTTGAGTTAGCATGTTTCCTCCTGCTCAAGTAGACATCTCACATACACCAATAGGTACTGCGCTTCAGACTTAGCCATTTGCCAGGACGACATTGCCCGCACCAGCCTTCGCGTTGTTTACCATCTCCTCGAATCCAGCGCGGCATGTATAGATGGTTTGGATCTTTGAGACTGCGTCTCTGTGGTACCATTGTCTTGTCGCTTGGGCTCATGTCCTCGACAGGCGGGTCGACCAGTTCCGTAGGTGGATCGGGGATGAGGTCTGTTGGTGTCGCAATGTTCGTGGTCACGGAACTGGCATTGTCATCCATGTCCCAGTGAGAGGAGGTCGGAGATATCTGGGTGCGTGGTGTAGCTATTGGCGGACTCGGCTTCTTAAAGAATGAATCCCGACCAGGTTCGAAACCATATCTAGAGTCCCCAGTAGCAGAATCTGCGTGAAGTGAACGATGGATTTGACTCGGATGAGGCATCTGTTGTGGCCATTGCCAGAAGCTATCGTTGCGCTGCTCCGCATAGTATTCTCCGCACATCTGAGCTTCATCAGGAGAAGTGACTTCGTAATGGCTCATGTTTGCCGCTGAACTTGCCGGCTGGCCTCCTTGTGTGTCAGGGTATTGGACTCCCACGTTGTCGTACGACGGTTCATCGTGAGAGTAGTATTGATATCCGTGCTGGTGTGCAATGTTGTATCCGGAATGAGGTTGTTGGAAGCTCCATGGTGCTTGCTGGCTCGCCATGTCACTTACGCCATGGCAAGAGCGTTGAAGAAGCCAATTGTCTATAGCTGACTGATTGTTCTGGAAACAATCCTCTTCACTCAGAGCAGAACTCATATATGCTTGTGACACATTGTTGTTCCAGGCTGTGGTAGATTGCTCACTTCCCTGCGCGCCAGGACCAGCTTGAGTAGTCCATGTGTTGTTTGGCCAAATCGGCCACGCTGAAGTCTAATCAGTACGAGAACCCTTGAGACCGCATCAATCGCCAACTCACGCTTCGGCTGGACTTCTTGACCCAACCAGTGGTGATGAGTATTACTGTCAGTGAACGATGACTGTGGGGTATGTTGATGTTGTTGTTGATCATGAGATTCCTGGCTTCCACAGCATACAGCACCTTCCCCAAACGATGTCTGTTGATTGGCTGTAGACGTAGACCGACGGCAGAAACTAGATCGCACCGTGGCAGGGTCCACAAAGGACGAAGTCATTGCATCTCAGGAAAACAAGAATTTCCACAGAGCATTTTTGGAGAAAAATGTGACAGATCATAGTCCCTTGAGGACTACCCCACCGGTTATAGGACTCTGCCTTGAGCAAATGCATGACCATAACGGCCATGGCCTTACAAGGCCGCACCATAAAAATGCAGCACCCCACGCAGCGTCTGTTGAATCCTGCGTGAGATGATGTGCTGAAACAGTCCTCGTGCGTTGAAGCCTGCATGAGCTTTCTTCACACAATTTACGACTGATTGAAGCAAGGGATGTTGCTAAGCTGATCCAGACATAAATCGCATTGACGCTGCTACTAGGAGTGCGTGTAGGATCAACCACTATTCGTCGGGTGCGTGCATTTGAGTTCCTGCTTGGAGTCGAGATGAAGTGGTCAAGAATGTAAGACAATGAGGGAACCCGGATGGGAGAATGCGGCTGCAGGGAATCGACCGCACTGTAGAAGGTGGTGGGCAGTGGCTCGATTGCTCGAGACACTGGCACGTGGCTATCATATCCAACAAGGAAACTAGGCAAGTCTTGAACGTTCGAAGGATCTTGTGTAACACATGGCTGTGTCCGAAGCGCGGCCCAGACGGGCCAGTGTGATGGGCGTTCTGGGTGCAGCGCACACACGTTCACGTGGAATGTGTGAGAAAGTGCTCGGAGGTACCGAAATAATCCATGAGACTCATGTTGTCTTTGTTGACGTGCTGACAGTGCGTGCCCTTGCAGAGTGGAAGCCGGCGAGGGGATTGCAGAATGCGTGAGATGTTGCAATGTGGGAGATAGATTAGGTACAAATTTGTGGTACCTTGAGTTGCGATTCGATGGGCAGAATCGAAGCGGCATGGTTGTCGTCTTGTGTGTTCGGCATTCACCTAGGGTTGAGGAAAGGGCAGACGAGATCGACGTAATCTTGCATGCGCTATTCGTCAGTGTGCAAGAAAGTCCGGAGAAGTGCAACGCAAGGGATTTGTGGTCTATGCATGTATCTCCTACATGGAGGGAGCAGTAGAGCTCCTCAGATACTAGGTATAATGACAAAGGAGATAGCGCCCTAGGTCAAGCCAAAATATTTGAGCTCGAAGACTCGGGAGCGTTGGTTGACAGGAAGGTGACATGTGCCGTAGACAAAACCGGTCAAAGTTTGGATCTGGCTGGCTCCACTTTGATCGACATCCGAACGCTGGTCACCGATGAGATCAAAGTTGTTCCACGATTCATCATCATTCGCTTCACACCCCTGTACAATTTCTGTGAACCATCAGGACTGCTCGCTGAACTGCTGTCCTTGTCAGTTCATGACGTGAAGGCTTGCTGGGGTCGGAGATGTCCAAGATGTATTTCTCCCGTCCTTCGCTCTTGCTTTTCTTGGACGGGGTTGGTGAAGTTCTGATCTTCCATCTTGATTCTATCGGACATCCATAATGGCTTCACATCTGGGCTTGAGAGGCTCGCGTCTTCGGACCGCCATTGCGTTGGCAGCTGGACTTTGCTTTGTCGCTTTTGGCTATGGTCAGAGTGATTTCGGAGGTCTTCTCACGGTTTCGACCTTCAGAGAACGATTTCCAGAGATTGATACTGCTGGACGGCCTTCCGATAGTCATGTTGCTATCATTCAAGGAATCACGAATGCCACCTGGAACATTGGAGTACGAAATAGACTCTGTTCCCCTACTCTACCTGACTGACACTGACCAAGTGCTAGTGTTTTGCGAGTGCCATCATTGCCATCTTTCTCGGCAACTATCTTGGCCGTCGACAGATGATCATGCTCGGCTTGGTACTCATGGCGACCGGAAAGGTGATTCAAGCCTCGTCTTACTCATATGGCCAACTTGTTGCTGGAAGATTTATCGCCGGCTTTGGAAATGGTTTCAATACTGCTGCTGTACCTGCGTGGCAAGCGGAATCGACTCGTGCACATCGTCGCGGCACTATGCTGATGGTATCATCTGGAGCTTGTATCGCCTTCGGTGTCGCTATGGCCTATTGGATTGATTTCGCCTTCGCCTGGCTCGCCCCCAGCTCGGCTTCATGGAGAATTGCCACAGCCTTCCAAATTGTACCAGCGATGCTAGCATTCACCCTTATAATTTTTCTGCCGGAGTCGCCCCGCTGGCTCATCTTGACTGGTAGAGAAGAGGGGGCATTGACCGTTCTTTCTGCGCTCTCGGACACAACCACTGATGATGAGGAGGTTCGTCAAGAGTTCCTTCAAATCAAGGATGCTATTCTCGAAATGGCTCGCGGTGGCTTCTCCTCCGCCTTCTCGATGAATGAGTACAGATATCTGCATCGTACTATCCTTGCTTTTATGCTCCAGGTCATGCAGCAGTGGACTGGCATCAACCTGTTCACTCAATACCTTGCTCTGTTGTTCAATACGCAAACAGGCTACACACCGTGGGTGGCACGATTAATCGCAGGCTGTAGCGCAACTGAGCTCTTCCTGGCCTCTTTTGTCACAGTCATTGGTATCGATCGTTTCTGGGGTAGACGAACTCTGTCCATGTTCGGTGCAGCTGGCATGTCCATCTCGCTCATCATTCTCACAGTCATGGGGTATCTCGACACCAGTACCACACATATCGTCATGGTCGTGTTCATCTTTGTCTACAATACTTTCTTCGCTATTGGATGGCAAGGCATGTCGTGGTTATGGGCTGTGGAACTGACCCCTCTGGCTATCAGAGGACCTGCCAATGCCTTGTCGACTGCTGGCAATTGGCTCTCGAATTTTATTGTCGTGCTTATTACACCTATTGCATTCCACCACATTGGTTATCGTACATATGTCATATTCGCCGTCATGAACGCTGCTATCGTCCCCGTCATCTATCTTCTCTATGTAAGCCAATCTATGCCGAATTTGGCTTTCTGTTGCTAACCAAATTTAGCCCGAGACTGGATGTCGTTGTCTGGAAGAAGTTGACGTCTTATTTCACCAAGCCTCGCAGACCTCAAGTCCATGGTTTAGTGTGGTCAAAGTTGCCAATAAGGAGCCTCTCTGGTATGGCAAAGGTGGCGAACATACTTTCTCGTATGAGCAAACCGAATGGCATCAACACCTTGCCGAGCACCAAAGAGGTTCCGACGAGCACACTCCATCATCTTCCAACGGTAGCCCTCACGGTATGGAAGAGAAGCAGGAAATCTAAGGGTCTACGGGTTATTTGCAGCTTCTAGTCTTTAATGTCTGAACCCCTTTGTGTATTCACAACCAACATTGAAACATGATTTTCCACTGCTTTCATCAAAGATCGACGATCAATGACTACTTGACCCATTGTCTCCATGCCGCACTTCTAGCTTGCAGATACGTCTTGGATTGGATAGCCTTCCAGATACCGAAAAAGCCAGCCCAAGGCCACTTCTCAAGAAATTTTTTAGGAGCAGGCGCCTTCTCTGGTGGCGCCTTGACCTTGTCATAAACACTTGGCAGGTTGGTAGCACCATACTTTTCCCTTAGCTCATCATACCACTTACGGTCAAACTGCTCCCAGAACTCGTTCTCTGTGTAATAGGTCTGAGCGTACAACCATTTCATGCCGCCGAGCTTGCGTAATTTGGCTTCGAGGTTTCTGTTTGCTTTGACGAATTCTGCGCGGTTGTTGGGTCCGAAGCCCCAAACGCCAATATTTAGCATTAGTTCCTTGTCTTCGCGGGTGTAAGGGTGCATGGTGGGTTGTTCTGTTCTCTTCAGGGGACATAGCCACAGGGGAAAGATGTCCAGTTCGGAAGATGTGTAGTCGACGAATTTCTCAGCTGTGGAGTAGGGGAGAGCCAAGTCTTGAATGATGCATCGTTTCGATTCGCCTGAAGCGTGTAGTGCCGTGTACATCATACGCGTATGAGTAAAGTCATCCAGAAACCAGCGAGTGAACTTGTTGTATGGGAAATTGAAGTACTTGAAAGCCATGTCGCCAACCCAGAATCCGCCACGGTCGTAACGGAAAAGGTATTCGGGAAGTGGCACTGCTTCCACAACAGGCTCTGTTCCAGATTTGGAAATCTGACTCTGCACGTGTTGATAGAACCAAGGATCCCATGCAGAGCTGAAGGTCTGCACAGGGATCGTCGAAGAAGGGGTATCGGTCATATGCCCTGTAACGACAGCTCCTTGAGTCTTGGAGAACATGATGCCATCGACGTAATCGAAACTATGATCTGCTGTGGCTTTCTCAAGGACCGCAATCGCATCCTTCATATCGGTGACTGGGTGGTAAGTTGTCTCAACAAACTTCTTTGCGGGTTCAAGACGAATCTCCATCAGGGTAGTGACTCCAACTACATATCGTTAGTCATGGAGCACAAGAAAGGCTAGGGATGCTATCTCACAACTACCGACCGCACCAGCCGCCCCGTAGAAGAGATCCGATCTTTCTGCACAATATTAGTCTTCATGAGGTCCGTCTACGAGTACACTGTTGCATACTGGTTGGAGAGCATTTGACGACTTCACCGGTTGCGAGGATCATCTCGACGGAATCGATAGTGTTGTTAAAGAAGCCATGCTTGAAGCTCGAACTTTCGCCCGCTGTGCCTGCATAGCCTCCTCCAGCTGATTCTACTGTCAGTACTGGTCTGTGAATAGTAATCGAGACTTACCTGTGATGCCGGGAAACTCCATAACCACCGGAGGGACAAGACCATATGGGAGAGTCGCCTCAACGAGTCTGCAGATAATCCGAATCAGATCTGGTTGGATCTCCGGAACAAGATTGGATATATCTCGAGAACCACGGTGATTATTTACCTATCCATTGCCACGTTGGGCTCGACATATGCGATTTTTCTATCGATATCGACACTCAAGACCTTGTTCAGAGCGCTCACATCAAGCACATAAGGTCCCTTTGATGATTGTCGAGTGCTGTTGGTCGATCCATGGGAAATACGAAACTTTTGTTTGTTCGAGTGAAATGCGGCGACGCGTGCCGATAGGTCCTTAACAGCAAGGTTGTGCTGGTTCAAGAAGTCGTTATGGCCAGACACGGAAGCAAATCCACGAATTGCTGGCAGATAACTACGTCGAGTCGCGTGCGTTGTAGGCGACTTGCTTATTAGTCTGGTAGATCTTGGTGATGTTGTAGTGCTGAAGTTCGACCTCTGGGTTACAAATCTAGAGGTAGCGGCAACCGTGAAAAGGGCGCGGCGTGGCTGCATGCTCCAATTACCTAGGTATGGTCCTCTGAAACAACGTGAAGCGAGAGGATAGATCCAGGAAATCTGTAACAGTATGAGAACAAGTGCTTTTTGGACATCAAGTGCACGTCAAGTCGACTGCAAAATCGGGAACTGGAGAATTGGAAGCACGGACGAAATTTGTCTCGGTATATATTCTAGGGGTATAGATCAACCACCTATCTAACTAATCAAAAACTCAACGCTGGGGTATATCGCTATATTTTCAATCCAACACATCTACAATCATCGCTGGCGCAGTCACGCCTGCAGCCTTCATCCTATCTAAACACTTTTTGGCTCGGGCACGCTCCGCTGAGACACGCTCCTTGTTTTCATCGTCGTCATCGTCGTCGTCTGTCTTAGCGGTCGTCGTGTAAAGATCGACTAGCCATAGAGCTACAGATGCTCTTAATTGTAAGAGTGATGGTATCGTGTCGAAAGGTGGGGACAACATCAACTCGTCCATGCGAGCTGCAAGACTCGCCGCTGACTCCAACTCGGAATGTTTGATAGCCGAGATTTCTTCATCCGGGTCTGAACTGAGCGCCAAATCCGAATCTGAGTTGTCCACGTCTGATGGCGTGTTCTGAACACATCCGATGGCCGATTTGCACCTTTGTTGGATCTCGTAGATGCAGAGACCGAACATTGCAGGATAGAAAGTCAGGGATGATATAGCATGCGGATTGGTCTTCTGGTAAGGAAACTGTAAGATCAAGCGCTCATAGTAGTCTTTCGCCGCCTCGAATCCCTCGTCACTGATCGTTGACGCATTACGAGGTTGGTCTTGATGAGTCTTTCCACACGAGAATTTACGCATCAAGATCTCCGCACCAATGCCCCATCGACCATGCGTACGCACATCCAATGGCCGGCCAAGAATATCGGTACGCAGGATCATGCCCCATGCCCTGCCGGCACGTACAAAGTCATGCTTGAGAAGGCTAGTGTGCAAGACGGTAGTGAGCACGCTCAAATGATGTCGGCGTAGTGATGATGTAGTATCTTGCTCGCCAGGAGGTGGAACATACAACGGAGGTTTAAGAGCCGCTAGTTCCTTTTGAAGATTGTTTGACGATGGTTGGCGCGTCTTTGGTTTGACAGCAGGGGCATGAGGAAACGAAGATCCAGGCAAAGGGAAGTTTTCAGGCCATCCGGCAACACGGTAAGGATCGTTGATGTCGTGAGATTGCACCGAGGGCTCGAGTGGATCAAGGTGTGTGTCAGAGTCGTCGCTCTCATCGTCGGGATCTGTTAGTCTTTTTCGCTTCCTGGGAGGAGCATACTGTTTGCTACGAAAAGAATGCTGAGGCTCATGCAAAGGGTACGCCGGAGTGAAGTGATGGGCTGTCGGTGGCATTGTGGGGGAGTTGTAAAAAAGGTAGGGAAAAGGTACGCAGCACTACTGTTTGTACAGTGTGACGTGTCCCAGGACGAGACAAGTATACGGTATCCCGTGTTTTACGGAGTTCAGAAGTTGAGGCCGAGGGGTGGCTTGGGCAGACAGCTTGCACGAATAGAGTGGTGAACAATCAGGGCAGCAAGCGCGCTCAGCAAGCAATTGCAGTTGCAGAGTCGGGGCAGGGCTGAAGCTTAGCGGCAGGTTTTCCTGACATGGATGATGGATCTGCACGAGAGCGCGGGAAGCTGCTGCTGATGCTAGTCTGTTTGAGAGCGGGACCGTGCTGCAGGAGGTCGAGTCGATATGGGCGTTGGATGTCAGAAGAAATATGGACAAACGACGAGTGCAAGCTGCAGCTATGGCTATCGATAGGTGCAGGAGAAATTGAAACGGGAGTCGAAGCAATATTATGTCCATGGTGGATTAGGTTCGGCGGGCGGGAGACATCCGAACCTCTGCCAAGACGTATCGCATCTCTCAGCGGTAGCGGTAGCGTAGCGGTAGCGGGATTGGTACAAGTGGTCAGCCTGGATTCAGGCCTGTCGTCGATGCACCACGGCCTCGTCCTGCGACTGCTCGACGACTCGCTTCTTCGTCCTCGTCTCCATTGCTCCCGTCCGCCGTATCCATCCGAACCACCCCCTCGCCGTCGACAAGCGCTGCTCTCTACTGATCTATTCATCTCCGTTTCCCCTTCCCGCCATGGGTCAGGCCGCGTCCTCAGCGACGCCTTCGCCGCCCACGAGGCCTACCGATGGCCACCAACCTCGTCGCGAGTCTCTCTGGCGCCGTTCACTACCCACGTCCTCGCTCCTGGCCCAAAGAGAGGTCCCCGCCAACAGCGACCATGACAGCCGCCCACATTCTTCGTCACGTCGACCGTCGACAAGGCCAGGGCCACGACCGCGTGCCGCTCGCTCGTCGTCCATCCATAGACTCTCACAGATGCTCCGCTCTTCCAATCATAGCTCCGATCAAGCCGAACCTGTACTCTCTAGCCCGCAGCGTCCTTCACGCCTACATCGTGCTCGCACTTCGCTTCACAACTTCGGCTCTCGCCATTCACCCTTCTCGCGCCCTGCTCAGATGTCTCGCTCACGCACCGACGACTTTGGATATGCTTATCCGCATGTCGAACTCAACTTCGATAACTTCGAGCTTAATCTCGATCTCGCTACTTCGGATCCCGCTTCACACACTCCGTCCTCTCGTTCGAGTTTCCGTCTTCCGACCTCTCTTGCTGATCGTATCTCTGCCCTGCGTTCTGAACGGCCCACAAGAACCCCTCTCCTGACACCAAGGCTCCTCCCATCTGAATCGCCTGATTCTGGACCCACTGTAGACTTCGACTCATCACAAACTTGGTTGCCGGCTGCATCGCGGGACTCTTCTTTGCTGGGCGCCCCCTCCACGAGACCGAGAAGCGAAGGTGAAGGCCTGACAAGAGGTGGAGAAGACAATACCGCCTTGATCTCCCGCATACTATCGGTAGCGGCTGCAACTACAGCTGCCACTCTGCTTGACGGCGACCAAGAGGCCATCGCAGAGGCCCATAGTGTGAGTGGTGATGGCACCTTTAGCAACTTCCTACAATCTCTAGAGAGTGGTCGTTTGGCATCAGCTCTTCGCCAAGGTGGCCAGACATCGGCCAACGCGCCGCTCAACTTCTTCCGTATGTTTCGCTTCGGCACCGCTCCCGCCAGAGATGGATCTAGGGACGCCGACGCTTCACACTCTGCCCAGCCAACCGGTCCCGATGGACGTATGGTACCTGTAATAATAGTGGGTATCCGCTCAGTAAATCAGACCAGTGCAAGTGGCGCCCAAGATGCTGCAATGCCTCCATTCCTTGACGCCTTGTCAACTCTGCCCAGGTCACCCTTCAATGGCGAAAACGACAGCATCGATCATATTTTGGACCCTACGCCAACTCATCGTTTCAGTCATCGCCGGCGCGCTTCCATGGGGGGTCTGTCCAACTTCCCTGCCGCATACGATGCCCAGCGTCATACACCGACCCCCGATCACATCCACGCTCGCTCTACAGCCACCGCTCGCCCGCCACTGACTCCCACTCTTTCTCGCGTCAGTTCCGCCAACTCTGCTGCCCGTATGCCCGAACGTCCTCCGTCTAGTCGCTCGAATTCAAATTACTCAGATCGTCGTGAGAGCATCATCCGTACTACCACTACAACTACCACTCTCGAGACCACAGACGAAGACGTACCACTAAGACCACGTCCAAGCCGTCCACGTCGACTTAGCGAGTCTGATTATGGCCATCGAGGTTACTCGTCGCGCCGTAACGGTTTCGTGGAGCCTGACACCGCACCTGGCGAAAGTACTCGTAGTTGGATTATTTATGTTCTCGGTGGCAGTTATCCAGAGAATCATCCGATCATCACAACACCAAGTCTTTATACCGACTCGCCAACCTATGAAGATATGATGTTGTTATCGGCTCTTCTGGGTCCTGCTAAACCCCCTGTGGCTAGCGAGCAAGATGTTGCCGACGCTCCGGGTATTTTTAGGATTGAGAATGTTCGGGGATCTCTTGTTGCTGTTGCACTCGAAGGCGAGGACAGCATCAACCTGACCTCCGAGCAGCGTTGTCTGGTATGTCTCTGCGACTTCGAGCAAGACGAAGAAGCAAGACGTCTCGTAAAGTGTAACCATCTGTTCCACAAAGAGTGTATAGATCAGGTATGTTGATTTTGTGAATCATGCTCTGACTGCTTACTGATTTACCCCACAGTGGCTCACCAAAGGTCGAAACTCGTGTCCTCTGTGCAGAGGACAAGGCGTCGACGAGAAGGAAAAGCCAATTGACGACACAGATATTGCACCTAACGCTGCAGTGACTCCAATTCCCGAGGCTCCCGCCACCTTCTGATTCACTCGCATTTAGCAACAACTCCGTCTCAAACGAGGACACAAAAGGCAACCGTTGCCAGACAGCCACAACTATCGCTCATGTTCATGCTCCCGGATGTCATATATTACTTCCGACCATCACCAACGACACGTCTACGAATTTCCTTTCCTTAATGTCCATCATGCATATCATCGGCGTTTGAGCGTTGCATTTTTTTGTGCTGGCGCTTCCCTTATCATATTCATCACTGGCGGCACGATCATGGCCAGCTATCATCGCTACAGTTTGTCTTCTTCCGGATTCTATAGCATTGCCAGCACCGAATTGGTCCTGGCACAAAAGGTGGTTAGGAGAAAATCATAGGTAGCTAGTCAAATATCACGAAACCGTACTCGGGAGGTTTCTGCCTCTCGTTTCTTGCAGTCTCGCTCACTATTGTGTCGTCCGAGGGCTTGAGCGCCGAGTCATGCTGCTTGATTCGGAAGCTTAAGCATCCATGAAGGCCGTCTGTACGGCGTTACCCATTGGCCTGGCATTAAATACGGCGTACCAATGTAGCACTAGTGACACCAACAAGATGTGCAGCTGTGGGTTTGCATTCGGAGGCAGAAGAACGTGAGCATCATGCAGGAGGTCCTTACCAAGCTGTCACATTGATGCACCAACTGACACCCATCGCCCCACGACATAGTGACCGTATCAGGATCTGTTCCTAAACAAGCATCTCTCTGAAGCAGTGATTTGCTGCTGTATCTCACCGGCGGACAGCTCTCTTGTATCACCATGAAACGAGAACATGAGAATAATCTCGTCCAGCACCATGCAGTGACCATATCACGAGAAACGTCCCCTGACGCACATCTTTCACTGATCTGAGACACAGTTTGAATGCATTTGCTGAAAACGCGCATGCCGACGAGCAAGGTACATGTTGAGACCTGGACCTCCCCGAGGCTGAGCCAGCTCAAGGTCAATCGTGATTGACACTGGTGCATCTTTTAGCTTCGTAGAACATTCCTCCAGCTGAGACTAGAGAACCATGGTACTTGCCATGTCAAGGTGGATGATCTTTCCTGATCGACGCTTGCAAGTTGTAAGAGGCGTTCTTTTCAGCAGCGGCTAAAGGGACATGGACCAGTTGGAAACGTGGCTCTGTCTGGTAGTTCGTGCGGGATCTACAGCAGCATATTGGGCATCTTTGCGCAATCGTATAATAATCCCATCAATGATGGCTCTACGATCACCGCCGAGCCCCTCAGGTGTTTAGTGGAGAGCTCAGATCGTCCTCCTTTACTTTGACTGGTGCGACTGCGAGAAGTGATCTCAACGGAAAACAATTATGCACCCAGACCAATCAGATAATTGCAAAGTTTGGGTCCCGCAAGGGAAAAAATGGTTCTTCATGCAATTCGTCCCCCTAATATCTCTAGATGCAGCGCTATTGCTGTGGCTATTGTGACTGCATGCACAAGCAACATCGGTCCTATTGACTGGCAGCGTGCAATCAGGCTCGAGACCGAGCCTTCGATGAGAAGCCGACAGACAGGCAAGTGTCAAGCAGAGGAACGGATGGTTGCGGAGACATGCCGTTGTTCTCGAACGACACTTCTCTCGAATCAGCAAAGCTATCCCAAGATCTTTTGATGCGGCGGTGTTTTAGAAAGAAGGTTTTAGCCCTTGTCACTGCACGTGTGCGACCCGCTACACTCGCGGGAGCTTGTGCGCTTGATGCAAAGCCACCTGCCACATCAGGGAAATGAAGCACACTCAACTGCCGTATCAACGAGATTCAGAGATTGATATACCACCGACCATGAACGGGGAGAAAGTAACACTGTGCTGTGGCTGAGGATCTCCAAAAACAAGGATTGGCTCCTTTGAAGGATGCGTAGTCTCGCCGGGTATTTCCAGTAAAGCGGCGCGTGGCCCAAACATCGACGGACGGCTTAAGTCCTTGGACTTTGACCTGACCGTCACGTCACCTCACACGGAAGCATCGAAAAAGACGCTGACTCAAGCATCTCTTCGGAGGCCACCCTATCAGGAGTAGAAGGATCGGATTCGCATCGATGGTCCACTGATGATGCTAAGAGCGTCGATATATATGAGACATGTGCAAGCTTAACGTTCACGTCCAAATCCGTTGTCTAGCACGGAGCATTTGGGTGTCCTTGGGCCCGGATCGTATTCACGTAAACGTCAAGTACATGCCTATGCTGTAGCATCTTTCGGCTGTCGGGGTAGTTTTAAATTGCTTTCACATGCGCGGCCGAGGCCACACTCTGTGGAGGAACACGCTGGCTGTCGTACCCTCAGCGAGATTGATTCGTGGTTACGAAGAGCGACGCGATTCAGGCGGACTCCAATCAGCCGCAACAGGCGATAAATCATCCGAAAGGTAGTCTCAATGACAGCAGGCCGTCAGCGGTAAGTAGTATCTAGCCGGCGTGTCCGGTCCGAGGTGCTCAGGGGATCAGCCTACTGTAGGTGTACGGTAGCTGCAAGCATTGCGAATTGCTACCCTTGATCCACGCGTGGTGGGAAGGCTACTAGATTGTCTACTCCTGGACGGGTGGGGCGTGTTGCATCTACAAGAAAAGTGCAGCTGCAGCGACACACCGACTGGGGCCGGCGTGTCCTGTCGCAAAAAGCTAAATTGGCACGGTAGGTTTCTTCTCCACCAGCAGTCATGGACGTCGGAAGTTGCCTTGGAGGAGGCGGTTGTGGTCGTTCATCAAGAAATCTCCCCGGCTCCACGTCCAAGCTCCAGAAATGCGCCATCAAGTCGATCAAGCCGTTTGGCCATGATGCTCCGGAAGCTCTTTCTTTCCCGTTCCTTCAAGGACCAAGAGCTCGAAAACAGTTGACATCTGAAACGGGGCTTTCCTGCATACAGTCTGCGCTAAATCGTGCCTCTTTTCTCCTCGCACAAGAAGAGGAGGGAGGCTTGCATCAAGCGTTTCCTTGCTGGTCTCACTTTACACGCCCAAACATCCTTTCTCTTCCTTCACATCGTGCGCAACAGCCCCAACCACTGTGTGACGCCGACTTCAGCACCTTTAGGGAGTACTCATCTGTCCTGCAGATCATCGTCCGGGTTGTGTGGCCATTATCCGTCATCAAGTACAGACCACGATCATCAGTGCATCCCTGCCGTGTAGTGCGTCAAGGTCCGACACATCACCAGCACACATCTTTTCGTTGCCAAACAAAAACCTGGACACGGGATTGGTTCAATCTCAGCTAGCTCCAGCCTTCCTTTTCTTCCAAGGACTTTTCTTCCTCCAACTGTTCGAATGAATACGCTACGCCTCGGCTCTTGATACCACTCAGCTTTTACCATTCATTTCTTAGCTCTGATCTTGTCCGTACGCTGAGACCATTCCTTGGCCACGGTGCTGGAATTCGCATCCCCGCATCCAATTAATATCGGTGGTCGGTCCATCTCAGCCGGAGTCAGCAGCTCTTTCCTTCGCCGATTTGTTTACACTTGCAACAAGTATAGTCTGGCCTACTTTGCTTGTGGACAAACTCCCGCCTTGGCTCACGCATCATCCTACGGGCGTAATCAGACCGGACCACTTATTCTAGATCTGAAGCTCTCCGGATCCACTGTGCTATCCTCTCATTCAGGAACCCTATCGAACAATTTAACCATCACGTTAGCATACAGGGCTGCCTGAGGTCCCTGCTGCATAATCAGCCAAATACTAGATCTTGTTCTGCTGGTTCTTTTGGACTACCTACCACACACCACCAATTCCTGTTCTCCTACACTTCCAGGGAAGAAAGAAAGGTGCTTTCCATGTTAGATGCCTGGTTTTGTCCACTCCATCACCTCAAACAATCGCGAAACTGACTGAAACATGGACAACCACTACTATTCCATGAACTCAATGGGTGCTGGATACTATCCTGATGGACAACCCATAATACCACCGGAAGGGATGATACCAGAAGGAGTACTGATGCCAGATGGTTACGTTCCAAGACTCTACCAGATTCCGACTATCTCCCACGAGAACTTGAACAGCTACTCTGACATAGAAGACCCAAATAGAGGATCTGTATCGCAACAAGGAGGATCTCGTGGTGGGAAAAGGCGATCTATCACAAACGCAGATCACGTCAAGCACCGAAGGACAAGGAGCGGTTGTTTCACTTGCAGGCAACGTCGAGTCAAGGTGAGATTGATATCGATGTATCAATGAAGTGGAGAGTGTTTCTGACTTGTAACTGCGTAGTGTGACGAAGCTCATCCAATCTGTGATAGTGAGTACATGGCTTTATACGCACTTTTTGACAGTATGCTTATCGAGTGTCTTATAGGATGTCGCAAGGGCAAACGTGATTGTCACTATCCGGAACCCACGACAGGCTCATCGTCGAAGCCTTCGAAAAGCTACAGGAACAAGGGCTCCGCTGGCGAAGCCTCGAACTCGTCTGGTGAAGAAGATGACAATTACGAAGCCGATAAGCTCCCTGCTATTCCGGACGACGAAGAATTAGAAGAGGTCACTTCAAGCTTATGCTCCAAGGATGACCGCAAATTGTCCGACGCATCTTCCAATTCGAGAGATCAGAGTCCTCTGATCAAAAGCCCCGCGACGACAGATAGCTCAATTGCCTCAGCTCGTCCTAACACACGCACACAAATACCCCGCCAAAGCTCAAGAAAGTCGCTCAAAACTAAACCGCCACCCAACAGCAAGTGGACGCATCTGCCAAAAGATATCAAATTCTACATCACTTATTTCAGGGAGAAACTTACGCATCAGCACTATGCTATGAAATACGACAGCGGTGATTTTCTGAAAACCACATTTCTGGAGATTGCCTTGGGATATGAACCGCTCCTATACGCCATAACTGCCTTTTCCGCCTATCACCATACACTAATGAAGCCTAGTGGCAAGCTTCAGAGTTTCCTAGGCTACTACAACAAATCAGTCTCTTTGCTCCGTCAATCACTGGAGAGGAGTCCGCGGCATACTGTAGCTACTTTGCTCACCATCCTGCAGCTCGCTACTTTCGAGGAGTTTCTGGGAGATTGGGTCAACCTCATGGGTCACCAACGGGCTGCTTACGAGATTCTCACCGAGTTGTTCACACCACAAACAATCATGCAAAGCGAAACACACCGCAAGATCATTTCGTGGTACATTCGATTCGACCTTTTCGCAGGATTCATGCATGGCTACGGAATGGTCCTGTCCCGTGACTGGCATGTGGCGTGCATGGAGTTCTATGTTCGACAGGCTAGGGACAAGCCTCGTGACCTGGGATCGCTATTTGAGGAGAAGTTCGCACGATCGAGGCTGTTGGCTACGGATATCTCTCTATTGTTCTCGCGAGGCACGACAGAAGGGCCAAGTATGGAGCTCATTACAGACATGGGAAAACTGAATGTTGAGCTGGAAAGTTATGCTCATGAGCTGGAGCTTGCCTTCAAGGACACGCGGACATACGTCAAGGAATTCCCTAATGCACCAACAGGAGAGTGGGACAATGTGGTTGGCTCGACGGATCCCGAATTCCTGTGGGCAGGAGAGCTTTTTACCTGGAACTTCATTCTGATCGACTTCTGGGCCATCCATCTGCTCTTCAAGTCCCAGGTTGCTCAATTCGACCCCACGATAGGCGGAGAAGAGGTTGCAGCAACGGCATTCAAGGTGTGCAAGATGTTTGAGGCGCTACAGTATTGCGGCGAGGAGTCCACAGCCATGATTTTGGGCGCTCAGGCAAGTCTGGGTATGGCTGCAGCTTGCATGCCAAAGGATCAACGACACACAATGTGGTGCCGCAACAAGTACGCACAAATCGAGCAATGCGGGTAAGTGGACCAGACGTTTCAATATGACACATAAGAGGATCTCCATGCTGACAAGAGGTTGTGCGAAATAGCTACATTTACCCTGCCGCTCTACGACAACGTATGACTGGCGTCTGGGGCGTCGATGTCATGCGTTGGTGGCTTCCCAATGACGAAGGCTACTACCCCATCCTTCAAGCCGTTCGCGAGTTCATCGACTACCGCGCAAGAGTGCCACAGGATAATGTGCAATCGGATCTACGAGACATGAAGGGACTGTTCAAGGCGTTGCAACTCGACGATACTGATTCCAAGAATGGCACGGGTAGTCAGGGGGGTACGGGCAGTCAAGGAGGCACGGACAACTCGGATCCATTTGACCTCGAAGCTCCTGGAAGTATGCCCTGGGAGAGCAGTCCGGAAATGAATTGGCCCTAATCCAAGACCACGAGGATGAATATCGGGGGTCGGGTGGCTCAATGTGAGCACTGAGCACAACTGCACTTAAAAGGAGGATATAGATACATATGCATTAATCATCTAAAAGCAGTATGTTGGGGATCAAGCCCTTATCGAACAACTCAACACCGTATCTGCGTATCATTGTATTGCTCCAGCTGGGCGGCTGACCGCGGGATCCAGCTCATCAGAGGCAGACTTACATCGTTGAAACCCAGCCCGGTGGTGCCGTCCAGGGTCTGTATCAATGCAACACGTGAGAACAATGTAGAGTGACAAATTTGAGACTTGAGCCGTGCAGTGCAGGAAATGGCACACCTCCGATGACTTGCTCAGATGCAAGATAGCAAGCATCGATAGGTAGCATGGCAAAAGGAATCACCACGATGCACGCCTTGTCATCCCGCGGGAACAGCAGCGGCTCGGACCATACTGAGACACTGAGATCAAGGCTCTCCCTTGCTTCTCCTCTGCACTTCTCAATCCGATGCAAGTCGTTGTAACACAAACACCAGAGGCCCATCTATCTTTCGTTGCAGAGTGAGACCTGTTTGCGGGACAAGCAAAGAAAGCATCTGTTTCAAGAAGCGGGTAAATGCACAATACACTTCTTGGCTTTGGGGGACTTTACTCTTGTGTAGCCCGAGCGTCGTTGTAATATACAACAAGCAGGGATACGAACGAGGGAAAAGCTTGGCGTCGAGAAGGAGGCCCGTGGGAAAAACGTGGGCATTCGATCTGTGCACTCTTCTTGATCTCGGCACGGGAAGCAAGGCTGGAGCCGTATGTTTGTATTGAATTGATTGAATTTGAAAGTGGTATCCAGAAGCGGAGCTTGCAAGAAAAGAAGAAAACATCGGACGAACAAGAAAAGGGTGGAGAAGCAGGGATAGTAGAGGCGGAAGGTAGTGAGACTAGAGCATCAGAGGAATTGAGGAGGTTCAGAAAAGAGGAGGAAGCTAGTTTGTTGGAGTTGAATTAGGCAGAGTCGCGGGCTCTGCGGTAATTGGCCTGAAACGGGGATCAGAATTGGGTGACTTGGATTGAGGGAGGGATGGAGCGGGCAGGCGATACCTCCTGATCGAGCTGCAGCTGGTCAACCTCTGGAGCCAGCTCTGACAGAATCTCGTAGGCTCTCTTGTGAAAGTCGAGTTGGGCGGCGATCAACTCGGCCAGGTTCTTGAGGGGCTCGGGTGTGTCGAGGACGTTCTTCATGACGCCCACAGCTTCCTCGGTCTGGTTGACAAAGTCGTCTTCGGCCTTCTCGATCTCAGCGCGTTGAGCTTCCGTGTAGTTCTCCTCGCTGTGGGATTGGGCCTTGTTGCTGTTGAAGGGGTTTGCGATGCCCTTGACGCGGGCCTTCGTGGCATCGAGGTTAAGGCGGGCGTTCTCGACGTTCTTGCGGGCGCGCTGAGCGAACTGCAGGTTGGTGTTGAGGGTGGCGCTCCAGCCTGCGAGGAAGCGCTGTTGGATGCGCTCGTCCTGGGTCAGACGGGCCTCGCCAACTCTCTCCTCAGCAACGGCATACTTCTCGAGAGCCTGTGCAAGCGAGTCGTCGGCACCCGCGCCACGAACGTCGCTCTGGTGCAACAACTGACTGCCAGCCAACGAGGCACGTGCGATGGCGTGGTTGAAGGTCTTGGGTTGAGGCTTTGCTTGGGGAGTGGCGGTCAAGGCTGCCTGAGCTTCGGCCGTGGTGGTGGCGCGAGACAAGAGCTGGACCTTCTCGCTGACGTTCTTGGACAGGTCGGTGAAGGACTCGCGGATGTTGGGTGGGTAGTCGTAGGCCTCGTTGGTGTACTGCGATGTAACGGAAAGCAGCTTTTGGTGGACAAGCTTCAAGGCATCAACGCGCTTCTCAAGCTCGATGTAGTCTGGGGGAAGCTCCGTCTTGTCCTCGGTCTGGCCAAACTGCTCCTTGACATATTGTTGGGTGCGAGCTGCGAAGGGTGTGAAGGATGCACTGCCGAAAGTAAGCTCCGTGTTTTCCCATTAGAAGTGTTCGTCCGGCATTACCCAATGTTCTTTCCGAATGCTGCGAACTTGTCCATGATGACGGCTGCTTGTGATGAAGAAGGTGTGGTTTCGTAAAGGTGAACGTCGACTCGTTGGATGGTAGATTCGCAGCATGTGAGAGCTCCTGGACCCTTCCCGTTAGCCTTCAGCCCCTCTGACCCACCGCCAAGCCTCTCATATGAAGGCCATTCCAGGAAGTCCTCATCGTGCTTTCTCATAATCCAATTTACCCTTCTTTATACCGTCAACATGCCGCATTCTCACCACTCTCACTCGGGGCAGTTCTGTGCTCATGCAACATGTACTCTCGAGGAAATGGTCCAGCAGGCCATCTCCCTCAATATGGACGCTTTTGCTTTGACAGAACACATGCCACGAGATGCCGCTGACCTGTACCCTGAAGAAGTCGATGCGAAGAAACTCGTCGAAATGTTTGATGCCTACTATCCCGAAGCCTTGCGCTTGCGTGAGAAATACGCTTCGCAGATCAACATCTTGATCGGTTTCGAATGCGAGTGGATCCGTCCTTCAACTCATACCATCATCAAAGACTTGCTCAGCCGCTACAAGTTTGACTTCTTCGTCGGTAGTATACATCATGTTCATACCAAACCAATTGACTATGATCACGATATGTACTATGAGGCTAGAAACATTGCTGGTGGATCTGATGAAGATGTCTTTGCTGCCTTCTTTGACGAGCAATATGATATGCTCAAGTCTCTGAACCCTCCTCTTGTTGGCCACTTCGATCTCATCAGACTGAAGAGTGATGATCCTGAGCGTGACTGGACCACCATGCCAGCAGTCTGGGAGAAGATTGTCAGGAATCTCGACTATGTCGCTGGCTACGGTGGAATCCTCGAGCTCAACTCTAGTGCCATCAGGAAGGGCATGTCTGAGCCATATCCCAAGGCTGAGGTTTGCAAGGTCCGGTGTATCGATTCCCATCTCTTGTGTGCTAGTGCTGATATGTAGTAGGAATTCATCAAGAAGGGAGGTCGTTTCGCTCTTTCCGACGACAGCCACGCCACCAGTCAGGTAGGCTTGAATTTCTCAAAAGTGTTGTCATTCATCGAGAGCACTGGCATCGACAAGGTCTATTTCCTCACATCAAAGACGGACAATTCATTCGACACGTCATCTGCCAAACCGCTTTCTCTGGATCAGCTGAAGAAGCACAAGTTCTTCGTCTCTAAGCCTTGATTAAAATAATAGTAAACGAAATGCCTGCTTCCGAGAGGCCATGCTTGAAAGGGGTATCTCTCATGTCCTGACGCCATCCATCCATATCTCACTCCAAAACAATCGCCATGAAGAAATCTAGCCATGCATCATAATCACATCGCTTCCCACCCGTGGCGCTGGCAAGGACATCCTTGACCACAGCTCCAAGCTTGTCGTCAATATCTTTACTTTTTCCTTCCCGCTCCAGCCAGTGCTTCTCCGCCTCGATCGCGGCTCTTCGAATGGTGCCTTCCTCATCTTCAACAACGTACAGATCGCATCGATCACACTCTGCACAACGACCACCAAGTGCTCTGAAGTGTTGACAGAAATGCCCGTAACCTTCCCTTCCAATCTCCTGACGACAAACATAACACATTGTGTATCCACAGTTGCACACAAGTTTGTTGCAGCCGCTCGACTTCACAAAGCTGAGATTGCATTTCGGGCAAGTTCGCTTTATGCTGCTTGTTGTGGCAGCCTCGATGGCCTGCCGAAGCGATTGTAGAGAGTCTTCGTTGCAGGTATGGGGATCTGACCATAGACTGCCGCAATTTGTGCACGAACTTTTTCCACATGTCCGAGACTGGCAAGTGAATCGCAGACCTCTTCTTCGGCGGACCGTGCGGGTCCGAGATGCCTGAACACAAGCGTGGGTCGGCTCGTCGAGCACAGCAACCAGAACCAGAAGAGGGTATAGCACAACCCATAGCAGCGGATAGACCAAAATAAATAGCACTGCAATCAACGATTTCAGTGGGTCCATAGGCATGTGAACGAGATGAGCAGTCAAGGTCATCGGATCCTTGAACCTCATGCCAGTCGGCTCATCAAGTTCGGCATAGGGACAGAAAAGGCATCTCAACAGAGGCAGCTGGCTCTTGACCAGATTCTCCGAGGTCACACGCTCCTGGAACTTCTGCCAGTTGGTGGTGCCGTCTTTCTCCGTGCACAAGGCTCTTCGGACAAGCTGTGGAGCAATGGATCCTTGACATTCGGGGACGGAGGGAGCCAGACATCGTAAAGAGGACTTTGCCATGTCGATGCTTCTTGCCCATCCTTGGCCGTATAGAGCCTCGTTGGCAGCAAGCTTTATGCACCGGAAACAGATAATATGGCCAGCATGGGTGTCACACGTAGATATGTACTCGAAAGGGTAGGAAGTAAAGCAGCACTCGCAGTCAAAGAGAGCATTGGCTTCTTCGGCCTCGGTCTCGTTGATCTCTTTTGCCAGAATCTCATCCTTGTCCAGTCGTTCCTGGTTCTGTCGCACCAAGACGGGCGCGATGTATACACGGTACAACTCTTGGTCCAGTTCTAAGCAACCTGTTCGCTTGAGGTAGGGCAACAAGTTCGAGGGTTCAGAAGAGTTGGGTAGCCACTCCACGTGAGGGTGGAGGTCAGGATCGGAAGTGGCGGGACGTTTCCTCGTGAAGAAGGTGGAAATGGTTGCCCTCCATGATTTGGAAGAGAGGTGTTGCAGTGTCGGGCGAGCGAGGGTGTATGAGTAGTTGTGCTCGGCCAGAACGGCGCGTATGGACGAGTGACTTAGACTTTTGAACTCGTTATACATGGTGTCCTTGACGACACGCTTGTACTTGTCGCTCCGAAAAGTGTCGTCCTTGGGAAGAGCATCCAGGCGGCGTGTCTGTGTCGTGTCGTCGTCCTTTGGCTTCTTCCTGTAACGTCCTTGAATGTATTGGGCTCCGTTCCTCAGCAGTTGTTCAGTCACAACCTCTAGTCTGCTTTCATTGCTGAGGCTCAGAAGCATCTCTCGAAAGACATCAGGTTGCACGTCGGGGAATATGTCGACCAGCGCGCCGAGTGCTTTGTTCAGATCACCGAGGTCTGGTTCCTGCTCTTCTGCGACACTTTCTAACAGCTCGTCCAATTCCAGAGGTATCTTTGAATTCGTAGAGGCGATTTCGTCGACTTGTCGAGACCTGAGGAAGTCTGGTTTGCGAAGAAAGCGGCCGCCTTTTGGCATCGAGATGGACAGAATCATCTTGGCAGCTTGATGGAAGCGCTCGTTGGATACATTTCGATTGCAGTGTCAACAGGAGGATAGCAATATGCCGCCCCGTCTGTCTGGTCGAGAGTTGATGTCTTCAGGTCACTTGAGCGTTGATGAGTCTCGGCCCCTCAATCGTTTGTGACGCGCGGCGCCTTCCGACCCTCGGCCAGCCCGGAACCATTTAGGTACTTTCTTCCTTTATTTATTCAAAAACCATCGAACAACTCGAGTGTTGGTTCAGGCCGTCCTCATATCATCGCGAATATCGGTAGGTGAATACAAGAGCACTGGCTTTTCGAGCATACATGATGCCAACATGTTGCGAGCGGATTCGATCCTCATCAGTTGTGGACCGAGCAGAGACATCAATCAAGCCTCTCAGCTCTGATCGTGTCGCGTGATCGAATCCCTGTATTGTTTTCTTTCCGTTTCCTTCCTTGACTCACCTCGGGACTGCATGTTCGACGTTGCCTTCCTTTAGGTTACCTTCCTCTTCCACTCTTTTTGCAAGAAGCCATCCAACTTTCACTCTTCTCATTCCACTATCCATCTTACATCACATTCTCTCGTTTTACTCCTCCACCACCTTCATATCTCCTCTATCACCTCAAAATATGGTTCTCGGTCCCGTCGCCCGTTTGTGGCTCCCTTATCTCAACTTCACTGTCGCCATATCGGCCTTGGGCTTCCAGACCGCCGTCTTGTACCCTTGGCATCATGAACTTGACAAGGAGTTCAAGATTCTCAAGCATGAGCACAGGGAGCAGCTGCACTTGCACCAGCAAATCACTCTCAAGAAGCTGGAAGATCTGGAAAGAAGAATCGTGGTTGCCGAGAAAGCCATTCCCGATGTTGGTGTATTCATAACCCATGTCTGTCGAGCTGTTTCTCACTGAAGTCTAGACCGCATGAGCATACTGCTTCCCAGAGTAGTATGCAGCCATACTCTCACTTCGCCGTTCACGCAACCAAAAATCTCATCAGGTACGTCTGATCTGCCTCACTCCTAGTCTTGCCTAGAAATTGCCTTGATCATTTCTCGTTTCTGCATTATCATGATCTGCTAACATTCCATATAAGTCAGTAGCACAACTGTGCCCTCCCAGACCCGAATCGTGATATCCAAGCCAGGTTGTTCCGTCAGAGGACAACATTCTCTCTGCGTTCACGCTTGAATTAATCATGCAGTCTTATCATTGCCAGTATAGGCATAAGCCAGATTCATTTTTTCCGTAGTTAGATGTGTTCCGTGGGTGACCCTGTCTCTATAATCAAATCCACAAACTTTCCCTTGTCCCGACCATAAAGCTTCACTGTCGCTCTTAAATACACCCTCGAGCATCAAGAATATATCTTGCATGTAGTATGATAATCTTGGGCTTGTGTAGAGTAGGGTCGGTCAATATTCCATTTCCACACTCAAGTGAATCTCTTGCTTCACATTATCAGAGCTTTGTTGAAGCCATTAGACAGCAACTTCGACAATTCAAAATAGGAATTCTAGCCCCGACCTACAGATATTGCTCGCAATCGCTCCGCAGGACCCAGTCCAACATGAGGCACATTCAGAACCAAGCATCAGTGCCGGGATCCAGAACCTCATAATCACATGCATTCTCGGAAACAAGACCCAAGAACAAGAGAAGATGTAAAACAACCTTTCAGCGGGACGCCGTTAGAGTACCACACAAGTTGGACCACACGAGTTTAACTGCGCGAGTCGCAAAGTCCCGAACTTCCGACAAACTCCACGACGGCAGTCCGAGACATTTGGTGCTTTGTCTGGTTCTTAATCTCGCTATTTTTCTCTTTCCTGGTGCCGGCGACCTTTGTACGCCTGACTCCTGAGACCGGAAAAAAGAGACACATGTCGAAGGAGCTGTTCGCCGAATGAGTCCCTCTTTGACAAAGTGTACCGAACAAAATGGCTAGTCAGGCAGCGTTTACAGAGACCCACTTGGGTTCTCCGAAACATTCTGAATGTGAATACGAGCTTACGTGTACATGAGCCTCTACTTGAGAGACTTGCTAAAGGACGACGGCGCTATCACTGTGACTATGCCGCGATACTGTGGCTGATGATCTGATCTGGTATCTGGTATCTGGTACGAAACGAGTATTGCGACAGAGGTGCACATGAGGCGATCTAACGAGAGTGTAATGAGAGCAATTACTCGAGTGGCTTGCGCCTTCTTAGTGATCTATCTTGCGGCTACAAGTATGATTGTCAGTACCGGGGAGATCGGCTAGCGAATTACGAGCTTGTAGAAGAATCAGGTTCGCGTTTTCTTGGTGCGGTTGCACTGTCTTCGGAGAATGATGGATTCATGCTTGAACATCGAAGAACAATGGATTCATGCTTGAACATCGAAGAAAGTGTCGACGGTGAACTGAGGGCCCTGGCATCTCATCTTTCATCCTTGAAGGCTAGAGCTTGCTGCATTGCCTGACCGCGGACCTCATCGTCATGCTCAGGAGGAATGAACTTGCGCATGACCTCTTGCACGTAGTCTTCAGGGACACCTTCCTTGAGAGCATCGTGTATGCCCATGTTCATGCGATAGATATACTCGTGCTTAGGCTTGTCGTCTACAAGGCGCTCACGATCGATGTAGACGAGCATGTCCTGCTTCTTTGCATGTTTGTGAGGATCGATGGATTCACCCTCTTTCTCCTTGGGCCAGAACGAGACTGGCAGGTTCTCCTTGGTGTACGCGAATGGGACGCCCTCGTTCATATCGAGGTCTTCTTCATCGGAGGGCTGTAGCGAGTAGACGAGGCCGTATACGACGTTCGAGTAGGATGGCTCGGCGGAGGAACTTGGTTCGACCTGGACGACGTTTGCGTAGCCGCGATCGTTGATCATCCAGCGGTAGTTGTCGAGACGTGCGATACCAAGATACTCAGAGGTTGGACATCTCATGTGCATTTGATGCTGCCAAAGGTTGCTTCCATATCCGAAGTAGATGGTCGGTGACGTGGCACTCGCCATGAATGTGGTATTCGAGACGTCGACCGAGGATGAACAAGAAGTGACTGCTTCGATCAGCGGTGCTTAATGCAGTTGTCTCACTAGAACTGCTTTGTATGTGCAGGAGGGAGGTGCTCTCGCTGAGTTATTGCAGTTTGTGAGACGTCAGCCAGGATGACTACTCGATGAACAGCACAAGGGGATTCGGTCTATAGAGCCTTTGTTGAGATGCACGATTGTCTTGGTCAAGTCTTGCAGTCCTATGCCAAGGCAGCATGTGAGGCTGTGAGCATGCAAGGGTCTCTCCGGCCGATCGTTTAGTGAGGATGAGGAGACGGTGAGGCCGGGAAAGGAAGGAGCTGCTTCCAAGAGAGGTAATTGAGCCAAGAAAAGTGAAGCTGCGTAAGGGCCCCGCCGAAGCTCAAGTCTGCCCCTCGCACAACCACACATTACAATGCCTCCCCGTGTTCCTACTTCCATCCTCTCTTCCATCAGACCAAGACAGACCCCTCAATTCCTTAGAAACTCTTTCCATTCTACAGCAATCAACATGAGTGTCGAGAAGCAGACCATCAAGCAGGGCGACGGCGCCACTTACCCCAAGAAGGGCGACAACGTCACCATGGAGTACACTGGCTGGCTTGGCGAGGGAGCCGATAACAAGACCAAGGGCAAGCAGTGAGTCGACATCAGTCTCCCAGTCAAAGCTTTCGTCTCTGACATATCTAGGTTCGACTCCTCGGTTGGCCGTGGTGACTTTGACGTCCCCATTGGTACTGGCAGAGTCATCCAGGGTAAGCATCACTTTTGCCAACCACTTTCTCAGCGGAGAGCTAACGCCGACCAGGCTGGGACCAGGGCATCTGCAACGGCGACAAGGGCATGTCCCTTGGCGAGAAGGCCACCCTTTACATCACCAGGTAAACCCTTCCATTGCCTCATCCACATTGCTCCAACTGACCCTCATCTAGCGACTTCGGCTACGGCGACCGTGGCTTCCCAAATGCCATCCCTCCCAAGTCTGCCCTCATCTTCGATGTTGAGCTCAAGGCCATCAACGGCAAGAGAGCTTAAATGTCTCCATCTCGATAAAGAAAAAAGCGTAGATATCTCCAGCAATTCCTTAGAGATCTGAAGAACATCTTGGTCATTCAATCGACCAATGCACACATAATTCTGTCTTTGATATCCCATCGGTCGGACTCACATCAATCGTTGTAATCGTCAATGGCATACACAGCGTGAAAGTGGTGACTGGCGTGCTAGCAGCACATAGTTGCTAAGAGTTGTGGTGATTGCGTTTTGATGTCTGACATTTAGTTCTCAAACTTGAGGTCGGCTTCTTGTCTAACAGCTCCATAAATTCCAGCAATGTCACCTCTGGCACCCATGTGCTTCTGTACCTGGGCCAAATGCTTATCGGCAACCTCGACATCCTTCATACTAACACCGTGAGTTTTGGCGAGAGCCAATGCGTGACCAGCATCCTTCCTCGCAAGGTCGACGGCAAACAGCGGCTCCTCACGCTTGTAGTAGTCACCCTGGCGAAGGCGGTTGCTGTAAGCAGTGTAAGGACCGGGGAACATTGTCTCGATGAACTGGTGCAGCCTGTCGCTTCCCAGACCAGACTTCTCGGCAAGAGTGTGGCCTTCTGAGAGAGTCTCAACCATGTTGAGGATGAAAGTGTTTCCAATGATCTTCAGCCGTGTGGCAGAGCCGTGGGGTTCGCCAGAGTAGTCAATGACAGCGCGACCCATGACACCAGTAGTGTAAGGCTTGACCTTGTCGACAGCATCGGCAGGGCCAGCAAGCACGCAAACAAGCTGCCCTGCGTCTGCCATAGCAGGGGCTCCGAATACAGGACATGCCACAAACTCGGCACCCTTGTCAATGATAGTCTTTGCGAGCTTGTCTGTTGTATCGGGATGGACGGTTGAGCAATCCACAAACAACTTGCCCTTTGCATTACCCTTGAGAGCAGAGTTGATGGTTTCTTCAATTGCTTTGTCGTCTCCTACACAAGTGAAGATGATGTCTGAAGCATTGACTGCCTCTTCGATACTCGTGACAACCTTGACCTTGTCAGATCCCAGGCTCGAAGCGAGCTGCTCGGAACGAGTTGTGGTACGGTTGAACACAATGATAGGATTAGAGAGGTTTCCCTTCTCGACCAAGTTCTTCACCATGCCCTGGCATCGATCATCAGTAATCAATTCCACGTGCTACAAGTGAAATGGTGTCACCTACACGGCCCATGTTGCCGAGGCCAATCCATGCGATTTGAGGAGCCATTGTGATTCTTGTGTGTCTTCAGGTGACGTGTACAGAGACAGAGTTGCTTAAAAAGGGATTGGAGTGTTTATACCGAGCTACAGGAGACATGATGCCGTTCCAACCCGCTTACGAAACAGAGCCGGCGAGAAGCACTCATTGTGAGAGCTTCTATGACGTCTTGGCGAACGGAGTTAGGTCGCGGGGCAGCGGGGATAAACTCTGCTCACGTATCCTCGGCACTTGATGTCGGTGGAAGGTGTCCTGTCGTCTCAGTCATGCACTGAGGACATGCATCACGTTAATACTGGGATACGAACGACAGTCGAGGAGTCAGAGGCTGAACATGTTAGCAAACAAAAACGCTCAAATCGATTTATGTTGCTGAACAGAAGACAAAAAGTGGCCGACAGCGGTGTGGAGAAGGACGATAAGATAAGGGTAGCTCGAGTATGCGTATGAGTCTTTTTATTTCCGCCGGGCCTCGTCATGACATGAGTGACATTCTGTCTCTGTCAACCTCGTCTGACGGAACTGGAGTTTGGTGCATAGGTCATGAACAACAATGGCAACATGCCTCCAGACACTTCGAAGCAGAGTGCGCCCTGACACCTTGAAGTGTTTGCAACGTGATTTTGGCTCGCTCGCTGCCAATCGCTCAAACCACGGCAATAACAATAACAACAATAGCAACGGGGAGAAGAGGGACAAGCTGGAACATCTGGTGAGTTGTGATGCATTTGGAAAGTACGTCCGGCGTCTCTAACGACTTCAGGACTTCTTCTTCGACGTGCTTAACGCAAGCGCTACGCGCAGAGACGCCAAACAATACCTGGCCCGCTTCAAACCCACAATCGACAAGCTCAAGAAACCACTCGTCATTCACGATGCAAAGGAAGAAAAGCAACAATGGCAGCTTCATCAGTCTGGTGTGAATCTCGGACAACTATACCTCCCTACACAAGCCGCTGCAGCCACACCGACATTCTCACAACATGTGGAGCAAGAAGCACTAGTTCAAAGAGGCGCTGGAGAGATACACGTTGCTCTAGTCTGTCTGAGAGCTCCTCATCTAATCGACGACGAGACTCTAGACGGTATTGCACTGACCATGGCTCAATTGGTCCGCCTCGAAATGCAGATCGTTCTCGTACTCAACTGTGAGGATGAGGTCGTACAAAAGGATGAGTCATATAAAGACGTATATCGACGACAAGGAGGCAGAATTGTCGCTGCATTAGAGCAACACAACAACGAAGGCGCTCGGTATGTTGATGCTGCGCTTAACGTCACCAGCCAGGAGCCCATGCCAGCCTCGCGTCCAAAAGTTTTGGGAGCTGTGGAGCTTGGTGTACCCAGACTTATAACAGAGCCGTTGAAGCGAAGTGCCATTCCGGTCATACCAGCTATTGCTTATGACTCGACTTGCAAGGTTCAGAACGTCTCTGTCGGCGGTGTTATGCTGGCCTTAACACGCGCCTTGTCTGGGTTGGCAGCAGTCTCTGATCCGACAGATAAGCTGCTCGAGGACACTTCAGTGGACAGAATAATCATGCTTGATCCTCTAGGCGGTCTGCCTACCGAGACTCGACAGGACAAGGCCCACGTCTTTGTCAATCTCGAGCAGGAATACGACATGATTCGCGACGAGATCCAGTCCTGTGGCAAGAGTTCGCACCATCTCGATACACTCAGTCTAGTCCGAGATTGTCTGGCTTTGCTTCCTCCTGCTTCTTCAGCCTTGCTCATATCTCCTGAGGAGGCAGCCATCTCTTCGCACCACTCTCGTAAGGATCCAGCCATTGGTATCACGACTCGCCGACAGAAGAATCCTCTGATCCACAATCTGCTCACCAACAAACCACTCATTTCATCTTCTCTACCCGCCGCTCGCCTTCCTACAAACGAGGTCGTACCCTCCATGTCGTCCGAAAGTCCCACTCGATCTACCCTCGTAAAGCGTGGTATGCCTCTGATGATCGTACCGGACCTCAGAAAAACAGCCTGGACACCACCCACGCCCGGTCAACCCACAATAGCCCTGGACAACCACCCAGACATCAACTTCCCTCGCTTGGTTGCCTTGATTGAAGACTCCTTCCGCAGACCTCTGGATGCCCAGCACTATCTAAACCGCATCAAGAACCGTGTCGCAGGCGTCATAATCGCAGGGGAATACGAAGGTGGTGCCATCCTGACCTGGGAAGAGCCTCGCACCCTCGCCACCAAAAGCTCAGGAGGAAACGTAGAGCCCGGCCGCCTAGTGCCCTATCTCGACAAATTCGCCGTGCTCCAACGCTCTCAAGGCAGTTCAGGGGTGGCGGACATAGTGTTCCAAGCTATGGTGCGTAGTTGCTTCCCTGATGGCGTGTGTTGGCGCTCGCGCTCCAACAATCCAGTAAACAAGTGGTACTTCGAACGATCGAGGGGAACATGGCATTTGCAAGATACGCAGTGGACTATGTTTTGGACGAACTCAGATCTCGTGGCGGATCAGGAGAGATGGGAGGATTATGTCTCGGTGTGTAGGAACATTGAACCTAGTTGGGCTGATAACAAGGCCAAGCCGGATTGAAACATCGTGGATTGTTTATATTATATTAGATCATGAGATTGATGAAGCTAGTATTTGTTTCGAAAGTTCGTAAATTGCTTTTGGTCGTCATCTAGTTGCATGCTGCTTGTGAGATTCGACCTGATTACCTGGGGAGAGGTGCTATCTAGCCTCTCCTTAGACGCATCTTACATTGCCGTAACATCGTCTACAAAATCTCCTCATTTCTGCATCTCTGAGGAGTCATGTCGATACATGGCTGTACGCTATGACCTTCATAGATCGAGGCTGCGAATGCTCACATTTGCCGTCACTCTTCTCGTCCAGGGCTTCTGTTGTCCAAATCTCCTTCCCAAGCCGTTTTTGGACGTGGGCCGTACGGACTGGCAAGCCATCTGGATCTGCTATGGAGCAGTCTGTGCTCTCACGGTTGTTCTCAGAGCTCCGTCGAATGAAGATGTACAATTGAGACAGAAGCCCGAAAGCTCAGTTGGTTGTGTAGCATCCGGATTTGTGCTTATACTTTTTGTCTGCTCGGAAGGACGCGGTCTTCGAATCTGCGCATGAGCTTGTTGGTTTGTTCGGCCAAACTCAAGGTCAAGATCTGGGTAGAGTATCAGTAGGAGCTATGCTGATATGCTGGCGCTTTACTTACGGTATGCGGCAAGATTCTGGCCAAGTGAGCAAAGAAACCCTTGTAGACGGCGAGTGGGCCTTCGGTCTTGATGGTGCGGAACAAGCAGTCAAAGGCGCTAGAGTAGAGGCTACCTGTCTGGTTGTACATGCGTCCCATGACGGTATCCGGAGGGTGCATGACGCAGCACACGACGAAACCAGAACAGGCAGAAGACATGAGATGCAGAGCAGGACTCTCCTTCATGTCGAAGTGTTTTACGAGATTGCGCTTGGCGAAGAAATATGTCGGAAGCTGAACACTAGATCCGAAACCGGTTCGCACCATAGCAGGAACGACACCGCGGTATAGACCCTTGATACCCTCGGCACGATAGATCTGGGAGAAGCCATCGGCGGCACTCTTGTACTGATGCTGCGCGCCGACGGGTAACATGGGGCTGTAACTCTGGAGACGTGTCTTGATGAGGAAGAGAGGAGAACCGAGGGCGGCACCGATGATACCCGACGAGGCACCCGAGAAGATGTTGACGGGGAGGTTCTGCATAGCCGTGGCCTTCGGGTCGTGTGCGTGTGAGAAGTCGCGATTCAAGAGCAGCGAGTTTGTGTGGGTACGAATGGGTTCGTAGAAGCCGAGACGACAGCCATTGAGCATCATCTGGTAGACGTATGCGCAGTTGAGACCGCGCAACAGACCCGAGAGTCCTTCGTTTTTGAAGATGACCGACATGCCATGGAGCACACCTCGGTACATCTTTGGGGCATCCTTCTTCGCTTGCAGCTCACCCTGGAGCTGCAACCGCACCTTGACCGTCTCAAAGCTGTGAGTGACTGTGACGGCGCCGCATGCTGCAATGCCACCAGCGACGAAAGAACTGGTCAAGTTGCGTCAGTCGAGGCATGTCGAGGTGAAGTGAGGGGAAAGTACCCAATGCCAGTGGACATGGCTGCGTGTCAAGGAAGCCGAGCAGGAGCGTGTAGAAGGGTCGAATGAGAGAGGGTATACCAACGACAATCACTACAATGACGAGCGAAAAGAAATGTAGACTTGCTCGACCTCTTGAGTCTTGCATGGACTCGAAGCAAATAGCAAATAGGTAAGCCGAAGTCGGAGAGTGACGTATCGTTCAGTGCTAAGGTCCCTGGCTCCCTGAGTCGCGCCTTCCCTCCGTAGATCTGGGGAAGCTGAACTTTTGAGATTGCCGCTGCCTGAGAGCGCTTGCACCCTCTCGAACACCGTCTTCACACGCCATCCACCCGTCTCAAGTCTTGAGCAATCGGCGATATGGGCGCGGGCGCAGAGAATGGAGCGCCGGCGACGGCCAAGGTCAGCGACGTTATCGCGACGTACCGCCCGACCAAGGTGAGTGCCCCCTCCATGCAGCCCTCCCCAACCTCAACCACTGACGCAACCCAGCTCTTCAAAGCCCCCAACCTGCACTACACTTCGATCGACTTCGACTCGACCGGCGAACTCCTCCTCCTCGCCCGTACCGACGACACTCTTCACATTTACAACACAAAAGCTGGCGCCCACGCAAAGGAGCTCAAGTCGCAAAAGCACGGTGCCGCCCTTGCGCGCTTCACTCACCATTCGCAATCAGTCATCTACGCCTCGACCAAGCTCAACCATGACATCCGATACCTGTCTGCTCACGACAACACTTATATCCGCTACTTCAAGGGTCACACCGACAACGTCACCTCTCTCCAGCTGTGCCCCAGCAATGACACCTTCCTCTCTGCCTCCCTCGACCACACCGTCAAGCTATGGGACCTACGCTCTTCAAACCCGCAGGGTAGCTTAAACTTGCATGGCGCTGTCCTGAGTGCCTATGACCCTTCGGCCACAGTCATTGCAATTGCTTCTCCTGCCACACAGACCATCGTGCTCTACGACGTCCGTAACTTTGACAAGCCTCCCTTTGCCACTTTTGACATGCAGGACGTTGAGCGTCGCTTCAGTCACTATGGCCAGGCTCAGGCTCAGGGCTGGACCACGTTAGAGTTCAGCAACAATGGCCAGTACATTCTGGTGGGAACAAACGGTCCAGGCCATTACGTTCTGGATGCCTTCGAAGGCGCTTTGAAAGCATACCTATATCGTGCTCAAGGTCCTCCACCATTCCCATCTCAGCTCGGTCAAAGTGACAGTCCCTTGCGCCATACTCAATCTTCGCTACAGGGTGACTCCTGCTTCAGCTCTGATGGCCGCTATGTCGTCTCGGCCTCATCTAAGGGTGGCATGTTAGTGTGGGATCTGCTCGGCGACAAGCGCTCTGATGGTACCATGAATCCCATGACCGACTTACCAGGTCCTAGACCATCTACTGTCGTTGGAGTGAACCCCAGGTACAATAATCTTGCCAGCGCTGGTCAAGATGTTGTCCTTTGGTTGCCCGATCCGGAACTGGCTTGATGCTTTAGTTCCGATATTTTACATACCATCTGCATACTTAGCGAGGCGTTCGTGGGCAGGTTCCTTGCATATCTTACACTACTCAGCATCACTCAACACCATACCCCATAGGACACAGAGGATAAGATCCACCAACAGACGATGGCTCAATTTGAATTTTACACTGCTACATCTGACTGACTTGTTGGCTCATTGACCAAGTTCAAAATCACATGACAAAGAGGCACAACACCAACTCATTCAAGGGGGGAAATCTCAAATTCATGTCGCTAAATGCCGAAAATACGAAAGAGGCCTTACAATGCTCTCAAAATCTCGTATGCAAAACCCGGACCTCAAAAGACCAATATTCCATCGCTTCATAAAATGCCATCACAAACGCCTTTCAATAATCCCATACCTCCTGCGTTTCATAAATCAATAACTCTCTTGCTCGGAGTAGCGCTGCAGGTAATCGCTCAGTCCGCTACCAAAACCCAGCGGCTCGACATCGTCTAACCCACCCTCGCCTCTCAGCATTGGGCTAGTACCAGAGCCTCCTCTTCTTTGCTTTGCTAAGAGCGATGAGAGACCATTGATGGATCCGGAGAACCATCCACTCTCGGTGTCAAACCCAACATGCTCAAAATCGTCAGTAATGTTGGAGTCAACACTCTTGTTCGGCACACTGGTTCCTGGGACGCGGAACTCGTAAATGTCCGATGTCGATGGAGACACCGAGCCCGATGAGGCAATGTCGCTACTGTCAAAGTTGTAGTAACCACCTTCTTCGCCCTCGAAGCCGCCTGCAGCGTCGGGGTAAGAGGCATCCTCCATTTCCTCGTCGATGGGGTCTAGTGGCATTTCGTCCTCTTGTGGCCCAGAACCTGCTTGCGCTAGCTGTTTGTTCAGGTTGGCCAGTACTTCTCGCAGACGATCTTTTGTACGTCGATTCGAGATTTGATCAAGCTGCAACTCGGTCTCCTGGATTTTGGACACGAGCTCGGAGATGAGCTCGGAAGTAGGGCTCTGAGTACCTGTCGCCTGCGGCTCTTGGTTCGCTTCTGCAGGCGGAGAAACAGAATCATTGACCAAAACGTCTCCAAAACACTTCTCGAACTCCTTCAGTTGACCACGATCAGTAATGGCAAACACTATTTCCTTGAGACCTGGCCAAGACTCTGCCTTTCTGGTAGTACCAAGTATGACACGCTTCCAGATTTTTGCAACCTCGCGTACTGGGTTGCCATATGCACCACAACCCCACGCTCCCAGGACAAGCTTCTCGGCTCCCTGTGATTGCGCCATGCGCAGCACGCCACGCATCTTGTGTGTTACAAGTTCGCGGTCACGATCACAGTAGCTCACACCACATGAGCAGCCGCCCTCAGCGTCCTCCTTCTCGGCTGGGCGTGCACTATTGGTCTCGGGGAATCGAATCATGGCTGCGCTGATCACATCGACGAAAAAGCGCTCCCGCTTCGGTAAATCCTCTGCTTCCGGAGTACTGTCTCTGTGCACCATGACATCCGGAGTCATAACTCCACCGACCTCGGGAAGGCGGTAGAAATCATCCCAGAGCGAAGCATACAGCGTCGTACGCATACACAAAAATTCCTCCGCGCTGGTCGCGCCATCCAGAAACCCGCCGCCAGGGCGTAGGGGAGAGGCCATGTTCAGGACGCAAACATTTCTTGACCTAGTCGCTTGCTTCGAAGTCGTCAATGCAGCAGCTGCGGATTGCCGACGGGATGAATGAGTGATCCGACGTGCCGCGGTGAGAGAATCCGTATTGCTAAGTCGAATGATCAGGTTTGACGCCCAAGGCCTTCCGGCGTCTGTCTCCGGTTTGGGGTCGCTCGTCAAGACAGCATTATGGATGCCATGTCTTGCCCTCGGACTGGATTTGAGAATGTCCGGAATAACTTTGTTGACGGTATCCTTTGCCCTTTTGGCGCGATCTGAACGTCTGTTTGCCTGTGGAGTGACAACGATTGTTGGTTGTAGCCGTCCCATAATTGCTTTTGGTCGGGGAGGATCCTTGGCAGAAGTGCTGTCCGATGGCTGGTCGTGTTGGCAAGGATGATAAGGCGGAAGAAACAACGAACCCGACGGCCAGATAAAAGAAGAGAACAGGGAAGGAGGTGGAGAAACAAACAGGAAAATAAGACAATGATGGGCGATTCAGAGAGTACTAGGCGTATTGGCTGACGTTGGCAGGCCTGACATGTGAAAGTGTACTATATTAGCCAGAATGACGTTCCAGCTCCACTGCCGACAGTTGGAAGCATGTGCAGACCGGTGATTGCGACACGAGAGGGATGGAGAAAGGGATATACTGCGAGACGGTTGGTTGGAGAGCCGAAGGAGAAAACGGAGAAGCACGAAGGGATGGCCATGGGAGGAGAGACAAGTGACTGCACCACAACTGCATGCGGCATCTTCGATGGTTTGACTCTGACCGTGGAAACGCCTACGATGCAAGCGGGCTTCAGCATGTGAAAGTGCCAAGCCTATACCGGAAGCGGGCTACAAGACGCGACAGCTCAGCCGTAGGAAACGCAAAAGCACCATCAGAGTCATGTGTCGTAATCTCGAAGATCGTTTGTGCTCTCGACTTGAGCATTTCTCGGACGGAAAAACGTGTCTCGAATTGATGTCAGTGTCTGCTCATGGACGGCCAAGTGTATACACAAAATCTGCATAGAGTTTTGCACATCAGCGTTAATATATAGTACGACTGTTCACTAGCCTGTCTCGTGTCAGGATACTTTTGTACAAGCAAATGTACGGATTTAACCGACATGGAAATACGACGCGCTCGCGAGGAAGCGTTAGGGAGCAGCTCATAGTTTGATTTGGAGCACCCGGTTTATCGACAAACCGCTTCCAAATATTATTGGAGGTGATCTGCTTTTGAGGGCACACGAGGCTCAGTGTGGAGAAGTCCAGACCGGCGTGCGTCAAAGTGATCAGGCGGCGTCTGACAGCTAATAACATCGTTGATATACTCGTACACAATATTGCCCGACATGGCTACTCAGCAGACGCAGCAGACGCAGCAGACGCAGCAGACGCAGCAGACGCAACAGCAACATCCGCCGCCGCAAGCAGCAGCACAAGCCAATGCAGTGCCCACTGCTGCCAGGACGAGCTCATACACTGCGCTGCCTCCGCCTGCACCCTATACACCGCTGCGCTATGCCAGCAACCGCAAGTCCATCTACGACCGCAACTTGAACCGCGCGAAGACGTCTGAGTTGAGCCTGGCCTCTTTCGCCCATCTCTTCAACACCTTGATTGCATACCATCAAGCTCGCGCGCCCTCGGTGTCCGACCTTGAGGCCAGGTTGGCTCAATCGGCATATCCCATCGGCGTCAAGCTACTCGACCTCCTCCTCTTCCGCATGCCAGCACGTACAGCTTCTCGACCAACCCGACTACTCGATCTCCTGCAATTCATACACACGACCTTATGGCGATCCCTGTTCGGCCGGCCTGCCGACGCCCTAGAGGCCAGCACCGGTAACAACAACGACTACATGATTGTTGACAACGACCCGCTTGTCAACACCTATATCAGCATCCCAAAGGAGATGAGCCAGCTCAATTGCGCAGCTTTCGTCGGTGGTATCATCGAGGGTGTCTGTGATGCTGCAGGCTTCTCGACAGATGGCGTTACAGCACATTGGGCAGAGAACGACGAGCTTTGGCCGTCAAAAACCATCTTCCTCATCAAATTTAAACCCGAAGTGGTCGAGAGAGAAGAAGCACTCAAGGCTGGAGGGGGTTGACCTTGGAAATATGTCACACTTCGTTTTGCAAGAAACACGATGGCAACAAGACACTGTTCTTGAGCCAGCCAATAGACGTCAGAGCTCTGCCTGTCAACCGGCATTTCTGTAGCATTATCTGGATTTACTGACAAGATGTGCTCTTTCTGATCTCATCCCGACACGGTTCCGATGGGCACACATTCCCACGCTCCCGTCTCTCGTCGCCATCCTCCATGCTCAGAGAGCACATCTTCCATCTTCATATCATCCGTCTTCTCTGTCTCCTTTGTTGCCTCTTCCTCGTCATCCACATGCAGAGCACTGGCTTTCACCAAGGACTTCCATGTGCTTTGAACGTCCATCTCAGCATCCTCGAGTATCTCAGCAGCGAGCTCGTGGCTCCATTGTGTGTTGGGATGGAGAATGCACTCCCTCAGTGCCAGGATCTCAAACAGTACTGGACTGTCACCTCGCGCCTCCAGCCAACTGTCAGAGTCTAAGACGTGCATGATCCAGCGATAGATGGCCCATTTGGTCGGGTTAGCTCTGTCCAGGTCCTCGTCTGTTGTCGTCAGTTTCGCGTTGTGGGCAATGGCTCGTTCGAAGAAGGCTTCAATGAACAAGGTAGATCCTGAGGCAAGCATAATCAAAAGTTCGTCCCATATCAGATAGGCGCCTTGCAGCGTGGAGTCAGCAAGAGGGCCCTTTGTCCTGTAACCCAAGATTAGTAAAAATCCTTCAACTTCATCCCTGTCACACATACTGTTTTAGTGATGGTATGACCAAGCCATCGTCAATCAGGACTGAAGCCACTTGAGCCCACTTTGCTGCTTCGTCCTCGCCGCAGCATAGATTTTGGCACTGCTGTTGTGTTTCGAGTAATGAGCTGGCAGCATCCTTGGCCTTTGCTTTGCTCTTCAGTCCTGCAACCCTACGTGATCTGAATTTCTTGAGGTACTCGGTAGCTTCCAGCCTCACGGCTGCCAATGATTCCAGATCAACCTGAGCAGCAGCCTCTTCTCCAGCCTCCAGCTCCCAAGCATCCTGAGGCAGTTTAGCCCAGTACACACCCCACAGCCAATTGACTGCCTCGCGAGCACTGCGGACAAGTCTGGCAAGACCAGGCAAGTCTTCATGAGCAACTTCATGACGAAGCTCGACGAAATGAGGAGGTAGTCCAATCGACCTCGCAACATCAAACATGCTCTGACCAGGTCCATTTCTATGACGTCCCAAATCGGCGAATCCAGTCACGAATCTGGATAGCGCAGTCGTATAGGCAGCTCTCAGCGCAAAAGACGATGCAGTACCAGCAGTAACACCTTGGAGAGGCCATTCTGAGGCATCGGAGGTAGAAGACACTTGACGTGCGCTAGAAGTAGAGAATTGGGCGTGGAGGAGCATGGCATCCATGAGGAGTGCTGTACTTTCGACTGCGTGGGGCACGTTTCCTCGCTGTTTCCAGGCTGCTACTGTGGCAATGGCTTGACCTTGTTCTGCTGGTGTCGAGGGGCTGTAGAGACCATGGCGGACATTGAGGAGGTCTGCATGACTGCGCCAGGGTGTGACGAAGTAGTTCCGCTGTACCGGTTGTGGAGGCATATTGAGAGTTTGTACTGATTTCTTCTATATGTCGATAGTGGTCTGGATGTTGTCAGAAAATATGGTCAAGATGACAAAAAGTTGGCTGATGATAATCCGATGTTGCAACAGAATTTCACAGTCTCTCATCAAATTGTACATTGGGCATCATCCTCGCAGCAGAATATGTGGTACAATTCTACCAACCACACCTGCTCTGCGAAACGATTTCTCGTCCTCAATTTGATGATTGTATTGATGATTTTTCGTCTTTTTTTCTTCTCCACGAAAAGTCTGTTGCGGTGGTATGCAGGTGCAGGAAGGTTGTGATGGAAAGCACTTACCCTCAACGATATGATCAATATGATTGACACCTCTCAAGAACGCAATCAAGGCGGATAATTAGTTCGACAGGCAAATACCAGATGTCGACCTGGAAGGAGTGGTCGCTCGACAAGATCATTCGTTGCGCTCTCGAGTCCGTGAAGAGTCCGTGCGTTACAGCACTTCTTCGACAAGCAGTTCGAAATGGTGAATATGAGCTTCGATTGTTTTTTGAAACTTTGGTGACCTACTTTGTCGGCGCATGAATGTACAGCAAACAAGTGTGTCGGAGTTGACTGCGAATGGGTTGATCTAGTCCCTCCTGTGTCACGAACATGGGCAGTCAGTGGCTAGCTGCATATGTCAACGCAGCACGCTCGAACCGCCCGGCGTGTACCACAGTCTTTCTCAGGCATTGATAGTGAAGGCTGTGGTTCAGGCTCTACCGAATATCTACCTGACAGCATTCTCATAACACTGAGCTCACGGCCCCGAATCTAGCTACTGACGCCATCGTCTGAGGCCTGCCAAGTGACATCCGCATATTCAGACGTGGTGCAGGAGAGTGATCGGGTCGCCTGGAGGCATGCATGTCCCAGATTCGGCCATGGGATATCGAACTCGGTTTCGAGGCTAAAAGGTAGGTGCCACGTGCGATCGGCAAACGTCATCTTTATGACAAGAGTTCGGTCGCACCTCCTGTCAGCTAGGGATCGTAAGCAAGTCTCTCTTGGTTAATTGACTCAAAGGTGAATCTCAATCACCGCTCGAAGTATCAGCTCTGTCCAAATTTGAGGAGAACTTGATGCAACAGCCTGTTTGACGCTCACATTCCCACTGCCGACCTTAACGAACAGCGTACGCAGGAGGGCAGAATACTCTCCCAGTCTTGGGTTGTAGCTGATGAGGCGTGCAGCAAACAACCACCTTCATCCGCCAAGTCTCCGTTCAGACATATAGTGTCTCATCTAGCTCCCTGAGACAGGCACAGCAAGCCCACCATCTCCACAATCATGGCACCACATGTTCAGCAGACCCCTCCGTACACGAGGGAGCCATCACCCAAACAAGACGTATCGACCACACAGTTGCGTCCTATGACCGACACAAGTCTTCTTTCTTGGAACAAACTCGACATATTGCTCCAGGGCAAGCAGTGTACCATCGATGGAAACACACTGGACATTGCGGGAGTCATCGCTGTCGCAAAGTAAGTTGCTATGCCATTGTCAATTACATGGCCAACCTGATCCCGATGTCTAGGTATGGCATGCCTGCGTTCATATCTACGGATGATATCACTCGCAAACGTATAGACGACAGTGTTCGTATGCTGAGGAGACATCTCGACTCAGGCCATCTTGTCTACGGTTAGTCTCTTCGTTGTTTATACCTCGGTCGGTCAAGGAGATTCTGAACACGGTTGCCAGGTGTTTCTACTGGATTCGGAGGAAGCGCTGATACTAGGACCCACAACTTGGAAGACCTCCAGAGGGCCCTAATCCAGCATCAGAACTCGGGAATCCTCACGGGCCATGACCTCGGCCGCCCCAAAGCTGCCTCGGCGTGGAGCGACATGGTCCGCATCAGAGACGCCGACTATGAATCTAGCACAAACTCGATGCCAATATCTTGGGTTCGAGCCAGTATGCTCATCAGATGCAACTCAATCATCAGAGGACACTCCGGTGTACGAATGAGTGTAGCTCAAGCCATTTTACATCTGCTCAACAGGAACATTATCCCGGTCATACCGCTCAGAGGCAGTATTTCGGCCAGTGGAGACTTGAGTCCCCTCTCATATATCGCCAGTGCCTTAGAAGGCTCTCCTGATATCTACGTAAGAATCGAAGGCGGCAAGATAGTATCAGCGGAAGAGGCATTGAAGCATGCCGGCATTGAGCCGGTCATTCTAGGACCGAAAGAAGGGTTGGGTCTGTTGAACGGCACTGCGTTTTCTGCCGCAACAGCCTCTCTTGCTTTACATCAGTCTCAAAACATTGTACTCGTCTCGCAGATTCTAACTGCCATGAGCGTCGAAGCAATGCAAGGATCCGCAGAGAGTTTTTGGCCACAAATTGCTAACATGCGTCCTCATCCTGGTCAGATTGAGGCGGCTGCCAACATATTCTCCTTTTTGTCCGAGTCTGCACTGGCAAAGTGTGTTGGCTCGCCCAAGGATACCAAGATGACCGGTTTGTATCAGGACCGGTACGGACTTCGTACTTCGACGCAGTGGATCGGGCCACAGATTGAGGATCTCCTACATGCTACCTCTCAGATCGAGATCGAGCTCAACTCAACTACAGATAACCCATTGATCGACGTTGAGTCAGACCACATTCTTCACGGGGGTAACTTCCAGGCAGCTATCGTGACTTCCACCATGGATAGAGCTCGTCTTTGTCTGGAGCGATTGGGAAAGATGATGTTTTCCCAGGCGACGGAGATAATCAATCCGATGCTCAACAGTGGTCTACCAGCAAACTTGTCTGCCGACGATCCATCTTTGTCATTCACATGCAAGGGTATCGGTATCAACATGGCTTCGTACCAATCGGAGCTAGGCTTCCTTGCCAATCCTGTTGGAAGTCACGTACAGTCTGCAGAGATGCACAACTAAGCCATCAACAGTTTGGCTCTGATATCTTCGAGATATACGTTCCAGGCCCTCGATATCATCTACATGTTGGCGGCTTCTCACCTCTTTGTTTTGTGCCAGGCTCTAGACCTACGCGTCTTGCAGAATCAATTCCTTGATTCCGTGGAGCCAAAGATTGAGAGTCTTATCAAGACGTTGGTCGACACCAATACGCAAACTTGCAAGGAGTTGCAAGACACGCTTTTCGTAACTATTTCCACACGTATCAGAACAGTGTGGCCCACGACAACTACAGCTGATCTTGATCAGCGATGCAAGATTACATCCGATTCCATCATGCTGGATGTCATCAACGCGTTTGCTAAACTCTCACCTGCTTCATCTCTCGATACCAGCAAGCTATTGGAGCTAAAATCAAAATTACAAGTCCAAATGCAGGACCTGTACGAGACCAAAAGACAAGACCTTTTCCAGAACCACCTCACCGTCACACCATCTTATCTGGGAAGCGCAGCCAGGCGCATGTATCGTTTCGTCCGCGGTGATCTGGGCATCAAGTTTAACCGCGGCTTGGTCGAACATCCTACACAGCCACTACCTCCGGCTGTAGATGTCAAGGAGCCGCGCAAGACAATTGGCAGTCAGATCAGTGTCATCTACGAGGCGTTGACAGATGGACGGGGTACGAAGATCATCATGGCATGTGCTGAGGAGGGCTTGAGCCAAGAGCAAACCAAGGTCTGAGAAAAGATATTGGAGAACGAGAAATCTCCTTCTCGGGTTACAACATGAGCAGCGAAGGAGAGATAATTGCTTTCGGGACGAGAGCCAGGGCCGTGTAGCAGGAGTCGTGCAACACGCTTGACCACGCAAGACTCTGTGGTGAGGGTGCCGTGTTACGATTATTTTCCGTAGAAAAACCCATGCTGTCATTCTAGAGGTCGATCCACGAGCTCTCCTGGCGAATTTTCATGTATGGGAACCATGCTTATCAGCTATTCATTTACGACGAAGCCAAGGGGGCATATCTGGATGGAACCTCGCCGCCAGTGTCCAGTAATCTTCAGATCAGGGTCACCACCACAACAACAATTTGAATCAATTTGAAAATGACTATATGGAATCAACATGTACAGGCTGGCGCGCATAACTTCACAGCAGGAGGGATGGAGATTATTTGTTTAAAGAAGGATTTTCTGTCAAAGGTACTATGTACGGGAACCTATTCCCAGTGATACAAGAATTTTCAGACTCGAAAGTCTGTTGTCCACTGGCTAACCACAGTTTCTGACTGCGTAAATAGTAACAAGAAACAAACGCATAATGGTGGACCCAAAACACCGGGGGAATGCAAATGAGAGGGTGCAGACTTATAAGGAGAGAGTTGAACAAAGAAGAATTTTCTTCTAAAGAAGAGAGGCGCCCAAAAGAGTGGACAGGGCGACGAGACCGGTCATGACCAGGGGAGCGAAGGACGTCTCGCCCATGCTGAGGCGCGAGGCAGCACCAGTAGCGGAGGCTGAGCTAGAGGCACCGGAACCAGTGGCGGAGCTGCCAGAAGCAGTCATGGTAGCAGAGCCGCTTCCAGCAGAAGCAGTGGCGACGTTGTCAGTGCCAGAGTTCTGGGAACCGTCACCAGTAAGACCGGGACCGGTGCCAGCACCGGAAGTCATGTACTTCTTGGCGTCGCTGGGCATAGCGGGAAGGTTCTCGCCAGTGAAGTCACCGGTGTTCCAGGTGTCGCTGTTGGGAGGGCAAGACGAAGCAGTGCCAGAAGACTTGTAACCACCGTCGCCGGAGGGAGCAGTGTTGTTGGCAAAGGCAGCTTGGAGGTAGGTGAAGTCAGACTTGGGGGTAACAGTGTCGCCGGAAATGGTGACGAGACCGTAGTCGCTGCCCTCCTCCGAGTATTCGTAGACGAGACCACCACTGTAAACGCCGGTCATCTCTGAGTTGTAAAGAGCAGAGACCTCCTCGAACTTGCGAGTGTTGGTGTTGCAACCATACTCGGAAAGGAAAAGGGGCAGACTGTAGTTGCCGTAGGTGGCAACCTTCTGGTCCCAGCCGGAGATGGTGTAGGAAGAGGGATCGCACCACGAGTAGTCGTTGAAAGCGAAGAAGTCGCTGCGCTGGTCATCGGTTCCACAGTTCATGTACTGGGCGGTCTCGTAGCGGTTGTCACCAACATCGGCAGCCGAGTAACCGATAGGGATGGCGCGGTAGCCTCTGTTGTTGCGATACTGCTTGAGATCACGGGTGACAGCCTTGATGTAAGGAGCACAGTCGGTGGTGTTGGCGTCGTTGATGACCTCGTTGCCAGAGAAGAAGAGGAGGGTGTTGGTGTACTTGGCGAAAGCGTCGATAGTAGCGAAGAGACTCTGAAGGTAGACAGCGTTGTATGAGACTGCGGGTGAAGCACGGTTGATGGAGTACTTGGGGGTGTTGACATCGAGAGCAACGTAGATTCCAGCGGCGGCAAGGGCGTTCATGCAAGTGTCGTGGCTGGCAGTGTTGTCGACAGTGTAGACACGGATGGTGTTGATGCCGAGCTGCTTGAAGTACTTGATGTCTCTCTGGCAGCCAGCCTCGTCGGCGAGGGGGTCCTTTGCGTCCGAGGAGCCACCGGGCTGGTAGTCGACACCACGGATGTAGAAGCGGTCATTGCCAGCGAAGAAGGCGTTACCCTTGACAGTGACGGTAGGAAGACTGCCCGAAGAAGTGCCAGAAGCCTTGGAGGAAGTGCTAGTAGCTCTGGCCTCGAGGGCAGGGGAGGCAACGGCCAGGGATGCGCTCAAGGCGATCGAAGCAGCGGCGAATGAAGCCTTCATGTCGTTATGTGAGAATTGGAAGATGCAAGGTAAATGTCGAATCAAGGAATCTAAGGAGACAAGCAGAAGAAACTTCCGGTAAACGAGCGACGGAAGAGTAGTTGAAGAAGTCGAGGATTAAAAAGTCGAATTAAGCAGACTGCACAACAAGGAGAGTGGCAGGAAAGATGATGGAACTTTTGGCCTGCAGGGGATGTTGAGTGGGTTTTGTTTGGCCCAGCATTTCAGACACGAGACAAGAAGCACGGGCAAGCCTCAGCCGCTGTTGTCCATCGATCCGCGGCGAACCAAGCCCTTCTTGGTCGCCCCTACCAAGACTCTGTTGAGTGTACCTGTTTGATCGCCCGCTTTTGTTTTGGCAAGGCAAGCAAGTCCAAGGACTCTTGATGCTCCTTCTCTTGCCTTGGGATCGCATCACTGCAGCATCACGCCTCGCTGCAGAAACTCTGTTCGAATGCATCTTCCCTCGTGCACTTTTCCACTTTCCACCTCAATACAAAGTGGGCGTTTCCCTGAATTGCCTCAACGTGCTCCCCGTATTCTCCGGCGCCCAGGAGCAATACTCAAATTACACTCCCGCTTCATCTGAAACGCCACCCACCTTACAGTGTGATCAGCAATCCTCGTCACCTCCCGCGTATGTTGACCTGCGCCTTCTCCAACAGTGGTGCGCGTCCTTTTGTGCTCGGCGTGAAAGCCTGTCTTTGACATTGCGCTCTCTATGCTAATCTCCAATTTTGCTTGTGCGCTCTCCTCCGTCATCCACTGCTTTGCACAGCCTCGAAAATCATCCCAGCCATCCCATTCTCCAGCCAACCCATGTGACATTCCGAAATAATGTCCAAATAAAAAAAGTTCAAGGTACACCTAGAAGTTGCGCCGCATGACGTATAGTATCTTTCACGCACCGTCGACCATAGCATGGACGCCCGGATGGCTCCTGCAACATGCGAGTAGAAACGAAGGAAAAGGGTGATGTAGAATGAAAAGAAAAAGGAAAATAAGAAAGTCGTGCCCGATCATGTCCAGTAATCACTTGGACTGAAAAGGGTTGTTACGTGAATCGCTTTTGGATCTCCAGAACATCAGCTTACTCAGACGATGCTCCTTCTTCCTCTTGCTCTCTTGGTGGACCGAAGGCGAGATAGCTGTCTGCGGACGTTGTTCTGTTCTCAGACTGTGTCTACTCTCGCCAAAGGGTCCGCCTAGAAGCATGCTCAAGCTCTGAATGCTCGAACGCTTGCGACGACGCTCAGAGGCCTGTACATCTGCTTGACCATTGCCACATGCGACTGATACAGGTCGATCCATCGTGTCCCGACGAGGACTGGTTTGATACATAGTGCTGATCATGGTAGAACGGCTGCTCGTCAAGGATGGGACGTCATCAGCCGACATGTATGGCTCAGGCATTGGCTCTGCAGTTGTGAAAGAGCTCATGGTACGAGCGTCGCCAATCGAGGATGCTGAAGTGCCGAGTCGTAGTGCATCGAATGATCCTTGATTCCGCGCGAAATCGGGCGAGGAGAAGGTCGATGCGATGTTAGACGTCGGAGTGAGCGGGGCGTTGTGTGAAGAAGGGGGACCAAGACCTGTGTCCTCGGCCGAAATGGTGCGAGCTCCACTGGAGTCTGAAGATTTCGTGATAGATGAAGTTCGAGGCTCTGGGTAGTCTGCTGTAACTTCAGATAACGTTACTTCTTCGACGATGGTATCCTCCACCACCGATGTGCGCGGCGGAGTAGGTTGACGCTGCGGATGATCGTAACTCGAAGAACTTCTCAAGGATCCCTGAGGTTCGATTCCTAGGCCGTCTTCGAAACTCCAGTCGAAGTTTGGCTCAAGCTGCTCGCTCGCTGTGTCGACAATCTGAATGCCAGTGCCCGAATCTTCGTCTGCCTGGCTTGATGCGTCACAGATACTAGGTTCTTTGACAGCCTCGGCAGATGATTCGTCTTCTTCCTCTTCGAAAACATCATCCATCGGTGACTGTCCTGGCGAGCTAGATCTACCAGCAAAAACAAAGGGTACTAATGCAGGTGCGCTCTCGGTTCTACGATGATAGTGCATGCCTGGTCCAGTGAAATCTTTCGCCAAACGACTGCTGTGAAGTTGTCTTCTCTTTTGGAGGGGACGTGATTCTTCCCAGCTCATCGTGGGCGTTCCGTAGGGTCCAAGAGCGGCATCCAGGTCAATAACGGGACTGGTGTCCTCGCCACCTGGTGACGAAGGCGCGAGGAAAGGGAAGAAGGAATCCGACATTTCCGACCGAGGAGAGAGGATAGAAGGACTTGTGATATCGTCAGCATCGGTAAAAGGGTCCTGGCCGAACAGGGCGTCCAGGTCGGGCTCCTCTCCGAATGGTTCCGAAAGCTGAGGTCCGAAATCAGGAGTCTGTTCGCCGCTCTCGCTCTCTTCTGCCGCATCGGTACCCTGTTTTGCCTTCTTTGCATCCTTGGCTTTGCGACCAAGAATCGAGGTTGCCCACTTCTTGACCCGCTTTCGCGAAGATACGCGTTGCAGACCCTGGTCGATAACTTCAGGTTTTCTCGCGGAGAGTTGAGAATCATCGCAAACAACAGGCTCTTGCAGAGAGATGGTTGAAGTTCCAATATCCGACGATGCTGTCAAGGAAATCAGAGGTTCACTGCGACGACGATCGAGCTTCAAGAAAGTCTTCTTCTTTGAGAGTCGTGAACTATCGCTCGTGGATTCTGCAGCGAAAGACAAGCTGTTGTTAGGCAGTTTGAAGGGCGGAGGGACTATCTGAACCGGAGGCTCCGTGATGACCATGGTGTTGGACTCGTTTGTCGGCGCGGATCGAGGCGAGATGTCGGCACCAAGGTCAGGAATCGTAACCATTGCCCTTCTAGGAGAAGGATATCCGATACCACCGAGGCTGATGAGGGAAGACATGCTGTTTCCAACGGAGTGACCACGCACGGTCGATGCAGAACTGGCAGTGTCGGCGGAGACTGTTGAAAGAGGTCGCGGGATAAATTCAATCTTCTCGGAAAATCCGACGCGGGGCCTGGAGGGTGGGCGCGCGATTGGCTCTTCTGTAGGGAGTCTGGACGGAGAGATCACTGTCATGGAACTTTCGCTAGACTTGCGCTCCTCATCCATTACTTTGATGGGCGAAGGATGATGTGTTGGAGAAAAAGACTCCGTTGGCGTTTGTGGCACAGAGGTTTGCGGTCGGACGTTGACGTCCTTCGGCTGAAGGATGCTCGCCAAATCGTGACCAGATATGGCTGCTGATCTACGATGGGCGTGGCCGCGTCTACGAGACGGTGAAGCACCGAGGTCCGGGATAGGTAGAGCGTCGAGACGTTTCGAGGGGCTGGGACCTAACATGCCACCGATACCCATGCGACTATCTCCGCCTACCAGCTCACTTGCTCCTCTGCGATGTCCTGCACTTTTGGGTGGGCTGGTAGGAGGCGTGAGAGCGGTTGGTGACGGAGGTTGGTTGTCCAGGCGACCGGAAGTGTCTGATGAGTTGAAACTGAAAGTGGGCAGCGCTGAAGTGGATTGTCGCGTTGACCGGGAACGAGCGTGGTATGAGTTGGGAGCCAAGTTCATAGACACTGGTCGTCTAGGGCTTGACATGGCAGACTGTTCGGTGATGGGTCGAGGAGGGAAGACAAAGTCCGGCACCAGTTGCAAGGTTTCCTGGTCCATGTCGGAGGGTCTGTAGTGTTGGTCGCTCATGTGGTGACGGAAAGACATGGTCGTGGCCATAGCATCCAGAGAAGCACTCGTGGAGGGTGCAATGGCGAGAGATATTAAAGTGAAGTAAGGTTGGCGGGGAGGGCTGTATAAGTTCGCGCGCGTACGACGATGTCGTTATGGTGTCGCTGGAAAGCACACGGGGATAAAAAAGTATTAATCTGGGAACAATGTCAGTCGAGCCATGGTGGTAGTGGAGGGATGAGGATCGGTATACCAGACTAGAAACATGGAACGCTCACAGAGCTAAATCACTTTGTTACGGGAGAATGAAGGCGCAAACAACAAATAAGCAAAGCAAGCAGTATCTCGAATTAAAAAAGGAATGGACGCAGTTTCGACTACAGACAACTTGGGCAAGCCGTCCGAGAAGATCCCACAGAAAGGTTTTGATATAACAGAGGTCGAGGAGGAGGGGTCGCGGAAAGAGGGAAGAGCAAAGAGAAAGGTGAGGTTTGGAGGGTGCAGATGCATGTACCAACTTGGTAGCAGGCTCTCGCGGCCTTGGCTGCGTCGCGCCCGGGCCAACGCTAGGGTTAAAATAATCGAAGCGTTTACGAGAGCGTTGCAACTTGCAAGCAAACCGTTGTCCAAATCCTACGGGTAGAGGACCCATCTTGCATGCCATGACCACAATAACAACCAGGGATCAAGCGCCCTTCTCTGTTCCCACGCGACGCCCAAACGGTGCGTCCTGGTGTGGGACTCTCTGTTGTCGCCACACCTACCTCACAGATTGCCTATCGCAGATTGTATGCTAGGCAGCGAATGACGGCGACTCGGAAAGGCCCTGGTCACTTTAGATCGTTGCCGGACAATAAATCACCAATATATTTTCGCTTTTCGCTGCCTGCCTTGCTTCCAGCTTGGGCCGGCAGTACGAGCAGTGCCGCTAATTATCCCACTACTGTATCTACGTATGCACTACGACAGACACAGCTCTCAGGCCATACGTTCCTGTCTTGCCATCTCGTTGCCCATGATACCGCGTTGCCAATCGCGTCGCTCTTTCTCAATAGTGACGCCGTTTGTTATCGCGAACTACAGCAACTGTCCAAGTCTGTTGAACCTGCTATCCAACTTGGCTACCTATGTCATTGTTCATCCATGCCAGGTTCCACCAACTTCCCATCTGCAATTCGAGACCCCTCTAGCAGCGAACCCACGCCCAAACTCAACACGCCTGTCTCCGCGCGTCAACCGACCAATCTTGTTTCAGAATGCAGGAGGCAGAGACCCTTCTTCCCCACAGCGACGATCGCCTCGCCCCAGGTTCCGTGCAATTAAACCATGGCGACTTTCCGACAAGTTTCTTCGGCCTCGAATGTCTGGTGCCTGAGTCGCAGAGGCAAATTCTCACCCAGGTTGTTTCGGTCTGATCCATCTTCCATTCGCCCGGTCTTTGCTTTTCTGCTTCTCGAAGACACTACCTGGGTCTCGCGGTTTCAATCGTGGTTCTCGGCCGAGGACATCCGCGGCGTCTGCGTCTCTCTGACTTGCATCTGCAGGCTGCATGCTTAGCATGTTGCCAGCACCTTTTTGAGCTACATAGAGTCCCTTCAGCCCAAGCTCGAGCCAATCTTCACATGTTGCGCGCATGTACTCGTGACTTCACGTACAGTGGTGCAACTCGAGTGCACACGCAAGAGGACTGTGTCAGGATAGAGAGCTGATCTTCACCTAGCATTTTATCCGACATGCGTGGTATCTATGATCCATCGAACTGGCCTAGCGAGAGCGCTTCAACCGCTAAGCTGCGGATAGGCTGTGTTCTGTCTGATTATTGTACTTCAAGCAGGGTCCTTTGCGAAGTCTTCACATGTCTTGATTAATGCAGGATTCTTCTGCCGATGCATGTACGTTGTGCTATCTACGATAGAACTCCAAGCGGATAAGCAGATGGGATACTGTTGCTACCCTTCGGCATGACACTGGGCACAGCAACGTAGTTTCGAACAGGTACATGCCGTCTAGCCCACACAGGTGGCTTTCTGATCTGCGTTAGAGCTTGGACCCCGTGCGCCATCTGTAGCAGTTTGGCTTCCGTCCACGGTAAGCCCATCAGCTCGAGACCAACAGGGATACCGATTGGGGCTGTGTCGGTAGTAGGACTGAAGCCCGCAGGAAGCGCCAGAGAGGGAAATCCAGTCACGCCAGCTAGAATACCGTTGCGTCCATGTTGGGATGCGGCTCCGATCCTAACTGGGAGGTTTCTTTGCTGCGGGTAGATGATTGCATCCAAGCGATCTGTTGCAAACGTTGCATGCAGATGCGTAGTCAGATCTTGGATGTTCTTCAATACTGTCTCGTACTCGAGATCTCGTGTGCTACCTTTCAGTACCGCCTTGACGAAATCGTACTGCGGAGGAAGCACAAGAAAAGAATTACCTTCGCTATAAAGGTTTTGGAGTGTTGCAGGGTGTTGGCCCCTGAGAGACTCTCGCGAGAGGTATTTGTCCACCTCTTGCCTCAGCTCAAACTTTTGTGTCTCGCACGAGCTAAGGATAGAATTCACGTTGTATCTGGCGTCATCAATTGGTACAACGATGGCGCCTGCTTCTTGCAAGCTCACCACCATTGCATCCATAGCTTCGTTCACAGGATCCGTCTCGTTGGACGAAGTACGATCGAAGAAGGTTTCAAGCACTCCGATCGTCTTACCCTCGAGAGAACCTGACGCAAGATCCATGTAGTAATCCGTTCCATGAACACCTTCAGGTACAAGTGCAGTACTGTTGTCTTCAGAATCAAGTTGCTTACTTGCAATTGCCGAAAGTGCGATAGCCAGATCTTCAACACATCGTGCGATGGGTCCGACAGCATCCTGCGTATGCGAGTTTGGGATGACCCCTGCTCTTGAGACGAGGCCTCTTGTCGGACGTAGTCCAAAGAGGCTGTTCGCGCTTGCTGGGCTGCGTACACTGTTTATCGTGTCTGTGCCTAGAGCAAGAACCGCGAGAGATGCAGCAACACTAGCACCACTGCCCCCAGACGACCCTCCCGGGGTTCGATCAGTGTCGTATGGATTGATTGTCTGGCCCCCCAAAGATGACACCGATATTCCTTCCAAAGCAAGTTCTTGAAGATTCGTTTTGCCTAGAATGATGGCGCCCGCGTCTTTGAGCGCCTTGACAACCGCGGCATCGATCGAGGGTCTCGAGTCAGCCAAAGCGAGGCTCCCGCTGGTTGTTGGAAGAGACGCAGTGTCAAGATTGTCCTTTAGAAGCACGGGGACACAAAACAGCGGGCCTACAGTGGCATTTTGCGAGGCGAACAGTGCGTCTTGTTGTGATGCAATTGCGAGAGATTCCGGGTCCAAGGATATGATCGAATTGATGTTTCCATCCAATGCTTCGATGCGTGACAAGAAGGCAGAGACGATGTTCCGACAACTCTCGCCAGAGTGCAGCGCATTGTGAACAGAAGCTATGGTGGCCTCTCGGGGGTCAAAAAGTAATTGACCCCATGCAATGGTCGCGTTTGACAGGGCAAATATCGCCGAGTATTCCAAGCCTTTCAATTGCATCGTTGATGCAACTGCCTTACTGCTGGAAGTGGATGAGGCTCTCTAAAGAATCGGGCTGGAAGGTGTATGACGAATTACCTCGGCATCTACACACGGGAGACGTCTGTCAATTACCCATTGTGTCAAACAGCCTATTATACTGATCTGCATGAGGGCGAATGTTATGAGAAGAAACTTGGCACAATTCACGTCTCAGCATCCGGTGTGTCCATGATCATCTCAGTCTCCTACTGCGCAAACGCTCAGAGGGTATTTTAAGGCCTCCCGCACGATCGGCATAATGAATGAGTGCATGGATGCTTGATAGAAACACTTCTGAGACAACAATTTGTGCATTTCTGAGCACTGATTTGAGCACGGCGCCCATATAATGTCGTTCGGCTGTGCTGTGATGTACTACATGAAGATCTAAAAGCAGCTTCCATGGCAGCTATTTCGTTTCCCCTATACTGAGATGGTATTTGCTCGCACACAGGAGATGTGGGTTCGATTCAGCTGCAGGGAGCGAGCACATGTCCGGATGCAGAGCAGCACCAGCTCTGTTTGCTCGAGCGACTGTATGTAGCCCACGAGGGCCAGCTCAGTGGTGTGGCGGCGGTTCGATGCACAGCTGTGCGATCCCGGAAATGTCAAGTCATACGGACTGAGGCGATTCAAGCGCCAGTCAGTGTGGTTCCAATCATGCCCTGCTCAACACCCTGGGCGCCTTCAAGATCCTCGAGACCTTTGTCCTGGAGTACATCGACGTCAAGTTCCTGCATGACCTGCAGCACGACATTGAGACTTTCAAAGAAGCCATTCACCGAGACACGGAGCATTCGATTGGTAGTTGCGCGGTAGATAGTGCGTAGTACTGTGGCATCTTCCTCGTCAGACGTAGGCTGTGTCGATTGAACAGCGTCTAGCGAAGCGGTAGGAGCGGCATTGGTCAAAAGCGAGGCGCGAAGAGGATCAGTCTCTAGCGCTTTTGGAGGGGCATCTGACGGACGGTGGAGCGAAAAGTCGCGACGGACCAGAGGGGAGAGTTCTTGATCGACGGAAAGAGTGCGGATTGCGGCGCTGGCTAGGCGGTGGGTAGGAAAGGGAGTGTCGATTGTTCTACGCCGGGCGCATGAGCTTCGTGCTTCTCTTCCACCATCCTATCCGACATGTTGAAGCTCACAGGATACACGGAAAGTCATCGGACGCGGCCATGATGAGTGGATAACAAGGTAGGCTGTGAGGGGTCTGGTCCAAAAGTCTTTTGTCCCCACATCGGTCACGACTCACGAGTCACGACTTGAGCTCGATGCTTGGCGTCTTCTGTGACGTAGTTGGTCTAGCATATGATGATTTCGACAGAAGTCACTCGCTCATACGCCTTCTACACAAACACATCCAATTGATCTCTTTCACCAACCCCTATCACAACACAATTTCAGCTTCCAGACTTCAGCATGGCTTCACCCTCAGAGTTCCTGACCTTCTACCGTCGCACTGCCCGCCTTAGCACCCTAAGACAGTCTCGCATCGTACCAGCCTCTCCTCGCCGCACCTTCGTTTCGTCAACATGCCGTTACAGCAGCGGCGGCAAGCTCAGCACCGATGACAGCGTCGCAAACGAAGCCTATCCCGACAGCAAGCATGCCACCGACAAGAAGGACAGACTTGACGTTCAGAGCGACAATGCCGCAAAGGGCCAAGAGTACCATTTCCTCCATGCTTCAGCTTGATCACTATACTGACATTGCACGTCTGCAGGTCGAAGAGCCGTGGTGAGGGTGGTACCGCTACTCAGCGCAGGGACACCAACAACAGCACCGCAAAGGCCAAGCAAGAGAACCCCGAGGCCCCTGATGTTGTCATCGGTATGCAGGACGAGAGAGGTGGAAAGGGTGCCTAAGCTATGAAATGTGTAATGACCTTTTGATTCTGTACGATAGTGAACGAAATGTCGTTCAATGATGGTTCATTCTCGAGAAATTGTGTAAAATGTCGATCCAGTGCCTGCCAACGCCTTCGCTATGCATACCAAAGAGAGCACCCAAGTCTACGGCGTCTTTTACGATCGCTGCTTGGCGTTCCACTTCTTGACTCTCTTCTTGAGATCGCCAACACTCTGCTGCATGGGATTGAGCTTCATGTCGCGAGCCATGGTGAGGTAGTCGTCGCCATGCTTGGCCACCAGTCTCTCAATCCATTCTTCTTCGCGGTCGCTCTGCTTCCTAGGCGCCTTCTTGATTGGTCGTGCGGCTTGTTCCTCGAGTTGTCGGACCACGTCGGTTCTGGCGTCTCCTCCTTGTCTTGCTCCGTCCAAAACATCGTGCTCGTTCACAAATCCTTGCCAGCCTTCATCGTCGCTGTCTTCGACATCGTTCAGAGGGTCGTTGAGGGGGTTTGCCTTTCTTTGGTCCAGAACTTCCAGAATAGCGCCAGTCTCGGGATCTCTTCTAATCTTGACTTCGGAGATGTTGATTGTAGTAGGCAATTTGGTGCTGATGTTGAGGTTGTCGGGTGTTGGCTCGGGTGCCAGGCCATTAGCAGCCTCGATCAGAGTCTTTGAGGTCTTCTCGACACCGCCAGTAGGGTGGTTCAACTTGGATACGAGTCCGAGGCGGCGGTAGTTTTGGCTGAGTGTCTCCTTCTGGTTCCTGTCATACAGTTAGATTCCAAGCGCAAGAATAGAAGATGAATGCGCAATGCGACCTACCAGTTGGCTGCGATGATGGGGTTCTGCAACAACTTTCTCTTCGACTTTGCCTTCTGCGTCACCTTGGAGGTGGACGAGCGGTTCTTCTTCTTCTGCAATTCGCGACCCATCTTGTTTGATTTGTGATTTGGTTTGTTCAGAAAAATCGCTGATGATCCGCCATCGAGAAAGTCGGTCCCCCGAAAATTTAGATCAAACAGCCAAAGCACTTTCCCCATGTTTGCACTCCTTATCTTATCGCGATACCTCACATCTTCCCCTTCGAGTACAGGTAAAGTACAACTTGCAAGTCTACCTTGACGAGCAGTGTCTTCGAATTGAAAACCGAAGAAATGGCCATCATGAACCGCTCATATGCCGTTTTGTTGATCGTTCTTGTAGCATTGTGCCAAATCATCGCTGCACGATCTGAGAAGGTCCCAGTTGGACATCTTACGTCTGCAGAGATCGAGGAGCAGATCCAGGTTGGTTAATTCTTATCAAATATTAGATGTTGATCTAAAGGGGATCTCGTATGCTGATTCTTCTAGCAATGTCCTCTGGTACAAACTCTCAATGCCCACAAAGCATCGACGGCCCATGAGGCCGCTACAGGCTTCACAGCTCGAGCATTCGCTGTATTGTTCCCAGGATCACCCGCTGTCAACACTCTTTTGTTCGATATCACCCCTATATTACAACCGAATCTGTACTGATCATGTAACAGGAGCGTGCTGTACATTTCTGGACCTCCCAATTTCTTGCTGGCGCTGTGCCCTGCGGACATTGACCCAGCATCTTTGAACACCATGGTCGCTTTCGCTTTCGGTGGACTCATGGGCGACACACTCTTTCATCTTCTTCCGGAGATCTTCGTCGGCGAAGATAGCCCAAAGCATGTGACTCTGGTAGTCGCCGATGGTAACAAGAACATCTTGCTCGGGATCGCCATCATGGTTGGCTTTGTCAGTTTCGTCATTCTAGACAAGGCTATTCGTATTGCTTCTGGAGGCGACGAGGGTCACGGCCACTCTCACGGTCATGCTCATGGTAAGATCGAAGGTGGTGACAAGGCCGCCGCTTCTGCCTCAGCATCTGGCTCCGACAAAGGTGCTCAAGCCGAAGGTCTTCGTCAACGTAACAGTGAGAAGAAGGTAATTGTGCCTGTGGAGCAGCAGGAAAGTGGTCCCAGCTCGAACAGGGGTTACCTCAACATCATTGCCGACTTTACTCACAATATTACCGATGGTCTTGCCATGGCATCTTCGTTCTATGCTTCTCCCACCGTCGGAGCATTGACCACCACTGCAGTTTTCTTCCACGAGGTCGGGTTTGTGTGCATGAAATTGGATGAATCTGGCTAAATCGGTCACAGGTTCCTCATGAGATCGGCGACTTTGCTCTTCTCATCCAGTCCGGATTCTCCAAACGTGCAGCCATTGGAGCACAGTTCTTGACTGCCGCAGGTGCTCTCACAGGTGCTCTCATGGGCATCGCAGTTCAAGAATACGGCGGTAACGCTACCGATGCCATGGCTACCCCTGGCCTCTTTGGTACCAGCCTTCACTGGGGTGATCTCTTGTTGCCCTGGACTGCTGGCACTTTCATGTTTGTCGGCATGAGTGTGGTTCCTGAGCTCATGGAGACAGGTCCCAACAAGGTCGCTGAGATCAAGAAGATCATCACTCAGTTGATGGCCATTGCCGCGGGTGCTGGTATCATGATTGCGTAAGTTCACGACATCCTCGCCCATCCGGGAAATACAAGCACTGACAAGAACACAGAATCTCGTGGTCATGATTGACAACCAGATCCACAGACCTGCATTCGCGATAGTTGAAAGAAGAGCTTTGGATATTTGGTGTAAAAAGAAGAATAGGGGCATGATTGCATGTGTCTACCAGACCTGAATCGTTGATAGGGGTATCGTAGCGAAAAACGGAGAATAGACAAGAAAACCAGCAGTCTTTAACTTTCCATCAAACCGGAAATTTGGACCTTCCCTCGAGTAGCATGCGAGAATCAAAACTGGACAAAAAAGGAAAGGAAGCGCCAGAAAGGGTCGTGAAACAAGGCAACGCGAAAAAGATATTGGGGCCCGCTCAATCCTCCCAGATGGTCTCGAGGTCTAGATCGACCGTTCGCTCACCACCGCAGATGCTCCATCTCTTGCGGCCAGAATCTCCGCCTCGTCTGCCAAAGCCGAAGCCAACACTTCGGTGGCCTGGAATGTCTAGACTGCCCCTTCTTCGGGGCTCTGTGTCGTCGTTCTCTTCCTCCTCCTCCTCCTCTTCCTCTATTGCTGCACGCTGCTTAGCTGCTCGGTCAGCCTCGATAGCTTCCCATTCTAGATCTGGGTTGTCTTCGATGGTTTCGAGGGATGAGATGCTAGGAGATCGGGAGCGAGCGGAAGATGGTGTGGTTGAGATGCTCGAGAAGGAAGAGTTGCTGGCATAGTGATGCAGTGATGGAAAGTTCTCGTTAAAGCGAGCTGAAGCGACCGAGGGTGAAGAAGTAGCTGAAGCTGAGCGGGACGTGGCAGCTGAAGGGGTAAGCGAGTGTAGGGGGGACGAAGGTCGTTGTCGACGCAAAGACAGCGAGCGTCCGAATGGAGCTGCTTGTGATGGGTTGTCGAGATGAGATCGTGGGGTTATGTTGAGCTCGGCATCCTCGGAAATGCTTTGAAAAGCTCCGTCGTAGGAAATGGATTGTTGTGTATAGGTCGACTCGTCTAGTGGCAGTGGAGAGCGAGGGCGGAAGGGTGAGGTCGGTCGCATGTTTGGCGAGTATGGGTGTCGTGGGGACAACGAAGACATTGGGCTCGACGGGCGCAGCAAGGGCGACGCCGAGGGGGAAGAGTTATATTGGTGGCCGGCCGAGTGCACCGAGGGCAGCGAATGTGCACGCGGCGCCATGGGAGGAGCGAGCACAGAGGCGTGGGATCTGGAGCGCAGATGGGGCCTTGTATAGGGAGACTGGTTTCGCGGTCGCAGGGGCAGGCTGTTTGAGCTGTAGCTGCCGCTGCCGCTGCCGCTGGGACTGGCGGCGCTGCTGCTGTGGGTGTTGTTGAGCGGAGAAGAAATGTCGCTGTTTACAGCAGCTGCAAGCACAGGCGGCTTCTTCACAGGCGTGGCAGGATGCGTCGTTCGCCGCGGCGCATCTGGCCGTGGTCGCACAGTTTTGTCGTCCATGGTATCAACAGACTTCAGCTGCCCGCTGTCCGTCGCTCCGACTTCCACTGGCTCCATCAAGAGTGACGTGGGTGGTGACGACCGTTTGCTTTCGGATCTCTCGTATGCACCGTCCCGAAATGTCTCTCGTGGAGTATTGCCTTTCCGAGAGCCTCTTTCTGCAGGAGAAAACTCTTGTTCGTCGACTGGCTTCAGGCACGCAAAAGCCTCTCCCCTATGCTGTGTAAGCGGGTGGCCGTCTTTGCTTATGTGAAGAAGTGGAAACGTGGGAGAAAGTCTTCACCGCAGGATCGACCACACATGCGGACCCATTCACGAGACTCTTTCTGTTCACAGGTGCCAAATGTCTCAGCTGCGCGTCCACCACTGCCCCTTCTAAATCTCGGGATTGCCATGCACGAAACCCAAACAACAGAATGATAATCAAACAACGCATCCGAGTCTCCCGTCTTCGTCATGCATCTAGGTCTGCACGAGTCACCGGGGAATCTGCGCGCTGCTCCACACTCGTCCCTTCCTGAGTTCCCAAGATCAAATCTTGCCCTGAGCGAGCCAAGCTGCTCGGCCCAGACCAAATCATCCCGGGAACGTCTTTTGCTGATGATCATTTACATCTCTATCCGTCATCCCTTGATTCTCTAACGATCACCTCCCTTGAACTCCTGAGCTTTGTTGTGTAGCCACTGGCAGAAGCTTTGGACCAACGTGATCAACGCCGTCTTCGGGCCTGAATATCGCTTGTGTTCATCATGTCTTCAAGAGCTCGGGATGTGAGGAACTATTGAGTGGCCAATGGCCCATGATTTTCACGACTAACAAATGGTACAAGCTAGATATTGGCTCTATTTCGGATTGCCCATGTATCTCTTTATACCTTGACGATGCCCAGCGCGGTGCGTAAAATCGAAACCCGGCAACATTTGTCTGACGGGAGCCTTGTTTCCTCAAGATGTCCATACATCAGCCCATAGGGATCAAGTCCAGATGGTAGCACTCTCTGCAGTGTCATGTAGAAAGTAGAGTGCGAAGGTTTTCCGGACCAGTGCGAATCGATGAAGGACCTGAGTACTCGAGCAGGCAGACGCTATTGAATAGATGGACAAGAAGTATCAAGTCCAGGCGAGTAGGTTCCGTTGGTAAAAGTCCAGTCGCCATTGCGGAAACATTGTCGATGGTGTCGTCTGTTTGCACACAGGCGTTTGCATGGTCCCGACGAGTTTCTCAAGTCCGCACCATCCACAACAAACGCAATTCTTTTTCGTTCTTCTGCTTTTGTACGCAAGACAAGAGCCTGATGTCTTGCTGTTCTGCCATCAACATGATTCTCCTGCACCTCCTCTTTTGCTTGTCAGTCACTGCCAATGCTATCGGTCAAATCACGAAAGCATCCTCCTGTGCAGTTCAAGCAGACCCACGGCGTTCACAAGTCGGACTGCTGATCCAGAGGCGTGAGATCACCTCATATTGTGATTCAAAGGGCTACGGTAGGTCCAATGTTGTGTCATCTTTTTGTGAATCTTGACTGACCAGTATCTAGCCTTCTGCATCGAGCCAGCAATTTGCGTATATGGCAACGATGGGTATGCGTGGTTTTCCCTTCACGACCACGCCTGATCGCTGATCAGAGCATACAGATACGTTGGATGTTGTACTGCCATTGGTGCGGCTTGCTCTCCTCGTACAGAGTGCATCGATTACACATCCGGCATTGAGGCCCCTTGCGACTACATCACTGGAGAATGCGCTTACTGGTAAGTCAACTTGGCCGCGCTCGTATTGTCCACTAACTCATCATGACTAGCTCTGAGTCTGCTCTGCCGTTCTGCCAGACCAAATACCGAGACGGAAAACACGTGTTTGCCTGCGGTGTCCAGCGTTTGACCACCACAATCACAAAAACCGACATAAACAGTGCTGCTCTATCCCTCTCTACGCAATCAATTTCTCCGGCAAGTGTGTCTGCTGCTCCCACAGCTGTTCCCGCCCATGGTACTCCGTCGATTGAGACGAGCTCTGCCAGTGGCCCTCAGATCTTTCCATCCACATCAGCAGTATCGTCTACTGCATCACCTGCATCGCTATTTTCGTTGTCGACCTCAACGTCAACCAGCAAGAGTACAAATGCCGCTGGCCCGGAGCCAACGCCAAGCAGTTCTATGGCTAGCTCTCGCGGACTCATCATCGGTGTTGTGATTGGAGCCGCAGCTGGTTCGATACTTTTACTGGTGATTCTCTTCATTACCTGGAAATACTGGAAGCGTCGCAGATCTGGTGTGGGAAGGAAACCCAAGGAGAAGCCAAACAAGGCTGGTTACTCACTCGGCTCAGGAGAGGACACTACTGCGGAACACACCAACAGTCAACACGATGTGGTCGAAGGCACAAGCAACTCACAGAGTCCAGCTGAGTTAGAAGAGCAGCCGCACAGGTCGAACGAGGACGTATCCGGGACTGCGTCGATTCGCAGCAACCACGGTAATCAGCCTTATTCACCAGAAGATATCCGCGGAGCAGCAGAGGCGCCTTCCAACAACTACACCTGGTCCTCTCCTAGAATGAACCACATGACAAGCCCGACTCCGTCCAACTCGTCGTTGTGGATGACGTCGCCCAACATGGGAACGCCTAGAGTACCGTCACAGTATGTCGCATACACGCCCTATACTCCGTCTTCAGTCTATTCTCCCAGCGGACAACCGCCGTCCAGCTTGCCTCAGCCGCGAGACAGAGTCGGCAATGCAACGCAGGAGTCACCGTTAGTAGAACTGGAGGCAAACGAGATTGGTAGAGCACAATGAGCTGCGATCGAACCGACTGCTGTATTGGTTTCAAATTGATCAAGAAAAGGTGTTGGACGGATCTGTTTTCGGCGGAGAACTAGGAGCAAGCCTACATAGTTACAACGTCCCGGATAAAGCATTCTTGCCGGCCGAGAAGTCTAGGCAGTGTTTCAAAGGTCCTGTAGTCCATAACAATGCCAACGAGCCTTGCGACGAGAATATTGGGGTGTTTCACACGGCGAGTAGTAGGGAAGAAGTTGAATTTTGAGAATTAGACACAGGCGTAGAGGAAGAGGGTGTGGGCTTCGTGAAAGCGTTTATTGTCTCATGGTTCTCAGGCCGTCTCTGGTTGGGGCAGCAGCGCGCTTGAAGCTCTGCAGAAGATCAGAAACTAGTCGTACGGAGGAAGGAAGAGACGTACGTTGTCGCACTCCTCCCATGCTCTGCCGGCACCAAAACCGAAACCGACAAAGGCAGGCCAGGCGCGACGCTTGAAGAGGAGGACGGAGAAGATGACACCGAACGAGGCACCGAGGGTGGAGCGGATGAGCATGGTGCTCAAGCAGTGGTCCCACTGGTACAGCAGAGTCAGTAGGCCGGAGACAATTGGAGAGGCAGGTGGTCGCATGCCTTCTCGTTGAGCAGAGCCTCGCTCATGGGTCTGTTAGAGCGCAGAGAGCCGGGGGCCGAAGGCGATGTGGGGGCGGTCGAGTCGGACATTGTGAAGACGGGAGTGAATTGGTGTGTTAGGACAATGGGATGTCTGCTGTCGTCGCGATGAGGCCCAGCCCTGCCAGCTCCGGGAGTCGGTCGCGCTTTCCCGCTGGACGCTGCACTGTGCAGATGCCGAGCTTGGACCAGCCTTTTCACATGCAAACTGCAAAGTTATGCCGGCGTTCCATCATCATTCGAGGAAAGAGCGTCGACTTTTTCCCATCTTCCATTCAAGCCGGTCATGGCTGCCCGCGTTGACGATTCAAAGGTGCATGAAGCTTGCCGTTCACATGAGGGCATTCACTAACATAGCCAGTCGTCTTTGCAACGCCTTCTCTCTCTGGACAAATCCTTCGATACCTTTGACGAGCGTGTTCAAGAAGCCGCTCGCATTCTCAGCATTTCCTTGGACCCTCAATCCGACGTCGCATCCCCCGTACACACCTCCAGCGCCCATACTGCTCGTCTCGACTTTGTCCTCCGCTGGCTGCTTGAAAAGCTCTCTGCCCGGTCAGAGAACAGCCAATGCCTTCCATCATGGATCCTCTTGCGTCGCATCCTTGAGCGCATGCCGTCTGCTGCTCTGGCAAAGTCATTGTCGGCTGCTGGTCCTCTGAACACCTTCTCCAATGCCCTCGCCCACCTCTTCCCGTCCACTTCTACCCGAGTCTTGGATGCCACCGATGACGGCAAACGCTCCAGCAAGAAGAGAAAGAGACAAAGTGCTGCCAATGATACAACATCTGCTCATCCCGCACTTATCTTTAGCGAAATCCTGGCCTCGATACGTCTTTTGATCTCTCGTTCAATTCAGACCCCGTCTGCAATGGATGCGGCATCCGAGAATCGCGTTCACGCCCTTCTCCGTCTTGATCATGCAGATCTCGTCCGCTTCGTCAAGTACACCCTGTACGGCTTGTTGAGCCTACACTCCTCCCAAAGTATGGCCATTTCTCTCGCCGCCTCTTCATTGGCTCTGATTCAAGATCTGGCCATCCTGCAACCCAACGCTGTAGTCGACCCTTCGGACATGTCCTTCTGCACCGAGTGTTTATGGCCTGCCGCTCTTCTTCTACATACTCTAAACTCGGACGATACCTCTTCAGAACACTCACAACACGCCGTCCGTTCCCTCGACCGTTTATTGGCCACCCACCTCTTCGTACCAGCAAGAACTGCTTTCTACAGCTCCAAGGCCGTTACACAAAAGAAGCGATCACAACTAGAACTCCCCGGATTGGCGCAAAGAATGGAGTCTCTGCGCTCACAAATTGTGGCTCTGAACGAGGACAGTCCTAATTCTTCCAAGCGGGCCCAACTTTCTCATGCCTATGCATGTGTACCGCTATTGCTGGATCTGGCTGTTCGGTGTGCACCAATTGCTAGTCCTAAGCAGAGGATTGTAGAAGCACCATGGATTCATCTCGTCTTTACAACGTTGTCGGACATCATATCGGTATCTGACAGAGGTTCAGACGCTTCTGTTATCAACCAGACCTTGATTCACATGCTTGACGTACTGTCAGATAAGAGTCTGGTGCTCGATACTGGTGTGTTGAGCGATATCCTGGATCAGCGATGTAATCTTTCAGTATCATTAAGCAGCTCCTCTCAAGCGCTACCCGACTTCCCACTTGTTGCTAGGATTCTCAACATGAACTCTAGCATTTTCACCGATGTTGATGCTGCTCCAGCCAAGAACTTGTTCGAGGCACTAACAAATAACGGAACAGCAGAGACGTCGAAGATCTCGAATGCGGTCTCCACAGACGATTGGTCAAACCCTCGCAACATATGCTACAAAATTGTGTTACCTCTGATGCATGCCTTTGCTCGCGCACGCCATCTTCCCGCCTTCCTCGATCAATGGGCCGCTTGTCTCAGCACACAGATATCAGCCAAAATGTCAGGGTGGCTTCTTTGGGCTGACGCGTCCTTGGAAGAGTCGTTGAGATCTGTCCTGGAGACTTCGTTGACATCTGCACAAATCTCGGAACTGCTGGAATCCCGCCAGGATGCCTTGAATCGGGCTGTCACATCTTCATCGATTTCCAGCCCCCAGACCTTGGCGAACATCGTCTTGCTCACCGCGATCATCGGTGCTGTAAAGACTGATGCCACCATCGACACTCTCCTGCCTCATCTAGAATCGCTCCTGTCTGCTTTGGAGAAGGCCTTCATCCAGGCTACAGAGAGCAACAGTACCCTCTCTGCCCACATGATTGGTCTGTGTTCACGGATCTACCAGCTTTGGTACCCAATTTGGTCGACGTCCAAGACGAGTGCCGAGGTTCAGACGAGGAATGCAACACTTCTAGATGGGCCAGTCACACAATTCGCCTTGCAAAAGATCCAAAGTGGCTCAAAGGCGAAGTCGGGTGCTACTGCTGGCACTGTATCCGATGTCGATTCTGCATTCGTATTCATTGCTTCGATATGTGACATGCAGCGGCGTCTGACAAGCCATGAATCAGATTACGCACACTTGTTCTGCCGTGCAGCCTTGCCTTCCAAAGACGGAAGCAAATCCTCTAGTTACGCTTCGCAACGTCCCTCCGCTTTTCTGACAGTTCTCACTGGGTTTCCGGAACTCTTGACCTGCATTCCTACGACTGAGAGAGTCCAACTCTTTAAGGATCTGTTCGGCGGATTCTTTTCTGAGTCGTCATCCTCAAATTCAGTGCTAGTCGAGTTTCTTGACGCAGTATTCGCAACTAGTGACATTCCGACAAAAGATGACCTTTTCACCGTAGTCTGTGAGACAATCGAGAGCTCAGCTGCCTCGGGGTCGTGGCTTACGATACTTCTCCAATGGCCCTTGAAAGGATTTTCCCGTCAGCAGCGCGAGAAAATCTTGGATGTCACTGTATCTCTGGTAATACACGAGAAAACAGGTGGAAAGGCTAAGCAACAAGCTATCGATCTAATTGCTGCATTGCTTGAGCTGCCAAATGCAACGGCCAAGATCTCCGTGACACCCGATGTTCTATGGGAGCTAGCTGGAGTTACTTATGACAGTACTTCGCTGAGCGCTTTTGACATCGTCTGCAAGCGCCTTCTGGGACATATCCTCGACACCAAAGATCAAGATCGAAGCAAATTGTATTTGGAACAACTCTCCGTATTAGTATCCAATTTCGTGAACAAAAAGAAAGACTTGGGCTTACCGTCGACACCCGGCAGAGTCTGGTTGACGAATGCACTGTATGAGACGTGCGAGATTCGTCTGACCGAGCAAGAGCTGTCGAGACTGCCTCACCGCTCTTCTTCCGCAATTGACTCGTTGGTCAAGCGGCTGTGGGAGACATTATCAAGCTCTACTGATGGTGAGCTCAGTGCCGCTGACTTGAAAAAGGCTCAAATCGCCATCGAGTTGTACATTAGTATCCCTTCATCTATCTTGGAGTCTGGCGGTTCTTCGACGGAGAAATGTGAGTAGACTGAGGGGCACCAATCAGTTTGTGCAAATGAACTAACAGTGTGCAGACGCAAAACGCTTCGCCAAAAAGTTGCGCGGGTTGATCGAAGAACCGAAGGACGTTCCTTTGTCAATCCAAGTGCGATGCTTTCAGCAGTTGTCATCCTCTGCATCCAAAACCGATCCCATCGACATATGCACAAGTGCCGAGCGTCTCCTAACGCAAGATATGGACGCCGGCCAGTATTGGCTCATCACCGATGCTGTCACAAAGAGTATTTCGACAATCGCCGAGAACGAGAAGATTTTGTTAGCAGAACGAATATTGCCTGCCTCAGTGGAGAAGTGCACTACCGAAAAGGTCATGTTGGTTAGATGCATCATATCAGCCATGCATGGTTCTCGCAAGCAAGCAGTGGCTCTCTCAGAATCCGGTTCGGTGCCTGTGTTGGTGTCGTTGCTGAAGCTTCTGAACTCTTGTTCCGAATACAGAGTTCACCAGCAATTAGTCGCATGCATCGTTACTGTATTGAGAGAACAGGTAAGCCAGAAAAACTCAATGTCTTTGCGACAACTGTTAATAAAACCTTAGCCGAACCTTGTTACACAATACGCTGCGGAGATGAGTATCGCTACCGTCATCACGCTTGCATCGCCTTCGTCGCCCGTCAAAAGTGTCAAGCAACCGACTTTGATGTTCGAAGGTCTCTGCACAATTACTCAGAGTCTCTTACAATTCCACCGCTCCAGTCTAGGTGGTCGCTTCCATCTTCTTGTACCTCTGATGCAAAGGCTTCTTGCCTGTCTGTTCCTTCCTAGTAGCAGAGATGCGGGAACAGTCAACAGATTCAAGCATCCCGCATGGCTCGACCCGACAAATGCTTCGTTGGATCTCAAGCACGCTCAAAGATATTCAAGACTTCTCGAAAACCTGTGCAACCCACCACAGCTCAACGTCTCAAGCAACCGAGCAAAGGCACCAGAACTCGTCGATGAGACACGCAAAGCCCGCATGCACGTGGCTCAGCATGCTCCTCACATCCTCCACTACTACTGCACACTGATCTTGAACGGTAAGCTAGGCGAGGGAATGAGAGACGCCTTGATGCCAGGCATATGGGCGATCATTGATGTCACCGAGATCGGTGCAGATGATAGTCGAGGTGTCAAGGCATTGAGCTCTAGCATGGGCAATGCTGATCGTGCCGTCTTGCGAGGCATTTGGGAAGATTGGCGACGATTCGGTGGAGCTTGGAAGGGTTAGTCATAGGTTCAATGGAATGAGTATCAACGATCATCATCAATCTCACATCTACGAGAAGTGTTCACACCCAACCAGATGGTACCAATGAAATACTTTGTGCTCTCCTTTCGTTATGACACTCCGGTATCGTGTAACACTACAACATTGTTGATTCTTCCTAGACATATGGACCCCTTGCAAAATTCGTGCATATTCGATAATGTATTGGCCATGAGCAAATGCCGCCGGCTAAATGGTGTTGACAGACAGGGTCGCCCAAGTGTCATCCTCAAAACACTATCTGATCTCCCATGCAGGATTCCGTAGCAGAAACTTGTCAGCCTTTTTAACCTCCAGACCACATGCCGAGGAGAGTCTAAAATGTCCATTAGTTGCAGCAGACATGTGGTACATGAATGGATGGATTGACTACTCGATACCTCTCTCGTTATCAACAGAGTACGTGCCAAGGCTCGGTTCATATCAAGGTTGCCGGTGACTGTTGTGACACCTTCCAACTTTTTATGGTAATTCAAACACACCACATGAACTCAATACCAATGTCTCGCCCAACCTCAGAACAAGTGGCAAACGCCTACGCTAGATGGAAAGGCAATGAAAAACCCACAGCACTCTGGTTAGACTGTGACACCGGACACGATGTATGCAACTTCCTTCATCGCCCCTGAGCGTCAAATCCGATGTAGGAACAAAAAACCAACAATTGAGAAAACATCTAGGACGCTTTTGCTATTCTGTTGGCTGCTCAATGTCCTGCGCTGAGGCTTTTGGGTATTAGCACTATCTATGGTAATGCACCACTGGTCAAGACGACGCAGAATACGAGATCTATCTTGAGAGCGATTGGAAGGGAGGATGTTCCTGTGTATGCTGGTGCTAGTAAGCCATTTTGCCGTGCTGCGGCGTCTGCGCCTGACATCCATGGAGAATCTGGATTGGGTATGTTAAAATGGGAATCTTGTGATTTTTTTGCGTGAGTACTGACGGTGATTGTGATAGATGGTACTACCGTCCTACCAGAGCCTGGAGCCCCTGAACGAACGGACATGTCTGCCGTGGTGGCCATGTACAAGGCTCTGATTGCTGAGCCGCCAAAGACAGCATGGCTTGTCGCTACCGGTAAGTTTGACTTCATATTCTGCAAGGACCTTCCAACTCAAACACGATATAGGATGTCTTACGAATGCTGCTCTACTCTTCAACACATTTCCTGATGTCGTTGGCCATATCGCTGGATTGACCATCATGGGTGGCGCTGTTGGAGGTGGTTTCACTAACGCACCCATGGGCTCACTCGAGGGCGAGGGAGAACGTTTCGGCAACTGGACACCTTGGGCCGAGTTCAACATTTACATCGACCCCGAATCCGCGCAGTCTGTCTTCAGCAACCCTATCCTTGCCGCCAAAACCACCATCGCTCCTCTGGATTTGACACATCAAATGGTAAGTGTACTAGCTCTCCAATCAGAAATAGTCTCATCTGACAGTTTCACAGCTAGCAACGCCTGAGATCTGCCAAAAACTACTCTATGGATTTGACGAGGAAGTGGATGGAACCGAGGCTTCAGTCCTCCGCGTCTTGTTCAACCAGATCCTTACCTTCTTCGCAACTACATACGCAGATGTCTTCGGCCTCACAGAAGGACCCCCACTACATGATCCTCTTGCCGTGGCAATGACTTTCCTCCCTGATCTCTTCGACGACAGAGGTGGTGAGAGATTCGATATCAAGGTCATCATCGATGGCGAACACGGTGTGGATGAGATTGCTAGAACAACTTCGCAGTGCGGTCGTACTGTGCTCACTCCTGTGAAGCCTGGCGCGGGTGGTGTGCGTGTGCCTAGAGGCTTGGATGCAGGACTTCTTTGGAGGATAATGGATCTGTGCTTGAAGAAGGCCGAGGGTAAGAACCCAGAGACTATGGCAATGTCAGGACTGTGGAGCGTTGCTGAGGATATGTGAGCATGTCGGGTAATGACATAGAAGATGTCTAAATTCTATAGATCTGTGTATAGTCGGAGTTTAGCATCGTCTTCTTGATCTCGCACTATTATCCTAGATTTCGTCTCGATCAGTAACCTGATTCTTTAGAGCTTCCTGATGACCCTCTTGATACCTGAGATGGAGTTAGCTCTGATTATTGACATTGTCGCTCGACTCACCAGCTCCAGATGTTCAGTCCAATCTTGACGCCACTATGCACGGGCATGCCGGCATGGAGACCTTGCTTCCATCCTTTGCCATCAACGTCGAAGTTTTCCCAAAACACAGCACCACCAGCTTTGGGTAAGAACGTAACACCATCCTCCTCTGACTCCTCGCAATCAATGTATTCACACCATCGTCTATCCTTTGGCCTGGTAAGTAACGGGAAATTGGTACCTCCTCCAGTACAGTTTGCTTCGATGTAAACCATGAATGTAGAAACACGATGTGCCGTCTTCGATGCAAAAGCCCAGTCATAATGGTGGGCGTAGTGGCCAGATGTCGTATAACGTTGCGTCCACAAGCGTTCGATGAAAGTGTCTACGGGCCAGCCTTGGAAGTTGAGTGCTCGCTGTTCGATGCATTGGACAATGCTGTCTCGTTCAATCATTGCCTTTTCAGATTTGCGGACACTGGTGTCTTCGGCTTCGACATTGTTACTATAAATTGTCGAGGGTTTCCACCTGTCTTCGCTGTTGTTGTGACGACTGTGAGCTTGCAGAACTTCCATTTGCAAGTGTGTGGATCAAAGTACCTGATCTTTATCAAATGCTTCGATTCTGCTTTCGACAAGAAATTCGGGATGTAGATGATCAAAGGGCTTCTTGAGAAGACATGGACCCCGTAAAGATGAGAATCACACTGCAAAGCGGTATCCGGATGAACAAGCTGTTCGGCCTTTTCTTGAGACAATGGTATGTTATGACTCTCATCAGATGAGGCATCATCTTGTGCAACACCAGAGAAAGGACCATTTATGAACACATATATTGCGGCGAGAATGGCAACATATTGTAGTATGGTTGCCGGATGGTATAATTGAGGATTCATATCAAGCACAAACAATTTATACTTTCGAAGACAGGATCAAAGAGACATGACAATTGTGGTAGGGTCGATCGGGTGGAGGTACTCGAGTAATAAGTCCTCAGACAAGCAACAAATGCGATTATAGACGCGGGCTGGGGAATCCCGGAAGGCACGGATAGATCGTCCTTTGCAGTGTCCGTCTGAGTCCTGCCCACGATTTCGACCCGACATCGCGTTGTACACGTTTCGAAGGTACGGTTGTCTAGAATATTTCACTTGCATTACAAGACTATTGATTAAGTGACGATGTTAGTGTGACATGGAGTTGTATCACATCAGGCGGTAATGTGTCGGGATCGAGTGCAAAGTTTGGTTTGTTTGCATCAGCCATGTCGGCTAAGCGAGGCTTGGCACACGAGAGACTTTGAATCCACCATCCCAGGCTGTTAAAGAAGTCGTCTCGCGCCGCCAAACGATTTCACAGACCGGACGTCCTTCATTCTTGTCGACAACCGCCATCATGTCTCACCTCAACAAGATTGCCCCCAACTCGCCTTCGCGCCAGAACCCCTCGGAGATTGAGACCAGCATCGCCACTGCTCTCTATGAGCTCGAGAACAACATCCAGGACATGCGCGCCTCCCTGCGCCCCCTGCAGTTCGTCTCTGCCCGCGAGGTAAGAAGCAGCATCACATGAACACAGCTGCCATCGCTTCGACGATCGACAATACCGGGGTCATCGAAAGTTGTGAAGAGAAAATTCATCAAGTAGAAATTTCAGGAGCAAACCGAAGGCTCAACACAGAAGAGGAGGCCACGGGAACACACACACACATCAGACCAACGGCTTGATCAATCGAAGAGGCGGTGGGCACTGGGCGGCGAATCATTCGCTGACACCAGGATTCTTTTAGATCGAGGTTGGTCACGGCAGAAAGGCCATTGTCATCTTCGTCCCTGTTCCTCAGCTCCAGGGCTTCCACAAGGTCCAGCAGCGGTAAGCAGCCATAGTTGTCAGCTCTGCGCAATACCCCACTAACGCCTTCGCAGCCTGACCCGTGAGCTCGAGAAGAAGTTCTCTGACCGCCACGTCCTCATTGTCGCTTCCCGCCGCATCTTGCCCCGTGCCAAGCGCAGCAACCGCTCGCGCACCACCCAGACCCAGAAGCGCCCCCGTTCGCGCACTCTGACCGCTGTCCACGACGCCATCCTTGCCGACCTCGTCTACCCCGTCGAGATCGTTGGTAAGCGCATGCGCACCAAGGAGGACGGCACCAAGGTCCTCAAGATCGTCCTCGACGAGAAGGAGCGTGGTGGTGTTGACTACCGCCTCGACACCTACTCTGAGGTCTACAAGAGACTCACCGGCAAGGGTGTCAACTTCGAGTTCCCCGTCGCTGCCGCCGAGTACTAAATGTATTCTAATTGAGGGATGATTTGCGTCCAAATCATAAAAGTCTTGGTCTCTTTCAGCTTCTTCAATTCCAAAAAAATGTGTTGTCACGTGGGGGCGCCTGGCGCTGGGAAAGTCAAGGGATACTTGTTAAGGTAGACGAATACCACGCATGACACCGTCAGCTATACCCTTCATCCTTTTTAATCGGGTCAATCATGAGTTATGTCCTATTCATCTTTGCTCGTTGCCATGTTGTCCTTCTTACGTGTTAACTGTTCTCTCATGCACTGCAAATCCAAAGTCTCGATTGCAGATATCGTTGTTGAATGTGGTCTTGATGTGTCTTATTCTAATTATGTTGTGGATGGTCAAGTTGTTTTAACATACATAACCCCAGACGCCAAATGGTATCATCTACAGACTCTTTTCGATCTTCATGGCCTCAGCAATGCCTTGCTTGACCTTTTGTCTGTCCTCCTCACTCAGTCTCTGAAGGGGACGTCTAGGGAAACCGCCGTAGCCGTATTCCAATTCAATAGCTGCCTTTGTGCCGGGAATAGCGGCCTTGGTGAGCACCCAATCACCCTTGGACAGGATCTTCTGGAGCTCCATGGCCTCATCATACTTGCCCTCTGCGAACAGGTTCCAGACCTTGACACACAGCTTAGGCATGACGTTGGCACCACCAGCGATGATACCGCTACCACCTGAAGCGGCAGTCTGGAAGGTGAAGTCGGCGATACCACCGAACGCCATCCAGCCACTGCCCTGACTCTTGGGTGAGCAAGCGTTGGTCTCGAGAGCAACACGAGTCAACTTTCCAGTCTGACCACAGGTGAATTTGGCACCGATGATCTTGGGGTTCTTGGCCAGCTCGATCATGAAGTCTGAGTCCATATCGATGCCAGCAACAGCACCAGGGTAGTTGTAGAGGATGACAGGGCAAGGCGAGGCATCCGCGACGGAGATGTAGTATTCCTTGATGGCCTTCTCGTCCATGGCGGCACGGTAGTACGAAGGAGGAACCAACAGGACGTACTCGGCACCGACGGTGTGGACCTGGTTGATGAGCTCGAGAGTTCCACGGATGCTCATTTCTGAAGCACCAACAATGACGGGAACGTCCTTGTAACCGGCCTCATCAAGTGCTTCTCTTGTTGCCTTTGTGACGGCAACCTTCTCTTCGCGTGTGAGGTGGACAGCTTCACCGTTGCTGCCCATGCATACCAGACCGACAAGGCCGGCTTCGGCCAATCTCACTGCGTGCTTCTTGATTGTGGGAATGTCGAGGTCCTCTGTCTCAGGGTTGAAAAAGGTCATGGTCGGGGCATAGATGCCATGACGGAGGGGGGTGAGGTTGCCGTTGGTGGCCATGATTACAGATGTGTCTTCTTTAACGGGAAATGGTATGGTAACGGAGCTGGAGCTCAAATGCTGTAATTCAAGATGTTGTGCAGGAACTGAGAAAGGGAGGAAATGGGAAAACAGAAAGCTGTTGCTGTGCAAACCTTGTACTTAACATGGCGGATAAATTCAATCCATCTGCACACGTACCTCGCCCTCGCGATATTTACCCCCGCCATGAATGGAGTGTCAGCGGCGTGGGGCAGCTCAGGCCATCCACCGAAACGGTCTTGGTCGGCGAATGAGCCGCGTGCACAGGCGCCAGAGACAGGAAGAAGCTGATTTTCCACCAATGAAATCCAATATCTATTCTGTCGGCAATTGACACGGAGACTCCACAAACTACACCCCGCCATGTTTGTCCGCGAAACTAATCCTCCGTCTTGGTGATGCAATTACCCTTGAATCCACTTGTGCCCTCGTGTCCTCGCTCTGTTCTTTGCTTCTCTTTCCCAGTGCCTTCGTGCTTTTCGCAGTACTGAATTGAACCAGAGATCTAGCTACAAACTAGCTCGTACGTCATGGCTCCTCTCAATGTTTGTATGGTCGGTACTGGCGAGTACACGACAGGTTTCGTTGGTGGCGGTGCTTCTGGCTCAGACAAGAAGGTCGGTGTCGTTGGCTTGACCCTCTTCGACCTGAGGCGACGCGGCAAGGTTGGCAATCTGAGCATGGTGGGAACTTCGGGAAACAAGTTCCCTGGAATTCGTGAGTAGAGAGCACGCTCGAAACCTTGGAGATGGACGAAACGAGACTAATTTATTGTAGGTGAGCATTTGAACAAGAACATCTCTCAGGTCTACAACGGCCTCGACACTTCTTTCGAGTCTTTCCCAGCCAACGACCAACGCGACCCTGAAGCCTACAAGAAGGCTATCGACGCTCTCGCACCTGGCGATGCTATCACCATCTTTACGCCTGATCCGACTCATTTCCCCATTGCGATGTACGCTATCGAGAGAGGTATCCACGTCATGATCACCAAGCCTGCTGTCAAGCTTCTCTCCGAGCATCAACAACTGCTCGAGGCCAGCAAGAAGCATGGCGTCTTTGTCTACATCGAGCACCACAAGAGATTCGACCCTGCCTACGCAGATGCTCGTCACCGCGCACTGAAGACCCTGGGAGAGTTTAACTACTTCTACAGCTACATGTCGCAACCCAAGTCACAGCTTGAGACATTCAAAAGCTGGGCAGGCAAGGAATCTGATATTTCCTACTACCTCAACTCTGTAAGTCTCCCGACAAAGAGAGCATATGACCAAAGCTAATCACCTCAGCACCATATTGATGTCAACGAGAGCATGGTCCCCGACTACAAGCCAATCAAGGTTACCGGCAGCGCCAGCACCGGTATTGCTACAGGTCTTGGCTGTGTCAAGGAGACCGAAGACACAATCACGCTTGTCGTTGATTGGGAGAAGAAAGATGGCAGCGGAAGACGTGCAACAGGTGTCTACACTGCCAGTTGGACAGCGCCACAGAAAGCAGGTGTGCACAGCAACCAATACTTCCATTACATGGCTTCGAACGGCGAGGTTCGTGTCAACCAAGCCAAGAGAGGCTACGACGTGACTGAGGACGAGACTGGTTTGACTTGGTACAACCCGTAAGTTTTCGTAGTTTGTCCCCAGCATATTGGTACATTAGACTGACTGGCACTCACAGCTTCTACATGAAGTATGCTCCCGATGAGTCAGGCGACTTTGCTGGCCAAGGAGGTTATGGCTACGTCTCATTCGAGAAGTTCGTCGATGCCATCACCGCACTCAAAGACGGCAAAGCGTCGCTAGACGACCTTGACAAGCGTGGTCTCCCAACATTGAAGAACACTATCGCCACAGGGGCTATTCTTGAAGCTGGCAGAAGGAGTCTGGACGAGAACAGATCTATCCAGATCATCGAGAAGGATGGCAAGTGGGAGCTGAAGTAGAAACGACCAGTACGACATGATGAATTGTAAGGAAGCTCGAAAGTTAATAATCATATATATGCATCCTCCCTGTGTGTCACAATCGCACGTCTGCAGCTGTAGCAGTACACAGTCCTCTTTCTCAGAGAGGCGAGTGCTCGGGACGTGTTGAGTGGGTCCTCCCGTCCCTATAGACGTCGTTGACCAGTGAAAAATCACTGTGCATTTGCGCAGCCCTCGAATCACGAATGCAACTCTGACCAGAGGGTAACAGACTTCTGGTATTTATGCATGAATATGCTGCTGCACAACCGAGTGGAGACGCTTCCCATCCGACGTCATTGAGTGTGGAGATGCTCGTGTCATCCGATGCTCATGGTCGTCCTTTCTTCGTCTCTCTTCTTCTAGTGCAGTAATTAACGTGCTATCATCCTATCGAAATATTACTCGACGCCTGTTTAGTCTGTTTCATGCCTAGTTACGTCCTGTCTCATACCGCAAGACACGAACAACTATGGTCGAGGCCAAGCACCAGCCTCAGTATGAGCTACTCTACCATCCATCAATTCCTGGGAGAGCTGAATTCATTCGCCTGATGTTCGAGGCAACAGGTACTAGCTATACCGACGTTGCCAACGAGAATCCGCCCGACGACTCTGGACTCCATGGGTATGCACTGGTGCAAGACATGTCGGATCCTAACAGCACTGGTGATGATGACGGCAATCCTCCCGTCTTTGCACCGCCTGGCTTGCGTATACATGGTGTTGGCAAAGGTGGGAGACCGCTTGTCATTCATCAAACGCCCAACATCCTGTTGTACCTTGGTGGCTCTCTCAAGCTTGCTGGCTCGGACGAACCGGAGAAGTATTATGTCAATCAGCTTGCTTTGACTGCACTGGATCTCAACAACGAGACACATGACACACATCACCCTGTGGCTGTGGCGAAGTACTACGAAGGTAGAAGTCCCGATTATGTTTATTGCGATACCGATTGACACAACTGTCAGAACAAAAGGAAGAGGCACTTAAGAAAGCAACTGATTTCCGCGAGAATCGTCTTCCCAAGTTTTTCAGCTACTTTGAGCGTGTGCTCAAACATAACCAGTCAGCAGGCAAAGACAAACATCTCGTTGGCGAGTCGTTGACGTATGCCGACCTTACTTTGTGGCAAGTCATCGATGGTCTCAAGTTTGCTTTCCCAAATGAGATGAGACATAGAAGCTCAGAGTCACCTCTGCTGTTCGACACCTTTTACCCAAGTCTCAAAGAAGAAGCTTGGCTGAAGAAGTATCTAGACAGTAAGAGAAGGAAGCCCTACTCGATGGGTGTTTTCCGACACTACCCTGAGCTTGACCGACAGTGAACAAGTGCGGTGTCTAAGAAGTGACGGAGGGACATGCTGAGAACAACAAGACAAGCGGATGTGATGAAGTAGCTGAGGTATGTAAAGTATCTATTGGCCGTCTCTCACCCTTCAAAGTGACGTCGGTGATGTTCTGGTGCGTGCTTGTCCGGACGCGTTGTCTTGATTGCTGGTGTTAGTAAACCGACCTCTCCCTCCCAAAATATGTGGATAAACTCCCGCCACGCGATATTATCAACACTACTTGGTCTTCACAGATCCGAGCCATCGCAGTCTGAACTGCTAGAGTCCAACCACTTGTCCGACATGTCTGAGATTCATCGTTCCCCCAAGACAGTGCAGAAGCCGAAGAGTAGAAGACAAGCCTGGGTGCATCGCCGCCGTCAAATTCAGACGGACCAAGAGAATAAAAAACAGCCAGAACAGAGCGCAGAGAATCCAAACACTACCTTGGGACCTACAGCTTCCACGATCTCAACCATGGCCCCTCAAACTTTTGATGGAGCTCGGCGCAGAGCAAGCTTACAAGGCATCGGATCTACTCTGAACTTTCTAACCCCTCCCACCGAGTCCAAGGACTGGTCATCGCCTCAAAGCTGCCCATCTCCCGCCGGCGACGATCTCAACGATGCCGTTACTCACAGACCCGCTACACCAGAAATCATCAAAGTCACTCACCAAACCGACAACTCAGAGACCATGGGAGTCGGCCTGCAGATTACACCAAGAACCACTTTCGACCGCGACCCGGTCCCTACCAGCCGCGTCGCAGCCACTTAATTCAGTAATATCTCCAGCACTATCGAACAAAAGATCCTTACCACGCTTGGCGACCACGATTTCTTCATTCCTCCAACTGCTTCTCTCAACGCGTCCTCTCTCATTCTGTTCAAGCACAGTACTCCATCTCTTGAGCGTATCCGCCTGCTCCACAACCAGTTGTTCATTGAGCTAGGCCGCGTGGTTGAAGAGCAGTTGCAGCCTGCTATGAGCCCAGAGATGAGCGCAGAGGCATACAGCCTGAAAGAAGAGCTCATGCTGGGATTGCTGACTGAGGTTGTGCCCGCCTTGAACCACCTCACGGAGAGAGTGGGTAAGGAGGTAAAATCAGGTATTCAGAAGCACAGAGCTGGCCTGAGACTTTGGGCCGGAGAAAGGGGTCAGAAGAAGGAAGGCAACTAGTGACATTCAACGAGCATGGTTCGTGCTGCTTCTCTTGAGGCCAGTCTCATTTGTTTGGAATATCCACTAATAGATCCGTCAGGTCATCAGAAAGCTGAAGGTCAAGTTGCTCGAAGCTATGCGATCTGACGTAGCAAGCATATTGAAGAACGAGAATCATGGCCACGCGAGACGCTGAACAGAGATTCTTCCTCCAACGAGTCTCTCATGTACGCATTGCATGCTTTCACAAAATATTTGAGCCCTTTTATCAATATTGCGCCGTTTGTTGGTCGCGAGGAAAGGAAATTGCGAGGACACATCATGGTGTCCAAGATTTATGGCAGCCAAGCAATAGTCGTCTAATCTTGCATACCCCTCTTCATGCACTTCGTTGATCTCCAGCTCCTTCTCAAGTGACACGCAACGAACAGGTGAGGAGCCAGGCGCTGATATGTTATACATACCCCTCCGCTGAGAATGTCCAAGAGGTAGGCAGGTACGACCCTAGCTTGCACTTCCCATCCCGTCTCGTGAATACAAGGACTCCCCTTGTCGCTTGTACGGTACTTCTCTCCAAAACAAAATAAGCAGCCTCATGTCTAGCAGATCCAATTCAACATGCCATCATTACGATGTCTCCTTACTCTACTGTGCGTTGTGCTTTATGTCAGTTGTGGCGCTTGCACGTATAGCTTCGGGGAGTCGCCAAACTTGAACAAGGAAGTGCCTTATAATCGCAACTACTTCTATGTAGGGGGCAAGTATGTACCAGACGAATCTGGTAGCTACACGTTCCAAGATCATATGTATGTGGAACGACTCACTCCTCTCGGAGGCGCACGAAAGCAGACGCCGCTCGTCTTTATCCCGGGTGCTGGTCAAACAGGAACAGTATACTTTGCCCTACCAGTTACTTGCTCACCATTAAGCTAACGACGCTCGCAGAACTTTTTGAACAAGCCGGACGGTGGTAGAGGCTGGGCTTCTCTCTTCATTATGCAAGGCTTCGAGGTCTATATCGTCGATCAAACATCTCGCGGTCGATCTGCGTGGATACCGAGTGTCGGAGCTCCTCAAATGACAGCCTCGTCTGTCGAGGTGATTCAGCAACGATTTACCGCACCTCAAGACTACAGACTCTGGCCCCAAGCAGTAAACCACACAGAATGGCCAGGGAGTGGACTGATGGGCGATGCAGTATTCGATGCCTTCTTCGCTTCCAATGTTCAGTACTCCAGCAATGACACCTACTCCCAAGCGACTGTACAAGCTGCAGGCGCCGCTCTTCTCGACCGCGTTGGAACGCCGGTCATCCTCATCGGTCACAGTCAGGCTGGTCCAATGGCAATCCTGGTTGCGGACGCTCGGCCAAACATGACCGAAGCTGTGATCCTGCTTGAGCCCGGCGGTCCACCTTTTCGAGGCGCAGTGTTCAACAATGCGAGTGCTCGAGCATGGGGACTTGCCGACATACCGCTTCTATATTCTCCACCAGTCATAGACCCGACACTTGATCTGGTGAGAGAGATCATGCCGGCACCGGACAGTGATCACGACGGCTGCGTCCTACAAGCATCTTCACCAGCACCGAGACGTCTCTTCAACCTAGTGCCTAAGCCCATCCTTGTCGTGACTGCTGAAGCCTCTTATCATGCGGTATATGACCACTGTACAGTGTCATACTTACGACAGGCTGGCTGCGTTCGAACCGACCACCTGGAACTGGGAAATGCTGGAGTGCATGGAAATGGTCACATGTTGTTCCTAGAGAAGAACAGTCGTGACATATGGGTGTTGCTTCTCGAGTGGATCGAATGGCATCTGGCTTAGTGGCAGTCAAGGTCTGTTTGCCTTCATATCTGCTGCCCACTATCCGCCTAATACTCTCAGAAACACAATATTTAATTTCTTCCTGCAAAGACTTCATGGAATGATTTGACCGCACCATACGTGCTAGACTTGTCCACGATAAACTCGGTGATGCTGTGGTCGTGTTGGGCGAGGGTAGGAGCTACTGGAGGGGATACGCATATACACGCGCGTGTACAGAGTAATCAAAAGCATTACTGATCCGCATCTTAATCCGAATAGTGATTCAACAATCGCGGGAGACTAGCTTCAACTGAACTTGTCAACTCGGAGATGCGTAAGTTTCTTGGAGTCGGTGTCTCTGGAATGGTTGAATATTGGTAGAGATACGCCCCGTCAAAGGGAAGCGCTCAGAGTCAACGTCTCGCGCGATCAGATCTCTTCGCGCTTGGGTCGACAATCTACAAGTTAACGACAGGTCACGATCCGCATGCAGAGAAAGGAAGTCGTCATGGGATACCGATGAATACGAGCTCTTGTTCATAAAATATGAGTTTCCGGATCTGTCGGATGTTAGTTCGAAAGATGTGAAAGACGTGATTGACGCTTGTTGAGAAGGAATGTTCAAACCCGCTGAAGCTGCCGTGATCGGTATTGCCGAGCGCTTCAGGGGCCAAACCTGAGATCATTCAACAATGTTACAAGTACATTTGGTAGGAAGTACAATTCAAAGCCAGAGATGATCGAAGTAGAGTATTCACAATCGTGCAGCGCCGACCCATATGGCGTCTTCTTCCATCGATTTCATGATGAGATGGTCGATGGATCAGTAGGATCGTATAGTCGATGTTGATACCCTTTTCTGTTTCACTTACGAGCAAGAGTCGCAGGCGTGACGAGCAGCAAAATAAACCACCCCCACCCAGCTGGGTAAGGTGGAAAGAAACCGGCAGCCCCCGCGCTCTCTTATTATCCTGGGGTGTGTGAAAGTATTCGACCGTCACCAGGATTGAACTCGTGCACGGTCGAAGATACGAGGTTGGCGAATGCCCAAGCCAGCCAAGTGGGCCAAACACACTCCAGTCGGGTAGGAGCGGGGCTCATGCTTGGCCGGGGACAAGGAGGACACGAAATAACTTGTATATAATGGTTGCGGGTAGTGAGGTTGATTGAGTTAGTTCGAGTGTTCCAGCGTCTTAGTCTAGAGCACCAAATGGTCTCGTGACCCTGCTTCTCAAAGCGAGATCATCACATGTCGAGGCACCCGCGAAAAAACACACATCTGCAGTTCGTTCCTCAGTAAGCATTGCTTGGGCGGGTATACACCAAGAACTATTGCCGTTCAGGAAACATAATTTCGCTGGGTATATACTATTGAAGACTTCCCGGCATACGTTCAAGTCTCACAGAGACTTCTTGGTATCGCCTATCGCAACCTGAAGGCCTTCCAGAATCTCTTTGGCGGATACGTAAACGAGATATATCGGGAAGGCGATCCAGAGACCATTAGGCAGAGCCCAGAGAAAGAAGATTGACGCGGGGTCGTTATGTCCAATATTGGCAAAGCCAGAGAAGACCTCATTGAGCCCTGTTGAATCCGTTAGACTTGACACTCTATCTCAGGCGGGCAGTACCTACAGTAAAGCACTGTCTTACTCAGAGTCATAAGAGCAACGCCGTATAGGAGAACGACAGCTTTGGCCGCAGCGCTCCCATGTACTGTTCGGCTTTGCGCAAGCTTGCCAATCTGCTGCTTGTCGGGAGCGCCAGTGCCTTGGACGGTCGGTTCAGTCTTTCCATGAGTGTAGACCAGATAGAGATAATAGATGTATCCTACACATTCGACGACGTTCACGCCAGATTGAGCAGCAGTAAAGCCATTGCCCGAGTTGTAGGCGGGCCAGCCATAGACGTGATCAACTTGGCCATAAAGCTCGTATGGCACCCAGAGAGGCTTTTGGTACTTGCCTCCAGGCATTGAGTGCGGACGTAGAAAGACATAGAACGTGTCCCACGTGACCAATGGTAACGATATTCCGAGCCACAGTAGAGTCAGAAACGACGGCGTATGAGACCAAGACTTCTGACTGTTGTTTCGATGGAGGACGTCTTGCGATGTCGATGTCGTCATCGTGGATCGAGCTTTCTTCGAGGGCGTCTGAAGAATCGACTCATCGGGCTCTTGAGAAGGAAAGTCCTGTGGATGGTTGCGAGTCGAAACCATGTCGCAGAGCAGGTACCAAATGCCAATGGACGATTCTGTGAGGAAGGGAACGAAGGTGTTGTGGAGAGGGGTTCGCAAGACCTGCGTATGCTGCAGGTGGAACTCACTAGCGCTGATCCCCGCGTTTGTGGCTTGGACGGGCTAAGGGGCCCTCCCTCTTTTGGTGCTGCGTAGCCACGTGTTCCTCCGACGCGACCATGTCTACACATCTCAGCCAACTATACCGTGGCACGGCATCAGCCTCAAAGTGATGCCCGTGATGATTTGATTGACCATATGCTACGCTGCGTCAAGACGAATCGAGTCGGCGACGATACAATGTGTCCCGAACCAATGAGCAGTAACTTGAGACGATCAAATCTCAAGGTCTGCTGTTGTCAGCTTGATTGGGTACCTTACACTTGCTGACCACAGCATTCGCCAAGAGACACAAGGTCATACTCTGAGATAGGTGACATCTAATGTCGTGTTGTACGCGTGGCCGGAGCTTAAATACTCGTCGTCGGTCTTCGGGTCCCCACGATCCTTGATGGTTTGGTTGATATCGGACTGGGCGTGGTCATACACGGCTGATCACACTCAGATGGCAGGTAAGGCCTTAAGTACAGCCAATTGTCCGTTTCCGTGAGATTGGAAGCCTTTGTCGTCTGTTCCGCTCCAATCAAGTCGCCTTTCCTCGCGCTCGACTTCACCTAGAACTCATAAGCAGATATCGCTCTCGATCATACAATTTTGGAAGCTACATGCTCGCTTTGCTCCTACAATGAGGTACCTGCCGGCACTCGCAGTCATCGCGCTGAGCTTAGGTTGGCGCCATAGATCCGGCGTGCTGGCAGGACGGCTAATTTGATGATCAGGCTCTACTCATGCTTGGGAATGGCGTGGGGGTGATGATAATGGTGGCTCTGACTCTTCCGGGTCTTCTGGATCTTCTGGATTTGGTTCTGGTTCATCTGGATCAGGATTTGGTCCAGGGTCTGCTGGTTTTTCAATTCCTTTTGGTGGTGACTTCGAAAATGCTGAACGCATCATGATCGCTCATGGTGTTCTTGCGTCACTCGCATTTGTGATCTTCTTCCCTTTTGGAGCAATCAGCATTCGACTTTTCAGCTTCTCTGGATTCCTCTGGTTCCATGCCATTGTCCAAGCGCTCGCATACCTTGTCTACATTGCCGCATTCGGACTGGGAATCTACATGGCTGCGCAGATCCGTCGGGTGAGTCGACACCACGGCAGGTATGGTCAAGACGTCGTTATTGACTTTTGTAGCTTGATGAAGCGCATCCGATCATCGGTATTGTGCTCTTTGTTCTTATCTTCTTCCAACCATTCCTTGGTTATATTCACCACCGACTCTTCAAGAAGTACAAGCGTCGTACCTTCTGGTCCTACGCTCACATTTGGCTTGGACGAATCATCATCACTCTAGGCATCGTCAATGGTGGTCTTGGCCTTGAGCTTGCGAACAAGTAAGCTTCTGTATGGGATCCGACTAAAGTGCAACTAACGCTGACTCGTGGTAGTACTCGCAAGGGTGAAATTGCCTACGGTGTTGTTGCGGGTGTCGTCTGGGTTGTCTATGTCATCAGTATCTTCGTCGGAGAATCTAAGCGGAGAAGAGACAGAAAGGTAGCCATTCGTGCGGAGGCAGAGCCAAAGAGAAGCGATAGCGACTCAAACGACTTCAATGTGCCAGGACGTTATGCTTAGTTAGATTCGTCGAGCAAATCCCAACATAGGATGAGAACTATGTAAGATAAGTTTGGCTACCAAACACGATCTTCCGGCGTGCTAGAATTAGTCACTTCCAATTTTTCATGATAGACTCAGGGCAATAAGGAGCTATCGAATGGCATAGTCGTCGTCTAGAGTTGGAAAGCCTTCGCGGAGAGGCGATGAGGCAACTTCCAGTAGACACTACTGATCTACCGAAGTAGGTGGTATTGGTGGTATGCGTGGCAAGATCCTGCAAGTAGGTAAGGGGATATCGAAATTTTGAGTTTGTTCACTAGATTATAATATTCAAACAAGATTTCAGCATCATATAGTACCAAGACGATTTCACTAGCGAGCACCACCACATTGCCAAGCCTTTTTCGCGCCGACGAGCAATAAATGATCTTTCCTATCAGCTCACGCGACATCCAACTGTTTGCTACGAGTACGGTCATCGAAACAACAATTGGCATAGAGACAAGGCTGCAATTTCGATAGTGTCTGGCCGATTCCAAAATTCTTGGGAGGAGCGCTCAGTCAGCGCCTGACAATCTGTGCTTTTTTTACAGCATTCGGCGGTTCAAGGTCCACGGTCTGGACGTTTGACAAAACATCCAGACTTCTTACGCATTTTGTGTTTTGTGATTCGGAATCATTACAATCATGAATGGTTCACCATCGATGGACAGCGGCCACACGAACGGCCAATCCGATCATCAATCATTTCTAGGACATCTTGAAAATCAACTGGATGGCTTTCGCAAATCGGACGCTCAACGTGATGCTCTAGTTCAAGTGGGACAAGCTTTGTGTTTTTCCACAACCACAACCCAGGCTAATTCCATGACAGGAAGTTATCCACAAGTTCGTGGAGCTCCAACAACAATACCATAATAAATCCGAAGACTACGAGAATGAACTCGCTTCTCGGCGAATGTGGCAAGCCCAAGCTCGTAACCTTGAACGCTCGCTCCAAACAACAAATATGGGTCTTGTATGTTCAGAACTATCTCTGCCAGAAGATTGTAGCTGACAATGGGCAGGAGGCAAGTGGATTCGTATTAGCCTTGATCGACGGAGACGGTGCAATTGTGAGTCTTGATGATTTTATCACCATCGTCTTATCTTTCTGACCTTTCAGTTCCACGATTACCTTTACAAGGCCGGCAGTGATGGCGGTGCTGATGCTGCTCAAGAATTGCACGATCAAATCCGAGCCCATGTTGCAGAATGCTATCCAGATCGCAACACCTCTGGGTACGACATCATGGTTCAGATATTCTACAATATGGAAGGTCTCAGTCATAAGCTCAAGAGTCTGGGTATATTCAAGAACCCTAATGAGATGGCCCCTTTCGCCAGAGCTTTCTCGCTTAACAAATCCTTATTTAGCTTCATCGACGTTGGCAGTGGTAAGGAAAGGGCAGACCACAAAGTCCGAGGTAGACACTGATACTTATAAATTTCGCTAAGAATGGCGGAGCGTGGCTGACTAGTGCTACAGAAACTCTGCGGCTCTTCCTACCCAACATGCAGTGTAAGCATGTGATCTTTGGAGGATGCCATGACAACGGATATCTTCCTACCCTCGATCCCTACAAGCGCGACCAGAACACTGCCCCTCGCATCAGTTTGTTAGAGACACTACCCATCCAACCTGGCTTCACACAGCTCGGATTCAAGGTTGTGCAGTTCCCGACGGTCTTTAGATCAGAGCCTTTGCCGGACAAGTCAGCTATACCCGCCTTCTTCTCTCCAGTGGTCCAAAACACAGCAGCCACTCAGTCTACTTCCGCTTTATCTAGTCGAAGTAACTCATTCGCAACCGGTGGCGCATCGGTCAACACGGCTCCAACCCCCGTACAGGCCGTCACATCTAATGCTGTCCAAGCCGCTACTTCCAATCCATCCGGTGATAGCTCGTGGGCGACTGTGGGCAAGAACGCTCCCAAAACCATCAACATCGCAGCCAAGAAGGCGCCAGCTCGCAAGTTCATCCTTCTGAACGCCTATGATGAGCGACTTGATTCTATACTACCAAAGGCCGACCAAGCAGCTACAACTCGCTTCACTGAGCGCGTACGCACTAAGAAAGTCTGTAACAATTACCACCTCAATGGCAAGTGCAAAGCCGGCAAGTACTGTGATTATGACCACGGTGAGCGCTTGAGTCCTGGCGAGCAACTGGTGCTCAAGCACCGCGCTCGTACGAGAAGCTGTCCGGACCGCGGCGATTGTAGAGACTTCGACTGCACTGATGGCCACGTTTGTCCTTATGGAAAGGACTGTTATAATGATAATTGTTGGTTCCAGGAAGTACACGATGTCGACACTGTAAGTCAATCTGACTTCTACCCTTGTTGTGCGTACTCTACATGTACTGACTTTCCTGCAGAAAGTTGTATCCAGGATATTTGAAAGTGGAGAACAGGAGTGGAACATGAAGTAAGAGTATGAGGGACTAAGCATAAGATGATATGTTACACGACAATAGGCTCGTACTTAGCAACTTCTCCTATCAGCCGTTGAACAAAGAAAAGGCATTTGCGATCGGAGCCCTGACCTGGCCTCGACTTATCTCGGAACTCTCAAGTCACATCGGAAGATCGAAGTCATTGATATCATCAGACAAGGCAACGCTCGCTGTGACGTTTCAGAGAGGCTTTCAAGACGTGGTTACAGGCGAATTAGTCCGTCACGAAGGAAGAGCTGCGAGAGAAGCGACTGGTTCGTGCGCCTCAAGACGTCCTAGCTCACTAGTCGCGAAGAAACTGTGTCTGATAGCAGACATAGTGTCAGAGGCAGCTGTTTCGATTCCGGTATTTATGCATCTTCATGTACGTCAATCGTTATTATTGTGATCAGTAAATGTACAACTTGACCTAGCGTCCAAGCATGACTTCGGCCAGACATGGTCTATCCGTTGTATGAACCTCCACCTTCCAGGATGTCCTTGATGTTGATCTCTCCTGTTCCTCTTTCTAAAGGCTTGGGCTGGTTCGCACCTTCCTTCCAGCCAATCATGTAAATAGTTCTAAATGTGGCAGGGATGCTTCCATCTTCGTTACCATACAGCTCCTTGTAGATGGCCTCTGTGGCCAAAAGCACGTCCCTTGAGATGGGCCCAGGTGTGCGCTTGAGAGCAGCGTTTGACTCGCCCATGGCTTGCAGATCACGCATCAGGTGTAAGGTGCTGGGATAATCGACGATAATGTCGTCGACGTCAACTGTGAGCAGCTTGAAGCCAGCACGAGTGAGGAGATTGCCGACATCGCGCACATCGGCGAGTGGTGAGACGTGAGTGCCAATGCCGCCAAGACGATCCTGCTCAGCGAGTTGCAAAGAGCCACGGAGCTCGAATATAGAGTCACCGCCAGACATGGCTGCAATGAAGGGAGCATCGGGCTTGAGGACGTTGTTGATTTGGGAGAGGACGGATGGCAAGTCGTTGATCCAGTGCAAGCTCAGCGATGACATGACGAGGTCGAAAGAGTTTGCTTCGAATGGAAGCGTCTCTGGGTTCTGAAGCACATGGCGTGTCAAGGACATGTCTTTGTTGAAAGGCTCGTTCTGATCGCGATGCAGCATGGCCTGGTTGTGGTCGGCGCATGTCAGGTGGCCAACTTTTGAGCTCAATGGTTCCGACACGGGTTTGGCAGAATCGGGATCCGGGTCTGGTAGGGTGAGGATACGGGCAATGTTGCAGGCATTGGCACCGAAGTCGAGCACCTTGTCGAAGTTGCGGTTGATATCCAGGAGACGGCTGCACAGCCGTGTGGCCACCTCGTCTCTCAGATAGTCTGTGGCCCTTGACTCTTCAATGTCTGCGGCGGCGCGGCATCGTTGCTGTTGCTTGGCCTCGTTGGAGAAGACGGAGATGCTAGGGGCGCCACCTTGTTGTACTGCATAACTTCGTCGGCTGCAGACGCTCAGACTTCGGGGCATTGATGAGCATTGCACTCGGCGGGCGATATAACTCAGGCGCATCTTAGGTATTCGATCGAATGGAAAGCTTGTGTCGCCATCAATTCTCACAAACCTCGACCTCTCCCCACAATTCCGTGGACATAATCGTCATTGAGTCTATTGTAACGTCTGCCGGGCGGCATGCTTCTGTTGCCAACTGGACCCTGGACATTCTAAACAGCTCAATCAAACAAAGCTAATTTGGTGCACTGCATTCATCGCTCTTTCCACCGTCCATCAATGTGCTCTTTCTGAACATATTGCCCAAATGGCCACATTCCCCTACACGCTAATCGCATGTCCTTGCACATCTTTCACTTCGCCCTCAGATACCAACGCGTCGTCTATAGAGGATCCTGACGACGATACGACCTTCAATCCGCACCACGTTCGCGCAAACTTCTCGTTATATCCCTACGAGCATCTGCTTTATTGTGATGATTGCCACCAAATCAGATGTCCCAGATGCTGGACCGAAGAGATCATGAATTGGTTCTGTCCAAGCTGTCTCTTCGAGGTTCCGAGTAGCGTAGTCAAAAGCGATGGTAACAGGTAAGGTACGCTCTAAGTTCTCTGTTTAATCTTTCTTCTCGCATACTGACTTTGCATCAGATGTGCCAGAAACTGCTATAACTGTCCAATGTGCACCTCCCCTCTGTCAATCAATGGTCTGGAGCCTTCAGCAAAGGATCATCTGGCTCCTGCAGACCCTAATCAACCGGCTGGTCCGTTTTTTCTGTCTTGTCCATATTGCGACTGGTCATCGTTGGACGTTGGTATACAGTTCAGCAAAGCAAACAAAATCACCGATCAGCTTGTCAGAATGCGGCGTCAGGGAAATCGTTCACCTTCGCCAAGCAGGACCAGATCTACCAGGACAAGTCTTGCGCCCACAGCTGAGTTGTCTTCTGCAGAACCGGACTCGACTCCTCCTTCACAGCCATCACAAGATAGGTTTGCAACTTTGACTCGCTTCTACAAGGACCAAATGGCAGATTCATCTGGTGCTGGTGCGAGCGGATATTCGGATAACAGCACATACAATTCACCTGGTAATCTGGCACGGATCATGAGCATTTATGGCGGTCTGTCCCACGCCGCCCTGAAGAAAGCCCGTGAAAAGCCACGACCTATGCGCGAGGCCTTGGATTCAACTGAAGGTCTTGAACTATTATCGCAACCAGCCAACGCTGAATCTACAGCGCTGGAAAAGCTCCGGACCGAAGGGTATGAAGCAACGACGACCCTTTCGCAACGAGTTAGCCATCCGTACAACCATCGTGTCCGCTTCAACGACCATCTGTGGCCTATTGCTACCCTTTTAAGAACTCGTCGCAGCAAAAGATGTCGTACCTGTCGACATATCATCGCACGACCAGAGCCAAAGATGGGTAGCACTCGCTACAAGATTCGTTTACTGGCACAGAACAACATCCCTCGCTTAGCTCTTCGCCTTCTCTCACCCTCGGCCTCATCAGCTCCTGTTTCTGCTTTTGCCCTCACTCCCGCAGCATTACAGGCCCAGCACAACACCGAGTACGAGAAGTTGAGACCAGGATTGCCAGTACAATTCCTGCTCACTCTGACAAACCCGCTGTTCGATCCTGTGCGGGTCACGCTAGCTACGCCTGCTACTACGCCTGGCAACGTGGCATCTCGAGTCACAGTCCTCTGTCCCACCTTCCCCATAGGTGCTGCTAGCGATATGTGGGATCCAGATGCTATCTCGAGCGGCACAGCAAAGGATCAATCTTCCGAAGATAGGCAGCCTGAAGCGGGAAAGGTGTGGGAAAGGGGTCGCAATTGGACAACGGTGGTCGTAGAGGTTGTACCCGGCAGACTGGACAAAAAGGCAGGAAGCACGACAGAAAAGACCAACAGCGATGAGAGCAATGGATCTGACGATGAAGTGCTCGAGATACCGGTATTTGTACGTGTGGAGTGGGAGGCAGAAGTCACGGCTGAAGACGCTGCTGCAACAGGGGCAGCGAAGGGCACCAAAGAGAGTAGAGAAATTGCTTTCTGGAGCGTTCTGGGGGCAGGCAAGATTGCTGAACCATAAAAGGGAAGAAGCAAAACACGCTCCTGTATTTGTATCTAGAGACAAGCAAGACCTCTATATGAGAGAAGGTCCTCTCCTTAATTTATGTTCTTAAGCAAGTGGTATGTCCACGGTATGCTTCCTTTTGATTATGATCTCACTTGACAGTCACATTCGTCTCAAGAAACAGGCAGACAGAGTTTGAAGATATTGGAAACGAGCCAACCCCTTATGAACAAGGCAGGCAAGGGCGAATTAGCAATAAAATGCTGCTGCTGCGAAAGGTATCCGTAAAGAAAGGTGAAGCCGAACGCCAGTCCCTGTGCTTTTCGCTCTTTTTCCCCCAAAGAAAAGACCCATGTAGAAAAGGAAAAAGGATGCAAGTAGAATGAAAACGCCGTGAAGGTAGGGGGTGATGGAACAACAAAAGCCAAGCGCACACACACATAGTTCAAGTCGTTTATGCGTCGACATCCATGTCTTCGGGTCCAGAGCCTCTGACCAATCTCTGCTTCTTCTTGGCCTTGAGCTTCTGCTGGGCGAGTTGCTGCTTCTCCAACTCCTCCTCCTCTTCCTCGTCCAGCTCGTCGACAACATCCAGCATCTCGCTCTCGTCGTCGAGAAGCTTCTGTGCGGCCTCGCGCTCGGCAGGGGGCAGCAAGTGTTGGTTCTCTGCGACGAGCTTGCGGTCGGCCTCGAGATCGCGCTCCTTGTTGCCGCGCATGCGGTTCTTGTAGAACTGGCGCTCGCGCTTGCCGCGAATTTCCGAGACGCGCTGCATGGCCTTGAGGGTGGCGGCGACCAGGTCGCGGTTGTAGCGGACGGGGACGTTGCGGCGGGCGGCGAAGGAGAGGGTGCTGTCGACGGTCATCTCCTTGCCGTGTGCGCGACGGAAGGATTTTGTCCAGGCCAGCTTGCGGGGGTTACGCTTCATCTTGAACTGTAGAGGGTAGATGTGTTAGCGAGATGCGCCTTTCTTGGTGATTGGTTTGCTTTTCCTCAAACGTACGTTCTTGTGGCATTTTGATCTGCAGAAGCGGAAAACACGAGCATCGTTGCGGACAAAGGTGATACCCTTTGACGGGTAGCAGGGCTGCGAACAGAAATAGCACGTCTCGATTCTGGAGTGAATGTCAGTAGCTGTTTCATGGCTTCTCTGTGGAAAAGAGTGGTCGCATACCTCATCTTGTCGTGAGTTTGTCAAATGTCAAGATGGATGGAACAATAATTCTTTCTGCGGGCGAAACTTCTTTGGATACTGCGGAGTTGCCAAGACTCTCCATCTGCGGCGAAGGCTCGAAGGCACCGGAGGACGGAACTTGAGACGTACAAACCTCCGAACTTTTCCACGCTGCTCGTCGTCACCAAGTCGCTTTCACCAATACAAAAGACACAAATACAACATGGCTACTGCTCTCGCTGTCGGGTTCGGAATCGCTGCTACCGCCTTCTTCGTACGCTATCTGCGGATCTCATGCGCGACGAATATTTACTAACGTTGCTCGACAGGGTCGCGCTGGCCTCGTGGCTTTCAAGCGCTACCGTGGTGGCACCAGCGCAGTAGGCAAGGCCTTCTACAAGGGCGGCTTTGAGCAAAAGATGACCAGAAAGGAAGCTGCCTTGATCCTCGAGACCACGTTCGTTCCTGCCGTACACTTCTCTATCTGGAAGCACGCCACTAACCGTCCCTGTCACAGAGAACGCGGCCTCACTCGCGACATCATTCGCAAGAAGCACCGTTCGCTCATGCTGCTGAACCACCCCGATCGTGGCGGTAGCCCTTACCTGGCCACAAAGGTCAACGAAGCAAAAGAACTGCTGGAGAAGACGACATAAATCCCCACCTCTTACCATATCAACATCATCATCTTGTCTTACTATCGTCCTTGGAAATCACAGCGCGGCGTTGGCGGGTTTGCCCTTTTCCAATCATCTGGCTTGGGCCCACTTATTCTTTCTATCGAAAACACACCTACACTTCTTGTATAACATCTCCTCTCTTTACGAGCAGAAAGAACTACTGCATTTGCACATTGAAGCGCTTCTTCCTCGAGAACAAAATACATCTATCTATTATATCGACGACGATAAAACGATCTACGCTCTATACATACATTTTGCAAAAGAACCCTGACAGGCACTTATGCCTTTGCGTTCAGCGCATTGCCCTTCTCCACCATCTCCTCGATCAAATTGTTAAACTCCTGTCTGAGCTCAATAGGCACCACATGCCCCTGTTCCTCGAAAAAGGCCTTGCGAACACCACTCTCCTCACCACCCAAAGCCTTCAGCATCATCTCAGCGTGAGGGAAAGTAATCATACGATCCTTTGTACCGTGCAATACCAAAATACGCTCTCTACCCACGTTATCACCAATCTCCTTGAGTTGAGCATCGGTCTTGTGATGCCAGCCTGCAGCAATCGCTTGTGCCATGAATCCTGTACGGTTGAAGTATTGCGGCATCTGGCGTTTTGCTACTTCTTGTGCGGCGAAGCGGTCTCCGTTTGTTGGGAAAGGTTGAACTTTATACTCGAGACCGTCAGGGGCTTCGAGGAAGGCGTCGGTGTAGATGTTGTGTTTGACGTGGGCTAGTTGGTCGTCGATGCTGCGAGGGATGAAGAGGTTGATGCGGTTACGCAGGTTTTCTACAAAGCCGACTGTGTTTACCAGTCGAGGTGCTGTGGAGATGAGGTTGAGTGTTGCAATGCGGTTGGGAATCATGTATGCCTAGACATTCAGATCAACATCTCTTCATGTTTCGCTCGAGAATGTGCTGGAATTACTCACGAGTTCTTGAGCGATCATACCGCCCATGCTGATGCCGACGAGGTTCAATTGTCTCTCCTTGGTCCAGCCAACGTGATCAATGACTTCGAGAAGATCCTTGGCCATCTCTGAGGTCGAGTAACGTTGTAAAGGCTTGCTACTCTCACCCATGCCGCGGTTGTCAACGACCAGAGAGGAGTATTTCGATCCTTGTGTATGCGAAAAGTCCTTGGTCTGTCTCTGCCATGAGGTTTTGAGTCCACCAAGACCCATAATCCACTACCGTTACATCATGTTAGATCCATACCTTTTTCTCATTCTCCGTCTGATGCTGTGATATCTCCACCAGAAGTTGATGACCATATACAATTCCCACGTGGAGCACTCCTTTCATACATGACCAAACCGACATGTCTTGCAACACAACATGGAACAAAAAGAGAAAGACACTTACCACCATCTTATTCTCACCCTCTCCATGTACCTCCCACGCGATATCAAGAGGCCCTCCCCTCCCCTTTGCAACAGACAACTTGCCCTTAGCCTGAGGCTTCAGATCCCATGTGATGTGCGGAAACTCGGGATGCACCTGCAACTCAGCAGCGGTAAGAGGCCTGTTCCCGCATGTCAGTTTTCAGTCCTATCACATTGGATCGTCGAGTGGCCACAACGGCGATAGAGGAAGGTTTTCCGTATAGCCATTTCCATTACGTCCGCAGACTTGGGTCGTGATAGCCGACGTCTTTTCTCTCCTGCCCAGACAAAAAAATAAAAGGATACATACATTATATTGTAGTTTTGTGCAAGTACTCGGTGAGTGTTCCCAATAGACTGCAGTCAAAGATTATCAAAAACGATGCACGATTTATTACAAGTAGAAGTGATTCAAGCAGATCTCAGTGGTTGGAATACGTAGGCAGAGTGATCGGCCTGGCGTCGCGTGCTCGCGTTGATGAAAGTCCGTGCTGGTCTTGTCAAAAGAAATCATCAAACATTGAGCATCTTTCCTTCTCTTCCTCCCATCATCCCTATCCTCGCACTCTATTACTCTCGGTGCTGACTACAGCTTCTCGAGCATCAGTACTTAGTACAGCTATCGGATGAGCTACCCGGTTTGATGTGTCAAAGCCATCTTTTCCACTGTCAGACCCTGCGAGCTTATTGTCACCTCCGCTCCGCAATCGAATCCGGCAAGAGCTAGTCAGGTAAGTGATCGTACAGCAAGACACTGCTGACAACAGATCCAAAGCTACAGCACTCACGAGCGTCACGAGTAGGTGTATGCACATTGGTTCTGTGTTGTGCTGGCCAATGCCAAGCTTTGTTATCAGAAGCTCGCTCTGCAGCTGCTGAGATTGGTCAAGCTAATGAGATCTCTGCCTTTGCAGCAGGCGAGCTTGTACAAGATGCTATGTAGGTTCGCGGCATGAAGGGAGAATGGTCGAGCTCAAGCGCTTGCGATATCGACAGTAGGTGCGAGCTCAAGACCTTCTTCTCCACCTTCGCTGGTCATCATTCTCGTTTCCAACCCTCCTTGATTATTTGCATATTCTCTCTTTCAATCATCTCTCATGCATGCCATCGTCACAAACATAAAAAAAAATGCTCGCCTTAACAACAGGGACAACAAGAATGGAGATGCCGCAACAACGTAAACCAAAAAAAAAAGACGCCACCCATGTCAATCCAGGACCTCGCCAACGGTCAGCACTTGACATTGTGTCGGCGAGACTGGTGCCCAGTGTCGTATAACAATCATCCAAAGGGACAAAAAAGGATCCTCGTACCCACGCAGAGTCTACCAGCCGAGACGAAAGACAAAACGACCATCGAACCCACAAGGAGAAGAAATAGATGGAACGAGGACATCCACTTAGCGGCCATCAACCATCGCCTATGCTGAGCCCATACGCAAGAGGGCCTCGATGGCTTCACGCTCCTGAGTAGTCCGGTCGATTTCCATCGGAGTGGTGCCATGACTAGGAGGGACCTGGTTGACACTACCTCGGTGCTGAGTATAACTCATTGCGGATGGCCTTCTGGCGAACTGAGGTGTCGATCTTGCTAAGAGTGACGACCTAGCGCCGCCAGCACTTCCATACACAGATGCTGTTCGTGCTTCGTGCAAGGATCCTGGAATACTGATCAGGTTGTAGTTTCTTCTGGTACCAGGAGAGGCCGCTGTTGACACGGAAGCCTTGCGCAAAGCATCTGGTCCCATCGCAGCCCAATCCTCTTCTTCGGTCTCGTCGCCCTCACTATCGGAAGTCACGGAGTCGTCCTCAGACATGGCTGATGAGGAGCCATCGAGAGACATCTTGTCTGCCTCGTTCTCTTCCATGCTCATGTTCTCTAGGTGGTCGTCGTAATGGGAAGCCATCGATGACTCTGCCCAACTGTTGAGCTGATGGCCTTCCTGGGGTTTGAATGAGCCAGGAAAGCCTGATCCCGAGTACGAGGCAGCATAACTTCCGGGCTCGCTGGGTGGCGGGGAAAGCTTTCCGGCTCGATAGCTTGAGCTCAGATCAGGGCGTTCGCCCTTTGTGTGTGCGTCCCATCTGCCCCATCCTACCTTTTCAAACACGACGCCGCCATCAGCACCACCGCCCGCCCTGTTCTCCAAGGCTGCGACAACCAACCTGCGTGCCTTTGCTGGTGGTATGCGCGAGAATCCAGGAACGGACTGCGTCAAACAGGCCATGACGTGCCTGATCGCGACAGGTCCATGTCCGAGCATGATGCCTGGCAAATGGTGCTTTGCAAGCATGGACGCGGTAATGGACTGCGAGGCGTCCAGCCCCGAAAGAGCGCCCTTGCTGAGGGGAAGAGCCGAACGAGAGCCGTCCTCTTCGTCGATACGAATGGGAGGCGGCGAGAGCAGGCCGGCCTGCGCGACTGCAGGCAAGCCCGGAGATACGGAGTTAGGGGGTGTGAGTGGCATGCCGGCACCGTGTCTGGCCACAGCAGCAGAGAGGTTGCTGACGGTAGAGTGTTTGGCCATGCCGCCGGTGTAGGATGAAGAATCAAAGGCCATGGTGATGGCAGAAGTTGCAGGGTGGGCCATGTTCGCTGGGTAATGCTGGATGCTTCTCTGCGGCACGAGATACGAGTCAGACTGATGAATACGTTGATGACGTATGGATCAAGGCGACGGTGGTTCAAAAGGAAGAGACAAAGGCCTTTGGATGTTTGCTGCCTGGTATGACTTACACCGACGATTGAAGGAGACCTTTGGTGTCTTTATGGTGTTAGGGTGGGTAAATTGCTGAGTGGTTGTGTGCGCGACTTGATTCACGTAATCTAGGTACGCGAGATACACAGCGGGGTACGCGATTACGGACTCGATCGATGAAACAGCAGGGTCTCTTTGTTGGTATTGTTGCAGAGAGCAAGAAGGAAGAAGACGAAAATTGTTCAGTGCGATGATAGCAGAGTGATTAGCGAAAGGAAGAACTTGGTGATCACGTAGTAGGAGCAAGGTCGTCAGCAGTTTACGCCTGCCTCATGATTTGAGCGTGGTTTGTTGATTGGCTATCACATCGAGGTAGCCACCATATGGGGAAGTCGCACTCGGGCCTTCAAAGTCTAAGTCTACCTATTTGTTCCATGCGCGCTGCGCGTCTTCTGAGAGGCTACAACTCGTCATGGACGTTTGAGCCACAGTTTGTCTCGCGGATACTTTAGCACCGCTCGAAGCTCACACGTGTGGTCCAACTCATGACCATTCTCGTACTCAAATAAGGCCTCAAGACCAAGACCAAGGATCCTGCTGTTATCGCGTTGCCCGATGTCGCCACGCCTCCAATATTCGAGGGGGTCAGCCATCCTCCTCATCGGCTTGGGTCGCCGGAGGTGCTCCACGATTTCGCCCGACTTCCGAACTAAAGCCCCACCCACCACGCGCCTCAACTCAACGAGCTCTGGCCTCATCATCCTTTGTCAACCAGCTCGCTGCTGGCTTGGACCCCGCAGCAGCTCGCAGAGAAGGATTTCCAGATTCCGTGTCAGGTCTCGCTGCTGCACTCCGGCAAAAGGTTATCACATTGCCCCTTTGACAGACTGAACTCAAACTGCGTGAACGCTCAAATATCGGCGGTGCCGGAAGCGTCTGGCCTGTAGCCGTGCGTCGAGACAACAACGGAGAAGGCAGGCAGGTATGCAATGCACCTTTACACGATCTCTCGATTGCCATGGACTATCGAACTTGTTTCTAGGGCTCCCAAGACTGATCACAGGACCCATCTGCAGGCCGTTTTAGCAATTGTGTATCGTTCGGCTTGGAAAGTACGTCCCGTGATGCAGGCAGGAGATAACCTTGTATCAAGCGGTACCTTATCAGATGTTGGAATTTGGAAAAAATTCACCGCCTACGTCAAGCATCACTTTGGTCTGGTGAAACAGCGTCAATCAAACTATCCTGTATTACTCGACGCAGCTTCCTGTGGATTGGATAACTATGTTTGATTGAGCTGGCGGAAAGAAGTGTGTCCGGCACCCATCGCAAGCGTGCCTTGCCGGGCAAACAAGACAGTCGTCGAGGTAAATTGCACAAGTTCAAGCAATAGTGAAATGAGTATCACGCTTCATTTCCCGCTCATACGCATGCTCTCGGGAGCTTGCGATACGTACTGCGTTGAGATTGCTGCGTGTGTAACGCTTGGTATAATGACGGTCACCAAATTTGACCAAGACCGTCACAGGCCGGGTGACCCTGCTCAGTCTAGCTCACCACCATTACACCATCAACAAGGTAGATCACGCTGGTTATGACAATGACGATATTTTAAGATCATAAACTTGTCTCGTGTTTCGTAATTTGGTGTATATACGTGACTCGTGGGACGAACAGCGATGCGATGATCATCAAAGAGCGTCAACTGTCGGACATCAGAGCTGGAACCAACATGCATGGTGTTAACAATCTTACAAACCAACAACGATTGCAACAACCCGGTATGTCAGATGTAGCGCATCCACACTTAGTGCTACAGTCCGTTAGTATCGGTATTACGGAACGAATATCTGATCCAAGACTCACGCCGCAGGACGAGCAACCGCAGTTACTGCAGCCAGAAGAGCTGCAGCAGTTGGAGCAAGAGCAGGAAGGCATATTGATGATATATGAATTGACGTTAGGTAGTAACGGTGCTGTGAATGATCTGTTCTGTTGACAAGAATGTGAGATTCAGCCATTTATATATCCAAGATGGTCGCCATGTCTGAACAGCGCTCGCTGATATTAGCCGTCAACCACACCACATCTCACATCTACCCCTCACGATAATGCAGCAGAAGATACGAAGCCCGAGAACTAGACCGAGACTGAGGTATAATATACATTCCGCTTGGTGGATGTGATCAACGAATCGTCGAACATATCAGGGTCACATGCGGGCAGAGAGTGCCAAGCAGGAGGATGATGGATGTGCCAGCGCAGCAAATCGATTGGAGGGTAACGAGTCGGCAATATTCAACCAAAGCCTCGACTTCTTCTCTCATGCACGAGTAAGGCGCTTGAGACAGGGACTCATGAGATCTCTCACCTTCTGCCTTGGGCTTTGCTGGCGCTAAATATGAGCATTTTCTCATTGGCCGAGTGACAACAGTGTGAAAAGACCTCACGCATCCGCTACGCACTGAGATAGGGGAGAAACACTTGAGTGGTTTATAAACTAGTATTAGAAAAAGCAAGAGCTGGTATTGGGTATCGAGAGGTCATAATCGTAAAGCACGCCACTCCGAATCACTGGCAAACCATGAGCCGAAGCATCCCTTCTTCCAATCGTCTCGAGGGAGCATCAAACGATGCCATTGCTGTCCAGTCCAACGTTGAGCTTTTTGCGACAGATAGGACAGTACCATTTGGTTCGTCTCTTCGGAAGCTCCGTCAGACCGACACAGCCGAGATGGAACCATTCCAATTCGCACTAGATAGTATAGTCAGTAAAAGCATGTCAGATTATCAGGCTGAGCGCTTACGCTTTCATTGTCACAGGCAATCATTGTGCCGTGACTGACGTCTTGACAAATGCAGTAACGTGGCTCATCGGGATCAAGGTCCTCGAATTCCATGACGGGCGTGGCGGTCTCCTCCTTGGTCTCCTTTTGCTGATGAGACTTCTTCTTCTTCGATGGTCCCTTTGGCTTGCCTACTATGACCTTTGTTCCGTTGTCTTCAGCCTGGAGGATTCCCTGAGGGAGCTTCTTTCGAGTTGGTCTCTTTCCAGTAGTGGTGTCCAGAGTACTAGCTACAGCGACAGGCACAGGAGAGCGGACTTTGTTGTTCGCAGCACCAGGCAGCGACGCGTTCGAATTGCGACGTAGGCTTTGACGTCGATTAGCTGGTTCTGCAGATGCTGCCTTTGTGGCAGAGTGCTTGAGCGTGATGGTAGCAGGCTTTGCAGCTCTCGTGTTTGCAGCGGGCGTCTGAGCAACTGCCTCGGTCGGTGCGACTGGAGGTTCTGGCTGGGCGGAGTTGCGTTGACTGCGCTGCGTCTGCTGTCGTGCGGAAATGCGCGGACTGGGGGCCACAGGTGTGCTAGCGCTACTGGGAGACGAAGTATCTTTGGCAGCAGTGATGGCACGATGAGAGATGGTAATTGTGGGCGTGTCCGCAGGTGGTGGAGCGGCAACGCTCAACTTCAGCTTCTTTGGCTGTGGACCTGGGCGAGGAAGTGAAAGAACGTCAGGAGACTCCGCGACAGGCTCAGCTGGAGGTGGTACTACCGCAGGAGTAGTCGCGTCACGTTTCCGCTTTCTTGTCGTGACGGGTTCGGTACTTGCCACAGGTTCTGCCTTCTTCGCAGTTTCTGGCGCGGCGGGAGGTTCACTGACAGGCTCGAGCCGTGGAGATGCCGTAGCAGCTGGTGTTTCCTCTGGCTGTACGATTTCTGGTACAGACACAGGTACAGGCTTTGATTTAGCTTGCTTCTTTTGTTTCGGCTCAGCCTTACTCTTTGGCTCGGATACAGGCAATGCTTGTTCCACGAAAGGCAGCTGCACGATCTCTGCTTGTTCCGTGGCAGGCGCGGCAGGTGGCTCTGATTCAATCTGTGGTGTTACAGCTTGTTTGCTAGGCTGCACTGGTGACTTGGACTTTGATTGCGCCTTTTGTGGCGATTTCTTCTCCTTGTTCTGCTCTAGGGGAGGTTGCAAACCGCCCTCCTCCTGTAGTTTGACAGCAGCCTCTTCAGCCTTGAGTTTCTCCCGTTTCAGCTTCTTGGCCTCGTTGAGACGCATGCCACGATTGATAAGCGCGGCATCGTGATTGTCATCTGGCAACTCCGGACCGAGCATTTTGGCCGTCTCAGCCTGTTGCGCATCCGTAATGTGAATACAGGTTGGATCGGACCACGCAAGGGGATCGAATTCGTCAAGGAATTCTTGACCCGAAGCTTCTGCAGCGGCTTTTGCCTCTTCCATGGCAGTCACACCTCTTCCAAGATTCTTCAGCTCCCGGTTCCTCATTGCAGGCGATGGGAGCCAGATGGCATTCTTCTTCATCCTCTTGCGAAGCGTGGCCATCTCGTACTCGGTCAGTCTCTTCCATGGCAGCCACTTGCTTCCTGGCGCTGCGTCTGGAGGCGGGGCAGTCAGAGCCATCAGGGCATTCGATGTACTTATGCCCGCGACGGCTGAGTGTGCGTTGGTACCACTAGAACCAGGTAGACGAATACGAGGGGGCTTCTGGGCGGCATCCTTGGGTTCTGCGGCAGGCTTGGGCAGCTTTGGTGTCTTTGGCGGTCTACCAGGAGTCTTGTTGTTGCGAGACTTGTCATGACCAGGCGAGCGAGGTGGAGGTGATGGAGAGGGCGAGAAGTCGGATGGTGGAGGTGAATCTGGGTTTGGAGGTGGAAGGACTTCGCCAGGGACCATGATCTTATGCGCTCTTACGCGTGGAGCGTTGCCGGTACGGTGTTGGGCGGTGCGTTTGTCAGCCTGCTGTTGTGCCTGGGCATTTCTTCTCAGCTGGGGAGACGATAGGCCAGGGTCCGGTGTCGCATCGCGCTCGGGTGGTAGAGGCAAGGCCTTGAGCTTCTTTTGCACGATCTGTAGCTTCGCACCATCTTTGACAACGGTTTCTTCGAGACGGATGGCCTCAGCGAGGGACATGCGTTTGCACTTCTCCAGCGCGTCGTAGGCATGGCTGATGTCTTTGCGCAATCGGACAGGATCAGGCGCGTCGGTCGCCGTCGCGGTGATCTGCGGAAGATTGCTGTATGTGCTCAGGTGATTGTGGATCTCGAGCTGAAGCTCGTTGGCCTTGTAGTTCAGGCTTTTGATGAGGAAGAGACTGCGAGCGATGGTCGAAGGAAGGTGCTCGCTGTACGTGAGGAAGTCGCTGAGCGTAGCTTGGACGTCGGGATCGATTTGTCGGCCAGGATCCAGATCCATGGCCATGTCAAGGTGGAGCATCTCGGTGCTCATGTTTGCGCCGGCACATCTGAGGTTGGTCAGGAATGTGATGGAGTTGTGTTCAGTTCTCCTGATGCACGCGTTGCGCGTCCAGCATCAGCTTCCCCACAGGTTGGCAGCACCGCGCACGGGCCTTTTCACATGCGTCTTCTATCGTACAACGCTGTCCACCCAGCTTGCAGGAGTTCATGTTCGTATAACAAAGTGGTTTGGTGAGAATATTATGTTTGAACAAGGCTACTCAGCAGTATCCTCCAAGGAACAAAACAGATGAGGAGTAAAATGATCAAGTGTGTAGTAGAAAGATTAAGTATGAGCACTTCCAGTATATGGTATTTGCCAGACTCGTGACATGGTAGAATTGAGAGAAGACAATCTGAAAGCAGGGCGAGAAAAGAGCTGGTAAGGGCTTGATCTACGGTCAAGCAGTATCATACGATAGCTGGTGCGTCTTCCTGTGTCGACTTCGGTGGTGCGAATACATCAATAGTACATCCTTCGTGATATCATGGTTGAGGTTATCGTCGCAAGGCTTGGCAGTCGCGTCTACCGCGATCATCTCAGCCCTACCACTGCAATGTGACCATCTAGAGCATTCTCAAATTCATTCTGCTCACCTCAGCTAAACACCCGAAACGTCTGTATGTAGACGCGCAAAGAGCGACTTCCCCTTTCTCAATGGAAGCCGCAATACGCTGGTCTCCCCTCTCGACCCCCGATCAAGCTCGCTTTTTGCTAGCCGATGTCGCCGGCAATGCTCTTACCCTCTATGAGACTCGGTCCTTGAACAGACAAGGCATTCAGTACAAGCCAATAGCCCGCCGCGAGAAAGTTAATAACTTCACCGCTTTCGACTGGTCTAGGACAGATGACTCGCTTGTAGCTTTGGGCCTCTCATCTGGCAATGCCGAGCTATATAGATTTGATGATTCTGCCTCATCTGATCCTGTCGCCCTTTTCAATATCAAGACGCAACGAAGATGTAACACTATTGCATTCAACACACAGAATCTTCTTGCAGTTGGTTTAGATCGAGTTAGACATGATAATTGTCTTACCGTATACGACATCGAATCCAATGAAGCATATTCGAGATTGTGCGTTTCAGAGGCTGTCACAAGTATTCGCTTCTTCCCTCACCATCCACAGCAAATGCTGGCTGCTGTCTCACGTCAAACCATCCGTCTGTACGATTTGCGAGGTAAGCTTCATGGTTGATCCGGGAGGCATCACACTGTAAATGGTTTAAAGACTAACACCCGGAACAGACTCGTCCACCAGTACTGCAGGACTGGGCAACTGTGGTATAACGAAACTGGTCAACAATATCGCTATCGACCCTTTGGACGAGAACTACTTTGCGTCGGGCGGCTCGACAGGTGATCCATCTGTCACGGTCTGGGATAAGCGATACTTGTCACGCTCAAATAGTGCAGCAGGTGCTGATGCCACCAACAATGGTGCAGTCCTTGACTTACGTCCAGCAACGGATAACAGTCAAACCACTAGCGTCTGGAGCATCAGATATTCAGGCCAGAAAAGGGGACGTTTCTGTGTCTTGTCCAGCACAGGAGAGGTCAAGCTGTATGACACAGCACAGCATAAAGTACATTCGAAGCTGCGGCCAGCATCGGTAAATTACTACGGAGGGAATCCTTGGAATCAGCCTCATTATGTTTCACGTACCCACAGTCTACGAGAACCAGAAACTGGTACAAGAAAAGACAGAGGCGCCAATAGGATTATTGCTTTTGACTGGGTGTCCCTCGACGATCAGGATCGCCAGGCCATTATAGCGTTGCACCCGAATCGCGACATCGATCTGATCTATGCTCCTAATCCGAATCATGTCGACATCACTGGACGAGGTGACCTGTCTATCTGCAACAAAGGGTTATCCATCTTTGAACCAAAGGATCAGTACCCTTGTGTCGCGCAAGAAGTACGAGCACTGCGGAAAGCTTCTGACAGTGGAAGCCCCAGCCAGGACGAGCAATATCCATCCAAAGCTCCGAACCCGATGAGTGGACCATCTCAGCTGGATCACCGCAACCTTAAGTCACTGAATGGGTCCAAAACAGCCACTGCTGCTAGAACGGAGGAATGGCTGGATGATAGCGTGACCAAGGCTCCCGAGATTCTGCGCAACGATAGAGTGGTGGATCTGCTGGCTCTTGCCAACGTGCCACGTAGGCGCTGCCAAGAAGGTTATCTCTTTGATCCTCGAAGAAATATCGAGATTGTTGCCGAAGACCCGGCATTGATCAAACTTTGGAGCACCATCAAGAGATTCGAAGACCTGGCTCGAGACGGAGGCATGGCATCAGATACTCTTGACTTGAGCTTTCTCGGTGTGAGCAACATCTGGGAAGGTAAATTGGGCAACGGTCCGAACAGAGTGACATCTGCCTCCAATGCACTTCCCGAGACGTTCGAAGACGTGGTACGCAAAGTACTCGAACGTCACAGTCTGCCCGATTACGTCGGAGTACGAACAGAGAAACCCGAGCAACGTCAGCTATGTCTGGCATTGTGTGGATGGGACTTTTCGCATGAGCATACGAAAGAGCGATGCGATTACCTTGTCAAGAAGCAACGATACTACGAAGCAGTAGCGACTGCCATGTTTAGAGGACGCAAGACAATCGCTCTCGAGATCTTGCGAGATCTGATCCGCGAGCGAACTATCCAGAATATCGGACTGGGAGCTTTGATAGCGTCAGACTCGCTCAACGACGAGCAACGCGAAATGTGCCGCTGGATGGAAGAAGACGCGACAGATCCATATCTGAGATCTCTTCTCATTTTCCTGTCCAGCAGCGATTGGATTGACGTAGTCCACAAACTCGACGCTGACATCAAACTCTCTGACCGTCTAGGCATCGCCATCAAACATCTCAGCGACAGCCAAATCTCAACCTTCATCTCCCAAACCAGCAGCACTTTGATCACAGCCGGAAATGTAGAAGGCGTGCTCCTAACAGGTCTGAGCGAGAAAGCCATGGAACTCTTCCAATCCTACATCCGTCGCACGTCAGACCTACAGACCGCCGTCCTAGCCACCGCGTTCACAAACCCTCTTTACGTCAACGACGCTCGCTGGGAAATGTGGAAGGAAACCTACTTTATGCAAATGCAATCCTGGCGTGCCTTTATCGAGCGTACAAAATTCAGTATGCAGCATACCCGTCGCGCAGTCACTAGAGGAGGTACAAAACTCATCGCGCCGCCACCAAGACAATTGGCTCTCCGCTGTGCACACTGCCAACACTCTCTCGCAAAGGAAAGTGCCACACACACCCATCACCCACATGGTAGTAGTACACCAGCCAAAGGAGCACAGCCAAGGATTGCTGGCCCGGCTGCGAGTGCAGGAACAGTATGTCCTCGTTGTGGTCGCCATCTTCCACGCTGTTGCTTGTGTATGCAATGGCTGGGTACCCCTGAGCCCACGCGCGCGAAAGAGGTTCAGAGTGGTGAAAAGGAGACGGATGTGTTGAGTAAATTCATCACTTTTTGTGCTACCTGTACGCATGGATTTCATGCTCATCATGCCAGGACATGGTTCGCTAGGCATGCCATGTGTCCTGTGCCGGATTGTCGATGCCTGTGTGGATTGAAGTAGACGGTGATGGACGGAATGAACATCAGAGTATTGATAGCAACACTCATCGTGCAGAACCTTTCACTGCGAACAGACGTGTAGACGACGAGAGAAAAACGTGTATGAGGGAAAATGAAAATCGCTGCATTCTTTCTCGTTCAAAGCTGCTTCATGCGGCCCATCTCTTGCTATGCTAGAACTAACAACGACAAATTTATCTTATTGAAAGGAAAAAGGTGAAAGTCGGCACAGTGTATCCTCATCAGGCCCCTTTTACCCCTTCGAGCCACATAGCCTTCTATCTATCCACAGACCTGCTGTAATCGTCTTTGACCTGAAGCCAAAATAAGGAGGAATCTTGAGCAAGTGACGAAAAGTGTTTTGGCGTTATTGCATGACAGAGACATGAAATCGTGTGAGATCATGTATGTTGTCTGGATTTGGTGTGCTGACATTCAGAGCTGCGAGATGACTTAGAAAGTCTCCTCCTCGATTAACTCGCCCTCCTCATCGTCAACCTCTGCTGGGATCTCGAAGCCCTCCTGTGAGCGCATCAGTAAGTGTCGTCGTCCTCTGTTCCAGCACCAGAAAGAGAACCTACCTCGGTCGAGTAGAGAATAGTCTGTATTTGCTTCAAGAGACCGCCCTCATCCTTTTCGAGCTCGGGCTCGGCTTCCATGGCACCCTGGACGAGCAATTCAATGTCTCTGAGCTTGCTGAAGTAAAAGTCGCGCTCGCGCTCCAGGCCCTGAACAGTCTCCTTAAGTGCGTTGTTCTCCTGTGTCAAAGCAGCGGTCTGAGCACCACCTCCTGAGCCTCCAAGAGGAGTGCGTGTTCTTGTGACAGCGGCGGAGGTTGCGGAGACGGCGGGGGCGCGCCTTGTGGTGGAAGCTCTCGGGGCAGCAGCAGGAGCGGAGCCAACAGATTGGTTTTTTCTACGGGCCAGGGCGTCGTAGTCACCACCTAGTTCTTCGTTAGTACATGTCGAGGTTGTGTTGGTGTAGGAAGCCGACCAACCAGGGTAGTGCTGGTCCCAGAAACGCTTTGTCCACTGCAGGAATTCGAGATTGTCCTGCATCTTGCACTTGACTAGTTGCTCGACGGGAATGGGACGATCGACGTGGTGCTTGCGGAAGGCGTTGCTCAGAATCTTGAAGTTGTCCAGGTATGCATAGTCGGCGCTTGCGTTAAACTTCACACGAGCCATGGGCAAGTCGACTGGAGGAAAGAAAGTCAGCCGAAGGGAATGACATGGAAGCAAAGGCAGAGAAGCGTACGGAAGATGCTGTCGTAGATTGCGCAGAATGGGGCACTGAATGCTTTGTCAGTCGGAGCATGGTGTGGGAGCGAGTTGGGCGCGTTGGTACCCGGTACCGCATTGCTCGACACGGGTGAGGTTGAGCGAGCAAAGGCTGTTGAGCCATTGCAAGAGTTCTTGTCTGTAGCGGCACCAGTTAGCTGTGGACTGCTCCTCCCCTGACATGCGCCGGGTGGGCAGAAGCACATGCCTTGATTCACCCATGTTTGGAGTATGTGTGTTTCTTCTCTTGTTGATGCAGCTTTGTTGTAGGAGTAGATGGAAACGGCGGAACGAGAGTGGGTGTGAAAGCGGATCGAAAGTGGTGAGAGGTGTGAGTGGATAGAGACAAAATGTCTTGCCAACTAGCACAGGCCGGGTGTTTGCTTCCTGACGCCGATTTCCATCCCAAAACAACACGCCCCGCCAATCCACGCCTGCCAAGCAAAGCTCATTTCCAACCCTGTCCTTCTTACCACCTCTTCAGCCCGAGAGCACTACTTTACCGATGTTGGAACTAGATTTGTGATGTCCGGATTCAGTAATAACCTCAAAATTCATCGTCACATTACACATCACTCTGTTTGGTCCTTGCATCAGTAGGCGGCCAACTTCAGTAGCAGACATCTGTGCATTGTGACTTGTGAGTACATGGTTCAATCTGGTTACCTTCGGATGTGTCTTGGTTATGGGCGCCTCAATATTACCAAAGCAGCGTCAACCATCGCAACACACGAGAGCTTATCGAAACATGTCACCACCAGGATATGAGGGTCCTGAATACTAGATCCGCGTCCTTCTGAGTACCCGGATCAAAAGGTGTTTCTGACAGAATGAAGATGCAAGGCTTTTGATATTTAGTGATTTCATATCCGCGTATGTGATGAGGTAGTCCAGCTTTCTTTGCTCGAATCCGAATGTCTTTTTACCCTCGAGCGCCCCTAACGCCTTAGGTGCAACCTGATAGCATGGTTTCCGGTTTTACATCCCTCGAGACTTCGATGATTGTGGTCGGAAAGGCAGCACTTTGCTGTGTCGACACCATCTGACCATTCCAGCCATTCATCCTATGACTTTGCGCGCGCGACGCAGCCGTGCCGTCCTTGGAAATTCTGGCCAGTTCCAGAGTCGTCTATCCTTCTGGGTCTTGTTTCTTGTCCAGGTCCCTCTCTCAACTCATCTCCACATCTTCCTTCTTTGACTTATTGCTTGCTGAGATCCAGAGAACGTTGTTGCATCTGATGAGGACCTGACCGAGGCTACCGCCAGACTTTCCGTCAATCCACTCCTCTGCGTTGGAAAGTTGAATGTTCATGTACGAGTCGACCGAGACGAGCAGACCGGTGTATTCCTGACCCCACTTCAGGCGAATGCGAACCTCATCATTGACGCTGTGATTGAGCCATGTCAGTATGGTTGACCCAGAGGGTGGACGCGATCGGCGGAAGAAACAGAACGGTGACGGGTGGACGAACAGTGATTGCAGCATGGGCCGCGGGTTCAAGGGGACAAACTGCGAGTGAGTCAGTACACAGATTCGTGTAGTCTACGCGACAACGTTCAGCTCACACTCATGATGTTGGTGAAGGGTGGATATGACTTGTGATGATATGCGCAATACCAATGTCGCGCTCTGGATGGTCAAGCTGCACTCAATTGCCAGTCGCGAGCTTGGACCTCCTTCAGTTTGCGGCGATTCCCGCTCTATCAGAACAGCTACAACTACAACTCCATGTGCTGATTTGAACCATACCATCGAGCAACACAAGGACCTGCTCGAGGTTACATTCAATTGACAATTTGTGAGCGATGCTCATGAGTTTACTCAATACACGACCGACCGTCTTGTAGTATCGAAGACAAACATGAAATACACAGAAACAACAATTCTCAATGACTTAGCAAGCAGAGGATCAATGCATCTACCAGATGAAGCACGAAGGGACTGACTCATGATTGGGTAAACTTTCAAAAATTCTCAATTTTGCTATCGCACGGAAGACGACTTAGTTGGTGGTGACAATGGTACATGAATGGGTTTCAGCACGCTTGGAGCAAAGGCCCGTAATTCCCTAGGAATTCATTGACAGTTTCCTTTTCCAGTTCTTTGCCGTGACTGCTTTTTGGTTTCATAGGCCGATGTGCAGAAACGACCTCGCTCTCTTCAAGGGAGTGAGCTGATTTAAGCACCAAGGGTGGGGAAGTCCGAGGAGCTGGTAACGTTGGGCGAGGCACCAGTGCGGGCAGCGCGGGGAGCGCTCTCACGAGGGGCAGCATCACCTCTAGCGGCACCACCACGGGGACCACCACGGCCGCCACGAGGTCCACCACGGGGACGGTCACCACCACGAGCACCACCGCGGGCACCACCACGGCCACCACGGAATCCAGAGTCCTGGGTCTGGGACTGCTCCTCCTTCCAGGCTTGGTCAATGTCGAGCAGGTTCTTGTCCTTGCGCTCCTTCTGCTTCTTGGCCTTGCCAGCGGAGGGGGCGACGTAGTTCTCGTTGGCGTCACGCTCGAAAGCCTTGCCCTCGGGGAACTTCTTGGAAGCACCCTCGTTGGGCTTGCGGGCCTCGAAGTTACCGGCAAGAGCGGCCTTCTTCTCGAGCTGCTCGGCGAGGTACTGCTCGTAGGACTTGACGTTGTCCTCCTCGGCGGGAACCTCCTGGGCAGCGGCACCCTCGGCATCGACGGGAGTGGCATCGGCGACAATACCCTCCTTGGCCTCCTCGGCCTTAGCATCGGCAAGAGCAGCCTTCTCGTCGTTCAACTCGGCGTTACCGGTCTCGTGACCCCAGGCGGCACCGGCCTGCTTGGCGTGGTCCTACGATCTTGTCAGAGAGCGATTCATTGATGTAAACATGCAGTCCAAACTCACGTTGCTACCGGCGTGGCCAGTACGGTCGTGCTTGTCGCCGGCGCGGGGGTTTCTACCACCAGCACCACGGGGACCACCGCGGCCACCACGGCCACCACGGCCCTCGCCGTCACCTCTGGGGCGGCGGTCCTGGCGGACACCGTCATCGGTAGGCTTGGATCTGTTGTTAGAAGCACCTGCGCCTCTATCGCGGAAAGCTACGGCGTTTGGTGTCAGTGGTGGAGATTCGGGCGGTGGGTCGAATGAGGTAAAATACCCTGCTCAGAGCCAGTGAAGGCGGCGTTGCGTCCACCACGGCCAGCGGGTCTGGGAGCGTCGGTCGAGGGAGCCTCGGGACCAGCGTTGCGCTTGCCGGCGCGAGGGACGGGCTTGTCCATGACCTTGGTAGGAGGTTCAGGCTCTCTGTTGGGGTCGAGCTCCAGGTCGTTGCCTGTATACGAGACTGGTTAGAGGGCTCGTCATATGTCCATTGTGCGGTTTTTCGATACCCAGAAGCTCGTAAAGGTTCTGCACGCAAGAATTGGGTCAGCGGTTGTCCATTGGAGATGCGAAATGGCGTTTCGGGAGCTCTCGTCGAGCTGCAATTGATCCAGGTCGAAATTGCAGACTTGCGCACGAAGTGCCGCCGTGGAAGCAGACGTACCTTGCTTGCCACAGAAGCCATTTTTTCTGTTCTTGATCTGTCTCTGTGTGATGAGCGATATCAGACTCTCCCCGTCGCTGAAGTGCAGAGCTGGCGTTGCTGCGAAATCCACTCGCAAACTTGGATGGCCCGTGCACGCTTTTCTCTTTGTGCGTTTGTCGAACAGCTCGGTTAAGCCTTTCTCATAATGACTTCGGAGTTGTGACGAGTTGTACTACCGTAGGGTTGCTCGCACGAGTCTTCAATCTGTCTATTTACTACGTGTGAATTGTGTGCGTTCAAGAGTTCATACACCTATTCTACTGTGAGCGCTGCATTCGAGCGCACATCGTTGGATCATTTTGGACTCAGTGGACTATCTTATCCTCGACCCCGCGGCGGCTTGTTTCACCCCTCCAACACATCTAGATTTGCATCAGACAATTCACTCTAGCAATTGATTAATCGAGACGTCTCGCAAACACATAGGTCTTTGACGTAAAGCCTAGATGGTGCTTTGATAATAGCTTGGATTTTGCAATCACTCGATTGTTGATTACAGTAGTCATCCATGCATCAAAACATGTATCGGTAGCCAGCGTGATGCCAGCTGAAGCAACAACTATGATTGCTAGAGTCGTAATTCCACCCAGCTGCAACTCTTTCCCCCGTGCCCAAACACCTTTGCTATGCCGCAGTAATATTAAAGAATAATTCCCATCTGAAACAGCAACTTTTTGTTTGAACATATGTGTTCATCCTTTCTGTACATCATACTCCGTAACTTTTTTCTTCGCCTCTAGTGATGCAACACAAGGCTTCTCTAGAGCAACACACCTGCAAACAAGCCAACCCTCCAAAGCAAATAAACACTGTCCATTTGGAGTAGGTCCTCAGATCCTCGTCCTGATCACAAGGACTCAGCTCTTCACCTCGGTGGTGGATGTTGGAAACCATAATCTGTCGGGAAATGCATGCTTGCTGACAACCCGAATGGATCCGCGTCCATCATGGGGTCGTAAGGATCGAAGATCTGGTTCATTCCGGGAATCTGGCCTTCCCCTGGGTGGCCTCGGTCGTGTTCCTGAGCACTACCCTTGGCAGGGCCGTGGTGGTCGGCGTGTTGTGCGGGATGTGTTGCGTGGTAAGGGTTCGAAGGAGGGAATTGGGTGGGCTCGGGGCCTTGGACGGGAGCTTGTTCGTTCGCTTCGGATTCGGTCTCGAGCATCGACGATGATGTTGGTTGCGCGTCGTACTCCTGATCTGTACTCACGAGATTAACCTAGGACGACAGAGTTCTATCGAGCATGCCCGAAAGAGGGAACGAGACCACTTGCCCAGCTGCTCAATGTGTTTTTGGAATGGCGATGGGTAGAATGCCGATGCACCACCTGGAACCCCATTGGTTGATTCTGCGATGCTAGATACTCCGTTGGGCGCCGAGAAGGCAGGTCCGCGGTGCTGAGGCGGGTGCTGCATGACGTAGCGTGTACGAGGCGGTTGAGGTACACCATACTGTTGCTGCTGCCCTCCAGCAATTACCGATGCTGGCGGGGTCATGGCTCCGGGCTGCAAAGCAGCAGGTGACTGAGTAGACAAGGCTGTGGGTGAGGAAGCATGAGACGACGGGGTGGGATGGCCTTGGGGAGAACGGGCAGAGAAAGAAAGATCAGATTGCGCTGTCGCACCAGGTCCGATCCGAGGAGGATAGACCTGGCCGGAGCGTCTTGCATGCTGACGGTTCAATGCTGTACGTTGAAGAGGAGCAGCTGCCATTGGCGCCGGTGCATGATGAGGGATATACGAGTGTCCGAGAGCAGGGCTACCCGTCTTCATCTGCAACTCGGCCTGCACATCAATGCCTGGATGCTGGTCAGCTGGGACGACGACGAAAGATAAGAGCCGACGATGAGTAACGAACCCTTCTCCAACAAGATTCTTTCGAGAAGCGAATTCTTGTATCGGAGCATGAGACATTCGTCAGCCGCGCTGCGGTGACTCTGTTGCAATGTCTGCAGTGTCTCTTCATGGTGCTTGATGGTGGTCTCGAGTTGCTTGATGTATTCGGTGCGGCGCTCTCGGAAGGCAGCCTGGGCTTGCCTGTTCCTCTGCTTGCGCTCTTCCGAGGTGGCATATATCTTTGGCTGGGTTAGCAAGGCCATGACGTGTGACATTTACAATATGCTACGAGTCTATCTCAAACTTGAGAGATGGAAATGTGTCACGACGTACAGGTTTGCGGCCTCCTTTGCGCTTCTGCGGCTGGGCCGGGTCTTGTACTATCTCAGTGGTGGAAGGCTCGGGAGTCGACTCAAGCGAGCTCGGCGTGGCCTCTTGCCCGGCATCGCCATGGTCATTGATAGCGTGGTCGATGTCGGTAGCAGCCATTTGAGTGGTGCTGTTATTGTTATCTCCCATCTGCAGGTACCCCTCTGGCCGAGCTTGAGATACCCCTCAGATAGCGCAGGTTAGATGCGGAGATAGCAGTCGCAATAGGTCCAAAGGCGGGGAGACGTAAAACTAGATGTCAAGCGATTGCTAATCGTGGGCGATAAGCTTGCAAGGCATGTGCGAAAAGTGAGCGACAATTGGTGAGGTAAGTAGTTGGGTAATGAAAACGGCAGGTGGTAAGAGGGATTAAGCAAGCCCATAGAATAAGAAAATTCTCTCGCAAGCCCTTCGTCTCCGCACTTGCGCGCATGACGCGCGCTTGCTGAACGGTGGCCCGGCTCCGAGTCCTCTCTGCGCCCTGTCACCAGCGACAGGTGATGAGAAGGAGGGGCCCGGTCTCTCGTCGGCGCTGGCCGGACGAAGACAAGGAGCGAGCAGCCACTCCGCCGGCCATGTGGGCATGCGAAAGGGCCACGAAGCCTGCTTGGCTTGGGAACGATGCTTCAAAACCCGCCAATTCCCCTCACTCTCGCGCGCCATTTCCAGCGAAGAAATGATCTGATTTTGCATCGACCTGCAGGACATCGGGACAAGATACCTGTTCAAGCCTAGCAGATCCGACACTTCCTTCTAGCGGGCTTGGACACAACTTTAAATCTCCGCGGACTGAAGCATCATTTCGCGAGTCCGCGTCGCCATCAATCTCAATCTCATGTCTCATGATGATGGACAATGCCATGTTGACCACCATGGCTGTTCGAAACATCATTGAGCTTGCAGCGCAGCAAGAATGCAGATAAACAATCAATGCCGCAATGCCCGAGTTAGTTTCCGACCTGAAGTCTGTTGGTAAGACATGGTTGCCTTGACCGCATGACCTCGCAGGATTGGCAATTTGACGAGATTAGACAACGAAGTCTACATCGGGGATTGACTGTGATCGCGGAGGGCCGAAAGCCATATGGTGCTTGGAGACAAGATTGTCGATGTTCGAGTGGAATCATCGCTGATGTTGTCTCTGTATGAAGAGACAGCAGTGAATGTGTCCTAGGTATAAATTGCTTAATCGTGATTCCGAACAGTTCTCAGGACGCATTGTAAGCAGTGGCATGGAGATTCGTGCCTTCCAACTGTAAGTGATCAAGCCAAGGATGTATTCTTGACATGAGCGTTCAACATCTCCTTCCCTCAATGCATATTCGGCGCCAGCAACAGCAAGCATCTCCATCAACTGGCTGCACGTCCTTCGTTTTAGCATCTTCAGGATACCACAGTCCTTTTCCTTTGTCGACATCATCCCAGCGACGGCGTTCTCTAGCCTGCCCCTTCGACTTCGTGCATACGCGGGCCGTATCATGGATGGAGGACAACACGAAAAAGGGAAAAAACCAGTCTTTACAATCGAACGAGGAGACCCACCTGGACGTCAAAGATGGCCGCCAGGCATGCGACCCCTTTCAGACATTCGCGAGCTCACCGAGCCAAGCCTGGTCGACGCTCTAGAGAAGAGGTCTATCATAAGCGTCCATCGCCAACCTAGCATCACTCGGCAAAGCTCGCTCAGGAGGGGCCCTTCTGTGAAGCGCACTAGCTCGGTCAGGATTATCGAGCCTGCTGGTAGCTCTAGCTCGAGTTACAGAGATGATTTAATCACGACCGAATCGACCATCGACACACCAGAAAGCCTACGCGACGGCTCAAGTCTGTACAGTATACCTATCTCTAGCATACCCGCTCGGCAATCTTCAAACACTCGCGATCGTCCCAGACATCAGCGAAACCATACATCAAGATCGTCTCCTACACCACTCCAACGCAACGTCAGCCGCACCATTCCATATCGTGGGCAGAGCCATTCTCCAGTCAAGCAGATTAGAGCTCGCTTGGACGCTGTAGGATCTGACACGTCGAGAAGAGTGCCGTCCGGTACATTTATTCGAAATCCCGTCCCACGAGACATCCTCGAGTTTCCAACCCATCGTCACCCGCGCATTGGCGCTGATCTACAGATAGCAGCCCCGCTGTTCGTTGGCGGCGGTACAGTCGAGGGATTCGTCAGGGTCATCGTTGACGAAGCCGACAAATCACGTAACAAGAAGAGTTTGACTCTAGGAAGAATAGCCGTTGATCTCGTCGGGACTGAAGAGACGTCGAGTAATCGCAAGGCCATCTTCTTGTCTTTGGGTACTGAGTTGATTGACTCGACCCATCCACCACCTCGTAACATGATAGAGCCACAAGACTTCCCGGATGATGACTGCTTTTGGTCTCTGATACCCTCCTTCACCAGTCTGCCCTTCGTCATTAGCCTCCCTCTGGACACCGGACCGCCGCCGTTTCACTCCAAGCATGCTCGCATTCGATTTGTACTGTGTGCTACTATTCTGATCAAGGATGGAGGTAGGCAATACTTGGTTCGATGTTCTGAGGATATCTCTGTCCTACCAACGTATGACCGTACGTAGAGTCATTGTGACGTGGACGTCGAGGCATTTGCTAATGGCCCAGTTACAGCAGAGAAGGCCTTGAGGTCACTGCCGAGCCCACTGACTGCGTCCGATGAGCAATCTTTCTCGCGATCCGGTCTGCTCGAAACAGCCAAGATGACAGCAGGTCTTCACCGACAAGTATGGGTCAGCGGTAGCAGTATCTTCGTAGATATCCACATCGCCAATGGCAGTCGGAAGACCATCAAGAAGCTTGACTTGAGTTTAGAAAGGGACATATTGTGCTATCGGCATGTAAGTCAGCACTCCATATCTACTACTTACTTCACTGATACTGATCACGACCCAGGCGGCAGCGGCCACTCTGGAACAGTCTGCCAGTCAAGCTAGGATATTTGAAAGCAACGAGCGATCTATACTAAGTAAACATAGCATGAAACAGGGAGCCAACGGATGGACTGGTGTAGAAGCATATGGTTCCATCACGAGAACATGCGACCTCGAGATCCCAAGAGGACATGCCACAATCAAATGCGGTATGTCCCATCCAACTATTCCCATGCGGCATCCTCTCACTTCATATCAGGCAACTATTTTGAAGTGCGGTATTTCCTCAACATTACCATCGGTGGTTCCCGCACGTAAGTCACATGCTTCCAATGCGTAGCTCTGGATTGCAACTAAGCAGAAACCTTCGCAGGAAAATGTTGTCAATTCAGCTGCCAATCATTGTCATTCATATGGTAAGGCAGCCAACATGCTCAGCGGACTGTTGCTGACACATAGGCAGAACTCGTTGGATGTTTTACCAAACTCCGTTGCACAGGTCGCTGCAGCGATAGAAGAGAAACGCTCAAACCATCGCCGCCACAAGCATTCGACATCACACGCGTCTTCAAAAGTTGGTCAGACGTCAAACTCGCCAGCACGGACGATCGTCACTTCCCTTGCCAAACCGTCGCGCCTACAGGGTCGCGCCTTCGCAGCACCAAGACAACAATCTCTCGAGCGTATGCGTGCCTCTGCGGCAGATCTCCGACAACTCGAAGAAGCTTTAGAGTCCTCTCCGCGCAAGCATCAAGTCTCAAAGCGGCTTACCGAAGTGAAAGCACCTCAGCGAAGCAAATCTGTCGGAAAAGAGAACGTAAGGGCAGCTAGTACGAGGATTGTGTCTCGGCCGGCACGAGAAGTACACAAGCAGCCGAGTAATTTGGCCACGGGTGGGATCAGTGTTGGGAGCTACACCATCTTCAGTCATAACAATTACGACAACACCAATACCAGTTCCTCCAACGATAACGGTAGGATGGAATACGTCACCCCTCCCTCAAAGCGCAAAGAGAAGTTCTTCTCGTCTCCGATCAAATTGGACGGCAAGAGCGTAGGCTCGGCTCTCAAACACGTCCGCAGCATCGACAGCTTTCGTAGCCACAAATCGACAACGAACAGATGGCGAGATCATTTTAGCAAGAAGAAGGATGGTCAGCCGTCTCGACCTCCACCTCCTGTTCCGGCGACAGATCTAGTCACGAGCAACAGATCCAGGATACAACAACAGCATTCGTCAGTACCTTTTATGCTAGGCTTGACGAACCAGGCACCACCCAGACCCCTCAGACGCTCGTTCGATCATGAGATCAGAAACCAAGTCGTCGAGTACACCAGACCACCTGACAAGAGCAGGTTCGAATTCAAGGCTGTTACGAAGAAGAGCAGTACCATGGGATTGAAGAATTGGCTTGGGGAGAGACTTGGTCGTACGAGTCATTGACGGGAGGAGACGACAATATGAGGCACGAGACTAAAGTGGAAGGTTAGTCGTAAGCCTTTGATTAGGACATTGGACGAGTGTAGGAGTAAAAACAGACCTTGACGAGCAACATGACGATGACCATCTTACGACCGACATTACATAGCACAACAATGAATACACAGACATCAGGGGGTGCGATTAACCTCCATATCTCTCTTCAACAAAACCTCATAACAAAGGTAGGCAGAAGTAAGGGTTGAACAAAAACACAATCAATTCGCATTTTCCGAAATGTAAATGTGGGAACAGACTGAAAGCACTCCATTCCCATGCTGTGATAATAAACGAAATGCTCCCAAGGATGATCAACCTCCATGCCGAACAAGAAAAACAAAGCGCCGTTTTCTCATCAGAGTCTGTACTCCTGATGACTTTTATAAAAAAAAAAAAAAAAACGCCTTCTGGTGTCGATTTGGAAAAAAAATTACAGTGCTGTTCTTGTCAAAAACAACACTCCTCGCCAACTCCGAAAACACATAAACAAAACAGTGGAAACAAGCATCCTATCCTTCGTGTCATGCTGTGTTTGTGGTGGGGGAATAAGTATACAGAAAACAACTTTCGAAAAAAAAAAAGAAGAATCGCAGAGTAGAAGATACGAAAAGGTGTGTTGCGAGACCATCGAGTCTGCAATGGTGATGACGATGAGAGATGCCGGAAAATCAGCGTCTCTTGGGTGTTGCGAGTGCGGCAAGACGAGCAGCACTCAACATGCCAGGACGCTTCTCCTTTGGCTTCTGAGTAAAAGACTTGGGTCTGACTCCCATGGTAGGAACTTTTCTGACTGGAGTCTTTGCAGGTGCGGGAGTGGTGGATGGACGAGCGTGTTCAGGCTTATCGGATCTGGCCTTCTTTGCGGGACGTTGCTCGTCGTCGTCGTTTTCCTTGTCACTGGTCATGTTGTTCGGAGCCTCCTTTCTCAAGTCTTCGTTGTCGGCCTTGCGCTTTTGACCGGCGGTGGAGGGGAGTTCAGGTACGACGGAGCGGATCGATGGCTTGATCTCTTGAGAGGTGGTGCGACGAGGCGATGATGCAAAGGTAATAGCTTGTGCACCGGCCCGGAAGGTAAAGTCGTTGGGGGCACCTGCCATGGTCATGCGACGGTAGGCCTTCTTGGGTCGTTCGCCATCGTTGGAGTCAGTGGGTAGGGCGGGATAAGCGATGGTGCTCTTGTCATCAGTCTTTGATAGAGGAGAAGAAGTTTTGGTAGGAGTGTCGGGGGACTCGTCGGCTTGATCGAGAGTCTTTGTAGAGGCAGAGAAGTCGACATGCTTAATGACAGGGCAGGTTTTGGGTGCGCGTGGAGGAGCGGACTTGTCGTCCGAGGCATTGGGTGGAGTCGACAAGTGAGTGCCGTTGGCTACCTTGAAGGGATCATCCGAGTATAGGCGCTGTGGAGTACGTAGAATGGACTTGACGGGAGACTGGCGCAGCAGGTTAAAGCGAGCAAACAGACTAGGCTTTGCAGGAGTTTGCTGTTGCGCAGTGCCGGAGAAGCTTTCAGGAAGTGAGATTTTGGCAGGGGAACGAGCCAGCAATGGCGTCTTGTTGGGCTTCTCCGTGTTGCCGTCTTTGTCCACTTCGCCTTGGGCGAGGCTCGACGGCTTCTTTGCGGGAGATCTGGCGAGGAAAGGAATCTTGGACGAAGCATCAGGAGAGTCGGGTGCAGCCTGGGGCTTGACAGGAGAGGCATGCTTGGCCGGGCTGCGGCTGAGCAATGGACTTTCAGGCGCCTCTGGCTCAAAGTGAGCAATGCGGTCCGCCATGGTCGACTTGACTGGAGACTTCATTGGCGACTTTGACAAAAGTTGTGCACGTTGTTCCTTTGGCTTCTGTTGAGCCTGCTCTTGCTGGATGCTTGCGCTGGTCATGTTGAGTCTGACGGGACTGCGATGGAAGCCAGGGATCATGGTGGTGCGACGAGCAGATTTGGCAGACTTGAGTATCGACTGCGGAGGCTTGACAGAGCGAGGAGTCATGGCTGGCTTCATAGCACTCTTGAGAGTAGGCTTGGGCGTGGCGGCAGGGCGAGAAGTGGTGGCATCGTCCTCGGCAGCGTGTTTGACACGCTTGGCCGGAGCTGCCTCGAGGTTGGCGTGGGACGGAGGTCTAGGTAATGATGTAGAAGATGATGACGAGGATGGACGCTCGAGCTCGGCCTTGGATGGCGAGCGCTTGAGTGCAGACGGCTTGTCGGTGGCCAGAGGATTGGCGTCTTTTGCTCTGAAAGCCGAAGGGTGGTCGGCAATCGAGTCCATCTTCTTGAACGCCTTCATGTGCACATCGCTAAAGCGACTGACCTTTCCGGACGGAGTGGCCATCTTGCGGCCCAGTACGTCGCTGGCTGAGGGCTGGCCCTTCTGTGTGGCTTGCATCTCGATGCGTATCTTTGCCGCCTCGCCCCTGGTTTCCTCCATCAAGGCGCGAGCTTGCGGACTCAGATTCAGGCTAGGGCGCTGGAAGGTGAAGCTGAAGTTGGGAGCGTTGTCCATGATGCTTTGTGCAGCGCGGGGAGTCTTTGTTGGTGTCTGCTGAGTCGTCTTGTTGCTGCTAAAGCCCAGCCATCGTGCCTCGTCCAAGGGCTTTGCTGTGCTCATTTGGTATTTCTGGGGGTGCATCTCTTGTACACTGGCTTGTATCGGCGTGTTGTCGCGAGGCGTTTGAGCGCCTCTGGTGGGTGTAGGTTGGACTTCCTCTTGTTCGTCGACGGCGGACAACTTGGGAGCGGTGAGTGGCGTCTTGATGGCATTGCTGTCGACATCCATATCCGAGACTCTCTGTGCCTGCATATGTCGTTAGTATATGTCTAGAGTAAGACTGAGGAGATGGAGATCGAGCTCACCTGCGGCGTGACCGACTGCTTCGCACGGATTCTGGCCGATGAGCGTCGAGCCATGATCGCTGTGTGATGTGGAGATACTAGGACAAAGGACACAAATAGAGCAGATCGGACAAGTTTGCTGGAGTCGACTGGTACAATCTGCAGCGTTAATGGATAAACACGACAAACAAACGCTCTCTGGAAAGCTCCCCGATTTTCAACGCTCGCGTCAAAAAACAACAAAACAAAATAATCATGACGTGGGCAGATCCTCCTGAGCAACCGACTGCACTGACCACCCCGTTTCAATCATCGATGAAACAAAAATTCATGTCTGCTACGCACTACAAATATGCCCTGGTGGTTACGGGTGGGTTATATAGAGATGCTCCAATTTGCTCTGTGGAGCGGCCGCTGAAAGGCTCAAGGTAGTAGTGCTTCTACAAAATCGTCATATCACTTCTTTGCATCTGATGATCTGATAGGCCTGACCACAAAGCAATGTCGGCCGAGACTGACATACCTAGCTATGACATCGGCCTATCTGTGACGAATTTGTAGCAATTGAAATCACTTCTCCAGACGCCCAGATTCCAGAATGATCCAGCTTTACCCATGCTTCATAATCAATTAGCTTGCAATACTGTTGAACAGTCTTCTTTTCTCCAGTAGTTTTCCAATCTTTAACAACTTTTCCCATAACGCATATCGATTCACAACATGGCTCAATCTACTCAGAACAAGCAATGGCTCACCAACCAGGATGGTGTCGGCAGTATACACCGTGGCGAATCAACCATCCCTCAACCTGGAGAGAAGGAAGTCCTCGTCAAGATTCACACTGTCTCTCTAAACTACAGAGACACTGAAGTGTGTGATGGCGGCTACAACCATCACAAGAGCGTCGATGCTGAGAAGAAGGCTATCGTTCCTGGCTCCGACATGTGTGGCACTGTCGTCAAAGCTGGACCTGGAGCTGCTCTCAAAGAAGGACAGAGAGTTTTGTCCATTTTCCTACAGACTCACCAGACTGGCCAGGTTCAGGAAAGTGATATGGCATCTGGGGTGGGCCTGCCTCTTGAGGGTGTTCTCCAAGAGTACCGTGTGTTCCCTGACAATGCTCTTGTGACTGTTCCCGACTACATGAGCGACGAGGAAGCGGCCACTCTACCTATTGCCGGTGTCACTGCCTTCATGGCCATGAACTGGATGCAGCCCATTGGAAAGCCGATCACCAACCCCGAGACCACCGTCTTGTTCCAGGGTACTGGAGGAGTGTCAATCATGGGTCTGCAGATGGCCAAAGCATGTGGACTGAAAGGTAAGCTCTTTGTCGGCGTGATCCTCAGACTATGGCTAACGTTCCAAAGCAATTGTGACCTCGTCTTCGGACGAGAAGCTTGAAAAGGCTCGTCAGCTTGGTGCTGACTACACTATCAACTACAAGAAGTTCCCCAACTGGTCCGAAAAGGCCATGGAGTTCACCAAGGGCAAAGGTGTCGACATCATCCTCGAATGCGGCGGTGCTCAAACTGTCCGCCAAAGCTTCGACTCTATCGCCTTTGGTGGTCTCATATCGAGCATTGGCTACCTGTCTGGCAAGCAGGACACCGAGAGCGATGCACTCAACATCAATGTATTGGCCTTGAGACGTAACGTTACTCTCAAAGGCCACCTCAACGGACCCAAGGACAGATTCGAAGAGATGCTGCAGCTCTATGCTCAGGAGCAGATTCACCCTGTGGTAGACAAGGTGTTCAGCTTCGATGGAACAAAGGACGCTATGCAATACCTTGCCAAGGGTGGTCATTTCGGCAAGGTCGTCATCAAGATCGCATAAGAATAAGCCAGTAAATGAAAAATTAATCATGCATAACCGGCCTGCCGTTATTATCGTGAAAGGTGAAGGCTAGGTTGGCCAGGAATGTAACAGCTGCATAGTACGTGCACCGCCACAGGATCTGGGCGATGCTGCTATCAAGCATCGAAGATCCTGAATTTGCGCGTTTGCGTTCAAAACTTCATGGAGTGTCCATAGCAAGGAATTACGATAGTCTTGGTCATTTTTCAGCGTGTTTGTTTGTTTGTTGTCGTAACAGTTGTATGACGTCTCAATTTCGGTCGAAAAAAACAAGCTGTGGAGAGGAAGACTCCTGAGTACTCCTTGTTGTACAACAGTATCAACGGTCAATAAGGCGTGGCGCTGCACAAGCGGTAGACGATTACCAACAGGAGGGGCTGGCAATGTGCGTCCAATGCATGATTATCGCCCGCTCCAGCAGCAGACCAATGGCCCATATCCTTGGGCAATACTCGGCCTATGAGTCTGCTGTGCGCTTCCGAATCAATGGGTCCCAGGCTCGCTGCATTGACAGCGGACACTTGCCTGCCACATTTCCAAAAGAATCTCGGGGGAGAGGTGGGATCCTAATGATTCGATGTTTGGTCCGGCAGGTGATGAGCAGGGGCAAGGCCAACCGCCGCGGGTGTCGGAAAGTTCACTTTTGGCTCAGATTTGACAGGTTTGACGTTGGCCGCGACTGCCTTCACAAGCAACACTGACAGTCCTAAGAGCCCTCAGGCAGGTCATTTCGCACGACTTCTCGCCTTAGAAATAGGCATGCGTGCATTTGACTGAGGATGATGATATATTTAATCGCTACAGACCCACGTGCCAGTAGAGCAGGGCTCGGTTCCGAGATGTTACACGACAGCAAACAGCAAAGATCCTTCACACATTTAGAGCTTAATTACTCCTTGCAGGAAGCCTCACTTCCAGATAGTGTGCCTGTTTCTTGAAGTGAGCTTTGCAACGGCCTCTCCACTCACACCGTTGGTGTTACGAACACTTCGACATTTCTTCGTCTTCTTCTTTCATGCCAATACATATATTGCCATCGGGGCCCTCTCAATAGCGTCGACATTCTCGAACATTACACAATGCTGAGCACAGCGCCTGCAGCAGATGCCCCGCCCTCCGGCTTTGAGTAAGTTCAATCTATCTCCTACTCGCACGCTCAAGTTGCATTCCGCCATTGCACGCATTTGGTGACGTACCTTAATGGCTTGACCTATTTGCTGACAGGACATGCACAGAAGAAAGCTGAGCTCTTCAATCCAGCGTCTTCGAGCCAATAGTATCTATCATGAGCGCTCCTTCGGATCAGGCGAAGCCTCCAAGTACGATCTACGCGCCCTGGCCGAAAGATCGTCACACTCATACATTGTTCCAGGTCCCAACTGTATCTCCAAAGACTGAAGTCAGTTAACCGCCACGCTGGCCACAACCTGAACAACGACGAGGCCCTCTTCTTCCTCTCGTTGCCTGACAAGATCCGTCGTCTTCACTTCACCACTCAAGAGAACATTCTGATGCGGGCCGCATGCGAGCTGCAACTTTCGAAGCAGCCTCGTCACGAATCACGCCCTCCTCTTCCTCTGAGATCTTGGACCGACGGAGCCGCCTCTATCAGCCACAGCTACGCCAGGTCCTCTATCAGCCGCGACACTATGGCCGAACCTGCCTACAGTCCCTTGACTCCGACCGGTTCCGATGGTGGCTACTCCTCGGCATTCAGCATCCGTACCTCGTCCCGTCCACGTACCGAGTCTCTCAAGTCTTCCACTGGTTCCATCTTGCCTTTTAATCCACTGGGCTGCCATCCTCTTGCAAAGCCACGCACATCCAGCTTGTCCTACAGTCCCTTCGATTATCCCAGGGCCGTTTCCAAGGCACCCGAGACTCCGCCTTCTACCACTCGACAGTACCTGGACCCGAAGACGAGAGCAATGATCCGCCAGTGTACCGCATCTCCTGAAGCTTTCGACGAAGTTCTCAACTTTGGATATCTCGCCGAGGAGGACTTTCCTGCTGCTGACTCGCCGACCACTTCGGAATACCAACTTGACGAAGGCCTGAGCTCATCGGATGGCATGTCTGACGACGAAGATGACTACTTCACACTCGACTCTGACGACGAACCTTGCACCCCAGGCTCGGATGATACTCTGGCCACTAGCTGGGACATCCACTCCCCCTACGCGTCATTCCAGCGTCTGGACAGTGGCTGCTATCGTTCCAAGCCACGCCCGATGACTCTCCGTGTCACTCTGACCAAGCCTGAGAACAAATCAGTCATGGACGACTCACCTACTCGTGCCATCAAGTCCGATCAAGATGACCACTCGAGTCTGAGAGTTGAAGACCTTCTGGCACTTGAACGACTGACCTTCTCTGACGATGTCACTGGAATGTATGGAGCTTTTGCCGTTACACCTACCAAGGACAGCAGCAAGATGAAGAAACTCTTGAGAAGATTGACATCGCCTGCTCTGAAGCAAATGATGTGATGAAAACACAATCTGGTGGAAGCAGTCTTGCCCGCAACGAGCTGTACCGGCTAGAAAGACGAAAAAATGAAAGACACAGCAAAGGAAAGAGCTTCAACTGCGCGGAAGCCTCGAACTCGAACACCAGGGGTCAGGCGCATTATTTTTTCGCATCATGTTTTAACGATCAGCATTCTCAACGAAAAAGGGGATGCAACAACAACAACAACACCAATACCACCACCAACAAGAATAATGGGGTTTCTTTTATTTTGCTTTTTTCTGCTTTTTATTGTAAAGATACCACATTCAGCGAGGGGAATCAAAGATTAAAGGGAAAGGGAAGAATTTATGGCTACGAACAGACCAAATGACACAATTGCTTTTGGCTACACACACGTACTTTTACATTTCTCCACATTCTCATGGTGTGATATGTCTCTAACCAAGTGCAAGACATGGCTTCTTTTGAGGAAAACAGCTCAGAGACTCTCGAAAAGCATACATGTATAATGCACATCCCAAAACATGGCATTCCTCACAAATACCATCTCGCATAGCATTATACTACTGCTATGCCGGCACTCATAACCTTAAAACCTAAATGCATGAATCTAGTGCCATGGAATTCGTCCACTATACAATAAACCATCTAATACAATGCTGCATATTCTACGTTTTGATGCACTCATGTACAACCGTTATAGGCGCATTCTTAGCCAAAACGCCTCCATTGTCCTCCAAAAAGAGATGGCTGCTTTTTACCGCAATATAAATATGTTGGGGTAGGTTTGCCCGTTTGGAAAATGGTGGACTGGTTGGAGACGTTTCTCGCCAAAAGACCCAGAGTTCAGGGATTCAACCCACCCACAACCGTTCCTTCAAACGTGAAGGATAGATAATGGATACGGTATGCGCAGTTTCCCCTTGTGTTGCAAAAAGCCTTTCTCTGCCTTTCTCTGTCTATCACCCGTTGCGTTGCGTGGCGTACAAAGGGTCCAAAGACAAAGTTACATTGTTGAATTTGAATGGCAGTTTTGAGAGGCTGAGAGAATGGCGTTTTTGTAATAGCTACTTATCTATCCCTGATTCTTTGATAATGCAACTCGAGCGCGTTAGGTTTGGTAACCATGCCACTTCCCACCTTGTCAGGTGTGTTTGTTGACATACATATCAACGTACGATGGGGGTCTCGGCAATTGCGAAATGGAGTTTCACAGATCTATTCAGGGTCACAAGGAGACACGAGACGAAAGAGGGAAACACATAAGACATGGAACAATACGGAGATTATAAGACACGGGATGAAAAACATTGGAGGATTTCGAATCTCAATTCTGTGGTTTCCCCAATAAAGTGGTTTGAATCTCGGCATTAAACAAAAACCGTGACTGGAGATATGAGTTTGATTTGATGGAATCTCCAGGACCGGAGATTTGTTCGTTCTGCTTTTAGGTCTTGCACATGCCGGATGTGAAGATGGTTGAGCAGAACGACAGATCCTGGAGATTACCTAAAGGACCTCTCCTTCGCAAGCATCGGCAAAGTGCCCTTCTCTGTGCCAGCCAACCGCCAGGGGAGGAGAGAAGGGGCCATTGTTGTTGCACAACCCATCGACCGTGTACATGACCTCAAGCCCGAGCTAGCGGTGCCTGAAGTCGGCCAAGGTGATGGAGATGAGCTGAAAGGTGCGCCGACCTACTTGTACTGAACTAGCAGTATCGAGCTGGAAGGCGCACCCATCATGATCTTGTGCATGCCGAGCGCAGCCGACGACTCAGAGAACGATGAGCATACCAAATACTCTTCGCAGTCCAGGCTGGCCGACTCGATGCCAAGTCTCGAACAACATGCCTTCACCACCAGGGTGAGGAAGGTCGTCCGAGATCTGCTGATTCAGTGGATAACGTTCTCCAAGTTCGACTAGCAGACATTAGAGAGCCAACGATTTCCAGTAGAATCTCGGCAGAAGGCATCGGAAAGGGGGGATCGAACACGTCCAGCGTGTTCTTGTGAGATGTGTAACGAAAACCAAAAGAGTCCAGCCCTTTCGAAAGCCGTGAGGCATATGATGTCTCCCTTTTTGCTTTCCCATGCAATCGTAACCTGCGTTTGCATAACATTCATGACAAGAAAAGAGAAAAAGGAAATGGCAGTATTGTCCAGCAATATGCAAAACAAGAACAGCAAAAAAATCAGTAACGCTTGCTCAACAAGACCCGACCAAAACAAAAATCCAAAATGCAAAGTCGCTCGCTCGGATGACGGAAGAGATGAGTGGGGAAAAGATAAAACGCCGCCATATGCGCTGAGGAGGATGAACCATGTTGGGTTCGGGCTTGTACCATTGTAGAAGATCGCATCGCATCGCATCTGTGTGGGGTTAGATTGTCGACAGTCCATATTGATCGGAAATCGGGATGAGGTGCCACTGTCTCAAGACTCATGTCAAGGGTTGGGATGGGCCAGATCACCAACCGGAAAGACCACGGTCGGCTTGGGCTCCATCACATGTAGAACACATTGCTAGATGGTAGCATATTGCGGAGCAAATGCGTTAAAGCCCCAACCATGGGCGTCGAAGCCGGTGTTTGACATACTCGTGCCACACGAGGGCAATGCACTTGGCAAAGGTATCATGGGCATAGACATGATAGGTATACCACTAGCGAGTTGTGCTGAGGTATAAAACGGTGGCTCACAGACGTGGACAGGTGATTGACTGTACGAGGGTGTCGGAGAAGGAAGCTGGGCAGCGTCCATACCCAGCGAGGACCAATAATGAGCCGGAGGGGCGCCGGCAGTACTTGTTCCGGGATTAGAAGGTAGGACCTGCCACGGATCCACAGGGTTGGGTACTAGATGGTAGGCCTGGGCCGGCTGCCACCACTGACCAGGTACAAAGTACATGTTCGACATGGGTGGAGCAGGGGCGATCAGGTCGACAACTCGTGGAGGCGGAGGAAGAAGAGGCAAGAACAGGTTCATGATGGCCGACTTGACACTGTCACTTCGCCCTTCGAGCAGCTCGCCCGCGCCTTCCTCTTCCAGACCTTCCAAAGCACGGACGCCCGTCCGGTAGACAAAGCGATTGACAGCTTGGACAAAAGTCTCTTGCATCTTCTTGATCTGATCATCCTTCTCTGGCCACGCATAGGTACTGGCTGCAATGTCGACCGAGTAGATGTCATTGTGGTAGTCTATCAGAGCGTCGATGGTGTCTTGGGTCAACTTGAAGGCGACTTCGTGTTGAGAAACCATGTCGACATGCACGACGTATGCTTGCACAGGTGTCAGAGTGTAGTTGGAGATGGCTTCCCGCAGCGGATCCGAGTCTTTGAGCAGTTCCGAGTCGGGAGCATTCGGCAGCATCAGCGAGGACAAGAGCCAGATGGCAGTCGATGCGCCCAGAGTCTCTGTCAGGAAGCGATAGTGTTGCGGAACGCTGTTGAGGGGCCGTTTGACGCGACTGATGCGCTTCAGTGCTTGTGTGAGCCATGTCTCGACTCTGGAGCCTAGTACGATTGTCGGGGCCGATCGAGGTGCGAATGCTGCTGCCGACGCAGGGAGGAGCTGTATAGGCATCACTGCTACCAGCAGTAGCTCTTATTCTGGCTATGAGCCTACTATGGGTGACCTCGATGTTATATGGACGTGGTAGATGCGATGCGATGCGATGTATTCTGGCGGGTTTTATCTTTTTCCGAGCGAGACTGGGCCTGTTGGCCGGCGTGGAAGGCACGAACAGGACGGCGTAGGTGTGCTTGCTGTGTGAGTTAGTAATTAGTAGATTGAAGGAAAACAAGGAAATGGACGAATATGTGCTGAGGAAGGAGCTCTGTCGAGAGGGTGGTTGAAGAAAAGCTTCAGACAAGGTGGGGCTCTCAGTATATGAAGACCAAAACTACCATGACTACTACCTAGATGCACACGGCTGACGGTGGCTATGCCGCGGCACACTCTACTTGCACGCTTCATGCATGATTCTGCCTGTCTGCGCAATCTCTAGTAGACGTGCTGACCTTTCCGCCATATCGACTCCAGTTTCCTTCTATTTTGGTTCCCTCCAGCTTCCTGTTTGTACTCGTTCGTCTTGTCTACCTAGCTGCTCCCCACGCGCCCTACAGCCCGAGAGTACCAGCCCTCTCTTCGTCAGCAGCGCCATGCTGTGTCTGAACACTAACCCACACCAACGCTACAATCTCTGATGTGCATTTGCGATCGTGTCTTGCTTCTCCCCTTCGCTAGTCGCATGTCTCGAGAGAGTGACTGCTCGCACAGGGTAACAGGGTTCATGCATACACCGAACGTTCACACTGCTGCAGGTGCGCTCTCTCGTTCCCGAAGGGTCCCTTCTAGCACCGACAAGCCCGCCTATTTTGCGACTACATCTCATGGTGTGAAGTAAGACGGTTTCCCCGACCAATCATGCGCCAAAGCTGCCATTCCACCTCAGTCAGCTCTGACCACCTCCATCATCTCTGTGTACACGGATTAGGAACTTGTACCTCTCTCGCCTCGATGACAGGCGCTTACTGAAACTTGAAAGACTTTACTGAATGTCGTCTTCTTCTGCTCTTCTCATTCTCCTTGCCTGCTCATTTCTTGCACATTTTCCAGACTCTGTTCTCCAACTCGACCGATCGTGTTACACCCGAGTGTCGGTGTCCGCGATGGTCCATATTGCGGCTGTGCAGTTGTGTGGCGTCGGTCAAGGCCGACCACGGAATATCTGTATATGCTTCCAGCTATCAGGTCTCATTCTAAGCTTTAGACTTCCTCAAATTCGCCTGGCAACACATTAACGGACGGACAATCCAGCTTCAGCATTAGGCCATTTTCCTAATTGAGAGAGGCATGCTACACCTTCGGGAGAGAACTCAGACAGTATCACGAGCACGGCCAGCATGCAGAAGGAGACGAGAGGCAAGGTAGTATGTTCTATTTGCCAAAGTAGTATGTTCTACATGCCAAAGTTGGGTGGTCGCCAGTCACTACTTTCTGTGTTGAATTACACTGATCCTTACGAGTCACTGAACTCGGACACCAGGCACCTGTATTAATCAATGTCTAGTCTCGCTTGAAAGCCCTCACACACCACAGTGGATCGCTTCCGCTCATGCCCATCATCTGCATGAAGCCGTGTAATCCGCCCTGGTCCTCCGCTGGAGCATTTGCAGCATCTCCTGCTTTTATGTCCACAATCTCAATGTCCTTCCACCCAGCAAAATGCAGATAGTCTCCGACCATCTGCAGACGCTGTTCAGGCGTCCGCTTTATCCATGCGCTAGTGGCTTTGGTAGGGAACATCCTGGAAGACACAATAATCTGACAACTGCCGCCAGGCTTGGTCAGCTGTTTGACGCTCTCGAGAACCTCTTTCGGTCGAGTCAAGTAGTCCAGGCTCACAACGCAAGTCGTACAGTCCAGTAATCCGTTCTCACTGTTGGTATTATCTAGACTTTGTAGTCCACTGACAGCGTGTTCGTCGCATACAGTAAGAGGAATGTTTGGATCCTCGTTCAGATCCTGAAGTATTCTCTTGGAGAGTACCTTATTCTTGTTGAGTTCGGCCTGGTTCATCCCTAAGCCCACGACCTGTAAATCGCCTTTCTCTGCCGCACTTTCTACGGCTTGCGGGTAGTGACTGATCCAAGAGCTGCAAAGATCCAGAATCCGACCTTTTCGTGGCAAGATATTGTCGTAATATCTGCTGAGGCTTGCTATGGCGGCGTCATCGATATGAGTGACGAATCTGCTATCGCTATAGAATGAATTGTCGGGGCTCTCATCCATGCGTTTGAAGTCTGCTCGAACATATGGCCATTCTTGATGTTGAGGTTGGTACGGCACAGCTGAACCGTTCCATGGCTTGTCCTGATTGCTGGACTGGCTAAAGCTTGACATTCTCGCGGCGAGATACGATGTCGTTGTTACTGCGATTGCTGAAAGACCGGCAACCTGAAGTCTTCGACCAGCTGTCGTAATGGATATCATGTGTTTCTATGTGCAGACTCTAAGTCCTACAACACGAATGCTGTGTAACATGAGACTTGTTTGACCTTCTATGACGCATTCAAGTCAGCTTCGGCTAAAGTTACGCCTGCTCGGGCAGACTTGACGCTCTTTCAACTGCTGACAGGAACACACACCCTGTTATCGAGAACTTTTCGTACTTCTGACCTCGTTCAATTCAACGATCTCCTCTATTGCATTCTAAGCAGATCGTGACGCCTCCCTTCTCAAGGGGCACCCGACTGTATGACTTGAGATCATATGGAGACAGTGTACATATGTCCAGACCGAGATCGGTGGCGTAATCCAGAACATGCTCAAATCTCAACGTCTTCACCTTTGCGGGCATCAGTCTTCACATTTTCACCTGGCGATACCAGAGTTTGACGCGCACAACACCTTAAGTCTGTACGATGAATAGTATATCCATTGACGCGCTATGGGAGAGGGGATACTTTGTTTGACGCGACCTCCCAATGGCAGACTCGCTCAGAGGTACAGCCGTGTGTTCGCGACGCGACTCTGGTCAGAAGTGAAAGAGCTCATGCACGCGAAGCGAACGCCTGCAAACCCTCGGCACTTCGGATTCGATGGATGCTAGAGTTCTCGTCCAGATCCACTACAGCCTTGTTACCTCGCTGCCCTTCGAGTTGCAAACTCAAAAATATCTTCCAGCCCGTCGAAAATGCGATACCAAAACCGTGCTGTCAACATCAACAGGCCAAAGCATGCCTGGTGCCATTGATATATCCAATTGACCCTCCTTGGAGATATTATGGGGTATTGATTCACCCGTTTTTGAGTCTCGGTTGGTTTCACCTCAATATTTCAGCCAAGTCTGTCGCGTACATGGCTAAGCTAAAGTCAATAATCAAATACTGCACCTCTCCACAGATAACCTTCATGAACCCCTGTTCCCTCTCGACATGTTTCTTCATCATTGCATCGTGATATATCGACCTCCAAGATGAGTGGGAGCGAAGAGCATCGAGAAAAGTCCGATGCTCTCACACTCCAGCTTTCGAGGGCATCAACTTTGGTGGAGCGTCCTTCGAACACTACGGCTCCTCATCAGTTTTTCGAGGGCAGAGAGTTCTATGATCCTCATGCAGCCTGGACACCGCAAGAGGAGTCGAGAGTCAAGCTGAAAACCGACATACGACTCCTTGGTTGGCTTTCCGTCATGTTCTTTGGTGAGATATAACACCGATAAGATTTGATCCTCACCTAACCTCCTCAAGGGATGCAACTGGATGATACGAGTATGTCAAACGCGCAAGCCGACAACATTCTGCATGACCTCGGATTTACCATGACCGAGTACGGTAATGTGTGTCTGCCATGACGAGCCAATCTTCCATAGTGGACTGACATGGACAGGGCATGATGATCTTCCGTATCTGCTTTCTCATTAGTGGTCTACCTGGTCAGCTAATTGCGATGCGTTATGGGCACCGGTACCTCTTTCCCGGATTGATGTGCGTATGGGGTGCCGTTTGTTGGTGATACCCAATTCTCTCAGACATACGCCCATGTTCTAACGAGTGACTTTATAGCCATGGCTCAAGCGTGGATGGGGAATGAAACTGGATTCTATGTCACCAGGGCTTTGATCGGGACGTGCGAAGGAGCTTTTGGGCCAATGGCAGTGATGTTCCTGGCAGACTTCTACACCAATACCGAACTGGCGTTCCGAATAGCAATATTGGCTTCTGGGGTCAATGTAGGTTCTGAGTTCACTCACCATGTGTAAAGACCTCTGACACCTTAGATTTCAGATTGCGAAAGCCTTGACCTCCCTTGAAGCTGCTGGAATACTCAAGATGCGAGGTGTAGCTGACAGACCAGGTATGTCAATGCGACCGTTGCTTGCTTCGAATGCGACTAACACGATATGTGTAGGCTGGTTTTGGTTGTTCCTGATTAACGGCTTGTTGATCTTTTTGATTGGTCTTATGGTAATGAAGCAATCTCGCATAATCGACGCAACCATCTAACTAGCTTCTAGGGTATGTTCTACTTACCTGCTGGGCCAACAAGGACTCAGGGAGTCTTCTGGAGAAAGCCATGGTTTACGAACAGGGAGCAAGGTAAGTCACACGACAAGATCCTACCATGGTTTTCATCACACGTTCATGTACAAGCTCGCACAGCGATGTTGAATTTGAAACAAGTCTAGCGAGCGTGTAGCGTCCAGCGACTCTCGTTGAAAGTTTCGCCCATTAATCAGACAACATGCTAACGTCCATAGTGATCATAATCAATAGGCTACTGCGAGACGACCCTTCGAAAGGGACGATGGGGACTAAGACACGTACGAGTGTACGTGATGTTTGGGACACTTTACGAGATCCAGGTAAGTCTGCATATCCACTTTATCTAGCCGGATACTCATCGACCACGAACAGCTCTGATCGGCTTTTGGGTTTGTGCTTCAATAATTTACATTCCAAGAAGTCCCGTGTCATTGTATCTCGTGCTAAACTTGAGACAACTCGGTTTCTCGAAATTTGCGAGCAGCGTATTGACAATACCTTCTGACTTCCTTCGCGTCATCACAATGCTTGCACTGACGCGGAGTAGTGGGCATTTTAAAGAGAACGCATTTCACTGCATGCTTCCACCGCTGTTAGATATACCATTGTTCACGACTCTATTGCTACTACCCTCGCATGGCTATGCTTGGGCGAGATTTGCGATTCTCACGCTCATCATCGGCGCACCCAATTCTCATCCGATCATCACATCGTGGATTGCCTGCAACAGCTTCGACCCCAAGAAACGTGGTATAGCTATTGCTCTGTTCAGCACAATACACGAGATTGGCAGTGTCGCGGCCGCACGTAAGTCAAGCTCGATATAAGATAGATCGGCATTCAAACTGACCCGAACCTGAAGAAATCTACAGAGAAAAGGATAAACCATACTATTACCAAGGAAACAAAGTTCTCGTATCGATATGTGCGGCGGCTGTGGTAGCCACCCTTCTGCACAGAGAGGCGCTCAGACACATCAATCGGAAAAAACAAAGGGCGTGGAAGAATCTGAGTGAGGTTGAGCAAAGAGACTACGACCAAAACAAAGGGCATAGTATTGGAAACAAGAGTCTAACCTTTAGGTTCCCATACTGAGCTCGATAGCCTGGCAACGAAATGAAACGAGGAATTGATACTCCATTTCAAGAAAAGCATGAGAGAAAGTCGCCCTCGCGGAGTGGAGCATGACGATGAGCATTACGATTGAGGATGAGACGCCTTTCGAAATCTGTGTACAAATGGATCATCAATCGTAAGGTGACAAGGCTTAGAACTTTATTAGAGAAGTGTGTTCGCGCAGAGCAACATGCTTGATGTAGCCTCTTAGAAGAACCGTAACAGCATCCATCCTCACCATCCTAGGTGAAAGACTGTGAGTGCGGACACTCGAACTCGACTGGAAGTTGACGTCTTCGCATATCAAAGTCGCAACTTCCTCAGGGAGTACGAGGACTGTCGCCCTTCCATCTATAGGATTCACAAGTTTCTACTAGAACATCCGGCTCCATATCATCATCAAACAACATTGCTATCCGAGACAACACATTGTTTCGACTCACGACGCAAAGATCCTCGTAAGCTGTTAATAGCCATTTTTTAAATCGACAAATACACCATTTACCCCCGACGAGACCCATAACGCGAACTATGTCTTCCCCAGGCGTCCGCGACGGCCAGCTTACTGGGACCATCACCACAATGTCCGACTCTGATTCGGAAGCCTTTGGGCTCGATCCTACCGTTGAAGATGCATCTACAAACGCTGCCGTCGACACACCCGCCAGTGTTCTTGATGGTGCTTCTGTCAAAGCACCCGATTACATTGTCGCCGATGAGCCAGCGACAGATTCCGTCCCACGTCCAACCAGACGCACACGCTTTGTGCTGATTTCAGATGCCCACGGAGAAGTTCCTAGAGAGGAGATCCCCGATGGCGATGTTCTCATACACGCTAGAGGCTTGTCCAAAGATGGCGACTACAAGGACTTGTACCGTACATTGATGTGGATGAACGAAAGAGGCTATGAGAAAATTATCTTCATTGCAGGTGAGTTGGGCAAATTGAGGTTGTGCACGCCAACAACTAATCGGGATTCTCAGGAATCAATGATGTTACCCTCGACAAGTAGTTTTGCGAAGACTCTGAGAGGAACGATCGTATCTCACAAGAGCGGCGAAACCAAGGAGCTGGGGGGATGATTGGTATGATGACTGGTTTTGGTCACGGCATAGTGTACCTACATCACAGCTCTGAGACCATTCAGCTTCATGAACCTACTGGACCACAGACGACCTTCAGGATATTCGGTAGTCCGTATGGCCCAGGTATCCCCCAACGTGCCTTCAGCTACATTCGAGATAACTTGACTGAGGCCGAAAGGCTATGGTCAGCGATTCCGCTGGACACAGACATCGTCATCACCCACAATCCTGCCTTCAGTCACCGCGACGCGTTCTGGGCACCGGGCTGTGAGACGTTGAGGCGAGCGGTATCGCAAGTTAGACCGCGTCTAATGGTTTGTGGTCGCACTCTTGAGAGGATGGGCGCCGAGAGGGTCCGTTGGCGACTTGAGCCAGAACGCCCATATCGTGAAGTCGGCAGATCAGAAGAACCTCTCGTGGAGAATGAGCGTGAGGAAGACTACTTGGACATGACGGGTAACGCACTCCTCAACGACGGAGGCACCGAACCGTCTCCACCAGATGGTGACAAGACGGTCTTTGATGACGGCGATAACAGCCCCCCATCGTTCGAGGAAATGTGGCTGCGCTTTACCGATCCGGGCCCTCCACCAATAGTGAATCTAAAGGATCGCGAGAAGGCCGCATTTCTGCCAAGTCGAATGGGCAGGAAAGAGGCGTTGTTTATCAACGCAGGTGTCAAGGTCGAGAATCGTGAAGGTGTAACATACAACGAGCCGATCGTGATTGACGTTGACCTACCGATCGGGAAGAAGTATCTGTAGTTGAGTGACTGCAGAGTGGAACGATACTTTGACACGTCAGGGATTATGAAGCGCTTTCGTTAGTTCCTCGGAGGAGATGGATCAACTTGTCGTTACTGGTCTCACGAGTGCTTACTGTCGTTTTACGTACCTTCGAATATGGGGGACCCTTCACGTGCATACCCGAGTAAGCGTCTACTCTTCCGATTAACCACTCGTGAATGACGCAGAAGACTGGTCTCATGGTTGGGCAGCAAGAGATGTGCTTCTTGTACGCAAAAAAGAAGAGATCCCATAGAGATGGCGCCACCTAGGTAAGAACGCGTCGGATTTTGTTTTGAGATACCGTAAAGATGGCATCACAGGTCCTAATGAGTCCAGAGGTCTGGTGATGGCCTCTTGTCCAACGACTGGTGATTGGCGTTGTAAGTAGTCTGTGCCAGATATGTGTCGAAGCGCCCTCGGCCCGCCGCATCTTGAATGCACGGGTGGATCGTGAGTGTGACTGTGGGGTGTGGAGTTGCATGAACAGTCTACATTTGGCCGTGATGATGCAAACAGACAGGAGGGCTCGTTTCAGGACAAGAGCAGAAGACCGTCTACAGCGATGTCGCAAAGTTGATCTTTAGCCATGTCGAGGCAGATGTGCCCTCGAGGTTGTACAGAAAGGAGATATATCCGAGAGATTGGAGAGTATGACTCTCTGTTGCTGGGCCAAGACTGTAGCGAGGTGATGATTGACATGCAAGCGGACCGACGGAGATGGAATGACTAGCTACTTGTCTTCACAATCGATCGCTGACGCGAAGGACAGCTGCCGTTGTCTATCAATATATCCTCACCGCCAGAGCTTGAGCGGTGCTCTAGAGCCAGGCTTGTCCAGGGTCCTCGAAGCGTGACTCGTTGTCGACAACGGCCGGCGGGAAATGCACGTGCGGACTTGATAGTCAAAAACGGCAGCTGGGGAATGAATGAAACGTGCCAACGACGGAAAGAGGCAGGAACAGAAGAAATGGTACAGAGAAATGGTGACTAGTTTGTTTGACGGAGTGTAATGACAAGTACTACAAGGTACGCGAGTAGGTTGCATGCTGGAGCAAGGAGTATTCGAGGATCGGCACCAGGTCTCGCAAAGGAATTAGCCAATGATTGCACGTCATCGGCAGCACCTTCTTGCAGCGCAAACGCTAAAGTAGAGGCGGCATGCAGGCAGGAAAGGGCTGGAGCAGGTCGGGATAGGTTGCGAAAAGCGATGCGATGCACCCGCGAGGGCAACGATGCGCAGCAGGAGTAGCGACAGAGACAGACAGCTCACCACACCTGGCATGTATTTCATCTACCGGGCCGGCCCTCTCTTGCTGGGTCGTCCCTTTTTGCTCGCCGTCCGAATCCTGCTTTGCAAATCACCACCCTGCCCATCTAAATCGCTCTTTCCGCCTACGACCTGTTTCTGTTGTTTTGTTCTTTCAGCTTCTGTTGTACCCTCACACTGGTGCAACCCACAATCATACTCAGCTGCTGCATTTAAAACCATTTGCACCACCTCGCCACGCTGACCAACAACACCCGTCGCCCCTAGTTTTTTGACTTTTATATACTTGCTGTTCTCTGCCTCCTCTCTACCCATGTCAAATCAGCCTTGACGCACCGCGAAACAACATGTCCACGCCTCTACCTCCGGATCCATATGTCGCCCTTGGTCTGAGCAAAGATGCTACCGCAGCGCAGGTCAAGACTACATACCGAAAGCTCGTCCTAAGATGCCATCCAGACAAGGTAACAGACGAGTCGAAAAAGGCCGAGGCGTCTGACCAGTTCCACCGCATTCAACAAGCATACGAGATCCTCAGCGATGAAGGAAGACGATCTCGTTACGACGCCCAGATCAAGATGGCAGAACTCCGAAAGCAGAGCATGAGCAGTCGGCCTCAAGCCGATGTGAGGACAGCTGCATACGAAGTGCCCGCATCTGGACCCGGACGCGCCACTTTTACCGCTCGAGGATCCGAACGAGTATACGAGGAACGTAGACCCGAGAGAGCCGACTCGGACGACTACTTTGGCGGCGCAACACGAACGACATCACGAAAACACGACGATTATGAAAGAACACCTTTGAAGAAGCCAGCGGTACCGCCAAGAGACGACAGAGAACGGGCCAGAGCCATGGACCGTGAGAAACGCGAAAGCGAACGACTTTCACGAACGGACAAGAGGAGGACGCGTGACCAAGAGACAAAACGCGAGCGAGACAGGAAGTACACGGCCTACGACGACGACAGTGACCCAGACCTCAGACACGAAGCCGAACGACGCAGAAGAGCTGCAGAGGACGCGCTAAGAGAAAAGGAAGCGCGGGAAAGAGAAAGGGCCAAGGTGGAGCGCGAGAGAGAAAGAGAACGTGAGACCCGGGAAGATCGAGGTCGTGGACGGGATGAGTACGAACGCGAAAGGGAACGAGGAGCACCAGTACGTCGAGGCTACGAGACTGCGACGCACTACTCGCGCATGGAGGACGACGCCATGGCATATACCGGGAGAGATAAACGCCCGTCGCTTTCTCGCAGCGCCTCGACAGCCACAAAGACAGAGACCTATGTCGACCGTGCAGGTCGACCGACTCCTGCCTTCGTACGTCGTCATTCGAACAAGCCTGCACCCGCCTCGCCTCAGCCACGCCGTGAGCGCGACAGGAAGATGAGCGTGCCCGACATTCTCGAGACTGATCAACGTCGTCCTGCTTCTCGCCCGCCTCCTACACTATATACCTCGGCCTCGTCGCCCTTGACGAACAAGCTCCCTCGTGGTGTCGAGAGAGGCCCGCCCCTCCGCAGCGCGAGCATGAAGGTTGAGGAGCGCGACGTGCCGCCCATGCCCATGCCTATTCGTCGATCAGAAACGATGCCCAACATATCCCCCAAGCGTGCTAAAGACTCAAAAGCCTCGGCTTTCAGAGATACAGACTTCTCTGGTGGTCTGCCCACGCCCTCCGCCAGTCCGGACTACGCCCCCTCACCGACCACTTCCTACAAGTATCACTACCCTCGCCACGATGCCTCGTCCTCTCGCGAAGACGTTGACTATCGTCGGCCCGCTGATCGTGACTACGATCGTGAACGCCGTGTTCATCACTCTCCAGAGCCTATGCGTCCGTCAAAGCCGGCCACAGCTCCTCGCTATTCTGCTGCTCCACAGCCCCCTCCGATTCGAACGAATCCGGGTTACACTAGTACATACACAACAGAGTCGCCGACCTCTTATAGTCCGCGACCCTCGCCTGTCCGCCGAGACACTCTTCGTGATTACGAGCCTGTCGCCAAAGCAAGCGTTCCAAAGGCGAACTCGGGTGCAAAGTATGAGTATGCCGACTACGATAAAGAGCGTCGTCTCGATCCCGATGCTGGGTACTCAAGTCGCCGTGCCTCCGCCTCTGCTCCACGCCCTCGTCTGCATCGTCAGCACACAAGCGAGTATACCTATCAACCACGAACCACGGTTGCATAGTCCGATCTGAGCCACCTGTTTTACTCATCTTCATTCTCCATTTCCCGTCTTGCATTTCTGTTTTTCGATTTCACGGTACACCACACTCCAGGCTTCTCACTCTTCACGGCGCATGACTGGCATATGACGGTTCTTCTCGTCTTCTTTCACCGCAAGCTTTACGCCGTCTGTCTTCAGAGAATGGAGATGCGAGCAAACACCACCCTTCTTCTCGGCATTATTTGTCCATCAATATAGCTTTTAACGATTTCACATCACAAACTACACTTCTCAGATAACGAAAAAACGAATCTAATGACACATAACCATACTTGAAAAACTACTTTGCAAATGTTGATCTTGGGTGACATGAGGATCTATTTTCATTTTCGCTTTACATACATACAATGGAGACATGAGGAACTAAGCAGGAACATAAACCAGAAAACCAAAACCAAGGGAAAGGACAATGAGACATTATCGTCAACATCAACAGCATGCATGCATCGTTTCCACCTCCACTTCTTCCGCTTCTACCTCGGCCTCGAGATGCAAGTTCTAAAGGGTAAAATGCTTGTAACCCTCGACCAAACCATCACTGTTCTTGGTCACAGCACTCCACACGGGCATGAAATGCTTGACCTCATCAAACGCGGGTACATTGCCGACTTGATTAGCATCACTCCAGACACACATGACTTTACCCTGCACAGCCTGTTTCTTCTCAACTTCATGGTCGAAAGTGACGTTTACACTCCACCGGGCATCCCAATCTCTGCTGTAGAGGTATACACGTTGTTCGCCACCGGATGCACGACCGGGCTTCATGACCTCGGGCTTTGCACCGGCGTTGCTGACTGTCAGGTTTGCGAATGCAGAGGATAGGTATAAGCGACAGGCACGGGTGTTGGAGCCACGGATCTCGAAAGTGTAGTCGCGCTTTGTGGCATTGGAGAGGGGGCGTGTGATGTTGAAGTCGAGCCAGGTGGCGTATTTGGAGACCTCGGCTTGTCTACGGGCCAGAGTGAGAGAGGTGGTGCTGTTGGGGTAAGGCATGCCAGGAGTGTGGGGCTTGTATGCTTTGGGTACGACGTTAGGGGCAGCGCCTGTCCATGAACAACTGTCGAGACCGGCTCTAAAGGCCCAGAAAGCGTAGTCCGGGCCAGCACAGTGGTATCCGTTGTCTGCTGCCGAGGGCAATTGAGATACAATGGACTCGAGGTATGGAGATAGACCTGTAAGAGCGACTGTGTTGTTACCGTTGTCGAGGTCGATTTGCTGGAGGAAGAAAACCTTAAGGCGAGAAGAGCGGGAGAAGGGGAAGGCCACGAGGTTGTAGATGAGAGTGCCGATGAAGACGAACATGAGGAATGTGGGAATGTGATAGGTTATGCGATGGATGAAAGGCGTCAGGGGAAGCAGTAACAATATTGAGGTCGATGCGATCAACAGATAGACGATGAAAACGGGACTGCCGTCAGCAGGTGTCTGGTGTAGAGCCGAAGTCATGAGCAAGCCTAACTGGCCGACCAGAATGATATTGATAGGTGCCAGAATCAGGAATTGAAGCAGCCAGGTCCAGCTTGGAAGGCTACCGGACCAGCCCTGCTCACCTTCGTAGGCCTCGCTGCTTGGAGGTGCGTGTACAGAAGCAGTGGCGTCGTCGTTGTCTTCTGGTCGGCGAGCGTCACGACCATAGCGTGTGAAAGTCTGTCTCGAGCCGAGCAGCGACGTGCGTTCATCCGCGTCTTCATTGTCATTGGCAGCTGGTGCCCTGCCTCTAGAAGCATCGTCATGGTCTGCGATGTGGTGAGAGACGAGACTGCCACTGCGTTCAGGACTAGCGATGACGCTCTGGGATGCGTATGTAGCCTGCTCAACGTAAACACTCTTCTTGGGAAGGGCGAAGAATTCGAGGTACGAGATGAGCAACGCCAAGAACACGGCAGCGTTGTAGACGATCAGGAAGTAGCCAGATCCCATACGCAGGCGTTGCTCTCCGATGGTTGCAGCCACCAAGCCGAGCCAGGAAAGAGCATAGAGCCAGATCAACACGTAAGCACGGGAAAGTGCGGAAGGGCGAACTGCATCTCCAAGACGGAAGAAGAACCATGCAGTCGAAAGCCAAGCAGTAAGCATCATGCTCCAAACGGCGTATTCGGAACTGTAAACGATGTGAGGATTGACCTTGGTGACCAAAAACGCAAGTGCTACAACGATGGCGCTTGCGACGACGAAGATAAGAGGGAATCTGAAAAAGCCGCGCCAACCAAAGAATTTGACGGGTGAATCGTCATCAGAAGAATGGAGATAGCCCTTTCTGGAGAACAAGTACCACTTGTCTGTCTTGTGAAGAGTCATATCGAAGATGATCAGGAAGATAGGACCAGCAACGAGCAGAGTCACGGAAAGAGCGAACAAGGTATGCAACTGGAAGACTGCAAACGCACGTCCAAACAAGTCGAACCACACGCCGGTGCTGCCCGAAGTCTTTTCGGGCTGGCCATATCCATGGTCTGTAGAACGCTCGAACTGATCACTAGTATCGCTGGACAAACCCTGCGCAGTAGTCAGAGCCGCAGAGAGCATGTGCCACAGACTCTCGACGCTTGTCTCTCTGGCATTGTCTTGGTTAGTGTGGTATCTTGCACGAGGCTCCATGAAGGCTACATCCAAGCCGCGCATGCCTAGGTCGTCGACAAATACGCTGTAGTCAGTTCCGCTCTTCACGACGCCTCTCTTGAAGCCATCGCCACTGATGACACTACCGAAAGGGTTGGGGCTCTTGGAGTAGAACCTGGTCACCTCTGTGTCTGTGCTCCTGAACAAAGTGGCTCTGCCACCGGCACCAGCACCTTCAAGGTTGAGGAAGGCGCGGGGAAATTGGGCAAGAGGATGACGTGTGAATGCCTTCGCACCGTAGAGACCATCTTCTTCGCCATTGTTCAAAAGGAACAAGATGCCACGATTGGGCTGGTTCTCCTGCTTGGTGAAGTGTGAGAGTAGCTGCAGTACTGAGATGACACCGACACCATCGTCTGTAGCGCCGAAGCCAGTGCTGACCGAGTCGAAGTGAGCGTTGACAAGAACACCGCCGGAACCATGGTACTGTGTCTTGTTGCGCCACCATTCACCCTCTGCGTCCTGAGCACCTCGCACATAGACCATGATGTTGGCGCTCTCGTAGTAGACGGTGTAGCCTCTGGCGTCGTTGTACGTCACATTGCTGAGATCCTTGTCAAAGACAGTGACAGGCAGAGTGGACTTTGTGTTCTCGGCCGCCTCTTTCCAATCAACCTCGTTGGCATCGAGGATGCTTCCGACGCGGGCTAACAGCCATTTGCGCACGGCGACGTTGTCCCTGCTGTTGAAAGGGTGATAGGCGCTACTGAGGTGCTCGAGGTCGTTCCAGGCTTGGGTCAAGTTGACGCCCGGCCAGTGGCTCGGGGTGGCATTGGTCGGAGCTGGTGGCAGCACATGGTGCGTGACGAGAAGCGCTGCGAACAGACCGGCATAGATGACAACAGCGTAGAAGGTGACGACGTAGGGACCGAAGCCAAAGGGATTGCGCGAACTCCGAGCCATGGGTACAGGTGCCGCCTTGTCAAGGTCAGAGATTGTCCACCCGAGACCAAAGACAAATGGGTTGGGAGTTAAGCTCCAACATGAACGCTTGCTTCACCGTATCTAACCAGAGCTTGGACCACGTTCGTTGCATTGCATCATCGCCATGAACATGTGAACATGTGGACGTGAACATGATTGACTCTATTACTGCTTACTCCTCAGGTACCTGCCTAATGCTGATCTCAAAACAAGACTCTCATGCGCCGGGGTATCTAGCTGACCATCACACAAACGTCCTGCGTTCTTTTCCTCGACATCTCTCCTTCTCACATTCCCGTGCCTCGGAATCCTTGATCCATGAGCATACCACCGCCGAATATGTCATTCTCGCCTCCGAACATGTCGTTCAGATTGATATTGGGGAAGCCTGTCCCTTGAACCACTGCCTGCTGCTGTCCAGGCCATCCACCAGACACCTGTCGCATGTTGGCCATCTGCGCTTGCTGCTGCTGCTGCTGTTGTTGTTGTTGTTGTTGTTGCTGCTGTTGTTGCATCATGTCCATGTCCCATCTGCCTTGTTGCTGTTGTTGTTGTTGCCGCTGCTGCTGTTGCTGTTGCATCATGTATGGAGGCAAAGCATAAAACTGCGCTTCAAGGTTGTCCGTCTCTGGTGCAGTGCTTTGCCCTGACATCATGACCGGCACTTTCGAGTCATTGAATCCGTCAAAGACGTTTGGGCCCTTTGCAAATTGATTGTTCTCAAATGTGGTCAGTGGCTGATTGGGGTAGGTGAAGGGTTCTGCTGAGGGGAACATCATGGCCGACAGGTCCGGCAGATTTGGGTTTGTCATGTCCAGCGGGAGATTGTAAGGGAGTATGCCATTCGATGGGCTACTGGTGTCCATGGCCGCCGTCACTAGAGGCTGTTGGTTGAAGTTTGGACTGGTGGGTGTGTACGGGCCACTGCCAGAGCTCATCGAGGGTGTAGGGAAAGACATCCGCTGATCGTAAGCCGATGCAAGAGATGTGTTAGAAGTCTGGTTCGGGAAAGTACTGGCTCGCTGTACAGAGCCGGGTTGAGGCGGAGGAGGCTCTTTCGCAGTTACTGAAATATCAGGGTGGCTTCGTGCACTCTGCGGTTGAGGTGGACCATTGTTCGAACTCTGACGACGCTTACGCGAGGGCACGGGATTAGTGCGACCTTCACGAGCCCAAGCTGGTAAAGCCTTGAAAATGCCTTCAAGAGTGGTCGCACATCTATCTGCTGCCATACTGCGCTTAGCTAAAGATGCGAGCACCTCCTTGCCTTGCATGGCGTCTTTCAAGACTGCCTCGGTGGTGATGTTTTGTGGGTTTTCGGCAGCAAAGTAGATCAAGGACACCACGGCAAAGAAGGTTGTGTACATGACGAACCAGTGAGCACCGTTCAAGAGTCCTTTTTGCTTCATCTGCACACACAAATGAATGTGGTTCCTTGAAAGGTTAACATAAGAAGCTGCGCATGTGTAAGCACGCTGGTCGATGTTGTGCGAACGCTTATCGGTAGCGACAAAATGCAAGAACGGTCGGTAAAGCATGGCTTGAGCGTGAGCGTATGCGATGCGGAGGAGTTGCTGAGCTCTACAATGCTGTCAGTATTGTAACGAACGTGATCGTTGCAAGCTGCTTACCTTGTGAGCTTTGGGTTCGAATTGTTGCATGGGTCCAGCCCTGCAGGCAAGTTACTCTTCCAAGTTTCCAGGTCGTTCTCAATGTCTCGAATGACAGAGAAGGGCACTGTGTAAGAACGATCCATGTTGTTTTGGACATCCTTTGCACGGATGGGATACACGTTCCTCACAATCTTGATGAGTAGCTCCACTAGTCGACTATGGGCATTGAAGACTGTGGTCAATGGTGTGATGCCCTCTGGCATCGGAAGAATTCCTTCTTCGGTGATGTATTCGTCATCGATCTCGAGAGGATACTCCTGATCAATGTCTTCTTCGCTGAGTGTCTGTGGCAAGCCCAGCATTGCGCCAACATAAATGTCCATCTTGCGAATGGTCCAGAAAACGCGTTTCCTTGTTTCGGCTTCGATGGGATTGAAAGTCCGGTTGAAGGATGGGTTGGATCTGTGCAGACCCATTCGGAGAGCGGAACGCAGTGCTACACCCACATAGGCGTAGCATTGCGACAGTTTGGCCGAGCATTGAAGGAACGATATCATGTATAGAACAGCTTGAATGGATGTCAAATCGCGACAGTCCGCTATGTCCAGAAGTTGACGTGCTGTCCTAAAGTATTTGAAGCTGTGCTGTGTCAGTACTGAAAACACCAAGGTCCACTAGCTTACTCACCCTTGATCGATGGCAGTTTCGTAGCCGGCCTGATTTAAGGGACTTTGTTCGTCACTACCAAACAAACAACCTACTGACATGGCACTGTACAGCAGTGGAAGAAACTTGTGATCCTGGTTCGTGTAGTTCTCATATGGAGTGTTGTACATGCGCTCGAAAGATGCCCAGAAGGTCGGAACATGGATGGCTCTCATGAGAACGGAAGCATCGTTAATAGCGGTTTCACAAAGATCTCGAGCAACGGCTCTGGAAGGTAGGTCAGTGCCGGAGACTGCACTCTCCGTGCCCATACTGGGCGAGTCTGGGTTCAAAGACCTGGGAGAGTCGAAGACTTGTGACATGGGTCTTGACTTGACAAAAGGAGTAGTTTTGGCATCGGGTCCAAGAAGATCGCCTAGTTGTTCTCGCATGCGCCGCACGAAACTCAGGCCGGAAGAATGACCATGGTAATCCCAGTTGCCTTGTTCATCGAGTTCCAGCTGTCCAATGGCACGCACCATTGACTCCAGGTTAGTGTCTTTGGGTTCTGCTTTGGGGGCAGAGGTGAGAGTTGTGGACGGAAGAGCGGCGGGTTGTGAGGCCGGGCTGTCGTTGGTGACGGGCTTGTTGGAAAAACCAGGGATATAGCCTTGTGCAACGGCGACGTCGATGCTGGGGTCGTTTAGGTTGAGATCAGGCATGAGCATTCGTAACAAGGTCTCAGCGCGGTGTACTCGATGCTCCAAGCCCTCGATATACTGGGGAGCGGGGTTGCGACGACGATTAGATGGCTGGTCGTACGTACATTCTATACCACATTAGGATCCAGAGGCTTGTAGGTCGTTCGCGACGAAGCGTCTCGGACATAGGACTTACCGTAGCTATAGACAGTACAATGTGTGCAAGGTTGCTTGCCATCGCATTTGATCTTCTTCCTTCGGCATTCGTCGCATGCCCGGGTTACCCTTCGACGCTTTTGCATGGGCATTTGGGGCTTTGATTGCGCTTGCGCCGATGGGCCTGAAGGAGACGTCTGTGACTCATGCTTGATGTCCGACTCCCAATGCTCGCCCTCGCTATTGTCGTCGTACATGTCGGGCGAAGTCGCCTCCATGACCATATAGAAGCGGGGTCGTGATATAGGGTATGTGGTATAGAGTGAACTGTCAGGGAGAGGGAAGACGAAGTGCACTTTAGGGGACTTGGGGACCGTGATACGGTGCGGAACGATGCACTTTTGTCAAACGACGAACGACAATGACCTAGCGATTCGAGTTGGATCCAATATGCCGCTAGTTTTAAGTCCGAATCTCTCGGCCGCGGGCGGTTAAAACACCGGCAGGGTTGTAGCTGACGGCTTTTGGTTATATCGACCGACTATTACGTATCTGACTGGTCCAATCAGCTGCCAAGGGCAGATGCTTTTCTTGTGCTCTCTTGGCCACTCTCGAATCCTACCTTTTGCACCGAGAAGTGGGCGTATCGGGCTTTGAGAGGCAAAGGATTTCACGCTTCTACAGACGACGATACGGAGTATTGGGGCAGAAAACTCTCGCGACAAGAATAGTTGGCCCCAGCTCATGCCCTTGGCTTATTCCCACATGTTCCCGCCTACTGTTTCCTGAGTCGTCAATCTTGACCTTGAGAACTGGCGGTTGTGGATCTTCTGATATCTTTATTTGCTCACACCCCATCTGTACTCGCTTCGAGATCGCTTCTTCCCTGAAGGTGATCCAACTCGAGGTGCTCCCGCCCTTCCTAAATCGCATCAATTAGTAAGTTTTGACCCATCTGGTTTGATCTGCGCCTGTACACATGTGGCGCAAAGCTTAGCATTTGTCGCTCTTTCTTTCGACCGATGACCGACACTCAAATGCACCATCTGCCTAGATTTCCATACCAATGATCTGATCGTATTGCTGGCGGCGTCAGGGGCAAACCTTTGGAGCTTATCGCACCAAACATTGAAAGCGCTATACGGATACACAATATGCTTCACTGGTTTTAGCCACACACTACCTTATCTTTGAACAGGATGACGAGGACAATCTGCCGTAATGGGAGCCACCGTGTCATCATGTCGGTATGCGTCCACCAGCAGAGGAAGGCCGCGTGGCCAAGTCTAACCAAGACAAGCTCCCTTAACAATAGTTGTGCGACTGCATTTCCAGATTGCTGCTTAGCGCTTACGCATGCTATGAACCCCTTCTTCAGTTCTCGCAAGGGCAGTTCTAGTGACAGGTCTCGGCAGTTTTGAACGATAGGGCGCATTCCAGAGACGGTCTAGATGTTGCAGCAGAATGGCAAAGAAGCCTGAGAACAATGTTGCAATTTTCACAACAGCATCGTAGGTAGGCAGGTAGGCAATAATAATTACTATGGGTCGACAAGGTAAGCTGTGCCTTGGCAGACCGGTGCGGCCACAGATGCCGACTGCTGCCACAGCTTGTAATTGGTATGTGCGGGAGCCCCTCGTGCTCCTAAGGTGCGTCACAGAAAGTTCTGACGACGGTCCCACATCCAAAGCAGACCACAAACCAAAGTGTTTGGCAGGTCGCAACTACAATCGTCAATCTGGCTGCATCTTTCGTCGGTGCCTTGCAGGATAATATCCGCCAGGCCCTCAACCTCGATCCATCTGTCGCCAACAGCACTCCTGCCGACCTCTTGCAACGCGCCCATCTCTGGTTCAGTGAACAAGATACCTCAGTCCTTGCCGCAATCACCCTTACTGCCATCGCGGTAATCATGTCTTGGTCATCTCGGTTCGGCTCCTGGTCTGGACGCTTCTCGCCTTTCGGCCGTTCAGGAGGTTCCGCTCAGGTCAAAGACTCGGACTACAGTTATATCACCTCGGACGATCTGAAGAACGCCGAACAAAGAGAGGCCTCCCCTACACCATCCGGTCCGCCCAGGGATACCGATGTCATCATCCTCAAGAGCAAGCGCATCAGCTACCCTGTACACTTTCCCGCCTACGCGATGGAAAAGGGCGAACTGAAAGTCGGATCTGTCAGAGAGCAGGCCGCAAAAAAGACTGGTGCGGACAAGCGACACATCAAGCTCTTTTTCAGGGGCAAGAACTTGAAGGAGGACGGCAACTCCTGCCGTGCTGAAGGCCTCAGACACAACAGCGAGATCATGTGTGTGGTAGGAGATGCTGTACCCGAATCCATGAGTTCAAGTGACTCCGAAGGAGAAGAGGCAGACGCTGATGGGGGTGATGCGCCCAAGAGGAAGCGTAATCGCAACAAGAACAAAAAGAAGAAGTCCAAGAAGCCAGCAGCACCTGCTCGAGACGACATTTCGAGAACGCAATCGCCGCGTCCTGCACCTGTCCCACTCACACCTATGGACAAATTGAATGCTGTCAACTCGACTCTCCAGACCCTGCTGCCGCAATGTGTCCAATTCCTGGCTAGTCCTCCGGCGGATCAGGCAAAGAAAGAATATGAACACAAGCGACTCAGTGAGACTGTACTTGCTCAAGTGCTCCTCAAGCTGGACGCTGTCGACACTGACGGTGATGCGGAAGCAAGAGCTAGAAGAAAGGAACTTGTCAGGGAGGCACAGAATGTCCTCAACAGTTTGGACGACAAGATAAAGTCATGATACGTTTATGGAAGATAGGCAAATGTATCACATGCAGCTGAGACTGACGCCGTTTGGAAGGTGCATATCATCGGTCTAGAGCTGAAGTAGCATGTTTTTGACATCCCTTACATTAAACATGAAGACAGGGACAGCGATATGAACAGACAGTCATGTTTGGATTGATGAAGTTCGCTGCAAAAGTCGCAAACAATGTCATCACTGAGGATATTCGTCGGCTGCTCATCTTCAGGACCTTCCGGAAGTCGTACTGGCAGTTGTTCGCATGTCAGGGATGACTGGCAAAAGCCTGCTTCGAATTGAACCAGCAGCGAAACAGGCTTCATGAAGCGACACTGTGAATGTTTTCCATGCGCGACACACCATCATGAAGCCACGAAGGATATCGTTGTAATAATTATAAACCATGTTAATGACCCTGACGGAGAGCAAGTCCTGAGCGTCCTGTGACACAGAAGCAGCGACGCACTAGTCCGAGCTAACGGATTATTGTCGGAAGTGCCAAGCAATTTTCGGTCCACGCACCACCGCGCTTTCCATTTTTGCAAGTCGCTCAATTTGTGCCCTTTTGATCACCCGCGACTTTCTACACCCATCGACACCCCATCACAGACCAGCAACGATGTCGGAATTTCAGCCTGTCGTATGTGACATCCATCCCTCGTAGTGAGCAGGAAAAGAGAAAGAGACGGAAATCGAAATCTGGAATCGCGACGGCGACCGAAGCGCACGCACAGCTGCACACACGAGAAACACCAGTCATGAGAGCAATGGCTGACAAGACGGGTGTATACAGATCGTCATTGACGGCAAGGGACACTTGCTCGGTCGCCTGGCCAGCACTGTCGCCAAGCAGCTCCTGAACGGCCAGAAGATCGTTGTTGTCCGCTGCGAGGCCCTCAACATCTCTGGAGAGTTCTTCCGCGCTAAGCGTACGTCCACCCCATCGCACGATACCGACCGCCGCCAGCACACTTCCGCAACGACCGATCTACCGAAGCATCATCTGGCGGCCACTGTGCATTCCAGATCAGAAAGAGCAAGGCTAACATGATATACAATAGTGAAGTACCAGGCTTTCCTGCGCAAGCAGACGCGTTACAACGCTTCCCGTGGTGGTACGTAACCACGAGTTCTCCGCTGCCCTTGTGGCATGAGATTTACTCCGCTGCCTTTCGGCATGAGATATTCTCCGCTGTCCACTGGACATGAGATTTTTATGATAGCCTGGTCACTGACTTGGACATAGGTCCCTGGCACTACCGCGCACCCTCCAAGATGTTCTGGCGCACCATCCGTGGCATGATCCCTCACAAGACTGCCCGCGGTGCCGCCGCTCTTGAGCGCCTGAAGACCTTCGATGGTGTTCCTCCCCCATACGACCACAAGAAGCGCATGGTCGTTCCCCAGGCCCTCCGTGTCCTCCGCCTCAAGCCCGGCCGCAAGTACTGCACCGTCGGCAGACTCGGCCACGAGTTCGGCTGGAAGTACCAGGATGTTGTCGCCAGGTACGGATCTCGTTGCTATGACATCCGCTCGCCATGTGCTAACACAATATACACAGACTTGAGGAGAGAAGAAAGGTCAAGGGTGCCGCTTACTACGAGCGCAAGAAGGCTGCTCGCCGTTCGCTCGCCGAGGCCCAGAAGACCGCCAAGGTCGATGAGAAGGTCAAGACTGAGCTCGCTTCTTACGGTTACTAAATGTGACTGGAGAGTCGGAGTTTGTCGTCGCGTCCATCTGCTTCCCTTGAGCACTCATAACGTCGATGTATTGCTCAGGGTAGCGTCAAGCCCATACCCATAATGGCTTGCTTTGTTTCTGTGCTCGGCAATTTGGGGCTAGGGAAAACAAAAACGAAACGCTTTTCAGAAATGGCATAAGCCGAAAAAGTCATGGCACTCTCAACAATACCCAATTTCACGCGCAAACGTCTTCAAGTGTACTGTGACTCTATCCAAATACTGAATCCTAGACTTGTCCAGCGTAAAGTAGTTAATGATCCACGTATTAGCAACTCGACGCGGACTTCCGCCTTTCACAACCACCTCGGCCGCGCCCCGCACATGTCAGTTGACCAACCCCCGCTCTTCCTTTCCTCCACCCGCAATATCCGCTGTAGGTAGTCATATAGATCTGTATCTTGGGACTTCATCTATCTCTAAACTACCGTTGTACTTTGCGCTTGATCCTGCTTCGTCCCGACTATCGCGAGCTTCTGACCAGGCCCTCGAATCACACCCCTTCCAATCAATTAGCTCCGACCACATCCCAAAATGGTTTCTGCTGCTGGAAGATTATCCGCTATAGCAGCTCAATTGCTGCCTTCACCATTCTCCTCGCAGAAGGCAGCTCCACAAACCCAGACTTATAATACTCATCAGCTCTCCCCCACATTCTTCTTACCACGAGCAGCGACCATTGAGCCTAACGTACGTGAAACACCATGTTTCTTGTTATCCCAAGTTGATCAAACTCCAGGCTCCAGCAATTTACCATGTTACCGCCAATAAAAAGATCTTGCGAAGAAACTACCAGGAGTTTGCGGATCGTGCTAGAGGCCTTGCCTACTATTTGAGGCGACACAAATATAAGCGAGTAGGCATCTTGTGTCCCAACACGCCTGCTTTCCTCGAGGCCATCTTCGGTATTGCTGCAGCGGGATCGGTCAATGTCGGTAAGCAAACTTGCTGGGAACTCGCTTTCAAGATCCGACATCTGACAATATGGAAGGTGTAAATTACAGATTGCAACCAGTGGACATCACTTATATCTTTGAGCATGCTGAAGTAGACAGCATCATCGTTGATGCCGAGTTCGCTCCCTTGTTGGATGCTTTCAGGGCCGCGCACCCGGAAATCAAGATCTTGATCGACACTGATACCGATGCGACAGAAGGCCAACTTTCAGGACCATTCGATGAAGCAGTCCTCGAAGGCTTGAGATACGATACCGAGACTGGGTCCAAAGGCTGGGCAGATCTTGAGCATACTACCCCTGACGAAAACTCCCTATTGGCATTGGCTTACACATCCGGGACTACTGCAAGGCCCAAGGGTGTCATGTATTCGCACAGAGGTGCCTACTTAGCTGCTCTCGGCAACATCGTCGAATCAGGACTGAATTATCATGGCGCACAACGTGCTCACTATCTCTGGACACTACCGTATGAGAATCGTGGTTCGTTTAGTCGTTTCGAGCTAACACTTTACCAGATTGTTCCACGCGATGGGATGGACTTTTCCGTGGTCAGTAACAGCCGTTCGCGGCACCCATTATTGTTTGAGGAAAATCGACTACCCGGAGATCTGGCGTCTCATGAAGGAAGAAGGTATAACCCACATGAATTCGGCTCCAACAGTAAACACACTTTTGTGCAATGACCCTGGAGCCGTACGACTGGAGCAACCGGTGAGGGTGACTGTCGCCGCCAGTCCGCCTTCAGCTCACTTGTTCAAGACAATGGAGAACTTGAACTTACAACCAGTAAGAGGAGCGACTGTAGAAGCAGTATCATCACTGACTGGCTGCAGGTGCATGTTTACGGATTGACAGAGACTTACGGGCCTATTACTAAAGGTTATCATATGCAGACTTGGGACCGGCTTCCAGGAGACGAGAAGTATGCCAAGATGGCCCGTCAAGGACATGGTTTTGTGACATCTTTACCAGTACGTGTCATTAAGACAGACGTTCCGGATGACCGCGTCGAAGACGTCGTGCCGAACGGCAAGGAGATTGGTGAGATTGTCTTCACTGGCAACATTTGTTCAATTGGTTATTACAAAGACGAAGAGGCGACGAGGAAATTATTTGCCGGAGGAGTCTTACACAGCGGAGATCTTGCTGTTCTGCATGAAGACGGCGCCATCCAGATCCTCGACAGAGCCAAGGATATCATCATCTCAGGTATGCATCAGATACTGCCCAACAACCTCATCATGCTCACATATTAAAACAGGCGGAGAAAATATCTCGAGTGTCGCTTTGGAGTCCATGCTTGTTACACATCCAGAGATTCTTGAAGCAGCGTGTGTAGCAGTTCCAGACAGTCATTGGGGTGAGCGGCCACATGCCTTTGTGACTGTCAAGAAGGAAGGCCTCAAAGGCGAAGAGGTGATCGACTGGGCCAGGAACCAGAGCAACATCAGTCGCTTTATGGTTCCAAGAGAAGTGACAATAGTTGCTGAGCTGCCAAAGACGAGCACTGGAAAGCTAAAGAAGAATGACTTGCGAGAATGGGCCAAGACTGGCCAGAAGGGGGTGTAAACGGAGCAGCCGGGCGGGAGTGCGGGTATGTTGATCGACGTTTACCTTTGCGCGGTTCCGATCAGACAGACATTTTACTGCGCTTAAAAGTAGCCTTGGGCAGTGTGGTGGTTTGAGTGACGGGTCGATGTGCTGATGTTGCTCAGAGAACACGCGAATCACGTCAAACAGCTCGCAAGTGAAAAAAGAAGACAGGTGGTTGGACGGCTCAGCCTCGATAGAGAACGGTTCGTCATGCATACCTTAGATGAGACAAATCTTTGTCGCGTGTTCTTCTTCCTTCTCTTAATGATTAACCCACCAGAAAATATTACTTCCGCGAGTCACTCTGCGCATTATGTTCCTCTGTGCATCATCTTCCTCTGCGCATCAGTTTCTTGACCAACATGAGTGTGCGAAAGTAAGTCGTCACCGAGCCTTCGAATTTTCGACGCCGCACGGGCCTTTTCTGTTTGATCTAGGCTCAAGGCGGGAAGGCGTGCCTTCCCTTCTGAGGGCGTCGTTCTTTCTCTCGACGAGTTAAAGGCATAAAAAGCCGCCCATCATCGAACAGCCGGAGACCTCCTTCATAGCGGCCTCGGCTGACGCGTGACGAAACAACCAAATACCACCCCTTCATTTACCCTTCTTTTTTTCCACGCGAATAATTAACCATGGTCATGAACTGCTAATTCAACTACTCAAAATACTCATTTTGCTTTGGAAAAGAGGGCGTTGATGGAAATCTGATTACTTTGCGATACAATCTGGCTACGACATGAGTGCCACAAGGTGAGTGCATATACAGCGGCTATCTCCGAGAGGATTCACTTGCTGACTACACACGTGATACTCGCAGACTTGACCGTATGTTACATCTACGGCTCCATGTGGGGCTATTGATTACTGACGCTCGATGCAGGATTGGTCATTCTTCTAGACACTGGTAGCACCCAGCTTATCCGTAACACAGCTGCCCAACAGCTCGCCGATGTTCAAAAGAACCACCCCGACGAGCTTTTCAACCTACTAACCAGAGTTGTTCCCTTCCTCCGTTCATCTTCTTGGGATACGAGAACAGCAGCCGCAAAGGCATTGGGCGGTATCGTCGAGCATGCGCAAAAGTTTGATCCTAACGAAGACGATGTCAAGGACGAGAATGGCATCAAAGAAGAGACCAAACAAGAGAATGGCTCCTCGACGCCTCTCACTTCCGAGGATCAATTGCAGCTCGCAACCTTGGACGTCGAGGCCATCTTGACCAATGGAAAAGAGCTACTCGGCAGCGCTGGTCGTCAATATGACTTCAAACTAGCTGGAATGGATCCTGCTCAACGACTTGCTCACCAAAAAAAGACTCTCACCAACCGACTCGGTCTTGGTGGGGAGTACATGGAGGACGAACTTGTCACAGAAACAGATATTTCTGTGCGCACTAGCTTCCCACCCCCGGCGTTGCCAACCGCAGAGTCCTCGCTCTCTAGGGCCAATAGTGTTTCGGAGTCGGCCGCTGTCTCCCCGAGTGACCAACAGACTCAGTCAGAGGCTATGAGCAAGCGACAGCTCAATATGCTCAAGCGACGAAGAAAGGAGGAGCTCAAAAGAGACAATAAGAAGTTCAAGTATGATCTTACCAGTATGCGACGCGAAAGCACCGCAGTCGCGACCCCTGCTGAGTCGGAGACCATCATCAAAGACGAAAACGGAGACGCCAAGAACAACCTTCCTGACTACTTCTCCCTCGAGAGAAAGGGTGGTGACGATGATGCAAAGGTCGTTTCGGAGTTCAAGGGTGTGCCCGTTCCTGAGAAATCTTCCTTCCAGACCGAGGTGGAAGAGACTGGCAACGGATGGCCGTTCGAGCGACTCTGCGAGTTTTTGACTGTGGATTTGTTTGATCCTGCCTGGGAAATCCGTCATGGTGCCGCCATGGGTCTCCGAGAGATTGTCCGCGTGCATGGAGCTGGTGCTGGACGTCTACTGAGCAGACCCCGATCTGAGAATGACCGCCTTAATCAAGCATGGCTTGACGATCTCGCATGTCGCATCTGCTGCGTCTTCATGCTTGACAGATTCGCCGACTACGTCTCGGACAATGCCATTGCCCCGATCAGGGAAACTGCTGGTCAGACATTAGGTGCACTCTTACAGTACCTTCCAGCGTCCTCAGTGCACGCCGTCAATCGAATTTTGTACAGGCTGGTGATGCAAAAGGATCTCAAGGTAAACAAGCGCATTTGGCACGCCTGCCATGGTGGTATGATCGGCATGAGATATTTGGTGGCAGTCAGGAACGATCTGCTGCTTCAAGATAACCTCTTGATGGATGGCGTCCTTGAATGTGTTATTAAGGGCCTCGGAGACAGTGACGACGATGTCAGAGCGGTCAGCGCGGCCACTTTGATCCCTGTCGCCAAAGAGTTCGTCAACATGCGCCATGCTGCACTCAATCATCTGATCAGTGTCGTCTGGGAGTGTCTATCCAACTTGAGCGATGATCTCAGCGCCAGTACAGGGTCCGTTATGGATTTGCTTGCAAAGCTCTGCAGCTTCCCCGAAGTGCTCGATGCCATGAAAAAGAACGCTGCAGAGAACCCCGAACAATCTTTCTCGGAGCTTGTTCCTCGTCTGTACCCCTTCCTCCGTCACACAATCAGCACAGTCCGCTCTGCTGTACTCCGCGCTCTTCTCACCTTTGTAAACATCGATGGCGAAGATGCCAAATGTTGGGTCGACGGACGAGCTCTACGTCTTGTATATCAAAATTTGCTCGTTGAACGCAACGAGACAGTTCTTAAGCTTTCCCTTCAAGTCTGGTATGCTCTGTTGGACATCCTCTCAAAGAATCCTGACAAGTTCGCCATCGAGTTCGAGCCCCATGTTGCACCTTTAGTAACACTCACATTTCACCCCATTGGAGTGTCTCGTCACCCCATTCCAATGGACGCAACACTGTTCATTCGCCCTTCAGGTTTCAGCTACGCTCCTCTAAGCAGTGCAACTCGCAAGTCTTCTCCAGTAAATGGATCTTCTGAGCCTGCCAGAAAGAGAAGACGGTCCGACAAGAAGGAAAAGGACATGCCACCTCCGACCTCCTCTTCTGCCCACAACGTCGACGGGCACATGATGCAAGGCGATGTGGACCTTGTCGGAGCCGACATCATGATCAGATCCAGAACTCATGCCGCTCAGGCCTTGGCGAAGGCTTGTCAAGTTTGGCCAGCGCCAACGAGACGCGACATGTTCTCGACAAAAATACTCCCTGGTTTGAAGTCCAGCTTCTCAACCACACAACTCTTCACCGCTGTATTTATTGAGGAGTACGCCAAGATACTGACCAGCAAAGATGATCTCACCTCTTCCTTCGCAGAGTCGCTACGCCCCCTTGTGGAGGAGGACAGGCCGATCTGGTACAGCGACCTCACCAGTTACCTTCAAATCGTACGCGCACAGTGTCAGAGTCTTCTGAATACTTTCCGCGAAAAGGCCCACGTGCCTCCGAGCAAGCTTCCTACTATCGCTGTTGTGGTCCAAGGAGAGCCGGAGGCCGGTAAGAGTGCCTTTTCACTCGCTGATGGAGAGCGCATTGCAGTGCAAGACTTCGAAAAATTACGCAAGACCCTGTCACCAGCTCAGCGTGTCACCGCCACTGAGATGTTGTCGAGTGCAAAGGCGGATGTTGATTCTGTCATAGTCGAGGCAAATTCGGTCAAGAAGCAACGCGATGTTCGTATCAAGTCTGCTGCAGCCGCTGCCATCGTTGCATTGAAGGAGATCCCCAAGAAGCCTCAAGCCACCATCAAGGGCCTCATGGACAGCGTCAAGGACGAAGAGAACTTCGAACTTCAGAAGCGTTCTGCAGCCGCGATTGCTAGTCTCGTAGACCAACTGGTCGCCAGTGGTCGCATGAAGGTTGTCGACAAGGTAGTTGGCAATTTGGTCAAATTCTGCTGCATGGAGACTGGCGAGACACCCGAGTTCCATCCCAATGCGGACAGAGAAGCTGGCATTCTTTCGCTGCAGAAAGACGAAGACATTCAAGATCGTCCAGATGCTGCTAAATATGAGAGAGAAGTTCGCCAAGCTCGCATCACAAGACGTGGTACCAAGGACGCCTTGGAGCAACTGTGTTTCCGATTTGGCCGCGAACTCTTCGAAAAGGTTCCTATGCTTCGTACTCTCATCGAGGATCCGATTCGCCATTGTTTCTCTGGAGACTTACCCGCTGATATCACAGACCCTGAGAAGAACGTTGGTCAAGAAGTCGTGGATGCTATGTCAACGCTTCGTGCATTGGTTGCATCATTCCACGCAGATCTACACAACTTTGTTCTTGATCTTATGGGTCTTGTCGCCAAAGCTCTTCAGACAAGACTCGCTGTTCTTCGCTATACCGCTGCCAAGTGTTTCGCAAGTATGTGCAGTGTGATCACCGTCAAGGGATTCACCATGTTGGTCGAGCGAGTCCTGCCGCCAATTAACAACCCAACCGACGTCCACTGCAGACAAGGCGCTATCGAGTGCATCTACCATCTCATCCAGGTCATGGAGGATCGCATCCTGCCTTACGTGATTTTCCTCCTGGTTCCAGTGCTCGGACGTATGAGCGACTCTGATAACGGCGTCCGTCTGATCGCGACTACCGCATTCGCCACGCTGGTTAAGCTGGTACCCCTTGAAGCCGGTATTCCGGACCCGCCGGGTCTCTCTGAAGAACTTCTCAAGGGCCGTGAGAAGGAGCGCAAGTTCATTGCACAAATGCTCGATCCCAAGAAGGTTGAGTCGTTCGAAATTCCTGTCGCGATCAAGGCCGACTTACGTTCATACCAACAAGATGGTGTCAACTGGCTGGCTTTCCTCAACAGATATCACCTACATGGCGTTCTCTGTGACGACATGGGTCTTGGTAAGACGCTACAGACTATCTGCATCGTTGCCAGTGATCATCACATGCGTGCCGAAGAGTTCGCAAAGACACAAGCGCCTGATCAACGCAAGATGCCCTCTCTGATCGTCTGTCCTCCAACCTTGTCCGGGCATTGGCAGCAAGAGATTCGTACGTATGCACCCTTCCTCAACGCTGTTGCCTATGTGGGTCCACCATCCGAACGGAACAAGCACCGCGCAAAGCTCACTGAGGCCGACATCGTTATCACCTCATATGACATCTGCAGAAATGATGTCGAAGTCTTCGCACCCCACAATTGGAACTACCTCGTGCTTGATGAAGGCCATCTCATCAAGAATCCAAAAGCCAAGGTCACCCAAGCTGTCAAGCGCATTGCTAGCAACCATCGTCTTATCCTTTCCGGTACCCCGATCCAAAACAACGTACTTGAGCTTTGGTCCCTATTTGACTTCTTGATGCCCGGCTTCCTTGGTACAGAGAAGATGTTCCAAGATCGATTTGCAAAGCCTATCGCTGCTTCGCGGTTCAGCAAATCCTCCTCGAAAGAACAAGAAGCTGGCGCATTGGCCATAGAGGCTCTACACAAACAAGTTCTGCCTTTCTTGTTGCGTCGCCTCAAGGAAGAGGTACTTGACGACCTGCCGCCCAAGATTTTGCAGAACTACTACTGTGACTTGAGTGACCTGCAGAAGAAACTCTTCGAGGAGTTTACCCGCAAAGAGTCAAAGACTATCGCCGAAAAGGCTGGCTCGGCTGACAAGGAAGCCAAGCAGCATATTTTCCAAGCTCTGCAGTATATGCGCAAACTTTGCAACTCGCCAGCCTTGGTGATGAAGGAAAGTCACAAGCAATACGCGGCAATTCAAACACAATTAGCGCGCCAAAACTCGAGTTTGACTGATCCTGTTCATGCTCCCAAGCTCACGGCTCTCAGAGATCTTCTCGTCGATTGTGGCATTGGTGTCGACTCTGCAGCGCCTGGCGAAGTACCTTCTGCCGATCAGGCTGTCTCGCAGCACAGAGCTCTGATCTTCTGTCAGATGAAGGAAATGCTAGACATGGTCGAGTCAACCGTCTTCAAGCGCATGTTGCCGTCGATCACATTCTCTCGACTTGATGGAAGTGTTGAAGCGTCCAAACGTCAAGACATTGTCAATCGTTTCAACTCTGATCCTTCGATTGATTGTCTGCTTCTCACCACTAGCGTTGGCGGTCTCGGCCTCAACTTGACTGGAGCAGATACCGTCATCTTTGTTGAACATGATTGGAATCCTCAGAAGGATCTTCAAGCGATGGACCGTGCGCATCGTATCGGCCAGAAGAAGGTCGTCAATGTCTACCGCTTGGTCACCCGCGGCACCCTAGAAGAGAAGATTCTCAGCCTTCAGAGGTTCAAGATTGATGTGGCTAGTACTGTGGTTAACCAACAGAATGCTGGTCTGGGAAGTATGCAGACAGACCAGATCCTGGACTTGTTCAACATGGGCGACACAGACGGCGCACCATCTCTTGAGGACAAGCCTAGAGATCCCAACTCAATTGATGAAGCAGACGCTGTAGATGCCGAGGGTAATGTGCGCGAGAAGGGCAAGAAGGGCATTCTTGATGAGCTCTCTGAGCTTTGGGACGAGAAGCAGTACGAAGAAGAGTTCAACTTGGACGGATTCTTGTCAACCATGAAGGCATGATCTAGCTCCTCGAACATATTTGATTCTGCGGCGTCTCATTTCTTAACGAGGTATGACTGGATGGACGGATGGAAAAGGACAGGAAGAATTGGGGCATTTGACGAACATTGGCAGGAAGGCATCGACATGAACCACCATTCTGTAAACAGTGAGAAAGTATACTCTCATCTTCATATAGAGCGTCTTGCGATGCAGCTCCCTCTACAACACGAATTAAAAGTCTACTACAAGCACTTGCCTAGTCGAGTAATTCGAGTTTCGGCTTTCTTCACCCGACAACCGAAATCCGGGCACGACGGTTTGTGGGGTGTCATTCGGGGAAACAGCATGCGAGCCGGCGTTCTCTCCGCGCGGACGTCAACTAACAAGTATATATATGAATATTTCGACGACGTTCAACTAGGCCTTGCTCGAGACACTACATCGACATTCGACCTTTCTGTGCTAGTAATCATACCTTACCAATGGCGCCGATCAAGACCATCGAATACTTTCGTGTCAAGCCCCGATGGCTGTTCGTCAAGATAGTTGATGCAGAGGGTCATGTCGGTTGGGGAGAGGCAACCCTGGAGGGACATACCCAGGCCGTGGAAGGCACTCTTCTCGGCTTCGTTGACCGCTTCCTCGGGCTCGAGGCTGATGACATTGAACATATCTGGCAGCTCGCCTGGAGACAGAGTAAGCTCAGCCGAGAAATATTGAACCCATGTCTGCCATATCCTAACAAAGATTAAACAGGCTTCTATCGCGGTGGCCCTGTATTCATGAGTGCTCTAGCCGGTATAGACATCGCACTCTGGGACCTCAAAGCCCGAAGGCTTGGTGTACCCATCTACCAACTACTCGGAGGTAAAGTCCGACAAAAAGTTCAAGTGTATGCTTGGATTGGAGGTGATCGTCCATCTTCAGTCGCTGAAGCTGGCAAAGAGCGACTTGCTCAGGGCTTCCGCGCTGTCAAGATGAATGCCACTGAAGACGTGGGATGGTTGGACTCGCCGTCTAAGCTTGACTCTGCTGTCGAAAGAGTAAAGACTGTGAAGGACTTGGGTTTGGATGTCGCTGTTGATTTCCATGGGAGACTCCATAAAGCTATGGCGAAGCAATTGGCGTAAGTGCTGAACCTGAGGCGTGTAGTAAGTGTAAATTTGATTATGCTTTGCTGACCACTCATCCATTATAGACGCAAATTAGACGGCTGCGATGTTTTGTTCCTGGAAGAGCCACTTTTGAGTGAGCATCCTGAGGGTATCAAGCAGCTGTCAAATCTGACGAGTTCGCCCATCGCGCTTGGTGAGAGACTGTATAGTCGTTGGGATTTCAAGAGATACTTCGAAGGTAAATTCATTGTTGGTTTCTCACTCACGATGCGAGCATGCTGACTGGAAGTAGATGCTTCTGTCGATGTCATCCAGCCTGACATCTCACATTGTGGAGGTATTTCCGAGATCAGAAGAATCGCCGCTATGGCGGAGACGTATGACGGTGAGTTTTATGCAATTTTCTCTTGGTCGTGCTCGCCATACTCACTCATTTCTCAGTTGCCATTGCTCCTCATTGTCCTCTTGGAGTAAGTCGTGCTCATTGATCCGACCCTCGAACTATTTTAACCATGCTTCGCAGCCCATCGCTCTCGCAGCATGTTTACAGATCGGTCTCTCCACGCCTAATCATATGATCCAAGAGATGTCTGTTGGTATGCATTACAATACTGAGGCAGGTGAGCATGATATTCACAGCTATGTGCGCAACCCCGAAGTCTTCACGGTCAAGGACGGACACCTGGATGCCTTTACTGGACCAGGATTGGGAATCGAAGTAGATGAGGAAGCTGTCAGAAGGGTGGCTGAGAACACCGAGCCATGGCCACTGGGCAAATTCGTTGGTGTTGACGGTGCTTTGAGAGAGTGGTGATAGAAAAAGCATACGATGCTCTAGACCAAAGATACAGTTTAGTAAGTTGAAAATTATTGTTTGAGTACATATTTTGTCTATTGTACAAAGTGCGTTATGCCGAGATGCAGATATGCTGCTTCCTACTTCAAATTATAATACCCCTTGGGTCACATGTCATACCAGAAATCGTCGTCCAGCCCACTCCGGCTCGGGACAGGCAACTGTTTATCGTCCTGCGCACGCTCCCAATCCACATCTTCCCAGCGTAGATTCAGCATACGAATGGTCAGACTCCACTGCTCAAGCAGGTCAACTAGTTTGTTGGTGTCTGCGGTGATCGGTTGCTGATTCAAGAGCATGAGAAGACCATCCAGCCATTCGGAAGCAAGTGATGTGCTGCTAGTGTTAAGCTCTAACAACACCGACTCTCCATTGGCTTGAGGTTTTGCAAAAGTGTTCGAGGTGCCGAAAATGGTAAGTCTTGTGACTGTTCCCGTGGCCGGAGCATGCTTGTCGCTAAGAGATTCCGTTGTATCATCACCGAGTAAAACATCGGATCTGGCCACACTAGAATCGACAGAGCTGATGGTTTCTACGTCGATCCTCTCGTTGAGTTCATGAAGCTGTGGGGGCTTACTGAGCTTGGTATTGTGCGAAGCGTGGTGAAGGTATTTTCTGTCATTCGAGAGCCGGACAAATCGCCAGGCGGTGATGCGTAGTTTCTGTGTTTCTTCTGGAGTGATTGAAAGGTTCGATGAAGATGTCTGTGATGAGATATTCGGGAACCAGGAGCCTTGGAGTAGACACTTGATGCGTTGCTCGCGCATGAACAGAAGCGCATCCGTATGTGTTTGCTCACGGAGTTTCCTGGTAGCTTGAATCAGCAACTTAGAAGGCGGGGCTGAGGTCTAGTACGCTCTTACCTCAAGTCTTGCCCCCAAGCATATTCATAGATCTGCGAGACGTCTTGCAACTGCCATTCTCTGACCTTTGCCAGAGTGGTGCTTCCCAACTGCTCTTCGACTTGGTCCATGGATGCTCGCCTGTCTGATTGCCCTAGAATTGTCCTGATCAGAAGCCTTGAGAGATCATCGATCTTGCGATAATCGTTAGTCGTCGCACCTGCTTCCTTCCACAGGCGGATAAATGCATTGAGCGAGGCTGCGTGTACGTCTTCCCAGCGCAGAAGCAGGGGCTTTGCGAGCCTCTCCGCATCTTTGGCATCATCTGGGCTAGTGGTGTTCTTCGTTGGATCTTGACCATCCATCTTGGCAATCTCAAAGTGCTCGTAGAGGACCATGGTGATACTCATGCTTGCTTTCGCAATAGGACATCGTTGAGTCAAGGGCATGACACTCTGCTCCAGAAGTTCTCGCTGGAAAGTATCACGATTCCTGCGTACATACTCGGTGAGGTTCATCATACCCAGGAACCTGGCGTCTTCGAGGTCTGATGTGGGATTGTCGGATGAAAAACCTAGGCGCTGCCATTTGTCGGAGTCAAGGTCTAAGAAATGTTCATTAGTTTATAGTCAGTCCGAGGCTCCCACAGTCTACAACGCACCTTGCTGACTAGCTTGATACTTGGGCGGGAAGCTTGAAATTTGGAGCTCCTTGAGTGCTTGTCGATGTTCGGCTTTCTCAAGGTCAACCAATATATGTCTCCAGCGAGCGAACAGAATTTTCATGAGACTTTGGAACTCAAGAATCGGACCAGCGATTTCTTGAAGCGTATCACCGCGCATCAGATTCTCGACGCCACTTATAACACCCAACTCCTGTAATCTGCTGATGAACTTAGGCCATTCGGTTTCTCCTCCATTAGCGACAGAGTCTCGCATCAATGCATTCACGAGATGCAGGGCATTCGCACACAACGCATGATCGGCAGAGCCCAGCTTATCAACGAGACAATCAAGGAAGTTTGAGTGGACTTGTAAGAGCGGTACAAGAGCCTTGAATCCGAATTCGTCTTCGGAAGGTTGCTGTAGCTTGTAAGGATCGAAAGGTCGTGATACCACCAGGACCAGGAGAAGCAATGCGTTGCGAAGGACATTGATAACAGGGCGACTGACGACAACTTGGACAGCCTACATAAATCTAAGAATTCGTTCCTCGCTGGCAAGACTCTCGCATTTAATCTTACACGTTCTATCACATCTGAGCTTAAATGGTCCCAGCCCAGGTCCATCTCCAGCAGACGCGTCAAGCTACCCAGCGCATAGGCGAGAGCATTCCCATTCTCCTCAAGAACGACCTGCTTCAACGCAGGTACGCCTTGGAATTGCACAAAGGCACGCGCAAACGAAGGCTCGCTGACAAGAGACTGTAGATGATAGACGGAGAGCTTGCGCGAGGATTCGGAGTCGCTCGCTATACCAGCGATAATGGATCGGACATCGTGAGAGCCGGCCATGGATCCGACTTGCATGCGGCCAGAATGCCGAGTTGTTCACGATTGTCAGCGTATGGAAAAGGGAGTGGCCTGAGATTCGACTCTCAGAACATGTTCTACGAGGGCTGGACAGGAGCAGCCCCTCGGGCGCTAGTCAAGACGCTAACAAGATCCGCGCAGAAGCCGACATGGCTCGTGCGTGGTACCAGGACGGCCGCACCAGACTTTTGAGCACGAGTCCCTCCTCGTCCGTGTCACGAGACGAGGCCGAGATGATGAACGTCGTCAGGGACGATGACATTACTCATGGAATGACAACGGCTGTGTGAGCGTTTTCGAGACCGATGGTATAGCTCATAGAGCTTTCGCTCGGCAGCAAGCGAGCTCGATAAGCATCGCGTGATACCTGGTTTGCGAGATAGGAAATAACGGTACCAGCCTCTTGGCTCATCGATGCCTCATGCTTCTTCGCCCAGCTCTGATTGATGGAATACCGTATCTGCAGGTTGTGTGCATGTAGTCCAGTATCTTGTAGCCTATGTGCCACACGAGTGCGTCTACACAGGGACAATGTATGTACCAAGGCCCTTAGCCAGGGACCTTCGCACTTGGACACGATCGATCGAACAAAAGATGCTGCTTTGATTGTTACAGTGGATGAGCCTGTGTAAGAACTCAGTAATGGCACATGAACATAATTGTCTGAAATTCGCGAGAAACAAAAAGATCGCTCAATGCTGAAGGAGAAGAAGAAGAAGAAGAAAATTCGTCGCTGAAAGCCCAAAGAAGGAAAGGCCACTAGAAAGGCCACTGTATAGCCACCGCCTGTCGAATGCGCCTTTACCCAAAACCAATGCAATATCCAGTCCCAACCATTCCCCTATGTTATTTACCCATCCATAAGAAGAAAAAAATGAACCCCCAATGCAACATTTGGAGTCTGTCACTTTCTCCACCCAACGTTCCATATTACATGGGCAATATCCTTTGCGGTATTCAGAGTGTCACTCACCTTACCGAAGAGCCCAGCGGCGACGATATCATCTTCATCCTCCTCATAAGGCATGAACATACCCGAAGCACTACGGCGCATTCCAAGACCTTCGTCTTCATCCTCATCTTCGGATGGGGTAGTAGCGGGTGAACCTGAAGTCCGCGACCTATGCACGGCCACGCTGTCTCGTCGGTTTGCAAATGCACTCAATCTAAGCGACTCTGTGTCGTCCGAGTCCAGGTCTTCGCTCTCCTCCTCGTCGGGAGGTAAGATGTGGTTTTTCGAGGGATTTGCTGGCTTCAACGTCTCTTGTGAAGCTGACTGTGGCAGCTTACTCGAGCTCCAAGAACGGACCAAGGATGAGGCTGGTTGTGGAGGAGGCTCGATGATCTCAGTTTTATTCTTCAGAGTGGTGGATGGAAGCTTTTCGATGGTCCTGCTAGAGGAACTGCTTCTGGGTAGCGGTTTGCGAGTCGCACGTTTCCTCTTGGGACGCCTCATCATGACAATACCATCGTCTGATGAGTCCGAGTCGGAATCATTATTTGGTCGCTCATCTTCAGAACTCTCGTCTCCAAACTCGCCGTCTTTGCCCTCAACGGCAATGCATTGCTCGACCTTTTCGTCAAAGCGGATGTGGCGTTTTGGGTATTCGAAGGGTGAACGATCCCCAGACGAAGGACGTGGGGAGAAGCAACCCAAATCCAGGAAGTCGAGTTGGTCTCTGCTGCTTGGTACCATGAGGCTGGCAGTCGGAAGATAGGTAGAGGCACGACCAAGCGAAGGTCTTTTTGATGGAGGCAGAGTTTGCTGAGCCTGTACAGCAGCAGCGGCCTGTTTGACGAGAGAGGATGTCGACAGCGAGCGTTGCAGCATCACTTCAGACATGCTTCGCTTTTTCAGAATGGGCTTTTTGTGGACAAAGGAATTGGCGCTCGAGAACTGTGGGCTAGGGTCGGGCGAGAACTGGGTTACGGGATGGGTCGAGGCGGGCTGGAGAGGTCCGTAGAGCCAGGTCACGTCGCTTTCTTTCAGCCTGCGTAAAGTCAGTCATGAGTGCCACAACGCGCTGAAGTTCTAACGACGTACCAATTAAGCGTCTCTGGAGAGACGGTAGGAAGGTGATACTTCGACTTGGCCCATGTTCTCCATGACGCATTTTCAAGGCGTGACCTCTGGCCGTAGACCTTGCGCTGGGAGACGATGTGCCGCCATGAAGACCAGATATCTTCTTCCCGCCAGTCGTGGGAGAGGTAGTCGACATGTCGCGATGGCTCGTGCTTGATTGCCGTGTCATCGGCCACAGTAGGCGTTGGTAGGGGGGAGTCTGAGCGAGTAGTGTCGGTGGTGCTACCGGCGTCGTCTTCGTCATCCCGATCGCATCTGCCGTCGTTGGAGTCGGCATCGGACGTCTCGTCCTCGGGTCGTGGACTAGGAGGCAGATCCAGCGGCTCGTCCTCGTGGAAGAATTGGACCTCGTCGTATGCGGGGAAGGCCAGTCCGGTGTCTTGTTGATGGCCAAGCTCGAACGAGAGCTTTGGCTGTTGGCTGGAGAAGAATGGAGTTGTGGTAGATTGAGAGTGGGAGAAGTCGGAGTAGGATTGGCGAGAGGCAGCGAGCGAGCCGGAAGAAGGGAAGGAGCGTTTGAGAGAGCCGATGTTCTCAAAGGAGGGTTCGGAGGCGGTGCGATGCGAGGTGGAAGGCGGCGAGCCGACCAGCAGCGAGGTCCGTGATGAGTGAGAGCGTTTGAGCGAAGAAGAGGTCGAGTTTGGCTGGATATAGTAAGACTGGGATTGGTCGTCTCGCGACCGGGATAGGACCTCTGCCATGTTGTTGGTCGTGGCGCGATGTCAAGGCAGAGGGCGGAGGGCGGAGGGCGGGGAAATGGAGCGAAAGGTGCTTGCAGCGGGGGCGGTATTGGCGGACGGCGACTAGAATTGAACAAGCTGCGGCATCCTGAGAGTTGGTGCGAGGCGACGAGGTCAGCAGAGCTGGTGCTGGCGAGCTGAGCAGGAAAGGATGGAGAGGGATTATCCACCTTCAAAGCATCAATTCCTGATCAAAGCGCCGTCGCTTTTCCTTGGCCCTTTGCTACGGCCTAGCCCCCGGTCAAATTCGCGGCCTTTTCCTTTTCTGAGCTACCAGAAACTTTGATCAATCGTCCACTTCGGTCCGTAAAGTCATGTATGTTTCTTCACTGCAGAAAGGGGAGAGTGTAAAGGAGAGAGTCGCCAACGTGAGCCCTCTAGACACAAGAGTAGTAAAAGATGTAATTGATGATAAATGGTGCTCGCTCAGTACCACGACGGGGAATATGTACAGTAGGAGGGTCAACGGCCAGAGATCTCCAGAAGCACCATGCACGCGGCTTGCATAAGGGGGGTCCGCGCCTGCAATTACCTGGGATACTCCAAGACTCTGTCACGATCGAGCAGTCTTGCGTGCCTGTCTGCTTGCCTGGCCTTCCTGGTCGTGCTGCCCGTGAGAAAAGAAGCGACTCTCCGATGCCACCGCCCGGTAGAGATGCAGCGCTTGTCCTCCCACCGTCCACCCTGCCATGGCCCTGTCCCTGGGGTTAATCTGTGGGAACCTCTGGGGATTGAACTTTGCTGATCTCGACCATCCCGCCTTATCCGCTGTCCTTAGCCCTCAAGAGCAAGGGTGCTAACTGTACACCATCTTTTCTTCAAACTTGTTAATTGTCTTTGCTATCCACCTTGGAAACTTGTCAGCGACCGACATTTCTCGTCGCCAGGTCGCCTATCGCCCTTGGACCGCACGACCGAGAATGTGCAAAAACCATGTTTGGCCCAAAGCTACCCCCGCGCTCTTGCGTCATACAACATCTCACGCGCCCTCGATCTTCTGCTGACTCCCACAGTCCCACTGCGCCGCCGCGTCGATCATGCCCAGACACTCGACTCGAATCTATCCGAAAGGGCTTGTACAGTTGACGGCCTTTGGATCTCCATTTTGTCTCTGGACCCTGCCGCGGTGCTGTCGTGATTTTACTTTTGTCCTGAGTCCACCCGACGACGCGTCGCTTTGGATGAGAACACTGCATGCACCACATTGCATTAGCCGCTCCGACGTGACAGGATTGACAGCGGCCACGCTCTGGCCTGACAGGCCACTTTCTACCCTCGTAAATGCGTGCCCCAGAGGAGTCGCTCCTTCGCCTCCACCCCTTCGTGCATACAGTCAACCCAGGTTCAATGACCCACTTCTCTCTGCATCTTCTGCTGCAGGTAACCGATAGCCTGGTGGCTGCCAAATCTGTACATGCAAAGTCGCTCGCTCCGGCAGTGCTGTACAGCACACGGCTTTGATTAATGCTTCACTACTGGGACCATCCAAAGAAGAGACAAAGCATCGCAGCTTCTTGACTAACCCAACCGCCCCAACATTTTCGTTATTATCCCATGCTTCTGTATCCAGTCGCTTGACGAATCATCCCCGTTACCAGGTGTCGGTCAGGAAGCCTGCAAGCCCCTCCACCAACCAACGGCCATAGGAGCTGTGTGTAGTCTGTACCTGATAAGCCCCGGCATGGACGGCCCTTGATGCCTGCCGGTACATCGGAAAGCGCAATGCAGTAGTCCAGGAGTACAACGATGACATTGCCTATCACTGCTCCAACTCACGTTGAAAAGCATCGCAATTTTATGACTGGGACCATCTGCGATCGTCCAATCGCCAGCGAACCGTAACTTACATCCAGATGAAGAGGCTTGGCCATCGACTGACTCCTGCATCGTCGGCCTCAACAGTCAAGCCTGTCACATTCCTAACTCAAGTAAGCAGCTGCAACTCTTACCAAGGTGGAGATGTCGCAAAGCATTCATTTGTGATGCATGCCGACAATGCACCTTGGGCTCGTTGTACAAGCTAACGGCACATGAGCGACAGTGCTTTGAGGCTTATTCTCCAGACATGTCTCCACTACAATTCGTCAATAAACCTATAACGAAGCGATCACAACAAGAGCATGATCAAAGCTAGTCCCCTGGTTCAATGGATCCCAGCAGTATGCGGGACTTTATTCTCTAGAGGTCCGGTCTGACCAATAATCGAAATCCTGTCAGTTCTGCAGACTCGACACTCTTCGCACAGTGTGCATGCGGATGTCTACACCCGTGTTACACCGAGGAAGGTCCAGCGAATGGCTAATGAGAGCCTGGGCAACTCGAGTCCCTCTGTGGCACAGACAGACTTATCCGGTTCAACAACATTTCAACTCTGTAGGACACGCCCAGCATATGGATAAAATCAAGATTATGGAGAATTTTCCCATGTGTGGAAAATATCACAAGCTTGCACACGACCAGGTCGCTCGGTCTGGTGCTTTTCTGATCGTCGTTGACCTGTCTTTATAATAAGAGAAGGATTTGACCGACGGCATTACTCACCCATCTTTGTTTCAGTCATATACATGCGGCGGCTCATAGCATGGCAGCAGCGTGCTATACTCATGAGGGGCAAAGAGTGCTGCAGCAACCATGGGTCGTAATCGCGCCGCGTTTCGTCAAAATTGAATCGATCACTAGGCTCTAGTCGGCTTCACCGATCATAGCGACATTCTGACGGGCCGCGTCCATCTGCTTGATCACGAATGTCGGCTTCCTGGGGTGACAGATCGAATACAGGCGAGTATGGTGGACTATCAAGCTTTCCCTCTTTCCTTTCTTTCTCGTCAGTCGCTGCTGTGGCGACCCTGCTCTATATATGCTCACTCTGGTATCGTCTCTTGCAGCCATCAGAGACTCCTACAACCGTGATCATCGAAGCCAGGCTTACACATTACTGTAGACCTGCGTGGTGAAAGATTGATGGTGATAGTTGAGCCCATGATAATGGATACAGTGGGATGGATAGTTCGCAGCTGTATGACCTTGTATCAAAGCATGGTACACAGTCCAGCTCACACTTCGCAACCTGATTGCCGAAGACGGTGAAAGTCGCAATGAAAACATGACACTGTCTGAATATGCACAACTGTGAAATGCCATGTGTGAACAATTGGGGAGTCGGTGCAAAACAATGACCAGACGCATCGCGCGACTCAGCCTCACAGCGTCACCACTTCACGTGGTCGAAAGACCGTGTGAGAAGCGCTAGCACGACCTATCTCGTCACAACACAGAAGAAAACAAAAGACAATGAACGGAGGTTGGGGGAAGTAAGTGCTCTGATTGGATACTGATAGGGTAATTGAGATTCTCAGCCAAGTCTTCTACCTGGACCACGAGAGCCCCACGAACCAGAGGTGAAGCCACTGGTCCAAGTACCACCACTTGAGTTACCTGCCTGGACCTGAGCGCCGACGGAGCCAGAAGGACGACTCTGGAAGGCAGTACCATACGAGCGTGTGGTACTTGCGCCTGCAGGTCTGGCAAACCAACGCTGCACAATCTGTGGTGTGCTGAGTGGGTTGGTGCCACCTCCATAAGAAGGCCAAATTCTGGTCAAGAAGTCGTACATGTGGGCGGCGGCAAGACCAAAAGCCTGCTTAAGAGCTTCTTGAGGACCTGCCATGAGGAAGGCAACCAGCAACATACAACCGGGCAGATATTTGCGACGGATGCTGAAGAAGAAGAAAGTCATCATGGCATCTGGAGCATCTTGCACATGCAGATAGGCGAGGGCAAGAAGAAGCGGACCCATGAGCAATCCTCCGCCAAAGACGATGCCTGTGAGAAGCTTTGAGTAGACATCAGTACTGTAATGGTTGCACGTAGAACATGACAGTACGAGAAGAGTGTCAAGTGAAGAGATGTAGGGTGCCAAAACCACTGATTCGACCAAGGAATCGCCGAGCAGCTTTCTCAATGGGCAATCCCACCACGGTCATACTCCATCATGGCCCTTTAATATTTTGCGAATGACGGACCATGACACAGTACAACGGTAATTTGCCCTCCTTCCAGGAACCGCTTCAGCTATGTATTTGGCTGGGCGGGCAGATATAGGAGGGGTAGTGATAGGGTAGGGGAAGAATGGAACAGGAAAAGCAGCGCGAATGACACTTCTTACCAAGATGATGCTACAGATGAAGACCAGTGCGACAAACAGATCGCCTGGTTGAGAGAAGCGGCTTGAATCAACTTCCAAAGCCTTGCAGTATGTGAAGAGGAAGTATGGATCCATAATCATGCCTAGCGATGGGCCGGTGATGAAGAAGGCCGTCACGAGTCTCCAAACTTCAGGTATCCATAGCTTGAACACGTACTGAGGCACGAAGATAAAGCGGTAGGGGCTGATGATTGGTAGGAGCCAAAAGTTGACAGACAGGACGAGCGTGGCTGCAGTAAGAGTTCTGGGACGAAAGTCAGAAGGTTGGACGCGTGAGTTTTAGAAGAGGGTAAAAAATCACCTAGCAATTGGTGGCGCTGCCCAAAACGCGTCTGCAATAGAAGGCGACGACATTGCGACGACGATGTTGATGGATACAGACGGTTGCGACAGCACCAGATAAATAGAGAAAGGGAAGGAGGAGCTGGGAAAGAAAGCTGTTAAGAAAGGAAAGCGCGTGTGGATACGCCAAGAAGTCCGTGTTAGTTGGTCGGCCCCCACCTTCCTCATCGTGGCCGAGGATCGGAGTGCGTCACTCACTCTTGGAGGCCACTCACTTTTTGACCGTCACTAACCGCTGCACTCAATCATCACGCAGCCTGCGTTTCCAAACTTTCTTATCTTTTAACATACCCATCAATTGACACATCCAAGTTACAACTCAACATGGATGCTATGCTACCTTCCTTCGGAAGCTCCAAGTAAGGCGCTCCAAGTGCCCCTGCTCTCAACCAGAGTGGACACATACTGACTGATCATTAGGAAGGCTCTCCTTCTTGGAGCCGGTTTCGTCACACGTCCTACTGCTGAAATCCTGAGCAATGCCGACATCTCGGTTACTGTTGGTACCTAGACGTCTCGTCCATTACGAAGGCTGCAACAGCATCCTAACCATCGTCACAGCCTGCCGCACCCTTGAGTCGGCCAAGAAGCTCTGCGAGGGCCTCAAGAACTGCAGCCCCATCTCTCTCGATGTCAACGACTCGGCCGCCCTCGAGCACGAAGTTGGCAAAGTCGGCGTTGTCATCAGCTTGATCCCTTACACCTACCACGCTACTGTCATCAAGGCCGCCATCAACCAGAAGAAGCACGTCGTCACCACTTCATATGTGAGCTTGTCTGACCTCCACATACATCTAGCTGTTTCTGACTGTCTAGGTCTCTCCTGCCATGCTCGAACTCGACGCCGCCGCAAAGGAGGCTGGCATCACCGTCATGAACGAGATCGGTCTTGACCCCGGAATCGACCACCTGTACGCCGTCAAGACCATTGACGAGGTCCACAAGGCTGGTGGTAAGATCACCAGCTTCCTCAGCTACTGTGGTGGTCTGCCCGCCCCAGAGTGCAGTGATAACCCTCTTGGCTACAAGTTCTCATGGTCCAGCCGTGGTGTCTTGCTCGCTCTCCGCAACCAAGCCAAGTACTTCCAGGACGACAAGATCGTCGAAGTCGCTGGCCCCGAGCTTATGGCTACCGCTAAGCCATACTTCATCTATCCTGGTTACGCTTTCGTCGCATACCCCAACCGTGACTCAACTCCTTACAGAGAGCGCTACGCCATCCCCGAGGCCGAGACCATCATCCGTGGTACTCTGCGTTACCAGGGTTTCCCTGAGTTCATCAAGACGCTTGTCGACATGGGCTTCCTCGATGATGCCGAGAAGGAGTTCTTCAAGCCCCTCGACAGCGCCCCCACCCTCACCTGGAAGGAGGCCACCGCTCAGCTCTTGGGAAGCAAGAGCTCCAGCCAGGAGGACCTCATCTGGGCCATCAGCTCAAAGACTAGCTTCGCTGACAACGACCAGAAGGATCGCATCATCAACGGTCTTAAGTGGATCGGACTCTTCTCTGACGAGAAGATTGAGCCCCGCGGTAACCCTCTCGACACCCTCTGCGCCACTCTCGAGAAGAAGATGCAGTACGAGGAGGGCGAGCGCGATCTCGTCATGCTCCAGCACCGCTTCGGCATCACCCACGCCAACGGTGCCAAGGAGGTTCGCACCTCCACCCTGGTCGAGTACGGTGACCCCAAGGGTTACAGCGCCATGGCCAAGCTTGTCGGTGTCCCTTGTGCTGTCGCCGTTCTCCAGGTTCTCGAGGGCAAGATTACCCAGAAGGGTGTTCTTGCTCCCATGAGCCCCGAGATCGTCGAGCCTCTCAGACTCGAGCTCAAGGAGAAGTACGGCATCGAGATGAAGGAGAAGACTTTGTAAACGTCGGACGAAACAGTCACCCATATACAACCGATATGACATGACGGCGAAGCCTCTGTCAACGTTGGACGGAAGAGCCACGTAGATACGGAGGAGCTGCTTCTTGGTCGATTCGCAGTCTCGGCAGAGACTACTTAGAAAGATGCGAACTCACGAAAGATGAAACTGCTCCGTACAACAGATATGAAAATGAAACGATGTATTATGACAAACTCTAGTCAAACCACACCTCCACCTACCTCTGCTTGCCTTCCACCACTGCTCCGTGTGCCCTTTCAAAAATCGTATGAGGGATGAGTTGTAAACATATTCGAAGCGTGAATGTGGATACTTGCTATGTGTGGATTACATAGCGCCCGTCAGCCCGTGTGATGTTACTCGAGGCTCAAACTTCTCAAACGCGAGGAGCATCACGGGATCTTCTTGGTCTCGAGTCCCTGTGATGGCCCTGAGAAACAAATTCAGGCCTCTGGACTAGCTGCCTGGTCTTGCCCCGGTTTTAAGCGTAGGCTTCTCGAGCAATTCCAGCTGACTGCTCTTGTGCATATGTAGAGGGCGAGAAGCGCCCTTGCTGCATCGATATCACAGCAGCTTACTTGGTAGTCCTTTGAGCAACGAAGCAGCTTCCTTGATCAGGCAAGATCGTCTGAGACATAACCTGAGTTGTGAGGACAAAGACAGCAGAAAAGCGTTTGCAGACATGGCTCAATCCCACTCGTCGTCGTCATAGTCTTCGGTGACATGTGCTGAGCGTACAGCGCCAGATCTCATGGCATGTTCATCCTCGTCGACCATCTTGCTTCTGAGCAAGACATTTGCGTTTAGCAGACGGGCCTCGAGCTCTTGCAGGGTGAAGGAGTCGGGCTTGTAACCGATACCCTCGAAGCCAACAATTCTGTCGCTGCTGACACCGTCGATAAAGGAGAGGACACAGGGCAGGACTTGGATTTTGAGCTTCACGACCAGGAAAGGGGCGTTTTCGACGTTGATGCTGAGGAAACGGGTGTCGAAGTGCTTAGGCGCTAATGCCTGGGATGAGTGTCAGTTGAGTGTTGTGATTATGTAGTAGGATACATGCATACAGCAAGCCTTTCGTCCATGATTCTGCAGCGATTAAAGTCTGGCTTCATGAAGTGGACGACACACAGCTTTGAAGAAGTGGTAATGTCCATGAGCTGTCTCTCTTCCTTGATTTCGGTATAGGAGCCATAGTCCGAGTTCCGCTGTGCTTTTGCGCGGGCAAGTTCGCCGTGCAGTTGCTGCAATCGCTGTTCACGGAAAGCGGCCAAGGAGGACTCGTCTTCTTCCAGCTCGGCGATGAGGGCATCTTCGTCGTCAGAGTTGTCGTATTGGTTGCTGCGATCCAGCACGGCGGCCACACGAGGATCGACGGAAGCCATGGCGGAAAGTCTTTGTCAAGGTGGTGCTCAGGTCTGAGAGATGTTTTGTCGAGGCTCGGATCGCATACAATTATGATTAGCTGCAGGGCTAAGATTCATGGGTTGCGGCAGACAGATCCGAGGGTCAAAGTTTACGGGACTGCCTTGGCGTCTGATGCTCCAGGCTGGGGATCTGATTATTATGGTGGATGGAACATGGCACCTTTTGGATGGGGAACGGTCGTTCAAGATGACACGAGAAACAGCTACTGTTACGACATGCAGGTCTGAGATGGTTGAGGTTGGTGGCTTGTAGAGAAGAGCTGTGGGATGTGCAAGGAGTTTGGCAATACGGTAAATCTTATTTTTATTATAGCAGACAGGGGGAGCAAGGGTCAAGTTGAGCGTGAGCGCCCCAGAACGTTAGGACACGAGCACTTCTCCCACGATCGCCCTGCTTCTTTCTTCCAGTCTGTCTTCTTGTCCACACCACATCGTCTGTACCTCATTGCAACCATGTCCGACGACAAGAAGAACGAAGACTACACCATCGAGCTCGGCGAGCAAAAGTCCAATGGAGTCTTTGCTGCCGCTCCTCCAAGGATGCCTGCAGCTGCTCCCCAGGCCGCGCAACTGAACAGCCCTGTTATCGCCATTCTGTCCTACTGTGGTAGTTCGATTCTCATGACCACGACCAACAAATACGTTCTGAGCGGTCTCGACTTCAACCTCAACTTTTTCCTCCTCGCCGTCCAGGTAAGCCCAACCCGGAGCTCCACATGTGCTCTCGTCCAGCACTTCTAACACTATGAGCAGAGTGTTGTCTGTATCATTGCTATTCAGTCATGCAAATCCGCCGGCATCATCACCTACAGGGATTTCAACAGCGATGAAGCAAAGAAGTGTACGTTGACAAATCTGATTGCGACGCTACAGGGGGCTGACATTGTGCCATTTCAGGGTTCCCCATTTCTCTCCTCCTCATCGGCATGATTTACACGTCAACAAAGGCTCTGCAATACCTCTCCATCCCCGTCTACACCATTTTCAAGAACTTGACCATCATCCTGATCGCTTATGGTGAGGTGATCTGGTTCGGCGGCAATGTCACCGGACCCGCCCTCTTCTCTTTCAGTCTCATGGTCCTTTCCTCGGTCATTGCTGCATGGGCAGATATCCAGCATGCTCTCACCGCCCACTCCGGCTCGGCTGCCAGCGACAAGATCTCGACCCTCAACTCTGGCTACATCTGGATGGCCATGAACTGCTTCTGCAGTGCCGCATACGTCCTCGGCATGCGAAAGCGCATCAAGTTGACCAACTTCAAGGACTTTGACAGTGCGTTGTCCCTCCCTACTCTATTTGCGACAAGTGCGAAGAAAAGCTGACCTGAAACCCTTCACAGCCATGTACTACAACAACCTCCTCTCCATCCCCATCCTCCTCATCTGCTCCCTCTTCCTCGAGAACTGGTCGAGCGCAAACCTCGCCCTCAACTTCCCCGCCCCCCAGCGCAACTCCATCATCCTCGCCATGGTCTTCTCCGGTCTCTCCTCCGTCTTCATCTCCTACACTTCTGCCTGGTGCGTTCGTGTCACCTCATCCACTACCTACTCCATGGTCGGCGCCCTCAACAAGCTCCCCATCGCCATCTCCGGTCTCGTCTTCTTCGACGCTCCCGTCACTTTCGCCTCCGTCAGCGCCATCGGTGTCGGTTTCGTTTCTGGTATCGTGTACGCTCTTGCCAAGGTCTGGCAGGGCAAGGGAAACAAGCCTACTCTCCCCATCAGCGCAAGCAGCCAGAGCATGAAGGACAGCTTCAAGTCATAAAAAAGCGAAAAGATAGATTTTCTCGACAAGCCAAAGAACTCTCCATGCTCGAAGAGACTAGCAGCCAGAGACGTTGTGTGTCCCGAGCAAATAACAACAGAACGAGATGCGAAACAGATAGACACGGCTCGATGATGCAACATATGAAGGGGAAGACATGGCAAAAAGGGACACCTTTGCATACCCGGCGTTAAGAGGAGCTTTTTTTTAAGAAGAAAAAGGGAGGATGCTGTGGGCTAGTGTGTCTGTGTGTGTATGGATGAACCTCTTGTAGTAGAGGCAAGGATGTATTTTTTTTTGGAGAAACTCCTGTCATCTGCTTCTTCTTTTTTGTAAAGCCGCTTTTCCTCTTCTTTTTCAAAAATACATATACATTTCAAACTTCTTCCCAACTTGTTAAGCCATGACCTTGTGTTTTGTAAGCTAAGTTCTTGGTATTGGATTGAACAGGAGCAGTAGAGACTTTGTACACTCAGAACGAGAAACATTGACGTTGACGCGACCAGTCGTCTCTGAAGTTTAACACAGAGTTGAAACTCTTGCGACCTACCTCAATCCATGGCTAGAAACGATATCAAGATGAGAGACATCAGCCTTCATATGGGCATACCCAGTCACAAACTTTGTCAAACGTCAACAAAATCTTGAAGGAGTTGCCATGACCAGCAGCCAACATGCCGAGTGTGCTTGCGGCAGAAGGCATTGCTGAAGGCTATCCATCGCGGACGCGGAAGGAACAACGTGCCAGAAAGAGGAACAGTCATAGTATGCAAGAGTCAATTCACGAGAAGCCGAGTACAAAAATGTAGTGGACAAAAGGAAAGAAGCAGAGAAAAGACGCGATTGGAAGTAGAGGGATGTTTGGTAATTCGACGAGCTAACTTTGATTCGGAGTATAAAATTACGGCCATGTCATTGATTTACGCACTGCCCATATCATGTCTGGTAATAGTGACAAGCAGAGGAGTGTGAAAAGCAACTTCTCCACATCTCACTGTCGATTGCTCTTTTTGCTCTTTTCGTCATATGTCGCGCAAAGTTGTAAGATGAAGGAAAACTCCGATAAACGCCAGGCCATCGTGTCGACTCTCGATCAAAGAGTGACACATCATGCATTCCATAAGTGTGTTGAGCAAGGCGAAAGGATGTGTGGTTCGTGTTTCCGCAGTGGACCAAAGGTGTAGAAGGTCTCACGTGCGCAAAGGCAAGCGGTGAAGACAGACTTAGCGGTCCTCGGCCCACTCGTTCTCGCGGCGGATCTGCTCCTCCTCCTCGGGAGTGAAGTCGTTCTGGATGTTGAAGGTCTTGCGGATCTCCTCGGGAGACTTGCCCTTGATCATGTTGGCGACGGTCTTGCAGCCAACGTCAAGAAGGGCCTTGATGTCCATGTAGTTGGCGGCGAGGATGATCTCGAAGAGCATTTCCTGGTCAACCTGCATGAACTTCTGGTCCCACTCCTCGATGTCGGTGGTCTTCTTGCGGGTATCGGCGTCCTCGTCCTTCTCTGGTGGGGGGTCCTTCTTGTGGTGGTCGCACCATTCGAGAACCTTGCGGAGCACAGCTTCGGAGACCTGGAGAAAAGAGTCAGTGTCTGCAGGGTGTGGTGCGACAGTAGGGTTGACATACATTCATGATAGGAATGGGCTCCTCGCCGGGGGTTCCGAGATCTTCGATCATGTTCTTGATGAGCATCGAGCGCTCGGCGATGATGCGGTCTACGACACACGTGTTAGATGAATAGCTGGAGCAAGGTGTTGGAAGAGTGCGCATACCGGTCTGGATGTTGACGCCATCGGAGCTGACGAGGATGATCTTCTGTTCGTCGGTGGAAGCCATGTTGTGATGTGTGTAGTAGATGGTACAGCTGGGTGTGGTGGATGGATGGAGGCAAGCGTTGGTGTCGCTTGTCTGAGAGATGGGAGATGGGAAACAGTTGTTGCGGAGATGTGACAACAACTTTGGTGGGAGGGCTCGGATTAAGTAGAGGCAGAGATGAAGTGAGAGCGAGAGCCAAAGGCGGTTCGCGGGGTGTTGGTACAGTCGGTGGTCGCGCTTGGTGCCTGGAGGCACAGACCCTTGTCGCAGTTTGCACCTGCTTCACTGTGCTTCACTATGTGAATGACTCCTATTATTCGCGCTATTCTACTGTTTATTGCTCATTTTTCTGCCTAGCTTCTGCCTGATTCCCTTTACCTCGCTTTCACCCCCAGACAGTTGCTATTGCTCATGTGAGACTGCAGTCATGGTCAACCCCTCAAATGCATTGCCGCTTTGAGGGGAGCGACGTAACCGCTGGCCAAACTAATTGCTTCACCGGCATTGACTTTTGACCCCAACCACGTGTGTGAAAGACACTACAAACACAGAGATGTGAGACCAAGGTCCATCACCGCGCTTCATACATCTATCTCCCATGTATCTCTGCACCTTTCCACTGCCCATCATCACGTGACCGTGCACGACTCTGAAACCAAATTAGGGGCGGTCAGAAATGACCCAGCCCATGACACATCGGGCTCCCTAATGTCAAGCTATGTTGTCTTGTCCTGTAATCCGAATTCGCTTGCAGTAAGGATCTCGTAGGCCTCCGACTATGTGGAGACGAACATATCTCTTCCTGGTCGTCTTGCGACTCTACCTGGCTTTGTCCCCGAGCTATATCCACCCGGATGAGCACTTTCAGGGACCAGAAGTTATCGCAGGTGTGCTGCCCTTGCAAACATCGAATCCTTCACAGAAATACTCACCAGGTCTTAGGACGCGTCTTTGGATATGCCTCACACTTGACCTGGGAATTTACTTCTGACAGTCCGATTCGAAGTGTATTTCCCCTTTGGATTTTCTATGGTTTGCCCTTGACCTTGCTGAAATGGATTTGCGATGGATTCGGATACCAGACTATCTCTCCCGCCACTGTTTACTACACACTACGCGCTCTGATGTTCATCTTGAGCTTTGTGCTTGAAGACTGGGCCCTTGACGAGTTGATACATGTCCCACGAGAACGCCGTGTAGCCCAGATGCTGGTTGCTTCATCCTATGTTACCTGGACTTTCCAGAACCACACTTTCTCGAACTCTGTAGAGACATTGATCGTGCTGTGGTGTTTGGTATTGATCAACCGGATCAAGGAGGACAAGGTATGTAAAGCTTTACCTGCGACCAGAGGCCACGCTGACACTGATCCAGGCTCACACGCGAATACTACCATCTGCTCTGCTCGCCTTCCTCTGCGTGCTAGGCACTTTCAATCGTATCACCTTTCCACCTTTCGTCATGATACCCCTGTTGCAATTAATCCCGCACTTCCGCCATAGGTAAGTCACAATTGTTGACCAGGGGCTCTTTACTATGTCTCTAAATGATAAAACAGGCCCATCTCGCTCCTAGTCATGGTGTTGTCGGCAGCTGCAACACTGCTGTTTGCAGTTGTCACAGATACTGAATGGTTCCTCCAGAAGCCAGTGCACTTGTCGCAACTGCGTGAGACTGCCATTATTACACCACTCAATAACCTCATCTACAACATGGACAGCAGCAACCTTGCCAAACATGGTCTTCACCCGTACTACCAGCATGTGGTCGCGAACCTCCCTCAATTACTCGGTCCTGCACTTCCTTTGATATTCTTTGGTTGCCGCATGGGCATGCCGATGTACTCAGCAGGGTTCGGCATCTTTGCTCTATCATGTCTCAAGCATCAAGAAGCTCGTTTCTTGTTGCCGGCAGTACCACTAATTCTATCGAGCATCAGCGTACCCCGTCGTATGCGTGAAGTCTGGATCACAGTGTGGATCATCTTCAACGTCTGCTTAGGTCTGTTGATGGGCGTCTTCCATCAAGGGGGTGTTGTACCAGCACAGCTCTGGGTCGGCAAACAGGAAGGCATCCAACAAGCATTCTGGTGGAAAACATACAGTCCCCCAACCTACTTACTCGGTAACAACTACGAAGGTCTAGTTACCAGAGACCTGATGGGCATGCGTGGTGAGAGCCTTATGGAAGAGCTGAAGGCCAATGTGGATTGCAATGCCAGATCAACGACACTGTTGCTTGCACCACTCAGTGCCACATTCCTGGACACGTACATCACGGACAACAGCATAGCTTCAGAAGGCCCTAAGATTGTTCTCGAAGAAGTATGGCGTTACAAGGACCATCTCAATCTTGATGACATGGACTTTGGTGACGATGGAGTATGGCCAACATTGAAGCGCATGATTGGCAGAAGAGGTATCGGTGCTTGGAAGGTGAGAAGACAATGTTAATGGCCTGCAGTCGGGCTTCGAGAAAAGTCGATAATCGTGGTTGATGGACAAACAGAACCGTAAGGGTAATTAATGTCAATGCTGTTGTGTCAAGTCTTTCATGGGTTTCCACTTCAATCCGCAACGCAGTCTTTGCCTTTAGGTATCTCTTATGTTTAATGATCCTCCCGGTGTGCGAAATCCTGTCACACATGTAGCTGCCTCAAGGTACAATACTTTCTTACATTGAAGCGATATCATCGAAATGTTTCGTGTCAACGATTCCCTGCACCAGGCTTATCGATTCGAGAAATTACTGTTCTTATATACAGCATGTTAGTGACAGTATTCTGCACATGGGAAGGATGGTATAGTCGTTGGTATGGTGCATCCTCGAAGCTCCGCACGGCAGACCCGCGAAAATGACGTGCTTCGCTGACCACCCGCCGCCCATCGCATCTTCAAATTTCCAAACATCCCCGCCGCGATCGCTTTCTATTCACACATCACCAACCCATCCCACCACCACAACAACCTAGCAAACATGAAGGCATACTGGTACGACAACATCGAGGTAAGCGGCTCCTTCCATGCTCTCTCTCGCTCTCCCTCTCTCCCTCTCTCTCCCTCTCTCTAAACCCTCCAATCCTAACACCCAACCCCCCAGGGCGACCAACGTCTCCCCCACGACAGCGGACGTCCCGTAACCCCGACCGACCTCTCCAAACTCGGAATAATCTGCCACAACTACCCAGATCTCTCCTCCGTAAACGCCCTCGCCGCATCCAGAAACTACAAGAACCGCGACGAAGTCACAATCTCCCCCACCACATTGCCAAACTACGAGGAAAAAGTCAAAGTCTTCTTCCACGAGCATTTGCACGAGGATGAGGAGATTCGCTATATTTTGGATGGGGCTGGGTATTTTGATGTGAGGAGTGAGGGTGATGATTGGATTAGGTTGAGGTTGGAGAAGGGCGATTTGGCTATTATGCCTGCTGGGATCTATCATCGCTTTACTGTTGATGATAAGAATGTGAGTTGCCAGTGCAACAAGCGCGCGGTATGGTAAGAATGTATGCTGACTCAGAGATACACAGTACACCAAGGCCATGAGACTGTTCAAGGATGAGCCCAAGTGGACACCCCTGCAGCGTGGTGCAGAGACCGACGAGAACAACTTCAGAAAGGAATATCTGAAGGGTCGTCAAGAGGGTACTATCCTCTCTGCCTAACGCTACACACACACGCTCCGAACCTCTGACACGGACAAAAGAATAGTTTGAGTCAGCAATTGATTCCGACCTCATATCACGATATACACGATGGAAGAAGATGTACAAAGGCACAGAAGTCTGAACAAGTAGGCAAGCAGAAAGGGACTGTAAAGATAATTGAGGATTCAATAAAAACAAATAACGCCATCCATTGTCTTTCTAAAAACTAGATCCGCGCCTGTAAAAATGCCCGCTAGGAAGCCTCGACGGGATGTAGTAAAAACAATTCTATGCTTTTTCTCCCGGCTTTGGAAGAAAAGGGTCAAACGGACAGGATAATCCCATGCACTCTATTGTTGGCCGTCCGTGTCTTCCCCTTCAATCCCCTCATCGGTCGTTCCCCATTTCTTTGTGGCATCAAAACATTCGTGACGAGGTAAACCAACACCGGGTCGGGTATCTTTTCTTTTGATCGTAGAAAACTGTCATGTCCCTTAGACAGAGTTGCTGGCCAACATCTTCTTGCGCAAGTGGTTCTTGTACTCGCCGATGCTGCCCTCCCATCGTCTGACGGTCTTGTGCTCGCAGACCATGATGTCCTTGGCAATCTTGTCGAGAAGTCTGTATCATGTTAGTTGCGTGTTTCATCGTAAAGCGTAAAAAGGGTCAAACGTACCTGAAGTCGTGAGAAACAACGACAACACCACCGGAGAAGGCGTTGATGGCGTCGGCGAGCGAGTCGATGGTGGGGATATCGAGACCGTTGGTAGGCTCGTCCAACAAGATCATGTTGGGAGACTCAATGGCCAACAGGGCAAAGACGATTCTGCTCTTCTGTCCTTCGGAAAGGGTACCCATAAGGGCGGTCTGGGCCTCACCGGTGAGACCGTACTTGCCAAGCTGCTGTCTCCAGTATTGGAGATCCTGCGAGACGTGGGGGAACTTGTCACGGACGAAGTCGAGAGATGACTTGGTCAGGATGAGCTGCTCAGCAGAGTGCTGCGAGTAGACACCAAGCTTCAAGTGAGTGTGACGAGAGACAACACCACCGGTAGGTCTGAGCTTGCCGGTGAAGATGTTGAGGAGGGTCGACTTGCCGACACCGTTGGGTCCGACAAGAGCGGTACGGGAGTCCATGTCGACACCGAAGTCGAGGTTCTCGTAAAGAGTGTCCTCGGCGTTTCCAGAGTAGGAGAAAGAAACGTTGTCGAGCGACAGGACGGGTGGGGGGAGCTTCTCTACATCGGCGAAGCGGAAGGAGAAGACTCTGTCCTGGTGGACGGGCTGGATGAAGCCGTCGGCCTCCATCTTGTCGAGAATCTTCTGGCGCGACTTGGCCTGACGCACCAAGTTGGCGTAGGTACCGGCGGAAGCGATGAACTTCTTGATGTGCTTGATTTCGTCTTGCTGCTTCTCGTATGCCTTCTGCTGGTTGATCTCTTGCTCGGTTCTGGTCTTGGCGTATGAGTCGTAGTTACCTCCGTAGTAGAGGAGTTGCTTTTGACGCATGTCGATCATGGTTGTGCAGACACCGTTCAGGAAATCCATAGAGTGAGAGACGAGGATAAGGGTGCGGTCCCACTTCTTCATGTACTCCTCGAGCCACACACAGGCCTCGAGATCCAAATGGGCAGTGGGGTCGTCGAGCAACAGGAGAGAGGGCTTGACGAAGAGAGCCTTGGCCAAGGCGACACGCATACGCCAACCACCAGACATGTCTCTGGTCTTCTTGTGGATGGTCTTCTTGTTGAAACCGAGACCGGTGAGAATGAGGGAGGCACGAGTCTGGAAGGTGGAGGGGTCCATGCCGTCCATGCGCTCGTAGATCTCCTCCAGTCTGGGGTCCTCGGGACCGTTCTCCTCGAGGATGGTCTCGACGAGCTTCTCGATACGGGCGAGCTCCTCCTCGGCCTGTCTGACGACCCACTCAAGGGCACCGAGGTCGGTGAGGGGGGCACCCTCGTTCAGAAGGTAGATGTCGATGTGGTCGGGGAAGGGGAATTCGCGGGCGTTGATGGCCTTGAGCAGAGTCGACTTTCCGCAACCGTTCTCACCCAACAGACCGTAGCGGCGGCCGTAGTTGACTTCGATGGTGGTGTCGTTGAACAGGACCTTTCCGTGGAAGACGAGCGAGGCCGAGGTGATCTTGACGTCTCTGCTGGCCTCTTGCGATGCGAGGACACCGGTTGTGACTCTGTCCGAGATGCCGTCGTCGTCCTCCTGAAGCTCGAGCTTCTTGATTCTCTCCATGGTCTTGACGCCGTCAGCGTCGAGCTCTTGACCGTCGGCATCGAGCAGAGGGGTGCTGGTGCCCGACTTCTCGGCCTTCTTCTGGGCGAGAGTCTTCTTGGGGGCCTTGCCGGCATCGGCGCGCTTTGCGTCACGGGCGGCTTTGGATGCAGAAACCATGTTGGATGCTGCTAAGTATGATTTTCAAAAGAAGGGGTGGTGGATGGAGAGGAGGAGGAAAAAAGTCTGGTTGAAGCTGGGATTTTGGTGCCAAATTGGTGGGGGCGTCTCAGGATTCTACGTCAGCCAGTCGCTTCTTTGTTGATTTCTGACTCTTCTCGACCACCGAACAATATGTGTTGAATTATAGGCAAAGGTGATGATGCAGAAAATGAGAGAGAATCACTTTGTCTTTCAAACTATCCTTCTATTTGAACGCATCAAGCAGTGGCGGCTGCTACTTCTCTTGCAAAATCTTTTGCACTTTCAGCCATCATGATTGGCCGCTGACCGGGCTCAACAACAGACGCTCGCCGAGTCGCCGCTTCTCCAACTTCCAAGACTCGCTCTCTGCCCTGACCAGAGCCTCTTCGGACTTTGCTGCCTTGCTGCCCGACACGACTCTCTTGGCTCGCTCAAACTGCGACCAGTTGTGCAATACTCGAAATCAAGTAATAATCCATTTAGGCCTCTATCACGCCATCACTCTATGGTCCAAGCATTTTGCATTTGTGCACGTTGAAATTGCTTCATGCTTGCGCAGCCACCTCCCAGCCACTCCAGATACGTCAAGTCATGTAATAACTCCTAAAATAAAGTCTGCCACTCCACTCCAGTACTAGGCGTATATTGTAGGTCTTTGTATATCATCCTCGAACTTTGTCTTTGAACCTTTTCATTGCAGTTCACTTTGAAGTCAACCACAATGACTTTCCAGAATCGCACCCCCGAGTCACTCGTACAGAGGTCGGACTCGAAGAACCCGGCAACAACATGTCGAGGCATAACATCTGGTGGAAAGCCATGTAGAAGGTCACTTGCCTCCTCGCCTAAGTCATCACCTAAATCTTCACCTACTGCTGCTCGCCACTCTGCCTCAAGAGGTGTGGTCGCCGTTCTTGAAGACGACCAAGGAAATCTGGACGCGGCTGCATTTTACTGCTGGCAGCACAAGGATCAGGCCCACTCGTTTGCACAACAAAATTCGACTTCGCCGCATGCTGCGAATACGAAGCTGTTCCCCGTGCAGGAGCGAACTAGCATTGACAGCTTAGTCGCCAGGTTGGGAGTAGCATCTATCCAGGATCTGCCAAAACCCGGAAGAGATCCTCGCGAGGATAGGAGACGACCAGCGCAATACATACAGCAAAACTCAAAGCCAGATGTACGTCCTACGACTAAACCGGAGGCTTACCAGAGGCCAAAGCCAAGACGAGGTTTCTGGGCATCATTGTGCTGTGCAGGCATGGCAGACGACGACGAAGATGCCATACGTCCAAGCTATCACAGACCACAGCCGGAGACGACACAAGTGTCCAGCCCTCCGACACCAGCACATCCCCAGACAACTCAATCTCGCCCTACACCCTACAAGCAAAACAACACTCAATTTCTGCGATCAAACCCCCTCCCCCACTCGGCATCATCAACCGGTCTACCATCTCGAAAGCCCCTTTTGGATGTCCCTGCCACAGCACTTAACAAGCGCCGAGCAGCCTCGGCACCACCAAGCACAACAGACCTCCTTCCCTTCATCCCCGGCCACCTCCCACCCCAGACAACATCTCTCCTCCTAACCGAGCTCTCGAAACCAATCTCTCCCCACGACGAGGCAGGCTACATTTACATTTTCTGGCTCACAGAGACCGATTCCTCTACGCCTTCCAACGACACTGCTGCTTCGTTACTTTCAGCTCCAAAGCAATCAAGACATCCCAGTGATGTAATGAATGCATACTATTTTGCAAACCACAGCACCACCACCCGCACGATAAGACTGAAAATCGGACGAGCAAACAACGTCCACCGTCGTATGAATGAGTGGAACAGGCAATGCGGCTATAACCTCAGTCTTGTGCGCTTCTACCCCTACATCTCCTCTTCCTCTTCCCCATCACCCTCCCCTACACGTCCAACATCAGCAAAACGACACACTTCCGATCAACAGGTCCATAAAGTTCCTCACGCACACAGGGTTGAAAGACTGGTTCATTTGGAGCTAGGGGATAAGAGGATCAAAAGGGGTTGTGGGGCTTGTGGCAGGGAACACAAGGAATGGTTTGAGATTAAAGCTACGGCTGAGGGGGTCGCTGCTGTGGATGAGGTTGTGAGAAGGTGGGTCAGATGGGCGGAGGCTAATCCGTAGTTTGTTCTCCGCCATCTCAATTTACTTGGAAGGTGTACCTCTGCAGTATGTGTCATTGAACATCGGAATAAAGTAATTGTTCTTCTGTACCAAATTACATCTCGCTCGACTCGAATCGATCGTCGTTGAATCAAGAATTCATCTGCTGCTGCTGCTGCTGCTGCTGATAAAGACGGGGCACTTGAACGGACTGCGGGAATCACAGTGGATATTCAGATCTTAAGTTGCAGAAATGGTGTACTTCGTACAGTAGTAGATTAAAATTGTGCCCTCCCTTTTTTCAAAAAGGGCAAGCCACCCTCAATCGCTTTCCCCTACAGGAATGATGCAAACGCCATCGCTAATTTCCAATGTGTTATCTTCGTGAAGACTTTGATGATGATGAATGCGAAGAAAAATGAGATATGCGTTATGCCAGGCGTGAAAATGTATCCTGATCTGCTGGGATCATGGACTTTGTTTACATGGCGTCTTCTTCGTCACGTCGTACCAATTCGTAAGATTGTCGTCGCTTTGATGTAACGTTGCCACTGCTGAGGCGTCTGAAGAGACCCAGAGGGAAACGCTTGCGGACAGATCTGACCCAAGGTCTATGGGAGACGAAGAAGCGGCTGTAGAGGTAGTAAGAAATTCCGAAGACGACACCAGCTGTCAGGAAGCCGACGACGGTCAGCATGACCCAATGTTTCAACATCTGTTATGAACATTAGCTGTTGTTCCGGAGTTGAGTTTTGGCACAAGATTGAACATACCCAGAAAATGAGCTTGACGTCGCTGCTATGCCACGAGTTGCCGAGGTGGTGGGTGAAGAAACTCCAGGGGTGGTAGTTGTACTCGTCGGGGAACAAAATACGAACTCTGCCACCATCAAGACCATCGCCGACGTTGAGACCTTCAGAGCTCCAGTGACGCCAGATGATGCTCAAGAAGAGAGGGCCAGTCGAGGCCATGACGGTGATGTAAGGCAGGACCCATTTGCGGTTGTAACGAGGCAGCTCGTCAATGACACGGAGGAAGAAAGGGTGACGAGGAACCGAGCCCATTGCATCGTTGGAGATACCAGTAGGAAGGGTACGACGCAGCCAAGCTGGGTAGGAGAGAAGAGGATCCAGACGACGGTTGCAGCCATCGTCCAAGTCGATGTAGACACCACCGAAGTGGGCGAGGACAAAGTAGCGGATCGAATCGGCACGCTGGATGGGGTATTCGTAGTTTTCGAACGTCTCGAGGAACCAAGGGTACTCTGCTTCAATGAAGTCGCGGGCCGAAGCATCGGTCCAGAGTTTGTATTCCCAATCCTTGTGCAGCTCGATACAGCTCTTTTGTGGCTCTTGCCAGACTTCGGGAATGCTTTCGTTGATGTATGTTTGGTGGATGATCTTGGGGATCAATTGGGTGCGACCATCGATCAGATCCGAGCCAGGAGCAGGCAGCTCTGCACGAGAGATTGCATCTTCCGAGCCGTCGACGACGAGGAGCGATAATAACGTCCAGACCGAGTGTATGAGGAAGGCGACGATGGCCAGGTTGAGGATGAGGAACAGGAGCACAGGTCGGCGCATGGTGTGTGTAGGTTGTCGAGATCGTCTGCAGTCAAGCAGAGAGGGACGGCAGCCTTTTGTGGTTTGGGCTTGGTGTTTGTCGGTGCTGGGCCCTTTCGTTGGCTGACCCCGGATTGGCAAGTACAATCAACACAAGTCTCCTTCTCGAGTCAAGTGCTTGTGCGGTGAGGTTATTGTTGTCTAGGATTGAATGAGGCTGAGATTCGATGCAGTCGAGGTGGACAAGACAGGGAACCGGGAAGGAATGTAGGAAAAAGGAAGGATGAGGCTGAAGCTTGTGAAGGAGTGACAGGAAATTATCAAGATCGAAAGCAGCACGCTAGGACGACAAGGTAGGGACGTTAAAGGAGAGTTGCGCTTCTTGTTGCCTCAGATTGTCACAGGGCCAGGTCCACAGGCGAAAGGGCACAGCCTTGCCCAGCGCCCGTGACAAGCCACCCGATTTCCTCGTGCTCGTACGCTGCTCAATCCACCCTATTGCTCTGCTCGCAGCAAATCTTACACGCAAGTGTTGCTCTATGTGGCATTCTGTACCTCGCTCAGACATCACGAGAGTCTGTGCAGAAAGAGGCCCCTGCTTTGTCGGGCCCGGCATCAGACACGCCGACCGAGATACGGCGGACTCGGGGGCGATACGCATGCGTCTATGGAACACGACATTTGCTGCACACCATCTTCTCTCAACTTGCCCATGAGATTCTTGCGATAGCACAGGCGACAACGGCAAGCATGTTCTAAGCAGACCAAATACCAAGAACTCGCCGAGATGTAGATAAACTTGGTGACGGTGGTGTCTTGCTCTGCCGCAACTCATCTTCAGTGACATTCGTTCGATCCTCCATCCTTCGCCTTTTGCTTTCTCACAGCCTCTGCTGTCATCACTCGCCATCATGCTTTGACATACGCCATTCCCGTTGTTCTCTTCCTGCCACCTTTTTGCGCCGCCTAAATTGCAATAATGTCATATTCACGATCATCGAGAAGAGTAAACACGGTGGACCGGCATCAAAGATGCCTCGTTCTCCACCGTGCGAAACATGTTGCAAGAAGCAGTGGGGAACATGGTTGTTCGCTCTGGCTCCGCTCTCTCCACTTCTCTGTCTTGTTCAACGGGGCTTTCCACAAAACTATCCAAAATTGTTTTGCCTGTTCTGAACTTGTTGAAATGTCGAGTGCAGCACTCATGTGATTATGGGGCTTGGTAGAATGTCTTCGAAGTGTCTTGCGAGCGATGCGTAATAGTCTGCACGAAGAGATCAATGTGTATGCAATGATTCGAAAGACGAAACAATGGAACCGGGCATGATGAAGCACGATGGCTCGACACCCATAAATCTCTCTCTATTTGTGATCTCGTGTACCAGCCGAGTGCATGCGAGGGTATACAGATCGAACATTTAGCATCATATCTCTCGATGGTCAGGTACACTCGGCCTAACACAGATATTGGTCAATGGTATTGCTTCCTCAACTCACTTTGGTCTTTTGCGTGCAGCTGAATCCCTTGCTTAGAGTAGATTGCGATGGTGAATTGTGAAGATAGAATTTTCGGGCAGTCTAAACCCAGATTTGTAAACTTTTGCACAGGCATCAAACTCCAATCCATATGCAACGCCTGGAAGAGTCTGTCCCTCGCTTGCTCCATCATGCCAGGGCGTCTGAGAATTCGAGAGGAGTAGGTAATGTAAGTCCGACCAAATCCGACAAGTCGGCATAAACGCGAGAAGACGACATCGAGAGCGATTGCCAGTCTCGCTTTCCAAGCGGATTTGTATAGCCGAGAGCGCAAGTTGAAGGCGTGATCAAAAAGTCCTTTCAACCAAAGTGGAAGCCTCCAGGGAAGCCACCACCGCCGCCTCTGCGGCCACCACCACCCATGCCGCCTCCGAAACCACCACCGCCGCCACCCATCTGACCACCGAACATCTGGAAGAGCACTTCGGGGTCGATTTGCGAGCCCATGCCACCTCCCATACCACCAAAGCCACCGCCTCCGAACTGTTCCGAGGGGTCGATGAGATCTTCTCCGCTGTCGTAACGAGCACGCTTTTCAGAGTCTGACAGAGTTTCGTATGCTTCACCAATGTCCTTGAAACGGTCTGCTGCAGCTTCGTCGCCTTGGTTCTGTTTTGAGGATTAGCTTCTGCATTGATTGTATCCATGAGCGCGAGTGAACGTACCTTATCAGGATGATGGATGATAGCCAACTTCCTGTAAGCCTTTTTGATCTGACCGTCGTCGGCATCCTTTTCAATCCCCAGAATTTTATAGTAATCCTTGCGCTTGCTCTTCTTGAGCTCGAGCTCAGCGTTGCGGATTTCCTTGGCAATACCAGGTTCTTCGGGGTTGCTCTCAGCAACGGACTTCAGTTCCTTGACAGCCGCCTCCCAGTCACCGGACTCTCCCATTGCCTTGGCCTTTGTCTTGCGTGCCTTGGTGTAGCTGGGGTCGAGTTTCAATGCACGCTCACAGTCCTCGATTGCTTTTTGCCATTCCTTAAGCTTGGTGTAGCAAAGGGCTCTGTTTTGCAAGATCTTCGAGTTTGTGCCACGGTTTTGAGGGTCGACTTCCAATGCAGAGGTGTATGTCTCAACGGCCTGTTGGTACTTTCCAGTTTTGAAAAAGCCGTTTCCTTCTTCCTTCATGCGATCAAGCTTTTGCACCATACGCAAGTACTTGACTGCATCCTTGAAATCTGGGTCGCAGTTGAGGGCCTGTCTGAAATGTTGCAGAGCCTTGTCGTTTTCTCCCTGGGCGTAGAGTGCGCGACCTCTCAGTACGAGGGCCTCGGGATCGGCGCTGTTGTTGCGCAACAAGGACATGGCAATGTTTTGGGCATCTCCCAGAGCATTCACGTTGCCCATCTTCAAGTATGCCTCACCTCTGAGCAGTGCCCACTTTCGCGGCCTGGTGACGGTGGAGCCAAGTCCCTTCTCGGCTTGGTCGAGAGCGAAGATGGCCATGGAACCAGAGGTAGAGTCGCGGATTTGTTCTTCGGCCTCGGAAAGGTGTCGGTCCATGGTGACGGCTGCCTGGCGATCTTTTTGCGATGCGGGGGGGTCTATACGCTCGTAGGTGTCGAGAGCTTCTCTTGGTCGACCTAGAGAGGTGTAGACACGGGCCATTCTGTGCAAGATCTTTGCATTGTTGGGATCCAGTTCATCGGCCTCTTTGCAGTCGTCTAGGGCTTGGACGTACTTGCCGGCGGACATGTAAGCAGCAGCGCGGTTGGACCTGTAGGTCGACGACTTCGTGTCTGCCTCGACGGCTGAAGGAGACAATATGTCAGTATGCGCGCGAGCAAGAAAAAACATGGATCAGGAGGCCCAACCTTTTGTGTACTCCTGGATCGCCTTGGTGTAGTCGCCAGCCTTGAAATACTTGTTTCCGGCAGCCTTGAAGGCCTCAGCATCCTCGGTGCTTGGTGGAGGGGTCGTGGGAGTCTTGTGCGGCGGAGGGGCCGGGGCAGCATCGCCGTTCTGAGCGGCCTTGTCGGCGGTGCCGTTGCCATTGGTCGGTTGCTTTTCCTGATCCATCCTGGCGGAGAGTCTCGACAGGCGTCGGCGCTCTTCTGGGGGGAGATTGAGCGGGTGCGTGTCGGGGTCGTGTGCTTTGTCCTTCTTCTTTGGCGACAGCGACAGGGACGACTTTTTGGCGGGTTTGGCGCTCGCTTTCTTCTCTGCTGAGCGGGACAAGGGTCTGGTCGAGGTACGGCTCGGACTTGGGCGCTGCGAAGGCGACGACGGACGCGGTTCGGGGGTACTTCTGGCCTGGTCGGCGAAACTGCTGGTGCTCTTGGGCTGCGAGGACGGCGCGGACGACGATGTGCTGCTTCTGCCAAAGACTTTTGGTAGTCCCATCGGGCTAGCGGCGACAAATGACTCTTGTCAAACTGTCTCCCGAAACCTTAGCTTTTTTTGCCATGGAGAATAATTGTCGACAATTCGCTTCTGGAAGCTTCCACGACTTTGTCCAGCCTCGCATCCTCATCTTATCACATCATCACGACTCATCCATCACGACTCATCCATCACACCTGCATCGTTACTCGCTTCCCTATCCTCATTCACACAGGTGCTCACTCAAACGACATTGCACAACCAACTGATATTATAGACAACTCGTGCCTTACGCATTTTTGAAACATAAACTACATCAACGCTGCCTCCATCATAGTCCTCATCATCATGTCCGGTGAGCCTTTGTTTTCTTTCGCCCTGAATGCTGCCCAAACTCCGCTAAGGGGGTATCGTTATCCATGGCTCGTTCCTTCTGCCTGTTCTCTCGAAACGCCAATCACCTTGTCCTTTTTCCCACATCTGCCCGTTGTCCCATTAATTCCATGACCTTGAAAAATGATTGTGACCATATGAGAAGGGAAACTCGTCCATCAAGGCAGGAAGCCGTCATGAACAGAAGAGAGAAAACGTCAACCCATACTATGAACCCTTTTGACACCGCATCGTACATATTACCTCAGAATCCAGTCGTGCTGAATGTTGGATAGTACCCTCTGCTGCTTTCGACTCCCTGGAAGCGATTGCAATTGCCCATGCTCCACTGTGTTCCTGGCATTGCTTCGGGAAATTCTTCTCGGATCGAGAACTTCCTGTCACCATGGCCACCTACAGATATTGAGCTTGGGCTTTCTGCTTTGTTCTGCACCGATGTGCCATCGTAAAGAGTCGTTGCAATGTACTGATAGCCTGCAAAGTCCTGCATTGCGATGTCCTCGTTGTGTGTGGGCTCGGCTTCGAGGGGGTGTTTCATGTCGACTGGCTCGGCCACGCTCGATCCAGCGCTGGAAGAGTACCCTTGCTCCGGCGAAGCTGCTGACTGGTACTGTTGACTGGCGCGGAACCCTCCAGTATTGCCTGGTCCAGTGGCATAGCCAGCTCCACCGAAACTACCACGGCTCATACCGCCATAGCTTCCACCGGAGTTTCCATAGCCGCCAGTGCTTCCGCCACGGCCCGTCGATGAAGAACCTCCACCTTGGTTTTCGGCCTTGTAGTGACTGGGACTTCTACCGCGGACCACGACCTTGTCACTGATTGCGCATGCAATCTTGACCCACTTTGGCTTTCTGGTCTCGTCTTCGCGAACATCGACCCAGAGCTCGACCATCAGGTGGAAGTACTGTTGAGATGCTCTTCGCTTGCCATTGTTTGCTGTTGCTGACTTGAACTGCACGCGCTCAAACGTATGTTGGATGTTCTGGCCTGGCATGGGTAACTGATTGCTAGCCAAATGGCCAAAGGGATATTCGTGTCTTCGGCCTGCCGGTGATGTTGAGCGGCTTGATGCTGGAGATTCATCACGAGTGTTCTGGAAAGGAAGGTGAGGACCTGTAGGAACACCAGTGGCATGGAACGAAGACATTGGTACGTGGTACACTCCACGTGGGCTGAGGGTCGACTCGGCAGGTCGCCCGTTTGGCGGAGTTGGGGAAATCTTGATGATGGGAATGGCGCTCTTTGGTCCTCTATCCCGCTTAGGCGTGTGCTGGATGAGTTCGACTCCTTTGCCGGTCTGTCCATCAACAGCTGCAGTGAGCTTCATACCCATAGCCTGGACTCTTTGGCCATTCAAACAGAGTCTTCCATTACCGATATGCGGTGTCAGCTCGAAGGAACAAGTCACCGAGAAGTAGTTGCGTCGGTAGCATGTCCAAGATCGGTCAGGAGAAAGGAAAAAGCCCTTCTCCATCTTGGCGTGGATTCTGGGAACGACCTCTTGACCTTCGCATTCTAGATTGTGGAAGCTTTCATGCTGCACCCAGGGGAAGTTTTGGCATTCACTGCGGTGTGTTCCATATCCAGTAGTCAAGGAAGCCATTTGAGCAGACAGTAATGGGTTCGAGGAAGGAGAAAGAGGGGTTGCGATACCAGTCGCCAGCGAGCGTGGTGTCTCTGAGTAACCCGTGTAGGTGGATGTCGGAGGAGATGACAGATGGCTAGGAGTAGGAAGGTTACCTGTGTGGATGTAGTCACGAGTGGCTGTCGAAGAAGGGGACAATGAATGGCCTATAGCTGCTGGAGATCGCCAGGCGACAAGTCCTTGGGCCGGGTCATCCAGGCTACAATGTCTTTGTGTCAGCGAGTGTTGAACCTTTGGTCAGTGTTGAGTCGACAGTGATGCCGGTCAAGGCATGTCAGATAACAAGGAAAGAGTCCAGACTCACATGCGACCGCTGAGCCCCGATTGATTGGCAAAGTGTTGGACAGGTGCGACGGACGCGGCATACGTTGTGTAATGGCTTGGATAGTTTGCAGCGTAGGCCAATGAAGACGTGGCAGAGCTGGGACTGGTTGAGATCGAACCAGAACTGTCCCCGGCAGCGGCAGCAAAGCTTGTCGCACTTGGGTGATACCTTTCGCTGCAAGATTGTCAGTCATCGTTTCCAGACAGTTTCATGTCGCTGAGAAGATAAGAATTTCTCGAGGTACGCAGTGCAGGAAAAGGCTTGCATGTACGACATCAGGCTGACAGCGCGCGCGAAGTATAATGTTGGGCATAAAACGTGCATGAGTGACCGCGAGCTTGTAGTAGCAACGCCAGGCTTGTAATTTGCGGCAGATTGCTGGCACGTTGCCGGCCAAGATCTGATTAATTCTCGAGAGGGCCAGATTTTCTGGATGATGGTGGAATTGTGAAGAAGGGACGGCTTCCTCAAGGAAATCATCGCAGACCAATCAATTTCAGGCCGGCGAAATACCCAACCATTGCGGCGGCACGAGATGAGGGGTCATTGGTACACAACTCATGTGATCGCGGAACGAAAAAAAGTTGAACTCACTGGTCAGTGTTTGTTGCCGAACGATCTGAGATGAAGTTGTTGGATAGCGAGAACATGCTCGCACTCGAATGTCCCAAGCCGTCGTCACGTCGGAGGGGATCGACGTTTCCAGAATTGTGGTAGCTAGGCTGATGTGCATGAACCGCGAGTTGCTCAAGACATTCTTGGTCTGGTGGCAGTGAATAATCGTGCCGTAGATGCAAGAATGCTGTTCCTAACAAAACAGTGCGTTAGTAATCTTCCTCCAATCGGATGGTCCAAACGACGACTGAAACAGCTTGCTGGTGGTGCTTCTTGCCATTTCTCGACCAAGACGAAGCAATAAATGGTAACAGTCGTACAACAGACGGACTCGACCCCTTAACACTGGCGACTTGCAGATTCGAGATGCAGACTGAGAAGAATGATCACAAGAACTTGTGAGGCCTCAAACAGCAAAGATAGATTTGACAGTGGCGTCTCACCAAATAAGAAAAGCGCAATGCGAGTGAAACCATCAGATAAGGAACGAAGGGAAGAGTGCATACCAGAATTCATCGACGCGACCAGATTCATGTGAACAGATTGATGATGCTATCCTCGTGCAGGAAGTGGGGCTTCTGTGCCGCAACTGCTCATCAGCGCCAGATCAAACTGCATATTGAAGATTGGAGAGAAGGAAAATCGCACCACCACGAATAATTATCGTAGCAATAGCATTGACAGAGTCGCAGATAGAATGGAGTAGACTTACGATTTGGTGTCAAAAGCTTGTCGGCGATAGACTTTGATATCCTCTGAACTTTGTCCTGAGCGATTCTGATGATCTTTTGACTGAACAGGCTGGTTCAGCGGATGTGTCCGAGGTGCAGCAGACTACTGCGATCTTGACGAAGGATGGTTCAGATCCAAGGTTCAACGACGCCACAATCTGAGGTGAGATATGGAGAAGACTTTGGTTCAAGCAAGATAGATTGCGTCTTTGCCGAATGCCGGATGCGATGCTCTTCGACCGTTACTTTGAACTCGTGAGGATGGCAATAACAAGTCGGGAAAGCGGTTGGCATGCGACGTGGGAAGCCAGTATGTATAGGACCTGCAATGCGGCCATGGTAAGCAATATTCCTGGTCCTTTCCGAGACACATAATGACTTGTCATTGAGGATACGAGTCGGCGCGGTATGCTGCAGACCGAAACCAGAAAGAAAAAGAGGAAAAGTAAAAAAGCCCCGACATTATCGACATGGCGGTGAGGGACGACGCATTCCTGATTTTCGGCATCTGTCATGCAGAAGAGGTACTTACAAGGATCGTTTCTCCACACAAGATGTTTGATGGTCTGAGCGTGAGCAGCTGGATCTGCAAGCGCCTCTATGCACGTTGATAGATGTCAGTTTCAGGATTGATTGCGAGATCAACAGATGGTAAGAAGACGTACAGCGAGGAAATGATGTATCGGCGTGGAAACTCGGCGGGAGAGTTGTGCGAATGTTGAGGTCTTCTGACTTGTTCTTGTGAGTTCGGGGATCCTTTTCTTGACGGTGGTTCGTTTGAGAAGAGCAACCAGAGAAACTGCGAGAGAAGATTAATAGGTGTTGATGACGGCGAGCGCAAAGGACTTGGTGCCAACGAGGAAGCCATGTACTTACTTGAGACTAGAGGTAGTTTCCTAGTCGAACACCAGTCAAGCAAAGAGATGGACAGTTGCGAAGCGACCAAGAGGATCCAAAACTCGTCTGGCTTTCGAGAAGGATTTGACGCTTCTTTTCTACCACAAGGGTACCAGGCGACCTCACCGAAGAAGTTGCGTGTTCGAGGCAACCGCAAACCCAATTGACGGGGACTAATTCAGCCTCAGTATGATCATAGCCATGGAGAGCTTAGACCGTTTTAGTTGCCTCTTGGAAAGAAGAGGCGTAACACGGGAAAGCTGCAGTAGCCTTGTTGCCGAATATGGTCTACCTATCTGACTCCGAAGCCAGGGAGGATGATTCGACTCAAATGCAACAGAGGCCTTTTCGGCCTTGATCACGCAGACGCGGAGCTCCTTGCTGGGAGGTGCAAAGGTCCATCATCAGAGACTCGATCATGAGCCGGCAAATGCAGGTGATCCCTTCATACACATGCAGGAACCACATCAACTACTTGGCGGCGCTTGGGTTGTCGGCAGAACCTAGCGCGGTATACATCCACCTGGGCTGCTGCCGGTACGTCTTGCTTGAACAGAAGCAGGCTGGGGTCTAAGTGGGGGATTGCTGACGATCGTCTCTACTTGCTGGTACGTCTCAGTTGCTTTCTCGCAGGCGCAACAGCCTCCAAAACAAAAATAAGAGGGTAGAATGTTTGTCAGGTCAGCACAGTGACTCGATCCGAGACAGAGGCCCATGACAAACCGCTCGGCCCGGTCGATCCGTCAGAGATCCAATGCAGACATTTGCAGGGCAGCTCTGCACTTGTCTCTTTCTGGGCCATTTGCTGGACCAGCCGTTTCCTGTCAGTTAACCCCGTAACCGGGCTGATACAGAAGATGCGCGAGAGGGCGCATGTTGCGGCGGCGGCAAGCAACGCCACGGCCCGCGTCAAGTTGCGTGCCATGCAGAAGGGGTCCTGATCGTCGACAGCATCGTCGACATCAAGGCGCGATTACAACAAGAACCCGGAGACAAACAAACACGTACGCGGAGGAGAATCGGGTGGTTGCCGCGTCCCTGCCATGTCTTTTGAGCGCGGCATCGGCTCCGATGGGAGGATGACGAATGCATCAGATGTTTTGCTTCCCCTTGCTCCAATTTGAACTACGCCTCCCGCCCCTGGTGGATGTTTAAACCACACGAATTGTGACGTGCAGGCGTCCCGGAGATGTCTCGATGGTGGATTGGGAGGAGGGGTGGTTGGAGCTGCTGATTTTGTGACAGCTCAATCACGCTGATTGGCTGGTAAGCGACATGCTATTCCTATGCAGGATTGGCACCGCCAGCCTTGCATGCCTTAGCTTGAGATTCTCTACCTCTCACCTCACATTCCTCCAAGAGCCTAGCTATATACTCTATAATCAGAACAAAGAAGGGCAAAAGTCTAGCTTGACAACAAGCCCCACCGATAGCTCTACAAAACAGGCATCCGGGTTGGAGACCGTCCGTCAGAACTGATCTTTACTCTGGCCTTGTTCGAGCCAGGATTTGTCAAGGCCGTAGAGCTCAACAAATCTTTGGTCCAGCGACGGCCTCCAGCATCCAACCCATATCAATCTGACATACTGGTCACTCGCGATGTTATCTCACTGCTACACACCGCTGTCGCCTTTTGCAGCTCAATCATGCAGTCTACCGCATCCTCCATGCCCCGACTCGGCTCGTTTCATGAGCGTTGGTTTCGTCCGTAGCTACGAAAAGAACTTCGGCCAAGCGCTTGTTGTCGGGAAGACTTCCTTTGTTTCAACAAAGCGCTCCTCTGTCTTCTGACGAAACTCTCTCGCTGGTCTATTCTTATCGACAGAAACGACAATCTGGTGACTCGACATTCACACGACAAGTACTCTCACGACTTGGTCCAGTGGAATGGTTCTTTGTGATGCAAAGACCGCACTTTTGCTGACATATAGCGCACGCCGATCAGATGACTTCCTTGTGCAAGCGTGGCTTCAATGTCAAAGATGATAATATTCCGCCAAATGTCCTGATGCCCAATGGACTCTGCATGTTGGACAGCATCGAGAATGAAGCGCATGCTTTGTGAACACAGCAGTCAGTAGTAGAGGCCAGAACACTTCTCGGTATCTGCCACGCGAATTGATCAGTTCAACCCAGTTCGTTCACACGTGGATTTGTCACGGTCGACTGGTCATCCCGGTTGACTCGTCAAGTTTTGCCTCCTATTCATCATCGGCAACATCAGTGAGTCCCAGTTTGTCGGAAGCGTTCTAGAGCAAAGGCTCAGCGTACAATATTGTAATGTACATGTGTCCGTGCTGGATCGCGTCCATTCTGATGATGCAGGCAGGCGCTGCCGCAGCACTTTGCCGCTGATCTCGTGAACAAGTCAAGGACCAACGTGCGTGCTATATCCATCTTACTGCGGGGCTCCATATACTCAGGCACATCCGGTAGCTCCATTGGGGAATGTCTGTCGTTGAGCATGGAGCTGAGAAGGGCCTGCCATGACCCGTGCCGGTCCGTATTCCGCACGGGGCGACTCACGGATCTAGGAGTCTATGTATCGGCGACCTGCAGCATCTCAACCAGGGAAATATCTACGCACAATACATGGGCATAACTTGATTGTGCTGCGAGGATTTCTGAGCGCAGCATGGCCTGACTAGAACGTGCTATACTCCTGCAGTCGTGACGGTCCCGACGAGTGACTCTGACCAAAAGCCGAATGCGTAGGCAACAGCAGCTATTTGTCAGAATACCAATCAACTACTGGAGAGTTCTCCGGTGAGCTAAGCACTTGACGATATCCAGGTGATCTGACTGACCCACCTTCCCCAAGCCTATACCTCGGTCTTGGAAAAGGAGCAAAGTAGACCCAATCGACCTTCTTTCTTTCAGGCTCATACCATACCTCACGATTCAACATAGTGTTTGGGTTTAGACCATGACACGGTGCACGACGGAAATTTGAGGCTTCCGTGTCACGAACTGACGCTGAGCGACGCGGCAAGCACCCTTAGCTCTGCACAACACCGAAGACGCAACTCCTGGCCTTGTCTTCTTCGAATAACACAATTGCCTTATAGGCAGTCTCCACGACTCGTCAGCACTTTCCAGGACGAACTGCTGGCCTGTGCAGTTGAAAGAGACTCAGACAGACACAGCAGCCCATGGTGGCTGAAAGCTTGAAGACCAAGCAGTTCCAACTTCTTTCACAAGATTTAAGACGTTTCTTCTGTTGGTCTGGCGGCTCTAGCATGTGGAGTCGCGTCTCTATGGCGGTCAGCACTGCCTGACGGACTATCTCTACCCAGTTCCTGAGCAGTTTACATCGCACACGTTGCCTGGCGTAGCCAGCGCTAACAGGACTCTTTGCAAGTATCGAAGTCTACATCATCTCTCGGCGCAGGGAGGATGGTTTGTTGACCAAGCTGCGCGTCCGATCTGTCGCGTGTTGGCAGAAGTACCGACAAATGAACTCACAATTTCGATAGTCCTGTATGTATTACGCACGGGCAAGCTGAAATGGAGGCAGAACCACGGACCCGATGCTTTCCGACGCGTAGCTACCTCTCATATACTACCTGCCTACGTGCTCTCGGCTTCTTGAGATGGGTACTTCTGATCTTGCCTCACCGGCTCCAGTGTCGATCCTTGAGGTCCTTTACCATCCCCTCTCACTCAGCCACCTATCTGTCTGTCAGAAGATCAACGCATTGGCAATTCAGAACAGGCTCGAGTAAATGCCCGGTCGGGAAGACGGAGTATGCAATAAGCCGCAAATGTTGAGGATCGAGTCGGGGTAAAGAATATGGCCAGGGTGTAACTCCCTCTTTGGTCTTTGCAGTGAGTAGCGACTATCTATCTACCTTACGTGTTTGACGATCACGTTCTTTGTTGTCGACCCACTTCCTTGAGTATGATGACTGCGTTAGGGAAAGACGCGTATCAGGACACGCTAGCTATGGCCAGAAGCGATAGTATACGTTCAGCTCGGAACTGGTATCGATGAGGACCAGGCATATACCCCTCTTCTACGAGCATACTCGAGCTGTGGTTGAGGCCATGCACTGTGATAGCGCAGGTAGCTTTCGCAAGCTGATGGCGTGTGCCAATCTATTCTCAATGCAGAACACCGAACTTTGCAAGGCGAGACGATTCGTAGCCGTGACCGCGTTGGCATCTCAATGCATTTGTTCTTGGTCTGGTCTGACCGACGCATTGCAGTGATATGCGGCATACGTAGACTTGACAGTGGGTTTGCGAAGTGCCATTGCATATGGCCGTCAGCAAGTGTGTTCTTTCTGTGCTCCATGATGCGTCCGAGCAACGATCTAGACGACCTCAGACGGTGTAGCTACGAGGAACATATCGTGTCTTGGATAGTGAAAGTAATAAGCGTGCCGTAATGCATCGATACAATGCATTTCTTGTTGAGACAGAACTTCATATCCATACTCGTGAGCTAACGATTGAATGCGATTACACACCTTTGATGGTTCCACTTGCGTCCACCATAGTGAACGAGTCCCTCGTGGGATTAATATCGCTTCGCATCAAGGCTCGAGAAAGCCTACTAAGCAAACTGAAGTTTGTATGGGACAGAGCCTAGCTTGCTCACAATGATCTTCTCCGTCAGCCCCCATAGATTCTCGCCAAGTTTCCGGTCACAGGCCTGACTGGACGGCGTGGTCACTTTGCGATCAGGAACAATCTGGTGCTTCTGTCAAAGATCATCTCAACAACTTGAAAGGTATTCAGACTTACGTATTCTCCCTGAATCATTTCTTTGATGACGTCCTCGCTGGTTGCTGCGAAGAGTGCCGGACGGCAGCCATCATCGAGGGGATCCTTTAAGAACGGCTTCACAACCGCAACTCCGATCTTCCCCATGACACCATAAGCATCGACAGCCTGCTTCTGTTGGTCGGTCTTAATGCCACCAGGATGTACGGCATTCATGAACGGTCCAGCAGTTTTCTCGGCGTCGAAGCCAAGCTGGGCTTTCTTTTTGCGATCAGCCAATTCTCGGATGTACAGAACCTGGGCGAGTTTTGTCCTGTTGTAAAGCATCATCGGGCCGATGTCCTTATTCAGCTCGTCCAACGACTCGAACTTGACATCACTGATCCCACGGTGAAGGTCCGAAGATTGCATGACCAGCCGAGAGTTGGGTGTGCGTTGCAGCAGAGGTAGCAGAGTCTGGGTGAGGTGGAACTGTGAGATGAAATTCACCTGCATGTGACTATCGATGCCATCCTTGGTCAGGTTGTAGTCTCCAACACCAAGACCGGCATTGCAGATCAGCGCGTCGAGCCTGGGGAGTTCTGCGGCCAATTTCTTTGCTACCTGATCGGTCTGCTTCAAATCTTCGAGTTCGATCTGGATGGAGTGGATCTTTGAAACGTCGCCATATTTCTTAAGCTCATCTTCGGCTTCTTGGATATGCTCCTGTTTCTTGCCGAGAAGGTAGAGGGCAAGCGGGTTGTGCTGAAGGATGTGAGCACAGATGCCGAAGCCTATGCCAGCAGATCCGCCTGTTACAACGAAGACCTGGGAGAATCAATTGAATGTCTGATATAATATCATCAAGAACGATACCTTGCCCGAAAGATCGGGGACATCCTCCGTAGGATCGAAGGTATTGCTGCTTCTAAATAAAGTAGTCATGATGTTGATTGATGTTGCTGCTGATGGTAGCTCAATACGTTTATGCTGAATGGTTGATGTTGTCTAGTTATGATCAAAATGAGTTCGCGGAAAGACCACATGCTAGGTTTTGTCCACACAGGTAGGTAGGTCGATAGCTCTTGCCGTCGAGTTGCTCCGCATGTCGTTTGATCAGGCTGACGTCAATGATAGTGATGACGAGGTGACCAGATTATGTTGACATGCACATGAGGAAACAGTCCCCAAAGACACGATGATCAAGAGATAGGTTTACGTCTTGTAGAATACATCGGAGATCTTGTGTATCTCGTCTTCCTTTCAATATGGAACGTGGTGAACGTGTTACCGTGCACGAGGACCTTGTGGCAAGGAAGGAGATATACACCTGCCCTGATCACGCTGCCAAATGTGAGCGACTAGAGCCCTGAAGAACAACGGGCAACTCGGATCGAAGTCATGTATTACGAAAGGATGCAGAAACCAGTGTACTTGGATAAAGATGATAGCTTCGGTGACGGCAATGCCCCAGATTTCGGCAGGTGCACGTTCGGACCGCGTTGCGGAAAAGCAGCAGCGTGATCGGGGCTCTGCAACTCTTGTAGCTTCTCATACGACTTGATTCTTGATTCTTGTCGCAGACACCGACGACAATGGCGATAGACATGGAGACGGCACGAGAGTGGCTGACGTGGAGCTTCAGCCCGAGCATCGGCGCCATCCTCTTCACCCTGCTCTTGTCGCTCGCGTTGCCCATCATCTTCCACTTGTTCCTGTACCGCCAGCGCGCCGCTGTCGTTGTACCGTCTTTCGTCCTGCTCGGCCCTAGTGGTGCTGGCAAGACCACCCTCCTCACTCTAGTACGCGCCATTTGTTTGGCCTCCAAGCACATGACCCAGACACTAACGACATGTCTAGTTTGAACGCGGCACCCCGAGCGCTACCCACACTTCGCAGACACCTCAGACCGTCACCTGCACACTTCCTACTGGCATCAGGGCCGAGTCTCACAAATATCGCGCTTCCGACGACCCTTCGAACAAGAAAGAGCGTGAAGTTCATGTCACCGACACACCCGGCCACGGCAAGCTACGCCAGCACGCTTACGACGCCATGGCTCCCGCCAGTCCCCTCAAGGGCTTGATCTTCGTCGTTGATGCAGCCGCTCTCTCCAGTCCTCAAGGTCTATCCGAGGCTGCCACATACCTTCACGACATTCTACTGCTTTTGCAAAAGAGACACACGGGAGCAAAGACTAGCAAAGGTCCTACCGGAATTCCTGTCCTGATTGCGGCCAACAAGCTGGATCTGTTCACGGCCTTGCCCGCTCAGTTGGTCAAGAAGCGCTTGGAAGACGAAATCACAAAGATCAGATCGACCAGGGCAAAGGGATTGCTTGACAGCGCGGTCGATATTGAGGGAGATGATGAGGACAGAGACTGGCTAGGCGAAGGCGGTGAGGGCGACTTTAACTTTGGGCAGATGAAAGAGGCCGAGATTGAGGTCAGCGTACTTGGAGGAAACGCAAGCGCAAAGGGCGACGGAAAGAGCAAGGTCGAGCCGTGGTGGGCTTGGATCGCACAGCAAATGTGAGGCGTAGGTATGTATTGAGAATCGTACGACATCAGGTAATTATGCGATGGCGAGACTGATGTGTATGGCGTTTTGCGTAGGATTCAGTGCGTCTCGGCGTTACTAAAAGAAATGCCAAACAAGCTTTGAAGGGTCCAAAGCTCGCCCTCTCCCACAGGGCGTCGACCTGGGCGTCCATCAAAGACAGTGTTTTTCTCTGCCTCCCGCTCTCATACCTCTCTGCTTTTGCTCTTCCCGTTCATTCTCCCCTTCATCCCCCAAATACCACAACACATAGGTCAACATCCACCATGTCGATCAAGTCGCACCCCAGACACCCGCCGGTCGTCATGTCGACCATCACCGAGCAGATCGGCAACACTCCTCTTGTTCGCCTTAACAAGATCCCGCAAGCGCTCGGCCTCAAGCCCACCATCTATGCCAAGCTCGAGTTCTTCAACGCCGGTGGCAGTGTCAAGGACCGCATCGCTCTTCGCATGATCGAAGCCGCAGAGGCCTCAGGCCGCATCCACCCTTCAAAGACCACACTGATCGAGCCCACCTCTGGAAACACTGGTATCGGTCTTGCTCTTGTAGGAGCCGTCAAGGGTTACAAAGTCATCATCACTCTGCCCGAGAAGATGTCCCAAGAGAAGGTCGCCGTCCTCAAGGCTCTCGGTGCTGAGATCATCAGAACCCCGACTCAGGCCGCCTACGACAGCCCTGAGAGTCACATTGGTGTTGCCAGAAGACTGGAAAAGGAAATCCCTGGTGCCGTCATCCTGGACCAGTACATCAACCCGGACAACCCAAGAGCTCACGAGCTCGGCACTGCCGAAGAGATCTGGGCTCAGACCGACGGCAAGATCACTGCCCTCGTCGCCGGTGCTGGTACCGGTGGCACCATCACTGGTCTGGCAAGAGGTATTAGAAAGCACAACAAGGATGTCAAGATCATCGCTGCCGATCCTCAAGGCAGTATCCTTGCTCTACCTGCCACTTTGAACGACGACCACAAGGACAAGCCCTACAAGGTTGAGGGCATTGGCTACGATTTCATTCCTGACGTTCTGGATCAGCAAGGCGTCGACCACTGGTTCAAGACCGATGACCGCACAAGTTTCGAGTACTCGAGAAAGTTGATCAGAGAAGAGGGTCTCTTGGTCGGAGGAAGCAGTGGCAGTGCCATGGCCGCCTGTGTCAAGGCCTGTGTAGACCTTGACCTGACTGAAGATGATGTTGTCGTTGTTGTCCTGCCCGACAGCATCAGAAGTTACTTGAGCAAGGTTCGTTTGTCCCGTAGTTGTCACACCTTTGGCGTGTTATTAATCTTGTTTACAGTTCGTTGACGATGATTGGTTGGCCGCAAACGACCTTCTCCCCGCTGCTCCTCCATTCTCCACCCCGACCGCACCGATCGCCAAGTCAGAAGACAGCAAGAGCAAGGATGGCTACGGTGATGCTACAATTCGGGATCTGCGCCTGAAGCCTGTCACAACCATCTCGGGAGACTCTGCCTGTGGTGAGGCCATCGAGACCATGCGTGAGAAGGGCTTTGATCAGCTTCCCGTCTCTAAGGGTACTGGCTCGCGCCTTGTGGGTCTCGTCACACTCGGAAACCTTCTGTCGTACCTGTCGTCTGGTCGTGCATCTGGCCACTCTCGCGTCAGCGATGTCATGTTCGACTTCACCAAAATCAACGAGGTCGTGACAAATACTCAGGACATCAGCATCAAGACTCCCGAGGAACGCAAGAAGGCAGCTACAAGCAGCGAGACCGAGAGCCATCCCCAGCGTAGACAGTTTGTCGAGATCACAAAAGATACCAAGTTGAGTGCGTTGAGCCGCTTCTTCGAGTACAACAGCGCGGCCATTGTCACCGAAAAAATATCAGACAAGGGTGGGTACAAGGCTGTGGGTGTTGTGACGAAAGTCGATCTCCTCACCTGGTTGGTAAAGTCGTCGAACAAGGATGGAAGCAACTAAGATGAGGCTGTCTATTCAATGAGGCGTTCTGGGATGGATTGAGATAGAGTTCTAGCTTCAAACTAGGGACAGTTTGAAGATGCAGATAGGATTTAGATAAGTATACCCATGCATTTTTCCTTGACCACTGGAGTCTCGATGGCTCTTTCTTGATTTGTGGGTGACGTCGAAGCACATGGCAGTTAATCGTGCTTGCCGATTTGAGGATATGAATACTTTCCTGTTCCAGGCAGTAGACATTGACTTTTCGTGTCAAGCATTCCTCCGAAAGACATTCGACTTATGACCTCAGCTGATCCTCCAAGCACGATTGAGTCTTCCAGAAGCAGAAAGCAGTGATAGGGTAATTGTTGAACAGGTACGTCCGAGACCTCATGATGCCTCGTGTGGGAGGCCGATGGATTGACTAGAAGCAGCTTCATGGACCACTCTCGAGCAGCACATGGGCTTCGCCAACTCCAGAACCGTCGTCGCCCTCTCCTGACGCTACGCAGCATCGGTGAGCTCTTTCAACGCATCAAACAAAGCGTTCGTTCGCGCATCCACTTGGCTCGTCTGAGCCCTCGTCGTGTGCAAGAAGACCGAAGCACCCATCATCCCGTCGTGCCCCGTGCATCTAGAAACAATCCTCCAGACACGTCAGTACTGCAGCCTTTTGCCGTCGGTACATTCATCATGTCGTCTTGTAGAAGCACAAGACGTGCAACTGGGCAGTTGCGTACTCTCGACCAAAGCCCGCTCGAACATGCTCTTCGAAGATCTCGTCGTGTGGCTGGAGAGTCTCCGGAATCCGGACCCTACTACCCTCCGCCTCGTCGATCGCCGCGCCGACACGTAACAGAACGACACGATGCATCTCCCGAGTCACTGTCTCATCCACCTCCTCCATCGTCGCCTTTCACTTTCGAGCAGCCTCACCCTCTTGTGCCCGAGCCTGGTTTCACCTCTGCCAGACCTTCTATTGCAGACGTTCTATATCTTCAGACCCAGCCTCCACGCCTCGATCAACCATTGCACGTGATCATGGCGCAACCTCACCCTCTCCCTCCTCAGCTGTCTCCCCATGCTGCGCTTCCTTGCCCTGTGGAGCCAGACGCTTCCCCAGAAACACATCCGCAGACACTGCCCACTCATATCAAGGTTGAAGAAGTGCCTCCAGCCAAAGACGTCAAACCAGAATGCCAAGTCTGTTTTGATGCCAACGGAGCTCCCGTCGTCCAACCGTGCCGCCACTGCACTCTCTCATACTGCGCAGATTGCCTGAGAAGGATGTTCCTGAGTGCTACCCGCGACTCGGATTGCATGCCCCCGAGATGCTGTGCCATTCTTCCAATCACCATTGCACTGGACTTTCTCTCTACCATCGAAGCCGACGAATATCGCCTAAAGTTCGAAGAATGGCTTTCTGTCAGGAAGACTTACTGCCCTGTTCCCAAGTGCTCACGCTTCATCCCGGACGGTGCTGTTCTCCTGCCACCCCCTACAAACGCTATCAACCTTTGGGGTCTTATTAAACAGGAGCTTCCTGCTATCTTGATAAGGCTCAAGCACGCTCCCTGTTCTCGTTTTTTCAGGGGACCTACCGATCCTGCTCATATCAAGGTTGAGGATTGGAAGCTTCCAAAGCGGCATATGCTCTGGTTGAACGACATTTACGCAAAATCGCCGCGTTACGCCAATATCGACGAGTTCACTACCGACTTCAATCGACTCGTCAACAGCGTTCGCTCGATGCCTGCGCATTTCCCACTTGCTTTGAGCGCCGAAGAGATGCGCAAGCGCTTGTGGCAGGAAATCAGCAGCATCAGATCTCGACCCAACAGTAAATTCACAGCTCTACCTACTGGTGCTTGCTTCTCTTGTCCAGGTTGTCATATCGGTATATGCCCTAGCTGTAAGCAGGTTGCTCACTTCGGAGAACCATGCGATACCACTGCTCAAGATCACGAGTTGGCAATGCTTAAGACGTACGGCTACAAGAAATGTCCTCGTTGCGGTCATGGAGTGAAGAAAATGTATGGTTGTCGTCACATGCAATGTCGTTGTGGCGCTCATTGGTGCTGGGGCTGTCTCTCGCCTATAGATCAGTGTGACGGGGGTTGCACGCCACCTGATCCCGACAGTGAGGACGGTGAGGACTACAACGATGATGAGGTTGAAACTCCTCCTGCCGGACCCCTTCTACAGGAAGCCCAGAGTACTGATGAAGCTGTTCCGGCCGCTGTCTTGACATCACCAGCCATCACTGCACCAGCAGACAACACCTCCAACGTCCGAATGGAAGCCGTTGCGCCGGCAGCTTTCACTGAGCGTCCAGTCAACCTTGACGCTGGCGGTCGACGTGTTTGGGAAAACAATGGTGCTTTCTTTGGCGAAGAACCTGACGATGAACGCCATGCTCCGATCTGGTCATGCCTACATGAGTTCAGACCTGCAAAACTCCCTGATCATGCGTACAGCAGGGGTGTGCCACTTGGCACCGAATGCTTCCGTTGTTTCTCCAGGACGTATGCAACAATTCAGAAGACCAACGTCAACTCCTCATCAAGAAGTCCGAGTCCTCCAGACAGATACAAGCATACCGCCACAGGAGACGTAGCATGGGAGTGTGACAAGTGCGATATGTCACTTTGTGGTATATGCAAGAACGATGTCATGGCAGAGCGAGGCATTTGAGTTGATTCATCCTCATCTGGTGCGGGTAGCATTCGTATGGAATTAGGGATTCATGGCCGAGGAAGTTTGAGGGCACAGAGCAAGAGGAGGCTTTTCTAAGGCGAAGCTTTGATCAATGGCTTCTTGCTATTCAATGTATTCTCTTTTCTTTCTCAATATATTTTCTTCTCAAACGACCAAGCGCTGTCATTTCTTGTATCACCCTGGTTTCACATTTCTCCCGTCACGTAGCAACCACCCTTATAATCTCCTGTCACCTAAGTCTTGTCACATGCTATGTGGCTAGTGCCGATACTACTCTATCATCTATCACTGCCCTAGGGTATGCCGTCTACCGCTTTCTAAAAATGCTCTATTTTTAAATTAACATAGTTATTATAACGCAGCTCCGGAAGGATTTAATGATTAGTTTAATGTAACTGATAGTAGACTCGAATAGTAGCTAGATTATATTATAATGCCGTAGAGTGTATATAAAAGGTAATATAGGCCAAACACGTAATAACCTTAGTATATCGAGGATGTGGTCGTTGGCGATTGTGCCTTTGGATTTAGACAGACAGGGTTGTCCCGCATACATGGACTTTTCCAAACTTCGATCCGCACTGATCCAGCAAAGTGTTGCTTCTTATTCGTTTCAGCTATCTACAAAGCACCTTTCCGGCGCCTGCCAGGTATTAAGCTACAAGGGGAGAAGCACTGCCGAGGAACAAGGAGCTAGGAGGGGAGAAGCACTGCCGAGGAACAAGGAGCTAGGAGGGGAATCGAATCCATGTACCTGAATTAGCACCGATCAAGACATGTAATGGGTACACGAGATATGACTATTCCTTCTGTCGGAACAGGTAATTAGCGTGTCTGATTGACAGACATTTGAGGAACGATCGAAGCTGGTATGCTTCGAGAGCAGCAGACTGGTTGACCTTGACGTAGATATGCGACGCGGAAGTAAAGACAGCACATGCCATGAAGAAGATGAAGATGACACAAGCAGAAGAGGCAAAGAGTTACAAGATTGTTGAATTGTAAGAAAACGAAGACAGCACAGGACCGCTGCGCCTGTACCGTCGTCGCAGCCTTTCAAAAGAAAAAGCCGCATAAAAACTTAAAGTGTCGTCTCGTAATCATAGCGTAGCAAAGAAGGGTAGTCGGTGTCGGGTGAAGTTCAAAGCAGCGAAAGGCGACTTTACATCTTTCCCTTGACCTCCGCAATCTTTCCCTTTGCCTGACCGGAAAGCTGGTTGGCCTTTCCCTTGACCATACCCTCGGCCTCTGCTACGGAGTCGGGAGAGGTCTTGCTGAGCTCGGCGGCCTTGCCCTTTGCTGCGCCAGTGAGTTCAGAGGCTTTTCCGGAGGCTTCGCCAGCGACTTCGTAGGCCTTGCCCTTTACTTCGCCGGCGGAGAGGTTTGTGGCTTGCTTGATGGTGGCGGCTGCTTGTTCTGGGAGGGAGGAAAGTGTTAGTGGGATGGTTGGAAGAAAGTGGAGAGCAGGAAGAGTGGAGGAGAGATGGACGAGGGCAAACGGGGAAAAGATACATACCACCCTTCTCGATACCCTTGACGGCGGCATCGGAAATTGTCCTGTCGACTGCTTGGGCGGTCTCCTTGACGGTCTCGGTGACGGACTTTTGGAAGCGCGCGTTGGTGCTGAAGAGGCGAGCGTTGCGGATGATGGTGGAGCGGAACATTTTGGCAGTAGTGATTATGTGTAGTTGGTTCCTGGTGTTTGAAAGTGGTTCGAAGAGATTGAAAAGTTGATTGGAAGATGAAGACTGTCAAGAGGTACGAGCGATCCAAGTGTTTATAGCTTCCTTTACTCGCCTTGAGTGGAGACGACAGCTGAGGTAGCCATGACATCACACTTTCACTTTCGCGCACCTTCGTGGGGGAAGGTGGAAGCTTGGGCCACCTCTTCGTTCAAGCTTGCAACTCGTCTCGAGACGGACGCTTGTGTGAGGACATTCATCACGATTTCGCTTTGGATAGAGACTCAGGATTGGTCATCTTGACTCGGAGCGATTATGGCTCCTTGGACAATCGCAATACAGACTCGCATCTACCAGCTTGTAAGATTATCATGAGCTTGCTATTGGAACTTGCCAGTAGGCTTTTGCAGTCTCGATACGCGTGGAAAGCCACACAAAAGTAGAGGTGAGCTTCCAACGGGCACTTGCTGCATCCGACCACGTCCGGAAACTCTGCCATGGAAACAGGTTCTTGCGAATTGCGACAGCTTTACCTATTTGATGAGGCCATGAGTTTGCCAAGTAAAGATGAACAGTAGTACTGCTCGGAAGCATGTATACCCGAATCTTCTAGTGCTCTATTCTGATTCTTCTCCGGAGTTGCCTGCACTCCTACTGTAATGAACTCGACTTTTTACATATGAAAAGTACCATGTTTTGTCTACTCAAGAAGACTTCTTCACCTCCACCTGCTTTGCTCTGTCCTTGGCAAGCTTCTCTTGCTTAGAAAGCTGTGCTTCAACAAAGACACCGCCAAATACCAGGCCAACACCAACCCATTGCATGGGGCTGAGACGATGACCGAACCAGACCACTGACAGAATCATGGTGAGCATCTTTCTGGTGACTGTGACGGTGACCAAAAGGAGCGATCCAAAGGTTGAAAGAGTGTAGACTGTGCACATCAATTAGCTTCCGGGTCTCGAATCGCGCAAACATGGCAGAAAACTCACAGATAAACATTTGACCCAAAGCACCACAGGCTGCAAACGCGAAAATGTCCCAACCAACACTTGGGTGTCTTGTGATGAAGTCGATGGCATAATTCAATTCACCTCCCGAACTGGCACTCATACCGAGATATGCTCCGACCGGTGTAGAAGCAATGTATGGAGAAACAAATAGATACACCGATGTCAGCACGGTGCTGATCATGTTGAGTGCACACATCATCTGTTGTCCGGTGTAAGGTCTGTACGACTTGTAAATGTGGTCCTGAGTCGAGTTGGTCAGGCCGTCGAAAAGCAAGTTGATGCCGAGAAGAAGAAGTCCCCATGCACTGCTACCATCTGCTCCCTTCTTCTTGGAAGAGGTAGGATGATGCAGAGTGAACACAGCTACACCTGCTGTCACAAGTGCCACAACGCAGTACTTGTAAAGAGGGTACTTGCGGCGGAAGAGTGTTACATGCAGAGCCATGACTGGGAGAAGCTTGCATGACTTGGCCAGGATGAAAGTAATGTAGTCGACATGCTTCAGAGATGCATATCCAAAAGGAGAAGCCAGAGAGGACGTGATTGCAACCAAGAACATGGGAAACACGATGCTGCGGCTTGGGAAAATAGGAAGGTCGTGTGGCTGCTTGCGTGTGAATAGCACGTAAAGATATCCAAGTAATGCCGCGAATGTCGATTGTATTGTGTTGATGAACACTGGAGAGTTGAACTTTTCCGGAGCCAGAGAATTACCATACTCGGTTGTTGTGATGCGTTCTTGAAGAACACCCCATGTGAGACTGATTTGTTAGTTTCTTGTATACACATGTTTCTCAGGGGCATGATACTCACAAAGACGCATAAATTCCTCCGACGCAAAACAAGAGGTTCTTCGTCGTCTGGGCACTTCCTGACGAGGACCGATCCGTCGCAAGACCGTCGACCTGCCTTTGTAGTAAGGCCTTCTCATCCAGTACTTCGCCCTCACTTCTCTGTTTCAATTCGCCATTGCTCGCCATGATGGTTAAGGTTTTATGCAACGTCCAAAAGTACAGTCACAAGTCCGGTGTTGTCCTGCAAGAGAGTTGTCCGTTTTCTCAGAGTCGAAGGGAAAGGAAAGAGAAGGGATATGAAGTCGAAGATTTTTGGCGGGTCAATTTTCTATCGAATGGTTTCAAAAGAATGCTCAGGGTCAAGATCCAGCTGTCCTTCTCAATATCACTCGAAGCTAAACTTGGAAAAAGCTAATCCGGATTTGGCTACAAATTAGCCTCGGCCTCACCACACCCATGACGAATCTCAGCACTTGACGAACAACGAGCGAAATATTTACTGCTTGAAACATTATGCATTCTAAAACCTACGTCTATCAACCAAAATTTGACACTACCAAGGTACCCAACATCCATAATCATAAATCATCAACCACAACGACCACCGCCAACCTCAAAGCTCAGTAAGGTACAACCTTGGTATCAGGCTTCTTTCCATCCTTCGACATCTCACCCATGGCTTCCTCATCGTACTGTCCATCGTACGCCAAGCTGTTGGGCTCACCATCATCATCGACCTCAAGCCAAGTCTCACTTGTCGCAGGAATGGGAGAGACCTTGCACAAGATCCAGTACGTGATTGCTGCAATGAAGAAGCCGCAGAAGTAGTTGAGGTTGTAGATGTAAGTTGCGCCCTTGGGAACCTTTTGACCCACTGCACCAGCGAAACCGACAACGTTGATGAGGATACCAGCGATGTAGGCAGCGTATGCTCTCCAGTGTACACCGTAGGTGAAGTAGTATGGTCCAGTCTTGTCTGCGGAGTACAGGTTTCTGACTTGAAGGTATCCTTTACGAACAAAGTAATAGTCGCAGACCATAACACCAGCGATTGAAGACAGGAACACACTGTAGGCGGAGAGGTAGGTGGTGAAGTTGTTGCTCGAGCTCATCAAGTTCCATGGGCACATGCAGAGACCAATAATGGCGCAGATGTATGATCCTCTTCTGATGGACAGGAAGCGAGGGAACAAAGCTGTCATATCTGTACCAGCCGAAACGGAGTTGGCAGCGATGTTGGTACCGAGTTGAGCGAGCGAGAAGGCGGCAGCGATGACAAAGACACCGAAGCGTGTTGCTCCACCGACATTGGCGTCGTTGAGGAAGTTTTCGAGTAGCGTCAGGGGTGACCAGACGGGTTGACCGTAGATGACAGCTGACGAGGAAGAGACGATGATGCCGATGAAGGAGGTGACAGCGAAACCAACAGGGATGGTGATGAGCTGGGGCAGCATGGCGCTCTCGGGACGCTTTGCAAATCTGCTGAAGTCGGGGTTGTTCATGATCAGAGCTGTTATAGGGTCAGTATGTGTTTCTCTGACAAGGATTTGTCTCTAGACTTACCAGCAAAGTTGGCAACAGCGCTCATGATGCCCTTGACGATAGCCCAGCCAAGCTCACCACCCTCGAGCTTAGCAGGCTGACGAACGATGGGACCGAGACCGTGTGCTCTGACAATAGCCCAGATGAAGAAGGCAATACCAGCTGCGGGTGCAACAACGGACTTTACTGCGAAGAGGTGGCGGATCTTGTGGACAGGGAACCACAGTGCGGGCAGAGAGCATAGCCAGAAAAGGAAGAAGGAGACGAAGTCGCGAGTGTTGGTACCAGAAGACTCTGACAATGTGTTCTTGGGTCCGCCGAGGCCGTACTTGTCCCAGCTAGGCCAGATACTGCGAATCATGAGGTACACGCAAGTACCTCCAATCCAACTTTGGACTCCATACCAGACACAGGCCATGGCTGCACGGTTGAAGACGGGCCAAAGACCTCCCCAGATACCGAAACTGGAACGGGAGACGACTGGGAAAGAGATGTGATATTTTGCTCCAATGCGACCAGTGAGAACGACGAAGATGGCAGCGATTGTGTATCCTATCCAGACACAGATCCAGGATTGCCACCATGAGAGGCCATCCTGAACACTGGCACTCGAGATCATCCATGTGTTGATGTTGAAGGAGTCGGCCATCCAGAAGGCGACGAAGTGCCATGCACCCCATTGTCTACGTTCTGGCTCCACAGGCTTCAGGTCGTCGTTGTTGAGCATGAGTTGGACATCGGTGAGACCGGGTTCGTGGCGGACCTCAAGTGCCTTCAAGGCACGAGAGACTTTCGTTCGTTGTGCCATTGTAGATTGTGCGTATGGACGATGTATACGGAAGGAAAAAATGTTATAGGCGTTGTATAAGGTATGTAAACAAGACACCCTCTGATGTTGACCTAATATGTGGTCGTCGTAATGAATGTATCAAAGTCAATGATATCCATTACAAAATGGAGCGGATCAGAGGTCTCTTATGTATGTCAATCATCCTGAACAACCCGAGGCAGAATCAGTCTTATCTCTGAGACTCTATCCATGATGTGCCGTCCATGTTTGGCGATATCTGCCATCTGAGAAGCAAAAACGTGTGGTTGCTCGATCACATCGAGTAAGAAAGGAGGATAAGCTCGACGGATATGCATAATCTGCACAAGAAACGCACAATTGCTCGATAGTATCGAGTAACAAACCTGGATAGCGACCCCGGTCTCGCCCCCGCGCAAGATTTCGATTGGTCGGGCGACAACGTTATTGCTATAGTTGCCAGATTTGGCAAGGCGTCGCGCTGTCTGCGCACGAATCGGCGTGCAGCACCTTCGTCGGGACCACTTGCTATTGTGGCCATGCACCTCGCTGCCCTTTTCGCATTCACGCAGCAGCCGAGGAAATGATGATGACAAGGCAAGCCCTATGCAACTTTTTCGAAGGATCTATCTAGACTCCCAATTGATGGTTCCATGGCTGCACGAGAAGAAAAATCTCTGCATCTTCTGCATGTGAAGGCTAGATTTGATGGCGGTTTGCATCGGCCGACGGGCAGGTCCGAAAAACACGGCAATTACAGAGAATCGATAATCGCTTCATGAAGCTTTTGCAAGTACGAGTTGCGAGCCTCAGGCCAATATTTACGGGAGATCTGCCGGTTGGGAGTTCTCTCTTATGGTTCAAGCAGTCATGCTCGAATGGCTGGAGTCGGCAAAGCATGTGCGATACCGGCCGGAGAGGTTGGGGTGAGGCCGTGCTTGCTGTTTCTGATCGGCTTGAGAAGCCGGACAGCACTTTGCATCTACACGCGTTATGTGCGCTGGGACGTCTCGGCCATAATGGAGTCTCTCCGCTCTTCTATTGAAGGTTCGCAGCCTCCCAGCAAACGTCAGAAAAGAAAGACGGTCGCGTGCGCACAACCATAGATCTTGAAGGCTCGTGTACGAAGACTGACTGCAGACACAGATGTCGACGCTGTCATGACCAAAAGACCAAATGTGATGGCGAGAAGCCTTGCAAGAACTGCTTACAGTCTGACAAGACGTGTGAGTACCCTATGCGAGATCGTAAAGTGACTGTGAATGAAAGGTGAATCAGTACTGAGCAGGCAGTGAAAACACGATTCTGATCTTCCCTAGTTACATACAGCAATTACTGGCCGAGAACGATCGCCTCAAACGAAGCGTGAATGATGAAGAAAGCCATGAGGACACTACAGACATCACAAACACAGACGATGAGAAGCGAGGAGATAATCCTCTCATTGAGAAAGAAGCATGGTTCTTGCCATATGATCCCAGTCCTATCTATATAGGCGAGGCTGCTTGTACTGGCTTTTCGACAAGAGTACGTCAGCTGTTGGTGAGCGTTGAGGCCGAGAACCATATTCCGAGAACTTCATTCATCAAAGGTAGGTGCGACTACTGCTAAGCTGGAACCGTGATCTAACGTAAGTCAGACCCCCAACTGGATGCCGCTCTCAACACAACTGCGCAATGGCCCAGCAGACCTCAGGCTTTCCTCTTAGTAAACACTGCTCTCAACACGATTGGCAAGTGCTACCACTTGTGTCCTGCCTCTGCAGTACGAGCCACGCTTGACCGCGCTTATCAAGACTTGCGATCTCTCGACCAGCTAGCAGTATGCAAGTTGTTCGTGCTCTTTGCACTGGGAGAAGCGTACTCTATCAGATCACCGTTGGACAATACAGGTGCACTTCCTGGACTGCACTACTTCGCAAGAGCCAAGACTATCCTGCGCGTCATTCCGGAACGGCCCAAGATTGACCATATCGAGATTCTTGTAATGTTTGCTCTCTACAACTCGGTCATGAACAGAAGGCATAGCGCATTCCGTTACATCGGTTCCGCTATAAGGTTAGGCTTGACAATAGGTCTATATCAAAACATGGCAGAACGACAGCTACCAGACAAAGCAGCCAGACAACGAAGAGTACGTCTGTGGTGGACGATGTATGTTCTGGACAGAATGATGAGCAGCAAAGTCGGTTACCCAACTTCACTGAAAGACGAGGATGTCGAAACAGACCTTCCGACCGACGAAGGTCTGACGCAATCACAAAAGGACGACTTCATAGACGCCGACTACCTTACTGCTAGTATCAGTCTAGCTCGTATCGCTGGCGGCATCATCGGTAGTCTATACAGTCGAAGAAAGCTTCCGGACACCTTCTCGCAACGAGTACAAGCCATTTTCCGCAAGCTTCGAGACTGGGTCGAAGCGTTACCACCGAGCATGCAGTTGCGGCAGGAAGATGCTTCGAGTCAGATTGCACGACACATTGTGATGCTACATTTGTCATTCAACCAGTGCGTCATCTTAGCCACTCGACCAATATTACTCCACGTCTTCAGGATTTCGAACAGGATCGGTGGCGCGACAGAAGAGATATCTCAGGCTACTCTAGCATTGGCATCTACATGCTCCCACTCGGCAGGCCACAGCTACCGCCTACTGATGCGTAGCTGGGTGAATGGGTCCTTTTTCACCCTTGATTATTTATCTGCGCAGTATCTCTTCGCTTCAGCCACCGTTCTAGCAATATCAAGCCTAGCACCCGACAGCCATGCCAAGGCGCACCAGAACGACTTGGAATCTGCGACTCACCTCCTACGCCAATTGAGTATGCTAGGTAACTTAGCAGCATCAGAGTTCTGCGGTCACCTAGATGCTGTTCTACGGTCTATTGTTACCTTCAAGGCCTCAAGAGGAGAATCTAGCGAAGCTTCTACCATGGTTCAGGCTAGTCCCGCGGCCAGTCGTCCCGATACTGTTACCACGGAAATGGCCCTTTTTGGTCCTTTGGTAGGAGACTTCTTGACGCAGACAGATACTGAGCTAGGTATGCCTCTGCTTCTCGATGATAGCGCTTTGGACTGGAGTGCATGGGCTGGGGTTCTAGCTGACCAGGAACCCACACCTGGACATATCAATATAGGTCTATGAATGCCTGTACATGATTTGCGAGATTTAAGCATAATGTAAGAGCAATCCTCGTTATCCACTTCTTTGTCCCCCTACTGTAAGCGGTGCTAAACTGGGCGTATAATGGTCTTTCTCTTCAGAATCGAGGCCAGCAATGCTCGAAAATCAACAATTATCGATTTTACCATGTTGTCATTAGTGGTGAGAACACTCCCCAGCATCTATCTTTGCTTGTAAATTTGCTGGCAATGCTTTCCTCGTTCCAAATCTTCACGTTGGAGACTCAGAGAAGTCTCAGGTAGCGCAGTTGGCCATCCACCCATGTATGACTTTGAACCACTACAGGCTTCACTATTGGACCCGTAGCTCAGCCTCCAGGCATGCCTTTTGTTCAAATACGACACATGAGACGTGACGCCAAGCCGCGGGAAGCAACACAGGGAATCCCACAGTCCAGGAGGGCGCTTCCAAAATTCAGGCTTCAAAATTGCTTTGCATTTCTAATAATTGAGCGATGTGATTTGTGACGGTCACAAATCGTCAGAAAAAAAAAGGTTACGACGGTACTCGAAACCGCAACTTTTGCCTTAGGAGGGCAACGCGCTACTAATTCTCAGTTAGTTTGGGAATTCGTTACACGGTTATGTCTGTTCAAAGGGCACTTACCCATTGCGCCACGCAACCGGAGTTTTGGGGGTGTGCGAGCTTCAAGCTTTATTGAGTCTGACAAAATCGCGATCGAACGCTGCGCTTCTGCCTCCTTGGCGTGCAACGCTCGCGCATGCGCAAGTCAACTTCACCTCATGCAACACTTGCCGCAGCATATATATGACAACCTGACATGTGACGATAAGCTATATCACCGACTGTTCTCGACATCCAATCCCTAACCTTTACATCTACATCAGCCGATTGTGGTGTCGAGATCGCTACAGGGAAGGAAGCCACGGCGGGCGACGCTCACACAAGATGTCGGACGTCTCAACGTTACCTCCGTGGGCAGGAACAGACGTAACTCATTTCGCCGCAAATGGAAAGAGGTGCCTTTCTCAAGAGAGGCTTCAACGCAAGAGGCCTTCGTCATCGACTTCCGTGCAGAGCGTTTGACCTTTCCCTCTTTCAACCAGGTCTGCTGGCGAGCTATTGTCCACCTCTTCAAACCCGTCGGACCAACTTCTGTAACTCTTCCGTTCATCATCCCTGGCAAGCCTCCATCCTCCTCTCGATATCATGTCGAAATGGAAGGCTGAAGATCGCCCAATTGCACCGGCTGCGAAGGTAAATGTCAACCTGCCATGGCCGGATATCCCTGGCTTGAAGAGCGAAGAAGAGGTTACGACCGACCGTTCGCAATCCGAATACCGGAAGATGGTCGATAATTCACGGCAAGTCAAGACATTCACCAAAGCCGCTCCAACGATCGTCGATGCAAAGCTTCGTGACATGACTCAAGTACTATCAGTACATGGCTTGGGTCTTTACAGACACAATCGCAACGAAGGCAGACATTCAAAAGATCCAAGACATGGAAGCTCAGACGTTCGGTAGCACCAGAAAAGGTGAGTCGCAGAGAACTGCATTCATGATATGGAGCTAACCTCAATGTAGCTCGGAGAGGAGTTTACAGAGGTCAGCCCATGTTCATGCTTGTCGACGTGCAGATCCTTCAATACATCCAAATATGCAAGGCCGTCAGAGACGATTTGGGCGTGTGGTTACCAAAGGTGATGATTCAATCGCCAAATGCCGCCAGAGCATTGCCAGCCATAAATGCAGCAGCAGCATGCTATATTGAAACTGGTGATGTGAGACAGGCGCTATTGGTATTAGCCGAAGCTGCAGATATCATCAACCAAGAGATCGGTTCGGGAAAGCCTCCAAGCAACACTTGTCATTGCAACGCTTCTTTGAAGAAGACCTCGTTCCATGCATGTGGCAATTGTCTCGAGATGCTAGTCTACGAGAGCCGGCAACAGGACTGGCGCGGAGTCTGGATCTGCTTGTTCTGCCAAATCAGAGAACGCAATGTGACGCCACGAAACATGGTGAGCTTCATCCTCGAGAAGAGTCTCAAGGGAGCGTTCAAAAATGAGTGCGGGAACCTCGACTTAGATTTCAAAACGCCAGAGCAGCAGAAGATCTACTAAGAAGCATGGCAAGATTTGCAGCGGTATAATCACAAACTCGACGGCTTACTTTGACGATTACCGGTCGAAGAACATCAACCCAGCAGCTGACGCCCACCTGGAGGGTCACACCAAGTACAGCCCCAACCTTCCTTCGGTTGATGGTATCTTCGCCTTTTACGAGTGCAACGGTCGACTGAGATACCATTGCAAGGGTAACGTCGCAGTAACTACAGTAGCTTTGAACTACATGAAACATATCCACGACCCAGCACTTCAATCACATCTTTCAGAGTTCTTCAACGGCCCCCAGACAAAAGAAGCTCGCCTCAAAGTGTTGGAAAAAGCGACCAACAGTACCCTTATTCGTATGAAGGTGCCATACAAACTCAAGGCCAGGACTGCAAAGTCATCCAAATGGTCATGTGTCGACGCTGACATCCTGGAATGGACATCGGATAGGCTGAGCAGGTCACTATCCAAGATCTTCTCGACCAAGCGTCTCTGCATACATGGCTACATCAAGACTGGAAACGCGGAAAGATGGGTTGCGCGTGACCGGGAACGTCTCCTCAAGATCGTCCGCCAAATCGAGCTTCGATTCAATGTCTCTTTACCGTCTCATCTCGTAATAGAGCGAGAACTCCCGAGAGCAGCTATCTTATCATCCCTCCGTGAGGACTCTCTCGTACCAGAACACGACTGTGCCTTTTTACTGCTGCTTGTTGCTCTGATCTATCGTAGATGAAAGTGGCTACTGAATGCTGCTGTCTCGTCGTCTCTCCATGGAGGCTCACTCATACCAGAAAATAACTGTGCGTTTCCACGGCCCTTTTTCACTCTCATGAAATCATCATGGAGAGTTGCATAACAGAGAAAAGCGATATGCTTGCGAAAGTCCTTCGACTTCAGTAGTCAGAGATGCAAGTGACTGTAGATATGCACATTTCATTGCCAAAACCGAAGGCTATTAAGGGAGAGCCTATTCGTAGATCTATCTCCGCTGTAACGCCATGTGTTCAAAAAAGATCATGCCTTTTCACAGTAATGTTATTATTATTCTCTATCGTCAAGGAGAGCAGATATGTCGAGAGAAAAAATACGATCAACCCAATGTCACTCTCCCGTGTCAGTGATAATAAACGTGAGGGGCTGTGGAAATGCACAGTACGTTTCCATCCCCTACGGTCGTTCTGGAGAGCTGACTTGAGATCGTATCTCCACTGCAAAGGACTTTATGCGGAAAAGATTGTGCATTTTTACAGCTGCCTATTACACTTGGCTACCGTGAAGGAGAGTGGGTATGACGAAAATGGGTGACACACCCGGGATCATCCTTCGATACCAGTCTTCGGAAAATGTGGGGGGCTGTGCGAAGATGCACAGTTTCTTTTCTGATAGCATGAGTTGTTGCTATCATGGGAGACGGTACAAACCTATACTCCAACTGCTTTAGATGTCATCTCAAAAAAGATTGTGCGTTTTGACAGTTCAAGGTGTTGTCGACGCCGACGCAGAAGATGAGATGGAACGGGTTGTACTGTGATCGCCTAGCGACTGAGTGTTGATGATGCTGTTGTATTGACAAGCCCGAAGCCATGAATCCGTATATCCACCTTTTGATACAAACCCGAAATATATGTACAATGCCGAAAAGTCTAACAAGAGATGAGAAGTCCGTATTACTTCTCTTCATCGCTCGTAATAACCGCTCAAGATACGCTCACGATGCATCACCAAATTCTGGAACGTAGCCAACTGCTCAGCCAACGGATTATTCCTCCACCCCATCTCTTCATGCAGCAAAAGATGGGTATAAGCAAACACACTCGCATCAAACAACCCAGGCTTCTCTTGACCAAAGAACCAAGTATCTCCGCCCAGCAGCGTCGACAAGGCGGAAAAGGCATCCACGGCTTCCTTCAATATGTCCTCTGCTTTCACAACAGGTGTAATTTTCAATAGCTCTTGATTTGCGGCATTGCGCAATTGGTGTGAGATTGCTAGAGCGACAAAAGTGTTTGAAGAGGAGGGAGTAACGTAGAGGCGACGAGCGACGTTGTCAAAGTTGTCGGGGTCGAGGTAGAGGAGGTAGAGCCATGCTCTTCTCACAGCGTGGTCGAGTAGTGATGCATACACATCTTGACGCGGCGTTTGTATGTCCGAACTTTTACTCGTGCTATTCGTGTGTGACCAGGCTTCGAGTTTACTGGATGCGACAGGATTCTGCGAATCGGCTGGGAGGAGGAAGGGTAGAGAGCCAGAGGGGGAGGCGTGGTTGTTGGAGGATCGGGTGCGAAAGGCAATGCCTTGGAAGAGGAGGTAGGTCTGCCATTTCAGACATGTCGGGTTGAAGGAGATGTTGTGTGTGGCGGAGCCTTCTGTCGTCGTCCAGGTGTAGAGCGTGTGTTCGTCTCGATGCGTCGGCGAGCGCGTCGGTAGCGCATTTGGCGTGTAGCTTGTAAGAGGAAACTTTGCAAACACCTGCTTGATGACTATGGGCACCGCAAACATGTCCCGCCAGTCGCGACGACTGCTATTGCTTTCTTGTGTCATGGTCTGTATGTCGTGATTCTCGTGGCTCCGGAAGTTCGTCATGCTTGAACGTGGCTCACTTTCTTATTAAACTTCCTTATCTTATCGCAGCATGACAGGGTTGCCCGGCTCACCAATATTATACGCTCTATCAATTCACATCTCTTGCAACCCAGTGTCTTGCGGCAAAGGCAAAGCAAATTCTCGACATCATCTTCCGAACATGTTCCGTCACTCCAAGACTTCCGAGATGACAAGTTTACCAACCTTGCTACTCCACCAGAATCGCAGCGTGATACGAGCGTGAAGCATTCGATGTTCCACGTGTTTCAGCTCACTCGCACTGCTGTGAATCAGATCCTCGGCCGTTCTTCCTAGAAGTCGTGTCCACGAGTAATCTGACAGCATGAGTTTGCCAGTACCGATACATCCACTCTCGTCAACCAGCTTGCCGATCTGCTAGAGTTAGCATTCACACTAGGCTTATCTGATTTGATCACACGTACAAGTCGTGGGTTGATCCGGAGCGGCACCTGCTTATCACAATGCTTGCACTTAAAAGTGGTCGAGTTTGCGTACAAAGGGATGCCGCAGCTACTATTCTGTCAATAAACTGATCGATCTCGAATAGTGTCTTCCATCCAATCCGTACCATTCATTGCACATAAGCATGTTCTGCTGCCTTAGCGTGGTCATGTTGAGCTCGACGATGATCATGCTCAGATAGCCTTCAAACTCATCTCCTGGTCTTTCGCGAGCGCTTTTCACTTCAGGTTAGAATTGCTGCACACTGAGATAATCTCAACATACCGATCATCTACGTCTGCGAGCGTATATAGGACATGCTCATTGGGTCTGGTCATAACCCATGCATCGTACTCTGATAGAACATGAGATGAAGCTCGAGAAGAATAGGACATGTATCAAGCCGTACCTTCGTGAGGAAAGACAGAATTGACACTCTGTCTTCTGATCATGCGTCCAGCGAACGTTCGAAGTGTTGTGGCTCCAGAAATATCCGGATCGACGTCGATGAACGTATCGGACGCCAGTGCTAGCCAGTTCTTGTGCGAGACATTCAGTCCGGGGCTTGTGATCAGTAATACGGTCTGCGATGGTCGCCATTGATTCGAACTGGTCGAAGCAATACCCCAGAGTGAGAGTACTGCTCCATCAGTGTCATCCATAAGACCAACCTCTACGAGATGCACTTGGGTTCCATCCTTCTTTGTTTCTAATCTCGTCAGCTTTGGATATACCAAAATTTCGATACTCTGCTTACTTTTCCTACGTGCACTGATACTTTTCACAACAACAAGTACCTTCGAATCTTTCACTTCAAAGCCACCTTGTATGAAGTTCTTGAGTGACATCAGGCCATATTCATGATCGATTGGCTTCCTGCAAAGGAGATCAGTGGACTCATCGACGTCCAAGATCCGAATGTGTGAACTCTTGTCTTTTTCGGGGAAGATTTTGATGTAGAGTGGCGCGACTGCGCAAGGGAAGGAGCCCTTGTCTCCATTTGCGATATAAGTGGCCCAGATTGCAACGAGTTGACCAAGTTGTGGCTCGTATAGAAGCATGGTGTCGGACAATTTGATCTAGTCATGATTCAGTTGAAGCCAGTGGAACAATGCCAAGTACTACACTTACAGTGACAACACCTGTATCGTCCTTGACTACGAGGTGGAGGGATCCCTTTGCTCCGGCAGACAATTTTGTCTTGGGCGAGCTTTCGAACAAATTCACAATTCGACCCATGATCTTGATTCGACTTGGTCCGGGGACAAGAGAGTCGATATCAAACTCGTCATAGTTTGCAGACGGAACCCAATTGTCTTGCTGTAGGGGAGTCAGAGAAGTGTCAAGTTCTTCCTGGGTGAATCCGTCGCCTGGGTTTGGTGACAAGGCTCGAAGTTGGCCTTTAGAAGGTGGCGCCCGAGAAGGGAAGAAGGATTGGATACTGGGACCTCCTCTGGCCATTTCGCCTCGTCTTGTTTGAGGTGAGAATAGTTAGGTAGTCAAATCAGATCGCAGAAGATACATTCCAGCATCGAGGGCTTTTGCCTGGGAAAATCCAGCTAGCATAGCAGATTAGGAAAGTGTGACCAGCGCTCCTTCCAAAATCGCGCTGTTCTCAACTCGGCCACTCACGATACACGCACCCGGAGAAGACGAAAGAACGAGGAGATCAGTATGATGGGCTACTGGTGGTTGTGAAGTAATTCGGTCGCGACAACAATCGAAGATTTACTTAGCCTTGTGCATCAAAGTCTCTAGCGATTCTCTCGCTTTCTGCCTCTCCAACCCATTGGCAGATCCTATCTCCCACGTCACCGATCAGCTTCTCATATCTGCCATCGTGGTCATCTGGCGTGAAGAGACCACAGTGCGCTTCGACCAAGTCAACGTCCTTCATCAGCACACGCACCCAAGTGGGGTCTCTGTTGCCAGAGCCATCCTTGGGTGGAAGAGTGCAGAATGTGCGATCTTTGAAAGGCTTCTGCTCCTCGCCGTAACGTGGTTCAGTGCCTTGAGTGGACATGACGGTAGACTGCATCGACGAAGTATGCTTCGAGAGCGGCTCAATCGTGGAATCGTCGTCGTTCCAAGAATGATCCAGAGCAGCTTTCCACTCTTTCTTAGCGTCTTTTTGCTCTGTCGCCATGATCGACTCTTGATCGGTTTCCCTCCTCTCGATAGTTTTCTTACGCTCCTTCTCCTTGTTCTTGTCGCCCTTCATGACTTCCTTCTCTGCCTTCTTACCTTCCTTAATTGCTTGACGTTCGCGCTTCTTTTCTAGCTTTTCACGATCCTTGAGTGCCTTTTCGCGATCCTTGACTGCTCGGAAGTACAGTTTCAGTACCCTCTCATACTCTTTCTCTGCGAGTTTTCTGGAGTCTTTGTCCGAAAAGAATGGTGGTTTCTCAGGTTTTGCAGGTGGATCAGGTATAGGCGGTAGTTCCTGCAGAGTAGATGTTGCAGCTTCAGGCGATTTGTCTGACGAGGCTGTATGTGTGTCTACGTCTTCTTCAAGCTTGTCCGAAGCAGTGCCTTGTTGGTCCGCGATTGTCGTTGAATTGGCTTGGGCAATTTCAATATGTTCTGTCGCATCGATCCAAGACTCGATATCCGAAGTATCATTGCCCGCATCCGACATGGGGGCAGGGTCCAGATGGTCCATCGCCGACATGCCATTCATTTCTGCAGCCTCGAAGTCCTTGATGTCATCATCTGTTTCGAGCAATTCGTTGTCTCTTGGGGCGAACTCCTCGGAGTACTTTTCTTCGTCCTCTTGCATTATCTTATGATCTCCGTCGATTACTCCGCCTGTCATCGTTGGAGTTTCAACAGATATCTCAGGCGACATTGGTGTTTTAGGTTCCTTTGGCCGACCTGTGCTGGAAGTGTAGTAGTTCACGAAGCGGACTCTTGGAGGAGCGACAGAGCTACCTATGACTGCTTTTCTCGTTCGCTCACCCTGCTCCTCGAGACCTCGAATTCGGGTATATCGGAGTTTCAAGCCGCTGTAATCTGCCATGGCACCTCCAAACTCGAGATGTGACTTCACCAATTGCTTGGTAGCTGTTCTGAGATCACTAGAATGCTTGTTGAGAAAGTACCAAGCTCCTTCCCAGCCTTTCCTAACAGGAAGAACCACATCATTCTTGAAGGCTGGATTGTAGTTGGGGTCGAGCTGAGAGGGCGAGAATGGGCTTGACGCAAGTTTTAGGTTTGACGTAGAAGCACTTGCGGTTGATCTGTCATCGAAATAGTCCCCACCAGTCTGCATACTCGAGACAGATGGCGTGTGTTCATCATCATGCGGCGACTTTTGAGGACCTGGAGCTGGACTGAAGATGCTAGCCAAGCCGACCTTGATGACCCTTGGATGCATACCCAGAAAAGGAACATCGAAGTTGACAGTACCGATCAGACGGTGGCGTAGAGAGCCATCTGCAAGGGATGGAATCAAGACCACCTCGGCGCAAAGCAAGCCACCCATACTGTGACCTAACAATATCACATCTGTAGTCGGTCCTTCGTGAGGTTTCAGCCTGAGAATCAGTCAGATGAGTGCTGGACGAGTTATTGCATCAATCTTACCAACGACTAAAGTCATCTCGCGCGAAATCGATCTTCTTCTTTGACCTATACCTCGGATAAATCTTTGTATGAACAGTGTGTGTTTCCGACAGTAATGCAGCTACAAGACTATGTACATGAGCCGGGAAGCTCTGGAAGCTGGTCTCATCACCCATGAATCCATGGATAAATACAAGGAGTAATTTCCTTCTATCACCTTGTTCATCTGACGGCGAAGGCAACAACGATTGTGTTGACTTCAAACGTGGATCGTTCTGCGCAAGTGAGAGATAGTCGTTTCCATACGACGTGGTCGTCAGAGATTCGTAAGATGGCGGGGGCAAGTCGTCGTCTTCAAAGTCCTCTGACACCAAGAGGTCTGCGCCTGACGCTTGTCGCGGCGGTAGAGGTGGAGGTCCACCAGTCCTCTGATGATTGCCTTCTTTTGACATGCCGAGTGAAGTTGTCTGGAGCTTGGCAAATCCAGAAGTCAAACATGCAACTAGTTTCAGTGTAGTCACAGGGTAAATGCGGCTCTCAGGAGGTGTTGTTTAGGGATGGTACCACTGGCGGTGAGAATGTTGTGACGTCGGGCACAGCAGAAGCTTGGATCTTTAGCGCGCTTTTGCAGGTTCAACGGAACTATTTCCCGGAAATAGATACAGATAGATAGGCGTTAAAGTTTCTCGGCAATGCTCAAATATTGACACCAGCCGTATGAGATCGATCTTGAATCGTGAGAATACGAGATGTAACACAAGCTTGACGGCAGAGCGAAGTGGCAGATTTTGATGCAGGGAATATGACTACAGCACCCTCGCATACGGTGGACATTGTTGCGCACGCGATGATGCCATAACAAGCAACTATTCCTTGCGTGTCATGTAGTGGAAACTTGAAACGAGGACCATGAAGACTCCCTTACAGCTGCAGGGCTTTGTTGTACTTCTGGGCGGCGATTCGACGTCAGACGGCGAGATGCATATTGGCTAGGCCACAGAAAAAAGAGCAAGTGGAGCAGATGGAGTGGAAAATAGCCACGACTTGCGGCAGTACCTGCAGGGATAGTGATGGATCATAGGAACAGACGATCGAGCCGTGGGCACACGCATACAGGCTAAGAACAAGAGGAAACAGCAGCGGACGGCGACATGATGGAAATAGAGGCGAACGAGGATGAAGTAATCTCGTTGGCTTGCGCAACCCTAGCAAACTACCCATGTCGCAAGCGATGATGGCGGTATCGATCAGGGCAGCGGAGATTTGGGTTGAATGGATGGTGGCCCATGTTTGGCGGCGGCGGGACCGTTTGAGAGCCAGAGGGTCTCGTGGGCCGAAGTTAGTGAAAGTCGTGCAACCTTGAAGCACAGGCTTCTGCTTCTGCCGCTTCTTCGCTTTGCTTTCGTCTGTCGTCGGAGACTTTCAAGCTGGAAGTAGTCGTCGTTGTTGCTGTTGTTTTTTTGTTCATCACGTCCCTGCCCAACTCGACGCATTCCCTCCCCATCCCGGACGTTTCCTCGCACACGCTGTCGTGTGCTCTTCCTTGTATTTCGACATACCGACTGCTGGCTGGTACTTGACCCCGCTCAGCGGCGTGGTCTCTCTAGTCGTCGTCGTCGTTACATAGGCAGTAAATCAAAGTACTCGTAGACGGCGCGAAAGATTAACATCAAGAAATCTGACCTGCACCCGGAGCGTTGCTCACACGCTTTCGCTTCCAAGACATCCGTACATACAGACTTCTGTCTGATTGTATTTTGAGCTTGCGCCAAGCATCAATTACACACTGTAAGACGCCATTCTTGACAAGCTGCTCTGCATATTCCTCTCGACTGCCGTTATAAAGGTGCGTATACTGACATGTCGCGACAGAGGCAGTTTGCTGGTTCGATTACCGGCGTCCATTCGTTTCCCAGCACCCTTGTGACTTCAAGAGCTCGTCCGCTCCCATGGTCCCATCTCAATCATAAGTCACAAGCACAATTACCACCACCATCACCTACCACGGCTCTTTGATAGCAGCCACATCCTACTTGCTACAGCCCAGTCTGGACCGGGCTCTATTACTGTCGTTCCTGTCAAGAGCATTCGCTGCTCTCATTTCCTGTATCGATAACCGCCCCAAACCATGGAGCGCCTCTTCAAACGGCGCAAATTGTCCGCCTCGGCTGCCAGTCCACCCGCCCCATCTCCGACTGCCTTTTCGCATGGACTGCAGGACATCCGTCCGGTCGAACGAGTTGAAGAAGTTCATGTTCACATAAGAAACCACAGTCCTGGACGGGCTACAGCGCAGCACGTCGACGAGGTGCACCAACGGCTACACAAACGCCAGACGCCGCTCAACGGCACCGCCGAATCCACAACGTCTTCACGTTCGACACCCACTTTGCTGACTGACGCCGAATCCTCCCTTTCTGCGACTTCTGCAAACACTGTTGCCGACGCTCCTTCGTCCTCTGCCCCGGAAGCACCGTCGTCGTTGTCAGACTATTCTTCCACCCTTGCTGGTATATCGCCATCCATCGCAGCTACCGATCCTACTTTGATTGACTCGACCTCGTCTTTGGCTGTGTCCACAACAACAGCTGAAGCTCTGCCAACAACAGAGGCCGCTCCCACCTCGACACCTTCAGATCCTTCCTCGGCCGTCTCTGCAACCGAACCATCTTCTGCTACCACAGTCTCCGACACAGCATCAGCCGCCCCGTCAATCGACGCATCGTCCACTACGACACCATCCTCTGCATCAATCCCTCTGGCTGCTTATTCAGGTCCTGGAACCGTGAGCTCGTCTCTCCCTACAAGCCCATCTCTGGACGTGACCGACACGGCTGCCTCATCTTCACTTGCTGCACCAACAGCCGCCCAAACCTCATCCGAAATTTCTGGCGACGACACAGTACCATCAACCGCCGCGACCACTCTCCTCTCGGGTATTTCTTTGTCGGGTGTAATTGGAACCACTGCTACGAACACTGCTTCCGGGACGTCTGGACTTCCAAGCTTGTCTGACTCGTCGCTTGCTTCATACACATCTGCACTAAACACTGTCATTTCAGCTAACCCCACCACCATTGCTTCTGGAATATCTCTGCCTGGCGTAGCTGGAACTGCGCCTACCGCTTCCGTCATTTCCTCGAACACTGCGTCACAGACTACCAACACACTCAGCGATGCGAATACAACCTTGAGCTCTTTTGCTTCGCTTTTGACGAATGCGCCTGCCTCTGCTGGTATCTCGGACCCAACCTCTCTATCTGCAGATGAGTCAAGCTCAATGCTTAGCTCGTTGCTTGCAAATGGGTCGACAGTGAACCCAGTCTCTGCGACGAGTGGTGCTGTCACCGGTTCAATTATCTCATACACTTCCTCAGGCGTTCCTCTTGCTAGTACCATATTCCCCACCGGATCAAACGCGACCATCAAGTCTTCAGCCTCATCTGCTCTCGTCTCAGGCAGCGCCATCCTGTCCGGATCGAGCTCTGCAACCGCCTCTAGATCAACTGTATTGTCGCCATCTTTCGCCAGGAACCTGACGACATCTTCGACAACAATCACGAGTTCTTCCACAACTTACACCTCATTCACCACCTTCCAACGCAATAGCGCAACTGTGTCTACATCTGCTGATAGATCTGCATCAAGTAGCTCTAGCGCTTTGACTGCTGTACTAGGCTTTTTCACTGCATCCTCGTCCACAGTCGAAACATTGTCGGACGGTTCTCGGACTACTGCTGCTCTCATTGCTCAAGCATTTGCAACGACCTTGTCTAATGGGCAAACGACCACGTCCTATGGCTCCTTCCAACCCGTCTCGTCCTCTGCCACGAACTACGCTCTTTCCTCCCAAAATGCCGACGTAAGCTCTCGTCTTAGTTCGCTTCTCGCTGCTGCATCAACTGCCACAGGATCCGCAAGGATCTCGTATTCGTCGCAAGCAGTCGTTCTCCAAAGCTCTGCGTCTTCGGCTCTACGATCAGCCAGCAGTGCACTAAGTAGTGCTGCATCGCGAATATCTTCAGACTCCTCTTCCGACAGCTCTTCTCCTTCTGCCACATCCACTGTTGCACAAAGCTCTGGTGCTAGCGCCATTGGTGGACCTGCAACAAGTACCGCTCCTAGTTCTGCCAGCAGCACTGCATCGTCGGACAACAACAGCGACAATACCCCGCCTCCTTCCGTGCTTGCAGGAGGTATCGTTGGCGGCGTCGCAGGACTTGCTGTTTTGGTTCTGACTGCGATGATTCTACTGCGCTGGTACCGAAATCGCATGGCTAATCTCAACGCATTAACTGGAGCCGAAGCTGCTGCTGCTGGTGGAGGTGGTGGCGCTCGGGGTATGTCCGAGGCCGGCAGAACAGCCCCGGTATTAGCGCCACTTTTGGGAGGGGTCTTCAAAAATAGAAAATCCCGAGCCGTGGACGACACTGGAGAACGAGGCTTTCAGCGCATCAGTGGTCGCAAACTGCCTAGTGCTTTCTCAGCTGGCATGACTTCCGCACCGCCGATGCTCATGCCATCGGCCTTCGACACTGACCGAAATATGAGCACCAGTTCGGTGTATCGCGACAGCACTTACTACGGCGCAGGCGGATCGCCCTTTGATGATCCCAACAATGAAGTCGGTATCAACGAGACTATTATGCCTGGACCAGCCCGCCAAGCGAGAGTCCACCCTCCTTATGCCATGAGCCCGACAAGCGCGCTGTCAGAAAACACATCGCCCACCAGTCCCACATTCCCCATCAACAGGAGCAACATGTTGACACCGGAACCTGGCCAAGATGCTCCTCTTATGACCCCACTTCACCCGCAAGGCATGGCCAACAGAAGCGTCACTCCTGGTACTCTTTCAAGCTTCGATGGAAGCAGAGGCAGCAGGTTCACCGAGGAGGTCTGATTCTGCATGATCACTAACTTTACTCCCAACACCAAAATTGTGTTCTTTTTCTTGTTCCGTCATGTCCAACCAACGCGGGATGGAGTTTGAGACTCTCCCATCTTTCCTACAAGACTTTTGGTTTCTCATTCTCCACTACTTCACTTCTCTACCCAACCTTTTTTCTCTTCTTCTTCTTCTCCATCTTGGAAGCCCGATACCCCCTTTTTGTACTTCAGTTACGCTTTACACTTTGTAAAACTTTTGCCACGAAGGTACCTTATGTAATGTTTGTATAGCGGTCATGAATGAGCCATGACCGAGAAAGAAATTCAATTCACGTCCGATATTTACATCAGTTTAAGCACTTGTTGAGTGATTATATCTGACGTGAAACATGAAGGTGTCGAATTTTGAGATTGGTTATTAACGACGTCCAATATGGATAGTCATGACGCTCTTTTAGACGCTTGTATGCTTTCAAAGACGCTCTTCTGTATGCTTGTGTGCTTTCAAAGGTTTATCTCGACATCAGGCGTCCTTTGAATAATTCCCAGAATCTCAAACATGCACGATGCATATTTGTCCCATCGACCCAAAACTCTCCAAAACTATCCTCAACCGCAACATCCACCTTCATCACCCTTTCCTCTCTCTTCAACCCACAGAGCGCACAAGCTTGAGTACTAGTAATAGCACCTTCATCGGCTTTTGCAACACGTACAGCAAGCACACTCCCCAGCTCCGGCACCGTAAGTTTACTCCCATGCACAGAAGCCCCCGTAATCGCAGACTTTAATCTCCCCACCTGCTCACGGTAAACAGAAAGCACGACTTCCACTTCTGTATCTTCACGGCTGGTTTCTGATTTATCGACGCCGGTGAGTTTCATACCGCCGCGAGCTGCAGCGGGGCCGATACGCATGCTTTGGGCGAGGTGTTTGTCGCGCTTCCATCGGGATTTGCGGCCTGCGATTATGTGGCCGAGGATGTGTGTTAGGATTACATAGGAGCCGAGAAAGGCTTTTGTGGTTGGAGAGGAGAGGAAGGTGGATTTTTGGGAGGGGGAGAGGGTGCTGAGGGGGTGGAGGAATTGCTGGGCGAGGGAGGTAAGGACTGGAGGGAAGATTGTTAGGAGAAGAGAGGGAGGGGGGATGTTGGATGGTGCGACGCCTGTGGTTGATGGGAGGATGGTGAGGTCGCCTAAGATGTTGGTTGGGAGCTTGATTTGTGGTGCTTGGTCTGCTGTATTTGTCTGTCGAGACGAGGATGGAAGTCCTGCGGGTTCTGGTGACTCAAAATCATCCCAAGCATCGTCGTTTGATAATGTAGACTCTTGACGAGGTGCAGCAGCGGGATGTGTGGACGAAGTCTTCGAAGCCGAAACCGCTTTCTTTGGTGCACTCAGCGGGCCTGATGGTTTGCTTGCCCTACTCGTCGTCTCTGGTGGGTCGTCCAGACCTAGAAGGTCCACAGCGGCTGAAGGTACCGTCGCTGCCGATGGCTTCGTAGTCTTCGGCTGAGCTGGTGGAGCCGTAGGTTTTTGGTTACCGCCGCTGCCGACAGTCGGCGTTGCGCTCGTCTCGAAATCTCCAAAGTCGTCTTCATCACCCCAAGAGCCAACAACATCTGCATCTTCAAACTCGTCGTACTCGTCTGCATCAAAAAGGATGTCTGCATGTCCTGCAAATGGGTGATTGCTTGGTAATTGACTCGCCTTTGCTGCTTTCTTCAAAATGACTGGTGGACCAGATGTCTTTTTCGCAGGCTGCGGTGTAGGCTTTGGTGTAGGTTTGATCTCTTTTGCAGATTGCACTACTGGTTTGGGCACTGCTGGAGGTTCTGGTTTTCGTTGTGGTATTGGCTGTGGTGTTGGTTCTGGTTCCTCGAAATCACCAAAATCGTCATCTTCTTCATCCCATGGATTATCGTTCTGATTGTTTGCCTGTATGTTTAATCCTTGTACAGTGGCTAAACTTGAGTTGTGATTCGACTGTATTTGATGCGGAAAGTTGTTTTGGCTGGAGTTGTCTTTAAGGGTGAAATCACCAAATTCGGCCAATAGATCTTGTGACATTGCTACGCAATCTGCTGGAGATCAGATGTCAAGGCCATGTAACCAGCTCTTCGAATCCAGTGATCACTTCCGAGTTTTCAAGAGTGTCGTTCAGATGTTCTTTGCGGAACACTCGGGAGCGCCTCGTGGTTGCTCAGCAATCGTGTATATCTCGAAATGTTTGCTTTGTTTGCTTGTGACGTCGGCCAACCTCCAACGGTCATGCACCGACTCAGTGACTCTATCTGTAAACAACAATATCAGTGTTATTGAGATTATCGTGTCTCGAGTATGCGGTCTCTTGTCGAAGCAAGAGAGTCGTGGCAAACTCTGCAAACATGTGAATCACTTGCCGACCTGAAGGACGCCATTCGCAACGAGAACGATCCCAGCTCTCTGGCCAAATCTAGATCACTTCTTTGGAAGGTGAGAGTTGTGCCGCGACTTGAAAGGATCCAAACTCACGATTTATACAGATCTTCCTCTTATTCGAAGGACTTGATCATTCGCAATGGATACAAATATCAGCAGATTCACGCTCGGCATACGCTTCAGTTCGCTCGCATCTCTTACGTGGACTCGAACACCCAGAAGAAATTTTGGGCTCTAATCTGGATCCGCTAAGCGAAGACTCCGAGGTAAACTATCATGAACAAGACGAGCAAATCTCCCATCTCACTGATAGCTAAGTCTTGAAAGTCTCCTTGGGCCGTTCTTCGAAAAGATGAAGAACTACGTGCTGAAATAATGCAAGATGTCGACCGATGCATGCCAGACATTATATATTTCCGTCAACCGCAGACTCAAACCATGCTATTGGATGTTTTGTTTGTGTTTTGCAAATTGAACCCGGATGTTGGCTATAGACAGGGCATGCATGAGCTACTAGCACCCATCCTCTGGGTCGTCGAGAAAGACGCAGTGTCGAGCAAAGCTACCGACGACTCTAGCGCAGACGACAAGATGCTGTGTCATGTTTTTGATTCCGACTTCATCGAGCACGACACCTTCACCCTGTTCGGTATCGTCATGCAAGGAGCAAAGTCGTTCTATGAGCAAACAGCACACAAAGCAGCTTCAAAGCTGACTGCCAGCACGGCGAAGCCTACTGCCACATTGGAGAATCCCATCCTTACTCGGATACACAGAATCTTCGACGAATATTTACCTCACGTTGATCCGACACTCGCACAACATCTGCAGGAGATTGATCTGATACCTCAAGTCTTCCTTATGTGGGTCAGAATACAATGGATTGAATAAGACCAATACTGATGAGCGACAGGCGATGGATAAGACTATTGTTTGGGCGAGAATTCAAGTTTGATGATGTCTTGAGCATGTGGGATGCCATATTCGCAGATGACCCAAGTCTTGAGATTGTTGACCTGGTCTGCCTAAACATGCTTCTCAGACTCCACTGGGATTGTGAGTAGCCCATCAGGATCCCGTAACATAAGAAGACTAATCAATAGCAGTGATGGACGCAGACTACAACACAGCACTGACCCTGCTTCTGAGATATCCTGAGCTGGAAGACGGCAAAACTCCACAAGAATTCGTAACAAACGCAGTCTACCTTCGAAACAACTTCAATTATGAAGGTGCCAGCACACTAGTCGAGAAATACTCGGGGAGGTCCCTCCCACAACCCACAGAAGTTCCCTCCGCAACGCTCCAACCTTCCATGCCTGGAAAACTACGCATGCAAATGCCTGGCCGAGCATCTAGCAACTTCGAAGATATTCTGCAAGGAGCGGCCAAAGGCGTACTACAACGAGGCGAAAAATGGGGCATTAACAAGGCTTTCCGTGACGCTATGGATGAAGTACGGAAAGGCGTGCGAGAAATTCAGGCTGTGCAGACTCCTCAGGCGCCGAGACACACGCGTGGTTTATCGAGACAGAGCGGGACTTCTGACAGATCGACAAATCCGAGTCTGCAGCTTATGGCTTTGGAGCAGCGTAATACGGCTCTATCGAAGATGCTGAAGAAGGCTATCGATGATCTTTGGACTTATCACGAGACTGCTGTGGCTGGCAAAGGTGGAGAGGAAGATTCACTGAGTGGTCTGAGCATGGCTATTGCCAAGGTGCAATTCATCCAAGTATATCTTGACGACGCGACAGTGCCATTATCTGCAGAAGAGGAAGCCATTGAAGCAAGCAAAGAAGATGCCGTCGAGGTCACCGAAGTCCAACCGCAAATCAAAGAACCGACAACCGCTCACTCTGACTCCAAGCCTGCGTTGAAAGACACAGAGGAGCCAGCACAGACAACGACGACAAAGGAAGATCCAAAACAATCCCTCGAAGTGCCCTCACAACAGCCCGTCCAAGCCGCACCATCCAAGACCCCAAAAACCACCGACATCCCCCTTGACTTCCACACACCCCGACCCACACTAGCACAATCCTCCTTCTCCTGGATGCTAGGTCAATCCCCCGAAACCAGCGCCAGCAACTTTGCCCAAGCAAAAGCCCTCGCACCCTCAGACATACGACGAAGAAGCAAAGGGTTTCTATTCGGCGACGATGAAGATGCGAGAGCAGGAAGTCCAGAGAAGAAAAAGGACAGTAAGAGGGGCAAGGATAGGAAGAAACAGGTCAAGAAGGAGGTTTTGTTTGAGCAGGATTCTGTCGAGGAGGAGTTTGATTTGGGCGCCTTGGAAGAGGAAAAGAGGGCTGGGAAGGAGAAGGAGGAGAGGGCGAAAGCTGGAGCTGGTGGTGTCAAGAGCAAGTAGGGAAGGGCTACAGTGGTGGTTCAGGATGAAATCATGTCTTTTCTCATTATGCTTTCACTCATAAAATGGGATGGTGTGTAAATATGCTTGGCGACCAAGGTATGGTAGAGTGCTTTGGCCTGGGTACACCGCTATGACGCTATGCAATGCAGATAGTATAGAGCTTCTCAAGGCCTTCTTACTTCTTCTTGGGGGCCTTCTTCTGTGCCTCCAGGTACTCAGCCCAACCAGAACCAGTGAGCTTGGGCAAGAACTTGCCGACTCTTTGCTGGTAGATCTTGTATTCGGGGTACTTCTCAGCGCTCAGCTTCTCGGTAAGCCAAGTGCTGGATTGGAAGAGGATCAGATACGACATGGCGCCAATGCCGGTCCAGTTGTACAGGGAACCAGTCTCGGTGCATCCCCACTGGTACAGGGTGACCCAAATGAGCTGTTCGCCGAGGAAGTTGGGGTGTCTCGAGTAGCGGAACAGACCAGTGGTGTTGAAGCCTGGCTCGAGGTCTTCGCGAGTCCAGCCAGCAGGGACCTTTGCGGTCTTTTGGTAGGCATGCTTGGCCTTGTGGAAGTTCCACTGCGAACCGTCGGCAAAAAATTCGAGAAGAACGAGGGCCATGAGGACGCGTGCGAAGACGATGTCGGCCGTGTTCATGCCCTGGCCAGTGACGCGAGAGGCAAGCATGAGGACGTAGGTAGGGGTGGTGACCATGAAGAGGAGAAGGCTCTGGGCGATGCAGATGAACAAGACGTTGAAGACGAAGAAGAGCGGGCGATTGACCCAGCTGCGGACAGTCTCCCAGCGATAGTCTTCTGAGCCAATGCTGTAGCCACCCCTGCGCCAGTAGTTGAAGGTCAAACGGATGGACCAGCAGACACTAAAGGCGAGGATGTTGTCGAGTCTCTGGGAAGGCAGGCCGTTCAAGCGAGCCCAGACATCGTAGTGGAGATTGTAGACGGTGGGCAGCAGACTCCAGCAGCGATCGACTTGGGAGTAGTTCTTGTTGATCTCGGAGACGATGAGGAAGATGGGCGTAATGGCGAGAGCGAAGGCGAGGCCAGAGATCAGAGGGTTCGTGGACAGGTACAGGTGCTTGAGGGCTTGCGTGTCGGCGCCTGCTTGCACGAGCTGCTGAGGGAGAGCATAGAGCTGGTCGACGAAGGGTAGCACGGTCTTGCTGAAGTCGACGGTGTCGGCGAGCGTCTTGACGAGTGGCAGCGCCGTGCCAACTGGTGGAGGAAGCAGCATCTTGTTGTTCGTGGGATTGAGGTCAATCTGCTGTGGATCGAGTGGTGAGAAGTTGGAAGTTGACTTGGACACGCGTAGGAAGCTCAATGCGATCTGCCATCTGCGAGAACATCAAGTCGTCATCGCCAAGCATCATCAGAGGGTTCATGGCCAAAGCTCTCGTCATCTTGTCCAGATCAGGCACTGACGCGTCTTCCATTCTGCTTCACGCGTTTCCACTTTTTGCCGCTACTCAAGGACTCGACCATTCACAACACCATGGTCTGAAGACGTCACGAGTGCCCGCAGAGATGGTGACCAAAGTCCTCTGTGTGGCAGAAAAGCCTTCCATTGCCAAAGCTGTCGCTGGCCATTTATCTGGAGGCTCACATCGTGTTGTAAGCTCTCCCAGCCATTCCGCCTCTTGCATATATTTGTGCACCTGCATGTTGACCAGTCATCCAGTCCAATACACGCACGCAATGGGTCAAGAACTACATCTTCTCGTACACCTTTCCCGCATGGGGCGCCTGCGAGGTAACCATGACGAGCGTTGCTGGTCATCTCCAAAGCACGGATTTTGTGCAGAATTTCAGAAACTGGAAGGCATGCGATCCGGAACATCTCTTTGATGCCCCATTGGTAACCTATGTCGACGAGGACAAGAAGGGTATTGCTGCGAACATCGAGTCACAAGCTCGTAACACGCACATCCTGTTCATCTGGACCGACTGTGACCGAGAAGGCGAACACATCGGCAGTGAAATCAGGGACGTAGCACTATCAACCAACGCTCGCTTGAGACAGCCTGGAAAGATTGTTCGCGCGAGATTCTCAAACATCGAGAAGGCGCATATCGTACAGGCTGCTCGTAATCCCATCCTGCTTGACGATAACCAAGCCAACGCTGTCGCTGCAAGAATCGAACTTGATCTTCGTATTGGTGCTAGCTTTACACGTTGGCAGACAATGGAAATTGTTGAATACCTCAAGGCTCGTGGTGTCTTTGCTGCAGATGAGAGGAAGCTCATCAGTTACGGTAGCTGTCAATTTCCCACACTTGGCTTCGTCGTCGACCGATATTTCGTAGTCAAGAACTTTGTACCTGAGCCCTACTGGGCCATCAAGGTGACACACATCAAGGAAGACATCACTGTCAACTTCAGGTGGGCTCGGACCAATCTATTCGACCGCATGGCCGTGATCATTCTGTTTGAGAGGTGCTTGACGGCAAGATACGCCAAAGTCATCAAAGTACAGACTAAACCTGCCAGTAAGTGGAAGCCATTACCACTCACTACAGTTGAGTTGCAGAAGATGGGCAGCAGATTCCTGCGCATGGACAGTCAAAGGGTCATGAAGATTGCAGAAGATCTCTACAACAGAGGCTTCATAAGCTATCCCAGAACGGAAACCGATCAGTTCGATAAAGGCATGGATCTGATGGCTTTGGTTCGGAAGCAAACGCAATCACATGCTTGGGGACCGTTTGCTCAGAAGTATGATATCCACGCTCTTGCTGAAACAACAATTACTGACTGACTGCAGTCTTGTTAGCGGAGGCTTCAACCAGCCAAGACAAGGTCGTAACAACGACAAAGCCCATCCTCCCATTCACCCGGTCAATTTCGTTACCCCGAATGCACTTAGCAACGAAGACGAACGCAAAGTATACGAATTCGTGGTCCGGAGATTCCTCGCCTGCTGCAGTGAGGATGCAAGAGGTTCTCGCGACGAAGTGGGAATAATTTATGGCACCGAGACTTTCAACGCATCAGGACTCTCGGTGCTTGCGAGAAACTATTTAGATGTTTATCCCTACGACAAGTGGACTAGCACGGAACAGCTTCCGCAGTTTCAGGTCGGAGAAACATTCGAGCCTACCGAAGCCAGAATGACGGAAGGCAAGACCAGCCCACCTGGATTCTTGACCGAGCCAGACCTTATTGCCCTCATGGACGCAAATGGCATTGGTACTGATGCTACAATGGCCGAGCACATTGCCAAGGTCAAACAACGTGAGTACGTCATGACTCGACCTCGAGCTCAGAGAGCGCCTACGCAAGATGGCGACGAGAGAGAAGAGGGTGAAGCACCGCCAGTCCTACCAGATGACGATGGAGGTGGAGGCAGGGGCCGTGGTCGAGGTAGAGGAAGAGGCGGCCGAGGTGGTGGAGCAGGCGGACGTGGCGGAGGCCAGCAAGGTGGTGTGCAGGAGTTCATACCAACGACACTAGGTGTGGCCCTTGTCAAAGGCTACGAGGACATGGGGTTCGAGATGAACCTGAGCAAGCCCTTTCTCCGAAAAGAGGTGAGTCTGCTCGAACCCACTATGAGTCACTACGACTGACTACGAGACAGATGGAGAACAAGATGAGAGCAATATGTGCCGGCACTACAACCAGAGGTGATGTGGTTCACGAGAGCTTGGACATGTATAGAGATGTCTATATCAGGACCCGGCGAGGCATCAACATCTTGAAAGCGGTGAGCAATATCGAACGCACTTTACAACTTGACGATTGCTGATGAGTGGCGTGACAGTCGGTCGACAAATATGTGCCGGGCGCAAGAGGTAACAGGTGATCATGGCAGGGACAATCCCTCCATCCCTCGATAAATATGGGGAAGGAACGAGCAAACGTGGTCGGAAGTCATAAAATGACCTGCCTGTGGATCATGTCTACGGACTTGAATCATTGTGCTTGCTATGCTTTGACGTGTTGATAAAAACAACGAATGCAGCGAAGTTTATGTGTCGCTGTGGATGGAACAGCAATTCTTGATGACCAAAAACAATGGACCACGACTATCAAATGCATGAGCTTTCAGCCACTTCTGTTCCAAAGCGAAGGACGATCAATTTGTCATTAAAGTGACATGCATCTCAGTAGGGTTCATCCACGACCTCGGTCCGCATTGTAGACTCAGCCAAGAAATACCCCAATCGAATCAGCCGTAGGCAATTATCACAAGGGTATGTCGAGCAGACTGTTGAGAGGTTGAGGGTGGACAGGCGGTGGTGATGGATCGCTACATGGTAGCACTGTCAAAAGATGAGACAGGTTGCGCGTGGTGAACTACGGCTGTTTTAGAAACCGTTTGATCCCTCGGAACGTTTCCAGCTAGGCATTGTGAAAAGGTATCCCCACATGAAAGGGGAAAAGAGGGTCGACTTGTTGATACAGACAAGACGTCGTCGACTGAGCACTGCCCATCATATCGGTTCACGCATACCATCCCCTCATTATTTTGTTTTTGACAGGTCTCGCCGAGCACGCATCATCGGTTGTCCAAATTGCGGGTCTCAGATCAGGCTAGAGTGCATCTTGCCAGGGTATCAAATCATCCGAGATTTTGGCTCTGGACCGCAGCCTCGACGACACTCTTCAAGCACGAGCCCGCAGGTCACACTGCCCTCTGTTGTTGACGCTCTGCTGATCTCTCCACGTGCGCCGACGTGTAGAGGATACATTTGACGCTTTCCAGTGTCGTCGCATCAGAGCCAGTCTGTCATCAGAGTTGAGCGGGTGGCGGGTCGAGCATGAGTTCGCCGGTATGCAATAATCATGGCAAGTGCTTTGGATGAAAACTCTCGGGTGCGCCGTCTGACCGCGCAGAAGGCTTCCAACCATCGCCCGTCCAGCATGACGAAGAACTTCGCATCCTCTCGCGCATCCAGAGTACAGGTAGTCTCTTGTCCATGCCGCCTCGCGGATCCATGTCAGCCGAAGCTCAACGACCGAGAATGTCGTTTGACGCGGCGGCCATCGAGGCGGCCGACCTGCGCAGCATGACCAGGTCAGACTCGGTCCACGCACATGGCAAGCACGCACGCGCTGATGAATCCTCGATATCAAGGTCTCCGACTCTGCCTGAACGTGAAAGTGGTCTGCGTCGCATCAGACAGTCCAACCACCGCCAGCCCACATCGCCCCAGCTGCAGACCTCACGCTCTCCCTCGCTCAACCTAAGCATACCGGCCCAACCGTTGGCCGCTTCCTTGCCCTCGGGCCCGTCGTCGCCTACCCTGCCCTTTGGCGAAGACCTCAGCCGCTTCCCTTCCGAGTCTCTGCATTCCTTCTCCTTCGCACACCAGTCCGAGACGTCGCTGCACGACCGCCAGATGATACTCAAGAGATCCGTGGACTTTATGAAGGACAGACCGGGGTGGGGCTCTTCGAATCCTGCAATCCTGAATGCTCAAGCAAAAATTACTGGGGATTCAGAAGCACAGAGCATGATCGAATTGCTACAGCGCGCGAACCTGCTAGGACCCGACGGCACCTCATTACAAGCTCCGGGACTAGGCATAATAGGAGCACCCCTCAGCGGGCCAGCCGACCCGTCGGCTGACAACATCTTCGAGAAGAGCTTTGCCCCGCTGGTGCTGAGTGAGAGCCCGAAAGACTTTGACGACGACTTGGTCATGTCTCCCACATCTGCAAAGTCTGTCAAGTCATCAGAAGAGAAGGACTCGCTACAGCCCGAGCCAAAGCGCATCTCATTGAAGCGCACATATACCGACACGAGCGGATTGAGCTTACAACATCGACTCGCAGATGCTCTGGCCAAGCCCTACCACGCTGCCGATGTGCCTCGCCGTGCTGAACCTCTCACTCCTAGCCAGGTCCCGTCAGGATTGCACACTTCAAAGTCGACCACTTCGCTACCTGTGACTGGATCTGCTTCTCATGGCCACGGTCACGGTCATGGGCGGCAATCTGCTGCCGCCCAGGCCATCTTCACCACCGATGCGCGCGCTCCCTGGACAATCACCGCTGCAAATGACCTGGCATGTTTGGTCTTTGGAGTCACTCGTGCAGAAGTGCGCAAGATGGGCATCATGGAAGTCATCCGTCCGGAGCGACGCAAGTGGCTCGAGAACAAACTGAGACACCCAGAGTCAGATCTCTACAACCAAAACAAATCTCCCAATCACAGCTCGTCACCCTCTGCTTTGGCAAAAGGTAGCGGCGTAACAGCCAAGCTATTAAGCAAGCCTCCTGCTCGTCAAACTTACCAAAGCAGACGTTCCAAGACAACCAACGGCATTGACGCAGATTCGACAACTCGCCGTGTATCCAACCCTTCACAAAAGTCGCGCGGCGTGCTTCTATGCGGAGATGTCGTGCCCATACAGAAACGCAATGGTGACATTGGCTCGGCCAGTCTATGGGTCAAGGAGAAGCAGAGTGGCTTGATTTGGGTCCTTGAGGAGATCGCCGAAGACGTTGCCTACATCACGGTCGACGAGATTGGATGTGTCGAGAAGGGCGTTGGTGCCCTTGAGTCAATCTGGGGCATCGAAAGAGTACGAAGGGGCACAGATATTAGGAAGCTGATTCCCGAACTGCCAAAATTGGCCGGCACAAATACTGGCATGCTGGATTTCGATCAGATTGCCTCGCTCCGTCGTTACACTGCGCGCACCGCAAACAGTATCAGTGTTCCTATCACTGTCGATCAGCTCTCCGGCCAGTCGACACTCCGCGTCTCCAGCTTCCCTCACATTGCTGGTATTCTCGTTCTGAATCCGGACACACTCAAAGTGGCTAGCTCGAACAATGTCTTTTCCGCTTCTCTCTTCGGCCATGACGATCCAGACGGCCTTCCCATTACTGAGTTGATCCCCTATTTCGATAGTATACTCCACCTTTTGACCGACGAAGACAAAATTCGCTTGGTAGACGGACTTGTCATCCCGGAGCACAGTTTCAGAAAGGCTCGAGCTCTCCTTGCTCTACGTGAAGGACGCGCAGATGCTGCATCCATATTCTTGAAGCCTAGTGGCTTGCCCGCAAAGCACAGAGACGGCTCTGATATCATGATCGATGTTCAGATGCGCGTCGTCAAGAGCGACCGCCATAGCTTTGACAGTATTCCAGAGCACAATCGCATAGACGCTGACAAACTTCCCGCATCCGAGGTTGTATACGCTTTGTGGATCACGTACTCAAGACAACTACATGCGGTCAATCATGGTGTTGGTCCCGTTATCCCTGTGGTGTCCAGACCAGTCACTCCTCCGCGACAACCGGTACCTATACGCTCGGGCTCGAGCGTAGACCAGGATAGCGAGGACTCTAGCAGCGACAAAGGCGGTACAGCCAAGGCCAAGATCGATACCCCCTCACTTCTAACCCAGCAACTACAACAATCACCGACACAATCACATGCATCAGGAACACCACTGCTTACGAGCGAGCCCTTCGAACATCCCTCTCCAGCTGCGATTGAAGCTGGTGCAACTACGATCAAGAAAAAGTCCATTGCCGACTTCCTCATCTTGGAAGAGATGGGCCAAGGTGCATATGGACAAGTCAAGCTTGCGAGATACAAGAAAGCAAATGCGCAAAAAATGTGCATCAAATACGTAACGAAACGACGCATCCTGGTCGACACATGGACCAGAGACAGACGCCTCGGCACAGTACCATTGGAAATCCACGTTTTGGACTATTTACGACGAGACGATTTACAACATCCGAATATCGTAGAAATGGCCGACTTCTTCGAAGACGACATCAACTACTACATTGAAATGATTCCCCACGGCCTACCCGGCATGGACTTGTTCGACTACATAGAACTTCGCGTAAACATGGAGGAGAAAGAATGTCGCAAGATTTTCGTCCAAGTCGCAAACGCACTGCACCATCTCCACATCAAAGCCAAAGTCGTCCACCGCGACATCAAGGACGAAAATGTCATTCTCGATGGCGACGGCGCGGTCAAACTGGTCGACTTTGGCAGTGCCGCATACATCAAATCCGGACCCTTTGACGTGTTCGTCGGCACAATAGACTATGCAGCTCCCGAAGTGCTTCGAGGTAGCCCGTATCGAGGAAAAGAGCAAGATGTGTGGGCATTGGGCATTTTGCTCTACACGATTGTGTACAAGGAAAATCCATTCTACAGTATCGACGAGATTATGGATCACGATTTACGGGTTCCGTATGTCATGAGTGAGGATTGCATTGATTTGATTCGGAAAATGTTGGATCGGGATGTTGAGAGGAGGATTGGGATTCAAGCCGTTCTCGATCATCCTTGGTGTACGTATGTGGACCCTGAGGATGAGTGATGATCGTGGTTTGTTTCCTCTATCCTTATGCCTGTCTTTGGTTGTTGTTTTTGTGTTTTTTCTCGTTTACTTTCGCTTTCTGTTTGATTGTTATCTACTACGATTCCCTTTTTTCTTTCTTTTCTGGTTGGATTGCATTTTAATATTCTTTCTACGCTTTTTTCTGCAAATACGAAAACACCCGAATACCATACAATGAGAGAGATGATGGCAGAGCGACAGAGAGGAGAACACCAAGCAGAAGGGGAAGTGATGGAAAGGAATGTGATACAGTGGAGGAAAGAATGGTATCACTACTAAGATAAGAGCAAGAAGTACAAGAAGACTAAATGAGCCGATTAAACAAGATGTTCAGACTGGTCAGATTCATGTTGCGAGTGAATATCTTGGGCGTAATTGAGGATCAATTCTTTGTTTGTGCAAGTACTGCGGCGATGTGTGCACAACTTCTTCCTTTGATACAACAATCTCATCGATGCTTTTGCTTTCCTTGGGCTTGGACTTGAGCAAGGAATTGATGTCCTTGTTCATGCGCACTTCGACGTGCTTTCCTCCGTTACTGCTCTCTCGCTCCTGCCTAGAACGCTCAAGTGACCTTCCTTTCCTCGCTGAGCTCCGTGATGACTGTTCACTCTTCGTGCTCTTCTCGGAAGCATGTAGAAGTTAATTCTGCCTCTTCAAGTCTCAGTCTCGGTCACGGAATGCTCCTTCTCTCCAGTCCCGGTAGCCACAATCTCCACCTCAACATCCAAAGCCTTCCACTCGCCAACCTCTGCAATCTTCTCAGGTTGAACACGTCTGGTGTTCTTGTTCTTGTCCTTCCAACCACCGACTTCGGCAATCTTTTCGGACTGGACACGCTTGAGGATCTTTTCGCCAGTGTTGGAGGTGTTGGCGTCTTTGATGGGGGTTCTGGGGTCGAGAAGTCCTTCCTTTTTTTGAACTTTGTTAGTTCTTTTTTGTGATAGGGGGAGGAGTGCTTTGTGTGTGCAGGTGGAGGGGTGGTTAACCTCGTCTTCGGTGGGGAGGGGGATTTGAGATGGGTCTTTGGGCTTTGTGAGGGGGGAGCCGGTGTAGAAGCTGACGTGCGACATGGTTGGGATGGTGCAGGTGGATAAGGTGGGTTGGTTGGAGTGGAAGAGAGTTGTTTGGCGTGGTTGATGTCTTTGTAGAGAAGGTAGTGGGTTGTGCGCAGGGTCGGGGCCGGGGTTAGAGGAGATGAGTGAAGCTAGTGGACAAGTGAAGGTTGGTTTGCTGACTTGTCGTTTGCAAGAAGTCGTTCTTGTTGTTGTTTGGGCAATCAAATGACTTGCTTGGTTGGAAGACTGTTGGCTATCTGGTTTTATCTTGGTCAGAGTCGTGTTGTTGCTTCACCGCGCTTCACTGTCTACAGTCGGCTAAAGCGTGTTGCACATTACTTTGTTGTCTTTGAATCTTTGGTCCTCTTTGGTCCGTTTCTTAGCGATCTGATATCTACATCTCCAGCCATCGCGGAGGCATCAATGCGATTCTGATCAATACGACATCTATTCTTGACCTTGTGCAGTGGCCTGTTCAGCTTTCTCCTTTTCTCGTCGTGCGGCCTTCTCTGCCTTTGCACGCTTCTTCAACTCTGCGCCTGAGGGCTTGCCATCCCCTTCTGCGGCTGGCGGCTGTTGAGCTCCCTCGGCCTTTCTGACCTCACTCTTTGGCTTTTCCGTCTTCTTGGGCTTTGTCCATGATTCGGGAGCTTCCTTCAGAATCTTACCATCTTCGACCAAGACACCTTGTCCACCAGTGCGATCTTCGACTTTGTTGAAGAACTGTAGTCCTATGACACCATTCTCATCTCCTTCACTTAGGATGACACCATTTTCAGACTTCCAGAATTTCACTCCAGCTTCCATGGCTTTCTTGATATCCACATAGACGAGTACTGAGGACGAGTTACGCATACCAGAGATGACAGGAGCAGCACTTCCGTCTGCGTCCTCTGACTTGAACCCTGCAGGAAGACCAGAGGCAAAGTGAACATGGGTACGAGCCATCCTCTTGAGACCACTGGTAGCTACAATCTGAGGCCATGCAGCATGAGTAGTTCCATGTACTACGGTGGAAGGAAGATTCTCCTCGGTGATCGCGGTGAGGAGATTTTCTGATGCAATTTCCAGAGAATGTCCTTGGTTCGCGCGGATGAGATAGTCGGCTGGGTCATCGGATTCAAGGGCCTGACTAGGGATTTCTGAGGTTGTGGATGTCGCTGCATCGTCAGCTGGTACGCTTGCTGCTGAAGCGGCAGCAGATCTGTGGATCAGAGAAAAGCGTTGTTTGTCGTTTTCTGCTACGATTTGTTTGACTTCGTCGAGTGTAGCTTTGAGACCACGAATTCTTTGGTTGTTCAGCTGCGGTCATCAACATTAGTATATGGACAAAACGGTGTGACAAGAGTAATGATAGAGTTGGACTGAGAGCTAGCAAGATCGACATGTGAGGAAGTATTGTGACAACATTATCGAAAACCTACCACATCCTTGAGGTTGATATAACCTGCGTCGTCTAATTGAAGACCTTCCTTTTCGGCACTATGACGAAGAAGCTTGCTCAGGGCCTTTGAAACTTGAACTTCTCGTGGCATGGGACCACCGCGACCGCGTCCAGGCATTCTGATTAGTTTACGTAGGATCTTTGCAAGTGTGTACGATGAGTTTCTTGAGATTGAACACGAGGTGGTGTCTGTCGAGAGTGCACGAATTGGACCAGATAGTAGAGTCAAAAATTGTCAACGAGAAGTCGCTATGAAGATTTAGAATGTCCTCAGAAGGCAACGCGTTGACGTGTGTTGGAGAGCTGCTGTAGGCAACAGATTATTTCGTTCCCTTCGAAGCTTGTGTAGAACGTTCTCCCCGCTATAACCCTTGTGGCGTTAGAGACGCGGCTGTTGTGCAAATGCATTAACCATCGAAGCATCGATCACCATCGGTGTCTACTTTGGATGCACAGATCTGGTCACCACTTGCTATATGCTTTGCTTGATTGAGGATATCGCATATAGTTGTCTCCGTTCTGAGGATGGCACGGAAGCCGGAGACGACTTGCTCCGGCATCCGGACCCCAAGGGCCTCTCAAGTTCCAGCCCTGATGACAATCGCGACTTGCGACTCGCAAATTCGCTGACTTCTTACATTCGATTACCAAGATTTTGATTAAAGGAAGACAGCAACTGCATGTGAAGAAGCGCATGGAATCATATGAAACTCGAATGATTCGCATCCATTACCCAAGCAGGATGAAGTGGTACCATATGCAAGGCCTGCAGAGCGGAGGGTCTACAGAATAGGCTTCGTATCATTTCGTATGTGGAATTAGGCGCTTTTAAGCTCCGATGGCCGTCTATGACCTAGCCAGCAGTCCAGTAAGCAAAAGTAAACGGGCGCCGCAGCGACGGTGCATCAGAGACCTGTTCAGCATCGTCAGGCATCGAATGCGCATCTGCCATACCGCGCGACCCGTCTCTCTGTGCTGTCGCAGCTCTAGGCGGTCCCCGGTGTGCCATACCGCACCTGCCTCGAATGCGCCATGAACCCTCACAATCCCCACCAACAGCAATTTTCATCAATACCATACGGTACCACTCCACCGGGAGTCACGGGTGCTAACCAAGCCATGCGAATCTTCAACAATCCGTATACGAATTCAGACTCTCCCACCAATGCGACCTTCCAGCAGGCTGCGGCTTATCTAGACGGCAACTACGATGACGATGGAGACGACCGCGGTAACGACCATGATCACGATCATGATGGCGACAATGGTCAGGGCGACCCAAAACGCCGTCGCATAGCACGCGCCTGTGATATGTGTCGAAAGAAAAAGATCAAGTGTGATGGCAAGATGCCCAAATGTTCGCATTGTCAAAACTACAAGACCGAGTGCATCTTCACCCAGGTGGAAAAGAAGCGTCAACCTCCGAAAGGCGCCAAATACATCGAAGGACTAGAAAACAGACTTGCCCGTATGGAGGGATTGCTCAAGATGTCAGGCTTGCTGGGCGAAGACGACGGTGGTAAGACCGATCTCGGTACACTGGAGAAACGATTGGCAGACAGACACGCTGCTGGTTCGTCTTTTGCGTCGCCAATCTCTCCCCACGTCGCTGGCGACGGCTCCACTTCTACTCACCCAACTCCTCCCACCGGACTTACTAGTCCTCAGTCTGGTGCGCCGCTTCGAGATGGTCAAGCTCAGTCGTCTGAAGATAAGGACGCCGAGGGATTGGCAGATCAGATGTGCTCATTAGTCACGAACAATGCTGGAGAAACACGATATATCGGCTCTTCCTCTGGATTCTCGATCTTCTCGCCGAAAGGAATTCAATGGGTTAATGAGAAAACTGGAGATTCCTCATTCCGCGACATGATCTCCCAGGCAGCTACTGATGATAGAGCATGGGCAACCTGGAAACCAGAAATCTTTGACGACATTTTCACTCGCAAAATCTACAAGCCTCTACCTCCAAAACCCGAGGCTCTGGCCTTGTTACGAGACTTTTTTGAGAATTTCAACTGTGTGTTCCCATTGTTTCACGAACCAACTTTCATGCATCTGGTCGACAAACACTACTCGCTTGATCCATACGAAGGCTCTGGGTGGTGGGCTAGTTTGAATGTTGCCCTTGCAATTTCTCACAGGCTTCGTGTGATGGGTGAAGCTGATGCGCGAGTCGAGGATGCCAAAGCTTGGGGCTATCTGAAGAACGCTCTTGCTGTTTTCTCAGAGCTGACCATGAGGAACAACGATCTGCTCAGCGTGCAAGCTTTATTGGGCATGGCGCTCTTCATGCAGGGCACGCCAAACCCACAACCAGGCTTCTTCCTTGTTGCTGCAGCAATCCGTTTGGCACACAGCATCGGCCTGCACAAGCGTGGGTCTGACTTCAATCTCAATGAGGTTGAGTCCGAGCAACGTAAACGTGTATTCTGGATCGGCTATCTTATGGACAAAGACATCTGCCTTCGTTCTGGCAGACCTCCAATACAAGATGACGATGACATGAATGTTGAGCTGCCTAGCGAGAATCCACCAGATAATATCGGCGTCGTACCGATAGAGAATGGTAAGGGCAAGGTCAATCTCTTCCGGATACAATGCGTCTTCGCCATGATCGAATCCAAGGTGTACAAATTACTCTACTCGGTCAAAGCTGCTCGCCAGACAGACGGCGAATTGCTGAATACGATTGGAGACCTCGATCAGGAGCTAGAGGAGTGGAAAGATTCTATACCTCTAGAGTTCCGTCCTGAGCATGAGATCAAGATGGTTGACCAATCACCACTTATGCTGCACATTGTCGTCATGCACTTTGCGTACTACAACTGCCTGACTACCATTCATAGGATGTCGGTTCACCATGGATATTGGACATCGCGGCTGTCGAATTATGCCATCGCTGGCTTAAACGCGAGACCGCTAAATCCTCGTGTCTTCATGTCCGCTGCCCTTTGTGTCAATGCAGCGCGAACGTCTATCTCGTTGGTCAAATTCATCCCTAGTCAAGACCATGCTTGTGTTTGGTAAGTCATTATTTGAGTCGAACTCGTGGATCCGTGCTGACATCTGCTTAGGCTGCTGGTCTACTATCCTGTATCTGCACTTGTCACCTTGTTCGCCAACATTCTACAGAACCCGCAAGATACTCGGGCGCGCTCTGATCTGAAGCTCATGAACTCGATGACTGAGTTCTTGCAGATGCTGTGTAACGAAGATGGCAATGTACATTGCCGCAGGATGGCATCGATCTGCAAAGAGTTCGAACGTATCGCAAGAGTTGTTCTTGACAAAGCTGAGAGAGATATCAAAGGTAGAAGCAAGAGAAAGAATCGTGACAGCGATTCGACTGGACAGCCCGCACAACCTGTACGATCAGAAAGCCGATCAGTATCTCAGCCTATACCGCCACAACGGACACCGAACCTGCCTCCATCCACGCTACCTGGAGCACGAACAACAGCATCGCCTTCTGTCCGAACAGATGGACAACTGCAGCACCAACCCTTCCATCCGTCTCCCATGGGACAGATACCATTCACAACATCCTCAACTACATCGTCCTACCAAGCAACTACCATGGCACCAGAACCATGGATGCAGAGTGTTCCACCAGCACCTGACATGTTTGCCCAACCTGACGGCCGATTCCCTCCAACATCGTTCCCGCAAGAAGACTTCAATATGCAAGGCTATGGTATGGGTCAGCTTGGAGGAGACATGGGCGGCAGCTTCCAACAGCCTTTCGTGCCGCAAGATCTATGGCAGATGCCAATGACATTGGAGTGGGATTGGGCTGATTTCTTCGGTACGGGTCCTGGATTTGATCTCAATGATCCTACTCAAGGTGGACCTCGATGAGCGATGTTTCTTTCATGGGATGGTATCATGTGATGTATAATTATTTGTGCTCGACTGGCATGTCGATGGTCCATAAAGGAGTTTGGTGTTTGTAAAGAGGTTTAACCTTCACTCTTCTGCGGTCATAGATAATAGAATCGTGACAGACTTGTCTCCCAATCATATTGAACGCAATAATGATTGTGAATTGTGTACGTGCTACAAGATATAATAACCACCTGCGTTTCCGTGGCCGACTAGCCAAAGACCCTTCTCCGTAGGTAAAGACTTTGATTCTGATGGACCGAATTGGCCTCCCCATGTCCGAAAGACTGTCACACTTGTAGCTGTCTCAAGGTACGAAATTCTCTGGATCTGGAGCGATAGAATCGAGATACATCCTTTGAGTGACTCCCTACGTTGGGTGTGTCGATAAGAGATATTACTGTGCCTTTCTATAGCTTGTCGTTGCTCTGCTTTGATGGTTGTGGAAAGACAAAGTGACAGTATTCTGTACACGGGGAGGGGTACGTTCATCTTGTGCACAAAGATAGCATGGCTGCAAGTCTTTGTTGATACTGGACATGTGCTTGATATTTCAACAAGACGGCTGGTCTTTCATCAAATCCGATATGGTCTAGTGGCTAGGATTTCTCGCTCTCAAACCGTTCCTACAGAGAACAACTAGGTCCGAGGAGGCCGGGGTTCAATTCCCCGTGTCGGAACGTCCTTTTGCTCACCGTTACCATGCATGGTTCACGGTTGTGGAAGTGGAAAAGACTCTTTCTCTCAACTGAAGCCTGATTCTTTTTTCGTCTCACAAGCCTACTTCTGATACTTGCGTTCGAGGCTTGGCATCTGAGACACCGTGCTGGGCTTGGCAGTCCCTCACAGCACTTCTGTCGATATCTATTGTTGCACTAGGACGCCATAAAAACTTCTTCTGTTGGAGTGGTGAATGTTCAAGACTCAGGCAGTTTTCTTGGGTCTCTTTATAGCAGCTATTGATCATAGTTCCCGATGTTCGGACTTTGAAGCGTCGTGCTGGCTGCATGAGCACTCCATCCTCAATTTTGCTGACTGACGGCTTACAGGCAAAGTATATTCCATATAGAGAAGGTACAGGTGGAGGATGGTGGCCATGACGAGGTCTATTTTTCCAGCAAGTGGCAGTAGATCAATGTTTGGGTAAGTTCCTGGCCTGCATATCGGATTGACATGTGACAGTGGGGAAGCTTGGAAGGAGCAAGCAAGGTGACGCGCTTGCTTTGTATCGCTCAAACACACCCCTTGATCTCTTCTTCGACTTTTGTTCAATTGGAAGCAACACAACAAGAAACCACACATCAACATGAACTCAATCCCCATCTCGGCCACCAGGCCTACAACCGGCATCCGCGTCGCTCAAGTCGTCGGCCTTACTGCTTCGGCCTACCTTGCTGGTAAGACTTGGTCGAAGTGTCCGCTAAAGACAGCCTTCTGATTGAACAATCATATAGGTTCTCTCGGAAGCTTCAGCTTCATGAGCGTCCCTGCACTGATGGATGCACCTGCTCCGCTGTTGGCCAAACAATGGAAGAAAATCTTCGACATTGGCAAAGTGACACTTCCACCATTGGCCCTTGTCTCAGGAGCCATCTTCGGCTACCTTGCCTACAGAGGTGTGTCCATAATTATCTCTGCTTGAGAAAACATATTGACCACTGGTAGAACCTACCGACTCATCCAGCTTCAACCTCTACACCGCTGCGGCCATTCTGGTTCCCAGCATTGTACCTTACACAATCTTCGCCATGTCAGCTGTCAACAACAAGCTTCAGGACAAGGCTGCCTCGCTCGCCAACGCTTCTCTCACTGACGCTGAGGTCGAAGCCGGGGCTGAAGGAGAGACTGCACACCAGCTTCTGGAGAAGTGGGCTACTCTCAACCTGGGTCGCTCGCTACTTCCTCTCATCGGTACTCTGGCAGCTGGATGGGCCATCGCCGACAAGTTCGAGGTTCTGGGACTCGGCGCAGTCCTCAAGACCGGTGCCGACCGCATGGGTTGAAGACAGGAAATTCAGAGGGGGGGTCCACACAATCGCATGACCCAGGATTGAGAAGCTGGGAGCATGTGAGATATTGGACGCAGCTCTCATTCACGACGGGGATGATAAGAGATCAAGATAGGCATATCAGTAGCCAACGAACAACTCGGGAGGAATTTTGCTTTATCTTCTGTGTGCCATCTTCAGCAGTCGCGTGCCATGTTCGATACTACATTTCGTTGTCCAAATTGGCAGGACCAGCGGACAGTATACAGACTCCTACGTTTGGGTCGCTGTGAGATAGGCACTTGAGGCTGGCTTGGCTCTAGGATAAGAAGTGGAGTCTAAAGGAAGAGAGTTGTGGAGACCAGCTCGAGCGTCCAAAGCGAGCCGCTAGCCAACACGGTAAGGCTGTCAGCCGGTGTGGGGGCCGCCATCGGGCCGGGAGTGGACGTGGTTTTTTGCGGCTCACCCAGAAGACACGACTGTTCTACAGTAGACAGGATCTCGAGCGCAAGCCGTAATGCGCTTGATCATACTGTGTCTACCGGTTGGATAGACGTGATGTTCAGTATTACTTGGCTGCGTGGACGCGTTCCATCACGCAACGGACAGACATGGCGGCGCTCAACGAGGGCTGAACACAGCCCCGCCGAGACCTTGTCCCCCGCTTCGACATGGAGGCGATAAGAGGGTTCAGCCTTGGCCAAAAATCGCTCGGACAAGAGGTCGAGTCGACGACGGACGGACAAATTGAGTACGTACCCTGATCTTTTGGTTCGTCTGACCTTTTGACCTCTTGACCTTTGTGCTTCCACGTCTTTTGCTGTCATCTGCATGCCTCCGTCCACTCGTTGACCGACCATTATCTGTCTGTCCAGTCGCGTGCACATCCCCCGCCTTACAACTTCGACCCTCCGCCTTTTTCCACTTCGCCGATAACAGCCCTTAACCCCACCCGCCTTTTTTCTGGAATCAACAAACTCTCTGGAAGAGTCTTGTATATCGGCTTCTCGAAGCCAGTCTGGTTGTACTGCTTGATCCACAATGGCTCAAGCATCTGTCGAATCCGTGGTCCTGGAGACCACGGCTATCGAAATGTCAGCTGCTACTTCTCCCGCCGTAGCGATCCCCAAAGTTAAGGGCAAGAAGAGATTCATACAAAGTCTACAACGCATGTCATCTTCTCCTTCGTTGGCCAAGATGGGCAGGATCCCCTCCTCAGGCTACCGCACCGGAGGAAAGGCTTCGGCTTCATGCATATCGCTCTCCTCGGGATCCTCCTCGTATGGCTCGTATGGAAATTCGCTAGCTTCCGAACTCTCTGTCGGCTTCTCGACAGCTCCAACTTCGGCTGCAAACACCCCCGGCATACCATTCCCTGCCTTCGAAGATAGGACACGTGCTCGTTATCCTTGTTCCGTTCCTGTGCCCGACTTTAGAACCACCACTAGGATTGTGGAAGAAGAGGACTACTTTTCTATACCCGTACAAAAGCCTGTACAGAAGTCAAAGTCTTCTTTCAACTTCTGGAAGGACCTGCCCTCCGAGTTGGCCATAGAGATCCTCTCATACCTTGAGCCTCGAGAGGTTGTACGATGCTCGGCTGTGTCTCACCAATGGCGCCGGAGATGTCTTGATGGTCAGCTTTGGTCCATTCTCGATACCTCTGACTTCTACCGCGATATCCCTGCCAACGCGCTGATCAATATCGTTACCTCTGCTGGTCCTTTCGTTCGCGACCTCAACCTCAGAGGCTGTGTCCAGCTGAGGGAGAAGTGGCACACCAAGGATCTTTCAAAAGCTTGCAGCAATCTCGAAAACTTCTCTTTGGAAGGATGTCGAATTGAGAAGACCGCCATCCACTGCTTCCTATTGCAAAATCCTAGGCTCGTGTACATCAACCTTTCGGGTCTGGCTGGTGCCACGAATTCGGCCATGAAAATCATCGCTGAGAATTGTCCCAAGCTTGAGCATCTAAACGTCTCCTGGTGCAACAATGTCGACACTCGGGGTTTGAGAAAGGTAGTCGAAGCCTGTCCCGATCTGCGCGACCTTCGTGCTGGCGAAGTGCATGGTTGGGATGATACAGAGTTCATGCAGCTTCTATTCGAGCGCAACTCACTAGAACGCCTAATCCTCATGAATTGCGATTCGCTGAACGACGAATCGCTGGCTGTCTTGATGGAAGGTCAAGACAGCGAAATGGACTATCTGACCGGTAGACGCATTGCACCCAGCCGAAAGCTTAAACACCTTGATCTTACTCGTTGCCGTGGCATCAGCGACAAAGGCCTCGAGAAATGTGTCGACAGACTTCCAGAGATGGAAGGCTTGCAACTGAACAAGTGTCATGGCATTACTGATGCTGTCCTGACATCCATGTTGAACGGCATGCCTAAGCTTACACATCTCGATCTGGAGGAGCTCAACGAATTGTCCAACGCTGTACTGCAATCGCTTGCCACAGCTCCCTGCGCAAAGGCTCTGCGACACATCTCCATCTCATACTGTGAGAATCTGGGCGACGTCGGCATGCTGCCTGTGCTCAAGAACTGCACCAATCTTGAGAGTCTCGACATGGACAACACACGTGTATCAGACTTGTCTCTTGCTGAAGCAGCAGCCATGGTACGCGCTCGTGCCCCTCGTATCACTCAGCCCAAGCAAAGACCTACCGTCGGTCTCCGCCTTGCTGCATACGATTGCCAAAACGTCACATGGACCGGTATCCGCGAGGTACTATGGCGCAACGCAGAAGTTGTCCGTAAGACTGTCAAGCCTGAACCGTCATTTGATCCTTCCGCACCACCCCAACCACAGACCGTCCGTACCTACCCCACAGAAATCATCCAGCTCAAGTGCTTCTACAACTACCAGCCTACAGTCGAGGAGCACACCAAGCGAGTAGCTCGTGGTGACTTCTCGGCTGCGACTCGTCTCGAGCGGAAGTGGGCTGAATTCATGATTGCGCAAGAAGAGGCTGGTGCCAGTGGTGCCGGTGCTCGTAGACGTCGTCGTCGTGCTCGTGAAGCTCAGATGATGCACGCAGATGAAGAGGATGGCGGCATCAATGGTGGAGGTGCCGGTGTAGGTGGAGGACGTAGAAGAAGAGCTAGAAGCGGAGGCTGCACCGTCATGTGAGCTTTGCATCTTTACACCTTCTAGCATCTTGCTTTATCATCATCATCATTATCATTTTAGCGTTTCCTTTTGGTTTCGGTATCGGATTTGGTTGGGATGGCGTTTAGCGTTTGGATTCCTTCTGGACTTATACTTGCATTCCCGAGCAATTGGTCAGGCTGGGACCTGGGTTGTTGTTGCCTTTCTACCTCAGACTCTATAGAGCACACAGCATCTCTTCAACGAACTTTATTTTCAATCGTAACTTGTTACACTACACAATGAATGTGACAAATCTCCCAATGTCGTGAGAAGTCATTGTCGCGAGGAGCAAAGCATGAGTAGTTCTTCAGGTTGTTGGTTCGATCGAGCCGCAGATTTGAGCATGCTACAACACACTGTTAATCCTGAGAACAAATGTCATGTCACCAACATGTATTTGCACTACACTCAGTACAGAGTCTATGACTTGAGTGTCACGAAGCTGAACTGTCTGACGTGCTAGCGAAAGACATTCCGTTGCCCAGTGAAGTGACAACGGATTGTTATTTCTTTCTCTATTCCTTCCTGATCCTATACGCCGTCTTGAAGACAGTATCCGTATCGACGATCTTGTAGAACTATGCACAAGCATCCAAAGAGAGAAAGACCAAATCATCGTCCCAAGATGGAAGGAGCGTCAAGAGTTCTCGGGAAGGAAGGAGCGATGAAGATTCCTTCAAGATGGAAGGAGCGATCGACAGTTCTCAAGAGGAAAGAGCGATCAAGATTCTACCAACATGGAAGGGACGCTTTCGATCGTGCTTTCCAACATCACGTCGCAGACCAAGATCAAACAATACGAATGGAAGGAGTCACCCTGTACTCGATCGATCCTGTCTCATCGAGCGTTCGTCGTTCTTTGGACGTCGAGAGTGTTCAATTGCATTTTCATGAGCTTTGCGACGATTGGAATACTACGGTGGGAGTCTCATGGAGGTCAGCTATCCCGATGGTGCGGTTATATGTCAGGGGCTTTTTCGGACAGGACCAAAGCTTGGAATGGCTTCCAATCATGTGTTTGTTGGAAACACATAATGCTCAAGTGAGCCAGCCATAATCAGAGTATGCCTGCCGAGCAAACCCGATCAGAGGGAATTGTTTCGAGCAATCCTGCTCATCCCGGGCATATATTCCGACAATTCCCTCCCTTCACGGGATCATACCACATGGCAGCCTTACTAAGCAGGCGAGCGTTTCCCAAAGGTATAAAAGCAGCCTTTACTCCTTCACCTTTCCTTCCTTCTTTCATACTTGAGTTTACTCAATCTTTGGAACCGTGAGGCGTCCGGGGCTCTTGCTGCAGCAATCCCCAGAGGGCGCCCACAGTGGCAGTCACAGATCGCAGCGGGTTCGTCTCTACCGCTGCGGTGGAAGGGACCTTATTTCCCTTTTATCCTTGAGATGAGGGCGTCTGGTTATCCCTTTGGGAACCCTTTTTTTTTCATTGGTGTGCTGGCTTAAGAGCCGGGCACTGGAGAAGAATGATTTCGGCGCTGGTGTCAGTCTTAGTGTTGAGTGTTGGTGCTGCTGCCTGCTATGGAATATGTCTGTGGTTGTCGTTGTTGTTTTTGTTGTTGTCGTCGTCGTTCCGGTCTTTATCGTCGGTTCCGTTTGTCTTCTGTTCGCGCTTCTAGATCTTGTGTCCCATTGTCATCATCGCTGCTGGTACTTCTTACCATGCGGATTTGCTGCTCCGTTATTCTAGGCTTGTCGCTGACAATCGTCGTCGCATTGCCGTCGCAACGTCTCATGCCCTCCATTTATCTCGGTCTATTCGCGATTTCGTTTTACTTGCTTGTCGACCTCTGCGTAATGATCACTCCAAGTCTTCTGTTGTCTCGTGACTGTCGCCGCTCGCGCTCTACATCTGTGGAATGATGCTCATGATATGTTTTGTCGTCGCTTGCCGTCGTCGCGTTGTTTCACGCTCTTCGTCAACTGTCTAGCCCGGACACTTGCATTCATCTGCGCTGCCAGATTGTTTTCATAGTTGTCGTCATCCGGGCTGCGATTTTAGTCTGTACCATGAATAGTACTCCTTTTGTCCCTCGGCGCCAATGATGTTGAATTCTTTCGTCGTGGCGCTTCGTGGTCAGGATCTCTCATTTCTGTGACAATCGCGCGCATCTGTCTACTGAGCAGTCAATATTATCTTAGCCACGGTCGCGTTGTCCAGAGCATATCGTTTTGCTAGTACTGCCAGTACTGAGGAAACCTTGTGATGGTTTCTGTTGTCGCATCGCTTTGGGTGCCGAGTCTCGTCTCTGATGTGAGTCGCGAGGATGCGTTCACTGGCTCATCGTATCGCTCGGTTACATATTCCGAGGCTCGATGAACGCTCAAGTAACGATTGTAATGATTCGTCAGTCCTACAAAGGCTTCGTAGCTGTATGACCATATATCCTCCAACGCTCACGCGTTGGAGGAGACCGGTATCAAGGTGGGCGTCTGTCAGATATCCACCATCGCTGCACTGCAATACCACTTCTGGGTTGATATGGTGCGTCCTTGGTGCAGTTATCACGAGCATCTAGTGCCAACAATTGCGAGTCTAGCTGGAGGTGGAACGATGCACCACTTGAGGGAAGTCGCGTTCGTGGTGTGTCCGTGGACGCTCGACGCGAGGTCCTTGATGACGTCTTGACGGCGCTCCGTGGATATCTACCTTACAGGCGGTTATTTGTGAGTGAGTAGCTGCAGTCAGTGGATGGCTATTCATCTTAGTCATGCAAAATTGGCTATCGAACACGACCGCACTTGTTTAGTTGCAGATGCTTTGGGGTTGATATGATAACTTGGCCTCGTGTTCCTGCTCGTTGAATTTACTGGGACAAATCGCTGTGACTCTTGGTGACTGGGCACAAACTCAGTCCATGGTCTTTGATACAGTACACGTCGTCTCATGGCGTGAGGGACATATAAGTGGCTGGTCGCGTAATCGGTAGTGTGTTGATGATAGAGCCAGGGTGCTACAACAAACAGGAGACAGGAGCTCTGAGCTACGTCATCGGTCTCGTCACAAAAGTCCTTCCATTGACACGGCGCAGAGAATGTTGTGTTACGCATTGCTATGGCGCAGAGGAGCCTGTTGATGGCAGGCGTCGGATGTCGAGGTTTGTTGATGGTGACTTGCCTTTGAAGGTGTTTGACTTCAAGATGGCCGAGCTTCGTCACAAAGCTTCAAGATTCAAACTCGCTTCTTGATAACGCGCCAGACCCAGCGACTTACTGCTCACTCTTTCGTTAGGACTTGAGCCACTTCCAGTCTACACTTCTTGCCATGTCGAGTTCAGCATCTTCCGATTCGAGTGTGGCACCTCCACAACCACCTTCCGCAACAAGCGGCACTCTACACCATGTAGCCCCAGTCTCGGCCTTTGAAGTCACCACTTCAACCACCTCCTCGAATCTCCTGCTCTGGATCGGCGGCTTAACAGACACATACCATAGCGTCAACTACGTCTACAAACTCGCCCAATCTCTCCCACCCACCTGGTCTCTCGCCCAAACAAACCTCAGCAGCGCCGGCAACGGTTTCGGCATCGCCTCCCTCTCGCAAGATGTAAACGAAATCTCCAGTCTAGTCGCACATTTCAAGGACACCGGCAAGCAAAAGGTCGTCATTATGGGTCACAGCACTGGCTGTCAAGATTCAATGCATTACTTTGCTTCAGAGGACAAGAGGGGTGATCGCGCACAAGTCGATGGAGTCATCTTGCAGGCACCAGTCAGTGATCGCGAGGCCATGGTCAAGGATATGGACGAGAAAGAGTATGAGAATGCATGCAAGACGGCAGAACAATGGTGTAAAGATGCCAAGGGCGAACACATCCTTCCTCTCAATCTTACGGTCAGCATGTTTGGTCGCAACCCCATCACGGCACGCAGATGGGTCGCTCTTGCTTGTGACGGTGGAGAAGACGATTACTTCTCTTCTGATCTGCCCGATCAAAAGTTGCAGACCACGTTTGGCAAGATAAATAAGCCATTGCTGATTCTGTTTGGAGAGGAGGATGAGTACGTGCCTGATCATGTTGACAGAAAGGCTTTGGTGAGCAAGTGGATCCCCTTTGTCAAGGGCAAGGTGGACGAGCAGAGTAAAGAGTTGTTGGGCGGTGCCAGTCATAACTTGAATGGCGACCCGGAAGAGGTTGCTGATGAGTTGGTCAAGCGAGTCGGCAAGTTCTTGGACACCGTCTGAGTACGATGCGTACGAACCATGAGATATAAATATCAATGATGAGAAGATGATCGCTCACATTTTGCGACACTCAAGAAAATCAGACGGGATAGAGCGGAAGTATAGTAGCTAGCATGTGCTGATGGTTGCAAGACACATACAATGGCACGGCAACAATGTTCACATGAGATGAGTAGAGTAAAGATGAGAACGAAAAATCCTTTTCTTTTTGAAGTACGACTGGTAGAGCTGCTTTTAATCCCTTCCCAAGCCTAAATTTTGTCTCAACACGTTCCGACCAACACTTCCACGAACCAACGCTTAGTTCTCGTGGAGGAGGGTCTTGAACTCGGAGGCAACAGCCTTGGGCTTGCCGTCCTGGAACTTCTCGGAACCGAGGCCAGCCTTGGAGAAGGCAGTGGCGTAAGGGTTGAGACGGAGAAGGACCTGCTTGTTGCGGAGAGGGTTCTTCTTCTGGACGTTGGTGCGCTTCTGGATGGCACCACCCTTGGCGGGGCGGAGGACAGACTGGACCTCGGAAGAGTTGATAAGCTTGACAATGTCGGGCTGGGCGACAGAGTTCTGGGGAAGGAGGAAGTCCTTCTTGAGGGCAGAGGCCTCGGTGGTGGAGCCGTAGATCTTGTCAAGGGCCTGGAAAGCGGAAGAGGTCCAGACGATGAAACGACCGAGGTGACCACCAGGGGCGAGCTGGAGGAGGTTCATGCTGAAGACGGGGCAGGTCTCAACACCGGGGATGTTGCGGAAAGCGGTAACGAGCTCCTTGCCATCCTCGCTGGGGTTGTAGACAACGAGGGGACCACGGCGCTGGCGGTGGCGGCGGTTTCTCAGCTTACCCTTACCGGCACGGAGCTTCTTGGAAGCCTTGACCTTCTCGAGGTCGGCACCGGCACCGACAGCCTTGAGGAGGGCGACGGCAGCGGAGGTCTTGGTGATGGCGGCGTTGCTGAAGGCGGTCGAGTTGATGACAAGAGGAACCTCGGGAACGGTAGCGACCTGGTGACCGCGGGCCATCAGGAGGGCGGCGGAAGAAGAGGCAGCAATGGCAGAGGCGGTAGCGAAACGCTTCTGGCCAAGGTTGATCTTCTGCTGCCACTTGCGCCAGACCTTGGTGGGGGCGAACATGCGACCGGAACGGCACATGTTACCGAAGGCGGCCTGACCGGCACGGTGGGTACCACCACCAGAGACACGGGGAATACGGGCAACAGCACGACCTGGACGAGGAAGATGTGTTAGAGGCGGTATTCTTGGCGTTTCGACATTTTCCGAGTATTGAACGTACCAGTACCCCAGGACTCAGCAGAGGTCTGGTGGCCAGCCTTCTCGCTCACGGCGTAGGGCTGTCTCTTGTTCTTGGCCATACCAGTGTGGACAGTCCTGCGCGGTTATATCAGCCAATCGTCCATGGTGTGCCGGGTTTGCGCGGTTCAATCGTACTGGACAATGTCGGGGCGGATGGGGGCCTTGAAGACATTGGGGAGAGGGTGGCTAGCCTCGCCGGCCTTGCCGTCGGCGGAGATGATGGAAACCGTGGGTCTGCTGGTCATTTTGGCGGATGTGGATTGTTCGTCGCTGTCGTCGATTCAAGGAAAGAAGATTCAAAGAGTGAAGACTTTGCAAAAGTCGGGGGGTGCGACTTTCTCGCTTAGCTCAGCCGCAGTAATCTTGGCGCAACATGGCCATAGCTTTGCACATCATCTGAACAGCTCGCACCATCAGCGTCTCTTCACATCTTCCATGCTCATGGCATATATTTGATGAGGCGGTTCACTGCTTGACAAAGTACTAAGGAGGGCTTCAATCATCTTGTGATGACCGTTGGGCTGACACTGAAGTCTGGCTTTACCGAGATTCAAGTGGCCCGCTCTCATGGCTCGCGTCACGCTCATCAATAAGAGAAGTGGATGAGCTTGTAACATGTCCTAGTTCTCGATTTAAGGCTTCGATCCGACTATCATTTTAATCGTCACTGTACGCGCCTTTACGCTCTTGTTCGTGATACTTATCTGGACTGTATCTAATGTCATGCACGCTAGTGTGTGCATGTCTCTGAAGAGTAGGACACTTCCAAGCTTGGGGTTTCGCCTTGCCGCCTGGAACGTGACTGCGGCACAAGGCGTCACCCATTTTGAGTCCTCAGTTCTGGCCTCGCAACTGGTACATGGTGGCGTTGGACGGATACACTGGACAAATCGTGTGGTGTGCAGCCTCATGGGCATATCATTGCCCTAGCCGCGCATGGCGTCTATCTCGGATGGGCACTCGTGATGTCGCTCGAATCATGGCCGGAAGGGTGTTCCGACTCTGGCCATCGAAACAAACTTTGCATACTGTTGCCATGATCAGGTGCTCTCAAGATGAGCGAGTATGAACTGGCAAGGTGGAGTGACGAATTCGAGAGATCCGTTTGCGCTAGTAAGAGTGCAGTGCCTTATAGAGTAGTACATGGGACTGACGATCTCCAGCCTCCAACCCTTACCTTCGTGTTGCTGTACGCATCCGCTCAATGGTCGCTCAGCATTGGCTTCTCCATCAGGCAGACAACCGACACACCTTTCTCGCTTCCAATATCGAAGAGTTGTCCCAGACAGATGACGGCATGTCCCGACAAGTGGAGGCGTGGCTCATGAGGGCGAAAGCAAGGTAACAGCAGTTCCAAATTTTCGTCACGGTGATCGTTCCGACTTTCTTCGCCTCTGGCCCGGTGTATCTCAACCTTGGCCCACGAACAACACAAGTGCCACGTTTAGCAGCTATCTATTTTAGCCGCCCATGTTCGATAACATACATGGCTTCGATGCACGTGTATCTTTGCCGCAGCGATAGCGTCAACCGCGGCGGCTACCCGCAGTATGACTTTGCACCTCCTACCTCAAGATGAAGAGTCATAAAAGGCTCAGGAGATGTACGCACTCAGCTAGAACTATCATATCTTGTTGTTCTGCAGCTTTACGGCACTCCTACTTTCAATTGACAACATGTTGTCGATACCACAGTTGGATAATAGCGACAAAGCTCATTATGGGCATCAATTGCTGTCTACTGTTTCCGAACAATCAATTGAGCTTTCTGTCTGGACGGACGACGATCGAAAAGAGCTGGTCTCGCCAACGAAAGTCAGCAAGCCATGGAAATCAGTGACTCAGAAGGCATACTTTCTTGTGTCTACTATACTGGCTTCTGGAACACTAATTGCTGTTCTGCAAGTATACTTGGAACGGAGTATCCGGGATACAGGCATTCTGTTCGCTCCGAAGATTGATGATCTTCCGTTACACCAAACGTTTTGTTATCTATATCTGCCGACGATTATATTGCTAGCGCTCAGTTTCGTCTGGACTTGGATCGATCTCGATGTCAAAAGGCTTGAGCCATTCGTACACTTTTCTCGTCCAAACGGCGCCCTGGGCAAAGACTCGGTATTACTACATTACCCTTTCGATTTTGTGTTGTTCGTACCGCTGGCCGCCATACGAAAGAGGTACGGCTCTCCCTTGTCTCAGTAATACAGCGCTGACTTTCAAAGACATTGGGCAGCATTCTCAGCTTCTCTGGCTGTAGTGCTCATCTTCTGGGGAATGACTCTCCTGGAATCCAGTATCTTTGCAACGAAGATGATCGAGAAGACTTTGCAAGTTCCTGGGGTCTGGTCTGGGTCACATCTATCGTTGCACGAACAGAAATCTACTCTGACCGGATTGTATGCTCAGTCTGTATACAACATCGCTTGGCTGAACGAGAGTCTACCACCGTTCATGGACCGTGACGGGATGCTCAAGCCCTTTTCTTTAACACAACACAACGACGAGCTACAGATCAACGAAACCTGGACGGGGACTACGACACTATATTCCGTCGATGTAAACTGTGAGCAGGCCACATTCGAGTCAAATTCCATTCTGAGCTCATGGGAATGTCAGTATCCATACAGATATATGAATATCCAAACCTCCTCTCTGGAGCGAGATCAGTACAGTACCATGTACACAGGTCATTGGTATGAAGAAAGTATGGATTCTTACCTAAAGGGCTTGTGTCCCAAGGAGGCAAATCAAACCTTCCTTGTTGGATGGATCTCTGGAGTACCTGATGCCCAGGATGATGAAGAACATCACCAGAACATCAATACTACGATCTGGTGTAGACCTTTCTACTGTATGTGGTTCCAAACAATATCGGAAGTTGATGATCACGATAAACTTACACAACAATCACTTTAGATCAGCAGAAGGTGAAAGCAACAGTAGTTCCGCCAAAGATGACCGTCGTAGACATCATTACCATCGGTCCAAAGGAGTCGCTACCAAGCAAGATACTCAATACCACTGATTTTGAGTGGAGCATGAGTCAAGGTTACGAGGTGAACAATAACCGAGGAAGCTTTCTTACATCTTCGTGGCCAGACCCGAAAGAGAAGATCAGGGCTAGATTTCCAGAGCTGTACTGGGACTCTTTTCTGCCTAACATGGCAAGTTTAGCACTCGGTGCTTACCAGCGACCCACCTCAGACTATCTCAATCGTGAGACACTTGGGAATTCCTACCAGGCTGCTTATCGTTTGTTACTCGCACGGAAGTTGGCCGACGTTTTCTCGACCACGTTTACTGATGCTGATACTATGTTGGCCACACGTCAATATCAAACTCAAACAGTGATTATGGTGCCCTCTTTTGTGTACGCGGTTGAAGGAATACTAGCGGTGACTTTCGTCGTCGCTTTACTTGTTATTGGGATACCTTCCTGGAAGAGGACCCATCTCACATCTGAACCTGCAAGCATAGCGTCAATTATGGCCATGTCGAGCGACGATCCTATACTTGTGTATACAATGGCCAAGGAGGATCGGGCGACTTCTGAAGAGTTAGACGCGCTCTATGGACAGACGCAGTTTGTGCTGAGAGAGGGGGCTGTCGACCGGGGATCGATCTTGTCCTGTGTAGACTCACCGCTGCCGTCCGAAACGATACCCAATCCAGAGACCGTCCTGCCGATCGAACTTTCCTGGATATTTGGTTCAGGATTCTTGAGCCTGCAGATTGTGGTTGCTGCTGCCCTCGTCTACACATATATGCGTACTAATCTAGAAAACGGTAAGTGTGTCTTTACGCTTTTCTACGACATGCTAATTGGCCAGGTTTACCCCTTCCTTCGACCTCTGTTTTCGTGAATCAGATCGTCATAAAGTACCTGCCCATGGTTGTTGGTGCATTTTTTCGAACCAATATTGACATAGCTCACCAGAACCCTATGTATGCTGCAACCTCACAAGCGGCTCCAAAAGGGCAAAACCGCACCATCTCGGGCAATAACGATAGACTACAACTCATTACCGCCACAAGCCGTTGTTTTCAAAGTACTGTGGGAAGGAGATATATCCATCGCCTCAGTCTGTTGTGTGATGACGCTCTTGGCGAATGTTCTCTCAGTAGCCTTCAGTAATGTACTTCATGAGCGGACGACTATGGTGTCGACTCCCCAGAACTTCACAACAAAGTATGACCTCTCAATCAATGGGTCAGGTATACCTCGCTCCACATTTGGTCATTTCTATATCGCCGTGTCAAACTCCACCGCTGGAACTCCTTTGCCTGCCTGGACCGATGAATCATTCTTTTACATCCCTTTTGAGATACCCGATCTGACCAACACTTCAGCAAGACTTTTTCGTGGACGAACGCCAGCTATAAGTGCATCGCTGAGGTGTCTGGAACAGGTGAAAATTAATGGAAGCTCGACCTGGGAAGTGTCTGCTGGGAGTTCCGGATGCGACTCCACAACACTGTCGTATCATAAGGACATCCAATCTCAACACCCAAACGCTACAGAGGTTATGTCTTTTTCGAGTAAACTGTCCGCCAAGAATGCCGACCTAGACCGTGGTCTGACAGTACTAGCCGGATGGGAGAGATCATCAACGAGACCGAGAAACGACTCTTCGACCATATCCAAGGTCGGATGTCAACCTGAAATACACGTTGAGATTCGTGAAGTCACAGTTAACAGTCAAGGGCTCGTCCAGTCGTCATCCACTGTGGACGACATTGCGGGTGACCAGAACACTGACCTCGACCTAAATTCAACAAGCATAATCGATGCGGTTCATGAATTGTTAGACTATAGCAACGTTCCGAGGTATCCGTATGTTATGTCTGCTCACAGCCACAACGATTCGTATCCAGCGACTTCCTCAACTTTCTAATGGTTCAGAGACTGAAGAGCTCTGCGATCCTCGATCCTGGAGTTCCGCCACCATGCTTCGACGTCACAGTTCCGGTGCTGAAAGCATTGTACAGAAGCATCTTCGCGATCATACTTGGTGCGCACATTTCTACCATCCTTTCTGAGTCTAGGCAGACTACCACTATCACCGGCTCGACTCTTGCCCCAGAGGTGCGAGTTTTCGTCTCGAAATCTACGTTCAGCATATCTGCCGCCATTCTAGGATTGTATGTGTTGGTGACTATTGCACTATATGTTCGTCGACTATGGAAGACTCTCCCTCGCATGCCGACGACGATAGCGAGTGAGATCGCGTTCTTCGCTGCCAGTCATGCATTGAATGATTTTACAGACACTTCGAGAATGCCAGAGAGACATCGCAACTTGCATATCGGTGGACTTAGACGGAGATATGGATACGGGAGATTCGTGGATACAGACGGGAAGACGCACATTGGTATAGAGCGAGAGCCGCTTGTACGGGTCCTGTCGAAAGCAGATGTACAGTCCATGCAGAAGACGGCGATGGCGGAGTGAGCTCAGGTCGATCTAGATATCTGTCAAGACCAATGCTTTGTGGCAGACAGTCACATACACAAGTTGGTCTATGTGCAACATATTTTCTGTTGACAGCGTTAATTCGTCGTGACCAGGACGTCTCGAGAGACCACGGGACATTGTATGCTTCCAATGAGAATTCGTGTAACGAATCTGCAATGCATGCAGGTGAATGAGTGGGCGGCTCTTGGGGTGCAGCACTACATGTGGCGCATGAATCGAATACGGAGTGTTACAGGTGCAAAACAGGGCCCAACGTTTCATGTTAGCGACTGAGCCCCATCGGCCCCATGGTGTGGATGCCGGCATATCGTGAGCCCAAGCTTTGGTTTCCAGCAGATGTCTTTGCTATCACGGCGATTCATTCCTCGCTCCCCAAGCCAAAGATCAATTACTTTTGATTAGGCGCACGTCGAAGACTTCGTGTGAGCAGTTATCTGGAAGGTCGGTAGAAGACCAGATGGTATGCGCGACAAAGAAAGCCAGATTATCATCGCGAATGCCGCTTCTTTGTCATATCCGCTGCTGAAGCACAGACGCACCGCCTTCCGAGGCTTGTGCATCTCCTTTTCGACCGCTTTCCCACTTCTGCTTCATGATTGGACAAACTTGAAGGTGTATGCTTAATGCGTGCATGACGAAAAATGGCTCTGGGCGGGTGTCAACATCAGTGTGGCCACGATGTATCTCACGACTTCGCTATGTTGCTGCCACTTGGAGTATCCGACCTGGCCAACCCCTTGGAGTGAATCCTTCAATGGTATTCAGTACGGATTGGCAGGCTGTGCAAGTGTTAGGAGACAAGAGAGACAGATCGATGTCCAAAAGTAGCACGTCCAAGCTGGTGTCAATTGTTGCTGTCTCATGTGAATCTGGAAACTGCTGTGCAACTAGACCAAGCTTTACCGCGATGCAGGGGTGGCCTTGACCGCCATCATCCTTTGCTACGCGCGATCTACCATGCAAACTTGCTCGGATGTTTGTATCAATTCTTCATCCGTCTCTCAGTACTCGAGTACCCTGGCTTCGCGCTTGGAAGCATTTGACAGCTCTAGTACAGTCTCACCAATTCAGCGGTGCCTCCTGAGTGGACCTATCTGGGTTTTTACTGGTCATCCACAAATCGATGGGTCTGTGTACGGTGGCCAATTCCCTTCCAGCGTCCAATGGACAGAACTCCACTATGCGACTTGGCTAGGCCACGCACAGAAGCAGGCATGTGCTCGGCCTGCAGTTCGCATACAAGTGTCGGAAATAGGGATACCCACATTTACAAACAAGATCCGATATAAGAAGCCCGGGCCCAATGGCTCTGGTGTCTCCTGCTCTTCTCCATTGTCCCAATCCTGGTCTGAATCGCCTGGTGCTATTCTATCACATTCTTTACGAACTGCAAGAATTCCACGCGCTTGTCACTCATTTGCTCGACCCTTCTAGATTCCCTCATTGAACTTGATTTAAAAGTCTTGCTGTCAGGTATGTTGATTTCTCTTTGATTCTTGGTAGAGCCTTTTGTTCTTCTACCGCCCCTTGTTATTGCTCTTTGCTCATCCCACGCTCTTCTTTGTTGCATTGTCTCCATTGTCTTTGTTCAAGTTCTTTCATCCATTGTATTCGTCAATCAAGACGTTGTGATGTTTTGGCAGTCCCATTCGTATAAAAGTATCCCTCGAAGATTCCATTCGAGTCTCCGAGACAGACACACAACGCCGAAAAGAACTCACAACCAAAGACATCTAACACATTTTCTACGCAGCTCTACAATATTCAAGCAAGTCGTATAGCCGGTCTATCGATATAAAGCAACTCAAAGCCCGTCTTTCTTCATCACACTCTTTACTACAGTATCAACCACAAAACACAGAATGTACACCTCAACCACTGTTCTGGGCTCCGTCCTCGCCCTCCTCGCAAGCTCCAACGCTCATGTTGTCATGAATACACCAACACCATACGGCTTCAGTACCCTCCAAACATCCCCTCTGAATGGTGAAGGCTACAACTTCCCCTGCCAAAGTGGAAGCCGCGCCAACGCCTTTGACGGCACTGGAGTTTCAAACCCTATGAGGGTTGGAGAAGACAACGATCTCAAGTTCACTGGTAGTGCTGTTCACGGCGGCGGCTCTTGTCAGCTCAGCGTCACTTACGACTACCCCCCTCCTGCCGATAAATCCAAGTGGAAGGTCGTCCACAGCTTCATTGGTAGCTGTCCCGTCCATGCCGAGGGTAACATCGCCGAAGCCGGAGTGGACGCCGATGGGCGACCAACAGGAGCTCAATGCACTGGCGACAACCAAAGCGAGTGCCTCAAAGACTTCAAGTTCCAAATTCCTGAAGGCATGAAGAACGGAAATGCAACCTTGGCTTGGACTTGGTTCAACAAGATTGGCAACCGTGAGATGTACATGAACTGTGCACCCATCTCGATCTCAGGCGGTTCCGACGACGACACTTTCTACAACAGCCTTCCCGAACTTTTCGTTGCCAATATTCCCAACGAATGCAAGTACGACGATGGAAGCTTTGTCATTGGTTTCCCTGACCCTGGCAAGTTCGTCACTTACGGTGAAGCCGTTACTCCCGGAAATCACGTTTGCAGGGACCCTGCCACTGGTTACGGATCGACTCCCTCATCGACTGCTTCCGTATCCTCCAGCGCCATGCCTACATCCTATGCCGCTGCTCCCTCTCCCTACATTTCAGTTCCTACTTTGGCCACACCTGTCAGCGCTGCACCACTTCCCTCAGGAACTGGCTACGCCGGCTCTCACAGCAGCGGTAACAGTACTTCTGGGGTTTGCTCCGGCGACAAGGTCTCATGCCCAACTCCCGGCGAGCTCGTGTGCATCGACGAGGAGACCTTTGGCATCTGCGATATCGACTACTGCGCCGTTCCCCGAGCAGTCTCTCTCGGCACCACATGTTCCAACAACATTGTCAACAAGCGTGATGTGGTAAGAAGGAGGAGCTCAAGAATCCACCGCCATATTCCTGCACATGTTCACCACCAGCACAGCTTCTGAGAAGTGTGTACAGCCTTACGACGAGACTAACAGGATCTGGTATCCTCTGCAACGAATGGGAACGTTTTAGCATCTGGGTGAGACGCAAGTCTCTGAGGGTTATTTTAGCAAGCACTAGCACATATAGTTCTTGCAATCAATGAATTGAGCATGTTGCCTTGATCAAATCATGTTTCTATTTCTTCCAAAGTTATTTCGTGAAAACGTGATATGTCTGTACGTAGATGCTGGACCATATGTCTGGAATAGCTTTTCATGGGGTGCAACAGTGAAGAGAAAGACGTTGCTGGCCTTGTGGCTTTGGCGATGACGGAGTGGAAACGGCAAGACCGAGGCGCACCTCTCCACAAGCTGACCGCCTTCCAGATTCCTTCTAGAAATGCAGATTCCACCTATGAGCCTCCTTGGTTTGTTCTGAGTTCCTGTGATTATCGCGTGCAAAGACGAAGATACTTTTATAATCGAGAGGTGCATTCGGAAGAAAAGACAGCAGTCAGCAAGCTACGTCAGGCATCATTAGCTTGAATCAGCGTCAAGAAACACCGCCACAGAGGCTCACAGGGTCTAGCCGTCTTTGCTGCTCTCGCAACTCTTGCCCCTCAAACACGCGACTGGCCATTGCTGAGCCCTTTCCACCGACAACGTCTTCGACTACCCAGACCTCCCTGCAACAACCAGACTCGCCATAACTATGTCGGGCAATCCCATGGAGCAGGACAACAAGTACATCGACAGCGCCGTGCGCGCTGTCACCAACAAGCGACCCGTCCCCGAGATTGATTTCACTCTCCACACCATGGAGGACAACACCCAGGTCAGCACTCTGGAGAGAGTGTGCAAGGGTACGTACTGTTTACTTGGCCGTTAGCCTATACCGCTTCGGAGCTCGGTCAAGGTGTTCCACTCGTCAATAAACCAAGCTGACCCGCATTTCAACAGACGTACAAGCGCCCGCTTTCCACCCACCCACCGACGAGCAATTCTTCTCTCCTACCGACCCCAACAAGCCCAACCTACAGTTCCTCAAGCAACACTTTTATCGGGAGGGTCGTCTTACAGAAGACCAGGCGCTATGGTTGTTGAGCGAGTGCACAAAGGTTCTCGAGAAGGAGCCCAACCTTCTGGAGATGGACGCCCCCATCACTGTCTGTGGTGACGTCCACGGCCAATACTACGATCTGATGAAGCTCTTTGAAGTCGGCGGTGATCCCGCTGACACGCGCTATCTCTTCTTGGGTGACTACGTTGATCGTGGTTACTTCAGTATCGAGGTATGTCCTCCACATTCTTCTCATGCCGTGCTCCTCTAACCTGACATGCAGTGTGTTCTCTACCTCTGGGCTCTCAAGATCTGGTACCCAAACACCCTCTGGCTCATGCGTGGTAACCACGAGTGTCGCCATTTGACCGACTACTTCACCTTCAAGCTGGAGTGCAAGCACAAGTACTCCGAGGCCGTTTACGAGGCCTGCATGAAGTCCTTCTGCGCCCTTCCCCTCGCTGCTGTTATGAACAAGCAATTCCTGTGTATTCACGGTGGTCTCAGTCCTGAGCTGCACACGCTCGAGGATCTCAAGAGCGTACGTTTCGCTGCGACCCATTCGCTCTCGCTCGTGCTAACTTAGCGCACAGATCGACCGTTTCCGCGAGCCCCCCACCCACGGTCTTATGTGCGACATCCTCTGGGCCGACCCGCTGGAGGACTTTGGTCAAGAAAAGACGCAAGAGTACTTTGTGCACAACCATGTCAGAGGTTGCTCATACTTCTTCTCATACCCTGCTGCATGTGCTTTCTTGGAGAAGAACAACCTGCTATCCATCATTCGCGCACACGAGGCCCAAGACGCTGGATACCGCATGTACCGCAAGACCAGGACCACTGGATTCCCTAGTGTCATGACCATCTTCAGTGCACCCAACTACCTCGACGTTTATAACAACAAGGCCGCCGTCCTCAAGTACGAGAACAATGTCATGAACATTCGTCAATTCAGTGAGTGCTACCGATATACAATAGTCACTATACCACGAGCTAACAACCAAACAGACTGCACGCCTCACCCTTACTGGTTGCCCAACTTCATGGACGTCTTTACCTGGTCGCTTCCTTTCGTTGGCGAGAAGATTACCGACATGCTCATTGCCATTCTTAACACTTGTAGCAAGGAAGAGCTTGAAGATGAGACACCTCTCTCATCAGGACCTCACTCGCCTCCTCTCCCATCAGGCACTGTTGCAAACATGGACCCGGAGAGCACCGAGTACAAGCGTCGCGCCATCAAGAACAAGATTTTGGCCATCGGACGTCTGTCAAGAGTGTTCCAAGTATTGCGCGAGGAGTCTGAGCGTGTCACCGAGTTGAAGACGGCTAGTGGAGGAAAGCTGCCTGCTGGTACTTTGATGCTGGGTGCCGAGGGTATCAAGCAAGCCATCACCAACTTTGAGGATGCTCGCAAGGTCGACTTGCAGAACGAGAGGCTTCCTCCATCTGGTGAGGAGGTCAGAAGAAACAGCGACGCGGCTAGAGAGGTGGCATTGATGCGCGCGGCGCAGGAAGCCGAGAGCGATCAGAAGCTGGCCGGTGTTGCCAGAAGGATAAGCATGTGAGTTCTGAAGGTGCCAGAGGGTTCACGAGAATGATGCTAATAATCTTTACAGGTCTTCGGGCTCAGGCCGCAGTCAGCCTAGAAAGTAAAACGGCCAAAGGCATGTCCTAGGAGTTCGAGAAGAGAGTATTTTTCCAGTCATCATGACGGCGTGAAGCGGGCGTGTAAATTACAGCTGCAAGTGACAGCAAGCGATGCATTGATTGCATGAAATGAAAAGATGATTCGAAACGCCAACCATGTCCACGTCTTTTGTACCAAAGTGAAAGCAAGTTGATGTGATGGAATTGACTTTATGATTGGAGCTTTGACGACGCTTGGCGGACAGGATGGCCATTGTCGAGTTGCGGAAGGACGGAGGAGACAGTACGTCTTGAGAAAGTCATTATGCTTCTTCGAGTGCCATTGGCACGGAGGCCGCTGTCGCCAAAGAGATGCGCTCGCTTGGTCCAATCTGTATATACGCCGTCGTCAACATGGCGGTCTGCATCGTCGTGCCTTCGCAAGCAACCCTCAGCTGTCGCATCCACGCGCCTTGTACATGATCAATCTGTCGCCCACACATCTGCCGCTACTCCCTACGCACCAGAGCGCACACGAGTCAGACACGCGACCAACTTGGCTTCAAGGACAGCCATCAATCCTCCATCCAACATACCTGCCGAGAACCAACAACTACATGCTTCTTTAAACCGGCTCAAGGACATCGCCAGCGACTATGTGAACCAGAGCAGACTACAGCTGGCTTTGAGGGGACTGGAAACATCAAGACCTACCGTGAGGATCGGACTGCTTGGACTAGGACAAGATGGAGATGTGGCTGCCAGAAAGCTCGCCCGCGTCTTGCTAGCCGATGCGCTGGCTGATGAGGCTCAATGGGAGAAGATGCTGAAGCTGCCGTCGCAAGATGGCAAGCCTCTTCTTCTGAGGTATCTTTGACCTCTGCCTTGTATCGGGACCATCACTGACGAGCCACAGGTACGGAGCCGAAGACGACATCCTACCGACTAACCCGCTCGTAAACGAGTTGAACATCCCATCGCGTGTGCTGGAAAAGAACAACCTCGAGCTGCTCATCACAACCCTCAACACATCTAGCGGCCCCAGCATCACCGCAGACCCATCAGGACTGGCAGAATCTATCCTAGTACCCCCGTTACAAACACCGGTCGCTTCTTCTGGCCGAGCTGGCTTCGTTCGCTACCCCGTCCACAAGGCAATCGTTGTTGGAGAGGGCATTCAAGGATGCATGGAATTTGGTCGTCTTTCGAGTGCCCTGGAAGCCACAACTTTGGGTGTTACAGGTGCTCAACAAGGACTCATCCAAGTTGCACTGAGCGTGCCGAGAGACAGTCCTCGAACTCAGACCAACGATACTGGATTAATTTCTCCCGTCGATATTGATCAAGCCGCAGCGGCACTCGATCTTTTCCGCCAGGATGTTGCCAACAGCGCTCTTTTTAACACAAAATGGCAAGCAAGCAACATCAAAGCCATAATCAAATTCTTGGCCTCAGATCCTATGGACCCTGTCACTGGTGAAGCAGTGGGTGTGAGGCCGACAGTACAATCACATATTCGCTCCACACTGGACTCTGCCACGGCTGCTATTGCTGCTTCCGAGAAGGCCGCCAGTAAGGCTGTAGTCTCCAACAGTATACCAGATTCTATACGCCAGGAGATGACACAGGCGATAGCAAACTGGTCACAACATGCACACTCTGATCTCCAAGTCTCCATCGCAAATGCGGTTGACTCGCGCTCATGGCGCAGAACTTCTTGGTCGCGCCTTCTCTGGCGTGTGGATGACGTGGGCGTAGCCGCTCAGGAGGTGCTACGCTCACATTGGCTGCTCGATGCCGAGTCGACTCTTGCTTTCCTCTCCGGACGTATTGAACAAGCCGGTTTCTTCAAGAGCAATGTGGGAGCAGCAAACTTCAATCCAGACTATGCTATGCATCCCTCTCACCGCAAAGTCGGCAAGGCCGGTCAGTTCATTTCGGAAGAAAGAGCTTTCCTTGCTACTCCCGCCCTGCCCCCATCAATCCCTGCAACGACGAAGACAGGTCTATTGACTAAATACTTTACCGGTAAAGAACGAGAACTCACTGTAGCAGAACTCCTCGGAATCGATGTTCAAATCAAAAAGGTTAGAGAAGAAGGTGGTATCGACATTCTCCACTCACGACCTTGGCCGCTTGCTATCCACTATACCCGTCAAGGACTACTTCACACTCTCGTCCCTTCTTTGCAAGCGCGTGCGCAAGCACTTCTCGCTCAGTCTCTTACCACTATTGGCGCAACCTCTGCCCTAGGAGTATGGCTTTACATTGCCACCTCCGGCACCATGATGGCTGAATCCGGCGCAATCGCTGCTCTTGGACTCGTCTGGACCCTCCGCCGTCTCCAAAAGAAATGGGAAGGAGAACGTGAGACATGGGAGGCTGAAATCCGCGAAAATGGTCGTGTTGTGCTTGGTGAGGTTGAGGATGTCTTGAGACGGGTCGTCAGAGAAAATGAAAGAGGTGTACTTAGGCAAGCGGACATACAAGATTGGAGTAGAGCTAGGGAAGCATTGAGGGACGTCAAGAGAGCTATGGGAGATGTTGAGGAGGTTGAAGAAAAAGTACAGGAGATTGGTGTTAAAGTATAGGGATGCTCAGGGCATCTTTTTAGAATGACCTTGAAAATCAAAATGCACAGTGCTCTTGACAAGAGATACCTAAGAAACATTGCTTATTGGCGAAGCAACTTCGAATCATTGATTGCATCATGCGAATTGTTTCGGTATCAGACACCGGCCGGACATCCTTTTGTTTGTCAGGCAAGATCAAAGGTCGACATGTTGTTGGTAAGATGGGCGAGAGGCGGATGACTTTGCCGCCGCTTGCCCGTTGCATGCCACTTTCGGCCACCGCCCTGTCGATCTATCAAGCTCCCACCTCACCTTTCTGGCTAAAGGTCATATCGACGACACTGCTTGGCTGACAAACAGGAGTGATCAATACAAGGGCGTGGCTTATCAGTATATAATAAGATTGATATCGGGACGAAGTCGACTTCCACACCTTTTTACACACAAGCCATCTCCACAAATCAGTAGAGACAACAAGCTTCAACATTTCTATACCAAAGAAAGAACACAACGATGGCTAAACTCACCGACTTCAAGGTCCTCTCTTTCGATGTCTACGGCACACTTATAGACTGGGAGACTGGTGTCCTCGACGCTCTCCAACCTCTCCTGGCTCAAAACAACAAAGCAGATGCCTTTACCCGAAAGCACTTGCTACAAACATACCACCACCACGAAGCTTCTCAACAACAAAAGACACCATCAATGACCTACTGCGACCTCCTTACTACAATCCACCCCCTGATAGCCGCAGACCTAGACTGTTCCCCTCCCTCCGAGAACGACAACAAAGCCTTTGGAGAATCCGTAGGCACCTGGCCAGCCTTCCCCGATACAGTCACCGCACTCCACCGTCTCCAAAAGCACTACAAACTCATCGTCCTCTCAAACGTCGACCGAGACTCCTTTGCCCTCACCAATGCCTCTCCACTGCAATCCTTCCCCTTTGACGCTATCCTCACAGCTCAAGATATCGGGAGCTATAAACCCGATGCCAGAAATTTTGACTACATGTTAAAGACTGTGTATGAGAAGTTTGGAGCAGAGAAGGAGCAAGTGTTGCAGACGGCGCAGAGCCAGTTTCATGATCATGTTCCTGCTGAAAAGGCTGGGGTGAAGAGTTGTTGGATTGTGAGGCCTGGGGCGGAGATGGGCAATCTGGAAGATCAGGAGGTTTGGGATTGGAGGTTTGATACGCTGGGGGAGATGGCCGAGGCTGTTGAGAAGGAGGTGGAAGGGTGAAGGTGTGATGGAGAAAGAGTTGAGGATGAGCATGGCAATATCTCTCGTACAGTTAGTTGTTGTAGGCCATTGAATGTGATGATTGGGGTCATGATGCTGTTTATCAGTCATACAGTCGTGCAACTTTTTGTAGACGGAAGCCTCGATTAGAGGAGCCCCTGTTTTGCGACAGCGCTAGTACTCTGCCCACTTCCATGTCATCGATTCACCAGTACAACGGCTCGTTCTTCGACCAAAAGTCACTTTCAGAGTATGTCGGCTCTTCCGAGGATGAAGAGGCACAGTCTGAAGAGCAAAGTCACGACGCAGGCACACACATACAAGACACAAGTCACCATCACAGTCAAGAATGTCATTGGCTCCAACAAGATTTGCATTTTGTGACAAGAAACCATCGCGCATTCGCACAAAGTACTATAACTGCCAAGTACCCGTATCATTGAAGAAACCCAAAGGAAGTAGGAAAAGCTGTCTCCCTATCCCATCAGAGTCATCCCGCTCTCATTGAAAAAACCCTTCGTAGGTAAAAAAAAAAAAGAGTAGTGTGAATCTCAGGCATCACCTGCGACTCTGAGATATGTTTCCCGACGGCGAGGATGACTGTCGTTGGTGTTTGTAAAAACGGTTTCGAGTCGTGAGAGCATGTAGTTTTCTGCGTGTCGGAGGACTTCTTCTCTCGTCATACACCCTGTTGATTTTGGGTGAGAGGACTTTGATGGTGGGTGAGAAGAAGATGATGTTGGTTGCCAGAGAGTGGTGGTAGAGGATGATAAGGAAAAGGAAATCATACTCAATTCATCCCAGGCGTCGCTTGTCCAGCCAAAGACTTCGTTGTGGATGCGACGTTGTTGTGTGGTTTTGCTGCTGCTGCTGCTACTGGTGGAGGAGCAGGAGTTGTTCTTGATGTTTGTGCTGCACGGCGAGATTGCGGTACGCAGCTTGATTTGTTTGGTGAGGAGCCATTTTGTGAGGCTGCAGACCTTTTTGGCCTTGTGACTTGTTGTAGTGGTGGTTGACTTCTTGTTTTGTGCTCTCATGGCAGATAGTTTCTGAGTGGCGGGAAACATGATAGGTTCCATCTTATTTTGTTGGTGGAGAGGTAGATGGGAGAGCAGTGTATATGAGGGAGGAGGTACTTGATGAGGGTGCCTAGCTTTGTTATACTTCTTGCTTGGGTTGCGAATTGATGGTTTGAGGAGGCTTGTCTTGATTTTGTAGCAATTAACAAGGGTTGCGGAAGATGAGAGAGAGGAAACAGAATAGGATCAGAAGGTGGAAGCTTCTTATCATGCGAAACAACTCACAATAGAAGGAAATAGAATACTTGCCTATTGTTCTTACAAGATTGTTCTCATTCGAGCACGTTTGCGCTGCCGTACCTGTGCAACGCATGGCTTCTATACAGTAGACCCTAGAGGAGTGGTACGCCATGTGGCATACTAGAGGCTGCTTCTAGGCAGCAATTCCAGGAAACGTCCACATCCAGTCTACGCGATGCTCAGCGTCGACATCGACATGTGATGTGTGGTGGAAGCATATAGCCGGGTAGCAGGCGACCCGATGTATTACCTTGCTCGGGAGTTTTTGGGCTCGGAAGCGCTCCATGGTTCCTCCCGCAAGTTCAGCCATATGTTGGATTTTTGAGCAATTGTCGCGAAATATCTCAAGCTGTCTCAGGTGCTTGGAGGATGACTGTTTCTTTCCAATATGACAACAATGATAGAGACTGCGCTCATAGTCCGAGACGGTCTCATATACCTTTCTCATGAATGCACTTCTTTGTAATAGCAAAACTCCGAGTTCATACCATCGATACTCTCGAAGGTCAATATGGCAGCCGCAGGTGCTATTTGCCATTTATTCATGTTGGACGCAAAGACAGAAGCGAGAACGGAAGTACGAGGCATCGTACGCGACCCTGTTCCACGCAGTGTAAATTGCAGTCCAGTTTCTACAGACTCAACTATCGAGTCTTCATCGGATGCTGTGTTTGAGTCGCCGCAGTCGCAAGAAGAAGACCCCTTCAAGACAGGCTTCGATACACCGCAGTCCAGCGTGATCGATCTGAGCTTAAGACCAGTAGCTCAGCAGAGACGAGCACCCAAGTTTGTCGAGTGCTTCTGCGTTGGTTGTGGGCCTTGTGTCGGAGTAGGAGGTCAAGCGACATGCAACCGCGGGCCATTTCTCAAAGCATTCATCGAGAGGGGTGGGGTATCGGAGGAATCGAAGCACGATAAGAAGTGGCTCGTAAAGAAGATGCGCAATTGTCTGTCCAACGGGCTGAAGACGGTGTGGAGGAGGGAACAAAGGTCAAGATGGCAGCGGATGGATGGACGGTCGGTGTTTTCGGAACAGCTCAAGCTCAGCGACGTCACTGTTGATCACAGCTCGGGCATCCAGAAAGCTCCCTCGATTTCTCCGTCTGCATTTTGACTTGGACACACCACACACACCATGTCGTTTCGCCTGAGCACACGCAGCACAAGCCTGCGGGCACCTCTCGCTCGCCTGACAACAACTCCCATCACCCGCCGTCACCTGAGCGCATACGGCTACGAGCAAACCAAAGCCCTAGCCTTTACCAACTATGGCGAACCCAAGGACGTCCTCCGACTACACAGCCACAGCATCTCGCCAGCTCACAAGGACCTCGTAACCCTCCGCTTCCTGGCCTCGCCCATCAACCCCGCCGACATCAACCAGATCCAAGGCGTCTATCCCAGCAAACCAAACTTCAGCACCACCCTTGGAGCCCCCGAGCCAACTGCCGTAGGAGGCAATGAAGGTGTCGCCGAGATCATCTCCGCCGGTGGTAGCGTCAAGGGCTTCCAACGAGGCGACTGGGTCATCATGCGCAGCCCTGGCTTTGGAACCTGGCGCACTCACGCCCAAACCACAACAGAGAACCTCCTCAAGATCGAAGACAAGTCCGGACTCACTCCCCTTCAAGCCGGAACCGTCAGCGTAAATCCCTGCACTGCCTATCGCATGCTCAAAGACTTTGTCACTCTCAAAGAAGGAGACTGGTTCATCCAAAACGGCGCAAACTCCGGCGTCGGCAGAGCTGCAATCCAACTAGGCAAGCTCTGGGGCTACCGCAGTATAAATATCATCCGCGACCGCTCAGACCCTGCAGCCACAGAAGCAATGAAGCAAGAATTAAAAGGCTTAGGCGCAGACATTGTTCTCACAGACACAGAAGCAATGGACAAATCCTTCCGCACCGTCATCAAAGAAGCCACAAATGGGGGCCGCGAAGAAATCCACCTCGCTCTCAACTGCGTAGGCGGCAAACTTGTCAACAGCATGGCCAAGATCTTAGCCGAAAACTCGCACATTGTAACCTACGGCGCCATGTCCCGCGAACCCGTCACCGTACCCGCTGGCCTTCAGATCTTCAAAAACATCTCCTACGACGGCTTTTGGGTGAGTAGATGGTCGGATGCAAATCCGGCGGATAAGAAAAAGACGGTCGAACATGTTTTGGATCTTGTGAGGGAGGGCAAGTTCAAGGATACACCGTTTGATGAGGTCAAGTGGGAGTGGGAGACCAAAGGGGAAGAGTTGATTAAAGCTGTTCAAGGCACTCTGCAAGGATTTAGATCTGGCAAGGGTGTCTTTGTGTTTGGAAAGACTTAGAAAAGGGGAAAGAGCCAATGACGAATTAATGCTTTATCTGTACATATACATTGAATTGAACATTCTCCGACTGTCGGACACCTTTGGGAATCTTATGTGCATGTCCCTTCCAAATCTCATGATGCTACAATTCTTTTATTCGGTGATTGAGACACAAAGAGCCATGGCAGGTGCACAATCAGCTTGGTCGTAGGAAACTGCAAAAGACCCAAGATGAAATGCCAATCCAGAAGCAGAACGGTTTTGATGGAAGGAAATTTAATTGATTCTATGCATAAAAAAAACTTTCTAAAGACTACAAAGCCTAATATAATGATGATAACAACCACGCCCGGGCTTCTAGCCACAAGACATGGAAATAGAGGAGAGAACAAGAAGGAAATCATAGCAATCATGATTCAAGAGAACAACTCGACGAGGAGTTCAAAGCCTATGCAGGCAGGCCGGCAGCAATGGCATCCTCCTTCTTGGGACGGGGACGTCCAGAAAGAGTATCCACAATCGACACCAAGTCCATCCAGAACTCGTTCTTAGGGCGACGGTCCTTCCAGTCAGTCTCTTCCTTCTCAACCTTCTCCATACCCGAGAACTGGACTTGAGCGCCAGTGATTCCTATCACTGCGCACGACAGAGGGTCATTGGCAATCTCGTCCTTGCTCTTTCCAGCAAAGGACTCAATGTGCTGCATGCTCTTGACACCGAAACGGACGGCACGAACACGGTCCATGGGCGAAGGAATACCACCCTGCTGCACGTGACCAGGAACCGCGAAACGCGAATCGAACTTGCCACCGCTCTCCTCGCGGATGATGTTGGCAATGATCTCGGTGGTATAAGTCTTTGATGCCTTTTCGTTACGGAGAATGATCTTTCCACTACGATTTTGACCCTTGTCCTTTGCGAATTGCTCTTTCAAGTGCTCAATGTCCGAGGCGATCATCTTGAGGTGGATGCCCTCTTCAGGCGTGTAGACGGCGACGGCTCCGATGGAGAGACCGGCGATGGTGGCAATGTAGCCGGAAGCACCACCCTGTGTCTCGACGACGAAGACACGACGACGCGAGGCAGCAGCGGACTGCTTGATGGCATCGCAGTAGTCGATCAGGGCGTTCAAGCAGGTGTCGCTACCAATGGAGTATTCAGTACCGGGGACGTTATTGGAGACGGTAGCGGGAAGAATGACGATGGGGATCTTGAATGCATCGTAGTCGCGTCTGGCCTTGCGGAGCTCGGAAACGGCAGTGAAGGCCTCGAAACCACCAATGACGAACAGAGCATCAATGTTGTGGTACTTCAGGGCATCAGAGACACCGTCGTAGTCCTCGGAGGGAGTAGCACGGTTGGTTCCAATCTCGGAACCACCCTTGCTGGCCCAGTTCTCGGCGTCGAGCCACTTGATCTCGCGGACCGAGCTTTCCTCATCCTTGTAGTGACGGGCAAGACCGGGGAATCCGTTGTGGAGAGCGATGGGGGTGTGGCCACGGGTAAGGCAATAGGCGGTAGCGGCGCGGGTAGCAGCGTTCATACCACCAGCGGGAGCTCCAACGTGGATGATACCGACACGCAGACGCTATGAATGTGTTAGTTGAAACCGTTTCAAGACCCTCGGATTATCCACTTGCCTTCTCCTTGGGCAAAAGAAGCTCCTGCTTGTCGGTGGAGACAGTGGTGCTGTATGCAGTCCAGTATTCGTCAAACTCGGCACCTCTAAGCTTCATGGCAGACTTGAAGTCCTTGCGTTCGATGGCTTCGGCAACAGATTGGGTCAATTTGACAGCTTCCATCAACGACTTGCGAACGATCTTGTTCTCGACTATGCAGATGACGGGACTGGGTGTTTCAGGGGTAGAGTCGAGGACAGCCTTGACAGCCTCAACACCTTGAAGAGTAGCCAACATACGGTCGTAAGCAACGGCGGTACCACCACGCTGTACGTGACCGAGAGTGGTGACCCTGGTGTCGAGACCGAGCTTGCCAGCAAGCAGATCCTTCACCTTGTTGGGCGAGATGGCATTCAGCTGACGGTCGTGGGCGCCCTCGGCAACGATGACAATCGTCTTTCTCTTTCCAAGCTTGCGGTGGCGCTGGATAACGTCGCACATCTCAGTCTCCCAGTTCTCTGAAGGAGGGTTCTCCGGGAGGAAAACAAAGTCAGCACCAGTGGAAACACCAGCCATCAAGGCGAGCCAACCACAATGTCTACCCATGACCTCGACGACAAAGGCACGCTGATGGGAGAAAGCGGTAGCATCAATGTAGTCGACAGCCTGGCAGATACGCTGGAGCGATGAGTAGCATCCAATAGTGGCATCGGTACCGGCCAAGTCGTTGTCGATTGATCCGACCAGACCGACAATGTTGAGATGTCTGAAAGGCGCGACGGCCTCCTTCTTGAAGGTGCCGTTGGACACCAGTTCTTCAACCAGGCTGGGCCACTCGCCTCTGAACCTGTCTGCGCCGGTCAAACTACCGTCACCACCACAGACGACCAAGGCATCAATGCCCTTGTCAATCATGTTCTTGGCTGCTTGAAGTCTGCCAGGGCGCTCCTTGAAGGACATGCATCTTGCTGTACCGATCAGGGTACCACCTTCTGAAAGCCATCCACGTACGTCTTCCCAACGCATTTGCTTGATCATGTCACCGCCCTGGACGAGACCTTCATAACCTTCGTACACGGCGAAAGCGTCACAGCCAGAGGCGATGGTTTGGCGGACGACAGCACGCACAGCACCAGACATTCCCTGAGAGTCACCTCCGGAAGTCATGACAGCAATCCGCTTCTTGCCCTCGGGCATCGCAGCGGGTGCGAGGTTGACTTGGGCCATGGTGGGGGGCCGCTTGTGTTGTGTTTGTTATGCGGACGGGAGAGGTGTTGTGTTATTTTCGAGGGCGGAGGAAGCTGTACCAGACAGAGAGTTTGGCCAGCTGTGTTTATAGGCTTGTCGTAACACGTGGTGGAGAGATGGTTTGTGAATTTAGAAAAAGAGGCTCAAGCCAAACTCGAAGTGAAATCTTGAAGCGCACCAAGACTCCGGTCATACCGCGCGCAGCCATACGTCACTCTCAACAACACCCCACTGTTGGTCAGTGCCAGTCAACACGACGGTCCGACTGCGGTCTTACAGGCCAAGAATCTCACCATTGTTTGGTGGCACCGGCACCATCTCCATCTTGGAAGCACTCCAGCAAGCAGGAATCTCGTGCTTCGTTCACACTATACATACTGCTCTATCTCACCATTCATCACCTGCTTACTTTGTTTCGACTTCTTGAGAAGAAAAGCCGTTAGACCCTGATTATCGCTGCAGCTAAATGACTTGTTCTTCGGACTCATGCTCCGTCCCAAACATGCTGCTTCACCGTCTCCCAAAATCCATCTTGTTCCATCACGTCCTCGACTTTCCACTCAAATCTCTCCTTGGGCGTGCGCAGTACAAGACTTTTCTGTGCCGCATCTCCTTCTCCGTGAACCACAATGCCGATCTTATCGTTGCTGTTGGCTTTGCCGAGGACGCCGCATCTGTCGTTGAGGCTCCAATTGGATAGCTTGTCCACAATGCCATGGCCCAAGGCATTTGCAATGGCCGTGTTGAAGTAGTCTTTGAGCTCTTGCATCTCCGGTATCTCAACTCGGGGCAACCCTACGGGAGATGTCACCAACATGGCGCTGCCGAAAGCGGGTGCTAATATGGAGGTGCGCACTTCAATGCCGAACTCGAGTGCGTTGGCAAGATGCGGTATCTTGAGTGACAGTCTCATCCGCGAGTGTATAGGTGTGAGACCTCTCTGCATGAGTGAGTCGATTGTTTCGGCTGACCTCAAAAGCGCTGGATCAAATGCAGCCGTCTCGATTGAGGCATCGATAGATGCAGCTTTGAGGAGTTTCTCGACCCCTTCCAGATAAGTGCCAATATCACCAAGTATGGAGCGATGCTGCAACATTGTCAAGACGGGTTTCATGATGTTTGCGACTGGTGTGTCTCGTCTGATGCTCGATATTGGCAAAGGCAATTCAGATCTGCGAGCTAGTCTTTCGCGATGGGTATACGAAAGGAACAAACGAAGAGCTAGTGCAATGGCCTGCGCCCAGGCATCTTCTGGCTGTTTCTCCCGTGCTTTTGTGTCGATCTCAGTCAATGGCATCAAGTCGATCAACACCTCCAGCGATTCCGACGCAGACGCTGAAGCAGTTGGGGACAGTCTTGTTGGGAGGCGGATGATCGAGTCGCGCATGTCAACACCGTACGATGCTAGACTCCGCGACTCTCGAATGATCTCGTGGAAAAGTTCCTCCTCATACAACGAATCCCTGGCGTGACGAATACGGGCTTCGAGGGCGGATTCTGATTCATCAGAAGTATCAGGCATTTGCGAGACGCCAATAATGTCGTCGCCTTGCTTTATGCGTACTCTTACGACTTTGCTGTTGTTTCCGAGCCCTTTGTCGAGTAGGACGTTTCCATCCTCGTCAGATCTTAGAGCAGCAAGTCCGCGGTCCCTGAACTCTCCAAGAGCTTCCAGGAAGCCAAAACGGACGCCCAAGTTGTGTTTTTCGCGAGGCAGACGAGAGATCGACCAACCCTTGTCGCTGACAGACAAGACTTGTTCCCAGTAATGTGTTTCTCTCCTGACATTCTTTTCTAGACGGGCAGCTGCGCCTAACAAGGAATCAGCAGAGGCTTGAAGCGACTGCATCCTCCAACTGCGAGCAATTGTGTCGTCGACCTGCTCTTGCTCCTTGTTGGGCTGGACGTTGTGCCATACATCGGTAGCGAGTGTTCCAGGCTTGATGAATTGCTTCAGATGGGGCGACATTGTGAGGTCGGCTTGTTTTGGGGCGTCTTTGGAGAGTAGTAGGGAGACAAAGTCGAGAGCAATAAGTGCTTCGTTTCGCGCAGAGCTACACGGGCTTAGTAAGAGCATGGTGGCAGGGACGGGCGGCATGGACGACGTACTCGACATGTTGTCTCATCTCAGCTCGTGCTACCCATAGCTGCTCTCGGCGGTCCTTCTCTTCTGCTCCGTCTGCTTCTGCGCCGTCGTCGTCTTCGTCTGTGTCGGAGCTCTCGTCGTCATTCTCGTTGGCAGCTATCTCAGTCTGCAGTCCTTGCTCGGTGATGTGCCGAAAGTGGCCGCGTTCATCGTGGATGCGTCCAAGTATGGACAAGAGTGAGTCGGCTTCATTGTCGTCGCGTGGTTGCAGCAACGACGGGGGCAGAGTGATGTCGGCCATGTTGGTTGCAATCAAAAGCTTCCGGCGTCGGCACAGCGTCAGCGGTTCCTGAGCGCCTCGTGCTTGTGAAAGATCGGCGCCACCGCTTCTGTCCGCTGTTTAGCGCTGTGTGGGGTACCGCATCACATGCGTATCAACACTTGGTCAGTCTTGTCGGCCACCTCCGACTCTCTGCTCTGTCATACATCGCAGCCAGCTCCTATCCTTCTCACTCGCAATCTGTGTTCTTTACCTACGCTTACACAAACACATCCCTCTGGAATCCAATATTCGCTATGACCACAAGATACCGTGTCGAGTGTACGTCTACTATTGACTGTCACATGCTGTGACTCGATGCTGACTATAGCTAGATGCTCTCAAGGTCCGTAAACCGCAAATCCACAATTGCTTCCCTTACTAACAAATCATGTCAGACTCATCGTCGTGACCAATTGGTATGCTCGAGTTGATTCTGACCGTCTCATTCTACTTTGCTAAGTCAGACATAGATTGAATGGGTCAAAGGCCTTTTGGCGGTGCCATTTGTACTTCTTTCCCAGCCTACTGCCTTATTTGGTCAAGACGGTATTCATGGCACGGACGAGATGGCACGTAATGCTCATGAGCGCTATGCCCAGATTATGAGTGATGTCGAAGGACTCATCAACGATCACATATCTCGCCAGAAGGAAGGCACTCATACACATTCGAAGCTCAAACTGCTCGTCCCGACTGTTGGTGTCTTCTTCACTCCTCTTCTCCTGCGTAACGCTTTTGAGTGGCAAGACCAAAGGCGATACATAAGTTCAAGGAGATTCGTTGCTCCAAGTTTCAACGATATTCGTTTGATCTTAAACACTGCTCAAGTCATGTCGTTGGTCAAGCACAGTCGGCTGGATCTCGTCACATTCGATGGTGATGTTACACTATACGACGACGGTCAATCGCTCACAGACGACAATCCAGCCATCCCTCGCATTTTAGAGCTGATGAGAAGTGGCACCCGTATCGGAATCGTGACAGCAGCCGGTTACACCGAGGCTTCCAAGTACTACGGTAGACTTCACGGTCTACTCGATGCCATCGCAACATCTGACCTTCATGACGATGTAAAGAAGAATCTCATCATCCTTGGTGGAGAGGCGAGTTATCTCTTCCAATTCACCGGCGAAAGTCCGGACAGACTACTTCCAATTCCACGCAAGGAATGGTCACTCGAAGAGATGCAATCTTGGACCCAAGATGATGTCACAGAACTGCTTGATATTGCGGAAAAGGCTCTTCGTAGTTGCGTCGACTCGATGAGACTCAAGGCCGATATTCTACGCAAAGAGAGGGCGGTCGGAATCATTCCAGTGGCAGGGTTCAAGCTCTCACGAGAACAGTTGGAAGAGACTGTTCTGGTCTGTCAAAAGACGCTGGTAAGTGTTCTAACATCCTTGGTTCGCCCTGGTTTTACTAACACATACCAGGAAATGACTCCTGTTGGCAAAAGGCTGCCATTCTGTGCTTTCAATGGTGAGTGTTGGTGGGTTCAATACAATGCCAGTAGCTGACGTGTTCGCAGGTGGAAGTGATGTCTTCATCGATATCGGCGACAAGTCTTGGGGTGTTCTGAGTTGCCAAAGATACTTCGGCGGGATCGCAGGAAACAGATCTCTCCATGTTGGCGACCAGTTCCTGTCGATTGGAGCAAATGACTTCAAGGTTGGTGACACTCCCGAGCATCAACGAAACACCTGCTAACGAACATTAGGCTCGTCTTGCATGTACTACGGCGTGGATCGCAAGCCCAACTGAAACCGTTGCACTCCTGGACGAGATTTCCCAGCTTTCGAAAGCGCATAGTCCCCTTGGAACGGAAGCAAACCTCAAGAGCTAAGGGAAGATGCTTCCAGCGGTCCTCTTGTGTTGAGTTTCTGCAAGCATTTATCGTGCATGATGGAATGTCGTCCCTACCTGTGGTCTCTTATTATGCATATATACCATTCTGTAATTTTCAATACAACATTTCGATATGGCTGCTTGAAGAGTTCGAGCCGGTAAATCGGGTCGGGGGTGTAAAAGTATCAAGCGAGACCCTTGATGAAGTGGTGTCTGTGCGTCAAAAGTTCCGAAAGAGAAGATGCATGTCCTCGACCCTTCGCCTCTTCGTTTCTGAGCTCAGCAACCACCAAGATTACGATGGCAGAGTGTAGGAGCAGCTTGCTCAGATGTATTCGTGCAATAGCCGCGGAGGCAAGCACTGGACCTCGGCCATATCTTCAGAGTCGCATAGCGCCGCATGCGCGATCCACCCAGACTGTCCGGGAATACACAACAGATTCTGGGAGAGAATCCAGGTCACGAAACGACGACACACGGGGCGAGGAAGTCTATGAGACCACGCCCACTGGCTCGAGGAGGAACCGCACCGACCTGGTCAGTGGTGTACCACAAAAGACTTACGACCCCACCAAGTCTTGGATCAACAACAACGCACATCGCAAAGTACGCCCGGACCATCAGCGCAGAGACGATGGGAAGATGCCGAACATGAGTGCATCCCTAGAGAAGAAGATTAGAAGAGAATTGCAGTATCTACCGGATCCCCTCAAGCTCGCCGACCGTGTTCGTGGTGTTCTCAGGAAGGGCGATGTCGAGAAGGCACTCGGTCTCACTCGAATTGCTAGTAGAGACATGGAATGTGTCGTCAGCTGGAATCATATCATTGGCCATTTGCTGTCGGAGAAGCAGGTCAGCGCGGCCTTGAAGATATACAATGAGGTAAGTCTCATCGCATTCCCTGGCTGTAGCAATGCTCTGACAATCGATTAGATGAAGAAGCGTGCTCAGTTCCCCGACTCACATACCTATGTCATCCTCCTACGCGGTCTCTCTGAGCCCCCGATCGCCGCAGAAACTGTCGGTAGAGCCCTCGCTATCTACCATTCATTAGGCGCAGAAAACTCGAGAGTAAAGGCCACAACGATACACACAAATGCAGCTCTGAGAGTATGCGCGCGAGCACACGATATGGACTCATTGTGGGGCATAGCCTCAAAAATTCCGGAAAGGGGATCTGGCGCTGCCGATGCCTACACATATACAACAATCCTCAACGCTATCAGAGAGCATGCGCTGCTACAAGGAGGCGACAGAACGGATGACAGTGAGGTTTCTGCTTTGAGAGCGACAGCTATTCAGCAGGGTCGAAGAATCTGGGGAGACATCGTAGGAAGATGGCGATCAGGCGACATCATGGTTAATGAGGAAATGGTCGGCGCGATGGGTCGCCTGCTACTCATTGGTCTGCAGCCACGAGACTGGGATGACGTCCTCTCGCTTATTGAACAGACCATGGGAATCCCTCGACTCGCACCCAAACTGGGCAGTAAGATGAGAAAGGCTCAGCATCTGCCGATCCGCGTCCACAGCGATGTAAAGAAAGCTCATCGGGATGTCGTTGAAGGTGAAGAACCTGAGAGTGAATTCGATCAAGAACTCCTGCTCGATACTCGAGGCAAGAAAGCAGTCTCGTCTATCAAACCTGGAAACAATTCTCTGTCACTCATCTTGGAGGCTTGTAAACAGACATATGCATTCCAAGAGTCGTACGAATACTGGGATCTACTCACCAACAAGTCTACCTACGATCTCCAACCTGACATGGACAACATTCACACCTTCATGCGCATCCTACGACAAACACGCGCGTCCGGTCGCACTCTTGACATAGTGAAAGACACGATCCCAAGTTATGGCTGGACACCACACCGCAAGACTTTCCGCATTGCCATGAGTGCTTGCAGACGCGACAAGAATAATCCTAACGTCATGGAACATGCCAACAAGCTTGTGGACTTGGTAGAGTACTACCAGATGGATCCTGACCCTAAGACGCTATTTCAGTATATGGAGTTGGCTATCTCCACTCAGAACGCAGAAGCTATTCGTGGGGCGATTGACCGTCTGTCTGGTCCTATCACAAAGTTCAAGTCGATGATTTCTTTTGGAAAACTCACCTCTGGCAAGTCGACTTCCGCGGACAAACAGGAAATCATTGGTCTGATAAGGACGACCATTGGTGCTATTGATCAAGTTCTGAACAAGGATCTGATACCTAAAGATCAAGCACAATCATGGTTGCAGCATAGGTCGAAGCTGAACGCTTTTGTCGTGAGATTCATGGACAGAATGGAAGGAAAGAACATCATTCCTAGAGACAAGCTTTTGGAGTTGAGGCAGGATAGCAGACAATTGAGGCATTTCAGAGCGAAGCTGGTGAAGAAGGACAAGAAGGACAACGGCACATGGGTCGAGTCTAAGAAGGACCTCGAGCCAAAGACCTTGCAGGACTTCCCTTTTGACGAGTGATAGATAGTCGGGCTACTGTTTGCCGTGTATAATTAGGACAATCAATATCTCATATCAGCACGACTGGCCCGCAATGCTATGGAAAGACATATCTCGATATCATTGCTACAGCTTCGAAAAGTGTTGCGACTTTAGCCAGCTGGAAATGAGAATATGTTCCGCACACGGACGGCATGCACAAAATCCATCTCATGCCAAACCATGTTTTCACCATGATGTTGAGGCGCTTGGAAAAAAAGTGAAAGGGTCCAACGTCCGGGTGCAGGTCCCAGCGGAAAGGGCGAGAAAATGCAGTCTTGGCGATCAAAGTTCTTCTAGCGTTTGTTAGCGCGGCAGAAAGTCGCCGCCCTGTCGCAAAAACGCAGCAGCAGCCAACCACTTTTATCAAGCCCGCGCGCGCCTTCCTTCAGTTTTTCTCCTCCATCCTCTACACTCTCTCTTCCCATCAACCCCTCTTCTATTTACATCTCCTTTTCCATCTGAACTCTTGTCGCAACACACGAGCGCAAAGTTCACTTCACAACTCTTCGACAACCTCCCCCTCACACCAACACCCATCATGTCTTACGGCGGTGGTGGTTACGGCGGCTCGCGCGGCGGCGGCGGCGGCGGTGGTGGCTACGGCGGTGGCAGCCAAGGCGGCTACTCTGGCGGGTACGTTGACACGAGATCACAGACTTCTACAACACTCGCTGACGTAAATAACAGTGGCAGATCCGGCGGTTACGGCGGTGGCAGCTCCGGTGGCTACTCTGGCGGTGGTCAGGGTGGCTACGGTGGTGGCCAAGGTGGCTACGGCGGCGGCCAGGGCGGCTTCGGTCAGAGCGGCGACAGAATGGGCCAACTCGGCTCCGGCCTCAAGAGCCAGGAGTGGGACATGACTACCCTGCCCAAGTTCGAGAAGTCCTTCTACAAGGAGGCACCCACGGTTGCCGAGCGCTCTCAGGCCGATGTCGACGAGTTCCGCAAGACTCACCAGATCGCCGTCCAGGGAAAGAACGTCCCCAAGCCCGTCGAGACCTTCGACGAGGCTGGTTTCCCCGGCTACGTTATCAACGAGGTCAAGGCCCAGGGCTTTGAAAGACCTACCCCCATCCAGTGCCAAGGTTGGCCCATGGCTCTCTCTGGTCGCGATGTCACTGGTATTGCCGAGACTGGTTCCGGAAAGACCCTCACCTACTGCCTCCCCTCCATCGTCCACATCAACGCCCAGCCTCTCCTCTCGCCCGGAGACGGCCCTATCGTCCTCATCCTCGCCCCCACCCGTGAGCTCGCCGTCCAGATCCAGGCTGAAGTTAACAAGTTCGGCAAATCGTCGCGCATCCGCAACACCTGTGTCTACGGTGGTGTCCCCAAGGGTCAACAAATCAGAGACCTCGCTCGCGGTGTTGAGGTGTGTATTGCCACCCCTGGCCGTCTGATCGATATGCTCGAGTCTGGAAAGACCAACCTTCGCCGCGTCACCTACCTCGTTCTCGATGAGGCCGATCGCATGCTCGACATGGGTTTCGAGCCCCAGATCCGCAAGATTATCGGCCAGATCCGCCCCGACCGTCAGACTTGCATGTGGTCCGCCACTTGGCCCAAGGAGGTCCGCGCCCTCGCCCAGGACTTCCAGCACGACTTCATCCAGGTCAACGTTGGTTCCATGGACCTTTCCGCCAACCACCGCATTACTCAGGTCGTAGAGGTCGTTGCCGAGTTCGAGAAGCGCGACAAGATGATCAAGCACCTCGAGAAGATCATGGAGGACAAGGACAACAAGTGCCTCATCTTCACTGGCACCAAGCGTGTCGCCGACGAGATCACCCGCTTCCTCAGACAGGACGGCTGGCCAGCACTCTCCATCCACGGAGACAAGCAACAACAAGAGCGTGACTGGGTTCTCAACGAATTCAAGCAGGGCAAGAGCCCCATCATGGTTGCCACCGATGTGGCTTCGCGTGGTATTGGTATGATTGATCACCCCTCTCCCTATCACTCACAGCACCTTCCCTTTCCTCATCCTCCGCTACACTGCCAATTCTCCCCTCCCTCATTGTTCGCACTTGCGTGATCTGAAAGTGGTGCTCCTCGTCGAGCACTCCTGCGCCTTTTGCATATGTAACCATGTCCTTATAGGCCGTCCAGTTTACTGGTTCCTTCTACTCCGGATCCTTGGGAGAAACTTGCTCGAGCGAGGCCTTTGTCTTTTCATTATGGCTTCGCATCGTACCTCTCGCACTCTACTTTGCGCTTCATGCGCCTTTTTGCCCAGTAGAGAGTGAGATGCAGGTATTTTCGCCGCGCAGCGCTGCATTGTAGTTTTGTTACGCGCTTCCAAGGCATCCGAGACGGTAGGACCTCGAAGATATCCCGCATGATATCTTCTACGGCCTGTGACATGTGATTGCTATGATTGCTTTCCTGCTTTGATTCAAAGCTTGACTCCTTTGGAGCGCACAGAGTGTTGTCAATATATCATTGCACACCTCTTGATCAGATTACGCGACCGACAAAGGCTCGCTTTTGATACACACTGTTCTCCCAACAGGCATGCTAACCCTTACTTCTAAAGATGTACGCAACATTACCCACGTTCTCAACTACGACTACCCCAACAACTCCGAGGACTACATTCACAGAATCGGCCGTACCGGTCGTGCTGGTGCCCTCGGTACTGCCATCACCTTCTTCACCACCGAGAGTGAGTCTATTCTTTCCCTTTGCGCAACATGGCATCTCGCTAACAATTTTCCTCAGACTCCAAGCAGGCTCGCGACCTTGTTAACGTCTTGGCCGAAGCCAAGCAGAACATTGACCCCCGTCTCGCTGAGATGGTCCGCTACGGTGGTGGCGGCGGTGGCCACGGTCGCTGGGGCGGTGGTCGTGGACGTGGTGGCGGTGGCCGCGGTCGTGGCGGTGGTCACGGCGGTGGTTTCACCAGCTCCAACAACGCTCCCCTTGGTCGTGACTCTCGCTGGTAGACGGTAGATGATACCCCTTTTTGTGTTTTTCCTCTGTTTTTATGCCCCAATCCTCCGGTATTTCACACCGATGGCGTTTCTCTAATGGTTCCCTGGTATGGATTCCAACCCCAAAAGAAAGAATTGTGCTATTAGTTTTCCTCCGCATGCTAATTATGGCGGACATGGAGTTTTCATGATGAGACCGGGACAGTTCTCAGATATTAGGGATTAGATTGCGTTTGATGCCCATTGTGTCTCTTTTATCAATCAAAACGTATAGAAGTTCTATCTGAACAATCCTGCTTCTCATGTGAAACTTGTTGAGGTTAATCGATGATCTCGCAATCACTGGTATCGATGTCTATGTCTTGTACCGCTCTTGACTTGGGTGTTCTTGCGACTTTTGGAGACATCACATCGCATGATTTTTTTCAAGAGTCTAACTCGTCAATGGGTTGCATACTTGTTACATTTGCTTATTCGGCCTCTGTAGAGTACAGCTTATGGTCCAGCGCTTTTTGACACTGCCGTCTGAATGTGGTCCCTGTCGTCATGATTGACGTGATGACTGGCTGTCTGATCAGACCCTTGGTGCGAATTGTGGTACCCAGGATCGTTCAGAAGCCTTCCACGGTGACATCCGCTGAAGTGTTCTCTCCTTGCACCTCCATCTGTTTTGCGACGTCGCTGGCTGTTGATGTTGAAGTCGGGATGGAAACAGTGTTGCAAGTGTGAGCACTCTGAGTGAAGCTGACGTGATATGACCTTTATGACGGTTACTCGACGACAACATATCCTGCCAACCTCAGTATCCATACGCACACTACTAGACATATCAGGTATATCTCTATCGTAGTTACAAGGTTGTCAGACTTCCTGCTGCTTCACGAGATTGACATCAATGCCCGAGATACTGGCCGAGCGTGCAACCCTGGCCATGACCCAAATCGTCAGAGTGAATCGCGACTGTCCAAGGACCGAATCTCGTCTCCAATCACCACAGACTTGAACAGTCACATTGAGACCTACCGTGTAATCATCAAACAACAAAACCACCATCACTCGATTTCGATGTCAGAAAGCAACCACATCCACCCCTTCTCGCCTCTTAGCAACACGTGCCAGCACAGCCATCGCCATCACCAACAATAATGACACGAACATGATAGGCCAAGAACAAAACAACAACACATGTATCAATCAATCAATCCACCTTGCTACATCCCGTGTAATCCTCTATCCAAAAAGCACATTTGCAGATCCATATATACAGGAGCCTAAGTGGATAGATGGATAAAAGCACATACCGTACATAAAACGCGGGAAAGCAGAAGGTGTGGAGGATAGAGTTTGAAGGGAGATGGAAGGGGACCAAAGCCCGCATGGAAATTCACATCCACAATACGGTATCGATTCCTCTCTGCCTCTGCCTCTTCTGTCCGATCTTGATCATTCACTCATCTTCATGTCGCGATCCATAGGCAAAATCAACAAATCGGCGACCCTCTTGCATCCCTTAAAAAAGCAGAATCAAAAGTGGATGATGGATTTGGGAAAAAAAGAGCAAAAGCATTTTTAGAGTTCAGGATTACAGGCAGAGAGCGTGCGTCATGTGAAGAAACAAGGAAATCAACTCTCCGATTCGCTATTTCTCTCTTGGCGAATCCCGCGAGGTGGTTGGGTGTTTGTGGTACTTACTCGGCAAGTGTTGCTTTTTCTTCTTCCTGCGACTTTCTGTTCCAAACATGCTCGCGTCGCTTGACAGGAGTTTACGGGCGTAGGATACAAGGGCTGGAAGGAAGGATGGGCAAAGGGACACGGGCTCATGGAGTTCTTTCCGCGTTCAAAAGCAGGGATGATGACGAGAGAGGATGCGGAAGCCGCGCACAGTCTTGGTATCATTCACCTCTTTTGTTTTTACGGCCGCAAGGGTTTCTTGTCTTCTGAGACATGGCATGGGCACAACAAGAGCCTCGTATTCCCCAATCCACCAAGCATCTCCTCGGGACATGAGTATACATTGGGAAGGTGAATACTTGGTGGTGGCGCGATCTCGAGGGAGCGCAGGAAGCCGCATGCAAGAGTTATCGAAAGACAAGTGGGTTGAGTGCATACAACAGACATGTTTCGTAGGAGGATACGACACGCTGTGTAGAGCAAGTAGAAGCGTGTAAAGGCAAGCACAGGAGCACGACTCCGAAGTGATAGTAGGAGCTGCCTCCTGCGTCACGCGCTTCTGCTGTATGAATTGAATTGATTGGATGATTACGACGGGAAAGTGCAGAGGCGCACTTCGCGACATCGAGACTCGATAGGGGAAGCAAAGGATTGAGGCCTAGGCATCTTTTTCATGTGGTCAGAGGTGCATGAAAGAACACTTTGCAGGAGCGACATTATGTGAGTGTGGTGTAGAGAAGCTTTCCTGATTGGAGAGGCATGTAAGACGGGCTTAAAAGTTTATTTGGTTGCTGGTCCCGCGTACTGCGGCTGTTGGACATCAATGTGTTGTCGAAAGCCTCGCGAAGACGGACCTCAGACACGACGCGTCCTTTTGTCGCGAGATCTGGTATACTTATGCTTGTCAAGAAGATCACGGTCCATGTCAAGTGCGACCACAGCCATGAGTCGTTGGTTAGATACTCGGCATGATCCTGTCGCTCAACATGCAGCGGCTCAAGGCAAGTCGAGCAGAATTATCGGTCATATCATCGGCAGGGGCGTGTTCTTGTCCGAAAGATTAACATATGGAAAGAAATGAAATATGGACCCAGACGCGATCTTGCGCAAAGCGCGGCTCGAAGAGGTTGGACATATGGGAGATTGTTGCTCTCCAACTCGTGAAACGCGTCATATAGAAACTGTACATAAGGATCAGCAGCACTGCGATAGCTGTAAAAGTTGCGGTCCGACGCATGCACGTCTGACTGGCAGTAGTTGTAATAGCAACAACAGTGGTGATACCGTCGCGGCCAGAACCCGCCACGCTATACATGCGATTGATAGCGGACCGAGATGTGTATGCTTGAAGAAGGAGAACCGGTTTCTGGAACATTATGATCGCTACAGCAGGTTACAGGCGGGAGAACGGGTCGGTCATAGAGACAGCTGACCCGGGGAATGCAACTGGGGGACGTAAGCAAGCAGCCTCAGGGTCAAAGACCATGATACGGGATTTTGGTACTTGACAGAAGAGCTTGGCCTGTTCGAAGTTCGTCTATGGTACATGCAATTTGATGATGCAGGTCAAATTGTGTGGTTTCTGCAGGCCGCGGGCAAATTGCGTGTGCACAGTGTCGCGGCTCCAAATTAGGACAATGTGTGACCGTTCTTCGCTGCACTGTAGAAACAATATCGCCGCCATTCGCTGGCTGCTCGTATGTCTAGATATGATACACGATACGCTCATGCACTGCATAGCCTGACCGGTTCGAGTCATAAACTCTGGCATACTCACCAAGTAGATATGGTGCCTACAGTACACACAGTACGGGGCGTTTCGTATCGAATGGTTGAGGTGAACCGTGATGTGGACTTGGGGCGGCACCGTCGGCGAGCGACAGCGTCTGATTGATACGAATGATCAGATCCACCGTGACCAAAGACCGTATGTGGCCCATAGCCTCACAGATACTCAGCTCGCAATGTTGACGGAGTGCCTACTCGAGGATAATCGACCAGGAGAGGGCCTGGAAGCATAACAAGACGAACAAGCCATACCATGGTTTGCTGGTCGTCGTCGATAGTGTTGCTATCGTGCCAAATAGTGGTCTAGGCGCTTAAAAACCACCACTCAAACTGCAATGTGAGCAACAACACTCTCGCACCAATTCATAGCTCGACATCGGGTCTGAGGTGTGGCGTGGTTGTTGTCTGCAATTACGTATGACGACTATCCAACACTGGTCGAGATCGAGGTGGCCGCTTGACATGGCTGGAAGTTGTCAACAACAATTCCGTCGCTGGTCTTTACCTGCATGAACATATTGTGGATCCGTATCCGCCTGCTTGCACATACAGACATCAGAAAGTGGATGATGACGATCTAAAGTCGCGATAGAGTCCGAATCCCTCGGAAACAACAAATAGTAACAGTGCCTATGGTCGCTGTGTAAATAAATTCGAGCTTAGCAAAGGGGTGATCAAACAGGACTCTTCAGATTCGAGGCTCCTTGCATGTTCGTGCATAACGACAGACGCGCCGTCACTGCCATCTCCCGCGTTGCCTATTCCGAAAGACGCCTAGAGGGCGTGGTACTGTAGCACTTGTACTTTGCGCCTAGATGCAATACGTCTCGCGCTATCGTAGGACAATATCCGTAGGGCGGTCGTGCAGAATTCAAGATGCTCTCTGCATCTCTGCATTGCTTGCATGTGCGTAATCAAATAGAGTTTTCTGGGTCTTCGAGTGATGCGCGATCCTCTTAGGCCTTCGCTCCTGATAGCTCGGTGATGATTTCAGTCAGCCTGACGAAAGTCGGTTGTGACTTGGAAGCCGAAGTGTACGGCTCCATTCGCACTCGTGTCCAGGGTCTACAGCCTCTGCTCGGTACTCAATCGTTTGCGTTTGAGGCTCGGCGGAAGATCAGATGGTACTTCTAAGATCAGACTTTGACTTGGAAGAGGGTCGACTCCAGCGAAGTGTCACCACGAGCAGTCACTCAGCCTGCATGACGCCCCTCTTCTGTTGCGAGATTACCATCCCAAGCTGCGCCTGACTATCGTGGTGGAGATGGAGTGGAGAGGCTGAGACAAAATACAGTATCCCACGAGTACCTGCAACGATTATTTCAGATCTCGCGTTAGCCTGCTTGGTGTCGAATAAGTGGTCAGTGTTGTTGCAGATGTTGAGGACACGGCACGCTAGAGGCAAGCTTACTCTGGGCAATGGGCAGTCATTTCGGCGGACGGCTAAGCGGAAGAGGCCAACAACGAGAAGCCCTGACACTTTGCGTCCGGTCGTGCAGGTCCCGGGCGGGCAGATCGATAGGACCGGTCTTTCACGCCGACCTACGCTGGCTATCCCAGATTTCTTCCATGCGGCTGCGAAGACTAGCGTCAAATAGGATAACTAGGCCACACGTGATTCTTCACCACATTTCACCCCTATTTCATCCACTTTCGCGCTGGGGGGAACTTATCCTCTTGTCCAATGACCAATACGATTATTCTTGAAACATGTCAGTGTCAGCTCTCAATCGACTTGTGGCCGAGAGCGCGGCCTGGGCCACATCTCATCCTTAGCCAATGGCGCAGCAACAAAGTAGGAGAACGTTAAAGCCCGAGCGTCTAGGACCAATGGCAGTCAAAATCAACTGTCAAATGCCGTGTTTTTCAAAGAAGGGTGCCGTCGTGAATTACAGCATGGCTCATACAACTATACTAACCGAGTTCCTTCAATCGTGCCAACAGCACGAGCTTATGGACGAACGAGCACTGGCGTTGATTCGTGATACGCTACCTGATTGGGAGAACGCAATTTCACGTCGACCAAGATTGAGCTTCAATAATGGAAATGCAGCCTCCTGGGCCAAATATCCTCATCTGACAAGTCTCTGGACTGCAATTGAGAATAACGCTGTCCCGCATTGCGCTGCTTGAAATTATTGCCGGCCGGTTCGCTTGCACAATGATCGTCCTCAAACACGTCAAGTCCGATGTGGTATATCAGCGAGCTTTGACCGAGCACTGACTGGTTGCAGTGTGTTATTGGCATCTGCTCGTAAGTCGACCGGACGAGACCGGCCGAAGTTGATTGTGCACAACACACTGCAACGACAAGTGTTGATGGAAGTGCAGGAGCTACGGACGCATCATACCTACAAGACTGTCAGACCATAGACCAGCCCACACAGATATTTGAGTTGAGGAATTGCGCAGACCGGAGAAGAGATGATCTGAAGTGGATTCGCGTGGAAGTACTCTGTCAGGGAGGGTCAAAGCATCGGCAGACCAACCCCTCCCATGCCCAGGGCGACTCACGTCTGTCTACACATGTGGGTTAGCGCTACCAGATCATGAAATGTATTCGAGCGCCGTTGATATTTGCAGTGTAACAGTGTAGCTGAGCAATGTATGAGCGACATGGAGACGGCAAGAGTAACGAGAACCATGTGCCGGGTGGTGAGTCGAGACTCAAGACGCAATGATAGATTGGCGAGAGCCGGGCAAGACGAGAAGCGATATAGTGGCAGTCTACGGTGCAGTCGATGCGATTGAGTGCCTATCGCCCGTAAAGCAAGAGAAGCTGATGACAGAAGGTGGGAGCGAGATAGCGAGTGTCTCCTTCTAATTGTTGGCAGATGCATGCAGGGCTGCGCGTGTGCATACTCGCACAATAATTCCCAAGCAAGACGAGTAGACGAGCAAGTGCCCTCGGACACTCTGAAGGGCCTCAGCTTACGTACGGGAGGAGCCGGGTATATGTTGATGCACCAGACCGAGTGAGGAACAGAGTCATCAGAGGAAGCAGGTAGGCACGCGTTCAGAACGCTCAGCCCGGCGGCCAGCCAGAAGGCACGACCAAGCAGTCACTAAAGTCATCAAGTTTCTCTTTTGCAACCTGTCACATTCTGGATCCATCAAGCAGTCGTTCCTTCCCCATCGCCGGCCTTCCAGTGTTCCGGCACCACACACACACACCACCCCTCCTTCTTGCTGCTCTTTTCTTGGCCTCCTGCCGCGAGACTGCACAGTTCTGCTCCCGACGCACGAGCCAGCGTCTTTGTTTCGCAGAGACCATCATCAAATAGAGTTTGACGCCGTCTTACGCATGATTTGTGGCAGGTGGCCCACCCTTGTCGACTAGGCTCACTCTATCGTAACGTTAATTCATCGACACGGGCAGCCCTTCTTGCCCCCTGGTCTTGGTCGTCGTCCGGGCTTCCCGTACTGATCTGTCAAAAACGCGCGCCGTCTCCCGCCGTTTTTTATCGCCCAGCGTCAGGCCAGTACGTCTTCGGGAATCTTTTGTGCACTACACCGCTCCACTGCCGCGCCAGATCATCCTTTAGGTGGAGCTTGTCGGCTTATGCACATCATATTTCCTTGGGCGAAAACACAACCTTTCCTCGGCCGCTCGCTAACTACCTACCTGTCCGCAACGCGCCGCCGCCAGCGTTTTCGTCTACCCTCCAAGTCCCCTCACTAGCAGTAGTGCTTAACCCTCGACCGCGACTCTGCTTTTGGCGTAGCATGTCCCCGACTTACACCACTTCACCAAGCCAGCCCGCTACCGACACGTCTCTCAGCGCGCTACTCGCGTCGCAACAGATGAACGGCCATCCGCATCCGCAGTCAATGGACGCTCGCCAGCAGGATTATTCCCAGCAAGCTCCGCTCAAGCAAGAGTACTCGCAGCAGCAGCAGCAGCAACAGCAGCCAGGTTTGAATTCGCCCTACGCTTCCTCGTCCTATACCGGCAACCTTTCTGAGACTTTGTCCTCCCCAGACCAGAACCAAGCTGCTCAGTACCACCCAGACGTAAGACTCTCCCATCTGACCTCGTTGTCTTGCTTGTTGCTTGCCTGCCGGACCCCGATCACTAACGCGCGCATCAGTCTGCGCGTTCCGCGTCATTCCCCGAGTACCAGCAGCAACCCCAAGGCCAGCAACAACAGCAGCAGCAGCCTCAGCGACCGTATCCCGAGCAGGGCGCCCCGCGATACCAGCAGCCAGGTGGCCATCCACACGCCGCAATGGCTCAATCAAGTCGGTCCTTGCCTCTTGCCAGCGCGCTGCACGACACGCGTTCTGACTCGGTCATTACCATAGATCCCACAATAGCCGCACAGAACCCTCAATACCCTCAGCAACACGCATACTCTCCATACCCTCCCCAGCATGAGATGCACCAATACCCTGGGCAGCCCGGCCAACCCATGTACGCGCCCCGCCCCGAATGGGGTGCCTACCACGCTCAACCTATGCACTACCCCGTGTCAGCCGCCGGTGGACCGCCAGGAATGGCAGCCGCCGTCCCCAGACCTCCAGGTGTAAGTCATGGCTTTGTAAGACTCCTTTGACGCGTCGGAACGCGTTTTTCTAATCATTTACAGGGTGGCCACCCCATGTCTACTGTATACTCGTTTGTCCCGATTCCTGGCGCACAGCAGCACAAGCGTCCGCGCCGACGATATGAGGAAATTGAGCGCATGTACAAGTGCGGATGGAATGGCTGCGAAAAGGCTTATGGCACGCTTAACCATTTGAATGCACACGTTACCATGCAGTCGCACGGCGCAAAGCGCACTCCCGAAGGTATGCAAACACAGCAAAAATCTTTGTTAGAACGCACGCGGTTTGCGTTGCAGTGTCGCATTATTTTCTTAGTGCTTACCCCGACCGCTGGGTTGGTTAAACCACCCTCCTTGTCGCGGAAGCTAGCACGCCAGCCATGCTTAAATCTCCTTAGCGCATGCACCCCGTAACACAAGCCACACGTGGATGAATCGCGCTAACTCATCATGTCTAGAATTCAAAGAAATCCGCAAGGAGTGGAAGGCCAAAAAGAAGGAGGAGGAGAATGCGCGAAAGCAAGATGAGGAGCGCCAGCGCCAGGAGGCCGGTCGCGCTGCACAGGAAGCCGGCACCCCGACCCAACCCGCCCCGGCACAGTACCCGCAACAACATATGATGCCTCCTCAGCCCATGAGCAGTGCCCAGCTACCACCTATCGGTTACGCCCCTGCTGCTCCACCTACTCCTCAGCAATATGCCCCGCCACAGCAGCAAGTAGATGGAGCACAGTCTTACCCGGCTGGCCAGATATATGCCACTAACGGAGGCTATCCTCAGAGCCCATACGCTCAGGGCGGCCCGATGTACCAGCAACGTTAGACTGTCCATCCGATACTAATGGAGCCGAGACTGACAGGATGACAGATCCTGAACAACCCCAGAATCAGGCATACCGACACAACCAGTAATTTTCTTACCCCTCTACGGCACGTCGGTGCTCTTATAGCCCACGGCTTGTATGGTTAATTCTTTCCTTCAACTTGACGCTCGACATTCTGCAAATCGTACGAACCAGGGCGTTGCTGCTCTCCTGCCGTCGGTCATGCGCAGAGTTCCTTCGAAAAAGCGCCATTCCTCTTTGCAATTACAACATTCATCTCGTTCGATGGCTGGAAGCACCACTGTTTCGAGACATCTTCGGCGTCGTTTCTTTGTCGACGACCTCCATTTCCTTACTCCTGGCGGGTCTCGTTTCGGGCGCGTCCGTACTCGTTTTCTGCTTTCGTACTTCATTGCGCATGGGGACAAATTATTCCGGAGAGGTTGAGCATGCGGTTTTGAGTGTAGTTGTATTTCTGGCATGCCCAATTGGGTCCCTCGACCACTGCTTTTCCTGTTCCTGCGAAGCATGAGGTATCTGGGTGGTATTTGTCTCGGTTATGTTTTCCTTGTGGTTTGGTGGAGAGGACGAAATGTTGAAGTGTAACGAGTCCAGATTTTCTACATTGCAAAATGAACAAAAACATACAGAATCAGAGCGAGGTGCATCAAGGCTCCAGCGCGGTTTAAGTACCCAAGGCACGAGAATGGTAGACTAACCAATGGTCAAAGGCACCAGGGGAAGCCGTCGTACGTTTTGGAACCCGCCGTGATTAGCAAACTATCGTGACCTTATGCATTATTAGGCTCCCACGTGTTCATGGCACACTACTCCGACAAGTGATTGACCAGCCGTTTCACAAAGGCCGACCAGCTAGACACGCACGCCGATGCGTCAGCCAGCAGCGGATAGAGTAGTGCTTGATCTAGTCAAAGGCAACCTAACGCGCCGACAGGCAGGCAACCCTGGCGGCAAGAGAGACATGCTGACTTACTTTCGTTGGCGCCGGTTGACCAGCAGTAGGTACTAATCCTTAGTGACCCCCGGATTCTCACATCGTCTCTCGCGCGGTCAGAAGTCAAAAGATTGACATTGGATTTGCGTGGCTAAGATGATTAAGCATGAATATAAGCAGCTGGCAATCGACATTTGGCGGATGTACCGTGCAGCGGTACGGCACGGCGCCAGTGTCTTGCAAAGAGCGAGCTGAGGAGCACGACACTAGGCTCAGCAAACTTCCAATCTACTTGCTCCTAGCACTCCCTCTAGCCTCCGCGACTACGGCACCGTCGTGCCTACTTAACTAAAGACTTCTGAACCCTTGTCCGCGCCGCTTCCTGTCAAACGCCTACCACGATCCTCCCGCCCGGATTCTCAACTACCCCGTTGGCTTCTTCTAGCTGACCACAAATTCTCCTGTTTACAACAGTCCCTGGCGTCTGCGAATCGTGATCTTGGTGATTGCTGCGCCACACGCACCAAGAGCCATTGCAGCAAATGTCGAACGTCCGTTCATGACAGCGACCGACGTTGCGAATGAATACGAAGCCTAGATCAGAGATGATCGCTCTTGTCCAGAATTTTGTCAAGTAGCCTCCCATCTTGCATTGACAGATCCCAAATTTGTTGCCGGTCGTTGGATCGCAAGTTTCACCTTCCTGTCCACGCAAACAATTTGGTGGACAATAAAGCATGGTATGCGAGCAAGCCAGTCATGTTAGAGCGACCATCCAGACGGCACCTTACCTAGCCCTGCACTCGTCAGCCAACCAGACAAAATGCAGGTCTCACAGCAAAGGATCACACCAAGCAGTAGCCTTGCCTCGATTTGGGCGCCAAACCACCCACCACCGACACTTGTGTGTTAGTGCTAGCACTCGCACTTCGATGGCGCCTGTCGATGACCCAGAGGTTTGGCACGCCGTGTGGAGCCGTAGACTGCCGGTGTTTGTACTCGGAGGACGCTCCGGAAGCACCTTCTTGCATCTGGACGTTCTGTTTGCTGTTGCGGAGGCAGTAAAAGGACAAAAAATCGCCAAATTGTACCCCATCAACCACCACAGATGTTGACGTCCAGGGACTTCTACTTCCCAACAGGCAAACTCTGCATCCCTTCCTGATGACTTTAAGATAATTTCAGATCTCGGAAATGCGCGCTCGGCATAGGTACTCTCAAGCTGCTCAGATGAGGCTTCTTCGACTGGCGCGTGAGCTCGAGTCGCATGGAGTAGGTCATTGCTCCAGGAGAGCCTGTTGTATCTGTACCGCACCGCTACTCGTCCCATTGCCATAGCACTACCCTCGTCTCAGACCCGCGCTCACCTCACACTGTGGATACCTGTTTAGTGCTTAGCAACCTTTCTGCCTACCATGCCTGAATCAATCTCATACGGCATGGTTATCGCCTCTGGGCCGTTGCAAAATATCGTACCTCCCTCACAACGTTTTTCATCTTTACTGCCTGAATCGATCGCTCGGTTGCTATTCCACTTGGTAGACAGATGCTACACAGTTACTTCCCCCTCAATCCGGTCGGTCGCTCTTGCCCGATCTCTGCCATCCCCGAATCATTTATCGCTCCTTCTTCTTCTGCTTTGTTGGTCGCTCCTTTTCCTTTTGCTTCGACGAGGGTCCATCCATGCCTGATTTGGTAGTTGAGTGTCCTTCCCTCCCAAATCCCTGACCGCGTCATATCGCACGCCGCTTTCTGTATCTGGGCTTTGGAAATATCATCATTTCCCTCATTTGTACGAAGGTCAATGTCCTTCAAGTCTCAAGCAAGTCGAAGGACTAAATATCAACATGAACAAGCCCAACAATGGCAAAATCTGAGTAAAGAAATTAACGTATCTGGAGAAGAAGATATTAGACAGGGATAGAGTCGAACTCAAGTCCTTGGAAGCAAAAGGATGGTCATCAGCAGACTAAACGACCGAGGATGGAAGATTGGAGAATTGGGCCGAACATCAATCTCTCGTGTCCCCATCTAGCTATCAAGTCATGTGATATGGCGCGTCTTCTACTACTATCTTCTGTATTGCTGCAAAAAGATAGTATGAGTAGTCTAAAGTAAAGAACATAGATGCTCGTCCAATGTTGATTTATTTTCCTGCCACCCTAGAATCTAAGAACCACAAGACCATCTTACTTTACTCGTCATCTCTTCCCGCCCTACTCTCACCTCTGACACATTTCAAGACTCTGAGTTGGTCCAAAAGTGTGAGAGCTTCATGTCTGCTCAACTTCGGAAGCGCAACATTCCTTGTACTAGTCCTGCTGTAACCTTATGTCCAGGATCATCTTGTCAAATGTCAAAAGACAGTGACATGACATTGTTGGATAATCTACGTAGAATATATCCCCTAGCAGAAAGTGATCAGATTGGCTGAACAGTCCTCTGAAATCTTGGAGGTTGCCTGAAGAACTTCTCAGGCTCATCTCTAGCTCCATCTTTCCAGTACTCATATTCCATCCATGCATTTTCAGGCATCTGCGCCTCGGTGGCTTCAAGAAAAGCTCCTAATTCGGGTGCAAGAGGAATGACGCCTGTTTCGATAACATACTGATCCCACATCTTGATCATACGAGCCAGACGTTCAGGCTCTTGTTCAGCAAGATCATGAATTTCGCCAGGATCTTTCGAGAGGTGGTATAATTGCCACCTCTCAGGACCTTTTGGTTTCGGAATGAACACGATCTTCCAATCGCCACAGCGCACGGCCGCACGACCACATGTCTCCCAGCCTGTGATATGATCTTCAGGATGGGTTGAATGAGCACGACCTTCAATAAAAGATAGCATGCTCTGACCACGCATCGCGACAATCTCACGGCCCTTGTACGTAGGTGCCGGATGTAAGACACCTGCCATCTCGAGGATTGTGGGACAGATATCCATGACAGTGGCAAAGTCGTGGGTGATACTGCCTTTCTCGACGCTGACGTGAGAACCAGAGCTAGCGACCTCTACAGGACCGTCAATGAAGCCGTCAGAACGAGTCTCAATATTTGCAGGGAAGCGAGCAACGAAAGGGACACGAACGCCTCCCTCAGTGGTGAAGGCCTTGTACAATCGGCTTGGAGCTGTTGCTGCTTGTGCCCATCGTGGCCCATACCAGACAAAACTGTCTCCTCGACCAATATTTTCAATGGAGTTGTTGTAATATCTCTTCAGGTGCTGCATCATTTCACCCTGGACAATGGGATATGCCTCATAAGCAGCTCCTTCAGCACCATTGTCAGACATGAAACAAACCATCGTGTTGTTGAGTTCTCCAATCTTCTCGAGATAGTCAACAACTTTGCCAACATTGGCGTCGATACATTCAACCATGGCGGCGAAAACTTCCATGGCCTTAGCAGACTTGGCTTTTTCGTCGGACGTCAGGGCCTCCCAAGCTTTGACTTCGTCTGCGATCACTTCGTGCGGCTCAACACCGCGAGCAATAAGACCGATATCTTGCATCCTTTGTAGACGTGTCTGCCTCAAAACTTCTGGTCCGTCATCGTAGACACCTTTGTAGTGAGCGATGTACTTATCCGGAGCTTGGAGAGGCCAGTGAGGCGCAGTGAAGGGCAGGTAGCCAAAAAAAGGTCTTTCGTCCTTCTTCTCATTGCGCTCTTGTAGGTAAGAAAGCATCTTGTCACCGTATCCATCGCTGCTGTACCATCCATCCGGAAGCTTCTTGACATACTCACCATCCTCTGAGTGGAGAGCAATGAATGACATGGTCATGAACTCGGGGATCTTGTCAGGAGTCTGAAGTTGGGGCTCGTAGGCGTAATGGTTAGAACATGCCGGCAAATGTGCAAAACTTCTTTCAAAACCTCTAGCTTTTGGACTGCGTTCAGGTGTCAGACCAAGGTGCCACTTGCCGGACATCAGGGTGGAATAACCAGCGTCTTGCAATATCTCTGGCAGTGTGGCAACTCTTTCATTAAGATATCCCTCATATCCCGGCATGCCGCGCTGAGGAGCTGTATCGAACCGCTTTGCATTGCCTTCTGCTGGCGCATTCTGGCCAGATATGTTGGTCCACTCGATGAGATTACCTAGGCCGGCTATATGGTGGTCAGTTCCAGTCATAATCCTACGTATGTGGTCAGCGCTGGTTTCAATTCCTTTGACCGCGACAATTTTTTTTGAAGAGTTTGCACGTCTGAAGATCAAGTCACGCGTTTGGGATCTGAACCAAGGAAATGACATGAGGCAGACTTACATGGCACGTGAGGGCGAGCATGCTGCTGCCGCGTGGAAATCTGTGAAACGGATCCCGTTGCTTGCTATCTTGTCGATATTTGGAGTCCTTATTTCTCCCCCGAAGCAAGAAAGGTCACTGAATCCAAGGTCATCTGCAACGATGACAAGGAAATTGGGACGCTTCTGAGCGCCACTGGTTGCATTTGCAGCCTGAAATTCGGCCATGCTTGCGAGGTGTTTAAGAGGTGATGGGCATGTAAGGAAGGACTCGCAATCCTGTGTTGTAAAAGGACGAACGAAGAAGATATGCAAGAACAGTCAATGGGAGACAGAGCAGATGATCGATTTCGGACGCGGCAACAAGTAAACAGACCCCTCATCAGATAGCATTGTAGGATCTGCGAGCGGGGATGAGATCCGTTGAAGCTAAAATGAGTCCGCCGACGTAGTCCATCAGCGGACGTCTTGTTGTGGTAAGCTCTCACGAGACCCATGCTGCTTCGAGTCCTTCTGTCAAACGATGTGGTCTTGATGGTGAGTTGTTTGATGTTTTGTCCATCGAAGCTCATTGTACTGCAATAGTTGCTGCCGTGATAGCCGAGACACCAAAGCCATGATGAAGCCGCGTAGAATGGTTAGCAAAGACGGCAGTAGCGCAAGACGGCATAGATCGTCCGCCAGAATAAGAACGCGTCGAGAGACCTCAATGCGGAAGATTGCTTGCTGAGGGTTGACGAAGAACAAAGCCAGCACAAGCAACGAAAGAGTCATGGTGTGAAACGCGTCCGCTGGCTGGACCGCGAATTTACCCGTCAACCAAAATCGCGCTTTCTACGGTTGGAAGTTGCGACTTCTCGCACATTCCCTCGTTGTTCGCTCACTAGCACCTTCCTTGGGCTGATATGCCGCGAGACGATATGTTGCCTGAGAGTGTTCCCGGTCAACATTCGGCTCCCCTGCCTCAACTCCGCCTTGCGACGAGTATGCTGTAATTGCGGATGCAGCGAAGAAAGACTTTTTCTTGGATATCTGGCCGGACGTCTTTCCTTAACGAACCCTCCCGCTCACCGATGCTTGTAGGGTAAAACGAATTGTCCGTTCTGTGCCATGTTACTCGGCCACGTTTTTGGACACTCGAGATCGGAAGTTTTGCAAACACGATCTGACACTGCTTCAAGTAACCTTATACTCTGCTAGCAGGAAACGACCGTGTACCGATCCTTGACTACCGCCGAAGAAGTCCTTCGTCCACCTGAAAACACAGTCGGTCACAATTCGAAGGCAATGACTTGATCTGGGTGATGCAAGTGAAATCATGACCGTCTACTTGTAGCCTGGTTATCGTTTTGAACGACATTCATGATCCCACCATACCCACTATACGCAGTACTCTAACCTGACCTCCTCAAGGACTCGGAATAGATGATTATACCCCGCCGTCGCACAAAAGTCTTCGTGAGGACTGCAGCCCGCCTTGGCACTATGATTGGAAGGTCAACTCCTCGACGACCACATTACAAAACTGCAGAAAATCAAGATTTGCCATGCGAAGACATCGGAATAGACTCGTCAATACGAGCACTCAGACTCTCAACAGTTTTGAATGCAACGAGAACTTTTGCATGACTTTGCTGCCGGTACGGACATGGATGGCTTCGGACTTCTTAGCCTACCGGATCGTTTGAAAGCGCGAGGCGTAGATGACAGTCAGCTCTAGCATCGCTCATGTATAAGATCCTCACGCCTTTCTGTTTTGGTTTACTAATGTGTATCACACTGACCTTCATGGCTGCGTTTCAGCATGAGAGCTCGTATGCTCGAGTCTGGCTTACACCTCGGGCCATCACATCACTTACCGCAATACTGAACGACAGCACGGCAGATCTCTGGACATTGAGACGCGCGTCTGAGATCTGGACGAGCATACTGCCATCCGCCAGACGGCGTCTAGTGGTCTCGCGATTGTGTTGGTCTGACAAAGTCTCATTGGTAGGATCCTCAGAACACCATTGGACCTGCGTTCTTTCGTGGCCCGGGTGTTGATGAAGGCTCGATACATATGCTTCGCGCTCCGTAAGACCACAATCACAAGCGCTAGGCGAACTTCCGTACTTCAAAGCTCTGGCCAACAGGAAAGTCGTGCTTGGATGTGAGCATGGTGACAGCATTATCGGAAGCATTCACAGGGCATCTGGTACACCCGAGATGGGGAGAAACGACATTATGAGTTGAGGAGCACGAGTTCGCACGATGTGCTCAACGAGAACACAGCCGGCCCTACATGCACGCACGACAGGCGATTACCTATTTGCTTGCGACCAGAGAAACATAAATAGCTGATGACTTTCTCAACTCTACCTCATCTTCATAAACTCAAAGACAAAGCATTAAGAGTTCAAGTCTTCTGATCTATCCATTCCCTGCTTCTTACGTCACGATCAAGCAATTTGAGACTATCAAAATGTTCTTCACGAAGTCTTCCCTCCTCTTCGTTGTCTTGGCTTGGACTCTCAACTCTGCGGCTGGTATGCCTGCTGAGAAGAGAAGTACCTCTAACGGATACAGTAAGCAGACGTATGTTCTACATGTATATGACTGAATGCTCACAACTTAAAGACGGTGACCTGGCGGATAACTTCAATTCTTTCTTCCAGAACTTCGGTGGCTACTCCTCCGACGGAAACTATAAAGGTGATCTTGCCAAGGATCTCTCCAAGTTCGCAAGTGGCTTTGGAGGTAAGTTGTCCGACCAGGATGCTCAGTACTGGGCCGAAACCTTGACCAACAAGAAGAACAACGGTGGCTTCGGCGGCTGGTGGGGCGGCAATGGCGGATCTGGATCTGGCCATGGCGGAAACAACAACTGGGGATCTGGACAAGGAGGTTACGGTAACGGCTGGAACAACAACGGCAAAGGTGGCAAGTCTGGAAGAAGCCTGGCTGCACGAGGCTCGCAAGGCAATTCAGGTGGTGACTCGAAGAATGACCAAGCCTGGGGATCTGGCGACTCAAAGGATGACCAAGGTTGGGGATCTGACAAGCATTCCAACGACAAGAACGGTGGATCCAAGGGCAACTCTGGCAAAGGCTCTGGACATGATAGTAGTTCTGAAAAAGAAGATTCTGGAAATCATGGACAATCTGGCGACAAGGGTTCTTCTGACAACTCGAAGGATCAGGTTTGGAGCAACGATCAAGGCTCCGACTCTGGGAAGGGCGGCTCCAGCTATTCTGGAGACCAAAAGGGTTCCTTTGGTGATGACTGGAACTCTGATAAGGGCTCTTCAGGTGGTGGCTGGGGAGTTAAGAACAAGGGCAGAGAAAATGGAAAGGGAGGCAAAAACTCCTCTGGCAGTCACGAAGGCTCTGACAAGGCCTCCGGCGACAACAAGGGACATTCGGGGGATAACAAGGGACACTCGGGCAACAACAAGGGATCTGGCGACAGCAAGGGCTCCGGTGGTAACAAGGGTTCTGGCAGCAACAAGGGCTCCGGCGACAACAAGGGCTCTGGCGGCAACAAGGGGTCCAGCGGTAACAAGGGTGATTGATGGTGATTCCATTCGTGAGCAGTGGTCGCCCTGTCTATGCCACTGATGAATGACACGATGTGGAAACACCTGGTGCTAGACTCACACACTCTTTTGACCTAGGAAATTAGTGCTATGCAGACTGAATAACGATATTGACTATGCTTTTATTGCAAATTCTTCAAAATGATTGAACTTTACATTTGTTTTGGTTAAGCATACACTTCGCAGCTGTTGATGCGGGAAAGTGTCGTCAGCCACTGCAAAACAAGTTTACTGGTCAGTCATTTATCAGGCCTAAGATTAAACACTGCGAGCGGCCTACAAAAGGACAAAACGTACAGCAGCAGGGATTCCCACGTGGTCACCCACCGTAGTACTAATCTGCCGTTCAACTGCTTATGTATGGCAGAGCGGACGGGATGCCCAGTTTTCAGCTGACTATGGCCGTACGTGACTGACATGCAAGTTCATATCAATATATATCACATCTTTATGTCCATGTTGAGTGTGGCAGCCTCGTGAACTGGTAATCGCAGTCGCGGCTCCGATACCATGCTCCGTGGCACGAAACGACAGATGCGAATGGTCCTGACAAGCAATCACGTCGTGATTTGACGAGGAGAACGTTGGACGAATACAATTGCACACAATTCGCGGGAATTTTGGCCATCAGCTGTCAGGGTATACACAGCTTCAATGGCTTGGTTTCGTGACTGTCATTCTATCCTATGTCTATTGTGGTGGACCCGCAATACGTAATGGATGCGCTTCTGTGTTGAAAACCCACGTATTCTTAGTTCCAGCGCGGCTGTCTTGCACGTGGAACTGAGCCGTCTGGGGTCCAGTCGGCATCTCAATAATGGCAGCTAATGTTTACAAACTCACCTCCAGGTGTATGAGATAGATGTACTTCATCACCTCTGCAAAGACAAAGCTCTCCTGTACGTTGCTCTTGCCGCCACCATCTTCAGCGTGTACGTTCTCGAGTGAGCTGAAGCCGGTCTCTGTTCTGCAGTAGAGATTGATAGCCTCGAATGCAGCCCAAGACCAATCTCTATACTTCGGATCCTTCGTAGCCCGGTAGGCGTGATACCAAGTCTCCAGGACCTCAGACCGTAGTCGGAACCTCCCATCAGAGATATGAATGGATTTCTTAGGGTCGCAAGGATTCTCATCGCTCGTTTCACAAGCAGTGGTCCAGGTCACGAACTCACCTCCCAGACCGGTCTTTGTTGACTCGTATATAGCACCTGTCGCATCCGCGATCGAAAGACCATAGTCAACGAGTGTCTGATTGTCGGTGACCATTCCTCCAAGGATGAAGCTACCACCAGCGAACCAGGATAATGACTCCATCGAATTCTGCAGGTTTAATCCATCCCACGATGGTAAAAAGGTCCATTCCGGATGCCCATAAGGATGTGATCCAATGAAGCGAATCGTCGAGTCTGCTGCGACTAACCATCGCTCCACATAGAAACAGTAGAGGTCACTGTTGTAGAGGTATGCCTTGAGTAGATACTCGTAGAATGCTATGCATTGTTAGCCAGCGTTATTAAGACGTTTACTCGTTGATCATACAATCTGCAAGAGCACCCCAGCTACCTTGTGAACCCAAAATTTGTCCAGACTCCACGCTGATGAAAGAACCCAGGAGCCCAGGGTACGGTTCACCAGACGCTGGCTGTGGTCGTAGCAAATATTCTTCTGCTCTCCGAGCCAGTTTGGCGTAAGTCTGGTTTCCAGTAATGTCAGACAATCTTGCAAACTCAAGAATCATGGTGCCGACGCCTGCTAAAGTGTTTTGAACACCTTGGTCCGTCTCACATAGCGCAGGGTCTACCCAATCACGGGGTACGCCACTTCGTGGATCGAATGCACAGCTCAAAATATCCCCTAGTCGGACCATTTGAGCGTATAATGCACTGCGAAGACTCGGACCTGTGGCCATGTAAGAGAATGGACCATTCAGTAAGTCCCAAGCAGAGATCATGGCAGCAAAATGTCGAATAGTGACTTCAAACACTTGGATCCGACGACCTCCTTTCACCTTATTAAGATCCAGAGCAGCGATGAATTCCAAAATCTGGATGACGACATTTTCTTTTTCAAATATGATTGCGGTTGGTAGGGAGTCGATAGCTGTAGCACCCCAGCCACCGAAGTCGTCCTCGCAGGTATTGGTCACGGGGTGCAGAGTATCATGCCCGAAGCAGTGTTTAGAATATCCGTCCCACGCATGTTGAAATGCGGCCACGATGGCATCTGTCCGAGCTATCTGGAGTGGTGAGAGACGCACGGGATATTCTGCTGTAGGTCAGCACACCCACATTTGATCCACTACGAACGTCAAAGGCCTCAAAAGCATACCAGATAAGATTAATCGTGAAGGAGCGAACTGAAGAATGCTCAGCAAGGTAAGAATTGAGAAAGTACAAAAAACGAGCGTGACTTTGAATGCCATGCGCCCTGGACCAAGTCTTCCAAATTTCGCCATGACTTGTGATTTGGTGTGCAAGATGCGAAGTATTAGTAGCAGCGTCCACTTCATCTGAATTCGTGCCTCCATAGTTTGTTGCCTCATTCTTGCAGGCCTAGCTATCTTGGCCGCACTAAATTGATAGAGGTTTCACAGGGTCCAACCATTTCTGTGGCACGGAGTGCCTCTGATTGATTAATTGTGTCGCTTTGTGCTTGCGCGCGCTTAATTTGATTGAGTGCCATTCTACGCTGTCGTCGCTCATCCCGAAAATGAAAAGCTGCAGTGTACGACGGTGAATTTAGAAAAGGTTACTTTCTATTATAATCAGAGTGCTGGAATGCCTTTGGGAAACTCTGGAGGTCTCGACTTCGATGGGTGTGCGCCTTCCTCATAGAGAGTAGGAAGCTCGCCACGCTTACCTGTATGCTTTCAACTTTGCGAAGGAACGTCCGTAGAAAAGAGCCATGATCATGAAGCCAAAGGCTGCCTGACACAGAGACTGCCATCAACACAGGCGTCGACGGTTCTGTTGATGAATCGGCCGAACGGAGTGGATTCGAGGGACTTTAAGAAATGCGATGGAATCAGCCAGTAATCAGAACCTCTGACCTTTCATTTTCCTTGTGTGTATGTCGTGTCGAAGTAGAAGCCAAGCATCTGATGCCTCTGTACGTGCATTGGTTTACGCTCGGGATATCCATGGCAAGGAGACACATCTCAGAATGTCAGTCGATATACACGAGTTTACCGTAGAGCTTTACTGAGTGATGAGGTTGAATTAGGCATCTCAACGATCGAATGCGCTGGTATGTAGAATCATTGGCCCGACGACGATGTGAAAGTCTTGCTTCCGGGCAAAACACACCATTCCTGATCCGTCAGTCAAGATTGCGGGGTCGACTTTGCGTAGACACTTCGAGCAATACTCGTACAGAAGCGACGGCTCTTCGCCCAAATTATTATAGTCTGTGAAACCTGATCAGAAGTGGTTGACGAGAGTGCCAGATTGATTCGTGTCAGAACGATATGCTAGCTACGCCGTACGATGCTGTCCCTCGTCGCTATTTACCTAAGAGACACGTGTGACCCCTCAAGCACACCAACGCCCTAAAAGCTCGCGATATGCAGATCGACAACATCACATGCCAAGACGCATCATCTGCATCCAATCAAGCAAGTGCAAGCCTCGACAAGCTACAGCAACGTCTTATTACTGGAGTAGAAACCTTTGAGCGTCGTTTTGCGAGAAGGAAAGAACGGCGTGTAGCACGGCAAGCAGGCCATCGCCCCTCACTCCCAAAGTTCTGCATGTTGTTCCTGCCTGGTTTCATGCCCGTTTCCACGTGGCTTACGATACTGCCGAGTTGTTTTGCAATCCGTGTAAAATGGACGAGGATGCCGAATTCATGGGCCCTGGAGACGCTCTGTTATCTCGCTCAACTTCAAACATCACAGAGCTAGCTATTCATCGCGAATCCAACATGACGCGGTTGGGTACTTTTCGAGCCTACTGGCTTGGCTGTGTTGTATGTATGGGCGGCTTTCTGTTTGGTTACGATTCGGGAATCATCGGTATGAACTGCTCATGAAGCTCCTCTCTGTTTTTTGCTGAAGTCGCCGTCACGCAGGTGGAGTCCTCACCCTTGCATCATTCGAAAATGACTTTGACTATACAAAGAAAGAAGCGACGCGAAATAGCTCACTGGCTGTCGGTCTCCAGCAACTGGGTGCTTTCCTCGCATGCTTTGCCATCTGGCCGGTCACTCATCGATTCGGTCGTAAATGGGCGTTAGTCTTATGCTCGACTATCTTCATCATCGGAGCTATTATCCAGACGATCAACACGCACTCCTTCAGCGCTTTCTTGGCTGCTCGATTCATCGCTGGTATAGGTCTAGGAGGAAGCAGTGTTGTAGTTCCTATGTTCTCGAGTGAGATGGCTCCCAAGCAATTACGTGGACAGATTGGTAGCTTCTACCAGCTCTTCTACACGCTTGGTGAGCAAACGTTTGTTCTTGTAACCGAACCGCCGTCCCTGACATGGTATTCGCAGGTATCTTCACCAGCTACTGGATCGACTACGGTGTCGGCGAGAACATCTCGACTAGCGAAGCCAAACAATGGCAGATTCCTATTGGTATACAAATCCTGCCTGCCGCTCTACTTGGTCTTGGAATATTCACCCTGAAAGAATCAGTCCGCTGGTTGACTCTCAAGGGCCGTCACAAGGAAGCATGGGAGTCTCTGCAGTGGATCAGAGCCGACAGCGGACCGGATGCCGAACTAGAGATGGACGAAATTCGCCTCGGCATTGAAACGGAATTGCGCGAGAAAGAAGGCTTCCAGCTGAAGGAACTCTACACCCAGCCCGACAATCTGAAGCGTACCGTTACTGCTGCTGTAGTTTTCATCGCCCAGCAATCCACCGGAGCGACTGCCTTTGCAACCTACGGTCCACAGTACTTCAAGCTTTTGGTCGGGAGCAAAGGCAACAATGATCTCTTACTCACAGCCATCTTCGGCGCTATCAAAGTAGCCGCCTGTCTGACTTTCGTCCTCTTCGTCGCCGAGCGAGTCAACCGCAAGATCGTCCTCACTCTCGGAGCACTCTTTATGGCCGCCTGTCAGATTTCTACTGCTGCCGTCGTGAGGTCCAAGCCACCATCTGGAGATGCCACAGTCACGAGCTCTGGTATCGCCACAGTAGCGCTGATCTACCTCTTTGTCATTGCTTACAACTTTTCCTGGGGCCCACTACCTTGGCCATATATTTCAGAAACATTCCCCACTCGCATCAGAGAGCCAGGCATTGGTATAGCCGTATCCTCCCAATGGCTCTGGAACTTTGTCTACTCTGTCAGCACACCTTACATGATCAAGAATATGGGCTGGGGCACATTTCTATTCTGGGGTATTGCTGACCTTGTTATTGCTGGCGGAGCATGGTTCTTCTTGGATGAAACCAGAGGTCGTAGTCTAGAAGACATTACGCGCACTACAGACAGAGTCAAGAGCTTTGGCGAGGACTCTCGTGATGAAGGAGATGAGACCAGTAACACTGGTAAAGGACCTAATGTTGAGATCCGATAGTTCCTCGCGACTGTTTATTGATAACTTATGAATACGCGATATTCTGATTCCGCTTCACCACGCGCCAAAGTCTGTTCTCCATGGACACAAAACTATAGTGCAGTGTCTTGAATCTCAAAGTTCTCTCTCATATACGCATCCGCAACTTGCAATTATGCCTTTCGTGTCAATGGGTTGAGTGTCAGAAGACACTATCAGTGCCTTTACGGGCCCAGATCAGGTCCATGACCAAAGTCTCTTCTTCTGCGCATCTCCTCACAGCTCTCGTTTTCTCAAATCACCGTGATGTGTATCACGAAGATTTAGCAAACTTGAGTGTTTGTGTGCGTCGGAGACACAAGTGTTGGAGGTACCTCAACGGCGACCTGCTACCCTTATTCTATCGGCAGTGTAATGATCAAGATGATGCGAAGGCGTCCTTAAGCAGTGCTGGCTTGATCACCTTCTCGGGGCCAGTTTCTGTAGACGTCGGTGTCCTACGGAGAATGTGCTTCGACGGTCATAGTCTCCGACTCAAGCGACTATTGCAAGGCGATTTGCGTGAGTGATAGGATGGATCCATTTTCACTTGATGCAATGACATGTGATTCGGCGGTCCTGGCCATGATTTGGATAAGGAAGGAAGTATGAAGTATTGCTTTAGATACTGAGTCCTCTGGCCATCAAGGTGTTCATTCTCAATATTTACTGCGAAGATATCAACGACGCGAGGAGCGGTGAGAATCTCTGTCTCTATCCCTTCGGCTCGAAGACTTTTCATCATCATAGTGATCTCTTCGACCAGACGACTTTTCAAAGTCTCTATCCCGGTCTCTGCGATCATAATCGCGGTCTCTCGAGCGATCCCTTCGACTCGAAGACTTTTCATAATCGCGATCCCGCTCTTTCCTGCTATCACGATCCTTTGATCTGTCCCTTCTGTATTCGCGATCTCTGTCCTTGCGGTCGTGATCTTTTGATTTGTCGTGACGGTCATAATCGCGATCTTTACGATCGGAACCCCTTTCTCTGTCGCGTCTTCTCCTTCTTCTCTCTTCGTCATCTGAGTACTCGTCTTTTCGTCGTCGATCCTTGTTTTCATCCTCCCTTCTATCTCGCTTCTTCTCCCTGATTTCCAAGTCATTGACGATAAATCGCTGATTCTCAGCTTCTTCCTTGTCTCGTCGTAGTTTTTCTTTCAATTCGTCTTCTGTCAAAGTCTCGCCCGTCTTTTTGTTCTTCATGGAGACGGGGATGAACATTGTAGGTTCTTTTCTGCCTCTGCTGGAGGTCTTGCCCCAAGCGCCTAGTTCTTCGGCTTGTGCTGCTGCATTGGGATCGGCGCCGATACCGAGGAGGGCTGGTCGCTTTGCGGGTGGGAGGGCTTTCTTGCCGTTTTTTGTGGGTGCTGAAGGAGTGGTGGAGGGGCCTTTCCAACCCATTCCTCGGAGCATCGCGGCGCCGTATTCCTCAACAGGGACGGCTGCATAGTCGGACAGTGATGGCGCTGGTGGAGCAGAGTGGAAGGTGTCGTTGAAGGCATCTTCTTCTGTAACGGCAGAAGCGGGGATTGTGAGAGTAGATGTGGGCGCAGCGCCTGTCAAAGCATCGATAGCAAGTTGGTCTGCCGTCTTCTGCTCTACCTTGTCTTCCTGCTGTCCTTGCTCTTCTTGCTGAGGCTCGTCATCTGCAGACACAGCAGCCGCTGGCGCAAAGACATTCAAACCATATTTGACAGCATCCGTCTCTTTGACCACTTTGTCCGCACCTTCAGCATTCTGGTCACCCTCTCTCCGCGCATCCAGTTGTTCAGTAGTGATGCCGTATTTCTGCGCCCGTTGTCTTTTGGATGCTTCTCTCCAGTCTCGATTCGCAAGTGCTGAGATGACCAATGGTTTCTTTTCCTCCTTTTTCGGTGCTTTGACGTCTACTGCGCCTCCAGCTGCCAAGTTGAAGTGTGTGATGGTCTGTCGTTTTGCGTGGGAGCCATCTTCGTCGTCACTGGCGTCGTCGAGAAGCGCGGCGTGATCGCGTTTCGTGCCGTTAGATCTTCTTGGTGGTGGTGGAGAGCGTCTTTGTGATGATTTAGACGAAGAGACTCCGAGAGAAAAGGAGAGCGAAGCCATACTGTCGCGCGACGTCTGTGGTAGTTGAGGGCAAAGTAATGTTTGAGGGATTGGAAGTTTTGTCCAAGCGGCGTTGACGTCAAGGCAACAGTGACTTTGACCGTCTTTCTTGGCTCGTTCGGGAACCCTGGATTCAACTCTCGCTCGACCGACTGCCACACTCTGGCATATACCACATCACGTCTGACTCAATGCAATGCACAGTCGTCTGCTCGAGAGCGATGATGTGCATCGCAAATCTCAATAGACCTGGACGATCTTGAATCAAGGCCCACACATATGACTACGCTCTCAACGCCAGGCTCTTACAACAGGATCACCGCAACGATGCAGAGTCAATTACCAGTTTGTGGAATTGTCTGTTGAGATCATGAGAGCTGGCTCATCTCAGTGGACCTCCGTACCTTCTCGATGCTCAAAATCACTTTAGGTTGCCTTGCTGCAGCCAATCCTCCACGATCCAGTGGTTGAGAGCTTGGGAGATGGGAAGATAATTATCATTTCCAAGATTGAAAAGACGGCAAGAAAGCAAAGTTTCCGCCATAAATATCACAAGATGATGCTTAAGAGTACATGTCAAGAGAATGGCCTGCCTGTGCATCATCAGAGGCCCCAATTTCAAAGACCATATCTGGGCTGAACAGCCATTGGTCGCAATGCAAGAAATAAAAGCCCTGTCCAGACTTCCCTTTGGGAGTCAAATGCTACCGGTGCTTCCGTCTGGTACCCGCAACCCTTCAAGTGGCAAGGTCTCTACGCAAGAGGTATTTCTTCTCGTCCGCAAGCACGACGACCACAGGAGCCTCTCTGAGACGTTTCATGTTGACACCATGGGTCATCATAGCGAGTGTGATGTGGGCGTCACTGTAGACACGCTCGATGCCATCGATGTTGGCCATACTGATAGCCAGAGCATCCTTCTTCAGGCCACCCAGCTCGCCGAAGATTGCTGCCTCCAGGTCACGGACAGCGGTGTCGTGCTCTAGCTTCATGGTAGCGTCGCGCTGTTCGGCCTGATCAATCAGATGGTGCAGACCGCTGCTGACGGGGAAATCATTCAAGAATGTGTGAGGAAGAGCAGGGTACATCTTGGACAGCTTGGTGCAGTAGATGCAGATGAGCTCATGGTTGACGGTAAATCCACCCTGCTTGCGCATGCACTGGATCGAGAGCTCAATCTCAGCGTCGACGCCGAAGTGAACGATCAGATTCTTGAAAAGAGGTGTATCGTAACCAAGGGGGCTCAGCCACTCCAAGACTGACGAGTGGATCTTGAACTTCGCTTCCTTGGCCCTGCGGTTGATGACAGTAGGGGCTTCTTCAGTCCATAAGCGGAAAGTGTTGACGCCGAGGAAGATTGGCAGAACAATATTGCGTAAACATCTGTTGACGCGGACGAGGGGAGGAGTTCTGGCGTTGTCGAGCATGATAACGTCGTCAGGATCGGTGACAGCATATGTGTAGATCATGTTCTGGAGCTCGGTAGGAAGATCAAATAGACGAAACACTCCAGTGGGAATAAAATCCTCGTCGAGCTCGGGGGTGTTGGACTTGGTGGTCATCTCCACCGCTGAGAAGATGATATGGTGGCTCTTGATATTCTCGATGACTTGGTTGCGGCCTGCAGTCCGTTTCTTGGCCTGGAGGCGTGTATCGCACATGGTGAGATCTAGAAGATCTGTCAACATTGGTGGCGCATTGATGAGGACATATTAGTGTACATACATGATCAGAAAGTGTTCTCGAGAGAAGATCTCAAGGCCATTGTGAGTTGTGGAAGGAGTGGCAGAAGGTTATGCTTAGGAAGGAAGGAAGTCTCGGTTGAAGAAGCACTCAAGATAGGTGATTAGAAGAGAGGCGTAGGTGTGAGTGACGTTGAGAGAGGTATATACAGATGACGTGGGAGTAGACTGTGTATACCCGCTGACTGCCAATTCACTGCAACGCCACCAGCTCGCAGAGTCGCTGTTAGGGACAAGTTTTCCGCTAACAATCAGTTCCGGCAGCACTCTCAAAAGGAAGTCGCCGAGTTGGCGCCGTGTAACAACGACAATCGTGTGTAGCAGATGCCTCGAGATAGGAAACGGATAATGGTTGAGTAGGATAAATTGAACTATTCTGTCGAGCAGCAAGCGCGAGGGCCACCATGCGGAGCAATAAGTTGGAGACGATTCGAGAGAAGCAAATGGCAACGAGTGGCCAGCTGGTCAAGGAACAGTGACGAAATTAAAGAAGACCTTTTGAAGCAATGTTAAACATTACCAGTAGAGGCGACGAACGGAGGAAGGGGATACGGCGCGCGCGGTTGAGGAGAGATTTCCGGGTTGCAGAAGTGACGAGGAGGAAGAGGTGTTGTACTGTTCACTCAGGAACCCGATCTATAAATCGCGACTCGAGCTCAGCGTCCGGCCTTTCCTCTTTTTCCCTTCCGTCACCCAACGATAACTCCATCCAAGATCGTCCAACACTCTCCATCAACCATAATCATCATGTCCGACAACGATTCCACCACAAAGAGCGAGTCGCCAGCCAAGGCCGAGAAGAAGATCGTCACCTTCACCGAAAAGGAAGAGATGGTCCTGAAGGTCGCCTGGCGCTGCCTCAAGTCGGGACCCCCTGAGGTAGAAGAACTACGCACCACGTCGTACGCGGAGCGCTGACAAGTCTAGATCGACATGGATAAGCTCACCAAGGCTGCCGGCTTCAACACCCTGAAGACCGCCACCAACACTTGGGGTCCGTTGTCGACTTCATCTTGTTCATGCGCGGACGGATTATGCTAATTGAGGAGTTCGTTCAGGTGTCATCAAGAAGAAGTTGTTCACCGATGTTGACAACAACACAACCGCACCCGGTAAGTCCGAATATCACGCGATCTCATCGCAAGTCTGACCGAGAACAACAGGATCCCCATCGACTCCCAAAGAACCCAAGACTGTCAAGGCCAAGAAGGGCACCCCTACCCCCAAGAAGCGTAACAAGAAGGCAGCCGACGAAGATGATGACGAAGACGATGACGAGGGCAGATCTGTTCTCGCAAAGAGAAAGAAGCCCTCTCCCGTCAAGAAGATGGTCAAGAGCGAGGACTCTGACGACGAGTAACGAGTCTGTACAAGCTCGAACCGGGAGTTTAGACAAGATCAAGGATTTGAGGATGGCCAGAAGGAAGAACTGGTGGTTAGCAGAGGCTGCAAACCCCTCCGCATATCATGAGAACGAGATTTAATCCCTCCAATTGATCAACGGCTCGTCGGTTCTGAACCTTTGTGTGCAGCTGCTGTCTTTGATGTCGGTCGTCTGACCCATGCGATAAGCGAGCAGACCAGCGTGAGCAATCATGATGCCGTTGTCGATGCAGAAGCGCTCGTCGGTGGCAAAGACACTTCCTCCACGCTCGCTCGCCATCATGCCCATCATGTCTTGTAGTCTTATGTTGCAGCCGACACCACCGACGATGAGAACCTGGCTTGCGCCCACATGAGCCATGGCACGCTCTGTGATTTCGACCAGCATAGCAAAGACAGTCTCTTGCAAGCTGAAGCACAAGTCTTCACGCGTGATGTCCTTCCCGGTCTCTTCATCCTTCCAAGGCTCGGTCTTGCCATTCTGACCAGCCTCCAGCTTCTTTGCCAATTCTTCAATACGGGCGAGAATGCCCGAGAAACTGACGTCCATGCCTTTGACGGCATATGGAAGCTCGACCAGGACGTCGCCCTTCTTTGCCATTTGTTCAATGTTGTAACCGGGAGCGGGATCGTTGCTGATAGCCAAGACGCGTGCAAACCTGTCCAGACAGTTGCCGACAGCGATATCCAAGGCCTCACCAAAGATGCGGTATCGTTGGGCACTGTATGCGATGATTTGAGTGTTTCCACCGGAGACATAAAGGACGACGGGGTTCTGGGCACCGGTGATGGCACGACCCATCTCGATATGGCCGACACAATGGTTTACACCGACAAGGGGCTTGTCCCAGAGCAGGGAGAGCATACGAGCAGCAACGGCAACGGCACCAAGAGGGGCGCCCATGCCAGGACCCTTGGTGAAGCAGATACAATCAATGTCGTCAACCTCGACGCGAGCCTGCTTCATAGCCTGCTTGACCAAACGAACGACCCAGCGACGATGGTGAGCAGCCGTGTCCTTTGGCAAGAAGCCAGAGCCGGGAGGCGAGACATAGGTATGGCGCAGGTTGGAGAGGATCTGAACCGGAGGGCTGTCGTGTTTTGCGGGAGCTGGGGATCCTTGCGGACTGTCGGCCTGAGAGGAGGGATGCAGGATGACACCGACGCCGAGCTTGTTGGCCGAGCCTTCTAGGCCTATTGAGATGGGCATGTTTGCTGTGGTATGGGACGGAAAGAAGACGGTCGGTGTTAAGGCACGGACTTGGCTTCAGAGGGAAGGGACTTTGACGGGCGGAAGCGCCAGCCGAACTGCGGAAAGTGTCAGCGCTTCAGACTGGCCTTGGCCGGACATGTTCACATACAAACCTACCAACCTCTGCAACGACTCTCCCAAGTCACTTTTTGCCCAATCGTTACCCCGTCGTCGCTTCGATGCCTTCTGCTGCTCTGCCTCTCCCCTGTTACTCGCTTCCACCGTCTCCGGGTTCTTCTGGCCTGCCTGGTACTACCCGTCCAAACTAGATTGCGGCTTTGGTCACTATCCTGCACCGTCTCGGCCATGACTTCTCCGCCAAACATCCTCGGTCTCATACTGTCAGCAGAAGACACTATGCTCCTCTGCTAGTCACCCATCCTCTCTTGTCTCAGTCGACCTCGCTTTGGACCTGCCGTCCACAGTCGTCCCCTCTTCTTGTGTCACCGCCGCCCCGCTTACCGCCTGAAGCGCTCAACTACCACGACCGAACATCCCACAGCAGCATTCTCGACACTCTGCGCTACAGTCACACATTCCATCATCGTACGCCTTGCATGTCAACCACCTTTACCTTCGCCCTCCAGCGCGCCTCTATCCCTCAGACTCGACCTCACCGCACCATCAGCACCAGCGAAGAAATCACTGCACCGGACTTTGCATTCAACTTCCGATTGAGAGGAAAAATGGTCTTTGAGACCCAGCGATTCTTGACGTTTCTCATCTACTATACAAGAGTCGTCAAGGGAGAAGAAAAAAAGTGGTATCACAAAAAGTTTTCGCCAGAAAAATGCTTCATCAGCTGCCGCCCTCGCTCTGGCCATGACTGGTTCCATGGCCTGCTGTGGATTGCCCGCCTGCCATTGCCACATCGCCGCTCGATGCTGTCCGCCTCAGATGCACCGCATGCTCGGCTGCTGGCTCCGCTAGCCTTCGCGGCGCCAGAATGCTCGCTCGGTAGCTGATGCCCAATGTGTCGTAGCAATCCATGGGATACACGACCGTCTCACCATCACTCTCGTCGTCAGAGTCGCCTATCACTCCTTTGCTCTGCACGAACATGCGCGGCTTGCGTTGTTCAATATACAAGCGTCCGTTACGACCATATCTTCGCCTGTACGCTGGTCTCTCATATCCTGCTTCTGGTGGCGGAGAGTTGAAGCGGAACATGGTCCGAAGTGGTTGTTCTTGTGCAGCGCTGACCGGTGTAGGCAGGTCTGCGTCTTTCATCTCGACATCCTTGACATGATCTTGTGATGTCTCTGATCGCAAGGATGCTGGGGGCGTTGGAAGTTGAATCTCTTCGATGCGTGGAAGATATCCAGACGCTGAAGAAGGCTCGGCCGGTGGAGTAATTGGACCCCAGGTGTTGTCCACCCAGTCCTTGTTCCACTTGCGATGCTGGCCAATCTTTTCTTCGACTGACCGCTGCACCGCCGCCGCCGCTTCTTCCTGAATGTCTGACAGTTGCACAAGATCGTTTTCTGGTGCACGGGCTGCTTCTGGCCTGCCGGGAAGACGCAAAGTCGTGGGTCGTTGTCCATCGGCCTTTGCTGGTCTGGGCTTGGGCGTGGGCTATTCAACATCAGCTCACGAAATACCACAACGGTAAGAAGCTGACTTACCCTCTGGTTAACAAGAAGTTCCTCATCTTCTCCCTTTTCTCCTTTGATCCCTTGTTGCACCTTGACCCTCTTCAACTCACTGCGCTGTTCGAACACCTTGCGTTCTGTCTCTATCCTGTCCTTGACCAACCGCTCGCGCTGATTGACAGTTATTAGAAGCTGCCTGGCATCTTCAAGTTCTCTTCTCAACTTCTTGAGCTTTTCGGTCACTTGTGCATCTCTACCTCTGGTCTTGCGAGCCTGACGTACTTCGCGACGTCTGAAACAGACATATGCGTCGTTGTCGTCAGTATCGGCACCGGTCTCGAACTTGAGATTCGACAGCAACGAGCGGTTGCCGTTCTGTACTCTCCTCGAACGCCAATGCTCGTAGACCTCTTTCGCCCATTTGCGAGCTTCTACAGAAAGATTTGTCTCGTCCTCTGGATCGTCAAAGTAGCCTTCGGCTTCCTCAAGTGTCAAGATGGGAGCGTTGGAAATGTTGGCGAAGGGATGATTCTTTTCTGACTTGAGTTCAAAAAAACTCATCGACTCCTCGAAGATGTCTTCAGAGAGTTTGTCTTGATCTTTCTTCGAAGTGTTGAAGTTCAGCAGAAAGACATCGTCCTCTTCGTCAATGTTGTACTGATGCCCAATACAGTCCTCGACCGTCGAACTGAAGCGAATGTAGGTAGCAGGTTCGGCAAACTGTCGCGGATACAATTGATCATAAGGAATACCACTGGATTTCGTCTCTGGAGTAGGAATAAAGACTTGGTTGACTTTCGCACCTAGCGACGCAGCGGCAGAGGCAGAGATGACCGCCTGGAGATGGTGTTCCGTCTCCTCTGCCTTTTCTACACCAGTCTCAACATGAGGTATGTGGCGTTGAGGGTCTTCATCGATGGCAAAGGTCTCTATCTCATTCTCCTTGACAACCTGAAGCGGATGCTTGGTCGAGAGTTTCCTCTGCCTGAAGCGTGCACCGGAGGCACGAGTGCTCTGCATACTCTCATGCAAAGTTGTGGTGGATGTGAAATTATGCAGGCAAAAAGGCTTGGCGCTGGATTAATGAAAAGCTGTCCTTGACGGAAAAATTTGCGTGTCGCGAAAGTGGAGGGACAGCGAGAGAGAAAAGAGGAAAAGTTCGCAAATGCCGTCAACGCAACGCAAATAATTAGTCAAAAGGACTTCAGTATTAAAATTGAGGCGCGACTTTGATGAACTTGTCGATTTTGTGATTTTTGGAGATGGCGTGAAAGCTGTGTCGATGATTGATGATTTCTGCGTCGTGCAGCGCGTGTCGCTTTGGCGTGGTTGACCTTCGAGAGGGTGAGGGGATTCTTCGTCGGGCGTTGTGGCATCTGTTTCCGCCCTTTGATCAAGCCCAGCCTAAAGCACTCTACTTGCCGCGGAACGCGCTTGCGCCGGGTCCGAACAGGCAGGAGCCACTTCACAATTTCTCCATTCAGCAGTGACATTCACAATGGACTAGTGGAACACGGGTAGAAATAGTCGACACAGCGGATGCGATCGCGATCTCTCAGTGACAGGTAGAGTCGCCCTTTCTCACACATGCCCTCTTCAGAATAGCAGAAGGTACCCGACCTGGTGTTGACTGCAGTATGAACAGCTCTACGCGATTCACTATCCTGACCTTGTTCTGCATTTATAGAAAGAGCCAGACTGCAGCTTCCCAGCATTGATTACTAGATCCATCACTAGCTTCGGACAATTGGCAAGTACAGAGGGCTTCCCCACCGTCGACTACGTGCATCAACGCGCTCGCTGCATCAACCTTGACATGGTTCATAAACACCTTTGAAGACTATCAACGACGTCTCAGGATGACTGTCCAAGACTCTATCGAACTCACACATGTTCCCTCGACGACAAAGTCTGCCGAATCATTACTGGTCTTCTTCATCACTGGCAACCCAGGCTTAATCGAGTACTACCGCACGTTCCTGACATTGTGCTTTGACAGCCTTCGCAACCGCTATTCAGATTATCGCATCAAAGTCGCAGGCACGAGTCTCCGTGGGTTTGAAGTTCAAGATAATGGCCATCGCTACAGAAACAATGACAATGAAATTGGACCGTACGATCTAGAGCAGCAGATCAAGCACATAGGCCAAATGCTTGAAAGAGCCATTGAAAGCCATGCAGATCCATCGTCATCTCCAAAGGTAGTGTTAATTGGTCACTCTGTGGGATCATACATTCTGCTTGAAGTCTTGCGACGACGGAAGCAAAGCCCAAATACGCAGCAGATCAGTAACAATGCTAAGATCATCGGTGGCATCTGTTTGTTTCCTACTGTCACCCACATTGCTAAGAGCCCTAGTGGAAGGAAGTTTAGCGTACGTCTTCTTCCCTGCTGTTTTCATACAAATTTAAAAAGAGGTTATCTGTCTCAGTATCCGCTCATACAACCCTCTCATGCCCGTCGCATCCATTGACTTGTGTCTCCCAGTTACTATTTGCTATGCCTTACTTCTATCTCATCGCTGGAGTGGTTGTACGCTTACTGTTCTCTTGGATCCCTTTCGCCGCGCTTCAAACCCTTGTCGGGCTCGTCACTGGCTTCCCAGCTCCAGCTGCAGAACCTACAACTGCATTCATCAAGAGTCCAAATGGCGTCAGACAGGCACTGTAAGTCAGAAGTCAATCGTCCATACTGAGTTTGAGTGTTCATTGTATTGCAATAGATACCTTGCTGGTCACGAGATGCTCACCATCACGACTGATATCTGGGATGACGAGCTCTGGGGCATCTCAGAAGCACAAAACTCGAGCAGCGACACGACGAAGCTGTGCTTTTACTTCGGCACCGATGACCACTGGGTTGCCGACGAGGCCCGAGACGAGCTTATCGCTGCTAGAGCCGCATCGAGTGAGGCAGGAGACCAAGACAAGCCCACCATGGAGATAGACACGCATGGCATTCCTCACGGTTTCTGTATAAGTAAGTCATATTGTGGTTACCTAATGAGGAGGATTCTGACCATAAGTCAGAGCATAACGATCTGATTGCAGAGAGGGTGGACAAGTACATTGAGGAATTGATGCAAACTCTCGTATGATTCGATTACCCAATCTCCGACCTTTTTGAAACACATAGTGATAACCCTCCGCTATGGATCACATGCTACCGAAAGTCACACTGGAGGCAGGGCTGACCGTACCAGTGAACGCTGAGGCAGGGCGTCTCGAGCTTGGCTGGGAGGAAGGTCCCAGCGAAAAGCTGCGGTAATTGACTCAATCGACTCGAACTCGTGGCAGGCTACCACTTTTGAGCGACAGGGCTTAAGCAAAGAGTGTCCGCTCTCTTCTGCGTTTGTGTTTTTGCGATGCACAACCTCCAGATACACAGGTTTTACTGCTCTCACCTTGGCTTGTCATCTCCAAGCCAGCACTCAATCAATATGGTCTCTCCTTTCCGTCGCTCGTCGTTCATACCTACTAGTGCTGACCGTGGAGCGCAAAAGTCGAATGTCATCAGCTCGCCAATACAGGCGCCGCGCGACCACAGAAGACCTGTTCACGTGGCTTCAAGTAAGGACAATGTTGGAAGCGAATTTGGGAAGTCGTTCTTTGTCAGGTGTCCTCGGTCTTCATCCTGCGGATCACTCACGCCAATACTTGAGGAAGATACAACAGCCATCCTGGCACCGCCAGCAGTGGATACTGATATGACTAACTTCCTCGAGACTGGCAGTTCACAGTCCTCAGGTGCCAGTAATGATATGCCAATGGTGCTCGATAATGACTCTTCTTCAGTAGCCAGCTCTACCACTCTTCTCGCTAGTAGTGTGGGGCGATCTCCGGAGGATCTCAGAGACGACGATGACAGTCTGAGTGGCGATCATGAAGAGCTGTGCGATCGCGGCCAAGAAGTACTGGATGATTTCGAACAGATGAGCGAGATCATAGCCCTTGTCGGCGTTGACCTAGAAGCCATGGAAAACCGCATGCACACGTTATCCTCGTACAGTGATTACGAAGCTCGACTCTCTCTGTTTGAACGCCTACGCAACCGAGTCAGCAGAATGGACACCAGGCTCAGAGACGTGGAGACTGGAGTTGCAGCCTTGAACAAACGTGCTGCAGAGCTTGGTGTCACGGTCGAAACATTTAAAACGGGAGCCGACAGGATGGCGACTTTAGACCTTCGTCTTCGCACGTCGAAGTCGCGCTTCCTCGAGGGGCAGCGTACTTACGGACAGCGCACTGACAAAGATCATGGCATCGTCCCCACGCAAACTCGCATCAGCACAACCGGTCCGATTCCACCGTCAATCGAAACACCAGATCTCCGTTTCCCTGGGAGTTGGAGACCCATGTACATGTTAACTGACACCCCACCTGTGTATCCGACTCTGGACGCGCTCAACACAGGCTACAACAGTCCCTCGCAGATATTGCTGCGTCAACTACAAGGGTATCATCCACACGCGACCGGTCCAATACCTCACCATCATGGTTGCAACTGTCCTCAGCGCCTTCGTCTAGAAGTTATGTCTAGATACGGAGTGGCGCGTGGTGTCGCGCCTGACAGCAGGTCGCCAGATACTGTTTGGAGATGGCGGCTACAAGGTGGAAGTAGGATATGATAAATCAGTATGTATACAGGATGATCTGCTGGTTGCATCTCGAAAACTGATCGCTTGGGTTAGGCAACATGTTTCGAAATTCACCCACGTGAACACAACAAAAACCCTCAATTGATGTTTGCCCGCACTCCGTGGTTCCTTCTACTAAGCGCACATGGAATCTGTCAAGATCTACCACGTCGACTTTGCTTCTACGAACTTTGTCCTACTAGCCGGTCTGCGCCTATAGCATCCTCCAAGCAATTATGTTTCCTCTTCTCCAAGTCTGGTCTGCCAATCAGAAATTTTTCCCCCCAACATCTGTTCAAGAATTAAACCCTATCTACCTCAATGTCCCTTGCAAAGTCACGGCTTTTGCCTCGAAACATGGTCCAGAGAAACAAAATGTTCTCGTCTGCGTCCCTTTGCGCGAGACTAAACAGAAACGAATGCTCGCTGCTTCAAGCTATAAATATTGCGCTTCTCTCGTGCTCCTCTTCTTTTCCTACCTTTCGCGTCACTGGAGAAAAGAAATTCTGACCATTCCAATTTTAAGAACCACAACTGCAAGTCTTAATGTCTCAATTCAACAGACACACTACGTACCATAAACTACTTCGCTGTTAGTCAAGCAGAAAAAGCGCCACTCTAATGGTTCTTTGACTCGACAATTCTGTAAAAGAAAGTCGTCTCTCAGCTTATCAGGTACTGTCTTGCCAAAACATCAACCACGCACCATCTCTTCGACTCGAATATCCGTAAAGGGAAGTCGACTCGACCCTACCAAATCCTCAACTCGGCTTCTCTGTAAAAGAAAGTCGCATCTGCCAGCTCATCAGCTATTGTCTTCAAGTCACATCCTCTCAACTTGACTGTCCGTAAAGGAAGTCATCTCAACCCGAACTCATCACGCTCGACTTGTCTGTAAAAGAAAGTCTTGTATTACAGTTCAACAGCTGTTTCTTCTTGAATATCGACTAGCCGTAAAGGAAAGTCTTATCTACTCTCGCAGCGCCTCGACTTGAGCTCTTCTGTAAAAGAAACCTCTCTCAGCTCATCGACCGTTGTCTTATCAGACATTTGCCAGATCACAGCGAATACTGCCGCTTCTGTCAACGCGACATCAGACAACCCTCGATACCACCGAGTACCTGTCTCACCAACACTCACAAAATGCTTTACTTCAAGTACCACGTCACCGTCGACTCGATTATGAACTCGGACTCATCTCTAGAGCCCGGCACTCCAGACACCACAACCTCTTCCGAAGGCTCCAACACAACCACTTCAACCCTGAGCCCTTGCACCAAGGAGATTGAAGCCTTGAACCACGAAATCGACCAAAAGGTCGACAGAACGGAGAGAGAAGAAAGAGACTACACAGCCTGGCTCCACACCACAGCCGAAAAAGTCCACTCCCTCGAAAGCCGTCTCTCAAAACTCAGCGACGGTGCAAAGAAACGCTTCAGATCCGTCACGGGCAGAATCTCCCTCTGCAGCCATGACAGACATGAAGCCATCTTCTGCAAACAACAAGAAGTCAAAGCTTTGCGAAGACACCTCGCTGATCTCCTCGTTCTAAACGGCAACAACGAACAAACGTTAGTAGATGATGTTGATGCCGAAGATTGGAAACCAAACACTAATCGGGAATTGGCAGCTGCTCTCAATCCACGTCTCGTCACCACAACGCCCACGGCTGATGAAGCTTGGTACTCTGAAGCTTATCCAAAGTATGAAGAGGGACGGAAGAATGGCAGGATGAGTAAGGATGTTCCTGTCGCTTGTCCACAACTCATCTTCACGAGCGATAGTGGAGATGGTCCAAAGGAGGAAGAATGGACTGAGGAAATTGCATACTCAAAGTACTTCAAGTTGGTCAATCACATCTATGATTGGATGGATGAGTGTGATGAAAAGTCTTAATCTCGTGTTATCGACTACTAGAAGGGGAATGGTGAGTTGATCTCGTGCTATCAACACTAGAAGGTAGATGGTATGTTAATCTCGTGTCATCAACTGATTTGTGGAGGAGGAGGATGTCTTGATCATGACTTGCGATTTTTCCTCTCTGATGTTCTGAGTTCTCTGAGGTTTTTTTCTTCGCAGTCAATCACGGTGGTTGTTGGGATAGAAAATCAAAATCATCTTACTGCCAGCAATCGTTTTCGAAAGTAGTAACATTGATGCGTGCCACAAAAGTGAACAAGATTTCAGGCGACCTATTGAGCCCATGACCTAGTGACACGCAGGTACTTGAGGCAGCGACCGCCACCTTCTGCTTCGAATGCAGTGATCATGACGACCAGAGACGTAATACTTTCTACCTGTTCTCCGGAATCACGAAAATCAGGAGAGGCATAACAAAATGAAGATGTTACACACGCTTTCGGTTCGTGGCGACGCGAGCACCGTGGAACAGCATAGAGGTAACCAGCCATGTCTCTCACACCTGGAAAACTGTACTAGGGCGAAAGTTCTGGTCCGTCTTTTTAAATAATGATTCATTAGATGTAGCCGAAATTAAGAAGAATGATTTGAACGCGAAAGCCCGGTTTTCCTAACCAGTGTGTGGGTATATAGCGATATTCCTGTGATGACAGCGCCCCGAGATACAGACCAGAGAGCATGAAAGAGAAATCAAAGAAGAACAAGGAAGTCGTAGAAAAAGTAGAAGATGTTCAGTACTGAGGTGGCACGAAGGAGCTCTTGCTGGTCCGCTCATCGTAGACGTGGAAGCCGAACTCGGCGGCGTTGGGAGGGGTGTATACTACATGATGGATTAACGCAAGGTTCACGGCGAGTGGAAGGCGAGATGTGACTGACAGTGTAGCGACATGGCAGGCTGGACAGGATCCGGGTTGAAGACGCGATGGAGGCCAATCTGGTCGGAGATGTATGTGACGTCATTAGGATGGTAGACAGTCTCCTGCTTGACGTGCAGAGGATGGACGCTGGTGTCTCCACTCTCGGGCTTATGGTAGATGGTCTCTGTAAGATTTCCCTTGAGAATCTTCATGACGCAGTGGGCATCAGCATGATCGTGAATCAAGCTGCCTTTGCCAGGATTCCAGACGATGAGGATGAGGTTCGCCTTGCCGTTGACGTTGTCGACAATGTTCCTTGTGTAAGCCCTGCTCTTGTCTGCACGAGCATAGCGCTCCCAGTGCCTCGGATTCGAAGTATATTTTGCCATCAGAGCCTCGATGTGGTCCGGGTCGACGTGGGCTGAATCGATGCCACTTGATGGACCAAGGTATTGGCGGATGTCTTTTACCAGGAGGCCAAAGGGGTCATCGGACATGGCCGACTTGCAGGTAGCGCAACAATGTACATGGGCTTGGTCGGCCATGTTGAAGACGGGAGAGAGTGGTGCGGCGACAGACATTTTGGATGGAATCTATGAAGAAGTCTTGCCTTCTGGAGAGCAGATGTTTTATATATATCGAGTCGATGGACAGAGCAATGATGCAGTGGTTAGAGCGAGGGGGCTTGATGCCTTTGTATTGCAGACAAACATGGCAAGAAGTCGGCGATGTTGGTCGTGACCACCAATGTCAGGGCATGATGGCTCCCAAGAATGTCGCCGGACTTGATCAAGTAAGGACGCCCTGGGTGGCCTGATGTTACGACGAGCCATATCTCATGCCAAAACTCGCGCAGTCGGTCTTTTGTTGAAATCTCTTAGACCATGGCTGAGAGCAGGAGATTAACGTCGCAAGATTCAAGTGAGGGTTTTGTGTTTTGTAGAACAAGTCGGAGGCTGAAGTGGTGTGGGTGCAGTTACTGTACTGTTGCCCTTGCGTTGCCCTTGCAGGAAAGAACGACCCCGCAGTCGTCATTGCTGCCAAACGATTCGCCAAATTTGCAACTCCGACTTCTCACAAGCAAAGAGGCGTCGCGTGTGTCTATACCGCAATCACCCACCCTCTGTCGCTACACACGTCGCGAAATATACCTCTTCTCTGCGCACTAGCCGCATACTCCCACACAACAACTACCCAACATGGCGACCACCGTCGACAAGGTGCGCCACCGCTGCATCCTGATTTGACAAAATCCATCGCTGACTCGACATGAATCACAGATCAAGCAGATTGAAGATGAAATGGCCAAGACGCAGAAGAACAAGGCCACCTCGTTCCATTTGGGTACACATTATCGACTCATGCGACAGAGCAAAAGCCAGAGGACAAGATACTAACAGAGGGCCAGGTCAATTGAAGGCAAAGTTGGCAAAGCTGAAGAGAGAACTCCTTACTCCCACCTCAAGCGGTGGCGGTGGTGGTGCTGGGTTCGATGTTGCTAGAACTGGTGTTGCCAGTGTGTGAGTGCAAGAAACTATCCACCTTAAAGTATACAGAGGCTGACTCTTGACAGTGGTTTCATCGGTTTCCCCTCGGTCGGAAAAAGTACCCTGATGAGTCGATTGACTGGTCAACATTCAGAAGCCGCTGCATACGAGTTCACAACCCTCACCACCGTCCCTGGTCAGGTGCAGTACAATGGCGCAAAGATTCAGATTCTCGACTTGCCTGGTATCATTCAGGGTGCAAAGGACGGAAAGGGTCGTGGTCGCCAGGTCATTGCCGTTGCAAAGACGTGCCATCTGATCTTCATCGTCCTCGACGTCAACAAGCCTCTGACCGACAAGCGTGTCATTGAGAACGAACTGGAAGGCTTCGGCATCAGAATAAACAAGTCTCCGCCAAACATCCATTTCAAGAAGAAGGACAAGGGTGGTATCAGCATCACAAACACCGTCCCCCTCAACCACATCGACCACGACGAGATCAAGGCCGTCATGAACGAGTACAAGATCTCCTCGGCCGACATTGCCATTCGTTGCGACGCCACCATTGACGACTTGATCGATATTCTCGAAGCAAAGAGCAGAAGTTACATCCCCGTCATCTACGCCCTCAACAAGATCGACGCCATTTCAATCGAGGAGCTCGACCTGCTATACCGTATTCCCAACGCCTGTCCCATCAGTTCCGAGCACGGCTGGAACGTCGACGAACTTATGGAGCAAATGTGGGAGAAGCTTAACCTGTGCCGAGTCTACACGAAGCCCAAGGGTAAAGCGCCCGACTACACTGCACCTGTCGTCCTGAGGTCAAACGCTCGCACAGTCGAGGACTTCGTATGTTCCCCTCTTACTCCGCGCATTTGTGATCCTTCAAAGCTAACCTTCTGCCAAGTGTAACGCCATTCACAAGACCATCGTCGACCAATTCAAGGTCGCTATTGTCTACGGTAAATCCGTCAGACATCAGCCTCAAAGAGTCGGTCTCTCTCACGAGCTCGCCGACGAGGATGTTTTGACCATCATCAAGCGATAAATACGAGCATGCACGTCACTCGCCTACCACCCATCCCTTCTACTCTTTGATATCCCCGGTTTGAAAAGCTGCCTCGAATCGAGATCAACCTTTCCGTTGGTCCGTAGTATTTGCAGCAGCCTCTGTCATACCCTTCCAACAACATACGCTAGTGTCCACTTCAACACACTCGTATCATGAACAACAACGACTGGTCCGGTAAGAGACCTCCTTTTTTCCCCTTCTTTTCGAAGATTTCTTTCTCAGATAGACCGGCTTCTGCCCATGGAAATACACGGCTCTCATCCAATGAATTGATGTTTTCTCTCGTCTCCTCTTCCTGCCGTCATCCATTTCAGCTGCAGGCCATTTTTTAATTGGCCAGGATTCGTTATCCAAATCCCACTCGCGAAGCAGCTGCATAACCGCCCCGCACGCAGCCTCGGCCCGTATTCGACATTTAATCAAAAGTAACGGAATCCAACCTGCCATTCGTCAACTATGGCTATATTCGAAAGCCAGCCATGCGGTCTGGTGAGCTGATCCAATAACGCAAGGCATGTCTCTTGTGTGAAGGAACACCGTGTCGCTCGGCTTGACCTCTCGGCCTCTGCAGCGTACAGTAGGCCGTCTAATGACGAGGGTTTGCAGTCGCCTGCGACGGCGCCGTCTGAACGCCTGTTCGCCTGGAGCTTCGAGACTCAACTTAACTTGCTGATGCCGCGCTTGCCATGTAGAAATGTCCGTTTGAGGACGATTGCAGACGGGGACATCAGGAATAAGATACCACTGGACTACGGCCGGATCAATAAGAGTCGAAACATGCAATACCAGGGCACGATTGGTGTTTGCGTTGTGTTGTGCTGTCGGCGCTTGGGCCTCCATCCATCACAACTATCAGGCCTTCCAGCCCACAGCAAGTAAGAAGCCGATCACCTGGTCCCGGCTCTCCGAGACGATTGCGGGCGGGTTAATTCCCGTGTGGAGTTTCCCTATGGCTGTGCATGCAACGATGCAGGCGGCCAACAAAGCGGCCGCAGCAACAGGCCCTTTAGAGCCTTTACGAGCCCCAGTCCTCTACTTCCTACATGCATCGTAACCCAGTACTTGCTTTCCAGGGCCCCAACAACTCGAATCTAGTGGCTGCCATCCCCCTCCTTTTTTGCACCTGCACCCACTATATCGGTCCTCTTGTGTACATCATGTCAATTGTCCCCTGCCGCTGATGATCCTTGGATAATTATTGTGGTAATCCTTTCGGAAACCAGCCTCATACCGTCCCGATGAGGTTAACTTAATCTCTCATAGGCAAGCCGTGCTTCCACACTATTGTCTCCGATTACCACATCGCCATAGGCAAGCAACCTTTTCGTCCCTGGGACCTCTTAGTATCTGCATTCATGCCTAACAAAGTGCAGAAGCTTCCTCTCCATATTGTCAAGGTTCGACGTCGAGCTGCATACTTCGGCTCGCATGGGGACTGTGCTTTACTGTCATCAGGAACGACTTGCATGTTCACCAGGCTCAAGTTTCCTGACATTCCGCAATTTTTGACTACTTGGACGTACAGAGAAGCTCACCATACGAACAACTACAAGGCTGCTCCGTGTGATACACCAAGATGGAGGACAGTTCTGAGCAACAACATCAGACTGCCTTCGACAGTATTCCAATGAGGTGGTCAGAACAACACTCTTGCCCTCATTCATATCATGGCACCCCGGCACAAGAATATACAGGCTTTGGCTGGGGCTCACTACCACTTCCAATGCATTCAGCTGCCTTTTCACAGTCGCCACCATTGAGACCGAGCCACCAACAACTACAGCCATTGATGATGCCTTGGCCGAGCATGATTGGAAGCCAACAGACATTCTATCCACCACTGCTTCCGCAGACTCAAGTTGGCGCAACATCTCCTCCTGCCGTGACGCCAGTATCAGCCGGCTCTTCTATCAGATCAGGTCCTTCGGTACGTAAGACATTGTCGGATGAAGATCGTCGGAGAATGTGCAAGTACGCGGAGGACAATCCCACTGCTAAGCAGACCGAAATAGGATGTAAGTCCCTGCTCAAGGAAATCCAGGAGACATTAGACTGACCAATTCTCAGATCTTTTTGGAGTGGAACGGAGGTATGAGCATGCCTTATTTCTGCCAAGTAACGTGACACTGACTAGTTCAAAAGCACTGTTTCAAAAGTCCTTAGGAAGAAGGAGATCTACCTCAACTCAGCTCAACTAAAGGAGACGCCACGCTCGCCTCCGAACAAGAGGACAAAATCACGACTGCCAGATATTGAGAAGACACTCTCGGCGTGGGTCACCAAGGAGCAGAAGAGAGGTTCACCTATCACAGACGATGCTATCAGAGAGCAGGCCTACTACTTTGCATCCATTCCTGGACCAGAAAATCCAGCTTCGAATCCAGTCAACAATCCTGGCTGGCTGGAGAAATTTAAGCAGAAGCATCACGTAAACGGCGCAATACCGAGTAGCAAAGAAGTACGCAAAGACTCCGTTACAGACTCTGACAATGCGAACAATGGTAATTCAACACCTTCGCCTCTGGACGAGACTTTGAGCTCGAGCTCACCAGAAACCGTTTATCCTGTCATGGACAGCACAATGATCGAAGACATCAAACCGACTACCAACAAACGACGCAAATCTCCTCCCTCCATAGATACAGCATTCACAGACATTGGCTCGACCTCGACTTGCTTTACACCACAACTCCTATCCCCAACATCCCCCTTCTTCTCCCCATCATCTCAAATCTCGGGACCACTGCATAGCCCTCTTCTACAGCAAAACTTCCCAGCTCTGGATCACTTCATGTCGGACTCTCCCTCTGCCTCTGACACTCTATCTCCCTCCCGACCCTTTTTGTCTTTTCTATCCGATGACAAAGAGAGGTTGGGCAGCATAGATGAATTCATGGAGGACATCGACGTCAAGACTATTGATCCCGGAGCACTGTTGAGGACGAAGAAAATACCCACCGAACAGGAAGCTAGAGATGCTTTGGCTGTTGTGGTGGAGTATTTTGAGGGTCAGCCGAGTGGTTGTTTAGAGTTTCAGGAGAGTATGCTGTTGGGGCGGTTGAAGGAGAAGTTGCTGGTGAGGGGGTAGGCTTCTTTTTTTTTTTTGGCTTGTTGCGTCCTGCTGGTCAGGCTGCTCTGTTCCTGTCGTTCTCGGGTCTTTCTTTTCTGCTTGGCTTCTGTTTGTCTAACCCTTGTTCTTGCCTTGCTGATTTTTCTCTTTTTCAGTCTTTACTTTTCTTCGTTGCATTTTTTTTATATCTCTTTTTGTTTTTGTTCGCTCCCGGCTACATTGGCCTGCATTTCGGACAACGCACATATTCACGTCCACAGGGGTCAAACAACACAACACAACACAACACACATATACAACAGATACATGAGCTGCTCACGCAGTGAAGACGCATTTTGTATTATGGATGGCGAAAGGGTTTTCCCTATCTCGATTCTGCTCATTTATCTCGGTTTATTATTAACTCATGTTCATATTTGGCAAAGTGCAGATTATGCTTTCTTCTCGGCAAGCAAATATTTTCTAGACTCGAACTTCCTCTCCACTGTCGTTCCTTTTCAGTACAGCACTAATGCTTTGCTCTGTCAGCTCAGGGAACAATTTGACAACGACCAAGTCTACTATTCCCACAACCAAGTGTTTGTTTAGATATGCATCACCGAACGCATCCAACATGTCCTCGACTTGTCGTTGCACCTCTTCCTCCCCTCTATGCGCGAAAACTTGTTTCACGATAATAGGAGGTAGAGCGGCGAGGATGGCATCGGCACATTTAGTTCGTAACTCCAGAGCTTCTTCAGGTGTGGGTGGCACGCGACCAGGGCCAAGCGAATTGTTGGGAAACATGTTCGTTCGGGCGAGAAGGAGGATACCAGGTAGGCGAGTGGGATCGAGCATTTTAGTGCGTATGTGGTAGGAAAGAAGTCTAGTGCAAGTGTATAGAGTCAGCCAATAATGTTCCCCAATCAATCGGGTTTTTCGATAATGCTCAAATGGTTGCAGCGGTCAGTTTGATGAACAGACGAGGGGTCAGAATTTGTAAGTGATGCGTAGAGTATGTGTGTGTGGTATGTCGATAAATTGACGAAAGCCTGGATTGCGTTCAAGATTGCAGGGCGCGCCGCCACGGTTACACAGCAGATGGTCTGTTTAAGCGCCCATAGGATATGGAACTGGCAGCAAGGAAATTGGAGCGGCAGGATCGAGGCCGCTCGCTAGGCCGCAGATCACTTGTCCAAGCCAGTGGTCGTCTTGAAAACGACGATGTTCGGCGAATACCGCTCACTCTCGATCCTCGAGACCAGACGATATGCGGCTGCCGCATCGAGGAAGTCGTCCCCCGACCCGCGTTACGACATAACCCGCAGTAGCAACGAGAGGAAGCTCCAAGTACTGATGTAAATGCCGGATAAAATCCTAGAACTTTGAAGCGGGTTCAACTTTCTGGCAATGGGCGCTTCAAAGTGCGACGTGGCGCCCTCTCAGAAACCCCTGTGGACGTCCAGTCTACGCAGCGCGAGCCAGCATGTCGGTATTTCTTGCAGATAGCGCCACGTTATGCATTCAAACTGCGGCTGACAGGCGGGCGGCCCGTCGCGAAAGGGCATTGGCCCAAGCCAGGGTCAAGTGACTGGAAGTACATGCGGGGCCTCAAAGATATCCGGCGGGACGGCTGAAATTCGGAGGAGTGAAGACAATCAAAGAATGTTGATCGGCGAATATCGCGTTGCATGACGAGGGCGGGTATGGGCAGAGATGAGGAGGAGAAAACAAACTCACCTGTCCAATCTGCTGTTGGTGTAACCCACCTTCCATGAGCGGCAGATCAACAGCCACTGTATGTACGCACCCATGGTGGTAAGCCAAGGCATTTGCAAGTCCAAAGAAAGCAAATGCGAGCAGCAACTCCAGAGGGACATCCCTAAAATTGGTCGTGTAGTACTGTCGTGTGTTGATTGCTGGCGTATCGAGCCGCCGTCGTCTAGGTCAACATGCGTCAATTCTTCCTTACTATTCGCTCGCGGAGGCAGAGATGCAGCATCTGACAAAGCAGTGAGGAGCATGCGTATGGTCGTGAAGGCAAGGAAGGCGTATTGCATGGCCTGCCAGAACACCCCGGATAGAGTGTCCATCGGGGTTCGTCTTGTGACAATGGGTGTTTCGTCACCATCATCGCTGTCATCTGCCAAAAGCCCAAATTTCTCGAGACGATTCGGACTGGCTGGTGGTTGTTGCGGTACATCGGATTCTGGAGGACGAAGAAGGGCCAGTAATTTGGTGACGATGTCCCAAATAAACCAGCCTTCGCATATGTTGCCGCAGACTCCGCGGCCGATGATTAATTCCGAGAATATTTCGGTCACCAAGACCTTGAGAGGTGGGTTGCTTAGATCTTCCGGAGGAAGCAGATGAGACAAGACTCCTTGGATAAGCAATTGGCGCCATACAGCTTCGTTCTCGGCCTGGTCCAGTGACGCCAGAGATTCGGGCTCGAATGGAACTGGAGAGAGGGCAGGATGGGGGTTGATGGCGTGATAGATTTCCCTCGGATCTGCTACAAGTAGTGAAGTGTGAGATGTACTATATGCAGTTCGATAGGCTGATAGACTGTCAATTAGGCGAGTACGATATGTCTGCTGTTGATGTGACCATTACCTGTAACGTGGACGTTGACCAATTCGGGAAGCTCATCGAGTAGCAATGCTTCAAGACCTACAGCTCTGATCCGTTGCTCGAGCGCACGTGTGCAGTGGGCAATGATATGAACGACCTGATCTGTGAAGTCCTGGTCCGGCGTGATTCTAGAGTACCAAGCCTGAACGAAGTCTTTGATGATGATGGATATCAGAGCATAAAGTTGGAGGTCGACTTGATTGGAGCTGGTTAAAGGCGGTAGTGATTCAGACAGTGGCTTAGAGATGTTCCGTGCCCTGTTGCCTTCTGTACCAGCGAGTTGCTGGGCGCAAAGAGTACGTTTTATGAAAGCGACAGTCGCCTCATCAGAATAAATCGAGTCTAGCTTTTTGCTGCTCTTCGATCTGTTATGCCTCGGTCTGGATGTATTGTTGCTTCCAACGGAGGTGTTGCTCTTGGTCCTCGCATGACTACGCGGCATAGCGCGGCCAGTCTCTTGATCCATTTATGAGAGATACGTCCAAAGGCATTGCTCGGGTTAGCTCATCGATTTGATTTAGTCATGTCGAAGAAACAGAAGGTTGGTCGTAGGCGTGGTGTGCCGGAAGTTGTTGATGTCCATGCAGGTAATTTCGGTGGGGCTGGTTGTTGGCAGGTGCACACCCCGGATCTTGACATGGTTCGCATCGTCACTTCTTCACGTTGAACCTTGAACCTTCTTTGTCACAACCAACGCTATGGCTTCCACCGACGGCCTCGACCAGGTGGATGGTGAGTTCAAGATCGGCCTTTGTTCCTGTCTGCTCGTCGCTGACTGTCCCCCAGAACAGCTAAAGGCTGTCATCGACAACTTGTACATGCTGATTTGCCAGGCACACGAGTTCCGAGGCTCGCAGACAACAGACGCCATGACTTTTGAGATGTAACGCGACCACCTATACATGACGGCCCACCAGAACAGCCAGCTGATACGCACCCAGTAAGCGTCTGATTCAGAATCTGCTCTCCCTTTGTCAGACCGCCCGCACGCTACCCACCGGCCTTCCATCAGAAATCATCGAATACGTAGAGCGATCGCGCAATCCTGACATCTACACACGCGAGTTTGTCGAACTGGTACAGAGACTCAACCAACAACTCAAAGGCAGGAGCCAAGCCTTCGCCGACTTCAGGGACATATTGGCAAGAGAAATGGCTGGTGCTCTGCCTGATTGCAAACAAGACATCATCATGGTCGTTGAGAGCACTGGAGGCAAAGCTCCCTCCTGAAGACGACATTTCATCTATGCGCGCTAAGCATGTCTACCTATACAAGTTGCGACGCATCAAAGGCCGTGGTAGCGGTTTCTCGCACTACTTCAAAAGACAAAGGGAACCATTTTCCACTTCCCGCCTACGCTTTCAGGCCCGAACTTCTGTACATACCACTCTCTGGTTCCATCCGCCGTCACGCCCAGGTTCACGCCAACAAAGACAAGAGCACATGCGACGGTCCAATTCAGCCATGCACCGACCGGGGCTGCGACAATCGCAATAGCAAAATAGATCAAGCACTCAGCAAAGTAGTGAGGGCAGACCAGATGGTTGAATACGGGGTGCTCAGGCACGCTGTACTTCTTCAGAGACGCCATGTATGCGTGGCAGTCGTGCTGTACACCGGAAGCAAGTATGAAGATCAAGCAGCCCACAAAAGTACGGAGCGATGGCGGCTCGATAGTCAGGTGTGAGAATTCAAAAGACTCTTTGAGGAGAGTTGCTAGGGAAGGTAGACAAAGTCAGAGGAGCAAGACGCGAATGTTCACGAGACCGAAACCTACGAGATCCTTCAATCCAGACGGCTACACTCATACTAGCATAAAACCACATCCCCAGGGCCCAGTGGCCGATCCACATGCGAGCGCTGGAGGGTCTAGTGAATTCCAGACTCTCATACAATCGACGGACACCTTGGAGGAGCATCAGTACCCATGTGACAATGACTTGATCCAATGTCATGGACTTGTTGAAGGTGGTCAAGACTGCTAGATTGCGCCAGAGCGACTGATCAAGCAGAATCTGGGAGAACCATATGAAGGAGCACAGAGTGGACACGACATAGAAGGATCCAAACCAGCCATGAGGCACTTGGAGCGTGGCAAGTGCGTCAAGCGGATTGGCACTAAGTTTTGAGGGCTGTTGACCATTCTGGCGAGAGCCATAAGCTAAGAAACGAGTGCGAAGAGAAGGCACGATGTGGGTAAGAAGAGCCTGTCAGACGTCAGTGAAATTGATGGCACGGTCTGAGTAGTTTTTTCTGGCTCACGGCTATGGCTGCCAACAAGAAGGAAGCCCTCAAGAATATGACGAGGTCAAGCATGCCGCTAGACAATGTTAACTTCTCGAAGCAACTGTTACAGATAAAGTGTTCTGAAAAGCGCATTGAAAGGTTCCAGGCGAGGGCAGCACAAGCATGCAACAGGCTTCGCTAAGGACTTTCGAAGTCAACAAGGCTTTCTCGACAGAACAGAAGCAGAGCAAGAATCAGGCAAAGGCAGGCCTCGACTGTCGGTGAGATTGGCAGAGGCTAGAGACAAATGGATCGGCTGTGGCAGAGCGCACGTGACTGACGGAGGCCCAAGCGCGTCTTTGGACAGCGGACCGTCTTCCAAGTTGCAGCTCTTCCTAACGTTAACTGATACTTGCTTCTTCCCAATCCACAACAACCTTCGCCCGCCCCTTTTACCACCTGTCCCTCCAGATTGCATCTTGCGGAGCCGGTCTTCGCCTTGGACTTGTATTGCATGGCCATATTCGCGGCATGAGCCACAGCACCCTCCCCGACAGCAACAACGCGCTTGTCCAGAATGCGCCGCCTCCCACCGTCCTCAAGAGCACCTCTCCTATGCCTCTAGATCGTCCGCTCGCCTCCCAGTTGCCTTCAACCTCTCAGATCCCCCCAAAAGACGCACCAGTCTCCGCAGACGACGAAGCTTTGGATGCCGAGAATGACTCCGAGGCTGAAACCTTGATCGTGTCTCCCGTCAAGAAACGCGAAATGCTCAAACAGTCTGCTTCCGTCCAGGCGTTAGACAGCATCGACGAGATCCCCGAGAAGCTTGTTCTACAACCAGAAGAGACTCAGACCCAGACTGCTGGCGAGGCTTCAATCGACAAGGTCCAGACTAACGGTGACAAGCCACGCAACCAAGAGGAGCAGCCGCTCGAGAAAGGCGACAAACCAGACGAACAACCTGCCTTCGGTAACGGAGACAACCAAAACAGTGACAGCGACAACTTGAGTGACGTGTCGTCGGTGCATTCGTTTGATGGCGACAACGGGAATGAGAATGACGTGAACAACAACGGAAATGACGACGAGGACGACGAGGACGAGGATGGAAGATCGTGGGCATCTGACAAGGACAATGAGGACCGAAGACCAAATCCTCGTAAACGCAAACACGCCGATGAAGAGCAACCACGTCGAAAGCGAAGGTCTAGCCAAGACCACTCGTCTTCACCTCAATTGCGCAGACATCGACGGACCGCTTCTGCGCAATCAGCACGACCCAGCCAGAGCCGGAGCAACAGCGGACAACATCTTCACACAGGAGGAGTCGCACGCCAACGACGCGCCGCTACACATTTCCCCGTTCGCGACAACATACTTGCAAAAAACGTCTGGGACTCGGACACGTCGTCAGAAACATCACACCAATACCCCAAGAGCAGACTCACTCGAAACACCAGCAGGGCAGTTTCAACACCGGGCCGACCAATGGGTTTAGCTAAGCGCCACGTCAACAAGTACGGCTTTACTCGCCTGGCCGAGGCTTGCGAGAACGGCGACCTTGACGGAGTGAAAGAGTGGCGCCAGAAGGATCCCGAGCAACTTGAACAGCGGGAATTCGCAGGAAATACGCCGCTTCAAGTCGCCTCGCTTAATGGATATCCCGAGATCGTGAGCTATCTGCTCGAGCAAGGCTGCAATCCACATTGCGCAAACGCGGACAAGGACACGCCTCTCATCGATGCCGTCGAGAACGGCCATCTCGACGTTGTTCAAATCCTCCTCAAGGCCGGGATAAATCCTCTGCATTGCAACTTGAAAGGCCAACAGGCGCTTGATGTCATTACCACAGAAACCGAGAACGCTACGGAAATCCGTGCCGCCTTGCGCGAGGCCATCGAGGAGTGGAACAAGAACGGCCGATCGGAACAGACTTACAACGTCGAGGAACCAGCATCGAGGCCCGGACCGAAACAAGGCTTACAATTCCTTGCGCGCACATATGAAAACCTCCTCAAGCTTGTCAGCGACAACGACAGAACGGCTGTCCAAGAATTCCTCGATGCCCGGGTGCCTGTTGACAATAATGTTGTCGCAGCAGCGGCAAAGACTGGCGACCTATACCTTGTGAACATGCTTCTCGCTGAGATGACCCCTAAGAAGGCTCGTCAGAGAGCTGATAGACCCATGCTCTCTGTTATCGGGACTTCCCACTTTGATATGGTCAAAGCCCTCACCGAACTCGATCAATTCGATCCCAAATGGCACTCTAAGAGCAGCGGCCTAAGTTGGTATCAAATTGCTGAATCCAAGCAGGGCCCGCGGTGGAAGGAGGAGAAAGCACTTTTGCAAAAGCTGTACGAAAATGCCGGCAGTGTTCCAAAATTGAGCTCCAGCCCGGTTGCTCGACGCGAGCCTACCAAGAAGCGAAGGAGAAGCATGGAACGCCCGAACGACTCTGATGTAGAGATGGAGGATGCCGACTCACCGGAGAGGGCACGAAGCAGAAGACGTCTTGTCTCTAAGAAGGATATGCGTACTACAAGCAGACAGCGATCGTCTTCTGAGCTCTCCGATGTTGCACCGCCCAGAAGACATGGTGAACGACTATCGGATCAGACTTCTTCAAAACCTCCAGGCCCGCGAAAGGTTGGACGCCCAAGAAAGCACAGCAACTCTCACCTCTCTGAACCACAACCTAAGCGTCAACGTTCATCCTCAATGATTGAGCCTACGGAAGAAGATCATGACGCATACGATTCCGAAGATGACGCTCAACATGAAGACGACGATGATATCAAGATGGAGGAACCGGATCGTGAAGCTGCTCAAGCAGAAGCTACCCGGAAAGCTGATCTTGACGCAAAGGCAGAGGCGCAAAAGCTTGCCGACAAGCTGCGCAAGGATGAAGAGACGCGGAAAGAGGAAGAAGCAGCTCGACGCAGAGAAGCCGAGCGAAAAGCCGAAGAGATCCGTCAGCAGCATGAACGAAGACTGGCCGAGGAGCGTCGTCTGGATCGGGAGAAGAAGATTCAGGCTCTTCCAAGCGCTCTGGGTCACGTTATCGGCCTGGCAGATGTCCTTGGAAAAGAGAGACAGACGTACATCCAGAGACACTTCCTCCCTGTTCAGGTCGTGAAGCGCGTGGATCTTGGAGATCTAGAAGATGAGGGCAAGTCCGAGGATCTCTGGATGCTGAGCTACCAGGCTGCTGCGATACTTACTGGCAAAGACGCAGATGTTCTTTTGAATCTTCCGCTCGACGCCAAGGTAAAGCCATCTCTACTCTCTGGAGCGTCAACATCCGAGGTGACTCAAGAGCAGCGCCGTTTGATGCTGGCATGTCTACAGTCAACAAGTTTGGTGCACGGACTGCCTTCGAATGATGACAGCGACACAGAGGAACCCGGCAACTTGTTGACTGAACTTGCCGAGGCCGAGACGATCCAACAACGCATCAAGGAGGACCGAGCAAGATTCTTGGGCATGAGCTCTCTCAGGTGGATGCGCTTCAGCGACTTTTACAACATCGCTACCTCCGCCGAATGCCCACACTTAGCCGGGCTAGACATTCAGATGAGGTTCGACTGCTGTCTTGACTCGGCCCCTTTCTCAACGGACATCAAGACGGTCAACGGCACGAATGAGCACGACGACGACGATATGGAGGGAGTCACGGGCACGAATGGCACCGACGAAGTGGGCCTTTCCGTGGCTGGACCCGGAGTTACGACAATAACGGTTGTACAGGACTGAATTGATTGATATGCAAAGCACAGCGTCTGATTTTGTTTTCTCGTTTCACAGCATGGCAAGCAAAGCAAACAAATCATTGACGAACGAGGAGACCGGGGAAGTTGTGTGTAGAGTAGCTTCGACGAGACGGCTGATGGTGTTGGGATTCTTTCTTCCTGATCACCGAAGCCAGTACATAAATTACATTTTTTAAACTCCCTGTATATTCGCTCTCGCATGCTTTGCTGATACCAGCTGCATATGGGCATGCCTTTGCTGCACACGATTGCCGGCTATCATCTTGTCCGACAGCCTTCGAGATGGACCCCAGGATAAGTCGGCGAAGGCGCAAAGACGCCGAAACTTCTCCACATTTCGTCATCATCACTCTCGCAGTTAACAACGGACATAGACGGGCCCTCGGCAAGTGCTATGGAGCATGATGAATTGATTGCACCTTCCCAACTTTTGAGTGATCCTTCCTAATCTCCCGTGCCTCCCCGATAGTATATACACGCTCATCATGTCGAAGCTCTCGCCCACTCTCAAGCAACTCATCAACGCACCGTTCGCAAAGCCAGGCGCTCTGCCGGCTCCTCAGGGCATCAAGGCCTTCTACCAAAACTTGGCCAAGGATGCTGCGGCTAGAGGTGTCGGTGTGCCTGCTTGGTTGTCAATGGCTGTATGTGCATATGCTACGTTTGCAGAAGGACTCGAAGCTAATAAAGAGATGGTCAGACTGCGACGACCATGACGATGAACTCTCCCGACTCGCTGGCCGAGCTCTACCGAGCAGCTTCTCCCGAACACGATGCAGTAGCAACAGCAGAATTGATGAGAGAAGTCGGATTAAAGTGTATCGGTTTCAATGGTGTATGTTTACCCCATCCCTGTCTACCTCTTTCCTTCTTCCAGACCTGTACAAATACAGACAACTGACACATGGTGAATGCAACAGGTCCCACGTACAATCAACATGCTCAACGCCTTCCGTGCCTCCCTGCCCGAAAACATCGTCTCGTCCCTCTCCACAGAGCCCACCCGCATCCCTTCTCCCCAAAACATAACAGACATGTCCGCCCGCGGCCAACAACTCTGGAAATCAATCTACGACCCCTTTGACAAGAAACTCTATTCCAAACTCGCAGACTCTCACCCTGACCTGCCAGTCCATATCCTGCATTCTGAATACGGTGCTCTGTTTGCGGATCCGCAGGAAAAGGTGCAGGGTAAGGTGGGGAGAGTGTTGACTAGTGTTGTGGCTGTTAGTTGTTTGAGGACGCAGACGGGTGTTGGGCCGCAGGTTTTGAGTCATGTGTTTGGGTTGCGCAAGGCGTTCAAGGATGGGAGTGCTGAGACTGATGTTGAGGGTGGTGAGTGGTTGGCTGGTGATGAGGGAAGTGTATGGTTGTTGGAAAGTGTGGACAAGATTGTAGAGGCTTTGAGTGGTGGTAAGGGCTCTTCTTACGCGCCGGGTTCTTCTCCTATCAAGGCAAAGCTTTAGATCTAGGATAAGAGGAGTGAGAAATATTAGAAGGTAGTGCTAGATGGATGATCATGTTCGTTGGAAATGTACATATATATTCATGACATGATTTGCGTGTAGATGATTTTACACGATGCAGATTGGTATCAGATTAACTCCTTTCCTGCTCCCTTTTACTCCATCTCGTGGAGGTCGTCAGCCACCTTGAACTTGGCAGCTGTCTTTTCTTGCACTTGCTCAACAGTCACACCGGGTGCAACTTCGGTGAGAGTGAGACCCCCGTTGACGCGGTCGACCTGGAAGACACACTGCAAGTGATGTTAGCGTTCGCTCGGATCATAGTCAATATCAGAACAAAACTTACCAAGTCTGTGATAATGGTCGACACGACGCGAGCACCAGTCAGGGGAAGACTGCACTCCTGCTGGATCTTGCTGACACCGTTCTTGTCGACGTGATCGGTAAGAACGACAATCTTGGTCTGGTCAGGGTTGGAGACCAGATCCATAGCACCGCCCATACCCTTAAGCACCTTGCCGGGAATCATGTAGTTTGCCAAGTCACCGTTTGCGCTGACCTGCAGAGCACCGAGCATAGAAACATCGATATGACCACCTCTAATCATAGCGAATGATTCGGCACTGTCGAAAGTAGAGCCACCAGGGAGAATGGTGACAGTCTCCTTGCCAGCGTTGATGATGTCGACGTCAACTTCCTCCTCGGTAGGGTAGGGTCCCATACCCATCAGACCATTCTCCGAGTGGATCCAGACCTTGATCTCGGGATCCAAGAACGAAGGGGCGAGAGTGGGCATACCAACACCCAGGTTGACGTAGTAGCCTTGCTTCAACTCCTTTGCTGCACGACGAGCGATTCTCTCACGACGCTGCTCAGCATCACTCTTGTTGCCTTGGTCGGCACCTTCGACCTCACGCAGTTTCTTGACCTCGAGCTTCTTCTCCTCGGTTGCGGGAACGATGCGGTCAATGTAGATACCAGGCAGATCGACCTCATCAGGCTTGATCTCGCCGATGGGTACAATGTGCTCGGCTTCCACGATACTACATTTTGCTGCCTTTGCCATCATGGGTCCGAAGTTTCCAGTGGTGTAGCGGAAGACACAGTTACCTGCCTCGTCAACCTTGTAGGCACGGAGAATGGCCACATCACCTTGAATAGCGTGCTCAAGGTTGTACTTCTTGCCCTTGAACTCGCGAGTCTCGCGGCGGTTGCCAGATTGCAGAGTAGTGGGCATCTTAGAACCTTCCTTAGGAGGACCCATTCTGATGGGAATTTCACCGGTCTCGATCCATGTGTGAACACCAGTAGGTGTGTAGAAGGCAGGAATACCAGCGCCACCGGCTCTAATACGCTCAGCAATAGTACCCTGTGGTGTCAATTCGACGTCCAGTTCACCAGTCAGATACTTCTTCTCGATGGCCTTGTTGGTACCCAGGAAAGACAGAATAACAGAGGTGAGTTGTCCATTTTGTACCAGCTCAGCGAGACCGTATGGACCAGCACCAGCGTTGTTGGAAACAGCCTTCAGCGAGTGCAGATTTTCAACTCCTCTCTTTGCCATAGCCTTGATAATAGTATCTGATTTACATCATCAGCTCACCCCTCTCGAATGACAACAGCACCAGAAGGACAACATACCAGCAGTACCACAAAGACCGAATCCAGCACTCAAGATAGTAGATCCACTCTTGATATCAGCAACAGCCTCATCGGCACTGCTAAACACCTTTGACCTTGAACGGTCAATCGTCGGCGCCAGTGACTCGTTCAACTCAATCTCATCGACATTGCTACCAGGCTTGACATCATTGATGAAGCCACGAGTAAAAGTCAATCCAGCAACACCAGCACGCGTGCTCAACGCAACACGCGCCGTCACCCGCGGCAATTGTGTGCGGAACAAAGCATTAGAAGTCGAAGGAAGCAATGCCGAAAGGCGTGTGCATGAACGTCTTGTCGCTGCCATTGTTTATGTGTGTGTGAGATGTGAGAACGTTCAACCGGGAAGAAGAATGTATGTAAAATAAGGGAAGAGGGAACTATGTATGGCAAAAGAAATATCCCTAGCTTATTAGCTTGCTCCTCGATCGGACTGTCTGTTCGTTTCTCGGTATCTGTGTTCGGAAGCCGTGCCGGATGTCACTTACGGCAAGCACTGTTTGAAGCGCTTGTTGCTTCCCGAGTTTGTCCGGGGTACGCCGCTTCCCCACGCCGAATGCTCCGCGCTCTACCCGAGACAGCAACATGAACTTGCAAATGATATCGTACTGGATATAGCGTTGATTAGTAAAGGCAGAGTTGCGGGTCATGCTCATTCTGCTGGATAGGTCATGATTCCAAGAACTTATAAGTATTTGATCTTTGAGCTGGACAGTCACCCGTGTGCTTGATGCCCGCTTTCCCGTCGAGCGCATTTTAAACTTGGTAATGACAACACAACGACCGAGGAACGTGCTGATGAGCCGTCACATATTCTGACACGTGTCTAAGCCCATCCACTGTGTATAACACCATGCAAATCAGCCACAAGCCAACAGACAGGAGTACAATGCTGTCGACTGTCTTTCAAAATGTGGTTGAGGTGATGACCCTGCTTGGAAGCCAGGTCCGCCAAGGAATTCAAGTTGTCGAAAAGGTGCAACACTCGTCTAGTAAACGTTACACGTCTCGTATGCTGTAGGTTTTTCGCTGGGAGGGATATCGTGTGCACGCCCCTGCTATGAATGTTTAGGTTTTGAGTCTTCTCAAGACGCCGTCCTCCACCGACCTTACCCAGCCATTACTGTAGGAGAAGAAAATGTGTACAGGATAAGCCGAAAGTCGGAAGTCAATCGTCCAGCAATGACTTGATCTCTCCTACCAGATGGCACAGCTCACAGAGCTCTTCGAATGACCATGATCACTCTTTCTTTCCCTCATCAGCATCCTCGGCGCCCGATTGTGCTGCTTCAACAACATCGGCACCTCGAACTTTGCTCGCCAGACCAGCCCACTTGCTCTTGGGACCGCCGGGCGTAGGGTTTGAAGTATCACGGATGATGCTCTCGTGCTCAGCAATCGACTTGTTATCTTCAACACGTCGTGTGAGATACATAGTAGGCTTTCGTCCTCTTCTAGTGTGTATACGCTGCATTTCTTCCTGGTAGGCCCGCTCGAAGAAGTTGTCGTCCACCGCACCAGGGCTTTCACAAACCACATGCGCCGGTGGACCACTGTCCGGGATCTCTTCTGACGTGTACGCTGATGGTGAGTCGCTTCCGGTGCCTATACCGAGATATGTTGTTTCGGACAGAGGGTCTTGAGCGTGACCTTTGTTAGGAGTTTCCAAGGCACGGTCGACTGAATCTTGCTGGGCCTCCTTGTCTGCGCGTTCCTCATGTTCGACACCTTCGGATATGGATTGAGTTCCTGGCTCATCCATCTCTCCAGGACTGCAGACCATCTCGTCAGACACAACGATCTCGTGATGAATACCCTCAGCGGCCAAAACTCGCTCAATTGGTTTCCTGTCGTCAGCATTACTGCTGCGTGTTCGTCTGTGCTTTGTCTCGATGCTTCCAGGAGGTGCTACTATGCGGGATGCGCGGCCGAAGAGTCCGTCCATCAGCTCCGGGCGTTTGTGGAATAGCAGCTTCTTGAAACGTTTGACAGCTTTCATCTGGCGCGCGCACATGTTAGTCAAAGCATCAGGGCACAATATATGCAGTACATACCACGACCAACAGGTGCTTCATATTTCCCGTGATGGCGCGATTCATCTCTTCTTCGGTCGGCATGTCGACTAAATCGGCACAGTTCTCTTCCATCGATAGCAGCGGATCGTCTCCGTTCTTGGTGACCCAGGGATGAGCCTATATACCGTCAGTCTGATAGTAACTGTATGGTTATCATAAACACACCCTCAGTTCTTCCATTCTGATCCTGTGGTCGGGGTCTTTCTCCAGAATCCTACGCATAAGGTCGATAAAGTCTCTGTTGTGTTCCTCGGGCAAGGAAAATTCATCAGTGCGGATTGCTTCGTACATCTCGAGAAGGCCGGTCTTCTCGAAAGGAATTCTGCCATATCTGAGACAGTATAGTGTGACGCCCATGGACCAAATGTCGGCGGCTCGACCAGAGACATGACCATGTTTAGCAACGCACAGTTCCGGAGGCATGAATGCAGGCGAACCAGCTGATTTTGCGGTGGTCATGTCGGATTGCTTCTCAAACATTTCCGAGACTCCGAAATCAACAATCTTGAGAATATCATCTTCGTTGACAAGACAGTTGTCTGGCTTGATATCTCGATGGACGATACCTTGAGCATGTACTGTGTAACAGGTTAGCCAGCGAACATTAACAAGCTCACCCAAAGCAGCTCCTTACAGTATTCGATCCCCAGAATCATGTCGCGAAACCAACATCTGCATGTGTCTTCATCGTAGGGGTCGGCTCTGTCGTCGATGCCGACCTTCATAACGACACCCTTCTTGCACATCTCGAGAACCATGTATAAAGAGTCCTCGTCTGGGTCGTCTAGGACCTCGATCAGTGCGACAAGGTTGGTATGGTGTAGTTTCTTCATGATGGCAATCTCTTCTTTGATCAGGTCCAAAGAGTTGTTCGCTTGCGGAGTGAGTCGGTCGGATGTCGACATTCGATTTAACGGAGAGTTGAAGCCTCTACTCGCACGGCTCTTTTGGTTCGGTCTTCGCAGCAGATTTGATTGCGCCCGCTTGCGCAGACGTGATTTTGAGAATTCCTTGACGGCATATTCATTGCCAAACTGGTCTGTAGCTAGGTGTACCGCACCAAAGGAGCCACGGCCGATCTCTTGCTTGATGGTGTATTGATTGATGCGGTGGACGGATGCGCCGTCGTCTTCGCTGGAGCCATAGTGTGTTCGCGCGTTGAGCGTTTCCTATGGATTGCATATTAGACCATGTCGCAATCAGGAAGAATGATGAGACAAGCAGACTTTGACGGTGTTTGTTCGCGAGGGAGCTCGTTGATGGTGTCTTATGGGGCTTTGGTATGCCGGCATGGACCTGCGCAACGAGACAGAAACTCAGTACATTGTCAAGGCAAGACATGATTCCAAGATTGCGTCCTACATATGTTTAACAGCAGCAGGGCGGCCATGACTGGTGTCTGTCTTGGCTATGTTGAGTGAAATGGCGCGCGAAGGCAGAATATGGTGATGGTGATGATGATGATGCCCCGCTTCGGATGATGATGAGCGGGCGTCTGTCGCCGAGGACGGATGATTGTGTGAATCTGCCATGGAGGGGGGGCTGGGAGGGCTTTTCATGCGTAGGGAAAGTCAAAATGAAGATGCTTGTATAACATTGCTGCTCGTCTACAACTGTGTTTCCTTTGCGCGAACAAGGTGAACGCTAGGCCCGACTATTCCGAGACTTATCAGAGAAGGAAGCACGCATTCGACGCCCGTCGCCGAATCTTGCACCCGCCAAGCTTCATGCTTCGTCTCCACATCGTCAACCAAAGGGCTAGAACGAATCACCAACCATCCCTGTTATCCGCCGACTTGTACCATCAATCATGACTGTTTTCTCTTTCTACATTTTTGATAGGCATAGTAAGTCAAGAACCTCTTACAACTGCCAAAGCTAACGTTCGTCAAGCCGAGTGTATATACAGCAAACGATGGGCTCAGAGGCCTGTATCTCAAAGTGTCAAGTCAGCCCAACGTCAATCAGGAGCAAGTGCCATCAGCAATGGCGACGTGCCGGGCGTAAATCCGAGAGCTCTGTCGAATGAGGATGACGCAAAACTGATATTTGGTTCAATCTTCTCTCTTCGTCGCATGGTGCGTCAACTGGGCGGTGAAGACGACAGGTAACAACATCTTTCCGATCTTAACAAGCGATTATGTTGTGTGCTAACGTTTTCTAGTTTTCTTTCATATCGTACCGGGGAATACAAGTTGCATTACTTTGAGACGGCGACAAATCTCAAGTTCGTCATGCTGACAGACATACGCATAGGGAGCATGCGTACTGTGCTCTACCAAATATGGGCCAATCTCTACGTCGAGTATGTCGTCAAGAATCCCATCTCACCTGTAGAACACACCGGCGGAGTGGGAGTTGCCAACGAACTTTTCGAAGGCGCTCTGGAAAGCTTCATTGTATGTCTCTGTGTTTAGATTCTCATGACTGTAATCTGCTGACAAGTATATTGCAGAACACTGTCTTCCCTCCTTCCTGAACACACGCTTGAGCACTGAGTAACATCAGATGCTTGGTACGTGTAACAAGCACTCGCCCGATAGCTTTCGATAAGTTTGACCAGAGCGCACATCAACTTTGGAATCCGGATCTTCCTGAGACATGGTCCCAATTCCCGAGCTGCCATCTCGTCGCTTCCATACTACATCTAATGACTTTGGGGCCACGACCAAAGCTCTGTCGTGCCAACAGTGAAGCGCATGACTTGAAGCACACTGGAAGATGCTCACTACAAGTTGGTACCGAGGCAGACAAGTTTGTGGGAGACGGACCTTGATGCCGCACTTCGACCTAGCTCGCAACCCCTGGTGTTGCTTTTGGTCATAAGTCAGATCAGTTCTCGCCCAATCTAGGGCGGCTGAGTGGTGCACAGCATACAAGAGTGGTGTCTGAAGCCTTTGGCGGAAGAAAGTCACAAGTCAAAGCATTCATTCCATCTGGCCTCAATGTGTCCCGAGACATAGCTATACACACCCGATATGATTTCCCATCTAACTCCATGACTCCATGCTTGATCTCTCTTCCAATGCCGACGTAGCTTTTGTTTATTTGCTAGCGTTACCCATGAGTTCGCAACCATTTCTGACAGTACCGACCAAACCACCAGTCTGAAGGTTTTCGCTGCCACCGCCACTCAATCTGTGCTCAATCTCAGCCAGACCTTGTAACCAAGCCACCTTTGTGTGAGCAGGGACTTCCAAGTTCGCAAGCTCGTCACCCAGAGCTGTCAGAATATCAGCCAAGGCCAAGCCTTTGTTTGCCTTGAGCGTATTGATTGTTGCCAGACATGAAGTGACGTCGGGATTTGAGAGAAGCGTGTCGCGGATTGTTGCGATGTCAGAAGGGTGAGGCGCGGCGATGCAGTCGAAGATGGTCTCGTTTGTGATCAGGTCGCGGTCAATCTTCGCTCCTTCGACAGGTGCCTGGCCAGGTAGATGAAGTGGTGTTGAAGATGCGTGGCAAGCTTGCAGGACGTTGAGTGCACGACGCATATCACCCTTGGACAGTGTGACGAGAGAGTCGGTGGCGTCAGGGGCGATGTTGACATGCTCTTTCTCGATGACGAGATCAACAAGACGTCGAATGTCTGGCTCTTTGAGCGGGGAGAAGCGGAAGCGGGTACAGCGTGATAGCAGAGCGGGAGATAGCTTGTGGGTGTAGTTGGCGATGATACAGAAACGGGTGTTGGATGTGTATTTTTCCATGATTCTACGCAGCGCCATCTGAGCAGTCGAGGTCATGGCATCGGCTTCGTCAAGAATGATAAGCTTGAAGTTGGCCGGGCTGCTGTCACGTCCAGTCTTGTCAGCGAATGAGGTGAAGATCTGTTTTGTGCTAGAGAAGGTCTTGATCTGCTCGCGCACGACGTCGATGCCACGATCGTCGGAGGCATTGAGTTCGAGGACCATTTGACGCATGTTTTTGTTTCCGTAGATGCGACGAGCGAGGGCAAGGACGGTCGACGTCTTTCCGGTACCGGGAGGACCATAGAGGAGGAGATGGGGAAGTCTGTTGCTGTCGACGAATTTGTTGATTGTTGCCAGAATGTCCTGGTGGCCCGAGACGTCGTCGAGAGTGTTTGGACGGTACTTTTCCACCCTGATCATGTGTCAGAGTCTGGATTCATGTGGCATTGGTGATGTCGACATACCAGGGTAATGTGTCTTGCAGCTCGACAGGCAGATTGGCGGCGCTTCTCTTGCCCTTCTCGTTTGCATTGGACGAGAATTGGATGGACGTGTCTGCGGCGGGCGCATCGACGTCCATGTCATCTTCGTAGTCGGACATGATTGCTGATGTGCTTGATTTGGACTTGAGCAGTGTCGCAGTGTCGCAGTGCCGCAGTGCCGCAGTGCCGCGAATTGGTGACGCTGCCTTTTCCTGAGAGACAGACGCGTCGCGCGTGAAAGCTCCAATCAGCGCCGTAAGGGGAAAGGTCAAAGTACCCCACACATTCGGCATCGAGCATCCAGATTATGCAGCGCAACGAAAACTCGACCATCTCGTCGCATTCCACTTGCCCTCCGCCATGCACTCGCGCGTCCATCCCGGCGACTATGTGCTACTACGCCTCCCTTCGGACACCCTGAAACTGGTCCACATAGTCCCGAATACGTACGACACTACCGGAACCACCCTTGACGACTCCTCCCACTAACACGTCGTCTAGAGTTGTATCAATCGGCAAATTTGGTTCCTTTCCGTGCAACCTCCTTATTGGACGCCCATACTACTTCACATACGAGATCACCGACAAACAATCAGATTCTGATGTTTCGCGTCTACGCGTCGTGCCAGCATCTGAGCTGAACGCCGAAGTCCTCGCCGAAGATGCTCTTCCGTCAGAGAATCCATCAGAGAAAGCCGACGAGTCGTTCGACATTGTTGCCGACGATGGCTCACTCCTGTTGAAAAACAACCGCCTTACCGTCGACGATGCCTCCCGCCAAGTCCTCACCATGGACGAGATTGAAGAATTGAAGAAAGCTGGAACTGGCTCTGGAAGAGACATCATCGAGAAGATTCTCAAGTCGCATACCCACCTCGGCGAGAAGACTTCGTTTGCTCTGGCCAAGTACACGCTGAGGAAACACAAGAAGTACTTGCGCAGATTCACCGTCCTGCCCATGAACGTCTCCATGTTGACCGAATACATGATTGCCGAAAAGGAGTCTTCAAGGGTCATGGAACTTAGAGAGGAGTCGCTAGGTCTGGTCGGCAGCTGGGCAAACGTTCACTACCACCCGGATGCAGAACCAACCTTGACTGAAGAGGGCACACAACTCGGGGGTGGAAGATGGCTCGTTGTTGATGACACTGGTGGCTTGGTCGTAGCATCTGTGGCTGAAAAGATGGGCATTCTATACCACCCGGACAACGAGGACGAAGATTCAGAGGACGACGCAGAGGCTGCCACCCAAACTGCCGTAGAAGAGGCAGCACCAGCAGAGGACGATGCCGACGTGGAAATGCAGGACACCTCCAAGGACGAAGCTACCAATGGAGAACCCAGAGAAGGAGAAGAAGTACGAGCTAACGGCAAGAAACGTCCCATGAACCGCCACAATACCAACCTCGCTTCGACGAACACAATCACAGTCCTTCATGCAAACGCCCAACCAAACGTATCTCTCCTCAAATACTTCTCCTACGACACAAATATTCCCAATGCCACTCACCCTCTGCACACCAACCTCAAGACTCTCACTTGGCTCCAACTCATCGACCCTTCGGCGGATCCAACCTACGACGAACCAGAACGTGTACCTCAGGCCGAACTCGATACATGGAAGTCGGGAAAACGCGGTGCCTACTTCCGCAAGCGCCGCCGCTGGGCTCGCTGCAAGCAGATCGTTGACGAGACCCGCGCAGGCGGCTTTGATGGCCTGATCATCGCCTCCTCCATGAACCCCGCCACCATCCTCAAAAACACAGTCCACCTCCTCCGCGGCTCTGCACATATCGCCATCTACTCACCTACTGTGGAACCTCTGACCGAAATCATGGATCTCTACTCCAAAGACCGCAAAGCTGCTTTCCTCGATCACATCACCAACGACACTACACCACCGGAAGAAGACTTCCCACTGGATCCAAGATTGGTTCTGGCGCCGACGTTACAGACCACGCGGATTAGACCGTGGCAAGTTTTGCCTGGACGTACGCATCCGCTCATGATGTGGAGAGGTGGTGCAGAAGGATACCTCTTTACAGCCAGAAGGGTCTTGCCCGTAGATGGCAAGGTCGAGGCCAGAGGCAAGTACAACAAGAAGAGAAAGATTGGGTAGATGTAACGGTCAATAATCCACTAGACGCCATCCTCCATGAGCTCAACTAGCCGTGGTGATGATTGTTGGTGGATAACCTCTTGATGCTCGAGGTCGGCTGACGGGAAGGAACTGGAGTGTCAGGCGCAATAGTTTTGATGTCGGCACATACTCAAGTGTTGAGATGAACTATGGCGAAGGTCATATATGCAAAGGTAGAGTACTTGAACAGAGTATGAATTGCTTTGTCCGAGGCTGGTGCCTCGGGAGTACCCGTAACCTTGATTGTGGTATAGACAGACGGGTCGGTTGGCAGGTCAACAAGAGTCTAGGCGTTACGAAGCGGCGGTGATGACGGCTTTAGCACGATATTACAATAACAATCAACGTCATGATCTCTTAACAACACGGAGTCGAACGGTCTGTATGCGAAATCAGTGATGTGATTATGCAGGACGAGTATTGTGTAACGACGGGACGAAATTGAGCAAGAAGAAGCAAGCAACCCCGCTTCGAACCTCGAGGGCTCTCTCCAGGCAACTCTAACATCGTCCGCTCTGGACTTCGCGTCATCAACATGACGGTATACTCGACAGCCTCGAGCTATCCATTTCCGGAACAACAGTCTGGGTCTTTACACAGCAACATTTTCCAACCACCTCGCACTCCTGGAATGTCACATGTCTTCGCAGCCACGCCATCACAAGACAGGCCTGCGTTGACGAGGAAAAGATCACGCGCAAACTCCAGCAAGCCAAACACATCGGCCTCTTTGAGCTATGCGATGAGGGATACCTGGGCGGCACAGGCCATAAGTCCAGCTCCTCTGGCGAACGAACACTATACGCTAGACTACAAATTCGACACGCCGACTCTAGCGGCCGCTGCGCGACACGACGATCTGGCGGCAGAGAGAGACTTTCGCTGGAAATGGGATTCTGAAGACTCGCCCGAGCAAGAGGCTGCACACGTGCCAGGTCTTCTGGCGAGAGAGAGGAACGGAAAGGGCAGAAGTGTCAGCTACTCCAGCAGGGCCAGCACAAGTGATGGCTTCGACACAAAGGGATGGGGTGGCTTTGCTTTGAAGCTGGTCGGCGGTGTTGTAGGAAAGATGTGGCACTTTTGTCGTGCGACTGCTTTCGGCGGCTTCTATGCTGGCCCTGGACGAGGCTATGACTTCGCACAAGCCACTCAGCTGCCCAACCCTCTGCCTGCGCAGTACGCGACCAACGACTTCTTTGGCGACTTTGAACAGGATAACACTCCCGAACGTTCGCTCAAACGACAACAAACAGAGTCTGGTTGGGTCATGGTAGACTCAAATCCAGAAGCTCCTCGTCCATCAAATCGCAAGACGTCGGCGGACAACCTCACTCATCTCGGCGCCACGAGAGCAAGCAGTCGTCGCGCCCTCAACTCCGTCACACGTCGTGGTCCCTCACGCCAAACATCATACACCGGTTCTCCACAGGCACAATCTCGGCTCGACGTCTTTAGCCAGGCTTTCGCAGACCGTTCCGCAACAGCCCCCTCCACTGCGTCAACTCGATCTACCGTACCGCTTCGTCCTACCTTCGGTGCGAATCGCTCTCCCGCTATTTCACCCATCCGCTCAAGCTTTGGAGCAGACCGTCGATCAAGCATTGCCAGTGGAAACGGAGACAACTTGAGTCCCGATGCACAACGCTTCCTCCACCGCATAGAAAAGAAAGACCGTGATGCTGATAAGAGCATGCGTAAATTAGACCGTCAAATACAAGACCTGATTCGTCAAGGTCAGGCCGCGCTAGGCACAAAATTCGAAGTAGAGTCTGACGATACCGACTTTCACGATGACGATGTTGACTGGGAAGATGCTCGTAGGTAAATCGAGCCCGATGATTTTGATTCTGGAGTTTTTGCGAAGGGGGAGGGAGAAGAACAAAATGATACCCTGGGTCTCCCCCCCTTGGATGGTGTGGTTCAAATATTGTTTTCTACTCTTCGGCTCATGGTGTTTGCTTGTCGCTAACGACACACGCTCTCTACATACTATTGTACGGTACATCTGCGTTGTTACGCGCCTCATGGCTGGTTGGTCCTCTTCATCTTCTGTCAACGACCAGTCCAACTGTTACCTCTTTATGCATGCCGATTTGCCGTTGCCAGAACTCCGTCCCGACGATTGCATCGACTTCAATCTTTTGTCCTAAGCTGAGCTAAAATCCTTCAGCACTCTACCTTGCCAAGCCTTTCGACCACGACTTCGGCATCTACGAGCCATGCTTTCGACCTCGACCCATGCATGTACACTACAAGCTATCAAAACAGAGATCCTGCCTCCTATGTGTTTCTCATGTAGAGCACCCGCAAAACAAAAGAATGACGACGCCCGCAGGACTCGAACCTGCGCCCACGAATGGATTTGATATCGGATAATATTCGAGTCAAACGCCTTAACCACTCGGCCAGAGCGCCAATTGATGAGATAGCGATGAGCGCAGTAAACTATGATCAGACTGACATTACGAGATGGAGCCTGAGCAGGAAGCACATCTGCAACAATCAGGAAGCTTCGCTTGGATGGAAAGCAGAAATTTGTCGAGGTCGAATTGATCGACCACATATTCTCGCCAAGTCTGGAATCTCAATGCCGATGATTCTGCCGACTGACTAGACAGATGGGCAGGATGCTGAACAGCCATGTTTCAAGAATCAGCACAGAATGAGCAGAACGAGTTGATTACCACACTCAAGTTGATTGCGTTATACATTTTGCTGTGATTACGCGACAAAATCAAGCCAAAAAACAACAAACCAAAAGCTCATCTTATCGTCATTACACTCGGATCCATCCATCAACATCCCTCAATAACGGCCTTCTGATCCCTGACATGAGCACCATGAAACCCAAACCCAATGTGACATTTACCTCGCTCACCAGTCATGGTAGCCCTCCCAACCTCCTTCAGATCCTTCGCATCAAGAACGAGCAGATAACTCCTCTCATTCACACCATCAAGAACAGCAGTGATCACAACACCTGCATCCTCTTCTTCGGCTTTTGCATCAGGATCGGCAATGAAAATTGGTTCACCGGCTGAATGGCCATGGACACTCCACACAGCTGCTGGAGTATTGGTCCTGGTATCGTACTTGACAAGGCCGTCGAAGAAGGTGCTTTTGCCTGTGTCGGTGACGCCGTAGACGTAACGGTAGTTGCGACCGCGGAAGGCGTGGTTTATGGAGGGAAGTTCGGGGGCTAGTCCTTTGTCTCCTCTTGCGACATTGATGGCTTTTTTCGCTTCCGTCGGAGAAAAAGCAGTGTTGATGCCTGGCAATTTAAAGGATCGGAAGTATGCCTTTGAGTTGGCATTGTCGGGATGAGAGTATGCTTTTGCAGTCGCAGAGTCGGAGCGTAGGTTATCGATGTAGAAGCGCTGCAACACATCTATGTTGTCATAGGCGCAGAGATCTGCGACGATATCGATGCTCTTGGGATCATCCTCCGAGGTCACTTCGTAAGCATTGATGGTGTGGAAGCAGAAGAAAGGGTCCGAGTCGAATGTGGAGACGAGACCTTTTCCTCCCTGGCTGGCTGGTTTGCGATCAATCACGTACCACTTGGCGGTTTTGGTCGAGTCGAATGTGCTGAGTGCTTCACAAATATTTTGCTTCCAAAGAATGGAAACACCTCCAGCAGAGATGTGTGAGTTCCAAACGCAAAGGACAAAGTAGTTGTCCGTCAACAAGGACGAGTGTAGGTATGCAGGAGTCGTAGCAATGGTTGCTAGAATCTCGGTCTTCTCTGTAGTCGCAGACACCGTGAAGACGCGGTATGTACCAGTGCGTTCAAAGTCCAGATTAAAGTTGTACCAATCGCCTGTTTTTGGGCATACTTTAGCGTGCGCGCCAGACAAGGCCCCCTTCAAGTCAGGATGGAGCACTGTTTGACGAGCGATCCCCAAAGGCTCCAAAGTCACAGGATCGAGAGCTTGAACGACAGTGGCATCAGTCTTGTTGATCAAAGTCTGTACATTGCCGCTATCTTGTGCTCCAGTCTTCTTGAAAGCGTTTGTTGAGAAGCCAGGCATGTTGGGAGATGGCGTCACACAGATGTTCACGGAGTCGGGAGTCTCAATGGGGGTATGCATAGAGTAGAAAACAGATTGCAGCTTCTTGAAGAAGGTCTTGCAAGGTTCGTACTTTGCCGCGAAAGTGATACCAGACATGTCGCCAGTCTCGGATATCTGTTTGAGAAGACCATCACACGTACGTCGAGAGTTGTGCCATACGCGGACCGGAGAATCATTCTTCGTGGGAGCAAGGATCTGGAAGCGATGGATCTGTGCCAGACAGTCAAACCAGTGGTTCGTCTTGAAAGTTTTGTGTTGCTGGCGAGTCTGGACTTCAAGTGGACCCAATCCATTTCGATATAGCACGCCAGCGCAATAGGCTGGTATGTGTCCTGAAACTTCAAGTTCCTTGGGCTCTAGCTCCTGATATGTGACGTCGAACTTGGCAGGGTTAGAAAAAAGCCAGAAATAAAGCAGCTTTGGTGACACTTACGCCGCATGCATTAGGCCAGTTCATGTAGTGGTCCGTCTTGGTAATCGATGTCACCATCCTTGCTATATGCAAAGCTTGAGTCTGAGTACGGTATAGGCGTGACGAGCTTGATTGAGCACTGCTTAGCATAGATTGTCGTAACAAGACCGACAGCAAGATATCTCACCGTGAGAAAAATGGGCGGTGGAGATTGCTCATGAGACCGAAAGATGCGAGGCATGATGTTTGTTTATACAGAAGCGACTATGCCCCGCAGTACTTGCCTACATGTATGTCAACCTGTCTTGCTTCCTGTATGAACTCGAAAGAAATCAACAATCGGAGCAATATTGCAGCGGCCTGCGGCCGAAGGAGTCGGTCTACGACATCTCCGACCAAGGCATTACCTATTTGGGACAGAACCCCGAGGCAGCACACAAACACCAAATGGTAAGTCGGTGACCGGTACTTTGAGACTGGTAAGTTGAGGGCCTGACTACGAGGCTTTGAGCCAACCAGAACTTTTAGTTGCTTACCGAGGTGTTCAATAACCTCTCTCCCAACACATACAATATTTTGTTTCCAACCTCTACCTATCCCGCTAAGGTGCAAACATTGGGTTCTAGCCTCGGCAAAGCGACTACAAGCCAACTGTGACTTAACCCCAGGTTTTCCTGTCCGAATGATATTTGAAAGCACAATATACCGATTTACACACGATTACGACAAAGATCTGTCCACAGGCGGAATGGAGTTGTTCCTATCTAGGATGTTTGATGATTTCGATAAACTCGATTGGTCCGATAAATTTGATTGTCATACGACATTATGAACAAAATATGGCGCTGTGTTGTTGCGACATGCGTTTCACCTAGACTCCATGCCATTTATCTGCGCATCCGATCATCCGCGCCTGTTACCATTCCTTCCTATGCTGTTCCAACCGTGCCCTGTACCTGGGTATACAAAAGAACCTCAATCATCGTTGACTCCTGAAATGAAGGATAGGGAATGAAAAAACATGCGAGCAAAAGAGAAGGAGGGTGATCATAATCAACCAAAGAAGCTCTTCTGCGTAGGTGTTTTGAGGTCGGCTTGATTGATGCCGAGACCAGCGAACCCTTTGACTCCAGGACCACCCATTTCAAGTACAGGACTGGGCAACTCACTGTCCTCGCCTTCTGTGGCGGCACCCGAAAAACTCACACCGTCAACCATATCTTCAGGACTACTCACGTTATGGTGGCCCAACAAAAATTGCTTGAAACTGACGGATGGCTGTTCGTCCTCGTCAAGATCATGTCGCAACTGCAATCGGGGTGGCAGGGTCAACCTCAGACCTTCTTGTGGTTTCGTGTCATCATCGTCTCCGACGACACTCAATTCTCCCGTTCGATAGCCATCACCAAAGTCCAGCTCTTTCTCGGCGGTGGGCGTAGAATCCAACTTTACCTTCTCAATAAGCTGAGACAAGGTGCCAACGCTAGTCACGCGTTCGAATGCTTCCTCCTCAATGTCCATGGATGTTGGTATATCATGTAAGATACAACAATTTCGCTCAAGATACTGTTGAAGCCGGTATTGTTGACGGTCCCATGACTCTGTTACTAGGCGTAATGCGGCTTGTATGTCCTGGTCCGTAAGCGAAGCGGAAGGCGCAGCGATGGGTAAGCCGCCCATGTTGTTGACTTTCGTCTTCGAGGGCGAGTAGGGCCGTGACGATGATGGCGGAGTCGAGGTATGACGTGGTGAGGGAGCCAAGGAGGGAAAAGAAGGAGGCGCTGCTGAGGAGGCACGATTGACACTCCTTTTCATGTTGGCAAGACCTTTTCGAAAGGTTGAAGACGAGGCTGAGGAAGGAGGTGGCTTGGCGAGAGGTGCAGATACTGAAGGCCTCAGAGGAGCAGTATTAGCTGATACTTCGTCGCGTATGTGCTTGACTTGAGCCTCGGTCTGCTTCAAGGCTGCCAGCCGGCTCTCGTCCAGATATGGCATATACACTAAAGCCGTGTTCTTGCCTAGCGCATTTATCATGTCGGTGAACGCGGATAGGGGAATGTCATTGTGCTCGCAGTGTAGCTCACGCAAGGTCCTGTTGATCTTAAGAACTTCTGCTAGCATACTAGCGCCAGGTAGACCAAGTCTCTGGTATTGAACACGGAGCACATGTAAGCCTGTGTTGTGGCGAAGACCGTTAAGTGCTTGGTTGAGTCCGACACCGAATCGTGAACTCTCCAATCGCGAATCTTCTCCTGAGATATCTAGTTCTTCAAGCGTGGAATTCTCTGCGAAGAGAGATTCCAATGCACGACTGGTGTCATCGTTGGCGTCACTGGGTAATGTTGTTCTCGAGATATCAAGATATACGATACTGTGGTTTTGTCTCAGAGCGTTGATCAAATGTCGGAAGACCGACTCTTCCCGATACTCAATGGCGCGGAGGGTGATGTGTGTAGGTGTTGAACCGTCTGCGATAGCCCTACACATGTGATCATGGTCCTTGGTGACATTGTTGTGACTGATGTCAAGATGAAGAGAACGAGGCTCAATAGAACCACGCTTAGTGGCGCGCATGATCGTTGCGATGTCACTGCCAGACATGTATGCAGAGTCCAGGTATAATTCTCGAAGCGTGTCTGATTGAGGATGCTTGAGGTAGGTTGCCAGCGCCTGGATTGTGTTTTCGTTAAGCGATGTACCAGTCAGTCTGAGCTCCTCCAAACGCCAGGTCAAAAGAGTTTCAGCATTGAACAAAGGCTCAGCCCCTGAGGTTCGGGACGCGAAGGACAGATTGAGTTTGCGGATGAAGCCAAATACACCAATCTGTCCGTCGAACACGGCTGGTGCAAGTCGTGCAAGATTTCCAGAAATGTCCAAAGCTTCCAAAGTATTGTCCTGGGCGCGTAGAGAATCCAGGATCAGACTTAACGTACGATCGGTCAACGAACACCTGCTCAATTCGATAGCGCGGAAATGACAGGCCTTGTCACTTGCTGCACCAACTAAGTAGTCAAGATCGGTTTCGCTAAGATGGATACCATTTAAGACAATCCAATCGACGTTAGTGGTTTGGTGCTTGCATAGTGGTGATAGGGCCTCGACCACACCACATCCTATGTCCTTAATCTTGGCGTCTGAATCATCAGTATAGTCGGGAGGTTTCGCGACGATACACCTAGAAAAGTCCATTCTTCGAAGCTTCTTGTTTGTAGCAGCCAGTGCACGGACTTCTTGAATCAACAGGCAAGACTGAGCAAGCTCTTCTGTAGTCAGGCGAATTGGCGTTCCTCGCTTCGTTTTCGTACAGACATATTCGGAACCATAGTTGTCGTGGAGTCCGTTAAGTATATCAAGTTGAACGTCGGCGAATGAGAGCGAATTAAAGGATTCGTTGTATCGCAAGGCGCGCATGACGGCCAACAACTCAGCCGCACTGTACTTTTGCCGGCGTGCATCAGCCAGTGGAAGTAGTTGAAAGCGAGGTGCATCTTCACATGAGTAATCAATCGTATAGCAGATGTTTGATGGGTTGACATCGTAAGCAATACAGTATGCAGTGAGTGTTCGCTCGAAACAACAGTGATCTTCCGCATCTGAATTTATGGAAGGAGGGAGCTGATCATCGATTTCCCGGGGTACACTGAACTTGAACATACGTGATGCACACTCAGGTCGCAGAATGTTTTCGACATGATGCAGACGTAGAGCTATATCCTGAGAAGCGAGTGAGGCGAGGTAAAGAGTTTTTGGTCGTTTGAGAGGTTGGCGAAATGTCATTTCAAAATGGTCATCTGAGTGGCTGAGTCGAATAGCAGTCATGTTAAGAATGCCGTATGAGGTCGGAACGTTTCCTGCAGAGAGCGAAGGAGACGACACACGGCTGGTGGTTTTCACCAGCGGGATGACATGGACTTTGTGGATGCCGATAGCTAAGAAGCAGACGGTGGATGCAATCTTGGACAAGTCGTCGGTGGAAGAGCGCGACTTTGAGAACTGACGCTGTATGACTTTGTAGATGGCATAGTTGGCAGGGTCGTAATCGTTTTCACGCTCGACAGCGCGTGCAGCATTTTTGGAATTGACGACGGAAATTGGGTTGAGGTCTTGAAGACGAGCCTTGTTGGCAGCCATGCGGATCGAGCGCAACCACAAGTCTCGATCTTCGGGGTCTCCAAATTGCATGACCATAGCCGAAGCCTGGGAGCCGTCCTCGTCAAGATAACAGACCTCGATAGCAAAGTAAGGGCGACCATCATCGAGCCTATGGGCAGCGACAATATGACGAAGGGTGACTCGACCTTCCTTGTCGCCCGAGGAGTCGGAGTGTAGTGACTGCAGGTCTTGGGATGAGTCAATCGAGTGTGTCGAGCTATGGCGGATTGTTGGACTTCTTCCAAATGGAGGTGGAACGGAGGCAATGATTTCGGCAGCCTTTGACTGGTTCTTGTAGCGCAAGATGTGAGAGTCTGTCAAGACCAGGTACTCTTTCTTCTTACGGAACATACTACTGCTGGTTTGGACCTCGCCATGGTGTAGGACGGTTCTTTTCTGGAATTGGGTCGCATCGAAGTCGGCCCAATTGATGGAAGGGGTACGGCTAGAGGTGGTGGACAAAGGAGTGTCGTCTTCGTGCATGGATCGCATGGAGCGGAGAGAGCCAAAGACGGAGGAGACGGGGCGACTGCCGCTGCGGACGCTCAGAGTCGGACGGGTCACGGCTTTGGGAGAAGGCAGCGTGTTTGCCGACAAGGGTGAGGGATCGTCATCGTGGAGCAGCTCAGGTGAGGATTCGAGGTTGGCAATGAGGGTAGGGCCGCGACGCTTTTTCAGCGTCTTAGAAGAGTCCTTGTCCTTGTCCTTGTCGCTGGTCAGCTTGTCCGGAGAGTCGCGGGTCGTGGTAGTTGGGTGGATCTGGGTGAATGAGGGAATGCCAAAGAGACTGCGCCTCCGGCCGGCGTGCTCCCGACTGCTGGAACGGGGCATGACGGACGGCGCAGTGGGGAGCTACAAGGAAGAGGTCGTGGAGAGGGACAGAGGCGGTGCGTGGTGCGTGGTGCGTGGTACTACTGCGGCATGGCTGGCTTAAGTCCGGAGTGCATTGCGGCGGGAGATCAGAAGGAGAGGGAAATTAGATGATCCGACAGGCAGATGAGAGCATTGGCAGTACTTGTCAGAAGGAGAGGAGGGTCGACATGTCGACCATGCGTGCTGTGGACCTTGAGCAGAAAGAGAAATATGAAGAAGAGCAAAAGCGAGTCCGGCGCAAAACGATGGTTCCCTTGCGAGCCGGCGGACCAAGCTGGATCTGCAATGTTCGCTCGATTCGCGCCTTCGTCAGAGGCGTTGACGCACCGTTTTGCTACCAGGCACAGGTCGATTTCTTAACCACTGCAATACGCGTCGACCTACGGAACAGTATCTGCCCCAGCCACTCTGGTCTGGACAATGGGACTCAGAGCGATGACTGCGATTCAATCTCACAATCGTACAATCATCAGGTGGTCATGTTGGTCATGAGGCTCAGAGCATGGCAGGAGCAAGTGCCAGCACACGTTGGATAAAATATGTCAACGTTTAGTAACAAATCCCGAAAGGCACTGGTGGCCGGCCACCGGCAAGGAGCCTCTCCCGAAACAGACAGCCCTAAACGCTATCGATTAGAGAATTGAATTGCGCATTGGAGGTTAACTTTGATACTTTGGATTTCGTCGTCCTGCCCAAATCCGCATACCAGTTTATTCGATGCCCAGCTGGTCCGTCAAAGGCGTTCGCCCTCTTCGGCCGCTCCTCACAAATAACTCCTTCACCTGTTCGCCATGCCGTCTACGCCTCTTCTCCACAAACACCTCGCGCCCGCTCCGCCACTCGACGCGTCTGCTGGACCAAAAAGACAAGGATGACCTGAAGACCGCCAAGGACGAATCTCTTGACCCAGAATCCATGTGGCCTTTCGGCAGAGGTGACCTGATCAAGTCCGACTTGTCTAATCAGACCGCTCAGGCCAAGGATGAAGGACCCAAGCATGAAGAAGCAAAGGATGAAGGAACAAAGCATGAAGAAGCCAACGAAGGAGCCGACGATGAAGGAGTCAAGGACGAAGATACCAGGGACTCGGAACCGTCAGTACAGGGCGGCCTCTCCAGACGCCAACGAAGTGTCCTTGTTAGAAAGACACGCAAGGGTCTCCAATCTCGCACGCACGCGTTGCAACGATACCCGCAACGCCACGACAAGAGTGAAGAGCAGCACAAGGATACTCTTGAGGGATTGAATTTCCCCAAGAAGGACGCTAAGGGCACAGAGTCGTCTGAGAACGCTTCTAAGAGTACGGGATTCTTCGACAATGGCCTTGCAAGCGTGGTGCAACCCAAGAATGATGTTGAGGAGACTGCGCCATCTCAAAGTACTACCCACAACGATCTGTTCAAATCTCTTCTTCCAACAAGTCATGACAGCCAAACGACTGACGATCGGCCGAAATCCATCTATGACTTCTTCAAATCGTCAAACGCTCCGAACGTCCCTTCTGTCTACGATGGAGGTGCGCTACAGTCCCTGAGAGATGCTATGATGTCTATCAAGAGCGATCCTATTCTGATCCCAAAAAGGAAACAACTAAGTAGGCCACGGAACAAGCGCAGGCGCTTTGTGAACGCAGCTGCTCCTCAGACAGCTGAGCGTATTGCCAAACGGGGGAGGAAAAGAGAAGCAGACGAGAGACGGGCACACAAGCTACTTTCAGCCGGAGTCAAGACAATGGATGCATCCAGCGTCAAGATGCAGCGCTTGAAAGTTGACCAGCCGCCTGTCCCTCGTGTCCATCATGGTCTTGATCGCGTGCTCTTCAATCAGGGCGTGCATCAATTGCAGGACCCACGATCAAAGGTCTACAATTTTGATCCCTATCTTCAGAAAATTATGCCTGTTACTGAGTTCGACTACGACGCTCTTAGTGCCTACAAGACCTCTTCTCAGGATGACTTCCTTTCCGCCTTCGCCAAAGAGCATGGCAAGAAATATGTCGGTTCGACTTCTAGCATGACAAGTACATTGGCTCATTTCCATTATCTTCTCTCCGCTTGGCGCAAGATCAACATCGGCATGTTTTCGAGACATTTCCCTGACACCCTGCAGAGCTTTACTGCACTCAATCGTACACCTACCGCCATCTTCCTGAGACGCAAAGGCGATACTTACGCCATCGATGCCGACAAAGAGTTTGACGGCGCCAACGTTCTGATGTTGCTAGGAAGATCCATGGAAAAGCTGTTAACGCTGCCAGTCTCTGAATTCGAGCGCTATCGCAAGAACAAATCTGAAGGAATATCAGAAGCTGAGCGAAACAAGCCTGAGTCTTTCCACTACTCTTCGCTAGGTGATTTCTTGCTGCGATCCCAACTGGACGCTCATGATGAACGTCTACCAGGAACAGGCATGTTTGATCTCAAAACGCGCGCGGTACTTCCTGTTCGCATGCAGTCCTCAAATCACGAGCCAATGACTGGATATGAAATCACCCAGACCCAAGGTCAGTACGAGAGTTTTGAGAGAGAGTACTACGATATGATGCGCAGTACTGCGCTCAAGTATTCTTTACAGGCTCGCATGGGCCATATGGACGGCATCTTCGTTGCGTATCATAATGTCAAGCGTATCTTTGGATTCCAATACATCAGCCTCGAGGAGCTCGACCGAGCTCTTCATGGACAAAGCGATCGCACTCTAGGGAACCAAGAGTTCAACCTCAGTATCGGCTTATTGAACGAAGTCTTCAACAAGGCTACGGAAAAGTTCCCTGATCAGGTGAGCAGCATCGATATAGATGTCAGGAAAGATACTAACCATATTGTAGTCCATTCGATTCCACTTTGAGACCAAGGATGCCGAAACGCTCCCCTCTATGCACATATATGCAGAACCCATGAGCGAAGAGGAGATTGACACGATCCAGAATTCACAAAAAGCTAAAATTGCCGAATGGGATCGCGCACTACGCGATCCGAACTTAAAACCAAGTGAAGGACCAGCCGACGAACTAGTTACGGAACACGAAGACGACGGACTTGGTGATTCCACTAGTGACTTGATGCATACGTCGATAACCTCTACCGAGTCTGAAAGCGAACAGAGCTCAGAGATGCTTGCACAAGAGCCAGAGACAGATGTGACACCAGAAGCACAAATTACGAAGAAAGACAGGTTCGTTCAAGAAATAGAAGCCATCTCGTCGACGTCTGAGGCGACGCCGAAATCAGATGACAGCGGCAAGCCATTGCTGGGAATGATCCTCACGGTTCGTTCCAAAGTTAATGGCATACATGTCGACCGACCAGAATTTCTCAGAAAACACCACGATTGGTCGATTGAGTATAGCTTGACTGAATTAACAAGCGCACAAGCATGGGTCCAATATAGAGGCGCCAAGGGACGACGAAGGAAGATCTATGAGAAGCTCAACAAGCCCGATAAGACCAACCCTGACAATTCTGAAGCAACATACAACGAGCAATATATCACGATGCTGAAGGATCTCAGTGAGAAGGGCAGTAAGATGAGGGCGAAACTCGACCAAGCTGCAGAGAACAAACCAACGGTTGTGTTGGGCTCGTCTCGGATCGAGGGCGCTGCGAATCCGAGCATGAACACAGACGATGTGAGCATCGAGAGTGTTGATGATTACCTGGCATGGCTGTATGCAGAGAAGTCACGTTTTGGTGAGGAGGTCTGATGAAATTGACAATATTGTATAAATAGTATAGGCAAGGTTACATTGCAACATAATCCAAATTAACGACCAGCACCATAGTTGACAATATGAAAGCGAATAAACGCGTGACCAGGGTGTCTTTGGAGGTGTTGTTCGTGGTCTTGACATGAGACATGACGTCGCAAAGCGCTTGCGACGTCTCACAGCGGACACAGCACAAAGCATTCGTAGCTGGCTACATTGTATTGCTTCCAACAAAACATAGTCAACATGCCGCCGAAGAATCGTAACAATCGCAATTCACACCCGCGACTCACGGCGCATCATCACGTCCCCTCGGACTACGACACCGACACAGCCTACGCAACCGATGCCATGACCTCTCTTCCCCAACCAGCGCCCATCCCGGCACGCACCAACGAAGAACTGAACCTTAGCGTGCTGCAACGACACGATCCCTCGGTTCACCAAATCCTCTCTGTCGCGCCCTTCGCCGTCGTCTACACCTTCAATCCCGCCTCGGAGAGCTGGGAGAAGCAAGGAACTGAAGGCACTTTATTCGTCTGCTCGCTGCTACCGTTGGTGGGAGGCCCTCAGATCGAGCGCTACAGCTGTATCGTTTTGAATCGCCGCGGTCTCGAAAACTTCTCTAGCGAACTGTTCTCCAGCGAGTCGGTCCAGGTGACGGATGACTATGTCATCCTGCAGGTCGAAGGAGAAGACGGAAGTACAAACATCTATGGTCTATGGATCTTTGCCGAAGAAGGAGGAAGTACCGTACAGACAAGAGTGGTCAACGCTTTGATCATACAGGAATGTGCCAAAAGAGCAGAGGATAGCCGAGACGCCGCTGCTGTAGCAGACGTGGAGGAAGAGTATGTAGAGGAGGAACTGCCGCCGTCTCATCAGCAAGCACAACAGCCGCCGACGATGCAGCAAGATCAAGGCGGGCCAGACCCACACGAATATGAGTACGATCAACAACCACAAGGTCAACAAGTCAGCTTATTGCACCTCTTCAAGAACCAACAACATCAAAGGCCTGCGCTAGCCTCCCCCTTCCAGTCCCATGATCAGCAGCAGTACTATGCAATGCAGCAACAGCAACAACAAATGGAGCAACAGCGACTTGATCAACAGCGGCAATTGCAGCACGAGCAACAACAGCGTCAGCAGTTCGAGGCAATGCAGCAACAACAGATGAACCAGATGAACGCGCAACAGCTCCAGCAAGCATGGCAGATGGCCCAACATCAGCAACAATTCGGTAATCATGTTCCCACACTTCCTGGCTTTGCGCTGTCTCAGCAGCACTTTCAACAGCAGCAACAACCTCCTCAAGCACATCCTCAGACACAACCTCAAGCCCAGGCAGATGTGTTGATGAATCTTTTCAACAACGCTAGACGTGGTTACTGAGAACATCCGTGTCTTTTGCGCCAGCGACTAAGATTGGCGGCAAAGACACAGCTGTGGTCGGAGTCTACGGTCGTGAATAAGAAAGATTCCCTCATTAATACAGTAGTTGTCTTTGGGCCTTCGTGCTTGGTACAATCCGCTGATACTATGTTATTTTCACTTCGCTCGAAGATCTTTGACTCGCTCGCCTTCTTACAGAAAACACGCAAGTGCATTTGCGACCTCGTAGTCGGCACATACCGCCAACCAGGGTCTTCAAACCATTGCATGAATACGAAGATGGCGAGTATGCTGAGGAGAAAGCGGCGACCCGGCAACACACTGTAGGAAAGTACGGCTCTGCGATTCAACATAGGGAGCCACGGCAGGCTACGGAGTGTGGAAGGAGCAAATTGGTCGGGACGGAAGGAAGGAGCGACAAAAAAAGCTGTCTGAGGAAAGAGCGATGCAGTCAGTAGCATCAGGGAAAGAGCGGTCCTTTGACCCTTTGCACCTTCCTCGACATGTTCTTCGACTCTATACTCGTAAAACAAGATTCAGTGGGATGTTGCTGCCTAAAGACATCTAAAAATCGAGTTGAATCTCGAGAATCAAGTTCCGATTGCGAAGTCCATCCTTCCGTGTTCTTCCAATCTCTCCCTATACGCAGCTTCTCTATATACGCTTCTGCGATCATGTCTTTGTCTGAAGGATTCAAATCATATAATCTCGGTTTTACTGCGGTGCATGCGATTCATGAGGATCTGCCAGCTGTTTTCGTCAAGTCAATGGTGTATGTGATGTTCAAACTCTCTCTAAACCACAACTAGTTCATCAAGAAAAAGACGATCCAAACCGAAGTTACACGATCTTGCTGGAAAACTATCCTTCTGGTGTGTGTCCGATAGATCTGAGTCTTTCACTCTCACTAATCCAGTGAATACCAGCGCCGTCAATCATCACCTCCAAGATCTGAGGAGATGTACACAATGCTGTCAACCGACCCTCTGGGATTCCTTCTCCCCATCGCCCTTGCACTCTCCATACTACACCTCCTCTGTCCTAGAGTGTTCAACTGCCTCTTCATTTCTCTAGGCCTTCTGATAGCAAAAGCCGATGACACAACCACGAAAGACCTGTTTAGGTATTGCGTCAGAGACAGGAATGCCGACGCTGGTGAGAGGTCTACGTTTGTCGGTAGTATGGTGATGGTAAAGGTTTTGGTGTTTACATTCGCTGTCGTGGGCGCCTTGGCAGAAGTGCATGAGATTTTGGACAAGATCAGGGGGAAGAAGGCGGAGAAGAAGGGGGGAGCTGAGACGAAGTTATGGCCGGTATGAGTTTCGTAGAGCTTTGGAGGATGTCATGAAGAAGTCGGTTGTTTGAGATGTGTGGTTGCATTTGAAGTCTGTCCCTACTTCCGGTTCACGTCAGGGTTTGACTCTTCAAGCAGGCTTGTGACACCATATGTTGGAGAGCACCGATTCCATGATAGCAGCAACACTCTCATAACAGAGACTGCATCCAGAGATGTGCTGTCTTCTACTCAAACGTATCAGTGGAGTGATATTGGACAAGAGAAGACATGTGTTAATACATGAGCAGGGTTATACCATCGGCAAGAAAAAATTGACGATGGAAATAAAAATAAAAAGAGAATCAACAAAGCTCGAAGACGGTATGAGACAAGAGTAAAACAGAAGTGGATTATTTACAGGATTGTGTACCTTCCTTGTTCACAGACTAGTTCTTCTCACCATGACTCTCCTTCCACTTTGCAACCGCATCACCAAACAGCTTCTTCGCTGGCACATTAGCTCCCAACCTAGCACAAAGCAAGAATGCACCACTCAATTTTCTGTGCAGCGAGTATGTCTCTTCAGGTGGCGGTGCCAGTCTCTCTCTAACCATCAGACCAATCTTCTCCCTTACTCTATCGGTGATGGTCTGGTTCTTGAAATCGTAGTAGTCGCCCGCTCTACCAGAGTCAAAGGGCTCAGCAAGCGTGAGGATAGAGTCCACATGAGCAGTAAGCATGGCCTGACTTTCTGCACCGGTAAGGTAGCCTAGCTTGATAGAAAGGTCGCGGCAGGCGTCACGGTCGTGGGTGGAAGCTGCGATGAGCAACTGCACATATGGCGTCACGAAGCTCTCAGGGAACTCTCTTGAGGCACCAAAGTCCAACAACTCCAATCTGCGCTCGGAAGGAGCATTGCCTCTATTGTAGAGAAAGTTGGTCCAGTTGGGATCGGTCTGCATGAATCTCCATTCCATGAGTTCGCGCAGACAGAGACGCAATACTTGTGTACCGATCCAGTCTCTCTCATCTTGAGAAAGATCAGGAATCTTGGTCACACCTTTGCCGTGCATAAGTTCGGCTGTAAGTACCTCAGGGCCACAAGCTTCGGAGAAGACTTTTGGGACACGGAAGGTAGTATGCTCGTCCTCGAGGAGAGAAGCGAAGCGAGTACCGCATTCGGCTTCACGTGCGTAATCGCACTCCCAGCCTAGCTCTGTGCGAGCGTTGGCGATGGTCTTGTCGAGGAAGAGACCAGGAGGTAGAAGGCGTGACGCCGTGAGGAGAAGAGAGAGATTATTAAGGTCGGAGTCGATGCTACCACGGACACCAGGGTATTGAATCTTGACTGCAACTGCGCGACCATTGGATGCCAAGGTAGCGCGGTGGACTTGACCGATGGAAGCAGCAGCAATGGGCACGTCTTCGAAGCTTGAGAACAGATCCTTCCAATCGGCGCCTAGGTTGGCAGCAAGTTGCTTGTTACGTTGCCATGGAGGCATGTAATCAGCGCTATCCTGTACGCGCTGAAGCACAGCATTGATTGCAGGGGGCAACATCTTAGAGTCCTGGAAGCTCATCATCTGACCAAGCTTAAGAGCTGCACCTCGCATGCGGGAAAGCTTGGCTACGAGTCTCTCCATATTGGCAGGACTGAGGAGGAGCGAGCCACTAGCAGCAGCTGCAGCGCCTCCGGTCACTCGTCGCAAGCTTTCGCCCACAGCACCAAAGGCCATACTCGTAGCCAAGCCGCCGTACTGCCAAAGTCTTCCGAAGCGAGAAGATGGCACAGCAGATTCGCGTAACTGGTAAGGAGTGCTAGGCTTTTCCGACTCGACGGCCGGAGAGGCAGCGGCAGTAGCATCAGCGGCCATGGCATCTGCCAGCTCCTGTGTTTCTTTATCACTGATCTGCGACTTTGCTTCGGCGGCCGGAGCAGCAGGCTTGACGATGGGGGCAGATGAAATATCCGCTTGTGGCGAGGAAGTGCCTGGTCTTGCGCTGAAAGTGTCTGGATTTCTGTCTCCAGCCTTGATGCTCTCCTGAATTGGCTGAGCGGAGCCCTTCCTAGCAGCTTTCATCTTGAGCTCATAAGCCTTTCGTCTATCCTCTCTGCCTCCGCTATTCAATAGCGAGGCGACCCTGGGACTGTGGAAAATGTCTGTGTTGATGCCCTCGGGTGTCTCTTTCTGCACCGGAATAGCCTCCTTTTGCGGGATGGGTGTTTGATTGGGATGGCCTTCTGACGAGTAGTAGACGTCTTGGTTGATCTGACCATCCTTGACATGATCGTCGCCGCCTTGGGTGTCTTCGGCAGACTTTGGAATTTTGGTACGAGGTAGAGACGACTGTTCGACGGATGACTCGGTAGGTCTAGTGCTGAAGGTGTCTTGTCCAAGTGTAGACGCAGACTGAGAGTGGCCAGACACCGAGGGAATCTGGAACTCAGCCTTGCGCTGCATCTTGACATTATGGTCGGCATTGCTGTCCTGAACAGCTGGTATAGGAATCGTGGAGGCGCCAGACTCGGCCGGATGCAGGCCGTTGGTGAGCGACTGCTGTTCGGCAAAGGGATGCTTGGGCGCGTCGGTCAACGGCCGTTGGTTGAAGGTATCTGTACCCTGGCGACTCGGTGAAGGATCGAGGACTGCGCCTTCGGGAGGAATAGTGCCGTCTGGTAGAGGGTGTCGGCGTGCCTTTTCCTGATTGACGTGCAGGTCGCCTTGAGGTGGAGCTTCTGCAACAGCGTTCTGATCCGAGCGGTCCCGATGGTGGTCTTGACTCAATCCTTCCTCGTGTATGTCGGTCCTTTCTGCGCCCTGGACCGTCTCTTGACTGGGGATCGGCTCCTCGTCATGTCGGGTCGTCTGTGTGTAGGTAGGTCCGGTCTCGTTGACTCTCCGTGAGAGAGCATACGCCGCTCGTGCTGTGAGAGTGACGCGGTCTGTCTGGTTCTTAACTGCCTTTGCCAGACTTGAGGTTTGTGTAAACAGCTCCCACTGTTGCGCGCGAATGTTGAAGTGGTGTTTCGCAATTGATCCAGACACATTAAAGAGTCTGGCTGCATCTAGCAGCCGTCTGCCCGCCATTCTGTTGCTTGAATTGTATGTCTAGCAAGTTTCCGTGTTCATATTTGGGTTGCTACTTTGATGTCGAAAATGGTCTTTGCCTGCATCCATGAGTTCCTGTAGAGAAACGAAATCGGTGACGTCGCGATGCGGCCAAGTCAAAGCTTCTGGCTATATCTTGTCTGCGAGTGTATCTCGATCATGAGCGACATGTGAACAACAGCTTGGGATAGTACCGGATGTACAAGTAGGTCATTGATAGCATGCTGTGAAGATATGTTTCGATGATAGAAAGCAATAGCCCGAGTCCACGTCGATCGTGTTGTCTCGCTTTTCCGAGCCACTTTCATGGCCCTGACTTCGTTCTTCTGTTCTTGACTTCATCTCTACACTAGCAATCCACAGAACTTCCTCTTTGTCCCAGACTGGTCCCACCATCAAACGCAATTCTCTTCCTGAGATGAAGATCGGTTGCCTTCAGTTCGCCCCAAAGCTGGGCCAAGTAAATGAGAACATACGTAGAGCAGATGACTTGCTCGAGGGTACCCTGTCCTCAGAACTCGATCTTCTGGTCTTACCAGAACTAGCTTTCTCAGGTAGGCACATGATCTGATCAATTAGTCTGACGAGATCTCACACACATCGTATGGAACAGGGTACAACTTCCCGAATCTGAAGGCCATCACACCGCTTCTGGAGCCGACAAGCGCTGGCATTTCATCAGAATGGGCAAGACGAACAGCCGCACGACTAAATTGCATAGTAGCGGTGGGATATCCAGAGATCACGCCAGAAGGAAGACGATACAACACAGTGGTTAGTATATCACCGGACGGAACAGTGGCCGCTAGCTACAGGAAATCATTCCTCTACTACACAGACGAAACATGGGCATCTGAAGGCGATACTGGTTTCTACAATGGTGCTATCGGCTCGCTCGGTCAGGTGTGTATGGGCATATGCATGGACATCAATCCTCGCCGCTTCGAAGCACCTTGGTCGGCATACGAGTTCGCAAACCATTGTGTGGATTCGGATGCACCATTAGTAGTGCTTTCCATGGCTTGGTTGACAAGATTGCTTCCTCAGCAATTGCTTGCAACAAGCACGCAACCGGACTTGGAGACACTCAATTACTGGCTGGAAAGGTTCATGCCAGTCGTGCAAAGCGAAAGGGAAGGAGGAACTGTGATGGTGATGGCGAACAGGTGTGGCACGGAGCCTGGCATGGTAGCAGGAGTGAGCCAGGGCGTTGATGATGAGGGCAACGAGGTTGTGGGGTATGCTGGAACGAGCTGCGTTTTGACGGTCGAACAGGGCGAGATTAGAATTTTCGACATCCTGGGAAAGGGCGAAGAAAGATTGCTGAGAGTAGATACTACCGAGGTGAGTCTAAGATCGAATGAAGAGCTGAGATATCAGTATCGCTAACTTGAAACAGCCTCCTCAGTTTGCACTGCGTGCTAGAGCATCGGCGTGAGAATTGCTGTATCGGCATCTAGATGTCGGTAGTTGCAGCCTCCTGACGATATCCAGTGATATTATAGATTTACAGCATCGGAATGCGTGTCAGAACTCTCAAGACATCACAGAAGTGCAAAGAGGAGACGCGAAAGGTATCAAGGCATTTCATCATGTAATTTCCATCAACCAGAAGTTTTTTGTTTTGTGATACGCATCCCCTAGCAAAGAACTAGCGCCATATTTTGATTCTTGTTTGTCATTCCCTGCGTGATTCACAAGCTCCCACGATGATGGAAAAAAAGGGATCCCTTTTCCTCCTTCCGATGAGAAAGGGAACACGGGCCCAAAAGCGAAACAGTCGGCTTCTTTCAGAAACAGGTCGTCGACATCGAGGGAAAAGGTTGGCTGCTTGATATCGTGGGCGAGTCGCTTAGATACCGATGCGGGTCTTGCGCCAGTGACGTCTCTTAGCGTTGTATCTGGAGAAAGTCCGTTAGTATTCGGGTTCTGTAGATTGGTGCGCTTCTGTGGCTGTCCGGGAGAAGGTGTGGAAAGAGTTCGGTGTTTTCTCAAAAAGCTCGTTTGCTTTGCTCGTCGCGCGTTTCGATATTCCAAGCTCTTTTCGAATCCTTCTTTCGGGGACGGGACCTGGATCATTCGTACCTGATGGTGTTGTTGGTGCGCAGACGGATCCACTGAGGGATGGGACGGTTCTGCTTCTGCGCCTTGGCGAGCTTCTGCTTGGTGCGGAAAGACTTGTGGGACTGTGTGGTTACATCGTGTCAGAGAGACTGTTTTCCTGGATGAACAGCGCTGGCGGGACTCCTTACAGGCATCTTGACGGTCTTTGTCGCTGGTCGTGGGAAGGGAGAAGCACGCCGGCTGTGAAATTCTACGAATTCGATGTGGCAGGTGCGTGCGTCACTTGGCGCTCTGGGGGGTTTGCCGAATCTTGGCGGCAAATCCCGTGACCGACAACGCCCGCCACCGCTTCCTCGAAGTGAACCATGCAATCTCCCATTGCTTGCGAACCACTTTTGGCAGCTCGACAAGGACATAATCAACCACCTCCACCCCGGGAATACTGATCGCATACATCATCACCGCCAGACGACATATTCATCATGCCCAAGGCCGAAGTTGGTAGCACAAAATGGCTCTCCAACAACATGAAGTCCAAAGGCCTGCAAAGGCTGCGCTGGTACTGTCAAGTCTGCCAGCGTCAAATGCGCGATGAGAACGGCTTCAAGCAACACACCCTGTCTGAAGGACATGTACGTGCCATGTTACTCGTCGGCGAGGATCCCAAGAAATACATTGCACAATACTCGGAAACATTCAAGAAGGACTTCTTGACTCTACTCAGGACGGCGCACGGAGAGAAAAAGGTCTATGCGAACCACTTTTACCAGGAATACATTCACGACAAGGAGCATATTCACATGAACTCGACTAAGTGGCCCAGTTTGACCGAGTTCGTCAAGTATCTTGGAAGAGAAGGTATCTGCAGAGTTGAAGAGGGTGACCGAGGTTTGGAAATTGCATGGGTCGACGACAGCCCTGAAGCACTAAGACGCAGAGAGATGGTCCGCAAGAAGGAAGCTATGGAGAAGGGTGACGAAGACCGCGAAACTCGCATGCTCGAAGCGCAGATCAAACGTGCACAGGAGAAGAAGAGGCAACAGGAGGCGGAAGACCTTCTCAATCAGAAGAGTCATGACGAGGAAGATAAGCCCAGGAAGGTCCAGGAAGGTCCCTTGTCATTCAGTCTGGGTTTAGGATCTACACCCGCGAGCACGGACCCGGCAGAATCGGCGGTCGAGAAGACGCCATCCTCATCCGAGAAGGCTATCGAAAACAAGGCCGAGCCCATCTTGGAGTTCAGAACTGGAGACGAGAGACCGGTCGAAGCCACTGCCACACTTCCAGCTGCGCCTAAGCTTTCTCTTGATCTCGGTTCTAAACCCAAGCGTGTCAATGTTTTCGCAGCAGCTTCCAAGTCCAAGTCCAACCCTCTTAAGGACAAGAAGCCTGCGAACGTATTCGAGGAAGCCAAGAAGATGAGCGCAGCAGAGCGCATCATGAGGGAAGAGATGGACAGGAAGCGTATGCGGGACGAACGTCAATCTGGTGGCGGTAAGCGCCCCCGTCTTGGTTGAACCTCGTGAAGTCTTGTTCTATGATCTGTAAATTCAGCGAGGCGCTCGGGAGAGGGAAATGGGCACGACTTACGATTGCATGATTGTTATGGAAGGTAGGAATGAGCAGATGAAGCTCGGCGGAACAAGTCTCAGAAATCAGAGTCCTCTTCGTGAATAGTTTGAGCCAGTAGACCGTATCTGCCGGCACCGGGTGTATCGAGCACGCTGGTCATGGACAAGGTAGGAGAGAGCAGAGCATCTGACTGATACATGTCTTTGCGTCTTCTCGAGGCACGATACTGCTTCGAAGTAGGACCCCGAGCGACGGGTTCGGGAGCGAGGTGTAGATTCGAATACAGAAAAGAGTAGACAAAGTGCAGAAGCAAGCCACAGGAGATGCCGGTGATAGAGGCGACACCCAGATAGATGTAGATTGTCTTGGCGATGGTTAGCATATTAATAGCGTAGGATGCGGGGCAGCGAATAAGCCATGGGATGGGGTAGATGACCTCGAATCTCTGCAAGAAGCGGAACGGAGCAATTGTGCAGTAGGCTAGCAATCGACCAAAGAGAAGCAGTGGCTGCAGTAAGAAGAGCAAAGCGCTCGTGATGGGTGAGAGGAGCGCTTTGAGGGTTAACGCAAGGAAGGCAAGTACAAAGTAGATGGGGTATACGAGGTAGTAGAGGCCAGTCAAGAGGCACGAGACGTAGAGGTTCATGGTTTGTCCAGATTGGGAGACTCTAACACAAGAAGTCACAAGCTATGCAGGATAGCGTATCGCCAGGCAGACGGCCAGATGGGTCGGGAAAGGGCCTGCAGGAGCGAAGCTGGTGGTGTGCGAATGGTTGGTGACGTGGATCAATGTTGAACGTCTTGACCCCCGCTGAGCAGTGAGGGAGCTCCAGTGTTGCGGAGAAAGCACGAGCGGGCACCCGCCATTCCTGCCAAAGCGATCTTCATCCTCGTCCAACTGATCATCCAAAGAAACCCACATCTCGTTTCGATGGGAAACACGCCGTCGTCTGCCAAAGCGGAGAAGGGCAGCCAACCCGCCTCGCCCGCCCACGCTCTCCACCAACACCACTCGCGCGACCAACACCACCATGAAGCCCGTCGCGAGCCGCGACGCCGCGAATCCATCCCGGCCCTGACGTCCAAGACGGCCGCTGCCTCTCCCTCCCTCGACACCACCTCGGCCAGCGGACAGGCCATCTTCCCCTCGCACTACTCTCCCTCGCAGCCGCGCTCTGCTCCTGCCTCTGGCCACCAGCGCAATCGCTCAAACACCACAAACACCCCCAAGCAGGAGTCGCCCTCGGTCCCGCGTCGCTACAAGAGCCTCAAGTCTCCCAGCCCTCCTCCAGAGCCTCGTCTATCGCCTGCATCACAGCCCGTCGACGTTCCTCAATCACAACGCCCCCAGCGTCCTGCCTCTCCTGCTACAGAGGCCGCATACCACCTCCCACCAGCCAGTTTCTCGCGCCCCCCACGTCTTCCTCTGCCAATTGAACAAGAAGACCACACCCCTGGCTCTCCCATAGTCTCGGCCGTCGTTCCCGACGACGACCCTGAACAGGTCGACCTGCCCCGACGATCGAGCGTCGTTAGCAGTACCATTGACGACGATGACGAAGAGCCCGACGGCTTCGAGGGCTACGAGACGGATGCTGGCGGTCCAAAAGTGCCCACTCTGATAGAATGGCGCAACACCAAACCGGGTGAACGTGTCTACGTAACAGGCACATTTACTAACTGGGAACGCAAATTCCGTCTGCACAAGGAGTAGGTCAATCAAAGCGTGGCGTGACCGATGGTTCCAAGAAGATCTGAGAGCTGACTCGACATCACAGTGGTCCCAGCAAGCATAAGAACGCCTTGTCGGCCACACTTCAACTACCTCCGGGCACTCACCACATCAAATTCATTGCCAACGGCGACATGATGACCTCGAACGATCTACCCACCACCGTGGATTACACCAACATTCTTGTCAACTACATCGAAGTCTCCTTGGATCAGCTACCTCTCCTTCAGCCCGGCAAACCCGTGCTCCCTGGTCCCCCTCCGGTCAAGCCTCAAGAGCCCTCAAGGCCCATGGACATTCGGCCCAAACCAGCGGCGCAGGCAACCAAGGACGCGTCGGCCGCCAACCAACCACAGAACACCCCTCCCAAGTCAAGTCATGAGCCACCCGCTCCGAAATCGACCACAGGCACACCGGCACAAGCTCCTGCCGATGAACCCAAGTCGCGCCAGGAGGCCCCATTAGTCCGCCAACAAAGCCGGGAATGGACGCAAACAGTGCCTGCCTACCTCACAGACCTTGATTCTTGGTATCCGCCGCCCTCGGCAAAAGAAGATGCGCAATCACCATCTGGTTCTGCTGCGCGTTACAGATTCGAGCGTGCCAATGCCGCTGCTGAGTCTCAACCAGCACCTCCTTCACTTCCCATGTTCCTCAGCAAGAGCATTCTCAACGGAACCACGCCGACCAAGGATGACAGCAGTGTGTTGATCATGCCAAATCATACCGTGCTAAATCATCTGGCGACTACGAACATCAAGCAAGGCGTGCTGGCCACGAGTGCGACCACTAGGTACAAGAGAAAGGTATGTTTCTTCGACAAGTAACATAAGCACAACTTCACCTTGCTAACTCGACTGACACAGTTCCTTACTACCATCATGTACAAACCGCGTAGCGACGGCGAAGAATAAAGCATATGAGTGGGAAAATGACTTTTACATCCAAATTCATTGTACATAAATTAATCTTCTGACTGGTCCTTTTTTCTTATAGAGTCCATGGATAGGGGAGTGGTATCCATCGTAGATATTTTCCGTCGATTTGGAATGATGAATAGAGAGAGCACAGGATCAAACAATCACAAGTACCAGATCCCGGCCACTATTCTAATTGTCAAAGGACATTTCTCCATATCACGAACGTCTCGTGACTACCATAAAACTCAGCACTGGCGTAGTTGCTCTGTCTTCAGTGCTTGTTCCCTTCGTCCTGTGCACCTCTGTTGCTCTCTTTGTAAGATTTATGCACCCATCCCCATATCCCAGAATCCACATTCCATCTGCACAATCTAGTTAGAAGATAGGCCCACTGCAAAAGATAGCTCCCACTCACCTTGGTCGCATGAATGAAGATCTTGACCAGCTCCTCAATCCTCGATGGCGACTGTCTAAACACATTCCCCTCTACCAGTTCTGCGCACATGTCAGTCATCTCGCTCGTTTCATAGTTTCCACGGGTCAACCCACCCATTCCCTTGCCAACAGCCTGAGTGTAATCGTCGGCAATGTAGTTGTCAATCCACTGACGGTAGCGATTTGCATTCTTCGGTGCAGAAGGGTCTTGCAGGGCAGAAAGACGCTTAGCGATGTGATGGTAGCCGATGAGGCAGGGGAACATTGCGATTTGCAGGGCGAGCCAGTCTTCCGAGGCACCAATGTCGAGGATGTAGCGGCTGTATGCTGTACAGGCTGTATAGATATGTCAGCTTGGTGCCCGAGATAAGGGGCAACTGAAAGAAGGAGACCTTGGTGTTCTTCAGAGTTGCGGAGTTCATCCATCGTGACGCCTAGTTTTAGACATTCGGATACATGTAGCTTGGTCTCAGTGTGGATGTGAGTCACAATACTAGCGGACTGTGGATCGTATTAGTTGAAGAACACGATACTCTGCTCGAACAACTTACTGCTGCAACGCCTTCCAAGGTCTTTGCCTTGTAGCCAGCGAGTGCATTTGCTCTAGCAAATTGTGTCTGTGACTTTAGTCAGCGATGCATCGATTGCATGTCACTCTGCTGCGTACCAGGTAAAGATAGTCCTGGACCATGTAGAACTTGAACCTTTCGACAGGTAGAGTGCCATCGCCCATCTTCTCCACAAAGTCATGCTGTGTGAAATCTCTCCAGACTCGTTGAACATCCTCGCGCTCGAGTAACCAGTCTACGAAGCCGCCGCTGAGATTGCGATCAGTACAATGATGGAGTACTGAGATCGACTAACTTACGGTGGGAATGGCATGATATTGAGAGAATGAAAGTGGTTGATTGGACCAGATCCTTTACCAAGATCGACGCTGGTCTTGATGCCAGCCTCTACGTAGCGACCAGCAGCACGTACTGCTCGTTCCATGCTCAGGCCATTTGCAACGTTGCAGGCGATGGCAGCTATCTCCAGTTAGTGTCGAACGATGCCGTATGGGAATATAAACACTTACATGCGAGCGAGCATCCTGTACCATGTGTGTTTCGTGCAATCTGATACTTCGATTCAAATACGCAGTAGTCACCGTCTGTGTAAAGCACATTGACCAAGACTTCCTTCTCGTCATCGGTGGTAGCGACCTCGTAGTTCTTCTTCAGCGGAATGTGTCCACCCTTGATCAAAACACTTTTGGGTCCGAGATCCGCAACTGCCTTGGCTAGGCGTTTCATGCCATCCAAGTCTTTGATGTCGTCGATTTTGTTGCCAGACTCTTCGAGTAGTAAGAGTGCTTCCGGGATGTTGGGCGTGATAAGCCCAGTCACAGGCAGAAGTTCTGTGCATAAAGTTTTGATGGCCTCTTCTTTGAGCAGTCTCGCACCACTCGTCGCAACCATGACCTCGAGTCTATCAGCATAGTAACATGAAGCTCATCCTTTTCACATACAGGGTCCACGATGCTGCATGCGGGCTTGTACTTTCTCAAAGCATCTGCGACGACCTGTATTGTGCCAGCAGAAGCCAGCATGCCTTTCAATGATCGTCAGCATAAGTCTTGATAGTCATAAACAAGAAATGATGCCCGGGGCGAAAGATGTCATTGGCATGAGAGATCATGGGAAATTCAAATTACCAGTCTTGACTACATCAATACCAACGTCTTCTGCGCAAGCATCAATACATTTCTTTACGAATTCTGATGGTGTTTCGTGGATGCCAGTGACGCCTTGAGTATTCTGTGCAGTCAAAGCAGTAGTTGCAGTCATAGCATAACAGCCATGTGCAGCAATGACTTTTTGGTCCGCCTCAAGGCCTCTGTAAATTCATTTTCGATCAGTCTTTGCAATACTTTGTTCGATATGGTCGTCCTTACGCGCCACCAGAACTATCAGATCCTGCAATAACGAGTATTCTTCTTGGATGTTCCATTATGTTGGATTGTTTTATGATAAATGTTCGAAGAACGTGTTGGTTGAATCTCGAGATCGCAGCTGCCGTCATCGGGGAAAATCACCGAGCCGCTCTCGGCCGCTCTGTCCCTTAGCCCTCTCCTACTCGTAAATCACTAAACATACAACTTTTCTTACTCTCCCGAATTTCTCAATCCGAGTCTGACTCGTCGAATTCGGGAACGTCAGGATCTGGGTAATAGTTAGTCTTTGAGATCGAGATGTACTGGAGGATATTATGGCTTACCTCTGACAAGCTGATATTCAAAGCGACCTTGCACCTTAGTGGCTAAGGTATCACGAACCAAATCCTGCTCCTCTCCACTCAGAGCAGCATCAAGGGAGGCCATGTCGATCGAGATGGCTAGACCACGGTTGCTCGGCCCTAGCTTGTCGATGAATTCAAGAAGGCCATCAGCCGTGAAGACCGAGAGACCATTGAAGGTCAGACTCTTCAAGTTTCCCAAGTTTGAGAGTGTCGCCAGAGTGCTATCGCTCAACAGCCAACCACTGACGTTAAGATCTTCTAGATTCAACAAATTCTCTCCTAGAAGTTGCAGCTGATCGTCTTGGAAGTAGTCTGATGATCTGGTGAGCTGGAGATACCGCAAGTCTCTCAGCTCGCACAGAGACTCGCAAAGCTGGTTACGTGCCACAGGCTCTAGGGGATCGGGGTCCGCCTTCAGGACCAGGCTTTGCAGTTTCGTCTGCAAGCCAATCGCTGCATGAAACTCTGAGTGCTCCCGTAACGCATACATGCAGTCATCTCTTCTTGCGTTGATTTGCAAATCCTCCAAGTCAACACCTTCCTCACTCAATGCTGGTGTCAGGATATCGGGAGCTGATATGAAATCGGTGAGGTTGACCTCGCGCAGTTTCGTGCACTGCTTCAACCATTCTATCATGCCGTGCAAAGTGTCTTTCTGCATTTCCTTGAGATCGTGCGGTGGTTGCGTGTCGGTCAGTTTGAGCGTCTCAATCACTGTGCAGTTCTTCATTAGTCCCAGTCCTTCTATACCTTTGTCCGGGATCGCGAGTGCTAGGAATCTGAGAGACTCTGCATGCGTGTTCAGCGCCCGACAGGTTTCAATACCGATGCCACATTCTCCAATGTTCTCGAAGTACTGTAATGTGTTCTTAGGCATATTGTTCAGAAAACGTGCGAGTAGAACGTCGGATTCATCGTCACGCCTATTGCATGATGTTAGCCTGATGTAGGTGAGCTGGTGACTGCCCTCTCCTTACCATTGGTATATGTTGATTCTGTTGAGATATGGACAATGTTTGTGTAGGAGATTCTGGACAGTCTCATCGCCCAGAGTCTTGCCATCCCACAACTCGAGCGATCTCAACCTACTCAGATCGGGCGCCCATCGCGGCAGAGCACTGGAGAGGACTTGTGAGAACGTCAGTATCTCTTCTCTTTCAATATCCAGAAACGCTTACTGTTGTATTCGCCAACTATAGGCTCCGTAAGCTCTTCGAGCATTGGTGCAGCTTTCACGATCGCTGGCTCAATGTCAGCTAAAAACGTATACATACTTTCGGATCCCGTACACACGACATACCGTCTCCAATTGCAGCAACTGTCTCACGCATATTACTCGATCTCAAAGCGCGGTTCTTACCCCTGGTCTGACTGGTAATATTAAATCTGGCAAGAGAACCAGAGAAGAAGTTTCTGTGAACGTGTCAGCGGAGATCGTCATCATCTCAAGGCTCAATGCCATACTGCTGGATCTTGCCCCTAAATTTGTCATCGTCCAATAACTCATAAAGATCCCTCAGGTCAAGTACTCTTAAGTAATGACAATATGGAAATAGCGTCTCCTCGGTACACGAAAGTAGAACGGTCCTCCACAAGATCGACCACCTCTGAACAGCTTGTTCCTGTTCGTGTAGTGGCAATGCCTCATTACCTCCACTTTTGACAGGTGCATTGTGACTCGCGCTGTATATTGTCAGAAGCTTTCGTTATTGTCTATCAGGGAATATGGATATATGTACCGGTAGAGATTTGCTAGAGCTCCGGAGCCGGCCAGATGTTTACTAGCCACGGCACAGTTGTACAAGCTCGAGAAGTCATTGCGTGAGGCAAGCTCGTCAAAGAGAAGCTGCCATACATCGGGTGGCAACCTCACACTTGTCGTGACTGCTTCGTCTTCAACAGACATTATTTTAGCTGAAATAATGAGTAATGATTAAAAGCTATTGAACGAGGTTGGCTGGTTGATTGATAATGACGTGCGCATTGAACGCGTCGCTTATCGATAAGGCAAAGTCGCGTCTCCCGTGCAGGCATCAGCTCTTGGCGACTATTCTCATACTATCAGTTCTCTTTCGACTTCTTGAAGTCTGTAGCTGGGCATTGTGTTCAAGATGTCCACTCTCAGCTTCACCTTCTCGCCAGAGGCCACGACTAAGGTCCACGATGCCCTGATATGTTTGGCCAAGTTTGGTGAAACGGTGTGTATGGAAGCTCGTGGCGACATGGTAAGTGCATCTATAGCCTACGATATGTTTTGTCTATCCACTGACCACTGACAGCTCACACTTACTACTCTGAATTCTTCCAGAACATCGTATGCGTCGTTCTCTCTGGACGCCAAATCCTTCTTCCTATCATATAATTTTGGTCTCGGCCAAGGGGCTAGATTCACATGCCAGCTCTACAATAAGGTTGGTCGTGAGCGTATAGAATATTGCAACCATGACTGACCAGTGCGAAGGCTCTTCTCGCCGTATTCAAGACGCGCATGTCGGATCCTCGTGGTGGCGATACCTCGATAGACCGATGCGAGGTCAGTGTGGAAGACAAGCCAAATAAGGTGCATTGCCGTTTGGTTGTCAAAATGGTGTGCAAGCATGGTATGTGACAACAAATTTGTGCTAAAATCGATCATACAGCTGATCAATCACTAAGGCGTGACTAAAACTTACCGTTTGACCTACGAATCTGTGGAAGTCTCACACGCACTCTTTGATAAATACAACGCACCAAACGGCTGGAAGATCTCATCTCGTATACTGCGAGAGTACATTGAATATTTTGGAACCAAAACAGAACAGCTCGATCTTCTGGTAAAGGAGGGAAAAGCAATCTTCACAAGTTTCACAGAAAAGATCATGGATGGTAAAGGTACGATGATTTCTGTCATGAAAGCAGGCATTTTGTTGACTCGTGTCCTAGAAATACTCAAGCAACCTTTGGAAACAGCCATATCGCTACATATACAGGACTTCGACGATTTTCATGCTGAGGAGGATGTTCACATTGTCATCAATGTCAAAGACTTCAAGGCCATTGTAACACACGCAGAGACTCTAAAAGCCCCGATGTGTGCACAGTTCTCTCGCCCCGGAAGACCGCTGCTGTTCAGATATACTGAAAAGGGACTGACCTGTGAGTTCATCCTCATGACAACCGGAATCGCCCAGAGCGCACCTCCCACAACAGCACCGAGAGTTGCATCAACCCGTCCCAGTGGACAACCTTGTAGGCAAGCCTCTAGGCAACCCTCAACTGTGTCGCTCCGACCATCGAGACAATCTACAGTAGATGCAGATGCGTCCACTAGACAGCCATCAATGGCACCAGATATGTCTTCGAGGCAGTCTTCTCACGTTCCTGTACAAACTATTGAAAGCCGGAACACAGAGATGGCACCTCCGCCAAGACCTGTGGTTGTTAACGGTCTACGTGACCGCAGGGCTTTGGGCAGTCTCGGGCGCCAAACATCTCAAGCAACGACATCACCTCATGATGCGGATTCCACCAGCCTGTTCGTGTCACAGAACGACGAAGATGATGGTAGATGGGAACCGCCAAACCTGGACGAAGAGCCTGACGAGATGCTGGGATGGGACACAACTGCGGATCTCGTGAGTCAGAGAGCTGGCGATCCTGTCGAAGCATACTAACATTCCCCAGATTGGCAATTTCCATCCTACCGTTCGCGATGCCATCACTCATGAGCCACCTCCACTCAGCCAAAGTCTCAACAGAAGCACGCAAGGCTTGCCACCCACACAAAGGCTTTCTCAGGTAATTCAATCGCGCTGTGTCTGTTTCGCTAGCTGACTGGTGTTGAAGATGAACGGCCTGTTTGACTGAGGCATGTTGTACCACACAACAAGATTGCTGCCGGAATAGTGTGATGCTCACGAGGTAACGATCCAACTCGTTGCGCAGCCGGCACCGATGTGTTGGACATTGCTCTCTGTCTCGAGCTCATTCCATCGACCTTTGACGTCGCGTTGCTCGTCAGTGGGTAAGCCGCAATTACCATGTTCGCCCCAGCCCCAAGCTAAAACTTTGCCAGAAGTCGTCAACACGAGCATGTGCTCGCTACCAGCAGCCATAGCAGCCACTGACATATCCGCTGGAGGGAGCTGTCCATGATCATCTCTACCCCAAGCCACGAGACTATTGTTAGATAGTAGAGCATAAACTCCGCCCCATGTGGCTTGTACATCTGACCAGTCTCTGAGTATCTGAGGCGTGGTTGACTTGATGTTGAATCTGTCACGTTTCGCCAGACCGATAAGTTGTAGCTCGCCATCTGCAGGATCGCCGAAAAGGCATGTAAAGTCTTTGCCACAGACGGCGCGAGCTACTGGAAAAGAAACATCATCAAATTTGCGCGGCTGCCAGACAATACCCAGAGGACTACCCAACTGACCATTTTGTCCATTGCCCCAGCCATAGACATCTCCGTTAGATAGTACTACTACAACATGACCCATGCAGGCGGCCAAATCAACGATCTGCGTGCCAGTGGGCGGGAAATCTTTAATCGTTCTTGGCGAGTGTGCTTTTGTCATGTTTTTTCCGAGTCCCAACTCTCCTTTGGCACCGCTTCCACATACATAGACTGGGCCGAGAGCAGACGCAAACATTGAAGCATCCCAAGTAGATCCGATAAAATCTATTTTGGGTAGTGTTGGGGAGACGAAAGAATTGATCGAGGATGTTTCCACAGGAAGCGCACACCTCCCATCCTCATTTTGACCAGTAGCATAGATAGTACCAGATCTTGTGAGGACCAAGGTGTGGTTTCCACCAGCTTTAATGGAAATAATTGGGGCGTCGAGCTTGCTGGTGTCGACAAGTGACGGCAAAGAGAGGTCATCATCGTGGCCAAGTCCTAGTTGAGACGAGCCATTCGAGCCCAGAGCATAGACGTGCATCACCAGAATTGTTCAGCGTCAAAGGGCAGTGATAAAGATTAGTGCCACTTGTTGATCGAGTGAGTAGGACGGAGTTGAAGGATGCCAAGCATTAAGGCATTCCCGGAGGGCAGGAGCGCGCGGCTTATTTTCGGCAAAGCGAGCACTCGCACTCGCGGCGTCGAAAATTCGCAACACGCACCCGCCCTTCTGAAGACCCGAGAGAGACCTTTTCCGCGCCGACCGACCAGACGACTTTTCGACAACTCCACATAACCATCGCCACCATGTCGTCCTCCCAGAGCGTCCAGTGCTTCGGCAAGAAGAAGACCGCCACCGCTGTCGCCCACTGCAAGCAGGGCCAGGGCCTCATCAAGGTCAACGGCCAGCCCATCTCGCTCGTCCAGCCCGAGATCCTTAGATTCAAGGTCTACGAGCCTGTCCTCATCCTCGGCCTCGACAAGTTCGGTATGCGACCACCCACCTCCCGGAAAGACAGAAAGAGCAATGGATGAAAGAGCTTGGGAAGACATGGAAATGGGATCGGACACATTGCACGCGGCTTGGACCATTATCAGGACAAATTGCTGACAGGATCTTCTTCTACAGCCGGTGTTGACATCAGAGTCCGCGTCACCGGTGGTGGTCACACCTCCCAGGTCTACGCTATCCGCCAGGCTATTGCCAAGTCCATCGTACGTTTACACTTTTCTTGCAAAGACAACACCCATCCCGCTTCGACCGCGAAACAGAAAGAGAAGGAAGTCGACAAAGGGAACACCGAAACCACTACAATCCATCCGCCATGATTCGCGCGACACGTCTTGAACAACACACGAATGGAATCCAATACTAACGCGTCTCAAGATCGCCTACTACCAGAAGTTCGTCGATGAGCACAGCAAGAACCAGCTCAAGCAGGCCCTCGTTGCCTACGACCGCACACTCCTCGTCGCCGACAACAGAAGATGCGAGCCCAAGAAGTTCGGTGGTAAGGGTGCCCGCTCGCGCTTCCAGAAGTCCTACCGTTAAACAATTCTCCTTTGCTGGGGAAGCGTTTACGGTGTGTGGCTTTCGCATTTGGTGGCCTTCGACTCTGGGGTTGCTGGGGGTTGTGATATTCCCTCCATGGCGCGCGTGTGAAAGGGAAAGGGAAATGTTCAAAGGGAATCCAAAACTTTTCATGATGGCATAGGCAAGATTATTCCAAAAGCGATATTTTTGCTGTTGTCCAGCTCCAACAACCCGATCACATCCCTGCGCACCATGCAGCCTCTCCACCGTCGTTAGCGAGCCAGAAAGAGAAAACGAAAAAATCGCTGTTGTGTTGTCGAAAAGCAAGCAAAACAAAAACGAGACAAAGACCTTTTTATCATCCTTTCGCGTCATGACTGCAACGCGCCTTAATGGGTTTTACATTGATTACATGATAGAGCTGATTGACTTTGCCCTTGTACTTTACAGCACTTCTAAGGCCAGTAGTTACTTCTCTGGGCTTGTCTGCGCCACCGTTCAACACCCCACCTGTTCCCATCAATGCCTGTTCGGATCTGCTCTCCGAGCATTGCTCGACCGCCATGTGTACCCTACCCTGTCTCACTCCAAGCTAACCGTAGGCCCGCTAATCTGGTAGACCAGACTGTGATTGCGAAGGCACGGCGGTGAAGAGAGCGAAGGGGCTGCGTAGTCGTGGCTCAACTACCGTGCTAGAAGCGACAAGGCTGCCTCAAGATGATAGCAAGAAGCTCTTCTCGTAGATGTGATGTTTTGGTTGTTCGGGAATGATTGAATAGCATCTTCAACCCTCGTCGGCTGTCGATTCATCTTGTGAATTGTTTGCTCCATCCATTTGAGCAGTGGGAGAGCGTGTCGAAGCACCAGCACCATTCATGCTCCTTCTGTTCTGGGTGGCTGCTTTCTCACCTACTGGCGGAGCATCTTTCCAGTCTTTCTTGCACACCGGACATCTTTCGTTGTTGTTCTGTGCTCTAAAAGCCATGCGTTTGCAATGGGTGTGTAACCGACCCGTGCAGTCGAGATCGGGACATCGTTCTCCCTATTTCAAGCAGTTAGCAATGTCGAAATTTTGTTGTATGAGTGTCGCGATATTACCATGGTGATTATAGCCTTGCAAGCCGAGCAGTTCCTTATCCTTTCATCTTCTTCATCGTTGTACGTTTCGACGAGCCATGCACGCAATTCCATGAGAGCACGCGGAGTCAGCGTGTAGAAGTCTCTCTTGCTGAGTTCAAACCAGCCCTCGTCAACCATGGCCTGCAGCATCCTCTGAGCCGACGACATGGTCAGACTCTGGGCCTGTGCGCCTTGTGTCGCATCAACATGCTGAGTCTGACCAGTTGGGGCCTTTGCAAGCCTCACGGCTTCGGTAGAGCGGACGGCAAGCACTTCACTGCGATAGGTATTATTCGTCTCGAACATGGCATCGAGACAACGTTTCACAAAGGCGATCTCATCGGGTGTGTGGGTGGTTGCAAGCTGAGTGATCGAGTCCGAAGAGACATTCACCAGAGCGTAGATGCGGGTGCGGTCGTGTTGAGACAGAGTGTCACGGATCTCGAGGTCGAAGGGAGAAATGGCGGCATTGGTCACATTGACGAAGGTCGAGAAGTCTTGTTCGGTAATGTCGGCAGGTTGGACATCGCGGCCATCTTGTGCTGCTACCTGTCAGTCTGGTGTGTTGGGAGCGCGTGAGAGGCTGGTCACCTTGAGCATTCTTAATTGCTGCAAGGACCGGCCTGGCTTGTTCGAAAGTAAGAGTGGCGCGTGACAAGAGGGACTGTAAGAAGGCACGGTGGCTGTTGTTGTACACTTCGTCGCTCTCGCCGTTGTCCGACATGTTGACAGAGTGTCGATGGGAAATGCACGAGGAGCGACTTCCGGGAAGACGCGTCTCAATCTTGGCCGCGTCGCTTGCGCCTCGTCACACTTCCGTTCTTGCCCAACTTCGACTTGCATTGCCACGCGACTTGCTCGTTATCCCATCTGCATTCAACAACAGGTAAGTGTTTGCTAGCGCTGTCCTTCATTGATGTCCATTTGTCTTTGTGTCCCATGTACTACCTATGAATTATAACCATGTCACTCAATCACCCAACTGCCTTCAACATGCAGTCCTTTACCCACCCTTTGCTATTCGACACGCGTCAGATCGAGAAGAGCAAGCAAACCAAACTCTTCAGTGGATTGGATACATCACGCAATGCCCACGCTGTACTCAACCATAAACACAGATCAAGACGATCTAGACCCTTCACTGTTCCCGCCTTCACTCTCCCTTATCGCACTATCACTATGAATAATGCCAATGATAAATCAACAAACACTGAACCACGAAAGAAAAAAGGCCATCAGAAGCTGAAAGTCAAGGAACCGAAGGCTAAGAAGAGCAAGAGCTTTCACTCTGATCGTCTCACAACCCACGACAAGAGTAACAACAAATTAAGTCTGCCTCGTCAGCTGTCTCTCGCACACCACTCACGAACCATGGACAATCCCAAGACAAACGAACCCGGAATCTCCGAGAGAAGGGGTATCAGATGGGTGTGTGAAACTATCGTTCATCATTCTCAAAGATCAGACACTTACTTCTTATCAGCTTCCACACCAACTTGAGCTTGAAGAGCCAACCTCAACCTTGGTCCTGACCGGCTCGAAAGGACAATTCGTTGACATCCGCATCTTCTGCAAGCAAGGAGACACATTGCCTAACGAAGGTGAGATTCAGATACGCAGTTCACTTGCTTCAACATCTCATTTTGAATTCTGGATCTAACCATTTCGCAGGCGGCCCATCACAATTGCTCGACTGGGGTATTGCCGGCACTTCCACGAGCACCATCATCAACGAACCTTCGTTAGATCACCCCTCCAACCCAGCGCCACCATCAGATGGAACTTCGAGAGCCGTCTGTCACTCCACATTCTCTCACTGGCTCGACAGTCGTACCGATACCCCTGGACCTGATCAAGGTGACATGTATCCACAAACTGACAACACAACTCTTGAGCTGGGCTCAATGTACAATCCACTTACCAAGTCGGAGCAAGCCTACGAAGAAGTGTGGGCCGACTACGGTGCCTCTGCTGTGGATGGAAAGCGATGGAGCGTTGTGATTGATCTTGAAAATCACGAGCACAACGCTAAAGGAAGAGTTGTTCGTGTGGGCGAGCACTGTCAAGCTATCCTCAAGGTTGGTGAACAAGTCACCGTTGAACGCTGGAGGTTCGAGTTGCCAGACAAGGATGGCAAAGGTAATTGGAGACGCCTTGCCAGATTGGGCGATCTGTTCCTGCCTGTCTCGTTGGTCTTCACCCCTGAAAGCATCGCTGAGGGTAACACTCTGACTTATGGAGAGTACAAGTGGACAGTCAAGGAGGTTTACTCTTGGTAAGCGCCCCGAGAGGACGAAGTAACCATGTTTTTCCATGCCAAGCGGAGAACGTCACCTGGGACAGGAGCTTCTTGATTCTATGTAGCATAGTCAATCGAAATGTCATCTGACTCAACAAACAACAGCTGTCTCGTTGCAGAATTTCAAGAAGACGCCTTCAGTCGTGCAGTCAGGGTCACACTGGTAGCCGAGATGTCGCACATTGATGACTTCCTGGAAGGCGGACCAGCTTTGCTAGTTTGTATTACAAAGCTAGAGAAAATTCTGCATTGGATGGATCATGCTGGTGAGTCATTGTACGTCCATACAATGATTTGTTTCTATACTGTTTACTGTGCTTGAAGTGCTGCTAATGATCATGTCAAGTTACATCGGATCGAAATCATGCAACCACCCTCCTCTACTCATGCTCTCCTCACCACATCTCGACCTCTGCATCCTACGATACCACTCAAGTGATCTTCTTTCCAATAGCCTCGGCCTCCTGTCTCAACTTGGCAGGAATAGGTAGACCCTTCTTCTTTCTCTCCTGAATCTCCGACATGATCTCCTCGACCATCTCGTCCCAAGCACGACCGGGATCATCAGGCAAGCCAAGTGTTGGACTTCTGGCTTCCTTCTCTAGACTCTTGCGCACTTGTTCTTCGCTAGGCTTGGAGTGCTTCTTAACCTTTTGCTGCAAGAACTGCTTTCCGGGCGTGAGCAGGAAGAGGGATGACGCGCTCACGGCAATGATCGTGTAGAAGTAGACGCGCTGCCAGACTAGAAGAGAGGAGCTGAAGCTGAGGAAAATGAAGGGGGCGACGGTGAATGAGAAGGCGAGTTGTGTAACAAGCCAGGTAAAGACATCGTAGTAACGTTTAGAGGGAAGCTCTTTGGTGCCATCTGCGCTCATGAAGAAGGGACGGATCAAACGTCGTGAATCTAGTTCAACAAAGTCAGCATCATTGTTTTTAGACATCTGAAATGTAGAAGACTCACTCTTTGCGGAATTCTGGACGAAGCTGGCGAGCACAAAGGCAAGATAGTATCCAGGATAGAATCCATGCCAGAATGCACTGGTAACAAAGGTAGCCATACTCGCTCTGAACCCAGGCTTCTTGCCCTTGGGTGTAACACGCAGATATACGTAGTTCCTCAACCACATGTTGGTGTTGATGTTCCAGTTTCCAAGATAGGCGTGGCTGTTCTGGGCCAGTTCAATAGCAAGAGGCTTTACATTTTGCAATCTGTTCCAATCGGCCTTTCCTGTCTTTGGGTCGATACCCTTGAAGCCAATTCCGGAGAGGATACAAGCTCCCTCTGTAAGCGACCAAACGCCGTAGTACTTCATGCGAGTGGTTAGACCCAGCATGTGCATAACCCAGACGCGGCGGAAAATACCATACTCCTTGTAGCCGTCAGACAGCAAGAAGTCTGGGTAGTAGTAGCCCGAGAACTGCAGGAAGGCAAGAATCCAAAGAAGTCCATAGGCGGCTTTCCATGCTGCTGGCGTACCACTGCGTGGGATCTTGCGTTGCTTGCGAGTAGGAGGCGCCTTGGATGGGTCAACGCCAGCAGGAAGCTCGAACATGGTAGTCTCGATCCATCTTCTGTAATCAACATAATCAAAAGCAGGACCGGCAAAAAGCGAGGGGAAGAAGAGTACAAAGCCAGCATAATCAAGCAGGCCAGGCAATTTTCGTAGAGCACGATCTTTCTGGTGGTCGGTCAGGGTCGCCTCAGGAAGAGATCCGTCGTAGACATTCCAGCAAAAGGCCGTCAACTTCATGACCAAGACCATCTGGGCACCCGTGATATCGACCGAGCTAGGATCGTCGGCCATTTGTCGATAGATGTGATTGACAGACATGTGACCCATGAGAAACACGAAACCAACCCATGGCATGTATGGACCCTGGATATATGCTGCAATCAAGTATGCACCCACAGAGCTGATCAATATGGTACGCAGACCAGCCCACAAGTCAAAGAGGCCGACCAAGTAGAACATCGACACTCTGTAGAAGTCAGCCACGTATCCTGGTGACTACATTGTAGAGACGCATACGCAATGATGAATGCATTCTTCCGTGCAGGCTTCGAGTCGGGTATACGTTTGAGTACTCCGGCCAAAGGATACGACAGCAGGAAGGAGCATATGAGTTTCACTGTGTGTCATCAGTCGTTCTGACATCGATACAAGTCCTACGAAAACTCACACTCGTCGGGCGCTGCACCCAATTTGCCAGCTGCGTAGACAAACGCTATAGCTAGTCAGTAGAGCCACTCTAACCATCGGCAGCGGCCGTGCAGTACTCACGGACATTGATGTACGGTAACATCATCAGATTCACTCGGTGAAGATCTCACAGAGCGGATCTCAGGTGGACAGAACGGAGTGTGGTATGTTCAAGGAGAAGTGATTCAAAGGCCCAAGAAGTTTGGCTTCTTGCACACGTGGATAGGTCGCTTGGTGTCTCGAAATGACGTAGCACAAGCTTATACTGCATGTGCACAAATGTGTGCATATTACACAAGAACAACAGATTTCACTTGAGCGATAGATATTTCATGTCAATTAAATGTTCAAGGAGTAGAAAAGGGTGAAAGCACAACATGCTCATATGCGACTATACACGCTCGGCAACTTTGCCAATGCAATGCATGAAGCAGTACTTTCATAAGTATCTCTATGGGAAGCCTCGGTCAACATGGCTCTTTCTGCGGGCAGCGCCTCTCATTGCTCTCCAATGTCTCTGTCTGCGCTTCTTGCTCTGTGGAAGAAAACTGCTTCATGCGTCAAATGAAGGACCACTGCCCTTCGGTCGGATAAAGCAAAGATTAGGGAAGTCGTGAGGGCGAGACGTTTAGCGGCCCTTGGCGACTCTGGAGACGATGCTCTCATACTCGATGTCATCGGGGTCGTTGGCCTGAATGTCGGCGGCGAGGCCGTTGAGGGCGCGCTTGATGGCCTCCTTGGAAGATGAGTACATCATGCGGGGCTAGAAACGAACGGGTTAGCATGGGTGTGTGTGACAGTTGAGAAGCAGGAAAGCGCTCACGTATTGCGATGCATCATCGGGGACCCAGGCGATGAAGGTGATCTTGCTTCTGCACGTAGGCGTCAGTATATGGCGACGAGGCGATGGGAGTCGGGGGTGACGCACCTCTTGCCCTCGCCAGCAGTGTCGTACTCGACGTCGTAGACAGCGTATCTGCCACCGATACCCTCGTTTCCTCTTCGGTCCTTGCTCTTTGCGTTGAGGAGCTTCTCACGGAAGACGGAGTAGTTGGCCTCGGTGGACGAGTCTTCGACGACAATCTCCTTCCAGTCGTCCGAGATCTTGTAGATGATCCACTTGGTCGACTTGCCGAGCTTGAGGTCGTTGAATGCGGTGATGCACTCGGGCGCAACGGAAACACTACGTCAGGTCGTTAGCGCCATGCTTCGTACATTGGGCTGCAGTCAGGGCGAGCGTGATGGGTGGGAGTGAGCATACCCGGATTGGGCCTGGAGGATACCGTGTCAGTGCTGAATCGAGTTGCGAGTCGCCGAGAAACATACCATGTTGATTATGTGTCTAGCAGTTACAACACACGACGGTGGCTGTTAGAGCGGTGTCAGCCATCAGTTAAGTAGCGCCGAGCTGAGGCAACCAGATTCGCAACAACAGCACATTGGCACGACAGGCAGCCATTGTACGCGTGGACAAAGACAGGGCGACGACATACCAATTAAGACAATGGTTCGGAGAAGTTGGGCGTTGTGTTGTGGTAGACAACAAGTGGTGCTGGTGAGCTAAGTGCCCCTCCCGCTTGGCCCCGTTCTCTCCGCGACTTCCTCCCTTACCACAAACACGTGACCATGACGTTTCCGATTCAGCCTTGTTCTGTTCGACTTTCACATGTAATCTCAGACCTGTTCGCACAGTCTATGAATCTTTCAAAGGCCCCATACGACAGTGCGGTGGAGCACAGGTAAAATGAGAGATGTGTTTTGATTCGTACAAATACATATAACCAACCCCATCCTTCTGCTATGCAATCTAAGAGAGGAGAAATCTTTGCACATTAACAACAAGGCAGAAATGCCACAGGGCTTTTAGCTACAATACATAGAAACATGAGCGCCCTAAGAGGCTAAAGGAAATTTGGGTATCATCGGGTCTTCAAGCTGCGATTGGCTTAGAACATGCCACCGCCCATACCGCCGCCCATGCCGCCCATGCCGCCCATAGGAGGCATGGCAGGGCCGCCCTTCTCTTCGGCCTCGACGATGGCGACCTCGGTGGTACCAAGGAGCGAGGCAACACCCGAAGCGTCTCTGAGACCAGTGCGCACAACCTTGAAGGGGTCGAGGATACCGGCGGCGATCATGTCGACGAACTCGCCCTTGGCGCTGTCGAAGCCCTTGTTGAAGTCCTGGCCGTACTCGTCCATAATCTTGCCAACGATAACGCTGCCCTCAGCACCGGCGTTCTCAACAATGGCACGAGCGGGACGGGTGATGGCGTTCTTGACGATGCTGATACCGAGCTGCTGGTCGAAGTTGGCGGGCTTGAGGTCGTTCAGGGCGTTGGCGGCGGCCTTGATCATGGCAGTACCACCACCGGGGAGAATACCCTCCTCGACGGCAGCGCGGGTGGCGTTGAGAGCGTCAACGAGACGGTCCTTCTTCTCGCCAACCTCAACCTCGGAGGAGCCACCAACCTTGATGACGGCAACACCGCCAGAAAGCTTGGCAAGACGCTCCTGGAGCTTCTCCTTCTCGTAGTCGGAAGTGGTGGGGTCGCTAATGACACCACGAATCTGCTCGCAGCGCTGAGCAACCTGGTCCTTGCTGCCCTCACCGTTCAGGATGACAGTGTCCTCCTTGGTGATGGTGATAGAGCCAGTGGAACCGAGCATCTCGGGAGTGGCCTTGTCGAGCTTGATGTCGAGCTCATCGGTGAAGACGGTGCCGTTGGTCAGGACAGCAAGGTCACCAAGGATAGACTTGCGGTTGTCACCGAAGCCGGGAGCCTTGACAGCAGCGACCTGGAGCTGGCCGCGGAGCTTGTTGAGAATGCAGACAGCAAGAGCCTCACCGTCAATGTCTTCGGCAATGATAACAAGAGGGCGACGGAGCTGCTGGGAAGCCTCGAGGGCAGGGACGATGTCCTGAACAGCCGAGATCTTCTTCTCAGAGAGGAGGATGAGGGGCTTCTCAAACTCAACCTTCTGCGACTTGGTGTCGGTGATGAAGTAAGGCGAGATGAAGCCGCGGTCGAACTTCATACCCTCAGTAATCTCGAGCTCGTCCTCAATGGTCTTGCCCTCCTTGACGGTGATGACACCCTCCTTGCCAACCTTCTCCATGGCGCTGGAGAGGAGAGCACCGATGTGGGTGTCGCCGTTGGCAGAAATAGTAGCGACCTGAGCGATCTCAGTGCTAGTGGTGACATCGCGCTTGTGCTTCTGGAGGTACTGGATGACGGCCTCGGTGGCGGACTGAATACCGCGTCTCAGATCCATGGGGTTGCATCCGGCGGCAACGTTCTTGACGGTCTCGGAGAAGATGGCGCGGGCGAGGACGGTGGCGGTGGTGGTACCGTCACCAGCAACCTCGTTGGTCTTGCTGGCAACATCCTGGAGGAGGCGGGCTCCAAGGTTCTCAAACTTGTCCTTGAGGACAATGGCCTTGGCGACAGTGACACCGTCTGACAAAAGCGTTAGCTACCAATTGCGCGTTTGCGGCTCTTGTACGGTGGAAGTGTGTGTACCCTTGGTGATCTTTGGCGAGCCGTAGCTGGACTCGATGAGGACGTTGCGACCCTTGGGGCCCAGAGTAGTGGCGACAGCTCTAGCGAGAGTGTCGATACCGTTGAGCAAAGCCTGTCTGCCCTCGACACCGAACTTGAGCTCCTACAAAGAGATGTTAGTTGGAGCCATACGCCAGCATCATCGTAGTCTCGTACCTTGTGTGCGAAACGCTGCTGTTGCAGAGAGACGGAACGGAGCTTGGAGGCCGAAAGAGCAGAAGCCCTGGCACGAGAGGTAAAAGCGCGCTGCATGTTGGAGGCAAATGAACAAAAATGCAAAGAAATCGATATGAACCCTTTTGCTCCTGTTACTCCGCAAAGCAAATGGCGGAAGATATAAGAAGGGGAGAAACGGTGACGAGATGTGTGGTATGTCAGGTTGGAAAAATATACTACACGTCGGCGAGCTTGTCCGAGGTTACCAGCACTTCTGAAGTTCTGGATGCTTCGTTGTGGCCCGTGTCCTTGTCATCCCGGTGCCGGCATCTCTATCTCTTTCTCCCTCCTGGATATTCGTACCTAGTTACACCTACCTCATCATACTTGTGACAATTATGTACTGAGGTATTCGTTCTGATCAGGCAGTATTAATCATGCGGTATGGCAACGGTGCTACCAACCACCATGCATCGAATGTGACAGACAGAGACATCGCCATCGTGTCGGGGTTACATATCACAAAAAGCAACGCTTCAGGTAATGCATTCCTCGTGCTCCCAAAGGCCGCTTCGAGATGTTGCAGTTAGCTGTACCGGCTTCTCTGTAACATGTTTCAGTTTCGTCTTTGCTGCGAAGAGCTCTCGTTTGCGTCTCTTTGACAGTCGCCAAATCTCATTCTTTGTCTTTCAATTCACGTTTGCGGCCACCCTCGTCATTTCTCTTCTTCATTACTTCACGTCTTCCCATCACCCTAGTCTCACGTCGCACATGTCAATCCTCAACACGGTTGCTGAAAGAAACCACCACCCTTGAGACTTCTCTCGTGCTTGATCCGGCGCAATGCAATTGAGAGGCCTTCATTATCGTCAGAGCTGTCCGGGAGGCGCCTACTATGTCTGTCAGAATGGATTCAGAGGATGTTGTTCCATCGACCCTTGCAACCCAGACGCCACATGTCCAGACACTATCCGCACCATGTCTACCTCTCCAATCACTACAAGAAAGCCAACTTCAACTCCCTCACAGACTGCAACCTCGACCTCCACACCAAGCGTCACTGTGTTTTCAACTAGCTCAACATCCTCGTCGCGACTAACATCTTCATCGTCAACCAGTGCCACATCGACCAGCGTATTGCCAACCGCGACAAGCCTTACATGTCCTGCGGCAAATGGCACCCAATATGTCGACACTAATCGAGTCCAGTACTCCATCCGCTGCAACGCCGACAACTCTTATGCTTCCTTCAACTCTTCGAACATCGCCACAGGAGGATTCAGCAAGTGCTTCCCAGCCTGCGATGACTTCACGGCCTGCGCAGGGTTCACTTTCGTAGGGACCGACTCTGGGATTTGCTACTTCAAGTCGAATCTTCCCGACGATGATTACTCAGGCACGGCAGGAGGCAATTACGTGACAGTAGCCCTGTTGAATCGGGATGCCCAAGTTGATCCGCCTGCTGATGCCCTGCCGACTACCTCTTCCGACACTACGGATGAATTTAATGGCCCGCCAATTGGTGCTATCGTTGGCGGTGTAATTGGCGGCGTGGCTCTTCTCATCCTTCTTGCGCTGCTCATATTCGTTTGCTTGCGCAGAAGGCGGAGACAAAAGGAAGAGATCGAGTCAGCAACGCAAAGATTCCCGCAGGGTGCATACGTGCCCCAGCCGAAGAGTGATGCGCCATTCGCTGCTCTTGGAGGTCAGTCAAAACGAATTACTCAGATGATATGTGCTGACTTGTACGCAGGCTTCTATCGAGGACGATCTGCAGATGCAGCAACAACAAAACAAGCACCGCTGGACGAGTCCCAACTCGCCAGAGAAGACTCCGCAAATGGGTTTCTGGCGGCGAAGTACGATAAGCCAGTACCGATACCGGCCGATTATAGCACAAATGGTCCGGCTGAGGTAGAGGGCAGACCAATATATCCTTCGGCTGATGTTGGTCCGGCTCCAGTTGAAATGGATGCAAGTCCCATCATGTCACCCAAAACACCAATGTCGCCACGGGTTGATGAGTCGCCTGTTTTAGGGCGATATGCCTCAACTGCCCTGACTAGTCGCGGGCAAGGCAATTTTGCAGACGACTTACGCAAGAGACGGCATAGTCGACACATCATGAGTTGGAACAATTACGATGATAGAAGTGCCATATCGCCACCCTATTCCATGACCATGTCGCCAAGGATTGGCTCTCCCGATGTGAGTCCCTTGGTGAACAGCTCACGAGATTCGACCGCGAGCAAGCCACCACCCGAGAGATACCGGGGTCATTTCACATAGCGGAGCGAGATCGAGCATCAAGGCTCTAGCACAGGGTTGCCTTGACCCAGTCTAACACCGATGGATGACGATCTGCTCAGAGAGAGCGTCACAATTCACTAGATATCAACGTACATATTCTTATCAAGTCCAAGCTGTATGCCTCGATCTTGAGCCTCAATAATACATGTCGCGACATTTTGACGTTATTTCGCCTATCTGGTCTCGCCTGGAGGCTGCATGAGGATCTGCAAATACGGCGAGCTTGTCTGCTTTTGATCCGGTCCTTGACGGGGTCAGCTCTTATCGTTCGTACTTGACTACCGAGACAGTTGCTAGGACAAGCCTTCGGTAAAAGCTTAACGAAAGGTCATTTACGCGGATAAGCATCTTGGTCAAGTGTCAAGCCAACTGGCTCCCGCCCATATCTTGACATGCACCACCGCATAGGGTTCGATACTAACCACGCCCACACCAGTGGTCGCCACACAAGATCTCCATGCGACGGACGTGGCCCAACCGCCTTCCTCGACCAGATCGCATCGCGCTCGTCATCGACGTGTCTGCTCACAATTGAATGTTCCGCCTTGACATGGTTACGTGACTACTGAGAGAGTACGATCTCGAAGTTTAGCCACGATATCTCGACTGGTGAGAGTACATCAGCTGCAGGCAAACCGGCTGTGGGTGAACTTACCAGCGGAACGTCAAGGCGGGGCGAGGTCCCATGCCGCGGCACAGTCGGCGACGTCGCGTGCTCTTATGAAGAAACATCCACTTTCTGCCTTCTGATCCGCCGGTGCTATCTTACCTTCTTGATTCGTACATCATCAAGTGACCGCTATTTCATCTACTGGAACTTAGGAGAAGGTTGACACGGGAACTCATTTGGGTAACTTCAAAGATTCCGCTCCCTAGCGATTCGATGGCGCCTCTGATCGTTCTTTCCTCCTTCCAAAGCGAGCACTAGCTGATATCTCGGTATGCTTTCGACCTTTATCGCCCCAGTGTCCATCTCTCGGGGCTGCAAAGTAGTCATATTGTCCGCATACAATATGCGGGACGATGTGACGGGTGGGATGTACAAACTATCCAGTGGTTCAGGGCAACATGGCCCCTGAACTATATTATCTCTAAAAGGCAGGAGAATTGTCTGCCAGTGGTGTATAAATATCCAGGTCGAGCGCCATACAGGTAAGGCATAACTCATCTTTCGACAGTCTTCGCTTTTGATTCTGTTGGAGGCATATTCTGTCTTCCGGGTTCTTATTTGTCACCATGCATCTTTCTCTGCTCAGCTTGAGCGTGTTGGTCTCTTATGTTCTCGCCTCTCCCACCGGCAACTATGTCGTTCACGAGAAGCGCGATGTTGCTCCTATGGGTTGGAACAAGGGCGAGCGCCTCAATCGTCGTGCTCTTATCCCCATGAAGATTGCTCTGACGCAACGCAACATCGATCAAGGCGCAGAGTACCTGAACGAAGTCAGTCATCCAGAGTCTTCCAAGTATGGTCAACACTGGACTGCACAACAGGTCGCAGACCACTTTGCACCTAGGTAAGCACCATCTTTCCGAAGCTACCTGAGAATCAGGCTCATGATATTGCAGTGACGAAACCATCTCCTCGGTAATGGACTGGCTTATGGCTGCTGGAGTATCTTCCGATAGTGTCAAGTTGAGTAAAGGCAAGAACTGGATCAACCTCGAGGCTTCGGTGGATCAAGCAGAATCTTTGCTTAACACGAAGTACCACGTGTATGAGCATGATGCCACTGGTCATCCTCACATTGGCTGCGATGAATACAGTCTACCCAAGCACCTCAAGGACCACATTGACTTCGTCACACCTTCTCTGCATTTCGACACCAGAGTCAGAGATCGCTCAGACAGACTGGACAAGCGTAATGTGACTCCCGAAACTGGCAAGGCAATTGGTCAGCCTGGTAGCTGGAGCACACCTCACCTGGGTAAATACATCAACAAGTCACAGTTCATCAAGGAGCTCGAACAGTGTGATGAGCAGATTACGCCCAACTGTCTCAAGGCCTTGTACAAGATTCCCAAGAGCACAGGCAAGAGCGTGAAGAACAGCTACGGTATCGTCGAATACACACCCCAGGCCTACGTACCATCTGATCTCGATCTGTTCTTTGCCAACTTCTCGGAGAAGCAAGTCGGAGATCGACCCATCACTGATTTGATCGACGGCGCTACTGTCCAGCAGACCCAGATGGGTTTCAACTACAACGGAGAGAGTAACCTCGATCTTGAATATGCCATGGCCCTTATCTACCCTGAGAAGGTCACTCTGTACCAAGTTGGTGACCTGGTCGAAGGCGCTTCCTTCAACAACTTCCTTGATGCCATCGATGCTTCATACTGCACATATGAGGGTGGCGATGATCCGTCTCAGGATGGTGTCTTCCCTGACACGGCCAGTGGAGGCTACAAGGGCAAGGAGGACTGCGGAACTTTTGCACCTGCCAAGGTTATCAGCACATCCTACGGATACAACGAAGCCGATCTCACACCATTCTATGAGAAGCGCCAGTGTGACGAGTATATGAAGCTTGGTCTGATGGGTACCTCAGTCCTTTACAGCTCGGGTGACTACGGTGTTGCGGGCAACAGTGGACAGTGCATCGCAGCCAACGGCACCTACAACTCCGGTGCGGATGGTCGTTTCAACCCTTCTTTCCCTGCCACTTGCCCCTATGTCACTGCTGTCGGAGCCACCCAAGTCATTCCTGGCACCAACATCATCACCTCCCTCGCCACCGGTACTCAACCTGAAGAGGCCTGCGAAACTGTCATCTACTCAGGTGGTGGCTTCAGCAACGTCTTTGATCTTCCCAGTTACCAGTCATCAGCTGTCAAGGGATGGTTCAAGAACCACCCTCCTCCATACGGCGCTGATCGCTTCAACAACACCCAGAAGACTCGTGGTTTCCCCGATGTTTCAGCCAACGGTGCCAACTATGTCGTCGCCATCGATGGAACCTTTGCCCTGGTCTACGGAACCTCCGCTTCTTCGCCTACCTTCGGTTCTATCCTGACCATAATCAACGAAAGACGTCTCCAGCTTGGCAAGAGCAGTATTGGTTTCATCAACCCAACCCTCTATGCCCACCCCGAAGTCATGAACGATGTCACTCAAGGAGGCAACCAAGGCTGCGGTACTGCCGGCTTTAGTTCTGCCCCTGGCTGGGATCCGGTCACCGGTCTTGGTACACCAGACTCGCTCAAGATGATGGCTCTGTTCTTGGCCTTGCCTTGATAGGTTGCAGATCTAGACGTGTATCATGAAATTTGCATTTTTCGTCTTTTCCCCCTTCCGCCGAAGCGTTCTCTGGTATTCTATCATAGATATAACGACAATATTACCTTTACAACCTTACACAAGTCTCATTTGATCCTGATCGTTGTGCTAAGAGTGACAAAAATCGAGAGGTAGAAGAAATGGCTCAATCGGGAAGGCACATCTTAGTCGATTGCTTATACCGCTCCTCCTTTCCTTGACTCTAACTTCCTGCTCCTCTCTTTATGTAGTCTCTGCAGGTTTATTACGAAGATCGGAGCTGAGAAGCCATGTACGAGTAGAGTATATTGATCCAGCAAGACCAAGATGGCATTGATCTGGGTAGGAGAAAGTATTATAATGTGCAAAGGTCGCGGCCACAGCAGAGGATACAAGCAACATGTTTATCAAGATCAAGGAGACAACGTGGTCTCGTCTATAAGACAGATTTCTACATACAAAACTAGGACAAAAGATGCAATGCAATAGACAATACACTAAGCTGATGTCATGCAACTGTAGGCTATTTGAGATCGGCCATTTCTTCTTCAAGCATAGTCTCGAAACTGAAGGGCTCGAACGGAACACCGTCACCGAGGAAGTGCTTGCTCATGGCTTCGACCCAGTGCAATCTCAAACTGTGCAACATGGCGGAGGTACCCTCCATGACAACCAAGACGGCAACAGTAAGGAAGAACCAGACAACGAAGAAACCGAAGATGACAAAGGAGCCGGCGATACCAGTGAAGCCGAATGCGTTGGCCAAAGTCATGGACCACAGGACGATAGACAACTGCTGATGGGCAAGCGACAGAGCCCAAAGACGGAGGTATGAAGCAGTGTGGGAAACACAGTTGAGACAGAACTCGATGGTGTGGATGACCTGGTGGATCATAACCTCTGAGAACTCAAACTCCTCATGTTCTTCGCTGTGAATGTCCTGGGTGATGATAGCAGCACCGTCTTCGCTGGCGAAGCTCTGTCTACCGCCGTTCATGCCGTGGTGTTCATCGTCATCATCGTCGAGAGCGCTGACTCTCTGGCTCTCACCAACGGCGCTGTAGCCCATAGCTCTGGCACGGTTGTTCTCCCAACGCAGGTAGAAAGGCTTCAAGAAGAGCATGATGGGGACACAGCAGACAGCAGCAAGAAGCAGAATGACCTGAACAACGGCCTGACCGGAGTAAAGCTCTTCCTCGACAGTACCAGGTTGCAGGAACATGTAAATAAGCATGTTGAGCAGACCTGGAGGGTTGGCGCCAATAGCATACCAGTCGATGGACCACTTATAGATGATGGTGAAAACAAGATATCCGAAGATGGACTGGAAGAAAATCATGCCGGGAAGGAAGTTACCCCAGATGTCGATTGGGGTCTTGAAGTGTCTGGCGTTGATGTAAGACAAGCAGAGGGAGTAGGTCATGTGGGCCCATCCAAGCAGAATACTGAGCTTCATCTTGTAACTGTTGGAGAAGAGAAGATCGTTGTCAGTATCGTGCCAGCGCCAGTCCATACCGAAGGGGTAAGTGTAGCCTTCCTTGCGGATCATGGTAACGGTCTCGTTGGCCTTGAAGTCAGGGACCTCCCACATAGAGGGGAAGATGGCAAGCTCCTTGGAAAAGGCATCGCAGTAGATGAGACCAGTGTACATGGAGAAGATACCCATCATGAGCATGATGTAGCGGCCGAAGAAAGCCATGGAGAAGAGCTCGTCCTGCTTGGAGCGCAAGAGAGGCTTCTCCCAGTAGATCATAGCACAGGCAGCAGCGGTCATGATGAAACCGTGACCGAGATCACCGAACATGACAGCGAAAAGGAAGGGGAAGGTAACGATAGTGGGCAGACCGGGGTTGACTTCGGTGTACTTTGCAGTGCCGTAGGCGTCGATGATGGTCTGGAAACCGAGGGTGAATCTATTGGTCTTGTTGTAGGTTGGGGGAGTCTTGGAGGTCTTGATGGTGTTGACAATAGTGGGTACAGACAGCCCGGCGCGGTCGTTGACATCCTGCAGGGTCGACTTTACAAGGGCAAGTGAGTTTGTAGGGCACCAGGCCTCTGCAATAAGAGTCTTGCGCTGCTGGTCGTAAGAGAAGCGGTTGAGGGTCTGGTAGACGGCCTTCTCCTTGGATACAATGATCATCCAGGCAGCCAGACTGCGACCAATCATGGTCAGCTCCGCATCCAAGGTGCGCTTGGTGTTGGAAAGAACGTTGGCCAGGTCCTGCAGGCGAGTGTTGACCTCGTGCATCTGGTCGCGGCGGAGTTCGCTGTTCTCATCGACGTTGTAGATGTCGGCGCCGAGCGACTCGGAGATCTTGCGGATCTTGTTGATGATCTCCTTGCCGTGGGCGAAAATGACGAAGACGCTCTTGTGCATTTCCTCGTTGTTCTCGGGGTTGATGATGGGCTCCTCGATCTCGCTCTGGTTCATGTACAGGTTACCACGGAGGGTACGCCAGAGGATACGCTCAAACGCGGCCATGCGCTCGCGGGGGATGACACCGGCTACGAAGCCAATGTTCATGACGGAGAAAGAACGCTCGCCCGAAGCATCACCGTTGCCAGCCTGCTCCATATCGGCGAGGAGAGGGGCGTCGTCGTCGTCGTCGTGGTCCTGGTCGATCGAACGGCGAATCTCGTCTGTCTGTCCACGAGCCTGTTGTTGTGTGTTAGTGCTCGTGTCTGGTGGTCTATGATGTAAGGAGGACTAACGCGGTCGAAGAAGCCGCCGGCCTCGCGCAGCACCCAACGCCACTCGGTCAACTCCATCTCGCGCTTCTTGAGCGTCTCGTAGCTGTCGTTCAACGACTGGATTCTCTGCTCCAATGTCTGACTGCGGTCGACAAGCTCGTCGATTGCAGAGGCCGAGGGGGCGGCCAGGCGATCGCCGAACTCGTACATGGAGCGCATCGAAACGTCGGCCTTGTCCATCTGTGCCTTGAAGTAGCCTGTTCGTCATTGTCTTAGTCTCTCTTTCTCTTCAGACGTCCAAAGGGGGGCGGCTGGCTTACGCAATTGGCGTTCGACATTATCGAGTCTACGGATCTCCTGAGTAAAGGTGCGTTGGAAAGCGGTGGTCTCCGAGTTGAGCTGCGGGCCTTTGTCAGTGGACGTCTCTACACATCAACAGTCGGGTGAACACACGTCTCTAAAGTCCATGATGCCCAGTTCGCCCAAGGCGCTCACGACTTCGCGTCCAATCTCGTTGGCCATGTACAGCTGCGTCAGCGACATGTCCGACGACCGGAACAACGAATCCTGTTGTGTCGCCATCTTGACCGTTCTTTTGACGACTAAGATGAGCGTTCGCGGGTGTTGAGGATTATCTTCAAAGGCAACGGCAACAAGCTCGACGACGCCTTGTCGTTGGCCAACTAACTGAAACATGACGATGGCCACGCCTTCCGCTCACGTGACAGTCGTCTTGACAGGGTGACGCCCTCGACCAGCCCTAAGGTCTTCCAAATAGCATCGTCGTCAGCAATAACAATAATGTACTGTATTTCATATTCTCTATATACTCTAGTTGTATCTTCTTTTCTGCCTGAACAGCGTTGGCTCGAAAACTGTTGGCGTTACTGACGTATCTAAAAATTTGTACTTTACATGATTCAGATATGGAAAGCGTCATCAATCCTCCCTGCAGTGTGTGGGTGCTTCGACACCATGATAGAAATCCTAGGTACTAATCAAAGCGAAAAGCTCACGGGTTGTCTCTCATGGCATGGAGCCGCTTCTGGTCCATAAACATCGACAGACGATACTCATAGGGCCAGATGCCCGACCCAGCTTTGGGAGCGCCTCGAATGAGGATTTTAAGAATAATAATGATTGAACGAGTATATTATGTTATCAGGCACAGCGAACGCATTCCGAGCCGCGTCAGATACGGCTTCTCAACGGTGTAAGGCCGAAAGTCTTCCAGAACTCGCGACTATCATAACACCTACCCAGCGTCTCCATGTCCCTGGGCAATGCCTTGACATTTTCCTCCTCCATCAGCTCATAGACCCATCGACTCTGCTTGCTAGGCTCTTCGTCCACATCTTTGCCTTGTTTGGCCCATCCTACCATTAGCGACCACCAGCAGTAGACTTGGCCATCGGTCAACATCCAGCGTGAGCCTGAAGCCTTAGCCTGCTCCCACTTGTCGAAGATTGCTAAGATAGCTCTCGCCACATCCTCGCCGTGGATCAGATGCAAGCTTTTCTTGCTCTTGACTTGATCCTTTGTGGTCGCCACTCGGCCAACCCATCCCCGTGGCTGTCGTTCACCACCCCAGAGTCCCGCAAGATTCAATACACAACCACCCATGGACATGAGCTCATCCTCGGAAATTGCTCGCGCGTTCTCCTTGTTGTAGAGTGAGTGCCGGTCAACCCACGTTGCCTCCTGATCGATTTGCCAGATGCCAGTGGATCCCAGCTGGAGGTATCGGACGTTCGAGCCAGAGCGTTGATGTGTGAAGTTGTACGACCACACCAGCCGATGAGACTGACCCTTTTCGTTGAGCGGGAATGTGATCAGGACATTTCGAGCAGCAGGCAGAGTCTTAAAATAGGATGGGTCCGTTTCTGAAGGGTCGAACTTGAACTTGATGGTTCCTTCGCGGCCAGTCGTAGATGTGGCCGCGTATGTCAAATTACGGGCTTTTAGGAGTGGGATCAAGAACGTCGACGTCCAGCCAGCTCCAAGTATGAGGACATTCATTTCCTGCATAGTGATTGCTTCGCGGTCTTCGATGTTGGTGAGTTCAAGAAGAGCTAAGTGCACAGCAAGGGAGGATCGACCAAGCCTCATCAAGTGCGGCGCGCGGGGTACTCTGAGTTCGTGATGACGCCGCACTTGTTCACGAGATTGGCCTGGATTTCGAACAATCACGAAGTATCCTTATTTACAGCCATCACTAAGCATGCTGTTGGCCATGTGTCACGCGTGATGCTCACTTCACATGGGGCAACTCGCGTTCCAAAGGCAAGGCCAAGCATGAAGCCCTCATCTTGAACGAGTCCGCACCAAGACCAGTAACAGATCCCATCCTACCGCAATGGAAAGGCCAGTAGCGTATCCTCGGCTCCATTCCTTAGGCAATCCCGTTCATGCATAAATGGCGATTGACCATGGAGAGTGGCGGTCGACACAGGCTCTCTCGCAGTGATCATCAGCCAGAGATCCAGGTCACATGATATATGAGCGCGGCCTTACCGTATCGAGCTAATAAAAGCGTCATGCGAGAGGCAAAAAGGGGACTTCTTGCGATCGAGAACAACAAATTTCAGAAGACCCAGGGACTCAACTGTCATTCACATTTTGCAATGTAATGACACTGCTTAGGCACAGTACAGCTGGAACGAGCTCACCACAAGCTCTTACTCGAGGCTCCCGCATCAGATTTCCGGGCTCAACACGGCCGATAGCTACGGATCGCAAAATCCCACTCTCGTCCCTTGGCGATCATCAAGCCTTGGAAGCCGTGTAGATCAATGCATAAGAAGACATTGTAAGAGGAGCTTGTTGGATTGTAGGTCAGGTTGAAAGCAGTCGGATGCTAAGGGCGCGACGCTGTCCCTCATCGAATATATTTCTATAGCAGATGACCATGTAGGCCGAACAACCTTTAAGTCACTACCTCATATATCTTCAATAGGTCAGTGTATCGAGCCCTCGATCTTCGAGAGACCTTGTCGCAGCATCGGCGACTCTGGAAGCGCCCAGGATGAGCGATGAGGCGCTTGATGGCTGGAAAGGCGCTCAGGATCACGTGCTCTGGCGTCAAATATCATTCTGCTAGGAAAGTTACGACCAACGCGCATCGAATCTCCCGAGCATTCGAGACCAAAACCGAGAAATCATGAGCTGCCATCTCTGCCTACTTTGTAGCAGGCTGTCAGTCATCCCTGGTTCTGTGGATTTCTTGACTCACGCGTCTTCACATGGTCTTTTCTCCATCGACAAAGCTCAAGGATTTTCTTGCTCTAGCAAAGCACAAGTTTGTTGAACACAGAGATGAGCAACGGCGAGAGTTCCGATTCGATCCTCCAGATCAATACTGGTCTCCTCTCCTAAGCCGATTCTGGCACCAACTCCGGAATTTTGTTATGGCGGGAAGAGGTCTGTTTCAAGCAGCAGGCGTCGTCTCTCACTCTAGAAGATCGGCATCGAAGCTCGCAGATGTTGTGAACTATCCGATGATGAGGACGACACACTTACGCTTTTGAGAGACTCTCGACGAGAGCAATCCCCGCACTGGGCTGATCAGCAAGGAGCTAATACTACCACTGGTATCCTGGTCTTTGACATCGATCCAGCAAGATGCCAGAGACCACCTAAGGGCCCGGGTCAGCAAAGAAGGATACAGCCAGTCGTACCTCCGCCAATTCGGGCCCGACGTTCTCGAGGCGTGCAGGCAAATGACACTTGCTACTTTGGTAGCCTCACAAGGCCAAGTAGGCATTATGTGTGCCAAGGTAGTGCATGATTTCTTCGTCAAGAATATACCAAGATCGAGGGCCTAGAAGAGCCCCACACGTTTTGGGATTGAAGGCAGGTCTTCTCTTTCGAACTGAATACTTCCATGGCGCTCTCGCACTGGCATCTTCCATCCTGTGCTTTGAATGCCATGACCTTCGACATATTTGTCCCAGACTATTGGGTTGCTGATCTTGATTCTTGTGGGGGTGAACACAGCCAAAATTGAATAGTTCGTCATTCCTCTTTGCTCGCTCCTTATCTGCACCTCGTCTAAGGAAGTTCTCTGTTTCTGGTCAGCAAGGGCGCTATACAGAAGAAGGGCTAGACGTCTACTAACCCGAATGGTATGTTATTATATAGAGGCGGAGGATCTCATCTCCCACCGCGTCCAGCTCAGCCAGTATATGGTCATACTCTGATCACCACAGGACTCGTAAAGGTCACAAGAGCTGGGCCAACATATGTTACTGCCGCTCCCGTCTCTCCTGTGTACCCCGGTCGGCCTTACCGCACTTGATGGAGTGCAAATTAATGTCTGGAGAAGTAAGACCTCTGCGGGAGCGCAACAGTCAGTTACTCTCCCTGAACGACCGCAGACACCAAGAAATCACTGTGCATTCTGACAGCCGCCTACCCCTCCAGCTGTCGATGCGGGAGAGAGGCTGGAGTGTTGTAAGCCGGTTTGGTATGTAAGGGACAGAGAAAACCGGTCAAATCACTTTCGAAGAAGACAACAATATCTAAGCCAGAACTTCAAGCTTGTCACGGCACCGTGGTTCGAGTAAATGGAACAACGCCATATCGTTTTCTGCCAAAGATTAAATAATAATCTATTGCTGAGACAGATACTGAGTCATGGGAAGCTCGGAAAACGGCGTGATCACGACGGCAGGAAGCTCAGGGGTGCTCGCCGTGACCTTCGTGAACGGTCTCAGAAGGACCGTCCTGCCTAGCAGGGGTAGGATCGTTGCGGTGCCTGTTCGTGTTAGACATGGACAAACAATCAACTAGAATGCGAACTTACTTCTTAACAACTCTTTCGATACCATCAAGGCCCATCTTCAAAACATCCATTCTTGGGCCGTAGCTCAACCTGACATGCTTGTGGCAAGGGGAGTCGAAGAGGTCTCTTCTCTTACTAGGATTGAGATCGAAGAAGATACCAGGCACCACGATGACCTTCTCCTTGAGGCAGGCGTTGAAGAAGTTCAAACCATCGTTGATACCTTCTGGTAGCGAAGACAGATCCAGCCACAAATAGAAAGTTGAGTTGGGGATCAACGGAATCTTGAAGCCCATCTCGGTCAATCTCTCGATGACATAGTCTCTCTTCTCACGGAAATGGTGCTGCAGGGCACGCATCTCCTTCTTGACCTTAGTTGGCTCGAGCATAGGTATCGAAGCCTCCTGGAATGGTACATTGGCACCACCGTCAAGGTACGATCCACAAGAGCCGATGGCTTTGATGAACTCCTTGGGCCCTATGACCCAAGCTATTCTCCACCCGGGAAGTCTGAAACGCTTGGTCATACCGTCAATGATGAGGACATCTGGTCTGTACTTAGTGCATCGACTTTTTTTTTTCTTTTGGAAAAAACACATACCATCTTCGTCGACATCCTCGACATTGTCAGCAGCGGAGATGACAGTACCATCACAGTCAGTAGTGTAGTTATAACCAGAGTAAAATTCGTCAAATACCAGTGTTGCACGGTCTCTGCCTGTTGTCTTTGATTAGCTTCTACATCTGTGGTTATGCTGGTTTGGGGGACATGCTTATGTCTTGGATTTGCGCAAGCTGGGGATTTGTCAGAACTTGGCCTGTAGGATTGCGAGGGTTCGATGTCAAGATGACACTGGTTCCACGAGCAATCTCCTCTGCGATCTTGTCAGGGTGCATGTGGTATCCATCTTGCTTAGACAGTGGGATGGGAATTGCGCTGAAGTTCTTGAAAAGGGACAGCATTTCGTTGTAGGCGGTGTAATCTGCACAGTTGTAATCAGCAGAGATTATAGAGCAGCTGGAGGCAAGGTCTACCTGGGATAAAAAAGCTCAAGTAGGCATTTCCTCTATCTCTTGTTAGCAACTCTTCATCTCAAAAAACAGTACAACATCGCGAGCCACACAACTCTCTTCCGAGGGTAGTCGGTAGCTTTTAAGCGCTGTGTTGTAACTTGATCTTACTTACATGACTGCGGCGATTCTGATGAGTCCAGCTCTGCCACCAGGGACAATGCAGACATTCTCCCATGTGTACTGGCTCGGCTTGCCCTTGCGATGATGTTCGTTGTAGAGCTTGGCAACAGCTTCTCTCATGGGCTTGATACCAGCAGTTGGTCCCTGAGTTCAAGTTTTAGTTGAGTGCCATGATACGCTTGTGAGGAGAGCATACATATTCGCGGCCCGACATAGATACATCAATGGTATGAGGTCTTTCAAAGCAACCTTCGATCTCATCGTCGACTTCAGGGGCGCCTTGACCTAAGTTCGCCCATAGCTCTGGGTGGTCGGCAAAGCCATGCTCATAGGCTCTTTCAGTGGTCCAGACAACTCCAGTCGAGGCACGGGAAGGGTCCAGTCCAGCATGAGGCTTGTGCCCCTCATGGGCGTTACGAAAGTGACGATGGGCCGAAGAGTTCAATTCTGATAACGTTAACAATCTGACAGTCATGTCCACTAGCACTCGACAATAGTTGATATCCATTGTTTGGAATAGGTATAATATGCAAATTTGGCAAGACGCTGACAAAATCACAATTTCTTACCACTGTCAGTAGGCTCTTTGCTACTGGAGAAGCGTCTCTCCTTAGCTCCGTGAGGGGCATTCAGAGGGACATCGGAAGCGGAAAAACTGGCTCTCATAGTGTAGCAGTATGATCGTGCAGAGCCAAGAATACCGTGATAAGATGCCAAGCGTCGGCTGAAGTCAGAAGGAAGATGCAAGAGTCGCCTCGTGATGGGGTGAAGTTGAGGTTTGATGAGTAAGCAACAACGCGTAAGCAAATCACAAGTATCGAGACAAACACGACTCTGTCGAAGATAGACCACAACTGCACGATTTCCGCCCTCGAGAAGTCGCAACAGGAGCAATCCCTCTTAGCGAGGACGTCTCTCGACACACACCTATCGCCTTGCACCAAATCCCTCAAAGTGGCTCGTCCTCGTTACGGAATGACTCTCGACGCGTGGATGATCATAATTGTGCATTGTTCAGGAAATCCACTTGTGCAAGATTGAAATCTATGGACCATAAAGACAATACTGACTACCGCGCGCATGTACGCCTTCGCGACGCCAAAATTTGTCACTCAAAGTTCTTGCCCAAAGACTGCCTCAATGCCATGATTTCCTGTTTCAACTTCGAATTCTCCGCCTTGGTGGCGCGTACAAGGTCGACAATTTGCTGTCCGCGGCCACCATCTTGTGGACCGGCATTCGATGTATCGGTCTGCGACTTAAGCCTTGAAATCTCTTCATCGCGCATGCGTAAGACGCCTCGAACCTGTCCGAGCTCTTCCTCAATCCTTTTGACATGCTGCCACATCGGTTGCTCACTGCCGGCTGACGCTCCTCCTGCGTCGTACTGAGGCATTGATGCACTCAATGGTATTTCTGGACATGGAGTCTTAGCTCCTGACGGAGCGCTCTGGTATGGGGTTCGTGTACCCGAGTTGTTGAAGAACGGGGGGTTTGCACCACTGGCGTATGGAGTCTGGGCATAGGACGTTCGAGCACCTGATACAACCACACGACCATTGATGCGTTCAGGCTGTTCCTCCATCCTTGCGTAGACCGTTCTCCCGCCAGCCTGAGGCGACCATTCTGTGTTCTCGAAAGAAGCTTCTTCGTTTCCTCTGGCACCTCTTGTGCTCTCAACTGTAGGCTTGTTCAGACGTCTTACACCGCCAGGCCATGTCGGAGATGGGGTCGAATGAAGATACTTCCCGACTTTGTTACGATCATGCCGAGGGTTTAGAGGCTTATCTGCCTCCCGCTTTGACGCATAGTCTGTCTTGCTTCCGTCCTCGCGCGTTGCTACAGGTGCTGCAGTTGTGCGCTCAGTCATGCTTCCGTCATGGCGCCCTGCTACGGGAGCTGCTTTTGTGCGCTCCGTCATTCTTCCATCGTCTCGCCTGATCGTTTGACCGGCTGCAGTATTGCTTCCAGCCGCCAACGTATTGAAATTGAGTTCCTGGTATCCGCCCTTCTCTCCAGAGAGGACGTATCTTCGGTTGTTCTTGTCGGCCACCTTGACCGTGGCGATGTATCGGACTTCATGGCCATCTTTGATCTGGACACGATCCTTGGTCTCCTTGTCAACCCTGGCTGCTCTTCCTTTATGCAACCTAGCAATCCTGACACCACCATTTGCTTTGAAGTCGAGGGGCCAGAATTGTCCCCTGTCTTTAAGACTGTACTGATTGGAAGATGCGATATCCCAGACAGCCTTGTCGTCAAGAGCCACAAAGTGTGGAGGCGAGTTAACTCCACGTCGAATTGCGCCAATATCGCTCTGGAAGAAGCGGTATCTCTCCTTGAAGCTTAGTCCATCTGGAAACTCATTATCCCTCACACCATCGCCATCGCCAGGTCGCCATATTTCACGCGCAATGCCATCAATATCGCGGTAGATGAATTTGTGTGGCTTAGGCTGGGTTAGGCCAAACGCTCGTCGATTATCGGACCTGGCTCGTGAGGTGTGATTGCTCATAGTTGCAGGGGCAGCAGTCTGCGTTCTGCGCGGGGATTTAGGGCGGTGGTTCATCTGTGACTAGTCAGTCGTTTGGACGTGAGCCTTAGGCGAAGACATCATACATCGGGCAAGTTGTGTGCTTCTTGTAGGTCGCTGGATTCGGGAATTGCTTGCTGCATCATGATAAGTATAAGAAAGAAAGTGCGGTTGAGGGAGGTGATAGTTCACTTCTGTTAGATCGGGAGTCCGGTCGCCAAAAGGCTCAAAAAGAGGTGATAAATTTTCGTCCAACTCCTCTGTAGGTTCTCTCCCGGTCACCGCTCGCTTTTGCGAAGGAGTTGCTGCCTTTTTATAGATGTCGTTGGTAGGTCTTTCCAGGCCTGAGAAGTGAAAGAGAAGTTTTTGCGAATTTGACGCCGTCATTGTTCTCTCGAATGTGAAGGGGCAAAATATGTGAAGGTTTGTCGCGCGCGCTGTGCCTTCGATCTTTATATGATTGTTGACAGTATCCACCAATTTGCAATCGTGTGGAAGAAGAAGCTGGAAGGTGCATCGAACCCGAGAGGTCGTCTTTGACCGACTAAACTGGGACTTGAATGCCCGAGCTTTCATGGTTGACGATGACATGGCCCACCTTCACACGAGCAAAGCACTTGAATACTGTGTGGCTTTCCAGGGTCACTTACTAGCCATGCGCGCGCCCGGGGTCAAATCATCAAGGACTCCAGCACTCAACACTGAGTGCGGGCACAACACTCTTGTGCGGGCTGCATGATGATCTGAAATGGCGGATATTGACCTGCGGGATCCTACAACCAACACGGTCCCTGTGAGATAGGGGTATATTACTACTCGGTATTCAGGCCCCTGACGACTGCTGAGACACGAGAGATATTCCTTCGTCCGCCGCATGAAAGCTTGCATCCTTACCTAAACCAAACATAAGGTGTCCCACTACCTAAAGACCGCAGTCTTGGAGCTCGAGTTCGCCCCTCTATCATGTGTCATGGGAATGTATTCGAGATCACCCCGGACTCCCAACGGAGGAGGTCTGAAGCGTTCCTACGTCCGCGTCTGCTTCGTAGAAGATCTGCAATCTCACCTGGGACAAATCATGGTATTGCACACAACAGTCGCAGCCTTGCAGCATCAATCCCGTTTTTGAATCACAGGAATGTACCCGTCATCACCACGGGCACTAAGTGCACAATATCTGATCAAGAGGTCAAAAAACCAGAGCAGCCTCTATCCTGCATGACGAGAACACGTGCAAAATTCTACCGGGGTTTTTGACAGATATCAAGATACGAAGCATCCTGTCTGCCGCCTTACAAGAAATTGCAAACACACTGGACTGACTGCACAGTGTCTCAACAAGAAGTCTCAGCCTCGGGGTGACCTCGCCCCTGAAAGATGGGTATCTACACGACCTTGCCTCGGGCTGTCAATGAAGGCTGCAATAAGAAGCATCCCTGCTGTCGCCGCTCCAAAAAGAATAATCAAAAAGAGACAGCATCCATGCACTCTGCCCAGTGTATAGCATCTGACTCAGAAGTCACAGTATCAGCTTCTACTTACCACTTCTGTGATACTGTTCAAATGTTTGACATTCAATGAATACTTCGCCGGAGAGCTTCTGTGTTGGGCTTTGACGTCGACAACTCTACAGACGACTGAAACACGGGCGGGAGAGGCGATCGAGCCGCAAGAACATTGGCAATTACTTATTTAATTACAAAACTCCATGAGACATTGTACAGAATTATATAGTCGTGTCGTCGTAAGTTGAGTAAATCATGTCGAATTCGGTTCAACTCTTGTGATCGCAACGGTGACACTTTTTGTGATTTGAGGGCCTGCGTGTATGCTCTCTTCGCTCATTGCATCATCATCATCATTGGCACCGTTCTTGATCGTCCAGTCGTTCTTTCCAGCGTTATTGGCAAGTTCCAGTTGACTGCCGTTATGAACGCCTGATTGTGATACGCTATGCAACTCATATCCTCTGGCCCCGTGAGACCTTTCAAGCCATGATTTCCTGGTGTTGACGTATTGACCGCTTGTTTCTGGTGCAGATGTACCGAATGTGGATCCCATAAAGCCGGGTGCAATCTGTCTGAGCAGAGGTTTGAGAGATGGTACGGATGCACAGATGATAGATACATTGGCGTCCACGGCACTCCAGATTGAAGAGTCGAAGGAAACCCAGGTTTTGTCCTCGGCGTGTAGAATGTTGCTAACTCGTACTGCTCGGACGATACTGGCGATGATGGGAACAGCACCGAGGCAGACAGTGAAAAGAAGAGCGTACTTCTGGCGAGCATGAAGATTGAGTCTTATGATCTTCGGAGCTGCAAATGCTATGAGAAGTACGTCCACGAGAACACTTTCTACCGTTGAAGCATAGAACGCCGGAATAGTGTCGATACACTTCTTGTGTATGTTGATGTCCCAGACGCCCTGTACAGGGGTGCATTGAAATATAGAGATGCACTCAAGGATGATGGTAGCCACCACCACGAGTCCGAAAACGCTGTACAAGAAGACACGACTGGACCGGCTTGTTGTAAAGACCTTGAGGTATAATGCACAGAGCGATAGCTTCGTGAAGCATAGCGAAAATTGATAAGCGATCAGCGTACCATATAGGAGTTTGAGCGACGGCTCGATGGCGGTAGACGGTACATGGGATTCGTGCATACCACCGCCAAAGCTGGTGAGCAGGCAGGCCATGATACAGTTGGCTAGGGCAGCAGCCTAAAGCTTTGTCAGACTCGATCCATTCATTTTCAATCAAGGCAGAACATACCCAACCCGCTGTCAAGAGCCAATCATCCCATCCAAATGTGCGTAAGATCAATGCTCGACTATAGACTCTTCCAAAGTAGAATATGGTTGCCAACAGGAACGGAAGTATGTTTCCTAGCAGGATATAGGACGCACGAGTCTGCGAAGAAACCGGTCAGAAACCAGGGTCTAATGTGTGAGTTCCTAGGAGCACCTGCCTCTGACATAGTAGGCCCACTGGCCGGCTGGTGCAGCGTTCCCTATACTCTTCACTGAATTAAGAGAGCGATCAAGGGCAAGCAGCAAGGGCAGACGTGTACCTCCCTGCGATCGATAATGGACGGCGAGTAAGTAGAAGGATAGAGAAGAATATCCGCAGGGACCACCATGATATTATCAGACTTGAATCAGCCGTCGACTATCAAGCTAAGCTACGAACCGAAAACCTTAGCAAGCCTTGAGTCCAGAGCGGGACGCTTTGGTGGCGCGCTAAGTTCTAACCCTACCCCTTCCCTTGTGCTTGCGGCCGCAGGGGCACAATTACCTGATTAGTTAGGTACTTCAATATCGGTAGCACCTGGGTTCGCCATCTCAGTGTCTATTTTTTGATTGGCAGAAGGGATCGAGCACGGAGTCCATGAACCGCACGTGGAGCCAAGGTTGGGGAAGGCCGGACAAACACATGGGGATTGGTCTGGCCACGCGACGGAAGTGAGAAAATGCATTCGCTCTAACGGGCACGCATACTGCTGAGAGACAGGATACCGTCCATGCTGAAGTCGGAACAGGTGAACTGCAATAATTGCTCTGTTGGAAGCTTCCATGCATCTTCAGAACCCGCTGGTCGGCAGTCTTGCCAACGGTCAGACAAACCCTAATGATCTACATCGCATACGACAACACAAACGAGCCAACCCGGTCATCGTAACATTTCCCACTACCAACCTGGTGGCTTTTACCATGAGGTTAGTTGCTGCAGACGGGATGAATCAACATAGCTAGAGGATTATATTGAGCCACAGCTGGGCCAAAGAGGTCTTTGTTTCATGAGCTTGAGCGGCAATGCGCCATTCGAACGTTGACTTCGGCTGCTAGCAAGGTCTGATATTTGAGTAGCCTCGGCAGGAACATGTTCTCTTTTGGAGAGATCTGCCGACCTGTCTGTCTCGCAAGCAAAAGTACCTCTAGTCCATGCTCGAGCAAGAGGCACTTATGGCACGAGTACCGAAAAGCGGTACAATCTGAAACGTGAGGCTGTCGAAGGATCCGAGCCAAGAAACTTTTATTTTAGGGGTTTCTTTGAGGCTTGTGTTCAACGGTGGCATATTTATCCAAAAGCATATATAACTGGTAAAGAGTTGTCGCGACATCAAGATTAGAATGACTACTCAACAACATTGTCGCCTCGGCATGGCAAAAGACTTGACTCTTGATCACTCTGAACCTAGTCAAAGACGCTTTGTTCGTGGCTCGATGGCATTACTGCTACCGCGCGGTACGGTTGATCTGCTGACTACGTACTGGCAGGATCTCTAAATTAAGCTTGCGACCGTAATCATTTCATCAAAGACCCTCTTGCGTTTATCTGTCGCGACCGTAAGTAGCAGGCCCAGCAGGCTTGTTATCGAGGATCTTCTCGATCTCCTCCATGATCTCGGGAGTCAGCTTTTCAAGAAGCTTCAGAGCTCCGAAGTTGTCCTCCAACTGCTCGACCTTGGTGGCACCGAGAATGACGGTGGAGACGTTGGGGTTCTTTGCAGCCCACGCCAAACTGAGCTGAGTGACTGTGCCGCCGAGCTTCTCAGCGACGGTGGTGAGTTTTCTGACCTGTCTAGTGTGTAAGTTGTTGTTGATCGGTTTAGATATATCGACATGTTGCATACCTTCTCAATCTTGGCCTGACCCTCGGGGCTTTTGAGCTGCTTGACGGTGTTCTCGAAGAAGTCCTTGTTGGTGGCAAAACGAGAGTCCTCGGGAATACCGTCGTTGTACTTGCCGGTCAAAAGACCAGATGCCAGAGGGGACCAGATGGTAGTACCGTACTTAAATTGGTCGTACAGAGGAGCGAACTCGACCTCGAAGCGCTGTCTGTGGAAGGCGTTGTACTGAGGCTGCTCAGCAATAGGAGCAATCAGGTTGTACTTTTCAGCGATCTGAGTGGCTTCCATGATTTGAGTGGCAGACCACTCGGAGGTACCCCAGTAGTAGGCAAGGTTCAGGTTGCGGATAGCTTGAGTGAAACCCTCAACGATTTCCTTCATGGGAGTCGCGTTGTCGGGACGGTGAGCCAGGACGATATCAACGTAGTCGTGATTCAGTCTCTTCAGCGAGCTCTTCAAGCCCTCGATGACATGCTTCTTGGAGAGACCACGAGTGTTGGGCTCCTTGCGACCAGTGCCGAAGAAGATCTTGGTCGAGATAACATACTCGTCTCTAGGATAGCCAAGCTCGTTCAGGGCACGTCTGACAAAAAGTTAGTTGTTTATCGCAAGTAGAACGGTTGTTTGCTTTGCAGTTGCAGAAAGTCTCGGTAAGCAAGCAATATCCACTTACCCCATCTCGATCTCGGACTGACCGTTGGCGTAAACCTCAGCAGTGTCGAAGAAGTTGCAACCTACGCCACAATTAGTTCACTCGTCCTCCATGACTGACTCCAAGCGGCATACCGTGGTCGAAAGCCTTCTGAATACACTCCTTGACGATATCACCCTTCTGGGTACCGCCGTAGGTCAACCATCCTCTGAAATCGTAACGTCAGTTGTCATGTTCAACTGACCAAGGGGCTAACGCAACGTACCCGAGAGAGAAGATGGAGACCTTGAGGCCAGTAGGACCGAGGTGACGGAACACCATGTCCTTGGGATCAAACTTGGATTCGACAGCCATTGTGAGAAGTTGATGGATGTGATAGGGGTCAATGGGAGTTGCTCAAGAGGTGTCAATTGAGAGATGTCCGGTGGAGGAACCGCTTGTTTTTGTAGCCAGCACATCACCTTCCTAGAACAGACGGATATCCACGTACCCCTCAGCTATGCCGTCGTAAACTCCGTTAATGCCGTGATCTTACGTCGTCATTATTTTTCCAATTCGGTGATCAACGTGCCGAAGCAATACGGAGTAACAAGTTGCGGTCCAAGTAAGGAAAGGCGAGAACAACATAAGGTATTTGTATCACGTGCTACCTGTGTAGAGTGGTGACTCTCTGTTCTGTGGACAAACATAGCGGTAACCAAGTTTAGAGCTGACCAAGCAAGGAGTATATGCATGCTGAGCTTCGGCGATGACACCAGCCGATAGACTGGTCAATGGCCAGCGGCTGAACAGCTGAAGCAATGTCATGATACTGGAAGTACAGACCCAAGCACTCGAGAACGGAAGTTCTCCTGAATTAGCCTATTGTATAACGGAAGCTTGACTAGCAGAGCCAAGAGGCCCACGTATTTGGAGGCTTGAGGATGACATCTCGGATAGATCCGCGGGTTAGCCTCGATCTAATCAGCAGCTTTCTCCAGAGACTCAATCTACAACCTTCCTCTTCCAGCTCCCTTGTGTACCAATTGCACGTTTGGTTACAAGATGATCGCCCTCCGAACACTACGACCCACGGCTCTGCCAACAGGCATTCGCCAAATCATCACGAACTCACGCATCATGTCATACTCGACGCCATCGTCATCACAAACAACACCGCCGCCCCCGCCAAAATCGTCAGTTTCCGAGACCGAAATGTCGCACTTCTCCGCCCTCGCATCGTCTTGGTGGGACCCCGAGGGGCCCTCACGGATCCTTCACGAAATGAATCCGTTCCGCCATGTCTTCATTCAACGCTGTCGATCGCTATATCCTACGGACTTCACAAAAACACCTTCGAAGCTCCGCTATCTCGATGTTGGCTGTGGTGGCGGTATCTTCGCCGAGTCAGCAGCAAGACTTGTCGACACGGATTCGGTGACGGCAATCGATCCTACAAAGGAGGTATTGGCAGTGGCCAAGAGACATCAGAAGAGCGATCCTCTGCTTTGCGAAGCAGGAAGATTGAATTACATCAACACTGCCATTGAGAACTTGCCGCTCCCAGCCACGCCAGAACAAGGCGTGGATGTCTTGTCGGTCTTTGAGGTCATCGAGCATGTCACACACCCTGCTCCATTCTTGGCGAATTGCATGCCTCATGTCAAGCCCGGTGGTTGGTTGGTTCTCAGCACCATCAGCAGGACATGGGCAAGTTGGTTCACTACAAAACTTGTCGCCGAGGACATTATGCGTATAGTACCTCCAGGCACCCACGATTGGAACCAGTACATCAATGTTGGTGAGATGAAGGCATGGGCAGCCAAGCAACCCGGCTGGAGCAACCCAATGACTATGGGTGTCGTCTATGTTCCCGCTTTTGGCTGGAGAGAAGTCCAGGGCAGTGAGGGTTGGGGTAATTACTTCTTTGCTATTCGCAAGAACATGTAAACTTAGTGTAGAAATCTTGTACCTTTTAAGCTATTGTCTTCAGCGGACAAGCAAAGAGCAAACATATCCGCCCTCATGCATTATTTCTGAGCGGGCTCTTGAGGGTGCACTTTCTATGCGCCGCCCCCAGCTCCACCTCTCATCCTCTTGCCTGCACCCTCGTCACCACCCTCATGTGGGCGTTTGTTGCCCTGCACACCCGGTGTACCAGGCGCAAACTGTTGTGCTCCAGGGTTCATTCCACCTCTGCCTCCCCCTCTACCTCTGCCGATACCCCCACCACGAGGAAGCCCTCCACGCTGACCTTGTCCAGCAGCACCTTGAACGCTGATGCCTTGACCTTGTGCATTTTGGGTCCCGGGTTGTACCAAACCACCTCTACCACGGAATGCACCGCCACCACGGGGTAGCATGCTTCCACCACCTCTTGGGATGCCGGTAGGAATGCCTGATGGAATGCCACTTATTGAGGGAACACGAACGGGGCCAGGTCCAGCAGCTTGCTGACCGGGCTGTCGTAGAGGAGCCCCGGGAGTCTGGGGTGGCGTGTTGGTTGCGGACTGAGGCTGTACCGGAGCGTTGTTAGTCGCTTGAGGAGCGACTGTCTGTGGTTGACTTTCCAGGGCAGCCTGGTTGGGTACGAAACTTGGCTGGCCAAAGGAAGTGCCCAGCTGTGCTTGCTGAGTTTGAGCTCCAAACTTCTGCATCCTTGCTTGCATCTTGTCTTGTGGCGCTTGACTGTCGGGTGTCGATTGGATGGGCTGAGGAGCTTGGGGAGGTGGCATGCCTGGTGATTGTGGAAGCCCAGGACCGGTAGCCTTGAAAGGAGAGCTCATAGGAGATTGTGCTGGTTTGTTGACCTGAGGAGATACTGCGGGAGCAGGTCTGGCAATCTTGGCGACCTCCCACACTTCGACCACTGGTCGCTGTGGCGTTTCGCTTGCCGCTTTCTCGACGACGTCCAACTTTGCCTTGGCGGCTCTTGTCTGACCCTCTGCCATTCCGAGTTTGGCCTTCTGCTTGATGGTCTCCATGTTGACGGCCTTCGCCAACGCTTGTTCTCTTTCCTTCTTGGCTTCTTCGACCTTAGCTTGAAGGGCCTGTTCTCTGTCCTTCTGCGCCTCTTCTGCCTTTTCTTGCAAGACCTTCTCATGTTCTTGCTTGAGTTTGGCGGTCTCCTGAGCGATCTTGCTCTGGATGTTTCTTGTCACGATACTTCTAATAACAGTGTTCTTACCAACCAGAGTACGAGCTTGCTCATCGGTGAAGGTCAGCTCTGATAGGTCCAGGTCAGATATCGGAGCCTGGACTGGAGTCATGGCTGCAACGGTGTCTGCAGAAGGCTGACTGGGCTTCTCGTCTGAAGAAGCTGCAGGTTGCAACTTTGCTTGGGCCTGGCTTACTGCAGATTGACCTTCCTTAGTAAGACGCTCAACCTCAAGACGGTGCTCTTCCTGAAGCTGTGCAACAGCAGCCTCATGCTCCTGGCGAAGCTTCTGCAGCTCTTCACTGTGCTTGATCAAAGCTTCTTGGCGGCCTTCTTCCTTGAACTTCTCCTTGTCTTCCCTGAGCTTCTGGTTGAGCTTCTGCTTCATAAGATTGGTTCGGTTGTTGTAGAGAGTCTCGAGCTGCTCTTGACTGAGATTGTGCTGCTCCTCAAGTTGGGCTCGAAGCTGGGCGACCTGCATTTCGACTTGTTCTGCAACAGTCTTGGTCTCAGTAGTCGCGGCATCCGAAGGTTGTGTGACCGGCTCTTGAGGGACAGTGTTAGTCGCAGCGGCCTTGAGCGATTCCACTTCCTCTTGTGCAGTGGCCAGCTCTTGTCTCAGCTTGTCCAAATGCTCAGTGTTGTCACTAGTCTGAGGGGCGGTTTCCTGAGTCGGCAATTCTTGGTTTCGCAGCTCTGTAAGGCTGGCTGCACTCGTCTCGAGCTGCTGCTGGAGGTCGTTCTGCAATGTGTTAGTGATTTGACGCACACTCGAAATTTCCAGAACACTTACCACTTGACCCTCAAGCTCAGAAATCCTGACCTGCAGAGACTCAACCTGAGCAGCCAGACTGGCAGCCTTTGCAGCCTCTTCAGATGCTCTTGCCTCGGACTGCTCCAGCGCTTGCGCCGATGACTCTGCTTGCTCATCTTCTTGGATTTGACCCTCCTCAGCTTGGGCCTGAGCCGTGTTTTGTTGCGACACAGCCTCGGCGTTGGCGACAGCTTCGTCTCTGGCAGTCTTGGTCGACTCAAGCTCTTCCTTGGTCGACTCGAGCTGTTCCTTGACTTGAACGAGTTCCTGGTCGAGTTGTTCCTTTTCCTCCTTGATGCCTTCGAGCTCTTTCTCCAATTCTCTAATCTTGGCACTCTGCTCGCGAGATCTTGCCTTAGCCTGCTCGACAAATCTGGCCTTCTGCTCCTTCCATTGCTTGTCGGCGTCTTCCTTGATCTGCTGCAGCTCTCCGGGAATAGCATCGACCTTGGTTTGCAGTTCCTGCTTCTCAGTAGCTAGTTGATCGCGTTCGGTCTGGAGGTCGGAGATCTGTGTCTTCATCGCCTCCATCTCCGCGGGATCGACTCTGTCGTATTTAGAGATAATGTTTTGCGTGCGGTCCCGCCAGCGATCACGGTCTTCTTGCATCAGCTTCATCTCACCTTCCTTGGTCTCAAGTTCGTTCTCGACCTCCTGGATGCGATTCTGTAGAGGCTGAATTTGACTGGTCAGACTTTCGACCTCCTGAAGCTTCTCTGTCAACTGTGATTGTGCTTGTCTCGCCTCCTGTCGTAAGGTGGTGCTGCTTTCGCGGAAGACATTCAACTCGTTGATGGTTTGCATAAGCTTATTGTGGCTGACAGTGTTTGCTTCGTGATCAGCATGTTGTTGACGCTCCTCTCCAAGCTTCTGACGCGTTTCATCAAGTTGTGCTTGTGCGTATTCGAGCTGTTGCTGCAGTCTCTTGCTTTCCTGAGTGGACAGCTCATACTGAACATCCACGATCTCCTTCTCACGGCGGAGATATTTGATGACCTCCTGGAGATTCTCGAATTCGTGGCCGTGAACTTCGCCGGAGTCGTCCTGTTCTTCAGACGAGGTCTTCTTCTGCTGCAAGTCGGAAATCTGGCCGCTGACAGACTCAAGCTGCTCGTGAAGAAGCTTGTTTTGAGCCTTCAGATCTTCTCGGCCAAGTCTGACTTCGGTCAACTCGCGCTCATATCTCTCTCTCACTTCTGCCCAACTCTCCTCGCTTTGGCTCAAAGCGGCTTTCGCGCCCTCAGCCTCGGCCTTGATTGAAGCGACTTCGGTCTTGAGTTGATTGTACTCTGTACGAACAGACTGAAGGTTCTTTGCGGCATCCGCATGCTTGACGAGCTCATTCTCGTAGCTCTGCTGAGCTTGTTGTGCAATCTCGGCCTGTGCCTTGAGGTCTTCCTGGTGGAGTTTGGCGGTCTCAGAGTAGCGCTCGGACTCGTCACGAAGACGAACAATCTCAGCTTCGAGCAGACGCTTCTGGTCGTCCAATTGAATGGCGCTTTCTTCATGCTGGGTACGCAAGGCCGAAAGTTCGCTGTTAGTAGTAGACAACTCGGTGCCCAGCTCCTCAACTCGGCTTTCCAAGTCCTTGATCTTTTCATCGTTTCCGGCGATGATACGGTCCATTTCTTCGCGGTATTGATCATTGGTCTCGTTGAGGCTTTGAAGTTCCTCCTCAGATGCTTGGCTAATGTTCTTGTATTGTTCGACTTGGTCCTTGGCGTTTGCGAGATCGCTGCGGGCCAAATCAAGGTCGTGTTTGAGGTCAGCAATTTCGAGTGCGAGTTCTTGCTCACGGGATAGAGCATCTTCACTAGGTGCATTGTTCTCGGAAGGCTGGTCTGTCTGGGTGGCGGGACGAGGCTGGAGTGCCTGTACACGCTCCTCCGACGTGCGAAGTTCAATCTTGAGCTCTTCCACCCTAGAATGAAGCTGATCGCGAGTGGTTTTGGCTGCAATGAGTTCTTCGCGAACACCAGACAAACTCTTGATCAAGTCGTCGATTCTCGTCCTGCTCTGCTCCTGATCGTATTCTCTTCTGAGAGTGGCCTTCTTGGCCTCATCAACCTCAACTTCCAATTTCTTCTTTGTCACATCAATCTCGGTCTCGAGCGCCTCGACTCTGTTTTGAAGCCTACGACGAGTCTCTGACTCGTCGAGCTCTCGCTCGTTCTGCAGTGTCTGGAGATCCGCGATCATTTTGTTCAGGCGACTTCGTTCATCCATGAGGGAGCGGTTGTCTTCCGTCATACGTGCCTCAATCTTTTTCCAGAGCTCGCGTTCTGCCTTGAGGTTGGCCGTATCGTTGCGCATGCTGTCGGCGAGGGTGCGAGCCTCAACGAGATCTTCCGCGGCTTGTTGCGTACGAGCGTCTTGCTTGGCCGCCAACTCTTGCAAAGACTGAGAACGCTTCTGCAGTTCCGAATTCTCTGACTTGAGCATATCGTAATTGGCTTGGAGCATGCCGTAACGTTCGTGTGCAAGGGTGATTTGACCGCCAGTACGAGCAACCTCTCCTTGTAGTTCGCCCTTTTCGCGGGCGAGTTTGTCGACTTGTTGTTTAAGAGTGCTGTGATCAGTCGCAGCCTCTTGTCTGTAGGCGTCGAAGTGGTTTTGCATTTCCTTCAGAAGCTTGGAGTAGTCGGACAACTCCTTAGCACGAGGTGTCTCCTCAACGTCTCGTGACATACCACCTGGTGGCGGGGTTGATGGAACAGGTCCTACGGAACGACCGAAGGTAGCTTGCAGGTCAGTTCCGGCAGGCAACTGACCACGATGGGACAGCATGCGTCTGAACATATCGCGCTCGCGCATAATGCTCTCGCACTGAGTGGTCATCGACTTGATCTCATCCTTGTGTCTATGAACACGATCACGGAGGTCGTCTAGCTCCTGCAAGGCCTGTTCGGTTTCCGATTGTTTGGCTTTCGCAGCCTCGCCCTCCATGCGATCAGCAAGGCCGCGGTTGAGTTTCAGGAGCTGTACATTCTGATCTTGAAGTTCTTGAACATTTCGGAAGAGCAGTAGTCTTTGGCTGATCAAGGCTCCTGCAGAAGTCTCTTCTGCCACAGAAGATTGGTCGTCGAGCTCGCCGTTGGCGATCATCTGCAGTTGCATTTGACTCGTAGCATCGAGAGCCTCGAGGCCCTGATCACGAGCTTGCATCTCGACCAGAAGGATCTTGATCTGTGAGCTGAGATCACGGAGCTGCTGACGGAGGATATCGCCTTCTCTAGAGAGCCCCTCGAATTGACCCTTGAGGTTGCGTGCTTCCTTGCGTGCCTCATCGCGGTCGGCCGAGGCTGCATCGAGCATCGAGGACATCTCCAAGATCTCAGCCTCAACACGCTCCTTCTCCTCGCGGAGCTCTTCCTGCTCGGGACCTCTGTTCTCCAGGTCACGAATCATCTCGTCGAGTTCATTGCTCAAGAGGTAGTTTCTACGCTTCTCTGCTTCGAGGTCCGACTTCATAGTGCTATACTCGCTGTAGAGTTGTGTAAAGCTCATATTGCCCTTCATACGTGCCGAGCCAGGGGTGAACGAGGCAGGAGATCCACTACGTCCTGGAGTCATTGGGGCAAGGCCGTTGGAGTTGCGTTTGGGGGTAGCCAGGACAGACACGTCGTTTTGGGCTTCAGAAGCAGCGGTCTGGAGGCGTTCGACTTCGAGTTCCAGTTCAGCAAGCTTGGCCTCCACAGCCTCACGGTCTGCTCGTTCGGTTTCAATTTCAGCCTGAAGTTGTCCAACCTCGTCCGCGGCATTCTCCTTGATCTGCTCAATGTTGTTCTGGAGGTCCAGCAGGCGTGCCTTGGCGGTATCTGCACTTTGCTTCTGAAGTTCGGCAAGGCGGCGGGCACAGTCCAATTCGACACGGAAAGTTTCCTCAGCCTTGGAGGCGCCTTCCTGCATTTGTTGAATCTTAGCGAAGGCATCGTCGGCCTTCTGACCAAGCTCCTCTAGACGTTGGCGGAGGGTCGTCTCTGTACGCTTCAAGGCATCGAGTGTGGCATTGGCATCTTCATTGGCGTGCTGCAACTCTGAGATGCGGGCGTTCTTCTCCTTGCGGAATTTTGTGTGCTCGGCGGTGCGTGTCTTGAGTTCGGAATCCTGCCACTCGTTGTTGCGCTTCAACAAATCAACTTCTTGCTGAAGAGCTTGTTCCTTGAACTTGGCGCTCGAGGCGGCATTTTCCAAAGACTGGTTCTTCTCCTCCAAGGCTGAAATGTCGCGACGCAAGGAGATGATCTTCTGATGCTGTGTGGCAAGTTCTTGGGCGAGGTTGTCGTGGGCGGTAGACTTTGATTCGAGGACGGAGAGGGTTTCACGGTTGGACGTCTCAAGGGAAGCGACGCGGGCACGCAGAGTGTCCAGCTCGGAGATGGAGTCTGTCGACGAAGACTTGACAGAGTCAAGCTCGGTCTGAAGTTTGGCGCGGGCATTTTCTGGGATGTGGGATCAGTAATGTTCGGATGGTAGTGGCAGTAAATAACACACGTTGATCATCGAGAGACTTGCGCAGATCTTGGATCTCTTGCGAGTTCTTGTTCAGAGTGGCCTTGAGAGCCTTGACCTTTGACTCTCCAGCGCGGACAGTGTTTTCGAGCTCAACGTCGGACCTGAGCTTGTCGGCCTTGAGATTGTCAAAGTCCTTTGCTCTCGCAGTGAGAGTCGACAGGAAGTCCTTGATCAAGTCCTGGGTAGGAGCATCCAGTAGAGAGTCTAGCTGAGGCTCGTCAATTGCAAAAGCCTGAGCAATGAGAGCCGTGTCGACGGCGCCGGCCTGGGCGCGCGTCCTCATTGTCGCAATGGTTCCCGACTAGTTGAATGGCATGAAGCTTTGAAAGCGGGAAGATGAGCGGACGTGTCGACGGAGGATTGGAGGCGAGACGATGAAGAGGATAAAGGGCAGCGACGAGAGCGACGGGGCGACACGCGATTGATGGCGTGCCTTGCAGGGTGTCGACTTTGGGCTGGCTGGCAGAGAGCGAGATGTTGATGCACAAAGAAGCACCAAGCACCAAGCACCAAGCACCAAGCACCAAGCACGAAGCGCGAAGCATGCGTTGCAAGCGCTCCGACGACGCACTGACCCAAAGTCCGTTTGCGGCTGCCTTCCACTCCGTCATTCGACCAGGCCCCAGGCCCAACTTGGTATTTACTTTCACTCGGCGCGAACAAGCACACGCCTGCGACAACATACATAGTCGTCTCCTCATACTCACAACACACTCCCTGCACTTCTCGTCAGTCGTCACACGCCCACCTTGACGCTGCCTTGACCGGCCGACTCTCCCGTCATCATGTCTCTGTCGGCCTCCTTCAAGACCTTCAATAGCGACTTCTCCGCCGCGACCACTCGCAACACCCAGCAGAAACGCCCTGGTGCTGCCGCCGCTGTTCCTCTCCCTGTATCACGCCCCGCCACTCCCTCGACTCAACCCACAGATCTCAAGCGCAAGCGCCAGGATCTTCCTCAGAATGCCGCCTACTCTCAGCCCGTCGACACGGGCTCGGGCAAAGAGGTCATGACCCAAGTTGTCTACGCCATCGACTATCTCAAGTCAAAGGACCGTCCCATCAACTTCACCGATATATGGAACTACCTTTCAATCCCCGCCAACCTGCACCAACATCGCCAAGTCCTGCGCAGGGCGCTTATGGAGCACCCCAAAGTCGATTATGACCCAAAAGGCCTGGATGGAACACACCCGTCTTTCCGCTTCCGTCCCGTTCACAATGTCCGCTCGGCCGACGATCTGAAGGCATACCTGCAGCGCCAGTACACCGCTCAGGGTATTAGTGTCAAGGAGCTCAAAGAGGGCTGGCCTGATGCAATCCCTGAGATTGAACGCCTCGAAGCAAAGGGCGAGCTCTTGGTTGTACGACAGAAAAAGGACAACATTCCAAAGATGGTTTGGCCGAACGATCCCTCTCTCGACCAGCGCATTGATCAGGACTTCAAGGACTACTGGTCCAAGATCACTTTACCTGCAAACCCCGGCGAACTGAGAGCCGAGCTTGAGAAAGCTGGTCTAACTCCTACTAGTCAGGTTAAGGAGGTCATCAAAGTTTCTGGCGGAAGGGACAAGAAGAAGCGCACTTCAAGAAAGGTCGGCAGAAGCACAAATACTCACATGGTGGGCATTCTCAAGGATTACTCTCAGATGAAAAAGTAGCCGCGTCTTCTTACTTTCATTTCTCTCTATTGAGCTTTTGGTTTTAGCGCGGCGTTGGTCAAGGAAAGCATATCAAAGGAGTCTCATGGAAATGCCGGGCAGTTGACGGGTGCAGCGGCAGCAAAGGATGTGCCGGCAGTCTGTGGCTTGCAGTGTTCTTAGGCACATTTACGCATCAATACAATTGCAAAACACAATCGTCATGATGACAAGAACGCGCAGTCGTCCCTGGGGTAACTATTCCATCTGTTGATTACAATGGATGGTGAGGAGCAATGGATGCTCACTCGTCACATGTGCGAGGCGAGTGCTGTAAATATTGTATGTGCTACTCCGCGGCTTGTCCGTTATTCCCGTGCCTTTATACCCATAATGCGATCAGCAAGTCCCTATATCTCCCCGCATGGGGAAAGGTTTGGCATCGGCGGCGCGCGTGTCATGCATTCGTCACTTTGGAAACATCAAGTCTACGAATGAACTTCTGCCATCTCCTGCCTTCACAGCTCCCTGCTCGTCTTCGGCTCGTGAGGGACGGCGATTCGTCCCTCTCTCATTGATCCAGCCCTCTCGCATTCTGATACCGTCCATGATGGACTCGCGTCGTGCTGCCACCCTCTTTGGGATCCCGATGAAACATCTCACCTTGGCCACAGTATGTCTGCCTAGAGTATGTTGGCTATACAGATCACAAGCTGATCGCTACGTCTAGTTGACCCTCCAAAACTCTGCCTTGATTTTGGTGTGCCTCGACAATCACGATCCCAATCGCAACCACTGACGTGTGGATTAGATCATGCACTACTCCCGCGTCATGCCCGCTGTGAATGGCAACCGATACTATGCATCGACCGCCGTCTTCCTCAACGAAGTCATCAAACTCGCCATCTCGCTGACCATGGCCCTCTACGATCTTTCGCAAGACATGCGCACCTCGTCTTCGGCGACTGTCCTCTTCAATGAACTTATACGTCGTGTCTTCACCGGCGACAGCTGGCGTTTGGCGATTCCGGCTATGCTATATACTTTGCAGAATACTCTGCAGTATGTTGCTGTGAGCAACCTGGATGCTGCAGCATTCCAGGTCACATACCAGTTGAAGATCTTGACCACCGCTATCTTCAGCGTCACCATGCTCGGACACACTCTTGGTCTTAAGAAATGGGCATCCTTGTTATTGCTCATGGTAGGCGTTGCTATCGTGCAAATCCCCAATGGCTCCAACTCGGCCCTGCCAACCTTCAAAGATTTGAGGGAGGCAAATGCTGGCCTCCACTTCCCGCGTACTCTTCAGGAGATGCGCGACATGGGAAGCAGTGCTGCCAGACAGCTGGTCAAGAGATCTGCCACTTACGAAGGCATAGACAAGGACTTTGCGATGCAACATCCTCCTCAGCTCAATGCTTCAATTGGTCTGGCCACCGTCCTGATCGCTTGTATTTTGTCTGGCCTCGCTGGCGTGTATTTTGAGAAGGTACTCAAAGACTCGAATCACAAGACATCTCTCTGGGTCCGCAATGTGCAGTTGTCGTTCTACTCGCTGTTCCCCTCTCTTTTTGTTGGCGTTATCTTCAAGGACGGTGCAGAACTCGCAAAGCATGGCTTCTTCGCGGGCTACAACTGGGTGGTGTGGAGCGCCATATTCCTGCAAGCCATCGGCGGTGTACTTGTGGCACTTGTTGTCAATTACTCGGACAACATTGCGAAGAACTTTGCTACAAGTATAAGCATCGTCATCAGCTTTCTAGCAAGCGTATGGTTCTTCAACTTCGAGATCACCAGTAACGTGAGTTTTCAAAGATCGCTCATGTCAGTCCGAATGACTGCTTACCGTGATACAGTACGTGCTTGGAACAGCGGTTGTTCTTTTAGCCACATACCTATGGACGAGCGACCACAGTCCTCCATCAAAGACTGTAATCGCTGAGTACGAAAAGACCACCATTGGCTATGATCAGCCGTATAGTGACAACAGAGGCACTCCGAAGATGGGGTCGAGATCAAATTTTAAGGAGGCGCTGACGACTAGTCGACCAAGCACACCAGTCAACTTCGAGCGTCGTGGAGGCGGGTTCAAACGAGAAGAATAGAATTACTCTAAGCCACCTATGAATCCACAGATGCCCATATAGAGAGCGGTTTCGGTTATCACGATGCCTTGCTCTGTCACGGAATGACGTGATGTATATTGATCTTCTGTCTAGGATGTTAGCGAAAGCCCTACCGGTATTGTCCAGAGCTCTTTCCCTCGATGCGGCTCTTGCATTTGAGACGGGTGCATTCTCCCCTAGCGTCTGAACGTACAATAGCTCTTGCCCTCCGAGGAAGACGCTCTCGGATTAGTCGCCTGACACATTCAGCACAGCACTGCTACCTTTCTCAATTGTAGCGCATTCAACATCAATTCCTCACTCAGTCCCCCCACGATGTACTCCGACGACCAACAAGGGCACTACATGCCGCACGAGCAACACGTGAACGATAACGTGGATGCATACATCAGGAACGCAGGCTACGAGGATGACCAGACCAGCTATGGTACGAGCCGTCACCTGTTTGTATTTCCAACCTCCAGGACTGAAGCCTGACCTTTGCAGTACCATCGCGCGCACGCCGAACAGACATGTCATCTCGCCAGAGCCAAGCTGTTGTTGGAAGAGCTCGACTGTCTTTACGGCCAGCAGCCCCGGTTCCGCTTGAAGTCAATGATTACCAGGGGTTCGACTTTCCACCTTCGGGCCACCACCCTCGAGGATACTGGGAGGACCCAGACGAAAACTTGAGGCAGCCTTCACAGTCTACGGCCTTCACGAACCTAGCAGGCCCAACAACACGTCACCAGCTTTTTCAACAGCAAGAAACCAGCTCGTCACCTGCCATTGCACTACACTCGAGCCCAGCCTACCAAGCCAGTCAGCGTCAACACAATTCAGAAGTCATTCCACCGGCCCGTTCACACCCTCCGCCCAGAGGACAGCAGAGAAGACCAGACGTTGGACAGCCTCCACCAGTGGTTCAAGGTATACAGCTCGTCCCCGTGCATACTCTTCCAGATCGGTTCCGCACAATCTTCCCATACGCCATGTTCAACGCTGTGCAATCTGCTTGTTTCGAAAGTATCTACGAATCCGATGACAATTGTGTTTTCTCTTCACCTACAGGGAGTGGCAAAACCGTCCTTTTCGAGATTGCAATCTGTCGCATGCTCCGCGGATGGTCGCATGGCACCTTCAAGGTCGTATACATGGCTCCGACAAAGTCGTTGTGTTCTGAGAGGACTCGCGATTGGAAGGCAAAGTTCGAGCCATTGAATCTGAAATGCGAGGAGATGACTGGCGATTCGGATATCACCTCTCTACACCACGTTCAAAGAGCTGATATCATCGTGACTACTCCAGAGAAGTGGGATTCGATGACGAGAAAATGGAAGGATCACGAGAAGCTGATACGCCTTGTCAAGCTGCTTCTGATCGATGAGGTCCACATTCTGAACAAAGATCGTGGCGCTGCGCTCGAGGTTGTTGTCTCTAGGATGAAGTCTATCGCTTCAGGTACAAGGTTTATTGCGCTCAGTGCAACCGTGCCCAACTCACAAGACATCGCGACATGGCTCGGGAGAAACGACGACAATGCTAGCATTCCAGCCACTCACAAGCGGTTTGGAGAAGAGTTTCGGCCTGTCGAGCTCAAGCGTCATGTCTGTGGGTATCAATCAAGTGCAAACGCATTTGGCTTCGACGCCATGTTGACCAAGAAGTAAGTTGGCATTCTTTCTGTACGATTCCATGGCTGACTCCGGATAGACTCTCGGACGTTGTTACCAGGTATTCTCAGAAGAAACCAATCATGGTCTTCTGCTTTACCAGGAAGTCATGCACAGAGGCTGCAAAGTTTCTCGCTGAGTGGTGGATGTCCAGTGCACCAAGAGACAGACATTGGCAAGCGCCAGTGAACCAGATCAGGGTCGAAGACAAAGGACTGCAAAGTATGTGTTGTCCGCTCGAATCACGGTTGTTGGACTAACAGTCGCAGGTACTGTTTCTGCAGGGGTCGCTGTCCATCATGCAGGTCTCGGTCAGGAAGATCGAGGAACAGTAGAACGAGCCTACCTTTCTGGCGATCTAAGTGTGATATGTTGTACTTCAACGCTAGCAGTCGGGGTGAACTTGCCCTGCCACATGGTCATCGTCAAAAACACTGTTGCCTATGAGGCTGGGGCCGTCAAAGAATATTCGGACCTTGAAATCATGCAAATGATTGGCAGAGCTGGTCGGCCGCAGTTTGACACCTCGGCTTTGGCCGTAATCATGACGAAGATGCAGCAAGTCAAGCATTATGAACAGCTCTTAAGTGGACAAGAACGTTTGGAAAGCTGGTAAGTCTTGGGCCAACATGGTTGTTGGCACAGTCACTCACCATATACAGTCTGCACCTCAACCTTGTTGAGCATCTCAACGCTGAAATTGGTCTGGGTATGGTCCCAGATTTGTGTGCAGCAAAGAAGTGGCTTGCTGGTACTTTCCTCAAAGTGCGAATTGAGGACAACCCAACACATTACAAGATCGCGGGCGACAGTCCAGATCGAAACCTCGGAGCTAGACTCGAACAGATTTGCGAAAGTGCCATCTCACACCTTGACAGACTCGAACTCATCGAGTGTACGCCAACTTTCAAGTCGACAGACTACGGGGAAGCAATGGCACGTTACTATATCAACATCTCGACGATGGAGGCGATCTTGAGTCTCCCACGCAAACCGAAGATATCGGAGATCGTACGTGCGACATGCTCAATGTGTTAGCTTCCTTACTGATGCTGTTAATAGTTGAACGTCATTGCACAAGCCCAAGAATTCAAAGAATTACGATTTCGTGCAGGGGAAAAGCAACTATACAAAGGGTTGAACGACATGCCTGAAATCAGATTTCCCGTCAAGGTCGACCTCTCTGCCGTGGCGCACAAAGTGTCTTTGGTTATACAATCAGTTCTGGGTGGACTTGGCCACGTTACCGATCAGCCAAATCACCGTGTCCAGCACAGCATCGACCAAGGCTTGATCTTCCAGCACGTTCATCGACTGATCCGATGTATCGTAGATTGTGAGAACTGTGGCAAGGATTCAATCGGTATACGCAACTCTCTCATGCTATCACGCAGTTTGGCTGCACGAGTGTGGGATGACTCCCCTATGGTCCTGCAACAGATCGAGCAGATTGGTCCTGTCGCTCTAAGAAAGCTTGTGAGCGCCAGAATTACCACGATGGACGAGTTTACCAATACGGATCCCGGCCGGTTAGAGCTTGTGCTCAACAAAGCTCCTCCGTTTGGTATGACACTTCACCATCGGGCTCAAACGTTTCCGAAGTTGAGAGTGGGCTTGCAAGTGACTGGACAGCCTGTAAGACAACTGTGCGATTACTTTTTGACCATGAGCTAATCATGGTATTAGATTGTCAAGGCTCAAGAGCATGTGATTGTGAAGCTCAAGATCGACTTCGGATTCTTGAATGAAAAGACTCCAATTCAGTACCGAAATAAGCCGGTCTTCGTGATCGTTTTACTTGGTACATCTGACGGGCAGATGATGAGCTTTTTCCGCTTGAGGTATGCACAAGAACTAACCGCCAGACGTGACAAGGCATCTAACGCAGTAGACAGTGCGCAGAAGCTCGAACGCATCAATCCTATCAATACCACCGCGTATCTGACAAGTCCAACCCAGCTAATTGAGTGCTATGTCATGTGTGACGAACTTGGTAGGTCTCGCGGCATCGATCGTCTAGGAGTCCTCGCTAACATGCTGCAGCTGGAACTATGCAGCAAGCCGTGCTCAAGCCCAACGTGCTAGTGTCGGCATTCCAAACTATCAAAGACAACACAGCAGAAATTAGCAAGGACAAACGCTTTGCAGGGCGCACCAGGATTGTGGATACCATCAGGAACGTTGAAACACCACAAGTGAATCTTAGTATCGACGAATGGGACGACGGAGGACTGAACGATGATGATTTCATCCATGCCGAACCAATGGAAGATGGTTTCATGGACGTCGACGTACTCGAGCAGCCGAACTTCGGTCAAAAGACCACTGGCAAGACTAGGAACAAGGCTGACGTGACGACCGTTGGTGAAGGGCCAGAAGAGAAGAGATTAGGGAATGGCCGATTACCTTGCAGCCATCGTTGTAAAGACAAGACCGCATGCAAACATCAATGTTGCAAAGAAGGACTCGAAAAGAAGCCGAAACCCCGAGCACGGAAGACGAAGGATAGCGAGCTGTCGACTCCGGCTGCAAAAAGCAAGGCATTCTCCAGCACGTCGAGCAAGGCTCAATCGAGGCTGGACCTACCGATAAGAAGAAAAACAGTTGGCGGGCCTGTGGAGCACCTGGACCTAACTCAAACGGCATCGTCGCGAGAGACCAGGGTGCCTGCGGCGGCCACGAGATTGACCAGTCTCCGCGACAGTACCACCAGATCCGGCGAGATTTCAATGTTAGGAACGACTACAACCATGATCGCATCTTCTCTGCCTGCAAGACCAAAATTTTTGCCAAGTCTAAACCCACTGGGGAGCACCGAAGAGGATATCTGGGCTGCAAGAAGTCCTCTCGAGCATGTTCCCGAGCTATACGATGACGAGAATGATAAGCCATCTTCAGACGACGAAGAATATCTGGACAGAGACGAGGATATGCTCGACGCTGCTCTGATAGGTTTGGAGGATTCTCGGAGTCTCCAAAACTCAGACGACGTGGTAACAGAGGGACAGGGTCTATTTGCGGAAAGGCAAAACGTGCTGGACTCTGAGACGGACCATCAAGAGGAAGACATTGGCGGACCAAAACTCTTCATGACGCCATACGCACAGAGTACTGTCGTAAGCTCAGCGGCATTCGAAGATGCAGTACCAATATCCGTTCGAACCAGCGACAATGAGTACTCGGCCTCACCAGGTGTAGTAAAACGCAAACGTGGCGAAGACAGGGCAATCGCTTATTTCCCAGCCAAGAAAGCCAGAACAGAAGACGAGGCAGCGTCTGACGCATACGAGAAACAGACACAGGTAGAAGAAGCAGATAGGAAAAACGAACAGAGCGAAGAGAGCAAGCAGAAGCGGGAAGTGGAGGAGCTGCGAGCCTGGTTGGCTGCAGAGTTTGGAGACACTATCGAGATGATATGACAAAACACATGTCACTAGACTGGCATGGACAAACTGTCAGTACGGATTGCTTTTGATGAGAAGTCTAAGCAGATGGAAACCAAGTTTGAAAGTGCGGCATGGATGGAAGGCAGTGGAAGCGGTATACGAAGACCCTGTGAGAGGGCAAAAGATGACGTGGGCTTGGCAGGTGGATATATCTTTCACATGCTCGCAGGCAGCTACTGGCTAGTCGCATCACATACAGACATTTTGCTCCTACAAAAGACAGCCATCCTACAATCGACGCAATCATGTCGGTCAAGTGAGTAGCATGTGCTGAGTGAGACAGCGACTCGATCGAGGCAGGGGCTGATGATAGCGACAGCTGGGTCATGCTGGAGCCCTCGTCGCCGCAACCTTTTACTCCCCTTCCACATGAACAGACGCTCTACAAGTCGCCAACCCGCACGACCTTCTCGTTGCAGTCGCTTAACAAGTTCCCCGGCAAGGAGCCCGTCCACTGGTCAGCCTCAGCCGGCACCCTGTATCTCACCAACCGCCGCCTCGTCTACCTGCCCTCGACAACAACCCCTCAGCTCCAGTCATTCGCAGTACCGCTTCTCAACACTCACGATTCGCACGTCGTTGCTCCATGGATAGGGCCTAATGTCTGGACCGCACTCGTACAACCTGTGCAAGGCGGCGGCATTCCTGGCAACATTCCCGCGCTAGAGCTCAAATTCGCCTTTAAAGACGGAGGAGCATACGATTTTCACTCCGGCTATGAAAGAGTAAAGGAGAGACTACAGCAGCAAGTCGATGTTGCGAGGCAATCTGGTCACCTTCAAGGTGATGGCAGCGAGGCAGGTAGAGGAAGAGGAGGTGACGCTCTCGCTGCTGTCGATGTCGCAAACGTGCATCTGGACGATTTGCCTGCCTATGAGGAGAGTGGTAGCACGATACCCGTGCCTCAACCTCAGGCTGCTCCTATGCCTGCACCTGTACCGAGACCAGCCCCTGCGTCGCCCGAGTCGCATGCGCCAGAGGTCTTTACGCCACCGGCTGAGCCTCCGCCGGGATACGAGCAAGTGCAGAGAGAAACTGTGGAAGACGAATTGGAGAGGAGATTGAGTAGTGGTCGCATTCTGTAAGGCGGCTCCAACTCTGAATGCTGTCATGTGTACGATGAGATATGATACCCCACGACAAGGCTGTTCTTCCTTTGGCAGGTTATTGATTCACGAGGCAAGGGCGAACAGGCGTTTGGGTAATGCTTCTTTCCTATTTCAATGGACGTTCTTCTTCGAACACGTTACTTCCTGGACAAGCTAAAGTGTTCAAGCTTGTGACGATCTTTATATCCAGAGGCATCTGCCCACAGCCTCTGTTGACGTGTTTGTAGGTTTGGTATACAATTGTGCCATTAGCTAACCCATCTGCGACTTTGTATCGCTGTGAAAGGTCAAAGAAAGACCACAATAACACTCGAACCAAGGCAGGAACCAAGCGAGTCGACTGCCTGCTTTGAACTCAATCTCTCCTTTCCGTCGTCCGATCAAATGATACCAGGAATCCACCTAGCACCCACAACACTCTTATAACTCTCATACTTCCTCCTGACCCCCAACTCCACAGTCTCTCCCTTGACAACATCTTCATTCAACATAAATTGTCTCTCCTCCAACTCAGCGCCTTCCCGATACAACCCGACCAGCCCCATGATAGTAACACCCATTCCCACCATTCTGATGAAACCAAAGAAGGCATGGTTGTGTCTCCATTCTTGCTGCATGGCAATCAAAGAACCCAACCATCCCAATATATACGATACATAGACTGGATGGCGCACCAAAGCGTAAGGGCCGGTGTTGATGACTTCTTTCGGTGTGACTTTGCCAAAGATGACGGATAGATGGCCTTGACCGGTGATTTCACAGCACCACGCGTATAGCGCCGTGCTTCCTGCCAAGAAGACCCAGGATAATAGATGCAAGAGTCCAGTGTTTGTGGAATGAGAGACTGCGGTGGGGAGACTGGTTGCAAAGATTGAAGGAAAAGAGATCAAAAAGGCGAGGAAAGAGAGGCTCTTGATCTGGAGGTTGCGCGTCGAGTTCACGAGTCCCGTGGATGGGTTTAGGAAGTGCAGGAAGAGACCATAGACTTGGGCGCCGAGGAAGAGGAGGTAGAGGATTTGAACGAGGGATGGGAACCACATTGTTTCCTGAGTCTTATGCTCGTTTTTCTGCTTATCTGCGTGCAAAGATGAGTGTGAACGCGACGACGAAGTGCTTCCCAGAGTTTATATCCTACCTGCGTGGTGACGGTGACATCAGAGTATATGTCTCAGCCTCGTGTGGAGTTATACTTTGAGATTGGTGGGAAACAGGGTAACTCGCGTCAATCGCACGCGGGGGGTCCGGATGCTACAGGATGCCGAGATTCACAAACATGTGGAATGTTGCTATCGGAAAAGCATATCTGAAAACGGTCGCGATGCATGTTCATTATTATGGCATCTTGAGAGAAAGGAACTTGAAAACAAGGACGATTCAATAACCACTTCCCCACATTTCCTCCTCATCGATGACTTGGTCTTCGGCAGCCGGTGCACGCCTGCCTTGATCTCTTTCACGCTGCTTCCTCTCTGCTCTGCTTGTCAGATGAGGCGTCACCGGTGTCAACGGCGTGAATGGCATGTAGGAACTGTACGGAGTCGCCATACCCGTACGAGGAGCACTCAAAAGATCGCGGCGTCGCTCGAGGTACGTAGTCTTGGTGACCAGTCCAAGGGATGGTAACGGCAGACCATCTAATTGCGCCATGGCACGGAAAGGTAATGTTCCAAGGGTAGACACAGACATGTTCGACGAGAGTGCACGATGGTTGATACCATAGCCACCCGCAGTCGCTGTGTCGAGCCTGAGTTCCATCTGCCGGGATGTGCCTCCTCCTACTTTGTATACCTCGTATTGGTGGCTTCCAGTCCTCTGTGGCTCTGGTCGAGGCATCGCTCTAATCTCATCGAAATCCCTAATATCGACAGGTGTCCCGTAGCCATCGTGCGTGCCTGGCGTAGTAGCCGCTTCGCTCTTAGGTGGCGGACTGGGTGGAATCCCAGAGTCAGTATAGTATCGTGGCGTCAATGGAGTGCGGACTTCCTCGTCCGAGACTTCGCTAGGGTAGTGTCGGTGTTGAATGCGCAAATTGCGTAATCCTTTTCGAGGACGTTTGCCTTCAATCTGAGACCCAAAAGAAGACGTTCGTGTGCGTGTAGAGGCCGCGGCAGGAGATGCTGGCCCACGCAACTCTGAGGACTTCGGCTGACCATAGTCTGGGCGCATTGGCGAGATAGGCGATGCTGGCTGAAAGCGAGGGGAGCGAGGAGGATAAATGGCACGGACGGGACTTCTTGGTGAGACAGGACTGATTTGAGAATCTTGCAAGTGCAAATGTGCAAGCGCAGGAGCCGAAGTCAGGAGTCCGGGAGGTTGTCGTCTCGACTTTGACGTCGTACAACCTACTTGAGACAGTTCATCTTCTGCTATTGTGGTCCGCGATTTGGCAGCTTCCTGCGCAAACGCCGCAGCATAAAGCTGTTCTAACTCTTGCTGTCTAGCCACTCTGTCCGACTCGATCACGCCAGGGTCGAAAGAGGCAATACTTTGCACTGCGGGACTGCCAGGGTTGCTGACTGTTCTGGTGCTGCCTTGCATACTCCGTTTGTTCTTCAATCGCCGTGGACTGTACCAGGAACGTTGAGAACGAGGACTTATCGGAGAGTCGTCGAATTGGTTGATGGTGGGCCTGACCATCTCCGTCGAGACGGAAAGATAGGCTGATAGAGCCGCTCGCCGCATTCGTCTTCCGATCGTGACAAGAAGGCTTCCAAGGATCAAGACAGTTGCCACATATGCGCCTATGATTCCGCATATCTGACCGGCGAGTAGATGAGAGTCTCGAGTAGCGTGAGCGGAGAGAGGAGGTCCATCCTCAGGGGACGGCGCAGGTCCATTGTCGATGTCAACTGTCCATAGACTGGCTTGTACCAGTGATGGCAGAAGAATAAAACTTGAGATATGTTGCAGAAGAAGTGTCGATCGCTTAGCCATTCTCAAGTTCACGCAACCCACAGCTCAGCTGCACGATCGAGAGAGACATGGTCAGGAAGAGGGGAGGCGAGAGCGCGATGTTGTGAGACAGTCAGTGTATCCAGCATGGCGAGCAATTGGGGTGGCAAGCGAAGTGATAGATCGGAAGCCTGCATTAGCGTATGCGTGGCTTCGCAACCGGCGCTTAAGCTACAACAGTTATCCACGACACTTTCAAGCCGCCACGGCTGGCAACTTCGATCAAGACTCAATGCGATAGATCTGATGGGCCAACGGTCAGAGTGTACCAATTAAGGTCGGGGCGAAGGAAGGATTCTAGTATAGATGGGTGTTCAGGAGAGTCTCTCGATATAAGCGCCATATTCAGCCAATGAAAAGAATGATTGATTGCCAAGAAAAATGATCAGAACCAGACCAGGATGCCATGTCGTCTCTTTGGGGTATCTTATCGCTCGCTTTTTGAATGTAGGAAATAAAGAATCAAAACAGATGTGTAATTTAACAGGCTTTCAGAGATCGTGACGGGCGTGAGATGGTTTGGGCGTCGTTCAGTTTACGTTGTTTCCACTGCCACTCAACCAGCACGGGAAGGAACTGCCAAAGGTCGAAGTCAGGCCACAGACAGTCTAGAAAGACGATACTAGTATGTTCATGACACTGCCACATCATGAAGTCGCTTAGTCGCTGGACGCCAGACGTGCGGACTAGAAGGTCGCAAGGAGGCGCATCATGGGTAAAGGTGTGCGCGTTGATGGTGTCGGCAGTGATAGTTTCAGGATCTGGAAAGACGGTCTGAGGTTTTGTCGGTTTGAATGCTGGAGAGTGTGCAGAGGCGGAGGTGCGTGAGGACGGAGTCTGGTCGTCGGTGGAAGCCGCACTGACACTCGAATCGTCCGTCTCTTCGGCGTTGTCTTCGTCGAGCGAGGACTCTTCCTGCACCTGGCTCAACTGACTGGTTCGGAGGTGACGAGCGATGTGTGACTCGGAGAAGGGCCGCTTGTTGACAGTAGGCAGAGGAGTGGAGTATTCGCGGACGGTCTCGCGGATGGCGTGTGTCATCTCGTGGCGTGAGGTATACGGGAAGCAGACGTTGAGCACTGCTTGGGTGTTGTTGCTGGTCAAGCGGACGGCTTCGTCTATTGATTCGAGGACATCGGGCCGTACAAGCTCTCTTTGACCCAGGATCTGGATACGAGCACCATAGCGTTGCAGGAGCTCGCCGTGTTGAGCCAGTTGGTTCAGCTTGACCTTGGCCATGTCCATGAGAGCGTCGACTTCATACTTGGATCGCTTGAAGTTCTCAATGCTAAATGCATAGATGGTGACAACTTTGACTCCGGACTTGTAGCAGACCTCGAGTATCTGCGCATGTTAGCATGTGTCAATTGAGCATCCATCATTGGTTGATGTGTACCCGCGCGAGAGCCTCAAAGCCCAGATGGTGTCCCTCGACGGTCTCGATATGATGAGTTCGCGCGTAACGTCGGTTTCCATCCATGACAAAGGCAACGTGCCCTGGTATGGGCCCTTGTCGCAAGGCTCCGATCAGCAGCTCTCTAACTCGCTGCACACCCCACTCCGCTGGGGGAGACGACAAGAGCCATCTACGGAGGCGTGTCAGATGGGCAGATGACATGTCAGCGTTGCTTTTGGAGAAGGTTAGGTCTGCATCAATTGTCGGGAATCAGGAGCATTTGTTCAGACACATGCCATGGCTGCCATGCGCTCCTGCGTCAGCTCTCGGCACCGCCTGCCGCGTGTCGCGAGACCTGGAAACTGTCGGACCATCCGTCCGCCAAGCCACTTCACTGCAGCCCGTGCACCTCTCTCCCAAATTCTCTTTGTAATCCGCCTTCGTCCTTTCCACTTCCCTTGCATCACACAGTCTGTATCTTGCTTGTTCACATTCGCTCACCATGGCGTCCATCGTCGAAAAGCAGCTACACAGCTTGCTGGACGGCTTCGACGCCTTGCGGCTGGAATATCAGCGCGTCTACTCGCGTTGCGCTTCTCTCGAAGCCCAGATGGCTACAGCCAAACTCCAGGTTCGTACTGTCCGCTGCTTCCCATGCCCTCCACCCCCCTTCTTTGTGATGAACAACATTAGCTCTAGACCTGCAGCTGTTCGCAGCTTTGACAGACGACATACACCATAGCATGCCTTGAATCAGCGTGTTACTGATCCTCCTCTCAATCCTTCACTCAACATACAACCGCTTCATGCCGGCACATTCGCTGACTTGAACAAACAGTATTCGCGCCTTGCCGCCCTGAGTCCTGAAAAGGCCAAGCCCCTTGATCTCTCAGCTGCTACGGCATACCCTCTGGCTGTTGATTTCGAGAGCTTGATAAATAGTTCTAAGATAGTTGACGCCAGCCGTCGTGACAAAATCACTGCCGCTTCTCGTACCTCAAACTCGCTGCGTTCGACCAGCGTAGCCATTCATTCTGGGCCTTCGGCCGACAACCCTTCCGCTCCCACATCATCTGCTGCCATGCCTTCTATCCACGAGTCCCCTCTCGAACAAGATTTCACCGTCCCCGGCACTCCGAGCAGGCTCGATTGCCCTTTCGCTTCCATGGAAAGACGCAAATTGAGCTCGCACGCTGCTTCGGTGGTTTCACGCTATAAGTCCGAGTCTGTTCGACAGCCGCGCAACTCGGGCTCGCGTGTCAGTGGCCAACGTGCATCGTCCAGCGCGCGCAACTCCATCGTTGATCCTATAAGAGAGGTTTGTGCCATGGATTCACACAAGAAGAACCACGAAGCCGAGCCATCAGTGCAAGGCTCATCTACCGACAAAGTTTGTCCCATCCGCTTCCTCGATCAACACAGTCCGGAAGAGGTTGCCGCCTACTTTGAGCTACACAAACACGAACTTCCGAGGAGCCACGAGATATGTGTGAAGAGATATCAAAGCAACGAGGAACAAATCCGCGAGCTCGACGCAAAATACGGTAATATCGTTAGCATGATTCAAGGGCTGGGCCAAAAACACGTATCGCTCTTGCCGGAAACTTTGGGCGACGATCACCAGCAAGACATGGACGATGATGAGCGCGCTAGTAACGAGAAAATCCGTCAATGGGCCAGCACCGTGTATACAGGACCCGATGCTCCCGTGGAGGAGCAGGCGGAAGAGGATGGTGATCGCTTGCCACGTTTCGACCGACCACTCAGAGATGTTCGTCTAGGCGAAAGTCCCAGCAGACCATGGGGCATTCAAGTACCCATCGAAGCAGAAGATCGCCGCAACAGTGTGTTGTCGAGCGTAGGAGCCGCTGCGGTACCTCCAACCCCACAGCTACCAACCGAAGGACAACCAGGAAGACCCAAGGGTAAATGCCCATTCGGATTCGATCAACAGAAACAACCAGACCAGGAAAAACAAGACAAGCCAACCGTTGAGGAAGTCGAGGAGACAGCTGTCAGAAAGGCCGAAGAGACGGCTATTCAAGAAAGCGTGAAGCCCGAGACCAAACCTACCTTTGTGCGACAAGGTCAATTCAAGGCCTCAACAGAGAAGGCAGCCGGGCAGCACCCAGTGTTTATCAAAGCAGAGCCCGGAGAGCAGAAGGACCAGGCATACACTGGTGCACAAATGGTATTTACAGGACCGGTCTTCATCGGCTATTCTGTGCAGGAAGCCATGACGGTACTGCAGTCGATGAAGCGAACTTAGAATAATGATTAATGCAAGGAAACGAATTACGACTCTTGATATGATCGTGTTGTATTTGGATTGTCCGGTGCCGTGAGTGATTCGAAGTAAAGTTGACTGAGTGATTCTTGGAGCCTTGTTTCTTCCTTCCTTCGTTATCCTGTTCTGTGTGAGAGGCAAGTCCTGATATTTGCACTCCTGGCAGACGGATGGGTGAGGAAAAGAGCAAGACAGGAAGGCAGAGAAGAGAGAGAGTGGATGTGAAGTGATGGGAAATCGGACAGACTCTCATTGGTCAATGTATATATGCACGGGCCAGTCCTGCGAGGCCCGGGAAACGTCGAAAGGTTCGACGCCTCTCTTCGACAGCACGCCAGTCAACACATTCAGAGTCGCCTCATTCACCGCTACCATGGGCATCTTCGACTACGTCTCCGACCTTTACTCGTCCATGACCATCCAGTCATGCGAGGCTGAAACTCAAGACGACATGAAGTACGCCTCGGGCGACTTCAATTCGGCCAAGGACCAGCAGAACGGCATGGGCACGGCTGAACAGACCCGTGGTGCCACCACCAGAGGCGGTGTCAGTCTCGACAGCCCTGCCGCCGGCACCGACGAAGAGAGCGATTCGGAGGCCGAGGCCAACAAGCAGGACGCCAAGAAGCCCGAGGCCTCGAACGAGAAGGGTCACGTCGCCGGCGAGGGTGGCGCTGCCTCCGGTCAGGTCGGCGCTGAGAACGCTGGTCCCCACGGCGGTCCCGTCGGCAAGCAAGACGACGATGAGGATGAGGAGGAAGAAAAAGAGGAGGAGGACGATGAGGAGGAAGAGGACGAGCCTGAGGACCCCAAGCCCAAGATTGAGGAAGGTATGTCAAGGAGCCATTGACGATCCGGACACAGCAAGAAACAGCGCTGACAAGACGACAGAGTGCGCCAAGTCAGCCGAGTGCGCTCCCTACAAGCACCACTACGACCACTGCGTCGAGCGCGTCACCAAGCAGCAGGAGGAGAACGGCAAGGCCGACGAGGACTGCGTCGAGGAATGTGAGTATTGTGCTATGGATGCTGATCAGTTGTGATGGTTGTGCTGATGTGCATGTCTAGTCTTCCACCTCGCCCACTGCGCAACCGCATGCGCCGCCCCCAAGTTGTTCAAGCAGCTCCGATGAACGACACGCGCGCCTCTAGGCCTCAGTCAAGCCAATCGACTCATTCTGTGGTGGAGCCGATGACATTACCTCTTGTACAAAGCATTTTCTCTACACCACGAATTGTACTATTTTTCCTTTCTGTTCCTTAACTCTAGATGGGTCGTTTACGAGCGGTCAAAAGCGTGTAGCATAGAGTCCGTATGCCCAATTGCTTCCAACAGTTATCTAGACCAGAAATCGCTATTGATGCAACACCAATGGCATGACTGGCCAGAATATGTGCATGGTGGAAATGTCGATGATGATGACCAATGTAATTGGCTGGGACTTGACGGATATGACGCAGCTCTTGCTCCAGCGAGACTCGAAGCTTTAGAAGCTGCCCATGTCAACCTTTGACCCTCGAAACTCTCAACATATTCGATCTAGATATACAACAGTTCACAATGTCTTCCGCCGCCGTCTTCCGCAGCTCCGCTGTCCGCTCTGCTCTTAGAGCCAGCGCTCTTTCGGCCACCAAGCGTGCAGCCATGGCCAGCACTACCTTCACCCGCGGCAAGGCCACTCTTCCCGACCTGTCCTGTGAGTCTCCTCTTGTTCACTCCATCTGTTCTGTCTGTCATACTGACCACAGCACTCAGACGACTATGGTGCCCTCGAGCCCGCCATCAGCGGCCAGATCATGGAGCTCCACCACTCCAAGCACCACAACACCTACGTTACTTCCTACAACGCCGCTTCCGAGAAGATGGAGGAGGCTCGCGCAAAGAACGACATCCAGACCCAGATCGCCACCCAGCCTCTGATCAACTTCCACGGCGGTAAGATTGGCTCCATATCTGTCATCATGGCAAACAAGTCGCTGACGGCACTTCTACAGGCGGTCACGTCAACCACTCCCTCTTCTGGGAAAACCTCGCTCCCAAGTCGCAAGGCGGTGGTAAGCCCCCATCAGGCGCCCTCTCCAAGGCTATCGACACACACTACGGCAGCCTCGACGCCATGAAGCAAAAGTTCAACGCCGCTCTCGCCGGCATCCAAGGCTCTGGCTGGGCTTGGCTGGTCCAAGACACCCAAACTGGTGCCATCCAGATCAGAACCTACGCAAACCAGGACCCCGTTGTCGGTCAATTCAGACCCATCCTCGGTGTTGATGCTTGGGAGCACGCCTACTACCTCCAGTACCAGAACAAGAAGGCCGAGTACTTCAACGCCATCTGGGATGTCATCAACTGGAAGGCTGCCGAGAAGCGCTTCCAGTAGAGGATCCGCTGATGCTTTAATGAACCCCTAATCACGCCTTTGTGCTGTATATAGTCGTATAAGAAAGACGTCGACCTCTTACTCGTGCTCTTGCAAAGAAAGCTATTTCGTTAAAGTGCTTCTAACCTCTGTAAGTGTCACATCTGAATCTTGATATTCATTATGAGTATCAAAATCAGAGGCCCATGTTCTAGGATCGAGACAAAACGAGGCATACAGTATCACGATCGATCGCTAGTTCATCCTCCTCAGGGTCATTACGATGCAAACACGTTCTATCAGACAGTAGTGGTATATTATGCAAATGCTTTTTGATTCATGAGGCTTCCAACCCGCATCTAATGACATTATATAAGAAAGGAACAAGAAGAGATCTTACACCAAAGGCTTGTCCATAGGAGCAATAATACCTTGCTTGACAACAACTCTAGGTCTAGTGTTGCGCTGGAAAGTCTCCTTTGTCGTCCACTCCGGACCCACAGGGACACGCAGACTTCTCTCATACTGCTCCCTCTTCTCAAACTCATGAGGTAATGTGCTAGCCAAGTACTTCTTTCCCTTTCGCTGTTGAGCTTCCGAGATGATGACGTTTCTGAGCTTTGCATCTTTACGATCTGCGGCTTTGACACCCTCTGTGACCTTTTTGTGAAGAGGGTTATGAGCCATACGTTTGTTTTGCTTTCTTGTTGCTTTTGAGAGGCCGGTGCCGGTCCAGGAGCCCCAGCCGGGGAGGAAGGTGGATTCGACTTTATCGCCTTCGTCTTCGACTTGAGCGGTCTTTTCGGCTTCGAAGTCGACGGCTACGTCGTCGCCGGCAAAGGCGCGTTGGTGGAAGAGAGCTTGCTTGTCTTTGGAGGGGAGCATGGGGTTCACTCTGTTGTCCTCTTCGGCGTCGGCTTCTTCTTGGTCATTGTCGTATTTGACCGTCTGCCAGCCTTCTGTCGAGGGCGCTGAAGTTTCGTTGGCGGCAGGCTTTGTCGTTTGCTTCTTTGCCTGTGTCTTCTTTCCGGCAGCGGCGGGTTTCACTGCTGCAGGTGCTGGTGCAGGCTTTGAGAGGTCGAGAATCTCGTCTTCGGTTGCCTTCTTGTTCTTCTTCTTGCTCTTGGAAGAACCGATCAACCATGCGTTTTCCTCGACTTCCTTGGGCTCGTCGGCATCGGCAACAACCTTCTGAGCATTCTGAAGGAACGATCGTGACTTCCTTGACTGAGGTGCAGGCTTGGTGTCTGATTGACCACCGACCTTGATCTCTGCCTCGGCTTCTTCTTCCTGATGGTCCTCCTTGTCCAGAGCTTTGTTCTCTTCAAGCTCACCACGAGGGGTAGTCTTGAAGGGGTTGGCGTTGCCTTTCGTAGGCTTGGGTCCGAAGATGGCACGGCCGACAGTGGTCTCTGCTTCCTCTTCGCTCTCGCCATTCTCGTCGGCTAGCTCCCTGCGCAAGCGGTCGATGTCCTCGTCGTTCTGAGCCCTGCGTGACTTTTCGGCTCGGAGCATGAAAGCCATATTGCCAATCTTCGACTTCTCTCCATCCATTGCACCAAGCCTGTCGATCTTCTTGGAGAGGCGAGCCTTCTCGAGTTCGTCATCGTCGAGCTCCTCGTCCTCATCGTCGCTGACACTGATATCTGAATCGTCGCTCTCGCGATCGTAGACATCCTTGCCTTCAATTCTCCTCCTGAGCTCCTCATTCCGTCTGGCCATGTCGATCAAGCCTTCTCTGGCATCCTCGTCCCAGACCGAACGGTTGGACTTCTTCATGGCCTTTGACCACTTGCTGTCCTTGTGCTTTGTGCCCATTCTCTCCTCGGCACGTCTTCTGTCGTTCTTGTCCTTCTCGTCCTCATCCTCGATGCCCTCGGCTACAAGGTAATCGCGCTCAGCGGCCTCGGCGCGTTCACGCTCCTTGCGATGCACGCGACGGTAAGCCTTGGACTTGATCTTCTTGACACGCTTGGCCTTGACTTCCTCTCTGAAGAGCAATTCTCTGGCTTTGCGGAGCTCGGCACGTCTGGCCATGACTTCTTCTATGGGAATCTTGTTCATCTGCAACTCCTCGAATTGTTGAAGTTGGTCTTCTCCTGCACCTTGCTTTTGCTTGTTGCTGAGGCCGCTCTCCTCGAGGATGTTTTGAATGGCACTTTCGAGTTCGTTTGCGGGCTTGTCTTGTTGAATGGGGAGCATCTTCTGAGTGCCGACGGCTTCGATGGCGTTGGGGTCTGCGAGAGGGAATTGGAGGAACTCTGCTCTGCGGTTCTGAATGACGGTGTCGCGCCATCGGTCCAAAGTCTTCTTGGTCTCTTGTGTAGCGGCTGCTCTGTCCAGCTTATCTTGCTGTCTCTTCGGTAGAGGAGCATCGAGCTTTCCGGGAATGCCTGAGCGCTTGGTCGTCTTTTCGGCGGTGAGAAGTTTGAGAGACTTGCGAAGGGCGGGATCGGTGACGGTAGGCAGGAGATCGGAAATCTTGAGCTTCTGCGAGGCGGACAGACCGTATGCTGAAGGCTCTTGCGACTCGTGGGCATCCTGTGAGCGTCCTCCGATGCGCTTCTCGGGCTTGTCCTTGTTCAGCGAGGCGACCAGATCTTGTAGCCTAGACAACTTGGTAGCGTCATCTTCCTCGTCGTCGTCCTCAGACTCGTCTTCCTCTGAATCTTCCTCCTCTTCCTCATCGTCGGAGTCTTCTTCCGAATCGCCATCTTGGTGCTTCTCCTCTGTTTGCATGAGGTCGTCCTCGTTGTCCTCGTCGAGCATGGTGGCTAGATCGACGCCCTCGTCGCCAAAGTCGCTGGCAGATTCGTCATCGTCGCTGTCGCCGCCTTCGTCGAGATCCATTTCCAAGGTGGGTTGCGCCTTCTTCTTCTTTTTCGACGGGCCGCTGGACGAGCTTCCTCTGAATGTGAAGCCTTCGAAACGCTCCTCGTCGCTCTCTCCAAAGGCGTCGTCACTGTCGAGGTCACTGTCGCTCTCGTCAGCGATGTGACCACCCATACGCCACTCGTTTCCTTCGCTATCGCTGCCCTCATCCGTCTCTTCATCCAGTCCTCCTCTGCTTCCAGTACCAGTCTTCTTGGTCACAGTCTTTTGTTGTAGTCGGCGAGCGTTGCTGGAGTGCTCTTCGTCATTGTCGTCTTCCTCGTCGTCTTGCAGTCTTCTACGCTTCTGGCGAGGCTCTCCGACAGAATCGCCCAAGCGGTGTTGGCGAACTTTGTATGTATCGGGAGCGGAATGCGAGGCGATTGCAAAGGCGTCTAACGTTCGCTTCTGTGACTTTTTACGAGCGTTTGTCGGCTTGTCGATTGATACGCTCGAACGAGCGACACGGGCAGGCATGACGAACTTGAGATGACGGTAAAACTGCGAAGCCGTCGTAAAAGTTCAAAGTTCCAAGTTCCGAGATTATCTTGTCTCCAAAAAATGGACTTTGGTAGCGGCAAAAATCTCCGCCAAGACGACGCTAAGAATTGTTTAAAGTCCGCAGACACGTCCGAGTCGCAAAGTGGTAGAGAGCGCGAGAGAGATCAGTCGCAACAGTCAACCAAGCTCCTGCCTCATAGCGTCGCCATGGTGTTCACTCCTACCGCCCCTCTGGGTCGCGCTCTCCGTCGTCTCGCCCTCACCACCAAGCAAGCCGGCAAGGACTACTACAAGGGTACCGGCTCAGGCTCCATGGGTCGTCACACCAAATATGGTGGCTACCGTATCGACTGGTCAAAGGTCCGCACCTATGTCGTCCCCGATCTCAAAGACTTTGCTGTATGTACACCTTGATCAGATCATTCCTCATCCTCCACAACCATCTGACTCCTCTCTAGCTCAAGCCCTTCGTCGCCGAGAACATCGACAAGCCCGACAAGTGGCATGAGCTCTCCGGCACCGTGACTGGAAAGAAATACCTCGATGCATGGAAGGATCAGGGCGGCGACATCTGATCAAGTCTGCCAACATCCTGTTCTCTTGTTTCACTCGGCCTTATGATACCCATGGACTGCATCTTCCTCGCCTCCCTTCTACAGACCTCTACATTACATTCTCCATTGTACTTTTATTCTATCAAAATTTGTCCCTTTCTTCGGACATCATACACATCGTCTGTGTCTACCTAGCGACTTTGGCGTACATCTCCCAGAGAGGGGTGCCGGCCTGAAAACCACTGTGCATCACTGCAGCTAATATGACTCTCCACTTCTGAAGTGGAGCAGCACAATTTCTACGCTCTCATGACCTACCTCTGGTCCCATAACTTTCACGTCCTGCACGAATCTATCTTGAATATCTCGTCAAGTCATGGTGAACGATAGTTCTAGTATTCAATTGCTAGCTAATTGCTCACCGAAATGTTCTTCGTGATTGTGCCATAAAGAGTGACTTTGTTGTTTCGAATGAATGTCAGATTCGGGAAGCAAGAGAAAAGAAAGGAAAAAGTGCTCAAATGTAGAACGTCTTCTCGCTCAGTCTGTGGTGAACTCCTTGAGTCCACTCGGCTGTCTGTGCATTGTAGGCTGAGCCGTTTGCACTTTGGTTCTCGTTGAGCGTCGAGTAGAGGTACATACGACCTCTCTCGCAAATCAGGTCGGCGTAGTATGCAGGTGGACAGATGGACACCGCCTTGGTAGCTCGGTTGAACATGTAGCAAAGCTTGTGGACCCAGGTCTGGAGGGCGTCTGCGCCGAAGTTCAGTTCATCCTTGATGACGACGTAGTGAGCAGGCCTGGCTGTTCCCTGCAGGCCCTTGTGGGCTTGGAGGAAGAAATCGTAGAGGATATGGCTTGTAACCCCCCTGTCAACAACGGTGCCCGGCATGGGGTTTCCAGTTCTTTGGTCCATGGATTTGTTGTCTGTAGGGTAGAATCTTGTGTGGTGTCGCTTGCCTACAATGACTATGGTGACCTTGGGCCACTTCTTCGAGTCGCCATAGAGCTTCTCGAAAGCCTTTTGGATAGGCGGAAGTTCCAGATCAAGCACAAGGTTATATTGTCCTTCTGAGACACCATCGCGGAAGATGACAATCTTAGAAGGCAGGGTTCTGTTATGCTTGCGCCACAGCTCAAGACGCTCGAGCATCATGTCAGTGAGCCCCTGGACCATCTCTTCCTTACCCCTTTGCGATCTCAAAGATCCAGGGAAAGCAGACAAGTGCTCGTCTACACTGGCAACAACGCCGGCTATAGATGGGGAGCCTTCCGCAGAGCCAGGCGAGGGGTGGGTTACGTCTATGCCAACAAGCATGCATGTGTTCTTGCCATCAAGGGGATACATGTCGCGCTGTGTATGGACCACACCACCACCCTTGATGTTGAATTTGAGAGCCAGGTTGCCCAGATACATATCCTGGCCCTTGGGCTTCTGGAGCTTACTTCCCACAGCGTTAATCGAGAATAAGCCGTGCTTGACATCGCCGTAGTACTTGATGCGACTGTACAGCCACTTGTCGGCTTCCTTGAGAATGATAAAGAGAAGCTCGATTTTGTGGCTCGAAGCTTTAAGGAAAATTTCGTCCAGCTTGGCGTCAATGATGTGCCGGCTATGCTCGTTAGGTCGGGGAATAGTGTTGTGCTGTGTTTGGAGTCGCGGGCCCATACGGACTCCGTACGCGGTCAAGTGGCGCTCGAGGGCCGCCAAAAGTCCATTATCATCGAGCACATCCATGCCTTGCATCTGAGAACCCCGAGGTAGCAGTGCAGCACCCCGGTGGTCGTCATAATTGAGGACTACACAAGCCCAACTTCCGATTGAGCCTGGCTTAGAAAACTTGGTTCCGACCAAGTTCCAGGATCCTTCTCTGGCTTGCAGTTCTTTGTTGCCATAGCATACCTTAGGAGTAGGCAAGATACGACCAGGTACTGTAATGAGCTCCTTAGAAACCTCGAAACCGAACTTGTTCATAACTTGTGCGGGACCGTTGAAACCCATCATCTTCAGGCCATTGCCAGGGGTTCCTGCAATAGACTCTGCATTAAGTCGAGGTGCTCTCGCTGCGAAGTTGATCATGTGTGTCGTCTGCGCTCCTGACAACAATCTCCTAACAGGCTGGCCAGGTATGACTGTCGCCAGTTCGATGGGCAGGTATGAGGGATCGCCTCCCGTACCAACGTTCAGGACGGGCAAGTCTGGGTGTCTAAGGGTGATACCAAGCTCAGTCTTGAAGTAGTCGAACACGGTAACGCTACGAGCTGCGGCTTGGGGGTTCTTGTGATCGGTCCAGGAGAAGGAGACTGTCTTAGCACTGCCATTTCTAGGCCTTGGAGCAAGTCCAACGATCGATTTGGTCTGTGCGACGGTCTGAGGCTTACCTTGAGCATCCATCTTAGGCTTTCCGTTCGTACCCAGCGCTTTGAGGTAGTTTGTACGCACGCGTAGCATACGAATGAAGGCTCCAGCTCTGGCCACATCTTGGGGTCCTGGAGTCTGACCAGGAGCACCGCCAACATATTCTGAAACCAGATCCATAACAGGGATCGCCTTATAGAACGCGGCACTAGCGACATTCAAATTGACCAGGATCCTGTTGGTAGAGGTGCGAACGCTAGCATAGTATCCGCGAAGCGCCTGGAGACCACCACTGATGTCTACTTGCTCTAGCAAGGGTGAGCCAGCACCGGGATAGTACTTGTTCTGCCCCAAGGAATAGACGTTGGCCGTCTCATTAGGTGTCTTTCCCATTATGATGTTCAAAACCTGGGTAACATCGGGCAAGGCTTCAAAATATGCGCCACTCTGAGTGCTTTGCAGAGCTCGAACAAGTTCAGCCAGGCTGAATTCTCCTGTCTGAGACAGTTCGTAGCCCTTAGTACGACGGTTCCTCGCTTCTTGTGCGCGGGCATTGTCGGGTCCCTGGAATGCAGGCAAGCTAGGATCTATGACTTCGATTTTGCCTTGCTTGCGATCAGCAGGACCAAGATTCAGCTTTTTCGTTGTTACGATGATGGTTGAGTAATCAGTCGCAACCTGACAGTCGGCAAAGACTGGGTCCTTGATGAGGTTGGTCACGAGGAGACGCATCTTTGGTTTGCTGAGTTTTTCGCCGCCAGCCGTGCCAACAGCGTAGCGGAAGAGAGGAACCTCCTGATTTCCTGTCTCGAAAGCAGTCTTCAAGTGAAGGTAGTTGGCACGTAGCACAATGGGTATACCCATGGTGCCGTATCCTGGACGTCCGGGGAAGCCATGAATCATCTGGCCGGCGGTAGCCTTGACACGAGTGTCTTCAAGGGATTGGACTGCCTGATCGGGCTGAGGAACATTTCCTTCACTGTATCACTCGTATCAGCAATCGAGAAAGTGATTAGGAGATGGGAAGGTCTGATAGAGAAGAAAATGGTAGAGCCCAGCGTGATACTCACAGGAAGATGCTGTTGCCGGGGGGTCCAGCGTGGAAGGGAACCTGAAAGCTGCCTCCCCGACCGCGAGGAGCTCCACCACCTCGACCACCGCGATCACTCTGGAAGCCACCACGGTCGCCTCGAGAAGAGCCGCCGCCACGATCGCCTCTGAAACCACCACCGCGATCGCCACGGAAGGAGCCGCCACCACGATCTCCCCTGGGTGCAGCACCACCACGGCTATCTCCCCGACCGCCACGGCCACCGAAAGAGTCACCACGGCCAGAAGGACCACCACGACTGCTGTCTCCTCGGCCACCTCGGCCACCTCGGCCACCACGACCGCCTCCACCTCTGTCTCCACGTTGAGGAGCTGACATGTTATTCTGAATGGCTGAGTGAGGGTGTTCTTGATCAAACTGAAAAATGGATGTTGAGACTGTGACGATAGAGAGGGCCAGTACCGTTGATTGATTATGAGCTGTTGTAAATCCGCTTATTGCAGCTGCAATTGCGGGCAAAGAAGTGACCGGAAGACTTCAAGGAAACTTGCAGCAATGTCTGGCTATGTCTAGCTATGCCAGCGCCGGAGCGGAAGATACTTGAATCAATGAATGCTACTGATGTCTGCAATAATGGAAACTTGCATTGGTGTGATGTTGATGATATCGGTGTGATGCAACTCCACCGCCCTTGGGCTTACGCACAAGGCAGCAGTTTCCAAACACGCTTGACGCGAGCCGGACGCGCTGAATGCGGGCCCATCTTGCCCAGCAAACAGATGTGTTTCGCATCAATGTGAATGCGTCAAGTTTTATTGACTCAGCAACTAAACTTGTACTTTGCAGCAGGGCACAAAATCCGACATGTTCGTCGTACGCCGCACGAGTTGCCACGCCGCTATTAGTGAGCTATCTCTCTCCAGCTCGAGACATGCATGCTGTTCGTGTCACACACCGAACCAAGTGACCAGTGTGACACAATCAGATGGGTCTTTGACTGAAACGTACACTGTAGCGTGTTTTACCACTCACCCGACCTGTCAGATGGACAGAGTCCTTTGTGAAGGCCGTCTTGCCTGCGGCAGTGGCGCTGAGACTAGACAGCAGCCAATCCTTCGTGAGCTGTACTGGTGATGCGTACGTCTGTCAGTCAAAGAACTGATGCTATGATCGCATAGATCGCATCAGGTATATTGGTCCGAAGACGAAGAACATTGGTTCAAGCAGACCGAGGCACACAGGGTCTCCAGGTGCCCTTGCTGAATTGGCGAGCGCAATGGCAGCAGCCAATTTAGATGGATAATAAATGCCGTTGGATTTCCTACGGCCGCATTCGAGCCTGTGAATATCCTTCAAAGTGTCGGTGGTTGGGTTGGAAATGCAGAACATTCTCGCAAAGACGTTTTCTCGGAATGCGCCGCCCCCACTTCCTCAACCACTCCCACAAGCTCGTCCTTCGTACACCAACTACAGTGTCAGATTCTGCTGCCGTCGCTGTCAACTCCATCGTCAGCTTCTACTAGCCAACATCCGGCCTTATCGACAGTCTTGTCTAACCTTGGCCAACTGAGACGACCAGCCTTGGCTCCATTGAAAATGCTTCAAGCCCCTGTGGACCGCTACAGGGGATGCTTCGGCATTCCTTGAGCGCGCCAGTCTCGTGCCGTCGTCTAGAATTTGGTCCATGTAAGACTTTACGCTAGAGTGATCATATCTACTATTCAAGCTCATCCTGTGTTTTCGCTTTCCCTAAGCCACTTCAGGATGCAAGGCGCATCACGTTTACATGATCATTATACCCCCCTTCACCAATCCTCTCGAAGATTGTCAGTAAGTCGCAGAAAAGGAAAGAACGCTCTTAATCACAGGACGTCGCCTTCTCACTCCTCGACGCCTATTGCGCTGGCCTCTGATCCACCCCCTGTTAACGGTGGAGCGCCAAGCGGTTACTCTCTTAGATGCTAACACTGAGCATCTGAATATTTGTTATATAACGTTCCTGCTCCTCTGACGGTATTGCTTCCATCAGCCAACACACTCATTATGGGCGGGTCTATACTTCGTTTGATGTTCTTCTTGAACATTGTGATAGTCCATCTTACTACAGCGGCACCCCTTGCCAACGATGACGAGGCCGACTACTATTATGACTGTGGATCCGAGACCGCTCCTTCAATCAGTCGCAATTCTGGGACCTCCTCTGCTAGCAGCTCTGCACCTGTGTTGTCCACAAGGCTACCAGATACTTCATCCTACACATTCTCTGCCACCAGTCGCTTGACTTCGCTTAGCTCATCAGCAATCCAGGTTGCTTCCTCAACTGTCGAACCTCAGACATTAGGTGTACGTAACTGCATTTCATGCTACTTTTCGATATGATATAATGAGAAGACGTACGACGAGAACAGGAAGTCCCAGAGTGGCGTACGGGACTTGAGGAAAGTGCATCGCGAAAGAGTTCTCAGCTCATCTGATCGCTCTTGCCTGTGAGGTTTCCTTTGCCGCCCTAAGTCGTCTTTTCAATATCAAAGAAAGGCATTGTGTTCCTGATGCAATCATGTTGCATGAGACTCTGTCTAGTTTTTACTAACATTTATCGCAGACCATCATATCATCGTTAGAAACATCTGGCAAGAGCTCGGTTCAGCCTTTTCCTACATCAGTGGCATCTGCTTCCACTACACTATCCCTCATCAACACTGCTAGCACCCGATTGCCACAGCCTAATGCTGTAGCAACGGCTTCGACAATGTCAGTCAACAATGTCTTCGTGGCGTTCGCAAGCGGCCCACCTCCGTCGCAGGTATCACAGAGAAGTGACCATCCTGTCGCTCGATCTGTGATCGCACCGCAAACCAAGAAACTACAGACCAATAAATTCTACGCGAACTTCTTCTTGGGCTCACGGTCTTCCTCTACCTTTACTCATCCCTACTCTGTCGCTTGGGCGAAAGGCTCTGGTATACTGAAGAGTTACGGCCTGGCAATCAGTCATATCGAGAGATCGCAGCTAGCATTCGGTCCCGGCAATCCTGCACGATATTTTATCAATCCTATCGGTATTCAATCGATTACACTCTCGGCTTCGGAGCTGGGTTCGACAACGCAGCTTACAATGGACTCCCTGGATGCGTTCTCTGCAAACGTCAATCTTCTGCCTCGAGCTGGTGCTGCTCCAGCCATCACCTTCCCTCTAGTTCAGGGCATGGGCTTCATCACGGGTGTCTACAGTAAAAGTACGCCACGTGTCGAGAGCAGTATCTCATTTATCACCATCACCTACATCGGTCGTGTCGCTTCCGGCTCTACTTACAAGTATCGGGCCAAGCTTGCCGATAGCACGACATGGAACATCTACGTCACCACATCTCAAGTCGAATACCCTGTCAACGCCTTCACTCTGAGCAATGTACGTGTGCTTCAAGGAGCGGCTGGATTCCAAGGCTTCATCCAGGTTGCAAAAGTGCCAAACGCGGATGCAGAGAAAGTCTACGACGAAGCAGCAGGCGCATACCCGATTGCTGCAAAGATCAGTGGCGCTGTCTCAGGCACTGCTGGAACTTATAATCTGGCATGGACTAAACAAGGTGTCGCCAATCGAACTTTACTTATGTTTGCACTCCCACATCATGTGCAAAGTCTTACCTATGGAGCTGTGACCGGTGTCAAGCTTCAAACTACGACTAAGGGTATGGCTACTGGCATAATTGGCAACTCCTGGACTTTGGTTGAACCCAAACTCCCTAATGACATGGGTTTTGCACCTTGGTCGCCATCACGCGGAAGTGTCAACAAGGTCTCGGCCGCTGCAGCCCGTTTGATCAACAAAGCTGGAGAAAGTGAGTTGAGTCAGGACATGAAAAAGCAGTCGAATCTCAACTCCATGTATTATTCTGGTAAAGCACTCGCAAAATTCGCTGCTATCGCCTATGCTGTGCATGACATCGGAAACAACGCAACTCTCGCGGTCAGTGGACTGCAGAAGTTGAAGCTTGCTTTTGACACATTCGTCCGTAACAAGCAGGTCCTCCCTCTTGTATACGAATCTTCCTGGGGAGGTGCGGTGTCTTCCGGCACATACCAGACAGGAGATTCTGGTCTTGACTTTGGCAACACTTACTACAATGATCATCACTTTCATTATGGATATTTCGTCTATGCCGCAGCTGTAATCGGTTATCTGGACCCCAGCTGGCTGACTCAAGGTACGAACAAAGCATGGGTCAATATGTTGGTCCGCGACTACTCAAACTCTGTCACCAATGATGCTTACTTCCCCTTCTCTCGTTCCTTCGATTGGTACCATGGTCACAGTTGGGCCAAAGGCTTATTCGAAAGTGGTGATGGTAAAGATGAAGAGAGTTCTTCCGAGGACACTTTGTCGACCTATGCAATCAAGATGTGGGGCCGCACGATCGGTGACAAAGCATTAGAGGCAAGAGGAAATCTCATGCTGGCCGTTCAAGCAAGATCTATGCTGAACTATTTCCTGTACACCTCTGACAACACAGTTCAACCTGCCAACTTCATTGCCAACAAAGTTAGCGGAGTGGTAAGTTGAGAGAATATGCTCCATACGATGCTTCTTACTAATGTTTCCGATAGCTCTTCGACAACAAGATCGACTATACGGTAAGTAATAGAACACACGATGTTGAGATTTTTGTTCTGACTCAACCTCTGTCTAGACATATTTCGGCAGTAACCCAGAGTTTATCCATGGCATCCACATGATACCCGCTGGGTTCCCCTTCAGCGCATACATACGCACGCAGAAATTTGTTACCGAAGAATGGAATGCCTTCTTCTCGAACGGTCGTGCCAATGTAGATGGAGGCTGGAGAGGCATTCTGTATGGCAATCTAGCCACTATTCAACCTGCAGCCAGTTATGCCTTTTTCTCTGATCCCAAGTTCAATCCAGCCTACCTTGATGGTGGTGCTAGTTTGACTTGGTACCTGACTTATTCGGCAGCTTTGGGCGGGTCTCCAGCTGCAGCGAAGCGGTCAGAGGTGGAAGATGTGGTTTTGGAAGGAGAGCCAGAGATTGAGGAAGAAAGAGCACACAGGGCTGTTCATAGACGCAGAAGTCATGGACATGCCAAGCTCTGAGGATGATGAATGAGTTTACATTCTTCCCAAGCCGCGGGACGGTTGTATTGGGGATGCTGGACATTCTTTTGACATTCTTTTGGAGTACTGAGGCGAACATACATACCCAGCACAGCACATAACCACCAACATATTCAATCATTCCACACGCATCGAATTATGTGTGATGTCAAGATATTTCATTCGATGCCTCTTCATTTCCGGTCACTAGTCATTGTACCGATGCCATGACTTGTTCCATCCAAGGGTATACATAGCTATTGGCCTCGGGGTATCCTAGAAGTGAGAAAAGGGTCAGCAAACTTCTCTTACATTACAGCCCTCTTCGTCTTCTCTACAGTATCAGACTTACCCATATGCAGGCGATGGCTAATGAATCGCATCTCCTTGGGCGAGCCAAACTCGCTCAACAGCATCGAATCTTCGATTGGCATCAAACCATCAATTGTGCCGTTGATGAGCAATAGTCGGCAACTCTTCATATTCACAATACCAGTTTTGACGAGTGACCAGGTGTCTTGAGCATTATCCATGAAGTCGTCGTGGTCTTTGTAGCCAAATTTTTCGGTCAGAGCAGGAAGAGCGTTCCACGGGTATTCTTTGCATTGTGCCTTTTCGAGCCATTCGCGGGAGAAGAAGTGGTGAGTTCCTGCACCTTGGCCAATAGCGCCAGCTAGTCTGTCTGAGTGGGTATGTGCTGCTCGGACCTATATTGACGTTAGTGTCCAAATGGTCCCAGCGTAGATATCCTTGATTACTCACAGCATTGTAGCCTCCCGCACTTAATCCCCAGGTGATGATACGCTTCATGTCGAATGTGCCTTCCTTCGCCATCCAGTCCAGGATGCTCGTCCACAATCTCTCGGCAGCTTCGGGATCTTTCCTGTCGGCTGGACAATCTGCTGTACCAGGAATATCAACAATGACAGATGCCCAACCACGACCCAAAAATTCATCGCTACGAGTTGTGTTGTCCGGTCTGTGTCCATCTAGTCCGCACATGAGTAGGACAGCAGGACAAGGCTTCGATTCGGAGGCATCCTTTGGCAGACGGACGTAAAGTGGCACGGGATTGTCGTCTGCTGATGTTGCTGCTGTATGAGGGATGGTGACATCTTTGATTGGACAGTCCCATAAGTTTGCAGCCTTGATATATGCTTTCTTTTGTGCCTCATAGATATTTGTCTTGTATTCCGAGTTAATGTATGGGAATCGAGCAATGCGATACACTGTGCAAGCCCGGAGGTAGAGAGCAGAGGCAGCATCTTTATCCGAAGAAACCAATTCGTCTGCCTCTCCCACGAGACGCTCTGCGGTGGGGACAAACTCTCGAGTGTACTCATCCGTATAGCCTGAGTTGATGTTTTTCGATATTAGAGCTTTGAAGATGGGCTCGAAGTCCTCAAATTTGCCATCATGGAAGGGGTAAAGGGACTTCGAGCAAGGAAATGCCCATTTCTTCTCCCACAATGCTTGGACGCCTTCCAGATGAGGATATACCTGGTCGAACTTGTCACCAAGGATCCATTTGTGTTCTGTGGGTGTGGCCAACGACATGGGAGCGGGCTGTACAATATGACTGGACGGATCTCGAATAAGGACAGAACAGTGCGTCAAGGTGCTTCTTAAATAGCAGAAGGGCCAAGCTACAAATGTTACAGCATCAGAAAGTCCGTCCGGCTTTGAGGGGAGAGCCGTAGAGCCATGTCAATGCGGAGCTGCAGTGCCACGGCAGTGCATATAGGCAAGAGGTTGAAACTGCGGGAGTTGAGCTAGAATAAACAGCATGTACTATAGAACAACGACTCGACGTGCAACTGTTCGGAGAATTTCACATGCAGGGGAATCGAGGTTGTCCGCAAATGTGCTAAGGTTTCGCACTTGCCTTCTGCCACTGAGGCATCATCACGAGCAAGCACCGCTTTGCGGTTTCTGATCTTGCAGCCGCTCACAGGTTATGCTTCATGAGTCAATCGCTCTCTTTGAGTCAGTGTTGTCGTTTCGTGTACACTGCACTGCACATTACACAGCTTGAGGCCTCTGATCAAGATTGATGGTAACGAAGGTTTGAAGCAGACGTTCCAAACGACAACGAAGCTCCGGCCCCGCCGTAAACAATCGTCACCGTTTGCCAGTTTGGAGGCACGAGCTCAACCTCGTGACAAACATTGGCAGCAGTCTTGGTATTGGCGTTCTTGGTCTTAGTGGGCATTGGCATTAGATCAGCGCCTCCTCTAGGCCATCGACTCATGTAGAAACATCCATCACCCTTCTGACAGCACCAACTCCGACTCCCTGTATACTTCACTCCCTGTCACGAAGGCGATTCACATAATAACCTTCTGAGGTCGATCGGGGCAAACACAACCGAGACCCACATCTTTATCTTCCGAGATAGGCTAGGTGAAAGCGGCTACCGAGTCAAGCGCATTCGGCGATAGAGACGGAAGGGTAGAGTGACCATGTCGCTATCAGCAGCAATCGACCAAGAGGCCAAGGACCTGCGACGGGACTTTGAGCAAAACAACTCTCGCAAGAAGTCGTCCTTGCCCCCTCTCCCTGCTCCAGCCACGACAACACCCGTCACACCAACAAGTCCTGTCTTGCCTTACAGAAGTATGGCTCCCACTCCGGCCACTGCGCGCCATAAGCCGGCATTCCCTGGCGACCTTGGTCCTGGTGATCCACGGCGCAGCTCGAGACTGCCAGGCGATCTTGGTCCAGGAGACCCTAGGCGCAGCAGCAACAGACCTGCTATGTCGGACGGCACTCGCTCAGCAGCACGCAGTCTGAGTCCCACTCGCGGAGTCAGCACCCTGAATCCAGGCGAAAAGTCTCCTGCTCAGCGCAGATTGTCAGACGCCGGCTCTATACGTCCCCAGCTCGGAGACGGAGGTGTGCGCTTGCAAAAGGATTACGACAACGAGTCTGCCAGCAGTGACGAGGATAGCAGTGATGAACAAGATACAGACCACGAGTCGTCGCGAGGCAGAGGTCGCGCCAGAGTCGGTAACGCTGTTGGTGTCACTCGCGACGGTGATGACAGCGACGACGAACCCTCTCCTCCGTTGAACGCTGATCCCACTATTACTGTCACTCCGCCTTCTTCGGATCAGCCTTCCTACTCTTCTCGCAAGCCCGACGTCCATCCCAGCACCGCCTTCGATTTTGCCGCGTCCTCAACTTCCACACCCGTACATTCAGACGACGAAGAACATCTCTCCGATCTGCGTCGCGCCCAACGCCTCTCGCTCAATATTTCTCCTATCCACAGTACTCCCTCGGCCCATCGTGTTATCCGCCAGATTATCCGCGGCGACTATCTCTACTTCCAGCGTCAAGCTGAAGAAGGCCGTAGGAGGCAAAGAGTCTACCTCGTCGCTACAGATCTCTCGTCCGAGGCCGAGTATGCCCTTGAGTGGACAATTGGCACTGTATTGCGCGATGGTGACACTCTGCTGGCTGTATATGCCGTTGACGAAGAATCTGGTACCGGTGGAGTATCTGAAGGTGTTGAGATCGGACACGGTGCAGATGTCGTAAAGGACACAGCGACTATCGTTCGCTCCATGACTGCTGAGAGTATGACTCCTGCAACACTGCCGCGAGATAGCAGCACCGCTAGAATGGCTTTCCACGAGAGAAAAGACATGTCCAAGGCTGAGCAGGACCGCTTCCGTGCCGCTGAAGACATCAGTCAGCGTTGTGTTAAGCTGCTTCGCAAGACTAGACTTCAGGTCCGTGTTGTGGTTGAGGTCTTCCATTGCAAGAGTCCTAGACACATGATCACAGAAGTGGTGAGTACCAATTGACCCTCGGGCTTTTAGCCTTGTGCTGACCTGTATAGATCGACTTCCTGTCCCCAACGCTTACTATTCTTGGATCACGAGGTCGCTCCCAGTTGAAAGGCGTCTTACTAGGCTCGTTCAGTAACTACCTCGTGACAAAATCCAGTGTGCCGGTCATGGTTGCCAGAAAACGGTTCGTCGAACGACATGTCAACAAGTATGCCCAGGAGCCCCAGACTGATACCCTTGCCAGACTAAGAAAACACTCCAAACAACGCCTACACAAGGACGGACTGCCAGTTGCTCAAGCCGGCGACGGAAGAATGCGTTATATCAGAATGTCCAACGTCCTGGAGGCACCCGGTACAAAGCCCAGAGCTAGAGGCCTGGCTGGAGCCAAGATTGATTGATCGATCGAATGGTGTACTCTTGCTGGTCAATCTTTTGTTTCACGGTCCGCCGCTTGTGAGCTTGGAACTTTTGAGGTGCACATAAAAAATTATCGACACGAAGCGTTACGCGACCACGACAAAACCATTAAGCATTAATCAAACACTACACTCTTTTAAAGGCAAACATCTGTCTACATTTGTCGAGACCTTGTAATGTACTGTGGGTGCCATGCGTCTCATTTCGAGCAACAAATTGCGTGAAACTCTTGGTAGATGGCATGCAATCTTCCAAGAAGGCTAGTTGTGGATACTCAAGTATACCTCTACAAGCTCCACTCTTTTAGAGCTTGGGGAAGAACATGGGTGTGTTCTGCTTCATGGTTAGCGCTTTCAATTGTGTCTTATGGGCAAATCAGACGTGCCTTCTTCCACTCTTGGTAGTCCTTGCGGTCACCGTACTTCTTGTCGTACTTCTTCTCGCTAAGAGGAATACCCGAAACCTGTTCAGGATGTGAGCACACGAGTCAGACCATCAGATAGTACTAAAAAGACATACCTTGAACAACAAGAAAGTGACAAAGGCAGGGCTGACACCAGCCATAGCCAAAGCACCCAATCTAGCACCAAGACTGCCACTGAAACCCATACCAGACTGACCAACATTGGTCATGAGCACACCAGCAGCAACGGTAGCGATTCCAGTCCACAGAGTGCTCTCGCCAAAGTAGTTGGGGTGTCTGCTCTTACCCCAAAGACCTCTGGTCAAGAAATCTTCATTGTGCTTCTTGTTCTTCTTTTCCTCCATCCATTGGCTCTTTTGCTTGTCGGCGGTGGCTTCGAAGCCGAGACCACCGACGTAGAGGAGAACGCCGATGACATCGGTGAGGGTGAGGAAGGGGAGGGCGGAAAGAGTAGTAGCGGGGACGGAGTTAAGGGCGAGGACGGGCAGGAGGCAGAGAGACACCCAGGTGGCTTGGGCGAAGAAGGCACCGAGGAACTTGGGAGGAGATTTTCTGATCTCGTCAAAGCGAGAGTCACGGCCGTCTTCTGAGGTGATACGGGAGAAGAGGAAGGTACCGACTATGGAGCTTGTCAGTCGAGTTGTAATGCAATTGCAAAGAAAATACGCACGTCTGGTGGCCCAGATGGCTACAGCAGCACTGAGAACAACCTGTCTCCAGTTCCACGCTTGGACACCACCCTTGCTGACCAGACTAGCCAACAAGCTAGGGAACTGAGGGAGTGCTGCAGTGCCGGCAGAGACGGTCTCGGCCGCAGCTCTAGCTCTCAGTGTAGGCAGGTAGAGAGAAAGTGCCGTGCATGACAGGTAGGTCAATGATCCACTAAGATCGTAGAACCTCTCCGTCTGGAAGAAGATACTGGGAACTGCAACACCGGCTTGGACAGCATATGCAAGTCCAATGCTGGGGACCAGAGTACGCAAGAATGGTGACCTGAAGTTGGTCAAGGCCAGCAGGGAGTTTAATAAAGTCATCGTGTGTCAGTAGTGGCTAAAGAAGCCTGTGTACGAGAAGATAGGGAGGGAAGCTCCTACTCAGCAGACAATAGTCCACTAGCTATATGTTGGTTCCAAAATCCTTCTGCCTTCGATGCCGATAGGAATGATCTCAGTAGCGGAATCGAGCTGGAAGCTCCGGAGGGTATATGACGACATTGGTCCGAGTGTCCCTCTCGGGGTTTGTTGATCTCCCGAGTCCGAGTCGACTCACTCGTACCGCCATGCTCGGACTCACAAAGCAGATACAATAATTCTTTGGTGATCAGACTTGACAGCAGCGGCAGAGTCGACGAGTTGCTTGACTGTCGCCGGAATAATATATGGTGCGTCCTGGCACGATGTAGAATCCTGATCTAAAGTCCTTCCGTGGTCGTGTCAGATGCTGTGCTGATGACCCTGGTTCAACTTCTTGACACCTTCAATGGCCACTTATCAACTCGCTATGACTGGTTGAATTATGAAATAGTGTTCAAAGCTCGTGAGTTATGTCCATGATAGGTTTCAATATTCCTGATCCTTCGTGTTCGGGGCAGGTCGCGTGCGAAGGATTGAGCGTTAATTTGAGACTTGTGTCTATGCGTGAGCAGTCGACCCACCATGAATTCTACCGCACCAAGACACGTCGGACCAAGCAGAAGCCATCGAAATCGTAGACAAGTGGGAATATGCTATCGGACTCACGATGTACGGATCAGTATTTCGTAGAACTAGGCGGTATAAACTTGATGTCGCTGTTTAGAGACTGTATAGAAAGGTGAGCTTTTCATCTCCTCGCCGTGACCTATCGATCTCAGCCCAATCGCGCAAGCTATCTAGTCTGCAAGCCTTTCTGGTGAATGCCCAAAAGGGCTTCTCTTCGACCACAGCACCATCTCCGAACATGGCTTCTCGTCTGATTTCCTCATCATCCCAGTTGGCTACAATGCGTGTTCGCCGGTGGTTCTCGGCGACAATTAGAGCCCGGAAAGTGAGGTAACCAACAAAGGCGGCCAGGACACAGGCCAGAGTGATGTAGAATGGGATGATGTAGCCATCATCAGCAAACCTGGGCGCGAAGAGCATGCTCGATATAACGCCAGCGAAATTGCCCCATCCATTGATTCCAAGTACAATGGCACGTTTGCCAGGCTCGGGTACGTTGTTACTCAGCCATGTGACCGTGAGAGGTGAGGCACAGAATGAGCCAGATAAGAGGACCATCAAGGCCAGATAGCGAAGTTTGTAGGCACTCGTAGGCAGCGCGACTGTGGCTGCCAGACCAGCAAGCAAGATGGCGAGTCCGTATAAGATTGGTACCATACGATCACGCTTCCTGTCAGACCACCAGGTAAAGACCCATAGGACTATGGCACCAGCTAGGAATGGAGGCACCACAAGGAGATTGATGGCAGCCGGGCCCAAGTCATCACGTCCAGCAATACCCTTGATGACAAGCGGTAAGAAGATGGCAAAGGCGGTGGCTGGAATCGCGGATAGAATGTTGCAGATCAGAAGATACCAGACCTTCCAGTCGGCCACGGCAGAGAAGATGTCCTCGCGCGATACTCCGCTGTCCGCCGTCACAGATAAGGTCGAGGAGTGGCTCGGTCGACGCTCCGAAGGATGTGTGACTTCCGCTCCAGGAAGTAAGTAATCGGCCTCCTCATGTTCCAAGGACATAGATGGACGCGATTCTACGTGATCAGAGGATCTTCGCTCCGGCATTTCTGATCGCTGCTTTGGACCAGTCCTTGGAGCAGCCGCAGCGATTTGATCACTTCTGATCCTCTCTTCTGCAACGAAGCGCTCATCGGCAGTCAAGAACCAAGCTGCGTTGGCGCTGTGTGGTAGCCAGAAGAATCCGATGAATGCCACCATGATAGTCAGAGTACCTTCCACAAGGAAGAGGACCTCCCAACTTCTCCATTTTGCTCTGGTCATGTGTGGAGTGGGATCCTCATGAGGAAAGTAGCTGAAGACTGCCCAAGAGAGGAGTCCTCCAAAACACCCGGCTAGCGCAGCCTGACCGTAAAAGAAAGCTAACCGCTTACCAAATTCATATCGTGTGTACCAAAGACTCAGATCTGACAACAACGACATGTTAGTCAGCGGAAAACCCCACAATAGCTTGTGGTGAAACTTACAGCTAACAACAGTTGGGTAAAACCCTGACTCCAGTATCGCGATCAATATTCTGAGAGTCACTAGTTGGGCCTGTGACTGTACCGCGATGTGTAGAGCTGTGCAAACTCCCCACAAGCTCATGGTTGCTGGGACCCATCGTGCCATACCATACTTGCGACCGAAATATGCACCGATCGGCTGGCAGGATACAAAGACTGCGAAGAACCACGCCACAGACACGTTCAGTGCGGACTTGGGTAGTCCCAAGTCTTCAGTGAAATGACCTGATTCAGCATTGCCGACATTGGATTTGTCCAGAGAATTCAGTAAGAATAGCAGACATAAAAAGGGGAGTAAGAGGAGATCGAGTTTGAGCACGACGCGTCTGCTCAGACGTGCGAACTCCTCGTCGTTGAGATGACGAGGAAGGCCTCTATCCATGGGCGAAGAAGAAGACACAAGTTCGATGTCGCTTTCAGCGTTCATGGTCGACAGGCCGTCATCGGTCAAAGACCAGCCCTGAGCTAGCAGCGCGTGGAGAGTGGTTCTTCGCGAGTCAAGAAACCCACACCGACAAGTCAAACCCCACGTCACCGCGCACGGCCCGGACGGCTGTTGTCATGGTGAAAGTGGTGAGAGTGCACAAGCGAAAACAAATTGGCGGAATCCCGGTGCGCTGTTCAGGTTTGAGTGGGCAGCTCTTTGATGAGGCACAGCTCAATCACTCGTACTAGAAGGTAAGGGAAACATGTTGGATGACATTGTGATCGGGACAAAAGACAGCAAGCGTTAAGTTGTAAACAAAGTGCTTGGAAGGTCCAGAGACAACAAGACTACGTTCCCACCATCACATCGCTACAATAACAACCTGCTTGTTTTTGACAGCACTACAGACTATCACGGTAAAGCAAAGACCGCATGCGCTCCTAATCTCAGACCGGGAAGTGCGGCCCGCACTCTGACAGTGTGCTTGTTAGCGACATACTGCGCCTGTCGTGTTGATCTAGCGGCGGTAACCTGCGTGCCCATCCTGCCTGCTGCAGCGGGTGAGTCTGACCAAGTCTGGTGGGCGCATTCGACTTGAGGGTCAGTATTTTTTCGTCGTCGAACAACACCGTTGCCGTCCAGTCTAGAGCTGTATCCAAGGGCTGCAAGGTAGTTTGCTCCCCCGCGGGTGCAACAGTGGATAAGATAATCGACTGGTCGCAAACCGTTCCAACGGCCGCAGAACGACTGAATCATGGCCGACGCACCTCCTCCTCCTCCACCACCTCATGGAGCAAATCCAAAGTCCACTTCCGCCGGCCTGCCTGAAGGCAACTACGACATTTTCATCATCCCGCCGCACAGCTCAGGCTCTGGCTTTCTCTACCTGCCTTCGCTGCAACCCCAACGCAACTCGTTCATCGCCGGCTTCGCCTCTGCTGTCTTTTGTTACCTGGTATGGATAACAGCCGTGCCGGTCTTGGGACAATGGCTGTCCATCATCGCTGCTAGCGGCAGTCTTGGTATATTTTTGCTGGTTGCTACGGTCGGTGCTACATCGTGGGCTTTTGGCAAGACACATGGCGAAGGTAAGGGTCAAGGCCCACCGCCGTCGCCGTCTGGTGCTGGAGATCAAGGGAACGCAAGCGCAGAAGCAGGAAGCACACACAACAGAACCCACAGCGGTCCTTATAACACCTCGCATTCCTCGGGCTCTGCTCACGCACATTCCGCACCACCCCCACGCACACCGAGACAGGACTACTCGACTCCTCCCCCCAGACAGGCTCCTCCACAGCCACAACCAGACTATTTCCCACAACCACCACCTGAGTTCAATCCACCACCGCCTGCATCCCAACCGCCACCAGAGTACACCGCGCCCCCTCCTCCACCTCGACAGGCACCAAAGCCTTCTCCTCCACCTCAACCCAAATCGGCTCCTCAGCAGCAACCCAAAGCAGCCCCTCCACCTTCACCCAAGCCTGCGCCATCATCGGCCACATCACCCGAGTCGTCGACAAGATCAGCATCCGATGCCGCAGCCAGCTGGGAGAAGGCCCGAGAAGAGACTCGCAAGAGAGAGGAGGCTAGAAAAAAGGCAGATGAGTTGAGAAAACTACGCGAGGAAGCGCTGCGGAAGAAGGAGGAAGCCGATCGACAGGCAAGAGCAGCTGCTGAAAGGATCAAATGGGAGCAAGCCAGGGCTCGCGAGAAGGAAGCCCGTGAGCGAGAGTCAAGAGAGCGCGAGTCCAAGGAGAAGGAGGTCAAGGACAGAGACGCTAGGGAGAAAGAGAAGCGCGAGCGCGAAGCCCGAGAGCGACTCGCAAGGGACAAGAAAGAAAAAGCTGCCTTCGCTGCGGAAGCTGCAAAGTCACCACCCAAACCCACCACCCCTGTCGCCAACAAGTATGAGCGCCCGAGTGCGCGAAGCTATGCTAGCACTGAGACAACAAGTGCTTATGACGCCCGCACTGTCACGTCCGGTTCGACGGCCTCATCCTACGCAGAGACCTTGTCTTCGTATGCACCGTCGACCTCTACAGCCCGCACTAGCCCGACACCCGAGTACCGTGGGCCATACAATACCTCTGATCCTGACAAGATAGTCATCAAGGCCGTGTATTTGTACGACTCTGCAATGCCGAAGAAGCCAATCAGCCAACTTGTCAGCGGCGAAGCCAATGTCACCGATGGCCTCATCTTGAAAGTCAACACGGAAGGTCTTTTCATCGACGACGACATACGCCGTGTCAAACAACGCGAATGGGACGTCAAAGCTTGGTCTCTCAAGGCTATTGAGAGAGGCAAACTGAGTCCGCACTATATGCTGCGTGCCACCATCAGAGACCAAGGCAAACAGTACATCTTTGTTCTCCCATCAGATCAGGAGTGGAAGGTCGATGTTGGACTGGAGCGCTTGCGCAAAGGTAATCTGGTCCGCAGCATGGGTATGAACACCATCAAGGCGCCTGAAATGAAAGGTTTGCTCAGCGACCTTGGATGGGTCTGATCATGAGTGTGCTGGGACGGAAATGCAACCCATCTGTTTATCATGGAGAGTTTTGTGACCATTGACCCTTGTTGGCTTTGCGTATTACACGGCATCCTGCATCAGCGACCGGCGTTTTTGTTACTTTGAGCTTACGATTCTTGTTGTCACCCTTTTTGCTTGTCTACGACATTATTGTTGTTACGATGGAACGATCATTGGAATTGCGGATACCACCTTGCGCTTTTGCTCCTATACGGAGCGTTACATACCATGTTAATAGGAAGAAGAATAGTTTGTTTGCCATGGGGACTTCTTGTGCCTCTGATTGCGTTCTCGGTTGTGAATGATTGGTTCCGAGTCCATTTGGTTATTTTCAGCAACATTCCTCGGAAACGACCTCCACCTGGTATAACATAGTCATGCTACCCTTGGTGACAGCATGTATGGCCATCATCCCGGGATGTGACTTCCAATGCAAGCAACCTCTACTGCACTCGTCGCGAGATTGAGTACACCGCTTCTTGCTGTAGGTGTGGCGACAAGAGCTTATTGGAAGTCCGACTCTATGTGCAGAATGTTCTGAGGTCATACCAGCCGAAAGCAGCAGCCCGGCTACCGCTTGCGTAATTGTCAGTCGAGTCGTGAGCTCTTGAATTTTAGACGACCACGAGTATAAGAGGCCTCGAGATGACTGACCAGATTCATCACGACAAGACTGCAACCGCCACGCAACTCTATGCTACCTTGATACATCCAACCTCAATTGATACCACAGTATCTCAAAAAAAACCCTTACCTACTTAGCCACCACACAAGATGGCATCAGCAATCGCCATGCTGGCAGCAATGCTTTATGCCTCTGCAGCATTTGCACATCCTCAATCAGTCACAGACAAGAGCCTCGCTCCTGGAAACCTACCAGTTACATGGTATCAAGCACCTCTGGCATTCAGTGAATCGCTCTCGACCGATACGACTTGCGGCTGGGCTGTTTCCACTGGACAGCTCAACACTACCCGCTGCTACGTCTTGCGCACATATGCACTCGGACTGCAGCAAGATGCGCAACACGAGTGTAATCTGAAGGTGTGGAATACGGTCTCTGATTGTTCGGGCGATGGAGGTTGGACCATGCATGCCATACCGAGTGGCAGAAGCATGAGCTGTGTTGAGACTGGTGTTCTGGATGGAGGCAACTTTCAGCACAAGAGCGCCATGTTGACTTGCGTCTGAGCTGATTCGTATGCCAGAGCAGTTGGAGTATGGGATGCAGGACATCATGAGAAGGCCGTTAAGGTGAATGAGCAACCCAAGTTCGTTATTAATTCTCAATTCATACTCTTGAAGCATCAGACATGTACTCGAGTAGTCTTGTACTTGCTGCTCATATCGTGAGGTGTTGATACCAAGATCGTCTATTGCAGCTCAAACCTTTATGCAGTTCGCGTCTCCTTATCGACGAGCCTCATGTCAGCTTGTCAAGCGCCTGTCAAAATCTTAATCTCCGGTACATCGGGGTATACATGACTTGCCAATTGGTACGTGACTCTCTGGCCTTGAGCTGAAAGCAATGCACGTGCTGTCTTGTCTTACTTACCATGTCAAAGTTAACACGCGAAAGGCACTCGAGTCTCAATCTGCGGCTTCTCCGGGACTAGGATCTCTCGAAGTTCGGGACCCCTTGTGCATAATTCGGACCGCGTGAGGGCATGATCAAGCCACATAAAGGGCCGTCCCCAGTGGTCGCATGTTCCAATGAGGAGAAGGACCGATAGCGTTGCTAATAAGCCCGAAGCTGCCAACAGTGTTCATTGGTTCGCTCTCCGCATACCGTGTTTTTAGTGGAGGTCTGCGCGGGGCAAGGACGGGGCGTCATCATCTATCTCCACAGTTGATCTCTGTGCGACTGTTGCCGGACTGGGGATGAGGTAGTATGATCCCGAACGCAGTAGATGTGTGATGGTAGTAGTGTGTAGAGTTCTTATTCCAACGAAAGAATCTGCAACAGTCTACGCCGCTCGGGTAAATGACATCCGTTGAGAGGCACGATGTGTTCCATAAAAGAGGTCGAAGGAGCTGTGGGATGATTGAGAGGCGGGAAAAGGCCCAGAATCGCAATTTGCAACCACGGTTACTAGCCGAGCGCCTCTGCACCAACTTTTGGCTAAAAACGTCACTGGGGATTGGAACAGTTGAACAATTCTCCCAGCCTGAGGCTTCAGTCGTTGAGACGATTGTATCCTTCACAGCCCTCGTAGCCACAATTGCAAGGAAATTCTCGCGAGAAGCAGTCGACTCTCATCTCCAGTCGCAGCCCACAAAGCAATTGTCCCAGAAGAAGGTCTCGCTACTCGGCTGGATCAACCACAGAAACGTCATTGCGGTCTTGTTTCCCCACAGCTCGCCGATCCCGTTCGACGGACACGAGCTAGCTGCTAAACCGACAGTTCATCAGCAGCTCTCTTCCTTCACCTCCTCCCACTTTCTTCCGTCACCGTCATTGCTCGCCGCTTTTTGTCACCTCGCACACAATTCACAATGGCAACCACAAAGCGCGACGTGAGGAACCACGTCCTCTTCGAGGTCGCTACTGAAGTCGCCAATCGAGGTTCGTTGCAACTCACAATGCTTTGTTCGTACCCTGTCGGTCGCAGGCTAATGTCTTGCCAGTTGGTGGTATCTACTCGGTCCTCAAGTCAAAAGCCCAAGTCACGACAGCAGAGTATGGCTCGGCCTACACTCTGCTCGGTCCTCTTAACCGCAACTCGGTAAGCTACCAATTGCTCTGAAATCCCTCGAGTCCCCGGTGAACTGACTCGGACGCAGGCGGCCGTCGAGGTTGAAGAGCTCGAGCCCAAAGATCCTGCCATGGTCGCGACTATCAAGTCCATGAACGAGCGTGGTATCAAGACGCTCTACGGAAGATGGTTGATTGATGGCGCTCCCAGAGTCCTCCTCTTCGACACTGGCACTGGCTACTACAAGCTCGATGAGTGGAAGGGCGACCTTTGGGCGACTGCTGGCATCCCTTCGCCTGCAGATGACCACGAGACCAACGAGGCCATTGTTTTTGGTTACCTTGTTGCATGGTTCCTTGGAGAGGTGAGTCAATGATCCGGCGTGGTGCTGCTCTGGGTGTACCTGCTAATATGTCAACAGTACGTCTACCACGAAAAGGAGCGCGCCGTTGTCGCACAATTCCACGAGTGGCTGGCAGGTGTTGCTCTTCCTCTGTGCAAGAAGCGCAGAATTGACGTGACCACCATTTTCACCACCCACGCTACCCTCCTCGGTCGTTATCTCTGCGCCGGCTCTGTCGACTTCTACAACAACCTGCAGTACTTTGACTGCGACGCCGAGGCTGGAAAGAGAGGCATTTACCACCGTTACTGCATCGAACGCGGCGCTGCTCATGCCGCCGATGTCTTCACAACAGTTTCGCACATCACTGCCTACGAGAGTGAGCACTTGCTCAAGCGCAAGCCTGACGGTGTTTTGCCCAATGGTCTGAACGTCAAGAAGTTCTCGGCCACTCATGAGTTCCAAAACTTGCACCAAGTAAACAAGGAGCGAATCAACGATTTCGTTCGCGGCCACTTCTACGGCCACAATGACTTCGATCCTGACAAGACCCTCTACTTCTTCACCGCAGGTCGTTACGAATACCGCAATAAAGGTGTCGACATGTTCATCGAGTCGTTGGCTCGTCTCAACCACCGTCTCAAGGCAGCTGGCTCAGACATGACCGTTGTGGCTTTCATTATCATGCCCGCACAAACCACCTCGCTCGCGGTTGAGGCTCTCAAGGGCCAGGCAGTTCTCAAGTCTTTGCACGATACTGTTAGCTCCATTGAGAAGAACATTGGAAAGAAACTCTTTGAGCGTTCTCTCGCATGGCATGAGGGCCAGAACCCACCTGATGAGACGGGTCTGTTGACCGCAGAAGACAAGGTTTTGCTCCGCCGTCGTCTCTTTGCCATGAAACGTTCCAACCTGCCCCCCATTGTTACTCACAACATGGTTAATGACCAGGAAGATCCCATTCTCAACCAGATCCGTCGTTGTCAATTGTTCAACCACCCCACCGATCGTGTCAAGGTCGTTTTCCACCCCGAATTCTTGAGCTCCGGCAACCCAGTCCTTCCCATGGATTACGACGATTTCGTCCGCGGAACCCACTTGGGTGTCTTCTCATCCTACTACGAGCCTTGGGGCTACACTCCTGCCGAATGTACCGTCATGGGTGTTCCTTCCATCACCACCAACCTTTCTGGTTTCGGATGTTACATGGAAGAGTTGATTGAGAACGCTCAGGACTATGGTATCTACATTGTGGACAGACGCATGAAAGGTGTCGATGACAGTGTGAACCAACTCACCGAGTACATGTTCGACTTCATTGGAAAGAGCCGCAGACAACGCATCAACCAGCGTAACCGTACCGAGAGATTGAGCGATCTTCTTGACTGGAAGCGCATGGGTATGGAATACGTCAAGGCCAGACAGTTGGCTCTCAGAAGAGCATACCCTACTTCATTCGAAGGTGATGAGGAGCCTGGATTCTTCGATGGCACCGAGGTCAAGATCTCTCGTCCTCTGTCTGCACCTGGATCGCCCAGAGACCGTTCGGGCATGATGACTCCTGGCGATTTCGCATCTCTGCAAGAAGGTAGAGAGGGCTTGAGCACAGAGGACTACATTGCCTGGAAGCTCCCGTAAGTCAACGAAAACCCCGAGTCCCATATGAGTATGCTAACAATTTGGACAGTGAAGAGGAAGACGTCGACGAATACCCATTCCCGCTTACCCTGCGAAGCAAGACTTCATCGACAAATGGCACAGGCACCACAACGCCTACCAACGGTACCGCAAGCAACATGACTAGCAACACTAGCGGCGCAGCTTTTTGAGGAGATGTCCACAGCCAGGAAAGAGAAAGAAGAACGATGAAACGATCAAAATGCAGCAGGAGGTCAATTCTATCGATTGGCACAGCATACTCCGACGGCTGCACTTTTTGTACACTACCATGTAATTTGCGGTTGCTATTCCAGAGATAAACTATATTTCTATCAACGACGTCCAGAAAGCACCAGGATGTGATTGTGTGACTGTACGATGGCTAGAAGAGTAGTGGCACGTTGACGACGATTTGTGTTTTGGACGATGGCGGACGTTGATTGAAGCCGAGTCGATCAAGAATGATGGCGAGAAGAACAAAACACGGCACCAAAAGCGGGAGGAACGGGGGGCGGAGTGGACGAGCAAGAAGTTAGATGTGGAGCCAAGGCGCTGGCTGTGGGGCTGAGAAGCGTCGCTCGACTTGCGATTGCGATTGCAATGTCCAGTGTCTCCTTCTCTAAACAAAGTATTATTTCTTATGCCGCCCATCGACGACCGGTCTACCATCTCGAGCCACTTTCTTCCCGATCGCCTTTGAGAAATCCGCGCTGTTCGCTTGACTCTATTCCGCATCCTCCACGACTCGAACGACCTCGAATTTTGACGATGGCGAGAGCGCCCCAAGACCAACTCTGAGAAGCTTCGCCGGCGACATCTCTCCCACTACACTCGCCACAAGGACTACACTCGACCAGCGCCTTCGCGCGAGGACTCTCTCGGCGCTTGAATTTGGACCGACTAAATTCCCATAACCCCTCCGCCCTCTCTCGACCGTCATACTGCTCCACACCAACACCTCGGCAACATGGAACGACTACAGGGATCATGGGCCTGGGTCAAAAACCGCCTGCCCAATCCCTTCAAGCGCGGCAAACCGCATTTCAACTTCATCACTACTCACTGTAAGGGGAACCGACCTCAACATTTTCACACTGGACAAAAATGAGCTGAGACGCACCAAATACAGACACTTACATGCTTGGCATGACCATACTGGGCTCCATCATGATCTACCCTGCCGGTGTCATGTCGTACATCGACGCTCTCTTCTTTGCCGCCGGTGCAGCGACTCAGAGTGGCCTGAACACGTCAGTAGTCATGTAACAGTCCTGCTAAGCCCCTATTAACATGCTGTAGCATCGACGTCAACAAACTGCACACATATCAGCAGGTAATGAATCCGTGCACCCCTGCCTGTCTCACTGTATGCTGACCAACTCGTCCAGGTTGTGCTCTACTTCATGGCTTGTCTCGCAAATCCCATCTTCATCAACACCTGCGTCGTCTTCATCCGACTGTACTGGTTTGAGCAACGTTTCGATCATATAGTCAGGGAGGCCCGCAATCAACGTCGCACGCGAACAAGGTCGCGCACCGTTAGCGAATCACGAGAGGACCCAGATCTAGGACGCGTCGAGATGGGAGTCAATGGCCGTAAAATTACCGTCCTGCATCATACCACGAAACCCAACGGCATGAGTGCTAGGAGCGCCAATGCTAAGGTCAACGGCATGAATGAAAAGGAACGCATTGAACACCTGGCAGGCAGCTCAGCAGAAACTTACGGCAGCACTTCTGAAAGTGCAGAGTCTAGTGAAAAAAGAGAGTCGGATTCTGGCGACGGAGATGAGGAAGATGCCATCAACAAAGACGAGGGAGTTGCGCCAGACGTCATAGTGACCCAGGAGGAGGATAAGAACGACACCGCCGAAAAATCGTCAGATGAGGAGCCTGCTGAACAGACTTGGCTTGGCCGTAATCCATCGCTGAAACGAGAGATCACATTCGCGGATCAGGTCAAACCTTCTGCACACAGACGACAAGCTTCCAACCTCGAGTCAGTGCCTGAACGACCAAAGCCGGCGCGCTTGGAAACAGAGCATCACATTGCTTTCCTGGAGAGACAGAGAAATGTCAAGGATCAACAGACTCTGCGCATTCCCAATCCTAGAGAATTCGATCGTGGCGACCAGCCTCATGAAGTTGAATCTGACGAGGAAATCGAAGGTCTGAATCGCCAGATGACAAGAAACACTCTGCCATCTTCACCACCATTACGCGCGCGGTCGTTTTCTCAAGCCCAGACGGCCGAGCTGAATGGTGATGATCATCCAGTCAGACGAGGTATCATTATAGATGAGCCCGAACGCCCACAACGCGACCGACAACCGTCCACGTCTTCGAGTGAAGGGCGTTCACACCGTTTTAACATACTTGCACCCCTTCGCAACTTCCGAAGCAGACAGCGTGGAGAAAGTACCACATTTGGTCGTTCCCTGAGCGGATTTACCAACAGAACTTTCAGTTTTACAAAAAGTCAAGACAGAGACATGTCAGATCCCATGCCATATCTGAGTTGGCAACCGACTATTGGTCGTAACTCGCAATTCGTGGATCTTAGTGAGGCGCAGCGAGAGGAATTGGGAGGTATTGAATACAGAGCTCTCAAGACGCTGGCGCTGGTGCTTGTGTGTTACTTCATCGGCTTCCATCTTCTTGGTGTCATCGTTTTCGTTCCCTGGATTCTCGAGAGCAACAAGTACGGTAACGTTGTCACCTCCATTGGTCAGAGCAGGACGTGGTGGGGTATTTTTACACCTGCCTCCATGTTCAATGATCTTGGGTTTACCCTCACCCCGGACAGCATGATCTCATTTCAGACAGCCGTCATGCCTTTGTTATTCGGCTCATTTCTAATCATCATCGGCAACACTGGCTTCCCATGCATGCTTCGATTCGTCATCTGGCTTGCTTCAAAGCTTGTTCCTCGCGGTAGCGGAATCTGGGAAGAGTTGCGTTTCCTGCTGGATCACCCGCGCCGTTGTTTCACCCTGCTGTTCCCGTCTAAGGCCAATTGGTGGCTATTCGGAGTTCTCGTTGGCCTGAACGCTGTCGATCTGATCTTCTTCATTATCCTAGATCTCAATGACGAGACGGTCACTTCTCTATCTCCAGGATTCCGGGTACTGAACGGGTGGTTCCAGGCTGCTTCTACTCGAACAGCTGGATTTGCTTCCGTCAACCTGGCAGATCTTCATCCAGCTATTCAGGTCTCCTATCTGATTATGATGTATATCTCTGTCTTTCCGGTGGCCATCTCAGTTCGCAGGACCAACGTTTACGAAGAGAAGTCCCTCGGAATATTTGCAGGAGAAGAAGAGGACGATGAGGAGAATCGTAGCTACGTCGGACAGCATTTGCGTCGACAACTGAGTTTCGATTTGTGGTATATTTTCTTGGGCTTCTTCATCATCACTATCGTTGAAGGTCATCGTCTGGAAGATACCAACGCCTACGCTTTCACCATGTTCTCTGTCCTTTTCGAGATCGTGTCCGCGTACGGTACCGTCGGTCTGTCTCTCGGGTATCCAACCATCAATGCCTCTTTCAGCGCCGAATTTGCAACCCTGAGCAAACTGATCATCATTGCTATGATGATTCGTGGACGTCATCGTGGATTGCCGTATGCGCTAGATCGTGCTATCTTGCTACCCTCCGAGAATCTTAATAAGAACGACGCGGATAGCGCTACGGTCGCGCGCGATAGCTCTGACGAAGCTCGTCCCTATTCGCGATCTTCGACCAATAGAGACAGCAACGTACCTCCTGAGGCGAGCGGCGCCTCTATGGATTTCAGTCCCACTGGGCTGAGGCATATGCGTCGGGGTAGTCAGGTCAGTACTAGATCTGCTGCGACCAGAAGCCAGCCCCCCACAAGACGCATGTCCAAGATTCTGATGAGTGGTTTGAGTGCTGGTCCTACAATGGGTAGGAAGTATGATTGATAGATGTAAATTTTGTACAGTTTTGTGAGAGATCGATTTAGCCTGGCGTTGGTTTTTGGATGCTTATAGCTCAATTTGTTATGGCTCAGGATAGAAAGTGTATTTCACATTCCAACATGCACATTTTCCGTCTATAAAAGTTCGTTAAACAGAAAGTATCCAAGCTTTCCACGCCTGCTCTACGAGGTTCTGGCCCAGCGACTACGTCATATTGGTCAAGCAGCTAAACCAATAACGGCAGTCGTTTTACACTCAGAACTGTGTAATCTGTGCAAGGAACCAACAGCTAAAAATGTTGACCTGAACACTAACAGGCCATTGTCTTCTTGGTCGTGCGCCACCTCACATCTTGGACTGACCTAAAGACTGTATTGTCACCCAAATCGAGGTACTGGCAGAATCCAGATCCGGGTCAGGATGTGCCTCGCCATATCATCACCGGGCGACGGCGTCGTGGTGCACAAACACGAAGCGGCTGAGAGAATCACCAGAATAATACCAAACAGCAATGGATCCAAATCAACGCCGGAACGATCTCTCACCTGGAGAGGATCAGTTGAAGAACTCCTCGGCTTTCGAGTGGAAGAAATTCCGACATCTGAAAGCTGGTGGCTGACAAAGATCCACCCGGACGACCTCTTTGATGTGGTCAACAGTCTTTCCAGGATATTGGCTCCAGCTCCCGACAGGCCTTATGCTTCAGAAGCCAGGATATGGGCGCACAATTATCGATTTCGACATGCCAATGGACAATTCTTGTTGGTTTCTGAGCGGTCAATCGTAGACAGAGACGAAGGTGGCAATGTGCTTAGCATGACGAGCACAATTTTTGATGCCGAGAAGCGAAGAGTTGAAAGAAAAGCACACAGAGAATTCTTGGATTCAAGAAATCAATTCGCCCTGATTTCGAACAATACGCCTTCTGGTATCTGGATGATGGAGTACGTACACCCAGTGCAAGGCTGGTGAATTCTCGCTTACGATGATGAATTACAGTCCCCATGGATATACGACATACATGAACAAAGCTGCAGAGTCTATTACGGGATTCAGTGAGTCTTCAAAGTCGTCGATATAGCTGGACAATGCTAAAGTTGCCGTCGCAGAATTTGAAGAGATTGCAGGCTGGACATTCCACGCGGCAATACATAGCTGCAAACCGGATGGCAGCCCCTACCCGTACGTCCCAGATCTGTCATGACGTGATTGCGGATCTTGTCAAGTTGACAGCCAGAGCAGAGTGGCCGAGTGTCCCATATTTCGACACCAGCAGAGTGGTACCGAGGCCACAAACGAGTCAGAGGTCTTTGTCCACAAAAACGGGCGCTTTTATGGTCAGTCACATTCACATGATTCCGGAGGTATACTGACCAGTTCAGACATCGAATACAGTGTATCTGCGATAGGAGACTATGCGAGCGGTGGCGCGGTCATCGAATTTCGAGATGTGACCTCGCAGAAGAGACTAGAGAAAGAACGACTAGCTGCTATCGTCCAGAACGAGCAACAATCTGGTATGTGTCCTCTAAGCAGTTCTCCTTTCGCAAAATATGGCCATCCTCAGTTTTCTAGGTGCTCTCCCGCAATTCTGGAGACGTAGGATTGCGCAGTCGCTTGTTGACCAGAATAGCCATGTAGGAAAGCACACGCCTTCCTTAAGGCTTCCTGCCTCGTATTGTGCGAGTCAACAGTTTGGCGCTTGGTCGGACATACTGAGGAGATGGAGGAAATTGTCCGAGACATGATTGCTGACTTGTGGAAAGTGCTTATCAAGGCGTCGGAAAATCATAAAGCCAACATGGCTTCCTTCGTTTCATTCGTATGCCACGAGCTGAGAAATCCGCTCCAAGGTATCATAAGCTCTAATGTAAGAACGATCAGAATTGGACCAGGCATCTCTTTGACTGATCGATTCAGGAATTCCTATCTGAGACTCTGGAGAAATTGGACGCTCTGATGAACAGCATCAATCATAATGGCCAAGAGACAGATGCTGCAGCGAAGACGAATGGTTACACAAACGAGAGTAGAAGTCAATCGACAACTCAGCCAAGAGCACTGGATGATCCAACCATCGAAGCCATGCGTGGTCTCATAACATATGCTCGAGAGCTTGTCGTAAGCGCCATTATTCTCATCTTTCTTAACGAGGTTCGAAGCTCACTCTATCTAGTCGAATGTTGCCACGTGCGCAAGTCACCAGGCTCTTATCACAAATAACGTCTTGGATCTGAGTAGGCTCGATGCTGGAAAGGTAGAGCCGTCGTACGATATCGTTGATCTACGTGCTCTGTCGAGCGAGGCTGTGGAGATGATGGCATCGAGAGCACGCGTGAAATCGATCAATCTGCGACTTGCTAATAATGATGCTTCGCCTTTGTATCTGAAGGCTGATTCGACCTTGATGTCTCAAGTTATGCTGAACTTGATTGGCAATGCTGTCAAGGTTAGTGCTTGTAGGCCATATCCTGAGGTAGTGACCCGGCTGACCAATCCACCAGTTCACTCCCGAGAATGGTAACATCGTGATCGACATACACTGCGAGCCTGCAGACGACAAAGGCAACATTGTCTTCCATGGCTCAGTAACAGACGACGGCGTAGGTATGACCAAAGAAGAGCAACAGAGACTTTTCAAGCGATTTTCACAAGCCAACAAACGAGTTGCCCAAACATACAAAGGCTCTGGCCTAGGTCTCAGTATCAGCAAAGAAATCGTCAAGGTGTTAGGTGGCGATATGACTGTCAAGAGTACCCCAGGAGCTGGCAGTACTTTTGGCTTCTTCACCATGCATGACTATCCAACCAAGGATGAACTGACTGCATTCTTGAGATCGGGCAACGGTGTCACAGCCGTCGCTACAGATCTAGAGAAGTTCGAAATCAGTACTTCAGAGACGATAGCACCACCTCCCAGGTTTAAGAAAATATGTGTGGCGGAAGACAATCCGTAAGTGACCCCTAACCAGTCTTGACGGGCAATGACACTGACCCTGACACAGGATCAACTTGCGTCATTTGGCCAAAAATTTGGAGGCTCTGGGCTACGAAATACCGGTTCTATGCACCAATGGCAAGGAAGCGCTAGACAGCTTCACCCAGCCAGACTCGGATATTGACGCAGTCATCATCGTAAGTAGCCTTGATCACCTACACCTCGAAGCGACATCTTCTGACACTTCCCCAGGACATGAGCATGCCCATCATGGACGGCCTAGAAGCAACGCGACTAATGCGCGAACACGAGAAAACCCAGAACCCTGCTCGCAAACGCATACCAATCATCGCTCTATCAGGAAATGCAATGAAAGAGCAAGTCCAAGAAGCCATGACGGCAGGGACAAGTGATTACATGATCAAGCCTTGCAAAAGAGCTCAGCTGAAGATGATGCTTGAGCATTGGGAACGTATCTCGCATGATGGATCTGTTCATACGCCGTTGGTTGTCAAGTGAAGAAACTCTTGTCTTGGTCGGCTTGACAAAACGACGTTTGCATCAGACAACCGGTGGCCAGCATCGATAACCAGCTATCCATCTACATAGGTTTATGACCGTGGTCCTCATGGACCTAAGTCACAAACGGCTACGCCATTCCGGACCATTCCGGCGATTCTAGACGCATGCTACCTCTGAGGCAGCATAGCTAATGCCTCCGTCCTCATGCTTGGGCGGACAAGAGACGATCGCCGACCGGTTGCCAGGGGTTCAACAGGGCTCAAAGAACGATATGGGAATTAGCGGGTCAAACTAGAGCGCCAGAGCAAAGACAAGGACCGCTTTGCCTTGACAGGCAGTCAATCTCGAGTTCATTTTAATCCGTAGACAGAATAGCGGACAGTGCATCAACTAATTGAATCCGCCGGAGATGCAGATCTACAGCCCCACCTGCCCCCTCTCGTAAATGCTTGAACGCTCCTTCCGTGATGAAGCAAAAAGTACATTCTGTAATGCAAAACGCCGTGGCAATGTCCCAGTAACCAAAAAGCCAGATGCAGAAATTGAAAAGCAGAATGACAACCCCAGGTTGTCTCGATATTTAAACTCCTTAGCCTCTTACTTCAATGGGGTATCTTATTGTTTTGAACGTCATGGAGAGCCACATAAAAATGTTCAGGCCAATGTCATGGGCTCCAGGAAGATGCTGTTGCCCAGAGCAAGCAGGTCACGCTTACTGGTAGTGTTGGAGAATTGCAAATTGCCGACGTCGCACCAGTTGTTGACATCCTGCATATCGTTAGAAGGTTGCCCTGATGCGGTATCAAATTGTGACCTACAATGCAACTCAGGTACTTGCACCAGGCGCAGCCAGTGCGCCAGACATAGAAGTTCTTGAGCAGAACAATGAAGCCAATCAAAACACCCAGTAGGGCGAGAGCACGCACGATCCACCATACCCACCACATAGCGCGGCGACCTTTGAAAAAGCCAGCCGGTTGCTTGATGAAGACACGCAAGCCTTGACTCGCTGCGTCTTGAGTAGCGGCGGGAGCACCGACACTGCTGTACGGAGGTTCATCTTCACCAGTACGACGGCGTAAGGCGTTAGGCGAACGGAGGAGACAGATTCCGAGGACTAGGCCCATGAGGAAACCACCAATGTGAGAGAAATTGTCCAGTCCAGGCAACAAACCGAGGACGAAGGAAACGATGACATCTACGAGGATGAACAGCAGGTCTTTGATGGGGCTTGGGCGTTCGCGCCATGTGTATAGTAGTTCAAGCAGGGTGAGAGCCATAATGCCGAAAAGACTGCCAGAACAGCCGGTAGAGGCGATACCTGTGGCAGCGAAGTTGCCACCAAGAACAAAGCCGAAGATACCAGCACTAAAGTATACAAGGGTAAATCGAATACTGCCAATGGAGCGCTCCATGTCACGGCCCAAGGTCATCTGCAGCAGCATATTGAAGCCAATGTGGATGATACCAGCATGCAAGAAAATGGGGATGATGAAGCGATACCACTGGTTGGGGTAGGGGTGGTCTGTGATGGAGCCCCCAGCATGTGGTTCAGGTACACCACCAAAGCCACATAACTGAGAAAGGGTACATTTGGCGTCGTCTCCAGTGTTTGAGGTAGCCCAAGGACAAGGCCATGTAATGTTGCCAGACGCGCGATCTTGTACGTTGTGCATGTTGTGCATGCATGGTTGATAGCGAGCACCCATGTTGATGAGAACGTAGGGCGAAGGGCCGATCATTGGGTTGAATTGTGGATGAATCTCAATGGGCGATTTGGTCAGGACGGCTGTCGAAGTTAGCATGTCGCAAGGACAATGCAGAGGGGGGTTGTGGCATACCATTCTTCGCAATCTCGACGATGAAGACGATGATTTGAACTAGGGTCAGAAAGTAGCAGACCCAGGTAACGCGGCCTGTGAAGTAGCGACGCCAGCCTTTGACGACGGGGGCATTTGGCGGGCGGGAACGAGTGGTCGACTTTGCGTCTCTTACGAAGGGATCTTTGTACTCTGGGGTGATGACAGGAGCGGTGCTAGAGTGGGACGAGTGCTTCGCGTGGTAGCTGTGCATGGGCACGGCGTCGTCGTCTTGGAAGGGATCACGGCCATCGCTGGGTGTGGGTTGATGACTGAGATTGTTGTAGGGAGACGAGTACGACGGGTACGACGGATATTGGTTGTCGTCAAAGGGAGAAGTATGCGTGGTATAGCTGTTGTAGCCCGGGTGGTTGTTGTTGGTCGTACTCGTGTTGTAGTAAGAGGCCATCTGGGCGGGCGTCTAGAGAGGCAGGCACGAGTGGCAGGCAGTAGGCAGTAGGCAGTGGGCAGTGGGCAGTGAGCAGTCGGCAAACGGCAAATGGCAATGGGCAGAGGGCAGATGGCGGTCGAGAGGGAACGACAGTTGCACCACCAGGGTGTTTGTCTCTGTTTCTTCAGTCGTTGGACAAGAGTCTGCGGCCCTGCTCACTGACGACTACAAGGTGCTCAGACTGTTAGACGCGCAACATGTTGAGGCTGACAAAGTTCCCGCGTCATCCCTGCCAAGTCCTGCCACTGCCGCCGTGTAGCACTTTCCACTGCGCATTCGAAGAGGCAGAGAAGCTGGCCGCAGTGGCCGGGAGACAGCTTGCTCTCGCTCCTTCTCTCTTGCTCCCGGAAGACTAGGCGCCGCTCTCGTACCCGTACCGACGCTTTGGGAGACTATGTCGGGTTAGCTTATGAAGTGGTCATGGTCATGGTCATGGCCCTGGGCAGACGTCGCGACCTCGCAGGCGCATTTGATCGGAAGCGGCTGCTCTGTTCGAGTGCAGCCCTCCTGCCTGCATATAGACTTCCACTCTGCTGGGTCGTCCGCTCGCCCTATATACTATTCTTCCTCTCCGCTCCACTTCGCTCTTTCCTCCAGTCACCTCCTGCTCTCCCATCCGCTCCTTCTCATCTGCCCTCTCTTGCCGTCTCCCAACCTCCATCCGCCGGCCCGAAACATAGCGTCCAAGGGCCATGAGCACTTCTGTTTCGACGACCTGCTCGTGCTAATCCATCCGTCGCCATCATGTCTCGTTCGCCGATCAATATGGCAGCTTCCTTTTCTGCCCACCAGTCTGCTCGCTCGCATCCGTCTCCTCCGCCGCTCGACCGTCGCCCTCTCCCAAATGACATGCGCCGCAACGATCATTCCGCTCCACCCACCCCACACTACGACCAGCCCACCGCTGCCCAACAGAGCGAGGCCTTCCAACAGGCCCTAAATACCATCGAGGTCCAGGGCTCCTCCGATGACGATACCTACTCGGATTCTGGTTATGAAGAGAGTATCAATTCGGCCTTTCTCTCCACTTCTACATCCATGACCTCCTCTGTGCGCCATTGGGATTTTGAAAATGGCCGTCGCTACCACGCCTACCGTCAAGGTCACTACCTCCTACCAAACGACGATGCAGAACAAGAACGCGAGGACATCAAGCACGCCACAGTCTTGACAGTCTGTGGTGGCAAGCTGCATTTTGCTCCCATTCCTGAAAATGCCCCAGACACGCGCATCCTAGACTTGGGCACCGGAACTGGCATCTGGTGCGTCGAGATGGGCGACCAATATCCCTCCGCTCAAATTACCGGCGTAGATCTGAGTCCCATCCAGCCAGACTGGGTACCTCCGAACGTAAGCTTCATGGTCGATGACATTGCGAGCGAATGGCTCTATCCCGAGAACCACTTTGACATGGTCCACGCCCGTCATATGGGTGTTGCCATCAAGGATTGGGACCACGTCCTTGCTTCAACCTACACACATCTGAAGCCGGGTGCATGGCTCGAGTTCTGCGAGTTTGACTACTGGCCGAGTTGTGACGATGGTACCATGACTGCAGATAACCTCCACTACAAATGGCACGTCCTTGTCACTGAGGGCATGAAGAAGGCCGGCGTTGATCTGCATGCAGCTCTGCTCTTGAAAGATAGAGTAACACGCGCTGGCTTCCACAACGTCACTGAGAGGATAATGAAGGTTCCTCTAGGCCACTGGCCTAAAAATCCTCTGCTTAAGAAGGTCGGCAGCTACATGCATGCTGTCCTTTACGATGGTCTCCAAGGTGCGCCTCGACTTCTGACAGATACCATTGCCTCAATACTAACACATTTCCCACAGGTATCTGCATGGGTCCCCTCACACGAGGACTCGGCTGGTCGCGGGATCAGGTCGAGCTCTATCTACCTGGAGTACGAAGAGATTTAAACGACATGAGCGTGCACACTTATTACAGCTTGCACGTAATAACTGCTCAGAAGCCATATTATTGATGGAGACGGCTGCTAGATGTACCGTCGCCCGTTCACTACTTTCTTGCCTTCCTTTGCCTTTGATACAGCGGTCCAAGACGACTTGGTCGAATTACACTTTGATGAGATAGCATTATACCCCCAATACATTTTTCTGCTTTGTCACACTCGATGCACTGCTCGTTTCTCGCCTTGTCCGCACGCATATGCGGGGGTGCTCGTTCGTTTTCTGCAAGAATGATTGGTTGCATGCGACGACCGATCCTAGGTATTTAATCCATCCCGTCCAAACCGCTGCATCAACGCACGCGACGAGCCCTCGGGATCCGGAACTTCCAGCGGGTGTCGCATCTGCCTGCACGCAGAAATGTCTCGGCAGTCACTTCTGCTTCCAAGCCTCTCTCACATCATGGCGGCGATGAGACGTTTCCATACCCTGATCTACTTATGTGACTTGCTCTTCCTCCGTATCAAATTGTGGAAGCCGGATGTTCTCATCTTCCACTTCAAGTTGTTGGGCCTACAGAAAGACCGAGCGTTTTCTCGAATGACCTGAGCACCGAGCGTTACCCTTGACTGGACAAGTTTTTCTTCTTCAATTTTCATTGGGTTCTCTGGTTTCATTCGAACCATACCATCGGTAACATGACCTCCTTGTCACGACGAATATCGGCCCCGCTCGCTTCTGCTGCCGATCCCGCAAATGCCGGGAGAGCAGGATTGTGAGCTCTCCTTCTCAACCAGAACATGATGGTGACTGTACAGGTTGGTGTCCGCAAATGTCAAGATACGGTATGGTATGCAAGGGAGGTGAAGAGCTGAAGCTTCATGAGCTGAGCTTCAACGGCGACATCGCAGGATCAAGCCCGCCCTTTGCGCTATCCACTCGTCTTCTGGCAGGCTAGTCCTAGCCCCCATGGCTAGTCCCGTACATCTCACCACTGCCTTGGTAATAGCCCTGTGTTGACGTTCGCTTAGAGAGCTTCTGGCCGAAGCATATCAAGAAACAGGGCAGGGTTGCCGAGCGCACACTATCGATTGGATACTATTTTTCTTCCTCAACACCCATGGTGTCGAGCTACGTGCTTGTGGGAACTCGGCACAGTATCACATCATCCCTCAAGGAAGCATTCTTGGGATATAGAAACAAGCTTCTTGACGGAAAAGAGCACTCTTCCAAGGACTGTGACTTCCTATTCCGCGCATTTCTTCGTGCTCATGTCTGAGACTACCGACCGAACAGACAACTAATGTCATTTCAGTACCGCTTCCTGCACATTTATCTCGATTGTGTCGACTGTACTGCAATGTCACAGATTCTAGCCGGACATGCCCCCTCGTACGACCATGGCGAAACATCGTTCAAGTGTGGTACGGGATTCGTTTCTATTGCCTCGATTGGCTCATAGTAGAACACGCATACGGAGTCCGAGCAAAGCTTTCTCGTGGGTTCGCTGTAATTCATCGTGATGTTCTGCATATCTGAACGCAAATTCACATGAAGGTTAGCGTATCTACAGACGATGATGAGGCATAAGCTACAGACCATCTCAAAGATGACACTGTCACACCAAGACAACTCCGCTTGCTGTTTAGCTTTAATTGGATCATTCTCCCTTAATTCAGCTATGGCATCGTTCGGCCTACTTTCAACGGGTCGGCCTTATCCTTTCTGATTATAATACATCGTAGGTTGTGCTCGGCCCATCCATCCTTCGCTCTCTCAAGATGATCCCATGCATGCTAAGGTGGCGCAGATATACTGGCGGAATCTACTCGCGGAATAGGTCGGCACGAGTGGGCAAGTTGACTCTGTAGGTGTAGTCCTTGACGCCATTTCCCTCGGAGGCCCATGGGCTGTCCTTGTCGTTGATCTTCTTCGCAACGCTGGGACCCTCTTCGCCAGCTTCGGACCTGTAGTTGTAGATGAGCTGTTCTGGCTCTTTCTCAGCATCAAGAAGACCGCCGGTGACTTCATAGAGCAATGCGTGATAGTCACCACTACGAGCGACATGGCACTTTGCTCCTGAGAAACTTGCCTCGAAGTGAGCAATAAGAGCACTGAGCTTTTCGAAGTTCTTGCCACACATTGGGCACTTGTTTCTCTGTGCAGCGTGAGACATGCGCATATGGTCGCCAACCTTCTGGGGTGTAGTGAAGCGTCTTGTGCAGCTCTCAAAGGGGCATTGAAAAGGTGGGATAGCGTCATCGTTGAAGTCCGGACGGTAGAAGAACTCTGGCTTGAAGTCCGTATGAGTGGGGTCCCAGAAGTGCGAAACGAAAATGTTGTCCTTGTCATCCTCTTCTTTGTTGCGCCTGTGGGCGGCGTTGATACCGTCCCAGTTGAGGATGGGCTTCTTCTTGGTCTGTCCGAAGAGTTTCTGGGAGAGGCCTGGAACACCCCATGCTTTACCTGGTGTGGCAGGACCGGGTGTAGCGGGACCGGGTGTAGCAGGAGGTGTATCGTCTTCATCGTCGCTTTCTGTGGTTGCATTGTTGCTTGCAGGACTGATGTCATCTTCATAGTGACCCTCGGAGTGATTGAAGGATGATCCTACTTCGCTGGTCGATCTGACGGTGAAGCTCCTCATGGATCGACTCAGTTCATCAACGTTGATGTCGAGGCTGGGCAGGTGCGGCCATTCATCTTCGAATGGGCTTCGTTCTGTTGCGCACGAAGTTGGACTGAGGGTTTGTTGGCCAATATCTTGACTGAAGTCGCTCTGGCTGAGCAGGTCAATAGTGACGCCGCCGCTCATGCCGTCGATGTCTTTGGGAAGTGGTTGATCGGGCGTGGAGGGCATAGTCATCATGTTCTTCTTGAAGCCTTCGGGGTCGTCCAAGATCAACTTGATCATACGCTTGTGCTCACGGTCCTGTCTCAGTGCCATCGGCTGGATGAACGCGCAGAAGCCTCCTTCGATGTGGCCAACCAGCTGGCTGGCGCGGCCAAATATCGAGCCACATCCATCACGGCGATCGTTTCCATCCTCATCGCGAATGATGGAGTAGCCCTTACAGACGATGTGGTGTTCGGCTTGATGCATCTGTTGCGCGCGGTTGTCAGTGCTCGTGTACTAGAAGGCTTTGCCAGAATCACTCATCATCTCAAACATACCCGTCTGCGATGGATCTCTCTTCCGGAAAGACTATCGAAGTCCACTCCACAAAATTCGCAGACGATGTGGTTGAGCTTTTTCGGCTTCTCGACACTGCGCTCACCGACGATCCATGGAAGCATAGTCTCAACCTTGTGTGTCACAAGATCTTCCCAGCTTTTGCCGTGGAAGTCGCACTTTGTGAAGCCCCTCGCTATCCTTTCACGGCCAGGATCCTTGCCGCAGTAGAAAGGGTGAATCTGTGCTTCCTTGAGATGGGCTGTCATTTCGCTTGCTGTGCTAAAGAGATGGAAGCAGTCGTCGTAGCTGCACTTGATTGCCATGAGTGGGGTCAGTGGGACTGCCATGATGCCGAGTGAGATTAGCGGGTATGCTGGTGGTGTTGGTCGATGGAAGCGAAGGGGTTTGTGTTGCGTGGAGATAGATCCAGGGAGCTAGATGCAAAAGATGATTGTCGAGGCGCGAGTGACGTCGCGGATGTGAGAATGGTGTTGTGCGAAGGAAAGTTAGTCGATCGGAGGGAAGGAGCTTCAAGAGCGAGGAAGTACACTCAGGAAAGCTTAGTCGAGTGTTAGGCAGCATTTACCGTTTAAGCTGTGAGTGAAATTTGACCACACGATGAGAGAGCGCTCGAAGGTAGGTATAATGATCACGAGGAGGGGCAAGCATAAGTGATACTAGATGTCGTCGCACTTTTCACTTTCAGCTGCTAGCAAGAGCTTGGTGACGAACACAACAATCGCTGGAGTGCGCGAAGTGCTTTGGACGGAAGACGAGATCTGAAGACACGGACGGGGAAGTCGGTTGTTCCTGAGTTAGTCTCCAGGTCTGTCATGAATATTGATATTTAGTCAGTTTTGTGCCGACTTCCATCTTCCAGCCCTGGTCATCGAGTCGTCACTTCCTCGATTGGGGCAGCTCATGGATATTTGCGACAAAGATGTTCAGCTCAACATGGCCGACCATCATCTGCGACTCAGGCGCCAAAACAACCAAGACATCCCCTGCGTTTTGCAGCTTTCGCGGTAGAGGCGCTACCGACCGAGCTCTTTGCCGAGTTTCTTCTACATCCGCCATCATCTGCCATCTCTTGCTCCCTTCTCTTCTGCGACATTTGCTGACGGATCCTTTCTTGTCTCTCTCGAACACTCAAAGGGCGATCTCCCCTTAGATTGTAGCTGCTGCCGCTGAGCAGGTTACCACTGGGGCTTCTGACTTGTTGATTGTCCAGTTGTGTCGGATCAATAAGCTCTGAGTAGCGGCGAATGAGAGGCCTCGCGGGGCTTGGACGAGTTATGCCAAACTCGGGTTCGTCGCCAGCGAAAGATGTGACCACGACTTCATTGACTCCGTTATGGTTTTGGTGGGGATGGAAGGTAGAGAGATCTTGTAGGCCAGGGCTGCGAGGGAAGTTTGTCTGCACAGGACTATGAATGTCCAAGTTGAGAGGCGTGGTCGAGTTGGTCGAGTTGCGAACAGCAGCCTTCGAGGTATAGCTGCCCATATTGACTGCTAGAGTAATCAGCTTACTTGTCTTCGAGGTACCCACTTCTGATGATACCTTGGGTCTGTTACTGGTATGTTTGCGAACACGATGGAAGTGTAAGTTTCTGGAGATGGGGGAGAAACGATGAGATGGAATTTGCAGGCGTGTTACGTGCATGAGGACGTGTTGTGAAGTTCGCTCTCACATCTCGAACCTATCACTTACCGCAAATTCATTGACCCGGTCGATCGGGACTTTGGCGGTCAATGCTGGTATAGCCCACAAAGCCGAGTACGGGGTAGACAACATCAAGATGGTCAATTTCGTTCAATTCGTATCTAGAAAATCTAGTGCTCGTTTAGAATCTCGAGAACGGCAGCCTGAAGTGCAAAGGTCAGCAGAGGATCCAAAGAAAGAGACTCGATCACGAAAGCTCACCATTTCCCTCTGAGGGTAATGACAGCCCAGTCACCCTTCTCATCGGTTTCCTTCTCAATCTTGGTGCTAAAGCTGATGGCGCTCATGATACCGTCCCCGAACTTCTCGTTGAGAACAGCCTTGTATGCATAGCCATAGTTCTGAATGATCTCGAAGAGTCTGTAGACCAAGGGCTCCTTAGGAGGCATTTCCATCGTGCGGCCACGGTCGGGGTAGCCAGAGAGTTGGGCTTCGAGCAACGACTCGTCGAGCTCGAGGAGCTTGGCTAGGTTTCTGATATCCTCGGGGGAGGCCTTGGCCTGACCGTAGAAGAGAGCTGCAACAGCTACTTCCTCACGACCGAGAGCATTGGCGATGGTCTCGAAGGAAAGATTCTTAACTCTCTTGGCCTCGAAAAGGGTCGGCGAGGAAGCTGGCAGGCGAGGGATAATGGAGGTCTGAGTACTGAGGTCAGTTGTATGCTTATCCAACTTGTTAAACTTGTTCATACATCGAGAGTCGCAATGGGGTGACCTGAAGAAGTTCCAGAGGCCGACATTTTGGACGATGGTCGCTTTGTTTCGGGAAGACTGATGGGCTACTGATACAGAGGAACGGAGCAAGGATGAAGCACGAGGGGCTGTACGAGATACAAACCAGGCTGAGAGCGGGACCTTGACAGGTTAAGTACTTAGAGCTTGGGATAAACAGACGTTGCGCCTCCGAGGTTATTTGGAACAGAGGCTCAGCCTTTTGAAGCTCAACGGACATGTCTCGGGCTTGCTTCTTGTTGCGTCACACTGACCTGCACGATGATTTCTAACAAACATTCAATCGTTGCTGTCATCGATGCGGGGCAGGTTGATAAGTAGAGCGACCCCTCTCCATGCCGTGTTTCTGCTTCTCCGGTCTGCGCCAATAACACTTTTGCCAAGTAGATAAGGATGTTCTGCCGAGCCAGCTCGTCTTTCTTGTGTCTGTCTCTACAATGATTCCTGGAAGTGATTATTTGAATGCCAGTTGTATGCCCAAGAGACTCTAAAGCAGTGGGCATGTTTACCGGCCTTATCTGATCTGAGGCGCACCCAGAGAACGCCAATGCGGAGCGGACATCCGTGCCTAAAACCCTAGCAGAGTTCAGCTGACAGAATTCAATTGCGATCGAGTGTGTAGCACTGCAGCGATATATCAATATCTCGAATTGTCCTCCTCGAGCTGCGTTCAATAGTCTCTTCGCCCACAAGTGTACTAGTTGCAAGCATTCGAGTATTGTGGTTTTCCATGGAATAAAGCTTGTCCTATGATGATGACATGAACGTTGCGGGGTTCATCGTGGTCTTGACTACAATTTACATCTACCACGTGGTTGGCTCGGGACTTGCTTATACGAAAGCCGGAATGCTAGTTGCTGAAGCTGTGTGAGAAGGCAACGACAGCTTTGAAATTTGGTCTACCCTCTGGATTCACTGATTCGCGATCTAATACCCAATGATCACAAAGGCGGTCTGAGTGTGACGACGTATCTTGGCGATCTTGCCTTGTTTACACGAGCTGTATCTGCGTCTGACTTGGCTTGATTCCCTGCGAAGTCACAAGCCTTCTACGGTCAACCATGGCTTTCTTATTCGACAAAGTACACAAAGCAGTGCATGAACTTGGCAATGATCTCAAAGACAAATTCTCGGAGCATGGACAGACCCAAGGCGAAGGCGCAAACGAGCAGTATGGCCAGACCAGCGATCACGACTACGCCCACGAAGCGCATCGTTTCCAGAGCTTTGCTCCCCACCGGATCGGTAATGAAGTCAAGTGGTACGTCGATGGAGCTGGGTACATGCATGCCGTGAGTATGGCACTCGAACGAGCTCAAGAGTCGATTTGGATCATGGATTGGTGGCTTTCGCCAGAACTGTATCTGAGACGTCCTCCAGCTCAGAACGAGCAATATCGTGTCGACCGTATGCTCCAAGCTGCAGCCGAAAGAGGTGTTCAAGTGAGCATTCTTGTCTCGTCGTTATTGATCTACAACCTCTTTTATTGAGATTTATCAGATACTAATCGTGACAGGTCAATGTGCTTATCTACAAGGAGGTTACTCAAGCCTTGACGCGTAAGTGTCTAAATCCCGTTCTCCCTGACTACATACATTCTCTTCTTCCTCGCTCGGTCGACCGCTTCTCCTCGGCCTTGACTCGTTTTGGACTGGACCTTACTTTCAAGTCATTGGAGATTCTCGAAGAGACTAATCCACTCATTAACCCTCCTATCACAGTTTCCTCAGCACATACCAAGCATGCGCTCGAAAACCTCCATCCCAACATCCGCGTCTTTCGCCATCCCGACCATCTTCCGGATACACAGGTTCTTACATCCTCACTTCTCTCATCCATCCAGGGGATGAAGATGACTGCTGCAAACTTGACCAAGCTACCTGGTGATGCGCTCAAAGCAGTCTATGGCATGAATGGAGATACTGTTCTGTAAGTGTATTATATCCGATGCAGGAATCGTGCTAATTGTACTCTAGGTACTGGGTACGTTGTCTGACGTTGATATCACAAGTCGACGACCACTCTGCGTTATGTTTGAGAAACATGCGGGCGTGGTAAACTTTGTGGTATCGCAAAATATCTTGTACAAGCATGCTGACCACACTCTAGGCGCATCATGAGAAGTTGTGTCTTGTAGATAGCCACATAGCTTTCATGGGAGGCTTGGATCTGTGCTATGGCAGATGGGACAATAACCAACACTCTATCGCCGACGCCCATCCTGGCGATTTGAACAAGATTGTCTTTCCTGGACAGGACTACAACAATGCCCGAATTCTCGACTTTAGTGTGAGTTTATCATGATGCCTATGCTGTCAGTTATCATCACGAGTCTTCTACTGACACAATCAGGACGTCGCACACTGGGATCAGAATAAACTCGATCGCCGCTACAACTCGCGTATGGGTTGGTCTGATATGTCCATCTCGCTCATGGGCCCTGTCGTAGAGGACTTGCGCAGACATTTCGCCGAGCGCTGGAACTTCATCTACCGTGAAAAATACAGTTCTAAGAACTATGATGAGAGATATGCGCCCCTCCATGTTCCAGAATCGAGGACAGGTATCGTCCATCACGAATGTTCCTCAGGCTCAGACGCCCCGATCCCAGAGCACATGTGCGAACGTATGATGGAGCATTGGGAAGAAGGTCGAGATCGAATGGACGGCTTCAGGGAGCAAGTCAGACACCATTTTCCTACCAGCAATCATCCACCTCCACCACCCCCAGGAATGCCCTGCCAAATTATGAGATCTTGTTCGAAATGGTCCCATGACACCAACACTGAGCGTTCCATTCAGAACGCATACATTGAGGTGATTCGAAACAGCCATCACTTCATCTACATCGAAAATCAGTTTTTCATCACAGCTACGGGTGACTCACAACGTCCGATCAAGAATCAGATCGGCGCTGCAATTGTCGAACGAATCATACGCGCTGCACGCCAGGGCGAACATTATCAGGTTATCGTAATCATGCCAGCCATTCCTGCATTCGCGGGTGACCTGAAGAGTGACGAGGCGTTGGGCACACGTGAGATACTTGAACTACAATATCAGAGTATCAACAGGGGGTCTCACAGCATCATGGAGAATATTGCCCGAGAAGGCATTGATCCTATGCAATACATCCGATTCTACAACCTCAGGAATTATGACCGTATTAACTCAAGCGGCGCCATGCGTGAAGCGGAGGAGCAAAGTGGTGTGAGCTACGACGACGCACGACAGGATTATGATCAGCAATACGGCCGCCAAAGCGATCAATACACTCAGGAAGGGGCTTATGACGGCCAATCTCAGCAATATGGGGGAGCTTACGGCGACCAAGAGGGAGACCGCTTCAGAAGATACCAGCAAGCTACCCAGAGCATCGGCAGCCACTCGGGCCTCGGCACCGGTGAATGGGACTCGGTTGCGTCGTGCTATATGCTGAACGGTGAAGACATCCGCAACGTACCTTGGGAGGATGGCACGACCGATGAAATGGACGCTTTTGTGTCGGAGTTGCTTTATGTACACAGCAAGCTCCTTATCGCCGATGATCGAGTTGTCATTTGTGGATCGGCCAATCTCAACGACCGCAGTCAACTCGGCGATCACGACAGCGAGATAGCCATTTATATTGAAGACCCTCGCGAGGTTGACTCGTACATGGCTGGTCGTCCTTGGAGAGCGACTGAGTTTGCTGCTAGTCTTCGCAGACAGATTTTCCGTAAACACCTCGGACTACTGCCGCCACAGGATGTCACCAGGCCAGATGGCAACTTTGAACCTATTGGAGTGCCCAACGCTTACGACTGGAATAGCCGTGAGGACGAAGCAGTCGCCGACCCATTGAGCTCCGACTTTTTTTCGTTGTGGAACAGTACAGCTCGTACGAACACTGAGGCCTTTGAGCGTGTTTTCCACCCTGTGCCCTCAGACAAGGTCAGAAACTGGAAGGAATATGGCGACTACTTTTCAAGATTCTTCCCTTCCGGTAAGGAGGCCAAGGAAGAGAAAGGCAAGGACGCCGAGAAGCCTAGTCAATGGAAGTTGGGTCATGTTGTGGCTGAGAAATTCCCTGGCGGTGTGGCAGAGGTCAAGGACGTTTTGAGTCAGATTCGTGGTACCCTGGTCGAGATGCCTTTGCTCTTCTTGAAGGACGAAGATATCGCACAGGAAGGCCTCACTCTGAACGCCATGACGGAGGAGATCTACACATGAGGAAGGAAACAGCGCGTAGGTAGATGGGTCGATCCCAACGACGTTACGATATTCGGATTCGGTGCACTCGTGATCATCCGGTCCCACCTATCAGTATCAGACATCGGGAAGGTCCTAGCTTGGGAGAACACACGAGTGATTATGGTCCATGTGCATTGTGCGTTGTTCGTTATGGCTAACACTACTTCTTGGAGACTTGTTGAATAAGCCTTTCCACTTCGGTCGCTGCTTGTCCTGTGGCCTTGTCACGAAGTGACTCGAGTAGTCTAAGGTTACGAGCCTTGGCTGCTTCTTCGGCCGCGCGTGCTATCAGACCACATTTCGTCCATAGCTCCACACGTTCCTCTACTGTCAGACTTGTGCACTTGGGTATGAACAAAGACGCCAACTTCGGGTTACCCGCAGACAAGATCTCGTTGATGAACGGCTGGAATAAAGGTTAGTAGATGCCTTGTGGAAAAAGGGAATTGGCGACTTACCTCCCACCCGATAGGGCTCTTGCGAGTTTTGGATAGATCCTCAAGCTCACGCCAATCACGACGTGAGACGAGTGCGCGCAAGCGTATCCACCAGTACACCTTGTCTGAGACCTTGAATTCTGACTGGACTTTTTGACTCCTCTTTACATTGCCAATCCGAATGAGCTTGTATATCGTCTCGTTAATACTGAGACCGCTGAAGTCTTCGTCGAGATCTCTCTTGAAAGTGTCGTGGAATTTGAGTAATTTCTGCTCCTCATCGATTGCTCTGACTTGTATTGATTGGTCTTTTGACTCTTGAAGAATCTTCGAGGCCATCTTGAGTTTGTCGTTACGAGCATTCGCATCAGCAATGTTTAGCGAATCTGATAATAGCAGATTCGAACTGTCAAGTCTTCTGTCATCTTGATAGAACAAGTCCTTGAGCAATTCTTGGTCTTGGTCCCAAGCGGATGCCTCGACCAGTGCGGTTGCTACCGGCCGGCCATTGATCGTGCGGAAGAAAGTGGCAAGTGGCAGTTTCTTCTTTAGATGCAGCAGGACATGATACACTAGATCGGTGTCTCCGCTTTCGATCGCTTTATCCAAGGCGAGAGAATCCTCCTCTACATTCAGCAGAAGGGGCACTTGCTTGCCAGCTCGTGGTTCATGTTCGAGCAGCTCGGTCGCAAGTCTGCCGCGACCCTCCTCGTATGCTGTCTGTGCTATTTCCTCGAACGAGATGCCGCGCTTACCTTTTAGCCTCTCGACAATCTCGGCACAGATATCTTCCTCGTCACCTGTAGAGCTACGCACCTTTTGGCGTGCCCAGTGTACATAGATCTTGTCGAGCGGTAGATCGAGATGCTCCGATATCTTGATAGCCAACAGATATTCCTTGCGGTTGATCAATCTTTGCACTAAGTTTACTGGTGTCAAGCGGGTGTATTGGTCGAAACTGAGTGGTAGGCCAATCTCAAAGAAGCGAACGGCGTTAAGTACACGTAGTGTCTCGCACATGTCGACAAACTCATCACTATTGTATAGATCGAGCACAGATTTGCCAAACGATGCAGCCTTTAGAAGCTGTTTCTGCCAGTGCACGCTGAACTCATGGCCAGCGGCTCTGATGCACGTATCGACAGCCTCTTCCAAGTTTGGCCGAATGAGCTGGATGTTTTCGTCTGCTTTGGGGGATTTTCTGTCGAGTTGTTCGGCAGCGTCAAGCAAGACCGAAGCAGGCGATGTGGAGCCCAGGCGGAAAGTATCCTCGGACACGTCTGGCACCTTTTGGATGAACTCACAGACGTCGCTCGTGAAGATGCGAAGACCATCAATGTCTGGTGATAGATGGACCCAAGAGTCGTAGTAGTGTTTCGAGGCAGCGCCGTTCGGGCCAACTAGATGTACCTCGTCCTCCCAGGCCAGGACGACGGCGTTATTGCCGCACCACTGTAAATCTTTTGGAGGCGTCTTGACGCGTGAGTCGTACTCGGTCAGGCGGTTCTCGAAGTCGCTGCTGATGACCCAGACTTTGCCGTCTTGAGTGTAGAGGGCGATGAACTTGGCATTGGGGGCCACAGACACGAGCTTGAAAGGGCCGTTCTGCAGCTTGCGGTCTTGAGCTTCTGAGGCATCCACGATGACAATGGTGTCGTCGATGGCCAGGATGGCTTCTACGGAGCGCGACAAGGTGAAGGCGGGCGGTATGACAGCCCAGGACAGGATGTCGCCTTCCGGAGGGGTTGCCAGGAGAGTGGGTCTCGGTTCGTCGTAGCGCGAGACGCAGACCAAGTGCTTGTTCCCAAGGAGAGCGACAAAGCCCGAGGACCAGAAGCGGCACGAGACGACGCCATGCTCTTCGGCGCCGTGGCCTAGGCTGAAGGGTATGAAGTCGCCGCTGAGGTCGTGGTATATCCTGACGGTTCCATCGTTTGTGACGACAATCAGTCTCTCGTCTTCAGACCAGCCGCAGCCCTGGATGGCGCCCTTGTCCCAGTTGATGCGGTGGATCGGCTTGCCCGAGCATGTGTAGATGTCGATGGATGGACGGCTTGTCTGAGCATTACGGTAGGCGTATAGTTTGGTTTCGTCTCGGTAGATGGCTATCTATCCAACACTGTCAGCGCAGTCGGCGTCGTCGCTGTCGTCTTGTACGACGTACGGCACCGCTCAGTGGAGCTCCGACCAGCATGTGGTTCTCAAGTTCCAGCTCCGGGTCAAAGATAGACGTGTATAGTTGCGTCTTCCGGTAGAAGCGGTCGCCTACTCGCTCCCAGTCCGCCGTGGCCTTCGACATTTCATCAAAGGTTCATGCTTGCGATCAGCCCTCGTTGTCGTGCCGCTATGTCATTGGAGCTGCGTGTCTTGGCGGCCATTGGCTAATTACTTGTACGTCCTTTCCGAAAGAGCCTCACTTTCCAAAACACAATCACCATCGCTCTTGCCCATGTCTCCGTCTAGCTTTTCAAGGAATACAACAAGCCATCGAGACCCGGCGTGAGGCTCGTGTTGTCTGTCCGCTTCTGCCTCTCTGACATGGACTCGACGGCATCGAGAATCCAGGCGCTGGGCGACCTAGAGTTGGCTGTCTTGCTCTGTCTAGTGGCCCAGCAACACTGTATAATATCTGCTCCGAATCTCCTGCTCGATAGCCTTGCTCAAGAACTCCAACTAGTCCGTCTTCCTCTCTGATGCTGTTCTCTCAATACTGACCGTTCCAAGATTGCCAACAATCTCTTTGGCCTCACGTGTGCCGTGATCAACTGTTCTGCCACAACCACTCTTGATGACTTCAAACAATCCGTTCTGGTCGACGTGCCTGACACTTCCGATGATCATGTCGCATCCTCTACCCACCTCAGTCTTCCCGCCTTTCAGCACGCCAGTTCTAGGCGGACTTTCTTCCGTAATAACTCTGGTGCAAGCAATGAACTTGATGAGCGGAAGATTGCCGACATCATCCTTGCGAAGGACCTGAATATGGCGAGCAGCAATGTCCAGACTCAAGCTCTTGAGGTACTAAACCAAACCCCCTTTCGATCCTCTTTGTCTCATCATCTTCCAGCTTATCCGTACCAAGCGGCTCTTCAGTCATACCGCCATGCACGGTACATCCAAGAACTTCCTCTTCGTCGCTTTGCAAGCCTCGGAATCAAAGTCTAAACTTGGCTTCCATCTCGTGAGTATCCCCTCCTGTTTTAACATTGCTGTAGGTCTAATCGCTCTGTGCAGAATGACATGTTTGCCATCTCACATTATCACTCGGAAGAAGATGGTTTCCCAAATCTTGAGGAACAGGACTTCCAAGAGCCATTACAATCAAACGATGCTGCATCGATTTCATCGGTCATCAAACGCCCCTTTTCATCTGACCAGGACACTCGCCAATCTCCTGCTATGACGCCTGACGAAGTTGATCGATTGCGTGCTGCCGTCGCGGATGTTCGCGTAAGCGCTGAGGTGGCTGCTTATCTACACAACATAGTCATCTTCATGCGCTTGAACCGCTTCGTTGCAGGAGGCATATCTGCATACGCTACAAGGCACTTCCGATCTATCGTCTATGCTCTGGCGCCGTTGCACAACCTCACATATGCTCCTCCGTCATTGGTCGCCCTGGCGGCGAGGAAAGTCTACGCACATCGCTTACTGTTGGCCACGCCAAGCACTGAGAGAAGCATGCAGTGGGGAAGCGATTATTCTGCAGTCGAACGAGTCTTGAAAAGTGTCACTGTTGAAGACGCCATCGAGTCGGTACTGTCAAGTGTGGAAGCACCACTCTGATTGGCTCGCATTTACATGAATACGTCCTCTCATTATGCCAATCCCTCGACGCTATAGTGTACCACTGGACTCTTGGCTCTATCCCGGCATGCGCTACAGGACAAGGATCTATCAAGAAATCGGCCGCTTGTCTACATGGCGCTCTAGTTTTCCTGACGTCCGAACATCGGCGCGCCTGCCTGCCATTCTTTCAAGAGTACGCCGACTTCTATCCTCAAGTCTTCTACAACATCGTCCATCTTGATGTCTGCCTTATCCCAGCCGAAAGGCTCTTCAAGCTGGTACGCAATGGCCTCGATACCATACAGGGTAAAAGTGATGAGGGAGACGATCACGACAGTCCACCATTGCAGACTCTCGACAAACGCGAACGGCAACACGCCTCCATATAAAGCGAGCACTTGTCTCGTGTGGATGAGATATGCGACCGGTATAGGAGTCAAGCGAATTGTCTCCATGGTGCCAAACGCTGCGACCATCGTATTCAGCTGCACCGAGAGCTGCGATGCCTGTGGACTATGGAACCATCCTCGATCATGAGAGCGTTTTATGTATGCTTCAATTGACATGGTGAGCTGGATAGGAAGACCTAGGCCCTCAAACTCATGAGTTTCAGACATTTGGGGTCCAAGAAGAGCTCTCAGTTCCGGCTTTAAAGATCCGGATCCACTGTCTTCAAGGTCCGGTGCTCCCACGCTGTGCTCCCACTCCCATTGGAGCGTGTTTTTGACAGCGTATACAACCGCCAGTAGGGCATATACGGCGGTCTCGGTTTCTGCTCGCTCCGCTTCCGAGGGTTCGGGCTTGTTGGTAGCATATGAGCAGGTCAAGAATGTCCGAGTCAGGTTGCGAATGTTTGTACAAATGGTGGTGAGATTCTCTTGTCCAGACCAGAATCGAGCATATGAGCTCTGGTTGCGGAACACGAGTAGCAGACCGACAACAATGGATAGAGATGAAGTGATGCTACCAGGGAGATGTGGCGTGTAAGGTGTGAAGTCATCGATATAGACAATCAATGCCGCGAATATGGCATGGAGTATCACTGCTATCATGATGTCGCCGTGCACTGATCCCTTTGCAAATCTCAACACGAGTGGCATCCGACGGGGCTTCCTCCTTGCCCGATTCATCAGAGGCTTCATCGAATGACGACGGGGACGAGACCGCATTGTGTCGTGCGGCCGGCAAGTGGTGGTTAAATAGAGGTGACAAAAGATGAAACGATTGGGTTTGAGCGAGATGCGAGTAAAGAACCATGTGTCTTCAGGTGCATTGAGAAAAAGGAGGAATATGAAACGAGCCCGTGGTCTCCCGATGATGCGGTGTGGCCGTTTACCAGGGTTCCACCCTCGGCGAGGACTCGATTCACAAGACGTACTCCCGTCGCCGAAAACTACACATATGCAGCATTTTCGATACACAGTATGGCTTCAGTATTATTGCTCATCATGTTGATACCAAAATTAAATGCGTTGTTATATCTTCTCGGCTGACATTGGTTCAATCATCACACAGCTGGTAGCTTCCTTGTTGTTGAGCGCCCAGTTAATTGTTTCGACCGATGTCTAATGGCATTCCATCGTGATCACGCAGGACAAGTGAACAGTTGAGAGATCAGGGAGACTTGAGTCAGCTCGTCGCTGTATTCAATATGTTTCTGACTATGTGTTCACCAAGCTTGCAAGTTTCCGTTGTCTGACGACGCCTGGGCGAGCTCTATGATCTTCAACACATCCGCAGCATCATCTCCGCTGACGGGCACCTCACCCTCGCCCTTCAATGCCTTTGCAAGAATGCGGTAGTATTCAACATAAGTAGGTGGTGGCTCGATGGAAGGAACAGTCTCGCTGTTGAACTTTCCATCTGTATCAGCCAGTGTCAATGTGCCGTGAGAAGACGCGGGCTCGACACCAAAGTCAGAGTTGCTCAGCTTGACACCACCAAGAAGCTGGGGTTCTTGAACATCCAAGTGGTACTTCTTGAAAGAGCCTTTGGTACCACGGACCCAGAACCTCAATTGGTCTTGCTCTGGACTGATGGCAGAGCTCTTCACAGTCACCAGCATCTCGTCTTCAGGCGAACCGTAGCGGAGCAGTACTGTGCAAGCGTCTGGCGGGGAGTCGCCAGTCTTGAGTCCCTTCCGTTGTACCTGTACAAATCCTGTGACGGAGTTGGGCGCACCAAACAGATGGTAAACCTGGTCCAGCAGATGGCTTCCGAGGTCATAAAGCGCACCACTGGCCGGGCTGACCTGCGTTTTCCAGGTCGTGCGAGTCGGAGGTTCAGGGCGGAAACGATCAAAATGCGTCTCGAATTCGGCGATCTCACCCAGCTTTCCGGAAGCCAACACCTGCTTCAGCGTGACAAAGTCCTGGTCCCATCGTCTGTTCTGGTAGACGGCTAGCAAGCGCTTCTTCTCCTTTGCCAGCTTGACCAATTCTCTAGCCTCTTTGGACGAAGGAACGAATGGTTTCTCTACCACAACGTGCTTGCCGCTCTCGATTGCCTTTTGAGTGAACTCGTAATGTGTCTCCGGGATACTGGTGACGATGACCAGATCGACCTTTTCGTCGGAAAAAAGGTCGTCAGCGCTGCGGAATAGCTTGATTGAAGGGTGGTCGGCTGACGCGTCGTCGCCGGACTTTGGGCTTCGCTGTACAATAGCATACAAGTTGTAGTCTGGTAGAGCCTGAATGAAAGGAATATGGAAGACCTTTGCACTGAGACCATAGCCAATCACGCCGACGTTGATCTTCTTGTCTGTAGACATGATTAAGGTAATAGAGATAAGGACTGGCGAGAAGGTAAGCCAAGTAATGGATGGTTTACTAAGTAAGGGAGATAGGTTGCTTCCTTATACACAATATGTATGTTCCAGCTGTCCGTCTGCACGAAACACGTCAACAAGGGCGACAGTAACCCTAGAAGCTTGATATAGGTGGGTGAGTCACGTATACGGATTTGAAGGAAGGTCGTTGCGTGCTTTATTATCAATCATTCGGCATCTTGAGCTCGAATAGCCGATGCATCGGCCGAAGCTGTCGCAGCACCTTCGTTAATTCTCAGCCGTCTTGCACACGAGAGTACCTCAACCGGGAGCAATATTGCCAGATTCGTCGACCTGCTCCTTTGTCGCTGTTGCATCAGCTTCTCGGATCCAATTCCGTGAGCACGTTTCCACATTTCGTCAAGCAATACCTCGCGACGACAAGGATGCCACTTTCCGAGACCGAGCTCCGGCTCGTCGAGGCCATGTTCATGAACAAGTGTGAGGTAAAGGCGGTCCTCCAAGTACTGCCGCACGCCATAGTGTCGACCTTGTACAGGCAGAAGAAGACATTCGACACGTTTGGTGCTATACACAAGCCCGAGACGACGAAGAAGAGAAGACTTAGAAGGCCCGTGGCGGCTAATGCAGAAAGCGATGCCTCTCCAGCCCAGGCCGAAAGCCCATCATCCCGCACCGCCCTGTCAGACACCGATCGCACCGTAGAAATGCTGTTCTCCCAAGGCTGCTCCGTCCGTGTTGTGCAGTCTTGGTTTCCCAACAAGCCCAAGAGCAGTCTTTATCGAATGCACCAGAATCTCGACCTGTATGGCTCCGTTCGGAAGCCAGAAAGTGCATGGAAAAAGAAGGGAAGACCAGCAACCGTTACACCAGAGATGAAAGAATGGCTGTTGCAGCTGGTCAAGGACAGTAAAGAGATGTGGTTGAGGGACCTCGCATACGACCTCTTCACCAAGTTCGGTGTCTTTGTGTCCACATCCACCATTTCACGACTGCTAAAAGAGCAACATGTAATCAAGAGACTGGGTCCGGCGGAAAGCATCAAGACGGAAGCGTCATTGGACGATGCTTTGGCTTCCTCAACCACAGAAGACGTGAACCTGGACCCTGTTTTCCGACTGGCCTCGTGAGCTTCTTGCAAGACTATAGACTGCATGACATGGAATCTAGGACCAAGTGATGATTGGTTTCACTGTTTCGCCCGTGTGCATCTCATGGATACCCTTCTCGAACTCCTCCGCTGGCATGAGCTTGACAAGTTTATCGAAGGGGAACTTTCCATCTCGATACCACTGAATCATCTTCGGGATGAACTCGGAAGATATGCTGTTGCCTTCGATAGCCCCCATATAAGCCTTGCCGCTGTTCATGAAAAGGAACGCCGGCAACTCTACCTGAAAGTCCGGCGGCGTTGACCCGACTTGGATGATTTTTCCTCCTTTGCGTGTCATTTCGATCGCAGCCTTGACAAGAGTTGGCACACCTGTCGTGTCGATGGTAATTGCGGGGCCAGCGCCCTCACACATCTCTTGGACCGCTTCGATGACACTCTTTCCATCCGGGAGTTTTGATGTATCGATTACATGCGTGGCGCCCAGTGACTTTGCTAGCTCCATACGGCTGTCTACACGATCGATACCAACGATAGTTCTACAGCCGGAAAGCTTTGCTGCCATGATTGCACTTAGGCCAACACCGCCGAGACCGAGTACGGCAACAGAGTCCTTCTGTGTAGCTTTTGCAACATTGACAACGGTACCGGCTCCAGTTTGGAATCCGCAGCCTAGTGGCGCGAAGGCTTGCAGCTCTTCCTTACTCTTGACCAGGTCGGTCACATTGACAACGCTGTTCTGTTTGGCCACGCTATAGCGGGCAAAGCTGGATTGACCAAAGAATTTGCCAGCGATCTCCGTCTCGTCCTCAGAGTTGGCAGACACAAACGCTGCCTTGTTACCAAAGTTCAGTGGCATGCTCTCATAGCAGAGCGAAGGAAGGCCACCTTCACAGGACTCGCAATGACCGCACCAGTCGAATGATAGCAGGACAGCATCTCCTGGCTTTGCGACTACAACCTTGGCTCCTGTAGCCCTCACATAGCCTGAGCCTGTTGCAACAAATTAGCATCCATACCGTTCAACAGTTTCATGCATCGTTCTTACCTTCGTGACCAAGAACGCGGGGGTAGTAGAATAGATCTGGGTTGCCGCTTCCTGATCCACACATGATATCGGTATGACAGATTCCAGAGGCCACGAGCTCTACAAGCAATTCATCCTCCCCGATTTCTCGTGCCGTGACTTCCTCCATCTTCCAGCCCTGGTTGGCCAATGTGTCGCGAGCCACGATGGCCTTTCCGGTCCATGTCTTTTGTTCTCCAGCCATTTTGTGTTTCTTATCATCCAAATCTTTCCAGACTTTCAACAAGGATGGGGGGATGTTGTTGGAAGCTCGAGACGTCATGGTTTCGCGTAGTAGTAGAGCATAAAAGTCGTTGCTGTGGACCCACTTTTGTCGTTTCTCGAACAGGCTGTAGCAACGAATGCGGGGCTGGGGTGGCCGGTATTTGCTTGCGGCTCGTCATGACGCTCCTATCAACACGATTGAGTTTGAGATTATCCACTGCCTCCACTTTTGAGACCTCGATCTGGAGGACCATCGCGCACTCGACTGATCAATATATTTCTGTGTCAATGTTGAACAACGTGCTGATTCGAATGATAGCTTTACTAGGTACTCGAGTGTGTCCTCACAGAATTAAGATATGAAGATCATGATGAACCAGACTCCGGAGAAGTGTGGGATGCATATGTTGCTTTCAGCCACGGCGTGCCTTTTGCTCGGACAGGTATCAAGGCCAGGGTTTGAATTATTGATTGCACTCTGGAAGCGCACTATCACAGTGTCACAGTTCACATTGTTGTTTGAAATTTTATTACACTTCTCTATTCAACACAAGTTTGGCTGTCTCTTGATGTAGCCTGTTCACCAACTTATATGAACCCTCAGAGCTAACAGGTAGTGCGAGCACTATACGTGGGCCTGATTTAGACGAGCAACACCAGCTGTGACTTTTTCCAGCGTCACGTCTAGTAAGCCAAGCTCAGCCATGTGAGTGTCGTCGCCTCCGGTTTCCTCCCAGACATCGGCCAATTCGCCATTGGCCTTGCCCTCCTTGAAACGAGCCGACGCAGCTCTGAGAGGTTGCAAGAACGATCCTGCTACATCATTGTTGGAGTGTAAATCTCCGATGGAAAGCGGGTTGTGGAGATGCTGGGCTGACAGGAGTAGATAGTAGAAGTTAAGCGACGCCAGATAGAAGTGCAGACTCTGCTGAAAGGTAAACCAGGACTCGGTGATGCTGTTTGCAGTGAGGTCGTGTGTAAGATCGGGGAACAAGTAAGGTGCTAGGCTGTCCAACGCTACTGGTGTTGCGAAGACAGAAGCGTCGCCCTTTCCGTCCTGAGCCGAATTCTCCTGTCCCGATACCTGTGTGGGAATAGGAGTGGGAGGATTGGCCTCGATAGTCTCACCCTTAACCCAACTGATCGCTGCAACCTTGAGATTATCGAATGGACAATGCTCAAGAGTGTCCTTGATGAAAGCGAGTCTCTCAACGTCGGAAGGGTTCGATCTCAAGATGGTCGATGCCAGATAGAAAGCATGGTAGCGGATACTAGGAGAAGGAGAATTCGATGAGATCAGAGAAAGATATTGCAAGTATTGACTGAACTCCTCGCTGTCTGCTGGCTGGCCAACATTGTCTTCCTCCACGGCAAGTACGGCGAGGGCCAAGACAGCGTCGAGCATAGCTTCGGGCTCGGTACCGATAGTTGATCCCATGTCAGACGAGCTTGCAATGTAATTTTTCAGAAGCTTTTGGTGTTCAGGAAAGATGCTGAACGCATCCTTGGGCTTTGGGGTGGAGTAAAGCACAGTGGCGACGTGTGCAGCAGCGAACATGAAGAGCGAGCCCACCTTTGACAGAGGAATGTCAGTCGCAGTCTTGGGGAACTCATCTTCATTCTCGGGTACGATAGAGTGGCCTGGATCGGCATTCTCCATGGCAGGGAGGAGGTCCTGTCTTTCCAGTCCAAGATCGCGAGCCAAAGCGACCAGACCTCCCACGGCTGTCAATCTCGAAGCGAGCTCCTCGTCCAGAATGAAGCTATCAGTCATTGAGGGCTTGCCGGGAACGGTACGCTCTGGGTGTAACTTCTCTTGTAATCGGCTACACCACGCCAGACCAGGTGCGTCGCGATCAGAAGTCAAGGAAAGCACATAGTCTTCGAAAACATGAGTGATGAACGATTGGAAGAGACGCTTCTGAATTGCAGTCTCGCTCGCAGATGGAGACTCTGCTGCTGTATCGGACTCAGGATCAGGTGCTGATGCTTGAGGAGTTGCGGTCAGGATTTGGGTACTGCTCTTGCGAGGGGGCAGATTGGGACGCTTGGTTCCGGAAACGCTCTTCACGAACTGAATGATAGATGCGATCATTTCCTCCTTGTGCTTTTCAGCATTCGAGAAAGATGCCAACACGGATTGGAGTGTTGTCGCCAAGAAACGACTAGGGTATTTCGTTTTTATGCGGGCGTGCAAGATTGACAGCATCGACAACAGGCTGGTGAACTGCAGTACGGGAAGGGGTAGAGGTGCAGGCGTCTCGACAGCTTGAGTAGTCTTGCCAGCATTGCCTTCCACAGGCTCAGTCTTGGCCGGATGGTAGGCCGGGGTGGTCTCTTGACCAGCAATAGGCTCATCGTCTTCTGTGTCCGGCTCCAGGCCCTGGAAATCGATCAGGCGCAGGGACTCGGTCACTTTCAAGATGACCTCGCGCGGGTTGCCAAGGCGCGCGATATCCTGTAGGCACTCATTTGAGTTGGGCAGCATAGGAACGAGTAGATGTACAAGATCCCAACCGATGTTAGTGGTTAACTTGGTGTCTTGCAGTACTTGGTGAAGCGTGGGAAGTGACTCTGGATTGAGGTTATACTCGATGATGGTGAGATAACTGAGGTAATCGGTCGCAGGAGGCAATGCCTCGATAAGTGGGTTCTTCTCGGCCATCTTGGTGTTTTTCACTGATGATGTGATGTAGAGAGATACCAGAAGATGCACTGGTACAGTCTGAGGCGAGCGGGATGTCAGAGCTCAGCGGACGCCGAGGTGGAAGTGAATGGTGGGGTTGGTCAAGCCAAACGCTTGTTGTCTTTTTGTTTGGGGAAATGATCGGCAACCATCGAATCTTGATACCATGAGCTTCTCATGTAACAGTTTAAAACATCAGCCGAAACGTGAAGGCTATTCCTGGCTCCCTGTCTCTAATTGAAAAGTCTATCATTTCATTCTCCGATCACTTATGTCTGGAGACCTGAGGGCTGTAGAAATGCGCTGTGATTTTCTACCAGGCACAGTCGTCTGCGTATGAGAGTGCTTTGGTCTTTCTCGAGTGAGCTCGACGCTGTCTTGAAGGTGACTGTGCAGGCTCACAGCTGCAGGCGTGGCAGAGGTCAGAGAGACTGCTTCATTGTGCATTGTAACCCAGGTACCCACAGGTTAGTCACGAAATGTTACGTTGCTGATTCAGCGACGAATAACACACGGCTGTCTGTTTAAAGGCACAACGAATCTCGAACTGGAAGATCGCTCTACTGCGAGAGTATAAGGAACCCCGATTTTTTGGAGACGCTCTCGAACCTCGAGAGCATTGTGCATTTTCTTCAGGCATGAATTACTCTCCAACATTTGGGGGAACACAGTTGAAGCTGCAAGAGCTGAGTATATAAGCTTGCATTACGAACGCCAGGGACCATCTACATCTTGCGCTGTGCGCACTATGCTCGATATTCTGAGCCTTCATGAGATACCTGTGCAGCTCAAGGTCTATATTACACGACCCCCCATAACCAAACAACTTGACATGCTATTCTCGTTGTGATGACGAAAGGTGTAGGTCCATGAATACATACCAAGGATCACTCCTACTGTTACCCAGGGTAACGAAGAGTCGGATTCAGTCAAGGGAAGGACGGCTAAGACCAAAAGAAAGCAGACCCGACGGCGCTATGAGAACATACGATACATACTAATCTTAACACGCGACGCGTCTTAGTGCATCCCGAGCAAACAAGGGAATTCCGATAGCATGGCCGCATCAAGGGGCTCGGGTAGATGATAGATTGATAAGTTGTGGAGCTCGATGATCCGATCAAAGGCAATGATTGGCTTTGTCGTTCGAGGAACGATCTTCGGAATGGGTCTTTCCTCGCGAGATCGGACACGCGTGAAGGAGAACGCGTCGACAACAGCGTAGCGGCACAGATCGCCAAAGGGGGTTGTCAAGGAGATTTGGAAGCTGGGCTTGGCCAAGCGGTAAGGAGAGACCCCATGAAGCTGTCGAGATGGGTATCTTGAATAGATCCGCAGGTGTCATGTTGTTGCTCAGTAGAGGAGACTACAATCGAGATAGCCATAGACAGGGGAGCAGAGAAGCTCTCGATCAGACCAAGGGATATATCGTACTCAAAACAGTTAAATCGATAAATCTACTATCCAGAAAATTGATGATGATGTATGTGGCTCGTGCACACTTCACGCGTCAAGGAGGGAAGGCGCGACGGAAGAGCAGCTTCTCTCAAAATACTTAATGCGACGCGTTCGTTCCATCTCTTCATACCACCAACCTCATCCACATCAGCATCTTCCCACATCCGCAGCATCAATTGATCTGCTTATTTGTTCAGTTGCTTCACTACTCACACATACATCATCATGTCTGCGCCACTGATCACTCCCTCAAAGAAAGTGCGAATTCTCTTTGTCCCAGGATTAAATCAATCTAGCTAACGCGTCTCTGCAGGCCGCCGAGGCTCTCGAGAACTTCAACATGGAGTCACCTATGAAGCAACCTCTCTTCACTGCCACATCAGAAGAGAAGGAGAACATTGCCGTTCGTGAGGTCGCCGTACCCGTCAAGGGCATCCCCATGGCCGACGACCTTCCCGAGCCTGAGGAAGCAAAGCCCAGCTCCGCCCCGGGCATCAAGGGTGACGAGGCCAACGAGCCTATCCTCCAAGAGAACCCCAACAGATTCGTCCTGTTTCCTATCAAGTACCACGAGGTCAGTTCCACCAAAAACTGACGCGTACGCGACGCGTCAAGTTCGATCTAATATAACATCATACTAACTATCTGTATAGATCTGGAACATGTACAAGAAGGCCGAAGCCTCCTTCTGGACTGCAGAGGAGATTGATCTTTCCAAGGATCTTCACGACTGGAACAAGCGTCTCAACGACGACGAGCGCTTCTTCATCTCTCACGTCCTCGCCTTCTTCGCTGCCTCTGACGGTATCGTCAACGAGAACCTTGTCGAGCGTTTCAGCTCCGAGGTCCAGATCCCTGAGGCCAGATGTTTCTACGGCTTCCAGATCATGATGGAGAACATCCACTCCGAGACTTACTCGCTACTCATCGACACTTACATCAGCGAGCCCAAGCAGCGTACCTACCTCTTCAACGCCATCGACAACATTCCTTGCATCAAGAAGAAGGCCGACTGGGCCCTCAAGTGGATCTGTGACAAGGACTCGACCTTCGGTTGCCGTTTGATCGCTTTCGCCGCCGTCGAGGGTATCTTCTTCTCTGGCTCCTTCGCTTCCATCTTCTGGCTCAAGAAGCGTGGTCTCATGCCCGGTCTTACCTTCTCCAACGAGCTCATCTCTCGCGACGAGGGTATGCACACCGACTTCGCCTGCCTGCTCCACTCTCACCTCAAGAACAAGCCTTCTGCGGCCCTTGTCCGTGAGATCATCACCGAGGCCGTCGCCATCGAGCAGGAGTTCCTGTCAGACGCTCTTCCCTGCGCTCTCCTCGGCATGAACGCAAAGCTCATGTGCCAGTACATTGAGTTTGTTGCCGACCGCCTGCTCCTCGCCCTTGGCGAACCCAAGATTTACCAAGCCACCAACCCCTTCGACTTCATGGAGAACATCTCGTTGGCTGGCAAGACCAACTTCTTCGAGAAGAGAGTTGGCGACTACCAAAAGGCTGGTGTCATGAACAGCACAAAGAAGGAGGAGAGCAAGACCACTGCCGGCCTGGCTGCCACTGTCAGTGGTGACTTCGCCTTCGACGAGGACTTCTAGTCTGATCGATCAATATCAGAATGATTTATGGGCAGGAGTTCTTATGGTTGTTGCAGCGGCTGCATAATGTGGCGTTCTGGGTAATGGGCATATCCTGGGTGATTGGGTAAAGGTTTTGCTCGACTCAATTTGAGAGAGACGACGACTTGTCAGTCGCGTGAACAGTTATGTAGTATAGTAAATCAAATCGACTTGACGATAGCAGCGCATACATGTTCCCAGGTTGCATCACTTCACTGTGCCTCGATCTCCTCGGCCCAGCGTAGGGCACGTAGTCGTATCGTGTACGCAGTTTTCACGCACTGGCCAAGAATAGCATGACGTAGGGCGCGAATTGGATGAGGGACGATGAGCGTTATCAACCAAGATGGCGCTGTAGATTGATCGCTATCGACTGCGATACGGCAGGTAAACTCGCAAATCTCGACAATGATCTTGCAAATAATACTACAGCATAGGCTATCAGCACTCGCTATTGATACACATTACTATCGCATATGGCCGACAAGATTCCCGCCATCCGTGTAACGGATCCGCAAAGCCGGGATACGGTACCAGAGACGACAGGAGCAAACAGAAGCGAAGGATTCGATTATGCTGCGGGCAGCAGAAGCGCATCGCCGAAAGAGGGTAGGACTCAGGGGAGCGAGGTCACAGAACAAAAGCCCATGCTGACAAGAGGCGCTTCAGGCAGCAGACCAGCAACATCCGGAGGACTGCCAACTCCTGGAAAACTGCTTCGTTCGTTATCAGGCACTTTGTCGAATCAAGAAGAGCCGGTAGCAAACGACAAAGACCCCCTGTCACAAGTAAGAGGCGCAATGCCAGCCCCATCCGGAGTGGAATGTCAACTTACGCGTATCAGCATCTGTTCCGCCGCGTGCGACCAACGTCATCTGGTGCGAGTGCACCCTCCGAAGATCGATCCGACGACAATGCCATTCAAAGATCAAACACGACACTGAGTTCTGCTGGTCGAGAGAAGAAGTAGGCTTGTTCACGCTGTGTGCTAGACGGAAGAGCGATTGGGCTGACGCTGAGATGACAGGAAAGGTGCCTCATTCCTTGGACGACTGCTTGGAAACAAGAAAAAAGAAACCGACGACAATGTTATTGACGACGCTGCTTCCGAGTACAGCAGTCTGCGCCCCGAAGGTATGGAAGCGAACGTCTTCTCTCAGCCCGTCGATAATATCGAGTTCAATCCACGTCATCCTCCACCTCCCGAGTATATAAGAGTCAGGGCGCGGAACAAGAAGGACAAGGACTTCGATCATCTCTTCCTGGCCCAAGAATTGCTGTCTTCACATGTCCATCATGATGAGACGCCGGTATGGGCCATGCAATTCAGTAGAGATGGAAAGTATCTAGCAGCTGCAGGACAGGACAAGATCATCCGCGTGTGGGAGGTCATCAAAACGCCAGAAGATCGCAAATCGTATGCCGAAGAGTCCGACAACAACCATCGTCCACGCTTGAGCGCGCCCGTATTCCGACAGGACCCAATCAGAGAATATGAAGGACATACGTCGACCATTCTTGACTTGAGCTGGAGCAAGAACAATTTTCTACTTTCCTCGTCCATGGACAAGAACGTAAGGCTTTGGCATGTCAGCCGGGATGAGTGCCTTTGTACTTTCAAACACAGCGATTTTGTCACGTCTATTGCTTTTCATCCCAAGGACGACCGCTTCTTCCTCGCCGGTTCGCTTGATTCAAAATTGAGGTTATGGAGCATCCCCGACAAAACAGTTGCTTACTGGAGTCAACTACCAGATATGATTACTGCGGTCGCTTTTACACCAGATGGGAAATCTGCAATGGCTGGCTGCTTCACCGGGCTTTGTATGTTTTACGAGACCGAAGGGCTCAAATATCAAACGCAGATCCATGCTCGCTCCAGAAATGGCAAGAATGCCAAGGGCAGCAAGATCACTGGTATACAATCATTCCAATCTGGTGGGGAAACCAAAGTTCTGATCAGCAGCAACGATTCCCGGATACGCTTGTACAACTTCCGCGATAAGAGTATGGAGATTAAATTCAAAGGGAACGTCAACGATAGTAGCCAGATCCGCGCGGCGATCAGCGATGATGCCAAGTACCTCTTTTGCGGCAGCGAGGACCATAAGGTCTACATCTGGCCAACAGTTCCTGGCGACGGCGACAAGAAGCAGAAGCGGTCGATGGAGACCTTTGAAGCCAGTAATACCGTTGTTACCTGTGTTGCGTTTGCGCCACCAAAGAGCAAGCAGCTTCTGGGCAGATCAGAGGATCCGATCTACGACTTGTGCAATCCTCCTCCAGTTATGCTGATGAGCTCAGCCGAGCGTGCCGGATCTCGTCCCCCCTCTCGAGCACCAACTGAGGATGGAGTCGACACAGAGCCACAACCCCACAAGCGACCAGACGAATCGCCTGCATATCTTGCTCGTTCCACGCATGCGACTGGTAACATCATCGTGACTGCGGATCTGGCCGGCAGAATCAAAGTGTTCAGACAAGATTGTGCTTGGAATAAGCGCAGGACAGAAAACTGGGAAACGTCGTCCGTGTTCTCGAAGCGGAAGCTCGGCCGTACTGCTTCGATAGCTACGAAAGGAAGCAGCCGTAGTTTACGCAGCTCGCATGGTCGTCCTGATGGTCCGGCGGATAGAATCCTGTCGTGGCGGCAAGGCATCTCGAGTGCACCAAACATCGCCAATGGCTCGATCCGCAGCCAGTCACCTCGCAAGTCGACCGCCAGCACCCAGCCACGTCCAGAGTCCAAAGCGTCAATGGCACCACCTCCAGCTACCAAAAATGATGAATCAGGTGGCGCTGACGAAGATGATGATTCACTCATGCTGCAGGGCGACCAGTCAATGCTCTACTGGAGACTGGCTCTCAACTCGGCACGAAACCATCATCAGCAACCACTACCATCACCCCAACCACATTCCGGCAGACCATCTTCGAGCCGCACTGGAAGTTACAACCTTGGCCTACCACATCCGCTCCAGCGCAACCAGAGTGCTGTCAGTAAATTGAGCATAGAGCAGGATAATGCAGCCACGGAAAGTGATTCTGATGCTGCGAGTTTCAAGGATGCACTGCAGGGGCATGAAGAAGAGGTGCATTGTCGCGAGTGTGGAAGTGCGAACTTCCATGTTAGAGCGGTGAAGGGCGGTGGCACTAGACTATGCTGCTCCTCTTGTGGCGCAGCTGCTTAGCCCAGGCGTGATTGTGGTTAGGCGTTATCTTCATGGCAGGGATGATGACGATGACGATCAGAGCTATAGCAATGACTGATGAATCGAATCTCTATAATTTACTAAACTTGTCGGATGCTTCCAGAGTGCGGTGTTCAAGTTGATTCGGGACAGTCGGTGAATGCGTCTAATACAGTGATTGAAACAGGACCAAATTCAACGCAGCTAGGTATCAAAAAGGACAAGTGCAAACATGAAAAATAAAAAAAGTATCCCGGTGTGGAAGCAGAGTGCATCAAACACCTCTGACCACGAGACCTCAGCATAGAAACACCCAAGCAAAGCCATTAATCATGCTCATATCATCTACTCCCATAATGCGTATAGTCCCCGCGTCTTTCGCCAATCCTACCACAGCTCCTATCTGTATGTTTTCAACCTTCTTCAGCCGTCTATGTGGTGGCTACTTCTCTCACGCTCTTCTTGCGAGCCAGCCAATTACCGAGCAGCCCGTCGAGTTCGTCCTGCAAACCCGCTAGCCTGCGGCTCTCATCTGTAAAGAGATTCGCCATGAGCGGATGGTCGCGCGCTACCGGCACGACCGAGCTCTTGTCATGGATGATGACAAGCATGTCGCGTACATCGTTCTCGGCTCCGTCAAGCCATGCCCGTAGACTCGCATCGGACCATGTGTTCAACGTACCTGCAGTCGATGCAGGGCTTCGTGTTGATGCAGGTGATGGAGACATTCTGATCGAAGAACCGTTGGACGGCGTTGTTGAGCTTGCCCTCTGCGGAGGCGATGGCGCACGTCGAATTGGTGGATTCAGTGGCGGCTGTTGAGGCGTCGAGACTCCGCTGGTCACTATCGACTGTCGCTTGGATGCCAGAGGTGTTTGGTCGTCGTCTGTGGTTACCGAGCTCGGGACTTTTTGTATGTGTTTGTCTTCTTCGCGTGTGCCCTCCAGGGATGCCTTGGGTGTATCAATCATGCTCGAGGAGCTCGTCATCTCAGAGCTTTCATCGTCACGCCTCTCCTCGTTCGGGTCATGATCGTCCGGCGAGGATGAGTCCTCAAGGCTGACAGGAATGTGAACCGTCTCAGTGCCGTGCATGAACGCATCACTAGGACTGCCGTCGAGTTCTTTAACTTGAGTCTCCTTGTGATCCTCCTCTTCACTAATCTCGTCAAAGTCGTCGAGCTCAACGCGAGCTTTGGCCTTCTTTGCCTTTTTTGGCTTGATGCTTTCTTGTGAGTCGGTGTGTCGTATCTTATTCGTGATGGACGAAAGCGTATGCGACCCAAGCAATGTCTCGCTCGGGGTTCTTGTCTCCTGTGGGCGCATTTCTACACTGCGTTGTGTAGGGGCATCTACAGTCGAACCTTCAAGTTCGGCGACGAAACTCGTTTGTGGATAATCGTCTCTCGGACGTTGCTGAGCAGGTGTGGCCATAGGCTGCTGGGCAGTAGGCTGAACGACCAAGGGTGCTGGTGCTAAGACTGGGGCTTGAACAGGAGCAGACACCACAGGAGCAGTGTTGACGAGCGAGGCATTTCCGGCTTGAGGTTTCTGCAGCTTGCCCTTCGACTTCTGTTCTGGAGCCGGGAATTGAGCAGAGCGCTCGGCGGGGGAGCCTTTGTTCGAATCGGACGATGTGGATTGCCGAGCAAGTTCAGTCGACAACTTCTCAATGTCGCTGTCCTCATCGACCGAGTTCTTGTTTCTTTTGTCCTTCTTTTTGCTCTTGAAAAGACCACTGAGCATGCCTGGCTTCTTTTCCTTCTTTTTCTTGTCGTCCTTTGACTTGTCTGGTGGAGATGCACTCTTCTCGAGGCCTTCCATGCTGGAGCTAGTGCTTTCCAGAGAGCGGCTTCCATTGCTATTATCCCGCAGCAAGTTTGGCGTAAGAGAGATCTTGAGAGGTTCTGCTCCATCGTCCTTGAGGAAGGAGTCGGCATTCCGTGGCGTCCCCTTGCGAGATGATTTGAGCGGCGCTGCTTCTGGGGCAAAGTTAGCGTCGTGCTGACAGAATGTAGGCCTATGCAATTACCTGTTTTGTCGACCAAAGCAGGACTGCTAAGGGGTTCTTCGGCAGGGGCCTTGATATCGCTGCCGGGACTGGCCAAGTCGGGTGTATCGGCTCTGCCGACTTCGACAACAGTCGTGGTGATGTCTGTTCCGGTTGATTTGTCTTGGTTTGCAGACTTGGAGTCGTCATCTTGTCCTTGCTGACCGCCATTCCCGTACAAAGGTTCGGGCATCAAGCCATCTTCCTCGTCCGATGAGTAATCATAATCAGATGCCTCGACGAATGTAGGAGCTGTGAACTGTACAGTCTTCGCCTTGCGTCGCTTCATGGCCTTCTTCAACGGGTTCTTCGAGTTTTCGGCACTGTCTCCAAGCATTGCTGCAGATAGCTGATTGTGCCGATTAGCCAGCTTTTCAACCCAAAATCTGTCTACATAAACCTACATCGACATTTCTGTGCTTATTTAGACGCGCCAGGCGTTCTGTCGGGGTTTCGATGTGCTCGGCCGGGAGATAGCCTGTGGACTTGTGAGTACGTATAGCTGGGTAAGTATGTGCGAGGCTTACCTATGCTATTGTCCTTGACAATTCTGACGAGCCACCAGTAGCTGTTGCTATCGTCTAGCAGGACCATGGTATCACCCTTTCCAGCATTGGCTTGTCCCTCAACAGTGGCCACGAAGGTGTGTAGGGCATAGACAAAGTCGAAATCGATATCTTCTGTTTCACGTAAGCATTCGCCGCCCCAACCGGAATCGACAAAACGGTCATCAGAGTGAAAGGAAACATCCAGGTCGTCATCATCATTATCATCATCGTTTTCATTCTGTTGCGAGCTTGAGGCAGCCGAGGCGTCACTGAAGGTGCTCCAGGAGGAGGGAGATCCTGTTCGCGTGCCAGGCATCTCGTTGGATGCTGGGCCCGGGTGGAGGTTGGACATGTGCACTTGATCTTCATCATCTTCCTCGAGTATTGCCGTAAGGTCCTCGACGGACTTATGCGACAAATTGTGGCTCGAAACCTTGTGTATACCGGAATACTCATCTTGTGGTCCAGTCTGGTCCATGTAGAAGTCGTCGATGTCGTAATTGTCGGTATGTTGGTTATGGCCGTTGACGTTGGGATACCCACCGGGATACTCACCCGCATGATGATGACGGCTGAACAGAGGGGAGGCCGACAGCGGTAAATGCTTCGGAGAGTGCAGAAAGGGAGAAGACGAATGCAAAGACTCGGCAGGCGAAGCTACGTCGTCGGCGCCCGACTTGACAAGTAGAGGCAGGTGGGCAGGAGTAACAACGAAGGGTGACGAGTCGGGAGAATCGATTGCCTCACAGTTGAGTGTTTGGCGGGGAGGGGTTAAGGAGGAAGAGCGCGGTGGCCAAGCAGAAGAATCAGGGTACGCACCATCGTCGATAGAGGGAGAACTGGAAATGCGGTCGTCGAGCATGTCATCGTCCAAGTCGTCGTCATCGGTCGAGTCGCCATTCTCGTGGTTGTGTGCTTGTAGTTGGTCGTCGGTCAACTCATTGACTTCCACGTCGTCATGGGCGCGGCTCCAAGCATCGTGCAGGTGCTCCTCTTCTTCATGTCTCTCTGCACGGACATGGCGAATCTCGGAGGCCTGGTGTTTGCCAAGGTCCGAAGGTTGAAGCGAGTGCGAGTGGTGGTCTTGGGTCGTGGGAGCGTCTTGGTTTTGGAGGTCGATAGTGTCTGGCAAGGGAGCAAGTTGTCAGTCAAGGTGCAAGGTGTTTGTCCAAAGAAACTTCACACTCACCAGCTCTGACGAGTCCGGGGCGCGTCATGGTTGTCGGCCAAGAAGAGAGCGGTAGAGCAGCAGCGACGACAAGGACGGCGGCAGGTTGGGGGGACGGCGGGCTACGAGGACATTGCGCAATTCACAGAGGCAGTCGGGAACAATTGCAGTCGGGGTGGGCCCAAGTCGAGAGTCGAGAGTCGAGAGTTGAGAGTCGCGCAAGGATGGGAGGGTAGCGGGAGCGTGCCTCGACCAAAGTTGGATAGACGTGCTCAAAAGTCGTTGCGTTGCGTACTGGACTATGGCTGGGCGGGAGTCAAATCAAGGTTGCACTTGTCAACGGCTCGCGAGGTCAAACAATCTTCATGGTCGTCGTGTCAGTGTGCAAGAGATAGTGGCTATATGCGTCGGATCCGCGACAAGTATTATTATTTGACATGGGCTTTGTCGCAACTCGCAACTCGCATCTCGCGACAAACAGGGGTCGCGCGCACTGATGTTCTTGCCGACTAGTCGATTAATTGCCGACCAAGGAATCCACGCAAAACACGATCCCATGCTCACTCTACCACCCGGCCACCGCCCATTTCAATACTTCGGATGCGCAGTCAAACCAATCGCTCCATCACAATCATGTGTCCTGCTATACCTGACAACTGCTTCATGTACAAACCCCTTCCTCTTCCAACTTGCAGCCCATTCAAGCACCTGTTGATCTCAACGGCATCCGGCCCCGACCTAGAATCGAGCCCCAGCCACCCAAGCCGCCATAAAGTAGCACCCGTAAACGCCCCGCAAGCCAAAGTCAATTCAATTCATTCGCCGTTCGTTCATGTCGTAGAAGACGTAAAATGCTTCATCCAGCTCTCGCGCCCCAACACGGCTTCGCACAAGACTCAGCTTGCTGCTGTCCCCGCCCGTTGTATGCCTGCAGCCATTTCTTTTCTCTTGACCAGTACGCTTTTGACCGCTCCCAACCACCGCGCTAGTGCATCGTCATCAGGAGCACACATCCTGTAGTTGCGCTCTTCGGTGATGAGCTGGAGGCAGAATTGCTTGCTTCTGCTGATGGCATTGATCTCGACGGCGTCGATGATGTTGTGGAAAGGGATAAGTAAAACAACCGCGTACTCGTCTTCGTTCTTGTACAAGGCCAATGACTTTGGCCTCAGCACCATCCACAGCTTCTTCCACTGTCGCACTCCCGACTTTGACTTGAGCATGTACATCCATCCTTGACAGATGACTCGTTCGTCATCCTGTTTGACGCTGTGTATACCCGATGTTTGACTGACGTTACGTGGTGCCAACGAGGTGCGGGTGTTGGTACCATATATCGTGTTGGCACCGGCAGGTGGAGGAGGCATAGCTTGCGAATGGTTTTCGGCCAAGGTGAGTGACAGGGATGACATACGAGCCGAAGGTCCTTGTGAGTCGGAAAAGTCCGAGTAGGAGGCGTTCTCAGGTCCCGAGTAGTCTAAAGTGTGTGAAGGTCTGCGCTTGCCGTATAGAGCGTGCTTGGGCCGACGTATCGGGGGATGGTAGACGGGAGTCTCGGCCTCGGAGGAACTGTAGCCCTGAGGGATATCATGATTGATGGGATGATGGCCATGTCTCTCGAAGCCACGATAAGTGCTTTTGGCACCTCCAGGGCTAGCCAAGACCATCTCTTCCTCATGTTGGTCGATCCGCGCCTCACGTCTGATTAGTTGGACCCAATCCTGAGCATCTTGGTCCGAGGCGGCCTCCAGATGGTAATTCCTCGAAGGCGAAAAGAGAGCAAAGACATGTTTAGCCTTGGCTTTGGGGTCCTTTTGACGGGCGATGGCAGTAAGATCCGAGAGGGTGATTTGGTGACGGAGTTTGGTCTCGGCCTTGTCACGATAGATGGAGAGAAGATTGGGCCTTAGCACAATGTAGATGGGCTTCCATGACTTTGTCTTGCGGGTACGCTTGGAGAGCTGGCCGGACTTGATGATGCGGTCGAACTCGAAGCTGCCATTCTGGTTGACGGGAGAGAAGGTGTCGAGAGTGAGCTGGCCTCCACGGAGATTCTGCACCGAGATGGGCAAAGATTGATGGTTCGGAGGGGTGATTTTGATGTTGGAGTGCCTGTCTCCCGGACGAGGGGTAGCGTGGTGATGCGGCGCTTGTGACATGACGGCGGCCATTGCGGTCGAGGCGATGGACTAGACACGGCGCTGGGTCACATATGTTATGTGAATTTCGCTCGGAGGGCAGGAGCGACCATGGAAGGATAAAGGCGGCGGTCGGCAAGGCTGGGGATTGGCGACAACAACAATAAATAAAAGGACTAGGAAGTCGCTCTCTCGGGAATGAGGCCCACGCCGCCGATCGATGGTGACGTGGGCGGGAGAATCAGAGCGCTTTTTCCATCTCTCGCCAGCCCTGCGCCGTCGCTCTCTCTTGCTTTGCTGTTGCTTGTACTGTAGCCAATATTGCCTTTCAATCTAACAAACTCGCCCAGACTGCCTCATCTCGCCTGTCGCCTGCTCCAAGCTCCCGCCGTCGAAGCTCAACCTGAAACAGGTCGTTCAATCGAGGATCGTCATTAGACTGTCGGCCCAGAATTATACTGGAAGCAAAACACTCGATCAACCACCCGCCCGTCGCATCTCCGTCTCGCCATGCCCGTCGTCCCGCCCGAGAAGCTCATCAAGCTCCAGCATGCCGCTGATGGCATAAGGAACATCTGCATCCTCGCCCACGTCGACCATGGCAAGACCTCGCTGTCAGATGCCCTCATTGCTACAAATGGCATCATCTCACCGAAGCTGGCCGGTAGGATACGCTACCTCGACTCAAGGCCGGATGAGCAGCTCAGAGGTATCACCATGGAATCTTCTGCCATCTCACTCTACTTTTCCCTCCTGAAGCGTTCTGCGCCGGACGCTGCTCCCGAACAAAAAGAATACCTTATCAACCTGATTGACTCCCCTGGACACATCGACTTCAGTAGTGAAGTCTCGACCGCTTCAAGATTGTGCGACGGTGCCGTCGTCTTGGTAGACGCCATCGAGGGTGTTTGTAGTCAAACTGTTACCGTTCTGCGACAATGTTGGAACGAAAAGCTCAAGCCTTTGCTTGTCATCAACAAGATGGATCGTTTGATCACTGAATGGAAGATGGGCCCCCACGAAGCCTACATACATCTGAACAAGACTATTGAGCAAGTAAACGCTGTCATGGGTAGTTTCTTCCAAGGTGAGCGCATGGAGGATGATTTACGCTGGCGCGAGAGGGTGGAAGAGCGAGTCAGCGCAAAATCCACGAAAGATGCCGTTGTCGACGATGATACCAGTGTCTCTACCTCTGACATCCCCGCCGAGTACGAAGAGAAGAGTGATGAACATATTTACTTTGCTCCCGAGAACAACAACGTCATCTTCAGTAGCGCCATCGACGGATGGGCCTTCACCCCTCGTCAGTTTGCCGCAATCTACGATAAGAAGCTCGGTATGAAACGCGAGATTCTAGAGAAGACATTATGGGGTGATTTCTATCTCGATCCCAAGACCAAGCGAGTGCTTGGGAGTAAGCACTTGAAGGGTAGGAACCTGAAGCCCATGTTCGTACAATTGGTTCTCGAGCCCATCTGGGCTGTTTACGAAGCGACCACTGGCGGCGACCAAGGAAAAGGGTAAGCTATCATATCCGACTGTCCAACGGAATCTACAGAGCTAACTCTCTACAGTGACCCAGCCCTCCTTGAGAAGATCACTAAGTCTTTGAATCTCACCATCCCTCAACATGTCAAGCGATCACGCGACCCTCGTGCTCTTCTGACTACAGTTTTCGCGAGTTGGCTACCTCTGTCCACTGCTCTACTAGTGTCCGTGATTGAACATCTGCCATCTCCTGTCAATGCCCAAGCAGCACGCATTCCACCACTCCTGGAGGCTTCACCAGGTGCTTCTCACATCGACCCGAAGGTGACTACTGCTATGACAGAATCTAGAAAGTCGACAGAAGAGCCCGTCGTGGCATATGTCAGCAAGATGGTATCGGTTCCTGAGAGTGAATTGCCAATCAATAAGCGCCGTGGTGGTGCACTTACTGCAGAAGAAGCTCGCGAGTTGGGTCGCAAGAAGAGAGCTGAAATTGCCAAGGCACAGGCCCTTGCGAGCGGCGAGAACGCCGACGTGGACGCTGTTGCTGATGCCTTGAGCACAGTAGCCATCGGTGAGGACGATGCTGTCGACTCTACACTCAACGACGAAGAAGCAGGGCAAGAAGAACGAGAACATTTGGTCGGTTTCGCGCGTCTGTACTCTGGCACCTTGACAGTTGGACAAGAAGTCTATGTCTTACCGCCCAAGTTCACACCTGCCAACCCAAGGGCCGCTCCTGAGCCGAAAAAGGTTACGATCACGGCTCTTTACCTTCTCATGGGTCGCAGTTTAGAAGCACTCAATTCTGTCCCAGCCGGATCCGTTGTCGGTATCGGTGGTCTTGACGGTGCCATTTTGAAGTCCGGCACTCTTTGTTCTCAGCTTGATGGTGCTCCAAATTTGTCATCATCATCCGCCATTAACACCAATGCTCCCATCGTTCGCGTTGCAGTCGAGCCCGCATGGCCTGCAGACCTGGACAAAATGGTCAAAGGCCTGCGTCTGCTCGAACAGGCTGACCCCGCAGTGCTTTATGAGCAGCTCGAAAGTGGCGAGCATGTTATCCTTACTGCTGGTGAATTGCATCTGGAGCGTTGCCTGAAAGATCTTCGTGAACGTTTCGCAAAATGCGATGTTCAAGCTGGAGAGGTCATTGTGCCTTACAGAGAAGGCATCACCAATTACGTCGCGTCGTCGACCACAGAGAACAGAGAAGAGATGAACGCCCCTAAGTATCCCGAATTAGGAAGAGGCAGGGTTGACGTTACTACCACTAGCAAACAGATCACAGTCCGTCTGAGTGTGCGACCCCTGCCTGAGGCTGTCACGCACTTCCTGGTCAAAAACACAGCTGCAGTCAAGAGTCTGTATTCCGAGAGGAGAGCCGAGCAACAAGATTCTCCTGTTGTAGACGGGGTTGAGGAGACTGAACATGAGGCTGGCAACGATGTGGGCACTGTTGAACAGGGCCGAACACTGTCCATGGACGAGTTCAAGTCGCGATTGAGTTCAGCATTCGCTGAAGTCAAGGGTGAAGAAGAGCTATGGCAAGATGCAACTGAGAAGATTGCAGCCTTCGGACCTCGCAGAACAGGTCCCAACGTTCTTATCGATGCCACTCAAGGAGGCATATGCGGCAAATTGTAAGTGCAGGTCCAAATGCCTTTGACTCATGGGTACTAATTCTGCCCGCAGCCTACGCGACGTGCAAGAGGAGACTGTTGAGACTAACGATGCTGACGCTCGTCCTGATCAGCTCCGCGCCCGGGACTTTGTCGACAAGATCAACTATGCATTCCAACTCGCCACTAATCAGGGTCCTCTGTGTAATGAGCCTATGCAAGGTGTTGCAGTCTTCGTTGAAGGCATTACGATCAACAAGACCGATGATGAGCAGCAGAACATGGGCCGTCTAACTGGAGAGGTCATCAAATCCACACGTGACAGTATTCGTCAAGGTTTCTTGGACTGGAGTCCGCGTCTGCTACTCGCCATGTACAGTTGCGAGATCCAAGCTTCTGCAGAAGTATTGGGACGCGTGTACGCAGTCATCACTAGACGCCGTGGACGCATCATCTCAGAATCGCTTCTTGAACCCTCACCCAACTTCACCATCTTGGCCCTGTTACCCGTGGCCGAAAGTTTCGGATTCTCGGACGAGATTCGCAAGCGAACATCAGGCGCAGCCAGCCCTCAGCTTGTCTTTGAAGGCTTCGAGATGCTGGACGAAGATCCCTTCTGGGTACCGAGAACTGAGGAAGAAATCGAAGACCTTGGAGAAAAGGGTGATCGCGAGAATGTCGCCAAGCGCTATGTCGACACTGTTAGAGAACGCAAGGGACTCTTTGTTCAACGAAAGGTTGTAGAGCATGGAGAGAAGCAAAAGACACTGAAGCGCTGAAGCTTGAGAGCAAGACATCACATATGTTGCCATGTGATCAGCTGGATTTCGACTACATTCAAGCCTAAAAGATGGTCAGGTTCTACCAATCGGCCACTTATGGTTTACATGACAGTTTGCTACAAGAGCCTTCGGGGCCTCCCTAGCTATAAAGATCTTCGCTGCCCGTCAAGGTCGATGATACGGCTTCATGGCTAGAGATGAACTTTACAGGCGCCCTGGGTTCAGCTCAAGAGGTGATGTGAGTGCCAAACTCTCTTTGAGACTCAATATCTTGTCTGCGAGAAGGTTCTCGCGATTCAACCGACCGAGAAGGAAGGAGTCAAAGTTGCTTACTTCATCTGGTTAGTTCAGCAATATCTTCATTCCTAGGCGACTACGTCCCTGCCTCAACTGAGCAATGCATGGTTCATAAACAAAACTTATCTATTCGTTACACCTATCTCGAGACTATGCTTTCCATTGCCTCTTGTTCCCTATCCACCTGACCACGTACACTAAACCTAGCAACACCGGCACCTCGATCAGAGGACCTACGGTCGCCGCGAGCGCTTGGTCACTATTGGCCCCATACGTGGCCGTCGCAACAGCAATCGCCAATTCGAAATTGTTACTCGCAGCCGTAAAACTCTGTGTCGTCGCCAACTTGTACCCGAATCCAAGTTTATGTGTGACCCAAAGGGTGAGACTGAAGATAACGAAGAAGTACACGATCAAAGGTGCTGCGACTCGCACGACCGAGACGATTTGGTGGACTACACGATGGCCTTGTGATGCGAACAAGACGATGATAGTGTAGAGCAGGCCAATCAACGACCATGGTGCTATCCATTTGATGAATGTCTGGTCGTACCAAGTCGGCGAAATCCTGCGGATGGCGAGCCGAGTGACAATGGCTGCGGCTAGTGGGATGCCGAGGAAGGCAGCAACACTGGTGGCTACTGTTGAATATGAAGGCGTGATTCTCGAGTCGGGGTCGCTGATGACTTTGATGAATAACACAGAAATCGGTGCAAACAAGACCATCTGGAGGATCGAGTTGATGGCAACCAGGATAGCGCAGTACTGTCATTGAGTGTTAGCACAGAGTCAACAAGGACGAGCGCTTGCTAGCATACCTGAGAGTCTCCACCTGCTAGACCAGTCCAGATAAGTACCATGGCGATGCAACGAGCCACGCCTACTAGGATCAGTCCTTCGCGAAGACCACCCTCATCCGGAAGAAATGCCCATGATAATCCTAACATCAAGAAAGGAGCGACGATCCAGTTTACAATGATGCTGAATCCAACTTGTATCCAGAGCTGCTTAGTCTTGAATGCGAGATGTAATGTCTCGTACTGGACTTTGCACAGGATCGGATACATCATGACTAACAGGCCGACGGCTTCATGGTTGTCAGTACATTGCTCGACTTATACCATGATCATACAGAAACTTACCGATTGGTGCTGATACGCCAACGAATTGTCCCTTTTCAAGAGCTGGACCTGTGCTAGGAACGAAATTTCCTAATAAAATTCCTGGCAGGGACATTAGTCTAGAGTTTCTCGTAAGCTGTCGGTTTCAATCTTACCTATTGCCATGGCTAGGAGAATCCATATTGCCAAGAAGCGATCCAGCCATCCTAGACCTTTGAATGCAGAGACCTTGTCCGGAACAATCTCTTTCTCAATCTGTTGTCTTTCTATATCGTCTGGAACCACAGAAGGTATTGCTGAAGACATGTCATCCTCTTCCCGAGATGCTGTTGTTGGCCGAGCACTGTGGTGAATTGGCCATTTCGGCATTCTCAAGACGTTGGATTTTCTTCTTGTGACGACGTCGAGGCGATTATAGCAAATGTACGACGACTTTGTTCCCAAAATTTCTGACGCCTGTTTTGAATGTACGGTATGGCTAAAGTGATGTCTCTTGCCAAAGAATAGACGATATGCTCTTATTTTATCTATCAGGATCTAGCCAAGAGGGTTGTCTCGCCTCATCCAATCACCAGCCAGCAATGACACTTCCCCACACTCCAAAGTCGGAACATCCCCAGAGCCAATCGATGCTTTGCGATGACACTATTCGGATCTCGAGAGTCATCGTCTTCTTGATCGTCATCCGGATCTCGACATGCCGTACGTTGTCAATAGTTAAGAATTACAACTGTTGTCAAACACGTGTTTGCCCTGTTGTCGTGTCGCGTCCAATCACCAGATGCGAATGACTTCAAGCCGATTAATGAGAGTGACATGCCGTTACATGAATGTCGCTTTGAAGGCGGAGATGACTTCCCAGTGGCCCTCGATTGGACAGCCAAATTTACAGCGCATGGGGCACAGCAACTAGTCGCGTGCTTCTCATAGTAATAAACTGTCTTGGCCCGTATTCATAGAGCACCAGCAGACTACTTCCTCGACAAGATCTGTCTCGCTTCACTCTTACAACTGAGGCAATACTCCGCAAACTCATGTCCTAGTCCACTACCATCATCGTCTTGCGTTTGGTCTTTGGCGAACCCGCCACTTTTGTTGCGCTCTTGCATCATGGTCTCGACCTTGCTGCACTTCTTTTCTTCTTCCAGCACCCAATCTTCCCACTCGGCATGGACCACCTCCTCTTCCACTCGGTTGACAACTCGAAGCGCGACCAACAGATCATGTCGGTATCTCGCAAGAGAATGTCGCGTCCGCTGAAGCCTTGCTTCTGAACGTCTGCCCGAGCCCTTGGACTCGACATCGCCTTCGAGCTCGGACGAAACAAGCATATCGTGGAATGTACCATGACACGTGTTCCACCCTTGGTCGCTCTCGTCGGAGATCGTGTGGTTTACTCTGATAGTACTTATAGTGGAAGGAGTGACGAACTCCTCGATATCGCTCAAGTATACCGCTCTAGTGACAGTAGGGTCTGGCTTAACACCAAGTCTGGCCATGACCTTGCCAGCATTGCGTTCATCGTACCATGCAATACCATCTCGGTATCCATACCAAGTATTGTAGGCTGCACTAGAGGCAAGAAGTAGGACTAGAATCTTGTGTGCTGTTACAGCACCGGCAACAGATTTTGCGATCGAGATGAAGATGTCGATCAACATAGTGAACAGACGGAATGCTTGAGCAAGCGCTTCGTCGGTGTAGAGATCGTAGAGAGTACGGATCTTGACTCGCCGTCTCGTGCGACTGATGGAAGTAGTTGGCAGGTCGGATGCTGAGACCTGACTTGTTTGCGTACTTTGGCCGACTGAACCAAAAATCTGTGCAGCTTTATTTGTGCTGTGAGCGCCGAGTTTCGCAACCTGATCTGTAATCACAGCAGCTAGGTCAACAGCATCAGCATGGTAGTCGCGTAGAGCTTGCTTTTGTACCAGGCGGTGCGATGGCGAAAGAGTCTCACTCGAGCCAGCATCGCCATTCCATACCACTTTGTTGAAAATGGCAAGCTTGCACTTGGACTTCGCCGAATGCGTGATAACGAACTTGCTGAGTAGGAGGAAGCTTTTAGACATTGGTAAATGCCAAGGCGATTGTGTTTGGGTCACAACATAGCAGAGGTGATCATTGGACACATCGAGAGTTTGTCTGTCGGTTTCTTGGTCGGAGCCAATGGTGCAGATCAGCTGTCTCGCTAATTGCCCGTCTTTCGGTTGCGTCCATGGAGTTTGGAGGATATCTATGGTAGTGAGTCAGCACATGGTAAGCTTTAGGCAATCTCAATCTACTGACTGTCAATTGGGCGGTTCTTGTACAACATTTGGAAGACCGCGCTCCTGTCGCCAAACATGACGTGGAACAAGGCCTTTGCGCTGATACCGAAGTCTTGTGCAATAACGGCATCCCCCATATCCTTTGGTTTGTAGAGTACGGGCTGAGATGGTAGCTTGAACTTGGTGACTTCTCTGCCGGTCCGTGCTACAGACTCGCCATACAGAGTCCCATCAATTCGCAGATTTGCTCTCAGATCTCTTGAACGGCGTCTTGTGACTCTGAGATCGCTGTCTGTAGGAGAGTTCAGATCGTCGTCCCAGTCCTGTTGATTGGATTGTTCCTTGACGTCCTCTGCTGCTATCCTGGAGAACGATGCGAATACATCTTCCAGCGAAGTGCTATCACCCGAGTTTGCAGAATGCACCAGATAGTCGAGCCTACGTTGTAGTGGCCTTAGCACGTCCAAGAAAGTCTTGACCGTAACACGCCTGAAGTCGGTTTTGCTTTCCTTGAGATGTAAAAACAGATAGTCGCACTCACTTTCGCGTCCTGGAGCTGCAGTGACTTCTGTGATTGACGACAAGCTTATCTCGGCAACAAGAACCATGCCAAAGTGGTTGCTGTAAAAGTAGATCTTCTCAGTAGTCACATAGATGCGCCCTGGGAATTCTTGTTGATCATTCGGATTCCACATTGCTGTGAAGACAAGAACAACCTTCTCGGAGCGTGGTACAGATGAGAATAAAACGTGAAACTCTGCGTCATGTTCTTTGAGCACAAGCACATCGTCAGTCTTCAAGGAGACGGGGTATTCTGTTTGGCGATCCTCCCAAGGGGCAATCTGTAGGCGAGAGTGTGACGGCGAATCGAGAGCATCGCCCGCACTAATAGTCTTACGGTGGGAAATTCGGACCGGTGTCACGTTAGGCCCAATCTCTGCGATCTTCAGGTCTTTTGGTGCTTCCATACCCTCAATAATCGCCATATCGTCATGGTACTGACCGCTAGGCTTCACAGCGGTTCTCGGTATCAAGCCAGACTTCGGTTCGTCGCGGCCGAGTCGATTGATATTTACCCAATTGGAAGAACCCCAAAGATTCGCCATGAGACTGCTAGGCATGGCTGAGGTATCAGATCTGCCGCTTGAGACACGTTGGCCACTTACCGCAACAGCCCTTCGGCTGAGATTGGTAGGGGCAGGGGGGTTCGCAAGAGTGACGGGAGCGAAACTACTTGTCGCGGGCATGGTGAATGAGCGGTGATGTTCTCCTGGTTTTGGTGGATTTGAGGCTGGGCCAGGACCAATGGGAAGGATGCTGTGGCTAGCTGAGAGCAAGCTAGCGATACCACCAGCCGGAGAAGGCTGATTTGCAGAAGACAGCGCTGTGGCTCTTCTATGCAGATCAAGCTTTTGTATGATGCGGTTAGCTGTATCTCGGCTACCTTCAGATTCTACCACGGTCGATCGTCTTGAAGGGTTGACATCAAAACTACTTCTGCTCGCTAACGCGAGTTCGGCTGGAGATAAGGAAGCGCCAAACTCGTCAGTTGAATGAGCCAGACTATCAGTCAGCTTCGCAGCAAAGGATGGATCAACGGGAGGACTGATAGCGAAAGCAGGGTCAGAACCGGGGGTTGGAGTGGAAGAGGTGCCTCTTGGCTCCTCGAGAGCTTTGCGTTTTGCACTCTCGAACGCATTTATCCACTCCAGTAGCTCTCCTTGAGTTTCGGCCTGCAAAATGATGCTTGTGTCCTTTGTCTTGATCTCGAAACAAAACCTGCGCTCTTCTTGAACAGCGGGACGTACACTGCAGAGCAGAACGCCGATTTTTTCACTTTCCTCCACACCACCAGATATACTACCTTGTACTAGCCAGCCAAAGATGCCATTCTTCACTATGAACCAGCGTCGTGACCATGAAGGTCTGGCAGGCTTTGGAGGAACGGTCTTCAAGAAAAGCCAGCCTTGTTTTTCGGGCTTTGTGAAGACGGGCTTGACAGGCGAAGTAGGGGCACCAGAGCCCAGATATGGCACAGTGGATACAGCGTAGTCATCCATCTCACGTGAGGGGCGGGCTTTGGTTTCTGCCGAGTCTTCGAGCTGACGACGAGCAAGCATCAATTCGCGTTTGAAGGCCGATTCAGACTCATGCATGACCTTGCTCCAACCACGGATGCGCTCCAGTTCCGAGCCCCACTTCTGGAAGTTGGCGGAGGTAGCATCGCGATAGCCACGAAAGTCCTTCCAGCGATCAGAGAAAACCTTGATGAGCAGTTGGTCGAGCGAGTTACGGAGATTCGGGGCCATGATGCAGTAGTCCATGGAGGCCCTGAGATAAGCTTTCCGGTCCTCATGCAGCTTGAAGGCGTCCTCCCGAAGCGAAGAGGCCTCCTTTGTCTTTGCCTGGGCAAGATATCTGGTCATCTCAGCGTCAAATATGGCCTGAGTTCTCTCCAGAGCCTTGCGGGCTTGGTTGAATTGACGTAGAGGACTGTCGGTACCATCAATGAAGCGCAAGAGTGGCTCAATTAGGGTCTGGCGTGAACGAGCTATGTTGTTGAAGACCCAATGCAAATAGTGAGTGGTGTTCTGGCTATAGCGCGTGATGGCCAGCAAGGTGTAGTCATGGTCGAGAACAGCCTGACTGAGGTTCTCCGGCGGCGGCGGTGGGAAATGGTCAAAGTTGTCAAACTCTTTCTGGATCTGGGCGAAGCGGTCGGTGAACTTCTGAGACTGCTTGACATAGTCACGAAGCCATCTTTCTATGCCCTCGACCTGATTGGCATAATGCACGGCGACGGCGCGGAAAGTGGGCGAGTCGAGAGCAGCTTCCTTCAGCTGGACTGGTACGAGATCCAGCGGACGGCCAATAGGCTGTAGACTGGGCTGAAGGTTGTTGTCGGCATCATCTGTGGCGGCCATGGCAGACAGCTAGTCGACGAAGGACGGGTTCATGGGTGGAGTCGTCGAGGAACAGGGCGAGTGTATGGAAGGGACAGGTCTGAGGATCTTGAGAGCAAGCGTATTGGAATACGGCTACGACTACGGCACTGTACAGAATTAGATTACAACGACGCGGACATGACCTTGGGCACGGGTCTTTTGTGTTTTGCTCGGAAGGTCCTAGTCAGTGGTCACTCCTGCCTCGCTCAGCCTCATACGACACTCGAACTTGGCGCCGTCCAACTGGCAACGAGCGGAGCCGCTGCTCGGGAGTGCTCGGACCTCCCGCGCGACTGACTGGCGCGGGTATATTGTAGACCGTCGTGATTGAATATTCATCTATCTCAGACCCTGCCAAATTCTATGTCGCCGTCGTCTGCGCGATCCTATTTTTCCACAAGACACCCAACACGGCCGCTATGCCTCGCAAAATGAAGAACAAGGCCGCCGTGCCTTCGGAAGAACATCCTTCCAAGCGTACAAAGCTTTTCGACGACGATGCCGCTTCAGACGACGACGCTGTTAACCTCACCATCAACGAGGAGTTTGCCAAACGCTTCGAACACAACAAGAAGCGCGAGGAGAAGCAAAGACGTGTGCTCTTCCTGCATTCCGTGATCATTCCAGCTTTCTGACCTGTCACAGTCGAGGAGAAATACGGAGACGAAGCCTCTGACGACGAGTCTTCTACCGACGAAGGCGAAGATGATGCCGCCGAATTAGCCACTGCCGACCTGGACAACGAGATCTTTGCGACTCTCAATGCCATCAAGAAGAAGGACCCTCGCGTTTACGACCCCAACGTTACTTTCTACACACCTTTCGAAGCCGACCAAGCCAACGCCGACGCTTCCAAGAAGGAAAAGCCCTTGTACTTGGCTGACTACCATCGTCAAAATCTCCTGAACGGCAACGCCCAGGTCGATGAGGATGAAGACGCTCCCCCACAGACATATGCTCAAGAGCAACAAGCTCTCAAGGATGACCTGATCAATCAGATGCATGCCGCTGCTGATGACCAGGAAGAAGGCGACGATGAAGACGACTTCCTGGTCAGAAAGCCAGGTCAAACTCCTGCCGTCAAGGACACCGCCCGCCCGAAGATTACCGAACGCGATATTCAGGTTGCCGACAAGGACCCAGAGACCTTCCTCTCCAATTTCATGCAATCCCGCGCATGGGTGCCTGATGAGAAGTCACGTTTCGATGATGCTTTTGATTCGGATGACTCCGAGGACGAGAGACGCGCCGAGATGTTCGAGTCAGCTTACAACATGCGCTTCGAGGATCCCGCAAAGGCCAATGAGAAGCTCATGACCTTTTCTCGTGATGTCGCCAAACTGAGTGCTCGTAGAGAAGAGAAGAGCGGCAGAAAGAAGCAGCGTGAAAAGGAGCGTGAGAAGAAGGAGGCCGAGAAGCGCGAACGCACAGAAGACAAGGCCAGACTCAGAAAGCTCAAGATCGACGAGGTTGAAGAGAAGGTCAAGAAGATCAAAGAGGCTGCTGGCCTTAAGAATCAAGCTCTCGATCTTGGCGAGTGGAAGCAGGTCTTGGATGAGGATTGGGATGACGACCAATGGGAACAGGAAATGAAACGTCGCTTCGGTGACAATTACTACGCCGATAAAGATGGCATCGTCGAAGATGATGCCGAGGAAGAAGATGACGCGGAAAGCTCCAAAAAGCCCTCAAAGCCGAAATGGGACGACGACATCGACATTGGTGATCTCGTGCCAGAATTTGACGAGGAGGCAGAGGCAGCCAAACTCAAATCCGAGCTGGCCGGATCAGATGAGGATGAGGAAGAGGAGGATGAAATGGCAGAGGACAACGAAGACGACAACATCATCGCTCCTGATGGTGTCAAACGCAAGACCAAGAAGGACCGACTGAAGGAGGCTGCAGACAAGAGACGTGTGGCTCGCAAAGAACGCATGGCCATTGAAGAGCTTGTAGATGCAGACTTGACAGCCGATCTTCCTTCGACCAAGACGGCCGGCTTCCGTTATCGCGAGACTTCACCAACCTCATTCGGCTTGACGGCACGCGATATTCTCTTCGCCGACGACACTGCGCTGAACGAGTATGCCGGTCTGAAGAAACTGGCAACGTGGCGTGATGATGACAAGAAGAAGAAGGACAAGAAGAAGCTCGGCAAGAAGGCCCGTCTACGACAATGGCGCAAAGAGACGTTCGGCAACGAAGATGGCTTTACAGGTGGCTTCAAGGAATTCTTGGGCGAGGAGACACCGGCACAGGGCAATGTTGACAGTCAAGGTGGAAGCAGAAAGAGAAGAGGAAAGAAGCGCAAGGCCGAAGCCTGATTTGCATAATAATACCCTGTACATGACAGCATCTTAAACCACTTTATCCTTCATCGTCTGTGGACTCGGCCTGGTGTCTTTGAAGCTGGGAAGCTCTTCCAACATGTCGCAGTGCTTCTTCAGGGCGGGATATCTATCGGCCCAAGCATGATCTGGCCATCGACATGCCATGTATCCGCACACAGATGCCACAGCGATATCCGCTAGCCCGAGTTGATCTCCTACAAGATATTCGCCTTGTTTCTGTTCGGCCCAGTCACCTAGTGCTTTGAGTCCACCTTCCACTTTCCTCATCTGTCTGTCGATCCATGGCTGAGATTGCTTCTCTGGGGCTCTCATCTTCTCGAAAAAGGCTAACACGAGGGCATCGCATATGCCATCTGCTACGACCTGTATCTTCTTGGCAAACAGTCTGGCATCGAGCTGGTCGTGAGCAGGGAGAAGAGGTTTCTCGGGGTATTTGGCCTCGAGCCACTCGAGGATATAGCTAGATTCGAAGACAGCCGGACTTCCGTCTTCGGGAATCAGTACAGGCAGCTTTTCGAGAGGGTTGTACTGGGGAGTCTGGGTTGTGCCATCCCAAGGAACTTCGGTCTGGAGAGTAAACGGCAATTGCTTCTCGGCCAAAGCGATGCGAACTTTACGAGCATAGGGCGATGGCGTTGCACTGATCAGAGTAAACATGATGGGGATTGTCAGGATGTCACAATAGCATGTCCCTTGTTGAATTATATATTTTCCAATGATTGCTCAGAGCCGAGGCGTGCATGAATTGCGGGGCACTCGAGGGTCGAGGGTCGAAGGCTTCAAGCGCCCGCCCGCATCTGGACCAAGGACAATCAATGCGCTCTCGCAACCATGCGCAGTCTCACGGAACTGATTCGAGAAATACCTCTCACTGAAGAAGACACGCCCGAAGACATTTTTGCTTCGGCTCCTGGCTTCCTCTTCACCGACGACCTGCGCAATCAACATGGCGACCCGGGATCCATCATCGTATACAAAAGCCAGCGCTTCGGCGACATATCCCTGACGACTGCAGACCCAAACGGCGAGGAAGAAAGGACGCTGTTCAGCCACTATCTGTGGAATGCTGGAATTCTGATGGCTGAGCGCGTGTCTGGCCAACGCTTGTTGAATGAACAAGAAGAAACGCAGTGGAGCGTTGAAGGACACAATGTGCTCGAACTCGGTGCAGGTGCGGGCTGAATGATACGAGATTAAGAGCAAGGACTGATGGATTACACGGCAGGCGTGGGCCTTGTCGGCATCGCTAGCACTCTTGCAGGCGCCAGCGACGTATGCTTGTCCGACTACCCGGCAGAGGTTGTGCTCGACAACATTAAGCGCAACGTCAAGGAAAACATACCGGAGTCACTCACACCAAATGCGAGAGTCGAAGGCCACGCATGGGGCGTCTTGGACGATGACTTTGCCAAAGCACATTATCGCAAGTTCAATCGAGTCCTGGCTGCAGACTGTTTCTGGATGCCATGGCAGCACGAGAACCTGGCATTGTCGATGCTTCACTTTCTCTCAGACGACCTGGATGCTCGCGTGCTTGCTATCGGAGGCTTCCATACAGGACGAGCAAAGCTAGCAGCCTTTTTCGATGTGGCCGAGGAGCAGGGACTGGAGGTTGAGGAGATTTATGAAGAAGATGCTGAAGGTACACGAAGAGACTGGGTCAAGGAGAAGGATGGCGGGAGGGAGAACGTGACCGAACGTAAGAAGTGGCTCACTATTGCCATCTTGCGACGAGGAAAGCAAGAAGCACTTTGAGATGCCGCTGGCATATCTGATCGTAGGCCGGAAGGACGTTGGTCACTTATTAGACTCTGTGTAAAAGTTGTGTTGCACCGTCAGATCACTCTGAGCTGCCAAGTGCATTCACAGTCATTTTGTTCGATTGCAAATGTCATCATCGCAGAATCGCAGACGAATGACTACGACCCTGGCCGGCAGATGGCATTGGGCAGGCACGCATCCACAGCGTCGATGCGCAATCAAGGTTCGAGGAAATGAACCAGGTACTTTTATCGTGCATGGCTTGGTATCGGATATAACACGAGAGTAAGGTGATGATGCTGCAAATCGAGGTGGCTGGGAGTGTTTTGACGCTTTGACGACTGGGCACATGCGGTCGTGGTTCCCGAGCAACGGGGCGGAAGGGGTGGAGAAGCGCTCAACGACAACGAGTATACCACGACCCAAACCTATCTCTTGCAGCCTTGCAGGGAGCATACTGCAAGCGTTTGTTGTGCGACAAGCACGAGGTAATCAACAGACTGAATCAAAAACAACACTGTAGATGGTGTACAATAGATAGTAGGTAGTTGTGTCGGTCCCCCCCCTTCCAGCCTGCGTGTTTTCTGGCGGCACCACCCCCCATCACAATCTGCAGCATCCGACCAACCACCTCGCGTGTGAAAGCCACTACTGCTTCGTTGTTAACTATTCCGCCTTTCCTGTTTGTTCCTGCTCTTATCACACACGCCGTTTGTTTTATCTACCCACCCCTCGTCCACCGCGCACAATGTTCTTCAAGCGCCTCTCACGCTCGCGCAGCAATTCACAAAGCTACATTGACACGAATTACTCGCCGCACGACAGCAAAGCTGCTTACGACGACGAATACGATAACCGTCCTGACTCTGCGCGTGGCCCTCCGACCAAGTCTGCGTCACTCAAAGAGGGCTCCATGTTTGCCCAACAGCCTCAGCCAATTGACAGCTTCAACACTCCCCCAATGTCACGACCTGGCCCTCAGACAATGTCCAATGGCTTCGGTGCTGGAGCTCCCACAAAGCCCTCGTCAACCTCTGTTCCCATCCAGCCTGAGCCCATGCCCGATCTCCTAACGCGTGCCTTTAACGAAGCCGTGCGTCCTTACACCAATCGCGTCGAAGAGCTCGAGAATGAAGTCGCCGATCTCAAGGCTTGGGTTGAGCAGCTGGAAGCTCAGAGAAGGGAAGTCCACGCATGGATTGACAAGCGTGGCTTGAGACCTGGTATGTTGTCGAGGTCGCTGCGGGTATACTGGCATCCGCTGACTCTCTTCAGATGTTCCTCCAAGCATCGCTCAACAGATGGATGCATCTAACCCCCACAACCCCACTGCCGCAGCTTCAACCCTGAACGCACAGCTTGACCGCAAGATCACCATCGTCAATTTTGATCTGCACCGCCTTCAAGATGACCTTAACGACTCCCTGCCCACTCCCTCCTTCAGCGCCTGCATGCTCAAATTCTTGCCCGACATCAGCCGCCTGGCCGCACTCCCTTCAGGTCCCAAGTTTGCCTTTGACCTACTTCTTAAGCTAGGAGGCAACCTCAATTCCCATGGCGGTCTTGAGAACGGCGACGAAGAGGACCTGCGTGAGCGTAGATCATTCTACGCCCGTCTCGACGAGGCCATGGTCGACATCGTGCGTGGTCGTTTCAGAGAGGAAGGTGAAGGCTGGGGTGTGGCCAGAGAGATCAAGCGCATCGAGAAGACCGGCGCCTACCTACGCAATTGGGGCGTAGAGCCCTACTTCCCTCACACTCTGGATGTTATGAGGGATGCTTCTGGTGTCGCTGGCGCCGGCGTCTATCATGGTGGTGGCACTCCTCCTGCTTATCAATAAGCGGGTTTTCTGCCCAACGAGCGACAAGTCTCACGGCGTACTGGGTTTCAACGGGCTTTGCTTGCCTTTTCTGCTGACAATACCCCCTTTCTGTTTCGATTACCCTTCTGTGCTTTGCGCTGGCAAAGGCATGGCGATGACTGCACGAACTCTTCCCCCTTACTTAATTCTACTGTACCCTTAAATATTGGCAGGGACGAAGATAGCTAGCTCTACATAGTGGACGAATGATAATGTTATCACACTGACTCGGTTGGAACCTCCATAGTCATATGAGTCGATTACAGTTAATGTACATATATGTTCCATCACATCTCCATGTCAAGGAGAAGATGTCTGTTGTCTATTCTGCCTTGACGCCATTGATCTTGCCATTGCTAGACGGAGCACGCTCGACTTCGTCGTCAAACTCGATGCCACGAACAAAGGCTTCACTGACCATCTCGAGACCGGCAACAAAGACGCACAACGCACTAGCAATGACAAAGACACTGATGCTCTCGCCAATCTCAAGCCAACTTCCCTCGTCACGTACGCTCCAGAAGAATCTTAGCGTCAACCAATCACCAATCGCAATGACCAACGCAAACAAGGCGCCAGACTTGAGTCTGAGGCGACGGGTCAAGAGGCCTAGGTTTGCCGACACAAGTGCGAATGGTGCCAATATCTTCAAGATGAGTAACGCACCCTGTGAAAAGGGGTCGAACACGGGAATGAGTCGGGAGACGGCATCCAGACTGAACGATGATATCGAAGCGATGTTGCCGGTACTGAAAAATGCGGATTGTAGCAGATAGAGGAAGAACAGGGCGATGCGTGCGTCGGCCAGAGTCAGTGAACGATATTCGTGCTTCTCGAGGACAATCTCAGAAGCAGCGCCGGTGGGTGACGATAGAGAACTTTTGGTCGTAAAGGCACGGTAGATCCGGTGTTCAAGTCTTACCCAGGTGATCAGGGTGCAGCTGAAAGCAAGGTAGAAGAGGCCCTCGTAACTGATGGTGAGGATGACGAACATAGGTGCAAATGCAAGAAAAACAACCACTATGCGATGGAGGTAGTGGTTGTTCGGCGAGTATGAATGAGCAAATGGAAGGATCAGAGACGAAACAAGCACGATCCAACCAGTGACTTGCGCACCGAGGGGTAGACCAGTCTTTGCCTGCAACGAAGTGGCACTGGAACGTGTGACAATCATAGCCAGGGCGATGAGGCCGATTTGAACACCAGTAAGGATTCTGGACACCTGGTCTGTCCTTGGTGCAGTGAGACCACCCTTGCTTGAAGTGGCTTGCACAAGCAAGCTCTTCTCGAACGCAATATACAGGATACCGGCCAGGAGCATAAGCAAGCCTCCCAAGAGGATCAAGTTGACATCCTCGACCTTGTTAGCCGGCAGAACGGTGAAGATGCTCATTGAAACACAAGCCAATGCCCAGGTGGCAGAGATGATCCAGTTTTGGCGGACAAATTCGAGTCCATACGAAGCTGGCCAGACAATGGCCAAAAGGTAACAGAGCGTGTACATCTCGCGGCGATAGTAGCTCTGCACCATAATTTCAAGAATGCCAACATAGACCAGCAGACTCACTCCAAGCCCTAATATGTCAGTTCCCGATAGCTTTTGAGAGAACAGATTCTTGGCTTTGAAGAGCGCCTGCCGGCGAGCGAAAACTTCCTCCCAGAACATGACTGGAAAAAAGGCGTATGCGTAGTAAGTCCAAGGAGAAGATTGGACGATCAAGAATGCAAGGAGTGCGATGAAAATGGATGAAAAGACCGTCGTAGTCGCAGTAGACCGAGTTGCGTCGACTTTACCGTCAAATACATGCTGGTCTAGAGCGAATGTAAATGCAAAAGCCATCCAACCCAGATATCCCAGAGTCACCAAAGCACGCAAGAACAGCCAATCATAGGTCTGGAGATATCTCAGTCCCTGTAATGCCATCTTCATGAGAGCATCAGAGTCTTTGATAGCCTGCTCATGGCGACCCTGATCAATGGTGTTCATGATAGCTTCGACGCGATGATCCGGAGAATTCTGGTCGTCGGAGAAGCCTGGGAATGGTTTGTATCGGAGCACGGTGTTCTTCTTCTGATGCTCCTTGATACGGTACATTTCCAAAATCTCCTGGGCGTTTACCAACATGGCTTGGGCCTTGGTCTGCTGGTCTGCCGATAGGAACGCCAACGGTAACTCGCCAACTGAATTGACGGGAAAGGGAAGGCCAGCAAGATATGCCATGAGTGTAGCGATGTCCGCTTGAGCAACATCGTTGCGCTGGACGTGATCAAGGTGCCAATCAGAAGAGAAGTCATCATCGTGACCTGGAGCTAGACCAGAAGATACGGTGACTGGCTTCGCGACTCCAGATCCCCAGGCAATTAGTGGTGTTCTGGTGTTGTCTGGATGTCCATCGCCATGGCTACCCCAGTCGCTCATGCCATGGTCGGCAGTAAAAACGTAGGCAGTCTTGTCGTCGGCGTAGAAGTTGTCGATCAAGGCAGTGATCTTCTCGACACCCTGGTCGACCACTTTGATATTGTGAAGGTACTCGCGTGAGTAAGGACGGTAAGAATGACCGGTGGTGTCCAGACCCAGAAGGTGCAGAAAGAAGACATTTTTGTCCTGCCTCAAGCGCGCATTGAGGTCTGAATCCTGACTGGCGCTTGCGAACAGCTCCTCCACCCTTTCAAATACCCATGTGTCCAGATGAGTGGCATCTTTACTAAAGTCCTCCTCTTCGGCGCCATACATGAAAGCGTCTACCCGGCCAGGGACAGCGCCCTCTTGGAACATGGGCAGAATGTCGGGACTACCCCAACTCCAGGTGTGACGACTGCGATTGAAGACGCTGTCGAAATGGACGGGGTTGAGCTTCCAGCCAGTCGTGACAGCCGACACGTCTTCATACAAGCCAGCAATCAGGGCAACATGTCCGGGCCGAGACTCGGTCGGTACACGAGTGTGCGACACTCCGAATGTACCATGTTCAAGCACGCGCGATCGAAGGAAAGGTGCGAGGGGGCGCGGTTCTTGCCAGCCAGCCTCCTGTTCAGCGCCAGGCGAAGGATCGGGGAAGTATTGGAAGGCCTTGTCTGCTCGTAAGCCGTCACCTGTCAATGCCGAGTTAGCCTATACATGACTCCGGCGACGAGTGCGTTCAATGCAAGCATACCGACAAACAGGACAAGTCGTTCCGCAGGAGCTTCTTCTGCGTGCGTTACGCTGTACTCGCGCATGCCACTGACGATCGGACTGACAAAGTATATGTCGAAAATCGAATAGGCATATATGAGGTGAAAGGCCACCGCCACAGCGAGAAAGCCTAGCCTCCCCATTCGAGCCATTGTCGGATGTTCAGGATTCCCCTGAATTGCTTGTCGAGCGAGCGATGCAGCAGTGCTGTTTTTTGACGACGCGCCGCCATCTCTGGGGTAGACCGTAAGCCAAGACCTAGCACAGATCAAGTACCTTGATGTCCATCAACCACCACTCGTATGAATAGTACAGACATGTCGCCATCGGACACTGTAGCGAGGCTAAGATCCACACATCCTCAGATCACATCTCGATCGCTAATGATCTCGAGCATCGGTGACTGTGTTTCGCGTGGACAGTTCGGGAGTCGGTCACAAAACTATACGGACACGTTGAGGAACACTAGAGCTGGCCGACGGTGAACCAATTGAGGCAGGAAACGGGAATCATCCCACACAATAGTACGGCGAGACGCTGTTGACCAATATGGCAAGAGCCTCACTTGCCTCATCGCAGACACTCAATCTGTCGCGATGTTGTGCTTAACAGAATATGGCAACCAGGGTCGTCCCCACGGCACAGCCTGTTCATTGTAGTAGGCAGTAGATCATGATCCATAACTTGATCCTGTTCTTTGTTGAACATGATCGCTGCCGAAAAAACGACAAAGCACAGTAGCAAAGTGATGACTGTGATGAGGTCGTGTGGCGAAGCGCTCTATGACTTTGTCGGAGCTTTGGATTCGTTCAATGTTCATCAAGGTTCCTGGACGGGTCATGTGGAGGTGTCACAGTCAGACTCTGCTATGAGCTGTGCCATGCCGGAAATGAACTCAAGCATACCTATGTAATGGGAGAAGTCAAATATCCATAGCCGGGATTCTGCAGACTGCGTCGTCGTCCTCGCATTATCCGCGGCACTGCATCTTGTTGCCATGTTGATGACTGCGGTGCCTCAAGAACGCCGTGACACCATGCTAAGGCGTCAATGATGTTCGAATCCTCGTCTCCAGTCATACTGCCCTCATTCGACTCGCCCGCGACGCACCCAGATAGGCGTTGAGGCCGAGTATCTGGTGGAGGCTGAATGCTCAGAGTTTACTCCGTACGGATATGAGAAAACACCCAAACCTTCTTGCAGCTTTGACGACATCTTGGCTGTGATGTAAAAAGTGGTTTGGTCGACTGTGGAGCGGCGGTTTCATGACAACTTTAGTGCGCCCGCCGAACTGCAGGGTCAGAAAGCAACACCGGGGCACAAAAACAAAAACAATTGAGAACATGCAACAGTCCGTCTGTGAATACGCGTGACAGAATATTGTGCTTACTGTGCTCCTTCTATGGTTCCTGAATGCTGGTGCTGAAGAAGAACAATCGAGTTTCGAATCACAGCAACAGAAATCAAATTCATGAGTCAAGCATCAATATTGTTAAACAGATTGCACTAGAAATAGACCTTTAATTTCGCATTGACGCAGGAGACCCCAGGGCAATCGTCAGCCACGACAAAAGAGCTGGAGTCGCTAACAGAGAATGGAATTGGTTTGTGTCTCGGCTTGATCGTGTGGCTTGAGAGGGCTTGGAGAAAGTGGAGACTTGTCAGTACGCTACTGTGTATCAAACGGGATTACATGGCGGGAGATCTTCTGGTGCTTTCGCACGCGTCTCATCTGCAGAGCGACCCGTGAGTACCGTGATGACTGTGAGACCGTTCTGGTGGCTGGTACCGTACATAGACGACGACATCGTAGGACACAGTCTGAAGAAGATGCATAGGCGCGAGGCTGTATCAGCTGTGGTGGTATAGACAGAATTGCAAGGTCGAGAAATTTATCAAGCAAGCCGAGCAGTTCATTCTATTGAACTATTTTGAGCGCGACAGAGGGTGCCATGATTGGTGGTGGCTTCCGTTAGTCTGCGGAGGTGATGTACGAGTCTCAGGTACTTGCAGGTACTTTGCTGCTTCGGGAAAAGTATCAGCGGTCGGAGAGTTTGAGCTGGACCTGGCAGCCGCAACCGAAATGGCAATCTCTTGCTCTCCTTCTTTCCTCACGCCTCTTTTCGAGTCTCGACGTCGTCGCTTTCTGACCGCCGCCGCACCATCCTCTTCTATATCCCAACGGTCCCATTTTGCGCATTGCAAGTTTCTCTACAACGCGCGCGCGACTGCCCGTTCACCTTTCGACTCTTTCCCCCCTTTCGCCTGTGGTACCAACGAAAACGGTTTCCGCAGCCCCCTCCTGAACTCTTGTTTCTTCCCACCTCATACCACACTGCTACCTACATACTTTCTCTTTTACGGTTCTCCGAGAATCGACCCACCTTCGCTTAATCGACCATCGTTGGCTTTTTGATTGTCCTCGTCTAACATCGCGGTTGATCAAGTCGTCACCTTGTTTGATCGTCTTTTCGCTCATTCACATCTTTCACCCATCCATTCATTCATTCTCTTCGTCTGCTGGCATTGCGGGAATAGACTATTGTTCGTCCAACCTTGCCGTCATTCTTTTCTCCGTGCACGGGGTATCTTTGCATCCCAGAGCGCATAATTTCCACCACCTGAGGACCTCGCATTGTGTCTTGTCAGTTGGACTTGCTCGGTCTTGCTTTCTTTGTGTCGGCACGTCGATTCCTTCTTTGTTGACGAGCGCGCCGCCGTGACCGTTGACACATCGTTGTTTCCCGCCACGCCACTCGTAACTGCCCTTTGCGACGCCTCTTTGTCTGCCAACGCCGACCCCTTACGCTCATTTTATCACGATTGGCTTGGGGAAAACGATGTTCTAGTGTTTCAGACACCTTCATCTTCACATCTCCTCTATTCTCTTGTTGCCAAAACACCACGGCCGTTTCCCGGTCTTGCTCAATATCTCTTGTAAGTCGTCTCTCGCTCTCGGTCGCGACACTGGCCCCTTGCATAGCAGCCCGGCGCTGACAAGAAGTGTCAGAATACCCTCTTTTGACTTTGGTCAAGTCCACTCGTTTATACACGCGCTTTTGACAGTCACGCCGCTCGCAGATCACTGCGTGTCGCCGAATCGCGACCTGCATTCAATCGACAGCTAATATAGACCATCATGAGGACGTCTTCCGCAGTCTGGGCTGCCGCCCTGGCAGTCGTGTCTGTCCAGGGTCCCATACTAACCACCGCAGAGGCCGCACCCGCCCCTCAGCAAGGTGCTGGCGCTGGCCAACAAATGCGATACTACTTCCCTCGCCCCCTCAAAAGACAGAACGCTCTGCAGAATACGACCAGCTCTTCTACTTCGTCCCTTACATCGACTCCCGAGGCCGAAACCTCTACCACGGATCCCTCTTGGTTCCAGGCATTTTCTTCTCTCTTTTCCGAATCCCAGGATCCCTCTGCGACCTCATCGTTTAACTTCCAGGATCTGTTTTCGCCTTCGTCAACCTCTACTGCGCTGGACGCAGCAGCGGCCGCGACCAGCGACTCGACTACCACATCGGAGGACTCTTGGACCACTTCAAACGCTGCAGACGCCTTTGTCGCATCGACAGGCTCGTCACCCTCTACCACGATCCTTCCCACCGCGTCCTCTGAATCGAGCACAACTCAGGGGGCTGCATCATTTTCTACCTCATCGATCGATATTGTCGCCGACACAGCGACAGTCGAGTCTCAATCATCGACCGAATCCTCAGCCGCGCCCTCATCGAAGGTTGATACCTCCGTCGCATCTACTGGCGACATTCCAACCGAGATCGTTCAACCCACCTCTTCTGTCGCTGCACAATCGACATCGTCGAGCGGAACTGCGGAGGAGACTACCACCGAGGATGTCAATTCTTCCCAGGCCTCTGTGGCATCTACTGGAGAATCTCCCTCGAGCGTTGTCCAGCCTACTGGCCCCTCTTCATCAGCCTCGGTTGCGTCAACGGGAGAAGTTCCCTCGGACATCGTTCAGCCGACCGCATCGTCATCAACTGCTCGAGTAACCTCTGAGAGCGTCCAGCCTACCGTTGCTTCTACTAGCATAGTCACGTCCGAGAGTGTAGAGCCAACCCCGCCTTCTTCCATTGCCTCTACTGGCGGTGTACCTACGGAAGTTGTGCAACCGACTTCCAGAGAACAATCATCTGACACAGTTCAATTGACTTCTAGAAGCGCATCGTCCTCGGCATCAGTGGGTACCACTGCAACCGACATCAGTGAGTCAGTATCACCGACAGCGCAAGGTACATTGGCTTCTCTTGGCTCAACTGGGAACGTTATTGTCGAATCAGTAACACCTACCCTCTCGTCCGATTCTACCGATGTTGCTTCTGTTGCTTCGACTGGCGCGGCCATGTCAGAAAAGGTCGAGCCAACCGCAGCCGCAACCTCCTCTGAGATAAATGTTTCTATCCAGCGACCTGGCTCTACTGGTGGCGCAATCACTGAATCTGTTACGCCCACTGCTTCACCATCCTTGTCAGACTCCACTGGCAGTGACACCTTGGTCACTGGTGACGGATCTACAGGAAGTGTTGCGACAGAGTCCGTAGCTCCTACTGCCGCGGCATCTACAGGCGATGTCATTCAGTCCTCAGATGAAGTTCAGCCAACAGCTCCCAGCTCTATCGTCGCGTCGACTGGACCCGTGATCCAGTCCACTGACGAAACGCAGCCTACGTCTGCTGCTGGCTCTGCAGCAAGCGCTCAATCATCGGTTGCTTCGACGGGCGTTGTCGTTTCTTCTGCTGGTGAAGTTCAGCCCACTACAACCGGTCAAGAGACCACCGGTGCTGCGTCTACTGGCGGTATCCCTGACATCGTTATTCTGCCCACACCATCCTCGGCCAGTGGTACGCAGTCGTCGAGCTCCAACACCGATGGTGGAATCATTGTCGGCCTTTCCACCTTCCTCAATGGTGGCTCGTCATTCACTTCCACCGCTCCTCCTGCTGCAACAACCGCCGGCGATGCTTCGAGCACTGCAACCGCTGTGGCCGAGCAGACTGATGCAAACAATGCCACTGTCATTGCTACGACTGAGAGCTCCACCACTCCCGTCATCTTGCTGCCCATCGGCACCACTACATCCAACGATGATGTTTCGGCAACATCTCTTGCGAGCGCTACTGCCACTGGCATTACTGACGCCTTGTCCAGCATTGTGTCTTCGGCACAGGCAGCCCTCGAAACAGGCATATCTTCGTTGACTTCCGCTGGATCCGCCGACGCTACTAAGACATCATCTGACGGACCCACGGCAACGGGACCTTTGAGTGGTGCTTTGTCGAGCATCGCATCTTCCCTCAACTCTGAGCTCACCAGTGTGTTGGCAACGGCTACAGACAGCGCCGTCTCATCCGCACTGGCCTCCGACCTTTCAAGCTTGCACTCAAGCGCTTCGGCTTCGCTTGCACAGGAAACTACTGCTTCTGCAGCTGTTACTGATGCTTCCGCAACCTCGACCAGTGCAGTTGACAACACGACCGTCGCCGTCCCTGGATCGATTACCGACTCAAGCAGCCTTCCTTCCGCTACAGCTACTGACGGCGTCTCTTCTGGCACCAACACTTCGCTTTTGTCTCAGACGACCGCTTCTGTCACTGATAGTGCTGTGATCACATCGGTCGCTACCGACAATGCTACCTCAGAACTGACCGGAGACTTGTCCGCAACTACCTCAGCCACATCGTCCGAAGCTACCAGCAGTGTCTCCGCTACTGTCACTGATAGCCAAGTTTCGAGCACTGTAGTCTCCGTTGATGCTTCGGCAACTGCAACTACAGGTACATTCATGTCTGTACCTGCCAATAGCACTGTGGCAGCAAGTGGCAGCGACAGTGGTTTGAGCACTGCCACAAGCGTCGGCAACACTGCTACATCTGCTCAAACTGAAAGTAGCGCATCATTGACCGACAGCGCCGTTACCAGCAGCGGTACCACGGTCTCCGCTACATTCGCTTCAGGCAGCGCTCCTTCGGTGACCTCGTTTACCGCTTCCACTTCTGGCACGCTTGTGATCCCTGTTCCGCTCACAACTCCGCCTTCGTCCCTTCTTTCGTCGATTTCATCCGCTCAGTCGTCTATTGACTCTTCTGTCTCTGCATCAATTTCTTCTGTCGAGTCATCGCTTGCCGCATCTGCCTCTGCTTCGCAGGCATCGAATGTTGCATCTCTCATGCCCAACAATGCAACTATGACTTCTGCTGTTGTCGGCATCTCGACATCGATTCCACTGTCAAGTGAGACTACTCTTGATCTTTCATCTGGAAGCATCACCAGCACTGCTACGTCTTTGCAGACATCAGGCAATGCTTCGACGACAGTCTTCACCTCAGAGGGGACTGCTATATCAGCCACCGCTGAGAGCAGCGCATCTGCAAGCTTCTCCAGTGCTAGCTCGACAGAGGACACAACCGTTCCCTTCGGTTTTGCTTCCAGCACCGAGGCATCGTCGCCTCCATTGACTTCTGTAGTCTCGACTACGCCAGCATCTCCAGCTCCTACTGCAGCATCTACCTCTCTTGTCTACGATCCTTCGACCAGCACTGCTCCCACTAGCATCGTGCCTATTGGAACCAACACTTACAATTCCATGCCTGTGGAAACTAGCATTTTGTACCAGCCCTCGGAGACTGCAACCACCTCGGTCGCTTCTAAGGCGTCCGGTATTCCTACGTCGATGCCCCGTGTCATTCAGCCTCCTGGTGGCATGCCCTCCGCTCCCGACAACACCACTCTGGTTCAGATTGGTTTCACCTACGGCTTGAACTATCCATTCGTGGTTTCTACTGGTGGCTCTGCAAATCAAATCTTTCAATACCTTCCGGCTGGATTGGCCTATGGTCTCGGTGTCGATGCAGACAGTGTCAAGATGTATGCACTGCAGCCTTATGACACTACCGATTCGTTGCACTACATCACCACTTTGGCTTTGGCATATGTTCCTTCCGAAGTTGTGAACCAACTACAGCTTGACCTCCACACTTCGGTCGCCACCATGTACAACAATCCTGATGCATCTACCAAGACATTGATGGGTATGATCAATCCTGCCATTCCAATGATACCTGGTGCGAATGGCAAGAGCAATAGTCAAGGAAACGCAAAGAACCCATCTGGCTCAGGCACTACTTCAGACAGCAACGGTGCTCCACTGGGTGGTGATTCGAGCAGCTCATCGCCTGTCAACGGTACCTCTGTCGGCATTGGTGTCGGCGCTGTCGCTGGTGCTGCCGTGTATGCAGCAGCCATGGTCTACGTCGCTCGTCGCTACAAGAAGAAGCGTGCTTCGCACGCTCGTAGCAACAGTGTTCCCTATACCGATGAGAGAGGAGAGATGAGCCAGCGCAACAGTGCAGCCAACTACTTCATGTCGGGCGGTCGTGGCCGTGTTACCCCTACTAGCGGCAGAGGAAGTCGCCAAAGCGGAAGCAGTGCTAATGGTCGTAGTGTCAGAGAACAAGGTATCAGCGCTCCTGTGCTCGCAGGAAACTCTCTTGGCTGGAACTAGATTGATGATGCCGATACCTTTGACGAATTCAAGGATAAACATGTTCGATTAAATTTCCTTCGAACCACCTTCTTCTTTTCCCTTCTGTCTTGTTTCCAAATTCAACAAAGCGCGTTTGTTCTTGAGTTCTTGTCATCACTGTTTAAAAAAAGATTCGAAGATTGTTTCACTTCTTGTAGATTAGTTTTCTTGCCGAACTCTGGTCAACACTTCTATTCAGAAATACATTTGGGTTTTGACACATGACAATCACAAGGAGCCTGCTGTGATATCAGCTGATTCGTGTAGTCGAAATCAGTCTTGTTGTGTATACGTAAATTTGCCACCATATTGAAGCTGCTACTGTTCAGATCGAGTTTTCTTTGTCAAAGACCAATCATGCAAGGCGCCAGCACAATACATGAGAAAACTTCAAGTCTAGAAATGGCGATAAGGTTTACTGCGACTAATCGGCTAGCTACTTCAGCAGATGGCTGATCCTGGGTACAAGATCGCTGATCCGGAATGGCTTTGCAATCGTATCATCCATGCCTGCAAGAATGGCGGCATTAGTTTGTTCGGGTCTTGCGTTAGCACTAATGGCGATAATAGGGAGCCTGCCCTGTATCCGCTTGCCGTCACTGGCGTTGCTGCTGTCCAGACTGCAGCCACTTCGAACCGAGTTGGAGCTGCTTCCTCTCAAGAGTCTAGGCCTAGAACCAGAGCTACTACTGCTGCTGCTGCCGCTACTGTCGCTGCTGACGAAGCTGCCTCCTCGCTCCCACTCCCTGATTCGCTTCGCCGCGGTTATACCGTCTAGGACTGGCATCTCGATATCCATCAAGACGCAGTCGATCTCGACTTCCCTCATCGAGTCGGTAAGGAAGTCGATGGCTTCTTGTCCGTTATTGGCAACATGGACATTGTAACCGTGTTTGATCAGTTGCTTGCAAAGTATTTTCTGGTTGACAATATTATCTACTTGCGATTAGTCGTCGTGTATGGAGCACCACCAAGCCAGGACAGACGTACCTTCAACAACGAGCAAGCTGGTCTTCCTACATCGCTCCGCCGTATCTGTCATGTCGAAACAGACGGCTGAATCAGCCTTCTGTGTAGGGTATGGAACCGCGTCAGCCATAGTGCTCAACCCGCATTGTGTAATTGGTTGGACAGCTGGTGCGCTGATGAAGAATGCGAACGTGCTTCCTTCTCCAAGCTTAGAGGAGACGCCTATCTCCCCCCCTTGCAATTCCACAAGCTGTCTGGAGATAAACAGTCCAAGCCCAGACCCACCGTACTCGGAGTATGTCTTCCGGGACCCTTGTGCAAACTGTGTTAATTTCATCGTCAGCAAAGGCAAATGATACCCTGAGAGCTCTCCTCTTGCTGTAACGATTCATGTTTTGAGACTTACCCTGGTGAAAATACGTGACTTCTCCTCCTCTGACATGCCGCGTCCAGAATCAGTCACCGTAAACCATAGATAGAACCCGTCTTGGCTTTCAGTGCATGCTTCATAGATCGACTCCTGATTGTGCACCGAGAAATCGACAGGTAGATCGAGTGGCCTATCATTTGCAGCGCCCATGACGACCCTGATTCGGCGTGGACCTGGTTGGTTCTTGCTGAATTTGATGGCGTTAGAGACTAGGTTGATCAAGATCTGTAGAGTTCTCCCAGCGTCCAAGTGAACTTGCTCTACTTTAAGTTGATCCATGGAAATATCGGTGGCGGCCTCTAACATGATGCCTACCCTCTGAGCTTCGGTCTGAAACATCTTACGGACATTTTCCAACAGAGTCGCAGCAGAAACCGTTGACGGACTAATCTGTAGAAGCTGAGAGTCAAGCTTCGACAAGGAGAGGATGTCGGAAATCAGACGCCTCTGGTGGTCGGAACAGGCTGCAACGGTATCCGCAGACTCTTTACTGCTCGATATATGATCAAGAAGCAAGCCTATCTCTGCTTCGTCGATCGAAGTGCCTCGAATCTTTGTGGCTAGGCTTTTGACTAGCTTCCGCATTTCGACCAGGCTATCATTGATGGAGTCCGCGCAATGGATGACACTACAGTTCAAGGCACATTAGTATGATCTTCTCGGGAATAGAAGAGACCTCTTACGCCGAAAGAGGATTCCGAATCTCATGGCAGACGGTGTCGTAGAACATCTCTTGATTTTTCCGCGCCTCAAGTGCTTCTTCCATCCGTAGCCGTTGTACTCTCGCCTGATATTTAAGATGGGACACATCGACTGTGAATCCGAGGACTCTGACAACCTCCCCAGTCTCATCACACTCAGGCAATGCGGTGACCATGATTTCAGCAGGACCTCGAGGTCCTCCATCGCTATCGTACCACAGCCTCTTGAGCCGCAAAGTGTATGTTACTTGTTCGCCACGGAGCATCGCCTGATTCGAATGTGTTAGGATGCGCAGTAGTATACGATACAAGGTCTGAACGTACCTGCCAACCTTCGTCGGCGACCTCCATATCGTCCTCGTAGAGCACCGTATTCCAGTCGATCTCACCAAGCGGTACACGAGAATGCTGAGAGAGCTCCCACCATGCCTCATTGACGTACTGCACTCCTTTGGTGGTATCGGCTATCATGCATCCGACAGGGGCGATGTCCATACATCGCTTAAACCTCTCCTCGCTCGCCCTGGCTTGTTCCAGTGCCTCCGCACGGTCGAGAGCAATCTTCTCACTTCTCTTTTGGGTAGAGATATCGGTCACCGCACCGATGATGGAAGTAACATTTCCGTTACTGTCTTTGACTGGCTGGCACGCGATTAGGGCCCATTGACCTTCCTCAGTGTCGTTTAGATACCTCAGTTCGAATTTTTGCCACTGCCCATTGATCATGGACCGCCAGGCGTTGGACACAAGATCCACGTCGGCTGGGTGGATGAGATCGAGGAACTTGTGTTTGACATCGGCTGGACAATCTCGTGGATACCCGCTCAGTCGATAGTAGCACTCGTTCGCTCGTACCATCTCTCCCGTGCTCTTATACTCGAAGAACCCAATGCTGCTTTGTGTCAGTACATATATTTCAAGCTTCTCAATGTGCTTTTGCCTTTGGAAGCGGTATTGATACAGTGTTCACTAAGCTGCAGATTCGGGGAAAACTTACTCGACCGCATCAACCACAGTGAGAACCTTCTCTGCCAAAACGGTTGCCATTTCTGCTTCCCTCTGACGAAGAGCAACTTCCTTGGCGAGCAGGTCCTTCTCTAGTTGGTTTCGTCTGGCATCTTCTTTCCTCCTATACGCCGCCTCTGCGGTTGCGATCAAGGTGTTGACAACGTCGGCAAATTCACCTTGAAGTTGCTTGATATGTTGCTGATGTGGTTCGTCGAGGGGCGCTCTCGTGGGTAGTCCAATAATCAGCAAAGCTTCCACGTCCTGATAACGCGTAAGGCTGCTTGGTAGGACCATGGCCTCTGTGCACATGTCGCGAGTACCTCTCTGTGATGATCCTTCGGCCCATGTCTCGGGCACCGGGTCGATCATGACTTTGGATTTTGATAGTATAGCCTGCTTGAAGGGTTGCAGGCTCAATTCTGCGGTGTTCACACCAAACGCCGGTGGGAAGGTAGCATGGTCAAAGTCACCGACGGATCCCTCTAGAAAATACTGGTCTTCTTCGTGCCAATTACCTGATTCCGGACTTGTCCTGCGAGAGTAGATGGCTGCGATGGGAAAGTCTCTGGCATGCGTAGAGATACTGTCCAGGACAAGAGGCCATAAGGACAACAGATCACTTGCAGAGCTCCAGATCTCGGACAGTTCACGCACTGTCGACCGTCTTCGCTCTCGCAAGTCACAATCTGTGGTCTCAGCGAAGTACAGGTGAAGGCCTCGCAGTGGCGGTGGTAGTGTTACGATGTCCATCTGTAGATGTACGTCTTGTAACCGTCCACGATTCATCATTGGTACGACGAATGAGGGACATGTGTAAGCAGGCATTGAGGTAGCCTTGTGTCGGTGAGCTGCCATTCGGGACTCATACCCCTGCCACTCTTTCACGTCGTCCAACGGTAGGCCGAATATCTTAGGGTGTAAGTCTCGAACCATCTTGCCGTATGCCTGGTTATACAATAGTAGGTTCTCCGTACCAATGAGTAGGCACTGTGGTTGAGGTGCAACCATGAGGAGATAAAGTATTGTGCATAGCTCTCGAGGCCAAGAAGAAAGGGGGCCAATGGAGTATTGTTGCCAATTCGTGACTCGTAAAAGTTCGATGTGTGCCCTTGTCGGGGCGTCTCCCTTCTCAAGCAGCTGTAGCACCGGCTCGACATTGTTGTTTCCCATGGTTTCTCGGGCTCTAAAGTTGACAGAGTCGAGAACGGCGAAATCGGGTCAGGTACTGCTATCTTTTCGATGCTTTAGTGCTGAGCAACTTCTGCGTGTTGTAAGCTTTGATTATTCCTGGAAATTTGGGTTGCTGGGTATCTCCTTCCTGAACCAAGAATCAAAGGGTCAAATCAGGGAGATGGGTACGAATCGCAAGAACATTGGACAGTTTTGTTCAATAAGTGCCCGTGTTCTAGACCTCTGTTTCACCGGCTGGCTATAATCGCAACGTCCAACGATGCTTTAATGGAGATTGAATTTGAGCGGTTCTAGAGCCAAGATTGTCTTATCCCAGACCAAAACAAGGCTCTAGAGTGTCACATCCCATTCTCGGCGATTCGTGGCAAGCCTCGCGGATGCTTTCAGTACTTGTGAAATGGATGCATGAGTACGTTGTTTGCCTTCGGCAGACGACCCGTTCGCTACAAGAGAGACAAGCGCCTTCAAAGTGCACGGCTACATGGCCTTCGATATGAGAGGCACAAGATCAGTATTGCGCATCGCGACGGCTAGAGAAGGTCTATCTGAAGCAGCCTCATTCTTGCATGCACGAGCAGATTTGACAAGGAATTTTGAAAGCTTGGACCTCTTGACGTAACGCGTCACAACGCGTCAGTAGCAATTGCAACAGCGAGCTTTGTGCCTGCTTTCTTTGACAATTGTTCACTATCACGTAAACACAAAATGGCATACAGACGCTACGAAACGAGCGTCGTCGCTACGGAACCTCTTGTCGACGCAGATACGTTCCGTGAGCCTACGGAGCGCACGTCGATGGCAGCGTCGTCGCTGAGTCCCCTCGACAATGCCGGCGACAAGCATGGCTCGCGCGGCCTGCCCACTTGGTTCGCATACCCTCTGTCAATTGTCATGGCGCCTGCCCTCAGTGCGCTGCTGTACAGCTTCGTCCCAGACATCATGGGCGCCCCCCTCGCCGCTGTGAGCCGCAGCTTGAACGAGGAATGGCAGATCGGTGCTCTTCTGACTTGGAGACTGCTCGAGATCACGCTTGGCTGGGTCTATGGCCTCGACCGTAAGACGCGCTTTAGACTCCCATTGCGGCCAACGAAGCTGACACCAGTGATGCAGACTTCGACTTTGTCCAGCTCTCGGCTATGGCCAACGCGCCTTACTACACCCTGTTGTACCTCTTCTACGGCATTGGCTTTGAGCCTCTGGCCTTGGCTCTTGTCATTGACATGTTCTCCTTGTGGTTCCCCTTCTGGCTCTTGCGCCCGATCAACTACCATAACAACCTGCGCACCCTGACCACTCCCGGCACCACAAAGGACTTGGCCGTCGACAAGACCATTCAGATGTACATGACTGCCTTCGCTGCCTCCATCTATGCCGCTGTAGTCTACCTCAGTCTCGTGACCTGGCTGCCTGTCTTTTTGATCCACCATTTCGAAGAGGTCCTGACTCTCGACTTTGCCCACAACGCTGTCCTGCCTGTGGTCTTCACTGCATGCTTACCCATCGGTTGGGCCGCCAAGGACTTCCTCTTCAGCACTTCGATTGTCTATGCTCGCGCTTTACCTTCGGAACACAAGCGCTTCAACCCCAAGACCGCCTCTCTCGCAGACACCCTGATGTGGAATCTTGGCGTTGACCAGTTCTCGAGCAGAGAAAGTGTCCTTTTCAGTCGCACCTTCCTGCTTGCCGCTTTCACTGCTCTCCACTCCTTTGTCAGAGTCTTCGCCACCGTCGAGGGCGCTACTATCTACGGAGCTGCAGGCTGGTCTGCCTTGTGGAGTGCCGCCGCTCTCGCAACCGGCACCGGCTTCCTTTATATTGGCGACTCTTGAGCTGCATTGTGCACGTCGAATCTGCTTACCCACAACTAAGCCTCCATGCTGTACTAGACACAGCTCTCCACGATACACAAGGACATCAGCACTGCTTTCAATTGCCTGCTTGTGCCGTGTTCCTCGGATGATGAGATTCTACTGAGAAAGCCAAGTCACTACCTCCAAGCGCCCGGCACCAGACAAGATCGTCTGTCGGGTAGTCATCCCTCAAATTGGTCGGAGACACTCCCCATTCCCATTTGCTAGTTGATATAGTGTAGTTTCGAAACAATAACTATCACAATCCAAACACCTCAGCGTGTAACCAAACATCTCGCTTGCCAACCCATCTGCTGCATTTTCTCCTGACCTCCTCTGCCATTGACCTTGGGCCGCAGACAAGCACTGCCACTTTGGTATCATCCTGCGTGTGGTTGAACGCCCGATCCACCATCTCACCCAAGTCAGGTCGACCCTGATGAACTTGCCAACCTTGTGCTGAGTCATGAACGCCGGCGTTGGGTAGTAATTGCTCAAGTTCAATCCCATCGTCCGCATCGTCTGGATTCTGCGCACCATGATCTTGGGCCATGGTTCTGGTGGCATGGACTGTCATGCGCTCTTGCATACCATCTTTTTCCTTCTCGTCCTCAGGTATTGCCCAGCTTGTCTCTGCCGCGTCTCTGACCGCCCAGACGAATGCAACATTTTGTCTCCTGTGGCTTCCAGGACTCGGAGAGAGGTCCTTAAGCAGTGTTCTGTAGAGTGGCACCACAAAGGTCGCGCCGACTCCGCCAGCAATGAACAGAACTCGATTGTAGCCAAGCAGGGTGTTCGGATGGGTTGACAAGCCATATGGTCCTTCTAGGATGAGTGGCATAAGAGTGGATTTGCCAGTAGCGCCATCCGTCGCCGCTCTTGCCAGAGCAGCAGTATTGCCATCTAGTACTCTAGCCACGAGCTTGAGATTGTTGTCTTCTGCTGGAACAGAGGCAATGGTGAACGGACTCCTGGACTTGAGTGGGCGCATGTACACCGATCCATGTGCCAAGGACATGTAGACGTGTTGACCTGGCTGCCACTGAATACCCTTGGACTTTGCACTGATTGGAATGTTAATCTCGAGCAGGTTTGCGGTCTTGGAGACAATGGTCAGGGAGCCTTCTACTTTGTGTTCGGTGAGAATGCGCAATGCTAGATGCAGTGCATACACCGCGAGCGTTTCGATAATGTAGATGCGAATATGATGGACATGTAGGTAGAGTACTGGGAGCAGTATGCTAGCCAGCGTGACGTGAGTTGTGTAAAATACGCGATAACTCAATTTTCGGATCCAGGACAGTGCAGTCGTGCCTACAGCTGTGAAGGCAATAGTCCCTATTATTCCAAGTATGACGTCCCAGTCTTTGATACGTTTTGCTAGGACGTGCGCCTGGATGAAGAAGTTCAGGTAGAGACCTGCGTGTGAGTAGAACAGGATCGTCGAGACACGACCCAATACTTGATGCGCGGCATTGAGTGTCGTCCAGGAACACCCGGTGAGGTGGTGGATGGGACTGAATGGTGATTTAAAAGCAAGAAGATATTGTAGTGGTAGCTGAGAGGCGCCTACAATGCCAAATCGCTTCGTCAGGTGCAGATAGTCTAGATGTACTTAGCGAATCATGTTTGCTAGATGGTGATCGGGACAGAACTCACCACCTTGCGTTTGGACGCAACTCAAAACTATCAGCCACACTGTCCACAACACACTTGCCACAATTTCCCCCTTTGTGACTCGAGATCCCCACATGTCTATCGTGTCGCCCATCCACCATATCGTCTTTCTCCATAAATTCTTGGATCTTGTCGTATATTCGTTAAAGGGCTCGGTACGCCGTTTCTTCATGTGCGGTGAGCTGGGTGTAGCGCCTCTGTCATGCGACCGCCTTCCTTGGATCCATGTGCAAGCGAAGTATATCTGGAGACAAAGAAGAGGAATTAAGGCAGAGACTTGAGCTAGCGCGCCATAGAGGTCTAGTAATCGCCGTCTTTCGAGCTTCTGATCATGATCCAATTCTAGAAAGTGCCACATCTCGACTCGGAGAACTGAATAGTCGAGTCTGGACCCGGAGAACGGGCAACTGATACTGAGAAGTCGTCACGAAGATGAAGTAGACGTGTGGGCTGCTCTTATCAATAATGTAGAGTTGCTGACTGGCTGACTGCTCGGCTTTAGGACTTGCGCGGAGCCGATGGTCGGTCGTCGAGGTAATGACCCTGTCGCAGTGATCGATGCTTTGTTTCGTGACGAGACATGTTACCTCCATCTCTCACAAGAAGATAATGGCTATGGGAATGTTGGTATAACTGATGAAAATGCTCTCGACTCTGTCTTTACTCGGAAATAAATAAATTTGGTAGAAAATGTGTGTAGAATGTTTTGCGAGTTCTCTGGCCACGAGTAAGCCATTGACCAATTTCAACACAACGGACTTTGGTGTTCATGATTCTACTTTCCCCTGTTAACTCGCGTCATTCTCGCTCTTTCTCGTGAGTGATGTTGCGAAAAGATGGCGAGGAATGAAAGGGCAGTCACACTGTATGTCAGTACGCCTGACACAGGAAGTCTGCAAAACGAGTGTATTGTGCCTCTGGACAGCTCGCCGCTGCTATGCTCTATGGTGGAAAAGAGCGAGAACAAGGATTGATCACACAGTGAGGCCACATGACAAGAGGATGCAGCATGCTTGGTCCACACGAAATGAATAATAATAATACATCCTTGGGCAACCAGATGTGAATTTGGTCCCAAGCAGAGCGGCGATGTAAGGAACCCCAATCAAAAGCTTTTCTTTTGTACAGACCCAACGCCAGAGAGGGTATGTATGACATAACATCCATGCTGAAAAACAAGATAACAAAATTACAGATGGCTTGCAGCCAGGTTTTAGCAAAAGTCTATGCCGACCAACGATGCATGCCCTAGATCATCTACTGTCTTCTTCTAGGGTTAGTCTGCTTCTTCTTCGGTGTAGTCTTACTACCATCACCGTTGATGTACTTCAAGAGCTCGTCGACGCTTCTGTTGTCATTGGAAACGTCAGCAGCTCTAGGAGCAGCAGCAGCTTCAACACTCTGTCCGATTGAGGGCTGAACTCTGGCACCTCTGCCGACCATGGGGGCCTTGGGTCCCAACAAGACCTTCTTGTCTTGGAGGACCTTGGCATGTTTCGCGAGCGAGACAGCGCTCTGAGTGAGCTGCTCAAGCCATGTCTCTGCCTCCTTGGTGTTGCGGTCCTCAGGGCCAAGCTCGTTCTTGAAAATGTTGAAGGCTTCACGCATGCGGTTGACAGCGCTCTTGTAGTCGCGGTCAAGAGCGAATGCTTGAGCGAGCTGGAAGAGCAGTGTAGCCGTGCTGACTGATGTCTTACCAGAAACTTCCTCAGACATGGCAAGAGATGACTCAAACCAGAGGCGAGACTCGTGGTACTGCTTCATGCTTTGCAACATGACTGCAGCATTGTTGATAGTGGTGATTGAGTCGGGGTGCTTAGTACCATAGACGACCTTCCAGAGATCAAGAGCATGACGAATGTATGCAAGGGCATTCTTGGTGTTGCCACTTGCGTGCTCGAACAGACTCAAGTTGAGGTAGCTGAGAACAGTCTCGGAGTGGTCAACACCAAGAGTTCGCTCGGAGATGATGGCTGCCTTACGGGCGAGCTCAACAGCAGCAGTCTTCTCATCCAGACCGTAGTAAATGGTCGACAATGCGTAGTAGACACGGGCGACTTCAGGGTGAAGAATACCGTAGATCTGCTCGTGGAGGGAAAGAGACTCAAGAAGCAGTTCTTGGCCAAGCTCCTTTTGATCCTGCGAGAGTGAGATACGACCAGCTTCGAGAGCCTCCTCGGCCAACACACTGCGCGGTGCAGCATCCTTGATGATGGGAACGACGTTGAGAACATCGTCAGGGTGGAAGGTCTGAGTAGGAACAGAGGATGCTGCTTTGGGAGCAGGTGAACGCTCGACATTGCTCTTATTGTTCTTCTTCTTCTTTCCGCCTGTGGTACCATTAGTGGCAGGTGCGGGACTCTGAACAGGCGCCGGAGCTGGTGCATCGGCCTTGGCAAAGCCATACTGCTTGGCTTGAAGTTGAAGACCCTGCTTGAGACAAACTTCACGGAGCAATTGGACCTGCTTGCCTGGTTGTACCCAAGCATCACCGAGGTCGAATTGGTAGCGCCTCTTGATCTCGCTGACGATATCAGCCTTGATAGACTCTGGTGTGGCAGCCTCGAAAGAGAAGTCCTCCTCGGGATACAGGGGCTTGAGAGATGCGTCAGTCTCCGCGGTAGGCTTGGTGTTGAGCTCAGCACCCAACAAGCAGTTGAGAAGGTGAGCAATACAGGCCTGGACAAAAGGCGGCGACTGGTATCTGAGGTACTTGCTGGAAGTGTGCTTGAAAGCTCTAGCAATCATTTCCTGAATGGCAAGCTGCTTGAGGGCCTGTAGACGAGGTTGTTCGGGCTTGTCGGCAAGACGGGCGATCTCTCCAAGATATCTCATGTTGATACCGCGCTTGTGAAGAAGGTTTGTAAGTGATTGACCGTCCATAGGGAAGCCAACATCACCGTCCTGAAGATCCGAGATCATCTTGGGGATAATGTCTTCTGAGAGATATTTGCAAGCTGCGCGGACCTCAACCTCATCCTTGGACCATTGCTCCTTCTCTTCCTCGGTCTGAGGACGTTGACCGCAGAACACGTCAGGGTTGAGACTGTATTGGAAGCCAGAGACATCAACACGCTCTTGCTCAGGCTCCTTCTTCTCGGCCTCATCGGTCTCACCCTCGGAGGTGGCCTCCTTCTTAGCCTCACGACGCTTTTGAACTTCGGCCTGAACGTACTCGCGAAGCTTCAGTCTCCAGTATGACTCGACGAGTTCAGGACGGAGGACGGCCATTCTGTGAGGGTAGTTATCGTTCTCGGTAGAGCTCTCCTTACGGTACTTCTCGAGCCAAGCGACATCCAGGGGAGTAATGCGGTACAAGTCCAAAATGTATTTTCTGCCATCAGTGCCGAGAAGTCCCTTGGTCTCAACACTAGCCTCAAGATCGTGTCTCTTGTTCTCCTTGTCCCAAACGGGATGGCTCTTAACACGCAGAGCCTTGGAGAGCTCGGCGAAGGGCTGCTTGAAGTCGTCGTTTTCAGCGATGACATCTCTACCCTCAACACCGCCATAGTCAATCTGGTGCTCACCAGGCTCTCTCTGCTTGAATATACCAGGCACAATACTCTGACCAACAAGACGCTTGCCAAGGTAGTCGACAACGACGGTTCCAGGAGTGAAGATTCCAGAGATGTCCAACTGGTTAGTAGCCTTGACGCCCATGATGTCCTTGCCAGTGGCGACACGAGCAGCCTCATCGCCACCATCGGCAGCGAAAGTGCCTACACCGTCGGCACCGAAAGAGTAGAAGACATTGTTGTAGACGAAGATCTGAGCGTCGCGGGGTTCGGTGGGGTTAAGAGGGGCAACCTCACCGCGAGCAACAAGGACAGCGCCCCTAACAGCAGCCTCGTTGTACTCAGCAAAAAGCTTTGCGGTAAGTCTCTCCCTGAAGACACGGTCCTGAACGTTCTCCTTAGGAAGTTCGCGAGTAGATTGGAACTCCTCGTTCCAGTCGCGAAGAGTCTCTGCGTTCTCGGGACCAGCAAGGAGGTAGCTCTCCTGAGTACGGGCAGCATCAGCAACGTGGGCTGACAAGGAAGCTGAGCTGGGCGCAACGAGCCATGGGCTAGCAGGAACAGCATTGGCAAGCTGGAAAGCAGCCAAGGGATCACGCAGACCGTTGTATTCCTGCAGACTGCGGAAAGCGTCGTTGAAGGAGGGCGAGATTTGACCAAGCAGAGTAAGGAGCGAGTGTGCCGAGTGCGGCTTAGGGGCGGTGCGAGGGAAGGGATCGAACTTGTTGTTGGTCGACTTGTTGACGAAGAAGCCAGAGACGTGAGACGTAATGTGGAATTGCTCGCCCTCGAGGGTAGTTACAAGCAAGTACATAAGATGACCCTTCTGGCGCAGGTGGTATGGGGCCGGGTTCCAAGCGGACAGAGCCAATGACTTGACTGTCTTGGGCGCATTCTCGGGCGAGGGAGAAAGAAGAGTCTTGACGGAGCCGCGGGCATCGAGCTCGTAGTCGACCATAGCGTGCTCGCTAGCAGGAGCCTCTGGCTGGTCGGCAGGAGTCGGCTTGATGATGTGGTCGTGCAGCGAGAGACCAGCGTCAAGACCGTGCAACAGATCGGTGCGATCGCCAGATGCACCAATCAATTCACGAATGCGCACAAAGTGCATGCGGGCTTGTGTCTCGGTGTAGGGGTCCTCGACGAGGTGAGCCTCTGGGTCTTGCTGGATGTCGGGCACTTCGGAGAGCTCGATGAAGTCATTGATGCGCTTGCCCTTGTGCTCGAGGTGGAAGCACGTGTACTGGAAGGTGAAGGGGAGGTCGATGATGGACTGGCGGATGTCTTGCACCTGCTCAAGGTGGCTGACCATGATTTGGCATTGTCCCTAGTCGACATGTCAGACTCGTTGTCACCAGAGAGACGGCGACCTTCTTACGGGAGCGTGAGGTAGACGGATGGTGAGCTGGAAGACGTTCTCGACTGCTTGTTCCTGCTCTTGCTCGGCATCCTGCCCGTCCTGCGCCACGGCTTGCTCTACTCCGTTGCTCTGCGCCTCTGCGCCGTTGCTCTGCACATCTGCATAGTCATCATCAGCTCTGCGTCGACTTGCCAATGCACTGTGGTCATGATGCCTACCTTGAGCTTTGGTCTCGCTCTCTGCAGCCATGCTTCAGCCGAACTTTTGTGTGAAACGAAACAGAAAGAAAAAGAACAAGGGCCAAGCTTGCGCAATGTTCAATGGTACAATGGGAAAAGGAATATAATACAAGAAGTTATATGCTACACCAGCTGTGATTCAGAAGCCAATCGTCCAAATCTTTGTCCAGCAAAGGCGAGGCCGCACAAAACTTCGCAACTTCCTCGGCTGAAATCGGAGCTTCCGATCGTCCTGCACGTCCCCTACGAGTATGACACCTACACACTTGTATATGCACCAGCAAACGGCCGGCTGTCCTGCAATCTCGCCGGAGCAGTCTAAGCAAAGCTATCACGAGCATTGCACTGGAAGGTCTGGATGCACAGGAGACATCTGTCATGTAGAAGAATACTTGTCTTGCGGGCTTCACTTCTTTGGCAAAGTACTGGAGACAAGATCAAGGAACTGCCAAGCTGCCAACCGTTGTGGCTCTACTCCAGGTGTTTCGCGTGTCTACCAACTTTAAACACAACTCTCAAAGTACCTACTGTCGCTCTCTTGAACTGGTAGTTTTGCATGAAGGACAATGCCATCTCTGCGGTCGCAAGTGTTGCAAAGGCTCACGGTGTGTCCTCTGCACATCCGCTCCCGTCCTCGACGCATTCCCCAGACACATGTCGCGTACCGTGCCCGAGCCTTTACCTCGATACCAGGTATTCCCACGCCCGAAGAAGACGAGGATGGCGGAAAGGGATCGAAGAAGTCCGGCGGTGAAGAGAGCAGATGGAAGCCCATCTTTTGGAAATCGTTAGAGTCAACTTTTACAACACTGGCGTCTGTGACCGTCCTTGGGTATGCACATTCCGCGGCGACCTCGCAAACTTTTCTGATCATTGAACACAAGGCTCATTGGATATTCGTATACCCGGTACTACAAAGCTCTGATATTGAGGAAGATGGAACATGCCTTTGCGCCTGGTTCGATGCACACAAGGTCACCCGATCTGACACATGACTGACGGACATCTAGGCGACCCAGTCTTGGAGCTTGCTGCAATGTCCAAGAGTGAAGACGGCCATCGCGAACACTGGATAATCCGTGACGAGCAGGCAAAACTCGACGCAATCGTCTCCGGTGAGCTCCGAGGTCAATATTATCTACTAGTGGGCGAGAAAGGAACCGGGAAAAGCTCTATGCTTATTGATGCCATGGCTAAGATAGACGGCGAGGGAGTGGCCATGTTCGATTGTCATTCTGACTTGGAAATCTTCCGCGTACGTCTGGGTAAAGCTCTCGATTTCGAGTATCACGAAGACAATATTGGGTCGCTCTTTTCGATTCGTGGGCCTCGCGATGCCTCTGCTTTACTCGACATAGAGAGAGCATTCAACAAACTGGAAAAGGTGGCGTTACGTCGAAGAGCAACTGTTGGGCGGCCATTGATCATTATCATTAATAACATGCACTTGTTGCGAGATGATGAAGACGGGCGTGATCTTCTTGAATTGCTGCAGCAGAGAGCTGGTTTGTCGACCTGATGGACTCGAGCTGATCGATCACTGACCACTTCCAGAACAATGGGCTGCTAGCAACCTGGCCACAATAATTTTCAATAGTGACGACTACTGGGTCTATGAGAGGCTGAAGCAATTGGCCACACGCATGGTCGTGATGCCTGTCCCAGATCTGCCCCGGGACAAAGCAATAATGGCCTTGCGGAACTATCGTGCAAGATATCACGGCGATAAAGTCCTCGACTCCGAGATCCTAGAACAGGTCTACCAAAAAGTCGGAGGGAGACTAGCTTTCCTCAATCGAGTCGCCAAATCCCCGAACATGCTCCAAACATGCGAGGACATCTGCCGAGCAGAAAAGACCTGGCTCCTGTCGCAAACCTGGATTTTGGGTGAAGAGATGGATGATGATGTTATGGATCAGCAGAAATATGCGGTAAGTTGTGAAACGCAGGTCGTGTACGACATTTGCTGAATGAAGAAACAGTCAGCTGCGATGGTGTTGGCAAAAGCTTTGGTGGAAAAGGAGAAGGAAGACAACTTGGAGTACGATGTTGAGAAGGGTCACATGCTGCCAGAAATACCCTTGCACAAAGCAAGACAGATCATGACCCGTGCCGACTTCATTCAAAGTTACGATGCCATCAACATATTCACCATTGACAGCAAAGCTATGGTAAGGGCCGACTCTGTGCCCATGATGAATGCATTCCGAGAGATCTGCGCCCTCGAGGGCTTCGACGAATACCTGGAGGCAACTCTAGATCGTATCTCAGCCATCGAAAGCTTGGGACGTACACGCGAGCTTACGATCAAGGATCTATGGGTGAGTCCGTCTGAATATATCGTACCAATCAAGCTCTGACAAAGACGAACAGGACGGTGGAAAGTATCGTGTCACTACACGAAACGCAAAGGGTGCTATTGAGAAATTGATCAATTTCGAAGTCGAGGAAAAGGAGGAAGACAAGAATGATAAAGATGATGAAGATGACTGAATGCCAAGACTAAAGTAAAATGCGGGGTAGAGGAAGTCCAACTGTTTGTTTGTTGATGTCGGCCAAAGTTCTGCAACACACAGAACACAGCACTATCAAGTTTGAATACACGTAACGAAAACAGCATGGATTAAAAGTTAGCATTCTCGAAGCATAATTTCAGGACATCACATATCTATTTTACCCTGGCTGCGATGGATCGCAAGAGAAAACGACAAAGCGGGGTCGAATTTTGGACGGCTTCAAAGTGTCAACGATTGCTGAGGCCCATCACTTCCAGGATCGCACCATTGAGAAGGAACCAATACACTTTGAACACCGAGATCTCTCACAAGGACTTGGAAGATCAACCAAAATCTGAGCTTCCATCAAAAAATCCATCTCTTGCCGCGGATGTTCGCCCAGGTACCACTTTCTCGGATCCTACATGGATACCATCAGATCAGAGCAAGAACTGCCAACTCAAGAAGTACTCAGTCCGTCATCGCACTGCTCATACATCGTCTGGCCAAGTCAGTAGTCCACAAGCATGTCTGGTGTCGTTACCGACCCCGTTCAAGGCACGCGCTTCAAAGAGAGGAACGCCCATCAAGCAGGCCTTTTCCAGCCTAGATACGTCAAGTAGCCCATGCGTGGTAAGACGCTTACCTCCAGCGAAGAAGGAACGACAGCGAAAAGACCACTTCACTCGCGCACCGACCGCACAGCAAAGCGTTGAATTACAAGGCAGACAAAATTACGAGAGAACGTTTGAGCTACACCAAGGAGTCACTGACGGATTCTCGCTACTGCTACAAAGGACGACTTTTACTGATCCGGACAACTTACAACGTAAAGGTGCATCGTCACTTCTGAGTATGTGCATACGAAAAGTCCCGGACTACATACAAGCAGAAGAGGACTGGCGTAGAAGCATTGATGAAGATGACGACACCGACGTCTCTGCTGAAGTATACGAGGAACTCGAAGATCTCGGCTCTGTCCAAGGACATGGATGGTCAGGCCTACGTGAGGTAGTGATTGCGCATGGGCTGAGTCTGATCCACGAGATTATCAAAAACAAGCTTGTAGCGACAGAAACCAGGGCAGAGCTTGCGAGAATACCTGCCAAGTACGGCCTGCACAGAGCATCGGAAGTTCTCCTTCTCGCCTATACCCAGTCTCTGCCTCTCAAGCGACCTCTTAGTGTCGACTCTCGTCTCTTCGATGGTTGTTTATCGGGTTTGACCACCATGCAGTCCGTTAGTGCTCAAAACGAAGTCTTTGTTCGCATTCTTGATGTATTATTCACTTCTGGGCGTCTCAACCTATCCTGGCTGGCCGCCCGAGATATGGTAACATTGTCAAGTGGTATGGTCAGAGCGCTCGCATCGCGGACTGAGATTTCCGAACTCACACTTCAATTTCTTCAGGCTCGCATATTGCAGGTTTGCGAAGCAGAGTTGAAAGGGTCCAGGGCCAGACAACAGGGTCCTGGAAGCAGATCGGAGATCTGGACAAAGCTGGACAAGTCACTCAGCAGTACTACTGTCAGCATCATAACCGTACTTACGGCGATCGTATTGATAGAAAGGGACTTACACAAACTGGATGGTAGTAGGAAAGGCTACCCTGCTGCCGAGTCTCTTCTCACACGCCTATCGATCACCTTACTCGCGATTATGGAGGCTTCCGACCCCCAACTTGCAAATCAGGGCACATACCATCAACAGAGCACAGTCTGTTTTGCTATCCTTACAAGTAGTCTCGTCCTTGGCGTTAAGCACGACGGAACGGAGAGAAATCAAATTTCTTGCCAAAGAAAGGCAATCTTGGAGGGCTTGATAAATATCCATGGGAATGGCACCTCGGATGGTGTTCATACCGTAGTCGAACATGCAGCAGCGTTTCTGGTAGATCTGTCTCGATGCTGCGGTCAAAGTCTACATTCCGACAGTCAGTCTTGCTTGGAAAGTCTTGTTCGCCAAATTCTGGAAGAGTCTCAGCACGGTCCAGAGACCGAGAAGAGTTTCTTAAAACAATGGGCAGTGGAGAGTTCGCTACACTCTGCGAAGACCTATGCGACACAAAGAAGTCGACTCTTCCTTGATGACATCGAGACTGCTATGGCACAACAGAAACCCTTGAGTCTTCAAGACCCAGACTGTGATGCTAATGGTAGCCTTGAACCCTTTGCGGAACAGAGTTTGTGCTGGGAAGAAGGCTTGTGCGAATGGATTGTCGCGTCGCCTCTACGTGCTATGAACTCTAGGGTAGCCGCGGGTTCGATGCACAAGCGTCGGTCAATGACATCGTCCAGCGAAAGCGACATGGACGATAGCGGCTACCTGAGTGAAGTTGAGCGAACTCCAGCACATCGTCAGAAGAACGCCAGAATGTCTGATCTGTTAGCATCGCCGGATATGCTAGGTTTCAATTTTGGAATCCCATCGTACTCTGACACAAGCACAAGGTCAGAGACTATGGAGATCACGGCGAAAGGTCAAAAGACAATGTCGAACGAACAACCTCTCCATCCATCGCCCGAGTTCGTGCTGTCAGAGGGTGGCTTTCACAAGTCAGCGGCCGTCTTCTCAAACGCTGCGCAAGTTGATGAAACAGCTCTAGAAGCAGAAGCTTGCTCTGACGTCTCACACAAGGATCGATTCGACAAAGCAGAGCGGCTGGTGAGAAAGAGTAAGAGCCAGGCCGCCAAGCAAGCGACACCTACGAAAAGATGTATTTATTCGACAACAGCTCAGAAGCCATCGGGGCTTGTGCAACAGATCTCAAACAAGGATCTGGTCTCTGATTTGGCGGAGAATGAGATTGACGAGCTCGCCATGAGTTGCACCAAGACATGCCGAGATATGAGTGCTGCCAGTAAGGGCGTGACAAACAAGACTGTGGGAAGGATCGCACTCCCAACCAGACGGAGCAGTCATCTTGTAGATAGCAGTGATGACGAGTTGGGGTTTTGAGATTGGCGTGAGATTGGCGTTTTGAGATTGGCGAATAGGTATTGTTTTTCGGATACCCCATTGTTTGCGATTTCTACATACCGAGGTCGTATAGAGGAGTCACTTGGGTTCCCATCCTTGTCTGTAACAGAGCTTATACTCGTAGCCATTGGACTTGGACCGATAGAAATGTCGTTCGAAAAGAGTAAAAGGTCATATGGGGCTCGCGGTGTTATGCTCGAGCGGGTGGCTATCGCCGGAAGGATCAAGAGAGCCTGGCTTATCGCGGCCTGCAATTGGGCAAGTACGGAGGAGCGGGGAATGGTGCAATCAATGGCTGTCACGAGGTGGCTGTCTGACATGGTTTAATATTACCGACCCAGCACAATCATGGCGCGCGCTCTATCTTCTGAGCCATTAGCCAAAAAATCTGGCAGTTTTGCAAAATGGTGTCGCCGGTCCACGATGACGACACGGACTATTCCGACCTCGACGAAGAAGCACCACCAGCTGCACCATCCTCTTCGCAACCCCCGTCGAGACCAAAGAATCGTGAACGATTGAGCGAACGAGCGCCACTCTTGAACACTTCACCCCCTCCACCAGCCTATGCCGATGTTACAAGGCTGTACGGGGCACCACCCTATGTCGCTAGGAATGAAATAGACACCGCTCAGCCAAATCAACATCCTCAGCATAATCCGAACGAAGCGTCACACACTCCAGTAGGACAAGCACAGAGCATACGCGACTTGGGACAAGATCCGGGAGATCAGAAAAAGGTAACAAGGGAGCGCAATGTTCTCAGCAACCGGAAGATGCTCTTGTGTTTGGTCGCCGTCATAATTACCCTCATCGGCATAACAAGTATAATGACTGTCAAGCACGATAAGAGCGATGATCAGGCGAGCATAAAATCCCGTCTTTCCCGTCTGATATTTGCTGACATGCAACAGCCGAGTAATGGTGGCGACCACAGCCCTTTGCCCGCCGACGGCTTTCCTCATCAATCGAAGTGCGCCTACGAGTCCATCAGCGACCGCCAGACCTTCACATTCGCATCACCACGGGTTTTCAGTTTTGTCGAGGTCACAGAAGGAGCAGGCATGCCAACAAGTGACATTAGCGGTCAAGTGCGCCTCATGCTAGGGCCTGAAGACCAAGAAGACCCGATCTCAACAGAGATGAGGGTAGCCAAATCGTCAGGAGCTCAAGACTTGCATTTCAACATCCATTACACAGCAGAAACTCTGCGTGTGAATACGCCTGCGTCCACGTCACCAACTCGGAAGGCCTGCATAGAGATCGACATGAGCATCTGGATTCGACCGGGGGCTCAATTCGAACATCTAGAAATTGCAACTGAGCACCTCGATATCAAAATTGAACCTGGCATGTTTCCCCTTCCTGAGGATTCATTGGCATCTGGAAAAGACAATGCACGGTACATCAGTAATCAGACCGATTTCATTGCAATGTCAGGTGATCTTTCCGCTGCATATTGGGAGAGCGGTCGAGAGACTCGCATAGACGTTGTCTCGGGAGACATCAGCGGTCGATTCGCTTTGAGAGATCTGTTGTCTGTCAAGACAAAGTCAGGCAGTATCAACGTCGATATTGAGCCGAAACCAGAGAGTCAAACAGATCCTCGACCTGCGAATTTCATCGCAGAATCTGTGTCTGGAAGCATCAAGGCCTTTTTCCCAACGTCGAACGCAACTGGAGACATCCCACCACGAGATTTTCACACCAAGGTCGAGAGCAAGAGCGGAAGCGTCCATGGAGACTATATTCATGGTCTCAATACCGACATAGTGACTGCCAGTGGCTCGATTGATGTCAACGTCTTGCCGTATATTTCAAAAAGCACCGGAAGCTGGCTCAGGACCGAGACACAAATGGGAGGAATTTGCGTAAACGTCATGCCGCCTTATGAAGACGCAAAGGGCACCATTGGGCATCTCAGAAGTGTTCACAAGGCCAAGTCTGGGAGTTTAGATATCAATTACCCCCAGCAGTGGGAAGGGAAGATCGAGGCCGAGACCATGTCAGGAACCGTCAGGTTGCACGGGAAGGATGTCAAGATTTTGAAAACATGGAATGGACCTGTGGGAGAGCATGTTATGGCCCAGAAAGGACAGGCCAGTAGCGCTATGGATCTTGGCACGGTCTCAGGCAGTGTCGATGCAACCATCGGTGACTTGTAATATGGCGAGAACAACGAACGGGTTTTGTTATATTGCGGAGGACTATTTTATGTTTATGACAGCACCTCGTCTTACTGCTGTCACGGAGTTGGTGGAGTCTTCTGCTTTGAAGCGACCTATTTGTTTACCGTTCTTAGCTTCAGGTGCTGCCAACGGACTAGATAGTGTCGAGTGAAAACAGCGTCGGGCTTCCTTTGAGCACTCGACAAGTACTTGTAGGGCACGCGGAACAAGCTCCGCGAACTTTCACATGGGCCGAAGTGAGCCGAGGCATGACGGACGCCTTCCTGAGGGGTGGACTCGAAAGCAATTCGTAAACACACATTATGTGACCATCTTGACAGTACACTTCTGCTCAAGTCAGATAACACAAAGTCAAAATGCCCTTCAATACCGCTCTCACCCGTAAGCTCGGGATCAAGGTCCCTGTAGTGCAGGGAGGCATGATGTGGGTGGGCTATGCCGAGCTCGCCAGTGCCGTTTCCAACGCAGGAGGACTGGGTATCCTGACCGCTCTTACCCAGCCCACGCCTGAGGATCTGAGAAAGTACTGTTCATACCGAGGGCAAGAGAGAAACACCACTGGCTGACCAAACGGTAGGGAGATTCGAAGATGTCGCAACATGACCTCGAAGCCATTCGGCGTGAACCTGACCCTTCTGCCCGCCCTCCAGCCCCCAGACTACCCTGCATACGCTCGCGTCATCATCGAGGAAGGTATCCGAATCGTCGAAACGGCAGGTAACAACCCTGCTCCCGTCATCAAACAGCTCAAAGCCGCCGACCCTCCCATCATAATCCTACACAAGTGCACCACGGTACGCCATGCCATATCTGCCATCAAACTCGGCGTCGACTTCCTCAGTATCGATGGCATGGAATGTGCTGGTCACGTCGGCGAGACGGACATTACAAACTTCATCCTTCTCTCGCGAGCTCGTCAGGAGCTGACTGTGCCTTTCATTGCCTCTGGCGGCTTTGCCGATGGCCAAGGTCTTGCCGCTGCCCTTTCCCTCGGTGCTGAAGGTATCAACATGGGAACAAGATTCATGTGCACCATCGAGGCTCCCATCCATCAAAACATCAAGGAGTCGATCGTAAAGGCACAAGAGACGGATACCGAACTGGTCCTGAGACGATGGAAGAACACCAGTAGAATGTTCTCCAACAAGGTCGCAAGAGATGCCATCAAGATCGAGAGAGAGAGCACCACTGGCAAGTTTGAGGAAGTTGCTCCATACGTAAGCGGAAAGCGCGGCAGAGAAGTCTTCTTGAACGGAGATCCCGAGCATGGTGTAAGTGAAACCCCGTTCAATTCTCGAGATCCCCTTCTGACAGGTCATGTTGTAGGTCTGGACAGCAGGTCAAGTCATTGGCCTGATTCATGACATCCCCTCATGCGCCGACCTCATCACAAGAATCGAGCGTGAAGCTCTAGAGACCATCAACAAGGCCAAATCGTTATATGTCGACGATATACCCGAGAGCGATATACAAGGAAAGCCCATTCAGGACGCGTCAGCTAACCCTAAGAGTGAGCATGGCGCCGTGGGACCCAACGAGAACAATCCCGAGGCCCAGGTTTGGGGTATTGGCAAGAGTAAACTCTAGATTACAGGGCAAACTTGAGACGTTAGAGGCGGCTAGCTATGTTACTACCAGGCGAACTTCATACAGGCAAATACAGTTCTCCAGTGCTCATTCCATCATGCAACAGATTACTCCGTACATTTTCCCACCACACGTGCAGGTATTGTGCTCGCACCCATATATGGTTAATTATTTGCCCAACATTATGCTTCGTTCATCGCGACTTCAACATCACGTAGTCATGCACTTCTCTCAACACGAGCATGCTCTCATGATCTACTCATGCAGCCGTTACGCAGAGGGGATAGATCATCAGATAGAGGGAGGCACGTTGGAAAAGGCGAGTTGGGAGTAAACCTTGCACACTGCAAAACACAGATAGATGGGCCTCAAATGTCAAGCAACGTCAATAATGACAGCAGCATATAGGGTGCATCCCTGGTGGGTACTTTCCTCCAAGACCGGATTTTGTTCAGCCTGCTTACTCCTCCACCCGGACCATGTAGAAGCTCGCTAAAGTAAGAATATGTAACGACGAAAGCCATGTCAACTAATGACAAGAAGATATATACGACATGCTTTGCCAACAAATGTAAATTAAGTATGTTCAAACCTCCGAACGAGGCCACGGAAGCAATATGATAGAAGAGGGCGACAGCAAGGCTCATTGTGCGAGATGCTCTTCTGGTTGCTCGTGAACAGGTTCCCGAGCTATATCTGCAACGCTTCGTTGTGCCGTGGCACGCCGTGAGTTGTTATCAAAGACGAATGGCCCGGCGTCGTTCATGGGCGTATTTTGTCCATCACCCATAGGTCCAAGAGTGACTGCAGCTAGCGCAAAGGGCATCGATGAAGTTGGCGTGGCCGATCGTGCCATGATCGAGTCTGACAAATGCATATTTACTGGTGCGTTCGTCGATGCAATTATAGGAACAGGCTGTGATATGGAACCTTGCGAGGGTCCGGCTTCGTTCTCCGAGCTTGAATCTGTGCCCGATAAGTTTTGCGATGCCGACGCGGCATCTATTGAGACGTTGTTCATCATAGCTGTCAAGTCTTCATCTTCGAGGCCACCAGACTCGATTGCTGGGAGTGCTTCCGGTGCCGGTGATTTTGGCTGCTCAATATCCGAGGCTTTGGGTGCGTCATCGACATCTTCACTTTCGTACTCTTCTTCCGGAGGCTCGACGTCGGCTTCCAGGTCGGCATATGCACGACAGTTGGGACATTGGAAGCTGGGCCAGCTAGGGTATATAAGAGTGCGAACGCATTTATAGTGCCAAACGTGTGAGCAGGGGGCGACGAAGAGAGCCTGACAGGGAGCAACCGGATTCAAGCAGATAGAACATTCGGAGCTGTGGGTAGATTGAGCGTCGCTGTCCTTGGCGTTGTTGACCTTTGCCTGTTTTAGAATATTCTTGTGGGTTGCGGTGCTGGGTCTGTTAGCTACGCTGTGTGGACGGAGGGGATTAGGGGCACAAGGGCTCACTTGAACTGATTGAGACTCTTCTGCCAGCCCCTATTGCACTCGATACGAATCTTGACACAGCGGAAAATGACTTCCTCTCCACCCTTGAAGTCAATGCCCAGCTGCACGATATCACCGTCGTTGAGTGGGTAGGCGCGACTCTCCATTCCGGGACTACTTAGGCGCACGTGGTTCAGGAAGGTGCCGGAACTACTCTTGACGTCCTTGATGAACCATTGGCCATTGTCACACCACAACTCGCAGTGTCTACGACTGACGACTTTGCTCTTGAAGCCAACAGGGGCCGCCGTCTTTGCACTGGCTGCTCCGTCGGCAGCCTGGTCTCTCTCCGAGTATCTGCCGACTTTTACACGCTGACCTGCAGCGGCAATAGTACGAGTGACGATGGGAAACGTGAGAGAGGGTCTTGAAGCACGGGGTTCATGATGGGGGATAAAACGAATCGAGGGGGCTTCTTTCTTGTCGCTTGGAGCGACTTGTGCGGGAGCAGCGACCGGCTCTGTCGAAGCAGCAGGAGCGGCAGGCTCGGTTTCGATAGAAGGAGCAGCAGAGGGATTCGAGGAGGTGTCGGCGGTCCGAAGGTCCTGAGTGATAGTGGCAGCACGTGCACGCGACATGTTTGAAGTAGGCGAATCGGCTTGAGTGGACTGAGGCTGGGTTGCGAGCCTGGACAGAGCACTCTGGCCGGCGACAGTAGGGACCCAACCGTTGGCGGTGGTATCACTACGCAGCGGCGGGGTCGATGGCGTCTCGGGTGCGCTGCGGGCAGGAGAGCTGGTACTCCGGCTGAGGGTCAATGGACGAGATTGCGATGCGGGGGTCGAGAGATTGGCAGGCTGAGTTGATTGCGGAGAGGTTGTGGAGTTGGAGTGCAGGTGGTTGTGGGTATAACTGCGCAGATACGAAAGACCGCGGAGCCGGGAAGGACGAGTTGGGGAAGCGGGCGTGATGGGAGCAGCGGGCGAGTTTGCAGCCGAGGAAACGGTCGACAGCGACGCTGCAGCGGGTGAATAATTGTTGCCAAACATGGTGTGCGAGAATTGAGACAGGAAGAAGAGACTCGGGCAGGGGCTTTCGTCTACTCGATACTATACGGATACACTTTGGGGGCGCCTCTATTATGTCACTGCCGTCGGCGATCACGCTTGTCGAGTGCTGGACGCCGGAAGTCACGGTAATCGAGTCCTTGCCGAGAGGATGGGGAAGGAGCAATAAGCAGAGGGCACCAAGGGCGAGGGAAGAAGGGAAGAAGGAGAGTGTGCCGCGCTCGCATATGCTCCTGGCAATAGTGACATGGTCACATACAGTCAATGCAACAACGCTTTCGATGGCGCATTGATGCTGCCTTCTAGCCCTCAGTACTCGGTTGAAACTGCCTTCTAGCCTACCGACTCTGTCGAAATGTTTAACCCAACAGCGCTGCGCAACTCGATCTCTGCATAATTACCCTCTAAAATCCTACAGGATCAGCAGATTGCAACAGGTATCCTGGCAAGCGTCTGGACAGCTAGACAGTTGTACGCGTGATGCATCACATGTTAAATCCAGACCTGTATGCCGTCGTACTCTCTTCCGACGCGAACGAGAGAGAGCGAGGTTTGCAGCTTTGGCAAACACGTCGGGCCCATGACAGAATAGTGCATGCTTCCAGAAAGCCTTCTCCATTGAAACCATAATATCGAATATGTTACGACTCAATAGAGCCATACCGCGCTCGTCGAGCCGTGTCTTGTCGCGCCATGTGTCGCGTCGCACCTTCGCCTCGGTAGATCGAGTGTCCAAGGTACGCTTGCCCCGTCGGTCCTGAGCGCAGCGCATTCCAACCGCCAGTTTAGTAACGCCCATGTTCTCCAGGACCCTGCCGAAGTCGACCAAATCACCACCCTCTCGAATGGCGTCCGAGTCGCCAGTGAAGCCATCCCTGGTGCCTTCTCAGGCATTGGTGTGTACGTTGATGCTGGTTCCCGATACGAATCCGATGCCATGCGCGGTGTCTCCCACATTATCGACCGTCTGGCCTTCAAGTCTTCGTCACGCCGATCTGCTGACAGTATGCTGATGGAGATCGAATCTCTGGGCGGCAACATCCAATGTGCTTCGTCACGCGAATCCCTCATGTACCAGGCCGCCACATTCAACAGTGCTGTACCCACGGCCACTGCTCTGCTCGCAGAGACTATCCGCGACCCTTTGATCACCGATGAGGAAGTTGGACGCCAGCTTGAGACGGCAGAGTACGAAATTGGCGAGATCTGGAGCAAGCCCGACCTCATTCTGCCAGAGCTGGTCCACATGGCCGCCTACAAGGACAACACTCTCGGAAACCCTCTACTGTGCCCGGCCGACCGTCTGGGAAGCATCGATAAGCGTACTGTTGACGCCTACCGTCGTGCCTTCTTCCGCCCGGAGAGACTTGTCGTTGCTTTCGCTGGTGTTGAGCACCAGCAGGCTGTCAGTCTGGCCGAGCAATACTTCGGTGACATGAGAGGCGAGAAGCTTGACACAGCCGGGAGCACCACTCAGAAGCCAGTGCAACCTCAACAGAAGTCGACCCTCAGTTCCAAGATTCCCTTCTTCAAAAACCTGTCCACCTCCGCCTCACAATCTGCCACCGTCTCACCGCTAGACCCCTCTCAGCTGATCCCTCACCCTCTCGACGTCCCCGTCGACACCACTTCGCCTTCCCGCTACACCGGCGGCTTCCTCACATTACCGAACCTTCCTATCCCGCCGAATCCTGCTCTCCCTCGTCTATCTTATATTCACCTTGCCTTCGAATCCCTCCCTATCAACTCGGATTCCATCTACGCTCTCGCGACTCTCCAGACTCTTCTCGGCGGTGGTGGATCTTTCTCCGCCGGCGGACCCGGCAAGGGCATGTACAGCCGCCTATACACGAATGTCTTGAATCAACACGGATGGGTCGAGAATTGTGTTGCTTTCAATCACGCATACACTGACAGTGGTATTTTCGGTATCAGTGCTGCGTGCGCCACTCCCTACGTCAATCACATGCTCCAAGTCATGTGTTTGCAATTTGCCAACCTGGGCAAGGAGACTGGCATTGGCCGTCTGACCGAAGGTGAAGTCAAGCGTGCAAAGAACCAGCTCAAGAGCAGTCTACTCATGAATCTGGAGAGTCGCATGGTGGAGCTTGAGGATCTCGGTCGTCAGGTACAAGTCCATGGACGCAAGGTGCCCGTCAAGGACATGATCGCCCGTATTGACAAGGTCTCCATCCCAGAGCTTCGTCATGTCGCTCGTCAAGTCTTTGGCGGTATGGTGAAAAACCCTGGTGGTGGCAGCGGTGCCCCTACAGTCGTGATTCAACAAGGCGAGGCAGAAGGCGTGACCATTCCAGAGTTGAAGTGGGATGCTATTCAAGGCACCATCCAAAAGTATGGACTTGGTCGTCAACAATAAATTGATTGACCTCTTGCGAAATCTTTCATTGATACTTTTTTCAGACCCATTTGTCATCTCTTCAATATTGTACGATATTCCCTCCTCTTCACAGCACGGTTACCACATCACTCACTATGTAGACATACCGAATGGCGTTCAATGAACCTTTCCTTACAGACACAGTACTCGAGGAACTAGGCAAGAGGCAGAGCTACAAGATGCTTCCACGTCATGTCAACATGTCCTCCCGGCATGTCGTAAGGGATCAAGTGACCGCGGCTGATGTCACAACTTTGGCCACCTTTGTTCGGAGTCGGGCACCGACAATTGGCACCGGTATTCATCGGCGACGGGCCATCACATCCGCCGCCTGATGCAATTGACGAGGAGAGAGAGAATCGTGAGAGTATACATGGCTTTCCTGCCAAATGCAAATGCCACCATGACAGGGTCACTCCCTCAACAGCTCTGATATGCTCTCTACTCCACGCTCATCCTCCATGTACTATGCAGATATAGACCTGACCACATGCAAGATACCAAGCAAGACCTCGGTTCGATCTGTGACATTGTGAACCGTCTTGATCGTCACGTGCTCTAGAGCGGGCTACTTCGCCCAGCCACCAATTTTGGATAGACACAGCTCGTACCAGTACTCCGCCTCCTTTCACTGATCATGAGCGCTACTTCATCTGTGTGAATTGCTGGCCTGATCAAACCAGACCGACCACTCTAGCTGTATCAAAGCGAACGTCGATTTGGGAACATAACATTTGGAATTGCAGTCGCATTTTCTAACAACAGTGCAGATGGACACACGGAGATCAAGACTCGCATGTACAGATAGCAAAGCTATTGACTGATGAGTGGCAAGAAACCTCCTGACTGAGCATATCATACTTCTCGCTCTCTGACTGCGGCTTCTCGTTCAGGGAGGCCTTTTGCAGCGAGAGCCTCGTCTAAATGCGGCTAGTCTCATCAAGTCACACGTGACATCCGGAAACCGTTCCCCTGGTCGTTCACGTCTCGTGCTGCATGGGTTGACTCGCACGGTGATGAATGTACGTTTGGGTTTGCAAGACTCAATGAGCCTGAGTCTTGCTCGAGAAAAAACCAGTCGTGCAGACTGAGAATTGACGCACATCTAGGTTGTTGCATTCGTAATCTAGAGTTGTCTCCGAAACGATCGTGAAGTGCCCATTGATCAGGGCTGCGAGTCGGCTGGCAAGAACTCCTCTATCATTGCACTCTTCTTGCTCTTCTTTGACTTCTGTCCAACCAAAGGCAGAGGCTCAGACTGCGCCTTGCGTTTTGCACTTGGGCCGACAAAACTCGCGACCCACTCGCGGACTCTCTCAAGCTTGTTCTCGATCGCCAGGCTCATGTTGGAGTGTTGTGCGCTGTCCACTCGATAATCGTGCGCTTTGTGCAGGACTGTGAAGGTAGTTGTATTCTTAGTCGCCCTGCGATTAAGAGATTGACCAAAGACCGCACCTCTGAACGAGCTCAAGGCCACTCGCTCGATGAGGACGATGTCTTGCGAGCGTAGTGAATGCAGGATCGTGCGTGATTGGTCTGCGTCCTTACGTCCAGAGTCTTCAGCTGAATGCCAGGAACTGATTGTGAAGCCTGCTTTGGTCTCGTCTCCTACTGTGAGCTCAATGATGTCCATATTATAGCCACCTTTGCGCGTTGTTACTGTTCGTGCAGGGGCGACGCTGATGATACCGACTAGTAAATTTACAGTCATGGTCTGAGGTTCGAGATGATGAAGATATTCAGCTTTGGGCACTGCACTGAGGCCTATGACCGGACCAGAGAGTCGTTGCGGAGCGTTTGTGCGAGGGCCTGAATCCTCAACGAGCGATGCCTCTGTTGACAGAAAGGTCGTGTTACAATCGTCCAGGAAAGTCGAGTCAACAGAAGCATCAGTCATGAATGTTGCTTGTTCCTCGTCCTGGTCTAGACTGTGGTCCTGCGGAGCAATCTGAGATGATTGCAGATCTGCTTCCAGGGCGAATGAGTGGTCCAAAAAGTCATCGTAATCATCATGGCGGTCCGGGACAGGTCTAAGGCTGCTGACCTGTCGTGGCAGTGCGCTGACAATGGGCTGTGGAGGCTTCTTCTGCAACACAGGACTCTCGCGGAAGATTCTCTTGGTGGCCAGAGGAATGGATCTCCATTTTGCTACAGGTTGAGTGGGCCCAGGCGTAGACGGGAGACCAGAGTGACCTTGATGCAGATGTCGTTGCAAGGCGCACGAGAAAGTGTTCAGCAGACCTTCATTCCTCCAGTCCAGGGAAGCGGCTGCAGGAGCTCCGGTGAGAAACTTCACGTGGTGAGAGGGCATTCGATCGCGAACCATGACCCCGTTCACATATGTGATCTGGAAAGTGATCGGGTGAGTTGTGTTGCATGAGAGCATCAAAATCCGAGCTCGGAGCCGCAATGTCCGAAGTGAAGTGAGATAAAAGGTGGGTTGAGTAGGCAGTCACTCATGTCGTCGCTTGCTAGGCAGTTCAACCAGAATTCACATCTTGTCAGCCAGTCAAAAGGTCCAGCCAGTCAAGGTTCTGCGCAGACGTATCGTAAGTCGTAAGTAAACCTCGAGTTGGTTGACGAACGATGACGGGCGGGAGTCGTGTCGGCAATCGTGGGCGCGAGTCGGATCTGATAAAGTTGCAGTCCCCCCTCCAAAAGCTACAATGACCAAAATGGCTTCCCTACTTCGCAACCTGTCATATCGCTTTACGCCTACGCCTTCGTCCGAGTTCCGGAAGGCCAAGAACGAAGAGACTCTCTTCACAAAGACAGACCCTGCCGTCGACGGTGAAGAGTGCTTACACGACTGCGAGGCATGTTCGATCAAATATCCCCGCAAGTTCGAGATCGATGAAGAGGACAAGGTCTATGGAAACATTGCTGGCTGGAACACGCATTTGATCGTCGCGACTGGAAAGAGCGACTGGGTGCGCGATGTCTGTGACGAAAAGGGCAGTGTCATGGAGGCTGTCGGAAAGACAGAGGAGCCCACCAATGGCGCAAGTACAATCCATGTGGATACACATGCTACACCCAGGACGCTAATTCATCATTGCAGAAGATGATGCTCTCTGCCTCCAACATGCCCATACCGCACACATCACACTCCGATCCTGACGGCCAGGTCCGCACTACTGTCTTGCTACTTCCAGCCTTCAAGTTCATCGACCACGTTACTCCAGCCGCCGTGCCAGACCTCATTCGACACTGCGTCAACACCGCGCCGACGAACACCACCCCACTTGCAGACCCATTTTCGGACAACTCCCTCACAACGACACCGCTGCCAGGAAGTCTGGAGTTCAGAGACTGTCCTCACAACTACTTGATTCTCCTGTGCTCCCACGCAACGAGAGACGCCAGATGTGGCCAGTCTGCTCCCCTGCTGAAGAAAGAACTCGAAAGACAACTACGGCCTTTGGGTCTGGCCCGCGACTTTGACGATGAGCGTCCGGGTGGTGTTGGTATCTACTTCATCAACCACGTTGGTGGCCACAAGTATTCGGCAAATGTTCTCGTCTACAGAAGACGCCTATCACCTGAAGGCAAGCCATTGAACGAGGCCGCTCAGTGTATATGGTTGGCAAGAATCAAGCCCCAGGATTGTGAGAACCTTGTCCGTTATACCGTGCTGCAAGGCAAAGTAGTCAAGCCCGGAGAGCAACTGCGAGGAGGCTTTGATCGCTCGACTCAATTGACGAGCTGGTAGAGAGAAAGAGAGAACGGGACAATAGAGGGAAAGCTTATATATATAAGAAGCCTAACATGCTATCGGCCTTACTTGCACTTGACATGTGCGTATCCCGACACTCTGCTTCCTAGCACCGTATACCCCTGTTACGCCCTCCATGAAGCCTGCACACCAGAAAACGCCACAAAAATGCCTTGCAAAAATTGAAAAGGAAAAGACGCAGAATCAATTATGGGCCGCTCCCATATCGCTATTCATCTCAAAGCAACCATCCATCGTTATCATTACTGGCGTTAAAGGCAGGTGTCGAATTGGATCGATCCAATCCCAGTGTTAGTTTCGGCATTTGGATGATGGGAAGACCAATCTGCGGCGGTGAATCCCCCTTCTTCGAACTTTTCTTCGGACTCGACGCTGCCATCTCTTCTTTACTTGGGCCATATCGCACATATGTGATATCCCAACCATCAGCCTGAGCTGCGGCGATCCAATTCTGCAAACCGGAATGTACGCCACAGTAGAACTTCTCTTTGCATGTGCGCATGGTACCGCCCATCATCTTCTCCCACCCACTGGCCTTGAGTTCCGAGCGTAGTTGGTTGCGGTCTTCTCTAGTCAGGATTGAGGCAATGAGTCCGTTGACAAGATCCAGGTGAGCTGTCATATATGTGGTTGCATCCCATTCGACACCACCGATATATGGGGCAGCTGGTACTGGAGGCCGATCGCCGGGGAAGAATCGCTCTGCATAACTCTGACCTGGAGTTATGGTGCCGTCGACTTGAGTTTGAGTCGAGCCCTCTCCATCTGGCGCATCCTTTTCCGGAAGCGGTATGACATTGAGATGGTGTAGGAAGATCCAGAATACTTCCTTTGTCACATTGCTGACTTCTGTATACCACACCTTGTAGGGTCGTGATTGTCGCATGCTGAGCACGAAAGAGACTGGTTGAGCTTCTTCAGGCTTCTGTGGGTCTGCGAGGTAGGCCAGGATCACCCGGGCTCGCTGAGCCAGGAAATGAGGTCCACCAGTACGCGCTGCACCTAGATATGCAACTATGTGTATGAGTTAGAGGTATGCTCGCAGCCCTGTTTTGTGTCTGACTTACAAAGAATGTTGATAATGATGCCCCTGGTGGTAAACTCACTCGGTCCCTTCTTCTCCTCATCAAAAAGCATAGCCAGAAGCTTGGGGAACAAAGCATCTGCCAGACTAGCGAGGTTTTTGAGAGCAACTTCTGTCGTGCAAAGCCCCTTCAAGCAGAGTAGGGCTTCATGGAGCAGTTGGTCCTCGTGCTCCTCCCGCCATTCGATTTGCATGATGCGATGAAGTAGATCCACGACTTGAGCCATACCACCAAGTGAGATGAAGTTGTCCACCCATGCGACTGTTTCGTTTCGAAGCAGGAGACGCAACTTGTGTAGTCGACCAACTTCCATCTGCACGGGATCGCGAACGTTCTCCAGATAGGCCACAAACTCGTCAGGGCACGCAGCTTGGGGGCCTCGACCTGGCGAAGGGGGTACAAAATTCTTGGGCAAGGTACCTGATGATCTCGGGATGTGGATCGAGTTGGGCCGACTATCTGGCTTCTGTTTTCTGGGCGAACCATCACTTCTGGTCAGCGTGAAAGTCTTACTTCTTGACCTTGACCGTTTGGAGAGGTCCTCCTTGACGGGTTCTTCTTCACGATCGGCGGTTTGTTGTTGTGTTGGCTCATCATGGAAGAATGGGAGTCGAGTTTCTGGCTTAGTAGGACTAACAGCCCCTTTGTCTTGCTTGACAAAGTCGGCCTTGACGCGAAGTGTTAGAGTGCGCATCTTCTGTCGCATGTTCTCGGGAATGTTGCGTGAATCCTGGTAGCGGTTTAGCAAGAGAAAAGTCAATATGAGCAAAAGTACACTCACCAGCACAGCCTCGAAAGCGGTGTCCACAGTTCTAGCATCCAACTTCTGCTCCTCTAGTGTGGCCCCGTTTTCTCTGGCCTTTTCATCGAAAGCGGCGACTGCAGCCATGACTCTCGGACCACGTTTGGGCACATTTGCCAGTGGTTTTGGCGCAGGTCGTTCGTTACTGCTAGAACTGACCTTTCGATCGAATGACTGCTTTGCCCCTTCCAGGCTCCCCCGGCTACCCTGTGAGTGATCACTTCCACGCGAACCAAGTTGAGTACGGTCTCTCTCGCGACTGATAGGGCGATTTAGCGCATCGAGGAACGACATTGATCCAGGGATAACCAGGCTTTTGGGTCGTCCGGAAGAGAGAGGCCTTGACAGGACGGGCTGACCATAGGCCGAGAAGTCGCGCTGTTTGGAGGGACTATAATCCTTGGGTGTGTAGCGATCGATCTCAGCGTCGACGGACGGAGGTTGTTGCATGATGGGGGGATGCTGAGGCCAACTTGGACTTGCACTAGGCTCTAACGCGGAGGTCGGTGGACTCAAGTTCTCTTTGTCGTGAACTGTGTCGCTCAGGTCCTTGGAAGAGCGATTCATCTTTCCCAGTAGGCCACGGAGGCTGGTCGAGGATTTGGTCTTCTTCATGCGCGTGCGGCCATCGCGGCAGTCCTGGTCGTTGGCGCCGCGCTGACTCTGCTTCTCCTTCTCTCTTTCCTTTCGGCTCTTCCTCTCCTTGTCCTTGTCCTTGTCCCGACCCAGAGAGCGCAGTGAGACACTGCTCTTTGACCGCTTGTGCGGAGGGGCATTTTCCTTTTTGGCCTGTCTGCTAGAACGGCTATCTTCTGTGGGTTGTGTGGCCGAATGAGGGTGGTCGGGGGGTAGCAGAGGCACCATCTGTGTTGTCGTATTGGAAGTGACTCGACCGAGATCCTTTGACTTTGACCGTCTGTGTTCTTTGGGCAAGATTGACTTCAACATCTTGATGGGTGACGAGGATGACGCGGGTGCTTTATGGACGTGGACTTGGTCGTGAGCTTGCCCATTGGCTCTCTCATCCATATGCTGTCCGTTTGCTTCTTGTCGATGGCTGACTGTGTAGAGCTTGGATCGGCGAGCTTTGGTTGTCTTCAAAAAGAATTGGATTGTTGGCTGTTGGCACAACATTTCCCCGCCGTACTGACCCTTGGGTGACTTGCCTTGTTGATGTTTCTGTCGTTGCCAGGCAACCCGCTCTTATCACTCTCGTCCCCCCACACTTCGCCTGCTATCCGCACGCCGCCTTCCGTTCTCCTTCCGACACTCTATCGCCCTTCTAAACTCATGCAGGAACGTTGACTTGGTTAACTTTTTGCTTGTCTTGCATGCAACTTGGGTGTTATCTAACTTGGAATGCTATGGATTCACTTTCGCCTCAGGCCACCGCTTGTGCGCTCTCTTCCTCAAATGCCTTACGGTATTGCGCCGTCGCCTCGGCTAGTGCTTTGATCGTGGGCTGCACCATTTCCTCCACCGCCTGTCTCCCGCCGCTTAGTCTTTCTAGCTCTATCTCCAGTCGTCGTCGCTTCGTTGACTTTGCGTTGGTTGTTGACATCTGCTTCTTCAAGCTTTCTGCCTCCCGTGACTTTTCCTTCTCTGCCTTGTCCGACACCATCTTGATGCGATCAACTGATCGATCGAGAGTTTCTACAAGCCTCGCAAGCTCGTTGCTCCTTGATCCGTCACCTGACAAGAACAGTGTCCAGAAGTAGTGAAGGAATTCCACTGTCGTGTTGTGCGTCAGACTCAATGTGTCAAATGTGGATTGTGAAAGACCTCGTCTTGACGATACATCAGCAGAGGCTGCCTGTCTCCGTCTGCTTATTGAGGTCAACATTTCTTTGGTCGACTGTGTAAGCGCGCCTTTGCCTCCAATCCGTGCTCTTTTCCTTGGTTGGTTCTCGTCTTCTGAGTCCTCACTGTCGGACTGTATGCCAACGACTTTACTCAGGCTGTTGTTAGCTGCAGCAGCCATTTCAGCATGCAGCAGTTCAAGCACCTTCTCGGGCGTCTGCTTGGCATAAAGCTGCGCTTCTGCTGATGATCCGCTTTGCAACCTACCACCCAGCAGACGCTGTTGGTCCTTGATGTTGAGTACGACACGATTGTCCCCGGCTTCAGTTTGAAGATCCCGAAGTCGAAGCTCGTTGAATGCATCCTCACTCATGCCAATGGGCGCATGGGCTTCACCATCTTTCGGTGCGACCTGGGCCATCATCTTCTCTGAAAGATTGTTCAGGATCCTCAAGATCGGTACTCTCTCAGGTCGCATGGTCTCATCCGGTCTGTTTCCCTGGCGTTGACTGTGGTTCTGCTCGTTGCCCTCCAGATCTATGAAGTGGGGAACATAACCGATGTTCGATGGTCCCTTCTCTTGGAAATTGAGATACTTGTCAAACATCGGATCCGGAGGATCTGCATCTGTGATCTTTTCACCCTTTAATCGTTTCAATAATCTGCTCATGAAGAATCGCGACCAGAAAGTGTTGCTGTCGGTCGGAGGTACACTCTCGTTGTAAGCCTGTCTAACGATGGGATATTGCTTGAAAATTAGTTTGATTTGAGGGCCCGCAAGACGTAGAGTCAGCGAGTCGGCCTCGCCTTCCTTTTCAGCAGCGACTCGTGTGAATTTAATCTCAGGCAAGACGTTGTAGTCACCCTGATGCTGAGCATTTTCGATAGCATGAGCGCGCAGAAGATGTAGTCGTGTAGACCAGAACTGAGTAGAGAATTGGGTGATGGTTATGGTCTCTGGTCTGTCCCTCAAACTTTCGTTGAAGCGTTGTCTCAAGGCTGGATTGGCCTCCAGTAGCGACCTTTGCATCTCGATATCCGTGATAAGATGGGCGTCATCGTACCAGCTATCACTTGTTTTCGGGGTCGACGAGACAGCCTGGGCCTTAGCCATGGCAGCTGAAGAGCCCGTCGCATCTTGTGCTGCGGCAGGTGTTGGTGCGGCCTTCGTTGGCTCGGCAGTTTTGATGGCGGCGATCGCATTTCGTAGGATATCGGTTACAGCCTCTTGTTCGGCTCGCGCTGCAGCAGAGGTAAAGGAGAAGACTTGGTTCTCCGGTGCAGCGGATCCAGCTGGCGACACGACTACTTTCAGAGCGACTTTAGGGTTGCCTGCGGGTGTTTGTTGAAGGTCTTGATACGCGATCAGCTTTGGGTGTACTCTCTAGGAATATGGCTTCACTCACTAGTGATATCTTTGATCAAGATTGTAAGTGAAGGTGCTGAAGAGGGGGGTTCGGAAGGCGTCCAGAATAGCGAAGTGCGGTCGGCGCCAACAGACAAGACACCGTTGCGCTTCTTGTATGCAGTAGGTGCCGACGACATGTTGCGCACGCACGTCGACAGCCGGGTGGTGAAAGCAGAGGTTGATTGTCGACTATCCGTGGTATGTCTGCCTTCACATGCGAGCGACTATCGAAAGTTCGTCATCGCTTTCTCTAAACGGAAGGTTTCCCGATCTGGGTTATAGACACTGACCTAATTTGCTGCGAATAGGTAACATTCCAGACAGGCACCAATAACTTTCGACATCGGGGTGTTGGGTTCTCACGATTATTTGCTAGCATTAGAAAATCTATCGCAGGACATATGGCAAATATCACTGACCTTGAAAGCAATCTATGGACGTGACTTTCGAAAGCCTCACTCTTCCCAGCCTGCTGACCTATATGAATCCCGGAGCTAGATTGACATAGGCACGTCGCACTCGGGACTGGCTTCTATGTGCCATGACTGATCAGCCTCTCCCTTCTCCCTGAGGATTGCAAACAACTATGAGCTGTAAGAAGTGACAGTTTCCTCCGAGTGCGAAAGAGCCTTAGAGACGGGAGTCTATGAGATGCCGACTCTTGGTGCAAGTCGTCGCAGGTCTAGAAGACGCGCTGCGTTGATATGGACAGCTACCTAGCTACGCTACACGTGACAGGCTTCAATACATGCAGAGCGGACAGTGAAGTTAGAGTCAAATGTCGCCATAAGAAGATAGCACATTGGTTGTAGAAAGGAGGGTGCCCGGTGCCCAGTGACCATGGACATGTTTCAAAGTGTTTATGACGCTCGGTGATGTTAGGAAAAAGTTGAATGTTACCGATAGCCCGGCGACACCCGTGCTTCGGAAGCTGAAGTTGGCTCGCCTCGCGACGTTTGCATACCGCCCTAGGAAGTGTAGCTTCTCCTCGCACTCTTCACACCCTACTGGCGAGCGCTCATCATGTTGAGAGCATCTTTTTCACAGTGCGGCAAGCGCCTGGCTGCTGCCGGGAGCCGCACAAACTTCTCCACCATATCCAGAAGCAGACCTGTTGTCGCTCTGACCCAGTCAAGGAGAGACCTTGCTCTGAGCCAGTTCCGCAGTTATGCTGTCGCTGCAGAGGACACCAACAAGGGCGTCGTATGCTTACCTGTCGTCTACTGCCTTGTCTTAATCCGACTGACCATGCCCCGCAGGACCCAAACGACTCGTTCCTCCAGGGAAACACTGCCAACTACATCGACGAGATGTACATGGAGTGGAAGCGCGACCCCAAGTCGGTCCACATCTCATGGCAGGTCTACTTCCGCAACATGGAGAAGGGCGACATGCCCGTCTCCCAGGCTTTCCAGCCCCCACCTACCATTATTCCCGCTCCTGAAGGTGGAGCTCCTGGATTCTCTCCTACTGCCGCCGCCGGTGTAGGTGACAGCTCCGACCTGACCAACCATCTCAAGGTTCAGCTCTTGGTCCGCGCATACCAGGCCAGAGGTCACCACAAGGCCAAGATCGATCCCCTCGGTATCCGCAACGAGGCCAGCCAGTTCGGCTACGGCAACCCCCCCGAGCTCAGCCTTGACCACTACAACTTCACCGAGGCCGACATGGAGCAGGAGTTCAGCCTTGGTCCCGGTATCCTTCCTCGCTTTGCCACTGAAGGCCAGAACAAGATGAAGCTCAAGGACATCATTGCTGCTTGCGAGCGTCTGTACTGCGGTAGCTACGGTATCGAGTACATCCACATTCCCGACCGTGAGCAGTGCGACTGGCTCCGTGCCCGTATTGAGGTTCCCCAGCCTTACAAGTACTCTGTCGACGAGAAGAGACGTATCCTGGATCGTCTGATCTGGAGTTCCAGCTTCGAGAGCTTCCTTGCCACAAAGTACCCCAACGACAAGCGTTTCGGTCTCGAGGGTGGTGAATCCCTGATTCCCGGAATGAAGGCCTTGATCGATCGCAGCGTTGATTACGGTGTCAAGGATATTGTCATCGGCATGCCTCATCGTGGTCGTCTCAACGTCCTTTCCAACGTCGTTCGCAAGCCTAATGAGTCCATCTTCAGTGAGTTTGCCGGTTCCGCTGAGCCTGCTGACGAAGGATCTGGTGATGTCAAGTACCATCTTGGCATGAACTTCGAACGCCCAACTCCCTCTGGTAAGCGTGTGCAACTGTCTCTGGTTGCCAACCCTTCGCATTTAGAGGCCGAGGACCCCGTTGTCCTCGGAAAGACCAGAGCCATTCTCCACTACAACGGTGACGAGAAGGAGGCCAACTCTGCTATGGGTGTCTTGCTTCACGGTGATGCCGCCTTTGCTGGTCAGGGTATCGTCTACGAAACCATGGGTTTCTACGCTCTCCCCTCGTACCAGACCGGTGGTACCATCCACATCGTTGTCAACAATCAGATTGGTTTCACTACCGACCCTCGTTTCTCTCGCTCTACTCCTTACTGTTCCGACATTGCCAAGGCTATTGATGCTCCCGTCTTCCACGTCAACGGTGATGATGTCGAGGCCGTCAACTTTGTCTGCCAGCTTGCTGCCGACTGGCGTGCCGAGTTCAAGAAGGATGTTGTTATCGATATTGTTTGCTACCGTAAGCAAGGTCACAATGAGACCGATCAGCCCTCATTCACTCAGCCCTTGATGTACAAGCGCATCAGCGAGCAGAAGCCTACTCTTGACAAGTACATTAACCAGCTTATCGAGGACAAGACCTTCACTCAGGACGATGTTGAGGAGCACAAGAAGTGGGTTTGGGGTATGCTTGAGGAGTCTTTCTCCCGCAGCAAGGACTACCAACCTACTGCCAAGGAATGGTTGACCAGTGCTTGGAACGGCTTCAAGAGTCCCAAGGAGCTTGCTACTGAGGTTCTGCCTCATCTCCCTACTGCCGTTGAGACCGACACCCTCAAGCATATTGGTGAGAAGATTGGAACTCCTCCGGATGGCTTCAACGTTCACCGCAACCTTAAGCGTATTCTTAACAACCGTACCAAGACCATCAACGAGGGCAAGAACATCGACATGAGCACCGCTGAAGCTCTTGCCTTTGGTTCCCTCTGCATGGAGGGCCACCACGTCAGAGTTTCCGGTCAAGATGTTGAGCGTGGTACCTTCTCTCAGAGACACGCCGTCGTGCACGACCAGGAGAGCGAGAGCACCTACACTCCTCTTCAGGACCTCGGCAAGGACCAGGGTAGCTTCGTGGTCTCCAACTCAAGTTTGAGTGAGTTTGGTGTCCTTGGGTTCGAGTATGGTTACTCTCTGTCGTCTCCTTCTGCCCTTGTCATGTGGGAAGCTCAGTTTGGTGACTTCGCGAACAACGCACAATGTATCATTGACCAGTTCATTGCCTCTGGTGAGGTCAAGTGGCTGCAGCGATCCGGTCTCGTAATGAGCATGCCTCACGGTTACGATGGCCAGGGTCCCGAGCACAGTTCCGGCAGAATGGAAAGATTCTTGCAGCTGTGTAACGAGGTAAGAAATTGTGTCAACCTCAGAGTGACTGAAATTTACTGACAATATGACAGGATCCCCGTATCTTCCCTGCACCCAACAAACTCGACCGCCAGCACCAAGACTGCAACATGCAGATCGCATACTGCACCACTCCTGCCAACCTTTTCCACATTCTTCGTAGACAGATGAACAGACAGTTCAGAAAGCGTAAGTTGTTAAAATCCTTGATTCACAGCACACACTGACATTCTTTCAGCTCTTATTCTGTTCTTCTCCAAGTCCCTTCTCCGTCACCCCCTGGCTCGTTCGTCGATCGAGGAGTTCACTGGCGACTCGCACTTCCAGTGGATCATCCCCGACCCTGCTCACACTGAGGGCGAGCACCAGATCCAGCCCAAGGAGGAGATTGAGCGTGTCATCCTCTGTACCGGTCAAGTCTATGCTGCTCTGCACAAGTACCGCCAGCAAAACGGAATCACCAACACCGCCATCACCCGTATCGAGCAGCTCAACCCCTTCCCCTGGGCTCAACTCAAGGAGAACCTCGACTCCTACCCCAACGCCAAGAACATTGTCTGGGCTCAGGAAGAGCCTTTGAACGCTGGTTCGTGGACTTTCACACAACCTCGTATTGAGACATTGTTGAACGAGACCGAGCACCATAACAGAAGACACGTTCTTTACGCTGGTAGAAACCCCAGTGCCAGTGTCGCCACTGGTCTTAAGAGCAGTCACATGAAGGAAGAGCAAGACCTACTCGACACTGCTTTCAACGTAAAGCAAGACAAGCTCAAGGGCGAGTAAGCGTAATCCATTTCCTTAATTCCTATGGGGGGTTCTTCGTACATAGTCGGCCCGTGGGACATTCATCAAGGGCGTTAGCAAGCAGCAGCGCCTTGTGTATTTCTAAATTTTGTTTCGCAAGTTCTGCATGATAATTCCTTGTACCTAAACTCTGCTGTGCTGTCATGAAGTCTATTGTCGGCGAGCGTGATCTTCACATGCGGGCCGTTTGCGCATGCCATGTTCCGATCGGTCTTGTACCTCGGTACCTCATGCAAGGGCGGAATGTTATCGAACACACGACGTTCGCATGTACAGCAGTCAGCTCATGCGGCTCCAATATATTCTCATGCAGTAACAGACGTTGTGCTCTGTTATCAAGATACTCCAGGCACAGACAGGCTCTTCCTGATCTCGAAAGTTTCAGACACTCGGCAAGTGTTTGAAGAGTGGTGACATCCTCATGCGTCTTAGCATGGCATGTCCGGAAAGGGGTATCTCAAAGGCGCTGGATAAGTAAACCGCATGCGCTGCATATCATAGTTAGATGTAAATGATGAAGGCGAGCCTCGGCGGATTGTTTTTATTCGATAACCGTCTAGTCAATTGCCGACAAGATGATATCTCGAGATATGTGGTTATCGCCACTTCTCTTTGATCTCTTTCAAGCTCCCCTAGTTCTCACTGACCTTTCTCGTCCTCGACTTACTCAACACGACCTAACATTTTTATAAGAATGAGCAAAACCGGAGATTTCGAAAGCGTCGCTGCGGATATCAAAAAGCTGTTACATCAACCAGAGTATGACGATGGCAGTGCTGGACCGGTTCTAATACGTCTGGCATGGCATTCTGCCGGTACGTACTGTGCGGAGACCGACACTGGTGGTAGCAATGGAGCCGGCATGCGTTACGAGGTATTTGCCATTTTGAGCATACTACAGTGTAATCATAGACTAACATATCCAAGGCTGAAGGCGGCGACGAAGCAAACGCAGGCCTCCAACATGCCCGCGTATTCCTGGAACCCGTCAAAGAGAAGCACTCATGGATATCTTACGCCGATCTGTGGACACTGGCAGCTGTCGTTGCATTGAAAGAGATGGGAGGACCACAAGTCAAATGGCTCGCTGGTAGAACAGATTACGTCGACGACAGTAAACTCCCTCCTCGCGGACGTCTTCCAGATGGTGCTCAGGGTGCCGACCATATCCGATTTATCTTTTACCGCATGGGTTTCAACGATCAAGAGATTGTCGCGCTCAGTGGTGCGCACAACCTGGGACGTATGCACAAGGACAGAAGCGGCTTCCACGGACCATGGGTCCCAAACCCTACGCGATTCAACAACACATACTTCAAGATCATGACCGATTACGAGTGGAAGGAAAAGACGCTCGACAATGGCGTCAAGCAATTCGTTTACATTGACGAGGATCTGGATGAAGAGTTGGCCATGCTGCCGACCGATCTCGCACTTGTCAAGGACGAGTCATTCAGTCCTTGGGTCCAGAAGTATGCCAAAGACAAGGACCTCTTCTTTGAGCACTTTGCAAAGGCCTTTGGCAAGCTCCTAGAATTGGGTATCCAGAGAGACGCCAATGGCAACATCTGCAACTCTGATAACGTCAAGGGTGGCTATCACGCCGCACCGAAGAAGTCCTCCAAGCCTGGCAAACCGAAGACTGCTGGAGATGGTATTGCCGAGCCTCTACAGGAAGAGAATGCTCGTTTCAAGGCTAGACTATAGAAAGATGGGGACTAGACTAGATTTATAGATTTACTATTGTCTTTAGATTATACACGACTAGATTAGATGTTAATACACGCGTCGCTTCAACACCGCCGAAGTCAAACATCTCGGCGACCTTTTTATGTGTGCATAAGATCAAGTGATTCTGTGTTGCTCTTTCCCTTGACCGCAAGCCATTTGTTGCCCCAGAGTCGGACATAACGTCATCTGTATCCAGATATCGCCGAGATATAAAAGTGATGTACTCGATGTTGCCACTTTCCATTCGCTTTCAGAACACAAGCCCATGCCACCATTGCCGTCCTCAACCCTTCCCGTCTGCTCGCGATGTATGCGACCCAGATTTGCAGAACGGGTCGCCCGAACCTCCCACAATGTTCGCCGCTATTCGACGCCACCCAAGGACGAACACCAAAACCATGAGAAAGAGCAAGAGAAGAAGCAAGGTGCCATGTCTCGCAGACTGGCTGCATTGAGCGAGGATGGTCTGGAATATGGAGGCCGAAGTGCTCGCAAGGCTGTGGAAGAAGCTGGCTTTGACGAGGGCCTCAAGCAACAACTACTTGAGCGTATAGCCACTGCGTCCTTCCAGAACAACCATGCTGGTGCGATATCCCAAGCAGAAATGCCAGATAGTGCAAGTCGCCAGAGCAGAGACATAGCTGGAGCAGCGCCTTGGTCCGGCACCGAGAGCTTACATGATGCTTCGTCTCGCATGCTCAACGACTCGTACAAGCCACTCAAGCCTGTTGGTAGGCCCTCTCGAGGACCTTCTAGCGGACCGCCCAGGAAGATCGATACTGGTCGGCCAGCCTCCGTTCCGTCATCGGGTATTAGATTGGCGAATGCACGCGACAAGACCTCAGTCTACGCACACATGAAAGACTTGCCCGACGACGAGAGGGAGAAGTTCCGCAAGGAGCTGAAGGAACGCTTCACACCAGCAGCTCGCTCCGCACCTGTAACTTTGAAAGGTCTGGAGTCACTCGCGAACGAACGCATTGAGGATGCCATTGCTAGAGGAAAGTTCAAGAACATAACCAGAGGAAAGCCAATTGAGAGAGACTACAACGCTAGTAGTCCTTTCATCAACACCACTGAATACATGCTCAATCGAATGATTCAGCGACAGGATATTGTGCCACCTTGGATCGAAAAGCAACAGGACATCATTAGCACATCCAACCGCTTTAGAGGTCGACTTCGCGCTGACTGGAAAAGACATGTTGCGAGATCCATCGCTAGTAAAGGTGGTTCGTTGGAAAGCCAGTTGGCGCTTGCTGAAGAGTATTCCCGCGCAGAAGCTATTGAGAATCCGCCAGTGAACAAAAAGACCGAGAAGATCAATACTGTCGACAATGCTGGACATCTCAAACAGATTACGGTAGATGGCGAGACCAAACCCTCGGAGACTGCGACCACAGGAGAAGCACAGCAAATTACTATCACAGAAAGTCCTGTAGATAAAGCAGCTAACCCTCTGCCTAAAGAAGGAGAAGTTCAAATCTCCATCAACACAGCTTCAGAAGCGTCCGTCGAGGCTCCATCAACTCCTCCTCCACGCGTCCGCCCCTTCAGAGACCCAGAATGGCTCCGTGTAGAACTCGCCTACCACCGCGCCGCCATCGAAAACCTGAACCAACTAACCCGCTCCTACAACCTCATGTGTCCCGCCCTCGCCCAACGCCCTTACTTCTTCCTCGACCGCGAATTAAAGTCTTGTTTCGCAGAAGTAGCTCCGCAAGTCGCTGAAGCAATCAGAGAGCGTGCAATAGCTCCAAAGCCTAGATATCAGGCTGCTTCCTCCAATAGACCGGCGAGAATATTGGGGAACCTTGCTGGCCCGGAAAGCAAGGTCTACGATGAGCAGAAGCCGCAGTTTGGTTTTAGGGATCTTTGGAGGGAGTGGTTTAGGAAGGATTGATGGATGGTGAAGGCTTTGAAAGATGGAATGTAAATACAGAAGATGGTTACTAGAATAGATATATGCTTGCATTGCTACATCACACTCGACGGATCAAAACGATGAGAAAACCCAAAACACTGATAAACACACAAAGTGAATTCTGATAAGAGCAGGAAAACATCATGTCGGACGATTCAAAAGAAAAAGATGTCGTCTCTTTTACATTTACATAGAACATAGTATTACACTTTCCTTCGTCCTCAAATTTACCTCACACAATCATCCCAAGCCTTCAAGCTCGATGCTGCAAAGCTGTTGGGCTGAGGATTTCTCGACTTCAGAGCCTCGGCCAATTCACTCAATCTTTGCTCATATTGCTGAACGATGGAGTTTGCGCGAGCGGTGTCGGGCATGTCACCGCCGAGGATCTTGGATGCGAGACTGAGACCGTGGTATATCGACATCTTTGACAAGAATTCGATCGGGGCGCCGACTTGCGGGAGGGCTGTTTCTGCAGGCTTTTGGAGGAATTGTTAGCAAAGAAAAGTGGACTGAGTGAGAGCACAAGATGCATACCTGGTTGGACTCGTTGAAGGTAGCCATAAATCTTGTGGCATAAGACTTGACCTTTCCGCTCACGTCCTTGCCACCTTGGTATTGTGAGGCGTAGACGGCGTGCAACTCGAGGAACAAACCGATGACGGCCGGACGTGTCCTTGGATCGTTCGGCGACAATCTTCTTCCAGAACCATGGTCTTCCGACTCCAGGAGCTCGGCCAGTTCGTCGGCGTTCTTGATTGCCTTTTCCAGACGAGCTTGCTCCCAGTTTTCCCGCGATGCGGTTTCGCGCAGGGCGTTCAGGACTTGGTTCAGGACAGCGTCGTTCTTTAGCGACAAGCCAGTCGCATGTGATCGTCGCAAGGAGCGGAGGATGACAGGGAATTGATCAGCCAGCTGCAATTTCCTCAGAATCTTCTCCTGCAAAGGTAGGTCCGGTTGTGGGCGAGCCTTGTGCAGACCCTCCAGGATAGAGGGCAGTTGACGCCATTCGTCGTTCTCCTCAATCAATGTCAATGCTTTCAGGACCAGAGGCTTGCGAGCAGGAATCTCTGTTCTGCGGTCGATGTGAGTAAGAGGAATCTCTTGTTCGCCGAGGGTAGCGTAGGCAGGGTTGTTTTCGAGTTCTTGCTTGAATTTGTCGCCGAAGATGAGGTGGCGCTGGCGCTTGTTCAGGAAGGCGGGGATGAAGTGTTTGGTACGGAGTTGGAGGAGGACGTGGTCGAGTTCGGGAGATGAGGATTCGGCAAAGGTCGGGAGAGTAGCTGAGAGTTCTTAGTGGAAGTCTAGTGGCTGTTCAGGAGGAAGATGCATACCGGTGGTTCTCTGAACAGAGGATGATGCGGTGAAAGAGCGAGTCTGGGTGGTGCGACGAACGGCAGTGACAGCATTACGCTGAGTGCGCAAAGCACACGTCCTGCAGAGATCCGCCATGATTGATTGTATGATTGATCCAAGTGCAATTGGACAATATCGCGGTAGAGAGTCGCAAGCTTGCGGCGTCGTGATTGGCCGGCCGAACTTTTTGCGGACAGCGGAAGCCCGACATCGACGAGCAGCAGCAGCGACCATTGGATCACACACACACACGACCATGTCTACACCCGCGCGGCCACTGACTGCTCTCAAATCAGCTTTGCGCCAATTGCGCGCCGACAAGCACCACTCGCGATGCTATGCCACGGCCGCTCCCTCCGTCACTGGCAGGCCCGTCAACTTCCACCCCGGTGCCATCATGACCGGACGCAGTACGATCAACCCACCGCTGTTCCATATTCTCTCGAACTGACCATGCTCCAGACAGCGAGCACAGCATGAAGAAGATTCCCATCTTCCCCGCCGCTCCGTCAGCCCGTGCGAACTGCAAAGACCCAATCGCCGCCGTCACCCAGGCCCAGCTTTCCGCTCTCGACCCTACTGGTGCCCGTAGCCGTCTGTTTAGTCGCGAAAACGTCGACCGCGCAAATGTCGGCGATATCCTCCTCGTTCGCCTCAAGAACGGCGACCAATATGCCGGTGTCTGTCTCAACATCCGCCGTCAAGGCATCGACACGGCCATTCTCCTCCGCAACAACCTGACCCGTGTGGGTGTCGAGATGTGGTACAAGATCTACAGTCCCAACGTCGAGGGTGTCGAGGTTGTGCAAAGGAAGGAGAAGAGAGCGAGAAGAGCAAGACTGTACTACATGCGCCAGCCCAGACACGACATTGGCAGCGTCGACAACATCGTCAGGCAATACCAGAGACAGCGTGCCATGTTGCGCAGCTCAGAGGTCAAGAGCAGAGACTCAAACTCTCGCAAGAAGAAGAACAACAAGCGTGGCTCGAACTAGTCCTCGATATAAAGAATGTTGCATTGGGCGGCGTTTACTATCGGCTCCACACGAGGAAGGCTCATCTTGTCTTCTGTATCTATATCTGTACAAATTTCTGTCCGAATTCTTTGATCTTCACGAGACGGGTAACTATGTTGGCATTTACAAGATCCTATGACGAGACATGTTCAGCCCATCGTGTTCGCAATCACACCTGCACAAATCTCATCCTCGGTCAACGTCTGCCCTCTGACCTCGGGGGACATGGCTTTGAGCAACACCGCTTCCTCGATCTCTCTGTACTTATTCGCCGCACTCAAGATCATTTGACCATGTCTCTTCTCATCACTCATCAGCAACACGGCAGCTCTGGCCACAGCCTCCGCGGGCTGTAAATTTGCATCCACGCCTGCATAGTGGGATTCTTCCGTAAGAGCTGTAACGGTCCACGAAGGACACAAAGCATTTACACGAATAGGCATGTCAGGATATGTTACAGGAGCGAGGCCACGAAGAAGACCCAGGACACCGTGCTTTGAGATTCCGTAGTCTGCACAGCGGAATCGATGGAAAGAGGATGAAGAAGCTGTGAGTACGACACTGTATGGGGTCGAAGAGGCCTTTTGCTTCTGCATGTAGTGCAAGGCTAACGAAGCAGTGTTGATGACACCTCGGAGGTTTACGTCCAGGGTCAGGAAACCAGGCTCGATGGGTTCGTTGTTTGAGTCAATCTCTAGCTCGAGGTAGGAAGTTGTTGGTCTCATGCCGGCGTTTGCGAATACGTGATCAATCTGGCCGTGCAGCTCCAGAGTCTCTTTGAAGAGGTTCGTGAGTTCACTCCATGAGGTGACATTGGTCTTGGCAAAGGTGTATGAGCTAGACTTATTGTCTTCAGCAGGAGCATTCAGATCGCCATTGACGACTTTAGCTCCAAGGCTTAGAAGCAGGGTGGCTGTAGCTAGGCCGATACCAGAGCTACCACCTACTCGGTGTCAGAGTCGTGTATCAGGAGGGAACAAGGCTGATAGCATACCAGTCATCAGGACTACCTTGCCTTTTACACCCTGCAGATCTGTATCGTTGATGGTAATTTCTGCCATACTTTGTGCAGAATGACTTGGAGATGATGGAACGGAAGATATGAATGTGGAAGAAACAGAATGGAGACAGAGAAGGTGACAGCACTTCACATACGCGCGCCAAGCCCAGTCGAGGTTTCTTATATATTAACCATTACTGTAGGTAGAGGTCACGAAGGATGCAGAGTGTTTAGCGACAGAGAGGGGAAATGGTCTGCGAACTCTGACTGCCTCGGCATGATAGGAACCTCGTCTGAGGCCAAACTCAGTCGCATACACATTGGGGCTATCAGAGATCGATGCCTTCAACGTCTAAGTCGTTCTCCGTGAATCTGCGGCGATCTGAAAAAATGATTGTGCACTGCATCATACAGTGGATTGTTGCTTCATGTTACAGCGGGATAAAAGCGATAGCGGGGCTGGATATAAGATAAAGCTTAACCCCGTAGCAAAATGACGGAGTGACTACGCATCCGGCGACAAGGACTTGGAGCAGTCAAGATACATTCCTCTAGGCAGTTGAACATTGCTACCAGTCATGAGTGACTGGGCTCTAGACGCACTTGCTGAACGCGTCAAATCGAGGAGACAAGTGAATATGCTGCTTCCGGTCTTTGTCTCCATCTATTAACACCCGTGTGTTTTCCAGAGCTCCGGCGACTTCAGCAGCGACGAAGGACACCAAGCCCTCGAGGTACTTTCGCCCAACACTTCGGTCCATATTCCTTCGATCTGATAGCAATCGCGACAGGTCGTCTTCGAAGAGCAGCACTCGACACGACGCAAATCATCCATTGTCAAGACAAACATGCGACCCGGCGCAATGCGTAACGACACATCATGTTTTATTCACAACATGCTGGAGGAGAAAGACGAAGGTGTCGAGCCTGCTCAGACCGAAGAAAGTATACAAGATGAGAAGCCCGCGGACAAGCCCACAGGCAACCCTCACCAACATTCCGACCACATGCAATCTCGATTGCTCACCAAGAAGCAATTGTCGGATATGGCCTTTGGCATTCGTGAACTTTCCAAACGCTTGGGTCGAGTCAAGTTGATGCTCAAGGTCAAAAATATCTTTGTGCTCACAAAACTCACTGACGCTACTCTTTGCGCCAAGGCCGCTGAGTTGACCAAGTGGTTACTGGATCAAGATGCACAATATAATGTGTATGTACCATGGCCTCGAAGAGATCTTGAATCAACAGCTGACAAGCCATGAAGTTATGTCCAGGATACATTGAAGGAGCTGAAGTCATTTGATATTCCATCCATTCTTGAGGGCGATGAATCAAAGACAGACAGGCTGAACTACTGGAACGAGGCCCTTTGCAAGAAGTCGCCTCATAAGTTTGACATTGTCCTTGCAGTAAGCGACGTCACTATTCATGTCTGCTGCAGCCTGCTGACATAAACCTATAGCTCGGTGGTGATGGTACTGTCCTGTATGCTTCGCTTCTATTCCAACGCATTGTACCTCCTGTTCTCAGTTTCGCCATGGGATCCCTTGGTTTCCTGACCAAATTCGATTTCGCCAGATATTCAGCCATCCTACCCAGAGCCTTCAACGATGGTATTACCGTGTCCCTTCGACTTCGCTTTGAAGGTACCATTATGCGCAGTGTCCGTCGCGAAGGAGATAGCGATGAGGACCACAAACAAAGAAGACTGGACGAAGAGCTGGTTGGTGCTGAGGCAGATGACCACCATACCCACCGTCCTGACACAGCCTACCATATCCTAAACGAAATCGTCTTGGATCGCGGTCCTAGTGGTAGCATGGTTGCTCTGGATGTTTATGGCGACGAAGAATGTTTCACCACCATTGCTGCAGATGGTCTCATCGTTGCGACTCCGACAGGTAGTACAGCGTACAATCTGGCAGCAGGTGGTAGTCTCTGTCATCCGGACAATCCGGTCATTCTTCTCACCGCAATCGCGGCACATACTCTCAACTTCCGACCAATCATCTTACCCGACACGATGGTATTACGAATTGGTGTTCCATACGACGCGCGCAGTTCTGCATATACTAGCTTCGACGGAAAGTACAGGTATCATCAAGCCCTTTTTGAAAACATCGTTCTCTGTTCACTGACCTCCTTCTAGGACTGAATTGTGTCCCGGTGACTATGTAACCATTTCCGCTTCAAGGTTCCCATACCCTAGTGTATTGCCTTTGAACAAACGTAGCGAGGATTGGATTGAAAGCATTTCGCGTTCCTTGGATTGGAATTCGCGAGCCAAACAAAAGCCTTATACAGAAGAGAAGAAGAAGGACGACAGTGAGAGCAAGTCATGATGGAAGTTTCGGATGACATTTTGGTATGCATGTATGGAGATGGATTGGCGTCGGTGAATCTTGTTTGCATCTAGAGATACCTAAAACGAATGCTTCTGTCATATTTCAAACAGTTCACATCTAGACACCACTCTACGGAAGTCTGTGTGTATGATCAACTTTGTGTGGCTCCTTAATATGATCATAAAATGTGACCTCTCGAACAACCCAGACCGATATCGGATGGAGCAATTCGGCCAGGGTTCCACCCGCGACCAGTGCTGTGGGACAATGATATCAATTTAAGGGCCGACAACATAGTATACTGTGAGATCTTGGTTATTGATACAATCTATACTATGCTTTTCATGCTCTATAGCAGTTTGAGGGTAATGCCACAGTTGTGTCGGCGTGTAGAACGAGAAAGGTGTTTCCAAATTTCGACTTTTCGATCATGCCCAGGAGATCACGGCATCTTGTTCAGTCTCTTCCAATGTATAAAGACAATATCCATTTTGCTCCATACGCTTATGCTAGACATCTTACGAGACAGTATCACTCCATCGAAGAGTGACATTTTTTTCTCGCCACGTTCCTTCTATAGATGAGGGTCTCTGTAGCGAGGAATCAGAATGGGTAAAAGCATCCGTCAGCCCACCACGTGCCGTGCTTAGGGTTTCGGGAAACGAGCTGCCGTAGAGCCGCACTACGCAAGATACCTCATCCATCAATGACACAACAATCTCGAGACTGACCACATAATTGAATGCTAGAGTCCGTTTCAATTCGGCTCTTGTCCGCTCTTTCTTAGATATCGTCTAGAGGGCGTCATCTGGGAGAAGGACTTCCTATCGCATATCCTCGTGCCCCCCCACATCACATGTGAAGATCCGTGTACCCCGCGCGGGGTGGTGGATACCCTCCGCAAACCCAAAGCAGAAGCATCATCAGATCCCGGAGGGAGGAGGTGGCATAGCCAAGAATCACGCTCTCTCCCCTCTCCCTCTCTCCTCAAATGTGCCGCTGACGAAGACAAGGAAGCGGATTACCGCTGGAAAAAGGTATCCCGCGCGGCCGGAAGGATTTCTCAGAAACTTGGCAGCATGTAGAGAGAGAGAATCAAAAGGCGGCTGTTATCCCATCTTCTTGAGTGTTTACACCTTCCTGCTCTTTACAAAGACGTTTGAATATTAACATGATTGCAAAGATGATGCGCGCGGCGAGATATTACGGCAAAGAAGATGTTCGCATTGAGGATACCCCGAGACCTCAATTGAGTTCTGGTCAAATCCTTATAAAGCCTAGTCATGTGGGCATTTGTGGCACTGATCTTCACGAGTACATTGCTGGACCTACGTATGTTGCGGTTTTTGGTTGCTCTAGCATAGTCAACATGACTGACAAGCATACATCAGCTTCGCCCCTGTCGAGCCGCATGCGATCACCAGAGAAACCATTCCAATTGGCATGGGACATGAGTTCAGCGGCACTGTTCTTGAAGTCGGCCCCGATGTCCCGAATCCAGAGAAGTTCCAGGAGGGTCAGAAATGCGCTATCCAGCCAACGATATTCTGTCAGAGCTGTGGTGCTTGTCGCAACGGAGTAGAGAATGCATGTGCCAATGGTGGATTCATTGGCCTCAGCGGTAAGACACTCGCATCTATACAACATTACAGCTGTAGGCTAACATATCCAAGGTGGTGGCGGTGGTTTGAGTGAAGCAGTGGCTGTACCTTGGGACGCAGTACTCCCCCTACCAGACAACGTTGATCTTGACACAGGAGGTATGCGAAATCGTAACATGCAGCACTCAGTCCAAGCTGACATCGATACCTAGCACTCGTCGAACCCCTATCAGTCGCATGGCATGCCGTCTCAGCATCTCCTCTCCTCGACATCGGGGCTCAGAACGCCTCTGTGCTAGTCCTCGGAGGTGGACCCATCGGTCTGGCAGTCGTCCAAGTCCTTGTTGCCCACGGAACAAAGAAGATAATCATGAGCGAGATCGCAGCACAACGTCAGGCCTTTGCCAGAGAGTTCGGAGCACACCACGTCCTAGCACCGAACGTATACGATGTAGTGGGCGTCTCACGCGAACTCTGTCGTGGGGAGGGTCCAGATATTGTGTTTGATTGTGCCGGCGTACCTGCCAGTTTTGAGTCAGCATGCAAAGCCATCAAAGCTCGTGGTACTGTTGTCAACGTCGCAATCTGGGAGAAGCCAGTGTCATTCAACCCGAACAGTCTGGTGTTCAATGAAGGAAAGTACGTTGGTGTGCTTGGCTACCAGCGCAAAGACTTCGTGGAGGTCATCAAGGCCATCGCAGATGGCAGGTTACAGCCCAACAAGATGATTACAAGAAAGATCGCCCTGGATGACTTGGTTGAGAAGGGCATCTTGGCTTTGATCAAGGAGAAAGATAGGCATGTGAAGATTTTGGTCGACATGGAGATGACTTGATTGTGCAATCGATTGGATATTCTTGCTGCATCTTAATAGAGTCTTGGAGCTCATGCTGGAGGCATAAAGCTAGCGTAAAGCCCACCTTGGATAATGGAGTACATGAACATTCCTCGAAACATCAGCTCTTGCGTAGATGCTTTACTCATATATGACCCGATCTTTGCAATAGATGAATCTGCTCTGTGTGATGTAGCTGTCTTGTCGGATCTTTTCGTGTCCATTGGTGAGACCATAGTCGCCGCAAGCACGATGTACCAGATCGGGTAACCGGTAGCGATGCGGTTGACTATTTGCACATGAAATGTTGTTAAAGCCAGCAATGCTAAGAGCATTTGCGGGAGAGCCAGACATAAGATGTAGACTGACGCATGCTTGGACTGTAGCGCCGATGATTTGATGTTCAGAGTGGGAGCAATGAGGCCGGTGCCGACGAGAACGTACAGCATTGGCAATGCTAACAAGAAGAGGGGGATGTTGGAGAGAGTCCAATAACGGAGAAACCCCACGTTCCTTAAGCCAATGTCAGTAAGGTTCACAGCACGGGTAGCTGAAACGTACCAATAATGTTCTTGTACCCAAGAATAAACACTGGGCAAGGTTCGCGAGCACCAAGGCCTTGGTTCGCCATCTGACGGCCTTGCACAAAAGTCTTGATAAGCCATGTACTGCGGGAAAAGCATACCAGATAAAATCATCATGGCAGAGAGGCCAATGAACACGATCGTTATCATAGTGCGAATGTTGATCCGGGAGTGGAGCAACATGTAGACATGGTGGAAGTAGATGAGTCCACTAAAGATGCCATTGCTACGGACAGTGGTAGCCAATCCGAAGCACGCACCAGACGACAACAAGCTAAGCAGAGACGATGCGCCGTAGTCCTCGAGAGGTGAGTTCCATGGGATGCGAGCATGTATTAGGATACCAGCAAAATTGAGCATTGAGAAGAGACTCTCAGAGTAAGGTGCGGACATGAACATGCCGGCAGACGAGAAAATATGCATAGATGCTGCGAGAAAAGCAGTCGCATGACGCTGCTTCTTATCCATGATGGGCAATTGATGGACCAGCTTATAAAGCATGATGACAGAAAGTGAATGGGCAACATGAGATATCAATACTCCCGCATATGCTTGAGCATACAGCGGTGATAGCGAGGAGCCAGGTAAGACTGATGTTGAGTTCAGCCATGGCACCATAGAGTCACTTGCACCAAACCAACCATTGGACACCAAGCCTACGAACTTAGTATAGCCCCATCCCCAGGCCCATTCTTGCTCGAATACATAGCCTCGTTGTGCAACACTCACAAAGTACAAGGCATCCCAGCGAACAAGTTTTGATGCGAGTCGTTTCGCAAGATCTTCCAGAAGGGTGTTTTCGGACTGCGCGGACTGCGCACGGAGCAAGAGCAACGTGGTAGACGTATCGTAGCCAGGTCCGGGGCTGATATAAGCTACACAGAGTAGCAGGAGCTTCCATGCAACAAACAGGCCGGCCAAGACTTTGATATCCGCAAGCATCAGGCTTGACGTCGATCGATCAGGAGGAGCCATCGCCGGACCACTGGCGTAAAAGGGTGAAACGCGAAATGAGAATTGGCGACAAAGGAGTCGGACGTTAAAAAGAATCCGGTCCAGCGTCTCCTGACAAAGAAATATCAGGAAGATGCAAAAATTGACGAAAACAAAGCAAACGGGTCTCAGCGGAAGCGAATTGAACCGCGGTGCGAGTTTATTGATCAGATGATGATGAAGAGAGAGGCAGAAAAGGCGACGACTGCCTTGGAAAAGGCCGAGTCGGAAGACGAACCGGGGGGTACGGACGAAGGAAAAGCCGATCGCAAAGATCCGGGACCCGGATTTGTGCAAAGATGATGATGATTTTTTCTGGAAACGCGAGTGGCCGCAAGGCTAACCGTAAGCGGGCAAGGTTCTGCAGGGACAAAAGGCCGCTGTAGCAACTGGAACCAAGTTTATATTGTACATGTACAAGGGCATAGCCCCTCACCGTAGGTAAACACTGCCTCTTCATCTGACAGTCGACTCTGTCAATCAATCTTCGATTTCGTGAGGGTGCCAACGCGAAGGATCAGTCGGCCTGGCTGGTGTCATCATCCTTCTTCCTCTAACTGTTTATTACTTGGCTGCCAAGGAGCTTCGACCCACTACCTGCATAAGCATACGCGGATAGTAGAGATCTGACGAACGTTGTACGGGAATAGGCACATCTTGGTCTTGGTCTTGACTCTTCGACAAGAGCTGGCCATCGTTTCAACTCGATTCTTCTTCTCAACCTTTCTTCGGACTTTCCTACATTGACTGGATCGTGTGAATGCACCTTGGGATTTCTGGAACCGTGGATGTCAAACGCGGCTTCCCCATCTTTGTAACAAAACAGCAAGCAGCAAGCAGGATCTTGGTAACACGGAGATCGACATGGCTGATGTCGCAACCCCTCAGCCCGGACTCGTGTCTGCGCTGCCTACAATGCTCATGAGTTATTTCACTGGCCAACCCACCGACAAGACTGCTTCGTTGAACGACAGCCTAGATGTCAACACAAAGCGCCACTCACAAAACAATTACACTATCGAATTAATACCAACAACACCAGCAATGCAGGAGGATACCCCGCGAAGTCAAAGGAGCAACCCTAACAGAAACTCCCTACCACTGATGCTTCACGACGAGGATGACTATGCCTCCCGTGAGGGTTCACTAATGAGTTCGAATGGCGGAAGGAACAAGAAACGATCATGCCGTCCAAAGACTTCGTACAGCATCGCCCATGCACCCCCAAAGGGCAGTGCGCGACACAAGATCCACGTCCGCGCCAAACCTTTACTACAGCTACACCAATTGTCCCAGTCTGCGAGACCCATGCCCGCCTACGAGCTACTGCCATCGGCCATCTTCTCACCCTCATTGTCGCGAGCCATCGCAAAGACCTTTCGTACGCGACATGGTCTCTGCCCCGCAGACCTGGCTATTGTCAAAGCTGAGAAATACCATCAACACGAAGATTCAACCAAGGAGGAGGATGAGTCTCGCGACGTCTTGGCTCTGGTATGCAAAGGTCGCAAAGGAGACGGAAACGCAGTCTCAAAGGCCAAGCTCTACCTCGAGGATGGGTCCGAGTGGGAAGCATACCCTTTGCCCAATGGTAGCTACGAATTCTTTAGTACCGACCACCATGGCTTGGGAATGACGGCGCGCTGGGTCTTACGCCGTCCTAAAGCCAGAAGAAGTCAATCCGCTTCGGACATGGCTGCATCATGGAGTGCCGACGGCTCTGCACAAAAGCGCTTTCAGTTTTCCACCATAAGCCCAAACTCTCGTCGCCATCCCGTTATTGCTTCACTAACAACAACCTCTCTCGAGATCAACGATACTTACACCATTCCGTCACCATTAGCTCCTTCGCCCGAGGTCTCGGACCATGAGCACGAAGATGCTGGCCAGGACTCGACCAATGCCAGCGCCGAACCTAAGGTGACGACTTCGTCCTTGAAGGCTCTGATCACTGCGACTGCCATATGGGTCACCCTCCGTGAGGGCTGGTGTTCCGGTTATCGTTACGACGATCTCATGCTCCGATCTCCTTCGCTCAAGCTCAACACACCTCCCATCAAGTCGCCTACAGAATCGTCTCTTGCTGCCACTGCCAAGGAAGACACTCCTAGAAGAAGTGGCAGCATTGCCCGTATGTTCCGCTCTGCTGGTGCCAAACGACGATCAACCTCTTCCGCTCAACTTGATGGCTCCACTTCAACCGAGGAGGTCCCCATCGCTAGGAGTGCTAGTGCTCGCAGAGCTCGTGCAGATTCTACTAGCACCGTCTTGGTTCATTCTAAGCGTCCCCGAGGACGTCGTGCTGATACTACCAGTACTACTGCATCGGGCCTTGCACACATGGATCTTGCACGCAACGATATGACTGAAGAGGAAGACAGCGTTGAGACAACTGCTGCCATGCTGGCAAAGTCGTCCAAGCGCGCGTCGGCGCCTACGCCTTTGATTCCGGCTCTCGACGTCCAAGAGAGCGACGAAGAGAACCACACCCTACGCTCAGACTCTGCTCACATTTTGGAAACTGAGAAGAAACTCGCTGCCGCTGCAGTTGAGCGTCAGAAGCGTGAAAGCTCCACTACTTCGACCAATAGCATGTATGCCGGTAAAGTCGAAGCAGACATGTCACCCAAAGCCAAGAAGAGCAGGTTCAGAAAGCTTTTCTGCGGTATGGCAGGGTAGCGAAAGAGGAGGAACCTATTTGTTTACATTTGCGCGTTTTTTTCACTCGATGGCTGGACCTCGACCGAGAACCCCAACCATTATACCCCCCTTTTCCTGAGTTGATATATCCTTTACTGCGCAGAGCGCATGTAGTTCTGATATTGTTTACTAGCGTTTAACCCAGATACACGCCACAAATCTATGAAATCATTCTTTTGTCAACACGAGTGTATCCCTCTGCGGTGCGACCTTCCCGTCCAGCCGTATCACCGTCTCAGCCAATGCGGCCATCCAGCAATCTTGTTTGTTGTTTTCATGTAAACCTGCATCCAACCGAGCATGAAGCATTGATCTACTCTGCAGGATTCCGAGCCGTATCCACAGCGTATACCGTATTCCGTAAATACCCCTCCTTCAGGCTCCCGGATTCCTGCTGAGGCTTGCTCTCCACGTTTTTTCTCTTTTGCATAATTCAAACTCTTGCATAATCTTCTCTTTCGGAATCTCCAAACTCCGCAGTATCCGGGATCAAAAGTCGCCGAGCGGGAAGGAAAACGATATCGACCCATTTTATTGACCACACCATTTTTTGTTGTTCATCACTGTTTTGAATCACATGCATTGATTACGGGCTGAGGTGGAAAGGGCTCTACTGATGACTGCCTCAAGAGTTTAAAAATCATGATACCCCGAGGATGAGAAGATGATGGTGGCAGGTGATGATTCAACATGGCTGGCTTCGGGATTTACATCTATCCGAACGATGCATCAGAAATGGTAGGGTTCTTTCGTGCTTACTGGTACGCTCCTGCTCTGCTTATTTCAATGCGGCTTTTGAGCTGAAGCTGGGGAAAAGGAATTAGGAAAGAGGTGGCAGTCCGGAGAATGGCGGAGCCCAGTCATGGAGGATCAGAATCGGCTGGTGAGTTCTGCAGCTCTGCACGTGTCGTGCTTGATGATTGCTACAGGTCACGATGTCGAAGATCGATTTTCACATTGAGACCGCATCAGGAACACGATTGCTGAGGGATTTTTTGGAATTATGTTTGAATTGCTGATAGACTCTTTGGCTGCGGCAGGACCTAGCGCATGTCGGTTGACATACGGAAGCGAGATGTCCACGACTCCACGACATGCAGTTCTTATTCGGATCTGACGAGGAGATCACTTTTCTCTTTTCCTACCCTCTTTCTTACACAAGAGCAGACACATGCTCGTGTCCTGCATTCCAGCCTTTGTTGACAGAAGTTTTGCTGATTTCTGACCTGAACCCACCTAAAGCAAGGTACTTTGTGTGATGGCCCAAAGGTCGCTGACAAAGAGTCCACCTTCCTGCAGCAGTGCGCCAAACTCTTCGCTCTTGCCAAAGCCGCTGACTTCAGAGGCGACATATCTGACAACGAGGTCCTTGAGCTCAGGCATATCACGGCGCATCTCGCGTTCAGTCTTGTATACCCAACGTACCAGAGCCAGTACATCACCAACACGCTCGGCTGTGCACTCGAAACGCATCAGCTTATCGTTCAGCTTCTGCAATGAGATCACCTTGAGTTTGATTATCTCGTAGTTGATGGCAAGAGCGTGCATGGCAGCATGGGCGATGAACACGGTGGTGTGGTCGTCGTTGTTCGAAATGCCGTTGGGCTTGGCTCTGATGTTTGCACCGAAGACACGCGAAGTGGTGTTTGTGTAGGTAGTGTTGTTGAATACACCGTGCAGCTTCATCTTGTTGTTGACGTTGAGAGAATTGGCAACATCGGTGTTTGGTGAGGTGCCGATGAGGCCCGGTTTGCCAAAGCCATTGAGCGAGCGAGACGGTGACTCGGTGCGGACGCGCTTCGAGGCAGGCGGCTGGAGGCTCGTGCCCTCGGTGATGAGTAAAGAGGAAGAGTTGCTTGCGCCATTACCGTCGTTCGAGCCGTTTTCAATAGCAGGAGTGGCTGGCTTGACCACCATAGGGTAAGGATCGGTGTAGGTGGAGGTGTAACAGAAGTCGCAGAAACGCAGAAGATCTTCTTCGCGCACACCATCGAGAGTGGCGCTAGTGCGAAGACCATCAGGTGTTTCTTCTTCCATTAACAGCTTGAGAGGAATCGAGACTGCAGTAACAGCGCCCGAGTGGACTGTGGTGGATGCGCCGTTCTCGCCTGCGCGGAAGGTGAAGAGCCGTGAGTGGAAGACACTACGGATTGTCAGTCAGCCAAGTATCTAGGAGTATGCAGAGGTAAGACCAGCTTCGAGGAATGCTCTGCCATGGTCTCGACGTCAGGGTAGTCAGACACGTCGAGAGATAAAGGAGGGTTTGTTGTGTTCGAGTCGAAGATGATGCATGTAATGCGTTGAGCCGACTTTGAAACTTGGAGTGCGGTGTCGATGACTAGAAGCATGACGAGGCGAGAGGACCTTGGTGCTTGTGCTGCCGCTTGTAACAACAATCGTGGTTGTTTCGGAAAGAGCGTCACATGCAAGCCAGATCTCCAGTGCTCCTTCCTCGAATCGATCTGGTCGAAAGAAAAACTTCTCTTCACGGCACGTAGGCACTCATGAGGTTCACTGCTGGTTCGGTGAGGTTAGAGGAAGTAAAAGATGTAGATTATTTTAGGATATCATTATCATCGTACTTTGTCTCCAACCCTTCAATTGGTTTCTTGCCTCGCTTTATAAGAGTTTACCGAACCACCAGCAAGAATCTTAGCTTGCGCCCTTGCTCGCGTCTCCGAGCCGATAGTGCTCTCAGATGCCAAACCCCAACCACCACCGCCAGGAGAGTTGATGATGATTCTGTCACCCTCTCCAAGCTTGATAGTACCTTTAGCGCCCAAGTTGACCACTCTCTTCTCGTCGGAGTGTTCATCCTTCTTGATGACCAAGTTGAGACCGGAAGATCCAGCCTCGCCGCCCTCCAAGCCGTATGGCTGGCGACTACGACGCTCGGAGAGGATAGAGCATTGTACTGGCATGCGGAACTCAATGTCTCGAATTGTGCCTTCGCCACCAGTGTACATGCCCTTACCACCAGAGCCTTCACGCAGTCCGAATTGCCTGAGAATACAAGGGTAGCGCTTCTCAAAAACCTCGGGGTCGGTGATACGAGTGTTGGTCATGTGGGTGTGAACACCACTCTGCCCTTGCCAGCTTGGGCCAGCTCCTGAGCCACCAGCAATTGTCTCATAGTAACCAAAACCATTGACGTGTGTGCCATTCTTGTTTTTGCCGCCAGTACCAAAGGTCAGATTGTTGCAACAACCCTGACTAGCAGCACAGGCACGGAAAGCAAGAAGAACAACATCCGTAATACGTTGTGACGTGAGAACATTACCGCCTACAACACCAGCTCCCTTAGCAGGACTTAGCAAAGAGTTCTCAGGGATTCTGATATCGACAGGGTTCAAACAACCCTGGTTGAGAGGGATATCGGACGAGATGAGTGCGCGGAGACAGTAGATGATGGCCGAGTTCGTAATCGCAACTGGCGCGTTGGTGTTTCCGTAGACCTGAGGTCCAGTGCCCTCGAAGTCAAATACAGCCGAGCCATCGGGCGCGATCGTGATCTCCAAAGCAATGGGCGTGCCATCATCCATGTAGTCGACAGCCTTCAGAGGCTTCTTACCGAACTGCTCGTACTTCTGCTTGAGCAATTCTCGAACGGCGATATCACTTGCTCGTTGGATGGCATACATATAGCGGTGCACTGTTGAGAGACCGAACTCGCTGATCAGGCCTTTAATCAAGGTAATACCACGCTTGTTGGCGGCAATCTGTGCTTTGAGATCGGAGATGTTGTCCTGTAAACATCTGGTACCAGAGCAGCCATCGTATTGTGCGGGGTCTTCCAGAAGCAACTTGGTGATAGCTCCTTCATTAAATCTACCTTCCTCAACAATCTTGAGCGACTCGATAGCGGCACCCTCCTGATATAATTGATTTGAAGTCGGAGGCATCGAGCCCGGAAGAATACCACCAATGTCAGCATGGTGACCTCTTGATGCGACATAGAACGCGATGTCTTCTCCATCGAAGACCGGAGTGATGACAGTGATGTCTGGCAAGTGTGTACCTCCACATGAAGGATGATTGGAGACGAGTACATCGCCATCGTTCAACCTGCCTTGCCATAGCTTGTGTTGATATTTGACTGCGAATTGCATACTTCCAAGATGGACCGGTACATGAGGTGCGTTGGCCACCAAGCCACCATCATTGGAGAACAGCGCACAGGAGAAGTCGAGTCTTTCCTTGATATTTGTGGATACGGAAGTCTTCTGGAGGGTTCTACCCATCTGCTCAGCGATGGACATGAAACGATGACCGAAGATCGAAAGTTGAATTGGGCTGAACTCATTGTTGACGAGCGCCTTATCCACAGTTGTAGTGGAAGTCTCCTGGTCGATCACAACACAACTCTCAAGCACGCTGGCCACAGCTTTGGGAAGTACAACAATAGTCTGAGTCTTGTCGATGATAAGAGCTGGACCCGAGATTTTGCTACCAACAGTAATGGCAGGAAGTTCGTATGTCGGTGTGTCCGACAAACCAGCGCCTTCGTAGTAGACTTGATTTGTAGTGTTGGGAACAGCTTCGGACACACTGAGCGATTCAGCCTGTTTCAACTGTGCGAAGGGACTCGCGGCAATCCTTTCATGTGCAGCACCAATCGCTCTGACACGGAGGTCATCAACGAGAATTGGCTTCTCTTGAAAGAGGAAGCCAAACTCACGCTGGTGTCTCTCCTCAAAAGCCGACTGAAAGTCCCAATCAGCACCCTTCAGTACCATGAGGGAACTGCTCGAGCCTGCGTAACGAAGGTTGAGGAATGTCTCGTAAGTGATGTCTTCGTCCGTAAACCCTTGATTCTTGAGTTCAAGAGATGCCTCGAAAGCAAGTTCCTCCAACTGTTTTTGAATAGCAGCTTGAGTCTCCATGGAATACGTTATGGCTGCTGGCTTCTGGATTTCATGAACCACATCGGCCAGACTCATACCATAAGCACTCAGAATGGATGAGTACTTGTGTATGATGATCCGTGAAATGCCTAGGACCTTGGCGACAGAGCAAGCATGTTGTCCACCGGCGCCTCCGAAACAAGCTAGATGATGAGCAGCCGTATCGTGACCTCTAGCTTCTGTCAATCCTCTGATAGGTCTTGCCATACCTTCGTTGGCGACATTCAAGAAACCAAGAGCGACTTCTTCCGGGGAGAATGTGACAGCACCGTCTGCCCGCTGTTGCTGGTTGATCTCCTCTGTAAGTGCTAGGAACTTTTGTGCTGTGACTTCGCGGTCGAGTGGCTCGTTCTCTTTAGGGCCGAAAATCTTTGGGAAGTAGTCTGGTAACAACCTCCCTAAGAACAAATTGGCATCAGTCACGGTAAGTGGCCCTCCTTTACGATAGCACGCAGGGCCGGGGTGGGCAGAAGCAGACTCTGGACCGACATGGAAAAGACCGTTCTTGAATTTGAGAATAGAGCCTCCTCCCGCTGCGACAGTGTTGATGTCTAGTTGCGGTGACTGTATCGAGACGCCTGCGGTTGTAGTTTCGAAGACATGCTCGTAAACTCCAGCGTAACGCGAGACGTCTGTGCTGGTGCCACCCATATCGAAGCCGATGACAGGTCGTCGTTCTTCGTCATCCCATGATGTTTGGGCGTAGCCGACAACGCCGCCGGCGGGGCCAGATAGAATACCTTTGAGACCTCCGAACCTGCGGAAGTCGACGAGTCCACCATCTGATTGCATGAACTCACAGCGGGTGTTTTGAGCGCCAAGACCGCCTCTGAAGTTCTCCGAGATGGAGGAAATGTAATCTTTGATGACAGGGGTGAGATATGCGTCTGCTGTGGCGCTCATGCCTCTCGGCACGGCCTTGATCATAGGCTGTAACGCGCTGGAAAGAGATACCGAGAACCCTCTGGCAACCGCCATATTGCCTACGAGGTTCTCATGTGTAGGATATGCATACGAGTGAAGGAATACAATCGAGATGGACCGATATCCTTGCTCCCATAACTGATCAAGCGTATTGGATACGGCCTCCACGTCTGGTCGCTGCAGCACACGAATACGTTCTCCAGTAACTGCTTCTACGAGATCAGGATCTGACACGTCCAGATCAACAGTTTGAGGAGTCGGGTTCTCCGTATAGTCTTCCAGTGTCACACGTTCGTCAACTTCGATCACATGCTCGTAGAGAACATCAGGTTTCGCGGCTGAGAGGTCGAAAATGCTTGGTCGTGATTGGTTGCCAATAAGAAGTAGATCTTTAAAGCCTCTTGTTATGAGCAAGGCAGATCTGGCACCTTTACGTTCCAGAAGTGCGTTTGTAGCGACAGTGGTACCCATACGGATAGACTCAATGTGGAAGAGGTCGAGTAATTGACCTCTAGGATGCGGCTGGCCAGTGGCCAACTCCAAGACGCGTCTGATGCCCTCTGTCGGAGCATCTTGATAGTTTGAGGGATCTACTGAGAGAAGCTTCAAGATGACATCTTCGCGGCCGGGTATCGCAGCGTGGACATCAGTGAAGGTACCGCCTCTGTCGATAGAAACGCGGATCTGAAGCGGTTTGATGGCCATTGTATGAACGAGGGTGGAGGTACTAAGATGAGTATATTGGGAATCCTAGAGGTCTTCGGAATGCACTTATATCACAGACCTACCTTGCCCCGAGACCGCCATTCGTTCTGAGGTCACATAATGAGAATGACCATGTTGACCAAGCATGATCGGAGACCTTTTCTGCTGATGCGTGGCCGATAAGCGCGGGGACCCACTCCGATTTTAGCGCTTCTGTGGCGTTTTCTTTCCCGAATGTCGACAGACACCTTGATAACCGTCGCGCACTATGCCCGTAGGACATGCTCGCCTATCAGTGGTCGCCTACGCAGTACTTGGGCGGAGGCTCGATAGCTTGCCCGCAAGGCTGATGGGGTATGAATACATCAAGTATCGTTCGGGTAGAGGGTTGCAAGCAAAATCATAGCACACTACTATGGCCACAGGGAAAATGTCCACTGGGGCTGCCGTCCGCCTAGCGGCGAGAAAGCGTGACCTTGTTGGCGTTACTTCTGGCCTGGCTCCTTCGTTTCTCCAAGCCAACCTCATTGTCCTACCATCCCGCTATGCTATAGACTTTCGGCTTCTTTGTGCTCGAAACCCCGTTCCATGTCCTTTGCTCGCCGAATCCTCACAGATTGGCTCATATCACAGTCTAAAATCCTACATTGATGGATTGACAGGCGATGAGATTGCCTCTGACCTCGACATCCGACACGATGCTCCTCGATACATGATATACCGCGACGGTCAACTAGCGACTTCACACGTCACCGATATCGCGACAGAATGGACCGAGGACCACGTCGCTTTCTTGATAGGATGTTCATACAGCTTCGAGACCGCCTTGACCAACAACAGCCTGCCACCTCGTCACACTATCATGGAACGGAATGTTCCGATGTATCGCACAAACATCCAGCTATGTCCTGCTGGTGTATTCACCGGATCAACGTTTGTTGTATCGATGCGTCCCTACAAGCGGGCTGTTGTTGAAAGAGTGAGAGACATCACTCGTCCGTTTGTGACCACGCATGGAGAGCCTATAGCTTGGGGTTGGGATGCTATGGAAAAGTTAGGCATCGAAGACATCAACAAGCCTGATTGGGGCGACGCACCACTAGAGGTCAACGGACAATCATTAGATTCAGCTAATGAGGACGTCGTGCCTGTCTTCTGGGGCTGCGGTGTGACCCCTCAGGAAGCTGTGATGCGAGCTGGACTGAAAGGTACTGTCCTAGGGCACGCTCCAGGACATATGATTCTTCTCGATATCAAGGATGGAGATGTGTTTAGCGTGTAGCTTCTGAAACATAAGTACGGATGTACATTATCTTAGACCCACATATAGACGATAGTTTATTGTTATTTCAAGTGAGGATCCATCGGCAAGACCCAGCGCAGAAGTCCTCGGCCACGATTAAGCCAGGGCACTGCGTGTGAGCAATGACACGGCACCATCGGCAGAGTGGAGGAGCCCGAAATTTGTCTATCCGGTCATATTCCATGAAGACGTGAAAACAATCGTATCAGCTGGGAGCACAGTGCTGTATCAACTTAACTTGCGCGACCTTCCTCCTCCTATAAGCCTGATCTTGTCAAGGTTGAAGTTCGGAGCATATAAAGTGTGTCTGAAGCAATCAATGATGTGAGATGCGAGATGTGAAATGAGATATATATTGTTACAGCGTAAGAGCTGCGTCTAACATGATTGGACATAAAACTTCCTCCTACCTCTATAGGTGGTATTTGAAGTCTGTAGCAGCGTCGCCAGTCTGTACCCTTCTGGTGTCTTCCGCACCGTCTGCGATCCTCTGCTTGACGTTGTTGCAGTGACGGAGGTACAGCCACTTGCAAGCAATCAAGATCTGTGCCATACCGAGAGCTCCAAGCGAGAACGCGTTACCGAGAACATAGGGACTCTTCCTGTAGATCTGGCCTGCGACGATACCTGCAGTATTACCGATAGTCTGCTGGAAACCGATCGCGGTAGCTCGACGGTATTGTGGTGCGACATTGACGTTGAGCCAACTCATGTTCAACCCAGGTCCATTGTAGACAGCCACCGCGCAGAGGAATGTGCCAAAGAACTTGACACCATTCGGCGTGGGACAGATGATCAAGATATACCCAATTATGCCGAAGATGTTTGCGAACGCCACAAGAGGGCCCCTAATACTTGTACGGTCTGAGAACCAAGCAACAGCTAAGAACGCGAGGCCACCAAATATATAGACAGGGATGGTCAGATATTGCGCTTGAAGTGAGTCATAGCCTAATGACTTGATGATGCTGGGCAAGAAGGTGGAGAATCCGTAGAGCAAGATATCCTGGCAGAATTGGATCAAACCACTGTATATCTGTGTTAGCACTCGATTGTTACATGCATCGAGATATGGTGCATACCTGAGGACGACCTTGGGATCCGTGAGGGCGATCTTGACTTCCGCCCAGCTGAAGTCTTCAGACCCCATGTATGCCGCACGTTGTCTGGCTCTGATCTGCATCAAACGCTTATCGTCATCATTCAAGAAGTAGGCGTTATTGGGGTCGTTTGGCAAGAAGACAAATACTACGACGGCAACGCCAACGGAAAATATTCCCTGGTCAACGTAAGCATAGGTCCTCCGTGTAATCCTGACAACTGACCTCAATGATGTAGACCCATCTCCAACCAGCCATGCCAGCCACACCATCCATCTGCAAGATGCCGTAGGCAAGGAGACCACCAAAGGCGCCAGCGAGAGCCGTGCAAACGAAAAGATAGGCCACACGCTTGGCCATCTCCTCTCTCTTGTAGATCATGGTAAGGTATAGGTTCAGACCTGGGAAGAGACCACCCTCACATGCACCAAGGACTAAACGAGCTGCATAGAGACCACCAACGCTGGTGACGAATCCGCTGAAGATCGTCGTCAAAGACCAGACGACGCAAAGGCCGCCGATGGTGTATTTGGGTGTAAACTTCTTTAACAGAACTGCCCAGGGAGTTTCACACAAAACGTACGTCAAATACATCAAGGAAACGGCCGTTGAGAACTGCTCTGCACTTGCACCAATGTCCTCAGGCATACCGGCGACTTTCACCTGTTCCTTGTCAGTAGGTCATCCTCGACTGCTTGGTAATCTGCTCATGCATTGCCGATATTGCTCCGGTCAAGAAAGCAAGCCAAGTAGGTCAACATGATGATAGGAACCAATGCTAAGTCCAACTTGGCAAGAAGCTTCTTCTCCCTGGCAGGGTCGATGAACTCTCCGAGCTGTACATCGACAGCGTTCTTCTCGCCGTCCAATGCATGGTCGTCATATTTTTCGGGCATATTGAATAGTGAGATGAAATCGATGATAGATTGATGAGAGAGTCGAAAGATACCTACCTGTGCAATATGTATGTTGAACTTGCCTCTTAGGACTCTCGGCCGATCTTCTGCCTATCCTGTAGATATGCCTTCCACCACGAGGCTTGTACCCCGCATGGGCGGCAATACAATGTCTCCAGGAGATAAGACCCCGTTCGCTCGCCATGACCGACACTGTTGTTGAACCTTGCAACCTTTGATCGCTCTCAATGTGCGCGGAAGGAATGGCGAGATAACGATCGGGGACGAAACGCGAAGCCAAGCCGTCTTCAGCCGAAGATGGACAGGAACAGCAACGTCTGACTCGTCGTTGGCGCGCTTGCTACTAATATCTATTATCACATCATGTTCGTGATGCCGCGAGCCAATACCAGCCCCTCGACACGTTGTTCCATCTCCAAGAACAAGACTTCGTTCTTGCGTTCTCGCATTCTCTCGCATTGTTCCGTGACGACATCTCGAACAGTTCCTGTCATCGAGAGCCGACCGTCTCTCCAACCTGGATGAGTCCGGGGTAGTCTCGCTCCTGCCATCTGACATGATCAACAAGACCGATGTAGAACAAAAGCAATGGCTGCAAATATAGCAGGCACCTCGCCATTGTCAGAGAGCAATCTCATCCGCCCGGTGGCCTGCAAACGATGTAGGGGTCGTCGCACGTATTGTTCTAAGGAGCAACCCATCTGTGCGAGTTGCAAAGAAGGCAGATACGAATGTGTTTACGAATCTGGTCGGAAGATACAAGTCTCAGAAAGGTAGTCTCGACGACAAAGTCAACAGAAGCATTAGCTAACCAATCGCCTAGTTATCTGCGAGAGCTCGAAGCTAGACTCAAGTCATATGAGGGTATTTAGCACGACCTGTCATTGTCTTTACAATCATCTTACTAATATAGAGTCGTAGCAGGCTCAGCAGCGACAAACAGTCAGCCTACTTGTATCAATGCAAAGACCGATCCGGAGCTTGATGTCAACCCTCTCATGGACAACTTCGCTAATCTCGTCATGAGTCCTTCTGGCAAACATCACTATTTAGGCAGCTCTTCGTCGACCATCCTTAGTAGAAGATTCCGGGATATCGTTGGCATTACAAATCCTGGGTTTGACCTCGATCGGGAGTATTCGACGTATAATCATTCTGCGCTAAGGCTCCGACGCCTTTCAATCGTCGACAATGTTATGCTGCCGCCCGCTGCGTTTGCCAGACGTCTCTACATGGCTCAGCATTCGTACATCGGCACTATCTTTGCGTTCTGTACGCCAGAGGTGTTTGAAGAACAACTTCAACAGGCATATCGTGGTCTGCCAGATGTTGGAGATAGGGAGGCTTGCCTCGCGTACTGCCAGACACTGTTGGTACTGGCCTTCGGTCAGCTATACTCTGTAAATCAGTGGTCTGGCTTCGACGGACCCCCTGGGTTCGACTTCTTCACGCAAGCTCTACAGTATCTGCCAGATATGTACGAAGAAGGGTCTGTCCTGTTCGTGGGCGTCTTGGCCCTGATAGGATACTTCATGCAAAATCTTAATCGGAGAGATGCCGCATTCTTATATGTGGGTACAGCGTTGAGAATGGCTATATCGCTTGCATTGCATCAAGAGGTGCCAGATCCGCGTCTCGACCAAGCGAGCAAAGAGCAACGCCGTCGTATCTGGTGGAGTGTATACAGTCTGGATCGCATTCTGTGCGTGAAGAGTGGTAACCCTCTTACCATTGACGATCAGGATATCGCTGTGAAGCTCCCAAGCAGGCTCACCAACGAGCCAGAATACTGTCCTGCCGTTTGCTTGCGGCATTACACTCAACTATCACGAATCCTCGGACGAATCATGAAAACAATATACAGAAAAACGCCGAAGAGTGGCTCGACACTCATAGCCTCCGTCTCAGAAATCATGACATCTTTGTCTACTTGGCACCGGGATCTACCAAATCAATTGCGGTTTGATCCTGCCAAATTAAACGTTTCTCGTGAATCTGTCTCGACATTCCTGCATTACCATCAATGCATCAACCTCACTGCTCGGCCTCTTCTTTTTCATGTAGTCGAGAAACGTCTACAAGGCAATGCAAGCGACCTTGGCAAAGACTGGAGAAACGGATTGTCTCCAACAACCATCGCCGTTATTGACATGTGCGTCTCGGCAGCCAAGGACTCTGTCACCATGATGACCTTTGCAGCGCAGAAGGATCTCGTGGCGACTTATGGCTACATGGATGGAGAACACGCATTCTCTGCGGCTATCGTTCTAGTCATGGTCTGTGTTGCCTTTCCTGCTAGCAGATCGGAGATCACTGCCATGGACCAATCACTTGAGCTCATCCGGAGCATGGCCGAGAGAGGTAACACACATATTGGCGCCAGATATCAACTGCTCTCTCAGCTACGCTCTCTGATCTCGCGACCATCTACTAATGTCGCTTCGACACCTCCGCCAACAACGGCAGCTCAGCCGAGTACCACGTTCGTCGATGTTGACCAGATTTTGTCGTACGATGCTGGAGATGTGGACTTTGGGCTTTGGGAGGAAGGATATACCAACCCAGATTTTGACATCGATTTCGACCTTTCACAATGGACACAAGCTGCGCAGAATACATACGGCGCTCTGCCAATGTAATTTGGACGCTTCGTGATATCACTCTAGTGCTGCCCAGACAAACCAAAAGAGACTCGAAGTGATACTATCTCACATGTATATAACGACAAATGAACCTAACTCTTTCTTTACATCACTATCGCTTGAGATAAGAGGTTTCTCCCTTTATTTAATGTACCTTCCTCCTCGCTATGCGCTTTTCCTTTGCATAAAGAGAGCATATACAGGATCCAGACATGAGCAACTCAGTCTCACTAGTTTGCGAGCCATATTCTCTTTGGTCCTCGTCCTAGTAACCATGTGCATTTTATGTATACTCACTTGCTCTGTCCATACATTGGACATCCAATCTTGAAGGAGTTTTCTGATCAAGCAAAAGTGTTATCATGGCAGAGAAAGAGCAAGTCACATCGCAGCGGTAACTAAGAAACTCTGCAAGGCGAAGACGTGCCTGGTGTCATAGTGAGACATGAGAAATGATCAAAGCCAAATGGAAGAGAGGAAGGAAGGCAACCTCTTCCACATTCCAGACTTCTCTTTACTCGTCATATGTCATTCAATCACAAAAACAGCGCGACATCAGATGGAAGAGCATTAATCATTGATCAAGAAACTCTAGAATAGAAAAAGAGTATAATTGCAATTCTCGAAAGCGCCTTGTCGTCAATCGAGTTAACTACTGCTCTGTGACATGATAAACAGAAAAGAAGAAAAACTCCCCAATCCATGCTCGCTTCCCCCATCGGAAAAAAGACTCCTATGTTTTGCATCTCCTTTGTCCGAATCCCCTGGGATAAAATTGACGCCTGTCGAATAGAAATAGAAACCCCCCCGCAAGTATACTCCGTTGCCCAGTACCATGGGATGCAAGATACGCCAGCCACAGTCTGTGCCAATGTCATTGCGTGTTTGTGATTAAGTTGTGTCGTGAACACGGATTATCCATGAAGAGCATAGTCCTCACTGTGGAGTTCCCTCCTCGACATCATCCAGCATAGCGGCGCTCATCATGCCAGTAACATGTTGAGCTTCACCACTGCCACCGGCCCAAAGCGCACCTCCGTGGTTCTGCTGAGCCGGGCCGCTGATCATCTGATCAGCGTCGTTGTTTGGAGTTGAGTGGACATCGAGGTTGAGCATGTGGCCGTGGACAGCAGCGTCGATTATGCCAATGCCAATTCCATCGTTAGGCGTGTCGGTGCCGTCGTTGTCGTCTTCCATGTCTTCGTCTTCAATGTCTTGGTCGTTGTGGTTGTGGAAAGCCGGGTTGTGCCATGTGTGAACAAGGTTCGGGTGATGAGGAGGTGGAGGTGGTGGAATGGGGAGGTTGCGAAGAGTGGCGTTGTCACCGTCGTCATCAGAGTCGTTGACCATGCCAGTCTCGAGCCCAGTGCCACCTGCACGGTTGAGATATTCGCGAAGGCGTGAGACACCATTACCAGAGAAGACGCAGAAGACTTCACGCTGGTGGTCATTGAACTCGGCTGGAGCTTCGCGGCAAAAGACTGTAAGGTCATCGCGGAGGAAGGCTTGAACACCAGTCAAACTCAAGTGCGTCAAGCGAGGGCAGTTGTTCAAGAGAGTGTGAATGCCCTGTGAGATGTCAGTACATTAGTCCGAAATGTGGTTGCTGGAGTAGATTCTGAACATACATCGAGAGTGAGAAGGGTGCAGTAACTCAAATGGACGCGCTCTAGCGCGCTGACATTGTGTTGACGGTCGCGAGGCTTTTGCATCACACGGCCACCGTAGGTAGCAAGAGCATGGATACTTCTGTCTGTGATAGCAGCACACTTGACAAGACCAACGCGCTTAAGCTTGGGGAGATTGGCCAACTGAGTGATGCTCTGGTCGGTGAGGTTACTGCAACAAGCCAGGTCGATGTATCTAATGCGAGTGCACGACTTGGCCAGAGCGATGATGGATGCATCGGTGATGCGGGCACAATGACCCAGGTGAATGTAGTGAAGGTTTCTGCCAAGCTTGGTGATGGCCCACACGGCTCTGTCAGTTAGCTGCCTGCACTTGGCAAGAATGAGGTTGCGCAGCTTGGGGCATGTCTGGACAATCTTGTCAATGGTCTTATCAGTGAGTTCTTGACAATCCGTGAGGTCGAGGATACGCAGGGCTTCGAAGGGAGCGGCCTTGGGTGGGATGTGCAGGAAAGCTTGGTCGGTGATGAGCGGGCAACGGGCAAGGCGCAATTCACGAAGCTGACGACATTGAGTCAAGAGGGCAGTGATGGATTCGGATTCCAGTAGAGGAAGGTCGTAGAGGTCGATCTCCAACAAATGGGAGCTGTTTTGGGCGACGCTCAGCATGGACACGTCGGTCAACTGGGAGCAGCTGTTGCACTTAAGGCGCTTAAGCTGACGACAGTTTTGGGCTATCAGCATCAACGACTGGTCTGTGAGACGACGGCATCCCGTCATGTTGAGACCTTGCAGACGGACACAGTTACGAGCGACGAGCTCCAGAGTCCGGTCGGTGAGTTGATCGAGCTGACTGACGTCCAAGGCGATCAGACTGCGGTTTCCATGGATCAGACTGGTAAGACTCAAGTCGGTCAGCTTGGCGCAGTTGGTCAAAGTTAGACGTTCGATGCGTTTGCAAGCCGTCAGGCCCATCAGGGTGCCATCGCTGACCTGGGAAGCCAGCGTGGAGAGGTTCAAGCGCTTGACGAGATCCTGATAGGCGAAGAAGCGTTCGGTCTTGCGGATTGACTTGACAACGCTGTGTATGCTGGCCCAATTGTTTGTCTGTGGGCGATGCCACAGAAGGGCGACGCTGTTCCGCGCCCAGTCCTTGGACACGAGCATACATGACATGAGGTCTTTGGTCGATGCAAGGCGGCCGAAGATGGAGATGAGCAATTCGGCGGGTAGGCGATAAACAGGAGCCAGGCGGCATCGTTCTTCAAAGTTGGCGCCGTCCATCAGGTCGAGCGAGGCGGCGACGGATGACTGCGAATCGTTGGCCTGGAGCATGAACGAGTCGTTGTCATCGTCGACTTCGCGCTCTGGGGATGTCGACGAGAAGGAGGAGTTGGTAACGTTGGAAAGGCGGCGCTGTCGTCGTGGGCGATCCAGGTTGGGCGCCATTGTGAGTGTGGGATGCGTGCTTGTGTTTCGTGTGTGCGTGTCGGAGCGTGTGTATTGATGGCCCCTCTCCAGAGACGATGGACGCGCGCGTGTCTTGTGATGATGACGCTTCTGCGCCGTTCTGCTTGTTGCCGTGCCTTGCTCTAGCTGTGACTTTGATTCCGTCTCTTTCTGGAAACAATGACTAGATGGGTGAGTGTCCCGACAATGGACAACGATAGAAGAGTGAAGAGTGAAGAGTGAGGGCGTGTATACAGTCGTGTTCACGGTGCCCAAGGTGGGGGGAAGCGTTTGGGGCAGTCGTCGGACTTTCGTGGAGGATCTGCCCGCTCTTCGTGAAACACAAGCCTGGACCTTCGTCACCACCTTCAACGCTCCTGCCGAAACTGTATTTATTTCACCTCTGACGGCCAAAATTGTCTCGATCGTCTACATTCAAATGCAATGTCCAACACTTCTACTTCTTCATACACACCTATACTCAGACATCCCGGACTCGCATCTCACGTCGTCCACCATCTCTGCCTCCACCTCCACCCGTCGCAGCTATTTCCCGTTCCACCATTTCAATTCCTCCCAGACTTGGATACCGCTTGCTAAAGTCGGCTTGCCAATCATCAAAGTCTGCTTGATTAGCAAACTCCGATTCTTGTCGCAACCCTTGATCCATGCCCGTGTTGGCGCCAGCACCAACCCCTGCAACCCCTTCGCTGTCGCGTGCGATCAATGCTGCAAGACTTGGTCCACGGCCTGCTCCTGAGGCCTGACTGTACACCGGACTCGCCAATCCTGATGACGCTGCTTGCGATATGCTCGACCCACCTGTCTTGAGTGAGGCAGGTTTCATAGGCGCGTTGGGTCGAGCCGCTGCTCCTGTACGTTGCGCGGGTGCTGATACTGAGTGTTCCAGAGGATATGTGCCTGCTGGTATCGGGAAGGTTTGAGACTGCCTGACCTTGTGGTATCTCAAATTCATATCCACTTCGCCAGGCACAGGCGTGGCTGGCTTCCTCGCAATAGGCGGCGGTTGCCTCTTTGCAGTAGGCTGCACTGTTGGTGTAACTCGTCGCTCAACATCCTCCGTCTCTGTTCTTTCTGTGTAGCGTCCGTATCCCTCCGCTTGTCTCTTACGCGCAGGGGATTTCTGTCCATCGTCCAATAAGGACTGGACGCGCTGTTGGATCATGTTTGCCTTTGAGGGTACTGGAGGAGCGCCACCACGGCTGCGATATTCGGCCGCTGCTGCTGAAACTCGTTTCTCCTCTTGAGCAAGCTGTAGCCTTTCCATCTCTCTACGCATCTCTGGCGGTAGGTCTTCTGTCTCGATCAGGTCAGCCAGATCAGTGTTAGTCGTCTCCGGACGTCGAGGTGTCTCATTGGTCTCGGAGCCTGAGATGGGACTGAGTAGACTGCTCTCGTTCTGCATTGGTGGATTGGGGCTAGGAGTCCTGAATCCCGACTCAGATGCTCGTCCACTCTTCTCAGCTTTTGCAGGTCCACTTGTTTGCTCAAACCGCTTGAATGCATCACCAAACCTGCCCGAAAGCATGTTCTTGGTTCCGCTGAAGCTAAGCGAGGACAAGCTTGAGCGCTTGTTATGGGCGGCACTCTTGCCGCTGTTTCTACGACTAAGTCCATCATTGCTCTCAAGATTCCGGAGAAAGTCTGCATCACTCTCGATGTTGCCATCATCAAAGTTGAGTTCAGTGCTTCTGATAGAACGGCTGGATCTTCTGATTTCAAGCGACGGTCGCTTCCTCTCAGCTTCCTGTTCGCGAAGGTAGTCAAGGTTGGAATCCACATATGCCGCGCTGACGGGTCTTGGTCTCGAATTAGCAGATCTCGCTCTGCTTGTATTGTCCTCGTATCCAAATGAAGGCCGGTGCCCTTCTAGGGACGGTCGGGAAGAGGTTGTTTGTTTCGCGAGCGTCAGCGTAGCAGTTTGGGACTTTGATCGGTGAGAGTCTAATAGCGCTGGTCTTTGAGCGGGAGCCGCACTAGGCTGTAGTCTATCAGCCTCTCTCTGCGCCAAGGGCGAAGCGCGCGGCTGGCTCGAAGATCTCGAGTGATCCGGTACGCGCCAAATTGGTCGTTTGCTGACGTCCGGCAATTTTGGCAGAGCCTTTTGCGTAGACTGAACTTCAGATGGCGAGGTAATGATGGTATTAGAAGAATAGTTTGACTTTTGAGGAGCTGGCTGATGCAGCAATGTTTTGGGTTTTGGTGGCGCCTCAGCCTTTGATCGACTTTCGGGTCTTGCGGTAGGCTTCTGAGCGGAGACTGGCTCAACATTGGACGCAGGCATGCCTTTTGCTAATTCCGGATGAGCAAATACTTCGTCCGCCAATGCACTCGTGATCGGGTCGTTCCTTTGCGGTTTCGATGAGCTGAAGTTGAACCCTCCCGAACTGTGTGCAATCGAAAATTCATCAAGTGAAGGGAACTTGGCAGAAAGCTCGTCTACAGCACGAGATCGGATGGTGTTTGACGCAGAGTCAAGTGCAGCGAAGGGGTCAGAACTCTTAGCAGAAGCTATGTTTGTCTTAGCAGCCACAGGTTGTGGTGCTGCTGTCGGTCTGCCACGTCGCATCGGAGCAATATCAGGTATGAATTGCTTTTGCTTGATGGGCGACGCATGACTGATTCCTGCAGGAGGAGGTGAGGCCACGGGGGAGGTAAGATCAGGAAGTTTTTGGTTGCGTCCAGCCTCAGATTGGGTGCGTTGTGCATAGATCTGTATGCGGTTAGAGAAGGATCTTGAGCGTGAGACCGAGTCAATAGCACGAACGTCTTTGATGGGCACTGTAGTACTACGCATACTGCAGACCTCGCTAATGACCTGGTAGATATTGGGTCTCTGGCGAGGGTCTTCTCGTAAACAAGAGCCTGCACATCGCAATTAGTGGAGCGAGCGTAGCCTAATAGTAAGATACTAACCGATCAAAGCTTTAAGCCGCGTTGAGAAAGGAGGATAGTGCGGATATTTAAACGAAGCATTCAAGATTGCCATCTGACCAACTTCCTCGAAAGGCGTGGTATAGTAACATAGCTTGTACAACAAGACACCCAGAGCCCAGATATCACTCTTTTCGTCGATTGGCTGCCTACGCCAAACGTCAACCATTTCGGGACTTCGGTACTGCATAGTTGTATGACGCTGGACGTCTTCTTCGATGATCCTGCCCTCGTGGGCAGTGGTAGCAGCGGGCCTTGGGGGAGCTGTACTACCAAAGTCGCAAAGCTTATATATGGCGCCTTTGGTCGAATTTGTGATGAGGACGTTTTCGACCTTCAGATCCCTATGCAAGAGCGGAGGCTTGAGGTAGTGCATGGTCGCAACACCCTCGCTGACGTCTCCAAAGATGTTCAAGATCTCGGGCTCGGTCAAGCGGTGCTGCAAGCGCGTGTTCATGAAGTCAATCAGACCACCGCCCGAGCAGAACTCCATGAGCAAGAAGACCTCGTAGCCACCGCCTTTCAGTTGACTGGCATGGCTGTCGATGTATGTGACAATGTGCTTGTGGCCTTTGAGCTTCTTCATAGTCTCGACCTCTGTACGCATGTTCGCCAGAGCATCTTTGTCCGGCACGGCGACTCTTTTGAGCACGGCAATAGTGGTTTTGCTGGAGGCATCCTTGGGCGGTACGCGGACGGTGTAGACGTGGGCGAAGCCTCCTTCGGAAAAGTACTTCTCGATAACGACACGATGGGAGCCGACCTGGACCTTCGTACCCGGAGCAAAGGTACCCGGAGGAGCACTCGAACTTGACACGGCTTGAGGCAAGGTTCCCGGGGCAGTTGCAGAATATGCGGCGGCCATGACGAGGGGGCCTGGCGTGTCCGGGGAAAGGCAGCGGTCAAGTTTCAACCAAGTCGAGACTCGAGCACGGCGATATGGGCGAAGATGAAAGGAACGATCGTGTCGAAGTGTATTCACGGCATCCAGGAAACGTGCACCGAAACAGAGACAAGAGAGGTGGAGTAGACAATTGGCATTCGGTCAGGAGCTACGTGCCCGTCCAAGTCGTCGCCTACCATGATGCCAAGTCCGTGCGGCCCGTTGGCATTCCCGAGCACCGCCGCATGTGAAGCCCAACCCTATTTACAGCAGCATCAATTATTTTTCCTTTTATCTTTCTTTCCTGCCTTTGGATTGCGACTGCCCTACGGCCTCTCCATCTATCAATACAGCAATCATGCGCTCCCATCTCGACCCCAGCGAACTCGGTACCAAGCAATAGTACGCCCTCTCAAACATATCGTGTCATGCGACAAGAACACAGCTGATCAACTCTCCAGCTGGGACGAAGCCTACGCACGTGAAATCGCAAATCACGCTCAGGACGCACAAGACGAGGGCACAATCTGGTTCGACGACAGCGGTGCAGAAGAGAAGGTCATCGAACGCCTAGAGGCGCTCGAAGATGAGGGACTGCTCAGTAAGGATGACTCGCGGATCCTCGACCTGGGCACTGGTAATGGACACATGCTATTTTCCCTCTTGGACGAAGAGTGGTCTGGAGAGTTGGTCGGAGTCGATTACAGCGACACTAGTGTCAAGCTTGCGCGCCAGATTGCTGCCGGCCGTAGTGAAGAGGATGCGTCTGTCCGATTCGAAGAATGGGATCTCCTCAACGACCGACCCGGAGAATGGCTGGGCGAAGGCTTCAATGCTGTTCTGGACAAGGGCACTTTCGACGCCATCTCGCTGTCTTCCGAAACAGACGCACAAGGTCGCCGCATCTGCGAGTCATATCGAGAGCACATCACACCTCTCATAAAGCCTGGACACTTCTTCATCATCACATCATGCAATTGGACCAAAGAGGAAGTCATGAACTGGTTTGTCGCTCCTGACGGCGAGCTGCAGTTCTTCGACGAGGCCAAGTATCCGACCTTCACCTTTGGCGGTCAACAAGGCCAGAGCGTCTGTACTCTAATTTTCCAACGACGCCTTGAATGATCGACCTCGACCATCCCTATGCTCTCCAGATCGCATCAGACATCCTGGTCACCTTGACCATCTCGTCCACATCGTGCACACGCACAATATCTGCTCCACCCTGGACCGCTGCTGCTACTGTTGCAGCCGTACCCCATGTGCGCTGCTTCGCTTCTTTCACTTTAGTGATCTTTCCGATGAAGCCTTTTCTGCTACTACCCAAGAGCCAGGGGAGGCCTACCAAGCCAGGCCAACTCCTGAGCTCGTTCATGCTCCTGAGAATCTCCAGGTTTTGTTCGGTCGTTTTCGCAAACCCGATACCTGGGTCAAGCACTATACGCCAGCGACGAATGCCAGCCTCTTCTGCTGCCCGGACGCGATCTAAGAGTTCTTTGGCTATAGTTGGTATCAGACCATCTGGATAAGAGCAGTTTTCTGCGCTGGTCATGGTCGCCGGAGTGCCGCGCATATGCATCAAGCACACAGTACAGCCTAGACGACTGACTGTGGGGAGCATATTCGCGTCCAGTAGACCTCCAGATATGTCGTTGATTATGTGCGCTCCTGCCTCGATGGCCTTCTCAGCTACTTTTGCACGATAGGTGTCGATGCTGATGCAAATATTGGATCCTTCTGGTAGAGACTTGATGATCTTGATGGCAGGAAGGACGCGCTGAATTTCTTCTTCCGATGTCACATCGGGAGCGTTGGGCCGAGACGATTGTCCACCTATGTCGATGATAGTAGCACCCGCTCTTATATGCGCTGATACGGTGTTCCGGAGTGCTGTTTCGTCCGTCGGTGAGTTCTGACCGCCGTCCGAAAACGAGTCGGGCGTTGTGTTAAGGATGGACATGACATGCGTAGGTCGTGTATTTTCTAGTGCACGTATCGAGAATGTATTTTCTCCCATGCTTGTTGTGGTTGATACGGGCGTTGACAGAGAAGATGCTAGCTTGCGTAAACTCTGCGCTAGAGGTACACGTGCTTGGCCAATTGACGGTATCGTGTCCGGGATAATGCTGAGATAGAATGAGACCCAAAGTCTAATCTAATTGAACTGGTTCACTTACTCGCAAAGCGGACGAAGCACAAACTCTCTTTCCAGCATCAGAATATGCGGGATCTTCAACCGTTCGGTGTCAATCACTTCATCTTCGTAGAGCAATATATCTAGGTCAATGCTTCGGGGCCCTTTGTCGATGAGCTTCACACGCCCTAGATCGTTCTCGATATATTGGAGTCTATCCAGGAGAGCCATTGGTTCCAGTGTGGTTTCTATCTGTTCTCAGATGTCAGTGTCATGCTTTGTAACTCCAGATGGAGAACACCAACTTCACAGGCGCCATTGAGGAACCGAGCCTGGTCCTCAACATACATCGGCTCAGTCTCGTAAAGAGAACTTGTTCGCGTGACCTTGATCCCAGACTCTTGATCCAAGGCCAGACACGCTTTCTCGATCATGTCAAGTCTGTCGCCTACGTTGCTCCCAAGGGCGATATACGCTCTCCGAGTTCCTTGGCTACCAGTAGACATATCGCGACGGAAGAGCGGCATTGTTGGCTGTGTAGTCTTTCCTTGTCGTGAGATCAATCCATTTACTCGCTGTGAATTTGGACGAAGTTCTGCTTGTACGACTGTCCTGAAAAGCTGATGATATGTGCGACCAGTGACCGATCGAAAAGAAGCACGCTGATTACACGTTCGGGCGAGTCTATAAGAAGTCCTGGTTATCGGGGAGATATGTCTCATTGCGGACACTATGTGGTGCCAGCAAAGGGGCCAAGGACGGAGGTGAATTTTTTGCGGTCGCTAGTCAAACGCGGGATGAGCTGGAAGCAAGAGATCCGATAGCGGATGACTTTTAGATACTGAGATTGGTTGTCTGATGTACCACATGAACAGCCAGATTCTAGCTATATAGCTCGATACCTTGTAATGTTACACTCACAGCTTTCCAAGATGGTCCCTCGACTGAGTGCCAGATGAAGTAGGTCACATGTTTGCTGGGCATAAAATGAGGACCCTGGCCGGATGGAGAGGCAGACGGTTCCGAAAAGCTTCACCCCAGGCGGCCCCGCTTTTGGTTCGAGCGTCTCACAACACAGACCTGCAAGGTTGTCTCTCGACCTGAGGAATACCAATCTCTTCATGGTGTCACTCGAGGTCGGTGTTCAAAAACATAGTGCTAAATAAATGCAGTGTATCTTCGGACGCCTGTACTCTGGGTCTACGAGGTTGCCTTGTGATCAAAGAAACTTGTCGATTAGAAGAATATTGCCGAGTGTCAGGATGCCGAGGCATCTGGTGATCAACACTTAAGTCCTCGGTCGTGCCTGCCTTCTCCTCTCCTTCCTTCACACATTCATCTTGTGGCCATCTCGCAAACGACTCACTTCCCAAACATCAGGTATCATACAGCCGACACTCAACATGGCGTCTCCTCGTACGACTCTTTCAGGCCACACGATACCATGACAGTGCTGACATGATATAGAGCAAATTCGAACCACAACAACTGATCTGTTGAAGATCAACCACCCAGTCATGCTGGCTGGCATGAATGTCGCCGCTGGTCCGAAACTCGCCGCCGCCGTCACCAACGCTGGCGGTCTTGGTGTCATCGGCGGAGTTGGGTACACCCCTGACATGCTCCGCGAGCAGATCGCGGAATTGAAGAGCTACCTCAAGGACAAGAACGCCCCATTCGGTGTCGACCTCCTGCTGCCCCAAGTCGGTGGTAGTGCCAGAAAGACAAAGTGAGTATCATCATGCAAGAGGATTGAGATCGCGATTCTAACACAACTCGCAGCTACGACTACACCAAGGGCAAGCTGGACGAGCTCGTCGACATCATTATCGACTCCAAGGCCTCCCTCTTCGTTTCCGCCGTCGGTGTCCCCCCTAAGCACATTGTCGAGAAGCTACACAAGGCTGGCATTCTGTACATGAACATGATCGGTCACCCTAAGCATGTCAAGAAGTGCTTGGAGATCGGTGTCGACATGATCTGCGCCCAGGGCGGTGAAGGAGGTGGACACACTGGAGATGTTCCCACTACAATCCTAATCCCCACCGTCGTCAAGATGTGCGAGAACCACAAGAGTCCCCTGACTGGTAAGCCAGTACAGGTCATTGCCGCCGGAGGTCTCTTCAACGGCCAGTCATTGGCCGCGGCACTCATGCTCGGTGCTACGGCTGTTTGGATCGGTACGCGCTTTGTGCTCAGTGAGGAGGCTGGCGCTAGTAAGGCTCACCAGGAGGCCGTTCGCACATCTGGATTCGATGACAATGTCCGCACCATCATCTTCACCGGACGCCCACTCCGTGTCCGAAAGAACCCATACATCGAGAAGTGGGAGGAGGAGAGACAGGCTGAGATCAAGAAGCTTACATCCGAGGGTGTCATTCCGGTCGAGCATGACCTTGAAAGCCTGGGTGACGATCTCGACGATGATACAATGGACAACGCTCGACCATTCTTGATGGGTAAGGCTGCTGCTGTAGTCAACGAGAGAAAGTCGGCAAAAGAGATTGTTGATGAGATGGTTGGCGATGCTGTGTCATGGATTGGCAAGGGCAACAGCAGCATCGTCGGCAAGAGCAAGCTTTAAGCACCACTGTCTTCACACATAACGATTTCCATAACGCACGCATGATTGTTCTTTCTCTCTCTTCCAAGTCTCCTAGTCAGTCCCAGTGACCGTATACTCGCAAAGCATAAGATAATCTAGAATCGCGAGATTGACGAAGCCACAAGCGCGAGTGGGAAGAACGCAAGTATTTATGAGTGACTGCGAAATGCCATGACCTCCTTGTCTTTGCTGCCCTGATGCTCGCTCGATAACTCGACGGGAACCTTCGGACACGCTCCGGTGTTTGACGCTGTACCGACTAAGCGCTTAAGCGGTGCGCAGGACTGCCTGACCGACTCCCCGTCTGTCCTCCCAACTCAGGTCTAGTAAGCGGAGCATAGCTTGGTCGAGCGTGTCGGCTTGCACATCGCCACAGCAGCTGCCATAATATAAGAATGAGGGTCTGGAAGCTTGAGATGATGCCGCTTTGGTGGTGCTCTGGCGCCCGACACGAATTTGCATCGAAGCCCCATCAACTTCCAATTCTTCCTCGACATCTGAGTGTCACTGAAGTGGCTCATTGACCGTCCAGAATAAGCAGGAGTCTCCCATTCAAGCGAGACGCCTTTCTTAGACCAAGACAGACAGTCCCCACAGTGGTCCCTCGACAACAAGGTCCAGCCATCTTGCATCCAGGACATTCGGAGTCGAGTCCGAGAGAAGGCTTTGTCATTTCAATCGGATATCTTTCCTTGCCATAACAACGCTACCCCCTCGCAAGCTCCTGAACGTTGGTCTCGCACCTCAAGACTTTCTCGCCTCTAATTCTGGAAGAAGAGGGTCGAAAACTCGCAAGTTGGCGCATCAGGGTCCAAAGAAACTCACAGATCTTAAACCGACAAAACCGACGATTCACATCGTCGATCTGGGAACAGCTTGCGGCATTACGGAGAGAGTTATCTGGGAACCGCTCATTGAACACTGACAGCCCCCATGCACAACCGAGTACAAGGGTACCAACTTTACCGACCACATCTGGCCTCCACACTATCTCTGGCGTCTACGCACTTTACCGCCAGTCCTCACCCTTCAGACATTGAAGCTCCTCGCTCACAAAATGAGCACGGATGCATCTTCGTCAACCAGACCAAAACGACAGCTTGTCAAGGCCGCCTGCCAATCATGTCAGAAACGCAAAGTAAAGGTCAGTCTTTCTATGAAACAAATGGAACGAGCAAGAACAGTTGGCATTGACTGTATAGTGTGTAGTGTAGCGGCGAGCGTCCCATGTGTATGCTCTGTCAACAAAGAAGTCAGACTTGCCTTTACGACTCCGAGGCAGGCATCTCGAGAGTGGAAGCCGTACGACGTCGGAACAAGGAGCTAGGAGAACGCAACTCGGACTATGAATTGGTCTACAGTGCTTTGCAGACTACGTCAGAATCGGAGGCATTTGATCATCTCCGTCGTCTTCGAGAATGTCCAAACGTGGAAACTTACGCCCGAACGCTCCGCAAGTCACGACCAAGTACAAGGAAACGACCACCAGATAGCTTGAATGACTTCATGGATGATGGAATTTCGAACCTGTCTCCCATGTCGGCGCAGTCTCAAGATCAGCAAGACGGCGAGTCGAACATCTTCGCCGATTCTCTACCCATGACGGACTACACAAGTCCTCCTCAGCAGCCTCCTCTCATGATTGATCCTCGGCTCGGTCAGCAAACCTTGTATAGTTTTCCGGACAATAATGGTTCGACTCTACAGAGCTTGTAAGTAATCGTTTTCCATCTTGTCGGTCATCACCAACTTCCGGTGGTGGCTAGCGTATATGCAGTAGCGAGCTCGATCGCTATGAGCTCATGAACTTGTCTGCTTCTTCGAATGCTAATTGAGGTTTAGGGCAGAGATCTGGCCGTTCCAGAGCTCCTCTCATGTGCAACAAGACACTTTCCAATCGAACAACCAGGATTGGACCCAACCAGACGGTCACAGCGGGCCTTCGCAGAACCACTACCTCGACAACGTGCAGATGTCTCAGACCGATTGGACAGACGGCAATCTCGACCCTACAACTGGTCAACCTCTGAGTCGAAGGCAACCAAGGTTTGACGGTTGAAAGACCCTCTTCGAGGTACAGCAAACAAGACGGATCACGGTTCATCGTTGGCTACCTCAATGAAGGGCTCTCCTTCGGACCAGGACTTGATCAACTCGCATAAACTCGTCAAACATGTCGCCTAAGCCCACACCAGATGCTGCCGACTGGCATCAGCAGGCTGCAAATGCCACTCGTCACACACCAATATGAACTTCTGAATCTTACCACAGTATCCCGAATACACAGTCTTGGAGCCGACAAGCGCATCGGTAGAAAGAGAGAGGGATTCAAGGCACCAAGCAAGGATCGGATCAGGCATGCATACAAGCTTCATCAGTCGCGACAAACAGACTGGGATTTGCAGAAACTCTAGTCGGAATTTGTTGCCATTTGATTGCCACTGCGCTCGTGTCGGGATGCGTACAGCGTTCGTGAGGGAGACTAATAGAGTCAACTTATGCGCACAACACGCACTGTTCTGCACGGCGGATTCGTACAACCCATGCAGGCACAAACTTAGACTACTTAACTATCGTTTCCTCTAAACAGCTATTCCATACTTTGTTGCCGCTTCCGAAGCTACCAGGACTGGTGTCATATCAAGTCGGATTAAGCACTTACTGTCGACCAGCACGGGCGGCAGACGTCGTCACGGCTAACCTGAACATGTGGCGCATTGACTCGGAGTGAGCCACCGGAGCCAATAGGAAGTATTACCGTTCGGTAATCGGGAGATCTAGCTTGAATTTGCCAGATGACCAGCATAAAAGTCGATTGTCCATCTCTTCGCCCCTCATACAAGCCCGTTTACTTGACGCGAAGCTACTCGAGTAGCCTCCTCATCAGATGCCTCGTGCATCACATTTGCCTTCCCCCTTAAGGCTCTGCCGCTCGGGTTTTGTGAGATGCAAACGCCTCGTAGTCCGAATCTCATATTCCCGTGCATCTCAGATTTGCATCGGGCGGATCGACGAGGCTGGTTACGCGAGAAGGGGCTGGAACTTGGGATCGATGATAGAAGGATTCGGTGGAAGGACAATTTGAATACCGCCTTCCACCCACTCGAATGAGCGCTGTTCCGAGTGCACAACAACCAAGACTCGTAATGAATGCCGCTCGGGCTTTGGTGGACATTACCGTCGGTATCGATTCCATCCAGCACATGGTCTCGACCATCTTCATACGAATAACGTTGTATATCATTCGTTGACAATCGTCTACCATCAATCAGTCCCACTTCTCTAAATGCCATGTCAACCTTGTGGACACAGAATCTGGCTTTCTCATGTTCTCTCATACCGACTTCGCCAAGTCGGAAGTGCAGCATGCAGCATCACAGTTTCTACCAACAATTCACAAGCTCCCGGCGCACTTCACAGTGCAACCCACGACTGGGGCTGTCAACTGTTCATCTCAAAGCAACCGTTGCACAGTAAGAGTATCCACTCTTCCCAATTATAAAGCAGGCGCATCTCGCGCGTCTCGCTCAAGTCCGGTCCTGATCATCATCATCCAAAAATTGCCTAACCAAACTCGCCCCCGTCACGATCTGCAGGAAATTTACATCGTCATAATATCGTGAACGACGGGTGCATGCCAAGCTTTTATTCATGTGATGCGCTCCCCCACACGGTGAAGGATCCCCCTTCGATGTTGCCGATTGGAAAATACGATGCTTATGATAAAGTCCGATGCACGACGAATTGTTGAACAAAACCCATCTTTACCACCATCGTGACCACTGACCACTGGTCATTCATGGGCTGTGCCAACCAGAAGCCCGTCGCTGGGCTTTTTTACTTTCCTTTTCAGCTTTGCCCATGCCTCGGCAGATGTTGACTCAACTCAAGCACGTTTTTCGCATGCGGCTTACAGGAAGGTGGATGAGGAGGAGGATCTGGGATCTGGGATCTGTATCTTCGATGGATTTTGCCTGAATGTTCTTTCCTTGGTGTCGTTCCGAGGTGCTTGTGTCAGGGGTTTGTAGGTCGTCTTGATTAATGAAGGAGGATGTTGTGATTCAGCTCACCGCTGCAGACTGCGCGACCAGACAACCTGGACACTGCAATGATGGTGCGGATCTCTGGCAGTCGTGTTATATCCATAGTCCCTTTGCGAGTCAACGAGTCACTGGCATGACGGAACAAGCGACCTCTTACTTACTCGGAATTGAGCAGTTGTTTGGTCGTGGAATAATTCCGCTCCAAACACCAGACCTCAGCTCATTGCTCTACAAAAATCCAAGCGAGCAAGCGAATATTGACGATCAGGTTGAGTCCGCGTGTGATGGATGTCTCAGAGTAACCTCGCTCGAGTTCCCGGTCTTCTCCGGTGCTTCAACACACGTAGGTAAACAGCGCGTTCGAGGTTCGGTGAAAGTCTTCGAGCGAGATAGACAACATGTGGGCATCTTGAGTTTGCATACGTGGATCGGGATGTAGGAGGCATGATACATGGCATCTGATATCTGTGTATTGGAACTATTTGACGCACGTCGTTTTCGAATGTCAGATGTGTTGTGTGGTATAGCACCTCTTATATTGCGTTCAATGTGTCGAATCTTTTGATACCCTAAACTCATAAATATATCACAGCAGCCATTCCCTTATGACAAGAAGTCGAACAATCTACACTGATAGAGCACAATCCTCCAAGCTCGTGGAAAAAGACATGGTACACAGCAATATGTACACTCATCTTCTTCCTTTAATATCGTAGTCAGGGTCATACCCCCAGCACTCCAACCACGCAAAAAAAAAAGATGATCCTCCTTCCTAATCTCGACACCCCTATAATACACCACTCAATCCCCGTAGTAGGCTGTGTTCACTCCTCCACCACCCTAATCTTCGGCATAGCTTCCCTTAGTTTCCGCTTATCTTCCTCCGTAGGCGTGTAGCCTAGTTTCTCCTCGGCGGTATCTGAGAGGAAGAGACCGATACAGGCATATGCCATTGCACCTCCTCCGACCATGAGACGGGTCTTGGGGGAGAGGGATTGGTAGTAGCTAGGCTGATTGTTAGGATAATGTTATAGTTGAGTGTGAAGGGGTCGGGACTGTGGAAAGGGTTACGGAGTCGGAAGAAAAGAAAAAGTGCAGGAGATGAGGACGTATATCGAGCTATGGAGCAGATGAATGTTTTTGAGATATCAAATGTGTGCCTCCAGCAAAGTGTTGCTTCGAAATGTTTTTGTAATGGTAGGGAGTATCGTTTTCTTTTTTCTGTTCGCGGCATGGAAGAGTTATGGGAGAGCATCAGACTTACCGCCAAAGCGACATGATGAACGTCGAAAGTTGTGCTTGCGTATGTCTTCAACTAGGATTTGATATTATAGCTCACTATGATGGTGCAGCATGACTTTGTGGTGTTGGTTTTGGAGCAATAAAGCGCGAGCTTGAAAGAGGAATATGATATGTTCCCTCCGCCCAAAACGGACAATCATGACCTCTCGATTCATTTTCATCAAAATGACTGGCACTTTATGGCCTTCACGCCATCGCAACAGACTATATCCCAACCTGGTCTACGAGTAACATGAGTATCAAAAATCTCCCAAGTAAGTCTGCAAGAATGGATTCGTGATTGTAGCGACTATAGCTCATCTATTTCGTCATTCAGAAGCCAGATAATGCAGCAGGACAAATTGCAACGCCCGTGAATAAATGTCCAGGCAGCGAGGATAACAAGCGTGGCGCGAGCAAAAAGCATATGGCTCGCACAGAAGATCAAACAACAAGAAAGAGAAAAAAGTGACCAGCAAATCGGATATCAAAAAGTCGGATCCATCCATAAACTCAGAACAGAGCCTCATAATTACGCCATTGTATCCCAGATACATTTTTTGTTCCGTTTCTCTTTCACCGTTTTCAATTGCGTGAAGACCGTCGTGGAGGCATATAACGCCAAGTAGCCTGCAGTAAGGAGGCGCATGACCTGACGCCAGAAAAGCAGGATGTCCAAAGCAAGCGTCGCCCAGGGCCGCTGATAGCGAGGCAACGGAGGGACCAGTCTACAGGGTTGAGTGAAGCAACACATGTGTAGAAGTATTCGCGTATCGACTCTCGTGAGCATCAAAGGTTCTCCAGAGCACTCTCAAGTCTGTGGTAGCATGTGATGTCTCCTGGACCTGTCCAGTGGACTTTCAGCAACAGGGTGTTCATCATGTTCATCGGCCAGCTCGGTGGCTTCAGAATCCAGGCTGTCTCTGTCGGCGGCCGCAGCTGCAGCCATACGTGCTTGAGCTTCTCTTGCAATACGTGGTAGGGGGTCGTGTGCTAAGGGCGGTGAGCTCGACGGAGCGCTGTATGGCATGAAGCGGTTTGAGAACATGTTCGGCGTGGAAAGGAGAGCCTGCTGAGCTTGACCTTGGGATTCAGCGACGTAGTGGGGCTTGTCGTTGTAAGGCCGAAGCGGTGGAGGAGCCATTGGTAGAGCATCGGGAGAGGGAGGGGCTTGCGGTTGAGCTTGTTGCTGTTGCCGTGAAGGCTGCTTTCCCATGATCTGCAAGCGCGAGAAAGGCACGTTGATCTGGTTGGTGCGAACCTTGTAGATGGCGATCCGGAGACGTAACCGTAGAGTCTGGGCGGCGGTGCGGATGGACATTGATCGTGACGAGGAGCCGGCCGGTTGTGCAAGCTGCTGTTGCGACGAAGGATCGTAGTTGATCAGGGAGGAAAAGGAGCCGCGGGTAGCGTTTGAGTTCTGGGATGAGCGACCGCTGTCACCGTCTTCTTGAGAGTCGTGTTCGGTGGGAGAGTGGCCTTTCTGATGGTCTTGGTTTGGTTGCGGCGTGATGCGGCGCGTCAAGGCATTGTTGTGTGAGAGACGGCGACGCTTGATGTAGCTGAAGCCTTTTCCGTCGTCGAAGATGTTCGCCTGTCGCTTCAGTGGACTGCCACCGCGAGCAGCCTGTTGTTTCAGTTGCTTGTCGAGTTTGGTATTTGGCGTCAAGTCGCCCAGCACTGCTCGATTGCTGTTGTCTGGTCGTGCCCGAGCCATTGCTTTTCCCGGCGGGCCCATGTTCTCACCCTGCGTCTGGAACAACGGACGCGATGATGGAGCTGTCGACATGATTGATGGTCGTCTGGTCTTGTTCTGAGTAGAGAGCGCGTCACAAGGAAGCAAGATTCGCGGCATGGCTAGAGTACCATCATCCCTCTCATGGGGAAGCGGACCGGCGTTTTTGTGCAAAATGACGTGCATAAAGTCTATCAGGAAAGAATAAATCCGCTTCAACTATCTCGCTTTACCTACCTATTCGCTCCTTCCTCTTCTGTCACCTTCTGATTCGAGAGTAATTCTCTTGCGCAAGAATCCTACAGCGGGTGGCTGGATGATCTCGTTGAACAACATAGTGCCATATACCAGCAGTCCAAAGCCAACCACTTGAAGCCATTTGAATGTCTCCCATCCTAATCCCAAGCTGACGACCCAAATGAATAGCGTGCGGCAAGTGTCGATTGTACTGCGTGCCGTGGCTGATACTGTGCGCGTGACTGAGAGCCCGAAGAAGTTGAATCCACTAAACCATGTTAGCCTAGCTCAACCATCGCATCGGCTTCAACTCACCCAATAGAGACCATGGTCAACAGACTGCTGGTCATGATAGCACGGTGCTGTAAAACCTGACTCAGTCCCTCCTTTGCATCAAAGTATCCTCCTCTGCCAGCTTCGGTGCGACCGACAGCAAAATGTAATATCACCATGCCGATGGCGGTGACCGAGAAGCCAAATACGCCCTCCCATCCAACTGTGGCCAGAGGATCAAGCTCGTACTTGGCCATGATGCTCTCTTCGAGAACGAACTGCGATGCCGTGAAAATCTGCGCTCCAGCAATCAAGAGTATTCCAACGATAGTCTGCGCTGCCGAGTGTTCCTGGGCAGTAGCTTTGACGCCTCTTGCAACTTCCCTAATCATGTGGATGGTGCTATGAGCCATTTGGTGTCGAACTTCGTCCATGCCAGGTGGGTTTGATCCGGGGGAAGTCCCAGGCACAGTAGCCTTCTTGTTCTCCAGAGCCCCTGCCAGGCCCACTACTGCTACACCTGCGACGACAATAAACAAGCTGCTCCACTTGAATGCATCTAGGTGTCTTTTGAGAAAGATTACACTGAAGAGTCCGACGAATAGAACCAGAGCGCCTCTGGTCATCTGGTATATACTGGCTGCAACGAATAGCAGGCCTACGTTCATCAAAGTGGTTCCGGCGATGTCACAGCAAGCAGGCAGTGCAAGCAGAAGGATCTTCCATCCCTTGAGAGGCAGTCTCTCTCCAGCACCCTCCACATCGGCGAATGGTTTGGCAGGGATATTTGTGGCATCGGCAGGGGCCTCGACATCTTCTTGCAAGAGAGGCTCGCGACCGTCCTCGGTACTGAGGGGCCGGTAGGTCGTTGTGCTCGAGGACTTTTTGACAAAGCGGGAGAAGACATACGAGGCGAAGACAACAAGCCAACATCCGGACTCGCCTACAAACATCTGCAGGGTTTGAATGACTGGTTGCTCAAAGTTCCTGCGTTTGGCCGGGTTGGGGTCGTCACAGTTGGCGACACATTGCATGTCCTGTTGTCGGGTCAGAGACGGCAGTCAGGGATTTGAGACATGGATCAGACCTGGTACTTTGTAAAGAGAGTGTTGCACATGCCCGTCAACAGCATCATGGCTACCAAGACGGGAATCATTGCTTTGGTCGCCATGTTGGCGGTGATGTCAGAGCGCGTGTGCTCTCGTGTATGTCCTGCAGGTAAACAGGCTGACAGATAAGCAGTGATGAACACTCAGAGTAGGTATATACGGTTAGCAACAAGAACAAAGCAGAGATATGAATGAAGACCGGGGAGGTGTATGGAGAGGAGGCAGAGTCCAGCCGTTGCGGAGTTAATGGTCATGCGGCCTTTGCGCTTTGATAACATCCTTATCAGCCTCGTCTATTGGCAGGCGTATCCGGACCCTGTTCCTGACTCGAGCTGAAACAATCAAAGAAACCTAGACAAAGGAACACATACTACGTGATAGCATACTTCTTGTGCTACTAGACTAAGCTTAAGATCTAGGTGCGTAGGTAGGCTTGTGACAGTAATCTTGTAGAAGAGATGCTCGGAAACAGGACCCAGAGATGCAGCCAATCACATCACACTTCTATTTAGCTCGGGAGGCCGGAGTGAAGGAGTGCCAAGCTTGCGCGTCACGAAGAGGGAAGGAGGTCATGGTGGAAGTGCACAGCAAGGAAACATTTCAATGACGACTTGTCGCCAGATCTCGAGACACTGATGCTATCGCCGGGCCGGGTGATTCAAGACAATCAGCAAGCGGTGCTGCTGGGCACGCTGCTCATCACCGCCGCGCTCGCACTAGTCGGTACCTCAGCACGACATTCTCTCACGACCAGCGCAGCAGCATGGACATGCATCTGGGCATACACGCGCTTTCGCAGTGGAATTAGCAGTACTGGAGAATCTCAGGGCCGGCTATTGTCATGGACAGCGGGAGCCTTACTGGCCCTGTCCGGCGTCTGTGAAAGAGCTGCGGAAAGGGGCCACATATATTGGGCAAAGGTCAGGAAACGTGCCCTTGAAGTATATACAACGAACATCGGCTGAAACTCTTCGTCCACAAGGCTATCCTTCCCCTCCTCGTTTGCGTAGTCGTCAAGGTGGATGCATTCGGCATTGCTCGTTTCAACTCGAATACCGACACTCGATCTGCAGAAAAGCCAAGGAGCGGCGATACAAGACTCCTTATGGTGCTTACTGTATCAGCACTTGTAGCTGTAGGTTACATGAACGAGTTTAAATCAACACTCGCTTTGGGATGTTGCAATGCAGTGCTCTTAGCTGTGGTGCTGTCGCTGTTGCAGTTGGCGCACCGCGAGACCGTCTCGACAGGCGGTCCTGAGGATGCAGTAATATCTGTGAGTGGTCTGTTGTCACAGCCAAAGGTCAAAAGAGACACACAGCAAGTACTGGTCGATGTGTCGTTCGCGGCTGCATTGGCGCAATGGCTATCGGCTCTCATGCTGGAGAGCTTCAGCACCAGACCATTCTGGTTCGCGTTCCTGCCGCAACAGATTTTCACGGTAGCCTTGAGCATTGGTATGGTGGTAGTTCATGTCGTGTTAAATAGAACAATCATACTCGCGGTAAGTCCTTCAGAAAGATAAGAGATCAGGATTGGATTGCGGATCCACTTCGGCATGTGAAACTGACTAGGGTGTACAGGTCGATAAATGTGATCAAGTTACGACAGCCTCGACTTTTGTTGTCGCAGCGCTTGCCGCCCATCTGACCGTCGACTTCTCACTAGGACGACTGTGGTTCGCAACGATATGTCTGCTTTCGATTTACGCCTTTCTCCATGACCGTACAAACTCGACGACTCGACACTCTGCATCAGACGGCCGTGCGACAATGCGCTCCAGACGCATCTCCACCTCGCTACTGGTTGTGTCGCTCGTACTGCTTGCAGTCTTCAACTTCCGCGACCGATTGATTGCTCGCGTTGTGCCGCATGGCCCCACGGGTCCCTGGGCGCCCCAGATCCGCGACCAAGACCTATCATCCCCGCTTCAATATAATGATACCCATGTTCACCCGATCGAATACCTGGCAAAGAATGCCGAAAGCGAATTCAGCGCCTTACTGCAGCGCCAATCTCGCACATTAGAGGAAGCCGTTACAGAGTATAAGCGCCGCTACAACATCCCACCTCCGCCCAACTTCGACAAATGGTTCCAATTTGCGCAAGACCACAATGTTCAGCTAATAGACGAGTTTGACACAATCTACCACTCGCTCCTTCCCTTCTGGGGTCTGAAACCTGTTACCGTCAGGAAGAGAGTTCAAGAGGCAATTGGTTTCGATGGTAACAATTTGATTGCTCTAATGGTACGTGGTGGAAAGGTGACACATGTACGAAGCGGACAAGAATGGCAGCAAAAGGCAACAATTGGTATGATGGATAAGTTCATCCAGTATCTGCCCGACATGGACCTGGCCTTCAACATCCATGACGAGCCGCGAGTTGTTGTACCCCACGACGAATTGTCGCGTTTGGTTGACGTCGCAAAGAACAAGAACATGCCCGCTGCATTCGCTAACTCTGGCCACAAGAATGCCTTCTCGCCTCGCCCGAAGGATGTCAATCCGGGTGAGCGAGTCGACGAGGTTAAAATCACCCGTTTCAATGTCTTTGCTCATCAACCCACTTGGATCCCATCTCGTTTATCATGCTCCCCAGACAGTCCTGCGCGGGCACTTGAGGAAGAGATTACGCCCGACAACATCGCAACCTATGCTATGAGTGAGCTAGGGTTTGTCTACAACGACACTGCCTTCAGTGACGTCTGCAATTCTCCTTCGTTTGGCAGTTCACATGGCTTTTTCGATCGACCGAATGCCTTCAATGTTGTCCACGACCTCGTTCCTATCTTTTCCCAATCGAAGATGAGCAGTTTCCAGGACATCCTGTATCCGTCTCCTTGGTATTGGTACGGCAAGGTCACTTACGATTCACACAAGGACAGGTCATGGGACAAGAAGGAAGGAAAACTGTGGTGGGTCGGCAGTACGACTGGCGGATTCTCGCGCGATGGAGGCTGGCGTCGCCAACATCGCCAAAAGTTCGTGCGCAAGCTCAATGCTCCCGATCAAGCCAAAATCATGTACGATGCTCACCTGACCTCGGCTTCCACAAACGACGACAATACTCCGGACTGGCAGATGCGTTCTGTACAACGCAACGAGTACTCAGATCTCATCGATGTTCATTTCTCCCATGTTGGTCAATGCGATCCTGGCGACTGTGATGCACAGAAAGAGTTCTTCAAGATCGTGGCGCCAGCTGATCAACAAGACGCATGGAAGTACAAGTACCTGCTTGACATGGACGGCAATGCCTTCAGTGGTCGTTTTTATGCTTTCCTCAAATCCCACAGTCTTGTGTTCAAGATGGCAGTATTCCGTGAGTGGCATGCTGAATGGCTCAAGCCCTGGGTTCACTACGTTCCGCTCAGTCTGAGAGCTGAAGAAGTATTGGAGTCAGTACGTTATTTCGGAGCAGAAGAGTCTGGCAAGGAGATGGCAGTGGGAATGGCCGAGCGTGGTAGAGAATGGAGTAATAAAGTGCTCAGAAATGAGGACTTTGAGGTGTGGTTCTTCAGACTGTTGCTCGAGTACGGCAGACTCGTGGATGATAACAGAGAGAGCATCGGTTTCGGAGCTTAATGGCAGTCCACGAGAGCCATAACTACGTAGCGCTTTGTTTTGCCCTTACATAACATGGACATCTTCACAAGAGACAGTTGTCAAGCATTGTACCTAGCTCCCTCCGTATCTCGATCTGCACAGACAAAATCGACATGAGTGATGCGATAATCCCAACCATGGGATGCAGGATGACTCACAGGCGAGAGCGCACAACTCGACAGCAGTGATCAAGAAGGTGCCACAGTACAAGTTGATAGCATGAGGTAGCGGAAAGTGCCGGCCGGTATGGGTGGTCGAAGCGTTGCGGGACGCCAGCCAACAGCAGATTCGCGTCATTGACTGTCGGCGATTCTCTCGCCTTCAAGTCATCACCTCACCACCACCCATCTCTCGTCGCATTACTCGCCGATACACGCTTCGAACTATCCTCTCGCTGGATGGTTGCTGCATACTGAACTTCCATCTCCCCTTCTATACCCCTCGCCTCACATCCCGCTATCAATATGTCAGGCATCTTGAGGCAGTCCATCAACCTTGGCCGCCTCTATAGGCCGTCCTGCCAAATATCGACCCGTGGTCGCTCACTATCAACAAGACCTGCCTCTATCCCGCGACCAATCTACGCTTACCAACGCGTCCGCCGCTACGCCACCCAACCCGAAGAGCCTCGCGACAAGGATGAAGCCAAGGACAAGACTCCCGGACAGTCCGCTCCTGGCATGGAGCACCTTTACAACAAGGGCGGTCCTTTGACGAATGAGAAGGCCGCCTCCTCAACCGATTCTCCTCCCTCTGGCTTCACAAAGCTTACTGCCGAGGAAGAGAAGCAGCTCACCGACGTCTTCAACAAGATCAAGATGGGTATGCCCGCTGCGATGGCCGAGGAGGTAGAGAAGTCCTTCCAGAAGATTCGTCAAGATGGCATTCCCCAAGAGCTTCGTGACACTATGGACGAGGTTAAGCAGGGCAACATGACTCCTGCAGTCGCTGCCCGCTTGTGGCGCCAGGTCTCTACCATGGCTAGAAAGACTGCTGAGAGCGACATGAAAGCCGAAGCCAAGCGCCCGGAGCAGAAGTCTGGCGCTCACGATCCTGGAGCTGGATCAAAGTCAAAGTCCAACAACAAGGGCGAAGAGAAGGATGGTCAGCAGTTCAACGTCAAGGATATCAAGCTGGACATGAACAGCATCATCCTTTCCGCATTTACCTCATACCTACTCTACCGTCTGGTCGTTCCTGGCGAGAACTCGCGCGAAATCACATGGCAAGAGCTGAGAAACACTTTCCTCGACAAGGGTCTCGTCGAGAGACTTGTCGTGGTTAACAACAACAAGGTTCGGGTACACGTTCACCAGCAATCTGTCCAGGCAATGTACCCAGAAAGTCCTGCCGCTCACGGAAACTTCTACTACTACTTCTCCATCGGCTCTGTTGAAGCCTTCGAACGCAGACTCGACGACGCACAGGCTGAGCTTGGTATTCCATCGTCAGAAAGAATCCCCGTTCAATACAGTCGTGAGGTCTCTTGGGCCGATACAGTGCTGAGCTTTGGTCCCACGCTACTCTTCATCGGTGCCATCTTCTGGATCTCCAGAAGAGCTGCATCTGGTGCTGGTGGTGGTGGTAGTGGTGGCATCTTCGGCATGGGCAAGAGCCGTGCTAAGAAGTTCAACCACGAGACTGATGTCAAGGTAAAGTTCGCCGATGTTGCTGGTATGGATGAGGCCAAGGTCGAGATCATGGAGTTTGTCAACTTCCTCAAGCAACCCGAGCGCTTCCAGAAGCTCGGTGCAAAGATTCCCAGAGGTGCCATTCTTTCTGGTCCTCCTGGTACTGGTAAGACTCTGCTCGCAAAGGCAACTGCTGGCGAGTCTGGCGTACCGTTCTTCAGTGTCAGTGGTTCCGAGTTCGTTGAGATGTTTGTCGGTGTCGGTGCTTCAAGAGTGCGCGATCTTTTCCAGAATGCGAGAAAGAGCACACCTTGCATCATCTTCATCGATGAGATTGATGCTATTGGAAAGTCAAGATCAAAGCAAAACTTTGGTGGTGGCAATGACGAGAGAGAGGCTACGCTTAACCAGATTCTTACTGAGATGGACGGTTTTGCTAGCACTGAACAGGTAAGCCTTTGTGTTCATTCTATGAGATTCTCATCATTCTAACATTCTATGTAGGTCATTGTCCTTGCTGGTACCAACCGTGCAGACGTTCTGGATCAGGCTCTTATGCGTCCTGGCCGTTTCGACAGACACATCTCAATCGACAAGCCTACTATGGATGGACGTAAGCAGATCTTTGCTGTCCACTTGAAGAACATCGTCACAAATGAGGATATTGAACATCTCAAGGGTCGCTTGGCAGCACTTACCCCCGGTTTCTCTGGGGCTGACATTGCCAACTGTGTCAATGAGGCTGCTTTGATCGCAGCTCGTGGAGGTGCTGATACCGTCAAGATGATTCACTTTGAACAAGCTATCGAGCGCGTTATTGGCGGTCTCGAAAAGAAGTCACTGGTTCTATCGCCTGAGGAGAAGCGCACAGTCGCATACCATGAAGCTGGCCACGCAATCTGCGGATGGTACTTCAAGTACGCCGACCCACTTCTCAAGGTCTCCATCATCCCCCGTGGTCAGGGAGCCCTTGGTTACGCCCAATACCTTCCTTCAGGCGACACCTACCTTATGTCTTACCTGCAACTTCTTGACCGTATGGCCATGACTCTTGCCGGTCGTGTGTCTGAGGAGATTCACTTCGAGACCGTCACATCGGGAGCATCCGACGACTTCAACAAGGTTACTCGCATGGCTACTGCCATGGTCACCAAATGGGGCATGTCGAAGAAGGTTGGCTACCTCTACTTCGAGGACGACCCGAATCAGCTTCAGAAGCCCTTCTCAGAGGAGACCGCCCGTAACATCGATATGGAGGTAAAGCGCATCGTCGATGAAGCCTACAAGCAATGTCGCGATTTGCTCGAGGAGAAGAAGAAGGAGATCGGTATCGTTGCTGAGGAGCTTCTCAAGCTGGAGGTTCTGACGCGCGACGATCTCGTCAGATTGCTTGGCCAGAGACCTTTCGAGGACAAGGGCGATTTCAGCAAGTACTTCGGCGGCCGTGGTGACCGTGAGGGCCCCGGTGCAGGTATCCCTGGCATCTCGGACAAGCCCGATGCGCCCATCCTTCCTCCCGGCTCGCAGAACCCTGCGCCTGTGGTGTTCAAGGATTTGAACCAGTAAATTCCCAGATGTTCTTATGTATAGAAAGACTTCGAGACGACACTGGAGTTCTGGGGGCTGGAGGCATTGGGAGTTCTATTGTTTTGGTATCTCGTCTTCTTTCTTCTTCTTTATATTGCGCATAGCGGATTCCCTTTCTTTTGTACTATTATCTTCTTCCCATCTACTCCGGTGTACAAGGACCAACTCTTTCAGCATGTACATGTGGCGTTATAAAAAGCTGTTGGATGAAGTCAGCGGTAAATAGGTTTCCTCCACTCTTCAACCACATCATCTCTTGAACTCTTCACCTTCCTTTCTTAGCTGCTATATGCAAGGACGTCACCATGATAGCCATGCACGAGGGAAATCATGATCGAGGAACGATGCATGGATGCGGAAGTGCGGCCCTCAGAATCGTCTGCTTAGCACTCCTCGGCCAAACGAGAGAGCTCTTGGGTTTGCAGTGCCCAGCTGCCAGCTGTGGGTCGTCGCGTCCACGGCATCCACATCTAGTGCAGTCAAGCCATGACAAGAGCGGGGCTGTATGGGGTCCTGATGAGGTGGGTGGATGACACGGTTCTTCTGATCTTTGTGGCGCGGTAGAAGCCTTTTCCCTCAAAGTGGACCCATGTCTTGTTCGTTTCAGCCGTCGCAAAACTTCCCTCGCGATTCTGGAAGGTTGACAAGGGTGGGTATTAGACATGGCAGACTGGAGAAATTTCTGTGGAGATGATAGGGTCTTTATATCTGTTTCTTTGTATCTGGAACCTACCAACCAAGGGTATCTCGATGTTTCATTTGTTAATGGGTCACCATAGCTGCTGATCTTGCATATTGTACAGAGCAGGCCAACTTGCTAGGACGTTGTATGCGACCTCTCGGCCGAGTCAGATTGGAAGGGAAAATATTCTGATGCGTACATTGATGGATCATTTGCCCTTCCTGCCCCGCTTTCCTTTCCTGTGTATGCAGCGTACCCAATTGCCCCGCAGATGGGAACGGGGAAAGGCATATTAGACTCAGTCCTTGCATATCTCCGATGGGCGATGTGACATGCGGCACTGGTTATCCGTGCTCTTCCTAGAGGACCTAAGCCTACTTTTCGCATGCAAGAACGTGACATGGTACGTACGAAAGGTACAATGATGCCTTACCTGGTTGCTTATACGCTCGCCTTTCCTGCAGAGCGTCCTTCCTGCCAGTGGATTTGATGCTCGTGACCTGTTTCTCTGACGTGATACAAGATCTGGGTACGGAGTCTTGCATGCAGTTTGCTGGCAGATAGGTGTCATGACCTGTCCTTACTGATCGGAGCTGCATATAGCCGAGGAGAACTAGCTGATCGACATTTGTTCTCCACATAGTTTGTAGAGAGGGATGGAGGGACTTGCTATGGAGCAGCAAGGGTGTTTCGAGCAGCACTTGCCAAGCCCATGTTTCGATGCGCGTCTAGCTGTTCGCATCACGTACAAATGTGCGCAAGGCGCTGTGAGGCGGACTGATTGTCGGAATGGATCGTTCGATGCACTGTTGTTAGACTGATATGGCTTCCGATAGCTTTTTATACGATCAATGGCTTAGTAGTTGCCATATACCGTGATATGCGAGATCGGATTCGCAACTGCCGGATTAAGATATGCTGTTCTGTAGAGCAATGGCTTTGTTCAAAAAGAGCTTCCATGGAAAAAGATGAACCTCTCCCCATGGGCATGATCTACAAACCTTTGGGGTGGTTTAACCAAGATTCTCATGGAAAATACCGCGTAGCACTTTCCCATAGTTTTCTTGAAACGCTGGTGTTGCTCTTGACTGGAAGGACAATTCCCTGGAGAGCCGCTGGCACCTTCCAAACCTTGTCGGACATGTTCCAAGGGAATCACACCTTGCTGCGCAACAGCAGCTGGTGACAAACACGTCGATGGCCGCTCGATGTGAAGACCAAAAAGACGAGCTACTGCAATGTACCCCCACCTTCGCCTGTGCCGTGCCTGCATAGATGATCAATATAGCATGCAGGCTGACACATTTTGGCTCGGTTTACTTTGCAGCTCTTGGAGAAATAATGATTTACCCCGCTGGCTAGAGCTCCTCGATATCCTTGGATGGCATCATGAGCTTCACTTGGCTGGTAGAGTGAGTGAGAAAGATTTAAATTGAACGCATGGCCGCGTCTCAGTGACCGGATGTCACCCACGCCGGGAAGCTGCAGCAGGAAGTACTCACTCGTGCTTTCCTTCTGACCCAGATTCTCTTTGTTTGAGCTTTATCTTTTTGTTTCTTCACCTAATTACCTGTTCCTGACTTGAGACGTCGCAATTGAACATGTCTGGTTTCAAGAGCCTCGCCCTGCTATTGGCAGCTCAACTTGCCAATGCACAAGGTGGTTACCCGAACCCTCCTGTCGAAGGTCTACCTGTAAGTTTCGTCACTTCCTGTGTAGCACAACAGCTGATTGACATCTGCGCAGTTCCCTGGTACCAATTATCCTGGCTCTGAAGTACCCTACGCCGTAGCTGGCGCTCAATTCAACCAAACATCCCCTCCCTACTATCCTTCTCCTTGGGGAACCGGTGCTGGAGAGTGGGCAAGCGCATACGAAAAGGCCATCGCATTTGTTTCTCAGTTGACTCTTGCCGAGAAGGTCAACTTGACTACTGGTAGGCTCAATCAACATCACTTTCGGTAAATAAGACTTTGCTAACTTTTTCTAGGTGTTGGGTTAGTCACATTGGGCTGCGAATATTTGGTTGCACGGCTGACTGTTCTTCAGTTGGGAGTCTGAGCTCTGTGTCGGTAACACAGGTTCCATTCCCCGTCTGGGCTTCAAGGCTCTCTGTCTGCAGGACTCGCCTCTGGGTGTCAGATTCGGTACGTCGTGATCAGCCAATTGCATTGATCCGTTTATGTACTGACAAAGTCAAGGCGACTTCGTCTCTGCATTCTCCGCCGGCGTCACCGTTGCTGCAACATGGGACAGATCACTCGCCTACGAACGTGGTCACGACATGGGCAGCGAACATCGCGACAAGGGCGTCGATATAATGCTCGGCCCCGTCGTTGGCCCTCTCGGCCGCAGTCCCGAAGGTGGACGTAACTGGGAAGGTTTCAGCCCTGACCCCGTTCTCTCTGGTATCCTCAATGCCGAAACTGTCAAGGGAATTCAGGATGCTGGGGTCATTGCTTGCACTAAGCACTACATTCTCAACGAGCAGGAGCACTTCAGACAGGGTGGACCTAACATTTCTGATGCCGTCTCTGCCAATGTCGACGACATTACTCTTCACGAGCTCTATGTCTGGCCTTTTGCTGATGCCGTTCGTGCTGGTACCGGCAGTGTCATGTGCTCTTACAATCAGGCCAACAACAGCTACGTCGTAAGTCAGAAGATTATTACTTCCGATTTGGGTCGTGCTTACTCTTTTAGTGCCAAAATTCGCACCTTCTGAACAAAGTTCTCAAATCTGAGTTGGGCTTCCAAGGCAAGTTTATTCTTCGCCTTAATTCTTTCAAAGTTCATCTTTCTCTTCTCTCTTTGGCTCTACAACCTCCCTCCACCTTCCCTTGACCTTCCTTGACCTTCCATCGGCCTCCAAAGCATCGCTAATTAGCCTCAGGATTTGTTGTGTCTGATTGGGCAGGACAACACTCCGGTGTATCAAGTGCTCTCGCTGGTCTGGACATGACCATGCCCGGTGATTTGAGCTTCGATAGTAAAACATCGTTTTGGGGTGCCAACCTTACCATTGCTGTTCTGAACGGAACTGTTCCCCAGTACAGAATTGATGACATGGCTGTTCGTATCGTAGCTGCCTGGTACCTTGTCGACAGAGAAGACAACCAGGTTGAGAACGCGCCCAACTTCTCTTCATGGACTTCCAGAACATTCGGGTACCGTCACTATATCGCTCAAGAAGGCTACGAGAAGATCAACTATCACGTAGATGTTCAGGACAACCACCGCGACAACATTCGCGAGGTCGCCGCCAAGGGTACTGTTCTCTTGAAGAACAAGGGTGCTTTACCTCTCAAGGGTACTGAACAGCTTGTTGGTGTCTTTGGTGAAGACGCTGCTGACAACCAATACGGACCTAATGGCTGCTCTGACCGCGGCTGTGACAACGGCACTCTTGCTATGGGATGGGGTAGCGGCACTGCCAACTTCCCTTATCTGGTGGCTCCTCACTCTGCTATTGAGAATGAAGTTCGCTCACACGGCAAGTCGGTCGAGAGCATTCTTGACAGCTACGCCTACAACCAGATCGATGTTCTCGCTCAGCGCACTGACGAGGTTGACGGCGCTTGTATCGTTTTTGCCAACGCCGATGCTGGTGAGGGTTACATCATTGTCGATGGTAACCAAGGTGATCGCAACAACCTCACTCTCTGGCAGGGTGGCGAGGCTATTATTCGCAACGTCTCGTCCCTGTGCAAGAACACTATTGTCGTGCTCCACACGGTCGGACCCGTCTTGATCAACGACTGGTATGACCACGAGAACATCACTGCCATCATCTGGGCAGGCGTTCCCGGACAGGAGTCAGGCAATGCTATCGTTGACGTTCTCTACGGCAAGGTCAACCCCTCGGGTAAGCTTCCCTTCACTATGGGCAAGACCCGTGAGTCTTATGGCACCGATCTCCTCTATGAGTACAACAATGGTGGTGCACCTCCTCAAACTCAATTCGAAGAGGGTGTCTTCATCGATTACAGAGCCTTTGATAGAAGCGGTGAGATCCCTGTCTACGAGTTCGGTTACGGTCTTTCGTACACCAATTTCAGCTACTCCGACATTTCGGTCTCGGTCAACACTTCGGCTCCTGCATACGTCCCCACCTCGGGTTTCACTGAGGCTGCGCCCATCTACGGCACCGTTTCGAACAACTCTGCCGACTACGTGTTCCCTGCCGATGTCAGACCCATCGAGTACTACATGTAAGTATTGCTTGTTTTATCAGCTTGGGAAACATCACTAACATATATAGCTACCCCTTCCTCAACTCGAGCAACCTTCGCGCTTCGTCTGGAGACCCACACTACGGCAGTAACTACAGCTTCCCTGCCGATTCTGCCTCGAGTGCACCTCAGCCCCTCCTTCCCGCTTCTGGAGCTCCTGGCGGCAACCCTGGTCTCTACGATGTCCTCTACACTGTCACTGCCACCGTTACCAACACTGGCTCTGTCGAGGGTGAAGAAGTTCCTCAACTCTACATCTCGCTCGGTGGACCCAACGATCCAGCTGTCGTTCTCCGTCAATTCGACAAATTCTCCATCGCACCTGGTGCCTGCAAGATCTTCACAGCTCAAATCACTCGCAGAGATGTGAGCAACTGGTCGCCTGAGCTTGATGACTGGTATGTTAGCGAGTACCCCAAGACTGTCTACGTCGGCTCCTCAAGCAGAAAGTTGCCTCTCAAGGCTGCTCTCCCTGCCAACGCTGGAACTTCTCCTGGCACTGGCAATGGTGGCTCTGGTAACGGCACCTATACCATTCCTCCCATCTCACATCCCAGCTCGGCTCCCGGCTCTGCTACCCTTACCTCTTACTCGACCTCGAAGTCTTCGTCGCACTCGACGTCCAAGTCCTCGTCTCACTCGTCGAGCCTCTCGTACTCCCACTCCACAACGAATGGCCACGGTCAAACGTCTTGGACTACCTACACCATGCCTAGTGGCTACCACTCCACTTGGTAGATAATTTGGGGTTACAGGAAGAATGAGGAGAGTAAAAGCGGATACTCCATGCTACATTCATTTTAAGCTATTCACGACTTGACGAACCAGAGGGGTGATGAGATGAGAGCAAGGTTCTTTGACAGACTTTGTAAGTAGTAGGGAAAGGAAAGACGGGTGAGATATAAGACCTTTTGCTTGATCCGATTGAGTGACGCAGGAACGCGTTTGTGCTTCCGTGATCGCTATATCCGGGGAGTCGCTCGTTCTCCTCCAGTCGGATGAGGAATCAAAGTGTCCCCTCTGCGAATCACTTGTTGTAACGCTACCCATCTGATCTCGACATGCCATCACATCGCGTCTTTCTCGTCGCGCCGTTAACGTGTTATGTATTCTCTCTTCGAACGACCATCACAAGATTCACTCAATTCACTGTCAAAACTCCATAGAGCATTCACTGGCAAGAAAGTGAGACGACAGAGACTACCCTTCCCAGTTGTGATACAGCCAACTTTGCAACCTACACCACCTTGTCACTTACATCGTCTTCACCATGGAATGGACAAATGAGCTAGACCAAGCTCTTGACCTGTTTAATGCCGGCAACTTCGACGGATGCGCGGCGCATGTCAACAGCGTACTTCGCGATACTACTCCAGACTACCCTCGCACACGCAACTATGCCCTGCTTGCTCTATGCCTCTTCAACTGGCGCGAGGCAGAGCGCATGCGCACAGCAGCAGAAGACTGTCTAGCTCGTTGAGTCCTTTCATACTTAGAGAAGGCCAAATCCAGGTCGTGAGGCTCGCGTATTTGATATTTAGCCAGTGGCAGCGCAGTATTAGGTGGTGTAACAAGCGTATGAACTTCTGGGACGCTTTCATTTCTTTGTCGTTCCCTTGAGCATCTTCCTACGTGCGGACAACTCTGGCGCTGTCTTAACGTCCTCATAACCCACAGGTAGAGCCTTTGCTGGATCACGGAGGATGCATTTCGAGCAATCATACTGGTCTTCATGGTCTTGGGATGGCTGCTTCCGCAGAAACCATACCCTGATGCCTCCTAGCCTCTCTCTGTCGCAATTGGCACAGTAGCGCTCTACGGGCTCTTCAGACCAGGAAGGGCGATGGTTCGGCCACGTCAGACTTTCCCTTATGGCAGGCATGGCATTAATCCATCTGTTTAGATACAGGCAAATGTCATGGAAGGGCTCTCTGCGTTTTGCTTCTATATGCTCCCTAGATCGCGCTCTCTTGGTGACACGGTAGTCTGGATCTGCACGGTAGCGCATCATGTGATGCTTGTGGCGTGCAAGTTGGCTCTGCTCACGTACGGCACGGCTGGTCGCGTAAAGGTGACGCTTCCGTGCGGCCCTCTGCTCAAGGCGGTGTTGCCTTTGCAAGTCAGGATCTTCTTGTGCCTCTTTCCAGATAGGACAGGCGGAGAAGGCACGGGTGTTGATAAGTGAGATTGAGGGACGCAACGAGCATTCTCTTAAATAAAAGGCGACATGGTGAAAGAAAGGCTGAGCGTTCTGCATGATTGGCATGGTTTGAAAAGTCGAGGAATTAGATGACAAGTAGAATCGATGTCTTGTGGTATGGAAAGATGGTTTGGACGCTGAGCCACTTTGGCACGTGCGTGCATGTTGATAGAGTGACTTCATACAACAAGCACTCACCTCTCTACAATCACATATACCTCATCCAACATGGCACCTTCTCTGCAAATCTCAATACCAACCACGTCGACGGGCGAAGAAGGTGGTAAACCGTATACCCTCTATCACGTCCAGCTCGCTCTCCCGATCCGCACACACGAGACGCGCAAGCGCTACTCGGACTTTACCTCACTGCACGACTCCCTCGTATCACAAACCGGCGCAGCTCCTCCAGCCTCACTACCGCCCAAGTCATGGCTTCGCCGTACCGTCGATAATCCCGCTCTGACCGAACAACGGCGACGAGGACTCGAAGCCTATGCCCGAGCAATTGTTGATGCCCAAGATGCACGCTGGCGCTCCTCGACCGTATGGCGTCACTTTCTCGGCCTACCCCAAGATGATAAACAGCACAAAATCATGCAAGCAAAAGACAGTGTCGTCGATCCTGCCGCTTGGCTAGACCTCCATCGCGACGTCAAGAGTCAACTCAATGATGCTCGCCAACTACTCAAGAAACGAGATGCTGCAGCAACCGCCCAAGAACAACATGCCATTTCCGCAAATGCAAAAGCAGCGCTTGTTCGTGCAGCTACAGGACTCGCAAGACTGGACGACGCTCTCTCAAAAACACAAAAGAAGACAAAGGATGACGATGACGGTGGCTGGGCTCAATCTTCCCATCTCGGTGAGGGTGAAATTCGCCGTCGTCGTGATATGATCGGCCTCGCGCGTGCGGAAACCGAGTTTCTCGAGTCAAATCTCAAGTCTTTGGTTGTGAAGCCTCAGGGTAGTATGCTGAGCGCCACATCCGCCGCTGCTACAGCTTCCGACTCGGACAAACGCGCTTTATGGGGAGATGCTCCTGCCGCAAGAAGTTCGAGACGCGTTTTGGGTGGCCCGGCTCAAGAGACTGATCGCACACGAGAGTTGGACAACCAAGGCGTGCTGCAACTACAGAAGCAAGTCATGGGAGAGCAAGAGCAGGATGTCCTTGCAATCGGCCAAGCCGTTACAAGGATGAAGCAGATGGGTATCATGATCAACGAGGAGTTGGTCATTCAAAATGAGATGTTGAGTATGATGGATCAAGATGTGGACAGAGTCCAAGGCAAGATCGATATTGCAAAGAAGAGGATCAAGAAGATCAACTAGCGGTTGGGTATGAGGAAGCGATTCATGTCATTGGTGTTTTAGGGGTTTGATTTGGCACACACGGATACCCTTCTTTCTCGTTCATTCCCATGGCTGTACATAAGCATTTACTCGTGTTGCTTTTCTTCTATTGCATGTCTTATTGTCTATATCTTACACTTCTTATCACGTGCGCTGTGAGCAACCGCTTAGTTTATTTGGAGCACGGTGCTCAGACTCTCTGTTCAGCATGTCATGTCTGATGGCATTAGTATGTTACAAGCTGCCAGCAGGGAAGCTTCGCCAACTCCTGCTACATGCAAATCTACGCCTTCTGCACACCACGAGCACCCTTTCTTCTCTTGCCCTTGACATCTCTACCCTCCTCGATAGCCAAGAGTGCCTCTCTCTTCTTATCACCAACAACATTCAACGCATCCCTCACAACTCTACTCTCCACATTAACACCCTCCTCAACATACTCCTCCATCTGACTCTTCACCCTCCCCTCAATCGCCTGCACCAACCCAACATCCCTCTGGCCCACCAAAGAGATACTGACACCCTTCCTCCCCGCTCTCGCCGTACGACCAACCCTATGCACATAATCATCCGGATCACGCGGTAAATCATAGTTTACAACCAATCCAACTTCAGGGATGTCGAGACCGCGAGCGGCGACGTCTGTGCAGACCATTATGCGGGCTGCTCCTGCGCGGAAGCGGGCGAGGTTGTTTGTGCGGTCTGATTGGGGGAGGGCTGAGTGGAGGGAGGTTACGCGGTGGTCGAGGGAGCGGAGGAGGTGTTCGAGGAGGTTTGCGGTGGAGGTGCGGTTTACGAAGATGATTGTGGATTTTTTGACGTTGGCTTCGGTGAGAAGAAGGACGTGAAGGTACTAGTGGGGTTTGTTAGGCAAGGATTTGATGATGTGATGAGATGATGGAGGTTTACCTTTTCCTTGTGCACGACGTTGACCAGACAGTACGTTTGGTGCAGTGTGTCCGGTACAGCAAGGGTGTCAAGATCAACCTGATTTCTCGTTAGTTTCCATGTTCAACGCTAGAAGCAATCATAGACAAGCAACATACCTCACAAACAGCAACCGGAGGCTTCCCCTTCGTCCTAGGTTTATCCTGCAACGCCCTAACCTCTGCCGTAACAGTCGCAGTAAACAGACAAGTCTGTCTCTTACTAGATTCTGGCAACACCTCCATACAAACTCCCAGATCAGGCAACATACTTCCCTTTCCACTAGCCAACAATCTATCCGCCTCATCCAAAACCACAAACTTGACTCTTCTCAAGCCCGCAATACTCTCCTCACCACTACTGTTAACATGATCTGCCAATCTTCCAGGCGTGGCAATAACAATATGCGGACGAGCGGCCAACGCAATAGCCTGCGCCCTCATGTCACTACCCCCCGTAACAAGCACAACTTTCAAATTCTGCACCGCACCAATAGCTTTGAACTGTTCGAAAATCTGCAATGCCAATTCCCTCGTCGGCGTGAGCACCAAACCGAAAATGCCAAAGGGATCTTTAGACCATTGTTGCAAGATAGGAACGGCAAAAGCGACGGTTTTTCCTGATCCGGTTCTAGAGCCGCCGATACAGTCGCGTCCGGACAGAATTTCGGGGATGGCGGCTGATTGAATGCGAGTAGGGTTTTTGATGGCCATGTTGGCTAGAGATGCCACAAGCCAGGGTGATACATTCAAATCCGCAAAAGTAGACTTTTCATTTCCTTTTTGTGCTGCCGAGATGGTGGAAGCAACATCCTGGATAGAAGATTCATCTGCTGTAACTGATGTGGTTGATCTAGCCTTGATGCGAGAAATTGTTGCTGTTGCTGCGGGTTGAATGCGGGATGTTGTTGTCATGGGTGCTGCTGTCTTTTGCTGTACTTCTACTTCCGAATCCGAGTCTTCTGATCCGGTGGGTGAGAGTCTGCGTCGCTTTCTAGATCCATTTTGATTTACTTCTTTGCGCTCATTATGGACACTGCTGGCGGCTGAGTCGCTCGAGTTGCCGCTGTCCGAGCTTGCGGTGGTGGCAGGCATTACTTCCAGTTTTTCTTTTGTTGATTTCAGTTCTCAATTTGGATAGACAGGTGGTTTTTATGATAATTTCGTGGTGGAGTTGTTTTGTGGTTGGTTGATGGATTATTTTTCGCCTTGATGGTCCGAAAATTTCGATATCACGTGCACGACGCTGGTATATAAAATCAACCAAGACGATGACCTCAAATTCGAAGTTGGTTGATGAAATCTTTGTAAATTGTATTTGTATGCTCGCTCGTATATACAGAAACTGGTGGTCGTTAAATTGTTTCTTTTTTTCCATCGCTCGGTCTAAGTGGCGGTCTGCTCTTGCTCCTTCTTTGCGTCTTCAAAGTAGTTGGGCAGCATCTCCTGCTCGCGATAACCACCTCTTGTGAAGCTCTTCATGGGAGTGAGACCGTATTTGGCAAACATGGCCTTGTCCTCGTCCCATCCGTTGCAGTCGGTGGTCAACATCTTCTCACCAGTGAAAATGGCGTTGGCACCGGCGTTGAAGCACAGGATCTGCTCTGCTTCGCTCATGGTGGTACGGCCAGCGGCAATTCTGATGATGGTGGCAGGCATGATGATTCTGGCTGCAGCAATGGTACGCAGGATGGCGTCGAAGCTGATGCGCTTACGGCTAGGGTCATCACCAAGAGGCGTACCCTTGATAGGGACCAAAGCGTTGACAGGGAAAGACTCTGGGTGGGCGGGCATGTTCGAGACGGTGTAGAGAAGACCGACGTGGTCCTCGGGCTTCTCGCCCAAACCAAGAATACCACCAGAGCAGACGTTGATACCAGCCTTACGTACATTGGACAAAGTTTCCAGACGCTCGTCGTAGGATCTCGTGGTGATGACAGTGGGGTAGTGCTCACGCGAGGTGTCGACGTTGTGGTTGTATGCGGTCAAGCCAGCAGTCTTGAGCTCTTCGGCCTGGTTCTGGTCAATCATGCCGAGTGTGACGCAGACTTCCATATCCATGGCGCGTACGCCTTCCACCATAGCCTTGACGTTCTTCAGACTGGTCTTTCTTCCTCTCATGTCGCGCCATGCGGCACCCATGCAGAAGCGTGTGCTTCCGTTCTGCTTTGCAATGCGAGCTTTTTCGAGGACATCGTCGACTGGTGACATCTTGGTTGCTTTGAGACCTGTATGTTGTCATTAGCTATGGTCTACCAAGGATTGCATAGCGCAATCTGCATACCAGTATTGTAGCGGGAAGACTGGGCGCAGTAAGAGCAGTCTTCGGAGCAACCACCAGTCTTGATGTTCATCAGGGTGCACATCTGGATGGATGAGGGAGAGTGGAAGCGACGGTGGAGAACACCCTACAAGCCTGTGTCAGCCACGTCTAGCTCCGATCTCTGTTCAGTACATGTACCTACCGCTTGATGAGCCAGCTCCATCAGGGGAGTCTTGTAGATCTCGCGAATCTCATCCTTAGACCAGTCGTGTCTAGGACCAGTCTGTCTCATGGCATCCTGAAGCACGTTTCCGGTCCTGGAGATGGGACTTGAAGCTGCTGCCATAGCCATGCGGTCGTCCACCACCGTGCTGAATTGGCGGCCATTTGTGATCTGTCTCAACGACCGTACTGCTTGTCGGCTAGACATTGTGAGGTGCTAAAGAGTGGTGAGAGGAACAGAAAACGATTGAAGACACCGGTACAAACGACAGACACGCACTTCTACAAAGACGACGAGCAGGTTGAACGATGAGTCGGACAGAGGTCAAAGGTCGAATGTTTCTCCGTGCTGTATCCCTCGGTTGGTGGGGGAGCTTGTCACCGGGCCGGTCATCAATTCACCGACAATCGCTGTGATTGGTTTCCCACTCGGACAAGCTTCGGAGACAGCCAGCGCTAGAACCATTTTTGCAGATCTTCCATGGGCCTGCGGGATAGATGGCTCTCTCCTCAATTCAACCAAATTTTGGTCGACCTTGGCTGCGAGGATGGAGCCGTAGAGGCACATATCAATACTTTGCGTCCTGAGATAAGGGCTATCTTTGTAACTTCCTTCAGCTAACGAAGCTGTATGTTGCACGCATCCTAGACCGGGTCCAGCTCGTTATTTGCAAAGCATGTCTCCTTGCTCGTATTTGTGGGATGCTTGTTTGCAGCTCGTTCATTTGAGACCGGCCCTATGCATCCTCCCCGCGTGCTAGACCCTGGCATCCCACTCTCTTTCATGACTAAAGCAGAGCGACAACAAGCTGCATGAAGGCACAATCAGATTTCAAACTAATGGACCGGCCCAGGCAATTGAGAGAACAATGCGTTTCTTGGATATCGTTGCAAGTTCGAAAAGTAGCGTGCCTTGATACAGCTACACGTGTGACAAGACTCCCAAATGCATATGCCATCAGCAGTCAAGGTGAACCCCTGCCACGCTGTTTGTGGGAAGAGGGGTGCGCATTTAGATGGGCCAAAATAGAAACCCTGTGGCACCGCCATGGCGTTCGAGGTTCTCAAGTACCGATCATGTTATATTGCTTTGTCAATCGGACTGGTGGAAGGAATATGTGAGAAGGTCTCACTATCCATGAATCTAGTGCTCGTTTTTGGCAGTTGCAATTGATTGCACATGTGCTCAATTCAAGTACAACCGTCGCCTACCCATTTTATGCACGTAGTGTACAAGATTATCCAGATCTTGCTGTAAGACCCTGTGCTCCCGTTACCCTGCACTACTAGTGTAACAGCAGCTGCTATGCACAAGACCGTTGAAGCAGGCGTTGCGGCCGTTGCGACAGAACATTTACGGCCCATGGCTACCAGCAACGGCTTTTCAGGTCAGGTCTTATCTCAGATTTCGTAAACTACACGATATGAGATAGACGGTGCCACTTATCAACGCAGAGGTGCATGACAGTAAGCTCTGAGATATTGGTCGTCTGTTCGTGTGACTCTCAGCCTCATAAATCACTGTTGGCAAGGTCGACGCATACGTGCGTTGGCGAAGGATTGTTAGCATGATCTGCATGTTCGAGGTTGCCAGCAGCCCCGGGGGCCAGCCTCGACCTTGGCCAGAGCAAACAAACGCGAAATGTGTCAGAATCAAGAATTCCGCCTCGACGCGGAGGGCTGATGTGTTTTGGTGAATGCAGAAACTTTGACACGAAGTCACACCACCTTCGCCCTGACTACGAAGCTGTGAAAGCTTTTTCAGTCAGCTGCCCACAATAGACACAGTGTTCACATAATCGTGAATAGCGCTCTATTGGACCAGAGTTTCTATCAGACGGCACTGAACAAGTCTCCACATAGTGTGCACACCATCGTCGAAGCTGAGTGAGAGCTGCAGTGACACGCATACCATATATAAGCTTTGTAGTAAGAGTGATTGACGGGAGCCACGAACCGAGCACCCCTGAGTATCGAAACATCGAATGGGGGCACGGAATACGGCGCATGGCTGAGACATCTGAGACGTGAGCCGTATCCAAGTGGCTGGTTTGAACGTTCCTGCCGAGCATTGTACAACGGAGAAGGTGTTTGAAATTGCTAGAGAGCAGTCACTCTCATACAGTTCGAGGTCGCAGAGCCAGACACACCGTTGGGACATGTCGGGAGCCCTAACTCGCGTCTTCTCTGAGATCTCGCTCGAACATGGAGAACCAAGTCGTTGGACCAGGCGCAACTCAAACGCCGAGCCCAGTGAGAAAAGCGATTCTGGTAGCAGCTCCCACGTAGACGAAACCCAAATTACCCCAGTACATTGAATTCCAATCCCAGAATTGCCAATAAATGTCGTACCCCACATCCTTGACGCTGTAGATGTGACCAAAATCGGCGAGCAAAAGGCCGAAGAGGAAGACTCTCCAGACGCGAAGGTTGGTGGTTGAGCGTAAGACAAGGGCTTCGTTTAGTGCGAATACAGCATACATATTTGCAAGTTGATTCAGAACGATGCTTTCGCGGGCGGATGGGCCGAGGGAAACGGCCGAAGCCGAGGCGTAAGTCATGTCGAGGTAGTCATTCTGCCGATACCATGCGTAGTAAGCACCTATGATGGTGGCCAGGGGCTCAATGTAAAGAAAGAACAGGCGGTACCACAAGGCAATGCTGGACATGGAAGCAGCGTTGGCGGAAGGCATTGTTTATGGTTGCGATGGGCTGGGGATGATGCGGCAGGGAATAATGATGTATGTTGCATGCAAGAGGCAGCGGAAGAGAAAAAAAGCAGGATGCAGGGTTTCGGATGGCAGTAAGCCAAGAGACGAAATGACGAGTGGATCGGATGCGCAGTTGGGAAGCCTCGGAACCGGACAGGGAGGCACGGCGGGCACAGGCGCACAAGCGGACGATGAACGGGGACGATAGACGATGGATCAAACAGCAAGAAACAACAGCGGCGACGACGAGAAGCTGGAGAGCGTATCGACGAAGACAAACAGCACAAGCTCACGCGGCGTCGAGCGTGACGATGGATCGCGGTGGTGAGTGGTCACTGGTCAGGCGGGCGTGGGGGTCGGATTTGGGTGGCCTGGTCTGTTTTGCGACAAAGTGCGAGACAGGCAAAGTAAGATTTGTCGAGGATATTCCATTGGAAATGATGACGGAAGACGGACTCCAATAACGCGATCGGGATGTCTCAGAAGTAGATAGAGTGTCTCGCTATGCAAAACAAGGCAAAGCGCCGGGCAACCAAGACGGCCTGATGATGACTAGCACGGTAGTAGGGCAATCCGTCGGGCCAGAAGACTCGCGCAAAAACAGGGAGGGCAGCTGCTGGGCCTGCTCTGGTCCTGGTCGCTGCGTGAGCGTGTGAGCGTGGGAGATCGCAGGAGTCGACCGCGGCATTTGACTTTGCTACTGTTTGACACCAAGACGCTTTTCTCCCAACGGCAAGAAACGCACGCTGTTTCCTGAGTGCGCTGCTTCCCTTCCTCCTTTGCAATTCCATTCCATCGCACGCCAATCGCCGCCATTTCGCTGTCGCTTGCTGGTGCCATCATATACCATAAAAATACACCGGCGCCGCGACCCCCGCCTAGACATACATACGATTCATAACCGTTTCGCTCCCCTTCCTTGAACTCTCCTTTCCGTCTCGCCCTCTTCTTCCTTCCACTCTCCGCAATCTTCACTCCACCACCACATCCGCTATCCAACCTGCTCCACTCCTTTTTACATCCATTGCTCGCCATTTCCATCTCACCTCTCCCATCGCTTTGAAACCGGCCGCATTGCGATACAGTACTCCACTGTCTCACCCGTAACACGGATCCACTTTCTCTCACCTCAACTCGATTGAGTCCTTACAAAACTCTGTTTATCCCGCCAAGGGGCCGTCTGCAAGCCACCATGTCCGACTATGACCTAACTCACGTCCACGACCTTCACCACAAGTACTACTCCTCCTCCCAGCCTTCGAGTGGTGCCGAGTCCTCTTCGTCCTCGACCTTCTCCTCATCATCCACCCGACCGCACTCCACTCAGCTATCATCAACCACGACTCTCACTTCATCCATCCAAGGCCATCACTTATCTCGTCCATCAACACAACCCATCCCCATCCCTCAGCAATATCAGACATACGACCAGAGTCTCGAGGCCGACCAAAGACGAGAGGCCGACATGTTCCGTGAAGTCGAGTGGAGATCACCAAAGCTGGACCAAACAGAGAGAGATATGTCTTTGAAGCGCGCCTCATCCGCCGAGCCCAGTCAAGGCACCAACACAAAGACTAAGCAACAAAAGGAGAACGGCATCTTCAGAAAGACATCGCAGAAGTACAGAGGCCTCCGTGCACACCTGCATGGAAGGACTCGACGCAACTCTGGCGACCTCATGGAGGGCGTCGAAGGTTCCATCTCTGCAAGCATTCCCGAACACGCCGCATCCTCCGGCCCATACCACAAAGGCATCCAGCGCTGCTTCAACCCTACCAATCGTTTAATCCAATCATTGAAGGCTCCCAGACACGACACACCGCAACCCGCGAATGGTCCCTCCCCAACGCTCCAATCCTCCTCGACCATGCCCGCTCTTCACTACAACCCCGACCAACACTTTATGCAACGCTATGTGTCCGACTCAAGTGCTGGTGAGGCTGCTCGTCGTGCTGCCTCTGCCACCAACGCTGCCAGCTACGCCCAAAACTCTCGTTCATTCGTTCCTCACTACCAAGCCACAAGAGATTCTCACCGTAACCGTATTGGCAGCATTCCAGGGGCCAGTGATAGTGGAGCCGATCTCGCATCAAACGCTGATCTGGACGTCGAGATGTCTGACATTGCAGAGATCATGGCTCCTGTCAATAAGTGCTCAGACCCGGTCGAAGCTCTTCCCACAGAGATCGTCGCTTTGATCCTCTCACACCTCGATTCTGACAGTCTCAAGTCCGCACAACGAGTTGCAAAGAGTTGGTCTCGTATCGCCAAGGACCCTCTCATCTGGCGCGCTCAATACCTTCAACAATACGAAAAGCAGACTTATGTATCCCCAGCTCCTATCCAAATCGGCGGTATCGGCACCGGTATCCCCAACCAGCCTATGCAACATTGGGAATTGATGCATGATGCCAGAAAACGTATCGACAAGAACTGGACCCGCGGTGACCAAGGCGGCAAGGGTATTTACTTGGCTGGCCACACCGACTCCGTCTACTGCGTTCAATTCGACGAGCAAAAGATCATCACCGGATCTCGCGACCGCACCATCCGTGTCTGGGACATCAACACTTACAAGTGTCTCAAGGTCATTGGTGGTCCCAGCGTCCGTCCTTCTCCCGGTCCTAAGGTCCTGCGTACTGTGGAATACCCCAAGTTTCACCATGCCGAATCAAGTGTTAATGGCACTGCTCACGGCAACAGCATCTACCATGTTCCTTCCGACTTCCACAGCGCCAGTATCCTCTGCTTGCAGTACGACCACGAAATCCTCGTCACTGGCTCAAGCGACAACGACCTTCTGGTCTGGGATGTCAACACATACGAGCCAATCCGTCGCCTGAAGCAGCACACTGGCGGTGTTCTCGATGTCGCCTTTGACGAGAAGCACATCGTTTCATGCTCCAAGGACTGCACCATTATCGTCTGGGACCGCAAGACTCTCGAGCCCATTCGCACTCTCACTGGTCACCGCGGCCCCGTCAACGCTGTTCAGCTCCGTGGCAACCTTCTTGTGTCTGCTTCAGGTGATGGTGTCGCCCGCCTCTGGGACTTGAACAAGATGCAGTGTGTTCGCGAGTTCCCCCAAAAGGAGCGCGGTCTTGCTGCTGTTGAATTCAGCGACGATGCAAAGTTCGTTCTTGCTGGCGGCAACGACCACGTCACATACAAGTTCGATGTCGCTTCTGGTCAAGAAGTCAAGCAGTTCACCGGTCACACTCAGTTGGTGCGTTCGCTGTTCCTTGACACCCAGAATCGTCGCGTTGTCAGCGGCTCTTACGATTTGGATTTGCGCGTATACGATTACGATACCGGTGCCCTGCTCGGTCGCTTCAACGAGTGGACCACTTCTTGGATGTTGGCAGCCAAGTGCGATTACCGCCGCATTGTCTCCACTAGCCAAGACGGTCGTATTCTGATGATCGACTTTGGCCGCGACGCTTCTGGCCAAGTTATGCCTGGTGTTGAGCTCCTCAAGGGTGTCTCACCACTCTCGCTATGAGTCCAAGGGAATATGATATCAGACACAGCAAATACATCGGATTGGAGCTAGGGCTATGGGGGATTTTGTCATTTCTGGGAACAAGCGTGATACCCCGAAAAGAAAACTATTCAACGGGGTATATCTGGGAGCGGGATTCTGTTTCATTTTCCTTTCTGTTCTCACTTTTTTCACTAGACCACTTTCCTTTTTTTCTTGTCATCGTTTCTTTGGAGATTCAGCTTGAATTGGGAAAGGCGAAGCAAGGCATATCGGGCGTTTTGTCGTTTTTCTCTCTCTTTGGATACCACCACATACCTCTTTTTCTCTTCTCCTCTGGTGGATACAAGAAAGAAACAAAGGGGCGTTTTTCTGTTTGGATATCTGGGGTTCTTTCGCTTTTTCTCTCTCTCTCTCAAATTTCAGAATATGCCAGAAACAACAATGATGGCATTCTTTTTCCAACAAATCGCGGTACTCGTTCGCTCGAACATGGAAAAGTCTGATGGCATTCTTCTCTTGGCCATACGTTTAGTCTATTCTGTAATGTTTGCTTGATGGACGAAATGCATGGCAATGTCACTTTCCCATCATCATGAATGTAGCCCCATTTTGAGTAATTCGAGAGAAGTCCTGTACTCTCATAGCTTGCTGACATTGTTTCGAGAATGGCATTTATGGTATATAATGACGTCATGATCGAGATGCTGTGGGGGATACCCTGACTTTTCACTTTTACTTCTCTCCTATGCATTAGGGAGATAATCTATACTATTCTATAACCATCGTTACCAGCTAAAGATGTAAGTTAGGCTAATAAGTCAGTGTCTATACTAGAGTACGTATTCGGTCGTGAGCAAGAGTAGCATTAATGCTGCTTGACCGTCTGGACCTTTTGCCTCGATACATGGATCACTGTGGGTATTTAAAAGCGATTCGACGAACGATCGAAATACTGTGGGAGTGTTTTTAAAAAGTAGAGATGGTATGTAAGCATACATTGAGAGCTCAAATTCAACTAACATGGCTTTGATTGAAGTCACATTCGTCCATTTTGAGGCTTTCCATGATCTCAAAATCTATGAACATGGCGTCAGGGTTACCATCCTCGGCGAAAAAGACATGACCATATGAGATCCAGATCCGAAGCGAGCGAAAACGTAAGACACTGTCAACAGGTACACGTGTGTAAAGAATTCATCCGTATCGTGATGTAGGATCATACAAGTATCGTAGGTAGAAGAAAGGGGTATCCATCTAGAAAGAAAAGAGCTCTGTGCCTCCCACTGACACACGCCACCGGATTTCTTGCACACTCGTGCAAATAACCGCACTCTCTATTTAGCACTCAGCAACAACTCCTTGAATTTTGGTCCCAAAAGCTTGATCGTCATCTCCGACGACGGCGCCTCAGGAGTCTTGTCTCCCACAATCTTATCCGCCTGCTTAACCTCAACACCAGACTCCTTGACTTCACCATCAACATCCCTCCTGGCTTCTTGCTTAACACTCGCACTGGCTCCCGTACGGACAGGTCCTTTGGCCGTCTCAGGTGTCACCAGAGTCGAATCGAGCAGTTCCTGCCATCTAGCCAGATAAGCTCCGGGACCGTATGGTGTGGAAGCCTTGTTGCTGATTACATCGCTGATTCTAGCAGCGGAAGAGGCGTATAGTGCGTCTAGGTATTTTCTTGAGGAGTCGACTTCTTTGCGGACCTTTTCTTGATCCTCGGGTTTGAGTCCGTCAAAGGCCGTGGATAGAGAGTCGAAGATTGAGGGTGAGTGTTGTTGCTTGAAGTTCGCGGTGACCTTGTGGACGTAATCCTTGAACCACTGAGTGACTTCCTTGCCATTCTTTGCGACTTGATGGATGAAGCGATGTGAGGCACCCATGTGGCTGTGCAACAAATGTACAAAGTCTTCGACACTGGGAGGTTTGCCTTCCTTCTTTGGCTTGGCCACTTTAATCATATCGTCCATGAAAGCCTGGAAGTCGGCAACAGTAGCGCTGAGGTCAACGGCTTGATGAACTTGTCTGATCATGGGTTCATAAGCAGATACACCATCACGTACAGCTTGTGTCAGATGATCAGGACTGTGATGACAGAGCACATCGATGATCTTGTTCCTGTCACGAACAGCTAGACTGAGTGAGAGAAACTCCAGAGCCAGTTTATGTTGTTTCTCGTTGAGGTCTGGACTCGCTGAGGACAATGATAGAATGGTCGATACAATCGACATGGACTGCTCCTGGCTTCGTCTGCGGCATTCTTCTTGCTCTTGTCGACTCTGGTCCATCCACTCTCGAAGTGCTTCGCGTTGTTCCTTTGAAGGTGCGTCTTTGTCCTTTTCGATCTTTTCAAGTCGCTTCTTAAGCTCTTTCTTGTCCCAACCGAGGACGGTAGATATGATTCTGTATCATGTCAGAAGAGGATTCCTAACTTGCCATGTAGCGAGACTTACTGTTGCATCAAGTTCATGCCTTCGTCTGCTCCACTACTGATACCCATCCAGTTGGTCAAGCTGCCGACACTGACCTTGGCAAGCATCAATCTGACCATGCCATTAATCATAGTAGCGACGTTACCAACGCGTAGCGTCTGTCTCATCAAGACATATGGAGCACTGCAGACCGAGGATTAGGCACGATCGAACAAGAGGAGACAAGTCACTTACAGCTTGTGTACGTTCTCGACCATGCGGAGTAATGAAGGACCCTCAGGGCTAACCACGAGGGTGTAATGCATGAAAGACGCAAGACTGTGATATGTTAATAAGCAAAAGACTCTCATGTTAAGAAGTCATGAGCGAGACGTACTTTACAACAACAAACTCATGAGCGGCTTGGACCAGACTGTCGTGCTTGCGTAGGTCGTCCGTCTCTGCAGCCTTGGCGAATAACTTGTCGAAAAGGTCACCGTAGACAAGCTGCTGCATGAAGACATACCATGCACGTAGCACATCGTCAGGCTTGGTGGGGTCGAAGTGTTGGTCCTTGAAGGCGGACTCGTCTTTTTGAATGCCACCGTAGCATCCTCTAGCCGGGTACTCCATCAACGCCGAGATGGCAGTGGCCAAGGTCTTGCGGATACCCAGTACACCCTTATCATAACTCTCACTCAGATTTGCAGCGGCCAACTCTTCAACCATGTTCTCGACGCGGACCTTCCAGAAGTCTGGCGAGACGTCGCGTAATCCTGGTAACGGTAGGATGAATTTAGACAGTAATGACTGGAGGATCGGTGTGGATGTGGTCTTGGTATCTTGGAATGGAGGACCATATTGTTGCATTGCGGTGGGCGACTTGAACTGCGAGATCTCGTCGTAGGTAGCATGGTGGGTCAACAGGTCGAACAGAGCACTGCTCTGCTCCGGACTTAGGTGTGTGGTCGACATGTGTGGATGTTATAGATAGTTGGATGTAGTATAATTTTGGAATGCTAGTCTGGGGTTGATCGATGTTGGAGTTGGTATATGTTTGTGGTTGACAGAAAGTATTGAGTTGCTCGTAGAGCCTCATGAAATGCGGCATCCATGACGTAGGGCAGTCGCGCTGCTGATACGCGTGAATGACCCTGCCCAGTGCTCTTTCCTTCTTTCATTCTCCATTCTCCGTCACCACGACAAAGGTCGAGATTGTGATTAATGGTCATATTGTCCCATCTTGTAGTCACTGGTCCCACAAGTTATACAAGCAGGTTCCAGATTCTTCACATGTCCAGCCAGCTGCAGAACTCGATCCCACCTCCGAAACCAACTTTATGATGCCTGAAGTGGGCACCATGGGAGAATAAGTACAACAGCAGTAGTACCTTGGGATAGTCACCTTTTAAGCAACGTACACAGCGGACAGAATCTCAAAATGACGTTGGGAAGTTTGTTGGTTTATCTAGCTTTATGTATCTGGTATACCCAGACTGGTGATTCTTTTGTATTATTTTGTAATTCTCCCTTCTTCGCAGATTGTATCCAAAGCAGATAGATATGGAGGAATATGTACCGAGAAGGGTTGAGCAAAAAGTCGGGCGCCAGCGCCGACAGGAGCCATTATGCTGAGTCTATGTGATTTGGAAAACGCCAGGTCAATAAAGCCGTGATGAGGGTATTTGGAAAAACGATCGCGGTATGCTGAGAGTAGGTTGCTGCTTATTTGGCAGGAGGAGTCGAGGGACGGGATGGGTTGGGAGTGTCGGAGATGGCGGAACCCTCGAGCTTTTGGGTAACACCAATGATCTCGCGGAGCTGCTTCTGACGCTCACGCTCGATACCGTGCATGACAGCGTCCAAGACGTTGGGAACAGTGGCCTTGGGCTCGAAGCGAGGAGTGGTACCGTGTTGGTAAACACCAGTCTCGACCAGGATCGAGTACCAGTTCTGTTCAGCAACCTTGTTGAACTCGTTGGTGCCACGAATGTCGGATTCGGGAGTGTCACCGACGAAGTATACGGTGTCTGGGGGAGCGTTGATACCGTGAGTCGACTTGCGCCAGTGTTGCAGAAGACGAGTGGCGAACTGGAAAGTGCCGATTTGAGGCTTGCCGAAAGCGACAGTCTCCAACTCTTTGCCAGTCACGGCCTTGTACATAGCTTCGAGAGAAACGCGAAGGGCTCCCATACCAAGACGAGTGTGTTCGTGAGAAGCCGACCAGATGACATCGTTGTGCGAGAAGAAGACTGGGGGACCTTCCTCAAGAGTCTCGGAACGAGTGCCGAGAACACCACCCTTGGACATGAGAAGATCGAGAATGATCTGCTGGTCACCAGCCCAGTCACGGCTGTCAGCGAAGACGAAAATGGCCTCAATCTTGACGTTGGTGAAGTCGCGGGTACGAGAGGTCTTCAGATCCTCCTCAGTCATGGTACGGAAAGGAGTCGTGTCAGGGTTGTGCTTGATGATGTCTCCAGGGGTGACGACGTCCTTGAAGCCGTAGCCTTCGGCGACCTGACGGCACTTGTCACCCTCACCACCGATGACGAGGACGGTGTTGTACTTGTCTGCCATCTCCTTCATGGGTGTGTGACCGCAAATGAACTGACCAGGTGAGACTTCAATGTCAAGCTGCTTGCTGAGCTGAATACATCTCTCCTGCTCAGTCTTACCACCTCCGTTGGTCAGGAAGATGTAAGGACTAGTCAAAGTCAGAAGGGAACACATTTCACCGGAGGATGAGAAACTTGCATCTTGATTCCGTATTGGTTCTGGCCGTTGAGCACCTTCATGGCCTCGATAGCCTCAGGAATAGGACGTCCTCCACGGATCAGGACACCATCAATGTCGAAAGCGTAGGCATATCTGTCGGTGACTGTTGATTCCTTGGGTGTGTCAGACTCCTCGAGAGGAGTGGTGGCTTCAATCTCTTGTCTAGCCAATTCCATGGAAGCAGCAATATCGTTGGCTTCCTGATCCACAAGATGAGGAGGCACGACGATGGCAGGGCCACGAGAAAGGAGATCTGCAGTGGCATCCTCGCTGGACAACCTGCGCAGAGTGCGCGGTCTTGGAGGGTTGGATTTTGTGGTAGTGCTCATGGTGACTGATTCGTGTTGTGGTTGGTATAAAGGACAACACAGAGGAAGACGGAGAGAGAGAAACAAGTGTAAACCACGTGCGGGGAAAAGAATGGAGAGTGTCAACAACTTTGGAGAGCGAGCGTCATTGGAGCCTATATAAACCGAGAAAGCACCTTGGGTGATAAGTTTTGGTGCCTCCTAGCCTCTGGTTGAACTTGGCCCGACTCCGCGCGATCAAAACGTAAAAGCCTCTGACGAGTTAGCGCGGCCTGCCATTTGGTCAACGCTCACCAAAAAGCTATGCGGCTCAACTGAAGCATTCATCTCCATCCTTTCAACGTTGACATGTTGATCTATACCGGTGCTCTGATCATATGTATAGCCTCTGTGCAGATACCATCCGCCTGTCCGCGAGCGTCGGCACCCTCTGTACGGCGCATGAATCATGTCTGGGTTGCGCCCTGTCAAGCGCGAACCCGATCTCTGTGACGACATTCGACAGGTTGGTGGCGCCCTTCCACGTTGCGGCGAGCGTTCCTCCCCCGACCGCCCGTGTTTTTTTTACTGTCTCAACCGATTGCAGTTGTCCATATGCCATACAAATTTGCATCAAACGGGTGGAAGAACATTTAGAAAGATCGGGAATAACAGTCTCTCATCTCAAATCAAACCTAGTCTTCTCTTCGTATTGAGCTTCGAGTGCCGTAAGAGCTTCAAGGGCAAGTACTGTGAGATCATCGTTGAGATGTCAAGCACGTGCAAATGGGCTGGGTGATTGATCGAAGTAGAAGCCGGCTCCATACAAGATCGCTTAGTTGTGAGAGATTCTTAATTGTGAGAGATTATTAATTGAGAAACCCTCGGCTCAGGTGGGTATATTGAACGAGCTTGCCGCTCTGCCCTCGCCTGGGGCGATTTACTAGGTAGCCAACATAATTCCGGGTAGGCAGACAGGAACACAAATGTTTTATGCTGCTCAATGCAGAAGGGGCCATGCTACACATAACTGCCTTCGATAGTGATGTGGAATTTGGCATTCTACGACGCTGATAATATGCTTCATCTTTTGACAAGCTCTCAGCCCAATCAACAAAATGAACTGGACCGGAGGCAACCTGCAGCGACATTCGAAAAGTAAGGGCAATGCGGTCGTTGCACGCCAGAGATCACACTTTGCCAAAGCCCGTAGCAAGGCTCCAAGCACAAAGACTCGTTCTGTCGAAGGTTGGAACGATACATCTCCGATTCGAGACCCATGTCCTCCACCGCTGAAGAAGATCCGGACACGAACCTCACCTCGGATACAAGAACGGTCCATGACTGGCCAGAGGACTGGACGGCGCCTTGTAGGAGACTTCGTCTTACCATCGAGGGAGAGTGATGTCCGCGTAAGAGTAGGCAACCGAGCGTTCGCAAGCCAGCCCGATACAACTGTGGCTAGTCCGTCGACGAGGTTCCGATCACCAACAATATCTCATTCGGATCAGTCCACGAACTCGATGCTTCTCGACGACTTCGACCAGACAAATTCGCGTTTCAGAGCACTTGATGGTGACAGATCATACCAAATGACTCCAGGACCAGACAATAGCTTAACCCCACCTCGCGTGCTGAAGCACATGCAATTCTCATTGAGTGACTCGCTAGATACCATCTTGCGTGATCACAAGGCAAACCAACATCCCTCAGGCTCCGAAGCACATGCTTTGTCAATGGTTGGAAATGTTGCGAGTTCCGGCGATGCTTCGAACAACACATCAGCCGAGGATATGCAAAGTATTCCAGATACGGCTGAGCGACCGAAAGGCTCACCGGTCAAGCTGCGACCGGAGCAGTTGGACATTTCTGTCATTCATGCGCATGCTGATGCTACAAATTTCAGTCACGAGGACTCTGTAGATAACGATGTCACTTGGCGGAGGTTCATCGACGAGGAAGAATCTGATAATGGTCAGATTGGGAGTGATCTGTATACTGCACCACAATATATGATGCAAGCCTTACCAAACGCTCTACCTACATTGAAGCTGGTTCAGGAAGAGCCGCTCTGTCCGAGTAGCCATCGTGGCAGCACTCCGCACTCATCATGCCCGACAGCTCGTGCGTGTCTGCTCGAGACAGGAAGATCGAGGCGAATAGGCGGTGAGACGAGTGAGAGAGGGCCAAGGCTCAGTGACGAAGATCAGGTCTGGATGAGATTTGTGCTAGGACTTGACTGCTCAGATGGCTCATGAACGGGGATCATGATTGATCAGGAAGTGCAGGGAGGCTGAGTGTGATGATGCATGCTTTCAGGAGTTGGTCCAGAGGTGGAGAGTGCCACAGCAGACCGTTTCGAATCGAGCTGAAACTTGGATGCCTTCGAGACATACAGCGTGCGTTCTGCTTGCTACTGCAAGGTGAACGGTTAGAAGCACGCCACTTGTGGAGAGCGACGTGTGGGGGGTATGTGTTGTTCGATTCCACGGAAACAGGGATACCCCACCCTGACATGTCGTAAAAGCTCCATAGGGTCAGACATACATGACTCTCCCAAGGCTCACATCATGTATAGGAGACATCAAGGTGTTACAGTCTCATGACAAAAGGGCCAAGGTGCAAGGCAACTCTACGATTATCGTCTTGACTCTTGACAAGCGAACCATGTTGAGATACGTAGTTGTTCATGCACGTGTCGGCCGCCCAGCCCCTTGTCAACATAGGCACGGATGTGGCGTGGCATGCAAAGCACTGTAACGCTAATGCGACAAGACCTTTGGCACGAAGGTGGGCAGGTCAAACCGAATCAAGAAATGTTTGATTTTACTCTGATACACACCCCACAAAGAAGTTGCCTGACATGTGCACAGGGTAGCCGCGAGCCGCAGAAGTGTTTTGAATTGCAACTCTCCCCCATGCTCTCTGGCCGGTCAAACTTCCGAGGAGGCAGGGGTCTGAGATGGATGCTTTGGAAGTATCCCAATTTCCCGTCACTGAAGGATTCGAGATCGGTGGGCTTATTGGGTACGTGGATTCGTATCTAACGGCTGCAAATAATACCCCCCTTGCAATCAAGGTGGACAATGGTCATCCTTCATGATCATGAACAAGTTCGGCCAGCAAAGGAGCGACTGCATGGTGATGAAGCCAACAACCTTGGTGGGCTTTGGAATGATGACAAGCATGGAGGCATCCGGCTATCTAGCCGAAGTTGTAAGAATACGGTGTGAAGGCGGGGGAGTTCCCAATCAAAAAAGCCACGGCAGATTACGATGAACGCGACGGGCATGTTTCAGCATGAGGGCTCGGAGCGGATGCGGCCGGCGCAAAATGTAGGGATACAGTGCCGTGTCTCGTCTTACGTAGGCCCTGGCGAGAACTGAGAGAGTTGCAAGTCATGCTGGCGTGAGCAGACGGCGCTACCAAGAACTTGACATGGTTGCAAGCAGGCTTCAGCGGATGTGCATGACAGCAAGCAGAAAAGGCCACAACAACAGTGAGGATTGGTGGTTGGTAGGATCGGTTTGTTGGTATATTTTAGTGGACCTGTCAGACTAAAGTTAGCTAGCTACGGAAATACCACGAGCTTGGCAAGAGTCACGACGAAATGTCGCGGACAGTCTTGTCGCAGTTGGTCGCATGCCAAGGAGAGGATGGTCGTATCAGGAGATGAAGCGAATCGTTCTCGAAGGAAGCGGACTGGTTTGCAGATAGTTGAGCTTGCGTGCCAGGAGGATTGGCGGCAAGGGATGATGTGTGACGGTTGGTCGGGCCTTGTTAGGTGAGATTTGCGGCAGGAAGAAGCGAATTTCTTCGCGCGAACTGCCATACTAGAAGCAACGAACTTCCTTTTTGCTTTACTTAGCACCGCTCCTGGCCGCTGTCATTTCTCTCCCACTTTCTGCTCTACTGCTGCGCTCCTTGTAAAGAGTGCCGCTCCCGCTTTCCGACCACAGACGTTCCTTATACACGCACTGCCCGACAGAGAACTATTTTCGTTAATCCTCAGCCTTAAGCTCCTGCTATACAACATCAGGCGCGTCATCTTGCGACACCTCCCTGCAGCTGCGCACGACCGCTTGCATTGCCAATCCGCTCCCGCTCCCGCTCACGCACACGCTCCCTCACCGGATAGGCTGGTCCTTTGGAAGATGCATCACCGCCTGGCCACTCTCTCGACATGAGCCTGACCCGGTCTCTCCTCGCCGCCGCCCCTTCGCAACACTCTGCCAGCCACGACCCGTCAACCACCGACCACAATGGCCTCTATACCACTGCTCAACCCGTTCTGATCCCCTCGGCCGCAACAAGCTACATCAATTCTACTCTCGCCATGGCTTACACCCCGGCATCCGCTGCTTCCAAGGCCTCGACGGCCGCCAGCAGTCCTCAGGATGCCTTTTCCATGTCACACTACCAGCGCTCCGTTGATCGGGCTGCTCCCATATCTCTACCACCTTCCGCATTGTCTGAATATCCCTCTTCTTCGCCTGCTGTATCCTCATCCTACAGCTCCATGACCGAAGCCTTTGGCATGTCCAAGGGTACTGGCCTCATTCGACGCTTGTCTCGCGGTGCCCACAACAGACTCAGGAGACGTCCCTCCACCACACAGACAAATCGCATTCGCGATCAAAGCGCTGGTCCCGTCCTTGTACGGAGAAGGAGCGATAGCACTGGACAATCAGATCTAGCTGGCGACATGTCCGACCTTGATCTTGGTCGCACTTCCGAGGACGGCAATGAGGATCTTGTCACAGAGTATCCTCCTCCTCCTCCTCCTCCAGACACTTCAAACAACCTCGGCGGTCTCGCCAGTCGCAAAACCTCAGCAGCCACAATCGAAGGTGGTGTCGCTCCGACCATCTCTTCAGTCCTGGAGCAAGGTACTTGGCTTACAAAGGTCACCAAGAAGAAGCGCAAAGTTCTCAAGTTCCGTCTGGATCCATTGGCTGCCAAGGTCTGCTGGAACCCTTCCAATCCTTCAAAACAATTCTACATAGACGATGTCCGCGACATCAGAGTCGGTGCTGAGGCGAAATCATCACGCCAGGATATTCAAATCCCCCATGACCAAGAGCGATGCTGGATTACCATTGTCTACGACGCCTATGAGCGATCCAAGGGTAGTTCCATCAAAACCATGCACCTTATCGCACCTAACGACTACATTGTCAAGCTCTGGACTGACGCGCTGAATGTCGTATCACGCGAGCGCATTGAAATTATGAATGCGCTGTCAGCAAATCCCGACAAAAGTGAGCGCAGCATGAGGATGGCGTGGAAACAAGCCACGTCACGGAAGAATCCTGATGCTGAACCAAAAATCGATTTCGAAGATGCAAAGTGGATCTGCCGTAAGCTCGAAATCAATTGCTCCCTCAACAACGTTCGTGCGCACTTCAATCACGCGGATCATGATCTGGTGGGTGAGCTCAACTACTCGCAATACCAGTACTTTGTCAATCTGTTCAAGATTCGTAAGGATGTCCAGTCTCTTTACTATGGTATCAAGCGCTCGGACGAGCCAGAGCTTAGTCAAGAGGCATTCCTTGACTTTTTGCGCAAGGAGCAACGTATTGATGTCGAAAAGGATCGTGCATCATGGGAAAGCAAATTCGAGCTTTACTGCCGAAGTGCTTCTGGCAAAGCCACTGACCGTCAAGCACCGCCAACCATGAATCTGCAGGCTTTCCAGACGTTCCTGTCATCTGGCTCGAACGGCGCTACTGCTTCGATAAAGTCTGACCCAACTCTTGATCGTCCGCTGAACGAGTACTTTATCTCAAGCTCCCACAACACATACCTCATGGGTCGTCAAGTCGCCGGTCTCTCCAGTGTGGAAGGCTACATTTCAGCGCTTGTCAAGGGATGTAGATGCATCGAGATTGACTGCTGGGATGGCAAGAACGGTCTACCCATCGTCAATCATGGCCGAACTTTGACCACCGAAGTCATGTTCGAAGATTGTATCGCTGTCATCTCGCGTTATGCATTTGCATCTTCTGTCTACCCATTGATCATTTCGTTGGAAGTCCATTGCAATCCGGACCAACAGCTTCACATGGTCAATATCATGAAGTTGTACTTTGGAGATACCTTACTTACCACACCACTGGTCGAAAATGCATCCGTGCTCCCATCACCTGAAGAGCTCAAGAACAAAATCTTGATCAAGGTCAAAGCAGCTTCGCAGCAATATGGCACTCAAGAGTTTGCAGACAGTGCAAGTGCTCGCCGTCAGCGAAGCTTCAGCTCTCCATTTAGTCGAGCAGCAGACAATAGCATCCCTCCCTCGCCGCTCCAGAATGCTGTCAATGGCGATGGTCTTGCTAGCAGACCCTCGAACACATGGCCAGTGCTCCGTGGCTCCTCGTCTGCTCAAAGCACAGCACCTTCCACCTCGAGCTCTTCTGAAGACAGCGATAGCACGCCTGCGTCTGTTGAATCGAAGAAGAAGAATAGCAGCAATAGCAGCAAGAAGACCAGCAACATCGTACCTGCACTGGGTGCTCTTGGTGTCTATGCTTGCGGTATCAAGTACTCCGACTTTTCCGCTCAAGAAGCAAAAACATACAATCATATTTACTCCTTCGCCGAGAACACATTCGATCGAATCTCTAGGGACCCTGAAGTCAAGAGTCAGCTTGAAAAGCACAATTCCCGCTATCTCATGAGAGTCTATCCTGCCGCCATCCGTATCGACTCTTCAAACTTCAACCCGCTGCAGTCTTGGAAGCGTGGTGTCCAGATGGCTGCTCTGAACTGGCAGACGTACGACATCCATTTGCAGATGAATGAGGCCATGTTCGCTGCTGGCACAGATCGCACTGGATACGTCCTTAAACCAGAGGAGATGCGCTACAACAAGCAATCCCAAACCAGTGGTTCCCTACTTGATGGTCTCAGGTTTCTCAAGAGAGGAAAGCACCTAGTACAATTCAGCGTCGACATCGTCTCAGCTCAACGCCTCCCCCGACCTCGTAATCATAACCCCGAGCTAGGCATGAATCCATATGTAGAGTTCGAAGTATATGCCGCAGAAGACAACAAGTCTCGCGGATATGCCAAGGTCGATGGTGGTATTGATATCCAACCTTCTGGTATGGGGCCATCCGTGAAGAGAAGGACTAGACTCATTGAAGGCAATGGCTTCGACCCAAATTTCGGTGACTGCTTCCGTGTTTCTCTAGAGACCAAATACCCAAGCTTGGTATTTGTCAGATGCACAGTCTGGAATTCACCCGATGGACGCAATGCTTCGTCTAACAGCACGCTCCTTGCCACCTTCACAGCAAAACTCACCAGCCTTCAACAAGGCTATCGCCATCTCCCCCTCTTCAATTCCTACGGCGAACGTTACCGCGATGCCAAACTATTTGTTCGAATCAAGAAAGACTCGCCAATCGCCTTGTCATCGGCAGAGCTTGATTCAAAAGACGAACCTTTACCCACAGTCTCCGATCCGCGGGCGGAATCTTCAAGACAAGGGTCAAGATCATGGTCTAGGAAGATTTTCCAACGTGCGTCCAGCGAACGACGACGCCGACCACAATGGCCTGAATGGCAAGGACCTCTTAGCAGGACTTCCAGCACTGAACGATGAATGAATTCATGCCTGCATAAAACCGCCGCAAATAACCAAGCTTACTCTCGGATTACAACATCTCCTTTGTCTCCAACGATTGCATCAATTATCATTGAAGTTTTCCTTGAACACCAGGTAGTTTTCATTCGGCGTCTGGAGAATCTTGAAATACCTACTCTCACCAGCAGTCATTACTGCTTTGTTCCCCCTTCTGGATTGAAAAACATTTCTCCGCTGTCAAAAACAACAACACCCTGGCGGCGTTTTTATGAAATCGATCTGATACCCCCTGTATTATTACTATTCTACAACAAACACCCAGCATTTTTTTCTCCCCACAAGCGCTTTCATTGAGTGGGGACCAACCATTCGCTACTCCCATCTGTTCCTGAGTCTCTTTACTCATCTGTATGTTTTTTTTCTTCTTTTCTTTTCTTCCTGTATACATTAGAATTTTCTGTTTGTTCGGCTTTTCTTGCAAGTGTGTGTGTATATCGTCAAGGCAGGTTACTTGACGAAAAGACTCAAACTTGGCAGGTCTTGCATTACTCTTCTGATTGAAAATCACATCTTTCTCAAACCACTTTTTTCTTTTCTTCTTTCTGAGATCTCTTGGGATTCGTGACATGTTTTTGTTTGATCTTGATATTCGTCGTGTCAAACACTTTTTACGTTTCCAGCTCCTTTATTCTTCTGTCTCTGTCGAGTTTTTGAAACAATGGGGAGTCGTAAGATCCTGTGAGACTCAATATCTCTCTTTCTCTTCTGGAATGATGAGGTGTTGGAGAATCATTTCAGGCCAACATTTCCAGGTACTCATTTGAGAAATATTGAATTGGCGAAAGTTTTGATTGTAACAATGTGTTTTTTTTTGGGGGGGGGGAATATCACCTTTCACCTTCTGGTATCCCCCAAACGGTCTTTTATTCAAATTCTTGTTTCTTCCTTGATGACGGGAAAAGGGCGAATAAGTAGAAAAGGAACAAGAGAAACCAGAAGAGCCCCGAAAAAGTCTCGATAACTCCATGCCAAAAAGAGAATTGAATCCGTAGACTTCAAGAGAACCCAGCCAAAAAAAAAAGGAAAAAGGATAAAAAAAAGAAGCACAAGCAGCGCAGACTCCCAATGCACAAAACAGAGCTCCATGCTCTCAAAAAGACGCCCTCTTTCAACAAGAAGCAGCAAAAAAACACCTTCCTCCTCCTCCTCCTCCTCAATACCAAAAAATGCTCCACAGAAGGCCGTTCTCCATCAATCCATCTTTTTATCCTTCTCCCCTTCACAATCATCCAAGACCCCCCCAAGCCCCTCTAATCCTCCGGGCAAGTTGAATATCCTTTTGCATAATCGTAACTCTTTTGGCGTGAATGGCACATAGATTCGTATCTTCAAATAGATGGACCAAAAAGGCTTCTGCGGCTTCTTGCAAGGCCATGATTGCTTGACTTTGCCAACGGTAGATTCCCGAGCCGGCTGGGGCCATGGATATACAGACTTCTCTGACCTGGAAATGAGTTAGAGAATTGTTGATTAGCATGAGCACAAGAGAGAGGGGAGGTTTGGGATTGGGGGAAAGGATGAGAAGAGAGAGAGAGAGAGAGAGAGAGAGAGAGAGAGAGAGAGAGAGAGAGAGAAGAGGAGAAAATACATACCAATCGTGCAAAAGGTAATTTCAAAATCAAGAGATCAGTAGACCTTTGATATTTTCTGATTTCTCGTAATGCGACGGTGCCGGGTTTGTAGCGGCGGGATTGCTTGACGTGACCTGTTTCCCCCCCATATGTCGTATCAGTGACTCTGTCTTTTATCTTTGTTTCTCCCTCGGTCGTCGCACTTTGGAAAGTGTGAGGGTTGGTGGGAAGGTAAAATCGTACCGGCTCCTGAACTTCTTCGTGGGGCTTTTGTTTTGAGACCTTTGCCTGCTGTGCTCTTTCCCCCTGTGCTTGGACGTGCTGCCATTGCTGCTCGAGGAGCCATGTTTTTGGCGACTGTTGTGTGGTGTGTATGCGGATGGTGTACTCGAAGGTCGAAGGGAGGGAGTTATGGTTGTCGCGTAAAGTATCTGTTGGGCGCAATCTGTTGTTTGAGAGGATTGGAAATGTCCAGAGCGTGTAAAGTCGATCCTTTGTCGTGATGCTGATGGGTGTTGGTGTTGTTATGAAAGAAGAGCAGCACAGTCGCGTTGTGTCTCTCTGTCTGCTTGCGGAGGAGCCACCAGAGGGAAGCCGATGCATCTTATCTTATCGCCGTAAACTCCTGCGAGTCACCTCGGCTTCTGTCGCGTTTACGTATCATCAGGGTCCTTTTCCCTTTTGGAAGACTGGTTGCACTCTCTAGACATCGAATAATTTATTCACAACTTCTTTCCACAGAGCAGACTCCCATAACAATGGCTGCCATGTTGGGAGGTGCCGCTGGAGGCGATCTGGGTGCTCTACCGCTGGAACAGTGGTTCTTTGAGATGCCCGTCTGCACACGATGGTGGACAACTGCAACGGTAGTGACGGGCCTACTCGTGCAATGCCATATCCTGACGCCCTTTCAACTCTTCTATTCCTTTCGCGCCGTCTTTGTGAGGAGTCAGGTATGCCTTTCTTCCCTCTCCTCTCCTTCCTGCTTCCTATCTATTGCAACATATCTAGTTGCATTTTCCCCACTGACACACCCTCTACAAAAAACAGTATTGGCGCCTCTTCACCACCTTCATCTACTTTGGCCCACTCTCCCTAAACCTCCTCTTCCACATCTTCTTCATCCAACGCTACGCTCGCATGCTCGAAGAATCCGCAGTCTCTCAAGCACATTTTACCTGGATGCTTGCATACGCCGCCACAACTCTACTCTGTCTAGCCCCCGTGGTGTCTGTAGTGTTCCTGGGCTCCATTCTCAGTAGCACTTTAGTCTATATCTGGAGCCGCAGACATCCTGATGTGCAGTTGAGTTTTTTGGGATTGTTTATTTTCAGAGCGCCGTTTTTGCCTTGGGTCATGATTGCGTTGTCTGTGGTCATGCATGGGCAGTGGCCGAAGGATGAGTTGTGTGGGGTTGCTGTTGGGCATGGTGAGTTGTTTTTGCACTTCCCTTTCTTCTTTCCACTTTGTCTTTTTCTTGCTTTTGAAGAAAATTCATGCTGATGTTGCGGGAATAGTGTGGTATTTCTTCAACGACATTTATCCGGCCAATCATAATGGCTCGAGACCTTTGGATCCGCCAATGTGGTGGCAGAGGTTGATAAGGGGGAATGCTGTTGTGGATGCAGAGATGAGGCAACGACGTGCTGATACTGCTGCTGCTGCTGCTGCTGATGCTGCTGTTGCTGCCCCCGTGCAAATTCAATGATACCCCTTCGCCGGTGCGAGATCTGCTTTGCTTGCCTTTGACATTCCTTGCATTTCTGGCATACACAGTTGAGCATTAGACTGCTGGCTTTTCTCTCTTGCAATTCATTAGCGCATACTATCATTTCATCATCAGACACTGCATCGAAAGGCTGATTCTTTCTTTCTTCTTTCTCGGAAGCTTTGCAAGATGGCACAGCTGTGTGTGGAAGATCATAACATCGATCATGCCAAACTCAGACGCGGTGTATATTTCAACTTCACTCAACCTCTATGCATAATCCTAATCATCTTACCACCTAATCAAACCCTCCCCTTGCCCTTCTTTTCCCTTTCCCTTTCCCTTTCCCTATCCCTACCCCCCTCCCTCCCCTTCCTACCCCCCTTCTCCCCAACAATCTCCCTCGTCTTCTCCCTCGGATCAATAACCTCGAATTCCTCCATCTTCCTCTTCCACTCCAGATCTTTACCCAAAGTATCCTTTGCAAAACTCAATGCATGGGACATCCATGTTGCATCATTGTCGTCATCATCATCTTTTTCGTTTTCCGCTTCGTCATCATGCCAGGTACTGCAGCTTTGGCAATTCGCTATGAAATGGAGATCGCAGAGTTTTTCTTCCGTATCCAAAGCCGAAGACGCCTCTGTTTTTGCTGTTGTTGTTTCGGTTTCTGGTACTAAAGTTGCTGTAGTTGTAGTGATGATAGCAGCAGGATTTGTGCTAGAAATGTTTTTTTCAGCCGGAAGGTTTTCAAGACGGGCTTTGAATGCGTTGAAAGAGGATAAAGAAAAAGCGTCTTCTTTTGCTTTTCCACGTTTACGACCTCGGGTTGATGAAGCGGGGATCATGGATTCTAGGGCTGAGAGTTTCTTTTCTGGGGCAGAGGGTTGGGTGGTTGTTCGTTTCATGGAGGCTTTTAGGGAGGCGATTTCGGCGTTTGTACGTTCGAGGGCTGTGAGTTTGCGGGGTTCTGGTGAGGGGGTTGGTGTGGGTGATGGGGAGGGTTTGCGCGGAGGGATTGTTGAAGGTATGGGTGCTTGGCTCATTGTTGTTGTAGCTGCTGGAGGTGGGGGAGGTGATGGTGTAGGAGACTTTTTCCGGACGGCCTTTTCTCGTTTCGGCTGCCCTACAGCTTTCGTGGTAAAAAGCTCGTCTTGGGCTGATGGTTGATGTGGATCGGGAGCAGTGAAGTTTGGATTGACCTTTACTTTCTTAACGACTGGTGCAGCAGGTTCTTCTCCATCATCTCCTCCGAAACTCAGCAGAGTCTTTTGAGCCTTGCGTTTCTTCTTTGGAGGCTTTGACGTTTCTTGTGTGGTGACAGTCGCGAACGAAGCTTGTTTGACCATGTCATTGAAAGGGTTGAGCAGAATGTCGGTAGATAGGATGCTCGTAGGGTATAGCGGTCTGTCCGAGTCGTCGCTTGTAAGGTCGGCCTCTGCCATCTTCATCAGGTTGTAAATGGTGTCTCCCTCGATACGGCCAAACATGGTATTCTTGTCCTGCAGCTCCGGAGTCTTGTCCAGAGTAAAGAAGAATTGAGAGGTATTGTCATTCTTGTCTCCCGAGTTTGCCATACCCAGCAGACCACGGCGGTTGAACTTGAGTCGCGAGTGGAATTCATCCTGAAAGGGCGCACCGTCGTTGATGGCACTCACGCCACCAGAACCAGTACCAGTGGGGTCGCCACCTTGAATGATGAAGCCTGGGACCAGACGGTGGAAGATGGTGCCATTGTAGTAGCCGTTCAGACAGTGTTGGAGAAAGTTGCGAGCAGCGAGAGGCACTTGTTTGGCGAAGATTTCGACGACCAGATCGCCCGAGGTGGTGTTGAGCAAGACCTTGGCCGTCGGCTGCGGCTCCAGATTGTATAGCGTCGACATGACGAGCGTGTGTATATGCAGGTGAGTGTCTCAGGAAGATGTTGGAGCTGTTCGGACAAGAAGTTGACGAGCTTGGACCACTGACATCAATCGAGAGTGAACTGTGGGGTGAAACAGGCCAAAGACTCCATCGTCGTAAGAGTGCCAAGCTCATTTAGTCGCATACCGCTTTTACTTTGAGAGACAGCACCAAGTCTACAAGGAACACCATCACCATGTCGGAAACAATGTTTGCACAGGCCCTCATGTCGGGTCTGGAGAAGCGCCCCTCCAGACTCAGCAGCGATCACGTCTCGGACCCCAGGAAATACCCTGCTCAAGCTCCGGTAAGCAACATCTCTGACCACCTGACAACTCTCCAGCCACTGACACACTTCATCTAGTACACCCTCCCCAAGCCGGTCCATCCGTTCCCTCGCCGTCAGCGACCTTCAGCCGGCCAGCAGTCACAAAGCGTCAACGTCTCCCTGAAACCACTCAAGGGCTCTGACAACCTCGACCTCCCCAACCAATCAATCAACACCACCGTCCTCGACCTCAAAGCCCAATACGCCGACAAGTTCAGCCTTGACAAGACAAAGATCAAGGTCCTCCTAAACAAGAGACCATGCGCCGACCTCAAGACTCTCAAAGACATCCTCGCCGACCCTCTCCCCGCAAAGGCAGACTTCAGCATCATGCTCCTCGCAGGCGCCTCAACCCCTAGTCAAGCCTCCACTCCCGTTCCCGCCTCACCAGTCGTCAAGCCCGAGGAATCTCAGAAGCTTCCCCCAGACTCTGCTCCTCTGTCTGAACACGCACAAGCTGAAGCAGAAGCGCTTCCCCACGCCCACGATAATGCTGCTCAGATGCTCAAGTCGGACGAGTTTTGGGCCGACTTGAAGGATTTCTTGGTTCAGAGGCTGCGTGATGAGAGTCAGGGCGAGAGGCTCACTCGTTTGTTCCGTCAGGCTTCTGCTTAGTGTCCCAACATCTTCAGCTAGTCTTAGACATGCACAAATATCACCTTGTGCTCACTTGGCCATTGATACATAACAAGTTCAACCAGTTCAGCCATCAGGAGTCGTCGCTTTCAACTTCTCACAATCATGTTGGAAACACGAGTTACCGACGAATTCGATCAGAAATAGAAAACACACTTCAATATACCATCTATGGAGATGACTCAACAAAGCAATCTCCTTCGGGAACAATATCACGGCATCATGACACAATCACCACGACGCTCCCAAACCTCTTCCGTCTCAACCTCCAATCCCTTCCACGCCTCCTCGATATCAAAGTCCGCACGGATACCATGTACCCTTTGCACCGCCATGACATTATCAGTGCCAGCAATTCCAACCTCGAACTCTCTAGGACCATAGAATCTGTTATCGCCCACCACACATGCATTCCCTCTGCCCCACACCGTATCGGCTACAGTCTTCCACACAGCAGCCTGATCGACAACCATAGCCGGCGTGTAGAATATCCTGCATTCAGTAGGCTCATACACAAATTGCAAAGGCGTGTCATCTTCATCCATCCTGCGGATCCCATCGCGAACGTTTGCCGAAGCGGCCACGGCACGCACAAGTGGTAATTGTGTGTATTTGCCCAGAGATGTGTGATTTAATTCTTTGCCTAGGGTTTCGTTGGCCATGTGGAAGGCTCCTTGTACTTCTTGCCAAATTGCTCGCCAGGGGTAGATGTTTGTGCCTTTTACTCCTCCTACCCCTTGCATGGGGTGCAGGGATGGTCGGCCGCCGAGTGAGATTGTCTTTATACCTGCTTCTCGGCGCATGAATTCGGAGAAGATGGCGCAGGTGGAGGCGCAGTAGCCGTCGTAGATCAAGATGATGTTTTTGGTCTTGAAGGGCTGGATGGTGGAGACGTTGCTGCGTTTGCCGTGACCGGATACATGGATACCGCCTGACATGTGAGTAATCATCGGATCCTGGAGATCCCACCGCATAATCGAGGTAAAAGAATCATTCCCCGGTCCATGAGGATGAGGACCATATTTGTCTTTCCAAGAAGAAAAGGGGTCATCGTTTATATCCACATCACTACGATAATTCCAAGTGGACAGTGTGGCATCCAAAATGTCGGTCTTTTGCGGCTCACTGCGGTTATAAGGACGTGCGGCTTCAGAGTATACCTGACCCAATTGATCAATAGTTTCGTGTGCGCGAAATCTATTTCCTCCATATGGGTGTATGGTGGGGAAGAGCTGTTTGAAGAGATCGTAGCCTTGGAGGATTGTACCACCGCCGTTTGCACTGACGTCGATGACGAGTTTGGTCTTGTTGGCAGCCAGAGCGGCGGCGATGAAGTCGGTGTTTACGGATTGGAAAGCGAGCTCGGAGCCCATGCTGCCGACAAAGGATGCTACGGTTAAGACTGCCACGTCTTCGTACTCAGGGCCGTCGAGGAAGTAGCCTGCATTGAGATTGCCGCGTGTATGGTTGATCGGCGTTGGATAGCCAGCAGCAAACACTTTGTCCTCTGAAGCTTGCTTGATCGTAGCAATATCATCATCATCATACTCCAATCCTGACTCTGAAGGAGGAGCATCTTTCTCCTCCTTCTCCTTTTCCCGCATAATCTCGAACGCATCAAGATAAACTTTTGGATCCTGCGGTATAAAACTCCTGTAAATATCTTCTCCAGAAGTAATATTCTCATAAAACCTCGATGGCTTTGCAAAATTCTCACTCGTCACATTAGTGCCATTTGCAAAGGCCAGAGTTGTCCTAGGACCTGGATAAACAAAGCGACCACGACCATTGCCCGTAAAAGCTCCAGTTCCCATTCCATCAGCACCAAGCGAGACTTGAGCAGGGACATAGAATAGACTATTCCAGAGAGCATCTTTATCCTGCAAAGTCCCGAATTGCGACCACTCGAGCAAGAAATCCGTCGTGTTTCGTCCATCGATTTGCACGATTTCTGATGGTTTGAAAGGAGAGGAAGTGTTTACAGCTTGCGACTCCAATATATCAATGTATGCGTAAACGACGGGCAAACTCCTGCCATCCTCAGATACAGAGACGAGTGCAGTGGTGCGTCCAAAAGCAAAGAATCCAACACTGTCTGGGATGTAATTGAAATGGCCATCATGAGCCCGAGCAGTGAGTTGATAAAGATCCCAGCCAAATTCATACTCACTAGCATAAGATCCACGAGCAACATTCTCCTCCACAGCATCGAAATGGCTCCAAAAGTTATATGGTGCTTGAACTTTTTCCGCGTACTGTGTACAACAACGATGTTAGGATCCAAAGAGTGCTTCTAAGAGTGGGGGTTTTCAACATACATCTTTTGGGGGATCTTTTAGATAGGATGTCGTGGTCTGCCAGTCTAGATATGGTCGCATGGATTGCATTAAAGCGGCAGCGGCACTTTGATTGAACGGTATGGTGTGTAGACATTCATAGGCCAGCTCAGCGGGTACCCTTAACTTGCCATGGGGTGCTGCGGATGTCTTTGATCCATCCAGAGCGATCTGCACCTTCTTACACGGGGTATCGGCAGTTGGAAGGGGTGTTTGATTGGTCGATGTGCTTGACGTGGTCGAAATACTCGAGGCAACGGAATCAGCAGAGGTGGATGTAATGGTAGATCCAGGGATGTCGAGGGTCGAGTTGACGTTTGTGCTTGAGCTCGTCTCTACGCGAATACTCTCGATATTCGTCAGGAGATGCACAGTAGCACTCGGTTCCCCATCATGAAGTTGACTGTGGCAGTTTTAGACTAATTCGTGATCTCCGCTTCGTGATCCAATAGTAGTTCTTTGAGCAGCTAACGCAAAACTATGATGCAAAGTTGGCAGTCGAATACAGGCTTGAGAAGCCCAACCAACTGACGACTCTCTCTCTTCCAAAAATTTGGAAGAAAAGAAACGTCTGCCAGATCTTGACACGCGGGATTGTGACGGACTCGAAATGGAGAGTAATCATTGCACTTACACACTACTCAAACGAAAAGCCGCTCGCCCATGCGTCCCTAGAACTGCCGATAGCAGCAGTAACGACACAGTACTCCAAATCATCTTGATTTCCAGATATCGAAAAGAACGAAAGCAATCAAAAATTGATCCTAGAATACTCAGAAAGGAGAATGATTACATCTTTGAATAGGTTTCCTCACGGAAAAAAAAGGACTCTGTGAAATAATAAACTCATGTGCCATGTGTTTCTGATAGTTGGTGATAGACTTTGAGAAAGATTGCGAGAGGTTAGGGCGTTTTTGGGATGGATAAACTGTATATGTTGAGATACTCTGACTTCGCACACGTGTTGACGTGTCAAAAGAATTGGAGTTCTTCGGTTTTGTTGTGGGCTGATGGTCAATATTTTCGAATTGATCTTTGAGCTTTCCGTTCTCACTGTATTCCTTGCTCTGCCTTTTCCTTTGATGAAAGCAGTTCCTGCATGGTAGTTACACATCTTGTTCTGCTCGCCCGTTCCCTTGGCTCCCATTGCAGCTGTGTCATAGAAGTACAATGTTCTGACCTCTCCTCGACCTTTCCATCTTCAAGTATCCTTTCTTCAACGACTACCATCAGATACCGAAGCCATACTCATCTCCACTCTCGATGACCACGGCTTCAGCTTCTTCAGTCTTGATCTTGACTCCTTCATCCTCTGCAATCAAAACCACAGCTCCATCTTCCTCGCCCTGTCCCTTTCCATCAGTTTTGTTCTTCTTAGCAGAGATGAAACCAGAAGTAGAAGTGTAGTAAGTACTGTAATCAACAGCACCCTCCTCACCATCAATACCAGTCTCAAAGATTCCCAACTTTCTCTTCTTCTGCACACCTTCCTTCTTGACACCAGAAGCAGTGCCGAAAACTGGATGGGCGGGAAGGGCAGAGCCAAAGTCTTCCTTGTCATCTTCATGGTCGTCATGCATGAGTGTTGTGATTGTGTGGGTTGCTGATAGACCGGAACCTTTACCCTTGCCGGACTTTGAGGGTGTGGCTGAGTCGTTGGAGGATTTACCTTTGCGGGCAGAAGAAGCAGGGATCTTTGGGGTAGCAGAGGCAGAAGTAGCGGGGAAGAAAGTGCCATTCTTGAGTTTTGAGAGTCGGTGAGTTATGGCTTTGGCTGTGCAGTCTGTTTTCCAACCCCTTCTCAGCAGCAGTTCAAGCAAAGAGAAAAAGGTACAGATGAGGTGCCATGAAAGAAGAAAAAAGCGGCAGGAGAAGTGAGGAACGTGAATAACAAAAAGAGAGGAAAAGTTCAGGGCAGAGGAAGGAAAGGGAAAAAGTACATACCATCGCCCATAATCTGAGCAATCTTGGAGACTTGAGCACCGCTGATCTTGACATCGTAGACGGCCATGACGGCTGTGAACAGCTATTTGCATCACAAAAACACGTCAATGAAAAAGATCATACATGGAGTCAAACAACAATGTACCTTTGCGTCTGTGGCGGCATTCCAGTTCATAGGCATGATTGGAGAATGGTACAGCACTTGCTGTGGATGTTTGGCTATGGTGAGAGGAGGTTTGGGATGGAGGAAGGAGGAAGGAAGGAGAAAAGACTGATGGTTTGTGATGGGAGGTAGAAGAGTGAGAGTGAGATGTGTGCGCGGCGGTGGAAGGGAGGTCCCGTGGTGGTCGCTGTGGAGAGAGTGTGTAAGTGAAGAAAGTGACGTGTTTTATTTCCCAGATCTGTCAAGATCAAGAAGGAAGCAGATGTTGGCGAGTGACACCTTGGAAGAAATGATGATATCGAATATCTCTTAGAGGATACAGATGGGAGAGAGAGGGGTGCTCAGAAGAGGTAGAGGAAAGGAGAACGGATATAGGATGTCGAGGGTGGAGCGAAACATCACGTCTCGCGGTCTTGTTTACCTTCACTTCAATCTCGCTTTATGGTCACCGGATCTCACTGACCCACCGTAACAGCAGAGCACGTCTTCCTCCAAACAATCCGAGTCGGACCCTCCTCCGTCGCTCCCAGTCACTATATTCCACGCAAATTCAACGATTACTATAGTTCTCTGTATGGTGTAACTGCTCAACCACTCATGATATGAAAGCTTCTAAAGCTCCGCAACGTATAACTTGATTAGAAGTATCCACCCAGACTAAACGAGATTTAGAGACACATATTGTTGAGTACGCAAGAGCGGGTATCTAGCACATGTTAGTTTCTGCTGTCCTGTCCTGAGGAATGATGTTCCTGCAGCTCATTGGAGAAAGATCCAGAACATACAAGTGTGACCTGACAGAGTTGTGCAGAACATTTGCATTCTTGTTTGTACTCCTTGACCTGCAGGATAAGTCCGAAGTTTCGTTGCGATCGAAAAGAATAATTGGCATAACTGGATTTCAATGGTATCATCTATTTTGACAGAAGCGAAGAAAAGGAAATGGGAAGTTCGCTTCGAAACATCCTCGTCTTCATGCAAATGGTATGCAAGTTTTCGAGACCGGGCAGAAATGAGAAATTTCTGGTCACCTCTGTTCATCTCCTATGCGGAGGTGGTGGAAATCCTCCTCCATATCCGTTCGCTGAAGATCTTCCCATCATACCACTTGGGTTTCGGTATTCATATCTCATCCTCTCCTCATCTTCCTGAATACGTCTGATATGCATCTCCTGTTCGTATTGGTCCCTGTGTCTAGCATCGCGGTAACTTTGTTCGGCCTCGATGCGAGCTTGTTCCCGCAATGAGAGTGCAGGAGGCGGTGCTCCTGGCAAAGGCTGCTGCGGGTACGGTTGTGGTGTACGGTGTTGAGCATAACGTTGCTGTTCCTGCTGCTGTTGTTGCTGTTGTTGTTGCTGCTGCTGGTGGAAGTGTGCTTCGCGCTCTTTGTACTGTCGGTCCACTTCCATTCGATGCTCACGTTCGCGACTCATGTGGAAGTCTCTCTCTTGCTGCTGCTGTTGCTGCTGCTGTTGTCTTAGCATGCTCATCTCTTCACCACGACTTGGTTGTCTCTGATGAAGGCCTCCATGTGACGAACCACCGGAGCTGTTATGACGGTGGCCATACTGGTTCTGCTGATGAGTTTGCATTTGCTGCTGCATGTGCGACGGACCACCGTGCCCCTGCGAGTATGGGTTGCCCTGCATGAGTTGCGGCTGAGCTTGGGCCATGTGTGACATGCCAGCTGGACCCTGAGATTGCAACTGACTTGGTGTCATGGGACGGCCGCCAATCGAGGGCGTCCGCGAGTGGTTCATGTAAGGATGAGCGCCTGGCGGCGGCGATGGATTTGTTCTTGACTGCGGGTTCAAATTGCCCAAGTTGGCGCGATGCGAGAAATATGGGCGGACATCACGCTCGAGAGGCGCGGGTGGGTGAGGTGAGCTAGAAGCCAGATTCTGACCCATCGGTGGTCGTGACTGCCACTCAGGTTGTCTTGAGCCAAGTGGCGTGCCTGATCTGCCAGTCATGAGCTCGTGCTGGGCTGCGGACGTGGGCGCATGAGATGTGGGCTGGTTGTACATCGAACGCCCTTCATACTCTTGTCTAGACACGGGTGTCTGATTGAACACCTCTCTTCTGGGAGGGAAAATTGTTGAGCTCGGTCCAGATGGCGCCACGCTCAGTGTTGAAGGTGTGGGCGATTGTGCGAGTGGTGTAGCTCCCTGTTCATTGACTCTCTTCTTCTGGCGAGGCTCTTCTGGCTCAGAATTAAGGAGAGAGGCCAAGTTTGACGTCTTACGTGGCTCAGTAGGAGGCCCTGCAGTCAGAGACATGGCTGGCTTGACGACCGATGCAGCAGGCGACGGTGCTGGTACGGAGCCAGGCCTGTAAAGCGGCTGCTCTTGCTTTGGAGGCGACGGTACTTGAGCTGATCTGAATGGTGGATGCATCGTGATGGCAGGAGATTGAATCGGTCCAGGAGAGCCCAAAATGTTTCTGAACATAGCAGGACCGGCGCGAGGGTGTGCGAGAGGAGGCATACCTGGGGTGCCAGAACGCTCTTCTCTTTCCATAGGTCTGTCCAGCATGGATAATTGTGGACTTCCAGTAGGTGCAGATGTCTGAGCAGCGAGTGGCTGGTACATTGAATGCTGAACGACTTGTGGTACATGCTCCTGAGAAGCACGCTTTTGAATTGATAGCGCGCGTTCTTGTTCCTCCTTAAGGTTCTTGACAAATTCTGAGGTCAGGTGTGACAAGTTCTGATGCATAAGTCCAGGTGGCGTTGGCTGTTGTTGGTGCATGAGTGAGGGCGACGGCTGTTGCGCTGGACGTTCTGAAGATTGCAACGTAGGACGCCTCTCCATACGAGCCTCTGAGAAGAAGCCCATCTTCGGACCTGAAGACGACGTGCTAGCGCGCGACTGTGATGGCAAACCGGCTTTGCTCATGCCAGGAGAACCATGTGGTTGGAGCGGAGTTGGAGCAGCTCTTTGAGGGGGCGCGGGAGTGGGCTGCGTAGCCATGGAGAACCTGTACTGATGCTGGAATTGCGACGAAGGCTGTGGAATTGTTGACGGCTGCGAGGAAGGCACAGGGTCGATATCCATAACTTCACCCTGCGATCCAGAAGCTGTCCTCGGAAGAGCTGGTCCGGGATTATCATAGCGCCTTTTGTTGATTGGAGTAGGTGTCGGCGGAATGCCCATATCCTCTCCTCGGTCACGACGAGCATTGGCAACATTGGCGGCGTCAACAACATCGTTACGATTTCCACTCTCAACTAGTCTTTGGTAATAATTCTTGACCTAGAAGCTGTTAGTGAATGCAAGTGCTTTTTAGGGGACGAGTTAAGATACCATTGTCTGGGTTTTCGTGCCCATGTGGTTGGCGATAGCACCGAAGTCTGTACCGAAATGGGCGATGAACTTGACAAAATCTGTCTGTTCTGGCACAGACCAGTAGCTCGACGCACTAGATCGTTGCATAGAAGATGTCTGCGCAGGAGCACGAGTCCGCTCCGTACTATCTGGCGCGACTTGAGGTTGGAAGGGTTCATGCGTATACTCGATGGGCTGAACACCAGGCATGATCCTATGCCCACCTATTCCAGCGAGGAGAGCGGCATCTTCCAGTTGTTTTGCTCGTACGAGGTCTTCCTTGCTAGGGATGACTTCCTTCTCGATCCCAGCAGGCGAGGTGACAGAGTTGGAAGTCGAGACTAGTGTTTGTCTACCTCTCTTTTGTGGCTTCTCTCCAGCCGCAGTTGTCTTGCGTCTCTTTGCTGGCTTCTCGGAAGCGATCTCACCAGGTGCGAGCACTTTCTTAGCGGCAGTAGCCGAAGCAGCAGCTGTCTTGATCTCAGGATCCTTCTCAGCGGTGTAAGCAGTACGAGTGGCTGCACGTCTCGGTCGACCGGTCTCGGTAAGCATCGGTCCAGAAGAGCTGTCTTCTTCCCCTTTGCTGAGATCAGCCATGAGCGGAGCCGCTCTTGCTCGAGTACCCGTCTTGCCACCACGACGCCCACCAGCTTTAGCTTTGCGCTTGGCCTTCTCCTTGAAACGACCGTCCCACTTGTATTTGTAGTAGTGGTGGATACAATCAGCGTATGAACGACCAGGTAGCTGAGCAGCGATTTCGCCCCATTGTTTGGGCCTTTCCTTAAAAAGCTCCACAAAGCGTTTGTGCTCAGTCTCTGTGAACGTGTCAAATTCAGGCTCGTACCCATAGATCTCCGTAAGACAACTGGGCTCTCTGAAGCGGTTCATGTTCTTGAAGATGCGTTTCTCCTTTGATGCCTCGTCCCACATCTCTGGGGGAATAGCTTCCTTTTCGAGATCGATCTGAGCACGCCTAGATTCGCGCTCAACCTTCTCTTGTTCGAGCCTAGCAGTCTCTTCTGACTGTTTCAGCACTTGCTGGATATCGTACTCGCTACTGAACTTGTGTAGCCTGGAACGAGATTCGGAGATGGGATTCTCGAGAACAGGACTTGACTCTATGTCGAGGCCAAGCTCGACAGACATCTGTCTCTCCACGGACTCCTTGCTTGCTCGTTCGCGATCGAGAAGCTGAGTCTCTAGCTTCCAAGCACGGTATTTCTCAAGGTACTGCTCTTGTATGCCTTTTTGCAGAGACTTTTCCTCTTCTGCCTGTGACTGATAGTGAGCGATCAAGGCCGGCTTTGCAGCATTCAGACGTGCAACATTCTCATGGAAAGCACCCAAATCGGAAAGGGGAGTGAGGGGTGATTTCGCCAGGTAAGGTAATGTGATCGACTCAATACTTCGCTTGGGCTCAGGCGTGATGTAGTCCAAGTCATCACTGCCATCCATATCGACATCCTCGTCCTGATCGATCTCGGCAGATTCGACGACTCGCTCGGGCTCTGGCTGCTTGTATGCAGTTTGAACTGGTGGGATAGTGGCTGTCTCTGCTTCGTCGATTTGCTCTTGCTTTGGTGTTATAAGATCGGGCTCGACATCTTGGTGCGTCGCAGAAGGAATTTGTTGCCCTGGGATCAAATGTGCTGGTGGGATGACTGGAGCGGAGATCTGCGAGTTTTCCACACCGTCCACGATATTTTCTTTAGCTTCTGAAGCACTAGGAACTTGAGCAACAGGAAGATCCTGTGCCGTGATTTTGGCAAGTCTGGCGATAAGCTCTAGAGGCGTGGTTGCCCTGTACTCTCGTGCGTTTAGATCAATCATCTGCGCTTTTAGATGAGCCTTTTGTCGCTCAAATTTAGCCTTGCTTTGAGCAAAATCTTCCTCGTCAAGATCCATACCCTCCTCGTCGCTGATGTCCTCTTCGGACGATCCAGCAGTTACGATCTCGGCATCGACCATCGGGTCGTATTGAGGTTCGTCATCAGGACTGGGCACACTAAATTCTTTTTCGAAAGGAGGGTGTTCGTCGCGCGTAGCCATGTTCGAACCAAGTGTTGTGCGTTCAGGAGATGCAGGGGCAGTTCTGAAAGCACGATCGTCTTTCACATCTTCAGCTCTCATGGATGATGGATCTGATGTCTGGCGATGCACACTCTGAGGAGACATGCGTGGCATGAATTGCTGGGGTTTCTCATCTCCATTCGAATCTCTCTTAGCAGGCACGGCAGGGTCTCTATACTGAGGAGCCCCAGGCCTTATCCACTGGTTCCAAGCAGGCGCTCTCGGTGCTCCAGGCGGTGCACGGGACGAAGCTGGGACATTCCTATCAAGTGGCCTGTGAGGAGGTTGTCCACGGTCCACTGAAGCTCTGGGAGCCATTGGGGGTCCGCGGATGGCCTTGGGAGCAGTCGGTACGTTTGGTTTCTGCATTACAGGCGATGTGCTGAAAGTATGTGTGTTGCGAGGGCCGCTTGGAGCTGTTGGGGGCGGTGTACCAAGTCTTGGTGGCGCCAAAACTGGTCGTGCTGCCCTTCCATCGTGTGTGTTTACAGTGGCAGGTTGGATCTGAGGCGCAAACATTTGACTTGCCGGACTTTCCAGAGGCTTCACAGGCGTCATTTGAGCGATGGGAGGCCCTGAAGTTCGGGGCGAGGTTGGAGTATTGATCATATCCGGCTGGAATGATCCTGAGAGGCTACGTCCCTCACGGACTGCGGCGGGAGCGAATTGACCTCCCACCCTGTCATCCGCTCGCAGAGCCCATGGTGCAGTTGGGATTGGAGGTTGTGGTGCGGATGAGTTTCTGGCTTTCGGCGCAGATGCTGCTCTGTCCAGAGTCTCTCTCGGTGCAGTCGGTGGTCCATTCTCAAGAGCTCTATGCGCTCTGGGTGCCGCGGGTGGTGGAGCTGCAAGCTGTGCTTTGGGAGCAGTTGGTATGGTTTTGACAGCTGGAGGAGATGGGACCGGCGGTTTGGCGGGTGTGGCTGGAGCACGATTCTCTGGTGAAGCTTTCCACACATTCGAAGTCGGGCCACTATATGGCTGAGACTTGAATGATAACGAACCGAAAGCAGGCACTTGTGGCGCAGACGGCGGCGGTGAAGAAGCACGAGATCCATAACGGGCAGCTGAAGATTCGACACGACCAGCTAGAAGATCATTTGGTGGCAGAGGCATGGGTGGCGGTACATTTTGGGTCGGTACGTCGCGTCGAAGAGGCTCTTTGGTATTAGACAAAGACGTTGTCGAGGGTCTTCGCATCGCCAGGTCATCTCTCGACGACTCAAAAGGCTGTGCGCGTTCGTTCGGAGGCTGAGCGAGCGGGACTTGCTGATGAGGCGTTGGGGGACGAGAGTCGAATCGACTTGACGCAGGTTCTCTTCTGAAACGATCAGGCTCACGTTCACGGTCGTCACGATCAAGCCAGCGGTCATCCTCACGCCTCTCAGGACGCCAGTCGTCCCGGTCTGTACGCGACACACTTCCCCATCTCGTGGGTGGTGATCTATCTCTTGGTCTGAAAGTGTTGCGATCATCTGTCGGTCCGCGGCGGTCACGGAAGCCAAAGTCGCCTCTACCCCTTCCTCGTCCTCTAGCGTTGAAACCGCCTCTGCCAAATGGAGGCTGGCCGAACGGAGGCGTCTCTGAATAGCCGGGTCCAGCATTGATTGGTCCATCTCGGGAGTCACGGCGGCCTCTGCCCAAGTCAAGATCGCGAGGTGGGGCAGGTCCATCTCTGAAGCCTCTCACCGGCGAACGAGCTCTTGGAGAAGTCGGTCTGGGCCTGCGATCGAATTCGCGTTCTCTGAACGAGCGATCAGTTCCGAGGGGAGGCGCGTCTCTCAGTTCTCTAAACTCAGTTCTTGGTGGTGCGCCTCGACCGCGAGGGCCAAGCGGTGCTGATGAGCCCGTTCCTGGTCCTGGTGGTGGACCTCTTGGGGCGTCATTGAATAATTTCGGACCTCTTGGAGGATCCAGTCCTCGTCCGAAATCGTTATGTCTGTTGTTGTTATTGTTGAATCCCGGATTTGGTGGTCCATTTGGCCTCCATTCCTGGTATCTCGGCGGCGATCGCGACCGAGTTCGAGGTGGATACCGAGATTCGTGCACCGGAGGAAAGCGTGACGACATATTACTGATGTACTGCACAAAACATTATCATGAAAGAGAATAGATCGTGGGGCACGTGCTGCGACGTCGCGTGGGTGCGCCGTTGAATGCTGGAAATGAATTGTTGATGTACCAGAAGATCCAGGGTAGTGATGCGCGTAATTGAACGCGTTCACACAAGCTGTTAAAGGAGTGAGTGGATTATGGTATGCGCGATGAAACCTGCAGTCAAGTCGTGGCAAGATTTGGCAAGTCAGATCTAAATGCCAAGACTCCGCGAACTGTAGGGCTTACTGATCCGCGCTTGTGGGCTTTCGAAGACAAGGCACTCGAATCTCCCGTGCCTGTGTAACGACTTCACACTCAGCTTTGAACCACGCAATGAGACAAAGCTTCAGCAGCTCAAATGACCACGCCACAGATCTGCTGTTGACAAGAAAGTCGCAGGATTTTCTGAAGGCTGTGGTCGAAAATGAGTTGACGAGAAGGGTCCAGAAAATGGCCGGATCTCGAACGATCACTATGGAAGAAGCTGGCGGTACGGTCACTTGGGTGTCAAAAGCAAGCGAAAACGATGCCGAGTCCAAAAATCGAGGTCCTGTTGAGTACTGCCGTCGTCCGAGTGAGTTGGAGGTGTATGACTGGAGGATGTCGAAAGACAGGAGAAGGAAACAGAACGTGTAGAGTAGGCGTGCGGAGCGACGAAAGCCTAAACTCTATGTCATGCTAATTGGCCGGTGCGCTTGGTTTCACGCACATCTCGTGGTCCACAGTACACTAACCTAGCCCGTGGGCGCTGGTAACGAACCGCACGCTCGGGCGGAACGTCAGGAACTAGAGAGGGAAAACCAGTCATGAGGATAATCATGTTCTTGAGAACATAGGAGTAAATTGCACCACAAGTTTATCGTCTTCGAGGAAATCGGATCCTGAGATGCGCCAGACAATTTGTGAGATGGATTCGAAAATAACGGTCGCATAGTTCGTTATGTCATTCTGGGTACCTTGACGGGTGTGAAGCTCCAAAGAGTCTCGGCTGCAACACATCTGCAAGCCCCCCCCGCCAGGATTGCGGATCGAGATGTATCTATTGATGATCTTCAATCTTGTACATGCGTGTGTTTACCTCTCATTGATTTTAGACTGATCTGGGTTATCATTGCATCAAATCTCGTGCCTCTCTTGGATTAATTCGTATAGCAAGATTGGATTACATTCGAATCTTGATGCGAATCGTTCCCGTTCAAAACCGTCATGTGAAAACTCAACTGGACGTGCTGCATGTATAACCGTGCCGAGCCGTAAATTTAGAGTGGCTGTCGTGCGTTAGTAAGCCTCCATCCAGGGTTCTCGGCTTTCGAGAAAATCTTCTAGACCAAAAATCACGACCGAACAAGAACATAATCACCACTACATCGCACAACTTCCAGACCTGCGCTCCACTCCCGGACGTATTCGCTCGTACGACTACACTTTCGCAACCATGACCGCGCCCACCGGAGCCCAAGATGCCGTTCTCAAACCTTCCGACCCTGTGCCTGAAGGAGCCGTTCCTGTAGTAGGACTCGACTTTGACAAGTTCGCCGACCGCAATATCACAGTGGCCGAAATGGTGGAAAGCATGACCAATATGGGCTTCCAGGCAACATCAGTGGGGCAAGCGACACAGATCATCAATGGAATGGTAATTCGATCAAGACACCCCGAAAGCTCGCGACTGGACTGACAGTAGCCAACAGCGTGAGTGGCGCGATGAAGAGACGGGACAAGGCACGACTATATTCCTTGGATACACATCAAATCTCATCTCATCGGGTCTTCGAGAGACGTTGCGATGGTTGGTTCAGCACAAGCACGTTTCGGCCATTGTAACGACTGCTGGAGGTGTTGAAGAAGACTTCATCAAGTGTCTGGCACCAACATATCTGGGTGCTTTCTCTACCCCTGGCGCGTCACTCAGGGCCAAAGGCATGAACAGAATTGGCAACCTTGTTGTACCGAACAGCAACTACTGTGCATTCGAGGATTGGGTAGTGCCGATCTTTGATAAGATGTTGGAAGAACAAGAAGCGTCAAAAGACACAGAGGAGCCCATCAACTGGACTCCTAGCAAGATGATCAATAGACTCGGCAAGGAGATCAACGACGAGCGCTCGGTATACTACTGGGCATGGAAGAACGATATCCCCGTCTTCTGTCCTGCTCTAACAGATGGTAGTCTGGGTGACATGCTGTACTTCCACACATTCAAGGCTTCCCCACTACAACTACGTGTCGACATTGTGGAAGATATCCGCAAGATCAACACAATCGCAGTAAGAGCCAAGCGCGCAGGAATGATCATCTTGGGTGGAGGAATAGTCAAACACCACATCGCCAATGCGTGCCTCATGCGCAATGGAGCAGAGAGTGCAGTCATCATCAACACAGCCAACGAGTTTGACGGAAGTGACGCTGGTGCACGACCAGACGAAGCCGTCAGCTGGGGCAAGATCAAGGTCGACGGCGACAGCGTCAAGGTAAATTGCGGCGTCTGACTACAGAAGATGATTGGAGGATGCTTGCTGACCCGAGACACCATGCAGGTCTACGCCGAGGCGACAGTCGTGTTCCCTATGATCGTTGCATCCACATTCGCCAAGGTGGCTTGAGCGGTTCCATGGATACTGAAGCAAAAAAGGAAAGAGGCACAAACTTGAACTACCAGAGGCAAGTCACGACGCGAGCTACATACAGCAAGGAGCATCAGACAGGTGCATCCACACGCTGCAAGTATGCGCCGGGTCTGAAACACATCCAAGCGGATAGACGCAGCGCAGGAAAGGTGCAGGGGTTTGTCTGTCTTGTCTAGGGTTCAGCCATCGACAGGCGATACAGGCTGATGAAGGATTAGGCGCGAGCCGAGCCGCAGAGCTCTAGCGCCCGCGCGGCAATAACAGGGCAATCTGCACGTGCCAACTTGAAGCCGAGGTCGCAGACACCTTGATGAGTATTGGACATCTCGACTATGATAAGAAAAGCCGCTGCCTGTCGCGGCCCGCTATCTGCTTTGGTTGATTTTGGTCACACTGGAGGTAGGCAGACTGGTGTATCAACTTATAAAGTCCTAGGTATAGCAGCGACTTATCTCAAGCCATTTCTGCAACGTCGTGGTTCAAGCTTCGAAGGTTGGATTTGTCTTGACAGGCGGTGGACCTGAATTGCTCGACTTGTTGGAATCAAACAGAGATGTATCGGGACCAGATGCCCAACAAGAGTAAAGAGCGAGGTTGGACATGGTCATTGTCAGGGATGCATGGCGGTACCTGTTTGGCTTGGAGATGGCGTGTGGCTGCAGAAGCGGGGATGTCCTGATTGCGCATGCGTATGCATGTGAAAGCATCGGTTGGTTGGATGAGGGCGCTTCTTGGCTGCGAGACGAACAGTCATCAGAGACACCGCACGCTGATGCTTTACATGGTATCTGGCCGTCTGCTTTGTTGTCGACTGTCGTCAGTTGGGCGACTCATGCAGCATGGCCACGCTCACTCACCCACCTCAGCCTTTACATGCGCAAACAACGACTCCGGTCCACCAAAGTCTCGTCTACGACGCAAGCGCTCCTGAAACCCGCTCAACCTCAACAAACCCGCCTTCACCTTTACACGACCCAAGCAATTACTCTCACCCTTACTCTCACGCTACGCCTCTGTTTGCCATGGATGATGAGTACCCTCCTGGCGAGGAGCAACTCTTCTTTGCTGCGCAGCCTCCAGTACTGCCTCCCATGAACATCACTCCTCTAGATGCCGACATGGAGGGAGCCGACGACACTGCTGGCAGATCGCCCACCTGGCCGCCTTCTGTGACATCTCATCTCCGCGTGAGTATCTCCTCCCGTACAGAACACTGTGCATCGCGGCAGCTCCAGCATCGACGCTTGACTTCTTCAAACTCACGAAGCGACCAGCTAATTATCGTCAGAATTCGCCTGCGCATGCTCCTACCACCACAATAAACATCGTTGACGTGCCTTCGCCCATCCCTGAACCACTCTCATCTCCAGTACCGCCCGCCGCCTTGTACTCAGACACACCTCCAGCCCCGCCGGCTCTCGCGCCCGTCCCGCGTCCGTCTGCCGAGGACAGTGAAGAGGAGGATGAAGACGACGACGACCGTAGCCATATCAGCGATGAGCGCGCAAGAAGCTTCTATCCTTTCAAGGAGGACAAGACGATCCCAGACGCCGAAGAGGTCAGGATCATGCAGGCTTATGTTGAAAACAGCGCCTTGAACGACAAGCACTGGCATTCTCGCACCTTCTTCGATCTACAAGATCCCGACTTCACACCGCAAGAGCAGGGAAAGATCGAGTGGACCATCAAAAGCTTCAACGGCACAAAAGACGCCCCCAGAAAAAACCTCCTGCTTACTTCGCCCACCGTCTCTATCGGTGGCTATGATTGGAGGATCAAGTTGCTGCCACACGGTAACATGCACACTGATCGTCTCAGTCTGTACGTTGAGAATATGACCGTACAGTCATCCGCCCAAGACGAGTGGCCGGCAGAAACCCTCGCCCTTCCTGTGTCTAGCGATGCTAAGGTCGCAAAGCGTAGGTCGGTTGCTGCACAAGTGTCAATCATTGTCTACAACCCGGAAGAACCTCGCGTGAATGAGTTCAGGGCAGATGCCTCTCAATTCTCAAAAGACTCTCCTGATCACGGCTGGACTCGCTTCACGAGTGTGCCGTGGTATGAAATTCACCGTCGCTCTTATGCTCAGAGACAACCACTGCTTCGCAATGATACCCTCGCCATCAAGGCTTTCATCCGTGTGATTCATGACCCCACTGGTTGTCTGTGGGCTGCGAAAGACTCACAACGGGAGCTAGCATTGACTGGCCTGAGCCCTTTTTACGCAGGCTACCCAGACTCTGCACTTTCTCCCGTGCTAGCATTATTGCTTCATCTCCGCCCCTTCCGCTCCGTGCTGTATCAGCTCGGCGATATCTTCAACGCCAAGGAGGAAGATAACATCCTGACTGTCCTTCAAGCGATGCTTTGGCGTATGCGCTCCCGAGCCGTATCTCCGCATGCAAACAGCTCTGTGCCTCTGATCAGCGAATTTCTCGAGGAATGGTACGAGGACAAAGGCCCTCAAGATGCTATGCAGACTGTAGAAGCTGTCATCAACGACATGAAGTCTCGCCTTGAGAAGCTAGGAGACACGCGCACGCTGGACAAATTGTCGCAGGTACTTAAGCACGATCACTTCACTGGAGATAGGCTCAACAGGCGTCCTATCGTCGGCAAGACTTCCGTACAAGAAGTCGTCGATGACGGCCTGCCCAACGACTTGCTTCATTGCGAGGTTCTCACACTTGAGCTGGAGCGTCAAGTGTTTGACACCGAGAAACGCTGTTACAAGAAGTTGCTCGACAAGGTGCGCCTCGACGACCAGGTCATTGTATCAGGTGTCACGTACACGCTATACGGCTTCGTCGCTCATGAGGGTCATTTGCGTAACGGCAAGTATTCGAGCCATTTCCGCCCTGGTGGTCTCGGAGGCCTGTGGTATACCTATAAACACAACACAACTCCGGCATGCCAGACGAAAACCCAGGCCATTGCAGCCAAAGAAGGCATCTATCCTCCCGAGGCAGTTGAAGAACCAGTCATCACGTCAGATCGCCCAATCAGCTACGATCGCTTGCTTGGCCAAGTTGAGGCTGTAGCTTACGTGGTCATCTATTTGCGCGATACTGTCGCACTTGATCTCGCTACTCCTGAGCCATGGGAGGCACCGTCCTGGATTCATAAAATGTATGCTCCTTCAACAGACACGGCGGAATCTGCAAACAACACACTGCATTACGACGACACTACCTCGGGTGGTGATGACGACGAGGAGATGAACGACGCCTCCATTATCGAAGAAGCTCCTCAGGACACCCTGAAACAAGTCACTATCAATTACCTATCCCAACCCTTTTACCAAGGAACCATCAACTCCGCCTCGGAATACCACGGCACAGGCCATCTTATCCACCTCTCCGGCGACGAATACACCGGCACCTTCTCCCACTCCACCCGCACCGGCCACGGCAAAATGACCTACGCAAACCTCGACACCTACGAAGGCGCTTGGGAAAACGACCTCCCCCACGGTCACGGCACACACACTTCCCACCGCACCGGCAACATCTACACGGGCAACTGGCTCGAAGGCAAGAAACACGGTGAAGGCACAACGTATTGGAAATGCTCCGAGGAAGAAAACAAGCTTTGTCGTATTTGCTTTGGGGAGGAGGCGTGCGCGGCATTCTATGACTGTGGACATGTGGTTTGTTGTGTGGGGTGTGCGAGACGGGTGGAGGATTGTCCGGTCTGCAGGAGAAAGGTTAGAGATGTGTTGAAGCTTTATTATATGGCTTGAGATGAGAGGACGGGGGAGTTTTGGGGGGCTGAAAGGTTGGTATTGGAGTTGGGATTGGGGGGAGGGGGTTATTAGATAGGGTAGTTGCTCTGCTTTTGCCTTTTTGCATGGCGAGGGCGTTTTCTCTTTTATAGTTGGTAATGGAACATGGAAGTATCTCTTACTCTGGTATCGTTGTAGTTGTCTTGATGCAAAGTTTCCTTTCCACTATCAGTGCATGGCATGGGAAGAACCCGACACTTGAAGCATTCTTTGATCATCCACCACCTTGCAAATGCACTTCTTTACCTCTGCGTGCGGGAAAGGATGACATGAGGGTGGGAATCGCTCTCTTTTGGAAATCTCACATCAACATACCCTCTTGGAAGAACGGCTGTTGGGTGGGAAAGTGTCTGTCGTTCTCAAATTCCTTGGACTCAAGACTAACATGACGACGGTTAACTTGATCTAAAAAAAATCGAACATGCCTTTTATTCCATCCAGCTCTGTCATTATAACGTGGAGAAACGTGACAAGATGATGATGTTGTTGATGACAGTCGTGCGTACGACCCTGTCTCGGATCCGCAAATGTCTCAATACTGACAAGCATCACCAGTATCACTCTTATGATCACGTCTTGGTAAAGGATCAACGCTTCTACGGCCGTGAGTCGGGAGCAATGCTCACCGCTGATATGGCGAGCACAAATCGTTGAAAAAATCAGGACCGAGAGTGTTATCCAGGCGGACGGACGGTGTCTTCTTGTGCACTGATCGCTATAATAACGTCTGCGGTATCGAAATGTTCATGTATCCATCCACATACGATTTGGAAATAACACTCATATCCGAGGTTACGATGACGAAGTCTTGAAAAGGTCAAGTAGTACAGAAACTGTGGGTAAACAGCTCTTCCACCCAAGCAGGTTTTCTAGAACTGTAATTGACTGTGATTCAGAGCTGTAGAAGTGCAGGACCATTTATAATTCTTGTTGATGCTGTTGGAGATGCTATGGAGGATCGTTTTTTCGGATGGTGATTTTCTTGACAGCTAGCATGACGAAGTTGTTTGTACATTTTGACAGCTAGAGGTCAGTGATGATGCTCCATGGCTGACATTATGAGAAATTGGCTGAGGGGGTCAGGGTCGAGACAACGTCTAGGTTGAGAACTATCGACCACTAGGTTTTGTTCTGCTTGCATGGGCTATTCGCCACGGGGGTACTGTAGAACTGGAGGAGGCGTTCGACTTGAGATGATGATGTCCGGGAGATGCAGTGGGAGACAGTGGTTTTGAACTATATTTTCCATGATAACTTCCATGATATTGAAAGCATTGATGTATCTTGATAACCACAAGTCAGTCAGCGATGCTCTTGGCTGAGATGATATGAGAGGATGGCAGGTCGTGTCAGGGTCGGAGGAATGTTCGGGAACAAGATCCATCCCTCCTGTTCACTGTGCTTGATCATTGTGTGTCGGCTCTCATTCGGTCAGACTCTATGATAATATGCATTGGTTGATGTGCCGCTGTGAAAAAGCGAGTGACCTCCCAGGGCGATATTCCTGTGGCTGGGATAGCGAGAGCAGATTGTCGCGGGTCAGGGTAAGGAAAAGTACAGGCACAGGTATACTGATTCCTTGACTTTCTTCGATAAGATGTATCGACTTTTCTTGAGGGCCGTAAACATACACGATGATGTTCATGGAGTGGTGCTAATGGCAGGTGCCTTCGGTCAGGTTAAGGCAGAGAGTATGCCCAAACAGAAAATCACTGTCTCGCTTTGTACTGTGGATTGACTGCGTTTGAGAAGGTGCGTAACGTGTTTCAATCTGGGAACATGCTGTCTGCAATTTGATGTGATGTGTAGATATATAAGATGGGCTTCCGGTAAACAACGAGAGTATGGCATCGAAGTGTTGCAACTCGATTGCAAGCGTTATACATCGAGCTAGCGATCGTGATCATCGGTCCTCACGACACTGATACTCTCATTGCCTTCCTGAACTGGTTGGCCGTGAAAAAGGTCAGATACACCGTAATCAGTGACGGCAAAAAGTTAGTCACATGTGTGGCTTGCGAACGTCAGTTCACGCCTACCGATCTCATCCTCACTTGCTGCGGCCACTGCTGCTGCAGACAGTGTACTAACATCGTCTTCACAGCTGTCTTATCAGATGAATCACTCTACCTGCCTAGCTTTAACAACACTATTCCCTTCGAACACGCGAACAAGTTCCTCACCGTGATCTCCAGAAAACACTTGCGCAGAAGAGTATCGAGATCAGCACCATCCACAGGAGTTACTGCTCCGATTGTGCTTGCTAGGCGCTTAGTTCCCGGATGAGTTTGATGGTGACGATGCTTGGTGTCAGGTGCCGAGAAGCTCATCTGCACTGGGTACAAGGCTCCTGCACACGAAGGTGATTGTCCAGCGGACAGGGCACTTGCCGCTTCAACCAAAAAAGCTGTAGAGATGTACTGGCAACGCTGCTATAATATCCTTAGTATTGCGCGGAGACAAGATGGTTGTAACCATATCGAGTAAGTGCCTAATTAGCTTCTCATGCTAACTTCAAGCGTAGTTGCAGATGCGGCGCCGGCTTCTGCTACAACTGCAAAAGATCTAACGACGAAGGAGAATGACCTTGCATCTGTTTGGAATGTTACGCCCGCACTTTCTTTGTAAACTGTGAGACATGAAGAATTCAGATGATAAGTGGTTACTTATGAGATGTAAAAGTGAAAGATACAACACTGATCAAGGAGCGTAAGCTTTAATTTTATTACCCAAATAACAGGCAAGTATTCTTGCAACCTGTTAATCCTAGCTAACTTCCTTGATCACGACATGATATATTATCTTAATAAGATGTCAGCAAACCTCCAACGTTTCAAGACCGCTTTCGAAACTTCTCCATACCCAATCTTCTTCCAAGTATGATTCTTGTCGTTAGCATCACGTTGTACAAGAAAAAAGACATTAGGTTCCCGGTAACACATTGTTGGGTATTCACCAGGACCCAAATAATGTCTCTCGCCGACATGCACAGCTTGAAAGACCTTGCATCGTTGTTCTTCGACGACTATCAAATCTTGCAGCTCCTGGGTAAAGGATGACTTGATTTGGGCCCTGATTTTTCGCGATCTTTTTCCACTCATGCCGCGATCATGGACAGTCTTCCATAGTCGATAGTTTGTATCTTGGTCTGCTTGGTCGACGAGAAAGCCCAGCTGAGCGAAGTCTTCGGGGATTTCAATGTATTTGGTGAATGACATGATGTATAAGATGATAGAGCTGTGAGTACGAAGTCTCAGTATACCAGACGCATCGATGACGCCTGTGGGCGTATTCGTGAGAAGCTTGGCATGACCAAGCATGTGCTCTTCAGATTCGATCAAACCACCTTGGACTGTTCGGATCTGAGGCGCACCATCCACGATCGTCTCAGGCAGAGGAGGAAGATAACTGATTTCTGAACCGCCTGGTCTTTCCGGATTGATTCCGAGCCAATACGCCGAGTCCCCTCGTTGCAAACATATCCTTAGAAAATCTTGCATGGCTCTCTGGCGATCTTCTGGCGCAAAAGCTGATGGATCTAGTTTGACGCCGAACAAACCCATGATACTCAAGACCATATCTACCGGTCGGGATGATGTACGTAGGAAAGAGCTCTGTAGGATAGCCAGAGAGCGACGGGGACCATCTTGACTGCCGAAGCTGATCGCATTTAATAACGTTCTTGCCAGGTTCGATTCAGAAACGCCTCCGCTCGTGTTACTGCTCATATTGGCAATATCTGAATATCTCGCCGTGGCATACATGTAAGAACGCAGACTGATAGTGGCCGATTTTCTCTCCTCGACTTGCTCAATCATAATCGTGGTGTTTGCTTGGTAGCTTTGATCTCCGAGTTGCCAGGCGAACAGGACAAAGACTTCTGGAGGCGCAAGAGCTTCTTGAAGTGTCCATGCTCTCGTCATCCAAGGACAAGGCTCGAAGAGAGTGGACAATCGACTGAGACCGCCAGGGAGTATAATACATCGTTTGCAGCATTGATATATGTCGTACATGTTTGTGATCTGCCAAACTTTATCGATCTTCGAAGTCTGCATGATGCAAAGTTGGTCAAGCCAAAGTAAGTTGCAACCAGCCGATACTGCAGCCTGACAGGCTGACCTCAAGACATCGACGTTGATGGGATCTGCGGCTTCGCCTCCTTTGACACGAATGAAGTTTGTTTCCGGCTCTTCGAATGCGGCACGATGCCCTCTCCAGACATAGGAAATGGCGACGTAGTCCTCAGACAACTCAGGATACGCAAGTATCTGTATCAGACCGTCCTCAATAAGAGCCGCACAATCGATGAAGCGAAAATGAGAGTGCTGGACTGTAGCCAAGGAGTATTTGTCCCGATTCCCCTTTATGCTGTGTGATTTACAATGAGCCATGGAATTAACGTCCATGTTACAAGATTATGTTGTGAAGAGCAGTGATTACACAGACCTGGAGATGCGATGTTACATATGTTCAGTTGCAAGCTGGTACCTCAGATCTGGGGCTCCCGATAGTACATATATATTGACATGCAGCTTATGCCAAGTGACTCCTGTGAGGGGGCCGCATGCACAGTCCTGCTAGGATATTCACATCACCCCACCCCATGTTACTGACAGTCTCACATACAAGGCTTCAGCCTGCAGACTGTTCCTCAACCCTCAGACTTTCCCGACGCCAGCTTTCAACTGCATTCGCATATCGCGTTACGGACCAGTATGACATATGCTTTTCCAGGAGCTGCGGTATGGCTTCGGGAGCAGTGGTCTAACCCCAGGGATATCTTCACGATTCTTCTAATCATTGGTGGTGATATTGTGCGTGTGGCAGTCGCGCAACTAAGTGCAGGTCCTGTATCATACCTCACGCCTGTGGCTTTCTCATTTGGCTGGGTGAGTCGGCCTCCTATTGGTGCGATAGACTACAGAAGAGCGCTGACAAGTCAAAGGTTTCGTACGCAGTCTCGGCAATGTTGTCTGCGGTCGGAGAGGCCAGACTCATGCCACGACCAGAGATAGACTGCATCGTGATCAATGCAAAAACGGGGTATTCCCGCAATAACAACTCATGGATCCTCTCGAGGATGCTGCGAGATTTCGAATTCTGGTACCCTCGACTGTTGCGACCGGCTGAAAGGCAGAGGATATCACAGTCGCGACGTGATTGCAATGATCTTGAGGTACGGATCGCCCTGCGCGTCAGTGTTTGGAGATGTGATGAGGTTTCGGGCAGAGGTGAAGGCGACTTTGTCTATTGGACTGGCTTTTTGGTCGCGGCAATACAGATTTCTATCTCCGCCATACCTTGGGCTATCTACAAGGAATGGTTCACGTTTTTTGTGACTACAGCCGGTACCATGCTCGCACTTGCTAGTGGTGCCTTGCCACAATGGTCAGAGGAAAAGATTAATGTTCCCAGATGGGCAAAGAAGAAGGACATATTCCTGACGACAGGTAACGGTGCCCAGGACGCGATCTTATTCCTTGGATGCGACAATAGTCTGGATCTTGAGGCGCTGGCAGGGCCTTATAGAGATATAAGATCACCGTGGTTCACTCGCATCTGTTCCATGATCTTGGCTACTCTCTGGATAGCCTTACTCATTAGTGTCGCAGGTTGGCAGCAGCATACCTGGTATCTTCTCAGTGTTGGCATCATTGGCCTTGTGCACAACATCTTTGTGGCCGGAAAACAACGGCAACCAGAAGCCTTTGGTATCAAGCTTAAGTACGAACAAATGATTGCCGAACCAAAAGTCATGGGAACACTTTGGAAGCTCGAAGAAGTTCATCCGAGGGCCGGCAAAGCCCTCATCGATGTCTTCTTCCCCGGAGATCTGAGTGAACGTGAGAAACATCTCTGGGCCTTTGCCGAGAGAAGATATCGAGCAACAAAGAACTTCAGAGAGCGGGAAGAGCTGAAGCTATCGTCACAGATTGAGCAAGGTCGTATCATGACTATCTCGAGCACTGTGCAGGATGGAATAGGAGGGAGAAACATTTTAGAAGCACATGCATGGGGGAAGATGCCGTCATGGCAGTCACCAAAGCATGGTGACGAAAACTACTTTGGCGACATACCTAATTGTGGGCCTTATACTGGACCTGAACCGACACACCATCACGTCTAGCATAGTTTCCACCAGGCCGATCGATTAGTGTTTCTTAGAGAGGAACAGCTTGAGGTTATAGTTAGGAAGCGTACTATTTTTCTGAGTGTAAGCTATATACTATTCGTGCTCCAATATAGAACGGACGATCTCTGGTATTCGCAGCGCTTCATGTGCCATCGGTACGACGAGAGTCTGGAAGTTCGATTCAGGACACAGTACTCGGTGTTGCCCAAGATAATTGGACAGGTCTGTGCAGATTTACCACACTACTAGATGTAGCAATACTTTGATGACATGTAACCTTAATAACATGATCAAACATTCTGAAAACAAAACATGTGATACTTGAAAATATGCTTTATCATACGATGTAAGATGGGTCTACTGGGTAGTACATGTCGATGATTATGTGGTATACAATACAATGTTACTGAGAATGAAGACATATCACTTCATAAGCAGTTCTCTTGGTACGAGAATTCGTGTGCATCCTTCTAGCTACCAGTCAAGCTGTGCGTACCGAGGAAGCGAGGCCTAAAGTTGTTCAAAAGTCGACCAACTCTGGCTGTTTCTATCTCCTCTATTTCTTCTATCTCCTCGACCAGGCCGACAATACGCAAGGTCGTAAGATTCGGATACAGGAGTGTAGCCATTTCATAGATTGCATTTGAGTCTGATCTTTTCAAAACGATCTTCATAGATTGAATCTTGCCTGCAAGAGACTGTTTTTGTTCCTGATTCTCGACGCATTTTAGCGCGCCAGGAACATCGAAGAAGGGATTGCGCCAAAGAATACCGGTGGCTTCAGTATTGAACAACTTGTTGACCCGGGTCGCAGATGATACCAGTGTTCTATTGTCAATATACGCCAGGATACTATTTACAATCTCCGGTATCATCAGGGTACGACAAGATGACGCCTCCATGATGACTTCAGATGTCGAAATCGGATGTAGAAGGCTGGAGGTCTCGCAAGTAGCGAGCGTCTTATTAGAATGGTCGAGATACCAGGAGCTCTGCAAGGAGAGCTCCCTCTACGTTGAAGCAGATCTCAGCTGCAACACCACGTGGCGGCTACATGCATAACCACGATGATGTTGGCTGCGCGACTCACGTTTCATGACTTCAATCTGTAAACCCCCTGTGAAAGATCACGGAGCCTAACCTGTGAAGTGTCTGTGATGAGGATGCTTGCGATGGGGTCAGCAGGGTGAGAGAAGAAGTCTTGTTGCCAAGACACAATCACAAGAAGCTTTTGGCTGAGAAGCTCTGGCCGTCCAACCGCGTGGAAGTTTCTCAACTCCCCGCACTGTTGTGTCTCTAGCAGTTGAGCTAGCGCCCCAATGATATAAAAAGATGGCTGGGTCATATCGTCTTACATGCCCATCAAATCATACTCAGAAACCATCGCGAATTTCTGCAGGTTGAGATATCGAATTTTGTCCACGCCGCCGATGTCATAGCAGAATCTTGTGGAGTCGGGTCTCACATATAATCAACTTGCGACCAGCACAGAACTAGGAGACTGGAAACTTGAGCAAACTACAAATACGATACTCGACGAGGAGCTTTTGGTAATGGACCATCACAGCGGTGCAAAATCACTGAGCGACGCCTATTCGCTCGCCGACCTCTTTGCTGACTGCGTTGAATCAATCAATCTCATCCATGGAAACCACGAGGAATCTCACAGTGAAGAAATCCTCACATCACAACTCGGCATCGAGCAAGCTCGCCTACTGATCTGGGGTGATGCCGTTGGTGTTTGTTCACCACCAGCTGTCACGGGAATCACATCTGCCATCCCCAAACATCCTGGAGCACTAAACCCCGAGCCGGAGAGACCATTGTACTTTGGAACTCGCGATGCGCGACTGGATGATCCTCGATTCAGACAGCGTGTTGAAGACTCCCTGCGTGCGATCGCGAGTCCGATGACACATTTGTCGAAAATCAAGATCTTGCAGACTTATGGATTGGACCATTTCAAAGGCTCGCCGAAAGTGCGTGAGAATCACATGCTAGCTCCCAATCCTTTCAGACTGCAGGCGTTCCGTGAAAAACTTGAACTGCTGCAAGAAGTTGTTACCGCATATCCTCATGCCAGAACTCACAAACATCTGGGAGTCAACAAGAAGATGGCCTGGCAAATCATGGATGTGGCCAAGACGAGCGAACTCTGCACACTGATCCGCGAGAAGGTGGACTATCTGGTTCAGCTCATGGATGTCCAAGCGAAAGTCGACAAGGCGATGCGTTACGATGTCCGTGCCATGGGATGGCATCCCAGCGAAGACATGAACGCTACCATTCGCGATACGCTGAAGCTGTCCCTCCTCGTGGAAGCGTCAGAAACTCTGTATCCCGAGTACAGCACTGCAGCTCAAGAAGCAATGGACAACGTCACCGATCAATGGAAGGGCAGTCGTGGTTATGATACCATGATGTCCGAGCATCACAACCCGACCATTCACAAGACAGCTTCTCACACCATGCTCTCTCAGCCAATCCGCCCTCTTGAAGACACTACCAGATCGAATGTCTCACAACCAAAGACGCCCAAGAAGGGCAAGCTGCTCGGCTCTCTACGGCCCAAACTTACAAGATTGTTCTCTGGCAAGAGTATGGAAAGGCTTTCTCCAGCTACAGCTGATCCTTCACGCTCAAGATCTGAGAGCGGACCCAGTGGTGGTGCAAACGGAGATGCATTGGAGCCATCACGTAGCAAGTCTTTGGCAAACGACGACCTGACGCACGTGCTCACACATTCCGCTACTCTGGAAAGCATGATCAGCCGACATGACCAATACCGTCAGTAAGGGTAAGGAGGAGGGTGGTTGTGTTTCATTGTCTCTCTTTTTGTTTTGCCGGAGGATATCTGTCGCTTCCCGCTTGATACCCCATTCCTTTTATGTTCATAGACCCTCGCTGTACAATATACTTATCTGCTTACGACCGCCTTTATCATGGCTTGTACTTCCTTGAGTCACCGCACACAATCAACTCCTGCTATCTAGCGCAAAGTCAAGAAAGTTCAAGCTCTACGCCGAACCCAGTACATTGCATCGAATCTAATCCACCACCGACTTCTTCCCCCGACTACATATCACGGAGCCACGGCACGAGGACCAACAACCCCCGTACGCGAGACCCGGAAATCACAATCCGTCCCTGTCGTACATTGACCGGATACGCTTCATCCGCGGCCGCGCTCTGCTTGTTAAGACAGCAGCCGCAACGATCGTTCTGGAAGTAAGCGTCGTCTTCGTCAAAGTAATTGTGGTTCTCGTGGTCGGAAGGAGCAGAGCTGCGAGAGTGTTACTGGGAAGTGATATTACGACAAAGGGACTGCTGTCAGTAGCGAGGTCACGATGAGTAAATGGTCAGCATGTGCTGAAAGTCATACTTGTGAAGTAAGGATAAGATAGCGGGTTTTGTGATGGCATCAAAGTTGTGTGGCTGGTGAAACAGCACAGTGATTGATACTATGCGCTAAATGTCTAGAGATACTCTCAGTTCTAGAAGGTTATGGGGAACTGAAGGTTGACTTTGGTCCTCAAGTAGACAGACTCTATAAAGAGTGTGAATGAGTGGGTTGGATAAAGCTCGAAGAGAAGATGAATCGATAGCCGAGCTTGACCCCTAGGATCGACAGCGGGGGAAGAGCCTCGGGAATCAACATCACAAGCAACGGAAACCTTACGACTAACTCTGTCTATCATACCGACAACATGCCTCTCCCCATTGCATACCGCCTGCTCTGTCCTCGACCACCTTGAACGCACATCGAACGCTTCTTGCCCCAATCACCAAACACATTGCCGACGATACCCGTAGTCTCTCGAACAACTACAAACATCCAAGAAACACGAAAGACCACCGCCTCCACGAACTCAAGAAAGAGCAGAAAATTACAACACCATGGCCTCATCACCAGCCCACGCCTTCTTCACCAATATACCATGGACATCCCACCTCCTCGCCGCCCCAAACCTCACCATAACAACCCCATCCTCCCGAACCCCGAAACCGCATACGGGAGAAGACTCCCTGTTCGCTCACACCCTTGCAACACCCACCACGATACCACACTGTTTGGTATACTACCCTCACCCCGCCACGTCATCAGAAGAAGTCACTGCCATCACCGTGTTGCTGCAGATTGAAGATGCATGTAATGGCTTCCCCAGCATTTTGCACGGTGGCATCACAGCAACTCTATTGGATGAAAGTATGGGGATATTGCTACAGGTGATTGCTGAAAGGGAACATGCAGCGAGTGTGGCTGCTGGGGATGCAAAAGGCGACAAGAGACCAGGAGTGGAGGCAATGACGAAGGGTTTGAATGTGCAGTTTAAAGCTCCGGTGAGGACGCCTGGGGTTGTGGTTGTGAGGGTCAAGGTGGTGGAGAAGAGAGGGAGGGGGATAAGTTTGGTGGCGAGTGTTTTGCAAAAGGAGGGAAGTGGGGATGGCTTGGTGGAGTGTGCGAGGGGGGAGGGTGTTTTCGTGACGCCAAGGGGGGCTGGACATAGGCTATAATCAATAGACTCAAGAGGTAGTAGACATCGGTCCTGGTAATGTAAGGGTAGAAGGATGGAACTTATGAGGCAATCTGGTATCAAGTCATCCTCTTCCAGTGTCTCGTATTGGGAATACCCATTTGGAGCCTGACTCGTCGCAGGCTCCAAGGCTCAAGCCATATGAAAGTGACAAAACTCATCTTACTCCACTCCATACCTTGGACAAGAATCAAACATCCACCAACATCTGAGCAACAATATTCACACCCGACTCATTGAAGCAAAATGTCCCTAACCATCTTCTGCCTTCCCTCGTACCCTGCCTACTAATATACTCCCACTTCACAAGCGACACCAGAGTTGTTCGCGAGCGGCCCATGCGTACAGGTACCATTATCAGCCTTCTATCAATCCTGCGTGCTCACGTCATCGTCATCAGAAAGATGTGTGAGCGCCGTCGCGTTCGAGTACTTGTTAGGCAGCGGCAGGCTTCCATCAAGGATTGTCTGAACAGGATAACAAGGTTTCACGGTGTGGAAGCGAGAAAGGGTTGCACGATCATCGTCTATCCGGACCCGAACTTGGAGAGAGATGAAAGGACATGAGGATGGCAGAAGATTGAGTACGTCTGTCTGGAGCACACTGGTATCCTTATCGACTGGGTGGAGTCTGTTCGAGAGTATTGGGCAGCCCGGTTCAACGCAGCTAGACTCGGATCCTTGGTGAGGCTGGAGAAAGGGCGGATGAGAATATCGTAGATTTGATCAGCATGGAACGTATAAATCAATCGTCGCCTTGTATCTTTGCATGCTTGAAGTACTTCATACCGACCCATGCGACGACGACCCATACCCACGCCATGACCGCAGTCAAGATGATCAAGGCAGGATAGTAGCCGACGATGGGCAGAGTCGGATCATCTTCAAGTTCGGGCGGCGCATATGGAGTCACTCCGACATCCCAAGCCCAGCTCCACACACCAAGACAGCTTCCCATGCCTACGGCAAAGACGACCCAAGTGACGACCAGCACGACCCATCCCCATCGCTCTGTCTCGGCATAGTCGTAGGCCTCGTCTGCGTTGTGAACCATGACTGGGACAGCCGACAGAGGAGACGGCGCATGTTTCAGCGACGAGCGACGGCGCACGATATCGACAACGGGGCGAGCATCAAAGTATGAGGTCGGACGTGTGACGGTGGCAGCCATACTGAGGTCGTCGTCGTCGGTAGTCGAGGCATAGCTCTGACTCGTGGGGCTAATGATGGGCGAGCCCAGATCTGGGTGCACAGGCGGAGGAGGGATAGACGGCGGCGATGAGCCAGGCGAGTGCTCGTCGACTAGAGACAATCGACGAGGTTGGTGCAAGTCTTCGACGGCGAGAGCTTGGTGCAAAGCATCGTCTATGGATCGGACGGCATCGTCGGATTGAGCATCTTGGGCGAGTCTGTTGAATATGTCGGTGGCAGGAGGGTCTTGCTTGACGCGACCAGGTCCCAGCAGCGCCGTTTTCCTCAGCGAACCCTTGCGTTTACGCGCCTTGAGTGGACGATTTGGATGAGTCGAATCATCTTCTACTTGCATTGGGAGGAGACCAACTGCAGCAGGAGCTGATGTCGACAGTTCGACAGGCGCCGGACGTGATAGAAAGTTGAATCGCTGTAGGAGACCGGCAGAGAGGCTTCGCTGCTTGTGCTTTGGTGTCGGCGGATGGACGATGCTTGCCAAGTGCTCGTCCTCAACGGCGCTTGTCTCAGTCGCACCGTTCATGTTTCTGCCATCCGTTGTCATGGTATTCCCAGAATAGATTCATTGGAGGGATGTATTTCTCGACGCCGCATCGCGCATAGACGTTCAGTCGAAGAGTGAGCCAACTGGAATACTCCTCCAGAGGCAGCTGCGTCTTTCGAAACAAGATCTAGACAGAAGGCACGGTCGTGTGAAAGCAGGGTGCAGCAACCAGTGGGCCGGCCGAGGGCGGGGAACAGGGCGAGAGTTGGTCGCGCTTTCTCCAACGGTGACGCCGCCCACGACGTCAAAAGTGTCGCGCGCAAAGACAGAAGGGACCCCCTGAAAGCGCGTATTATTCCCATGGATCTGCAGTCGACGAAGATAGTCACCCTGCTGCTCCCCTGATTTCGAGCACCAATCGATACTGTCTCTACATTTCACTGTCAATCCGCGTCGCTCCTTTGACCGCTTTCCACAAACATCCGCTCGCATCTGCACAAAGAAGACGCGGCTTGACCATCCCAACGCTCCTGCTCACGCTCTCTTTGTTTCCCGATACTGGCCATGGCTGCGCATCAGTTCCCCATGCCAAACCCTCCGAGGACTCCCACCACGTCCGACGACGAGATGGATCCTCAATTGGCCGAGTCGGGTCTGCGCATCAAGCACGCATACAACGAGTCTCCTGTTAGATCGCGTCTTTCGGGCTCATTCGACCGAGTGTCTTCCTCACCGCCAGACACAAACACCTCCTCTATGAACACTGGCCGTACCGACCTCACCTCGCCCACCTTTTCTCTATCGACTCCTGCGGACGCATACAGCCCCTTTACACCACAAACTGTCATCAGTGAAGGAGATGAATCGTCTGAGAAAGAGGAGGAGCCTATCGTCACCGCCGCAAACCCCTTCAATTTTACGACTCAGCAATACTCTGCTGCTTTATCACCCGCAAAACCTGTAAGTGTTGCTGCAATAACACACCGCTAGTGCTATACTGATATAGGCAGGACATCAACGTCGGAAAGCGTCGCGGTCACAAGTACAAGCACTCGAGTGTATCGCATCAAATCTTCATCGAGCCTGCTCCTCGCGCCCCTCTGCAATTACCAGCCTCCCTACCGGTACCTACTCGCAATGAGGTCCAACACAGCATGTCATCAAACCAAAAAGCCCGTCTCGCGTGGTGTTTCTGCCACTTCCTTATCGCCGCATACGTGCAATGGAGTGCTTCCGGCTCTCTTGCCATGACTGCCCTTTCGCGACTACTATTCTTCGACGCTGCTGGCGCTATTGCCTGCGTCTTGGTCGAGACTATGGGAAACTTTGAGGTCTGGAAGCGTTCCAGTGTCAAGCATCCTTTTGGACTGGAACGACTTGATGTGCTCGTAGGCTTCGGTCTCGCGGTCTTCATTGGCTTCATGGGTCTGGATGTCTTGTCTCACGGTATCCAGCATTCTCTCGAGAACCTTGGCTCTCATGTCGCTCATTCACCTCATGCTCATCGTCGCATCTCTGCTGGTTCTGTCGATGTTTCCGCTCTTCTCGCAATACTCGTCACTCTCATCTCTGCCGTCGTGCTCAAGAATCATGCTCGCATTGGAAGAGCTATGCGTATTGATTTCATCTCATGCTGGGGCACTGTTCTGAGCAACCCTAGCCATCTCATCACTTTATCATGCTCTACCCTTCTGCTCTTGCTACCTCTCCTCAGCATCCAGGCTTATCACTGGTTCGACGCTGTCATGTCGTTTGCTATCGCAGTTTCCATGATCGCATTGGGAGTCCGTCTAGGCATGTCGCTATCATCTATCCTGCTCATGTCGTACTCCGCACCTGCTGGAAGTGCGACTATCAAGGACGTTGTCGCCGAAATCGAAACCGATAAATTCGTTTCAGCGGTCCAAGACGCCAAGTTTTGGCAGGTTCACTACGGATTATGTATGGCCAACTTGACTCTGAGATATAGAGCAGCTGACTATGGTCTTGACCTGGCCAAAACAAGGGAAAGAATTACCAGTCTCGTGCGAAACAGACTTGGTGGTGCTTACGGATCTGGCGGCCTCAAGTGGGAGGTTTCGGTGCAGATGATCTCCGAAAGAGATTGAACGACGCTCATACTATAACGACCTTACTGAATCATGGCACGAAATTATGTACATTTTATATCCTATATTGCATGGAATGAGAAATGCTGAAAAGTTCGAATTTACCACTATTCCATCATTCACTTTGGCTTTAATGCTTAACAGCGAACGTGCACGTGACATTGTTCTGTTTGCCCGCTTTTGCCTCTTACTACACCATTGTAATGCTACAACACAACACTTAATAATTCCATTGAGCTGCAGACTATCGTCAACTGATTTACGGTATTCTATCAGCTCATTCCAATTTACTGCGCGACTTTCATCAACATGGCGGCTTCAAACGATCTACTTGAACGCCTTCAAGCCCATCTTGGTCAGCTGGAAGCGGACCCGATCAACACCGAAATCGATGAACGGCTCTTTGAATCATGTTCGCTAGCTCTGGCTCCAGGTCTATCGAAGAAGGATTCTATGACCTTAGTCCCACAGCTCTCGCGCATTCTGCCAGTATTGCAGAAGGATCCTACGCAACCAATTCAATTCCTGGTACTCTTGCTGGAGCCGTTGAATTTCGCGGATGTGCTCGGTCTCAATGCCGCTGTTGACTTTGTTGGTGGACTCAATGTTGTCGCAGTGCCGTACAACAGACTTATGCTGGCGCTGCTGAGCAAGGCTGCAGGGAACGCTACCGATGCTGCAACTATTGCCGCACAGCCCGAAGTCGTTACTGCTCTGGTAAATCTCTGGCTGTGCACTCATGATGCTGGAATCGCCAAACAAGCTGGGGATGTACTGCTTGCATTGCTCAAGATCGATCATGCAGTTCCGCCTGGTGCCGGTGAAGAACAATCACTTCCTGGCCATAGTCAAGGGCTGATGTGGAAGCGCGTGTTTGGTGACCAGGACGTCTATGCCTTGATCTTTTCTGTCTGCTCACTAAAGCATACTGAGGGCATCGAGTTGTCAGGCAGCCAGAGATCACTCGCCCAAGCTCGCCTGCTTGAGTGGCTTCCTGAGGTCGGTGCTCTCAACTGGAATGCTATTACACATGCACATCATCCAGAGGTCGAAAAGCGTTATACTGACGGCAAGGGTGAGGGTCTGCTCTACTTTTCTACTGTGTGTATGATTGATACCGCTGGTGATGTTCTGATGCATTGTTGCTTAGTAGAGTTCTACGCGACCTTCCTGGGAAGTGTTACTACATCAGCATCAGCAGGCTCATCGCACTCTTCTGCTGCTCTCGACTTCCTCATCCAGCACAAGCTACACGAAAAAGCCATGAGCTTCTACTTGGACCCGACAAATCCTCGCCATGATCCTCTTGATGTGCAATTCTTGTACGCACCATCAGCGAACTATCTTGCCACCTACGTGTCTTCGTACCCATCTCATTTCCTGGCAAGCACCTTGAAGCAGACTTTGACAAGACGTCTACTAAGCTCCTTGGACCTCACACCCAGCCGCTGGGCGCATGCTGAATCACCGAAACATGATCTGCACATCCTTGCTTCTATGCCCCGTAGCTCTTTACTTCCTCCGAACAACAATTGGATGTGGTCCCCATTATCACTTCTGCCATCAAAGTCTACTAATGCAGACGTGCTTGCAACACTCGCCACAATCTTTCACGGTCCTTCAAAACAAGAAATTATCAACTACCCAGCTAGCTCGCCTCTCATGGATACCACACATGATGCAGTCTGGAAGAGCGAAGCCCAAGCTGCTTATGCGCTCTACTATCTCTATCTCAACCACAATCCCACTCTCTTCGCCGACCTCGCACATCACGCTAGTATCATTGCATTGAGAGAGAATGCTCTCGCGTCCATCAGCTTGATCCGCAGTATTGCGACTGCAAACTGGTTGCCATTGACCGATAACTCAACACCCACTGCTTCCGACTTCCACGCCTCTTTGCCTCCTACCGCATTAGCCGAACAGCAAAAAGGTTTCCTCGCCATTCTCTCTCCGCCTTCTCTCGAGTACACGCTACCATATCTACTGTCACCAGCCCAAACTTTCTCGAATCTGGTCGGCGGAGTTGGCGACACAGAAAACTCGGCCTACAGAGTTGCCATGAGCAAGTTTGAATGCTTGAAGGAGGAATACAATCGCTTGAAGGTGTTCTACGAAGAAGGCGGCGAAGAAGGAAAGGAGTGGGCTGATGTTGTTGTGACACTCCGAAAGAAGGTTGACGAGGGTCCTTTCGGCAGTCGTCAAGGCGAAGTTGGAGGCAGAATTGCCACTATGGAATTATAAGATAAAAAGTGCTTTTCACTCTTCGATATCTGTAATCATCACCGAGGTCACTTCGCACCTTCCCAATGCTGAGTGTTGCTTTGCGGCGTGAGCCATTCTCGTTCTCCTGCGTATGTCTGTCTTCACGGTGAGATCAACTCATATTCGCCCAAGAGTATATTAGCCTTGTGGGTATATCAGAAGAGACCCGACAGATCTAGCTTCACGCAAGGACATATGAGCTTCAAAATTACTACGAGAGATAGAACCTCGACTTCGAGGACGAGACGAAACATGGAGCTATATACACCATGCCTGTATTATAGACAAAGCCATAGCATTTGTAAGGCGACACTGAGAGGGAGAGATGTACAGTCAGTCATTTTCGCGATCATTGGTGGTTACCAGATCGAGCTAACATAGTGTTTGTTCTTGTGGCTGTGTTTCTGTCTCAAAATCTTGTTACCATTCGATTGTGCAGCAGCGGGTGTCTCATGTCGTAGCAGCGAAAAGACAAGCTAATCCTCCTGTCAGATCAAGTCATACTTCCCTCGCGTCCAAAGTAATATGCACTCTTGACCTACTGGCTGGGTAGCATTCCTTCCATGAGCTCGACCAATTTTCGTTTCCTGTGGCGATTTCGCTCTTCCGCTTTGCCTCTGTACCCAGCCCTTTCATATTCCTGAGCCTTCTCGTATACTAAGATGACTACCTTGTCAAGAGTGTAGCAGAACGTGGCGGCGAAGAACTTCACTTCTCTTATTACTGCGAGAATGGTTCGAAAGGCTGCCTGCCAGCGAATCTTGACCAGTTACTGCCTCGAGACGGGGACGCAGAATTCTCGGGTCTCTTCGACGCGTTGAACGAGCTTTGAGGTGGTATTGGGACGTTCTTCGTCTACAGCAATCGAGCCTTGTTGGCGACTTTCCTCGTTGGCTTGGAACACAGCGTTGCTCTTCGATAATTCTTGGAGTTGGTCACGGGAACGTTTTTCGCTTGCGTCAAGCTTCATTTACAAGGCTTGGAGCTGCTCTTGTAAAGTGCGAGATTTCTCGATGAGTCCAGCGGTTGGTTTCTTCGGCTGACTTGATTTGATTATCTTTCCCTTTGAGCTGGGCTCCGAGTTTATCGAACTCCCACATCGCTTCTTGATACAATTCGTATACGGAAACTCGATAGAGCGAGTGTGGAGCCACTATAGTGAAAGTACGATGATGATGGGCGGTGTCGATTTGCCAAGATGGGTTCCAGAAACTCTCATATAAGCAGAACAAGAACGAAGCTTGCATGTGGCGTCATGCTGGGATCATGAAGGAGTGACACTCTTGCTCCTTCCCGACTTGAGTATGAAACTTGAGACCGAGATTCGAGCTTGCAGAGATAGTGACCAACGTCTCCATCGCAGCTGTGATTGCAGACTTTCTGCTACAGTTGCTCCTGCCGGTCATGGCCAGACAGATGGAAGAGGCACTACTATCTTGAGGACTCTGAACGATTTGTTGCAATCCCAAAGGAGAGATAGCACACGCTACCAAGAAGTTGCTCTTTAGTCTAAGATCGAGGAAGTGAGGTGTAATCAGAGTGGAAAAGCGCCTCAGTCCTTGCATCCAAGTTATCTCCTGGTTGACTACAAAAACATAAGATGTTGAGTTATCACCGCCGCGATCAACGATGGATGGCTGGAAACTGTGATAGTATCTCACTCTTTGGAAGCAACCCTCCCAACAATCAGTCGTGCTCAAGAGGCTCTGTATCTTAGATAAAACTCTCGAATCACGGGACTATCATAATCTTCCAAACCAAGACCAACTCATGACAAATCGGAAAGTGATGGAGACACCTTATAGATCTCGCATCGTACAGGATCCACTGACCACAACTTCTGTGATACAACAACAAAACACGACTTCCACGAACCAGAATCGAACACACCACCTCTCAGCAAGAAGACGGGGCGTTAGCCCCATCTTCTTCCGGCTTCGCGCAGTCGTAATTTACCGATCCTCCAGGTGAGGAAGAGGGCGGTATCCTACGGCTGCCCGGTGGTCAGGGGATCTCCGATTGCGCCACGCCGGCTCACAACTCGGATGTGATAGTGGACTAGATATTCTGGTATATATGGTGGAGATAAGGAGTATGCTGTGAGTGAGATGCTTGAGTTCGAATGTTTGTTCTGTGTTCACTCGTAGTTTTAATATTGCTCCTACTGAAGGGTTTCGACGTAACCATTGGATCCCTCGAACATAATTTAATCAACGAGTCACTCGAGGCAAAACTTTCTCTCGGCAACCAATCCTCTTCGACTTGGATGGAACCTGGCCATCTCAGTCTAGCTCGAATCCTGCTAATGCCTGACGGCGTTGGCTCTGGGACTCTCGTCACCTCAGCATGAACTTTCTACAAGCATCACTAGCATCTTGAAGCATGCGATCTTCGCTCGAGTTTCTTGTCCTGTTTCTTTCTCAACCTGCGCTTGATAGAAGCTTCTTCACGCCATCTAGGATTCTTGATGTTCCCTGCCACATCCTTGAGAACCCTGCGAGTCTCCCTCACTTTCTCCTGAAAAGGTACAGCTCTTTCAGCATGATCCAAAAGCTGGTCTTTGTTCACTCGCGGTCTCGGTCATCTCAATGGTGCCGTTTCCACTCAAGACAATCTTCCTTGTTCATCCTGCAAACCTTCAGTCACCTGGCTATACAGTTATGTGCATGGTCTTTTCATGGTCCTTCGACAGATGTCAGGACATCCTCTGTTGACCAGTTCAAAATCCGGCAGAAACTCTAGCGGGTCAGTGTCGGGCTTGACTCTGGGAAGCTTCTCCGGCCACAGCGTACAGCTTTGCTAAGGCTGTAGACATGCATGATAGCATTCGAAATCGATGGTCGCGCCTCAGGAGAGATTAAAAGCAAGAGCGGGACGGACTAGCATCAGATCTCGATACAAACCGCCATCTCAGCGGCAGCTTTCAAGACCAAGCGGACACATGGCAATGTAACAACTTTTTTCCATGTTCTACACGTTTTGCCGAGAGATGGAGCTCACATGCAAGGGTGGAAATTTGCTGCAACCATTTTTTGATCATGTTCCAGACCTGCTGTCGATTGTGTTACCAGAATGTCGACTCGAGAACCACAAAACTAAGACAAGTGGGCAAAGTAAGCGGCCCCTTGAACAGCAAATCGATATACAAATGGAGCCATGTCACTCGATTAGTATTGCTCCCTATAACTACTACCTGAAACACGAATATTAAACGGTCTTTGTGGCTACACGCTTTTATGGCAGGCAAAGAGAGACCATTTCGCTGAAAATGAAGCTCCCATGGGCGATTGCTTTGTTTACGGACATCCGAATGGGCGCTTCACATTAGTGATGAGATAAGCGCATGGATGAGTCTATGAAAGGTAAAGAGAGAAATAGGGTCAGTGTCAGCTTTGGAATCAGCAAGTCACTCCAGCTGTAGTGTATCAAGGGCAACAAGATGATCGGACGGCAAGATGTTTCCTCCGATTCGATACCCCTGCGGAGATGACAGGTTGTGGAAGTCATGTCCAACTACGTACTGACGAGCCTCTTTTTTTATGGGAGCTTAGTGGACCATGCAGGTGCAGGAAACGATCTTGTTGACCCTCTCCTAGAGGATCTGGAAGGCAACGGTGAGAAGAGCAATCTGGGCAGCGACATTGGAGTGCTCCTCAGCCTGCTCCTCGATGGTTGCGTCGATTATCTGACCCAAAGTCATAGTCAGATGGAAGCCGAAGCCACCTTGGATGAAGTAATGGAGTTATAGTGGTTGATATGATGGGGAAAGTAAGGGAACTTACGGTAGTAGCAGGCTAGGGGGTTTTAGCTACGCAAGTAGGGAGCCAAGATCAAAAGTAAGGCCAGGGACCTAAGAGCTATGTGTGGGTGTCCAATGCTCGCTCATCGGGTTCATCTTGTGTCTCCAAGCGACGCTTCAGCTCCACGAGCACGTCGGTGTGGACTCGCTCCATTTCTCTGGACGCTGCTTCGTCCTCGAGCGTCACTGTGCGAGCTTTGAATTCGACGTCGTATGCCGCCTTAGCATTCTCGAAATCCATCTGAACCTTGATCAGATCGTCTGGCAATGGGAAAGGCGATCATGAAGCCTCGCCAAACACGAGTGAGTTGTGGGTAGGTGGGGGATATGCGGTTTCGCGAGCACATGTCAACACAGGATTTACCATGTCAAGTGACGATGAGATTGGAGAACTTAAAATGTCTTGTGTCGAGTGGTGGCGTCTTTAGTAGCAGGATTGGATTCTGATGACTCTGCAGACGACATGGCGGCTAGTAAGCACCATACCAGTTGAGGATGTCATGGTCTGTTGAAGTATGTGAACATTGATACACGAGAACGTATGAAAGTGAGAAATGAAAAAAAAAAGAAAGGCCTTGGAAAATGGTAGTGGATGGAGGAGACGAGGTTGTCGTGGAGGTGATGGTTGGAAGTGAAAGGTGAGCGTCAATACACATGAATTGTACTGAATGAAGCCAATCCCAGCAGAACCCCCCAAGGAAGCACCCAACAAACATTACCGGCAAGTCTAATTGTACCGTCAACTCGATTAGGACCAAGACCATTCTTGAGTCAAGTAAACCTACTTAATCAGCCACCCCTGAAAAGCTATACCAACAGCAATCCCAAACCTTCATTCCCCCCAACTCCCTGATCCCAAATTATACATCCCCTTCAACAAAACGCAGCCATATTCAATCCAACCAACTACAAAAACCCCCCTCGTCTCCAAACCTTGCATATCTACTTTTTCCCCCTCTCTCCTTTTCCCTTTCCCTCTCCCTCTCCCTCTCCCTCTCCCTCTCCCCACTCTCCAAATCATCCACACCCCAAACCCCATCCCTCGCTCTCCCACCCTCATCCTCCCCAAACACACTCTCAGTAGCAGTCTTCCAAGCCCCCTCAACAACCCCCGTTGCGTAATCAAAAACCTGCGATAAACGCTTCGTAGAAAGTAAGCTCTCACGACGAGGTGAAAATGTAGGTGGTGTGTAGGTATTTCTTCGTTCTAGGGAAGGTGGGGAAAGGGAAGAGCGTTTTGTGGTCGTGGAGGGGCAAAAAGTCGAGGTGGTTGGTGAGCGGGAAGGTGTTGCGGTTGCGAAGAAAGTGGGTGTTGTGGGTGTTGTGAGGGATGATGAGGTTGCTGAGGTGGTGTGGTGGATTATTGGGGTTAAATTGGATAGTTTGGTGGTGAAGGTGGAAGTTGTGGTCGAGTTGGTGTTTGGACAGATGAAGATTGGGAGGCCCATTGTTTCTTTTGCGAGGGTGTCCATTTCTGATTTTAACTTGTTCCTGGTCTTGTACATGAATAGTTCTATCGTTTAGTATGTCGATAGTCAAAAGGGGATGACCTGCGGCTATTGCGTTCGGGTACTACGTGGCTTGTGATCCTGCAAGGTCTGCTCGACGATGACACTGCGTACATTTCGCGGGTGTATATGGCGTGTAATCAATGAGTTGCTGTACAACGATATCGACAAAGTAAACGAATGTTGTCTAGAGAAGCAAAAGAGAGGACTTGTCACCTTGAAGTCATAAAGTAGGTCTATCGCATTCAATGTATACCTTTTCCGGCTTTCCTTGTGACATGAGGTGTGTCAAGAGACAAAGAAAGACGACAGTGAGGAATCAAACGACAAAGAACTGTGAGGCTTACATGATTCAAACGTCCGGTTCGAGATGCTGTGATTGAAATAAAGAAGGAACAGCAGGGGGCTTCTTTTAATATGGTCTTGGTGAGAAAAGTCTCGGTCTCGAGAGCTTGAGTCGTTCAGGGGTCCATGGTTGGTCTTGCTGGCAGATTGCACCATATACAGGTTCTCCCATCAGTAAACCCAGAATAAGCGGTATCAAGAAGTCGTCCATTCTACTATAATACACACCATTCATCTTTTGTACATTTCCCTTCGCACATCTCTCACACTCTAACCCATAGCCTTCAAGAAATTGGCCTCCTTGATCTTAGCCCTCCTGTTCTTACGCATACTCTTCGTCAAAGCATCTCTAGCCTCCATAGCTTCGATCGCGCCCTTCAAACTTCCATCTCCGGCCGGTAAATCGATTGTCTGTTCGTGGAGAGGGATTTTGGGGGCCAGAGCGCCGGGGTTAAGGAGTTGTTGTTTGCGAAGGGCTTTTGCTGCTACGCGACGTTGTTTTTTGGATTTGGCTGTGAAAAGACGAGTTGTTAGTGGAATTCCATTTAGTCTGTAGAGATAGAGATGGGGGAAGGGTAAGGGCAAGGGAAGCAGAAGGGGGGGTGGTAATACGTACAGAACAAATCTCCCTCAACACTCGCATCAGCAGCACCCGCACTCTCTCCACCCTTCTTTTTCAAGATCCCCCACAACCAAGTCGGATACTCTGAATCCTCCAACGCCACAGGATCGTTCTTTCCCTTTATAAAGTTCAAGCCCTTGAGTGGCGTGCCAGCAGTGACTGAGCTTTTTACTGTAGGTGCTGCCTTTTCAGACGCACTCGGTGCTTGGAGCTCTGCAGCAGAAGGCGATGGTGTCAAGGGTGTTGAGAAGGGCTGTGCAGCGCCTGTTGATGTAGCGGCGCTAGGGGTGTGTGAGGAAGCATTGCCCTGTCGTGGTGCTGTTTCGGCGCGGAGTGGTGATGTGGTTGTGAGGGCGCGACGAAAAGGGAGAGCGAGCGGGCGCTGAACAGCCGTCCGTAAGCATCGATTGCAAATCATCGTGTGTGTGTGTGTGTGTGTGTGTGTGTGCTGGTGTGTGTCGTAAGTCCGCGATCTTGCTCAATTGCTAGGAAACAAAGATTCGTTGCGACGGAGGTCTGATGCCAAGGCTTTCTCGACTTTCCGCTCTCGGCTTTTGTTCGGTTGCGCTTTCCATCATGGTCCTTTCTTTGTACCGACTTGCCTTTGTTTCAATGCGCTGGAATGATGAGTATAGTATACTGCCGGTGGGAGACTAGGACAGAAATCTCAATCCATATATGGCATTATTCGGCAGTTGACACAGTCCGATCAATACAAGTCTCAAAAGCTGGCCCCTTAGTTTGACACCTCCCCCATCAATCGAGACCAAAAATGCTACTTTGACGGAAACACAACATGGAGGACCTGACAGGGCAGCATGAACCAATTGTGATGTTCCCAATCAAGTTCGATCTGTCCAGATTCATAGGGTATCTGATCCTTCCTCTAGCCTCGTATTATGGTTCGAAATCATCTCCCTCTCCACTAGCCAGGGTCATCGGCTAGACACTGACATCATGAACGATAGTCAGAACTTTGCATCAATTTCACTCCCATTTAGTCTTCTGATAGATACCAGAAGGTTCTCCGAAAGTTATAAGCCCTACACTTCTTTCAGATTTTCAGATAAACATAATGGCCAAGTGACAACAAAATGGCATGACAGCCAGGGGTATATTCAGTTATGAAAAGGAGTGATGGAGAACAAGGAAAGAATATGGTATAAAGACAATAGCAGCAGAAAACACCCCCCTGTGCAAGTGCTTGTGTGCGTGAACGCCTCTCGTTCAGTCGTAATGTAATCATTGGCTCTGCTCGCCAAGAAGAAAAGAATCGAATGTTTGGTCAGTCCAAATACCAAGACCGATACGCCTGCTTGTCATAACTCGTGTGTGTGCATGTCAGATCAGAATCTATCCCTCTTCGGTGCCATCTTCTTCAGATGTCATACTCCGAGCATTTGACTGCGTACGTGACTTTTTGGATGGCGATGATTGACTATCTCCAGACTTGCGCTTAGTTCCATTGGTGGGTGGTTGCTGCATCATATCTCCCGTCCCATTCTTTGCAGCTTCGGCATCCAGAGCAGCCACCTCATCGGCTGTGAGAAAGCGTCCTCCCGGTCCACGCGGTCTTCGCATGGCATGATTGTGACGGGATTCGTGCAAATAAGGCTTTCTCCCCTTACTAGTGAGACGCAGTTGTTCCTCGAGCCTCTGTCTCGCCAAACGCCTCTTAAGAATTCGGTGGAACTGTTTTGCATTGACGTAAAGAGGGGATTCTTCGGTAGTGCCAGTAGCAGCTTCCGGTGATGAGTGTTGCTGCACGACTTGTTGAACCATTTGCGGTGCAACTGAGGAACGTCTTTGTTGCTGCATCACTGGTTGAGGTGGCTGGACTGCTTGGCTCATGCGACGTGCGACCATTTGTTGCGGCAATGCTTGAGGTGCTGGCATGACCATCTGTCCTGCCATGGTTGTGTTGACGTTCATGTGACTTTGAGAAGGGGATCTCGGAGGCTGCCTTTGCTCGGCCTTTACTGACTGACCCATGCGTGGTGACTGTCTAGGGTCTTGTGCTAGCGGTTGCATGGTCTCTGACATGTAGTTGTAATTGCCGGAAGCAGCGGCCGTGGCCATGGCTGCAGCTTGTGTAGGAGACATCTGGGCTGCGCCCATGTTATAGTGCATGTTCTGTACTGGGTAGCCTTGCTGATACATGGGCATGACTTGGTGAGGGCCGACATTGGGGTTTGGTTGTTGAGCATACGCAAGGTTTTGTTGCGACATGATGGGCGAGACTTGGTTTTGTTGGGTGGGAGAGGTTACAGGTGGAAGAGGTTGGCCGTTGTGAGTTGGCGCGTAGGCATTGTGAGCATGCGCATGCGGTTGCTGGTAGGTGGTGTAGTCCATGGCGACGATGTGTTTGTTTCAATTTGCGAGATAAATCGATCCCGATGGTATTGCGCAATGATCCGGCTGGGTAGTCGGAGTCGAGTGACGTAGATTTGATGGTCGGTATAGTAGATGGCGAGCTTCCGAGCAAGAGTTGATTGACTCTCAAGGGCGTCTCGTAGTTGTCGCACAGTAGTATTGTTGTACAGGGGTTGAATAGCGAAGCCTGTGTGTATGACGATGGCTCAGTCGCATTCAAATCGAGCGATGATTCGGAATCCGGGGCGTCAGTCAAGTCGTCGAGCTTGAAGCTTGAAGTCGACGCGTTTGTTGCGACGCGAAGTGCAAAAGTCGATGGGATTGGCAGAAAGTGCGATGAAGAAGCTACTCGGTCGGCCAAACAGAACGCGAGGGTGCAACGGATCTAATCACGGGCGGGGGCGTTAGCAGGGGGGAAGCATGGAAGATGGGACGAGCCTCTTGAAGCGGGCAGACGTGGCTGTGGGCAGCGGGCAGCGGTCTGCAGTGCGCGCCGTGTCGCAAGGCGATGCGCTGGCAAGCCGCATGCAAGCCCGAAGCAGCGAACGTCTGCCCGTCAATTCACTTCTGCCTTACCTGTATTGCTTATGTCGGCTAATGCTTTGTGACTGTGACCTCTTGCGTTGGCGCAAACACGTGCGACTATGATGTATGTATGTTGTTGGCGATGATGCGCGTTGGCTTGCTCTCTCTCTCTCTCTCTACATGGCCGTGTTAGCATTGCGCTCTGCCAGGCTTTCGTCGACGCCTGTTGGGCCTGAACGACGCGACGAGAGACGATCAGCGTCGACGGACCTTTGTCGTAGCACTGCAGGTACGCACGCGCAGAGAAGACGATTGCTTTTACGACGACCTATCAAGCTGCTTCGCCGAGGCTTCGACGCGACTCAACTGGCAAGCAAGCTCCAGATACCGTCGAATCACGGCGGCTAAAGGCGGTGGGCAAGGCGATTGGTCGATGGTACAAGTTCCCTGAATGAGGCCTGTGCAGAGAGAATGGAAGAAGATGACTGGCTGATGCCGTCTCGACGACTGAAATCTCCACTTTCTGCTTTGGCGAACTGTAATCACATGATCCGGCCTCACTCCGGTTCCACCCTCCCGTGCCGTCTGCCTGCTCCAGAGTCCAGACCCCTCCGTGCTGCCAGAAGCCATAATCCATGGCTTGCCTGCTTGTGTGTCCAGATACGACACCACTGCCTTGATGGCGTGTCCGCGAGGATGGTTGGTTACACGGCATATCCGATGTCTCGAGGTCGAGCCGATTTTCGTGAGCAGCACGCGGCTGGGCATACCAACCTGTCTTACACTGCCTCGGCAAGACAGTTCCCACGAGCATGTGAGACAGACAAGTGTGTGCTATTACCATATAATATTTTGCGCTTCATGCTAAATCGAGCTGCGGAGAGACTTGACAGATTGTAGATGAAAGGAGAAACATCCATGTGGGCTAAGCACATCACTCTCCTCGAAGATGATGCTTTGCGACATAAGTCTGTGCTTTACTACAGCTCTTTCCTGAGACTGCCATTGATTCTGAAGAAAGCGTAAACAATCCCGGTATGACTGCCCAGGGCATTCTTCCCAAGATTTTGCCTTTATCATCATATGGCTGTCAAGATGCATGATGCTTTTGATGATTGCAGCTGTGTCCAAGGAGAGAGGGTCCAGGGTCGGAGGATTGACTTCAGGGTCGTGATATACATTCTATTGGCGTGGTCATCGTTCCGATCGTGCTTGACCCTTACTTCCGGCTACTGGAGAGCACAGTGGTTATAAGACCAACAAGCTCTTGCGGCGAGACAACTATTCTTATGGGTCTTGTCATTACCACGGGAGCACCGATAATATGATAGTAGAGGAAAAGGCAGGTAGGTAGTCTTTGCTTGGTCCCTCCCTCTAGGCTGAAGCGTTGCGTGGTCTGCAACTGCCTCTTGATTATGAATTAGGAATCGAATAGAAACCAAAAATTCTCGCTTTCAAACCTCCATTTGTTTTTGCACTCTTACTCTGAATTCGTTGCCCATCTTATCACTCTACAGACTCGTCTAAAGACACAAATTGGCAAGACTCGCAAGCAGCACAAGCAGTCAGGTCAAGTCTTGGAAGTCGCAAACTTGTGGGGTTGTTGGCATTTGGGTTGCGAACAAAAGCGGCATAAAATCAGCACAGACTCTAGCACAATCGACACTCGATATTATGGCCATCAATATCGCGCCGTCTACCGGTCCCAGTCCATCGCCAAAGACATCGGCATCTCCTCCTCCTCTATCAGAGTCCATCTCCTCGTCAGCGGTGCGATCGCCATCACCACCGCCGCCACCTGCAAGCCCTCTCACGCCTCCGGCGCAACCAGCCAAGCTTGCTGCCCCAACTCATACTCATACACTGCCCACGCAACCACCACCACCCCCGGCGCACTTCATAGAGCAGCCACCGTCGCTGCCCTTTTCCAGTCACGAATCAAGCGATGCCATAGCCTTGCGCGCCGCCATCTCTTCTCTCCAGTTTCAGCGTCTTCAGGCTCAACGCGACTTGCGCACTCTCGAGGACATCAAGCGCCAGGCTATTGAGCGCCCGGAAGAATACCGTCAACATGTGATTGCAACCGCCCAAGCCAAGCTGTCACCTCCACCATGGGCTATCAAGGACACATCAGATCGAGACATGGAAGACGATGAGGACGACGTTGTGCCTGGCGCTTCTAGCGTAACTGGACAGGATCCCTCTTCCACACAACGGGCATCTGCAACCAAGCCTTATCCAACCTCATATGGATCCATGCTGTCTTCACGACCAGTGGAAAGATCATCTCAGTCTTCTGGCTTCCCTGCTATTCCTCTTCCGCAAGCTGTCGTTCGTTGTCCGCCTATCGAGTGGGCCAAGTACAACATCGTTGGCAAATCTCTGGACAAGCTGCACCTCGACCAACAAACACGTCCTGGAGACGATGCTTCATCTCAGCGTGACAGTGTTGTCGCTGCCCCTTACAACCCCTTCCTGGACAAGCTAGATTCACGACCTGTTCAGGAAGCCACCACCTCCACAAGAAAAGACAGTGGCTCTTCTGCCTCGGACCGGAATTCCCACAGAAGACCCAGCAAGTCTGCCACATGACGTTGCCTCACGGGTTTCTTTGCTTCCCGCGCTACTCTACATGACATGATTTACGTGTACGGATATATATTATGAGCCACTACGTTTCAAGCAAAAAAGTATTTTCTTTGTATTCGCAGACTTTGCCTTTCAGCGTCCACCCCCGACAATCGCAATCTATTTCTAAACGCCAATCATATGAGAACAAAGCAGGTATTTTTATATTGACCTGGCGTTTTATAAGACATCAGCGGCTGCATATCTTGGCATTGTCGCAGTCCTGCTTTCTAGCACCACGTTGATAGCATTTCATTGGAATGCACCACACGTCATGCTTGATTCCTTGTAACTATGCTAGAAAAACCAAGCTAGGTCGTGTGCTATCGTCTCACAAACAAAGTGCTTGTTTCTTGTTGCTTCCAGCCCCTTTGCTCCGATTGACACATTTTTATATCCTTGTTTCCATTCCCATGCCCAACTCCATTAACACGAGAGCAACCCTCATACTACACTAATTTTCTACCCGTTTGGTTTCGAAGTCAGTATCGCGCTGCTCCCGATATGCGTCCTACGGCCTTGATCCCGGTGCTCTTTGGCCTCGCAGCATTCGTGCTGACAATGCTCTGTATATTTGCGGGAAGCAAGAGAGACTTTATGCAAGTGGGTAGATCACAGTATCTCCCAATCCTGACTCCTACTGATCTAAAACCAGGACTACTCTATCATCACACTAAACACCTCTCGTATCGGCACAAACGTCTTCAATACAACCTCCGACACAGACTCCGACTCCAACATCTTCGAATCCATCTGGGACAATGTAACCAACAGCATTGAGTCGTCCCTTAACGACAAAATCAACTCTTTCGCCCAAGATCTAGGTCTCCACGATTTCTACTCTGCACATTTGCTTGATTACTGTAGTGGCTACTACACACCTACCGATCTTCCCAACGCCACGGTCTCAAAGTCAGACATCGACCAGAACGTCACGTACTGCAGCAATCGCACCTCCTTCTTCCATTTTAACCCCACCACCGCGTTGGAGACAGAGTTGAACAAGACTGGACTAGGAATCACACTTGAAGATCTACATTGGCCAGACGCCGTAAACGATGGCATCCGCACCCTGCGTATCGCCCAAAAAGCTGCATTCATCCTCTACTGCATCTCTGCCGCCCTCCTCCTCATCGCCACCCTCGCCTCTCTCATCTCAGTTTTCTTCTCTGGCCGCTTCTCCGCTTTCATAGACATCTCCCTCTGGTTCCTCGCTTTCTTGGCCATTGCCCTGGCGTCTGCTCTTACTACTGCTGTTGCTGTCAAAGCTAGCAGTGTAATTAATAAACATGGCAGGAGTATTGGGGTGGAAGCGCAGAGGGGGAATAAGTTTATGGCGATTACGTGGGTTGCGACGGGGTTGGCGGGGTTGAGTGTTTTTGTTTGGGTGTTTGAGTGTCTGAGAGGGAGGAGGAGGGAGAGATATGTGGGGCATGTTGAGAAGTGAGGGATACTGAGATGTGACCTGTCTCCATTTGGGGAATGGTGAGGCTGGGTCTTGTCTTTTCTGAATTGCCGGTTAGGTGTAGTTTGATGATGGTAGTAGTGCTGTGGTATGTACAGCGATGTTCCAGATCCCGGTGGTGTAGATCTCTCCGACTTACCCCAGCATCTGCTGTGATTGTATCTTGCTGGTGGTCACTGAACGTGACTAGCTGTCAATTTCATATCTAAAGGAAGTTTCGACCACTCGTCGTCATTTGCCAGAGCGGATCCAGACAGACGAGTAGATGTTTCTGTTTCATTCGAGGGCTCCCTAGTACTGCTCAGATCTTTGGAACCTTCTCTCGGGCCTGCAGAAGAACAAATTTAAGAGCCTGGGATGTGAGATCTTGACAATGTTTATGATCACATCACCCTCCATCACAGGTTACTATATTTTGATCCTGCTCACAGACATTAGGAGCGGCAAGAGGAGCCAATCAATGACTAAACTACACCTCACAATCCCACTGTCCCTACCAGGCTCTACAAAGACATATACCGCCAGTCAAACAGAGATTCCTGTGGCCAAGTCTACCTGGACCTCCTCCATGACATTGCGTCAAAAAGGCAAGGATCAGAGTAAAAGGCCTGGAGTATGAGCGGGAACAAAGCCTTCGAAATGCTCAGTCTATACTGATTATAGCCCTCCCAAGACTATCACTTTGCTCTCACACCTACTTTACGCGTGTCTCGTTTGTTAAGCCCGGGCTCTTTGGTTCTCCAGTCTTTGTCGAAACCGCCTCCGAGTACGTCCACGTCCAACTACCAGAAATGGTAAATGCGAGTGAAGCATGTACACACATCGTACCAGCTACAGCTTATTGACTCGCCAAAATAGCGTCCCCCCCCCCCCCCCCCCAACATGCGTTCCATCAATATTGTAAGATGTGGTGAAAGCTAATGTAACTACTGCACAAAGAGCATACGCACAACTGAGTATCAATTTGGCTACTTGCGAGTAGAAAGGACTTGGTAAGCTCAAGAGTTTTGCAATTATTTAGGGGTTGGGAAGCAAGGTGTTAAGCTCTCATTTACCAAGCGCTCTGACAACAATATCCTAGACACCGATACTGAAATGAAAAAGCAAGCCATTGATTGTAGACGTCAGAAGCTTGCAACACCACTCTACACAACCCTCCTACTCACACGTCTATTCTCCCTCTGCCTCTTCAACTTCATAACATCTCTCCTCCTCTTCTTCCAAGCTCTGTTGCCATCACCCCTGTTTTCCCAGAACCACTTGCTAAACTCTGTTTCTTCTTGTCCTTCTGCCTTTTCCTTGACACCGAGGGGTTCCATGTTGGCATTCCACTCTTCCTCTGCGTAGCCCTCTGCATCTCCATATCCTTCCTCTTCAACATCTTCATCAGCGAATTTGTTGGCGAAAGAAAAGGAGAATTTCCGGCCGATGGCGGCCGTGTCGGGGGTTGGTGCTGCAGAGCGAATGTCGCGGGTGCGGGTGTATGGAGTAGAGGGATATGTGGGATCGAAGTCGTCGACCATTTCTTCGTCGACGTCTTCGGAGGTGATGCCGAAGGAGAAGGAAGTGTTTATGGGTGCAGGGCGGGGTGTGGTGTCTGTGGATGGCTTTTTCTTGAAGAGGGCTTCTAGAGGATGGACATCGCGGGGTGGGGTGGTTGGTTTGGGAGACATGTCCAGGGTGTCGGGTTGTGGTGTGGGAGAGTTTTTAGTGGGCGTTGATGCCTTGTCCTGTGCGGGCTCTTCGTCTTCGGATTCCGAGTCGGATGAGTCGTCCTTGGGTGAAGAGGCAGAGGTGGGTTCCTCGTGGTCTGCTAGGGCGGCAACTTCTTCGGCACCCTCTTTGATTTCTTCGGCGATTTCTTCCTTTTCAGCCTCCAGCTCTTCTTCTTTTTCATCGTCATCATCACTGTCATCACTCATTTCTTCGTCACTCTCCGAAGATACAACCGAACTCTCATCACTCGAGTTGTATCCTAGAGACTTTGCGCCAGCGGTGATGTCCTTGTGCATAGCGGGCTCCTTGGGGGCGGTAGGCTTGATCTTGATCTCGACAGGCGTATCCTTCATTTTGGCGATCCTGTCCTCTCTCTTCGGCTTGACGTGGACTTCCTCGATGACGTTTCCTTCTGCGTCCACCCATCCTTTGCCCTCGACAAAGTCGGCAGTCGCAGTGCCCTTGCCCGAGACTTCAGACTTCAAGAATGAAGGGACCGGTGTGTTCTTTTCAAATTCGTGGATGATGGCAATGTTCTTTGGTTGTTTCGTGTTCTTGCTCTTCTTTTCCTTGCCTTCTGCCTTTTGAGCCTTCATGACTCCTTCGGGTAGTTTTTGCTTGAAGAGGACTTCCTGCTTGGACGAGTACTTGGACTTTTCCCTCTTTGGTGTCTTGTCCTTCTTATCCGCCTTGTCGCCGCTGCTTGACTTTGACGACTTTTCCTTCTTCTCCTTGTTGTACTTTCCAGGCTCTTCAGTCCATCCACGCTTGACTTGTCGCTCATCAGGAAGTTCGTAGCCAGTAATCTCCTTGTCCTTTTTCTTGCTCGACTTTTCCTTCTTTGCCTTTTTGCGCGGCTGCTTTTCCTCTACCTCTAAGCCTTCCTCGTCATCCTTGTCGCGTCTCCTCCTCTTTTCCGGTTTCGCCTCCTGCACACTCATTTTCTGACCTCGCAGTGTTGCGCCGTTGAGCTTTTTGCGCAACTTATCAGCGTCGGCTCTGGGTAACTCTACAAAGCCAAATCCACGTTCGGGAAAAGTTTGCACCGTGTGGTAGGAGAGGTTTGTCGCGTTTGGTTGGATAGAGGCAGGGACGATGTTTTGGTACAGAGTTGCGTTGAAGGGGGTGATGTGGAGGCGTACGCGATCCGCCTCTGCCATTGCGTTGCTGATGTTTGGAAAGCGGTCGTCAGCACTGATGGTTGGTCTAGGAAAATTGTTAGGCGCGCGTTGGCTTTCTTCCATATGAAAAGACGCTCCGATTCGTCGACCCCGCATTGCGTGCTTGGCGTGTAGATTGAGCTGTGACCCGCTGTGTTCATCAGTCCGTCCATCGATCAACTATTCAGATGGTATTTTGTTTTGCCAATAATATAGACAAAAGATAAACATGAAGCAACGACTACAATTCCTCTTCTTCTGGCTGGCTCTGATTGTCCCAGCGCTATGTGCCAGTATGTCATTCTCATCTTACCATCCCATGACCCGACTGATCCCTTCCTAGCCGCAACATCCTTTTGCAAATGTACATGCTTCAGCAACAGCACAATCATCCCGTTGACAGACATACCTGGTGAAAGCACAGCAAAGAAGGCCACCTGCAATGATTGCAACAGGCAATTCTGTCTCTCATATAACCTTCCCATTTGCAAAGATGCAAAGGATGCAGATGTCTTTACTACATGCTTCCAAAGAGACTCGACCAAGGATCAGATGATCGTGTATACTTTCATCTTTGTTACTTGTGGATTGTTGATCTGGGCCACGATACGACCATATGCCGAGACATATCTAGAGGTGGGTTTGCCTGCCTGAACGTTCGCTGAACTTGATGCTAATAAAGCCTAGAAATTCCGTAATCGACATAGCTACAATCCAGTGGCGCAGAATGGCAACTAAGAGATTGATAATATTCGAAAAGAGCTTTGTGGCATGATACCCCCTCAAAATGTACAAGTGTTTTTTATATTCTTACAAGCAAAATGAATTGCGACACCAACCATCATCATCATACACGCAAGCCCATCATCTCCTCAACAGCCAGTTTGTCCAACTCTTTGACTTTTCCTGTACTGCCAGCACCGACGCAGCGGCTTCTCTGTCCAGCGGGCCTCCGACGACAGCCTCTGCACCAACCGTTTGAGGCTTCTGCCACTTGTGTTCCTCGACCTTGTCTTCCACAGCCTTGACGATACCCAAATCCTTGACCTGTTCCTTCACAGCAGTCGCAGTCTCCTTGATCTCTGTCGCAGCATCTGACGCAGCAGCTCTTGCGGCAGCACCCAAGTTTCCTCCTTGCTGTTCTTCCTTTGGTGCTGAGGAGAAGATGCGGCTGATCATGCCGGGTCTGTTCTTTTGTAGTTCTGCGGCTTCGACTTTGGTACGCTCTTGATTGAGGAGAAGGATCTGGTCTTCATCGGCGAGGCCTTGGTTAAAGGCTAGGCGGGCTTCGTTGACCTTGACTTGGTGTTTGGCGTGTTGGTCTGCGAGCCATTCGTTACGCTTGCGGCGGTTGTGCATGAGCATGTCTCCGATTGCGAAGGATGCGGTTACTCCGGAGATGACTGTGAGAGGAATGTCAGAATAGTGTTCCGTTACTACCATGTTGCTTGTCGCCCTCGAGTCTCGCCTTGCTCTTTCCTCTTCGACGCGTCAAACATAGGGCAAAGTGTAGCGCATACCGGTCAAACCTATCAGTGAATAGGCAGTCAATCTGTGTGCTCTGTCCGCCCATCTTCTTCCAACTCTAACGATCGCATCGAAAGTCGATTCCTTGCCCGTTCGTGCTCTTGAAGCAGCAGCTCTTAATCTTGCAATCTTTTGCTGGGGTGTCTCTCCGGAAGGTGCGCCATGACCCATCTGCACTGGAGTGGGTGTGAACTGGCCCTGAGGTTTGGCACTGGCGTACGGTGTGGTAGCCGTGAAGCGAGTGGCATCTGATGCTGATCGCGCCATGTCCGAGGTGTGTTGTACTTTTCCTGACTCTTCAAGATCGATCGAATATACTGTCCAGTTTGGAATTGTTCAAGTGTGTTTATCGGGTATTTCAGGGTTGGTGGAAGCAATTGTTGGATGATCGATGGCCGCAACGCTTCAAAACTTCAATGATGTCGAGAAATCGCAACTTCTTGCATCTTGCATGATCATGTCTTCTTGGCGTTTCCTTCGGCTCCTGTCTTCCGCGCCATGATCGAAGCCCTGACGCTAACCTTTTTGGTCAGCATGGATGTTTCCCGTTGGCGTCTTCATGAGGGCAATTGATCATTAACACTCAGTAAATTTACAATAGCAAAGGAAGTTCCCCATCAGAAACGAAAGCGACATGACAGATCCGACGGTTCCACCCGATCTTGCCTCAATTCTTGCCACGCTCGCACAATTTGCGCCTCAGCAACAAGATCAACAGCAACCTCCACAATCAACAGCCACACCTCCGGCCATCACAGATCCTAGATTACAAAGACGTCAACAAAATCAGATCATCCAATCCTCAAATCAGACTTTCCACAGCCAGACATCATCACAGCTCCAGCACAATGACCATCAATCGTCAAATTCCTACAATCCTCAAGCTGCAATCTTCCAGCCTGTCAAACCACAGGGAAGATCAGCACCACCACCGCCAAGAACATCAACACCTCAGCAGCAGGAACAAACCATCATCGACCCTGCTACTATCACCGAGTGGTCTGCAGGATTGAGATGCGTGACTAAGATTGCCGCGCAGAATCCTGGCTTTGCAGAGAAGATTCGAGGTGTAAGTTACTGCTAAATGTGCTGGTGGATAGCTTTGTCATCAGAAACTGACAGCTGTCGCAAAAAGTTGATCAACGATCAACGAAGAAATGAAATGCAATGGTGAGTCTTGAGAAGTTATTTCTCACGCATGAAAAGTTGAAATTGACATCAAAAAAACAGGTATTCAAGTAGACAAGCACTTAAGCAAATGCAAGCAAAGAGATCAGCAAGTTCAAATGAGTTGCAGAATATCCTGTGCGTTAATTGCTCTCCTCTCTGGCTGTTCACCTATCCTCGCCATCTCTCCGTCGTCACATCAACAAGCCTGTCTTCTTGTCTAATACATCATTTCAGAAAATCCGTCGGCAGCATGACAAGCCCCTCTATACCCCAAACTCCCGAGGAAAAAGCAACGGAACTAGCCCTCTTTGATCAAAAACTCTACAAAGCTCAAGTGGATATGAACGAGTCAATGTCTTTGACGTTGAAGCATCTCGGTGTGCCATTCTTCGGTACTCATGCTGCGTTGATATTACCCGATCATAATAACCTCAAAGACGAAGAGGGAAAAGTCATTGATGTGCAGGGAGAGAGACCTAAGTGGTCGCCAAGAGTTACAGGCAAGGAATTATTGGAGTTGAAGAGGAGGATGGTGGGGTATCTTGAGGATATGTACAAGAGTTGAGAACTGAGGATGAGAAGAAGGGCTGGAGAAGAGGAATGAAAGGTTACCTATGACAGAGATTTGGAGTGCCGGAGATAGATTTCATTACCAAAGAACAAATTACTTTGAAAGAGAACAAGGGGTTAGTGAAAGAAAGCTATACACTAAATTCGGAAAGTATTGCTTCTCTACAGCTGGTGATTTGATTACATGCTGGTCTCGTTTCTTGGGCATTTCCAGTCCACGCTTTGCGAATGTCTCAGGACCATGACACTGTCAGTGTCTAGCAATTCGAAGCATGCTCTATTCTATAGCAGGATTCATGATTTCGCCACGTTCTTATCAGAAGTAATTGTGTCTACCTACGCCTAGGAATTTCACTTGAGTCGGTGTAGCGCACCATCTAGCAGGACTGGTGCATCGTAGCTCCTCTATCCTTGAACTTTCAGGAAAAGAGACGCCTGCCATTATGTCAAACTGATGCGTGCTCGAGATAATATCAATCATTGTGCTCTTAGGTAATCATTGCTAGAACTGTTCTTCCTCGGGCGCTGTTTTTTCCCCTTTTATGCCAGATGACAAAAGAGGAAGAAAAAGGTGACTGTTGTTTCTTGTCGATCTCGTGATTAAGCCACATGTCTGAATAATCAAGCTGCAGGTGCATAGCACACAAAGTCAGTACCTATGAGATGTAGAAGAGGAATGCGTGAATAAGATGATTGATGATATAGTGAGATTGACATCAACACTATGATTCTAATAAACTACATGGAAAAGAATGGAATATTGATACAAAGAAAAGATGAGAAACGTATCAAAGGAAAGTCATAAGTTAGTTTTGGGGACGATTCATTACTCCCGATATAACGGTCAAATGATTCTTGATATTTGGAAAAGAAATTGAACCCGATTTTTCTGCATCGAAACTTGCATCATTCCTCACCACTTTTTTCGGGCTTTAGTTTGCAACGACCCACAGGCCGATGGGGCATGGATTCCAGTCCTGGAAGAAGTCGATTTCTTTATCGCCAGTGGCAGTAAGCTCGTATGAGACGGCCTGGCCAAGTGCACTGCAGTCACCAGTGGTGATGGAGTAAGCATTTCCAGTCTGCACACCCTTCTCACCAAAGTCCTTGGCAACAGCAGGTTGGTTTGCAAAAGTAACCTTCTCATCAACAGCACTCTTCAACTGCTTAAAGTCCACACCACCGTGTCCAGACTCGGAGACAAAGGAAGTCTCGAGTTGAGACTGAGTGGGCAAGGTAAAGACCAACTCGCATTGCTTGCCAGAGTAGGATTGAGGAATGTCAAAGGTGAAGATTGTGCTGTTGCCGTTGCCGATGTAGGCGTTGTATTGGGTGCCGTAGGCGGTGGAGGGGGAGTTGCTGTCGACGGGGATGATGAGGCGGGGCTTGAGGTAGGAGTCTATGCCGGGGAGGTTTCGGGGGCAGTTTCCGGTGCCGGAGGGAGTGGTAGAGGGCTGTTGAGAGGAAGAAGCCTTGGGTACGGTGGCAGGAGGCTGCGAGACGGTAGTGGGCTGGGCAACTGAGGTGGTGACTTGCTCTGTGACAGAGGTGACCTTAGTCTGGGTGACAGGGGGCTGCTGAACAGTGGTAGGTTGTTCAATAGTTGTGGGCTGCTCGATTGTGGTCTTCTGAGTGATCTCCTCAGTGACGGGAGGCAAAGTTTGCGTTTGCGTTTGCGTCTCCTCCTCGGTGCGGACAGCAGTTGTGGTCAGCTCTTCGGTCTTGTAGACGGTGGTGGTCTCCTCCTGTGTCTTGTAGACAGTGGTAGGGACTGTCACTGTCTCGTGGACTGTGCTGTATTGAGTTTGGATCTGGTAGATGGTCGTAGGGACCTGCTTGACCTCAGTCTGGTAAGCAGTGTCGGTGTGCTCTTGAGTCTGAGTCTGGACTTGAGTCTTGTACACAGTGACAGGGACCGTGACATCGTTCTGCTGTGTAACAGTCTTCTCAATAGTAGAGGGCCTGCACTGCTCAGTAGAGACCAAAACTGAGACGGACACAGAGGGAGCAGGTGTCGAGACAGAAACGGATACTGCAGTGGTCGCAGGAGGAGCAGAAGAGGCAGGAGCCGACGAAGGAGCAGCACACTTTCCATCAACACTGCTCAAGCCAACCTTGACACACTTGGGCATGTTGTCAAGAGGCTTGGTGTAGATGTTGTAGTTGCCGTTGTCATCAACAGGGCAAGCGTAGAAGGTAGCATCGCCGTTGAATACAACCTGCCCAGACGCAGCAACAGAGAAGCCTCCGGTGGGAGAGGCACCTTGGTCACATTGGAACTGAGTGGTAGGACCAGTAAGGATACAGCCTCTACCATTCTTGTCGGTGATCTGACCATTGTCGATACAGTAGGTGGCACCAGATTGGTTAGGACCAAAGCGGTTCTGGCCGTCACTGAGCTGACCAAGAGAGCCACCCTGAACACCGTCGCCAGAGACATTAATGCCAAAGCAGCATGATGACTGTCTGGACTGGAGAACGCGGGCAGATGCGACAGACGCAAGAGCCAATGATTGGAGTGTGTACTTCATTTCGGACTTTCGACAATGAAATAGTACTGTGAGCGAAGGTAGAAAGCGAAAGGAAGAAGTAGAAAAGAGTTGAAACTTGCTCTTGTTGTCTCAAGAGTTACCAGGTGGTTGTGGATAGAAAAAGAAGACTGGAGAGGTCGAGCAGCAGCTCTTTATAGAGCACTTTTCGTAGCAAGCATGCATGATCGACATGTATCGTCGATGATCACCAGCGAGTCTTCCAGCAGATGTCATATGCATGCCTCGCACGAGCGTGGAGACGGGACTGGAGAATTGAGTTGGGAATCACAAATCAGATTGTATCCCAGGTCGGTTCGAGTGCAGGAAGTGGAGGCGGCTGACGAAAGGTTTCCTCTTAGGTAAGTAAATGTCAAGTCTCGACATCATGTCGTCCACCTAGGCTGCAGGTGTCTGACTCAAATGGTCTTGCCCAACAATAGAAGGTGACAATTGACACGAGGGAATAAGGTACTCGAGTACAAGCGGATATCACTTCCAAATGCTGCCTTGTCGATTGAGTTTACCCACCATCAGCAAACTTGATTTCAGGAGGATTCGGTTTGTCACTTTCACGTCTCTATCAATACCTCGTAGCGACTCACAGACTCTGATCCTACGCGTGTTGCGCGAGTTTCTTGATGCGAGCAGATACCGCGTGTACGGTTTCAGTGTGTTGATAGGAAATACTGATGCCCACGTTGCACGGATGCCGGCGGCAGGGCCGAAGAGGAACTGGTAAGTCAACATGAAGATCGCGGCGACATCAGACCCAGCAAGACTGCCTGTCGATACGTGCAAGTACGAGTGAGGGTAAGATGACGAAAAGTTGGAGAAAGATGAACGAATGATGTTAAGAAGGTCGAAACCCCTGCCGCCTTCCCGTTGACTTTACTGGGGTATTTGTGGGGTACCTCAGGAACAAGAAGCAAATCAAGCACATCAAGCAAAAAATAGCAACCGGAAGACGGGTGGGAAAGACGACCGAGAAAAAAAGAAGTGCTTTTTGGATAACTTGTGGTTGTTCCTGCAGGACTTTTGCAGTGGTTGGTGAAAGAGCGGAGTTGTCGGCGCCAAGCTCGAGTAAGATCAGCAAGACTCCTTCTCTGTTCGGTCTTCTCCTGACAGCAAGCTCGACCTCCCGCTGTCGCACATCGCTCATCGCCATCACGGCAGGAGCTTTATGTCATGCGGTTGACGCGGCCCGCGGGAATCGTCGCTCCCTCGTTCAAATTGTAGCCTGAGACTCGAGAGCCTTGAGGCCTTGCAAGGTTGTGCGAGGTCGCTTGGGGGGGGGGGGGGGGCAAGCACCAGATGTGGGACTGCTCGGAGCCTTTTTTCCTCACGGATCAACCCAATCCAAGACTATGACAACCTTCAAGATGTGTTACCTTTCCGGAGAATCAGCTCCGTGGATCAGCGATGAGAAGATCAGGTACCCAGTCTTCTGCCTTCGACCGTTCCTTTGTAGCTCTGCAACCTTCGCCAGTCCACGAGACAGTCTCGCTTCCATCTACCATGCTCTGATGCATCGATGGAGTCATTCGACTGGCGCACAGTCGCTAGAGGCTGCCTACTCGAGTAGATGCTCCTCAAGCTTCACAACGTGTCTGACCTCGGACATCATGAGGACAGAAAACTCCACTGGATATGACGCTTGCATGTCCTTGCAAATTCAACACCCCAACGACTCGTGTAGATCCATCCACCTGGGTATAACGCACTCTCTTTGTTCATCGCGCTATTGCGCCAAGCACTGGGTGCTCTCCTCCATGTCCACTACCCAGATAGAGGGCTGTAGAAATGCACAGTCATTTTGCAAACGACCGACACGATTCACGGAGAATTGCTTGTATCATACGAGTCCTTTCCAGGAATCGTGTATAGATCTATCTCCTCATGCCCGACCTGCTCTTCCTCATTCACCACACTACTTCGCCAAACCATTGTGTGCTTGGTCTCTTGTTCTTCATAATGGGTGCGGCGAGGCTGGCGAGATATTATGAGTCCCGCAACGTGTATGCAGATACGACACTGGTGTCCGTGACCTGTTTCGATATATAGCCTTATTTCGTGCCTCGTATAGGGTGTAAAGAGGAACGTGAATGAAAGCAAGAGTGCAAACCGGAGGTGGGGATACTTGTCTTTACTTGTTCGAAGTGGTACCTTGATGGATTGATTTAGTGATTCGTGAGTAGAGCGGTCTTTGAGCTGGCTGTGAAAATGCAGAAGTGCTTTCGGTTTAGGTAGTACAGTCGGGGAGAACGACTTATTCTGTCTGGACAGGTCGCTTCATTGCGCTCCGACTTGGGTTCACAGCCTGTCCACTGAATTCATGCAGTAGACCAGATCTCAGTATGTCCTTGTCACGGAGGTACTCGAGTATCCTCTCAGCTTGACTGACCCCGTCAAAAGACGAGGACCGAGGTATGCACTCACAGCCATCCCCGATCACTTCCCCTCGGTGACTGGCTTAAGCGACTGCATCGCTCTTGACCATCACCAGTGTCTTCTTTCTATCACCCTGGTATGACGAGATGAGCGACGCGAATGCGATTAGGGAGGCATGACGACGGGGCTATTCGAGGCTCGACGTGCTGTGCTCGTAAGGAGACTTTGACGGCCGACCAGACAGCGATCGTACGAGAGGTCGTGTGCGCGATGTTTCTTGGCGCATTGACGCGTACATGTGATAGGAGAGTAAACTCATACTGCTCGGCTTCAAGGTGTTCATTTGAAGATATTCGGGGCTGAGGGAAAACCGATTGTCAATGACACAATATTTCTAGTAAACGAACAGCGAGAGGAAATTGACACGTCATAACTCGGCCAGGGTAATCCGTTCAACAACATTTTCGACAAGTTCTGAATTGCTGGTCGCGATAGCACCACGTATAAGAGGTTCAAAGTGACAAACAAACACCTATGGTACTCCTAATACGACGGAGAGTACTCCATGGGTAATCCGACCTATATTGACTTTGTTGTCGTGACTTAGGGGTAATTTTCTGTTTGTGATATGTAATTCCAAACAGTTCAACAGCTGATCACACACACCCGCACCTGTCCTCCCTGTCTCTGCTCGATGATGCATAAAATGGTCTACGGAAGATATGCTGGTTAGAGCAACATCCGTTTATCATCGTCGAAGGTCATGAATGAACTATGCTTGAATTCTGTACTTGAAGTTCTATGCTTACATTGATCTTGGTGGTCAGAACGCATTCGAGCATCGCGTTTGTGCGTCGCGACTCTCATGCGTTGATTCTGAGCGCACCGTCTGTCTTACACGTCCACCAGTCGATGGAAATACGACCCCAGTCCTGTGTACTACATGAAAGCGCTTTGCCTCGCAAAAAGTGCCGTATGAGGTTCATCAGTGTCGGAGCCGCAATGCCTCGTCGGCATCGTTGACTTGTTCTCACAGGGCGCGCGCGTTGACTGGATGATGCCTCGCGATGGGCAAGTGAAACGCACGACCAGCTCGCTCTTGTCGGATCCTTCGCTAAGGATCAGGCACGCGACCATCATTGCTGCTGTAGGTAGACGGTGGCAGGATGGAGTTCTAAGTCACACCCAGCCACGTGCATGAACGGCATCTTGCCTTGCTCGCTTGGCCGCATCGCTTCATGGATGATATTGACGGAAGCATGCCATACTCTTATAAATATTGCCTTCCCACGTGGCGGCAGCGCGAATTCTGAGACCGCCGGCGATCTGATATCTGGTCCATCCCACGCAAGACCAATTTGCTCAGGGCAACCCGAAGAATCGGGCTTGTATAGGAGACACCCAATACCGTATACCGAACCGAAGGCAGGAAGCTTTTTGGACATCAAAGGTAAACCTCTGCCAAGTGCCCGAGAAGAGGGGTAAACTGATGCTTTCCTCCACTTCATGAGGGGAAGAACTGGGCGAAGATGGAGTGATGCTCATGAAGTTGCGAGATTCTTAGCGAAAAGAGCCTTGGCATGGCAATTCACGCCCGCAATTGTTACGATCACCCGTGCCTCGCATATGCACAGCATCATCGCTCTCAGTTTGCAGGACCGGCTTGACATCTTGGCTCCATTCGATGAACTCAAAATCACTAGATTCGTCCTTGCTTCCAGGGACTTGGCCTACGCAGGTGGAAGGCTCAAGCAGTTCCTCCACATATTTTCGCATGGCACCTTCCCGTTTTGCCATGATGATGTTGCGTTGTAACGGCGACGAAGCTTTTGAGCTATTCCAAACGACATACAGTACCACCTCGGCGTACGTGCCTGTGTCTCCGAAAAAACCGCCGTGTATATGATCGATGTTCTCAATTGGATGGGCTCTGGTGGCTGTGCTACTTACGATCTGCCAGTATAAAGCTGGATCTCCCTCGCGCGAAGCTGGTCGAGACAGATTTCGACTTCCGAAGATGTTGCTCAAGGCCTTCTACGGACTCGCGCTATTGCGCAGCGTCTCTGGCGCCGCTGTGCAGCGAAGACAGACAACTGGTAATATCGATGACTGTCCTGGATACTCAGCAACGAACATTGTCAACACCGCTACTGGCCTCACTGCTAAATTGACCTTGGCTGGAGCGGCGTGTAACGCCTACGGAACGGACATCCAGAACCTTGTTCTTGCTGTGAATTACGACTCGGGTAAGTCTAACGACCACCAATCAACCAATCCATTTTGTTCTGACAGGTTCTAGAAAAGCGACTACATGTCAAGATTGAGGATGAGGGCAAAGTCGCCTACCAGGTGCCAACTAGCGTGTTCCCAACACCAGACAGCAACAATTCGGTGCCATCTAGTGATGCTACCCTTGCTTTCTCGATGGAGCAAAACCCCTTCAGCTTCAAGATCACTCGTAAATCAAACCATGAAGTCCTCTTCGACACTTCGAAATCGCCTATTGTCTTCGAGGACCAGTACCTCCGTCTGCGTACTGCTTTGCCTGAGAACCCTAACATCTTCGGTCTTGGTGAACACTCTGATTCTTTGCGCCTGAACACAACCAACAACACCCGTACGCTGTGGTCAAGAGATGCCTATGGTATCCCTTCAGGCACAAATCTCTACGGTAACCACCCTATCTACTTTGATCACAGAGTGGAGTCAGGTACCCACGGTGTCTTCCTTCTCTCAAGCGCAGGTATGGATATCAAGATCAACAAAACCGAGGCAGACGGTCAATACCTCGAGTACGACACTATGGGAGGTGTCATCGATTTGTATATCCTGGATGGCCCAACTCCCATCGAGGTTGCCCAAGAGTACAGCAGTGTCACCCAAAAGGCCGCTATGATGCCCTACTGGGGCTTCGGCTTTCACCAATGCCGCTATGGATATCGCGATTTCTACGCCATTGCCGAAGTCGTCGCCAACTACAGCGCTTCCGGTATCCCTCTGGAAACTATGTGGACAGATATCGATTACATGTAAGTTGTGAGCGGAGAAATTCGGCAGAGCATTTTCACTGACTTTTTTTCCCTAGGTATGAGCGATACATCATGACGACCGATCCTGATCGTTTCCCTCTCGCTCGTGTTCGTGAATACGTCAATTATCTCCATGAGCACAACCAGCACTATATCGTGATGGTGGATCCCGCTATTGCTTACCAGACAAAGCGTGAGTACGGTCTGCCTTACGAGGCGTTCCTTCGTGCTCGCGATCAGGGCATCCTTCTTCAGAAGAATGGATCTATCTACCAGGGTGTTGTCTGGCCCGGTGTTACCGCATTCCCTGACTGGTTCCACCCTGATACCGCGGCATACTGGAACAGCGAGTTTGCCGAGTTCTTCGACGCCGAGACTGGTGTCGACATCGACGCACTTTGGATCGACATGAACGAAGCTGCCAACTTCAACTACTTCAATGCGAACCCTCAAGACAGTGCGGAGGACCGTGGCTTCCCTCCTACTAGACCTGCAATCAGATCGGCGCCTCGTCCCATCCCTGGCTTCCCTGCAGCATTCCAGCCTAACGCCAGTAGTCCTTACCCTCCTGATGATCTCGCATACGCTCCTCCATGGCTCGCCCCTGCCTCTGATCCTGGAGCAACCAAGCGTTCGGTTGATGCGCACAACAAGCCTACTAAGCGCTCAGTCGGTCTCCAATTCTCGCCTCTAGACAAGCGTCAGTCATCTGCACGTATCGGCTTCCCCAACCGCAACCTTCTTGCACCTCCTTACCAGATTGACAACGAGAATACTGTTGAAGCCTACGGCGGTGTCTCAAACAACACTCTTGATACTGATATCGTCCATTATGATGGTCATGTTGAGCTTGATGTTCACAACCTGTACGGTACTATGATGAGCACTTACTCCAGAAATGCTCTTGAAGCTCGCAGACCTAACAGAAGACCAATGGTCATTACTCGTTCGACTTTCGCTGGTGCTGGTAAGGCAGTTGGCAAGTGGCTCGGTGACAACTTGTCAACCTGGGAGCTGTATCGTCAGTCTATCCAGGGTATGCTCGACTTTGCCGCTATCTACCAGGTACCCATGGTTGGTAGCGATGTCTGCGGCTTTGGTGGAAACACCACTGAGACACTATGTGCTCGTTGGGCATCTCTGGGTGCTTTCAACCCCTTCTACAGAAACCATAACGGTGACAGCTCAATCCCTCAGGAGTTCTATCTCTGGGACACTGTTGCAGAGTCCGCTCGCAAGTCGATTGAGATTCGATACAAGCTTCTCGACTACATCTACACTGCGATGCACAAGCAGAGCGTGGACGGTACCCCGCTCATCAGCCCCATGTTCTTCCAGTATCCCCACGACAAAGCTACCTCTTCTCTCGACCTTCAGTTCTTCTACGGCGACGCGCTGCTGGTCGCGCCTGTCACTGAAGAGAACTCGACCAGTGTGGACGTTTACCTCCCTAACGACCGCTTCTACGACTTCAAGACCTACGAGACAGTCGAGGGAGCTGGGGCAAACAAATCTCTCACAAACGTCGGCTTCACTGATATTCCTCTTTACATTCGTGGCGGATCTATCATTCCTATGCGCAATGCCTCTGGTTACACAACCACTGATCTGCGCAAGCAGCCCTTCAACATTGTCATCGCCCCTGGACGCGATGGAAAGGCAAGTGGGTCGCTGTACCTTGACGATGGCGACAGCATCAAGCAGAATGCCACTTCTGAGATCACCCTCGAGTACGAGAACGGTGTCCTTTCCGTCTCTGGCTGCTTTGACTACCAAGCCGAGGACAACCGTGTCGTTCAGGTCACTCTTCTCGGTCAGAAGAACCACTCTGGCGGGACACCTCAGTGGAAGCAAGATGGTGATGGCCAAGAATGGAGCAAGTGCGGAGATAATGACTGGAGCTACGATAGTTCTACTCATCACCTTCTGGTACAGTTCGATCAGAAGCTGACTGGTCCCTTCGTGGTTTCTGTATGATAAGTCTCATGAGACAAAAACTACAACCTAGTTCGGTAACCCAGTAAATCAGTTACCTTCGTATGCCCCCATGCTAGAGTCAAGTTACGCTAGATAGAAGCACAAATTCAACAAGAACAGAAAACTTTGAGCTGATGTCTCATAATCACTGCCAATTTCGCAATCTTCTTTGTTCGGCTGGAGTGACCTCGACTTGTCTCTTTTCTTCCAAAAAGGCGGAGCACCTGTGTACGAGTATAGCAACAACTAGTTCTTCTTGCAGGTGGAAATGAGGTCGCTTCGACTGTCAGAAGCTACATTCGAATTCTGGAGGTCTGTGTTATAACGGTTGGGTCTAGCGAGTCAAGCGCGCGAGTCCAGCGAAGAAGAGAAGGTCGGATAGAGCTTCGGCTAAACCAAACAGGTGCTCCAATAAACTCGTAATACAGTGATAAACTAGGTACTCAGCAAAGGCAGGATTTGATTCCATACGATGAGACACAGATTGCATAATAAAAGGTTTGGATAAAAGGTTTGCATAAAAGTCTAGGGTAGCAGATTTTTCTACTCAAGCCCCTCCGCGAGTATCCCGAGGCTCACCCAGAGATGTGGCCGCAACTTTGATCCAGGACAAGTCACATTGTGTGCACGATCATCTCACGTCCATCGACAAAAAGGACCATACACTTTTCATCCTTGAACAATCAAGTACATCCATCTGCACGGTTGCTGATGCAGACATCGGCAGCAGCTCTCTTCTTGCTACCAAGAATGCGGTTAGCCTGGGCGCTCCAGTTATCGAAGTCAACAGCACCCAATGCATCAGAGACCATCTGCTGTGCATAATTGTGGTTCCATGACTCGACTCTCGACCAGGAGATACAAGCATTAGAGCCATCAGCGTTATTACACCAGGATCTGGGCGAAGAAGGGAAGTTGGCGTAAGCAGCATTGCCAAGTGCACCGTAGAGAATCTGAACGGCACCTCTGTTGGCCACGTGAGCAGCACTGCGGACCCAGGACCATCTGGAGCGCTTCTCGATATCAACGGAACGCTCTTGAACTGTGCTGTATTGGGCACAGGCGTCGACGCTGGCGGCCATGTCGCCGCTCAACTCGTTGCACTTCCAGTTCAGGTCGGCAGCTTGGTCTGCTGTCATAGTTCCCGCCATGGTGACGTTGAGGAATGCGGTCAGGACGTCGTCGGTTACGCCTGATGAAACAGCAGAGGCGTAGCCCTGGATGGCTTCGATTGCGAGGGCGGGCTCAGGCGAGACGTGGTAGTCAAAGTCGGTTGCAGGTGCACCGAATATGGTGGGAGATACGTTGGACAGGTAGATGAAGGCACCAGGGGTATCCGAAGATGTCTCATATAGAGAAGGAGAGGCTCCCTCTACAGGTAAAGCTGCAGCGACAGGGATCTGGTTGTAGAGGGCGATGCCGATGGCAACACCAGCGACGGAGGCAGCTGCCTGAGCGACTTTCTTGCCAGACATCTTGTTATTGTGTAAAGTGAAGTAGAGAATAGACTTTGGAGCTGGGTTGGTGCAAAAGAACTTGCGCTGTACAAGGGAGATCTTCGAAGGTGAGTGATATCCCTGTGATCGGGGCTTGAAGGCACTTTATATAACCAGACTTTGGTCGTAAGTCTGGCATGTCGACACGTGTGTATAGCTATGGATCAATTGCTGCGGCCGTAATTGCAATGTGTTCAGAGAGGCTTTCGTTAGTATAGACGCCGTGCTGTAGATAGTACGCCAGACACGAGCGACGTTGGAGGATGGAGCGGGGGCAAGGAGGCAGAAAAGATGATTAGAAAGAATGACTTCGACTAGCACCTGCTGCCTGTGCACAGCGTGGAACTCTGTTGCTTGACGGCGCCCCAGAAGTGTGTCCATGAGCTTCTTTCTGTACATATACTGCGACGAACAAGGAGGCAGAGGGAGCATGATGCCAGATAGAATGGAAGCGTGATATACAGCAGAAGTGCCGAGTCTCGTAAAAGATAGGAGTCATGTCCGATTGGGTCGCAACGTTTTCCATATCTCAAGCGGCAGAAGTCTAAAGTCTTGTAGCAGATGAAAGTCATTACCGACGATGTTGCAGGATTTTCGATATATTCTATTGATGTAAGTGGAAGGTGAGGTATGGGGAGCCGGACTCAGATTGGCTAGACAGGATCGAGGGTCCGAATTGAAGCCACGGTTGCACACCCCGTCGTTGGAGCATCAAGCACTGCTAGGTCGCCGGTATTTTGGCCGAGAAGCTTGGTAGATGACAACCGTCGTGGAGCCGACTTGGTACAAGTGCTTGTACTTGACAACATATTGGACCTTGTCCTGTAGCAGTCCAAGATATGGCAAGGGAAGTATCATTCCCTCGAAGACTCGAAGCAAGCCATTTGTTAGTATGAAGCTTTTCGAATTGAGTTTCCAGGATAAGGACAACCACGACGTAGTCAGCAAAAAATCGCTCATGGCTGTTTCAGCGAGAGGTCTGCTGCTCTTCAAGGTCTGCAGAGCCGCCGACACTCAACATCGCTTCCCTTTGCAGCCGGACTTCGGGAGATTATGTCTAGTCCAACTGTTGACTGAGTGCAATTCGTCGCACCATCTCTGCCTTCCAGATCAAGTCAAGCTCCAGATATCGAACCAGAGCGCGAAGGATTTAGCAAGATGACTAGTACAATCCTTTGAGATACCGGTATCCGTTCATCTTCACATGACCTCCTCTTTTGCGAGAAGCCGCCGCTCCACACACTGGGTGCGATATAATGTAGGTTGCCCGTACATGACATCTCCGACTAATTCGAGAGGGAGAGAGAGAGAGTAGACACTCTCCTGGCAGTCGAAAGATCGCGGTCGATCGTTCTAGGAAGAAGAGGAGATGGAGAGAACTATGAGGAGAGGACGGTGTAATACCAGTGGAGTGTGGAGTCCAAAGTTTACTGAAAACGCTTCTGTCGGTCTGCTGGACTGAGCAATTTCGGCCACTTGGCCCAGGTGTACGTTCACAATGCCCCTTGGGTGCGGTGTAGGATGATATGGTCCCTTAGCGAGTCTGGATGTAAGAGACGCGCCGGAATGATTGCTCTTCCAGTCCAAGCATGCATGGCGAGATACTCATGCGAGGATAGCAGAATTTAACTTCTGTAATGCAACGAGCTGCATAACTTGGAACAACCCCACCGTACCCTCGGTAGACTTCGAAGCTCGCCAAGACCCTCATCCGTGACCATAATCTGACTTGCGGGCAGGCTGATGACAGACTGCTGTGCTGCTATGTCTGAGCCTAACAATATCAGTCTAATTGTGCGTGATGCGCACCTATACTTAACAGGCATTTGGTACAATAGACAACAACTATGTCCTGTGTTATAGTGGAACAGCATGGCAGATAGTTTAGGATTCTGGTCATCCGACTTGGAGACATCAGATTTTGCCAGAATCAATGCAAGCGCTTTGACCGACTAAGATATCTGGCCATAATTCATAGCCTCGCCTAGACATACCCCACACGCCACATTTCATCCTCTAATTACTCTGCTTCACCAATCTCCCGCCTTGACTCGCATCGACACGGCCATACCAAGGTCCAAGCAGACATTCCGCCATTCAAGATCCTCATATAATCTGCACTAGTGGTCCGGAGCGTCCGTCTTAACTTCGTATATTGTTCAGCTCAGCTCTGGATTTTCCAATATTGAAGCCTCTTGTCGTCTTGGGGTCTCCATCACACTTCAATGCACCGAGTCGTCTTGCTGAAAGCTTCGTCCCCGAGCATTGCGCCTCATGCGGATTGGTGTAAGTGCCTCAGCCCCAGAAGCCCTCTAGACGCCTCTATACCTACACGAGCCTGTTTTCGGTCAGTGGCCAGCCATGTTCGGCTTGTTTGCTGCATCACCTCTTTCCATCTATGGCTTTGTGTTTGTCATCACTGCTGAAAGAGGCCCGAGTACTATAGAAACTGCGAACTCAGAGGAGATGACCGAGAGAGTACCAAGACATTGGTACACAAAGGTAAGTCAGAGTCTTAGATATAAGAAGGGCCAAACCTCCTTCCATGCAGAATATCATCCGCACTCGATCATCACAGATCAATCGGGTCGATCCTTCTTTCTTTCTTAATTCTCTCAGTCGTTCATTCTCTCCTAACATAGTCACTCCTTCCAAACATCATGCGTTACTCTCTGGCCGTTCCGGCTCTTGCAGCCTTAGCCGCAGCTCTCCCTGCTCCTCAGGAGATCGACCTTGACATGGTCATTGCACAGCCTGATATTTCCTACACCACCACCGCCTCCAGCGTTACTTACGATGCCACTTCTATTGCTGCTCAGGCGACCGAGGACATCACCTCCGTCTCCGTCGACCTCAGCGCTATCGCTACTCAGACTGCCGTCGTAGCCAGAAGAAACGTCGGAAAGAGAGCCGCATGTGCTGCTCAGCCCACTGGAGTTGCTTCCTTCGCTGTCAACACTCCGGATGACACTGCTTCTGCTTTCGCAGTCAACTCTGCTTTTGCTGCCGCTGCCTCCGCCGCTCCTGTTCCCTCTGGCTACTCGAACACCTTCACCAACTTGAATGCTTCCAACAAGTTCGTCTCTTTTAGCGCCAAGGCAGACATCCGAGATTGACAATGCTACAGTGCTTACGGATACATGGGTTACACTACCCTGTCAAGCTATGACACTGAAAAGTGTGCTAGCAAGTGCAGTATGTTAAAACAACTGTTAGAGACACTCGAATATGTACGCTGACCATTTTCAGACGCCATCAATGGTTGCATGTCCTTCAACTTGTACTTCGAACGCGACCCTTCCGTGGAGCCTGCCGCTACTTGTACCGATCCTGCAAGTGTTACCATGATCAAGTGCGTATTTTGGGGAGGTCCGGTATCACAATCCAACACCAACAACTACGGCCAATACCGTAACAAGTTCCAGTAAGTCCTAGTCAGAGATATGCAGAGATCATGACTCTGACTTCATCAAGGGTCGTCATTGCTGGTTCCAACGGATACATGAACAACACCCTCGCTGTGCCTGAAGGCTTCACTTCGGCTCAGTACCTTGGTAACGCTGCTATCAACGCTCCTCTTGACCACGAAGGCTATGACACTTTCATGGGCTCTCGTATCTTCACCGCTGGTCCCTTCAACGCTTCCCTCTGTGCTGCTCATTGCCAAGCTCAAAACGCCTACAACATTGCTCACCCTCCTACCAACGGCTCGCCAGTCAAGATCTGCAATTTTTTTAACACTTACCTGCTTTACCTGAACAAGACTTCCAACAGCCAAGGCCAATACTGCTCTCTCTACACCGAAGCATGGGGATCAAGTTACGCTACCAACAAGGGTCAATACCGCGGAGATGATCACTACATGATCGAGTACTCCTACACATTCACCAACGCTTCGAACTCTGGCTTTGACCCGAAGAAGGGCGACACTAACGGAGCTGTTCACCAAGCTTCCGTCGACATCCAGTATGCCACCCTCCAGCCATTCTGCTCATCAGCCCTTGGATACACCGCTCTTCTTGCCACTGTCACCCCTACCACCATCGAGACTCACGTTATCACAAACACCATTCTACAGACCACCACCACTACTGCCAGTATTAACAAGCGCTCTGCTTTCACCGTCGCCTCTTCGCCTTTGTCGACTCCTGCTGTTTTGACCAAGTACCCTGCCTCCATCGTCTCAAGCGCATGCTCAATGCTCGTCAGCCAGGCTACCAGCACCTCAACCTCTACTGCTCCTGCCGTCACATCTCAAGCTCCTACTCAGACAGCTTACGAGACATCGATGATCACCGTCACTGCCTCTCCCATTCCCAGCGCCTGTGGCAACAAGGGTATCCAGTTCGCGTACTATGGTTCGGGCGTCTACGATGAGGGCGACTGGGTCAACTACGTCGAACCTTCAAAGTACGCAAGCCGTAAGCCTACTTGGGAGAGCACTACCAACAAGGTCGGTGGTATCAGCGTCGATGCTGGGCAAAACATCCAGATCTACGACTCTGGCCACTACCAACGCTCTGAGTACTTCATCTTGAACCACCGCGGTTACGTAAGTCTTTCTGATGCTACTATCCTTCGTTCTACAAATTGCTAACATATATCCAAGATCTTCGCCCAGGTTCCTGGCACATACACCTTCACCATCTCTCAGCCTGATGACATTGTCTTCCTCTACCTCGGACAAACTGCGCTGAGCGGCTGGAACCAGGGCAACGCCGCTGCTGTTGCCGCTTGGGACAATGCGAACTTCGGAAGATACGACACTGCTTCTTACACCCTCAAGGCTGGAGACTACCTTCCATTCCGCATCTTCTTCGGTCAGCAAGGCGGCCCTGTCAAGTTTGCCTTCTCCATCACCGCTCCCGATGGCACTGTCATTCTTGACAGCAACACTGCTGAGTCTGACTTTATCGTTCAGCACTCATGCGATGGCACTACCGCTCCCGCTTTCCCTCCTTTCGGTCAGGAGTAAGCTGCGACCAATTGTGCGCAATACAAGCCAATAGTATTGGCACAACCAACCAAACCAGGACAACTTTGTCATATTCTATTATAAATCATAATTAGTAATCTTTAGTCTTTACATCAGAACTCATAGAATTCACAACACATTTCTTTCTTTTTCTCTAGCATGAACAGTACACTCCAACACCTGATCAGAAACAAAGAGAATCAACTTTATGAATAAAGGACAAGTACATCCACAGCTAAATAACATAGTGAAGAACGTGCTATGGCTGAGCCTGGTACTATCCTGCTTCAATTAACCTCACCACAGTCTCTGAGCGCTCAGCCAAGCATACTTGTAGTTGAAGATCATAACCTTCTTTTCAGGACTGTAAGTATAAGTACCACCAGAAGTAGAGGCACTCATACAGGTCTGCTGGATCCTGTTCGCGAAGTCTGTAACCTGCTCACAGCTAATTTCCGTAGTCTCGTCATCAACCTCACCGCAGATTGCAATGGCGGCGGATTCTTGTGTAACCAGTAGGGCGCATTCTACAACGTGTCACTGTCACGTAGAGAGAGAAGTTGGGAGAAGGTGTTTGACGGCAGCGGTTCTTTGGTCGCACTTCATTATTCCGGCGCTGAGGTCTATATCGGTCATGTAGGCTTCGCACACGGGGCTTCCGGCTCCATATCATACGACGGCTTGCAGCAGTACTAAACGATTAACCTAATCCTCACATCTAATATCACATGGCTCCTTCACGAAGTGAGCCGACCCCCTTTTTTGTTATTATATCTGATTCCACATTTTTCGAGAAACAAACACTAAGCAGCCGAGTATTGCTTATCAATGTTTGATACGAGGCTATGTCATATACCGTCCATCGGCAATTACCATGCTACTCAGATCATATCTGATCGCTCCATAGAGTCAGAGTACATAGCGCATTGCTAGAATCCGAGCAAGAATCTACCGTTCGCATCTTCGCGCGTAGAGGCAAGCTGCGCGATGGAATTGACGTCGCTTTGCAAATCCAAAACCGCCTCGAAGACTGCTAATGTCATGTCTAGGGCTTCATACTCTTATGATAGTTCCCTCATGAATATATTATTATCACTTGCTTGCGGGCGATAGAAATCGGGATAACACAAGCAAATGTCTGCGGTGCTGATTCCGAAACCTAAAAAGGCCTAGACTGATCGAATCGAACATGGATATGCAGACGGCCCGCAGTCCGCCTCCCCTCTGCAATTGTCGTCTGTCTGCTACAAAGAACATTCGGTTTCCTGATTCAAAAAGACTGCACTTTGACACACACAAACATAAGTTAACCTTCCCCAAACACCGATCAATAAACAATCTCTAGTGACTTTCTCTCGATCCAACTTCCATTTAAAGCACAACGACGACTACGCAAACATGAATTCTGCACGCATGGGCACTTCAGTCGTGAACAACACAGGTATGCAAGGTCAAAGGACCGGCAGCGCAGGCAAAGGCCCCGACATGATTTGCAAGAGTGCGTAACAACCAAACCCAATCTCGGAAAATTTCTAGCAATCGACAGGAAGAACTGACAGGAAATTTCTCCAATCCACAGTCCTTGACAAACTCGAGCACAAGTTTGGCGGTCAAAGATTCAACGATCCCGCCAACGATGCCAAAAACCGCGCCACGAACCAGAAACTCGCAAAGCGCATCATGACTATTGCGCCCAAGGTGCTGTAAGCGACTGTTTCTTTCTGGAGATTATTCTTGTATGAGAAAAAGATTGACACCATTCTAGCAAGAAGTTACCCATGGTGGTACCCATGCTGTTAAAGAAGCTGTAGATTGACTGCTACCAGCATTGCCGGTGTCTACTCTTATAGCGATTCAATCCACCCGTTGAATCTTTTGAGAGTCGGTGAGAGGTTGGTAGGGATGGTTGTTGTTTATGGTCAACCGGACGCTACACAGATATCATAATATGAAATAGTATGACTTCATGGAAGCAGATACTTATATCTTATGGCCTTGCCTTTTGGGACGACTCGTCATGATTGACCATACCAAGCCTTACTACTCCTGCGTTGAGGTCTAGATCGGTCACACAGGCTTTGCACATGGAGGCTCCGGCTTCATGGTTCCTCAGCCAGCCATGCGTCTGGTCGTAGATCACTTCAATACACATCAAGAAGAGCTCGAAGCTTTCACTGACGGCCACTGAGCTGGCGACTGTGTTCTTGGCAAAGCATTCGCTGATGTAGGCGTGAATTTGACAGGCGCATGGCCTATCATACAGGGTGATTTCCCTGGGATCGTGCCATACATTGCTCCACATGGTCATCCAATGCATCCTCTCGACACGAGAATTTGGTGTAGTCCCACTGTCTCCTATCACCATATGCAGCCAGACATAATTCAGGATATGTGGTAGTTTGAGCAGGATTGGCTCTTCCACTATAAGAGGTACGAGGTGTAGACGAGGATGTTCTTGGACAATACTGATTGTGACACATAGGGACAATCAAGAATACTCCGACACAGTGACGATCCTGAACGCTGTAATCTACCACGTATGGAAGTACCACGAGAGAACTGGGACAATGAGGGTACACAAGATGTCGGATCTGCCGAGGATCTAGACACATGTCGCTCGTGGTGCGAGGCAGACCAGGGCTGTGTACAATACTCGCTCGGTCTAGACAGTCGCTGCAGACACTTCAATTTACCAAGGCTAGGTAAAGCTATGCAGGGTGTCAAGTCAGGGTGATATGTTGACCGTATAAAGCAGCTGGTTGCGAATTTAGCCCCTTGCTAATCACGACTTTTACCAGCATGAGATGTACTGACAGACTGTTTATATTTCTCAAGTTCAAAACTAATTTTGCAGGAGTGATAGCCATGATACGGTAGGTTGAGAAGGCTTTTGGAAGCTCAATGCCCACTCTCTCGCGTGTCCCGGCTGTACCTTGAAAGTGTATGGCTTTCGATCACCTTTGTCGAAAAACCTGTCGACCTCGAATGTCCAATCAAATTCGGGATGGACCAACATATCTCTCTCGTTCGCAACCAACAGATCTCTTCGCTTCTCATATACACTCAGTCCATCAGCGTCGCCTAAAAACGGTCGATGAGAACTAAAAGCTCATTGCTGTAATGCTGCAATTTCTCCGTGGAAGGTGGATCACCTACATAACTTGGGGTCCACTCATGCTTCTTCATCGTATCCCATGGTATGGATGCTGTACGCATGTTTCTCTGAAGAACGCGCAGCATGATGTAGCCAATTTGCCAGATGTTCGTATAGGACGAGAGCTCCACTTGCCATTCTTCACGCGGGCTGATCTCACCATCGTAGTTGTAACCAAAAAGTTCTAGAGCCGCCCACTCTGGTCGACACCATCCGCAGAGCTTTCTCTGACTCGTGTCTTCTCCTATGTGAGCGATTTGTGCACGTCCAAAGTTGCCAATGTAAGCTGGTTGATAAATTGGAAAGGGTGCATGTTGTCCTAAACAACCTGGTGCACCCAAGAAGATATTATCCGGGTGAAGGTCGACATGTACAATCTTGTAGTCACGACCTCTGCCATCGACAGTGCGGTAACCAATGTTCTCCTTCATAGACACACAAGCTTTGGCGAGTCTCTGGAACAAGTACCAAGCAAAGGGCTCAGGGATCCTGACATCCTGTGCCTTGATAAAGTCCGTGAGGTTTCCAAAGGCAAAATATGGCATATAGATCACCCAGCCCTTTTCTGTCCCTTTGATTCGTTCAACCATTAAAATTGGAGCAGTGACGATGTCGGGCTTGTACACATTGCTAGGGGTGCGATATAGACTTCTCGGAGTTGGCCTTCTCCAGGCGAGCCGGCGGGTAAGACATTATCGACTGGATCGGCAAGGATGTGCTTAAGGACGAGTTGTCCTATGATGCTGTTGTCAACGTCAAGTTGATGCCAGAGATAGATCCCCTTGTGGCGCTCAGACGCATATCTTATCGTCTTCGCCAGAACCCAGTGTTGGCCTGGTTTCAGAGGGACACCGGGTGGATGATTCATTGCGGTACACAGTCTATCTCGATTTGGAGGAAAGTATATTGGCCGAGGCACAGATGCAGAGATGAGGGATAATGCAGATGGACAATTGCACAGCAAGGCATCCGGAAATGGCTTGATGCCCTCACGAGGTACAAAGGCACTGCTCAAAGACCATGAGACTATCCTCTAGTGGCTCAACGCCAGCACAAAAACACAACTGCTGGAAGTGTAAAAATTCTCCCAAGCAGCAAGATGGTCTGACTGACCAGATCATGGACTCAGACGAATGGAGATACTTACGCTGAGCAGTTGGACATTAATGAGCTAAACATGAATGCTATATGAAAGTCTGGCCTCACACAAGATGCAGACGCTGACCACTATTTTGGAGGTTCACAGGGCCGAGATGAGCTCAGCGACCATTTGAACACCCTGGGGGAGAATTCCAAGATGTTCACGATCGACGCATAGTGACATCCGCCAGAGTCTCTCCAACCGGTTCTCCATCGAATCTGAAGTTGTATGACTTACGACCAACCGGTGGGTAGCCATCACCCTCTTCCTCCCACTTTTTCAGACCTCTGCGATACCTCCTGAGATCGTCAATGTCCACTCTTGATCTCGCAACTCTGGGCTCTTGTTCATAAAGCCATTCGCCGATAGTGCTCTCGGGTCCAGGATTGATTAGTTTGAGATCGTCATGGAGAGTGAAGACTTCGTCAGCTGGGTCTTTCGGAAGCGGACGATTTCTATTGGGTCTGTAGCCGGCTTTGATTTGCTGTTGGACGTAATCCTTACCGCGTTTGTGACGTGCCTCACGTCTTCTGTTGCCGTGGAATGGAGAGACTTGTCTTTTCTTGTAACGTTGAGGGGGATCACTAACAAGACCAACATAGCGATTGTTACCGAAGAGATTCTTCACACCACTGATTAGACTTGTCATCGCGGTACTGGGAACATCCTCGGTCTCATGGTCCTGCAATGTATCCCCCGGGCCAGGGTTTTGCGCCGCCAGTTTGTTGAACCAGCGTTCAGTTCCCCAATCCTCCATTCCTTCGGTGTGGTCGACCATACATCTTTCGATAGCATCCACCAATTGCACTGGCGTAGGTCTGTCTTGCACTCTGAAGTTTACGCAAGCATTTAGGACGTCCAGCAAATCACTGCTGTATTCTCTCCGCAGCTTGTTGATTGCTTCGCGCGCTGGTGTGCGTCTTGGTAGCGGTGCGTAGCGAGGCGCCCATGCCGCTCCCACTTGTGGCCAATCGGGATCCTCTTCGTGTTGGACCATGCCTTGGAGAGCTGACATGATGATATAGCCAATTTGCCAGACATTCTGTAAGGGATAGTCAGCTTCTGTTCGACACGAAATAGCAGCACTGCTCAAGATATCCTTGTCCAACTTGAACAATTGATCATCGATAGCCAAGGCCAACAAGACTTACCGAGCGTGATGTAGGAGCAGCTTGCCATGTCTGTGGCCCATCGTCGTATGGCGTGAGTTCTGGAGGAGACCAGCCCCTTGTACAATTGCCCCATGCAAGATGGTCATGCAGAGCACCTTCATATGTGATGATTGCGTTACCAAAATCTCCTACATAAGCCACAGGGTAGGCTGCGAAGGCCGTGTGCTTCCCCAAGGTCCCAGGCGGTCCCAAGAATATGTTCTCAGGTTTCAAGTCAACATGCACCATTTGATGATCTGTGTAAGTACCATCGGCTTGTTTCGTGCGAAGCGTTATGTCCATGATCACAGCGGCACAAGCAAGTCTGTGTAATAGGTACCAGATAAATGGCTCGGGCATCTGTCGATGACCTGTCTTCATAGTCATGTAGTCTTCTTTGCCTTGCTTTTCGATGAAATCGTAGAGGTCACCAAAAGCGTAGTAAGGCGTGTACAATCTCCAGGCATCAATTGACCAAGAGCAATGCTCAGCAGCAAGTAGAGGTACGGTGTATATCTGTTTCGGATCATCTACCATCTCGGTCAATACTCTTTGCATGAAGATTTCGCGGATGTGTCCTTCGCCAGGTCCTGAGTGGGTGATGATTTGTTCCGATCGCACTTCGGTGTACTTGAGGACGACGCTGTCGACTACTTTGCGATCGAGATCGTTGACGAGACTCCAGAGATATGCCCTGCCAAAAGTACCCTCACCAAGCTTCCTGGCGGGAACCCATGTGTGACCTGGCTTTCCTCCTGTGAGAGGCATTGCTCGTTCCTCAAGATTAAGCCGACGCTCACGATATGGATCTTCAGAAGTCATGATTGGAAATGGTGGAAGAGTAATATATGTATCGTGTGTCACGACAGATGCTTCGAATGGTGACGATATTGAGGTTCATGTCGCTGTGGTTAGATGCGTCAGCTTCTCTAAAGACGGTATTTTACACAAACAAAGGATTGTCCACATCCGGTTACAACTATCCTCAAATGCCATGGCTTTCTTTGTGTATGACGGAGACTTCTAGATTTGCGAATACGACAATCAAGAACAAAGAACTTTTTACTAAGACAGACTAGAACAAGCTTCACTCAATGGATGGACAGGCTCCATCGTGGGTCGTTGGTAAGCAAACTGCCGGCTAAGGAGTGCTTTGTTCGACCCAGCTACCGAGCAAACAAAGTCTGATTCATCGGTCCACGGTCACTCAATTATCTCGGAGGTCGGATGCTTGCTTGTCAATGATGACTGTCGCGATCGGCTGTCACGTAGCTGGAGAGGACGGTGGTAGCCATCCCAGAGGAAACTTGCAAATTACTCCGTTGGCCACAGGGAAAAGAGTATGGCTAACTCCCGCGTCGTCCGGACACTCACAAGGTCTTCCAATGCACCTTCCACGCTCGATATTCACCTAAGTGAGACACCCTCATCGCTGCTGACTCCTCAAAATCCAGGTCGAACTTTCCATGATCTCCTGACTGTATTGAGCTGTGTTCTGAGCCCCAAAACTTCGATGGTCAATATGGGATGCCATGTAAGCCAGCGATAGATGCAAGATTGACCATGTGGCCGCTTTTCTGTGTGAGCATGATACGAATCTGCTCTTGCATGCACCAGAATAGCCCAAAGACATTGACATCCATCATGTCGTTGAACTTCTCAGTTGAGCAGTCGCCGATTCGAGCAGAGTCTGTGAATATTCCAGCATTGTTTACAGCAGCATCAAGCCCTCCGTAGATAACAACAGCCTCTTGGTGGAGCTTTCTAACAGCTTCTTGGCTTGAGACATCGGCTTGAATGAAGGTCGCTTCACCTCCGCTGGCTTTGCTGCCTTCGGCGACCTGAACTAAAGCTTGTAAGCAAAGGATTTTGGTCATCAACCTGGGTTTCCGCATCTCTGTTCCCTTTTCAAGGTTACGTTCACAAATAACAACTCGCCATCCATTGGATGCAAGTAGTTCGGCGGTCGATTGGCCAATTCCTTAAGTTCCTCCTGTGATCAGACAGACACGAGCCATGTTGTTATGAACGATGTACGGATGGATGCTGGACATCTTGTAGAATGAATGCAGAAAACGATGGAGTTGGGGTTTGACTATATAAATGTACACAGGTGATGAAAATGTCTCGTTATCAACAGATTCATCAAAGCGCTCCTGAACAGACTACGTCGGGATGAGGTCTTTGCGTTCAGATTTTGCTCTCCGGATCATTTGATGCAGGTAAGTCCGGACCTGCTGTTTTATCATCCTTGATCGCATCCCCTGCCATCACCCGGATATCCGTCTTGTCTCGCCGGCCAATTTCGAATGTCGTCGATGACGCTAAAGTCGAGGTCATCCTGCACCACGACTACAAATCTTATCCTACCTCGCTGCTTGCTCGATTGGGTGGCGCATCAGGATGCATCTGGGCACAAGGGAGGAGCTCTTTGGGAATGGCCGAAACCGAATATACAGCCCTTACGCACGATTGGCCTGTTGTAGCGGCCAACGCGTTTGCCACTATTCAAGGCAGAGGGGAGGGCCGAGTCCGTTGCCGACAGATCATGCGTGGGATCTCCGGCCACGCGACTCTCAACGCCGTTGGCATTGTCATCTCCGATGCCCTGGTCAGCGTCAAACCACAAGCCTGATGCAGCAGCTAGATATAAGATTGGATGCATAGATCTCGATCTTGAATTTCCGGGCAGTCTTTCAAGGGCTGCGATGACTTGTAAGGTGAGCGTCTGTGATTTTTTGCGGCCGTGAAACTTCTTGATAGTGACTTTTATTCATATACTCGAACAGATCACAAGCCCCTTTCTCAAGATCCTCAAACGTTAAATAGAGCTATAAGAGTGCAGCTTTACGACAAGCATCTGCTGTCTGGATCAGATGCGGTGTGGACGAAGTGCTATCGCGGGTGTCAACGGAAAATCCCAAGAACTCATCAAAGAGCAATACAGTTCGAAAATCCATTGCATGAAGCTCCTTCTCGAGATCTTGTGCAACTTTCATACAATATATAGCGTCACACATGCTCTTGAGGGAAAAATCTGCTACTCTGCGCCTCCTACGAGCTCTGCGGCAAAGAGTCAAAACTTGTCTGAAGATGTCAACGACTTCGCAGGACATTCCGCACCAAGAGTTGGATCGTGTGCCCTCACGAGTTTCAACGAGCTCTGGCTGCTTTGGTAGAGCGGTTGTGATGTCCGGCCTCTCAATGAGCATTGCTTTGAGAACCTCACTTCTGTGTCTCGTGCGCCGGCGGCCAAGGTCTTCATGACATGTTTCATCCATAATTGTGCATGCTAACATTTGCCAGTATGTGAGTGCTTGGCCAAGATATCCATGGATCAGAGCCTGGGAAAGTGAGAGATTCGAGTTCCATATACTTAGGAGAACACGCATATTGGTCAACCAAGACGTTTCTGACGCGGACCCTGTCCAATGCAACGATGTGCCGAACCCAAGAACAGCAAACACGAGGCTTGCTTCTACATTCGAATTTTGAGTATCTCTCAAATTATTCATGCCCTTCTTTATGCTTTCTTTGGATTCCTTATCGAGCAGTGTCAGCTGGTGTTGCCATTGAAGTGACCTCGACAGTATATGTGCCCTGGACATCCTCTGCAAGGTGTAATAGATAGCTCCCGAAAAACCCCAGCAGCTCGAAGCGATCTGACGGTTGTGTTTGAGCGGAGAATTGAACGCTGACCAGATGGGGCATACATTAGAAAACTAGTACTCGATCAAAGTAGTCGGCTGATACATCGGAAAATGGAGGGAGCTACAGGAGTCTTGCATGTTGACTCTAGTGATTGTTCCAAGATGTTCGGGGTTTGGCGCACACCGTTCCAGATTGGTTGCGCCTCTCAGAAAGAGTCCTTTTAGCGTGTCTTCGTCTTCGAAAGAAAGCAAGGAGGCATCATTGATTGTAGCTAACAGATGCCTGGGGGCCCATGTCTTGTGTAGCAGGTACAGAATCACTTGGGGCTGCGGGGTGTATCCGAGAGCCTCGATTCTGGTTTCCTCGGATCTCGCTAATGTCGCTGAGATCTTCATGATCTGCGACAATAACTCCGGCGGAGGTAATGTCCAGGTTCTATAAGAATACTTGCCTATCTAGGAACACCCGCGTGATTATCTTCCTATCTAAGTGATCTCGTACGAAAAGGTTAGCGGCTCCTACGTACAATATTTCTCCTTCAGATGACCATGTACGAAGACGTTGACGGTGTACTATGCTTCCTGCACAAGGAAGATCTCCTAGGCAATCATGAGACATTCCTTCTGTATGTACTAGATCGGTGTTGGTTGGAATAGTTGGACTATAAAATCTCGATCATGCCTAGAGGGTTTTACACCACTGATTCAGACCTCTATCGACCTTCGATACTCTTTGTTCCACAGTCTTTTTGGCCGCGAGATGAATGCTATCTTCCGTATGACTGCCATCCAGCGGGTGAAACATATCATCCTGCCGGACTTCAAAACAAGGGCACTCACAACATCGATCGTACCTAAGAGACCCCTGAAAACAGCTGTCTGCCATGAGGTTCGCGGGCTCGGATCACAAGGCTTAGGGCTTGCGTTAACAAACAAGGGTCAGACTGTGCTCAAGGGTACGGCGAATCCAGTTTCTCGAAGACTCTTGTTTCACACTCCAACAAAACACTACGTCGCGACCGAGATCTCGAACACAAAAGCGACTCCCGTAGCGGCAGAGATATCAATGAGTATCGATGGACAGGAAGAAATCTTCTCGGCGCTACTTTTTCGTGACATGTGTCACTATCCATTGTACATACATCCTTCGACCCGACAAAAGCTCTATCCGACTGCAGATATACCTACGAGCATAAGACCACGTTCTGTGCATGTTTCGGAATCGGCAGCTACCCTGACCTGGGGTAACGATGTTCCTGGTTTTGATCACACACATAGTACCATTCTCCAGACGGATGATCTGGAGACATTGGCGAAGACAGGTGCACTCCCAGGACCTTTCGTGCACGCACTTCCCAGTCAAGTGCTGTGGGACAGTACAAATGCCAAGGTTAAAGACACTAGCTTTGATGATTACATGGCTAATGATGCCGCGCTTTTGCGAGTCTTAAACCTTTACGAACACACGGTCTTGTCTTCGTCACCAACATTCCTGGTGAGAAGCATGCAATGAGTCAGATTGCAACACGCATGGGACCAATGGAAGACACCTTCTACGGTCGGACCTGGGGTGGTAAGTTGCTATCTACATGAGATACAAAGCCATTGCGCATGCATCAATTTCACTTACGCTCTCTAGTGCGCACCGTTCCGTCCCCCACAAACGCCGCCTATATCTCAACGGATCTAGGATCGAGCACTCGCAGCGGTCTGGATCCGGCGTTGTATCGCCTAGTAAGGTGCTGAATCGGAAGATTGAAACGTGGCACCATGTGGCACAGAATTTTATTTAGCTTCTACAGTCTAAGGAGAATGTTTATGAAAGTTCGATGGAGCCGGGGCAGTGTGTGTTATTCGACAATACTAAGGTATTGCATGCTAGAAGAGGCTTTGAAGGAGAGGATGTAGGCAAGCCTCGTTGGTTGGAAGGGGGTCATGTAGACAAAGACCCTTACTTTAGAAAGCTTCGGGTTCTACAAAATCAATTTGGTGAGGTCTAAAGGACCTTTGTTGGGACATGCATTTATCTTGGAGGCCAACTCCCAGATTGCTTAGCCGGCGTGCGAGTCATAGTTTACACAGGACAAATCGAACAAGAGAAGTGCTTCAAGTGGGATCCAGGACTGAGTCGTACCCTTGACGATTCCAGCAAAGATGGACTGTGGTCATCGATGCGGCGTCTCTTGCAACGTTGATACACGGCGGCAATTTTGATAACCGAGTCGCAATTGAATGCAGTCAAGGCTGCCACATTCCCGAATAGATTCTCGAGCTTTGATCATGTTGTGCAGTGTTACTCGGATTCTTTCCAAAGTTGCCAACACCTGGTCCTGCACGAACGACGAGGTGACCGCGTAATCTGGCGCTGGTCAGCCAGAACAGCCTCGTAAGGGATATCGATAGTAGACATGTCGCAGCCGCTAAACTTGCAAGACCTGACGATATTGTACTAGCCATTTGAGTGCAGATGAAGACCTTTGTACATAGTGAGTAATGAACCGTCCGACGGCCATACATAGTGCCGTGTTTCTCACTGCACTACACATACCAACCACCTCGACCGCGCAGCTCTCCTTCTCCTCTTCGCAGAGAGACTCGGCCTCAGGAGAATCTGTTGTGTTGACTTTGAGCCACCAGTAGGTAAAGACCGCTTGGTTTTGCCAGTGGCTATCACGGCTTTACCGACCAACCTGCCACTCTTCGCATTCTGCTTCAGTCTCTCCGTCTTCTTGGCGACCTCTGATTCCCTTTCAGCAAAGCTTTGCTTCCAATGATCAAGTGCCAGTTTGATGTGAAGATTGCTTAATCTAGCAGACTTGTACTGCTTTCTGGCGTTCAGCCCGGCCTGGTTACTGCGATTCATTCAGTACATTCTTTCGCTGAAGTTTGTTCCATTCCTGGAGTTTGTGGCGAACCTGTGTTGATCGCTAGTCCATTCTTGGAAGAGGACAGTCCATGGTTTCGGCCAGGATGAGTTTCAATGTTCGAGTGCTGCTGTCAATCCTAAACGTAGACTAGACAATTAGCAAGCAGCAGCTTGCTCGGAATATGATCTTATGAAGTCACTGTGATTTGACCGAATGATGGTATACGCGAAACAGCCAGAGTACTGGGCCCAATACCGCAATTGACCTCGCCGGATGCGGTAGATCGGGCTGGATTTAGCATGGTTTCGACAACGACTGTGACAAAGGCAACCAATATCTCCATCAAGGTAAGACATTGTATGACGATTCAGAAAGAAGGAAGTAGCCTATATGTAGCTCAGCCATCACGACTGCATGAGCTGAACCCGAGTTCACTAGAAGGCGCGACTCAAGAGCGCCAGCGTTCTCGAGCCAGCACACGACATCTTGGTGGCTGGTAACCGCCAGTGATCACAGGTCCTGTGACTTCTAAAGTGATAGTTGGCGTTGAAAGCAGTATGCATAGCGTGTGAGGCCACTGTCCGAGCAGTGAAGAATGTCAGGGAAGCGGACTTGACGCGTCAAGATTTGCGAGAGCAGAAGCGGCAAGCTTGTCGGCTTGGCACCCAACTCTCGAGTACCCCACGTTGACCACGATAACGATAAACGCCAGGGTTGTCCTCAAAGCAAGAGCTGATGGGGACACAAACGATTCACCGTGATTACGACAAGACAGCTAAGCTTTGCATTTATTTCCTAATAGTTTTCAGAGTCCCCTGTGCAGATGATGGTACGGGGTGACCGGCTTGGGCAAATAGCGATGGCATCTTCGGGACACAAGTTGCTCGATCGATGCTCGATCGATCAACATCTGTGGGAAGAACCGGGTTGAGTACCACCACGTCTTGATTCTCGACCTCCGCCGTGACCTGGACCTAAGACATTCCAAAGGCTTGAGTGAGGATGCCATGCAACAGAAGCCATCGTAGAATGCATCTCATTACAAGATAGGACCCTTGCGGTACGAGGCGCAATTCCTAGAAATTGTGAGGGGTCCACCTTAGCACGCGAGTCATAGCGCGAGCGTTGGAGCGAAGGATTGCGTGTCCACTGCACTGGTACATTAGCACCATGGCTTGACTAACTAGTTCGTAGGGCGCAGGAAGGCTACTAGCGATGCTCAAGATTGAATCGGTATTCGAGATCGGTGGTCGTAAGTCTCCTGATAAGTTAATGTGGCTGGCATTGGCTGCACACAAGTAAGACGCACAGGACTACTACTCAGGCGACAAAGCGGAATGAGCTTTAGATAATGTTCAGGGCCAACGAAGTGTACTATGTAAGATGTGTGGGTGTAGAACAGAATGTGAATAAAGTGCTGTTGTTCCAAACGCGAAATAGGTAAAAATTATTCCGCACGACCAACATGACTAGCAAGATCATGCATGGGTATCTGTGAATCGTTCGAGTGTTGGCTGACCCGATTATTCGCTGTGAAGTTATCACGATCACGCGTGAAGTCTCTTGTCGTCGGCTTTCCATGCTCAAGATCGATTGATCGATCGTCGCTATCTGAGTCGCCAACGTAGACTTGAACTTCTGTCTGGCGTTTGATGCCGTGAATATCCTCTCGGAGATCCTCGTCGACACGATTGTGACCGACGAAAGCGGTGTTGGTGACGCCTTTTGCAATTCCGTGTGTGTCGTCTCGGTCGTCGTTGAATGTGTGGCCATGCTGGGACCTCTGAGTGTTTCCAGGGTAGGGTGTGCCTTGTGATGATGATCCAAAATTCATGTCCTGCTCGTTGGACTTTGCGACCTTGATGATCATATCGGCCATGGACATTTCGATGTTGAGTTTGACCATGTCTGCAGCATCATTAGTACGAGCCCCAACCGTATACGAGCATTTGACTTACAAGCAACAGGGTGAAATTGGACGAATACAATACCATTCGGCAAAGACATAAGGCCAATGAGCATGAGGTCCATACAGACTGAAATGACACCCAGACGAGTATAGTAAGCAACAAGAGGCTTGTATTTACGAAGGCCATGTTGCTTCACGAGTCTGGCCTTCACGACATACACGAAGTACCAGTTCAAAAATGCGTCGACTAGCATGATGAGGATCTTCGAGCAGCGGTCCCAATATTTGTTAATGTGTACAAAGCTGGATGATCATCAGTGGGGTCTCATTCAGACGATCAGTGGATGAGCTTACACCATGCTAGGTGGCGGGGTAAGATGTGACGGGATGAATATGCAGAATACGGCGGCGTTGATACAAGAGATGACAATGGCAGTGGCAATTTTCAGCTTCTTTGCGGTCGCCTTACGCTCCGAGATGATTGAGATTCGGTTGATGATAATCTGCATGAGGAACTGGACCTCGAAGACATAAAAGAAGAGGACGAAAAAGAGAAGTACAGCTCTAAACATACTGTTAGTCAAGTTCAAGTTGACCAAGCATGAATATGCACTCACCCGTTTTTCACGATGTCCTTCAGCCAGAGCCAGCACAAGATACCAAGAACAAGATTCGCTACGATCTCACCCCAGATCATCCAGATATAGTGACTTCGCCATGGATTCATGTTAGCTTTGGTCTGATGTATGGCGCGTACAGTGGTGAGATAGCCAAAGCCGAGACTGAATCCCGCGGCGCAGGCAGCAACCTGATAATCACCGGAAGACGACATCTTCGGGGACAAGCAAGGTTGAGCGTGCGACCGGACAGAGATCCCAGAAGCCGGAGAGCAGAATGTGGGACAAACGTCTGCTATATATCGTCCTCGAAAAGACGTAGGCGCTAGTCGGATCCGCGGCCGATACCTTGGACCCATCATGGTCAGAGCAGTCACAAGGACTTCGTTTAATCAGACACGGCACTTGGACGCTCCACAAACGGCCTCTTGACTCCAGCTCCAGCGTGCGCTCATGCCCTCTAAAGTGTCAGTGCTTGCTCGGATTCTCCCAGCGGAAGTGTTAAACTGATGGAAGTCTTTCTGCTTTGTGTGAACAAATTGACCTCATGTGTGCCTACCCTGAAATTGAAACTAGGCCATGCAGCAGAGCAAGAATGAATCTGTGCACACAATGCAACTACCCTGTTCAGATGAAACACTAAGTTTGGACCTCTGTAAATCTGGGATCGACCTCGTTCTGATGATGTGGATCCCAATATGGATCTTGAGTCGATCATACAGATCATGAATCGGGTACAAAGTGCCCTATCTGCTCATAGGGCTGGCAAACTCGCGGACATGTGACTCTTGCTTCTTTGTATCGCTGGTTGTAGTTCATACAGTGCAGAAAAGCGCTAAGCCTCGACATCGTGAAAGTGCAAGTATGCAACTCTTCCGGTGATGGGGTGTCAGCGCGTCCCTGAGGCTCAAGAGCCTGAAAGAGTTTGCGGACGACGGGAACGGGACGATGACATTATTGACGGAAGTTTGAGTCAAGTACAGACCTCGCGACTGTGACGAGCGGAGATCAATAGGGCAAGATGACCGCGAGTCAAGGTGGTTCGCTTAGGCTCAACAACAAGCTTAAACATGGCGGCGTGGGAGGCGCAAATCGCGAGCTGACGGTGGAAAGACTTTTTCCGTGGCTTGCTTTGTATCAACTGGTGTCGGAACCGGGCGCGGCATGCAGAAATTCGTAATATTCGCGATGTCACGACGGAAGGTGTACCTTGAAGTCTTGCAGGGTGTCGGAAGTTGTTGAGGACCTGGAGGCTTGAAAGGTCGGGGGGTCCGGAGATGCTCGGCTGATTTCAGGGTTTCTCGGCACGAGGGCTTGGTCTTCTACCTCTTACTACAAGACACCTGTACCGTCCTCCACCTCCACACCTTTGCGAGTCGCAAATCCCGGGTTCACTTGGCTTGTCAATTCACTTGGCTTGCCAACACGAGAGGGGCAACAGAAGAGTGATACGTGTATTTTATAATGATTTGAACGATAGTCATGAAGGCCAAGAGATACGAAGTGACCAAAACAATATCATGTTAAGCTGGAAGGCGCGACAGGCCCGATACACAGAAGTAGCTTTGCATCTCTTGGTCTCCCAAAGACCACGTCAAAAAGTCTTTTGATGGAAAGATCGTGCTCATAGCTCTAGGACTCAGGTGCAAAGACTACTTGTCAATGACCACAAAAAGTCGCTATGAACTTAATCTAACTCATTCAACCTCAAAACTTTGGTTGATCTTTTAGGACACTATGCATATCCTGCCTGCCGCACTGCAGACTGTTAATATCCTCTTATCTTGTCTTCTTCCTCGATCACAATCCACAGACATGGGGATCCCCAAATGCCCGACCTGGACGCCTCTTTCGTCCGTTCACATCGACCTCTCTGGTAGGGGATACACAAGCTTAGCGGTAGACTTCAGCAACAACTACTGACAAGTCACAGATTCTGACTCGAGCAGCTCTGCGAGCGACACCACTACATATAGCGAAATTTCGTCTGACTCATCCTCGGTGGATAGTGTACTATCCGAAAAAACACCCGTCACTGCCATAAAACTCTTGCGTTTGCCGCCCTTCTACTGGGATCTCGAAGATCATATAGGTGGTAATCCAGACTCTGAAGACTCGGAGGTTGAACCGCTGTCTCTCGCAATACCAAATGCGGTGTCAGATGACACAAGCACTAGGAAAAGGAGTTTCTCGCGCTTAGAGCCCATCAATCAAGCGCAAGAGCATAAGCGCCAACGTTCCAGTTCGAGCCCATTCTCGCAAAGTCCAGAGCCTACAAAAAGTTCAGAGACCGAACCTGGCGATCGAGGTTCTGAAGAGCGAGGAGAAGTGGATCTCGAATACCACTATCGGTGTATGCAAGAGACATTGGACCAGCTCCGTGAGTCAACAGTACGCATGAGAGAGATTAAGGCACTCTTACGTCAAGGTCGGGTTGCACAGAGAACCCCTCTCGAAGACTCGGAACTTGGAGGGAAGGCTGCAGCTGTTCAAGCTTTGATGAGTTATTGGGCGACAACGACCAGGTTGCGAGATGATTTTGCAGAAGGTCGCGCAGATGCTGCCGGATTTGCTTGGGGAAGACAGCTCGCTGTAGAGACTCTCGATGGACTATTGAAGGATGCTGAGAGGGAGTGTATGGCTGTCGTATCACAGAAACAAGGGGCAGAGTCGCACATATCAAAGTGCGAGAGAGAAATTGTCGATGAGCAAGTCGTGCAGAAGGTGTTGAAGGCCAGATTGCACAGAGCTACGGCACCTTAGCTTGTATCTCAGTGTCGAAAGTTGTCGTAGTTGCACGGTTGGGGTCCGAGCCAGTGATCATCGTGCTCCGTTCCCAGACTCAGAGCCAGACTTCTGTCGAGTATGGCCGTCGAGACGTCTTTTTGTTTGCCAGTATGAGGAACACTGCTGTTCTCAACCAAGTCCGGAACGCAAGGCTGTTCACCAGGTTTCAGGTCCATAGGATGTGGCAGGCTTCCATTGTCCGCTTGTCCCTGCTTCTCAAACTCTTTGCTGTATTCTCCTATCGTCATACCCATGGTCTTCTTGAACACTCTGCAAAGATAACTCTTGGTAATGCCAATCTCTGCCGCCATCTTGTCCAAACCAATCTTACCCCTACCTTCTCCGACAATGCCTATGACCTTCATAGCTATCTCTTCCCCCTCACCAAAGAACATCTCATCGTCAGGTCTACATCTCTTGCAGGGACGATATCCGGCTGAAAGAGCGCAGGCTGAAGTGGAAAAATACGTTATATTCGCGCGTCGGGCAAGGCGTGCTGTACAGGTCGGCCGGCAGTAGATTTTTGTGCTGAGAACACCGTAGTAGAATGGCAGGTCAATAGATGAAGTACGTTGATTCAAAGCTCGCCATTGGGAACATGGTGTGTGTGTTGACGTTATGGGCAAGTAGTGTTGATGTGATGATTTGGTAAGTGACATGATTATGACGGAGCAGCAGATTGACATCCTGCTCTAGCAGCCGGAAAGGAGCAGCTGTGACAGCTATGGGGGTTTAATAGCAGAGCTAGAAGATTTTGATATATGAGTTCGTGATTAACGATCTCGAAGCTTCCGGTCGCGGAAGGCGAGGCTGCCCTATCGGAGTTGTCTGCGCAGTGGTGAAAGTCATGAACACGGAAATTCGAAATCCAGGTCCGTCAGCACACGCGCTTCTCTATTCATCTGCTACGTAGAGCGACGACTAGGAAAAACAAAAGTTATCGCAAGTTCGTGTAATCAGGAGGATAAGATGTTTGCGACGAGGCGGGCACATGTTTTGCCAAGGTTGATCCGGAAGGCTGATTGCTAATCGTTCGTTCCTTCCGCTTTCTCCCTCGATCGTCCAACTCCGTCATCATACCCCTAGTACTTGGCTACCTGTAGTGAAGATGCTGTTTCTATTGACAAGGAAGGTATCATAGCTGCTGTGAAGGGTTCTCTTTAGCGCTACTGCGCGTATTTGTAGATGAGCAGAGTTGCCCTCTAACATGGCCAAGCCGACTAAACTCTCATGGACAAACACGCTACCAAGTCGCGAACCTGTAGGCATCCGTACGCATTCTGCGCCTCGAATAAATCGAGAGATCATTGCAGCTCAAGACCACGCAGATGTAGAGAAATTGTGTACTGCAACGAAAACTGGACGCTGATTGGTCACTTTGAGTACACTCGACGCTCATTGGTCGATTTCAGTACAACGGACCTTGATTGGTCATTTCTGGTACACAGATCAACCACTTTCTCCAATGCTGCAGTAAGTATAGAAGGGCAGATGGTTTTCCCTAAGCATTTGTCAATATCGACTTCAGCTTTTAGAAAGTAGAACCAAGACACCGTGTCATTCTTACACCACGACCGTCTTATTCGCGGTCGAATCCCTGCTGGCCTAAAGTCGTACCGTCTAGCAACCTTCAGCCGAAGATTCCGTCTTCCACTTTCGATCTTCCATCTATACCACAAATGCTAGTTCCGGATCCCGAAAAGGTTGACGCTGTGGCTAGGTCTCCAGAAGACACAACCTACCCAGAGGGCGGTACACAAGCATGGCTCGTCGTGCTCGGTGCTTGGTGCGGCTTGACAGCCTCAATAGGTGTCTACAACACGACTGGAGTCTTTAGTGTCATCATCTCGTCCACAATTTTGCCGAACATATCCGCTTCCTCTCTTGGGTGGCTCTTCTCCATCTATGCTTTTGTGGTGTGGATCGTGGGAGTGTGGGTCGGACCATGCTTCGACGTGTTTGGTCCCCGTCTGCTATTACTTGCAGGAACATGTTGTACAGTACTGGGTATAATGTGCCTGAGTTTCTGCACTGGTGAGCAATCTACGACCCACATGTCATGCTTGTCTATGCACACATACTGACCGGAGATCAAGAATACTATCAGATCTTTCTAGCTTTCTCGCTGCTTACTGGCCTGGGATCGAGTCTATTACTCACTCCATCTATGGCTTGCGTAGCTCATTGGTTCAACACTCGTCGCGGCGTTGCCAGTGGTGTTGCTTGGACCGGAGCTGGACTCGGCGGTGTCATTTTCCCTCTTATGATTCAAGCTCTGTTGCCAACCCTCGACTGGGGGTGGACCATCAGAGTCCTCGGCTTCGTTCTGCTAGTCCTTTGCAGCATCAGTGTCTGCTTTTGTCGCAGTAGGATCCCTGCAAGACTACCAAAAGACGGCAGCTCAATATGGCGATCTACACTCCCTGACTTCCGCATCTTTTTCGATGGCACAGGGGCAATGGCAGTGACGACCATAGGGGTCTTGTTTGTTGACCTGGCCTACTTCATTCCAATCACCTACATACCCTCTTACTACCTAGCACGCCAACATCTTGACCAAGAAGCAGCAATCACTGGCAGCGCGGCCTTTGCATATCAGCTCCTTGCTATCCTAAACGCTGCATCATGTCCAGGCCGCTTATTAGCTGGCTCTCTAGGCGACCACTTCGGCCACTACAACACCATGATCCTCTCCCTTCTCTTCTGCGTCAGCTCAGTCCTCGCCATTTGGCTTCCTGACATACTCTCTCCTGACTTGTCTTCTCCTGCTCTTCTTGTCGTATTTGTCATTATCTTTGGCTTTGTAAGTGGATCCAACGTTTCTCTGACACCGATTTGTCTGGGTCAACTTTGCGATATTAGGGATTATGGTCGATATTATGCTAGTTGTTATACGGTTGTTGCGTTTGGAGTGTTGGTTAGTCTACCCGCTGCTGGAGGGATTTTAGAAGCTGTTGATGCGGAGGGTAAGGGACAGTTCTGGGGTGTTGTTGTGTTTACAGGCGGATGTTATATTGTTGCTCTGGTATGCTTCATCTGGGTGAGGATCAAGGTCAAGGGATGGACATGGGGGTATAAGTGGTAGAAAGCTGTGAGAATTGGATATGGGGAACTCCAGAGAGAGGGTTCCCGTGAAGAAGCAGCTGTGGAAATGCAAGAACATATTTGGGGTTCAATAGTTGTCAGAAAGATTTATCAAATTACCCGTCTCTCCGGATCGTTGCTCGGTATCTCAAAATGATTCGCATTCGGTCATCCCATCAGCAGCTGACTGCCTCTCCAGGGATGATGACGCGCGGAGATGCTGCTGTGATGATGCATAAACAAATTCGTAAATTTGTAGTCACTTGAGGAGAGAAAGGGAGCCACGTCTCTCTGCGAAGGCAATCAAATGTTGTCATGGATTCGTGCATTTTTACAGGTGACTTTCAACCATTATACCTGAGAGATTCTTGCTATTAACACCGTTACCCTGTATACCGCACGTCCAGGCCCCCAGATCGCTATGCAATTGACGCTTTCTCCAATGCTATACCCTAAATGCCAAAACCATGCTGCGTTCAATCGTGCTCCGACATCTCCCTTAACCCCTGCCTGCGAGGGAGACAGAGACTCCGTTCGTGACGTACCTCTCGGCACCAGCCCAGTGGGCCACCAGCAGTCTCTTACTCTCCTGGTCGGCCTCCATGAACACCTCCGCATTGCTGTACTGCGCAAAGCTCAACAGCACCATGACCTGCTGCTCGGAGGTGAGGGAAACTTGGTAGGTGTCCCTGAAGGCCTTGACCGCGTCCTTGATCCTGTTGATGGTACCTGGTACGACACTCCCGTACGCAGGAGGGGTCGCGACGCTCGTCTTTGCCTCGATGCGGGCTTCAAACTCGGTCATCTTGTCTGTAATATCGACAAAGACTTCCTCCCGAAGCTCGCTGACCCTCTCCCGGTACTCTACGTGCACGACCTGAATTTCTTCCTCGAGCTCCTTGAGGACATCGTCTCTCGCGGAGCGCATCTCGGTGATGGCATCGTCCTTGACCTCTTGCAGCTCTCCAGACGCAGACTCGAACTCGTCGTTGACGTCGGAGAGATGTGCAGTGAGCGTGGCCTGCATCATAGTGGGCATGTGGATGGCGACATGCTTGTCGATGGTCGTCTGCGCTAAGGTCGCCGTCTCGTTGAGCTTGATTTGATTATAGACTTGAGCCACGATGGTGGGCATCTGTGCTTGAATGGTGGCAGCAACGATGACTTCTAGGTCGGTAGGTTTTGGGGAGGCGTCTATCGGGTATTGCCTGGTGAAGATGGTGGGTTTCATGCAGCGGCGGTCGAGAGACTCAGGAGACGAAGAATGAGCGATATAAGGAGGGGTCTCATCGTCTTCATAAGGAGGAAGAGGGTTCTTGTGCTCAGGGGTTTGCAGGCGTCCAGGCGTAAGTCGGATGTGATTGTTGTCGCGAGGGGACTGCGATTGTGTCGATTGCTCCTGTTCTGATGACATGTCTACTTGAGCCGACTGTTGGGACCAGCCTTCGCGTATCGATGTGTTTGCCTCTGTGGGAGTGCAGTCCGGGAAGCTATCCTGGGCCAGTCGCACTATCTTCTTCAGAGAGCTTTCACTTTCTTGGGTGTCGGCGGCGCGTTTCAGTGATGACCAAGGTGGAAAGTCTCTCGACTGACTGGGCTGTGTCGAAGTCTTGCTGTAATCGGGAGGAAGGTCTTCGTAGCTCGTCAGTGATATGTAGAGATTGCTGAAAGCTGGTTGGACTTACCGGGAAATCTCAGTCGATCGGCTCTTTGCACACCGATGATTTCGTCGCTATAGGAATTCCAGTCATCCCATATGCCGCCTCTACCTCTATAAGCTTTTTGTAGATCAATGTGGGCAGGGACGATGATTCTAGGTAGCTCATTGTTAAGTCTATTAACAAATCTGCGAACATTGCTCTCGTTGCCCAGGTAAATCTTGAACTCAGGAGCTGTCGAGAGGGAATATACCAGTGAAAGTAGATGTAACGATGTGCCACTCCAGGGTTTGTTGCCCGGCGGCTGATGCTTCATGAGGACGAGACCGGCAGGCTGAGTGTGCTTCTGCTGCTGTACGATTGCGCTAAGCCAACCGTGCTCGGACTTAGCCGCATGCAATTCAGGCAGATCAATAAGCTCAGGCGATAAGGCTCGCGAGTATTAGCATCTGAATATGCGTGGCACCCATCGCGAAAGCATGAGGACAATAAAACTCACCAGCCAAGGGGTCCTTACTGATCTGGAAAGAATGCGGATCCACAAAGATGTAAAAGTCGAATGGAATAGATCTGACAGAGATCTTGAATCTGAGCGTGATCCGTAGCAGGACAATCCACACTCGCGATTTCGGCTCAACGCCGAACCATAGAGTCACAGTTTGAGGTTCAACACCGAGCGTCTTGGTCTCCAGGTTGATGTCCGTCCACGAGACGATACATGGCCGAGATAAGGTCCAATCAATCTCCAGCGCTCCTTCGAGGGACCAAGGTGGTTCGATCATCGCAGCGCTGGGTGATGTCTACAACTCGAGCATGTTAGTAACTTGTCTCCATATAAAGCAACGTTCATCTTCGAGAGGTCGAATGACGCGGAAATGAAGCACTAGTAAGGGAGATTCTGGGTCTGAGCTTGCGATTGCTCGGCAAGGAGGGTCTCTCACTCCGCAGCTCATCGCTGGATTTATTGCGCAGCGAGAGTTGGTAGGGGCAATGGATGGAAAGAATTCAGACTTACTTTTTCGAGCTCTTGAATGATGGTGAAGACGAAGACTCTGCACTTCGACCTCGATTGTACATCAAGAAGAATTCAGCAATTCACTTGAAGTGCTTGCAAGACGAGTATCGAGTTTGAGGGTCAAGAGGGAGCGCCAAGAGATATCGAGACCGCGCAGGTTTCGAGGGTCTGTGCTTACTTCCCGCACTTCCCCTCAGTGCTTCTTGTCACAGCGCTTCCACCATCAACACCAACACATCGTCACCTTCGATCATTCATCATCATCGTCGTCTGCACACACCCCTTCATATCCATACTCCATCTCCAACCAAATCGCATCACAAACACCCAAGTTACTTTGCGAGCTCCGGCTTTTCCTTGCCTCGGCTCTGAATTTGCGCGCATCGTGTCCGGGCGGCGCGCGTGGTTCTCTGACGAGGCCGGGTTCTCTGCAAGACCGCAGTAGCTCCCCTTTGGAGGTCTTCGCCTTGCTGTGCGCGATCCGGCTTTTCCTTGCCCGCTCTGAATATGTGCGCGTCGCGCTCAGCGTGGCATGTGCGGTTTCTTTGACGGGTCGGGTTCTCTGCAAGACCGCAGCTCGGTATTCCTCCTTTCCCTGCCACCTTCTCCTCTGTCTTTCCTTTGGCTGCGTAAGTCCTTGCTTTACCTTGCCTCGGCGGGATACGCAGCAATGCCCTACTCATCGCAAGGCCTGGTGACTAGGGTCCCCTGCGAGAAGTAGGCTCACGTCAGAGGTCGGCTTCATATAAGGCTGCGGGTTCTCTCTACACACTCTTCTTCTTTACTGCGTGAGCGTCGATTTTTCATTACCTCTTCTTTGAGCACGCTTCAGCGCTCTGCACGCTACAATGTTTCGTCCACCAGGGCGACTCGGCGTGCAGGCTCATTGTTCGAGGGAAGGTCATCTCGCAAGCTGCAGTCTTTTCGATTCCCCCTCCCCATCTTGTTCTCTCCCATCTTGTATATATTCTTTCCTCTCTGCACCCTCACCTTCACCCTCATGTTCACCTTCACTTTCACCTTCACATACTGTACTATTAGCTATGGAGCCAGGGCTGCTTCTCACAAAGCCCGGGTGGGTGGGATCTCGTACCTTTCGTGGTACGGGGGTTTTACCTCAATCTACTTCTTCTAACTCCTATGCCGTGCTTCTGCCTCTCACTCAAAGTCGTGCGAGCATCTTGCCCTCTTATGTCACTCTGCACCACGACCTTAAGACTGACACCTTCTTGTAAGCTATAGAGTTTCCAGGTGACAATGTCATAGTAGTGGTCAAGCGAAAGAGGTTTCAATAAAGTGCAGTGGGTTTTACCCCCGACTTTACCTACCGAGCGGCCGGGTATGACGGCACGGTAGAAACAATCAGCTACTCAGATTTCGCCGCAGCCGCTTCGGCAGTACCTACTCGAAGGAATACTTTTTACTGATGGTGGAATGAGGGGGTAATAGTTCGAACGGCAAAGCGACTTTCTTCTACTGCTACTTCTCAGTCGCGCTTCTCTGTGTCCTCATCTTTTATCACACGAACATATCGACGCGACAAACATTTACCGATCCCATACCTCTTGTTCTTGGCGAAAACAAAAAGCTGGGGCTGGCTATTCAATACATCGTCATGCATCAAAACCACACACGACACACGGATTCTACGCGAGCGACGAACGAGGAATACGATGACTCGTCTGTTTCATCAGCTACAGATGCCGAGAAAGAGATTATCGCGGCCAACGCGCTGAATGAAGGAGCCACACAACCATACGAGGAACCACCCATTACCGAGGCACAGCAACAAGAGCAAGGACAATATGCAGATGGAAGGGATGGAGCTGGTCTTGAGAAACAAGTCACGAGGAGATCTATACGATCGGGCAAAGCGGTGTCGGTGAATAATATTGCTGCCATACCCAATGGTGGCACGACGGCTTGGTTGCAGGTTCTTGGAGCCTTCTTCCTGTTCTTCAACTCATGGGGCATTAGTAAGAGAATGGCATCCATCGAGGGTGGTATAGTATGCTAACTCACCGTAGTCAACACTTTTGGTGCATACCAGACATATTACCAGTCTGGCATTCTTTCATCATCCTCACCCTCGGACATTTCCTGGATTGGATCAGTGCAAGCCTTCTTGCTCATGCTGATCGGAGCATTGACAGGACCTATCTATGATGCTGGATACTTCAGAGCTTTGCTGAGTGTCGGCTCTTTCGCCGTCGTGTTTGGCTTCATGATGCTATCGCTTGCTAGGACATACTGGCAGGTCATTCTTGCCCAAGGTATTTGCGTTGGTCTTGGTGCCGGATGCTTGTTCGTGCCCTCAGTCGCTATCCTCAGTACATACTTCAGCACCAAGATTGCCACTGCCATGGGTGTCGCTGCCGCTGGCAGTAGTTTGGGTAAGACTTGTCTCTGTCTTATCTCAGGGGCTCCAAGCTAACATTGCACTAGGCGGAGTCATCTACCCTATCGTCTTCTACCGTCTCGAACCGCGTATTGGGTTTCCCTGGGCTACTCGTGTCATTGGCTTTATCGCCTTCGCGACCCTGATCGTTGCCAACTCGGTCATGAAAGTGCGTGTTCTTCCGGCTGCTCGCCGAGCCGTCTTCGATCTGAAAGCCTTCACCGAGCTACCGTACCTGTTCTTCGTCCTGGGCGGCTTCCTGACTTTCATGGGCTTGTACGCGCCTTTCTTCTACATTGAGAGCTACGGCATCACGTACAACATCACTTCTGAGAGTCTGGGCTTCTACACGTTGTCAATCATCAACTCGGCATCAGTATTCGGTCGCATTGTGCCAAACTTGATTGCGGATCGTACTGGACCTATGAATATGATTGTGCCTTGCTGCATCATCTCAGGAGTCATCGCTCTGTGCCTCATCCCTGTACGCAGTGAGGCCGGTCTCATCGTGGAGTGTCTACTCTACGGCTTCTTCTCTGGAGCGTTGGTGTCACTGCCTCCTACTGTATTCGTCTCGCTCTCGCCTAACCGAGGACTCATCGGCACACGCATGGGACAGGGGTTCAGCATCATCTCTATCGGATTACTGCTGGGCACACCAATTTGTGGATGGATCTTGGACGGCAGTGGATTTACTTATGTCTGGGTGTTTGCCGGAGTCTTGGTTCTCGGAGGTGGAAGTCTTATGGCCTTGAGTAGAGTACTCAAGGCAGGACCAAAGCTTGTGCAGAGAGTGTAGGCTGGGTCTGGAAGGAGCTTACAGTCCATTATTTTACCCTTCTTGCATAGCATTACACAATATACCCAGATGTACACATGTTCCAGTGCGACCAGCGTTCTTTCATTACTGCATGCAGAAGAGCGTGATCGATTTCCAATGTGTTAGTTTCCAGAAGCAACTGAAGGTGAATGGTGGGTAAAAGGGTCCAGCTCCGGGTTTGAGACAGATTGGCACATGGCAATTGCCGAGGATTTGGCGGTGCGGAGGGTTTGATGCGGCGTCTTTGTATACCATCGACAGCACACAACGACGACGATCATCAAGCAGCGCATCCTTCACACGCCATCGCGTATACTGGAGTCGAGTGACTGGGTCACTGGAATATCCCTCAAACCTCCGCAATACGCCCTGCACACCTCATCGCCGCTCCACTTCCACGCGACCACACAGTGACATCACGGGCTCACGGTGTTGACCACTCGTCCGCATGTCCGACGTTCAGCGATAAAGGAGCATGCCAGGTCGCATCGTCATGGACAGTCATGCTGCACCACACACCAACGGATTAAAGACCGACTTGCCCACCATGGCCGACACTGCTCCCGCCCAACACAACGCCCTGTCAATCGGTTATAGCAATGGCACAATCAAAGAGGAGGATGAGCTCTTGCCACCAGAGCTAGAACACTGGGCCCACACATATGTTCCCATGGGCAAATTGCTAGAGCGCATGGCACAACAATGTTACTTTGAACTGGGAGATCTCGTGGAGCAGATGGCCGACTTGAACATTGCCGCGCCCCAGACAAATGGCGCATCAACTTCTGCTCCGGACGTGTCAAAAGTAAGCGTCGACAAGAAGTTGCGACTCATGAACTTTGCGAATACACAACAGGCTCGTTTCATCAAGGCCTTGGTCTTGTCCGACTGGGCGCGTAACATGGGAGACATGGACAAGTTGATCGAGTTGCGCATGTGGCTGACACAACAAGATGAAGCCACATCACTCGTCGCCAACTCTATAGTCAACATGAAAACCAACATGGTTGCCGCCAAAATGCCGAATCCAAACATTGAAGGGGCTCTGGAACTTTTGTCCACATCCAAAGCGCCATGGCTACCAGATCTCGGCTACATTGCGCCAAAACCTCTGTCCGCGCAGAAACTGCTAAAGACGCTTCGAGACATGAATTTCGTCCTTTCCGTACGACTGAACCTGCATGAACAATTACCTTCACATTTCTGCAACTACTCGATAGCGAACGGTCGTGCCACTTTCGTTGTGCCGGATGAGTTTGAGCTTGATCTGGCTGTTACCGATGAAGACACGACTTCACCTTTCTACTTTATTGACATCCGATTCCTCTTTTCCGATGCGCCCCCTCTACCAGACGGTTACGCTCGTCAAAGTCTAGAAGGCAAAGTCAATCAAATCCTGCAGCTGGAAGGTCTGTCTGCGGCTTACGAATTTCTCCACGGATTCGTCTTGACACACAAAATCTCTTTGCTGCGACGACAGGCCTTCGAATTGTCGCGCACAAGATGGACCGAGTGCTTACACGTTGAGCCTATACACCGATCACTTGTCGTGCAATACTGGACTGGCCAACCCGGAGGAAAGAGCTGGATAGAAGTCGGCATCGTGAAGGGTAGTAATGGGCAAAGTTCAGAGCGAGCACATACACCCGCGCGGCTGAACATCCGCTGGTTCAGAGCAGGAAAGGAGGTTCCCGATGTACGTTTCGACATCGATGCGGCAAACCCTTCGATGGAACAGATATTGAACCAGGTCACTGCTGCGCACATGACGCTTCGTCTTGGTACCGTTCGAGACCAGATTGTCGCCATCTCACCTCCGAACTCAGCGCTAGCCATCGACTTGAACGTATCGTCGACGGATCCAAACGCCTGCGCACTATCTACGAAGCTTGGTCAGCACGGTTCTGAGACGATCTTACGGATCATCCCTGTCAATGGCAACATCTCAATCTCACCTGTTTCGTCCGCTTCGATAGATGTGGAGAGAAGATTGAATGCCGATCCGTCAATAGACGCTGCGCAGATTGTTACATATCTCAACTGCAAACTTGTCCAAGACCAAATCACGCGTCAAGCCGTTCAAGCAGGCTGGCTTCTCATGCCTACGGATAAACAGGCTGACACCAATAAAGTCTTCCAAGAACAGATCGTTCGCCGTACAACATTTACTCGCCATGGCTGGGGCGAAGATTGGGCGATCTGTCTAACAATAAGTCTTCAAGGAGTCAAATGGTGGATCGTCCACTTGACTTACACCTCACCAACCTCTCGCATAATCACCACAGCAGAAACCCTGGCAATCCCCTCAACGACAAAACTCTTCGACCGCCAAACAGTTATGCTCATCGAATCTCGCGCTGTAGCACAAGTCTCTCTCTCAAACATTTCCTCACAACTCCGTGCTCAAAATATCAGCCATGAAATTCGCCATGTTGCTGCTTCCGCGTCCGCTCAGGCCAACACTTCTTCATCACCACTTTCATCTTCTACCACAACTGCTGTCATTGGTATGAAATTCGAAGATGTCATGCAACCGTCTTCTCCTGTAGAGCGCAAAACCTGGATACCCTGGTGTGGAAGTACAATGGTCTTGACACATCACGGTGTTGATGAAACAGCAAAAGATACCGTCAAAGTTATACATGTGCTTAAAACCACTTTGACACCACAAACAGCAGAGACACTATCACCACTCATCAACAAGCCAGTCCAAGATATCAGTTTCAGTCCCAATGGCATCTTGGCCCTCGCACTCCCCACCCATTTCGGCGTCGATTTACTCCAACTCATAAAAACGAAACTATCAGCTGTAGAACGCCTAGCTTCTTGTCTCTCAGCTCTGAAGTCTCGAAACTTTGCAGTTGAAAAAGCGACTATGCAAGGTTTGGTTTTCGTGTACTCTTCTCCTTCTGCTCCGTTTACTCTAAAAGCCGGAATCGCATTTACAAACCAAGGCATACACTTGCGCTTCCCAGCAGCCCACGATAACGAAACCCCTCACCGCCGTATCCTCCCCCTATTGCAGAAATTACTAGAAACACCTGTTTCTTGCACTTCTCCACTCCAAGAAAGCGCAAGATTTGAAAATTTACTAAATCTTTTGCATGCTACTACACCGCTTTTCTCCGCGTTTACAAGGATTGAAAACAAGGATAGCAGTGGGAAGCAATGTAAAGCGTTTTCGAGGAGTTTGGTACAGCATCGTTTGGTTTACTCGGAACCACTGCATCCTATGGTTCTGGAAATTGAGTTTCGTCGTAAAGAGGGCAAGGATTTTTGGAGTGTGACGTTGGTCAAAAACACTCCAGATTCAGCGGAGAAGAAGGAGAAATCTTTGGATTTGCTGGCTAAGGCATGGCAAGGCAAAGATCTACCAGGTGTCAAGGGGTTTAGAAGTGGTATCATTGCTGATGTGGATGCTATCGGAAAGATCTTAATAGCCATTGATGAAGTGGTTAGAGGAGAGGAGCCAAGGGTTGGAAATGGCAATGGAAATGGCGATGGACAAGATATCGTGGTGCTGGATTAAGAAGAAACCGGTACAATGCCATGGATTGCGAGGGGGTTTGAAGCTGAGTTCACAGGGGTACCCAGAGAGCAGGTTGAAAAGCGGGAAAGAATGGGGAATAATGACGAATAAGGTGGTTTTCCAGACCACCCCTCTTTCTATATCCAACATTCGGACAGAAGAGCCCTTTTGTAGTAAAGAAAGTCGGTTGGCTATACACAACTGCAGTAATGTAGTAAGAGAGAAACGAAAGATATCATCTCCATTCACAGGTAGACACATGCGGGAAACATGTCAAAAGAATCGCGTCTTTTCGGATTTGTTTCAATTCGAACGTGACATGAAACGTATCTATCACTGCATACAATAATGGCACCATTTACTTCTTCGTATGCGGAGTCTTCCTAGGTAGGATACAATAAAAATAGTTCTATAATGCGGTAGGTACTGTACAGTCAGCGCCGGAAGGAATTCTAGAGATGTCCCGTGCGAAAGCCTCCAGTTGATCTCTGCTTCGAGAATTCAAGTCCCGACTGCTCAAGATTGATCCACCTCATTCACCGCCGTTTCCCTATGCAGGCATCTTTCGCTCGTACTTTTCCAAGTCGCTATCTCATACGCTTTCAAGTAACTTCGGGTTTCTCGGATGTCCTCGTACTTTAAGAGAACGGAATGATCTTCATTCCTTAGCCAATCCATGAGACGATCCCTGGCTTGTCGGATACCACGGTTATAGTCAGAAGCGTCAATCGAGCCAAGCGCGAGGCTGTTCCGAAGCATTCTGGCCCGCGACCAGATATTCTCCCCAAGCCCAAGCAGGGTCGAATTTCAGAACCCCGTCCTCTATGTCTCGCACTCTACTCTTGATAAATTCGATACATTCTCTCAATCTTCTCATCGATTCGGCTACACGACTCATCTCGTGCATCACGCTGTGTAGTCTCCGGATCTGACCATCGCGTTCGGTGCACGAATTTTCAGGCGTCGGGGCTGCCCCGTACATCGTCTCTGTGGATTCACGGACCTGCTTCTCATTATCCTCGGTATCGACACGTGAACGTTTGGGCTCTGGAGAACTGGTAATCGAAGGTCCAGGATCTATGTCTGTGGCGCCGGAGGCAGGGTGGTCGAGATCCTCTTCCAACCCTCTTTTAAGATCTGCGTTGGCAAAAGGCTGGATCGTTGTCAGAGCAAAGGTACACGATCTCGGCGTCATTCTGTACAGATCCAAGCTCGACAGATTTGCCGGAGTTTTCAGATCGTGATGAGGTAGACAAAATCTCGTCGATACTGTGCATGCTGGATGAACTCTGGTGTGACATGGCATCTTTTTCGAACCGTCGGCTGGAAGATGGTCCTGATGGTCCTGAAGGTCCTGGTGGTCCTGATGGTCCTGAGATGGCCGATGGTTTTACATTACTAGCCACATTGCGCTGAGTCGACACAGGATTGTATCTAGAGTTTCTCGTGCCTGTCATCGTATCTGACCAGTAAACCACAGACGCGGTCAGTGGTCGGGCGCTAGAAAAGTTGAGAAAAGAAGGGTTGGTATCTCGAAACTCTGGAGCCTTAGAATTGCTGATCATTGACTAACTCAAGGCTACCGATGCTGTGGTTCGATGGAAATGTCTGCTCCCGTCGTTGAGGGATACTCGTTTGCTGTATAAGGTGATGCTTCCGAAAACGGTAAGGCTGCTGTTTCGTCGCGTTACACACACAAACTCTTTTCTAATGACTTGCACGCTGTCGAACGGACAAAGTCAGTGATGAAACGTTACGCACAACAATACTTCCAAGAATTGAGAGCTTGTGGGAAAGTGTTTGCGTAAAAACATTGTCCGTGGCCGAGAACATGCTCGTTGACAAATGGTGGGCTTCGCTGGAAATGGTGGAGATCAGATCGTCTTTCGTGGTCATATTTTCCTGCCGGGTAGAATTGGCATATTCGAGCGGCAGAGTGAGCACTTGGAAAGAGAAAAGGAGAGACCACGCACCTACATGTGTAGAGCTAGGAGCTCCAGACGTCAACATGCTTCTAAACAAGAGGCTTGGACGGAATTTGTTAGAGGAGCCAATGTGTTCGAAGGCGTAATACCACGAGACCTTCTGCACCGAGATGTGTAGAGCCAAAATCGCAACCAGATATTAACATCCTCTCAAAGCAAGAGAAGACTCACAGAAACCCGTCAGTGGTGCCAGCATACCCAAAGACATAGTCTCCGAGTCGTGAAAGCGCCTGCTGAAATCTCCAGTTAGGAATTGATTCTAGCAAAACGAACAATGACAAGAAATTCCGAATCAGTCATATACAGATCTAGCTAAATCTCGTGGCATTAGCGGTAAAAAGGGGCTCGAGAACTCCAGATGATGTTGTTGGAGTGAACTGATGGCGATTATAAGCTAAAAGTAGGTCTGGGGCCTTTTCGCGCCTTCTAGTGGGACGAGACGAAAGCGGGTTTGATGCAGTGTTGACAGATTACGTCGAGGCGACAAGCAACAAGTAACAAGCAACAAGACCTTTCGTAGAAGCTGCGTGAGCTTCTTGGAAGGAGCGACTAAGCCTGCACCATCTACGTGTAGCATCAGTCGAGATGCTGATAGCATCGCCTTCTGAACATTCGAGTGCTTCAAATTCCCAGCTGAGGGGACAACGAGCGCATATCCTCGCTGGACGAGTGGAGAGTGGACTTTACAATTGCAACAGATGTGAAATCTGGGCTGAAGTCGAGAAAGTGGAGATGTGATCATTATGTAAAAGCAAACATGCCTCGATCAACAAGAGAAAACCCCCAATACAACAGAGAAGAAATAAACGTGCAATCCCATCAAAAAACGCTTTCCAAACACAAACCCACAATACCCCAGTATCAAATTCAATACAACAACCTTGCCTGCTCCATCACAAACACACTACTCCTCCATTCTCACTGTTTCAATTTCGCCAATTCCTCCCTGACGCTGCCCCCGCTAGCCCTCCACCAAACATCTCCACCCCACCTAACAACCCTCTCCGCCGCATCCAGCGGTCCGTCAACAGCAGGTCTGACATCGAGGTAGAAAACCGGTTCTCCAGTCTCTTCAGGCGGCCCCGAGTAATAATCAATAACATATCTTTTTTCCCTTTCCGTGCCATCTGGATGCACTCTGCGAACAAACCAATCGTGTCGATCAAAAGGTGGTTCGGTTTCGTATTTGGATGGGTATAGCCAGCCCATTACTTGAAGCATGCGGGCTTTTGGTGTCAATTCCGAGGGACGGCCCATGAAGCGGACGAGACTTGGATCCTTGGTCTCGGTGTTGGCGGCCATGGCGTCTTTTCTCGCTAGCATGTCTGCCATGAGGGAAGCGTTTTCTTCGCCTTTGCTGCACACTTGCCAGCCTCGTGATAATCCTGCAGAGAACCTCTTCTCCCACTCGACGATTTCATTCCAAGCTCCTTCGTTTAGGAAATTGTGGACAGAGACCATGGCTTCTACGTGTTCGGCTGGTGTATCCGTGTATCCCTTGCGCAACATGGCATTGTACATTTGTTGAGGCGAAGGGTATTCCCAAGTTCCTTGGCCGTCGCCGCGGGGGATTGTGCTGTTCTCGCGGTCTAGAGGGAGGTCGACGGTTTGTTCGGTGTGGTCGCGTTGGTTGGAGAGGTTCTTGGGCATGTAGTTGAGAGGGTTGAGCTTTGAGATGTAGGAGGGTGAGCCGGCGGAAGGCTCTTTGGTGTCTGTGGTGGGTGGCACGTAGGGGCATGCGCTTGCTGAGTCTGCGGGCTTTGTGACAATGGAAGGTGGTGGTGCTGAAGGAACCTCGCCGGCGGGCTTGTGCATGGGACATCCTGGCTGTGAGATTGTTAGATGGTGTTTAAATCGTCGTTGACTGAAGGTGCATACCGGAGGTGTGGCGCTCGCATTGGCAGGCATGGGGTGGGGAGCCACAGGTGCGGCGGCTGGCGAATCTGCCCAGAACCAACCCATTGTGACTGATTATACGTGTATGAAGTGGATATCGAGTAGATGAGAGGCTGTGAGCAAGGCGAAACGAGATACAAGACGGCGGCGAAAAAAAGTTGAATGACGATGGATAAATAAGAAGCTCGGGAGTCTTCGGCCGCCGTTGCTGACCTGAAGCCTCGAGCTTGACTCGTGTAGACAATCTAGATCTTCACAATCATCTTATCTAATCTTATCACTCCGATCTGGGACATGTAGCATATCTTCGTGAATACGTTTTGGCTAGCACTTGAACAAGCTATCCTTCAGACTCATCGATCTAGTACATCTCACTGTCTATGCACCCGCTTTGAGGTTGGTAGCAAGAGTACCAGTACCTCTGCTGGAGAAGATGGCCATGATGCCAAAGCCAACGTAGAATAGAGCCAAAGGGTATGCAACCAATCCTCGCATCCCAGTCATTCTTCCAACTGCGCAGAACATGGCACTGCTGCTGTATGTGCACCAAGAGATTGCGAGACTGGTCATGATGTAGCCGAACAGGCCATCTAGAGGGAGTCCAACGCCGACGAAAGAGGTCAGCACAAGAGGCAGAAGGCAGTATCCGAGCACCGAAGCGGAACGCCAGTAGGTCAATGTTGCCGAGAAGTGACCACCGTGTGCAGACGAGGCATCCTGTTGTTGAGCAGATGCGTCGGCGGGTGAGAGGGGTGGTGACATGAGCGACAGGATCCAGTGGAGTGCGATGCTGCCCATAGCTGCAAGTCCATAGATGTAACCAAAGTGAAGCTTGCCAGACTGGTGAAGAAAGTTAGCCATGCTCCCGCATATGACCTTGTGAAGCGACTCACCAAGAGTAGAAAGAAGCCAAACATGACGAAGAAGAGGATGGGTCCTGCCAGATCAGAGTCGTCCATGATGTGTTGGTCAATCCTCGCCAGAGGGTTCAAGACGGTAAGAGTCTACCGCAGCGCATCGCATCAGTATTCCACATCTCCCCCTCACAGGCGGGTCCATCTCACCTTTGTCTTGATATGCCCAAAGTTGACGCCCAGCTCTTCCAGCAACGGCGGCTCTCCTGGGTATCCCTCAGTGCCAAACGCAGCCAACCACCCCATCGTCAAACCCCCTTGTTCACCCATCCTTCCAGAGACAGCACCCTGGCCGCCAAAGCCCGCGCCATAACTAGACGGGTATGCTGATGTCTGCGCTCCGCTGTTGAAAGCCTGGAAGGGTGTCGACGTGCCAGACACGGGTTGATTCGAGTACGACGAAGGGTAGAATTGTAGATTTTGCGCATTGCCATAGGGCTGTTGCTGTTGAGGGTTGTAGTACGCCATTGCGACAGACTGTTGTCGTGGTGTCGTGTCACTTGTGCTGGGGAGGTCTTGGACTCCTGCTTCGCTTTCCTAAAGCTGTTCTGTTGTTGGCTGTTGCCAAGACCCCGCAACTGTCTGCGTCACTTTCGTCAAAACACGTCGCTTGGAATACCCTGGCTTCTTGATTGCATGTCTATTCGGAGAGGTACATAGCTTCACATGGCTACTCGTTGACAAATGGTCATCTTCGAGTGACTGGTTTAATCTCCGAGGCTTGCGAATATACTCGAATCAATCGGATGGTTCGTCGAAGGCACTTGTAAAATCCCGGTGTGCTCTGAAGCATGAAGCTGGACGTGGCTCACTCAACATCCAATGCTCGAACCAAGGCTTGAGCAAGACACGAAATCGAAATTCCTATGGTTCAAGGACCGGATGTCGTTGTGTACACTGCACAAGTCTATCGACTATCTACTCTTCCTCGTCATCGCTATCACCCATGACAATCTCTGGTACCACAAACTCATCGTCATCACTATCATCGGCAACAGCCTGGGGCTCGATAGACTTTTGTCTCTTGTCAGCAGCTTTGGGCTCATCTTCTTCGCGCTGTCTCTTGAATCTCTGGGCTTCATTTGAGTCTCCTCCGACCACCAACTCGATGGCTTCTCCATCGCTTCCTTTCGTTGCGCCACCCGATGCTTCGTCAGCTGTCAGCTGTTCTTGTACGTATTCATTGAGTGCCCAGTTGACAGATTCCTGCGCTTTAGGAGCATCCTTGCTTTCCGATGCGACAGCGGACGATACAGCCGGGCGTGATGTCTCTCCAGCAATCTCCTCTGCCTCGACTTGCTCTTCCTCCTCATCAGAAGCCGACTCCTCGTCCTCATCCATGTCGTCAGCTTCGGCTTCAGCATTGGTGGCCTTACGACCAGTCTGGAGAATGGGCATTCTTGGTCTGAGGAGGACCTCGACCGCAGGATCGGTAGGATATTCACGAGCGAGAAGAGGCAAAAGACTATTACCCTTGCGAGCTGCCTTGGCTGTGGATGTGTGGTTGAAAGTGCTCGCCATGACCGCATCCTTGTGGCGAATGAGCACAGCCGTGCGGTCCATAGTCGCGCGCAGTGAAATAGGACAGTGTTCCGCAGGGAGCTGTCCGACCAGAGTAGGAAGCAAGTCCCAGGCTGCTGACTTCAAGCCAGCAAGTTCGGTCTTTGCTGAAGGCTTGGTGGAAGCCTGTTTGAGGAAAGTATCGGCGTTCATGGTAGACTGTTGCTTGTTGCCATTGCTGTTCTGGGGATCCTTTTCCTCAATGGTCGGCAGCAGGTCTTCACAGCATGCGATGATGTACTTCTTTAGAGCTGCAATGGTCTCCTTGTTAAGTGATTGGCCCGAGATATCCAGGATCTTTTTTCCGACAACGTAAGTTGCAGTCCTGACCTCAACATTGGCCGAAGAAGCGTGGAAGATCCACATGACCTGGTCAAGGAAAGATTGTAGAGCTGGTGTGATGGCGTTACCGTAGCGGTCCAGGATAACAGACAGGACCTCGATACATGCGACATGAAGCTGGGGCAGGATCTCAGTCAAGGCATCACGCTCTTCTCTTGCAGCATCACGCTTGAAGCGAATGGTGCTCTTGGTGGAGCTTGTTGAGATAGTATTGGACATCAATCTCGTAAGCAGATCTGACACGGCGCCGATTGAGCCAACAACAGAAGCAGACGTAGCAGATGCAAAGTAGGCGGCAAGCAAGCGAAGATGGTTCATCAAACCTTGATGACCAGGGGTGATAAATTGAGCCACAGGGCCGTCTGCAGGCGTGGTAGCATCTTGAGCCTTGGAGTAGAGGTCGGACAGGACGTTCTTGTTGACAAAGTTAGTACCGGTCACGGACTGCCAGTCCTCGTCGATGCTCATGAATGTCCTATCGGCCGTGGCATGAGCGTTGTGAAGAGTAGCGACAAGGCTAGACTCCCACTTGTCACTGGCACCATTCTTGGGTTCACATTGGTGAAGAAGAACCGAGATCCGGGAAGCGAGGTCCACGATGTGATCACCGGAGGCCCTGTTGTCAAAGACGACAGTCAGGAGCTTTGCAACAGCATCCTGGTGTTGACGGAAGATGGTGGGGTGGCGAGGGAGAAGTTGAGAAAAGCACTCCAGAGTAGCCTTGATTTCCTGAGGGATAGGCTGACGCGAAGAGAGGTTGTTAAGACAAGTGGACACAAATGTCGGGAGGGAAGGGGTAGTAATTTCTCTGATCAGAGTGGGAAACTCCCATGTAAGCATAAAAATGCGGGTCAGAGTGACGATGGTCAGACATCTCAGGAGAGGAGGATCAGGCTTCTTCAACATGATGAGCAGACCACGGACCCAGCCAATGGACTTCTTGAGGGTCTCCCAGCCACCAGCTTCGATAGCAGCCTTGATCAGAACAACAGCAGCCCAGCGACCCTCGACATAGCGATCAGCAAGCAGAGAGGTGATTTGAGTATTGAATCGGTGAAGAGCAATTGCGGTATCCGAGTCCTTTTGGTTGGCCAAGTCAGGTTGGGTGAAGATGTCCTTGCAAGAAAGCAGAGATTGAGCAGTGAGAGCGGCGATTTGGGGAAGGTCAGCTTTGGACGCGTTCGAGATGCGGAAAGACGCAGCTCTCAGCAACGAGATGGAAGTTGCCTGAGGAGCCATGATTGATTATGCTACGTCCAGTAAGATCCGGAATATGTTGTTGGCCCGGTAGAAAAGAACAATGTTTAGACCTTTTGACAGATTTCTTGGGCAAACAATATTTTCTGAACAAAAACTGGGGAAACAGCTGCGGGAAGCGTTTCACGGAAGGGCACGGACCCGAAGCGGGAGTCAGTCGGGGGTTCGTGGATCCGAATGACGGAGCATCGTGTTTGGATAATTGTTTGTGGTCACCTCCATGACTTGACATAGACGACTTCAGCCATGAGTGTGAGTCTGATCGATTATGGACAAGAGAAATGATGGCTGATGATTCGATGCGCAGGTGTCAGAAAGCGACAAGGCTCAACGCTACATCGCCAGCCTCAATGCCGCCCGTCTGAACGGCACCTGGGCCGATGTGCCCGAGCTGGTGCGCAAGGTCGACAAACACGCGCCGCATCGCAAATGCCTGACTCTGGCTGCCGCCGCAGAGGTTCAGACCGCGACTTCGTCTAATCGCCGTCCGGGGACACAAACATCAGCTGCTTCACACACTAGTCTCCTCGATCAGACCCCCAAGCTCGTCCAGGCCGTCGAGAGCGAACGCACCCTACTTGAAGATGCCTTCCAAGCAAATGTCGCCCTTCATGAGATTTACTTCCTTCGCGCCGAGTGGTCCGCAGTACTTGGTGGTCTCGAAGACGACGCGGGGTCGATAGTTGCTCCTTTCGCAAACTCGCCTTCAGATCTCAAACCAAACACCCGTCTGGCCTTGATCAAGAGCTGCTACTTCTTGGGTGTCGCCAAGGAACAGAACGTCTCGCTGGATAGTGCTCTACTTGTATACAGCCAAGCTCTGCCAGCAATCGATCAGGCTCCCGTGAATCTGGCTGCCTACCTGGAATACCGCACATGGGCTGCTCGTTTGCTTGGTCGTATTTGTTCCCTTCAGTCGGAGCAAGGCCACACTTCGACTCTCGCCAATGCAAATGCTGCTTTGATCTCGTACAGAGCGTGGGCCCGTATCTGGACTGGCGACACGCCATCCAGGACCACCGCCCCCAGCTACTCTCTCGGTCCTCACGATGTCTCTAATAAGGACGTTTGGGCCTTGTATTACAACTTTCTCTCATTCGTTCTTGCTTCAGACCTGATCTATACCTCTTCGAACGAGTCACCCTTGACTATTCCTGATTCGGAATACCTTTCCAGCGACCTGGCCAAGGCGAGACTGCGACAAAGAACTGAGCTGAAACAGGTCGAATCTGCCTACGAAAGCTTACTGTTGTACAAGACCAAGTTCCCTCAAGCAAGTCAGTCTAATCAGGAAGTCGAACTTTGGGCGAACTCGGTCATCTCAAACTGGTCAATTCTGTGCGGTCCGAAATGGCGAGAAATCGATCTGGGCGAAGGTGGCAAGGCCGCTGTCGGTCGCAGTACTCTGGACATCCTCTATCGTGCCGCAACAAAAACCTTTCACTCTACGATAATCCTGCGCCACCTCTTCGTGGTCCACGCTTCCCTGGCAGAATTCGATCTTGCAGTCAAGGCTTTCGACTCGTACACCGATATTACCAGCAGGGCAAAGTCGAGAGCCGAGAAGACCGGCCACAACGAACCAGGGCTGGATAGTGATGATCTTGTTGTTTTGACTGCCGCTCAGGCTATTGGCGTATTGTGCAGATATGGCTCACAAGCAGAGGGCGAAAAGGCTATCGATGTTGCCAAGAAACTCTCCGATTGGCTTAAACAACCTCGTCCAACTTCTTCCATGACCGTCGCTAGGAAAGACGAAGATGGCCGTCAACCAGATAAGGCTGCTACTGACGCTGAGGCTGCTACAGGTGCCCTACTCTCAACTGAGTCTTCTGTAGCTGCCTATCGTGCTATTGGTGAAAGCCAAGCAAACTTTGCCAGACTCACTCACGACCCATCACAACGGGCAGAGTTCAGAGAGAAGGCCATCAAGTCTCTGCGAAAAGCTGCAGAGTTGTCACCTGGTGGTAATCTGGATCCGGAGACTGCTCTCCTGCTGGGTACAGTCCTCGCTGAAAATCGTCAACTATTGCCTGCAACGCAAATCGTCAAGTTCGCTCTGGCGTCCTCAGCAAAAGAGGACGACAATAGAAGTGTCGCTGACATGTCGCACATGATTCCTCTATACCATCTCATGGCGCTCTTACTGACTGCTCGAGGCGACTACGACCATGCTGTAGAATTCTGTGATGTCGCCTTCGAGCAGTTCGGCGGAGCAGACATAATGTTCGGTGAAACTGAGGGCGATGTCCTAATCCAACGTATGGAAGACTCCGAGAAGGAAGGCCTACTGCAGCTTCGCCTAACACAATTGGCTCTTACTGAGATGTTGGACGATCCAGAGACTGCAGCCGACGCGGGATCTCAAGTGCTCGCACTTTACCACAAACTTTTTGGTAAATCGGGCAGTAGCGTGGCAGCTCCCCTGGAAGATACCATTGTCCCTTCCGCGGCATCTTTTGTCGCACCGTCACTCAAGACACAAGGCACTTTCAAGAGCGTCAGTGGTAGTATACTGAGAAGGAACAAATCAACACGAAGAGGGGCAGAAGGACCAACGCGAGACAACGGCGTTCCTCCAGTTCCGACTGTGAACAATGATATCTCTATGACGGCGAACACAACAAATACGACTAATGGTGAAGACGTCTTGCACGAGAAGCATCGTCACAAGTTGCATTTACCCCACCACCCTCTCAAACATCTTCACCATCATAATCATGGGGCGGATCCCGAAAAGAGTGCTTTGGCTCAGGAGCAAGCCCCAGCTGTGCCGCAAAAAGACACTTCTGATCAGAGTCAGCAACTACCTGCGGCATCACATCACGCAGAACAGCGCTCGTTGCAAGATAAACGTCTCCCAACACCCATTACCCTGTTTTCCTCCGCAGCACCCCGTCCCCGCTATCCTCATACAAAAAAAAGGCAGCATACAACGTCTTTACTCATCGAGGTCTGGCTTCAAATTGCAGGACAATATACCCGCGGAGAATTCTTCGAAGATGCAGAAGGTGCGATTCACGAAGCTCAAAAGCTTGCAGAAGAATTCCAACTGGCTGTCGCACGAGAAGATTCATCCGCTCACGCATTCAACGAAAGAGGTTGGGGAGGGGGTCTCAGTGCGAACAGATTGTGGGCTGACGTCTGGGCTGAGGTATGTGCCTCCCATTCTGTACTTTTGTCATCACACTAACGACTTATAGCGCGGATCTTTGTCCGCAGCAAAAAATTACCCCCACGAAGCTCTCGCCGCCTACGAAAGAGCATTGTCCCACTACCCTGACCACCCTGCCGCAATCGTCGGCATCAGCACAATTCTCCTTGACATCTACGCCGAAGTCATTCCCGCCGAGATACCCCTCTCAAACTCCATCACGACTCCCGTAACTCCCACACCCGCAAAAACACTCCCCACAGACCCTACACCCTCTGTAGCGCTACAGACTAGATTAGCAGCCAGAGATCGAGCCTACTTCTTACTTACATCGTTGACGAAGACTGGCGAGGGCTGGGATGATAGTGAGGCTTGGAGTCTACTCGCTCGAGCCCACGAGGCTAGTGGACAGGTTGAGAGAGCGAGGGAAGCCTTGTGGTTCTTGGTTGAGCTTGAGGATGGAAGACCGTTAAGGCCTTGGAATGTCGTTAGTAGTGCGCTTTAGAGTGGTACGGAAAGTGTACATAGACCCGTGTCGGAGTTGGGCATCTAATAATGGATACGTCAGTGCAGGAGATATCTCCCTTAGTTTATGCGTGTATCTATGGATCTCGGCGCATATAGGTCTTGGCACTTGCATCTGATTGACGATTCGTCCTCTGAGGCTCCTGCCTCCGGATCCGTCAATCCGAGGCGGCATCTCCGGGACTATGATGGCAGGAACGAATGCCGAGAAGACCCGCCCTGCCTTCGTTTCTCAGGTTTCGGCAACTTGACGTCTTTGCGCTTGTTGTCCGAGCCACGTGGCCCCGAGAAGCCACTGGATGGAATGAGTGACCCCCACCTAATAATAGCTGACTTCATTCAATATCTTGTATAAGAACATTGCCTCGGTAGCCCCAGACTGCCTCCGTCACGTCGTAATCGCGAGGGCTCCCCTTGGCATTTTCCGAAGCGCGATATTACGGTCTGTGGCTACCGAGGCAATAATAACAACAGAATCAAATTCTGAACCTCGAGTATTCCACCATTTGAAGACGTGCGACAGTCCGATACACGATTGGACGGTGCTATTACCGTTTGAAATGACTGCGGCTGGCTCAGTCTTGTACTGGTTTGCAGCTGCTTCCCTCCCACTCTATCTGCTTGCAACAAGGCTGAGTCAGCCACCATGCATGCGTTGGCACTGCCTCGCCCCCCTCTCGATAGCTATCATGAGAAAGATGCGTTGTCTTTTCCATATCTCATTGTCAAGTTCTCCTCGCTCAAAATACGTGTTACCATATCACGACGGTAAAATATGGCATCTCGAGGATTTCCAGGGAAAAATCGCGCCTCATCTAGCGCTGTCGACGGAGCGTCCTCCGGTGCGCTTGAGACCGACGACTATGGATCTCTGGACCATCAGATCGACTCGAATCTATCTGATCAGGATGTTATTCAGATCTTTCAAGCTTCTTTTGAGGCAGGAGATAGATCGGCGTGTGAAAAGCTTCTCTTCGAAAAGGCTGAAGCCATCACTGGAATGGATAGCCCATATCAGTGGATACAAGATCTCTCGACCCTCGAACTGAGACGGCCAGAAGTTTTGGATCTCATGTATGAGGCGCAGCGGGAAAGTCCTTGGATCCACTATAAAGATTCATCTCTCGGGGTGACGACCATACCCATAACAGACCGGTCTTCGAATCTCTTGGTATTGCCTGAGCGCACGCCATCAAAGTCCGAAGTCGAACGGACTATAGCAGGTGTATGCGGCCTTGGTGGAAAAATTCCCCATAGCTTTGGTGGTGATATTCTGGGGTATGACGTGGTTGTCCTTTCCGATGTGCAAAGAGCCAAGATATCATACGGAAAGATCGGTACCGAATTCGTGGCTCGAAACATCGAACTTCAAGGTGTTTCTGTAAGATGTAACGGTGCTTTGGAACGTCTCCAAACTCTCTGTACGTGGCTCGCAATACATAAAGTCGGCCGCGGTAATTTTATCATACTCGCAATCACAGACGATCATGAGCTCGAGGTACAAGCTCGTCCGATACCTTTCATCCTCGTAGAAGACTTGTTGACGAGTATGCGAGAAATGGATCTGGGTCCCCATCACCACGTCACATATCCTGAAATAAGAGCTGCCGAGGCTGCTGCTACCAACGTGCTGAGACTGGTCTGTCCTTCACACTTCGACAATCACTCATACACTGAACTGAGTGACATCCTCGATCTTTGCGCTCTGGCCGTACAACTACTCTGCGTTGCCATTCTATCATTCGGCCAAGCTCATGTCGGGAAGATCGATCCGTTCTTCTTGGAACATCCACTCACGCAAATATCACTTCTTGGTGCTCATGGTTCTTGTGCAGGTTCTCTATCGATCTCACTCCAAATGATCGAATTGAGCTGTGCAGGAGACATGGTACAATCTCCAGTCATGGCATTCACTACTGGAGACAACTCTTCACAGACGAGTTACGACATCCTTATAAAGCCTTATGACCTCCTGACTTTGTGGGGTCCGGGGTCCCTCATACCGTGCATTACAACAATGGGCAGATCGTGGGTGCAAGGGATTGTGATGAAAGGAGGCATCGTGTACCAGCCATCTGCCGACTCTACCATGCTACATTGGGAGCCTGGTACAGCAGACGACGCACGAAAGGGGGTTCTGTTCCGACATGATTTGGAAATGGCGGTCAGACTTGGTGGCTTCGACAAGATCAACACTCAATGTCCTGGTGTTCCGGATCCTTACAATGCAGTACCTACGATGAATATCCGTAGTATCATCGAAGAGCTCGGTACATGGCCCGAGAAATGGGAAGTGCGGGAAAGGCAGGTCGGCGTCCAAGGCGGACAGTTCTTGAACGCAACGCTGAACGCGACTTATATCAAGTCTGACTCTTGCACGCGCAAAAAAAGAGCGCTCCAGCGACTCGATCTGAGGGCACTGGAAAAGCCCTGGGGTATTCTCATTAGTGTGTGTACAGGACTGGCCCACAGAGTCGCACTGCGTGAAGTGGTGGCCGAGGTCATCACAATGATGATGGAAGCATGAATGGAAAAGTCAGCGGATTGGAAAGCCTTGATGTCAATTGGAGATGGGGTGCTCGAGGAACTACGCAACCCCAACTTTCTTGCATGGATCGATGTATTGCGCCCTGAACAGTACGAAGCACTTACTCGTATTGTCACTCACGTGCTTCGAAAGCTATACTGGACTGGTATGAACGACGAGAATGAGCTCATCGCTGCATGTCCTACCATCGACGATCCTGACGGTTGCATTCACATCCCCATGGACGCCTGCAAGGCATTCGCAAGCATTCTGGAAGACACAGAGAGGTCTGCAACTTTCGCTTGCCTGACTACCAAGTGTTTCGAAATGCTTTCGTACAAGTGTCAAACATCACTCAAACCAAAATGGCAAAGGCAAATCCCCGCATTGGTTACCACCGTCTGTCAGTACCGATGGCTAGGAGCGAACCAGTGGGAGAAGATGTCTGGAAGTGACTTGCAGGATGATTGCTCCTATTGGATGGGTTCATCTTCAGACACGCGAAGACTGACTGCCGAAGTACTAAGCCCTCAATCGCCAACCAAACTGAGGTTCTCGAACGGACCGACAAATTGGCGCTACATGCGCAGAGCTTGGGAGCGTTACGAGAAAATCAGACAAGTTCAGCTTGTGCAACTTCGTGAGAGGACTACAATGACGGAAGATTCTGCGACGGAAGTGATCATTCTTGGCGAGTAGAAGCCCTAGTTTAGATGAAAGATGCAGACTTAGTGTCAGGAGGGATGAAAGTGCCAGGCGATGCTGAAGAAGAGGCGCTGTTCACTCGAGCCAAGAGTTTGTAGCGATTCAAGCAAACCATCCGATGCCTCGATCTCGTATCGTTTTTCTCGAATGGAAAACTCCATGACAACCTCGAGCATTAAATGCGGTGCTAACGACTACATAAGAAATGCTAGCTGCACAAAATGGGTGTGAGTAAACTAGACTTTGCCGGCGATGAGCCAAATCGATGGCCAAGGAAAGTCCCATAGAGCTTGATGGTGATGAGTGTAGTATGCCACTAAGATCCACCGGGTAAGGTAGGCATGCCGACTAATCGTGCCTCTCATTTGGGTATCTCCTGATATCCTGTTCCATGGACCTTGAGAGCCAGATCGATAGCCTGTCTCAAGAGTACGGATGCCGAGACAGTTCGTCTCTGTGACTCTATGACAAACGCGAGATCAGCCATGCTTCTTAGCTTGTCTGGATGTCCCTCGCGTAGGGTCTTCCCCCTTCCTTCTATCACTAGTTTCAGTAGATTTCCTGACTCCCGCCAACGCTCGTGATCACTGTAAATGACCCGCAAGGTCACTCACGCTATCCAAAGTCCTTGGATGTTCTTCGCCATGCACGCTTTTCTGCGCTTTTATGACTGAGGACAACAGATCTCCCGCCTTGTTCCACCGTTCCTGATTTATATATCTCGTTGCAAGGATCTGCATACTAAATAGCGTATCCGGATGTTCTTCGCCGAGCACGATCTTTCGCGCTTCTATGACTGAGGAAAACAGATCTTCTGCCTCCCTCCACCGTTGTTGATCACAATATATGCATGCAAGCGTATTCATACTGGAAAGCGTACCTAGTACTGGACAGCGGAATTCATCGCGTCCTTGTCGCGACGGTATTCCCGTGGATCGAACCTGAGAAGATTTCTCTGTGACTTTTCGCTTCTCTTAAAAAAGTCCAGATACCGTTCAATTGAAAATTTCGGTCCTCGTTGTTTCATGTATGCGGCTGCCCGGGAGATGGCGAGAGGCATGAACTCGAGTACAGTCACAAGCAATTTTGCAATTTCGTAATCACTCTGGGGTCCGAGTTTGTTATGTAGTAGGTTCAGCGCGCTCTGTTGACCCATAGGCTCAATCATGAGGATGTCGGCGTCGTCTACCAATCTCTCTGCCATATCTTCTTATCGTGTTGTGATCAGAATTAGCCAGTTGCCGTTCCGTTGATCTTCAAGCCAAGCATGGAACAGCTCATAGATATCCGCCTTCGGATCGTTGCGTTCAGAAATGTTGGGCGGATCAAGAGCTGCTCGAGTGCTTTGCAGTGCGTTTGGTCGTCGCTGACTCTATAGGCAAGCTTGAGTATCTTGGTCGTTGTTAAAGCGTGGTGTAATGACTTCCTTGGCTTCTTGCTGACCGCATCTTCCCCACCCCTCCTGACGAACCCCACCTCGCTTCGAGATTGATCAGTCTAGGCCCAACTTCTGTTTATATCGCTGCTGGTGTTGGGATATACCCCACATATGGATGTCTGCCCAAGCTCTTCTGGCATCGTCCTGGACAATGCCTCCTTCTCACTACAGTCATACCATACCGTAATCACATCCTCCCATCACAACATAACCACGCCAACACCCCCTCCATCCGCCATATTCGCCCGCCCTGCCTCATCAACACCATTCCCCACCTTCCCAGTCCTCCAATTAAAGAGATAGAAATGCAAATACGAAGTCCCAGGTTCGAATTTCTGCTGTGTCAGGAAAAGAGGGTTATCCATTATCGTTAGGGCGTTGAAGACGTGGTGGTTGGAGATTTTTGCTAGGATCAGGAGATCGTGGATTAGGGACTGGATGTGTGTAGCTTGAAGGTCTGCAGAAGTTGGGGTTGGGTGTGGAGAGATGGCGTAGTAGTAGAGGTATGCTGTTCGTATTGTTTCGTTTGTGGACGCAGAGCGGAGGACGGTTGACTGGGGGCCAGTTAGCATGAGCACTCGTATTGATACCACCCTTCTAGAGAAGCTAAACAAGCGTTTCTTACTTCGAGCAAATAATAGGACATGAAGTCTGTGATCTTGCCATTCACCTCGACGACAAAACTCGAAACGATGTTTTTCGAAGCTTCCGAGCAAAAATGATGCAGAACTTCCTGCTCCGTCCACTGCTGTCTCAGACTGTGCTTGCTCGAATACGCGTTCAACAACTCACAAACCCTAGCCAAATCTTCCCCTTCCATCTTCCTCAACCCTTTCGTCGCAGTCTTCTTCTCAAGTCTATACTTGACACTTTGCCGCAGAGCCGTAGATCCTCGCGGCAAATGTGAAAACCCAGTCTTGTAAAGATGATCCCAATCCAACGTCCTGTGATAATACCGACAACTAGCCACAGGAGCTGGCAACACAGTCCCAGCAGTGTAAAGCGCTTGATAAACACACTTTGCATAACATCTCCTCGTAATCTCTTTGATAAGCACCGGGGCCAGTCTTTTCCCACGTAACTTTTGATGTATAGTGAGGAAATTGATTTCGACAGCTTTGATAACATTTTCGCGTACTCCAAGCGTTATAGGCACACCGGCGACAAAAGCGACTAATTTACCTGTCTTGCCGTTTTTGGATGTTGTGCGGACGCCTATGTGCCAGTCTTTTGACCAGCCGGGTGAGCGAAGTGCCCAGGCTAGGAAATCGGTGGAGTAATTGAGACGGAAAGAGCCATCGTCATCTTCTACGTAGTGGTTGTAGAGTAGGTTTTGCAGTTCCAGGAGTTCAGAAGGTTCATTGACGTCGATTTCGCACCATTCGAAGCCTTGGATTAAAGGCTCTGGAGGAGCTTTTGCCAGTTCTTGACATGAGGCGATGGGGAGGATTGCGCCGTCGGGATGTGAGTTTGCAGGAGCAGCGTTTTCGGTTGAAAGGCTCAGGTCGTCTAATCGGGGCACTGGCTGGGTGTTCCAGAATCTGTAGTCCTGGGGATTTTTGCCATCTTTGTTGCGAGATGTTGGGACAAGCTTTGCTTTTTGTAATGATGTGGACTCATCGGCAGGAGGTGAAAGAACATCCCGCTCTCCTGTGCCAGCTTCACGATGGGTCTCCTGGCTGTCTTTGTCCGACATTTTCAGTCAGAAACCAGTGAACTAGTAGGTTGTCAGAAGTAACCAGCCAACACACGTTTCGAAACTTCACGCTGCAAAGTTGGATGATACCGCGAGATAGAAGATATCCTCGAAGTGCGCTCGTCTTCGACCTTGGCGAGAAGAAGCACCCCTTATGTGTCAGTTCACGCAAGACTTGCTTGCGATACAGGCATACGTGGCAGCGGACACTCGCAAGCCACAAAGGCGATGGGAAGCTGAACTATACGCACGTAACGTTAGTCGTCCGTGCTCCCAGATTTTCTGTCTGGTCTAGTATAAGGCTTCGATAGCACAAACTCTAAATGATTGGACACTGGACATCACATCGTATGGGATTTTGAAACGTAGGAACTCGACTTGGCTCGTTGTATCATCTTATGCAGAGTTGGATGGTGACATGAATATAGGAGACTGACGATGTGCTCTTACACCTCGCGACTTGTATCCGTCTTCATCGGGATCTGATTCCTCACTTGGGTAGCCTCTCCAATGATTTGGCATGTTATCGGCCAACCACAAGAGATTAGTCTGGACATCGAAGTCTCCGCAGGACTCAAATTCATGATTATCAATGTCAATAGAAAGGCATTCCAAGGTTTGATTGTTCAACAGTGCGGTAAACGATTCGTTCCAAGGTTTGGTCACTTTGACTCCTTCCGACCTCAGGGTGGACCTAAGTTTAAGATCCCGTCAAAGAGGCACCGAATGGAGGAGAAAGGGTGCGATCTAAGGTTCAGCGTCTTGGAGTATGCCTAGACTGAATTTTCTGACTCTCTGGGGTTGGATATGCATCAGAGCGTCATTCAGGTGTAGCCAATTATTCTTGGTATACGGATTGTTGAACAGTGCAAGTTGGTCCAAACAAGGTAGCTCGTTGATCAATGCGAATAGCTCATCCCGTGTTCCGAGGTCTGAAAACTGTAAGCTCTGATCTGACGGGGCGATGCTGACTTTGAGATGCCTGAGGTAGGACAGACTGTGCCCAAGACCAAACGAGAGATTGAGCTGATCGATCTGTATTCTGTCGATGATCAGAGCGTTGACGGGTGTGGCACTGTCTTTCACAGCCGAAAGCACCATTTCAGTCATTCGGGTCACCATGTTGATTATCTCGTATTCCCAGGCAGGCGAAACGCCGCGGAAATTGTCCTTGAATGGATTTATACCAGTGGCTCGTGTGGGATCGCTCAGACCGAGAGTTGAAGAGAGGGCATTCGGTAACGAGTACCTCGGCCAGCTTTGAACTTCGATCCTCTGGACTGTGGGACCTTTGAGTGCTGCTGCGAGCTGGTTGCGAAAATCTCGACCGCGTACGAGTTTAACGGCCACGTTGGTAGCCTCTTGTTGGGGCGATGAAGCGTCAGGAAAGGGATGTTCGATCTCGCTCAGGATACGCGATTTGGGGGGGACCCATTCGCCACCAGTTGGCGCATACGGCAGCCGAGCTCCCCAGAGTTGGTAGACAGAAGAGTATATACACAGCTCCTTGATATGAGATCTGAAGCGATCATGTCTAGATATTTGGTTCCAAGACGGTCAGAAACGCCGGTGTGGGCATCAGATGCAGACGACGAACGTGGCGTCTCCCAAAGGTCGCGAGTAGTGCGGCGTCCAGGTCCCTACAAACGCCGCGGAGATGCTTAGAGTCATCTGTTGAGAGATAAGAGCTGACTCCAAAGATGATCTCTGTCGGCAGATTAAAGAGGTGGGCATCACAGTGCGGTGTGGCAGCTTTTGTCAAGAATAAGCCCACGATTGACGTAGACACCGCGCGGGCTGTAGAATGTGTCTGAGGATAATTGATCCAGCTCAGCTACACATAACGTGGTATTTAGGAAGTCATGTTTGAACCTTGAAGTAGAAGACGGCAGTAAATGAGCTCGCTTAAGTGGCGGATGTTCCCTTAATTAACAATCAAAATATCTGTCCTGCCCATGACATCGGATATCTCATCGGATATCTCCTCTAGCTACAGTGTTATCGACATGCGTCTTCCTCCTTGCCATTAACCCCTGACCACGACACTGTCTCCTCGCTCTTAGCTTCTCCAGAAGCACATCCAGTGCCTTGCAAACCTCTTCATCGCAATCAGGTCTATACACCAATTCCTCCTCCTTCTCACTATGATTATACGGCTTACTCTTGTTATCCTCGTCCGCTTCCAACCAATTACACTCATAGCTAAAGAAATCATGCATTTCCTTGATTCCAAGTTGTTTTCTGGTGCTGCTTTACAGTCTTCTGCTATGATTTGAAGACTCCGATGTGTAATTCTCTTCATCACATCATCAAAGTTTTGCTTGAAGGTTTCGTCTTCTTCAGACCATGGGTGTATCAAGGCATTCGGAGTGCGCGTTTGCAAGTTCTTAATACTCAAATTGTCAACCTTGGTAGCTGGATGTTCTGCATGATCGAGTCCAGCGATAGAGTAGCTCGCACTTCCTCACGAAATTCGATGGGTTCCGGACAATCGCCATAATCATTGTCCGAGTCTTGGCTGAAGCAGATTATTGAGAACACCGATTCTGCATGTGTCAAGTTTGGAAAGCGACCAGATAGATCCAAAGCTTCTAGGAAGAAAGGATGATGTTCTATGTAGTCCCATGGGTCATAGCCAACTGCAATACGTCGCATTGGACAAGTTTGCGATTCGAGAGGACTTTCATATGCACAGGTCTGTATTCCATCTCTGCGTCACCTCTCATACACTCTTATTCCCTCCCGCCTATCCATCCCCGAGATCCCGGTCAACTCCCTCTAGCAATGGCCACAACTTAAGAACCATGACTTCAAGTGCAACGAAAACGTGTCCCAGAGTATTTGTCAAGTGGGACTGGGATATATCAACGCAAGTTGGAATTTACAAAAGAAGGAAGGAAATGACAGAACAGTTGAGACTTGTACAAGTTTAACCACGACTAGAACCTGCCAACTTCTCCAAACTCATGGCATTCCTACACCATGAAAAAGTAACAAAACAAAAAAAGCTCCAAAATCCCTCCTTCCCATGAGAACATCCCTCCCAAAGAAGAAAAAACATCTAACCACCAAAGAAAGCCCAAGAAAATACGAAAGTTTCTGGCTCCGAAAAAAAACAGAGAGCCATGGGAGTCCCTGATGAGAAATCTCAAGGACTACCACCAAAAAGTCCAACGCCGAATTCCTCTTTACCTTCCCATTTCCTCGGCTTCAAAACCCTCATCTTTCTCACAGGACTTGTATTCTCCTTTTCGCGTTCAAAAGCAGCAAGTCTGTCTCTGAGTCTGGCATTCTCATCTTGCAATTCTGCAATCTTGTCCCCACCTTCTACCTCCTCATCCTCACAAACCTGCACATCTCCAAGACCTCGCGTGAGAATTTCGAGTTTCTTGTCAAGATGTGATTCTACGTGATCTTGTTCCGCTTCTCTAGCAGCATGGTAACGACGACGTTCTGACTCCAGCTGCTGTTCGAATTCCTCCCAGATTTCGTCGCGGAGTTCGAGTTCGAGGTTTTCGAGGCGTGTTTCGGCGGTTAGCCATGATGACTCTGCTTCTCTGCGTCTTTGGATTTCTTCTTCGAGTCGGATCTGTGTGAGTTCGAGGTCTTGGCGGAGGAGAGTGAGCTCGGAGAGTGCGGATTCAAGAGCTGCGTCGTTGGCGGCAGGATTTGATGGTGTGAGACGACCAGACGCAGAGGTGCCAGGGCGAGCGAGCGGAACCATGGTGCTGGTGTAGCTGGGAATACGAGGGACGGTGACTTCCCTTGCCAAAGCCGAGTAGCGGAGGATCTGACTTGTAGCGTTGTAGTCACCAAGAGGGTCGGCAGTGACAATCATGATACCCTTTTGCGGCGGCTTGGACGATCGAGTCTGGTGAGCTGACGAGGAGGAGGAGGGGAAGGAGTTCGAGAAGAGCAGTTCGGTGAGCTTGCATTGACGGAAAGGGACGATGTTGGAGGATTTGGTAGGGTCGGCATTGTCGCTTTGCATCTGCATGCATTGGCCGAGATACATGAGGGATTCGTTGATCTTGCCAGCTTCAGCAAGAGTTGAGCCAGCCGTCTTTGCAGCACGAGCACGTTCGGAGCCTGTAATTGTTAGAGACTGTCAGCTAAGGGAGGGGTGGAATAACACACCAGCAAGATCAACAATGGTCAAAGCACTACTCGACCAGTTTGAGGTGGCAGCGCCTGCAAGTCTCTTCTTGACCTCTACGCAGAAGAAGCCATGACTTCTACTGCTGACAGCGTTGCTCCCTGTTCCAGCGACTCTGCGTTCAGTCAAACCTGTTTCTAGCACGAGAAGAGCTTCGTCAAGGTTTTCACAAACAACCTTCCTCAGACCAGCGACGACCTTACGATCAGGACTGTGCTCGGTGCTCTTGTACAGGAGATGTCTGCGTTTAGCTGTTGCTGTCTTGGAAGGTTGGTATGCTGCTGATCCGGCGAGCAAGTCGAAGATGCGGTCGTTGTAAACTTCGTACATGCTGACTACAATAGCGAATTCGGCGGTCTGGTCGACGTCGAGGTCGGTACCTTGGACGATGGGAAACTGAGGCATGGTCGAGACTCTGGGCATGTGGCGTCTGGGAGCCATGGCGGACGATGGACGGGAGTTGGATGCGAAGGAAACGTCCTTTGGCGGCTGCGTCTTAGCTTGATGTGTTGTCAAAGGGCGCTGGAGGAAGCTGAAGATGGATGGATGTTGCGGCGCTTTGGCACACGAATGGCGGTGGTTTCCCTTGTGGGAGCACGCAATACACGAAGGGGTGATGGTACATGATTGTTGGGGGTTGAGATGTGGGTAAAGGCCCGGCTTTGAAGGAGACTTTGTAGGAGACGTTGCAGGGGATTTTGTAGGAGAGGCGGGTCGTACCATGAGGGGAGTTGCAGCTCTTGATTGTGCTCGTGAGTGAGCGCGCGTGTCTAAGCCATCACCGTAGATGGATTCGAGGTATTGGTTGGCAGCCGACATGTGAGCTTCGGACACGTCGGATGCGAAGAGCGATTGGAGAGCGAGTCGATCGCGTCTTGTCGAGGTGAGCTGATCACCGAGGTTCTGGTAGAGCACGTCGAGAGCGAGTTGTGTCAGGCCGCGCTGTGAGCGGGATCCAAGGATGGTATGACTCTGCGCCCGGTCAGCTTCGACTCTCGTTCAATCCGGACAAGGATCGATGTGTGCAGACCTTGCCAGAGCCAGTGACACCGAGGGTAGCAAAGAGACCGTCACGGCCTTCTCTGCCCTCGGCGCCCAGCACGCCCTGCATCATCGAGTCCAGTCCAGTGCCGTGGAACAGGTCCAATTGTGTAGCATCCTCTCCAAACACTCGTGTGAACTTGAATGTCTCGACTGCCTTTCTGCGCTGATCCAGTGCTGGCGGGTGGATTGTGATGTGCGTGGGTGCTGCTTTGTCGCCGGCAGCGTCGACGTCGAGGAATCTCTCTGCATTCGGTGCGAACGATGGCCGTAGTCGGAGGTACACTTCGAAGAGTGACGATGTCGTTGGTTTGGTAGGCGCTTCCATCGTTGCTGCGTCCAAATTGTGTCGTCGTTCGTCGTAATGAGTTTGTCGAAAGAAAGTATGACGTGAAGGTCAATAATTTGCATGTTGACCAAACAAAGCGTTGCTAGGCGCCGCTTGCTTTTGCCGCAGCTTTAGCCGCCCGCCAAGCCGCTTGTCTTGCCCGCCTTTTCTGTCCGACTACCTTCTCTATCTCTGCCCTCCTCGACTTCCAGCTTCGTTGACCTTTGCGACTCAACCTGGCAATTTGAGTCTACACTTCGAGCAGTGTGTGTGTGCATCACTCGGTCGGACTCTCGTTAACGAATTGACTGCCCTGGGAGACTTGAGCAGACCACAGTCCGAATCGAGCTGGCTTCACCGGATCCATTATGGAGATCACATGTGCGACGACGTGTGATCCCTATACGATCTCTCACACTTCTGTGAAAATCCTGTGACTGGACTGTTATCAGACGATGCCTCATCATGCTAGCCAAATGCAAGTCTCTGTACTGACTCAATCTGGGTGACAAGCTTCTTTATCCCTCCATTGTCCAAATGGCCGCTTCCGGCCTCGACAGTATACCCAGCATCATGTCTTCTATAAAGGGCTTCATGTAGTTCTCGATCAATCCGAGAGTCATCTTGTATGCTCTGTGCATAAGTCACGGTCTGACGTGACCATCAAGCCGCTTTACATTTTTCATTTCCAGTGTCCATGGCTGATCGGGCTGCCGGAAGAGCTGCCGCTAGAGCCGCCGTTCGAGCTGCCCGAGACAAGATTCAGAAGGACATATCTCCTCCAGATTTTGAACTCGCAAAAGGTCATTCTTGGGTATATGGAAAACCAATAGGCGGAGGTGCCTATGGTACAGCACACTTGTGGTCACACATCGACGATACTCAAAAAATTCTCGATCGATTTGTCGTCAAAAACTTCCAGTGCACTGTTTGCGAAACTGTAAAGGCGTCCTGCAAAGAGTCAGCCGAAGGAAGCGCATATCAGTCAATTGCTCGTGCCTGACGGATCCACGAATTACCACACTGTTCCTGTACTTGCTTGTCAGCCGATTCCAGACACTGACCAGGGATGGCGCACTTACCCACCTTTCTTCAGCCTGGGCAATTTCGAAACTCTACTCAAAGGTCTCACCAAAGATGATCCTCTGCCAGAGGATTTTGTCTGGTTCTTCTTGTTCCGCATGGCAAAATCCATAGTCGCAATGGACGAAATGCTACGAAAGGACGAAAAAGGTCCTGTCGTCATACACAATGACATTAAGCTTGACAATATCTTTCTCGGTCATCCAGGTTCGCTGGGTAGAGATGCGGACTTCATTATATATCCCCCGGCCTACCTCGGCGACTTTGGCATGTCTGTCATTTGGTCGCAAGGTGATGCGCACTCTCGAAATGCAGGAGCTTATGGCTGGTGGGCGCCAGAGCAACAGGAATTGAACGCAGAACATCGATTCACGTACACGGTAAGCTTTTGATCTGGCCCTAGCCCAACTAATTGGCATGAATGACAAGGCAGGTTCCAGAATACATGACAAATGGGCCTTGTAGTGCTTCATGCAATGATGGGTGACGCATCATACGACGGTTCCGACCAACCTCCTCAGGACAAAGTGCCGACGTACAATCCTGCAAAGTGGCAGGATAAGATTGACTCTGGGCACTTTACAGATTACAGCAAAGATCTTCTCGATATCGTCTATACTTGTCTCTGCTGTGCGCCAAAAGACCGTCCCTCTCCACAAGAGCTTGTGTGTATGATCGAGGATATAATGCCTACTCATATTTGCGACATGAAACGCTTTGGCACCATCAATTGGGTGACAGCTAATCACGACGCAATCTCACCAGAACAAGAAGAAATCCAGCCCCTCGATGACCCTGACAACGAAAACGCAAACGACCCTGGAGACAATTTCGAAAGTCTCGAAGAAGACGTAGAACTCGACAACTCAGACCTCAACACCTTACCCTACGACTCCGACTCCTCACCACCCTCCCTCCTCTCAAGCAGCAGCACCTCCAAGAAACGAAAATTATCCATGATAAACGCGACACCTCTGAAACGCCCGAAGCTCGAATCGACTATTCTGACACGAAGATTGGCTTTAATCGCCAAACAGATGAAATTCGGAAAAAGTGCTAGAATCTTGGATACACATGAAGATGATGAAGAGTTTATCTTGCCTGAGAGGTATCGACTTGAGAAAAAAGCACTGTCGCCCGAACGAATGGGATGCAATGTTTGCTTTATGCTACTATGCTACGAGGGCGGAAATTCTGCCGGATGTTGTTTACTGGGGTGAGGAAGAGGGAGGTGGATTGTTAGATGTATAGGTATTCATGCACGATGATTGAAAATCTCAGCGGAACTTTTTCTTCTTCGTATATCATTGACTTCCAGCAACAGGATTACGGGGAAGGAAGACACGGAATTTCATGTCACTCGTTCCGACTTGTTCAGTAAACCGGGAATGAGAATATGCATGGTGATTTGCCATTCTATTTATCCATCTCGACTTCTAGCACGCCCGCATCGTTCCGCGATTTTTCCTTTCTCGTCTTGCTCAACTATGCTTTTTTCGGTATCGGACTTCAATCCCAAACCTCGGTTTCTTCAGCAGCATAGTCATCTTCTTCAATGCCAAAGTTTCCTGTTACATCTCCAGTGGCAGCGTCGAATTCTGCTTCATCTTCAGGATCTGGAGAGGCGGGTTGAGCTTCCTCATCGGGCCAGTAGTCATTGTCGTCTTCTTCCCCTTCCTCGTCTTCGTCTGCTTCCTCTGCTGCAGGCACGGCTTGTTCGATAGTCTCATGGATCGATGGTGAGACTTCTGGTCGAGTAGACACTTGTGTAGCAGCTGGTGTGAAAAGACCACTCTGTTCAGCCTCTGGTGATTGAGAAGGTGTAGAAGGCGTTCCAGCACGCACGCTCTCCGGCGCAGGAGTAGAAGCTTCTGACCCAGCTCTCGACTCTCCATGTCTACGATCACCATAGATTTTGCCCAATGCAGCATAATTGACTCGTTGCGAGAAACCTTTTGGTGCTCTCTTCTCCAACATCCGCAGAGACGCATCAGCAGGAGACTCGACAGGTGTCCCTGCATCAGTAAGAACAGTACCATCACCCATACGACCTCGCTTTTTGCGCTTGTTGGTTTTCTTGTCCTTGCCTTCTGCTTCTTCGAGTGCCTTTTTGAGTTGCTTGGCTTGTTGTGCTCGAAGCCAGTCTTCGTTGTGAGCGACCCAGATCATTTCCTTGACTCGGACTTGTTCTTCACTGAGAAGGGAATTGGCGACTTCAGGATCATCAGCAAACTCATCCTCACCGATAATTTCAGAGTCAGAAACAAGAGAGTGACTGCGGCCCATGGCTTCCAGTCTGAGGGCGTTTTGTTGGACAATGACAGCGCGCTGTTGTTCTGCGAGCATCTTGGCGCGTTCTTCAATCTTCTCTTTTTCGGCTTGTTCCTTGGAGGAAATACATTCACGTTCGAGGAGGATGTTTTGGATTTCTCCCTCAAGTTCTTCCTCGGCCATGAAGTCGGCATCTGTAAGAGGTGGTGGTGCAACCTTTTCCTTCTTCTTGCGTGCATTCTTGACTTTGACAATATCGGTAGGTTCGGGTGTTGGGGAGGGTTGCGCATTGGCTTGTGTATCTGAGAGGACGCTGGCACTGCGGCGAAGTGCAGGGTCCAAAGGCAGGTCGGGGATTGCGAAGCCGTCTGCATCACGGCGAGATTGTGATTGTTGAGTTGCAGCTTGAATTACAGCATTACTGCGAGCGCTCGACACCTTTTGTCGCTTTGCAATCTGTGCTGCCTCGGCTTGTGAAGAGGAACCTGTCTCAAGGGCTGTAGATGATTGACGGGATGAATCTCTGCTCAATTCGTAGGCCTTGCGTTTCAGTTGTGCCCTGATGTGCTTTTGCTTTCTGAGTTCTGCCTCTAGCATAGCGGGTGGGTCTGCTTGCTCTCTGATTCGCACACCCTTTTCACGGAACTCGTCAATTTTGAGATGGGCAGCACGGGTGCGTTTAAACTCTTCCAGACGTTTTGAGATGGTCATGTCAGCAACTTTGACAACAAAGACGACTTCTCTGACTGTGCGACGGAAGTTGTTCATGCGTGCAGCCAGGATAAGACAAGCACCACAAAGACCAGCCGGATGTCTTCCAGTGACAATCCAGTCTCTCTTCATGCGGCGGATAATCTTGACAGCATCCTCGGCAACCTGGCGAGTCTTTTCACCAAACTCAAGCTTGCTAGCATATTTTAGAATCAAAGGCTCAATCTCAATCATCTTGGTTGTTTCCTTGAAATCCACGAAGAGGTTCGCCAGCAGACCCTTGTAGGTGTCACCCAGACTGAAGACGTTGACCGAGATGACTTCAGCGATATCCATGAGTAAGATTGTGTTTTCGGCCTTGTTGCGACAGGCGATGTACAGGCAAGCACCGGCTACCTCATCTGCACGACGACCTTGTGTGAAGTTGCTGTTGGAGGCAAGTTTCCAGATACCCATAGCTTTGTCCGAGACATCAGGAGGGATGGGCAATCTTGCAGTGAACAAGCGCAATGACTCCCGACCATTGTTCTCACTATCCTCTCTGCTCTGCATCGAAGCACCTAATCGGCGGGCGGCAGCGGCACCCAAGGTCTTTGCGTGTCGTGAGTTCTCGTTGACAATACCACCCTCAACGGTCGCTGCACCAGATGATGACTCTCCGAAAGTGACTTCTGCAACAATGTTTTGCTCACTGACTTGGGTACCACAATTCAAGCAAATCTTGGCACCGTCAATGACCTCGAAACTTGGGGCGTCGCAGCCACATTCTGATCTTTTGGCTGGACGAGGCATTTGCTTGAAAGAACCAGGAGTCTTAGCTCCAAGACTTGGTAGACGCTGAGGTCGACGGGGAGGAGCGATTCCAGGCATGTTGAGGAGAATGTTGATGATGTAACTTTGGAGATGGCCGTGAAGAAATTGGTGAAAGAGCGAGTGATGACGATCCTGAAGGTAATGGAGAAAGAAGCGAAGATATGCTCCGGCGTTTTATAGAAACCAGATAATGGTATGGGAGTGGCCCTTCATGAGCAGTGAGAGCAGTAAAAGGATGCGACCGAGGCGGAAGCTCCGAGATGCGACTCTTGTCGATCAGCGCGCGCTACGTACAACTCGTGAGCGCGACAGTCCAAAAATATGGCTGTTCGTCCAGATAAATGAGCACTATACACGTGCAATGCAGGCTTCAATCTAGCAGCGCCTTCCGATGGTAGTCGAAGGATGTAGGTCGGTGCAGTCGCGGTGTTGCGGTGCGGTGTGTCAGAATTTTGCGACCGGCCCTGCCTTCACTTTCAGGTTCGTTGGCGCGGTGGAAGAGCGCGCGATTTCGACAACGCACAGACGGTCTTGGCATTCAACATACTTCTGCGCTTGTGTTCGACTCTGGACGTGGGCAACCACATTTGTGAAAAAGACTGTGTGTGTTCGATGTCCAGACGCGTCGCATTGTCACCGTTGCTCCTTTTTCAGTCCTTCGAAGAATTACCATCGTCACTCAAGTACGCCAGATTCTGTGCTGACGCTTCGCTGGCCAGTCGTTGTGCTGGTGGAAGCGACAAGGTCGCGCATGACTGAGGAAGTGCGCACGGTCGTCACTTTGCTGCCGCAAGCAATTTACACGTCGTCGACGGAGAAGTAACATTCATCCGAATTTCGAACATTTCCGTTGCGAGCTCTGCACAACCTTCTATATTACGAGGATGGCGTCCGGACTCGGACAGGTAGGCCGTCCTGGCTTGTCTCTATCCTCAGCTCGTGCATCATTTCGGTACTCGTCCGTAGACTGTTCAAAGTACCTGCACAACAAGCGACACGCAAAGCTCCGCGAAACTCCAGAGGCCTACAATGTACAAAACTGAGATGACTCGGTGTCACAAGAGTAAGGAGATCTCCAGACTTGTCCGCCAGCTTTTGCGCAAAGATGGACACCCGAGGTCGTAATGTCAAGATACACGCATAAAACAGCATCATTATCTGCTCCGGCTCCTACACAATGCACACTCACACGTCCAGCTTCAGAGATACAACCCTTTTATCCAAAATTTCTGCTTAAGAAGAGGTGTTTCTCCTGGTCTCATCACTACAACGATTCTAGGAAGGAGAACCCAGAATATCGCTCAGAACGTCCAAAGCAATACTATGCAGTGACCCTCGAGGCGCGCCAGCGTCGCAGTGAGCAGAAAATTTGGTCGATTCGTCGATTGAGGATGGGCGAAGCCTTCTGTATGAGGCAGAAACTATGGCATTGGGTGTGTCGTTACCCTTGGACAGCATAGATCGTTGAAACTTTGGTGGGTTCGCAAGGACGATGTCCAAAGGATAAGGTCCTCTGCAACAATTGCTACTCGAAAACAGGCGATTGGAACGAATTATCACCAAAAGGCTACGAGGATGTCAGGACACCTCGGCAGATAGTGAATCGGAGGAAGCAGCTCGAGCAGCAGGAAAACAGGAGCCAGACGTAGCTACGATGAGCGCAATGTACGCGATTCTCAAGATTCAATCTACGATGTTCGCTCGGTGGACTGCTGGGCACAGGGGCTTCGAAGTATCCTCGACTCGTTTGGGCTTACCTGGTTGATACTCTGAAGTCGTCGTCGCAGGACTGTGCGACCATCTGGCACAAATAGTGTTGTTTATGCTCGGAATATAGATACAAAAACAAAACAATAAACAAAACATGAAGCACTTTCAGGTTCGAGGTCCACAGTGACCAATTACAAGCCTCATCCAAAACCGTGACATGTCCACCCCCGATGGCCCAAGCTCCCTCTTCCCCTTCTCTCCCGCACCTTCCCGCTTCCAAATCGAGTCTCGAGGCACAAAACGGCTTCATAGCTCTCCCCGGATTTCCCTTGGAGGGAGTTGCGCCAGCCCCAGCCGCTCCTGCCTCGACTTCCCTTCCTTTCCTTCCTTGTTTTCAATCCAACGTTCTATCCCTGATAACACATCAAAACAAAAATCACAATGGTTGGAACACGCAAGCGTAGAGCCGAGGAGTCTGAGGAGGAGGAGCTTCAATCACTTCCCGAGGATAGCGAGGAGGAAGAGGAGTAAGTGCTTCCTTTGACGTCATGGGTGTATTGTCGCAGAAGCTGTCGCGTTGCGTTCATCACGTCGCTATGGACGCGTATATCATCGGCAACAGCATCAATGGCACAGTACACCATTACACTCGACTTGTTGATCTGCCCTCAAAGGAAATCGCTAACATGTCAAAACAGGTACGACTCCTCCGAGGCCGAAGGAGATGCCGAAGCCGACGCAGCAAGCGACGAAGAAGCCGACTCTGAAGACGGCGAAGAATTCGAGCAAGAAGCTCCTGCAGAAGAAACAGCAACCAAGGGATCCGCCGCCGCCGATGCCAAAAAGGCAAAGGAGAGAAGCGTCCCGGGTGGAAAGGACAAGGCTGAAGTAGGCGACATCGCAGACGATGGGCCTGTCAAGACTGGTGGGTTGTTGCCCTTGATCCCTTTCTCTCTCTCCCTGCACCTATTCTCCTTCCGTTTATCTAGACGCCCTATCGTGCTCCCTACAACGGGACAATCAATGCTAACGCAAAACCTCAGAACCCCCATCCAAAAAGCGCAAGACCACAACCACCACCTCCGCTGACGTCCCAGACGACGACGAATTCTCAGAAGAAGGCGAAGACGACGGAGAAGAAGCAGGAGAAGCCTACGAACAAGTCGCCGCCGACGAAGATACAGCAGACAAGAGTGGCCCCGCCGCTGATGCCAAGAAGGCCAAAGAAAGAAATGTTCCCGGTGGCAAGGACAAGGCCGAGGTGGGTGATATTGAGAATGCAAAGTAGAGATGCCTAGCAGAGATGTTTGAGGGATGTATTGGAGATGAGGGGTTGATGAGAGATGAGGGATGATTTGGTGGATATGGCTGACGATGACCGGGTATGGATGGCTATGTTTGTGTGATGAGAAGATGAGATATAGCTCTATAAGCGTTAGTTATATCTTGTTCCATCTGCCTCAATCTCACCATCGCAATCTGGTCTCAACGTGTAATGAATGTCATGTCATTCCTAGTAAATCGCAGCAACCACGCTTCCTCTCCCAAAAGCTCAGCCAAGATTCAATGCACGCACAAAGCGACAAACATCGTACATGTCAGACATCACTACATCACCCACTATCCGAACAAAATCACCCAAAGCATCTACTAGACTTTACATGCGTCATTAGCTTTACGGAAACACACTCTACTACTTTTGTCATAAGAAAAGTCATGCTAACAGGATAACCCGGCTCTTCCGTCCACTCCCATCATTAACAACGATATACCTACCTTGACGATTTCGATACTACATTGATATCCTCTTACAAAAACGATACCATCAGCTTTATAATGATATACTACCAGACTGAAAAGTCCCAACTCCGATTAAGTTAACTGCTCACTACTGCTTTACCTAATCCTGTTCGACAAAATATTCTTACTTCGTGTTGCTAGAATCACACGTAAAAAACATGATGCGAACTACTGGCAACTGAGATTGGAGGCAGGATTCTTTTTCACAAAACCAATGGTGCTTTTTAAACTTAAAAGGACGTTTCATGTAGCACCAGGATCGAGTATTTGTTTTTCTGAGGGCAGTGAAGAAAATTTTGGAGTCTGTGAATGGCAAGATACTCAGATTTGATGTGTTGCTTGTGTTTTTTTTCAAGTTCATGTCATGTGTGTAAATCGATTGTCCAGGCAATCATGGAAATAAGCAGCTGTAGCAAGAACACTAGTGCGTTCATCTTGGAGCTACACAACCATGTGCTTCTTGTTACTAATGAAAAGGGTAACAAAGTGCCTACCTACTTCACTCAGTCCATCGCCTCGAGGTCCTGGTGACGTTCATCCCACCAACTCTCATTCGGTGCTTCTCCCTGCTCGAGGTCTTCTTGTTTTTCCCCTTCGGCCCCTTCGAGGCTTTGTAGTCTCCCCATCAATAGTTCGCCGAGCCTGTATCTCCATAGTGAGCGAGGGCTCAGTCCCTCTATTCCTTGCGTTCGCTCATTCTGCACTGTAGACTCGGTATCAAGTTTTGCCTTGGCCTTGGCCTCTACCTCGTTATAGTTGTTCCGCCTGGTCCGCTCTTCCCGAATCTCTTTCTGTTGCTCGCGGTGTGATAAATCCCTGCGGTGCTGGTGTCGTCTAAGGTACTACGCCATACGAGCTGCTTGGCCAGCTTCAGGGCCTGGGTCTGGTTCCTCGGCTTCTTCCTCTTCATCCTCCATATCAACGTCTTCTGCCTCTTCCGCTTCTTCAGCCTCTTCGTCCTCGGCTTCCTCGTCGGCTTCCTCGTCGGCTTCAACATCGTCTCCAACTTCACCTTCACCCTCTTCCTCGCCTTCACCTTCTTGATCGGCTACATCCTCACCCTCCTCTTCGTCATAGTCTTCTGCTTCCTCAACGCCAGCGACATCGTCGTTGTGGTCGGCCTCGCTGTCAGTGGCCATTTCGCTGTCTTTGATGTCCAACATCCTAGGAAGAGCAGGATACTTGACAGATCCATTGGAGGCAAGGCCCGAATTGACGACATCTTCGTCGATTTCACTGAGTTCACTATCGCTCTCGTCATCAGCAGAGTCGTGGATACTACCCGCGACGCTACCCTCAGCTGTGTCAACACCGGATGGCTGTACAAGCTTCGAAGTGAGACGACGTGGTTCTATCACGACAGAAACTTCTTGGCGAGGGCGAGGGGTGTCGTTGGTTGCTGGAGTGGTGGTGCCGGCGCCGATCTTGGCAATGCAGGCGTCTGCACAAAGGCGGACTTCTCGTCTTCCGACACCAATCTTACGTCGTGAAAGAGCTGGTGCTTCACCATTGGGTGGTGTAGTCGTGCCTTCCGGCGCGTTGTTGAAAAGTGACACGCTAGGGACCTTCATCAACAACTCCTGCGTCCCGTCGACATTCATCAGATTTGACAAGTTCATCATAGGGTTGCGCTCCGGCATGGCAGGGGTCGTCGCCGCCTGCTCCTTCGTGAGTTCTTCCTGCTTTATAGCCTCATCCTTGGCTTCTTCTGTTACCCAAAGCCTCCTTCCGACGGTGTCATAGAGGTATGCGTATGCATCTCCAATAAGGTCATCAATGGCTGCCGCCTTCATCAAGCCACCGTTGATCTTCTTGATTTCAATGACCTCTTGCATAGTCTCCAGTACGGGATGACTGATATTCGCAGGATTTTGGCACCAGTTCTCCAAGTATTCCTTGCGACGAAGGAAGTCTTCATGATTGATACCGCTGAAGATAGCCGTCTCTTGAGCGATCGGAATGTGACCATGACGACGGAGGACCTTGAGATAAGCGGTACAAAGAAACTGCCACAAGTTTCCGTGCTCAAAGAACTCTCCAGTCTTCTTTCGCACCCTACGACCGAGAGCATCGAGGAGAGGACGATCTTCCAGGTATTCAAGAATCTTGATGAACAGGTCGGCGTATTTGGTTGTGTATACAAAGTGACGTCCAGGACGCTCGTTCTCTGGCTTCCAGACATTCATCATCATGGTTTTTGTAAACATTTGCTGCATAAGCTCCTGCTTCGCGGCCAGACAGTCTGACTGTGTGTTACCATCGTGATATAGAATAGCAGCCGTTCTGTAGATCATTCGATGGTGCCAGTGCACCTTATCTGCAGTTCGCAAGCTTCTGAGTACCTTGAGGATGTACGCTTCCCACGCATCTTGTTCCGAAACGGGATCGATCTTTGCAGCGTAGGGAGTAGCGATCAGAATGCTGCAGCCTTCGGCAGCGTCAATGCAACGTCGAGTCACCATCTTGTGTACTACAGAGACAAGCTTGTAGTGCGGTTCGAGAATGGGCTCACGTTTAGAATCCTTCTTCCGAGGTAAAAGATTGATAGATTCGCAAAACTCATTGATGATGGCATCTATGTTCGGTGCATCGCTTGGCTTGGGGGTGTTGCAGTACATCTTCCAGAGACATTTTCCGAGATAGAAGTGCAGCTTCCATTTTTTGGGGTTAATGCGGATAGCACGACGGAAGAGCTCTCTGGCGACCTTGAAGGCGGCAAAGGGAGTCAAGGCTTTGAAAGGCGGAACCTTCATAATGGTCGCTCTGCTAAGGAATCGTTCTATATCCTCGACAGCAAACGCCTTCATGCCGAATGGCTCCCTGGATGAAGAGTATATCCTCATAGCGAAATCAGCAAACATCTCTCCGAATTTAGCTTGAGTGTCTTCGCTTGGTTCAGCAAAGCGCATTGCCAAAGCCACGGCCATAGTATAGCAGTGTATAGCTGCACGCTGCCATGCCACGAGTTCAGTCATGTCGCCGTTCAATTTCTCTGCAGTCCATGATACGGCTTCTTCAATTTTGGAATCATAGGCTTGGGCCAGACGAAACCATAACTCCCAATCATCCATACTGAATTCCAAAGCTTGCATGAAGAAGGCTACGGCGATGTTAAGATCCTCGGTAGCAGTGGGACCGATGCGCTTCTGAGCCTTGAACTTACTCAACGAGATGTACCCCATGAGGAAGTACCAGCCTTTGGCAGCTAACAGAGCATGTTCAGCAGGGACTGGCGCTAGAGCAAGTTCACCCTCTCCTCTCAAGCATTTGTATAAATCGACAGGATTGATGTGTGATTTGAGGAAGGTTCGGTAAACATCGCGGTTGCGAAGAATTGCTTCTGATGGCTTCTTGCGTCCGATGATGCCATGCACTTTTTCGATAGTGTCTCTGAGAGGATGTTTTGGTAGATCGGCCATCTTGATTCTTGAGACCAGATTCAACAGTAGATCAACAGCTTGCATGCCAGATGTCTTGTCAACAAAAGCATCATGAATACAGTTGTGCTCCCTGAGCGCATAGCTTGGGTTGAGGAAACATTTGAGACCAAACATGTCGTACAAGATCTGAGCGAACTCGAGGTCAAAGTCATCGTTCTGGTCTTCAGCCTCGGTTCGGAAGCGAAGGACTTCGATCTTGGCGAGCTTGAGGAACACACGCTCTGATACACCACATATGCTTCGAGCTCCCAATACTTGATGGACAGCTCTCAAGAACTCAAACAATGACTCGTTAGGCTTCTCAACCTTGTCCTTGTTCTGAGCCAAGGACTCCCGATAAAGCTTGTACATCAGAGTCCATGAGTGCAATTGCGACTCTTGGAGGACTTTGCTGACAGCGGTGAAGGACTTGGAAGGAGCAGCACTGTTATTGGTGGGAGCGTGCCTGGCCCCAACCTTGATCTCATCTTGGAGCATCGTGGCTGCATGCAATATCTTTTCCAGCTCAATCAGACAACCGATCGCACTTTGGAGTCGGGTGTCGTCCATACAGTCGAGAGCGTCAGCGTTGGAAGAGATCGAAGTGCTGATTTTGCTGATCAGATCATTGACCAATCGCATGTACTTGAGCAACACTGTCTGCCGTTCAGTCAAAGACTTTTCGGAGTATGAAGTCGATTTGAGATCCGAGAGCAGCAGTTCAATAATGCGGAAGTAGCAACAGACGACCATGGGTTGATAGTCGATGTTTTCATAGGCCTCACGGAGTCTCTGCCAGAGTGAGATTTGCATACCGATGTTACTGTTTTGCAGGAAGTTCAATAGCTCAGACGGCGTTGAAGCAGAGTGAGCCGATCCACTTTCTCTACTGAGTACGGATGTTTTGCCCTGATCTGTCTCCTGATGTAGGCTCTCAAGGAGCGGCTCAAGACCCTCTATCACCACAGTTGGGTCATTCTGAGTGGGGTCGAATACCCTGGTAAAGAAGTCTTGCGTAGTCAGCCTGGACAACTCTCTGTCGATAGCTTCGATTGACATCTGCGGCATGACTGAGTTGTTGGGAAGGTCAATAATAACACCGCCAACGACTTTGAAGATCGACCTCAGTTCAGACCAACAAGCAATTACATGGTCTTGTGATATGTTGTCTGAGACACTAATCTGATGTGTGACCGTCCACAAGTACCGTAAGTTGAGATGATCCTTCAAGCTAGGCTCTGAGAGGATGCTCGAGCGCAGATTCATGGCATCTCGAGCGAGATTACCCCAGCGCTCGGCACGATCTTCTTGAAGCTGTAGAGTGTCGGCATCAACGCCACTGTTGGGTTCCTTGACCAAAGAGTAGACGTCCACGTGCAACTCGAATAATGTCTGGATGATTTCAATGGAAGGAAGAGCCTTTTCCGGCTGTTCGACTACCGAGTCTGAGAGCAGGAACTTATCCCACTTCAGAACGAAGTTAGCCAGTGTTTCGAAGATGAATGCGTCGGTTGTGATTATCACTCGAACCAAGAGAGCCTTGAACTCTTGTGGCCAGCCGTGGCCAATGTAGCTGGAAGTGCCGGTTGACAACTCAGGACGGACCATGGTGCCGTGCTCGGGACCCAGGAAATGGATCACCCACTCGTAAAGTACATCATTCACGTGTAGAAAGTCTGAGTTGGTCTCAAATATGAAGTGATCAAGCTCGCCACGAAGATCCAGATCCGGTCTGACAGTATTGCGAGATTGAGCGCTGGGAGTGGTAGAAAACCTGCCACTTGGCTTCACATGAGCATTGGATGTTGTGTCAAGATCGCTGTTAGCGTTCAGTAACACACGGCCTCGTTCGTCTGAGTACTGGTTGAGAAAGGTGTACATGTCAACACACGCCAGATCTGTGCCTTCGAGTTGAAGGTTCTCGCTGCTTGAAGCATCACGCAAATCCTTACGCGCGTTGGGAGACACGCCAAATTTGGGTAGATCGACCTTCTCGAAAAGCTCGTCTAGGGATTCGAACAGTTGATTGTCGACATAGTCCAGGTCAGCCAAGGCATCATCAGCTTGGGCAGAATCGATTACGGTGTCATCATCTAGCTGGCTTTGGTCAACAATAGACTCTCTTGCGCGCAGGCGTTTACTCTTCACTCGAGCGCCTTCGGCAGAGTTACTGTCTATAAGACCAGCAGCATCGCTTGAGCGTTTGCGAGTCGGGAGCACAGTCACCGGTGGAGCAGACGCGGCGGTGTCCGTGTTCTTGGCTTCCTCGAAGGCAGGTGGACGAACAATCGGCTGGTCTCCACCAATACCAGTAAATTGAGCGCCAACGAGGGGGGATAATTGTGTCGGCTGTACGGATAATTGACGAGGCGATGGCTGATCAATCTCGATGATCTCGACGTCTGGAGATAGTCGGTCAAGATTGAAAGAAATACCGAGCCCGGGCAAGGCTGAGGTGGTGCTGGCCTGCTCAGCAAGGTAATGGCGCAAGAGGATGTCGCCTAGATCATGCCAGGAGCCTGGAGCACTAAGGACGCAACGAAGAGCCCGACCCGAGGCACTAGCTGATACAGGATGATCATTCTGGTACTTGTGGATAATGGAGTAGTTGGCCAACTTTTGCTTCAGCATACTAGACAGTTGGCGACGTCTCATGGTAGACAGCGGTGCTTGCAAGACGGAGAGCTCATCCTGGAGCTTGACCACAAGTTCCCGCAGCTGCTGCCCAGCAAGAGTCTCGGAGATGCCAGGGATGGACAGAACAGAGTCCAGGCCTTGGGCATCATCGTCCAGAACAGCTTCCAGGCAGAAGCGAGCGATGCGATGACTACCGAGCATCTGTCCGACGGCAGCGGAACGTCTCCACAGATCCAGATCGCTGTCATCCTTGTCTATGGCCTCGACGAAACACTCCAGGGCAGCAGCCGACGCTTTGAGAATGTGCTTTGTGTTGACTTGTACATCGTCCGTCGCATGGAGCAGCTCGTACTGCAAAGACTCCAGAAGGAATTGGCCATGATTCTTGTATGCGAGGTGGATAATTTGGGGTAAAGTGCTTGGCGCGTTCTCTCCAGTTGGTACAACGTGTTCTTCATGATGGGTATAATAGTCGTCGGTTTCTGGTTGTGGACCGTAAAGCTCGAGGCGCTTCAGCTCTTGCTGCGACTCTGGATATTTGAAGATGTCTGATTCGAAGAGGGCACGATAAGCTTCGGCAGCTTGAGCGTACGAAGGCGGGCCATCCGAGTGAAACTTCAAGGCGGTCTGGTATAGCTTCAGAGCTTCTTCGATCTGGATTTCTTTGGTGTCGTCAATCTCGATGTCTTCTTCATCATCGGATTCGAGGTTGAGAGCTTTGAAGGTAGCCATGTTGTTGTATGGCAGGCCGATGTGGCCACGCTGGATATGCGACTATCACCCGGTCCGGCATGCGACGTTGTGTGGCGATGAGGAAGCTGCGCGTAGAACAAACATTCACAAGAAATCAAGGTGCTTGTTGCGGAAGGAGCGAATCGGCTCGTGAAGCAGCCGCGGGGTCTTGGCGCGTCATTCGGGGGTGCGCGTTGATTGAACAAGGGCAGCAGCGACCTGCAACTTTTCAATCAAGAACTAAGGAAGGTGCTCGAAGGAAGTGGAAAGAGCTGTCCTGTTTGCTGTCGTCGATACCTTGCTTGAAGTGTGCACCTCGCGCTCGCCGCATCAGACAAAGCGACCATGATCCAGACAGCTGTCCCTGAGTTCGTCATCATCACCATCAACGAGCACCTGAGAACGGCCAACTGACAAGAACGAACAGAATCTTCGAGGATGACTCGACCTCGGTGATTGAGATTCGTACAGAAAACCTGCAGGCTCTCCGAGAATTGGGACCGCCCGATCTCGTGCACCTTGTCAAGCAGCCCATCAAGTCAACAAGCAAGCAGGTACTTGATGCGCCCATCCCTCCTGAAGCCCGCCCTGTCTGACCATGCACCACAAACAGGTTGGAGTCTACCACCACGTCACCGGAACCGACGCCTCATCTTCTGCCAGTCTCGCGGCCTACATCAACACTCTCGTCTACTCTCCACACGACAAGACCAACAAGGTCACCTCTGGTCTCTACTGCTGCTACAATGCCTTCTCCCGCCTCGACATGCGCGTCCAAGTCCAGATTCCCGGAACAGTCGAGAGCTACTGTGTCAACGAGCGTGGCGACAAGCTAGAGGCTTCGGAGGAGCATTGGCTGGAGACATACCTGTGCAGCGTCCTGCGTGCCTACTCGTATGCAGACGACGGCTCGGGTGACACGATCAAGAAGATTGTTGGCGTCCGCCGCTTCAACCCCATCACCAACACCGAGGCCGAGCACAAGTTCCTGGACGCTGCCGAGCGTCTCTTCTTTGCTGGTGAGTAAAGTCTTGGTGCGACAAGTCAAGCCAGACGCTAACACTCTCCGTAGGCTGGCAACTGGGCTCTGACCCCGAGATCCAAGTTCCTAACCTCGTATCCAACCATCTCACTACCGGTCTTCTCAACTACATTCGCACCACCGGCCGCTACGCTTCAGGAATCAACCTCTTCGAGAAGCTTCGTACCCGTGATCCCGAGATCTCCTCGCTGCTCGCCCGTGTCTACATCATGGGAGATGAAGAAGTCAAGGCCGTACAACTGCTGCGCGATGCCATTCACCAGATGCCCATGGACTACCCCTTGCTTGACTGTCAGGCCGAATATTGTTTGTCCAAGGGCAGAAGCGACCTGGCCCTCGACATCGCCAAGCGCAGTGTCATCTCTGCCCCTAGCGAATTTGCTACTTGGGCACGTCTGGCCGAGGTCTATATCAGTCTCGAGCAGTGGGACATGGCTCTCTTGACCCTCAACTCATGTCCCATGTTCACCTACCAGGACAAGGACTCTCCGCGCATGCCCGAGCCCGCCCGCGTCTCCCTCCCACTCGCTCCGGAAGCCATGTGTGACGAGATTGACGACTCAAACTCGGTGGGTGAAGAACTCGTCCATCCCAATCTGCGAAGATTGAGTGCGGCAAACTACAAGGGCACATTCCAGAAAGCATATTCTCTCCTGACAGAGGTGACGAAGCGCATTGGCTGGGACCATCTCCTCAAAATCCGTAGTCAGGTATTTGTCATGGAGGAAGAGTACCGCCACGAAAGACAGGCTGTTGTCCAGCAAGAGATCCACTCACGCAGCGCTAGTACTACTGCTCTGCGCAGCCCTGGCCTTACTGATGGAAGACCGTCGACTGCTGGCTCCGTCTTCACAAACAGCGATACACCACCGACTTCTGCTGCCTTGGGAGACGATGTATCAAAACCGCAACATACAGTGACTCATGCGCCAGCTATGGAAACCCCTGACCCTCAACCACCGGCAACAGATCCACAACATCTCCAGTACACCCAGTTCCAGCACAAACGTCTCTGCGAACGCTGGCTCGACAACCTGTTCATGGTCTTGTATGAGGACTTGCGCATCTACACAATTTGGAGGACGGAAGCTCAACAATACAAGTCTCAACAACTCGCTTACAAGAAATCTGCTGACGAGTGGGAGATTCTTGGCGAGCTTGCAGACCGCCTACACAGACCCGATGATGCAGCAGAAGCCTGGGAGGCATGTCTCAATATGCGCTTCTCGCCAAAGGGTATGCGCGGTATTCTCTCTGCATATGAGAGATATGGCGATGTGCGGGGTGAGCTTGGTGCCCTGATCAGACTTATCGCTTGGCAATACAAGTGGTACTCGGAGGTAGGAACACATGTAACGCCTAGTTGACGACTCACGCTGACCTCATCTTCTAGTTCTCACCATCTCTGGTTCACGTCATCAGAAAATTGATCGAGGAAGAGGGTGCTGTCAAGACCAGGAGCATTATCCAGGCGACATCGTTACCCCAGCACATCTTGGACTTGACGCATCAATACGCTGGATTGTGTGCAGCTTTCAGAAGTAGCGGAAGTGAAGCTTAGTATGGTCGAAGAGGATACCCTTTGTTTTATCTACGCGTCTTGAAGCATTTCCTGTCTTGGGAAAGGTTTACATCAAACGATTCCCCCTCAGACTTCGATCCGCATGAAGAGTTTATGTGAGTCTATGCAGAGTGATATGTGGGTGTGATTGTGCAGCATCAGAGCGGATTACAATTCTGGGAGCCATTCTTCGTGCATCCAGGTCGTTTTCCCCTGTCAATCTTTGTCGATCCAGAGTTTGTCTGACACGTGTCACGGGGAATGAAGGTCGATCGCTAATCCCGACACTGTGTTTAGGGACCCTTGACCGTGACGACTCAGGCGATGCATCTGGCGACTCAGATGACGACTCAAAGAATGGATCGGACAACATGCTAGAGATCTGGATACTCATCAGTCCCTAAATCATCACGCCTTCCCACCCGAGGCTGTCCCATGGCATGAATCATTTCCTCTAGAAATTCCAGCCCTCATGTATAACCGTTATGTTTCACGACTGACTCAGGATAAGAAATGAAGAAAAAAGCCGCGATTGCCTATATTTCAGACTACTGACCTTTATACACGTGAAATAGCTTTTGGAACGAGGCATTCTTGACGACAACCGCAAGGATAGTGAAAAATCACATGCGCGACTGCCGCTACGCCCGCAACATCCGCGAAACCGCTCCTCTTCTGCGAAACGACTGGGACCCGGCTGCGATATAACGTTATATCACTTCTTGCCGCCGCAAGCGAAACAAGACATGATCCGATCAGTGTTCAAGAAAATGCCCGGCAGATAGCATTCTTCAACGCCACCATGCAGACCGAGACCAGCGCGTGCAGCGGTTCGGCCTCATCGGATCCCCCATGCCCTCTTTCCTTCTGACAGCACGGATGTTCTTACTCCCGTTTATTTGCTCTGATCTCTACCTCCACATAGGCGACACCAAGATATGCACGCTCGCGAGCTTTTTCGACTTATTAATCTAATATGCGTTCACTAGGGAACGTGCATATCCGGCTTCTTAGCCAATGACAAGCGAGGTTTTAGCGCCTTCAACAACAATAAACACCTTTCGCCGCAGCTTGCATACGATAGCGTGTCTTGCAAAATCCCCTCTTCTGGTGTTTGACACCTTTTCGCTGTCGATGCTACAAGTAAGAGTGGCCTGTTCTGATGTGTCTCTCTGGGTCTGCTGGGACGCCCGATGAAACGGTGGAAGGGTCCCGCGCTCCTTCGCTTCAACGCCCACTAGAGCTGCACGCTCTACGCAAGCCGAGAAGCATATTGAACGAGCTGCGGGAACAAGCGTAGCCCATGCCATATGGGGAATCTATACGATCAGCTCTGTAAGGTGTGGTGAAGGGTCAAAGAAAAAGCTGAACCGAGCCCAAGTTTTAATAAAGATACCCGAGAAAAAGCTCCCCGCTAACAATTGCATTACTTGGACAAGGTGATCCTGCTTGATCTTCTTCGGCCGCCTGCTTGGGTTTCCTCCTTTCCTTGCTCTCCGACTTTTGGTCTGTTCTCTCCTTTCCCCCTTCCTGGAATATCTAGTTACCCCGCCCCTTGAAACCCAGGATCCCAGGTGATATTCAAAAACCAAACGCACGCCGCAGCGTCACAAGCTTGACACCGAGAACCACTTCTTCGGGACCTGTTTTGATTTTCCCTGGCTCTGGTTCTGCATATGCCGACTATGGCAGTTACGACTTCCTCCCCTGGTTTGACAATTCCGTCTTTGGATGTTGTCATTACTACTTTGGTCTCCCATTATCTTCTCAGCTTCTTTAGCATTGTCTCTCTCACATATGTCGTCTATCAACGAGTGTTTGCCCCCCTTGCTGGTGTACCTGGACCTTTTTGGGCGAGTCTGGGTAAGGGGTGGCTGATTGCGAGGGCGAAGAAGGGAGACTTGCACAGAGAGTTGATCAAATTGCATGAAATACATGGTCCGCTGGTCAGAATTGCACCAAAGGAAGTGTGAGTATCAACTTTCCATCTTCTCCTCGTCGTGACTGGATAAAGTAGGTGCAACACTGACTGCATCCCTTTGCTACGTTGACATTCTCATCACTTTCCCGGTCTTTTCTTGTCTCTCTACACCATCTGTTATCTCACCATAAGCATCTATCACCATCCACAATCCATGCCACCCCTTATCATCAAAGACCGTCTTCGTCATCTATCAACTTCATCAAACTCTGCATCGTCGACTGTCTACAGCCATGCTGACCACACCTGCCCAACACAGGAGCGTAGCGGACCTCGACGGCATAAAGATGATCTACGGCGCCGGCTCCCACTTCCACAAATCAGACTGGTACTCCGTGCTCAAAGGCCACCGCACCTTCGACCCCTTTGCCGAACAAGACCCTCACGTCCACGCTGCTCAGAAGAAACTGGTGATTCGCCCTTATGCCATGGAAACACTCAAAGATCTGGAGCCGTATGTGGATTCCACGGTCTACCACTTTATCTCGAGGATGCGAGAAAAGGTGACACAGCAAGTTGATCTGGGGAAATGGTTCCAGTTATTTGCGTTCGATGTTATTGGGGAGATTACGTTTAGCAAGAGGTTTGGCTTTATGGATACGGAACATGATGATGGCAGTTTGAAGTCTGTGGAAAGCACACTGGCTTCTGCAGCTTGGTTGGGCCATGTACCTTGGGTATTCTGGACGCACGACTACCTCAAGCCTTGGGTTGGAAATTGGCTAGGTGTTACTAATCGCACTGGCAGTCTTATGCAACGAGCACTCAAAGAAGTCGAGGAGAGAAAAGTCCGCGGCACAGACCGAAATGACTTTTTGGAAAAGTTCTTTCGCTTGCAGAGAGAGAAGCCTGATCAAGTTACTGATGTTGCGGTGATCAGCATGGCTGCTGCTAACATCACTGCTGGTTCTGATACTACTGCTATCTCTCTAAGGGCAATTATCTACCATTTACTGCTGCACCCAGAGTACTTGGACCTCTTGCGCCAGGAAATCGATACAGCGAGGAGGGAGCGCAGGCTCAGCGACCCCGTTACTATGGAAGAAGCGGAGAAAATGCCTTTTCTACAAGCGTGTATCATGGAAGGCCTCCGCATCCACCCCTCCATCGGCGGTCTGCTCCCCCGTACCGTTCCCCCTGGCGGCTGTGTGATAGCTGGGACTTTCATACCCGCTGGGCATGTCGTTGGCACTTCCGCATGGGTCGTCAACAGAAACGCTGATATCTATGGCCCTGACGCCAACACTTTCAACCCTACACGATGGCTCAAGGGCAATCGCCATGAAATGCAACGTTATTTCCTCACCTTTGGAGGTGCGAGTCGCCAGTGTTTTGGAAAGAACATTGCGTTTATGGAGATGAGTAAGATGGTGCCCACGTTTTTGCGACATTTTGATGTTGAATTGTGTTTTCCCGACAGACCATTGAAGGAGAAGAATTTGTGAGTTTTTTTGTGCAGTTTTGTGAGGGTGTGAGAGATTTTGCTGACTTTCAAATACAGCTTCTTTGTTATTCAGGAGGGATTGATCGTTAATTTGACACCGAGGGATGAGGTTGCAGAAGGGCAGGCTAATGGAGGGGCTGAGAAGGAGATGAACAGATACTAAACATGTTTTGAGCAGATTTTTTTCTTCCTACATTAATGCTTTTTTCTCATCTTCTCACGACTTTGGGCTCGATGCGGAGATAGAGTGATGTCCTTCCGCAAGGTGTCTTTACGGTATACGAGAAGGATTCTACATTGCTGCACAGTCAGATGCTCGAAAGCAGGGGTCTAGTCACGAGAGTATCCTTGACAGGTCACTTAGTAGCAGGTACTTACTGCAGGTCAGCTCGAGCCATTTCTCGCCTGGTGACTTTGTTCCGATCTGGCCAGGTTGGTCTTTGCTCAGCCTCCCCCGATTCGACCATGAGATAGGTACAGTGTTGTTTCTCAGCGAACGCTCGATAGTGTACTAGCTAGTCAAATACTGAACTAGAGTCATGGAGGGAAATGCGCTCGAATCTGGACGACTTTGGTGACCAGAAGCTGGGCAGGTTGCTTGGGAGGATGCTGAATTGCTGGACCCTGAGCAGTCACGGAAGACAAACACGCCGGCTTGCCGAGCCGCTGCTTACCGGGACCACCTGCTTAGAGAACTTCTCATCTTCCACCTCCAACCTGCCAAAACGCGGTCGGCACCGTAAGCACTGCTCCTTTCGCCATTGATGGTAAGATTAGTCACAGCGTTATCGAAGTCTCATGCTATCTGATCGAATTGGTGATGGAAGGATCGCCTGATCTGCGGTGTAGCGAACGTGCATGATCGGGAAGCTGGGTGACTTGCCCTTTTTGTGGCTTGCGGAGGCCTGCAGCAATGTGCAGATGAGAGAGAGTCATCTTTGCGACACCCTTAATCCTGTTTATCACGAAATGTCGTGTTATGTATTGCTTTCTGGTCGCCGAAACGAGGAAGCTCAATAGAGTATCAGAGGTCAAGGGTAGTAGTTGGCAGACGACTAGTTGGAACATGTTGGTCTCCTGCTTAGACTGCTTTGTTGGCTATAAAGTAGTTGCACTGGTGTTGAGGCGCGTTTAATTTTAGAGCGACGCGCCTGTTCGTAAGTCGCTGAAATATTATTGTCTGACTTGCTGACAGTACGTATTTCGACATTCCGATATTATTCTCCCCTGATCCTTGTCCCGACACAGGTATAGTAAGACACCTGTCATCGGAGCTTTCGTCCAAGTAGGGTAAGCCCTCGGCCCCAACCTGGACTTGATCAAAGTACTCGACGAGGCATCTGGAATCAGTCACGAAAATAGGTTGATTCAATCTCGAACAAGACCAGACAACCGGAAAGAGCTCCCAAGGCTGTCAGTGCCTCTGGAGTAAGATACACAGGGACCTGATACTCATACATGCCGTCACTTGGAGGCACATTGCGACACGCAGCAACCAACCCTGATCAATTGTCCTCGGCCGTCCAAGGTAACAAGGCACACATAAAGAAGCAGCTCAACCTTCAAAAGGCAAAAGACTCGCGTTTCACCAAACTCACACTCTCATGCATGCCGAGTGAGAAGACCTGCAGCAAACCATTGTAACTCTTTCCGAAGCGTTTCCACTTCTGCGACCTCCACTTCTGCGACCAAGGGAAGGAGCGAGCAACAAACAGATCTGCAGCCATGGCATCTGAGCATACGCGACCGCTGCGCCCTTTATCAGAAGCTGACATTGCTCCCTCACCTGCCTTATCGCAGACTTCCACCCTTTTCGAGTCAACGCCCAGACCCCCACGACAACGCGCGACTTTTGCACGTCTTGCTTCGGTGGATGATGGACGATACACTGCCGTGAAGAACGATGAGGACGACATCACAGATGTATCACCGTATGATGAACGTCATGAATCACACCCCTCGAATGTGCATGGTCTAGGGATCCATATCTCAAAAGACGACAGGAACAACTCTACACCCAATGCGACGGAATGCAAAAACGGTATCAGCTTCGACACCACTGATACCGGCATGTGGAGCCCAAAGAATAGAATGAAAACTTCAATCTACAGCTCTCAATCTAGCTTGCAACAGAGCACGGCGTATGAGGCTGACATTCAACGTTTACAGAAACGCCGTAGCTTCGCGGAGTCGCTGCGCACGGTCTATAATGGTGAGTACGATACTGATACACTTTTCATAAGTTACAAGACGAGTGAATGTAGTACTCTTACGCTGACTCGTCGTAGATTTTGAACCGACTGACAGTTGTGCTACCCATCAACACTTTCATCACAGCCGTCGGAACTGGTTATCAGTGACTATACTGATCTTGGCGTTCTACTCAACAATCATGTCAGGCATCTTCCTTATCCTGGCTTTCGAAGGACCTAGATACAAGTGGATCAGAAAAGGCGGTAGCATGACACCGTATGTTGCAGACCTTCTGACTGCCTTCTTCGCGAAAACGATTGAGTTGTCGTTTGCTACTGTCTTTGTCGCTTTCCTTGGTCAGGTATTATCTCGCAGAGCATTCATGAAGAATCAGGGCCGTGGCATCACCCTTGCTGAGATGGATATGCGTACATGGGTCATGCAACCTGGTACGATGTTCACTCACTACGAAGCTCTCAAGTCGAGTATATTCTCAATCCTCGGCTTGCTCTCGCTCGTTGCTGCAGTGATGGCCATGCTGTACACTACGGCATCCGAGTCTCTTGTCCAGCCGTACCTTCACTATGGGTCTTGGGAACATGGAACCATGCGAGGACTTGTTAAAACCATCTGGGCCAATCCGACATATCTGGGAACAAATTGTGGTACACCTATCACAGTGGCTGAGGATGAGATTGCGGGTAACACCTGTCTTCAAATCCAGTACGCTGCCCACAGCTACTACAACTATCAACGGTACATCTCCGACTGGTCAGTCACTGCAAGAAACGGTAATGGCTCGAGCGAGCCTATTCATCGACCAAAGGGCTTTGCAATGATCTTCGAGAACACTACTGTCAAAGCTCCATGGGTTGATCTGGAGTACAGCGATGTCAGTGCCAATTCTGACAAGTATCGAAGAATCATCAACAATGTGACTCTTGCTTTGCCTCATGCTGGTGTACCTGGCGCTTCTTGGGACGCTATCAATCATATCCTACAGCCGGAAGTGCGTTGCTCAAAAGTCAGTGTTACTACAAAGGCTAATGATTGGATCAGGACCTCGATGGACAAGGCGTCTACCAGCTTCAAGCTTCTGTTCCATCTCCAGCAGTAAACGTCTTGTGTGCTCAGATGACCAAGGAAGACTTGTCGCCAATCGTGTATACTGAATGGAACAACAACACACTCAACGCTACACGATGGCCGACGGGGGACCAACTGGCTTTCTACCAGCCTGGTACAGAGGTCAATGGCACTTACCTCAACAAGACAGTTGTCGATGATGTCTTCGGATGGGGCGAGAAGTATCAAACATCACCGCCCGTGTTTCCTAAGCTGCCACTTGCGTACAACACACTGATGAATCATACCGGAGCTTATGGACGAGGAGCCATATATCTGCTCGGTCGAGACGCTACAAACAACTACGCCCTGTGCTCTATCAAGGTTTTTCAGACGCCTCTCTGCTCGACCGAATACAATGCATCAATGGTTGGCGCAAGTCTGGAAGCAAAATGCAGCAGCGACGCAACAGTAGACTTGGCAAACAAGATGCGGTACATCGATAGTAATGACAAAGCAATCACTGGCAAAGACACCATCAACAAAGACTGGGTATACATCGGCACAGAATGGGCAAACAGTCTGAGTCTCAACGCCGGCATCAACGACGGCGAAGCCAGCAACGCTCGTCTGCTCACCGAGCTTATTCTTACTACGCCCAATCTCCCTCGCGACCGCCCCAGCATCGCCGAAGCTCTCGCCGTCCTCGCATCTTCCACTCTTTTGATGTCATGGCAAGATGCTCCGTTTACTCAATTCTGGAACTACTCAACCACGACGCTTTTACCAGGCGAATACCAAATCTTCAACACCTCCCTCCGTGCCCAAGAATACGCTTCCGGCGGCAGCGGCTCACAAGCAACTCACGCCTTCTTCATCGTGCTCTTCGCAATTTTCTTCCTCAACGTCATATGCCTGTGCTACTTCCTGTCCCAGAACGGCCTCGTCACCGACTTCTCAGAACCACTGAATCTCTTCTCTCTGGCTGTCAATTCTCCACCGAGCGAATTCATGGCAGGAAGTTGTGGCGGTGGACCAAGGGGAAAGCAATTCAAAAGTCAGTGGTTTGTTAATGCTGCTGGCGAGCACTTGTTCATGGAGAACAAGGATGATGGGAAGGAAATCGGGGATGTGGGTGGGGAGGAAAAACACAGAGATGGAAGGTTTCGGGGCGAGAATCGGGGGGTTGGGATGACTCCTATGAGGGTGGCTTATGAGAAGATGAGTAGGCGAAAGAGTTGGTTGTGAGGATTGATGTGGTGGAGGATTCGTGCACAACAAGTCAATGCCGAATACCTAAACTCACCATTCCATGGAGCAAGTTAGTGGATATATTGTGCTTGGCCCTAAGCTCCATACTACCTATAGAGACCCCACTGTACGATAGACACGGTCAATATTACGGCTTTAAACACGAGTCTCCTGGTTATGTTACCAAACAACGCAGACTCGGGCAAAGTCTGAAACAGGGTCATCCCGCAAACAGTTAGCACTTGGTCATTAGACTCTTATTTGCTCTGACGACTTGGTGCAATTAGCGTGAAGGTAACAACAGCGTGCTATGTTGACGTGATTCGCAGCCGAGCAGAAGTTGTACTCCCAAAACCCCGATGTATGCTAAGCTCAGGTATCCAACCCTTTACCTCTGAAAGTACATGCAATGAACAGTGTCTGGTTGCGTCAGATACACTCGGATTTTCCACAAACATGTCAGAAGCCTTGGAATGTGTGAGACTCGTGTTGCATACTTGCAGGAAAACATAATAAAGTCGTACCTTCATCTCCGTCTTATGCTGACCCAGCACTCGACAGGTTTCTTACTAAAACCCTCACTACTCTCCAGTTTCTCCTGCTCCAACACCAAGTCATATCTCCTGAACAAGGTTCCCACGATAAGTGCCAACTCCATAATCGCAACATTCTGTCCCACACAAGCCCGTGGTCCATAGCTAAATGGGTTGAAAGCAGTTTTTTGAGCTTCTGTAAGATGGAGAAAGCGGTCAGGCTTGAAAGACTCGACATCGGGACCCCAGATAGCGGAGGAGTGGTGCAAGGTATAGCTAGGGACACTGAGAACAGTGCCCATGGGGAAATGAACAGAAGAAAATGAAAAGGAAGAAGAAGTCACGAGACGAGGTAATCCGAGAGCAGAGGTGGAGTGTAACCTCATGCCTTCATCCATACATCTGCGCAAGAACGGCAAATTCTTGACTTGTGCATGGGAAGCCACAGCTGTGGAGTCAGGGATCGCGGTATCCAATTCTTGTTGCAGGCGAGAGAGTATGGTTCCTGGTGCTTCTCTTTCGCCAGATAGGATGTAATAGATTATTGCGCAAGAGGTGTTGGAGACTGTGTCGCTGCCTGCGATGAGTTGGGTCAAGGCTTCAGAGGTCAATTCGTCGCGTTGCATGGGTGTGCCATCGGGGCCTTTGCTTTTTACGAGCATGTCCAAGATGTCGTGACGTTGCTTTTGTTGAGCGTTATCCTTCTCTGTAGCGTCAAGGCGTTTTGCAACGGCGATTGATGCAACGCCGTGCAGATTCTGAACCGATTGGATGCCCTTTGTGAAGAATGGATCGGGAAGGTATTTTGCGAAAGGGCGAAGAGAAGGCAGTAAGCCGAGTGTGGAGGACACTTCACCGCGACGATTCAATGTTTCCGCTCCGGGAGCAAGAAGGATAGGTCCGTTGGGTGAGAGTTGTGTTTCCACCTCATCACGGCCTTTTTTAACCATGCCGAAGGGAGCGCCAAAAGCGAGGTCGCCGATGATGTCGAAAGCGATGTAGGAGCACCACGGCATCATGTTCATCTTTGCATATCCATCTCTCTCTGGAGCAGCAGCGATACGATCCAATTGACCAATCCAGCGACGAAGATTCTCTGCCATGTGTGTCTCAAAAGCATTGACCGCGCCAGGAGAGAAAGCGTGAGCGACAATCTTTCGCTTTCGTGTATGTTGAACACGATCTCTTGTGTTGAAGACGCCGGGCACACCGGACACAAAAGCTTCGTAGAAGTGATCTTTGAGGAAACCGTTACCGTGAGCATAGACAGCTTGGATACCTTGCTCGTCGGCGATTGAGACGTGATTGAAGCCAACTCGTAAAAGTTTGCCGTACCTTTTGTGGGCCTCATCGACAGCGGTGAACTTCTGGCCTCTTCTTGCGTGGTAGGCTAGCCATGTGTTGCTGAATCTGGCCAGGAGAGGGCCAGGAATGTGACGGAGAGCCTTATAAGTCGTAAGGTATGGAACAATGTAGTAGAGAGCGAACCATAAAGGTGCGAAGATCGAGCACAAGACGAAATAATTCGAGAGCTCCATTCTGAAGGAGTCGCCGGTCAGAATTTCAGAAGGAGACCTGCAGCGAGCCTACCTTTTTCTATCGTCAGCATAGTCACAAGAATGTCAATGTTTCATGGTGTTCACCCCCACTCTTCGTGCGACAGCTGTCTATCATTAATTGGGTATAGCGAGATATGGGAAGGGGAAATCAGCGCTTATCAGACAAGCTTGGATGGGGAAGGACAAGCTTATCCAACGAGAGCTTTGGGACGAACAGTACTTGCACCATCGCCCACAGATAGTTGCGTACTTATTATAGTAATGAACAATCAAGCCATCGGTGACCATGCTTATACGCGGAATGATTGGCGTTGTTCACACCAGTTTCAGCCCCGATCATGCTTAGTGAGGTAGGGCGGAGCCAGCTGAAGCCAGCATAAGGCACAGAATCGATACGATGATAATTTTTAGCAGGAGTTTTTCTTATTCAAAGGGTAATACTGCCAGGAAGAGACCACAGTGTGTGGTGATAAAAAGAGTGGGATGTAGCACAGCAGACGCAGCTACTCCAGTAGCCTTTGCCCGACCCGCACCATCCTGCCGAGGTTTGACCGAGCTGCGCGGCATATGTCAGCCCTTCATCGTCGCGGCTCCGAACATCCGCGCGTCTCTATCTTCATCCTTTGCGGCAGCCCCATCTTTGATCTCAGTAATTTCCCCCTCAATCTGGATGCTACTTAGTGCGGCCACAGTGATAGAACCCTCTTTGGTCACGCCGTGACCTGTCTCGCCATCGGAGCTCGATCGCTCGCCTTCGTCTTCTGTAACATCTTTCACTTGCCATGCGCTCCAGGTGGTCGTTGTTACTGCACCAAACCACATGACAGCAGCGACAAGCAAGTTGACTATCATAGATGCTGAGGACGTTGAGCCGACAGCATACGACATGGTCGAGCCGAAGGACTCTCCGCTCCGAAGAAGCGCACTCGTTAAGGCCAACTTATCGATCTCAACATCGTACTGCAGATCTTGTCAACCATACAATCGACGGAATTAATGGTTGTACAACTCACCGTGCCAATTATCCAATACATCCAGGTACCACAAACCTCATAGGCAATCCTGTACACCATGTACGCACCAACACCTCGTCCGTAGCTACTGTCAGCAAAGTCGATCTCGGATTTTCAGGAGAAAAGTGGGACCGGCTGAGCTTATGAGTCTTTTGACAAGTCCTCGTCTTCCGAAAAAGGTTGCTGAACCACATCATTGTAGTTAAACTGGAAAAACCCACTACCAATGCAACAACCCTAAGCATGAAGGATTGAACCCCTCTAGCTCACAGACGACAGGCTTAGATTCCCACAGCTGCTCAAGAGGGAATAACACCGAATATTCATCCATTTCGGCTGGACCCTCATAGTGGACGCGTCGAGTCATGAGTCGAGCTTTGGTAGTCGAAAAAGTATATCTGTCACAGAACGATGGAGCGGACCTTCTCTGATATGCTAACGGCACGAATGCCGTGGAGACAAAACGGTGTTCGCGAAAGTGCGATGGAATGCCACGATCCCTTGGCACCTGGCGAGCTACCCGGCAACCGCTGATGACTTCTCACTGCGACTCTAGGTGAATGGGACTTTTGTTTCGCATACATTTCACAAGTCTATGAAATTCATGATGCTTCAGTCACTCCAGGTATACTGTCTTGAAGGGTGCCACTTTCTTGCCCTCGGACCCTCGCCATCTTGCAAGTAGTTCTCGCGCATTGAAGAGCCGGGATACCTCTCTTGTAACACGCCTCTTTTTCTCAACTCCGGCCACAAGAAGTTTACGATGTCCTCGAAAGTGTCTGGGGTAACCGCACAGTTGATATTAAACCCGTCGACACCAGCTTCGTCAATCCATCGCTCAAGGATATCCGCAACAGTCTTGGGGCTACCAATGGCTCTCGGGTGGGCGCCTGAGATGGCCAGATGTTCGAGGACATGCTTCTTTGTCCACTTGAGGTCCTTAGTGCCAGGGACAGTCTCCGTCCAAGATGCGATCATGGACTGAATGGCAGGTGCTTTTGTGCTGAAAGCGAAATCTTCGTCATCCGTGAAAGTGGAGAGATCGGTTCCCGTCCAGCCACCGAACAAGGCCGCAGTACCCTCCGCATCAGCATACTGCAGCAGGTCCTTAAATTTGGCTTGTGCTTTCTCATCCGTCTCGTCAACGCAAATGAAAATTCCGGCAATGAATTTTATGCTGTCTTCTGGCCTTCCGATTGAGCGGAGTAGATCTCTGGTCTCGTTGACGACCTTGCGAGTCTTGGCTGGTACCAGACCGGGTAGAAACATGGCTTCTGCGTGTTTTGCTGCAAAATCCTTTCCGGCTTTCGAGGCGCCTGCCTGAAGCAAGAATGGTGTACGCTGAGGGGAGGGCTCAACGAGATTAGGCCCGGCCGACTTGAAGTATTTGCTGATCAGAAGGTCAGTCACAGCACAAGGAGTACACTCGAAAACGCTTACCCTTCATGATTGATCTTCCTGACTTTTTCAGGATTCGTCCAGACTCCAGTCTCTTTATCTGCTTCGATTGCGGAATCCTGCCAACTGCCTTCCAGGAGCTTGTAAAACACATCCATGAACTCATCAGCGATTCTGTATCTCTCATCATGTTCAATGTTACCCTCCAATCCATAAGACTTTGCAGCACTCTCCAAGTAGCTGGTCACAATGTTCCACCCCACTCTGCCGCCTGTCAACTGATCTAATGTTGAAAACTTTCTCGCCAATGCATATGGGTTCTCATAGGTGGTGGAAGCGGTGATGCCGAAAGAGAGATTCTCAGTCGCGTAAGCCAATGCAGAGATTAATAGATCAATCTGCAAGATCGGAATCTGAGCACCGCTAGAAAGTGCAGCGTCATTCGAGCTATTGTAAACATCGTAGATGCCGAGAACGTCGGCGAAAAAGATGCCGTGGAAGTTATTTTGGTCGAGGTATTTTGCCAGCTTCACCCAATGGTCCAGGGTCTGTTTTTCTTGCGAGGGGTATCTCCAGAGACCTGTCATATGATAGTCAGATAGTAGGTTTCTTGAAGAGATGTAAGCAAGACGGACCTGGTGCCAGATGACTTGGCGCAGTCATCGCGAAAGCATTCATAATCCATGGCTTTTTGGCAGAGCCATTGGTACTTGCTGAAGAAGCCATTACGTCTGGAGCTTGGTTCTGGTGTGTTTGCAAGGAAAAAAGAGTGTGGATTGCTTCGACTGGCGATGCGATGTTTTTGTTGCTATGTTGTAGGATTGTCGGCATTTAGTGGAGATAAGCGTAGATGGCGTGCTCGCACATCACAAGCACGCAGCCCCTCACGATCCCTCCATATATTCCTCTCGCGCTGCATTAGATGTTTTCAGCAATCGCAATATACACGTGGCCATCCGTCTTGTCGCGATAAGCTCTGTAGGTGGATACCTGTTGTCATTCGACATCTCAAACAGCCCGAGTTCGGTGCTTCAGCCTTGAGTTGTGACCTTCTGATCATCGAAGATTACTTTGCGACCGACTGATTTCGCCTTCTTCGTCTTATGAACCCGGATGTAGACGAAAGGATATATCGTCTCCGGAATCATGGTCAGAACAATGACCGCGAAACTGGTCCAAGATCCAACATACGGCCAGTTTTGTGGCACGTTCATGTATCGCCAGGCAAAGACGCCATAGGCGGTCCAACAGCCAAGATATCTTGTCAACCTGCTCTACATCAGCCTCTGCCCTATCCACATACTCGACTCCACCCACCAAATTTCTAATGAATGACCTTTGGCGTTCCAATTCTTGAGCAAGAGATAAAGGCTTCCCCAGCCGATGGGGAATTGTAGAGCCAGACCAGTCCAGTATGCAGTGAACTGTTCGCGCTCATCAGGATACACCTCTGCAACCTTCCAGAGGAACGCCAAGGATGCCAGGGTGCCGACTATCATGCGCTTGACCACCGGCGACCGATCGCTGCGAGCTCTTGTACTGAGAATAGCGACAACCGCAAAGGTAAAATCGAGTAGAAACCACATGGAAAAGCTGACTCGCTCAAACGTCGTAGTGGTGGTCGCATAAGCATAGAAGAGCTCATAAGCCATCGTCCCGCAGCTTGGTCGGAGGTCAGTAATATTCTTGACATACTGTAGGGTACTTTCTGCTTACGTGAACTCGATGAAGCCAGCACACGTCTTATCGCGATACGTTCGGATCATGTAGAAAATGTAGCAGAGAGCATAGAGGACGCCGCAAGATATGATCAAGCCATCTTGGATGTACAGATAGCTCTCTGGTGGATTGAGCGCCAGATCCGATGGTTGCACGACCAGATGTGCATGCTGATACCTATTTGCGAGCTCGAATGCCATGTAGTCCGTCTATGATAAGTAGATTTTGTAACGATTGTTCACACCTGGTCAGGAAGATATGTAACTTGAGTGCTCGATTGAACAGCAAGTTGAGGGAGGCTGAGAGAAAGTCGTCCAGTTCCCAGGACTTCTGGGACCATTCCAATATAGACTCGCCAACGACATGCCTTTAAAACAGGCTCTCCGCAGCCATCCGACACAGCGAACCAACCTCCGCACCGAAGTTCATGGCCGCGGAGCACAATCCCGACTGTACCGCAATCGCACGACAGCAGACTTTCAAGCTCGACCACTGTTAGCGAATAGTTGTTCCTGACTGGTTCGAACTAAAGCGCTTTCTTTGCTCAAGTCGCCGACACACATATGATTGGCCCTGAGCAGGACCTAGTGGTATACAGATGACGTGATGAGCCGGAGTCAACGGAAGTGTGGAGCTTGGCGCCAACAACAGACTCACTGTACCGCCTTGACCATGACCAAATCAGTATCAACCTGGTCTCCTACCAAAAACTTCTTCTTGCCGACTTCCTTGAACCCAAGCTTCCCATACAGGCCCAGTGCCCTCGCGTTCTCTTCCCACACACCCAACCACATATGCTCAAACCCTTCCTTCCTTGCCAACGCCTCTAGCTCGACTGCTAGAAGCTTACCAACACCAGTACCATGATAATCCGGATGTACATAGATTCTCTGCAACTCCACATGATTGGAATATGAAGCCAAACAGGGCTCGGTGCTTCCCTTCGTCATCAAGGTAAAGCCAATGATATCGTTCGTGGTAGAAGTGGCGACTATGAGTTCTTTGAGAGGATTTGTGATATCAGCTTCCATAGCTGAGGTTGAGTAGGACGCGTTGAGGTATTTTTGGAGATCGGCTGGTGAGACGGTGTGGCCAAATGTTTGGGTCCAGACGTGTGTGCCTAATTCGGCTAATGCTTTGGCATCATGGAGCGTCGCCTTGCGAATGCTGATGGGTGTTGTGTTGGATATCGCCATCTTGTGTATGTCGCGAAAACCGAACAGACGAAATGGAACTGATTTTGAAGTTACTCAGGGTCCTGCAGTGGTTTTAATGATGCTGAAACAAGATTGGGTCATATTCAAAAGGAAGGGTAAGTCGTAAACTCTAACTGGCTGCCAAGCAACTTGTCGTTCGTAAGGCGTAAACGTAGAATATTCGGGAAACAGATCTGGGGCGCGGCCTGGCCACCTTCCCGTGTGATTGATCCCGCAGTTTCCCAGATGATAAAGGTAGAGCACAGAGGAACTGTGCAGGGGATAACCTTGAGTCGCGAGACCGACACAACCAAACCTTGGTGGTAATGCTGTCAGCCTAGAAATCATTGTGCCTTTGTTGAGGCAGCTACAAATGTGAGAGTATTACGCATACGGGAAGGCAACTAGCAAGCCTCGATCTCTAATTCATACAGTTCTGTATGAGAGCAGATATAGTTTAATGAGTTCATTCGGAAGGTAAGGCTAAGTTCGATCATGATCAAACCTATTGACTGTTTTAAAGGCGCATCCAACAGCTAGTAGATTGCTAAAATCTTCCAGTCAACACTTACGCCTTTCGCTACCAGAAACATGATAAAACTCATGACATAGACGACACCGGTAAAGACGATGAGACCCCAATAATCTCCGCCGCACGAGCTGATAATTGCTCCTCCGATGGGAATACCTATCAAGCAGGCTATACTGACAACCGTGAAACAAGTGGCGTAATAGCGGCCATAACTCTCCGTGGGGCAAAGCCTGCTGATACAAACAGGTGTTATGCTAATGTTCGTGCCGCCCGCAAAGCCGATCAAGACGGCAAATACGATGACGCCAGCTTTCGTGTGACCGAATGGGAGCCAGACGACGAAACAGGCAAAGATGGAGGTAGCGACTGCAATAATATTCGTGTTGAAAGCGCCGATACGATCAGCATACCATCCAGGCAGTGCACGGCCGAAGAAAGATCCGGCATTCATGATCGTCAAGATGTAGAAGCTGAAGCTTTCGCCAAAGCCTTGGGCCCGAGCATATGAGCTGATATAAGCAATCGGGATGAATAGTGAGAACTCCATGAGGAAGACGGCGACAGTGGTATACAGAAACGGCTTCTGTCTGAAGATCTGGGGGTCTGGATGAATGCTGGCATTCGCCTTTGGGGGCAGCCTCGAGCGGACGAAGACTACGGCCAGACTCAGTAGGCCAAGACATAGGAAGCCTAGTATGCGTATGCCCCAAGCCCAGCCCAGCGAAGGCTTCTGGAAAAGACTGTTGAGCATGAGAGGGAACACAACGCCGCCAATGGACCCACCAGCGCTGGCTAGTCCTGTAGCAAAACCGCGACGTTGCCGGAAAAAGTGGCCGACGGAAGCAAGGCAAGGGGTGAAGAGTAAAGAGCATCCCAAGCCGTTGAGTATGCCGAAGGTCAGAAGAAAGTGCCAGTACTCTACACAGAAGTCAGCGTTGGTTTCGCTATCACAAATGGAAGTAAGTCTTACTGGTACAAACACTCAGCAGCATGAGCGCGGTCGTAACGCAGGCCACGCCGGTGATGATCAACCATCTGGGTCCATATTTGTCAAATATTGGTCCGATGTAAACACCGCAGAAGAACGCCAAGAACGTGTAGAGTGAGAAGATCCAACCGATGCTACTTTCACTGTACCCTGCAAGTTGATGTGTCGACAGATAGCTTTGGAAAACAGCGATAGTGTTCGTGATGCCCAGTCCCGCAAATCTGTGCATAAGAATCAGACCTTTGTACAGCTCGGAAAAAGACGAGGACGATACTCACAAGCCAGCCCAGGCACCGAAAACGACAAGCCAGGCCTGGAGTCCTCCTTCAGGGAAAGCGTCTTCTGATTGCGACACTGATGCAGAACCTGTTTTTCCTTTTGAGCTGTCGACGACATGACCTCGTTGCTTTTCTGCCTCGTCATTCATGAATAGCAAAGAGTCCTTGGAAGGGATGTCCGGCGACTCACTCATACCTATGCCAGCCAAATTGAAGCGCGAATTATGCCAGCGGATAGTGTGATCAACGATACCGACTGATGGTGCAAGACCGGAATCCTTGCCGAGAACGTGAGCTACTCAAGCGGATTGTCTTAGCAGCCACGACACACGCTTGGAATCTTGACCTTAGGTCGTGTGGCTTGCAGCGATGGGAATCAGTCGCTGAATTCGACTGCTATAAGACTGCAGACACAATCTTCATTGTGATGTTTTGGATCTTCCGATGTTCGGCTTTTTGCCGAGGCCGGTCAGATGTCATGGAAAGGGCGCGCCCAATAACACACTCACGAACTTAATCGAGCCGATATAGTAATATAGTCCGACGCCAAGCCTTAACATTGCCTCTTCTACATGAACATCACTTGATACTCTTCTTGGATTCGGCGAGGTTTGCATCCTTTGTTGTAGCTGTCTGAAGCTAACTCGGCAAGACGCCACGTCCCTGGGCGCATGACCGGCGACACAAAACCCGGATATCGTGCGGTCGGCACACGGCCGCAGTCGAGCTCAAGCGTAGTTTGCTTTGGACTTTAGCCAGTGAGCATTGATGTTCGCTCGAGTCCATAGTTAATGGCGACAGATCACCGGGCGCGCGCTCCAGATGTTCTCAGCTACGTCAGCACAGTCGGCACCGAAGCTGCGTACTTGGATCTGCAGCGGAGGTGCTCGACGAAGATCTTGTGGACCTCGTCGGTGATGGAATATCGACCTGCTCTGAGTCACTCATCGTGTGGAGCTGACGACGAAGACGGTGAACAATCTTTGCGACACACAGACGAGGCCGTTACAGGCTGACGCAGGCTGGCTGCGGTGGTATCTAGGACTGTCATAATCGATGATGGATCGAGTACGTATCAACCAGAGCGAGAGGGCAGACTTGACCGACTGAAGAGAAGATGCGAGATGGTTGGAGAGTCGCGACGATGGTTCTTTGCGGCATCGGACAAGTGTTGGGCCGGCGGATGGACCGGAGAGCGTCCATCATGGCCGGAACTCGTCAGCTCTCAATGCTATTGACCTTTGGAAGAACAAGTGTAGACAAGGCGACTCCCAAGAACACCGAACCTCGATTCTGATTCTGGTATCATGTTTTGGAATACTCTCGCGTCTCGCGGACAAAGCCCTTGAATGCCGGGAATACTGTAGAAAAAGATGAGGCTTAGTTGTGCTTTGTCGAAACGTGGGGAATAAACCCTGAGGAAGGCACGATACGGCCCAAACGCTCTTCTTGCTCTTGGCATGACACAAATTACTCCTAGGCCCATGAGGGATGTTTACATCATCTATCTTGATTTTTCCTTGACTGCTAGGCCCCTTTATGGATACGCTTCCTCCGCACCTTCTATCCGACAGATCCGTCTTCGCCCATATATGTGCTGCCACGTCCTAACATGAGCGTTCGTTTCTGAACTCCAATCGATTACTATTACACCAATCAAAACCCTCAAAGTCGACAGAGAATGCATCCCTCAATTTCAGCATCACTGCTATCAGTGCTGGCATTATGCCAACAAGTCAAGTCAGCAGCTACCTGCAGCAATTTTACCATCGTCGGAAAGAACAACTACACAAAACCTTCTCCAATGACTTTTGCTGTCAGTCAAGGCATTGTGTGTAACGGAACTTCTGACTGCTCAGTGCCAGTTGGTGGCTACGTGACGGCCAGTCGCACAATAAACCTAACGGACTCTACTCCGGATTGGGCCTTTCAACTCATCACCAACGTGACTGGATTCTCCTTCAACACAACGTTGGTCGGAGCGGTCGAGAACACTACCTATACCATCAACGTTGGATCATCCGGATATGTTGGTTTCACTCCCACATACAGATGCAGTCAAGGCATCCTCTCAGCATGTGAGGACAAAGCTCTCGATGGCACTCCTGTCGAAGCATGCACTCCTTTTGACATGAGTGATGGCATAATGAACGGTACTTTGGCCGCTGTTGCGACATCACCAGATACTGCATCTGCGCTGGTATGCAATCCTGCTAATACAAGCTTGGCTTCGAGTGGCAACAACACGAATTTTTGCGTTGAGCCCACCAACTCGACTTCTGGAAACACAACAGCATCCGATCTTACGGCTGGTGCTGGAGCCACAAGCAGCGTCGGCACGGTTCTGTTGTCGGCTGCTTTTTTCGTCGCAATTATTGGAGTCTGAGCTTTCAGGAGGTCGGTTCAATATACATGGCACAGCCCTGCACGAGCAAGCCTCAGCTTGATATATCCTGGATCCTGGTCAGAGCGGGCGGGTATTCGCATGTTTAGCCTGCAAGAGCAAAGCAATTTTACGACTGCTGTAGCAAGGCTTAGATTCATAGCACGCCAATTCAGCCGACTATACCGATACCTTGGACACGGTATATATGGCGGGCAGCTGGTCCATAAACAGTCAGCTCTACATCTTGTGGCCATCACATTTGCGACGATCGTTAGTGTCGGCTTTGTAGTCGAGATTGGCTCGTGATAATTCGACCAAGAGAACCTACCATAGATGGGCGTCATCTGTCTCAAGTGGTGATGGAGTTGGTCGATCAGGAGTTGTTATTCGATAGCGCAAGCCCAAGTCTCTGTTATGGCCTGTTTCCAACGAACGTACCGACCATGAACGGAAATGTGAGAAGCATCTTTAAACCTGTATAATTAGTGGCTCCGAACAATAACACAGTCTGTGATAGTCGTCTCTTGATGCGTGACTTACAAAGGGCCGTGTTCAAGAGGCACGCCGCTGCGGACACGACATCTCTCCCGAACGGCCAAAAGTCGTGTTTTGTTGCGTACAGCACCCTGCCTCTGGTTTCTCCTCATGCTCGGATTATCGATGGACGCCAGCACTATGATCAAACGACCAGAAATTAGAGCAGAAACATAGCTGAGCGCCTTGAGTGACCTAATATTAACACGACCATGAGCAATAACCTGATAGCGTTTTGCTTGATCTCACTGGCAAGGATTGATGAGCTTTCTGCAAGCACGACGTCTGCCCACCGATCCTATCGATTGTCCACGTCCCTCACCGGACTCATCATCCACACAGCGAGTCTTATCTCCGCATTCATGCAACTCAAGAGTTCAAGCAAGGAAGGAATGCATGCAAGCGATCATGTACACACCTTGCCATGTCGCAAGCACGCAGAAGCCACTCTGATGCAAGCTCCTGAATGCAGGGAGTGCACAACAAGTGTGGCATCGCACAGCTCCCATTGGCCACATACATTCAGAGGAAAATTCCATGTGCATCAGCAATCAGTTCAGGAGGTCAGATCATTCAGCTGGCGATTGCAAAAGTGACTTGACGGCATCATCGTTTGCGAGTGAGAAGACAAGCCGTGTGAATCGGCCGAGAATCGCTAGCTTATCTCCGTCCGTCGCTCCCCACGATCCGTTTGGTTGTGATGCCTCCTCGCGTGGCTTTTGCGTGTGGAACAACAGCCAAACGCGCCGAGATCTTGTCAGCCCCGAAACATTGACCTCCTGCGCGAGTGCTACGAGAGGGACTTGTCTGCTGGCTTTTCCCTCCTGGCTTACCAAGCGCCGTTTTCCTTGATCCTTCCTTGGTTTGAAATCAAGACGGTTCACTCCGTAGGATTGTTTTTCGAGGCAGCCAATTGCTCGGATTCGGTCTTGTACTCGCACCTCGGAGACCGAACGCCGCCAGTCCGAAACTGGAGCTTTCGCTACATAACTCGGTCGCACACCCGCCCCTTGTCGTCACACACTTTTTTCTTCTACACGGCTCATCTCTTTACTTGTATACCGTGCTTGTCACACTTATCTGCGCACTGTGTCAACAATGACGCATTCGAAGGGTTCTAGTGAAAGTCTTCCGTCGACAACATCACCGACCGAGAAAGCTCCCGTCGTTCCCAACGAACAAGCTACGCCGAATACGGATGCCGTCGCAATCAACACCGAAAAAGATGTCGAAGCCGCTGCACCTAAGCAACCTCCTCCCAACTTTATGGGCATTGTGCCCAATGGAGGTCTCCAAGCATGGCTACAAGTCGCTGCCGGCTTTGCCCTCTTCTTCAACACTGTAAGACCTGCGTCACCATGATTGAGTGCACGAACAAAAGCTAATTCGCGTGCTTCGTAGTGGGGAATCTTGAACACAGTTAGTCTTCCCGCACTTGGCGATCACCAAGAAGTAAGCTTAACTGACCAAGCTTTTCATCTAGTTCGGAGTCTTCCAAACGTATTATGAGTCTGGAGTTCTGATTCATGCTTCGTCGTCCAACATCTCATGGGTTGGAGCTATTCAATCGTACTGCGTGTTGCTCATGGGCTTCCTGTCTGGACCCATCTTTGATCGCGGCTACCTCCGCCCACTGCTATGTGTTGGCTCCTTTCTCGTTGTGTTCGGATTCATGATGCTCAGTCTCTGTCACACATTCTGGCAAGTTCTTCTTGCTCAAGGCTTCTGTATCGGTATCGGGTCTGGATTGCTCTTCGTCCCTGCCGTTGCCATTCTCCCGACATACTTCAACACAAAGCTTGGCCTTGCAATTGGTCTCGCTGCTTCTGGAAGTTCAATGGGAGGCATCATCTATCCCATTGTCTTTTACAGATTGCTTGATCAGATCGGCTTTGGCTGGTCTGTTCGTGTGTTGGGCTTCCTCGCCCTGGCTACCCTGCTCATTCCTATCTTCGTCATGAAGCAGCGTGTCAAGCCGCCAAGAGCTCGTGCTCTGATCGACACCACAGTCTTCAGAGACATTCCCTTCATGATCTTCACTGTGGCCGCCATGATTGGGTTCATCGGCCTCTACACGGTGCTCTTCTACCTATCCTTCTTCGGTCAGACACAGGGCTACACAGATGCTAGCATGTCCTTTTACATTGTGCCTATCCTCAACGCAGCCTCGGTATTCGGACGTACACTTCCAAACGCTCTTTCCGACAAGACAGGCTCTTTCAACATCATTCTTCCTGGAGCGGCTGTCTGCTCAATACTCATCTTCTGCATGATTGCAGTCGACGGTCTCGGTAGTATCATTGTTCTCGCGATTCTCTTTGGTTTCTTCTCCGGTGTCTTCATCGCATTGCCGCCAGTATGTCTTGTTGCTCTGACGACCGACAAGTCAAAGATTGGTAGCAGAATTGGCATGGCGTTTGGCTTCATTGGCTTTGGCACTTTGGCTGGTGGTCCGGGAGGTGGTGATATCCTCCAGAATTATGGGGATTCGCTGAACTGGACTGGATTGTGGGTGTATGGTGGCGTGTCATGCGCTGTTGCCACTGTTCTGTTTGCAGTAGTCAGAACGATGAAGGCGGGCGGAAAATTGATGGTCAAGGTATGAGATCAGCGAAACGATAATGAGGCCAATGGTTAGATCAGCAAGTGGACGAAAATTAGTAATTTGTAATATTATACAAACTCTTATTGTGCAAACACTGTCAGACTCTTTCTCCACAATTATCGAATCCGAGCAACGACGAGCTGTAGAAAGGCACAGTCACGTTGCGTATCTATGAGTTTAGCGCAGGGAGTCAATGAAACGAAGTGATTTCGACAACATCACTGCATGTTGAGAAAGTATCGTGCTTTAAGACAGCTAAAATTGTGACGGTATTTCGAAAAACGGGGAGGAAGCAAGACTTCAATTCTAGACTCAGCTAAACCCATCCTTTCGCAACTCCTCAAAAGCGACAATGATTTCCCTGAGATCAACACTGTTTTCCTCCCTCGCCTTCTTGAGCAACCACACCCCCTCCTCCCTCCTCGCTTTCGCAATTCTCTTTCTCGTCGCAGTATGCAAAGCCCCATAAACACTCTTGTAAACTCCTTGTACCGTATATCCCAACAACCCCGCCAACCCAGCATTAGGTTTCCAATAAATACCTCCCAACCCTCTTCCAAAGCCTTTCAATGCACCGACCGCCCCTTCTTTTTTTGCACCCTTGACGGGCTCTGTGACCAAGCCAGTGATACCGTCGTAGATACCATAGAAAAGGCCTTTGCCTGCTATTGCGGTGCCGCTTTTCCAGTCGGTCACGGTGCCGAGGTCGCGGGGCTTGTCGCCGTACATGAGGGGGGCGTTTCGAAGGCCTTCGGCCAGGGCGAAGGGGATGTCTACTAGACTGCCTTTGAGATATGTCGCTCCTGCTTTGCCGAAACCTCGGGCAATGTGGTTCTGATTGTCCTCGGGCTTCTTGGATTGTGTATCGTTGCTATCGGAGTAGGAGGAGATGATTGATGTGTAGTCGTTGTCGCTTGCTGAGAATTGCAGAGAAGTGCTACGACTGGCGAGTTCCGGTGTTGATATACCGGACTCGGATGTACAAGTTTGTCCGGCCTGCAGCAATTTCTGCTTCTTCTTGTCTTTCTTGTCTTTCTTGTCTTTCTTAAAGCCATCGCCAATCGCCATCCCTGATCTGTAAAGTGTGCCGATAGCAGCACTTGCAGCGCCGGTCAAAGGCTCCCAGCGGCGATTTTCGATAATATAGCTCTTGACCTCATTTATACCAAGCTTCTTGCCATCGATCTTGAGGTGATCGAGTAAGTTCTCTGCAGCCAGTTTTGAGAGCTTGATGGTCCTTTTTGAAGAAAGCTTGTATGTCCAGACAGCGGGCAAGTGCGGCAGGATGTCGCAGCGGGTCGTCTCGCGAGGTAAATTACGATGAAAGGATTGGACTGCTGCCTTGACACCATTTTCTGTCGACATACAATGAGCTATGTTACGAGCGGCCAGCCGTGCTTCTGGTGTAGTGAGGTATCGAATGGCTTCACTGAGATTTTCTGGAGTAAGGCTTTTGTGGTGAATTGGTGCTGGACCTGCGCCGGCCGCATGGATCATTTCTCCCCAGAATGGTTGACTGTCTCTGCGTCAGTGAAAGAAGTCAAGGAATTGGTGATGGAGCACTTACTCGCCAAAGAAGGGACACACTAGAGATGGAAGACCGTTCTTCAGACCGCAAGCAGCTGTTCCTGCTCCTCCATGGTGTACGACAGCTGATACCTTTTGAAATAGCCACTCTGTGAACAGTTCAGTCAGTTGAGACTTAATGGGAAGACTACAGGAATCTTACCGTGCGGACAATCTCCAACCTCGAGTATGTTCGGCGAACCAGACACGTTACACAAACCAGCCCAGCCTTTCGACAATATGCAACGAACGCCAGTGTTACTGACAGCTTCGGAGATAATGTCAGAGATAGTCTCTACATCTTCGAGAACGATACTGCCGAAGCCAATATAGATGGGTGTCGGTCCAGCTTCTAGAAAGTCTTGTAGATCTTGAGGCGGCTTGTAATTTGGCATGTCTCGAAAGAAGAAACCACAGACATCAATATGCTGTCCCCAATCTGCAGGCTTTGGAACGAGAGCTCCTGACCAGCAATAGGTCGTGGGTATGTTTTGCGTGTAAGCGAGAAAAGGGCCTTCGGTCGTCGGGACCGGTTCAAGATCCATTGTTTCGCGCCAACTATTCACCACATCTGCCAGACCTTGCCAAGTCATCCATTCGACCATGGCGTACGAGAGCCGATTGACCATACTAGGCTCTGCTTTGTTATCTTGAATGTTGGCAAGCGGATGTGGGAAGCTCTTTGTCGCCGTCCAGGGCATTGTGAACATAAGATGTACAGGAATGCATAATGCTTGGGCGCAGTGGATGTGTGCGAAACTGGGCGGATTTGCAATGATGGCGTCGGCAACAAATGGAGTTCCTGTGACTTCATCCGGCTCGATACATGACCTCCAGCAGCCTTCAAGCATCTCACTTATCATCTCTCTCTTTTTCGAAATCTCGCCTGCTTGCATCGTCTTCATGCTAGGTATCAGCCCGGGATTCTTGACCATATATGACATGAGTTCGTTGGGATCGCCTCCGATGGGATGGAATGCAAGACCAGCTTGTGTGACAAAGTCGCGGAAAATGTCGTGAGTCGCCAGCCTTACTCGATGACCAGATTTTTGTAGTTCATTGCCTAGAGCGATGAAAGGCTGGACATCTCCTCGGCTACCGACAATCTGAATCACAATGTTGAGTGGTAGCTGTCCTTCTGGCTGTTCGAGGAATGGTTCTTCATACTTCAGTGGTGGTACATAGTCGGCGTTGTTTTTGATCAGTACAGACAAAGTGCGGGCGAGCTTCGAGTTGACGTCCAAGCGCACGCGTCCGTCGTCTTGCGTGAGTGTATTCGTGTCGCCCGAGATTAGAGTATATGGCGGAGGTATATCGTTACAGTCGTCATTCACCAGTGTATCTCGTGTTGTGTCATGACGGAATGCTTCCGTGGTCGTGGTTTCGAAGGAAAATGTGGACGCTGCGTACGACTTCTTCATGGTGATCGGTAGCGGAAGGTCTGTAAACAAGATGACAGCCACGAGAGAGACGAAGACCCAATCATATATGCTCGAGCTTCCGATACTTACCGTCTCAACCTATACTTAGAGATTACCTGGACGCATGAATTTGCTGAAACGCTTTGCGTATAGCATCGTATCGCATTTGCGGGCGCCGTACACGCCGTATTCAATGAATTGCGACACATTGGATCATGTGTATCGTGCAGCCTCAACGGCATCACGCCGCATGTCCAGGGCTCCATCACTTGTCCGAGACCTCTGCAGTGATAAGCAGACGTACTTGTGATACCAGAGTCGCTCTGCATCTTGTGGCTGTTGCACGTGGATAGGTGAAGGTCTGTCGCGTTGAGTTGACTGGGAGAGCTCGCGTTCATTGCCAAGACGGAAGGGCGCTGCGAATTTTGAGCTGGTAGCCTGGTCTGATCCCTGACTTGTTTCTTCCATGAGTGTCACCACAGGATGCAGAGGCTGAGCGCCGTGAGAGATCTCGAGCCCGTCCATCCCATGTCTATTCCAGAGCATAGCTCGAACTGTCTTGTGCAGTGGACAAAGCGCAGCAGCTCAGCCTCAGTAGCTTGTGTGGCATCAGTCTTCGCGCCATCACGCGAAAAGATTGCGCTCTATCCTGAAAACAACAACGAACTCTGATCCACGTAGAATTTGCCTGTTGAATTTTGAACATGTGGAGCGCGCCCTTGTGCTGACAATCGAAGCTCCAGATTTCACCGCGATAAGCTAACTATGATGTAATGAGGGCCGACTTCATTCACCAGCAGCCAGAAAACCAAATCCCGATCACTTATATAAATAATCGTGGCTCGCTCTTGCTTTACTCAATATCACAGCTGATATATCTACGCCCTTTCTTTGTATCTTCAAGCAAACAGCGACACCATGAGTCTTTCACGCAACGAACAGATCAAGCAATATGGCTGGACAGCTCTTCCTTGCGACCCCGCTCAATGGGGCGGCGACAAGAAGAACCACAAGGAGCCGACTCCTCAGCTCTGCAGCGACGTGACTCTGCCTGACTCACCATTGGTCAAGGCTGCAATGGACCATGTCAAGAAGGAGCTTCCTGAACATACTTTCAATCACAGCATGCGTGTCTTCTACTACGGTATGTGTCGCTTGATCGTCATGAGATCTGATCAAGACTGAGAACATGTCAGGTATGGCAATAGCGAGACAACAGTTCCCATCTTGGGAGTTTAACGCTGAAACATGGTTGTTGACTTGTTTCTTCCACGACATTGGCACAGCGGACAAGCACACCCACGGCACCTTCATGTCCTTTGAGTTCTACGGAGGGTACCTCGCAATGGACCAGCTCAAAACGTTTGGCTCCCCACCTGCACAAGCAGAGTCTGTCGCTGAAGCCATCATTCGGCACCAAGATCCCGTGGAAACTGGTACTATCACCACCATCGGTCTTCTGATTCAATTGGCCACTCAATTCGACAACATGGGCTACAGACCTGGCTTTGTGCATGAAGACACTATCAAGGATGTTGTCGCGAAGTACCCAAGAAGAGAATGGTCGGGCTGCTTTGCAAAGAAGATCAGAGAGGAAGTTGGAGTCAAGCCTTGGTGTCATACTACTGCTTCTACGGAGAAGTTCCCGCATGATGTTGAGCACAACGAGCTGATGACGCCATATGATGATAAGTACTAGGTCCGAAGAAAACAATAGGGCCCCCGCCTTGGCTAAACTTGCACTTGTCTACCAATAAGCACTTCTTCGGTGAGTGTCATGCCTATCTACTCAGGGGTACATGCTTTGATCTAGGCTCTTACTATCAGTGTCATATGGGAAGCCTTGTGTCTTACTCAGCAGTGGCGTAAAGCGGGCAAAGAACTGCCTCGCAAAGGATTGGCTCACTCCAAGTCGTCTGCCGCAAGATTCGACATGTAGCGTGGCAAGTTTGGCCAGTCGTTGAAGTCGGCAACAAATCACTGGCCTCGGATGAGCGACGCCAAGTAGCTTCTTGCTGGTTCTCGACGTGTCTTCACCGAGGCTCGCTTACTGAGTCGCATGACAAAACAGGACACTCACTCAGAATCGTGCTCTTCGCAGTGTGTGATTGTAGCGGGGTTGGGATCGATGAAAAAATGATTCGATCAATTTATGCTACGTTATGCATTGCAGTTTCATATTTGAATGGTTGAGCTGGCTGTTCTTGCGTACAAGCCAATGCTCTTCTCCGCCATCCGCGATTTTGGTAAGGCCGGATCCATGAAGCCATGCGCTCATCCTTGACGAGCGCGTTGCTTCTTCCTGTACTCCCCAGCTAAGCGGTGCGAACGCTTCTGGTATCCTGGCTGGTTGTGCGCCCAGGACTTCAAAATTGTCGCTGGGCCACCGCATTGCTTCTCCGACACAACCAATAATCACGGCCTCTCCTTCAACGAAGACGGGCAACGAAGTCTTCTCCAAAAGCAGTGAGGTATCAGCCTCACCACCCTCCCACCATCTCGGCACGGCCTCAGCAGCTGACTGGACGGTCGAGAGAGTTCCTACCGCTGGCTGTCGATGTTCTTGGATATCCTTGCGCTCAGCCCAGCGCCAGTAGAGGATCGCCTTTCCGGCGGGCAGCTTGACCTCGTACGTGCAACCACTCTTCAAAGCCCCAATGTTCATGATAAGACTTAGGTCAACGCTGGACTTTGATGGTTGGCAAGAGCAGAATCTGACCGGAATAAGCTCGACCTCCCCGGGCTGGAGAAAGATCCTGGCTGTAGGTGGTGAAGGTTCGCATATATCTGTGTGGCCACGCTTAACCTATTCATGTGTTTCGATGTTGACAAATTCGAGACCGCCATCGCTCAACAAGCGCTCGAAGAATGTATCGTCCCAGGAGTACATGATGGGTGCTTTTGTGTACAGAGTGAGGGTGATTGTGAGACCGAACGGCGTCTTGCCGGACAGGTCGAATTCTGATTGCGCGCATTGGAGTACGGCGACGATGTGTGGGTCTGATCTGTCGGAAGACATCGCGTGAATAATCCAATGTAAGTGTGATGCGGTTGAGATGAAAGAAGTAGAAGGTGGAAGAGATCCTTGAGTTAGGTGACGACCAGGCAACCGCGAAGGCGTGGAAACACCAATACCACTCATTTTCGAGGGCCGGTCGCTTCTCACTATGACTTCTCTATTGGCATTTCTTTTCGAGTGTCAGACACGGGGAAGCTGCTCAGCTTGCTATAATGTATGATCAATGAAGAGCTAACGAAGGGACGCATATCTAACATCACTCCAGCCGACAATATGACTGTCGACCCTAGAGTTCAGTCACGCTCATACTCATCCTCATAATCGGAAGTCGCTCCTGACTCGTATAAATTCCAATGACTTCTCGCGAATTTAAGGTGTAGAACATTCTCCGCGGTCATCGTTCCCGCAAGGCTCCTTCAAGCCATTCTTCAGTGTTCTGAGATTATCTCTTTGAGAAACATAATCAACATAAGGAGATTAGAAACATTCACTTTGGTAGCAACATATCAAGGAAACACATGTTTGGTTTCATCTATGGATATATTCCTTTGTCGACCACTTCCGAGGACCTGTCTCGCGGCGAACGAAGCGACACTGTCACCATGGAGAGACTGAGCATTCGAATTTTTTATTTTTCGTCCACGAGATCCTTCTATCTTGCGATGAAAATTTGATTGTAAGACATGGACGAGAGAACAACTTGGAAGATTCGCAAGTTCTAATTTGAGATATTGCAAGAAAGCGGAGAGCTCGGCAGTGACGAGAGATCAAATGACCCTTCGAGGCCAAAACTCGTAGCACGGATTATACTTGAGCATTTATCCATCAACTCTCGGCGAAATTGCTTTGGCAATAGCGTTTGTCAGTTCTAGCTTCCTGGATTGAGCAATTTGACACTGAATCGGATCAGTGTGCTATATGATACGGATAGCAAGACTGGGCAAGCATGAAATAAGTAGTCCAAAACCGAAGACTTATCGGGCCTCGGTCCCGTAGCAGCGAGATCGGGAAACTCGGCGCCGAACGACCAGCATCCCCACATCATCGACCCCACGACCAGCAACATCACTTGCGACACAACACATCTCTTTGTCCACATACGCTGTTCAAGTTTCTTGTACTCTTTTTTCCCTTTTCTGTCGTTGTCTTCTGCAACCCGCGAATAATGGTCCTCTCGATATTTGGACGAAGGGCTTTGACGCGATTTCAACAAGTGCGGAGTGTGCGAGGCTTTGCCGCGGCTGCTGCAGATGCGAACGATGGGAAACTGCCATTGAAGGGTATCAAAGTATTGGATATGACCAGAGTGCTGGCTGGCGTAAGTTTAACTGATTTCGTTTCCTAATTGTTACTTGTTCTACGTACGCTTGTCGCATCTTGGTCTTCTTTGTCTGCATGAAACACGAAAGTTCGCTTAGACGAATCGTCATGCTGGATACTACTGGACGATTTTCTCAGAAAAGTCTGGTCGCAAGTTATCTGTAGACGATCACAGAGACAATGCGATACTTTGGAAAGGATGTTCCCTGGTATCAGTACTGCTACCGACGAGTTGCGCTTGACCGTGCCACAACCTCCTGGGAGAAGCTACAATCATGTAAACTGTGGACCATCCATAGTTGGAAGACGCTGGTAGCGAAGGATTCCCTCAGGCAAACTTCGATCTTCCTTCTATCTTTCCGTCTTTGATCAAATCACGGAGACACACAAACCACACACCACATGCGGAACACTCACTAACTTGAGTGTCCCACCCACAGCCCTACTGCACTCAGATCCTCGGCGACCTGGGCGCCGAAGTCATCAAAATCGAACATCCCACCCGTGGTGACGACACCAGAGCATGGGGCCCACCGTACGCCAAACACATCACCGGCACTCCCACCCAAAACGCCGCACCAGGAGAATCGGCCTACTTTCTCAGCGTAAATCGCAACAAAAAGTCCCTGGCTTTGTCCTTCCAATCTCCCCCAGGAGTGAAGATACTGCATAAACTTGCCAGAGAATGTGATGTCTTGGTGGAGAATTACTTACCGGGCGCGTTGAAAAAGTATGGTATGGATTATCAGACGTTGAAGGAAGTCAACCCGAAGTTGATCTATGCGAGTATTACTGGTTATGGACAGACTGGACCGTATTCGAATCGTGCGGGTTATGATGTGATGGTTGAAGCGTGAGTACCTCCTTTCAGTCTTATCGCTCTTCTTTCTCAGCACACACAAAGTCATCCCAACGTGGCAGATTGGGAAAAAAGAATGAATGAGCTGAACGAAACACCGTAATGTTGGAAAGATGACGAAAGACTTCACTGATAAAATCGTAGAGAAATGGGTCTCATGCACATCACCGGCACCCGCGATGGCCCCCCCTCAAAAGTCGGCGTAGCAGTAACAGATCTCACCACCGGCCTCTACACCTCAAACTCCATCCTCGCCTCCCTGATCTCCCGCTCCCTCACAGGACGCGGTCAACACATCGACGTCGCACTCTCAGACTGCCAAGTAGCCACTCTCTCCAACCTCGCCTCCTCCCACCTCATCTCCGGAAAACCTGATTCCGGCCGTTGGGGCACTGCTCATCCTTCAATCGTCCCTTACAAAGGCTTTGAAACAGCTGATGGCAGCATCATGCTAGGAGGAGGAAATGACCGGCTTTTCGGCGTTTTGTGCGATCGTCTGGATAAGTCAGAGTGGAAGAGCGATCCGAAATTCGTGACGAATGCGCAAAGAGTGGCGAATAGAGATTTGTTGGAAGAACTGATTACGACTATTACAAAGACGAAGACGACTCAGCAGTGGTTAGATGTGTTGGAGGGAAGTGGGATGCCGTATGCAGCCGTCAACGACATTGCAGGCACCATGAAGCATGAACACGGTAAGTTGGCTTTCCTTTCTCCTCCTTTCTTCCACCCTTTTATTCCTCTTTCATTACATTTCTCCTCCTTTGCATTTCTCCTCTCCATCCAAATTCCCTTCCCGTTCTCCTTTCCGTTCTGGCTTCTTTCTTACCAAGAGTCTTCTCTCCATTTCCCTTCGGAATACTGAAACCTTTTTTGTCTAACAAAGCAAAAAAACAGTCCTGGCAAGAGACATGGTAACCACAATCGACCACCCAACCTGCGGACCCATAAAACTCGTCAACACGCCTGTAAAGTACTCGGAATCTGCACCATCCATCCGTTCTGCTCCCCCGACACTTGGCCAACATACCAGTGAAGTCCTGCAAGAACTCGGCTACAGTGATGCAGAGATTGACGGATTCAAAACTGATGGTGTTGTCAGTTGAGAGTTTTTGGAGAAGAAAGGGAAGAAATCTGGGGTGGGGGGGGGGGGGGCGCACGGGTCAAGGAAGGCAACGTGCGGTCGGGGAAGCGCCGGATGGTGTCGTTTGGGCTGTATAAAAGAGCGCGGGGGGGGGGGGGGGGGGGGGGGGGGGGGGGGGGGGGCGAAAGTGAGGAATATACACACAGTGCAGTAGCTTTCAACAATCAGTCCTTACGTGCCGCAATGGGAAACAAAACAAACAGAAGAAGAAACGAAAGAAGAAAGAAAAAGCCCATAGAGCAAAGAAAGGAAAACCACGGATATATATCTTTTCTGTCTCTCCTCGACGGAGGGAAAAGCAATAGGAATGATAGAAAGGAGAAAGGGATGAAGCCAGCACAACCTCCAAAAAAAAAGACAGAAATAGAAAGAAGAGAAAGAAGAGAAATTCGATAATACAACTTTTGGGTGTCAAATCAGTAGACAGATATATCAAAAGCATCAAACCGCCACTCCCCAACTCTGCAACTCCAAAGCACTCATCTCTTCGCACGTCTCCCGTTCCCATTCTCCGTCCACCTCGGTCGTAGAGGCCCATGCGCAGATCCGTGCATTCTCACCTTTCCACTCTCTCTCTGCAGGATCGTGGCGTTTAGTGTCACTGGCACATCATCTGCCTTTAACCCAATCGACAAGTCACCTGCAGATTCGTCTATGGAAAAAAGGATGGTCGGGTTGATAAGGGCGAAGCGGAAGGCAAGGGGCACCGACCACGGGCGCCATCGAATTTGAACTGCATATCGCTGTATCTGACTCCAGCCCATCCCGACCATCCTTCAGAGCAACCCATCGACTGTCAGTAGTGGATACAAGCGTGCTTGGACGAAACGTTTCTGACCTTTGCTTAGTAGGCATACAGCTTCTCTCGTCCCTCTTTTCATGTTTTGAAAGGTTTCCCTCATTAAATTTGCTTTGCCCAACACAGTTCATCTCACATGAATTGGCCTGGTTAACCAAAACATGTTGCAGGTGGGTGATAGTCGGGAGTATGCGTTGCTGAGCCAAGTAAAAAGAAACATCGCTGAATTTGAGTGGTCAGGCTGCCGAAACTCCAGCATCGGTAGTTTCCTGCAGCGGCGCCATAGAGGAATATTGCCAGGAAGAGGGGCCAGACTAATCCATCGCCCGAAGAAGACCTAGTAAAGGTTCAGCAGACATTCTCACAGGTCTTGTATGACCACGACTGAACTCACTGAGATAACCGCCACCACCCCGTAGACAAGAAAGCGATTCTGGGTACTTGTCAGGGGCGTGGGACCCAATAGACCAAATTTCACATTCATCATTGCGACTAATCATGAGAGTATATGAAAGAAGCTGATGTCGCGATAGTCAAAAGCCAGCATCCGGACACTATGACATAATCCTTGGGCTTTTCAGCGCCATAGACTGGAAGCAAAGGCCCGTCACCGGAAATATTGTGTGTATGGCGATTGCCTTGATAGAGAAGCCCGGCTGCTGGTAGAGTAGCAGTAAACGTATGCCCGCTACTGCAAAACCGTCCTCGAGAGACAGCGTTTGAAGTGCACATATGTAAAATTGCCCCAATGTAAGCTGCGCCCTGGTGGAAAGAATCGCATCATTTTGGCGGTACCAAACAGTACCATGGCGGGAATTAAATGGTCGAGTACTTTATAGCCGTCACATTGGCATCCCCACATCATGGCAGAGGCGGCGGCGGGGTGTTTTGTGGTATGCTGCAATACTGGAATCGATTAACAGTCATGGCGATGTCCGGGCCATGTATTGGATGTTCAAGTGGGTGGTAGGAAGTGGGCAAGTGATCAAGGCCGGCATCGATGCTATGCGTCAGGTCGTACCGGCTTTGTCAGGGGAGAGAGATCGGAAAGCAGTAGTGGTCGCGACTTGACTTGTCAGACGTGCCGACGCTGTGTGGTGCCATTAAGAAGTCTGGTCAAGGTGCGTCTCCCCACAAATGTAGACCGCTGAAACCGAAAGCTCTCCCCATGCTGTCAGGAACGTGTTCTTTCTGATCAATTGGCTTTTTGGAGTTTCAGAATTCTAGTCATTGCGATTTGCGACGTTATATAGATCTCCATTTGTCCCGGAACACCATTTCCCCTCCCTTATGCAGCAGCAAATATGAAAAACAAAGAAAAAGAGACACACTCCATGCTTTTGATAACCCGTTTCTCTCGCGAACAAGCTCCGGCGATGACAGTAAAGAAGATGGTTCAAGTGCAAAGGTCAGCGGCAGTCATTGCGATTAGCACATGACGTAGCTGCACTTGCCCTTGGCCTCGCGACCCTGCTCTGTGGCCTCGAGTCCGTACTCGATGACAACATCCAAGTCTCTTCTGTTTCTCTCGTTGGGCTTGCAGAGCAGTGTACCGTTGAGCTTCTCGCCAGCCTCAACAGTAAGGTTGTTGTCCAGGTAGAAGACAGTCTGCTTCCAGTGGGTGTATTTGGTGTGGGGACCAGTGCTGAACTTGACGGGCTTGTGGCAGGCGGAGAACTCAATGTCGAACCAGGCGATCAGGGCGTGGACGTAATCGGTACGACGGACGGGGAGAGAGTAAGGGAGGTGGAAGGCGAGATCTGCGACTTTGCAGGTGTAGAGGTCGAGGGTGATGAGGGGGAAGGGGTCGGTGACGACGGCCTTGAGATCGACCGTGTCGACGAGGGGCTCGGTGAGGGCGGTGCGCTTGAGGGGCGAGTAGTTGAAGCCCCAGACGTTGTCCCAGAAGTTGATCTTCTCCTCCTTGTAGTCGCCATCCTCGATACCAGCAACGAAGATGGTGGCCTTGTCGGGGAAGATGAGACCGCCCTTCTTGAGGTAGCGGTCGCGAGCCCACAGGACAGTGTCCAGCATGCTCTCGTACAGCAGGAAGTAGCCCATCCACTCGGAGATGATGATGTCGACCTCGGGGAAGGGAAGAACAACATCCTCCATCTTGCCCTGCAGAAGGGTGATCTTGTCGCTCAGGCCGTTGACCTCGACAATCTCCTTTGCTTTGTCAATGATGGTGGACATGTCGACTCCGATGACGTGCTTGGCGCCGGCCTTTGCTGCGAACCTGTGGGACGAGTCTCAGTATGCTGTTGCACATGTTGGAAGAAAGAGGAAGGGGGAATGTTGCGCATGTTGGAAGGAAGAGGAAGAGGGAGAGGGAATATTGCGCACATGGACAGAATGCTGGTACCGCAGCCAACATCAAGCACGACCTTGTCCTTGAAGAGGTGACGGTTCTGGTAGATGGCATCGCGGTAGCTGCGTGTGCGCACATCGTCTTTCTAAAAAACAGTCGGGTCTTGTCAATTCATGCGCTTCTGCGTCGGCGTGTGGACATCCAATTGGGGGGGCCGACGTACGAGCATCTCCTCGTGGATTCCGTGGTGGTTGTAGCTTTGACATGTGTCAGTATTGCATATCTCGGCGTGATTCGCGCGTACAAAGGGGAAGAATTTACCTGTTGAAGTAGTGCTGCTCAGAGTGAGCCATACCGGCGAGGCCTTCGCCTTGTTGCGGGGCAGTTGCGTTGTTGGCCATGCTTGCTGTTTTTCTCGGTGGTTTGGGGAAAGAACGACTGTGACGAAGATATCAAAAAGTGAATGCGACAAGCGACAAGTAAATGACGAGGATGGAAGGAAGGAAGGGACAGGCGCAAGATGATGCTTTTGATAAATCTACTTTTTCACCCCCCAAGCAGAAAGCTTCGACGGGTCAGAGTCCAAGCGCCCTCGGATTTATGCAGCGTCGAAACGCCGTTAGCGTGGCTTTCTTCTTCAGTCCCTGCGAGAAGACCCTGTTTCAACCATTCACTGAATAAGTCTGGAGCCGCTTGGCACATTTCATGCCATGGAGGTGGACAAGTATCTTCTCAGCAAAGGAACAGTGAATATATACAGCAACGAATATGAGTTCCACGGGGAGCATCAGGCGTAAATCTCACCAGCGCCTGCCATGGTCGCATCCATGTCTCCAGCTCGTTCAGCCGGTACAAAATGGCTGTAGACTTCTTCATTGTCGTCCACCAGCCAATCGACATGTGTTTCCTCGGGAGGAAGTAACGCTGCCAATCCTTGACCAGGTCTTGGATAGTTTGCGGTAGGATTGTCGAGTTCGTTATACCCTTCGTCCACATCATCATCTGGTCGGACTGGTAGAGGGTAGTAGGCTTGTTCAGAGTCGTCCGATCGAGGCTCTGGTGGATTTGGTGGTAAGGGTTCGACCGCAGATTTGGGAGGATCAAGTAGGGCTTCAAGTGTGCTGGGTATTGGTGTTTGGTAAGCTCCTGGTGGGAACAGTGCCAGTCCTGGATGTGATCCATCTGCTCGTAGTAACAAGTCGACAAGCGTGTGTGTTGGGAGTAATGTCAGGACATCACGTTTCTGTCGCGGTCAGCTTCCTGTCCATCTCCCATCTGTAAACAAGTCTTACTTGTTCTTCTGTCAACTCTCCTCCCGAGACAAAGGAGCCAATGTCGACCTCTGGCGGCGGTCGTACGGTACAATCTGAGCAGTACCATTCCATGTCAGCAACATCCACGACCTCCTGGCTGATTGGAGGATAGTGGCAGTAGCGGTGGTAGGGAGTGTTGCAGCCATCACAAAAGACTATCATGTTGGTGGCTGGACTGTGAGGTCGGAGACAAGCCTTGCAGACTGCCAATTCCGGGTTCCTGCGTCCCCAGTGACGCTTACGTTTAACGCCAGAGGTGGGAGATGGTATGACGGGTACGAAAGTAGTTGGTTTTGTGATTGCTCGACCAGAACGAGAAGTCGTCGCCAGAGGAGTAGACTCGGCATCGTCGACCAAATCGTCGTCGTCGCTGTCTGAACTGACTTCATGGATCTTGATGCCTTCTGCCAATGGCTTCCTGCCGCCTCTTCCGCCTCTTCCTCTTGGTCTGCCTCCTCTTCCACGGCCACGACCTCTACCCGTTGAAGTTGGTGAATCTGTAGCTGCTGCTGATGCAGGAGTCGTGGCGTCTCCAGTCAGAGCGCCCCTACCTCTGCCTCTTCCTCTGCTACCTCGTGGACGTCCTCCGCGGTTCCTTCCTCGACCACCTCTCACCACGGGCGTAGTAGCATCCATTTGTACATCAACGTCCTCTTCTTTTACTCTCAAACCAGTGCTGTTTTCATTTGGATTGTCAAGAGAAGTTGTAGTAGTCATGTTCTTCAGCACGGCATTCCTGGCAGCTTCCCACTCTGTCGTACCATGAACAGCAGAGAGCGAGTTTTGCGGGAGACGTTTCAGGATTTCCTCTGTAGCTGGAGAGAAGGGGTTTATTGCGGGTCGAAAAGTGGCATGGTCTATCGGAGCATTGATTGATGTCGTTGTAGTAGCCGGCGCATCGGTCGAGGAAGCGTCTAGAGGTGGTTGCTGAGTCGAGTGCACAGACGGGAGCGCGTTCGCTGTTGAAGCATCCAAGGAAGTCGCATTGGCTATTGACGGATCGTCATGGCCAGCCGTCATATCGACTTGTAGAATCTGGCAGTTGCGACAACCAAGGCAGGAGCGTGTCGCATGACACTAGCATCCTGATTCATGCCTGCGGGAGAGCACCGCCACATGTGTAGCCACACGCCGGAGTACTAAGTGGCGCACCTTGGAAGCGGCGCGTACGTCAGTGGAGGCTTTGAGGCTCTGGGCGGCCTGGAATTCCACCAACGGGCCATCAACAAACTTCACATCTCTCCAGCGCGACGACAGCAACGAGCATGGCGACACAACGACCGTCAATCGCCGTGACGGCCGGCCAGAAGACCGAGTGCCACGACTTCGCAGACCCGCCAACTCCTCCACCACAAATCTCCCCTTCGACGTCCCCCTCTTATCCGCAACCGCCGGCCTCTCCCCGACCCTCGACGACGCCTTCCAAGAAGGCCGCAGAGCCGGCGCGTGCTCGGTGGATCTTACACATGCAGGCCCAGATGTGGCGGTTCCTCATGGGCATCGGTATGCTGCTGCACCGCATGGCTCCTCCGCACCCGCCGAAACCCTCGTTCAAACGCACCATCAAGGCAACGGTCAGCTCGGTGCCCGGCCAATTCGAGCTGCACTTTTACGTGCCCAAGGACTATGAGAAGCATCGCCGTACAGACTTTGCCAAGAAGACGTACCCTTGTGTCATCAACTTCCACGGCGGAGGCTTCACCCTGGGCAGCCCTAGTGACGATGCCCGCTGGTGTGGCACCGTCGTCGATGAGTGTGGTGCCGTCGTCGTCAGTGTCGACTACCGTCTTGCTCCCGAGAACCCCTTCCCCACCGCCGTCGAAGATGGAGTCGACGCCGTCCTCTACATGGCCAACAACGCGAACGAACTCGGCATTGACGAGCGCAAGATTGCCCTTTCCGGCTTCAGCTCCGGCGCCAACATGGCCTTCACCGTCCCTCTCCGCCTCTACGACCACCAGAGCGAGTTTAGCAGGATCGAAACAAGCCAGGGTGCCTCTTCCTCCCTTCTCAGCCTGCCCCGTCAACAAGACCCGGCCTCGTCTTCTCTCAGCGTCGACCGCATCATCCGCAGCCGCTCCCACACCGAAGCCCCCACCCTTGCCTCCCTCCAAAAACAGCAGATGTCGGTCAAACAAGTCGAGACTGTCCAATCCGTTTCCCTCTGCGCCATCGTCCCTTGGTATCCTTCCTGCGACTACACCCAGACTCGCGAGGAACGTCGCAACACTTCCGTCCGCACCGACCAAGATCTGCCCGCCATCTTCACAAACCTGTTCGACGAATCCTACCTCCACCCTCCAGACACCATTCCCCTCGACTCTCCTTACCTATCCCCTGGCATCGCACCCACCTCCCTCCTCGCGGAAGCCCTCCCTCAAGACATTATTATGCATACTTGTCAATGGGACATGCTGCTCTGCGAAGGTGAGAAATTCCGTGACCGTCTCACCGGAAAGGGCATCAACAAGACTGTACATTATAAAATGATAGAAAGTGTACCGCATGGCTGGGACAAGGCGCCTAATCCGCTCAAACCGACACCGGGTGTCAAACAGCATTATTTGAATGCGTGTAATCATTTAAGAAAGGTTTTTGCAAACCAAGGAGGAAGTGAGGCCGATGAAGCTACCATTGGTGGTGTCGCTGGGGAAGGGAGGAGGAAGAGTACGCTCGTGAATTAGAAATCCCTGTCTGAACAGTCCCATTGTAATATGCAAGCATTGAGGGTCTGACCATGCCATCTTTTTTTCTCCAGCTTGACACGACGCTTGCTCTCGATTGCATCGAATGAGGCCGTGCCTAAGTTGACAAGGAGCTGTGTCCTGAAAGCCTAGCCAGCGACTGTTGTGTCGGTCACCCTACGCAGATTACCTCTTGAATGTGGCGTCCATCATCGCGATGCTGTCGATTGCGCGGCACTTGATCAATAGTCAGCTGATTCCACGCGAGCCAAGTCTTGCATCTCCTGTGCAATCTTTTCCCAATCTATGGGAGACTTGTGGACCGGCTTGTCGAAATCTCCTGTTCTACATAGGCGTGTGGTTCGGAAACACAACAAACCAACGGGAGCTCGCTCATCTGTCATTGACCCAACAAATCTTTACCATTCTGCCTGATGTTTAATGCCGTGACACGTCTTCGTGAATTCGTCTTGACGACTTGGAAGAATTGATCGCACGAAAGCTTTTCATCAGCACGGCATGCTGCTGCCGGCGATGACTTCACAGGGCCGTATGCGACGGCGTATACCCCAGGAACCTGTCAGTCAAAATCCGCTTCAGGCACTTCAACTCCCGACATATGTTCCTAAAGTCCCAATCGAGTCAGCTTCCGGCTCTCTCTGAAACCATATCAAATTTCGATCATGACACAGACAACGCGATTGTGTGGCACTGTCTCGATGCCGCATGGTCCCGACTACGCAATGTGACGTTGTCATGGTCCACCTCGTCTCTATCCTGCCATGTATAAGAGGCTGGAGTCCTCTCCTTTCAACTTCCTTCTCATCCCTGTATCTGACTCCACCATGCCAACAACAATTGCTCCTCTGGTGGCCGCACTCATCCTGGCCACACTCAGCCCACTTTCCACAGCTGCACCTATCGAAGTCGATCTTGGCTACGTCGGTATTCGCGGGTTCAGCAATGACACTCTGGGGTACGTAGTTGTGCTAGCTCTGCTCCCTTCAACTCGTTGACAAGATGCAGCGTCAACTCCTATCTCGGAATTCCGTTCGCTGCGCCTCCTACCGGAAACCTCAGATGGTACGTCCGATATCCTGCAGTCAATATAAACAGGTAATTGACTAGCCCCAGGCGCGCCCCAGTACCTATTGAGAGCCAGAACAATTATACCAAGGGACAGGTACTGAACGCCACATCTCACTCCTTCCAATGTGTTCAAGGCTATCCTCAATGGACACAGGCAGTGCCCATCTTGCAATCAGCTTTTGCCGCCACAGGTGGTGATATAAAAAGTAGCGAAGACTGTCTCCAACTTGATATTTTCACTCCATCTGATGTGGAAGCGGTCAATCTTCCTGTCCTCCTCCATATACATGGCGGCGGTTATACTCTCGGCAACGGAGCCAACGCTGGTGGATCGAATTTTGTAAACCGCTCGGACGGGAGTATCATCTTTGTCTCGATCCAGTATCGCCTAGGCGGCTATGGCTTCCTCTCTGCTGACACAGTTCAAGAAGACGGGTCTGCGAATGCAGGCTTGCTCGATCAAAGAGCTGCTATGCAATGGGTTCAACGTAACATCCGCGCTTTCGGCGGTGATCCAGCCAAGGTCACCATCTGGGGAGAAAGCGCAGGTGGTGGGTCCGTGGTGAACCAAGTCGTCATGTATGGTGGCGAGCCCGAGCCGCCGTTCAGGGCAGCGATCTCGTCGTATGCTGGCATGTTGACATATAAGAACCAGACTATCCTCAATGCGCAGTATGCCGATATGCTGTCGGCAAGTAATTGCTCTACTCTATCTTGCCTTCGGTCTTTGTCCGAGCACTCTCTTAAGGATGCCGTCGATTCATCCTACAAGTCTGGCTACAAATCTGGTCTTTACGCATATGGCGACTTTTACTACAACCCAGTCCTTGACGGTAAAATCATACAAGATTATCCCACCCAGGAGCTCGCAGCTGGACATTTCTCAAAGGTCGCTCTCATGTGCGATCATACATCGTACGAAGGCGCAGCGTTTACGAACTTCAGTATCAACACCATTGAACAAACGCAATCCAATCTGGATAAGTTGTGGCCGACAGCTGGCCCTGCTTTCTTCCGCCGTCTGAACCAGCTCTATCCCACAAGTGCTTTTACCGGCAGATTTTTCAGTGATCCGTTCTTCGACTCGGGTATTCTGACCTTTCTCTCATCAGCTCTGAATGTGACCGGTCTGACCACAAATTCCATCTACTGGCGCGCTCAAGCCATCTACGGCGATTTCCTTTTCAATTGTCCGACCTACAATCTCGCCGCCACGTTTGCCAATGCCGGCCTACCTTCTTACAAGCTGATATTCAACGCCGGCACTCAGATCCATGGAGCCATGGCGCCTTTCCTTACCTCTTCACCAAAAGACACCGAGGATCCAAGCCTGTCGGCCAAAATGCAGGACTACTGGCTCGCGTTTGTCAAGTACATGGATCCAAACGACGCTTCTTCTGGCGTGCAGAGACCTTATTGGCCCACCTACCTCGAAAGCGGCAATAACGCGACCGCTTTCTCCATCTTGCAAGTCAATGGCAGCGAGGTGCGTGCCGTGGCAGACAAGGAAGCAAATTCCCGTTGCGACTTTATGCTTGGGAAGTCTGCCCAAGTATGGAACTAAAGGAAAGATTTGGGGGGGGGGGGCGGGTTTTTTTCTTTCTTTTTTTTGTTGTTTCCTTATCAAATTCTTTTCTTTCCTGAAGATTGGCGATTTTAGAACCCTACATAGCGTGTTCTTTGGTATTCTTTGGAAAGTCTTTGATTGCATAAATTGCATCACAGCCGGCGCAAATATATAAAGAAGGATCAAGGAAAAAGCTCGAGTCGCAAAGAATATGTCGCGCGATTTGTTTTTGAGTTTGATTTGTGACAAAAGTGAGTAGGAAGAGTGCGGAGGGTTCATGATTCGCGCAATTGTGTCACCTGAGGTCATGCTATTGTTTGGGAGCATCCTAATAGCTGCCATGCGATAATATCTCGAACAGCTCGTTTCATGGCATCGATTAAGGGTGACCATCAGGTAATGATTACATGCGAACCGAAATGAAATACAGCAAGATTGGGCACTGTGTTTTAATCATATCTGCCACGTTTGTGGAATACGGTATGTATGATCCTTTGCAAGCCTTTGCAGCAAACCTCGGAAGGATTGATTCAACAACGAGTAGTGGGGGGGCTTGGGGCATATGAGCTCCTTGGCCAAGGACCTCGGGAGTCGCTCAGAGACCAGAAGGACATTGGAAGTTGACATAAGCTTTCATGGCTATATCCTCGAAGGATGTGCCAACCCAAGGAGGAAGGAGGTTAAGTTACGGAGAAATTACTCCGAGATGAGTAGGTTCAGAGCAGGCCTACCCGGGTGGAGATTGTTGTTGTTGTTGCTTATCGTGAAGTCGACAGCGAGTTGGGTGGTTGCCGCTGCTCACGAGTTAGTTCCCCAGATACTGAACAGTCAAACTTGACGGTCTCAAGTCTTTGATCGTATGGAAGGACAAGCTTCCATCTCCAGCCCTGTCCAAGCATTGAGGCGCCGTGAGGGGTAGAGCGAAACCATTACGCCAGACCGCTTCAGACGCACGCGAGTAATCACATCAACTCCGCATGAGACCGCGTGATGTTGTTTTGACTCGCGAAGCTGCAGCTCGACGTTGATCCACGATTCTGGAATGTATGACGGGCCGTCATCCGAGAGACACATCAGGGTCAATTGCCAATTGACCAAATGTGATGTCGCTTGGTGGTTCGCATGATGTGCGCAGAATCCCTATCTCCCCTATAACTGCTTTGAGACAGATGTGCGAAGTGACCTTGATAGGGAAATGCCAAATCAACCCGGATGTGAGTGGAAGTGGCAAAGACTGGTTCAAGATACACCAAGCATGAGCGGGTCGTGCATGGCATGCCTTTTCCAGAAACAAGTCGTGATAGTAAGGTTGCATCGCAGGAACGCCTGGTCGACTCACGACCCCGCTAATCTGATGTAACTGACAACGAGCTTCACGGACACTGGTGGACTGCTGCCGTTCCGCTCTGCGGCTCTGTCCAAGATAGCGGCAAATGTATCATCCACTACCTCTTGTTGGTACTTACGGTCGATGATCTCCCAATAGCCTTGTCGAAGGATTCCCTGTGGCGATGATAAGCTTCGGTATAAGCGATGCTTCATGCAGCTTGTCGAACAAGCCAAACAGCAACGTCTCGCCCCTTCCCTTCCGCTCATGCCGCCGCCACGGTTACTCTTGCTGTATGCACGAACTCATCATCAAGCAGGCATCTCGAAGGAACAAGGAACAAGCGACCTTGCATGCTACTAGAATGAGGCGCACAAGGATCAATAACGTGTGCTAATTTCGACCAGTCAAACGTAGCCTATTGTCATAGTGGTAGTGGCTTGGCGGGCGAGATAGTCGGCCAGCCCGCCGATTGGCTACTCCACGATCGCCTCCGCGTTGATTCGAAGGAAAGAGTTTCGTTGACAAGCGGTTTCCCTTTTCCTCGACACCAGCCTTGTGATCGCGTGCTTCGGTTATCTCCTCTTTTTCGTGTCCACACGCGACATTTCCACATTCACCCGTGGCCCCATCCTGGAGTGGTGGTGGTCATTGCTGGTGTTCCAAACCTTCCCTGACTTCGTTCCTGCGAGTGACAAGCCATGTGATTCAGGCTTGTCGTTGTTGTTGGGTAAGGCCAAGGAGCACGCTATCGCAATGCGCCGAGTTGTATTAGCAGTAGATCAATCGCTGGCGCGCATGTACGGCCTTCCTTCGCGCATGGCTAATAAACAAAAATATCCAAAGTCTATGATTCCTGTCAAATTGCGTGATAAGCTCAACCAAGACTGATGCAGAGACAGAAGGACAAGAATTGGCTTGGTTTGGCGACGTCTTTACTTTGCTTATCACAAAAGTTTGGCGAAGCTTGGGGAATGCCCAGGTCTGGACTTGTCTCAACGTGTGCTAGCTTTTTGCGGCAGGTGAGCGACACCCGGCAACATTCCGTACTCGACCGAGTCGCGCCGTGTTCCTTACTATTCGGCGGCGAAAGAGATTCGAGGCTCGAACGGCGGCCGATTTTGTTGACCTGCCTGTTGTAGAATGGACTAGGAATTGCCTCTTCCAACCCTACCTCGGATCCCACGATGATCTTTGCCTTATCTCCCGCCCATGTTGTTGCACCCGGCATTCGCCTGCAGGGTCAATGCTCAAGTGAAGGCCCCCGGGGTTGCATCCAATTGTGAGAGTGAGGATAGGTATATGAGGTGAAGCCGTCCCTCTTCGGGCGCGCTTTCCTTTCTGTTCAGCCGTTTCCCCTGCGACCTACACATCAACATGGCCGACCAAATATCACCAGAGCGCTCGTTCGACGAGAAGCACCCTTACACATCTGGTTCTGAGCCTGCCCATGCTCCTGGTCTTACCACCGAGGATTATGAGGGCAAGCCTACCGAGGAGGAGCGCAAGACTTTGCGCCGTATCCCTGGTTCCCTCCCCACTGTCGCATACATGATCTGTATCGTCGAGTTCTGTGAGCGCGCTTCCTACTATGGTTGCCAGCCTCTTTTCAGCAACTTCGTCAACCGTCCTATGCCTGTTGGTGGTAACGGATATGGTGCTCCCGCTCAGGGCACTCAGCAGACTGCTGGTGCTCTCGGTATGGGTACAGTCAAGGCCAACGCTGTCTCTCAGTCGTTCTCTCTTCTCTGTTACGCCCTTCCTCTCTTCTTTGGTTACCTCGCCGATGCAAAGACTGGTCGCTACAAGCTCATCTGCTGGGGTGTGCTACTCTTCGGTCTTGCTCACGTTCTCCTGGTTGGCGCTTCCGCTCCCAGTCTTCTTGCCAGCGGTGCTGCCAAGGGTCCCTTCTTTGTCTCCGTTTACTTGCTGGCCGTCGGATCTGGTATGTCCAACCAATTCCCCTGTAATAATGCGCAAATTATTAATATCATTTCCAGGTATCTTCAAGCCTAATGTTTCTCCTCTCCTTCTTGATCAGATGCCTGAGACCGTTCCCGTTGTCACCACCACCAAGAAGGGTGAAAGAGTCATCATTGATCCCGAGGCCTCAACTGAGCGTGCTATGCTCTGGTTTTACCTTCTGATCAACATTGGCGGTTTTATGGGTGTTGCTACCGCTTACTGTGAGAAGTACGTCGGCTGGTGGTTGGCATACCTCATTCCCCTCATCCTCTACATTCCTCTTCCCGCCCTCCTTTGGTTCCTCCGCAAGCGCCTTGTGCTTCACCCACCCGGTGGCTCGGATCTCCCCAACGTCTTCAAGGTTCTCAGCATCTGCTTCCGCGCTGGTGGTGTCAAGAGAATCGGTCGTCACGGTTTCTGGGAGCCTGCTAAGCCTTCTGTCATCGCTGCCAAGGGTACCGGTTACTCCACTTGCTGGGACGACCAGTTCGTCGAGGATGTTCGCCGTACGTTCCAGGCCACTGGTATCTTCTGTTTCTTCCCCATCCAGTACCTCAATGACAACGGTATCGGTTCCGCTGCCTCTTACCTGACCACTATGCTTACCACCAACGGTGTCCCCAATGACGTTATCTCCAACTTCAACTCTCTCTCCATCATCCTGATGGCTCCCGTTCTCAACTACGGTCTCTACCCTCTTCTTCGCAAGTGGCATATCCGCTACGGACCCGTTGCTCGTATGACCACTGGTCTTGCTCTTTCGACTCTTGGTGGCATCGGTTACACTGTCTTGAACTCCTACGCCTACAAGCTTGGACCCTGCGGCAAGTTCGGTTCCAGTGAGACCTGTGTTGACGCCGACGGTGTGTCCCTCGTCGCTCCCATCACCATCTGGTGGGTCGCCATCCCTTACGCCATTGGTGGTATCTCCGAGTTGTTCATCAATGTTCCCGCTTACGGTATTGCTTACTCGCGTGCACCCCCAAACATGCGTGGTCTCGTCTCCGCCATCAACCTCTTCTCCACTGCCATCGCCTACCTCATCGGTCTTGCCTGCTCAGCCGTCATTAAGGATCCCTACCTCACCTGGGACTTTGGTGGTTGCGCCATTGCCGGCGGTATCCTCACTGTCATCTTCTGGTTCCTGTTTAAGCACATCGATGATGAGGAGTACACCCTTTCTCAGCGTGATGACCACCACGTTACCCAGCAAGGTCATGACCCCACCATGGATGGCCACAATGACCATAACCCTGTCATTGGCACCGACCCTGACAAGGTTTACAAGTACGAAAAGGCCGGCGAGCCTGTTCCTATTGCTCACTAAGCGTGTTCGACAAAAAAAGTCTCCTCTTTCACAAATGTTCATAGAAACATCTCTTTTTCTTTTAGCTTAGATGATGATGAATGACTTCCTATCACGCATAATATGATGCGGAGGAATGTCTACCTTTAATGAATAAGCTAGAAGCTTTATTTTCCACATCAAGTCTTTTCGATCTTTTCAAGAATAGTTGATCATCAGGTGTGACTTTGTTTGGATTGTGCTTTTGGTCATCTAGGTGCCTGCGTGCGGGTTTGCAAGCGCGAAATCAAACCTGTGGTCATGCCGCTCGAGTCTTATGGGGTAGAGATGATAGTCTGACCATTCGGAGAAATACGCAACAGCAGGTTGTATAGTGTAATGGTTAGCACCTCGGATTCTGATTCCGGTAATCCCAGTTCGATCCCGGGTACGACCTCATCTTTTGTTTTGTCTACGACACCCATCCCTCAGAGTTCGCCAGAAAAATCGCGGATCTGGTGCAAGGCAGCAAAGATCATCTTTTTGGCAAGTGCTATGGGCTGTTAGTTCATGGCTGTGCTTCGAGTTTTGTAGACTTGGCGTTTGTCTTTTTCACTGGCGGCCGCCCACGCCGGCGTCTTTTCCTGTCATCACGGAAAACACATATCTTTTCGGGAATTCTATTTATGCCAGCTTGCTTTTGTCAAACTGACCTATGTTTCAACCATTGCTGCCTTGCCACTGGTGTCCTTGCTGCATACATGTCGTGTGCTTCAAGGTCTTGCGTGTCTGATGAGGCGCAGATCACAGCGTGTTTTGACATCCATGACCAGCCTATTCCTTTACATGATACGTTTAAGTTCCTTGGATATCTCTGGGCATCTGACGTTCAGATGGCAGCCAAGACACTAAGACTCGCAAGTGATGGGTTGTGTTGCATCAGACCCTTCTGTGCTTGCAGGTGATACGAGAATACGAGGATACGGAGTCGTAGAAACTGGAATACGGAGATACGTATCCGCGTATAGACGTCTCTTGCATAGATGTCGATTGCAGCAAACATCAAAATGTCGAAAGGGAGATGTATATAAGGTAGGCATGTATGCGAGGTAGGAAGACATCATATTCAGTCCCTCTGAGCCTCTCTCTTCAGATATCCACCGCGACATTCATCGACAATCATCCAAGAAACAGCGACCTTGAATCATCAATCAGTGTGCCCACCAACTCATAGCATCCCAAGACGAAGACCCAGACAAGCCAAATCGAACAATGGACAACATCAAGTCTTTCCTCGAGAGCCCCTTCTTCAACACTTCCTTCAAGACTCGCATGCACTACATCCAACTCACCCTCGTCACCCTCATCATAATCCTCACCGGCGTCCGCATCAGTCAAAAGCCTTCTTTCCTCCCCATCACCCGCTCCGATACTATGGCTATCGTCATGGTAAGTCAATCTTTCTCCTTCCGTCAATTAATCTTAAGAGTCAAGAAGAAGGAGAAAGATCACTGACTACGCCGCGAATAGGGCGTCAAGACCATCGTGGTCATAGCCTATCAGCTTCTCACTTCTCACGTAGGAAGCTTGAAGCGCTGGAGGAACACAAAAGTCTATCTCGTGTTGAACTGTCTGGAGGTCATGTTCTGGCTTGCAGTTGTCGTTCTCACCGGTATGGGTATGCAGAGGTTTTGTAAAGGTGCCTATTGCGGCATTAGTGTCGTGATTATTTTGTTGGCTTTGGTCATGACGTGAGTTTTTTCTTTTGATTCAGGTTCTCCATGAGGACGCTTTTGCTGACGGTGATGTGTTAGGTCCTTTTCGTTGTGGGCGGCGGTTACGACGAGAAAGTTGAGGAGGGAGGAGAGGTTTGGTGGGCAGAGTGTGCTGCCGGTGCATCAGACGTCTATGGGAGAGGGTATTACTACGAAGCCTGCTGCGGCTTACACGACTTACAGGGTCTAGATTGCTCTTTTGGGAAGATGGACCTTCTTGCACTCCTGAGCATGGACATGGCTGATGGGAAGGGATTGGAACATAGATCATAGAGAACGAAGACTGATAGATCGATACAGATTTGAATGTTTGACAACAATTCTTTCCATTTGCGATTCGCTTTCTCCTACCCTCAATCGTAGGTCGTGGCGGAAGAAGTCAAACGGCGCTCAAGACTTGTCAAACTTCTGAATTCTCTTGAGCATAGAATCATAAGCAGGCTTCTTGTTGAACTGCTCATCCCAGAGCAAAGCCGCGCCCTCAGTTTTGAAAACACCAGGAATCCAAGAGTACTTGTCGGAAACACCCTATCACTGTCAGTACACATTGCTAGATTGTAATCGAGGACCAAGCTTACCCAAATAGTGATACCAACACAGCTCTTGACATTGATGCAGGATTGAGTGACTCTGGCATAAGCATCCGCCTGTGCCTTCAGCTTCTCCTTCGTCACCGGAGTCGTAAATCTGACATCCAACTCAGTGTATGCAACCTCAACACCGAGATCAGCATATAATCTCAATACTCTGGTCAAGGTATCGGTATCAGGAGTAACACCACCACCACTGGAAGCCGTAGACTCGGAAGTCAAATGTGCCTGCAGACCCACACCATCGATCTGAACACCGTAGCTTTGGACGAGTTTGAGGATTCTCTGTGCGCCCAGGGCTTTGGCGCTTCCGTATTCAAGGTTGTAGTCGTTGTAGTAGAGTTTTGTCTTTGAGCCGGCGTACTTGGCGGCGAGGCGGAAGGAGATGGGGATGAATGCCTCTCCGATGGTCTTGTAGAAGACCGAGTTTCTGTAAGTGCCATCTTCTTCGAGTGCTGTGGACGTGTCAGAACTGTGTGATTGATGCTTATCACGAGTTGAAACTCACCTTCATTGACCACATCCCAGTGGGTGCACTTATTCTTATAGCGACCGGCAACATTCTTGATGTGATTCTCCATGATGGAAATCAAAGTCTTGTTGTCAAAGTTACCCTCACTAACCCAGGCGGGCAATTGAGAATGCCAGACCAGAGTGTGACATCTGACTTCCTTCTTGTACTTGTCTGCAAAGTCTATGATGGCGTCGGCACCGGCAAAGGTGAAATTATTGCGACTGGGCTCTGTAGACTCCCATTTCATGGCGTTCTCGGGAGTGATGGAGTTGAAGTCCGTGGGAGACTTGATGATGCCTTGTTCAACGGAGTCATCGCGAATGGTCAGGGCTGTGCCGATGTATTGGCGTCCTTTGGAGGTCCAGGATTGAGCGAGTCCTTTGTCCTTGGAAAGGGTGCGAGCGTCGAGGCTGAAGAATACATTGTCAGTCACAAAGTTGTGAACAACGACCGACAGATGATCTTACTCGACAGGAGTGGCTGCACTGAGGCCGATCAGGGCTAAAGCCGCAGTGATGCTGGGGAGATGCATGTCGTCGAGAAGATCAGACGAGCCCTCGTATTAATGAGAAGATCTGCTGTTGTAAATCCCAATATGCGGAGAGCAGAAGACCTTTTGTATCTCTCCGGATGAAGCACCAGCCTGGTTCAGATCACCATTGTGCCTACCTCCTCCTCAAGATAAATTATCCGCCTACCAGCCGCAGTGAACGATGCATACCGCAAGCGATATTTCCCTACAAGCGCACACTCTGCGTATTTCCAAGCCGGCTATACAGTTTATCAAAGGCTAGACCTCCCCTAAACGACCAGCTCCCCGCATACATTCAGACTGTGGGGATTCATGTTCCCCCCTGGGGTAAATTACTTGCCCCTCGCTAGTCAACCTTGATGGACTGCTCATTCGCGGACTTCGTCTTCGTGGCGTTTGTCGTTATGAGACGGAAGTTGGACTTGCGGCATCGCCAAGGAGGGTAAAGTCGTGGATATATGCTTGCCCAGCAAAGCCAAGCCCTGTATAGGCTGTAGCAAGCATCATCTGCTCTGCGGTATACCGGGCGGAAGGCTCAAAGGACCCACGATGCCGCCAGGGAGTAAAGCTTGATCATGATTTCATGGTGAGTGGATGTTCAGGTTTGTGACGGGGCTGTGTTTGTTCAGCGGAGTGGTCAGGTATCGTAGACGTCTTCGGACCGAGGCATAGCGGGAGATCTTGACATGGCGCGTGAGCAGCAGCGGCTATGCGACATGTTACCGCAATAGATTGATAAATCTTGACCAAGCTCATCTGCGGCTGTTCGAGCGGCAGCTGGGTAGCTGAAATCCATGCATGAGGCAAGTGATCTGACGTCCCAAAACCACCGCGTCGCGTCGTCGGAGTTTGCCCTCCGCGCTTTTCCAGATGCTGACAACAACGTCTGGTTGACTCGTTCCTCCAGGTCGCATGAACCTGAGTAAAATACACGCGAGTTCGTGCTGATCCTGATCGCTTATGATAACACATCGAAGACTTGTGCAGGAAAAAGCCTTCGATTGTGTTTCCCAGAGTTGTCCTAGGACTGTGCTGCCCTCATGGCATGTGCATTGAGAGAGGTGAATTCAAGCCGAAACTACAATTTGCGGACAAGCGCATGATTGCGACACCAGGTAGAACTGTCAATCGTCTTACAGGAATGAAACATACCACTGTGTGCATATTTGAGGTAATTACTGTCGTGCTTACGTCGAGATGGAAAGATATCCACCAGACCAGGGTCAACCTGTCAGCGAAGTTGCTCGGGTGAGTGTCTACCGAGATAGCAGGCTGCCTTTTGTGACTGTCGAAACATACCAAGGGCGAGACTTTGCCGCAAGGAGATGTACAAGCTCGCGACAGAAAATCATCAACAACAACATAGCGAACATCATTTGTCTCGATTCTAGCACTGTACGCCCGAGAGAATCGACCAAGTACTTCATCCTGCAGTTCTTGGGAGCTCCATGGGACGTGATTCAATGTTTCTGACCTCGCTAGTGCCTTGTTACCCCCAACGTTTTGGCGGCACAATAATCCTTTCAATTCTCTTTCCTGCTCTATCCACTTAGTAGAGTTGCTCTACATCTTTCGGCTATCTCAGATACTCATCCTTTAGCTTTCTAACTGACACTCCTCTTATTGCTATTTCAAGTCGTCCCAATGTCCTCACTCTTCTCATACGTTCGACAGAGACAACACTGGGGATTTGTGGTGTATCGCACGGACTATTCTTCCGAGGAAGACTGGGCACAATTCAAAGTCATGCTTGACACTTGGACTATGTTAATGATCAAGAATAAACCAGCAGAAGAAGCTAACTTAGTCGTTGGCTTTGCTGAGGTTCAAACACAGCGATGGAGAGAATAGTTGTGGAAGCAAAACATTACTAGATCTGGGGAACTTGTCTCTAGCAGTAAACTCTGTTTCATGATTCAACAATTCGACATTGACTCTGAACGCGATCCTTGGCTTCAGCTAAAAGATACAGATATCCGCGGACATTCTATTTATGCAGACTTGTATACCTACGGTCCGCTGGTGTCTGATCTCTTAGTTGCCGCATGAGCCTGTTAATCTTGTTGAAATCGATATCTTCCTACAGGCGACCTCCAGATCTTACGTGAAGGCCGACCTCGTGACTAGATGGATTCAAGAGGATTGGCAGACACCACCTACGCACTTGTTCGGCAGCTGGCAAGGACTAGAAGCACTGCAGCTCCATCCGGTACAACTAGACAATGATCAGCGATGATGTTCAACCGCAGAGGTTGTACAGACACAAGACTTACCCCCAATTGCACGCAGCATTTTTGCAAACGCCTTCAGGGCTCAAACATGTCAGACCTGCATTGCAAGCCGTGGAGGCACCGCAGGAAGAGCCTTCACATCCGGCGCAGGCGCTGGGAGTGGCGGAGGCTCTGCAGTAGTTGTTGACACACACGTTGGGCGACTGACAAGGAACAGATGCGCCGCAATCCCAACCTAGGCATCTGGTATATCTTGTCAGCAAAAGAATTGACTTGTCGTGGCAAATCCCTGATGCTTACCCCCAGGAGCACGTCGGTGCCGAAGTTGGCACGGTTGTGGTGGCAGCACTGCTTCTGCAATATCCGCTGACGCATACATTGGGAGATTGACAGGGAACTGTGGCACTGCAGTCCCATCCGAGACATCTGATCGTTATCAGTATGAGCTGTTGTGGCAGAGATGTTCTTCACTCACCCCCAATCGCATGTCTTCGCTGGAGAAGTTGATGTCTTTGTCTGTATACCGCCCGTCTTGGTTGGCCAGACAGCACCATCAGCAGTCCACTGAGTGTTTATGTTTCCAGTAAGAACCCATTGCACAGGGTTGATGACGAGATTCTTGTTGCCATTGGGACTTTTCCCGTAGAGCTCAGACCAGCTATTGAGCATTATATCCAGAGAAGCTTTGGGCTATCATATGGTCAGCATGTCCTCCATGATCGCACTGTCCCTATCACGACTCACGTGTCCCATGCCAGTGACATAGCGAGGGTCAAAAGCGTCAGCGATATACATGAGCTTCTGCTTGCCAGTTGCCGGATCGGTTACTAAAGCTTCCAGACCGCAGTACTTTCTAGTCGCGGTCCTCCAGCCGTTCTGATCAGAGTTGTAGGTTGCATCGTTTGCGCTCATAGCCGTGAAATACTGCGAGAATCATCCATCAACACAATGCATCGCCACATCCAATTCCGGAGCTCAACACGTACCACGGCGATGACAGGGTCGCTATCGGTGTACTTCTTGCCGCACCACCCGGTACCACTTGTGGAGTCTTGAGACGAAGACGCACGGTACCAGGATCCAACACCACTTTGGGTACCTGGGAAGAACGCCGACCCATCTGCAGCGGCAGGGACGGAGACAGGGTAGATGGCTGCTAGTGCGGGTGCTGCAGCCGCCAATGCGGTAAGGAGGTGGAAGAAAGTCATGTTGCACTGTAAGTTGAATGGAAGACCAGAAAACGGATATTGCCTTGATCTTATAAACAACGTGAGGAGCCTGAGCGGGCGGCACGAAAAGCGCTTCGACTCTGCATGAAGGATTCCGATAGTCGCAAGCTTGTGCTCCACAATCACTGCCTCGAATACGAGATGAGTGGTGATGTAGCATCGAAAGGCACAAGCTTCAAGGTCAAAGAGTGAGGCGTCAATTCGATCGCCGTTCCAGAATACCACACAGTGGAGGCACAGGACGTAAAGGTACACTCGTGGTGTGTGTGATGGGTAAATCAAAACATGACAGATGCAGGACTCGTTGAATCTGTGACCAACCCCTAACAGTGCTCTCAGCTCCCGACTTGCCACTGAGCTTGATACATGCGAAGCTGACTGGGCTGCAGAATCTCGATGCAGGTTGCGAATGACTTCAAGTCTCTTGGGCCGCGATCGCGCGGAAGCCTGCCCCCAACCGAGAGCCAGGAGAATTTACGCGTGTGTCCCTATACAAATGTATCCACACCATCTCGCCGGAGTTGATGGTCTGCTTTGGTGCGTGGTATGGCTGGTCTACGGGCAAGGCAGACAGATGCTTGAAGAGCCGAGGGATGCCGAGGAAGGACGTCGGCGTTGTGCTTGGCATGATCAAACACTCCCGCATCAACGCGACGAACTGCCACGGCGGATGACTGCCTCCTCGACGACGACGCGAACGGCGGAGCCACAAACTGGACCACAAGCTTCCGCTCCTGCGACACGCTCAATCAGCTTCGGAATCTGGCATGTGGCACTCAACGCGCCGCTAAGCGTCAGCACAACCGTATCCCCTGTCGTCACGAGCAATATGGACAAAGAGCATGGGCAAAGAGAAACAAGATACATCAATTGCGACGACCTGTGCAAAACTTTCTCCATCTGTTGGCTATTCTACGCGCGTGATCATCTCGAGGCCATCGCTTCCCGTCCCTCTTGCACCTGTTGCTCAGAAGACAACACCCTTGGTCTGCCTGTTTTTGCCGACGTTCAGGTTCTTGATGAAGACAATCCAGATGAGCGACAGGCCCATCAGACCAACACCTGCTGACAGCATTCTCGTCTGGGCATATCCGTACGCCTTCTGGATGCCGATGCGCTCGGGACTGTTGACCGGATATGAGAGCTGGACGGGGAGACTGGCGTAAATGGTTGTAACGTTTGCCTGGGCAGACTCCGGCAGATAGCGCACAAGTCCACCCTCGAACGTGTTGGTCCAAATGGCTCCCGAGATGGTGCTACCAATGGCACCTCCAACGCCACCACTAATGTAAAGCAATGACAAGACAGCGGCGACGTGCTGATGGTCGACTGAAGCAAGAACTGCCAGCTGTACAATAAGAGTAATGATGGCGCCGCCGACCGAGATGAAAATCTCGCACATGACGATGTAGCCGATGTACTGGTTGGGTTGACGGAAGTGGATCATCAGGCCTAGGGCGAAGATATACAACGGGACTGCGATGAACAACAGCCACTTGTAGTGACAAGTCTTGCGGATAAGGTAGCCAACACAGAATAGGAGGAATCCCGAGACAACTGAGAAGGTACTGTTGACGTATCCAGCTTCGGCCACCTCAAGGTTGCTGACGACCTGGAGGAAGGATGTGAAGTACGAGTTCCAGCAGTAGTACGACATTTGGTAGGTCGCATCCAAGAGGCAGGTGAAAACCACAGTGCGGTTGAGGAGATATTCTTTCTTCAAGAACGGAACAGGCGCAAGGTAGATTTCATGGAGAGTGAAGAGGCCCAAGACGACGATACCCACAACGATCATGGCAATGATGTAGTCGGTCTTCCATCCGTTGGGTGCTGAAGTGGCCAGGGTAAATGGCAGCAGGAACACTGTCAGACCACCAGCGAAGAGAACGACACCGAGCACTGATCAAACTTGTCAGCATTCGCAACACACTATTGCATTGATTGGTTTGCAACTCACAATCGAAGTCGACAAGGGCGCGCCAGACTTTGCCAATGGTGAACGGTCCGCTGCTCTCTTTTTTGACAAGGAGTCCTTGCTTCTTGGCCTTGTGTTCGTTGAACTTGAGGACTGTGAACAATGGAGCGCACACGCAGGGAAAGATGATTGCAAATGCTCCGAAGCCCCATCTCCAGTTGACGTTCAACAAAAACCCTTCGGCGGCCTTTGAGCCGGCGAAAGCTGTAATCATGTATGGCGAGGAGGTGAAAGCGAACGCGAGGCCACGATTTCTGAGATTGGTTATGTCGGCAGCGAGTACACAGTAAGTGTAGATAAGACCATTCGTTCCGACGGAATAGAAGCACTGGATTGGGACATGTCAGCGACGCTGGACAAATCGTGCGGCCTCGACTGAACGACTCACCTGTGCAGCGCAGAAAGTCTCAAGATTGTGTGAGACGGCCATCAAGACCATGCCGAGGGTGGTGAAGAAAACCATGAGGGCGAAACCTTCGGCTCTACCCCAAACATCCAAGAGTTTGGCCATTGGGATGTATACTGCAGATGTCATGGCTCCGGCAACAATGTCGATGACAGGGATGAGCGAGTGCGACGAGAAGTCACTGGTCACATAAGGGATCAAACTGTACAAGATCGAACCACGGAAGCCATTGGCAAGGGAGAGGACCCAGATGCTATTTGTGTCAGTGAGACGATCGTGGAGTATGATCTGTCGCAGAGACTTACAGGACCAACAGCGTGATGAGGGAAGTCTTTGACCAGGCAAGAGTAGTTGCCTGGATGTTCTGAACACCACGCTGGGCTTCATCGATCTGTGCAGCCTTCTCGCTGGAGTGGCTGGCTGGGTATCCTGCGCCAGTGCCGTCACCCTTGGGAGTCTCAGTGTTCGAGTCGACATGAGTTTCCGACTCAGTGTCGCTCTCATTGGGGTCACCCATGACGAAGTTGCGTAGCTTGGTCGCGATCGACATGACTGCAGACTGATGCTGATGCAAAAAGAAGATAGATAGATAGATAAGATAATCAGGAAAGATGTCGAGAAGAAACAAGCAGATCCAAAGTCCTCATATATTCGAACATCCACCCGATTTGTGGGGCTCAATACCGCCCCTCCACAGCTATCCCAAGGACAAAGGAAAAAAACTTTTATGTCTGGAACAAACCGGAACCACTTGCGCGAGATTCGATATCGGAGGCTGGAACAAGTTACATTCTGCGCGAGAATCAGCTCACGGAGGCGGAATGGGGGGAAGGATCACTGCAGATGAACGGCGCAGACCCATATCTTCATCTAATCTGATTTGCGCATGGGCGACAAGATCATCTAACTTGAGCCAAATCAGGAACATAGGCGCGATCTGAGTCGTTGACTACCAGGGCGCACACTCTACCAAGTCGCGGCTAACGCCTCGTTCTGCAGACAATGGTGCGCACTAGAGAAAGCGTCTACTTGGCGCAGAAATACCAAGACTCCAAGAGACGGTAGAAGGATTACTGAGACTATTGAGCCCCAGCGTGATCCGGTTGATTGATTAGATGCCAGCTAAAACTAGGACGCTTGGACTCACTGATGATCCGAATGATTGATTAGATCCTGCTATACTGGCGCATTGAACCGAGATGGAGGCGGAGGATGAACGTTGGATGGGGCACACTAACGAAGCGGGAACTTGGCAAATCCTTCTACCGAGAACGACGTTGACTACAATCCTTCGACCCTGAGCTACGACACATCCCCAAGCTACCTATGCCCCAGCAGCGCGGTGATCCCAAGGAACCGATTCCTGGCCAGAAGATTTGAATACTCAGTGAGCACTTTACACAGTAACGCCAAGTGGCATCGCCAATGCAGCTCGTTTCCCATCTGTTTGTGTGTTGTCAAGCGACGATGCACCTTGCCGCCAAGGCTGTAGCACTGTCTTTCTCTGCAGGGACATCCATTCATCCAAAGTGATACGATATTCGACCTCGCCTTCCTCAATCCCGGCTGGTGGAGTGTCGTACACGTTGAAAAACGTGCGAACCAATTTCATCCCGCAAGCAGACATGGTCGCTCTCGACCCGGTATTGACCGTCATGGTGTCGCCGAAAACTTCCTTGATGCCCAGGTCTTGGAAACCGTGTCTGATCAGCTCGCGTGAAGCCTCTTTTGCAAATCCTTGGCCCCAGAATTTCGGCAGGATGCGCAGGCCGAATTCAGCTCTTTCGAGGTTGATCTTTGGTGGTGTGTCTTCGCTTTGATGTGGGCAGAGGACCCACCAGCCAACACACTCATCATTGTGGTATCCGACCCAGCAGCCGGATCCACTGCCGGATGATGCTGTGTCGAGGAGAAGCTTGTGGACAATGGCAGAGTCTTCAGCACTGAGTGGTTTTCCATAACCGATATGCTTCATGACTTCGGCGTCAGAGTCGAGCTGAAACAAAAAGTCCTTGTGCTCGGGCGCGAGAGGGCGCAGAACAAGACGCGCAGTGGTGAGAATTGTTTGGCTCATGATTTCTGACTAGAAAAACGATGATATAGATGGACCAAAATGGCTGCTGACGTTCTTCAGCTGTGCTGCACAAGCACACCTTTATATCCTGTCTTGTATTCTCCTTCTTCAATGGTCTTGGCCAGTGTTGCTTCCACCCTTTACCAGCACCAACAGGCCGACGAAACGCGCCGTTCAGGATCGCAATGTCTGTACATGCGATCGGCATTGTGGGGACTATACTACATCGCTGCAGCAAGTATGCACCGCCTGACTGATATTGCTCACAGACATGATGGGTCACTTGGCAGACACTCCTACATCGGCCTTTACCGTCATTCATGTTTGCTGGCATGTAAAAGACTTGGCTGCGCATCTGGTGCTCATCTTATCTGATCCCAACCTCTTGTTCGTCTTTCGGCCGAGTGTGCTTGCCGATCTCTCGGTCAAATTTCTCGAACGCAGACAGCATAGCCGATATCAGATCTTTTGATAAGCGCTACTGATCCGTGTCTGCCCCTGGCCAAGTCCTCTCGCATCTGTCAGCACCATGGTCTCAGAAAAGGACCACGTGACTACTGAGAAGCAGCAACTTTCGGAGCAGACCACTGCAGCTACACTTGAGACTTTGGCTCACAGGATCCAGATTGCATTCTCAGTAAGTCAACAAGGCACACCGAAATGGCACTGCTCGACGACACCTGCAGTCATCTCATCCAGAGTATGAGGCACACTAGCTTACAGTCCTTTGCAGTGTTTCAAAAGCTTTTTCGTGTACATCGAGCTCCTCTTCGCCGCCCAGCCAACATGGATTGACATATGTTTGATCATCTGTGGTACCGTCTGTGCTGCTGGAGCTGGTGTTCCATTCCCATTGATGGGTGTGCTGTTCGGTCAACTCATTGACAACTTCAATGGCGCGACATGTGCAGCCGACAGTAGAGCAGCAGCTGTGGATCCTTTCGAATACGAAGCTGCCATCAACGACAAAGTTATCAAGACAGTATGGATTGGTGTCATTACTTTAGTCCTCATCTACGGTCATTTGACCTGCTGGAACATCATCAGTCAACGCCTTGCACAACGTTTGCGAACTCGTTATGTCTCGGCCCTACTTCGACAGTCACCAGAATTCTTTGACACTCAAGGCTCATCTGGCCAAGTGTCTAGTCGCTTGCAAGAAGATATCACGGCCGTGCAAGCTGGAACTTCCGAGAAGGTCGGCAACATCCTTACGACCATCAGCTTCTTCATCACAGTCTTCATCATCGCCTTCACCCAACAACCACGTCTTGCGGGTATTCTCATCTGCATGCTGCCCGCATTCCTGCTGTCAGGCATTCTTGGTGGCCGCTATCTCAGCAAGTATGTTGTGCGACAAAGTGCTGCAGCTGCTTCGGCCTCATCGATTGCTTCCGAAGCGCTGTCGCATATCAATATTGTGCACGCTTTCGGAGCCGGTCCTCGTCTCGAAGCCAAGTTCTCGGCCCATATGGCTCGCGCTAGGAAATTCGCCACAACAAAGGCTGCTATTGCTGCGGTGCAGACTGGACTACTTTACTTCATTGCATACTCTGGCAATGCTCTAGCATTTTGGCAAGGCAGTCTTCGTATCGCCGACTCTGCCGCGAACAACGGTGATGGCGCGTCTGTCGGTCAGATTTACGCAATCGTTTACCTTCTAGTCGATGCTTGTGTCATGCTCGGCGGTATCGCTCCGACACTTCCATTTTTGGGAGGCGCCACGGCAGCATATCAGAAACTCAAGAAGGATATCGAAGCGCCTTCATCAATTGATGGTATGTCTGACTCTGGCGTCGTTCTTCTGTCTCACACTGCAAAGTCGCTTCGCTTTCGTGACGTTAGCTTTGAGTATGCCTCGAGACCTGAACAAGCCGTCTTGCGCAACGTCGATCTTGAGTTTCCGGCTGGCAAGTACACCGCCATTGTGGGTTTGTCGGGCAGTGGTAAGTCTACTATCGCAGCTCTCATTGCTCGCTTGCACGATCCCACAAATGGCAGTATCGAGCTAGATGGCCATGACTTGCGTGATCTCAACGTCAAGTCTCTTCGCAGCTTTATCAGCTTCGTTCAGCAAGAGCCCTCGCTTCTAGATCGCTCCATCCTTGAGAATATTGCCCTTGGTCTTGTCAACTCACCCAAGACCGTGCACCAACATCTCAAGCCACTTCTCAACAGTGTCGATCTTGCAAACATGGCTGAGAAGTGCAACGATGGTCTAGCAGGGGCTTCCAGTCTTGGTCCAGAATATGGCGAACTTGCTGCCCTCATACAACATGCTGCCGAGCAAGCCGATGCTGCCAACTTTGTCCGGAGACTGGAGTCTGGTTATGCTACGCCGGCAGGCTCCGGCGGCTCCCAATTAAGCGGTGGACAGAGACAGCGTATCGCGCTTGCTCGAGCACTTATCCGTGATCCCGAAATCTTGGTCCTCGACGAGGCGACAGCATCTCTTGATTCTGCTAGCGAGAAGCGGATCCAGCTTGCTGTCGAGCGCGCTGCTGCGGAGCAGCGCACCATCATTTCCATCGCTCATAGACTGTCCACGATTCGTAATGCAGACAACATAGTCGTCATGCAAGCTGGTCAAGTCGTTGAGCAGGGGTCATACGTTGACCTGATGTCCAAGGAGGGAGGCGAGTTCGCACGAATGGCCCACCTTCAGACGCTCGGTACCTCAAATGTCGGCACATCTTTGTCAAATGTCTCTCTCGAGACAACGACATACGAGTCTGACAGCGAGTTGAATGAGAAGGGAGAGTTCACGGATTTGACGCGTGCTGTGAGCAGCGAGCATCACGGCCCAGCTGCAGACCAGGAGAAAAACGGCGAGGTTACAAAAGACGGTGAACTTGATACTGTTCGTCCATTCGGTTCCGTCACGAAGGGACTGGCCTCGCTTCTGCGTCCATCTCTAGGCTGGCTGGTCATGGCCCTGATCGCTGCTGTATTCGTCGGTGCAACCTTCTCTGGCGCTGGCATAATCTTCGGATTCACAGTCGGCGCCTTGAACCCATGCGAAAGTACTGTCGAACGTATCCTATCAATGGGTCGATTGTTCTCTGGTCTCTATTTCATGCTTGCTGGTGTCGAGCTTTTTGCAAACTTCCTTGCGTGGTGGGGGTTTGGAGTCGCTGGAGAGAAGCTGCTGTACAACCTGCGAGTTCTCTCGTTCCGATCTTTGCTTGAGCAGAGCATCCATTGGCACAACTCGGAGAGTCGTACACCAACGAGTCTTCTCTCTATCATCACTAAAGATAGCATGTCCATTGGTGCTTTCAGTGGCTCGACCTTCGGCACTATCTTTGCCATTTGCATCAACATCATTATCGCGATTGTCATCTCCCACATCTTTGCTTGGAAGATCGCTTTGGTGTGTCTGGTAACAGTGCCTATCCTTCTTGGCTCCGGCTTCATGCAACTGCGCATGCTAGCTCGCTATGAAGAACGGCATCGTGGCGCCTTCACGACTGCGACCTCGCTCGCCACAGAAGCCATCCAATCAATTCGTACAGTTGCACTTCTTTCACTCGAGACCGAATACATGGACTCGTTCGAGCGTCTTCTCAAGCCTCCGCGAAAGCAGGTCGTGCGCGCATCAATGACGACCAACATCTGGCTTGCCATCTCATATACTACTGGCACTTTTGTCAATGCTCTTGCTTACTGGTGGGGTTCTCAACTCATTATGAAAGGAGAGTACACGCAGAGAGACTTTCTCATCATTCTTGTCGCTATGCTCACAAGTGCACAACTCTGGAGTGGTATGTTTTCTCTTGCTCCGGAGTTCTCTCGCGCACGATTGGCGCTGTCGAGAGTTATGAATGTGATCGAAATGGGCTCGAGCAAACATGTTGGTACATCAGGCGCTGATCCTGCAAAGTCTGGACACGACGTTGAGGCTAGTGGCGAGACCAAAACAAGTAGTCTCGCTCATGGTCGAGGTGGAGCAAAAGTCACGTTCAAGAACGTCGACTTCGCTTATCCCAACCGTCCTGATGTCAAGATTCTAAACGAAATAGCCTTCTCACTTCCGCCCAACACATTCTGTGGTCTTGTTGGCCCATCAGGAGCAGGCAAATCGACCATAATGGGACTAGTACAGCGATTGTACTCGCCCACTTCCGGAGCTGTCTGCATCGATGACCAAGATATCGCCAATTTGCCTATCTCGTTCCGCGACTCGATCGCCTTAGTACCTCAAGATCCTGCCTTGTTCGATGGCAGTATTCGTTTCAATGTCGCCCTAGGCGCACCGCCAAATCATGAGCCAAGTCAAGCAGAAATTGAAGAAGCTTGCCGACTGGCAAATGTACATGAGACCATCACTTCCCTACCGGATGGCTACGATACCGAATGCGGACCCTCTGCCTCCCGTCTCAGCGGTGGTCAACGGCAACGTCTTGCTATCGCGCGTGCTCTGATTCGCAAACCGCGTCTTTTACTCTTGGATGAGAGTACGAGTGCTTTGGACGCTGCTTCTGAGGCTGCGTTACAGGAAGGACTGGAGAGAGCGAGTAGAGGGACTACTGTCTTGGCTATTACGCATCGTTTACACAGTGTGCAGAAAGCTGATGTCATCTTTGTTGTTGAGGATGGAAGGATTGTGGATCAGGGTAGGCATGGAGATTTGATGGAGAGGAGGGAGAGTTACAGGATCAATGCGATGCAGCAGATGTTGCAGTGAGCTGAGACTTGTTCTCTAAATAAAATGTTCGGCAAGGCGGAATATGTAAGATTATGGTATTGAGAATAGTGCAATTAGATAAGCGGTCGTCAAGTTCGTCTCTGAAGCAATGCCGGCCAGTCCAGCAAAATAGTTCCAAGGCCTATGACCGCGCATCTCAGGCGGTCTTCTTCACTTCGAAGGCGCCATTCGCATTGATATCCCCAAAGACTTGGTCAGTATGGCGCAAAACATCCTCCTTGAAACCCTGCCCTCGCAGTTTCTGATAGAACTTGCTTACATCATTCGTCTCATCAGTATAAGTCACTGAATAAGCACCACCACCCTCCACACCATCAGTGCCCTCAACCACACCCTCAACATTTCCCTTGCCCCTAGCAGGATATCTCTCCGTAGCCAAAAACAAGACTTTCTGCCCAATGACCTGAGCAGTGCTGTAATTCGGGAAGAACCTCGTAAACGGCTTCACAATCTTCCACACAATCTTAAACCACAAAGGAAAATCTGAATTCTCGAATCCTCCATGTACCACAAGACCAGGATATATATGGATCAGAGCAAGTTTTCCAGCATGTTTCTCGGCGAGAGATTCAAAGAACATTGTTTTCATGGCTACGGCATGAGTGCGACAATTTCCAAATGAGTAGTTTCCGGGTTGGCTGAGAGGAAGGTCGTTGCCGTGTAGGGTCCCCCATGTTTCGCTACCGGCGGCGTAGATGGAGATCACTTTTGCGCCTGTAGGAAGAGAAGAGGCAAGAAGGTGGGAGAGGAGGTTTGTGATGAAGCGGGCGCGGGAATAGTAGAGCAGGGACATGGATCTGTCTAGACCTTCTTTTGTGTCTTGGAATGGGAGAGTCAGTACACACGGTAAGATCGCATGAGGCAACGAAGGTAGACTTACCGATGCGACCGCCGAATTCGACTTTGCCTTGACTTTGGATCAAGAGGTCGATCACGGGCTTCTTTGTGGCATTTAAGATCGTTTTGATCTTTTCGCATGCTTGATCTACACTGCGGAGGAGACTGAGATCGTCTAGTTGGACAAAATGGAATTCTGATGAAGGACACAAGACTTGGCAATCGTGGATGATGGCGTGGGCGGCTTTCGCATTGCGTCCGACGAGAATGATTCTCAAACCTGGGCCATCACTGCCATGCGTCTTGCAAAGTTCGCGAACAGTGAATTCGCCGATACCACTTGTCGCACCCACAAAGACGGCAGTAAGAGGCTGTTGCTTGATGAATGCAGCATTGGCAGTTGTGATGATGTCGAGTTTGACCATTTCGTGGGGACGATGATGTTGTTTGGCTTCAAAGGGGGGGAATGCTTGTGTCGAAAAGCTTGGGAGATCGAGCTGAGATATACTGCCTCTCGTCGGACTGATAAGACGCCGACAAACAGGTATCTTGTTTCCTCGTCAGGTACACCTTTCGGTCTTACTGCGAGACCGCGAAGGGGTGAATCCTTCCATTTCGCGGTGATGTCTCGATTGGGTTAGAGGCGGACGGGAGTTGCTCCGAACGGCGGGAGTCGGTGATAACAAGCTAAACCACGACGAGCCAGCAATAACAGGCTATAGTGTGTCATCTTTAGGGCGTGGATAGAGCGTATAACATCAGATCTTAAATCCCATCGCACGGGGTTCTCATCGCGTCCTACTCGGGAACCGCAGAATGTCAGCTTCGAAGCAACACCCACCGCTACATTTCTCCATCGCAGTCGCGGACCAAGCGACGCAGATCACAACTCTCGTCAACACCGCATTTCGCAGTGAGCCCACGGGTCAGACCTGGCTCTACGACGATCAAAGCAAGCGCATCGATATTTTGCCTCCAGGTGTGGCAGCAACTCTTATCACATCAACGGATAGCTTGATGCTCGTCGGCACCTTACCTGGCAATACTACACCCATCACGACATGCTTTCTGCGCAAGCCTTCGACACCACCACAAGCACATATGAGCGAAAGTGCTGCTTGGTTTGGCTTATTGGCTGTTCAGCCTGAGTATCATGGCAGGAGTTATGGTATAGCGACGTTACGTGAGGCCGAGCGATACGTTCGCGACGAATGGGGCATTGGAAGACTTGAAATGGACTATGTGAATGCAAGGACAGAATTGGCTCAATGGTATCATCGATGTGGCTACGAGCCAACAGGCAAGATTAGAGACTTTCCGTATGGCGACGGCGGAAGAGAAATTCTTGCAGATGGGTTGGAGATGATAGTACTGGGGAAAGACCTACGGTCAATTGGCATGACACCGGTGCTATTCTGAATTCACCACGATAGACTGCTTCGGGACCACCGCGCTATAGGGGCAATGTGTTTTGGGAGACAAGGTTGTTATAAATATTGCTATCAACAACATGCGAAACGCGCGCGAAAACGCGATACTACTAGTCAACACTGTCATTACCTTCCAACCATTGCTTCAGCAAGACTATCTATCACTATCTACCGCTACATAATTCTCGCTTCACTGACTAAATATCGAATTGCTTTATTGACCCGATGTGACACCGGGTGACTATAAGGAGCTGTCATCACGAGTTCTTCTCAAGGCTAAGTCTCAGGTGTCTCCTGACCCCAAGCAGGGAAAGCAGGAGCAGTGGTGCCATCGCAAGAGTACTGCACGATAAACTTGGAGTCGTGAGTATTAGCATCAAGGATGACCGTTCCATCTGGAGCAGTGACAGAGAAGCTGAAGACCACTGGCCCACCCTGCTGGCCAAATACGAGTCGGAAAGGAAGATATTGGCCAGATTCTAGCGTGTACGTGCCACTGGCACTGTTGGCTGGCGCATCGCAGCACACTGCCTTAGCATTGTAATTCGACCGCGTGTAGCCTTTGTATGCAGCGTCACCGAGATACAGATAAGTGATGTCGTCAGCTTGAGAGGTGGTAAATGTGTAAACACCGGCGACTTGAGCGAAAATATAGCCACGATGGTTCAAGACAAAGAAGGTGGAGGGGACACTCTTATCACTGCCGTACAAGGTGATGGAAGACTCGTCGCCTTCATTGATACCCCCGACCTCAGTCGTTGTACCACTGTAGTCAGGTGTGTAACTCCAGTAGTAGGCTGGGTCCAGACCATTGACAATGTCATTACCCCAAGGTTCGTTGGCGTAGTAAGCGTACTGAATACCTTGATTACCACAGATCGAGGGCGTGGGGCAAGACAGGACCGTGGACGTGGAAGTGGTCGGAATGGTTGTGGTCTCGGTAGTGGTTTGTGTGGCAGCGACACCAGAATATGATGTGACAACTGGAACATAAGTAGTGCTCACATAGAGCGTTGAGGTGGGCGTTGGGACTCCGAGACATCTGCATGCGCTGGAAATGGCTGAACAGGCGATGTTTTTGAGGATGTTGGGGCAGCCATTGCATGTGCCTGCGATGCTGATCGAAGCTGGAATCGAGGTGGACGAGGTCCCAGAGACAGGGATGGAGGTGATCCTTCTCTTAGCCAAATCACGCTTCGCAGCGCTGGGGATACAAGTTGTGATAGTAGTCGATGAGATATCGTACTCGACTACGGGAGATGCTGCAACAAAGATAGTCGTGGTAGTTGTTGGGATAATAGTGGTGACAGGCGAGGTAAATTGCACAGTCGAAGTGACAGTCGAGGTCTTGATTTGGAGGATGCTTGAGCAGAAGGGAGAGGCGGAAGGGTATGCTCTGAGGAGGCCAACGACTAAGTCGACTGCGGGGCAAAGGTTGAGTGTTCGTTCCTCGAGTGGAATAGCAGAAACAAGACTAGAAATTGATGCAGTCACGAGCGTGAAGTAAGCAGCTTTGATCGCCATGATTGTCGATAGATGCAGACTGAGAATGCTATCGAATGCAGGGGAGGTTTGTGAAAAGCAAGATATTCAGACTGCGAGGACAAAACCATGTTTTATATACCCGTATCGTGGGATACTCGAGGCAGAATTTTCTCATCTCGTCTGCGACTTCGGTAAGGCCGAGACGTGTCTATAGTGTCAGGCAGCTGAGTGTCAGACTAATGCTCTACGGACGATACCGTCCATCGGCTGCAAGCCGTCCTCTTCAGCTTCGAAGAGTTTGGAAAGAGCGAGTCTTTGGGCTGGACAGCAGAGCTGAAAAACGATAGCTGATGGAGTGTTGTCTGTTACGCAGAGCACTTGACCGTCCTGAAATACTGTCGTCACGACTCTTTGTATCGCCCATCGGCCGACTCGGCGTAACTGCGCGCACATCCGCCAACTGTGACCGAGTTGCATCAGGACATGGCAAAAACAAGAGAAATCTGGGAGCTTTAGCGGGCAGAATTGTTTGCGAGACGCGACGCATGTGATGTTTTGTTGTTGCCAAGAGTTTCTCGTACAACGTTCTGAGCGATCAGATCGAGTCGACGAGCGAGTAGTCACCATGAAGCTAATACATCTCGTAAGGTGTGAATGAAGAGGCAAGCAACCCCGAAATACACAATGACAACCAATGTCCTTCTGAAGTATATGCGAACGATAAGGACATATCTTTTGAATCGGGACGAGACAGGAGTTGATATCGACATCGTCACGAAAGACGTTAGTAAAGATGACAGAATGATTATCTCTAGAATTGAGCAGAGAGGCTAACTTTCGATATACGGCAGATATAATAGAAAGCCGGATCTATACCCCAACATAGGGACGCCGTACATAAATCCGAGCCCATGGATGATCCGCCTGAGAGGCACACGTTAGTGAAACTTATCGAGGAAGCTGGTTGGGATGATAATGGCCCTGTGGTCTCTCGTACGTATCTTGCCGATGCGAGTCTCTGGAAGCAATTCATCGAGCTCTGGGACCCGATTCTACAATGCACCATGGATGCGGCACCCGATTCAGCAGGATTCGAGTGCATTGGCGACCGACTTCAGGTGAGGATTGTCGATGACGAAGCCTTGGGAAATAAGTGTCCGGATGATGTAGCTTTTGCGCATCGTCTTTGCGAGGACGATGATGATTCAGAAGAAGTTGGATTCTTGGAACCTGGCCTACGGACTAGGATGTGTCTCTTCGTGGATCAGGAATGTATGGAGTCTGTCACCGCGCCGAGGGCGGATGCCCTGCTTTTTGTCAAAGCTGTCAGCGTCAGACTGGGCACTACACGGTGGCCGGAGCAAGCATTCGTCTCCAAAGTCGCCATCGAGTCATTGATCACAGAAGTCTACCCCGCACTTCTACTGCCCGAGATTTCTGTCACGGAACTGAGACCCATCATGGATGGCGATGCCTAGAGGTCACTTTCGCAGAGTGTGTATGGTAGGGAGGAGCAAAAAAGACTCAACGTCGTCATGGGCTACAATGACTGACTGAAGCTTCAGCTATCGGCGATTCAGCTTGTGGTTCCGTGACATGTGGGAGACAAGATCAGGACGACTAGATGAGATCAACTTTGTGATAGTAGCGACCAGCGCCATTCGGTACAATTTGTACGGCTGTGCTATGGAACAGATCAATGAGTGTGATGATAGCACTCGCGGTAAGCGACTGCATCTGTCGCAGCGACGGTTGGCGTCCACGACAATAACCAAACGAGAACTTCAATATGACTCAACCAGTTACGAGCTTTCCCATCTAGTGGAGGGTGATGCTGGAAGAGCCACTGCTCTGGTAGCCCTCAGTTGCCATGATCTGGTAGTTGTAGGCACCAAGGTTCTATCAGTCTTGTCAGCTGATGTTCGGTTGATGCAAAATCCGGGATCACATACCAAGCCGTGAGACTTCCAGGCGTTGATGTGGTTCTGGAAAGTGATAGTGCCACTGGTACGCTTGCTTTGGCGGACGGAGAGGTACTGGTGGAATGTGGCAGTTCCTTGGATCGAAGGGGCATTGGTACGAGTGGTCTCGTAGATGTCGTAGACACCGCCATCGGAAGTGACCTGCACTATGAGTTAGTGAAGGGTCTCCAGATACAACAAAGATGTTCTTACGGTGCCGAGATGAGTTCCAGCACTACCAGGATTGTAAGTGCCGTAGGTCTCAATGACGTAATACTCAACGAGGGGTCCAGTGGTCCAACCGTATAGAGCGATCAAGCTATCGCCACCAGCATTGATGGACCCAGTGTATGAGATAGTGCTTCAAGAATGTCAGCGGAAGTCCCAGCCTTAGAGCCATCTGGCTTACCGAGCAGCACCGGTCTGCCATCCGATTCCCGCAACGACATCGGTGTTGGCACTGCTCCACTTCAGAGAGTAGGTCCCAGTTCCAAGGGTCAAAGAATCGGAGCCAGTCTCGACGTAGTTGGAGAAATAGTAGCCTCCGTAAGTGCCGACTTGGTTTCCAGTGATGGTTTCACTTCGCTTCTCGACATCGCTGAGAGGTGCAGCAAATGCAAAGACAGCGCAAGCAGAGGCAAGGAGGATATTCTTGATTGAAGGCATGACAACTGGTTTGGAGGAGATCAGGTTGGATATGTATGAGATCGTTGAGATGATAGTGGTAATTCCACCAGGGAGCGCCGTGGAGACTTTTATAATTGCACGGCCAGTCAGTCTTGCTGACGACGATCAGGTCAAGTTCGTGGCTATTGATGTGAAACATGAGTCTGGACAAGCATTGATCATCGATTTGGCTAAATTGGAAGACGTTTCGGCGTCGCTCGTGAGAGGGGTCCTCGTTCCTCACAGCCAGCCCGGCCCGGCCCAGCTGACGCATGTCAAGGAAAACCGCCAGGTACCGTCAACATCGTGCGACAAAATCAAAGGGGTACTTGTTCTCTCTGGTTCTTGCAATTAAGCAGCGACAAGCTTTGCCAAACAATCTGTGCTTCTTTCCAGGCTAAATTGAAGAGGAGTAGACACTTTGAACAAGCTTCGCTTGGAAGTGTCGATCACGCGGAGGACACGTCTTGTCGAAATTGGCGTCGCATTCTGCGTGCTCCTTCTCTCCGCACGTCCGTGAGAGGAAATGTTGCATCCGAAGGTCAGCTAATCTAATTCTACATCAGCAATGGTCGACGCTCGGGTCACAGAGTCCTGCCTTGAGCGAGTCGCAGCTATCGATGAGTCAACCCTTATACGTGGACGCAAGTCGAGGGCTGACTTCCATTATGCGACTCCGATCCATCTCAAGCCAGGCCGCGCCTGCACGGTTATGCATATGAATAAATCGAGGTTCATCTTCTTCGGCCGTACTGCTCGTTCTTTGGTCCAAGTCAACAACGCTGCCCATGAAGCCTTTCGGATAATCGACTCAAAAATATCCAAGCGAGCATGTCGTGATTGTCCGACCGTTTGCTTAGACCTCGAATCAAGCAGTCTACCATAGATCAATGCGACAGCATGCTATTCAAATGCGCTCAGGCTAAATGGCTGGACAGCGTTCGATGCAGTGCATACCTGTCTTGGCTGACCGTCCAGTAATGCGTGAAGCTCTCCATTGGATAAGAATTTACGATGGCGTCGAAGATACCACTCTATGTGAGTAGAGCGCGGGGTTAAGCAAGATCAGGCTCTCCAAGCTCTCTGGTCGCATTCCGGCATGGCAACGCTGTCCAACCTGTCTCACACCATTGGCCATCGCCACAACCTCTCCCCTCACTGCTGTCAGCTACGTCACGAAACACCCCTCCAGCCTTGTCGGGATACAATAAGGGACACAGAAACGAAGCGCTAGCTCATCTGCTCGCAACCGGATGTCGTTTATCAAAGCGATCATAGTCGTAAAGACGGGACTGGTCGCACTCGTTATACGTGCCAAGTTTGGCATCCAGAGTCAAGAGATTGTCGCCCAATAGACTCACATCTTGGATACCGCGACCTGTTATGTTGTACATACCCGCATGGCTACTGTTGAGAGCGGATATGTAGCCTGCGACATCCTTTGCCCGCCATGATGGTCGAGCGATATAGTTGGATATGCCAACAGAGGATTAAGAAGCTGTGCCACCATAAGGTGCGGTCGCGCCCACGGTAGTGATCCAAGCAAATTGTTAAGAAAGGATTGGCTTCAATCTATGCTTACAATCCGGGCCACTCCATGTGCTTGTTGTGCCAGTGACTGCAGCACCTACACTGCAAGGAAATCCGATGACCGAGATATCCCTTGCTACTGCTTGAGCAAGAAGGTCACACGCTTGTTGCGCTTAAGCCAATACTAAATGCTGCTCATCACCGCTGTACGATACGGAGATAATCTATGGGTAATTCTTTTGCTGCAGCATATATTGAAATAGCTCTAGGAAAGGGGGGGGGGGGGGGGGGGGGGTTGTTTCCGAGAATGGCTTGTGGCAGTACCTTGTTACACGGCTGTGCAATGGGTGATTGGTAATTCTCCAGTGAGAAAAACTGGATAATCTGAGCCAAGGTTTGACTCCACGGCAAGATCCCCTCCTGTGAAAGTCCTGACGCCATTGTTAATGGAGACAGATGTAAAAGAAGGCAGTAGATTTATCTTCGCCAGACCATACTTAGTAACGAACGATATCCAGTCAATGACATAAGGATAGCGCTCGAGAAAGTCAGCTACCGCCAGCGATATTCCTCCATGATAACTCGTCCTTGGGGACGTGATTGATTTATTCGGGCTTGCGAAGGGGCTGGGCGAGTATTGCCGGCGCAAATCATTGGACCTGTTGGGATATGCTGGCGTCCTTGAAGGCGTCGGAGCAAGGAAATGACAGTGGTAAAGACGGGCCCAGGGCGGCATGTCGACTAGTCCAACCAATGGTGTTGCAGCTCTTCCAGGCCTAATCATTAGTGTCGCTGGTGAAGATGTTCCCGGTTCGGTATAGGAATATATACAGTCCTCAGTGGTCTAGTCGCGGTGCTGGATGAACAATGGTAGATCTATAATAAGACGTAGCACAATTTCCATTGAGGTTCTACGATCGACGCTTCGACGACCGTTGCCCTCTAGAGAACACTGCTTCTAGAAAGAAAAGGTTCCGTGAAGAAGTGTAAGGAATTCTCTCCATGTTTTATCTTCACGTAATGAACGACCGAGGGTAGCTTTACTTCTGTCCCCTAAAACATATCATCCTCCTTGACTAGAATCTCTCTTTTGAGGTCGTATGTGCTTGTCAGGCCACCAAGATGCATGTTGAGGAGCGTGTCGCCCATCAGACTGCGGAGCACGTGCTTCACACCGTCTTGTCCTCCTATCGCTAGACCGTATGCGTAAGGTCGTCCAACAAGCACGCATTTGGCCCCCAAAGCGATAGCCTTGATAATGTCACCTCCGCAACGGATACCACTATCAAACAGGATGTCGAGCTTATCTCCAACAGCATCCACAATACGAGACAGACAACCAAGAGAACTTGCCCCGGCGTCCTGCTGTCGACCACCATGATTACTCACAACAATGCCTGCCATGCCTGCTCCGACTGCTCTCTTCGCGTCGGCAACGGTCTGAATGCCCTTGAGGACGATAGGGCCTTTCCAGTGCTCCTTCAAGAACTCGAGATCCTCCCAGCTCTTGCTGTGACCTGGGAATGCAATCGAGGTCCAAAGTCGGGCTGCGTCTCCCAGATCCTCATCATCAATGGTGGCACCTAGATGGTCGCTTGTCTTGGTGGTCGCGGGCCTTTTATGCTTCTCCTGGAACAGCTTCTGGAATACAGGGTCAGTGAGACCGATTTCAACGCCGATACGATCTGGATGAATGAATGGATTGTAGCCGTTATCCATATCATAAGGTCTCCAGCCTATGGTATACGTGTCCAGAGTGACGAACAGAGCAGTGAATCCGGCTTTTTCGGCTCGGTGCAACATGCTGATGGTTATATCATCGTGCTCGCGGCTAGGCCAGTACAGTTGGAACCAGCGCACGGGTGCTGGACTCTGATTGCCAGATTGAGCCCCTTGCTCGTGCGCCTTTGCGACGTTCTCGATTGATGTGCTAGAAGCAGTAGAAAGAATATAGGGTACGCCGACATCTCCAGCCGCTTTTGCAGCTGCGACTTCGCCCAAAGGGTGAAAAATCTTCTGAACGCCGATTGGAGCCATGGCCATGGGGAAAGGTAGTTTGTGGCCGAGGACCTCCATACTTGTGTCAGGAAATAGTTCGTTGCCCTCTGCATCCTTGCGCGACGGGACTAATCGGTTTGGCAGTATCGAAAACCGACGAAAAGCTGCGAGATTCTTCTTGTAAGTCTCGCCTGTACCAGCACTTCCGTGAATGTAACCCCAGCTGTTGGCGTTTAGGACTCTATGAGCTTCTTCCTCCCATCTGTCATTCTGGAAGGTGAATGCAGGTTTGTGAAAGAAAAGGCCATTTTTGTAGACCTCCTGTTCATATCGTATAGCTTCGGCCGACATTCTCGAGGTTATCTGTCTTCGCTCTGTTGTGCCGTTATGATTGATGCGTGCGTACGGTCGAGGGTTGATATATGTCTGATTTGAGAACATCGCAAGCTCGTCTTTTGATGGTTGGCGCAATGTAAACATCACATGTTCCACTTCCGCACTACCCGCCGGTTGCTGCTTTCTGAACCCCGCTTTCAGATCGTAAGCATAGCCGCATCTGTCACGACCGGAATCTGGCTCCGTGGAGGCACCACGTTTTTTCACACTTTCACGTCATCATGCTTCTTTCGATATTGCTGCCATATGAAGTCAGAGCTCTCTAGTATTCGTACATCAGAGGCTTTTCCATTCTTAGTGGCGCTGAGCGCATGTGTTGGACCGAGAAACTTTGTGCTCTACTGGACCGACCAAATTTAGAGTTTGTGCGACACGGAGACGTTGTAACCTCGGTCGTGGTGCACAGACGTACATGGAGTCTGCATACAGCAACTTGTGGACAGTCGGAACTCTTTGAACAGCGAGGATCCGGACCTCCATGGATGGCCCTTGTTCAAATTCCGTCTCTTTCACCTCATGCTTCCGAAGAGACGATCTTGACTAGACAGACGTTGTTCACACAGACGAGTCAGCAAACGAGAAGGACCAGGAATGATAGATATGATGTGACAATTCGTGCTACTGTCACGTGCGCTGATCTTTCTGATTTCTGAAGCACCATCTGGGTTTCTCAAAGGCAGATGTGCGAGGTCTAGTCTTTCTCGAGCTTGGATGGCAACTCACTGACCACCTGCGCATGCAGGTCCGGATCCTCTGACAATAGATACTTGTCCACAAGACTTTCGGTGGCCGGCCATGATTAAGAGACTGCAATGTAGACTGCGGAAGCGACTACAAAGCCATAGTAGCACACCAAGTCGGAGACGTACTGAGCACCGCCAATGTCCAGCGATGGTGCAATCTTGTGGGCGAGGCCTGGCATAGCTGGCCCAATGCTGCCAACCATCGCCAGTATAGCTCTCTAGCTGACTCCGCCGACATAGTGGTACCTTCCTTCGGGCCGGTACAATGCCGCGACATCGATGTGCAATGAAACGCGCCGAGTCTGCCAGCTGGAGAAGTCCACTTAAAGGCAAGTGTCAAAGGGTCCCCGATGTACTCACCATACAGTGGTTTCCATGCAGAAGCACTAATGACGCCGGGCAATGCTATCATAAAGCATGAGGAGCTCACAATATCACTGATCTAGTAGTCGAGGATCGATAGGGGTGTCCAGATGCGTCTTACTAAAGGCGTTACATCAAGGTCGACATTTGTCCAGGTACCCTCTAAAGCAAAAGACGTAGATTGTTCGGGCAGCACCCATCCATCTGTATGGCGCTTGGCTCCGAGCGAGGTCTTGGCTGATTGTGCCCTCGATCGCAGCTGTTCAGGCACTGGGCGTAGAGTCATGGTGAGCTGTGATCGTCCCCAGGTCTGCTCAAGACTTTGCCACGATTGATGTCAAAAGAGCAGGGTGTCGAAAATCAACGCCGAGAATGGGCCTCATACAATCACTGGGAAATGGCACGACAAAACAATCACCGGGAAATGGCACGATAGGTCAACTACTAGTCGGCTATCATAGCTTCTTTGCGGTGCATGAGTTAAGGATTCTGCAATGCTCACCAAGAAGTACGTCGAGGTGCGACATCCCAATTTGATGTTTGCCTGAGAGTGATCTAGATAAGCATGTGAGCACGTCAAAATTGTTAGTTCGAGTGGCCCAACGCTACCCCCGCTTCCCTATGCCAGAGATTGCACTAACCATTGCCTGATCGGGATGAGCCGACGTCGGGCGAGATAGGACATTCGTTCGCCGTGATAGCTGGACCTCACACGAACACGCTTCCAGATGTCGCGCAGATAAGATACAGTTCGTTAGCGAAGATCCTCAGCTCCTTCTCACACAACAACGCGCTTCGAAGATCTCTCTCCCGGAGTTCTAAGCAGACCTCTCTCCCAGCACATCCATCGCCTTAGATGGATGTAACCATCAAGGTGGAGAAGCTGACCATAGCGCAAGCTCAATATGCGTTTCGCGGTGGTGCTTACACCGCGCACGATCTGACGGTTGCCTATCTCGAACGCATACAGCGCTTGGACAAATCCGGGCCAAAGATCGATGCAACTCTCGCAATTTCTCAGACTACACTGCAAGATGCCACAAAACTCGACCAGTGTCTTGCCAAGACAGTTGGTCTGATAGGCCGTCTTCATGGCATCCCGATCTTGACCAAGGACCAGGCCGATACTGCAAGCATGGAAAGAATGTATGGTTCCGGAGCTTGCAAAGGCAATGTCCCGACTGAGGATGCGTCTTTGGTCAAGAATGTCAAGGCAGAGGGGGCAGTGATCTTGGGCAAAACCACCATGTCAGAATGGGCAAGTACCTGGTTCGGTCATTCTTCGGCCAGTGATTGAATTCCAACCAAGAACCCCTACAAGCTTGATCACGATGTCGGAGGCTCGCTCATCTTGTGGCTCTGCTGCGGCAGTCGCAGCGCATTTTGCACTCCTTGCGGTGGCTGAGGACACTGGACCTAGCATCAGATGTCCAGCTAGCTTCATAAATCTTGTTGGACTTAGGCCGACTCCAGGCTTGGTCAGTCGTTCTGGCTTTTGTCCTCTCGTCAAAGTCCAAGACACATCCGGTGCAGTGGCACGGACTGTTCGAGATTGTGCACTGTTCATGGACTGTATGGTCGGCTTCGATCCTACTGGACAGTTTATCGGGGTCGCTCGCATGGTGGAGAGTCTTGGGCTACCGAAAAGAGGCAGCTACACAGCGACTCTGGATGGTGGGCTGACTGGAATTCGAAAGGCGAGGGTTGGCGTTATGCGACAGCTTTTCGGAACCGTCTCTGAGCCATATTGTCAAGCTGTGAACAGAGTAATCAATGAGGCTTTTTCTACTCTGAATAGCAACGGTACGACATTTGTCGACGTCCGTATCGACAAGCTTGAGTATTACACGAGCTTCACCCCGACGTACCTACAGCGTTCCAGAACGGAAATCAACAGCTTTCTTGCTACAAAACCACACCTGCCACAAGACGTCGCTAAGATTTTGCCGAAGCAAACGACTCAAGAGTTCCCTCGGCTTCACGAGCCAAGTGGCCCATGGCCCTTTGAACCCTGCTGATGACCCTGACTACCTACCATTGATTCTTGATCGTGTTGACTTCAAGAGAAGACTTGTCTATCTACTGGCTTCGATGGACCTCAATGCTTTGGCTTTCCCTGACGTCCAAATACCTCCGCCCAAGCACGAAGACACGACAAATGGTCGATTAACTTCTTACTGGGACTTCCCCGTCAACACCCTGCTAGCTAGTCAGGCTCGTCTTCCTGCCATCACTGTCCCTGCAGGTTTCATTGAGGATGGTTTGTCTGTCGGATTGGAGCTAGTCGGCTGGGAGTACCATGAACAAGCTCTACTCGAGCTCGCACAGGGCAATGAGCTGACCATTGGAGCTCGAAGGTCGCCGCCGAGTCTTACATGAAGAGAAGATAATAACTTTGTGACGAAAGAAAGCGAGATGGCATTCTACCAACGTATAGTAGCTCAGATGCAGAAAAAGCAGACAAGACAATGGAACAAATCGGTCAAAATTGAGAAAGTCTAAATTTTAATCTGGCCGTTGTACTCAGTACAATAGGCATAGTCCGTGTAGCCATGAGGATCTTCAGTCAGGTAAAAGCTTGAGCGATCATAGTTGGTGAGCTCAATGCCCGACTTGATCCTGTAAACAAGATCAGGATTACTGATGAAGTACCGACCGAACATGATGACTACATCGCGATCCTTATATACTTCATCCACAGTCTTGCGGGCGCTGTCCGGCTTGAAGCCACCAGCAAGGAGGATCGGAGATGTGTTTCCCCATATGTCGATAGCGAACTTGTTGGCATCAGCCGATTCGTCTTCACAATCAGTAGATCCAGCAATTCTCGATTCGACTAGATGCAGGTAGGAAAGCTCGAAAGCACGTAATTCGGTTATCAGGTGAGAGAATTGCGAGACTGGGTCATCCATCTTCATTCCCTGGAAGGAACTCCAAGGAGAAAGTCTGAGGCCAACCTTTTCCTTACCGACAGCGTCAACAACGGTTCTGGCGACCGCGAGAGCGAAGCGACTGCGATTCTCGATACTTCCGCCCCACTTGTCGCTACGCTGATTGCAAGTATCCTGCGTGAATTGGTCGATGAGATAACCCTGGAGGTAAAAATACCATCAGCAATGTCCATTGTATTCGTCGTCAGATCACTCATGTTGGCTGCGTGTATCTCAACACCATCGAAACCAGCTTGGTGTACAGCAGCGCTTGCGGCACGACCGAAGTCGGCAATGAGCCCCAGGATCTCTTCTTCTGACAGCTCTTCGGGGATGTCGCCGCCTGGTTCCATGGGTACCGCCGAGCTGCTCTTCAGAGAAAGACCGGTCTCTCTCGTAAGCACTTCTGGCTCGGCAGCACGACCGAGAGCCCAAAGTTGGAGGTAGATGTGACTGCCTGCCTTGTGTACTTCATCAACAATGACTTTCCATGCGTCGATCTGTTCTTGAGTGTATATTCCTGGGACGTTATGCTGATTGCCGGCTCTCGCAGAGATGATGGTACCTTCTGTGATGAGAAGTGTTCCAGGGACGGGAGAAGCGCGCTGGGCGTAATAGGTTTTGCCGAGATCTTGATGGATGTGTTCAGCAGAAGCGCGATACCTAGTGAGTGGCGCCTTGATTGTATCAGTTCAAAGCCCCATGAACACCTTCGAGAGGTCGGACTGACCATTGCTATGCGCGAAGAGACCTCGATGGACCCTATCTTCAAAGGGGTGAACGTACGGGTGGTTGACGTCATCGTGAATACTGTCGCTGCTGAACGGTCACGCAGTTGCAAGGGCACATGCAGCCTTTATAGTCAGCTGAGGCTGATAATAAGACTCTTTTCCAGAGATTTCAGTGAAGTCGCATTACAAAGCAAAGAGGTTGAGAAAGACGTTATTCATGCACTAGAGCTGCGAAACGATCGTCTGCGAGGCTCCGAAGGCAATTTCAGTGGCGCGACATCACCACGATTGTGCCTGTATCTCATGGGGATCGGTAACAAGCTTGCACACAGGAAGTCTGACGTCAAATGATATCTGGCATCTTGGTGGATCTTCGTCAACGTCCAGAGGCTAATGGCATGAGTAAGTCCAACTGCCCGCACGTGGCGCCAGGGCTGATCTTTGCCAAGCCTCAGGCGCTGTGTCAGCGCTCGTATTGAAGACAGATCACGCTGGTCTTGGCTGCCCTTACTCATTGCGTTATATTTTGTACTCCTTTGAGCAACGCCACGCAGTAGGCTCGGACGAGATTCACTGCTCGCGTAACATGATTGGCATCAGGTCGGGAAAGGCCTGCCCAAATTGAGGCGAAACGGACCAATTCTCCAGTCTGCGAACATGCTTTTCGAATATGGAGTGCAAGACATAATCGCCATTCCTTTCAACCCAAGCATCGGTTATCTCATAGGGCCAACCCACCTTGACGGTCTGTGTAAAATTGGCCGTCCACAACTCATAAGGATATCTGTGAGGGCACATGATGATTTTGTCTCGTACTTCTGGCCTAACGATTGATCAGCGACTGAGAACGCTTCCTTCCGATTCGACATACCAAGGAACGTTGTCAATCCACGCGGGATGGGGAACGGTGATCTGCGTTACAGTCGGACGCAGCCAGCTGGGCATGGACATGTAACTTGGCCGCACAGGAACTACCAGCCACTAGAACGATCAGCAAAAGCACAACCAACGAGCAGAGTTGTGTAGATACCCTCATTGTTTGGTGCATCAGATAAAACAAACCAAGCTGTTCAGCTCTGCCGACCGAGGGGTACGTTGACATGATCTCACACATGACTTTACTAATCGGATGGCTAGAGAGGTCGGAGTTTCTGTGGACAAAGCCTCTCACAGAAGCCTTCTCAGGTCCAGCGAGCAGCTCCGAGGAAGTACCGTTAGAATGCATGGTCCGATTGCTCGTGAGAAACCCAAGCAGGATATGGTCCAGAGGGCATGTGGGAGACATGTGCAATGGCAGACTGGTGTATACGGCCTCATTGGGGCTCTGGTGGGCAAGCGCGCTAGGTGACACTTCAGGCGAACCTCGCAGTGAGAATGCCTGGTCGACTCTGCTAGACGTGAAGTGGGTCTCGGCAACCTGGGGACTCGTATCACGTCCGAAATCCGAGGCAGGGACTGGTTCCTGGAGTATGGAGGGATTTGTGATGCCTGTAATCGTCGGCGGCCCGGCCTCCTGTATAATCAAGTCATCGTCGAGTGGACTAGCGGTGCGATGTTCAACAGACTCAGAGGCGGCATTGCGGCTCGTGGACTGAGTGCTATGATCGTCGCTGAGCCTTTGAATAGCAACAGCTTCTCCGGAGAGGCGAGATAGATCCACGGTAGCTCCTGTGGATGTAGCAAGGGAAGCGACGTCTTGTAAGCGACGGACAAGAACATGATTCTGCTCGTGGAGCTGTTGGATATCCTGGAGTAGTTCGTGCTCTCTCGACCGCCATTTCGTGCGCAATTGATCGAGCTCCTCTTGCAAGCGGTTTGTGTGATCCTTGTTTCGCTGGCGAAAAGCTTGCTGAGCTCGACGGTCGACATTGCGCTTGCGCCGGAGTTGCTCTTCGCTCAAATTCGATCTGACACGTGATCTACGACTACTGGCGACGTTGGGTGGTGTTTCCGACTCCTCTACCGCATTTGTGAGGTCACGCATGACAGCACGGTGCGCAAACAATGTTGTGACTGGCTCTCCTAGCGGGATGGCTTTATCACTGAGAAAATACGATAGGCATGACTTCGCCGATGAATGACTAAGTGGCCGATGTGGCGTCACCGGGCCCGTGCTCCGGCTATCTAGCTGCACCCACGCCGAGGCGAGTGGCCCAATACAAATGGAGACGCCGACGCCGTGAACTGGCTGGTGTCTGGTTTTCAGCAGCGAGCAGACAAGAAAATCTTGACTATCAGGGAATCCATATAAGCTCTCCACACAAGTGTCGAAGAACGACTTCTTGTACCGCAATGGCTAAGCACAGGCAGTACAAGCTCACCACGCTTCTCAAGCGAAGGTCCGACATTACCGAACACGAATTTCATAGGTACTGGTCTGAGAAACATCCGCTTGTTGTCAACCAGTGGCTTGTCAAACACGGCGTCGTCAAATACGTTCAGGTTAGTCAATATGTTCGTCAAATACACCACTGAGGTATTGACTTTGAGGCAACAGTATCACACGCCATCGCAGTTTCGAGAGGAGTGCGAGTTCGGACAAGGCTCCAGCCATATAGCCGAGTTTGACGGTTACGTCGAACTTACAGTGCCGAACATCGATGCTTTAAAGGACGCTTTCAAGGATCCTTTCTACAAATCCCATGTCGCGCCTGATGAAGCTGCGTTTATCGATGCTCAAGAAACGCGCCGCACATTCGGCTATGAGGAACTCTATATCGAAGGCAGCAAGATCGAACAGAACTGAGAACCTCGACTGAAAAGCCGCTAGAACGCAGGTTCTCTCCATAGTGACCAGCGGGTCCGACAGTTCGCTACCTGACGCAGGTCTTGGACCCGGCCTCACCACAGATGGAAGCAATTTGTCCATCCCACCAAGATCAATCCAAGTACTCTCTTTGCTCCAGCATTCGTCTAGCTCAGTACTATCAAAGTCAAGCTTTTGAACGCTTTAGGTCAATTTTCGCGTTTGTAGACCAGCGGCGCTTGTTTCGCTGATGGAATGGCTGAGGTTAAACGCGTGCGTCAGCGCACGGCCCAACTGTGACTTAGTCATGTCTCCCGGACGTCAAATTGCCTTTCTCGCTCTGTACCGTGCCCGTCACCTATGCTCATCTGTCTTCAGAGAATTCTCGTCTCGCGCCCTCCAGGGAATGCGTCAGCGACAATTTGAAAGACCCGTATGCGACCCCTTCCCCCCTTCGGGTATAAGGTTCTTATCCCAACTAACTCATCTTTCGATCATCGCTTACTCATACCCCCATTACCCCAAGCTCGATACCAGACAATATCGATGCCTACCAAAACACGGATTGACCCTTGATCCACCAAGTCAAAAACGTCACGCAAAGAGATTCACGCCCTTCTAATCATATGATCAGGCCAACTCTCGGGGTATAAATGTGGGAACACCGCACACATGTGAACTCGATCACACTCAAATTCCTGGCCAGACCCATCCACTTACAATGCGGATCAAGCAGCTCACAGCCTTCCTTGGCTTGACTACCTCATATGCCTTCTTCCAACAGCAGATGCCAGATCTCCAACAGCTCTCATGTGAGGCCAATAACTCGGCCATCGTCCGAGTCTACAACGGGACTATCATTGGTAAACACTCAGAAAACTTCAACCAGGATCACTTTCTTGGGGTCCCATTTGCGCAGCCGCCGATCGATGATCTTCGCTTCCGAATCCCGCAATCGCTGAACACCACCTTCGCGAACAGTCTGTATCATGCGATTGAGTATGCTCCAGCCTGTATTGGTTACGGAGCTGGAGAGTCGGAGCTTCCTCTGTCAGAAGACTGCCTCTATCTCAACGTCATCCGACCGTCGGGACATGAAAATACTCCCCTACCTGTTGGTCTCTGGATTCATGGAGGTGGCTTCACAACTGGCGGCACCCGTATGCCTGGGTACAACCTCAGTCACATTGTCGAAAACTCTGTTCGGATCGGCAAGCCAATAATTGGTGTCTCAATTGCTTATCGTCTGTCCGGCTGGGGCTTCCTTGCTTCGCAAGAAGTCTCTGGTCAGGGACAAACTAACATCGCGCTCAGAGATCAGCGTCTCGCGATGCATTGGATCAAGGAGAATATCGGAGCCTTCGGTGGCAACGCCGATAAAATCACAATCTGGGGTGAATCTGCGGGTGCGGCTTCGGTCGGGTTCCAACTCACAGCCTACAATGGCCGAGACGATAACCTGTTCTGGGCTGCGATCATGCAATCCTGCAACCCAATATTCTACTTCTCATTCGATGTTGAGGCAGCATATCAACCAGCTTACAACAACCTGGTCAATCTTACTGGTTGTGGTGCCGCTATCAATACGCTAGATTGTCTTCGCCATGCCGACTACAACGTCATCAACAACTTCTTCAACTCGACACAGGGGAGCAACTGGCAGCCCATTGTTGATGGCGACTTCATCGCTAGATGGGGCAGTCAGCAATTGGCCAATGGTGCATTCGTCCATGTACCGATCATTGATGGCGCAAACAGTGATGAGGGCACCTCATTTTCTCCTGTCGGGGTCAACACAGCCAAGGACTTTGCTTCAGACGTGACAATGATTGGAAAAGTGCCTGGAGAGTCTACTGGATATGCTGGCGCAAGTCCATCAATTGGAGAGAGTTTCCTCAACAATTTGCTCGCAGCTTACCCAGATGAGCCTGAGTACTGGATTCCTGGTGTCGACGAGCTAGGGAACACAACTACAAATGATCCAAGAGGTGCCATGTATCGGAGAAGCGCTGCATACTGGGGCGATGTACGCATCGTGGCCAACCGTCGCGGCACATGCGAAGCTTGGACAGCCGGAGATACACCTGCATACTCTTATCGGTTCAACACCAGATCCACAGGTACTTCAGTCTTAGCCGGTGTTCCGCATGCCGAGGAAATTCCCTACGTCTTCAACAACACTCTTGGACTGAGTAGCGTGACTCCACCTTTAGATCAGCCCGATTCGTACCAGCAGCTTGCAATTCTCATGAGCTCTACCTGGGCATCCTTCATGCATGATCGCGATCCTAACAGCTGGATGGAGAAAAATGCGACCTCAGCTCAGTGGCCAGTGTATACTCTACAAGATCCGCAAGAGATTGTTTGGGACGCGAACGTCACGAGTCTCAACTATGTGGAGAAGGACACTTACAGATCAAAAGGGTTCGGTTCATACTCGACCATGCGTTCGCATATAGACGTTAGTCAGAGTTCATCGATGTGAGCGTCATTCTTAGCTCATAAGACTGTCAACTGCAGTATGCGCAGAACTCATTGAGACATACCGACGTGCTTGGAAGATTCTGATCACAGCACATGGCGTGGAGAGCACAGTGGCACCACGATGGGACCGAGATTTTGTGACAGCTCCCATGTATATAGCCATTCAATTGTTGACGTCTCGCAGCATTTTTAACGCATGTTCCAATGCGTACCGTCCATCCGACGTGTTTTGTTTCCCGTCACTGGCTCTATCTATATCGACGTCCTTAGGATCGAAAGCTAGGTCGAACACATGTTCCACCCCCTCTACAGGGCAAAAATTCATGATGCCTGCGTATTCTGCAATCTTGTGGGCCAATGTCTCGCTTTCCGGGGTATCTCGACATCTTGTGTTATATGTATGATTATCGTTGAAATGGAAGTGGGGGACTACAAAAACCGAAGCGAGATACATCTTTCTACTCAAGTTCATGTCTTATGCAGCATACGGCGATTTGCAGCTGAAAGATGTTGCAACACTCCCACCACTGAAAGCCGTGATCAAGGCCTCAATCGCAGCATAACAGCCCAAACCACAAACCACCAATGCACCCAGGAAGTAGATGATGTTCGCAGATGTGAACCAGAAAGTGTTACGATAGCCTCGCATCCATCTCTTGACACCACTGTCATGACGCACGTACTTCCCAGTGGCTTCATCGAATCCTTCGTCAGGAAGCATTGCGCCTTTCTTGACCTGGAAGCCGATCATGAGAAGCGCTGGGAATGTGTAGGTGAAATTACCGATGCAGAACGCGCCGACCAGACTGCTGAAATCGCCGAGCTCTGGGACGGCACCAGCGACTACGAACGCAAGAGCCCAGTAGACAGGGACCATGACTACCCAGATCATCTTGCCAGCCTTGGCGGTGAGTGGTGGGAAGTCTGAATCCTGATCAGTCGCTAAAAAGAAGTGACGTTCTGTGGAAGGCGGTTGACTTACGGAAAAGCTCCATGAACACATTGCTGTAGATTACTTTGATGCCGATGTTTCCGTAGAGCGCAGCAGCGATCATGCCGCCTATCGAGAGTCAGTATAAGGTGGCGGACAAGTAAGTGGACAGTCAACATACCAATGATAGATAAGATGTTACCAGCAGTCTGATATCCATACGCGCTGACACTTTGGATTGCGGTGTTGTATGTGTACTGGCCCTGATACGAGTATTGGAAGATGCCAAAGAACATATAGGCCAGGTAGATGAAGACGTCTGCACAAAGCATACCTTTCCAGAAGTCCCAAGGGTTTCGCATCTCGGCAAGAAGGTTGAAGAACAGCATGGCACCGCCATAGGCATAGACAATCTGATCGATGCCCTGGAAACTACCTAAGAAACCAGTACCGCCCGAGGCGAAGCCGTGCGGTGGAGTCCCTCCAAACGTGCGGATAGGTATGTGGCTCTCAACAGTGTTCTTTGGAAAGTTTGTGTTGCCGTAAACTGATGTAGCTCCTCCAAAGGAACTGAACATAGTTGCGTAATTCGGTGGCGAGACAGCAGAAGCGCCGATGGCCAAGAAGGAGCAAATGACAGTCGTCCACACAGAAATGTTGGCAAGCCATCCAAATCTCTGCAAGGTACGAATCTGGCCAAGAACGCATCCAATGATTGTGAGAATGAGAAGGCAGACAATGAAGCACAGTCCGTTACCGTTTCTTGCGTTGTCGCCAATTGATATCTGGGAGATGGATCCACCGTTGTTGAGAATCAGAACTGCGACTAGCAGGAACATCTGGAAGCTTTGAAGAATGTTGACGAGATGTCTCATCTTAGAGCCGAAGACCCTGAAGAAGGCTTGACCAAAATCGCGAATCGGGTATCTGTCGGAGTCCAGGCCCAAGAACACAAGATACACATACCAGCCAGATGCAGCAGCACATCCTCCAAACACAGTGTACAAAGCGACACCAGGACCGTAGCCGGTATTTGCAAAAGCCCACCTGTCACAATCAGTTTCCCGGACTTAACGCACACTATGCGATAAAGACTTCAATACTTACGGCGCACCTGTGGGGCCAAGAATATCCGTAGTAATTAGGAAGAAGATTGAGCTCCAGCTCGCGGTTCTCGTTGCTCTGGACGCGCGTCTCCAATCTGCAGCGGTCACAGTCGTTGCAGTGAGCTGCTGAGAGTTCGACTTCTCGTGATCGCTCCCCTGATCGTTGTGCACATGTCCCTTCGAGAAGCGACTCTTGATGGCACCCAAGAGTGTGAAAGGCTTCTTCTCAATGGTCTTCTCGTATTCTTTCTCCTCCGCTCGAGTGATGGCAGCATAATGAAGGTACTCCTCAAACAGGATGGACGGGTCATTGTGAACGAGAGCTGCCTCAATGGTGAAGCCTTCGCCATGGTCAACTTCGTGTCCGTGATCGAGCGCGAACAATGCTGGGTTCTTGGGCTCCCGAGGATCACCGCCATCGAGAGCGAGGTTGGCGAGATTCTGTGAGCCCATCTTGTGTTCTGCCGATGTGAGTAGGCAGGAGCAGGGTGGGCAAAGACGACCGAGGACGTCTATCTATATGCCTCATACACAGAAGATAGGGTCAGCTGGACGCGTGTCCCATTGATACAATGCCGCACATACGGATCCGTGATCAAGTGGTGTTATCGCGAACACGAAGGTGCGGGGAACAAGGGACGACTTTGTATGGCGGGAATATGGTCGAGTGAAACGGCCAGTATGCCGAATCGGGAAGGTGACATCGCTTGCGCGATATAAGCCTTGCACGAGACTTGAAATCAAAGCTTGTCGTGACTTGGCTCTCTTCCCGGTGCGCACTCCGGGAAGATCCGGGCTCCATCCTTCAATGTCCAGCACACGACCCCAATGCTGCTGTCTCTTACTCTGCTTGTCGACTTTTTCGCGACTTATATTGGTCGGGTGAAGGTGGTCGAAGTGGCGCAAGTATGTGCACGTACCTGGGGATGCCCATTAGGATGATCAATTGCGACAGAGTCGGCAAGAAAGGTTGCGACAAAGTCTGGAGGAGAGCGTGAAGTCTTGGCAACAACGGGGTACATGCGTCATCGATCTCATTGACAAGGTCATCCTAGCAACCATGTTTATCAACCAGACATCACATCGACAGGAAACCCTAAAGCACACTGATCTCAGGTGCCACTGCCTTGACGAAGCCCGGTATGAGATAGCTCCACCCACATATCCAAGCTGTGAAGCTCCTCCAATTCGCACCGTGCCAGAAGTAGAAGATGCCATCCTTACGGCCGTGGTACAGGTCTGACAGTTTCAGCTTTCCTCTTCTCACCACCCAGTAGTCGCAGATCATGATGCCAGTCATTGGTCCAAGGAATACACTGTATGCAGAAAGAACACTGATGAAAGTCGATTCTGAGGAGAGCAGTTGCCATGGGCAGAGAGCGATACTGAAGATCAGACCGATGTATGCTCCACGTCTGATGTTGATATAGCTGGGGAAGAGGCCGGCAATGTCCATGCCAGCAGAGAAAGCGTTGTCGATGGTGTTGATAGCCAGCTGGGATGTTACCAAGCCACAGCCTGCGAAGAACGCGGCTGCGCGTGACTTTGCGTTGTAATCAGTGTCCAACCATCTCTGCACGATATCCGGAGGATTCCTGACAAGAATTAGCATTCGATATGTGTATGCACGCGGATATCGCTGCTTACCAAAGTGCTTCTCCGTATATCTTCTGCGTCGCAGAGGATGTAAGACAGCCGAAGAGTGGCATGATGATTCCCAGACCGATGATCGAGATCCATTGGCCAAACACCTGGTCACCAGGACGTCGGGCAAATCGCGAGTAATCCATCTGATTGACCAAGCCGGCGGCGATGTTACCAATGACGGTAGTCACGCCCAAAGTTATGTTCCATTCAAGTTCCTCACCAGTCTTGGTGGAAGCCGTTTGCTTAAGTAAAGGACCTGCACCGTTCGCGGCAGACAATGCCCAGATCGTCATACATACCAAAGTGATACCGGACACAACGGTCATCCACAGAATGACATGCTTCATGCCCTCAGGTCTGATGTAGATGATCGGAGCCATGATGACATTGAACAGTATCCACCCAACAAATTGTTTCGTGTCCAGATTTGCACTCGCTGGGAAGTGGTTTTTCATGTGCTGAAAGCTCGGGAAGATCGCAGAGAGGACGTTTTGGACACAAAGGCCGCCGGTCCAGGATTGCACAGCAAACCAGACTAGACTCAATATGATGCGCTGTATGAGAGCTACGTATTGTCCTCGGATGCCCCAGACGTAGCGAGAGACAACACAGAAACCGATATGCCAGGTAGCACCGACGTAGCCGTTTGCGATCGCTACCATTGCGACAATGATCTTGCCAATGATAATGGCGACGATTGCTTGCCAAACAGAGATTCCAGTGGCAACGAGAGATCCACCGAGTTGCCAGTTGGAGAGGGCGATCTGATTGATAGCCCAGAAAGAGATGAATCTGATATCCGTGGTCAGCTATATCCTGAAGGCAGCACTTGGCAGCTTAACTCACGCCCATCGTGACCAAGTGCGTCTGTGTGGTGGAAGAGGCCGGATATCGTCATTGATCCATACATTGGAGATATGGTCCTCACCCTCTGGCACTTTGAGATGCTGCCTTATTTTCCTGAGTGTCATTGTGTGGTGTCTGGTGTTGGTAATTTAGATGTAGGACCGGCCTGCTTTATGAGCATCGTGGACCCAGCGAACGTCGAACAACCGCGATAGCAGTGTCCGGCGGGGCCACCAAGGGCAGAGCGTGGTGTATCGGAGGCCATGAAGTTTAAGGTATCAGCTTATCGCGGTCGTTATAAGCTCTGGTAGTTCATAAGGTCGTGATCATGATAAGGGCGCTAGAATGACAACTCTAGCTGAGCGTCATTATGAGCGATACGCTTGGGGCGAAGATAGTCAAATTCACACGCCCAAGTACGTGCAAAGCTCGCCGTCGGCCAACTGTTCGCGGGAAACTTTTGATACGGCGTCGGGAAGTCTACCCCAATATTCGAGCAAGTCCATCTTATCGCTTGCTTGTTACCCCAACCCCACAGATAGACGTCGAGTTGGGCGTATCGCAACCCCTGATCAGCAGCTGCCCCGCCGGAGCTCAAGCTTGTCGCGACTTTCCCCATTCGGAGGTTCGCCGACGCCAAACCTACAAGTTCCTCACGTTGCTCCTGCTCATGATCTTTGACCAGACCAAGCTTACCAACCAAGATAGCTGGAACCAAAGCCTTGCCTAGCATGACCTCGCTTTCAAACGTTCGAAGCGTTCGTATTGGTGTTGATGTGGGAGGTACGAACAATTGCTTCAAAATCAGTCCCTGGACCGCAGGGATCAATCGATGCTGACTATGTTCAGGCACCAACACCGATGCTGTTGCAATTGATACATCGAAACAACAAACAGACACGCGAGGTCTACTCGCTCACTTCAAGACACCGACAACACCAGATGTCACGAAGGGCATCGAGACTGCCATACGTACGGTACTCGAGACTTCACGGCTGTCTACTTCAGACGTCGTGAGTGTGACTGTGGGTACCACACACTTTATCAACGCAGCAATCGAACACGATGCACGTCGTTTGAACAAGGTTGCCATCATTCGTCTCTCCAAAAGCTTTCTTCGTGAGGTACCACCTTTCTCAGACTTTCCACCAGGACTTGCAGAGATCATCAACGGTTATGTTGGCTATGTTGATGGCGGTCTTCATATTGACGGTTCTGAGGAGTCGCCAATCGTGGAGTCTCAAGTTATTGCCAGATGTGCCGAGATCAAAGCTCTCGGTCTTTCCTCAGTCGTCATCGCTGGAGTGTTTTCGCCTATCGATGAGATTTTCCAGCAAGAAGAACAGGTCCGAAAGATCGTTTTCAGAGAACTTCCAGGAGTTGAGGTCGTCTGCTCTCACCAGGTCGCCAACATCGGCTTTCTCGAGCGAGAGAACGCTAGCATCTTGAACGCAGCAATTCTTGACTACGCAAAACGAACCGTCGGTGGCTTCCGTCGTGCAATGAAGGCGTTGAATCTGAAGTGCCGACTGTTTCTTACACAAAACGATGGCACGCTTCTCGATTCAGCATCCGCTGCGAAGTTTCCCATTCGTACCTTCGCTTCCGGCATGACCAACTCGATGCGTGGAGCGGCTTACCTTGCTGGACATGACACGCGAAAATCATCGGCGATCGTCGTCGATATTGGTGGAACAACTAGTGACGTCGGGGTCTTGTTGCCCTCTGGACTTCCTCGGCAAGCAGCATCGTACGTGACGGTTGCTGGAGTGAGAATGAATTACGCCATGCCACACCTGCACAGCATAGGTCTTGGAGGAGGTACTATGGTACGACGGGACTCTGATGGCAGGACAAATATAGGTCCAGATTCGGTCGGCCACTATCTTACAAGAGACGCTCTTGTGTTCGGAGGCGATATCGTGACTGCATCTGACATTGCAGTCGCGTCGGGTCAAGCCAAGATTGGTGACAGGGCCCTAGTGAGCCACTTGGAACCGACAGAAGTGGTTGAAGCGCAGCGCTGTATCAGGACACTACTAGAGCGGGCCATTGATGTCATCAAAACTTCGCCCGATCCAATGCCCGTGCTACTGGTCGGCGGTGGCGCAGTCATTGCCCCTGCATCTCTCGGAGGTGCCTCTGAGCTTAAGCTTCCCCCATATCACGATGTCGCAAATGCGGTTGGAGCAGCCATATCCAAGGTTGGCGGCGTGATTGACACAATCCAAGATGTTTCCGGTCAAACGTTCGAGCAGGCTGAGCAAAAGGCCAAAGATATTGCAATACAGCGAGCAATCAATGCCGGCGCCATACCAGAGAGTATCATGATTGCGGAAGTGGAAAGTCTTCCCGTCACGTATGTCGCTAATCAGTTGAGGACGATCGTCAAGGCCGTGGGCGAGCTCGACCTCTCCGCCCAGCACCAGGACACAATCGATGAGGATGAGCCAGACACTGATCATGAAGAAGAGGACGTGAAGAAGAGTGCTCCGAAGAGTATCGGGGTCCAGTCGGTAGTTCCTCAGATTTATGTGCCATCAGTAGTCGAGAATGTGATGACAGGAAATGCGGAATGGTTGCTCTCCGAGACGGATATTGACTTCATCTCGAAAGGTAAGAGCGACGCAAATTCCAAGGATTTTATCCAAAAGCTAACAATATGGCAGGGTGCTACGTGTTGGGTTGTGCAGGCGGCGGCTCAACTGCAGCTTCGCGACTTCAGCTTCGCGAGATGCTTCGTCAAGGACACAAGATGCGCGTCGTTGACGTCTCATGCCTTCCTGAAGATGCCTTGATCTACTGGGGAGGTCATATGGGATCGCCGTCAGTGTCAGTAGAGCGCCTGCAGTCCCTGGAAACAGTCTGCGCTTTTCGAGAGCTCATGGACTATTTGCATCACGACAAGCTGGATGCAGTCATGGGTCTGGAGATCGGCGGCGCTAATGGTATGGAGCCTCTGCTCGTGGGATCATCTCGATTTTTTGATTGCCCGGTGATTGATGCTGACTTCATGGGCCGCGCCTATCCGACTTACTGGCAGACTACTCTGGCCGTACATCATCCTCGAGAGCTCGTACCATGCGTAATTGACTCTGGAGATGGAAAGACAATCATTATGACCAAGGCTCCGAACGATGAGATCGTCGATCGAGCCTTGCGTGCCTCATGCTCAGAGATGGGCTCACGAGTGGGCATGGCAGCGAAGCCCACAACAACCGAGAGGGTGCGTACATCCGGAGTGTTGAACACCATGTCGCTCGCTTGGCGCATCGGACGTTGTATCGCCCTGGCAGAAGCCACAAACACAATGTCTACAGTGGCAGAAGCAATTGTCAACGAGGCAGGAGGATCCGAAAGCGCTCGCATACTGTTCCGCGGCAAGATTACACAAGTCGAGCGACGAGTGTATAAGGGCCACTCTCACGGGTCAATCACCATCACCGGGACGGAAGAAGACGAAGAGGGGGCAGCCACCACCGCTGCCAACCGCATGCCCGCCATGAGAAGCGGCGGCACACTCAAGATACCCTTCAAGAATGAGAACATCTTCGCCGAACACACATCAAAGTCGGGAGAGAAGGAGTATCTTGCGCTTGTGCCTGATCTCATTGCGGTTCTGGATTCTGGGTCTGGTTGTGCTTTGGGAGTGCCGGAGTTCAAGTATGGTTATTATGTCACTGTGATTGGCATAACATGTTCGCCACTTTGGACTACTACACCCGAAGGTATTAGTATTGGTGGGCCACGCTCGTTTGGGTATGACCTCGAGTACAAGGCTTTGGGTCAATATATGAAGCCGAGAAGCGTCATTGAAGAGTATAGTGGAAGATAGAGACATGGAAATCTCTCTCGTAGAGTTCTTGTTGGCAGCATGATGTAGTTGACATGATTCATTCAAATTATTCTCGTAACATATTTGTTGTCTGTGGATGCAGGCAGGTAATTGTGACATTCGAACACCAGGGTGCTGAGAAGCTTTTGTCTGACTGAGAGAGCACCCGTCATGAGAGTTCGAACGATATCAAAGCAAGTAGACGAAGTCTCTCGCGCGACTTCTTGTACACCATGATTGTGGTTGTCTGTCATGCACTACTTCCTACAATGACTCGTGTCCGAGAGCAATCCAAGCTCGTGCCTGGCTTTGAGTCCCGTTGAGCTTGTAATGCGGGCAACCTTCAATCAGTTGAGAACAAGGACAGCACCTCGTTTGCCCTTTAGTACTCCTTTCTCCTCAGTACCAGGGTAGCGCGCTTCGATCTCCTCGTCAGCATCGTCGGAATCGCTAGTAAAGTGACCTCTGTAGCGCACGGTATACGGTGTGTAAACGAGATGACCAGTGCCTCCAGGCGGAAGACCATAGGTGCCAGAGAATGGGTCGTTGATCATTCATACCATGATACTCGTCGTTCGTCACCTCCATGGAATGATACTCAAGCAATCAATTTGATGCATCTCTTGTTGTCTCCTATGACCAAGACCACGCAGAGCGATGTGATCAGGATGACGCTGGGGACGACAAGTAGCAATACTTGACTTGAAGAGATAGTGACGCAGCATCAATACTGATCTGACGGGTGTGGCAGACAGGAGTTAGCCCATCCTTGCTTCGCTGAGAGAATTGCCCCAGATACTCGGCATGCTTGGTCGAAACTGCAAGCGGAAGGATGTATAGTCGCAGGTATTCAATCGCGCTTCACTGTCTGAAGATCCTGTGGCGAGCCCAATCGAGGTTGGATATCGCGACGCAAACGTGAGAAGATGCATAGGCGCCACGAAAGTGCAGACGAGAGGTCGTTGTCGTTTCGCGATGCACGTGGAGAAGATTGAGTCACCGCATCGTGACATAATGACGGTAACACCGACTTACGTGCCTGCCGAGAGGAGTAGCCGCGCAAAGTGCGAAGCGCCAGAGAATCCTTTGCGTAAATCTACAGCCAAGATGGGGTGACCAGATCTTGGCTGCGGAACGGCCGTGGGCATTGCCGCTGAACGACGACGGAATCCAAGTATTTGATGCAAGTGGTCAGGGTGCTGCAGCAGGTCGAAAGTTCCCAGCTTTCTTTGAACCAACGCCTGCGAAACATGATGTAAGCCGAGCTTTGGGTAGCGATTGGGGCATGGAAGACAACAGACGATCCGATCTTGGACTGACTGATCAGACTTTCATCTCCATACGACCGTCTTTTTCTCACCATGGCATCAACAACCAGCTGTTCAGCCATACATCCAGCGTCGTGTCCGACATCGCAAGCTGTTTGCGACATCAGCGCAGAGGTACCACTGAGCGATCTGAGCGGACTGGGTGGTCAACACGTCTGCCAGGTCAATCTTCCGTCTTCGAATGCGAACTTCTCAGATGTCCTTGTGAGTCAGCTTGCGAGCTGCTGCACAGACAAGGCTTCCTCAAGTCTTCGATCTCAGGACGATTGCATGCGCTAGTCGAGCTTCGATGGAAAGTGAAATGATCCAGAGCATAGTAAATACAAGGAAGGACGGATTCGTGATAGTCATTATCATTATGTATTGCGTGCTCTGCATGTATCGCACAAGCGTTTCTCACCACTCGATGATCTTCTCGCTTTGCCAGAAGCCACCCGAGGTGCCAGCGATGTCCTCGAGAGCGAGCATGACTGGTGTCTTTGCGCCTTGGTCAGGGGTCTTGACGCCGTTGCCCTTTGTCATGTCGGTGTTGACGTAGCCAGGGCAGCAGGCATTGACCAGCACGCCTCTGCCTTTCTTGTCTTCTTCGGCAGCGATGGCCTTTGTGAAGGCAGTGGTGCCAGCCTTGCTGACAGCGTATGCGGCGGATGGCCATCCCAGCTCTTTCTCTTTGCCGTCCTGTACCGCCTTGGAGAAGTCTTGCATGAGGGAGGTGCAGTCGGCAACACCTGACTTGGAGGCCGAGATGAAGGCATCGCGCAGTTCGGGCGTGTATTTGTTGAGCTTGCCGGCCATTGAGCTGACGTTGACGAGACGGCCGCCGTCACGAATCAAGGGGAGGATGGACTGGGTGGCTTCGAGGGTGCCGTAGTAGTTTGTCGCGAGCGTCTGCTTGACGACGTCCTCGTTGAAGCCGTCCATGGCGATGCCGGCGTTGTTGATCAAGACATCGATGCCGTCGGGGTGCTCGCTGCGGAGAAAGTCGCGAAACTTGTGGATGCTGGACCGGTCGCTGACGTCGAATTCGCGGAAGGTGATTGTCGTGTCGCCGCCGTCTTCAACCAGGACCTTTGCCTTCTTGAGCTGTGCGTCGTTCTGGAGCGTCTTGACTGCCTCGGCGCCTCGAGAGGCTGAGCGTGCACAGAGGTAGATGAGGAGCGGTCCGTCGCGAAGAGGCGATGACGGGTATGTGAGGGCGAGATTGCGCACTGTTTGCGCGTCAGAAGTGGATTGCGAAGAGTGACGGAAAGCGGACTTACCGATGGCGAGGCCAATGCCCTTGTTGGCGCCCGTGACTGCTGCGACTCTTGATTTGACTGACATGTCTTTGTTGCGTGTGTCTGATGTCTTGGTCGCTGACTGGGTCTTGCACGAGATGCCCGACACTCCAGCTTGTTGACGTCAACGAAGGCGACTTTCGGCTCGACACAGCTGAGAGATCACCTCCACGGCTTGGCACTGCACCGACATTTCTAATCCTCGAGGGTCTCTCGGTGACAAGATTTGCCCAGCTTTTGTTTTGCAAGTCATCTTCAGTCTAGCACCATGGCCTAGCCCACTCTAGGACTAGACGGAGGATGTTTCTTCCCACGCTAGAATCAGACGGATGATGTTTCTTCCCCTTCAAGTCACTGCTGAGAGTCCCTACGCACTTGTGCTCCAAAGCGACGCAGACGATCGCTCATCCCTTCGCTGTTCAGTCGCCGATTCCTGCCTAAACAGACAGGCGATGAGCCGCGAGCGACATGAAGCCCCGCATGGAGATTCCGTGTCTTTCATGCGCCGGTATTCGCAACGGCGGCTCGAGCACGCGATGGAAAGGCCGCGATCAATTCAGCTTGCGGAGAACGTTGAATGTCTCCAGGATTTGCAAATTCGGTCTTCCTTTTGGGATTGATGGCGGCACCTTTTCCTATTCCCTCCATATAATCTGCTATAGCGTTAGTCACACAGGCTGGCGCGCTCACGATAAGGCACGACACAGTCTCTGAAGTGCAGACTCAACTCCCACATGAAGGAGATTTGGTAAGTGTGCTTTCGTCCGTTGTGTTTTTCCAACGGCTCTCTGCCGTTCAGAAACATCACGGTTCGCCATCTCCGTGAAGAAGACCTAGACTGTAATTCACACTCTTTCCTACGCAGGTACAATGTAAGATCTGCTCTCAAAAGTCGTGCAACGGTACTATTGCAGATCAATATTGTGTGCGGTCTTGCCTCGGACTCTGATACAAGAAGCACATATAAACATCCTTCTTCTCTCTCAATCTCAACAAGAAGAACACTGCAAGTAGCAATCTCAACAAGCAGATTTCGTCCCGCGCGAATCAACTTTACTTGGTAATCCAGCGGATACAAATCGCTCCACCCAATACCGATCATCCTTGCCACGATTGCAAAAGCCACACCACATATTGATATGCGTACCAGTACTCTCATCCTCGGCATCGCGCTGGCTGTCAGCAGTATCGCCAGTCCGGTTAAAGTGGACCTCGGAGATGGCGTCGAGTATGAGATCGGCTATCCTGTTATGGCCGCGCAGGTCGGTGATCCAGAGGTTGTCCACATACCGAAGAGGGCTACTACTTCTACTTCTACAAAGACCACTTCGACTCGGAAGGCTTCTTCATTTAAAACAACCTCGACGGCGAAAGCATCACCAATCGCGACGAAACTGGCAACTACTTCCTCGAAGGTTAGCAGTACTTCGAAGACCTCAAGTACCCAAAAGTCATCGGCGGCTCCGGCAAAGGCCACTACCTATCAGCAGCGCGTTCTTGTTTCGCACAACGTCCACCGTGCAAATCATTCCGCCAGCAATCTCATCTGGGATAATGCTCTCGCATCGACTGCCGCAAAGATCGCCTCTACTTGTGTTTATGCTCACAATACAACAACCGACGGTGGTGGTTACGGTCAGAATATAGCTGCTGGTGTTACTGCAGACAACATAACAGCCATCATCACGGAGCTCTTTTACAACAACGAGGTTTCACACTTCAACGGTCTCTACGGGCAAGCGCAACCTGACATGTCCAACTTTGGCAGTTGGGGACACTTTTCCCAGATTGTTTGGAAGGGTACTTCGAAGGTCGGCTGCGCTACCCAGTACTGCCCTAAAGGCCTTGCCAATGTCGGACCTTACACTCCACCATACTTTACAGTGTGTAACTATGGTCCTCCAGGCATGTCTCGTCGTTCCCCTCCATGCTCGATATCTTGCTAACCCCGTCACAGGTAACTACCTTGGTGAGTTTGCCGATAATGTCGGTAAGTCCCTCAACAGACCAACAGTTCATTGGAACTATGGTTTGTAGAGATAGGCTCGATGAAGTCAGAGCAGGTCACCATAGAGCAGGATTTGGGAAGCACAACCGCGAGTGGGCGCAATCAAGCGTCCGGTCAGATGCCTGCACGACCCGCAAAAAATCCCCTCTCGACTATTAGCAAAAGAGTCTGCGTTTTAGCGGTTTCTGAGCTGTGGAAGCGAACATGATTTAGACCATGCATGGCTTAACGTATCGTGGCAACTCAAGATTTCTTCGACCACATCTGTAGCATCAATTTTGCCTCATGACATGCAGAATCTCAAAAACTGAACAGACCACTCCTTCTTTTCTTGCGTATGGGATATACCAACAGCGCACTAATTGAGATACCGACGGTGATTCCAATCGCAATCTCCACCATTGCAAGGGCGGCGTTTGTCAAGGAGCTGTTGTCCTGTACGGTACCAAGCGAGTCACTTCCAGAGTTATGTTTTGTCAGAAGGTCAGCGTTGGCCACAGCATTGATCAAACTGCCTGATGCAGCAAAACTTCCAGGAACTTGGATGAAAATCGCGGGATGCAACAAAGCAACAGCGAGACCTTGACCCAGCCGTGAGTAGAAGTTAGCGACGAGTCCGATGGCGAGAGCGCCGAGCATTTGCGCAAGCTGGATGCTTGATCCAAATCCCTTCGAAACGTGCGCTCCTCTCGAGATTCCCTGTGCGGCGTAGTAGTTGACGAGCCAACCAATCATCGACAGAACCAGCATTGCAGGGACTTTCTTCCACTTGCCTTGGTTGATAATTATATAGCAGAAAGTGAATGGTATGACAAAGGTCACTTTCCACCAGAACGGCCATTGCGCTTCACAAGTTGTCGCAGACGTCGCGTTCTCGTCCATTGCGCCATACAGCGTGATTCCAACAGTGAAACCAAAGGCAAGGAACATTACAAATATGATACCGTATACCATGCGTACGGCGCCAGAGATAATATTCTTCGATTGCAGTTCCAGTGCGCTATTCGTGATAATGAAACCCGGGAGTATCAAAACCAAAGACGCCTGAGAAATGGCGGAAAAGCAGAACAGGCGACCAGAGCCATAGTTGATCGATCCAATGGCGCGGGAGAGGAATGTCATCAAGATTGCTGCCGATACTTCATACACGTGAGCGTATAGCTCCGAATTTTCGGCCATGACTAGCTGCATGAAACCGAGCAAGCATCCGAAAAGAAAGATGATGGGCAGATCTACCGGCCTTGCACCATAAGATACTGGCCCGATACATGCAGAAGCAAGGCCAAACATGATGACGCACAACCAGCGAGGGTATTTGTCCGTACTAGTCATGATTTCGTCGAGCCGGTGGGTGGCCTCCTCGATGGTCATTCTGTCGTGAATGACGTTCTTATAGACTTGATGTGAGTCGTAGAGTTTGGCAAGGTTGAGAGCCTGTGGTGTCTTTACGATGTGGACCTCGGTGCTACGCCAAATCGTATTGTTGAAGGAGACGACCATGATTCCTGGCAGATAGAACGATTCCACCCTCAGACCTATAACCTCTGCTGTCATGTACATGTATTCTTCGAGTCGGTGAGTTGGTGCGCCGTATGCCATCAGAGCACGACAAACTGTGAGAAGATACTTCTCGCGCTCGCCTGTGGTACCCGGATCAGCTGTGTCTTGCAAGACCGTAGGCAGCAACGACTGTGGAAGTGATGTGTTGGAATCGTGGGGTATCCGACGGATCGGCGTGCTGGTGCCAGAACTGAAAACGACATTCGACGAAGCATAGCGGTTCTTGTTGCTGTTAACGGAAGTAATTTTGCTGAGCTCTGTAGGTTTTTCAATGGCGACACCACTTGTGGAAGGCATTGTCACCGCCCTCGCTCGGCTATGCTTCCGCTTCGCTGCCATCGTCCGGTCGTAACAGGTGGCTTCGACAAGTCTGCAGTTATTAGGCGAGGGTCTAGACTCCTACTTCCTCGAGAGCTTTATACAACGCAACTCTCGCGGCAGAATTTTTTTGGGAAAAGAATGTAGGGGTGTTTCGGCTATAGCGGGTACTATAGGCGGCGTAAGGAGAAGTTTAGCTGGCCCGTGCGCGACGCGCGGGACTTTAATTTTTTCGGGCGTCGGGCGCGCGAGGGAGTTATCTTAATAACGCGCGAATTGCTATAGGGTCTTGCTAAAGTAGCGATCCTGACCTCGGCTGACGCCGGGAGTTCCCCGACTTGGCGCACACAAGCGTCGTACGAAGAGGACGGACCTTTCGTCCTCTTCCTTTTCCCCCTTAGTAAAATCTCCTTATATTATAGGCTACTATTTAATCGTTAGATCGCGGTTTAATTCGTAATAATAACGAGCTAACGAAAATATACGGTAAAGATAAAGAAACGTAATTAGGATAGGGTATAGAACCTTAGCTAATATTAGGCTCTTATAATTATAGCTAAAGCGAGGTATACGGATCGGCATTAGGAGAGAGTAAGTTATTCTTCGTTTCTATACTATAAACTATCTTCCTTTTATAAGGAAGCTCCCCTCTATTACCTTTATATTCGAGTAAAATGTAGTTACTAGATGTCTTATAACCTACGATATTACTACTAAAACCGCCGACGTAATCTCTCGTAATAATACGAAATTTTAAGTAGTCGATCTAACCTTAAGCTAGTAAGAGAACTTATCTAACGGATATAGAAGCGCTAGCATCTATCGAGGATATAGATAGAGCTAAGAGACCGTCCGGTATTTTAGTATATATATAAATCTCGTAGAACATCCGAGAATATCGGGTACGTATATAAAAAAGTGTAGCGTTCAGATTACTCCCTACTATAGGTAGGTAATAACTTATAATTAAATAAAGAATTATACGTTATTAGAAATTAAATCCGTAGCGTAATTCTCTAATACGTACTTCTATCCGACCTATATAAGGCTTAGAAGGATAAGTATACGATAATGTCTCTATAGATCGTATATCTATACTAAGCTAGAATAAGATTAAATTAGATTTACGAAGATACGTCGTAAGAAGAATAAAGAGTATTATATAGTACTTAAAGGATATAGGCTCGTATAGCCTGCTATATATTTATCGTATTTAGTAGATCTCTAGAATAAATACTTATAACGTATATCTATAATATTAAGTTAGGGTAAAAGTATATATCCGAATAATAGGTTATAGCTCTAAGAGAGTAGTCTTATTCCGCGGTTTCTATAACTTATAGGCGGTAAAGACGTTTATAATCGAAAACTATAGTAGTTATTATAAAGTCGACGTAGAGTCTAAGGATAAGTAGATAATACTAGAGATTAACGCTTTAGTATAGTATACGATCCTAATAGCCGAAACTTTAGTATCTACCTATACTCTTAGTAAGTTTCCGTAGTTAAATTACACGTCCTAATCTAATAGCTACGGCTTAGTTCTACTAGTAGGGCTAAGTAAGAGGTTAGTTAAGAGCCTTATAGTTACTATAAAAGTTTTAGGTCTAAGGTAAGCGAGAGAATTTATAAAGGACTAGTAGAAATACTACCTAGATATCTGTTATAGCTAACTATCTAGGAGGAGATAATAGGTTACGGGGTTAGACTTATAAAGCGGAGTGTTAAGCGAAGTAAAGCAGGTAGTATATAAAGTAGTGTATACTAAAGAGACTGTTAGAATAACTAATTAAGTTAAACGTAGGACTACCTAAGGTCGTCCTACCTACCTATATACTTAATAGATAATGAGTGTATACAGGTTGCTCTATATACTCTGTTATGCTCTATAAAGCAGAGCAGTAGAGCAGGGTAGAGTAGATGGCGTGTTATATAGAGTGCTCTATTCCGCTAAGGTGTAAGGAACTATAGAGTAGGCTATATAACCCTGTCCGAGGCAGGATCGTAACACTATCCCCCTTCCGTACTAGCGTCGTCCCGACGCTAACGTATATAATCAGCTATTTATCTCCTATTTCCACCTTAGTAAGTAATGTCTCCTTCTTATAATACCTAAGGAAAGGGACAATAGTACTAAACGTCGTAAAGGACTCGCCGCCTATATCGAATTAGAAGGAACTATTATAGTGAAACTATACGCGACTTACGCTAAGTATAACTGCGTCTGTCGGGTCTACGTTCGTTCTAGAAAGTGTAGTAAATATCTTCGTCGCAATTAGCGGTGCGATATCTGTATATCGTAATCCGAATAGGATCGCTTAAAGCAAGAGCGTAAACGGTTACGTAACGCTATTAAAGATACGTACTATACGTAAGAGTAGGCTCGAAAGGAAGTAGACCTTACGCGTGAGCGTTAACAAACGGCGTTCGCCTAGGAGATGCGCCTTCGTTAATAAATGGATCTCTTAGACTAGAAAGAGGAGGAGGTAGTAGCTACGAAGTACGTAGGCATCGAATAAGAGGAGATCGACGCTATAGTGCTTAAGTTTTCTGCTAACGAGCCTAGCCTTAGGTTGGGTCTAGAGACTTAGAATGCTATAGATAGTAGTTTCGACTTATCTTCCGATTTCTAGAATGTCGAGACTACTAGAACTGTTATAGGAGGTTCTAGCAGTTCCTAAGGTTCCCTTGTAGTTCCTATGTATTTTCCGAGTGTAGGTAACCCTTCTATTTTATAAGGTATCGCTAACCCTGTTATTCTAGTATTTCTTCGACTTTAAATTCGTCGTCTTCTTCTATCTAGAAATGGAATGTTATCTGTAACGGTGTTTCTAGGTCTGCTAGTTTAAGGAGTGATATATAAAACACCAGGTGTATTTTCGCATCGTTAGGAAGTTAGAGTTTATAGTTAACTAGTCCTCTAACTTCTGAAATTAAAAATGGTCCGACCTTAACATAATCTAGTTTTCTTATCGTCTGTTAAGATCGTAAGTTTTTCGTAAGTAGATATACCTTATCTCCCTTCTTTAGCTAAGGATCCGGTTTTAATTTTTGTCTGTTTCGTCGTAAACCGTCTTAGGATGATAGTATCTTTTGCCGTAATTGCTTATATAACTCCTTTAGCTGGTCGCTAGTAGTTATTGCTCTATCTACGTTTAGATGCTATAGCCTAGGTTCTATAAACAAATTAGGGTGCTTTCCGAAATTAGCATAAAATGGCGTGATTCCTATTATAGCAGAAACTTATTAATTTAGCGCCAGTTATGCTATTAGTAAGTAGTTAACCTAATTATCTTAAGCGTAGTTAACATAATGCCGCAGATAGGCCTCGAGCGTCTAGTTCGCTCTCTCGGTTTAACCGTTAGTCTATAGGTAGTAAGCAGTTAAGAGCTTATATTTAATGCCTATTATAGAGACGAGTGTCTTCTAGTAGTTTAACGTAAANAGCTTATNACGATCCGTAATAAAGGACTTAGGGATCCCGTAATACCTAATTAGTCTGTCTAGAACTAAGTGTNCTAATTCTTCTANAGTAATCGATTTTATNTAGGGAACGAAGTGTATATACTTCGTAAGTCTGTCGACTATAACTAATATCGAATCGTATAGCTGACGTAGTTTCGAGTCGTCCGGCGAGCTTAAACTACGTAATCTAGTAATGAAATCTATTATAACTTCGTCCTAAGGCTGCAGCGGTAGGTCTATAAATTAAATCTCTCTATATTTCGCATATCTAGACGACTTGTTCATCTAACAGCTACAGCATTTCTAAACGTATGCTGTAACCTTTACTTTCATCTATAGGAAGGCAAAGTTACGTTATATAACCTCGATTGTTTTAGTAATACTAGGGTAACCGTATATTAGGTCATCGTAGTAGTCCTTAATGCACTATTTCTAATATCGTTTAGGCACTTAGTATTTGTCGTACGAGATAGGAAACTCCTCTTTATTATCCTTTATAATGCGTAATATAGCATTAAACTTATATGTCCGTACGCTAAGTGTTCTATCTTTATTAGTTTAGAGGATGCTATATATAATAGCCTCCTTACCTTCTATATAGTTAATTCTTCT